TTATATGTGCTCCGAATTATATTTTCTGACCGCGGTCAGAAAATCACTTCTGGGAGGTAGGTGTATATGTCATTATTTCTGACCGCGGTCAGAAAAGCCCTTCTAGGGGGTGTAGGTGTATATATTATTATCTCTGACCGCGGTTAGAAAAGTTCTTCTGGGAGGGTAAATGAAACATTTTTGAGGGATCTTCTGGGGGAGTGGGTTATGAATGGGTCCTCTTGGGTTTTAATGGGTTATGAATGGGTTCTCTTGGGTTTCGATGGGTTATGAATGGGTTCTCTTGGGTTTTGATGGGTCCTGTTGGGTCCTGTTGGGTTCTCTTGGGTTAGACCCATTTAAATAGAGCTTATATAGCCAATCAAACAACATTATAGCTTATACCTTTTGATCTATCTACTTTACTATAGGACTAAGGTGTTTACTGTTCATATACCCTTCTCTTGTAAGTATATACTCTCTCTGCCTTTCCCCCTTACCTCTATAGTATTCCCCTTTTCGGTCGCAATGTCCCAAAGCCAGCATTCTGACTTTTTACCTACTCTTTACGATGCGGATACAGATAACCTTAGCTATCTTATACCCTCTTCTCGAGTTCCAACCCCATCTGGTAGCCAGCTCACAATTGAGCCTTTTGATGCTATTGATACTGACTTCCTTCGGCCCTCCAACCTTCTACCAATTCCACACTCTCTTACTCGCGTTGGCCCCGATCGGAGAAAGGCATATGTGCTTTATGACAATATGGCATATGAAGAATGGGTTGAGTGGTGGCTACAAACCGACTATGGGCAGAAAAGCAAGATTTCCTGGGATTCAAATCGCAATTCAAACATATGGAGCAACTTCGACCAAGTTGCCTATACCAAAGATGGTGCGCCAAAGGTGATGTGTAAGCGCTGCTCAAAGATCCTAGAGCATCCCCATTCTCCATCACCTAGCGGAAAGGGCTATCATGGTACATCAACAATGTTGAAGCATTTAAAGACAGCAGGCTGTCGCAAAGCTCAACAGGGAGGTAAAGGAGAAATTACCCAGTTCCTTCAAAAAGTAGTATCTCCTTACCTCTTTATTTAGTTATCCGATTTCCCTAACACTCCTGGATACATAGGATCACGGCTTACCAGAGGCTCCTTTTTCACAATCGGCATGGGAAGAGCATCTTCTCCAATTTCTCACCCTCAATCGACTTCCATTCCACCTCATCGAACATCCAACATTTCACAAGCTATTCCGATTAGCCCGCTCTGCACCATCTCTCCCTCCGATACCCTCTGCTACCACAATACGTCGTCGTTTACGTGATATGATCATAGAACGACAGAAATCTATCCTCCAAACACTACCCAACGACGCAAAAATCTCGATCGCATTAGATTGCTGGACTTCTCCATATAACCAGGCGTTCATGGCTATCACTGGCTATTTTGTTGACAGTAACTGGGTATACCAAGAGGTTCTACTTGGATTTAAACCACTTTATGGCTCCCATACCGGTTTAAATTTAAGTGGTGTACTCCTTGAAACTCTAGTTGAGCACAAGATCCAGGATCGGGTATTTGGAGTCACAACTGATAATGCAACCAACAACAAGACAATGGTTGAGGCTATTCAGCAGGCGCTCTCTAGCGATGTGACAGTAATCCGAATACCCTGTCTTGCCCATGTTATCCAGCTTTGTTTGAACCAGCTCCTTGATCGTTTAAAGGCCATCCCTCTAAATGAGAATGCAGAAACAAAGTGGACTGACCAGAAGTCATCTGCAGCAAAGGCAAATGCTCAGCACCAGACACAGAGGATCTCATACACCTTAAACAAGGTCCGTTATCTTGCTGTGTATATCCATGCAAGTCCGCAACGCCAGGCGGCCTTTCTCCGACTTCAAGAAAAGGGATCCCAGCTTGTTCCAATCCAGGACGTAAGGACTCGGTGGAATTCTACCTTCTTGATGCTTCGTCGTGCAAAGAGACTACGTAGTTTCTTCCAGCCCTTCTGTGAGGAGTATGACTGTGAGGAGATGTTGCTTGATACTCAAGAATGGCGTCAAATTGACTATCTTCTACAAATCACTCGGCCATTCTTTGACTACACAACAGAGCTCTCGAAGACAAAGGAGGTCACCACACATCTTGTCTTTAAGATTTACAATGCCCTCTTTGATCACTTTTTTGAAGCAGAGGCGCTGCTTAAACGCAAGCGTGTTCCATGGAAATCAGACATGCTCAAAGCACTCATAGCTGGTCGCTTGAAACTTGATGAGTACTACTCTCAAACCGACAATCTCAAAGGACATATCTATGCAGTTGGGACAATGCTGGCACCTGACAGCAGATTTCAGTTCTTTCAATCTGATAATTGGGAGCCTCACTGGCGTGATACCTACCGGAAATCATTCCAGGAATTATTGATTCCGTATCAAGAGCGCCTTACAATAAATCAAGGATCGACTAATACTCCAACAATAGCATCATCTAGTTCTAGACTGAACATGATGCTAAAGAGTAACAAGATATCCGCAAAACCAGCTGGTGATGAGATGACTCAATATCTCGATAGTGGTATGTTTATGATCTATTTCTTCCCTATATAGGATAATACTAATATATTTATACTACTAGATCTAATTGATATTGAACCTCTTCAATTCTGGCGTGAGAACCAATCTCGTTTCCCTGCGATCGCGTTACTTGCTCGCGATATTCTCTCTATTCCAGCAACTGGTGCTGGTGTCGAACGGCTCTTCAATACTGCTCGGGATGTTTGTCACTACCGCCGTGGTCGTCTGAAGTCCGAAACAATCGAGGAGCTTATGTTGTTTCTATGTGCAACAAGATTCAATATTAAGGATGCTGAGGCAAAGCAGCTTGAGCAGTTCTTTACACTAGCTGAGATTGAGTCAGCGAAGGAGCAGAACGATGAATATATAGAGGATGCTGAGCTTGACCTGATTAGTGATAATGAAGAGGAAGAAGGAGTAGATAATAGACTGCGAGAGACATCTCCTCATTTAATAGATATAGATATAGAGGTGACAGAGCCAGAGTTACCAGAGACTGCAACTCAGAGACGGGCCTCAGGGAGGAAGCGTAAGAGCAGGGCAGATGATGATTTTGAGCAATATTAGAGAAATACATCCTGGTTCAATTATTTGATTTATTCTCCATTTTTTCTAGAAGAGCGCTGTAAGTAAAATACTCAATATTACAAGCAAAAAATGCATTAATTATGCAGTTATACGCTAGAAGTCTGTTTGTCTGGTTTACACTATATTGGGGCCCCAATGGGTTACCCAATGGGTTTTGGGTTATGAGCTATAACCCAAAACCCATCGTTGGGTCGAAGCAATGGACCCAAAACCCATTTTGGGTTGGGTTGGGTTGGGTTGGGTCCGGGTTAGAGTGGGTTGTGCCGAAGTCTAACTACAGTGATAGGATTTTTTGTAGCCTTGGATGGCTATAGCCGTCAATGGCTATGTTGTATACACATGAGGATCGGCAAATATGTTATGATGTCGTTGTCGTGCTAGACTGTTGCAACGGAAACCTAGCTGTCGCCTATTGGTAAAAGCTGCTTGCTAGAAGAAGAGTTTGTGGTTGTAAAATGCGGGGAAATTACACCAACTCTTAATTTGTGTAGGGATCGCTAGCATGGCGAAATTGGAGGATTTGATGAAGAAACGATGGAAATGCTGTCATGGCGAAACGAGAGGAATTGGCAGGGCAATGAGGTATCGGCGGGGATTGTGGGGATTGACGACGATGGAGAGAAAATGCTGTTAAAATAGGAGGAATCGGTAACGATGGATGAAGCTGTTAGATTACTGGATTAGGAAGGTAGATCTGGCGATAAGACGATCTCTCGGGATAACTACTGCAGACAGTCGATCCTTCTGATTCATTGAGATTGTCGAAGCGGGGAAGCTTCAGCGGGGTTGATTGATTGGCTTGGCGCATAGAGCCGGGATAAAAGCTTCAGCAATTGATAGTTAATCAATAGCGCGCTAAAGGACTCATAACCTCTTGAAAGGTCTACAAGATCGTAGGCAGGAAGAAAGGAGGCTATTCGGAGAATAGTATTTGTGCGTCTAAAGAGAAAGAAGAAGAAGAGAGAAGCTATAGAGGAGCGAGAACTAATAGGCAGGAGGGTCACGGTCACGTGATCCACCAACGACAGGAACTCCCTTCCAACAATTATAAAATAGATCCTCACCGCGCAAATAGTAATAGATAGACTTACTAAAAACCTATCACGTTTAAAGTATAAGAATTTCGTTCACCTACTAAGAATACAAGATATAAAGCATCTAATAAATTAGCCCTATCCTGATTAAGAAGTAGATATAGTTTAGTAATAATAGTACTAAAGGCGAGAAATGACCTAGATCTATACTAGACATCCACCCCAGACAGAGTCTACGCCAGATAAAAAGGTATGTCGCGGACCAGGAAGCTAAGAGATCCACAGTTTATATTGTTTACAGCATATATTTTATCAACTAGATCATATAATTACCATCCCTTACAAAAAGGAGTGAAATCCATGTAATAAAAGACAGAGCTTTTGCACCATTTTATCCAGACCCTGCGTGGCACCTAATTGGACCAAGGAAGACGTAACTTGATAAGCTCCGAACACCTAAGGCATCAGTTCTAATTGCCTGGGATATCAGGCATCCATTGTCACAGGGAAGTATGGAAAAGAACCCGTTACACACACGAAATTCAACTAACTTTAAATATTTATAACTCCACAACAAGAGGGTCAATTATAAGTTAAAGAAAATATTCAAACAAAGCTCGTCCTAAGCTATCGGCTAGTATAAAATTTATTACGAAAAGTTGTGATTGTGGAAGTGGATAGGACCTGCATTTTGCCTAATATACTGAATTTTCCTCCCCCTCCCCTATTAAGGAGTATGAAAGAACCTTGTAAGAATTCTAATGTTTTACCTTAGAGCCCTTTGAAATATAGGTATATTATGATCACTCCATACAACTAGAATGAAGACCATGGGCCGGTGGTTGGACCACGTTAACCTTGGAGCCTTGGAAATCCAGAGTGGATTACATGAGAGTGACGTCATTCATAAACTTCTCTTCTTTCGCTCCTCCTTTCACCGCAGCAATTCCTTCATGAAAATGGACTACCCCACCCACACTGCAGTTTTATTTGGCCCTCGTTGGGACCCAGCTGAATGGACCGCTTCAGACGACCGAGTTCGAGGGGGATCATCCGTCTCAACCCTCACTTCCATCACCGACGGTGTCCTCTTTCACGGCAACCTCGACATTGAAACCCTTGGTGGTGCTGGATTCGCCTCTCAACGAACAGTCGGCGACGACAAAATCTTCGACCTCAGCGCACATGACGGCATTGAACTAATTTTACTTGGCTCGGATCACAAACGTTACACAATCTCCCTTACCGACGAAATCGCAGGGCGGAGGCCAGATGGCCGTGAACAAAGTGCCCTGGTATGGGAATTTGATTTTTGTCCCAGTGAGAAAGGGTCAAAAGTCCGCGTTTCGTGGAATGACCTCAAACCGACATATCGGGGTAAGCCCGTAGAGGATGCTAGGCCATTGAGCTTGTCTAATGTGAAGAGGTTTCGGATAATGGCTCGGAGGTAAGAACCCATGCAGTTGGTCAACAGCTTGAACCTATAACTAACAACCTTGTAGCTTCTTTGGTGAACAATATGGCGACTTTAGCTTGAAGATCCGATCGATCGCTCTGTTTCGGGACGAGTATCTCGATGACCCCGAGGTGACAAGGAAGTCTATTTGTTATGATTACGAGAAAGGGGGCTATCTGAATCGGCAGATGCAAAACGATGAGAAATGGGGTCTGTTCAGTTGCTGCTTCTAGTTGCAAGGCCCTTTGGAAGAGCGTTGTGAAATAAGCACAAAATCCATCACACCCGGACATTATGTCTACTCAAGCTACTTGCAATATTGCGTACCAATGCGTAATCTGGAAACGGCGAAGAATACCAAGCCAATTTGGACCAATTTACTAGGATATGGTATTTTATTTTACTACTTGATCTTGAATAACTGCGAACTTGGCGCTGACCTTCCGAACAGAGTTAGATCACCACGGGGAATCGTTCCTTCGGTGGATAATTAGCAAGATGGCTTACTGCCAAGGGGTGGACTAAGAAGCACAGGCAATGCGGGGAATATCTCACCTTGAATCTCGCTGGGGAATAATACTCCGCCTGGGGCCAGTCTGCCGACATCGACGCCGACACGGACCAATCACCGGCGGGAGATCTTCGGGGTCACTTCCTGACCCCATGGGGAACCCAACCCCGTGGGGACTCTGATATCTGAGGCTGCCTATCGGTAGGTTGGGGGCTTGAGTGTCCCCGGGTTCGATTGATGTTGTGTATAAATTATCCCTAGTATCCGTGGATCCATGAGACAGATATTGACATACCCTTTTGACTCCAATACAACTCCCTGGGAAACAATCATGGGGTTTCAAACGAAGGAAGACCTACTGGCTGATGTTACTAAGGATATTGAAGAGATCGAATTGGCTGAGCCGCGGGGGAAACACCCAGCAGACCTGAGCAGCATTGAATCTACCGCCCCATCCAAAACAGCCTGGCTCATTGCAATTGTCGTCTCCATCGGGGGTCTTTTGTTTGGTTGGTCATTACAACGTCCTTACCTAAGGCATCTCTCTGAAGATAATCGTGCCTAGGTTACGATACTGGTTATATATCCGCAGTTCTTGTCACAATAAACGACTCACTTGGTCATGTGCTCAGCTCCAGCGAGCAGGAGATGGTAACATCTTTAACAAGTGGTGGCGCTCTGGTTGGAGCAGTAGCGGCCGGTCTTACAGCTGACCACTTTGGTCGGCGCTGGCCCATCTGGGGTGCATGCTTGACCTTTGTTATTGGTACAACTCTACAAACGTGTGCATTTTCCGTCGGCCAGTTCGCGGCGGGGAGATTCATCGTCGGTCTTGGGGTGGGGAGTGCCTCGATGATTGTCCCAATGTATAGTGAGTCTCTCGTGGTTTGCCTCGGTCAGTTCGCAGTCCTAATAGGTTACAGTTGGCGAGATAGCGCCAGCACAGTATCGTGGACGGATGGTGGCATTCAACAATATGAGTGTCACATTTGGACAACTTCTTGCAAGCGCAGTGGGGGCTGGACTTGCCCATGTTAAAGGCGAGGGCTGGCGTGCCACTGTCGGGATCGGAGCAGCCCCAGCCCTTGCTCTTGCTGCGCTTTTGTTCTTCTGTCCCGAGTCACCAAGACAGTTGGTCTCTCATGGTAATACAATCGCTGCAGACATGGTCCTTCGACGGATCTACCCAACCTCCACAGCTGAACAGCGTCAGTCCAAGATAAGATCCATTGAGGCTTCCATCCAAGAAGCGACAGAGACGATGATTAATGAGTCCCTGTGGACCACCTTCAAGCGAATCTTCACTACTCCTTCCACTGCGCGTGCGACCTTGACCGCGTGCACGATAATGGCCATTAGCCAACTCGGAGGTTTCAATACTCTGATGTATTATGCGGCGACACTCTTTTCTATCGTTGGCTTCGATAATCCCACCGCTGTGGGATAACTGTCTCTGCAACGAACTTTGTGTTTTCGTTCGTCAGCCTCTTTCTCGTTGACAAGTTCGGTCGACGAATTATTCTTTCCATCACAGTGCTAGGCATGGCAATCTGTATGGTCATCGCCGCTATTGCATTTCACTATATTCCGGTAGATACCGCTACTCTAAAGCTCACCACCACACAAGGTGGTTGGGCTGGAACTTTGGTGCTTGTTGCCATCATCTGCTATGTTGCATGTTTTTCCTCGGGGGTCGCAACGATGGCTTGGATTGGTACGGAACTGATTCCGCTGGAAGTCCGCGCCATAGGCACGATGCTAGTATGCTCTCACACTTCGGTGAAATTCTTTTCGGTTGCCCATTTCTAACTTTTCGGGCAGAACACGGTTACTTGCTGGAGCACCAACATTATAATCTCCTCCACATTTTTATCAATGATGAAGAGCTGGACTCCAAGTGGGGCTTTCGGATTCTACTCGGGCATTTGCTTCTTTGGTTGGGTATTCGTCATCTTCTTCTATCCCGAATGCAAGGGAATGCCTTTGGAAGCCATCAGGGATGTTTTCAAGGATGGCTTTGGGGTCGCATACTCAAAACGGTGGCAGAGAGAACACAAAGATGAGACCAAAATCCAGACACTGGTTTTGGGACACTAGCAGAGATGATCTCTATTCAGGCAAGCTTTCAATGGGAGGAGAATCGAGATTTTGTGGGCTAACTTTCACTCATGAGTTCAAAGTAGCGATTCTGTTATCTTTGAATGGGCTCATCCCTGAGCCAAGGTGACTATTTATCTAGTGTCAATGTACTTTAAGTCATCATGGGCCACCTGTTTCTATCGAGTCGGCTCAGACTTTCGGCATACAAGCACTGCCAGCTGGATGTAAGAGTCTGTCTGTCGGAGCCTGTTGTAGCAGCCTGGTTTGTCAGTCTGCCCGCATAGGGGGCAGATGACGGCATAGATCCAGAGAGCTTCTATCCTCTCTTTCCTTCCACTCCTCGTCTCACAATACATTTTGTTATTATGAATTCCGGTTTCCCCGTCAGTCTCACCTTGCGGGCAAAGCCTGTGCTTGAACCGCAATACATGTTTGTTGAATCTTCTAACAGAATCGAATTTCGAACCCTCTTTGTCGTATCCAGTTTCCTCTAGTGACACGTGCGACAATATCGCGCGCAGCCACCCCGATGTCGGCCCGACTACTCATGCAACGGAATTGAACCCGGTCATCGACGGTTGCTGCTCGAACCTACATATAAACCAGGTTTTCGGTCTGCTGAAAGTGTTTCAGTATCCACGCTTAGTCACTCCCAACTACATAGATTCCAGGGATTGATCCATGTGAATTGAGAGCCATGGGGCTACTGAATACCGATATCCTACTGTTTGTCCATCTCAAAAGATAAGTGAGCTTTTTTGACAAATTTATCTTAGCCCCTTCCTCTCTAGCAAGCTGGCCAGCCTGTCTGTGGGACACAGGGAAAGAACCTAGGAACCAACTGACCTCGGAATATTGATAGGCATCCCCAAGCCCTGGAGATACCATGACAAACCATGATTACTTATTTTTGATGCTGCGATGCTTCATAATGCTCACTAGGTACCTAATCTTGACTGTGTTTGTGGCTGGTAATTTCCTTTCAATTAGGTATTGAAGTGGGAAGAGCGCGCTGGCGGTCTGACATCGCAGACAAGACGACGGGGGTGCTCAGTGCTCGGCGGGATCAGGGAGCTAAGCAGGTCCCCATGACTACCGGAATAGGAAAGAGATGCTGTTCTTGCGAGAGGTGTAGGATGTTTGAATTGCTAAACTAGGGGATCGCGAGCATAAGCTGCCAAAACTAGCCACAGTGGCGCACCTGGGAGGTGGCGCGGTTCCCCCATTACAGTATCTAGGGTTGCTTTTGCTAAATTTCTTTTGAGACTTGAAATGGATGAAATACCTGAATTCGCAAAGACATAAAAATAAGATGTCAACACCGTCAACCTCGGGACAAAAACAGCTCCATGAAGGGCCAGATTCCATCACACTAATTATAAAAGAATAGCTGAGCCCTCTTAGTGCGTGTGGGTTCCCGAGGGCCCATTCGTGAGCAAAGTCTTGACAAAAATGTGACAGGAACGAGATCAGCCAGCCAGCAAAGTCTGGCAATCTGATGACATTTATAGATTTCCATGATTACTGGTTATCTCCTGTGCTAGCATCCATAACAGGCTGTAATCCAATGGCAATTTTACTAATACCCTATACCAGACTCATCTACGTAGGAGAGGCACAAATCGCTTCAAACAGTAGGTTCTGACTGTCGAAGGGAAAAGACCGACCGGGGAAAAGAAAGAAGAGAGAGAGAGAGACCTATCTAGCCAAGGGGTCATCTGACCTCCCTAACAATGCCAGTTCACAAACCGCACATTACATACAACGATGTCAATGGTCAAATCAGATTCAATGTATCACGGTACACTCTCAGATAAATAGAAAGCTCTCACGGACTATACACTGTATGAAATGGCTGTTCGCTAGGCTTGTGAATGTTGTATAGGAACCTGAGTCCTGGCCTACAAGGGTTCCGTTTGGAAGAAAGTTCAGGAATGAAATAATGGACCCATGGAACATGCTCACAGAATCATAGCGACCGGTGCGATTGTGGGGTAAAACGCGGGGGCAATCAGCATTACAAGTTTCTTTTTCTCTGAACCTAACTTGGACTTTTCTTCCGGTTCTCGTGGCCGCCAGAGACATCAGTCGAGCCAAGAAGCAGCGCCAAGGGAGCTTGGATCCCGCAGTCACACGGAGGGCCTTTTTCATTTGACAGTACCGCCGGTGGTTCCTTTGACCTTCCCAAAGAACAGCATCCCTGCCTATCATAATGTATCTTCCATGTGAATTGTAATTTCTCACTCTCACCCTTCACTTTTCCTTCCAGAGAGATTGCGGTATTCTTGTCACTTGCCAACCTTCGCCAAGACGGTTGATCCGTAATTTTAAAGTTGGACTTCGGACATCAGCCGAACGCGGGGTGGCTAGATTTAAGATGTGGGGCGTATGTAGTTACAATATAAGCGTAGCCCAAGCAAGTCCCTCGTGTTGGCGGGGGAGAAACCTACCGAGCGCCATTTGATATACAACCGTCTATTGGCCCAGGGGTCAACACCAGCCCCCAAGTGGCATAGGAGTACGCTTTGACATTCGGTCGATCGCCCAAACTGTATCTCCCCGTGTTTGTGGAGGCGAAAGGTTCCGCGGAGAAAATATTGCCAAGTAGCTCGGAATCCTTTTGGCGCCGTATGAGGCATGTGTGCTTTCGCCATCTTAATGGTTGCGGACGCTGCGCTAATGTGACATTTTTGGAGCACCATAACCCCATAGCCTGAGTTGAAACGAAGAATACTTTGCGTCCTTTGTGTGGAAGACCTGACCACCTGAGGCACCCAGGGACTGTCCAGTCGGCGGTGCCTGTCCTTTCCCGGGAATCGGCGAAACAATTAAATGGCTCGATTCAACGTTCAAGCTAACCTTGGATCTCTTGCGCCGAGCCTTGGTATCAGATAGTGTCCAATGAACAATTGACTGCCTAGCCTGCGTTGATGTCCTGCGTTTGCTTGGCCACTTGAGCCTCCTTGGCATCATGTTATTTAAGCGACTGCTGACCACGATCTGGTCAGTACCTGTTTTCATTCTGTGTCATTGCCGTTGTTCCTTTCACTTTGCGAAAATTGCGAAGATTCGCTATCTCGGCCTACTAAAGGGTGCTTTCAGATTGATCTAATTTGGCTTGCAACCTCAGCTCACATTATATCTTTCTATAGACTATCCATCACGTTATGGCGGGTGGCTCTGCAATCAATGTTTTCAAATTCAACACGGGAGGTCTTCCTAAGGAGACCCTCAACGCAAAGCTATGGTTTGCTGTGTTTGCCTTTGGTCTGATGGGTGCTGCCCGAGGTGTTGATGAGGGTCTCATCACGGGTGTCTTCAACTCTCATGCTTTCAAACAGTCTATCGGGATTGACGATCTGGAGGCAAGCGAGCTTGCTAGTATCAAGGGTACTATTTCCTCAATGGTCCAGCTGGGCAGCGTCGCTGGTGCTTTATTGTGTGTGCCCCCCGGAGATCTCTTACAACCCTACGGAATATTTGCTCACTTTCAACAATAGCGCTTTCGTCATGTGTGACCGGATTGGCCGTGTCTGGGCCACACGCCAACTATGCGTCTTTTGGATCCTCGGTATTGCCATATTCATTGGAAACAATGGTAAAATCGGGGCAATGTATGCTGGTCGATTCATTGCCGGTATCGGTATCGGCCAGACTTGTGTTGTCGGTCCTATCTATCTTTCGGAAATCTCACCAGCTCCTATTCGAGGTCTCTGTACTTGCATGTTTACTGGCGCGGTCTACCTGTGAGTTCACTTTTCTTTCTTTGTCATTCCATTATTCTTTCTCAGTGCTAAATCACATCAAGCGGCATCATGATTGCTTATTTTGCCAACTGGGGCGCTCAAATTCACATGGCTGATACCTTCAATCGATGGGTAGGTGCCGGTCACAATCCCCATCACGGCCGTCTGGCTGATACATTCTCTTCACAGGCTGTACCCACGTCCCTTCATCTTATGTTCGCCGGTATTATCATGATCCTTACACTATTCCAAGTGGAGTCACCTCGATTTTATATCAAACAAGGCAAGCGGGAGCAAGCGCTCGAGTCCCTTTGCAAGCTCCGTGGCTTACCTGCTACCCATCCATATGTTCTTGACGAAATTACCGAGATGGACGTGGCCTTCCAGGAGGAGATGGAAGCAACCAGTGGCATGGGCTGGAAGGGTATGTTCAAAGAGATACTTGGTATAAGGCGCAATTCTTATCGTCTTTTCTTGACCAACCTGGCCCAAAACATGGCCTGCTGGTCGGGGGGCTCTGCTATCACGGTATACGCTCCGGATCTTTTCACGCTGGTCGGCATTACTGGCCAAGAGCAGTCTCTATTCTCGACTGTCGTTTTTGGTGTGGTCAAATTTGTTGCCGCTATTATTTGTGCTCTCTTCCTGGTCGATATGGCGGGTCGAAAACGATCCCTTATCATTGGTATCGTTCTCCAGACCATTGCCATGTTCTACATCGCTATCTTCCTTAACCTGGTTCCCATTGCCAACAACCCTGAGTTTGTTCCCAATGAGACACAAAACCGCGCATCCACTGCCGCCATTGCCTTTATCTACATCTCAGGTGTCGGTTGGGCTTTAGGGTGGAACAGCGGCCAATATCTGTTGTCCTCTGAGCTCTTTCCACTTCGCATTCGCGGGGTTTGCTCTTCTATCACCATGGCCATGCATTTCATCTGTCAGTACGCTGTCAACCGGGCTTTACCTGAAATGCTGCTTGAGAATGGGGGTCTTGGCCCCGACGGCACATTTTACTTCTTTGGGGTCATTTCCATTCTCGGTGGTGTTTGGGTTTGGCTCTTCGTGCCCGAGGCCGCCGGTCGCAGCCTTGAGACTATTGATAAGATGTTTGACCTTCCTTGGTACAAGATCGGCCTATTCGGTCGGAAATTCGCAGAAGATTATGATCGTGAGCAGGAGCAGATTTACCGCAACGAGAAGAAAGATGGTGGAATCGTGGTCTCGCACAATGAGACAGCATAGGGTTTTGATGGAACCCCAACGCCAAATGGCATCCATGGATGTTTATCAAATTTGCCGAAGAACAAGTTGATATTTATATTCTTGTCATATGCAATAGTGTTTTATCATGGCTCAAATCAGCCAGCCATGCCACATCCAGTTATCTGCCCAGGTGCCAGGACGATGATGGCAGTTGTGTCTATAGATTTCAATGATTAGTCGATGGCAAATGGAACTTGATCCCGTGAGCACCACGAGGAATAGATCGTCGATCAGCAATATCTTCTAAGTTTGTAAGTCTACAAGGCTGTGTTTTCAACTGCTAGGTATTGCCTAGAGCTGAGCCCTGGAGGTGCCTACGTATCCCACATTCTCTGGGGTGCTGGTACAGAATATTTCCGCGAAACTCAATATTGAACGGGGCTTAGAGTGATGGGGTCTGGTCCTGAGATAGTACATCCCGCAGCAGCTTCAAAGATTCCCGCGCAAATGCAACCATATTCTCCGCTCGGTCATTGCTCCCGGTTTCAACTTCACGAGTGACTTGCCCTTCTGCACTCGAAACGGCAACCGCTACATACCCACTGAACAGAATTAGATATAGATCACCAAAAGTCAAGATGATTCACTTACGGGGTTCGGTTTCTTGTCGTTCCTCCAGTGGGGCCAGCTGTCCCGCTCTCACTGATCGCATATGATGAGCCCAGAGTGCGCCGGGTATGATCAGCCATATTTGCCACAATCTCGGTCGTGGGGCCTTTGTACTTCTCCAGATCTGCTGATGTCCAGCCTGCAAACGCGAGGCGTGATTCTAGAGTGTAGACAGTGAGTCCACCTTTGTACACAGCTGACGCGCCCGGACAGGAAAGAAGACAAGCAGAGATGAGGCCTCCAGCAGCCTAGTGATATATCAGAATACTCGCTTTCACCCAGGGACCTCACTTAATGTACCGTCTCGGCAACAGAAATGGTTTCGTTTCGGGCTTTGAGGAGTTGGAACACTTCATCTACAAGCGGCTGTAGACTTCGGGGAGGGAAATCCGCCATCTTGTTCAACTTGGTCAGATACTTTTGCTTGGAAGTTTAGATAGCAGAGAGTAATAAGTAGACACCACTAGTCCCGAGGTCGTAGTTGTACTCCGTACTGAGAATTGGGTGAGCAAATGAGGGAGACATGGCGGGGATCCATGGTTGTTTGCCCCGTGTTTGCATCGTTTGCTACGCGCTCGACTGTTTGTCCCACCCAGCTCATTACTCCGTACACAATGAACAATCTCATGACGAGCGCCCGCTCCCTTTCGACACACCCACGTACCCTCCTCCTTACCTTCGACGCGTTCGGCACACTTTTTTACCCTCGTCCACCCGTCCCTCAGCAATATGCGGCTGTCGCGCACGAATTCGGCTTCTCTCGCACCGTCGTAACCTCTCAGGCAATTCAACAAGCTTTCCGAGATGTATATCGCTTACACTCACTACGTTGGCCTAACTATGGTCGCGCCGATGTGCTCAGCGGGAAATATGGTGGCCCCCGACAGTGGTGGGGGGAGGTAATACGGGAGTGCTTTGTGCGGGTTTTGGCTTCTCAGGGTAGCAACTTGGCCGCGCATGGGTCACAGTCCCGTGGCTTCGAGCTTCCGTCGGAGATGGTTGATACTTTGCTCGATCGCTTTGCCAGCGATGAGGGCTACGCACTCTTTGATGATGTCATTCCCTTCTTCGAGCGCATGCGCGAGCTTCGAGGCACCTCATTCCGAGACTTTGACCGGGTTTTGCTCGGTGTGATATCGAATTCTGACGACAGAGTCCCTGCTGTTCTCAAAGCTTTAGGGGTACGAGTGGGTGATATGCGTGCCGATCAGGATTTATCCAGCATGGACTTACCTGGCTTCGAGCAACGAAACGTGACCAAGGAGCCACGTCCATTTGACCAGTCCGAAAAGGATCTAGATTTAATCATAACCAGCTATGAGGCTGGCGAAGGCAAGCCGAACCGACTTATTTTCGATGTCGCAGAACGACAGGCTCGATTATTGCCGAACAAACATGGGCTTTCGCTGGGCTCTACTCCTACTTCTGACCAGACAGATGACTGGGTTTGTGTTCACGTCGGAGATGAATATGAGAAAGACTACTGCGCTGCGATTGCTGCTGGGTGGAAGAGCTATTTGATTCCTCGCGCAGACGGGGAACTTCCTGCGAAAACCATTCGCTCGTTATTGGATTTGATCGACGAGCTAAGGATCTAGGTATTGGCTGATCAATCTTTTGCCCCTTGGTATCTGCTTTGAATCGGCTCTCTGAACCAGACTAGCTTGTCTCACTGACTCTCCACGATCTGCTATGTATTTTCAAATCCCTGGACTTATCAACGATGGAAAATTTGACTCCAACCACATCGGTTCGAAATACCGGGACAACAGATTACCACGCTCTCGAAATGACAAGTTTTCACTCAAACCTTCCACTCTTTACAGTACAAAAGATTGGATTGCTTATCCTGGCCAGTCCTTGATCATCAATACAGGGCCAGATCAGTGCTCTGGGGGCTGTCTTGACAAACCAGCACATATCATACACTTGAGTCACTCAAATTAGACTATGCCATCTTTCGGGGCTGCTGGGACATGTTACAAAATGAGCGGGGACTAACGACTCATTGCTCTGGTAGTCTGGAACTTTTCTCGACTAGCAAAGAGGGTAGCTCTGTCATGCGGGTGGCTTGGGTCTAAACCTAGACAGAAGGTCTGATCTGTTGGACAAATGAATTGTCGTGACTTGCTTGGGCAACTTCCCATTCCCGTCAGTTTTCGCGTTGTTGGTTGTTGTTGTTTATTTTTTTTTCCTATCGGCTTTTGTCATTGTGTTTGTTTCTTTGACGCCGGTAAAACTTTTGCGACCGTGGCATATCACATAGGTCAGCCCGCCCACACAGCAACCACATGTTGCGGCGTGGCAACAGAGACTATGCCAAAGAAAAATCGGAAATGTGTCTTGCCAATTTAGCCAGGACATCAAGGCTTTGTGGTTCTCGAAGCACGAAGGCGCAGACCAGTCTATTTAGCAGATCCCGAAACGTTCCCGGCCGATCTACTCTACATATTCGATCATCGATCAGATATCCTGATTGAAAATGATCAACACAAATCCAAAAAGCTTGTGTGAGCTTGGCGGTCTCCACCATTTCGCCGCGCGATGCCGGGCCTATAGACTTCAAGCTCCACAATGGAAGGTGTTGACGACGCTAGCGCCGAGGATTACGCATGCCCCTGACGCTATATTTAAATTCAGTCAGATTTTAACTGTACTGCCTGGAGTGCTGCAGTCCGAATCTGTTCGTTTCTTGCTCTTTGCAAGGGATTCTTCCGGGCTTCGGTGGCATCGTTTCTTTTCATCGCACATTTAACGGCAATCTGCAACAATCCCAGCTCTTCTGCTTATATGGGCTGACAAATTCCATCCCGAAAACATGCACTTGCTTGGACCTTTCAAAGGCGCGCTTGCTTTGCTGTCGTTATCAAACCTGGTGGGCGCCATCGACTTGGACGTCAGCAACGAACGTACGTGAGCAAATTCTTATATTTCCAATGCTCGTGAATTTCCGCAGAACTGACAATGGAGCCCCTTCTTAGAGTCACTCAAAGATGCCGCGAGTACCTCGACTTACGCTATGATGAAATACTATTACGGCAACGAAACTGGGCAGATACCTGGAGCCTTTCCGGACAAGTGGTGGGAGGGTTCGGCCCTGTTTCTTGCGCTCCTGGAATATTGGCATTTCACGGGAGATACGACATACAATGAGGAGTTGAGCATTGGACTGCAGTGGCAATCGGGCGACGATGGTGACTATATGCCAAGTAACTATAGCTCTTATCTTGTAAGGGTCATCATCACATCAAAGTTGGAAATTACATGCTGACAATTTGAACAGGGAAATGATGATCAGATGTTTTGGGGCCTTGCAGCCATGACTGCGGTGGAGTATGGATTTCCAGATCGCTCGTCTGGGTTCTCATGGCTCTCTTTGGCACAGGGTGTCTTCAACACCCAGATTAAGAGATGGGATACATCTTCATGCGGGGGTGGCCTTCGGTGGCAAATCTGGCCCTACCAGAATGGCTACGGGATGAAGAACTCTATCTCCAACGGGGGACTGTTCCAGTTATCTGCACGGCTAGCTCGTTACACTGGGAGTTCAATTTACCTTGAGTGGGCCAACAAGATTTGGGACTGGTCGGTCTCTTCGCCACTTCTTAGCAATACAACCTGGAATGTCGCCGACTCGACAAATGTGGACAATGACTGTGCCACCCAGGGGAATGACCAGTGGACATACAATTATGGAACTTATTTGATGGGTGCTGCCTATATGTATAACTATGTGAGTAGTCGTGTTCCAGTGTCAATCATGTCCCGAGGTCTTCGATTGAAATCAATCACTAACATCATGTTACTCGCAGACGAATGGAACCACTCAATCCCAATGGCTGACCGCTGTCGACGGTCTTTTAAATGCAACACTCAAAAATTTCTTTATCACCGGGGGAATCATCGAAGATTATTACTGCGAACCGGCGGCAAATTGCAATGACAATGAGATTCTCTTCAAGGGCCTTACCTCCTCCTGGCTGGCGTTGACTGCGATCCTTGTACCATCAAGTTTCGACACTATTATCGCAAAGCTTCAAACCTCGGGTCAAGGCGCTGCGGCATCATGCACTGGTCACAACAATGGCACATGTGGCGTGCGTTGGTACAAATCCCAATATGATGGCTGGATGGGAATGGAGGAAGAGATCAGTGCCACAAATATATTCACTGCAAATCTGGTCAACTTCAACAAAACCGGTCCTGTGACATCAACGACAGGAGGAAATAGTACCAGCAATCCCACTGCGGGCGAAGATGACAGTGATTCGAACAGCGCAGAAACGACTACGATTACAACAGGGGACAAAGCAGGGGCTGGTATCCTGACTGCTGTCTTTGTGACCGGTTGGTTTGGATTGATGGCGTTCATGGTACTGGGTGGTTAGGTATTGGCGCTGGCGCTTACTTTCCAAGGTTGGTTTTGAGTTTTCGGAATATCGTTCCAGGTTCCTGGCATTAAGCCCCGGAGCCATACATAAGTAAAAAGCCTAATACTGGTCGGGAAAACAACCAAATACCTACCTAAATATCTCCCATCTGGCCATCGAAATGCTGAATAAAGTTGACTATTTTCAAGGTTACATCAATGCGTATACCTCCAGGGCTGTGACGACCTTGAGCCATCGGTCATTATCATGAAACCTATATCTTTGCGACATGAAGATTGGTGAACTGAGAGGATTAGAGCACCACAACCCCAACAAGAGGCTTAGGCGGCAATTACATGATGCCTCAAGCAATCCAAAACCAGATTTTCTCTATATGATGCTTGTTAGAAGCAATCATCAAGCTTTGGCCCCGGGAGATATAACATACCAAGGAAGTTTCGGGGCGTGGGTTCTTCCCACGTGGACTCAAGTTGATCTGCTTCTTCTTTGCCGGATAGCAGATCCATCTCCTCTATCTTCACCATTTTTGTCTTTTTGATGAACTTGTATCCAAGGAACAGACATGCAAAAATGGGAATGTCAATGTAAGGCGGTATGAAGCTCTTGGCACTGAAGTGACCAGGGAAGAAAGCATCGAACCCGTTGAAAAATGCCACAGTTGACGAGAAAATAATCGCAAAATAAGCCAGGAATGGCTGGAAGGGGGACTTGAATGGAAGGGCAGACCGCGGTATACCGTGATATTCCAGTCCATGGTGGAAACGAACATAGGTGAAGGCGATAGAAGTCCACACGATCAACGTGCTGACGGAGCTCAAGTTGCTGATCCAGAAAAAAACCTCAACTGAGCTTGAGGAAACATTCAAATATACTAGCAGGCTTAGAGCAGCCGTGACAATCACACAGGCGTAAGGAACGCCAAATTTCTCTAATTGAAGAAAACGAGGAGCCTTTCCGTCCAGTGCCGTTGCGTAGAGAATTCGAGTCGATGCATAGAAGGAGTTACCAGCCGACAACGCCGATGTAAGCACAACGGCGTTTATGATGGAAGGTAATACCAAAATACCCCCATTCTCGATAGCGATGACGAATGGGCTTGCGCCCACGCCAGCCGCACCCTTATGAATTGCATTAAGCAGTCGGGGATCCTGAGAAGAGACGCAAAGGCCGACCAAAAAAACGCTGCCAACGTAGAATATAGCTATGCGCCAGAAGACTCGTCGGACAGCCTTAGGAACATTGCGCCGAGGGTTTTCGGTTTCTCCCGCCGCAACCACGACCATTTCACTTCCACCATAGCTGAAGGTTGCTTGTATGAAAACTTTCCAAAATGCCAGAAATCGCCCCAAAGACCCATCTTCAAGATACTGATTCATGGGACCTGGATTCTGCCAGTAGCGAAAGCCTATCCGATCATGTCTCGGAGCCCCGCCAAGTGTGATGATGAGCATTAGGAACATTAGCCCAATGATGGTAATGAGTTTGATCGATCCGAGGAAGAATTCCAACTCGCCATACACCCGCACAGGAAGACTATTGATAGCAAAGATGGTCACGTAAAGTACGGTAATCCAAACCGCAGAGGATACATTGTTGGGCCAGTAGTCAATCACTAGAGCAGCTGCGCTGATTTCAATTGGAACTCCAATGGCGAATTGATACCAATAGTTCCACCCCAAAGTAAATCCAAGAGCCTCATCGACAAACCGGGATGCATACACAGGTACCGCTCCGGGCAGGGGAAGCCAAGTAGCCATTTCACCCATGCTATTGATCACGGCATAAAGATTTAAACCCGTGATGAGATAGGCGAGGACTGCGGACAATGGTCCCGCCAACGAGAGAACCTGACCTGTGCCGACGAAGAGCCCCGTGCCTATCGCCCCAGACAGAGCTAGAAATTGAATGTGTCGTGATTTGAGACGTCGTTGCAAAGTCCCTGTTTCTGTGCGTGCATTGCCGGACTTAAGGTATGGAGGTCGTTCATGATGCCGAGGACCAGGCGGTTCCAATCCTCCCATCTCTGTATCCACGGGACAACTCGAACTTGCTGACATTTTTCGCCTGTGAAGACCAGTGAATCTAGGTTAACAGCTGACACCCGTACAACGTACATGAAGCCCGGCTGTCGTGCCGATTTTGTAGAAACCCTGCACGGACCTGTGGGGCTACAATATCTAGGGAGAAAAAAGCGTGGGGTTGTGAGATGCGGAGTGACGCGCGAGGGGTTGATTTGAATACCGATATCGGGCTGTACTTGGCGGTTCTGTTACTGAATTGGACAAATGTACGGTCGGCGAATAATAAGGATCATCCAATGTTGTAAAATTCCGTCCGTACTCGTTGTTGATCGGCGGGGATATCGTATCGCAGGGGTGTCCGAGGCCTAACTGCAGGGTCCGAGCCTTGCAAAATCTAACAGAGTTGCATTGCACGGTAACATTGGGACACATACGGAGTATCCAAAATAACATTGAAATCAAGAAAACGACGCGTATGAGGAAGTTGAGCACTGTTGCTTTCTGGTCATCAATCTACACTTGAACATTCAGTTCGGCATTGTAGACTTCTGAGTGACATGTCGGACTCTTTTGGGTATGAACCAACCCAATTTGGGCACAGTATGCGCTCTCATTTTTCTTTTGCACCGGGTTACCGTAACTTGAATCATGGTAAGCGACTCCCGTTGTGAGCCATTTTATCTGCTCACTCTGTCAGGTTCATTTGGGGCTTCTCCTACCGCGATCCGCAACAAGGAAACACAGATTCGCCATGAGTGTGAAACTAATCCGTGCCCTTTCATCAAATACCGCTTTCCTCGCTTATTGAATGAGTCCCGAGTGGCCATGTGTGAGTTTCTCGGTGTACCCGAATCCACAATAGTTTTTGTGCCAAATGCAACTACCGGAATCAACACGGTGCTGCGGAATATAGTATGGAACACGGATGGAAGAGACGAGATTCTGCAGTTTGACGTGATATATGGTGCGTGCGGGAAGACCACCAGCTATGTCTGTGAAGCGAATGCAAACATCGTGCGCACTAGACAAATTCCCCTCGAATACCCAATGAATGATTCTGGGGTCGTGCGCACGTTTCGCAAAGCGATAGATGTGTCCCGAGGAGAAGGATACCGCCCGCGTATTGCAATATTCGATACAATCTCATCCAACCCTGCTCTTCGGTTTCCCTTTGAAAAACTTACTGCGGTCTGCCATGCAGAGGGCGTTCTGAGCTTGATAGACGCTGCTCATGGAATTGGTCAAATTGAACTTGATCTTCCATCGCTGAACCCAGATTTTTTGGTCAGCAATTGCCATAAATGGCTATTCACTCCTCGTGGATGTGCAGTCTTCTATGTTCCCGTGCGCAACCAATGGATGATACGCAGCACTTTGCCAACAAGTCACGGTTATGTCGCTGGGTCTTTGAATCGAGATCAATGGCCTTTAAAAAATCCCACGGATCTCGCGAATGGCACGACCGCATTTGTATCCAACTTCGAATTCGTTGGCACCACCGATAATTTTTCGTTCTTGACGGTCCGAACCGCGATTGAGTGGAGACAAAGTGTCTGTGGTGGTGAAAAGGCGATTCAGGAGTACTGTCGTCGGCTTTGCCGCGAGGGAGGTCAACACGTTGCGGAAATTCTGGGGACGAGGACTTTGGAGACCACGGAGGGGGCTTTCGCAAAGACCTACATGGTCAATATTCTTCTTCCTCTCGACATACCTACTGAAGGCTGTGGGAGTCAGGTCACAGACGAAGATGGCTTAGATGTCACTGTCAGCGAATGGATGCAGCAGAGTATGATCAATCACTATCGAACGTTCATGCCTGTTTTCCCCTTTCAGGGAGCTTGGTGGGTAAGATTGAGTGCACAAATCTATCTTGAGCAAAGCGACTTTGAATGGGCAGCTCAGACGCTGAAGAAGCTGTGCGAAAGGTTGCGAGAAGTCAATTCTGGAGTGAAAAGTGGGAAATGAAAAGGGGGCGGGAGAGAATATAAAGGTATTTCAGAAATCATTCACTTTGATAACCCAGGGAAATACCCGAGGTAGTCGAGCAGTCTCAATAGGATGGTGACGAGAAACAAAGCGGGAATCGTATGTATTGTGAGACCCGAGGAAAGAAGGGGGAGAGAGAGATCTAGATCTATCTACACCAGTGGGGACCCTGCAAACCAGGCAAACACCCGCGCCGACAGATGGGTGTCTTTATACGGAGTACACACATAAAAAATATCAGAGAGCAAAGAGAGGTGGAAAGAGAGAGACAGAGAGTGTGTTTGCGCAAGCGGGCCTGTGCTCCCAGGGGGCCCTGGGGGGGCCTGTCCACAACTATGTACGGAGTACGGAGTACTGTGGTTAACTATATCCAAACTGCCTTGCCTGCCAGTGCATGGTTAAGATAGAAACCAGTGGAGTATTATACCATAATGCCGAGTCGGTTACCACCCGTAGCTGTAAACTTCTACTCCGTACAGCTCGTAGGAACCGATGCCGACGGCTTTCGGCGCCGGCGATGTGTCCAATTAGGGAATCGGTTTCACCCGACACAGCAAGGGATCAGGTACCTACGGAGTAACTATGGCAGTGTTCGGCCAGAAGCTTCATGCAAGCCTATTTCAAGGATGGTCGAATCAACAATGTAGGACTACCTCCGAAGATATTTTTCCCTGAAACAAGTCTGATATCGGCTATGTGCGGCTGTCATCGGCCGTTATCTCTTGGCGGGCCTAGCCACAGTTCCGATCATAGCCGAGCCTCTTGTGTGCTCTAATTGGTCAATACTCCGACAGTCTAGACAGCGGTGCCTGGACGATGGAGGTTGAGCCCATCTCAAGCCACAGCGGAAAAGTATGGATCTTCCCGACACAGTTTCTTGCCCTGGTTGTGGTCTCTGTGATAGAATCAGGACCCATCTCAAATGGAAATTGTGGATTCGGGCAGAAATGCTCAGATTGCTATGATGAAAATTCATAGCCGATGGGGCCACCAATATAGGGTCTTATATCGTGCGGTCACTCCCCAGTGTTGACACATAATCTTCCAAATTGCATGTTCACTATTCATCGAGCACCTTGACATGAGAATCCATTGATATCATGGATCAATTCAAGGAATCTGACGGGAGATATGAGCCAAGCATCGACTTCCCCAACGACTCTCGCAGTGACGAGTCCGGCGACACCATTGATCACGTCGATACCCTCGAACTCACTCGGATCAATACATATCGGCTGCAGCAAAAGACAACGGTGGGGTCTACAAGAGGCCCCATTCCCCGCGAAAGATGGCTTCCCATGGGTGCCAATAAAGAATACCCTCCCATGCTCCCCGATTCTGAGGGGTATGTGGTGGAGTTTGATGGAGCTAATGATCCCTTGCATCCATACAACTGGTCTATGATTAGCAAGTATGTCCACCTAACATGCTCGCCATCTTTACAGACACCCATTCGCTAACGGTTGAAAGAATATTTTCAGTTTGCATACTATGTTATGGCACCTTTGCCGGGTCCTTTGCCAGTGCCGTCTTCTCTGCTGCTATCTCTGGCATGAGCCATGAGTTTCACACAAGCACGGAAGTTGGATCCCTTGGAGTCACACTTTATGTCCTGGGGTTTGCTGCTGGTCCAACAATCTGGGCGCCGGCCTCTGAACTGATTGGCCGCCGAGGACCTCTTTCTGCCGGCCTATTGGGCTGCGCGATATTCACCATCGGATGCGCAGTTGGCAGAGATATCCAAACTATCATGATATGCCGATTTTTTGCAGGGCTATTCGCGGCTAGCCCGATTTCGATCGTCCCCGCTGTGTTCGCAGATCTTTTTAACAACGCCCAGCGCGGAGTTGTCATGTCAATTTTTTGCATGGCCGTCTTTATTGGGCCCTTCGCGGCTCCCTTTATAGGTGGATTCATTGCCATGAGCTCTCTTGGGTGGCGGTGGACAATGTACATCTCGGCCATCATGATTTTTCTGGGATTCCTACTAATCGTCACGTTCCTTGGTGAAACATACGCCCCAGTCATCCTTGTGCGTAAAGCCGCTACCCTCCGGCGACAGACTCGCAATTGGGGGATCCATGCCAAGCAAGATGAAGTGGAGATCGATTTAAATGAGCTGATTCGGAGCAATCTTGCTCGACCCATCGTGATGCTGTTCACGGAGCCGATTCTACTTCTCATTTCTCTTTATATTTCGTTTATATATGGCCTCATCTATGCGTTGTTGGGCGCATACCCGGTCATCTTCCAAGGGGTTTATGGAATGAACATGGGGGTTGGAGGGCTCGCTTTTGTTGGTCTCATTCTCGGTGAACTTCTTGGTGGTGTTTATATCCTCTTCATTCAAGGGTCATATGCGAGGAAGCTTGCCGCGAATGGTGACAAACCTATCCCAGAATGGAGGTTATATCCAGCTATCATTGGAGCTGTTGCATTTTCGATTGGAATGCTTTGGTTCGTCTCATACTCGTGAACCCAAATCCTTCTGCTACTAGTCTCTAACGTCATCCTCACAGGCTGGGCTGGACCGGATACACTTCAACCATCCACTGGATGGCTCCAGTGGCTTCGGGAATTTTAACTGGGGCTGGAATTTTTTTGATCTTCTTGCAATGTTTCAATTACATTGTTGACTGCTACCCTTCATTGTATGACTGCGCCACCCATCCTCCCTTGCCTTGGCATGAGTTCACTGAACTAACGACATCTACAGAGCGGCTTCCACAATTGCTGCAAACACCATACTGCGGTCTGCCATTGGCTGTGCATTTCCACTTTTCTCAAGACAGATGATGGAGAACCTCGGAGTACAATGGGCAGGTACAATGCTAGGATGTATTGCCGCCGTTATGATCCCCATTCCAGTACTGTTTAAGGTGTACGGTCCATGGCTGCGAGGGAAAAGCACACTTGCATGCTCACCAATTTACGATGTTGAGAAGAAAACATATGATGTTTAGTCTTGGAAAGAGAGCATGTTATTTTGAATGAATGTATATAAGCCACGATACCCTGATGTTTTTGATTCAGATGCCTATTTGATTTTACCCATGAATGAGCTTACTTGTATATGCGCAGGTGGAAATTATCTTGTTGCCAATACTGAAGTTCATCCATAGACAACTGAGAACAGGCTGATCTGCGGAGGAGAAGCACGAATCGCTTCAAAACAGTAGATTCTGGCTGTGAAGCAAAAGATCGACCGGGGAAAAGAAGGAAGAGAGAGAGAGAGAGAGAGAGAGAGAGAGAGAGCTATCTAAGCAAAGGGAGTCATCTGACCTCCCAACAACAGCAAGATGGCTGATGAACTGCCCAGATGTGTTGTTTCTTTTGGTGCTATATAGCTTCCGTTCATTCCTTTGTTGTTCTAGAGATGCCCGGAAATTCCGATAATGCCGAGGCGTGGGCCAATCTCCTACAATGGTGAGCCACAGCCCTCACTTCTCACGTTGTCACGTTCCATCTTGGGAAGAATCTTGTGACCCCGCGGATATTACTTATCTGTCTTTTTTGTCCCGGTTGATTCCGCCAGTACAACGTCACCAAGTGAGGGGTAATTAGCAGACGGAAAGGCTGCTGCGGAAATCCGGGGAAGCTCTCTTCAACTCTCCAAGATCGATTATTGTTCCCGACCATGACTATCGAGGCCATATTTTGTGGATACTAAACTGAACTATGAAACCGAGTGGATCTCTTCCTTCTCTGCCTGTTGAATTGATTGAGCTAATTGCAGGCTTCGTTGATGGCAAGGATCTCTTCAATCTACGTTTGGTGTGTGGAGAAATACAGAGGAAAATATTTCATCAATTTGCACAACGCTTCTTTTCGACCATCAAGACAGATCTTTCAGAAGATAGCCTGCATCAGATCAGTGCAATATCCCGGAATATATCGCTGCGACCCTATGTTCATGGGTTAGCTTTCATGCTACAGAACGGTGTCGGTCGCGGCGTGGTTTGGAACCGTCACCCCTGGGGCCCAATATCAGCACCTTTGGAGATACAGGCCATTCGATCTCTTCGGGATGATTTGATACACAACTTGATTCATTGTCGATCCTTCTTCATCTTCTGTCGATATCCAGAGGGTCGCCCTGACATGAGTCATGTCACTATCACCGATGCCGTGGCGGTCTTCTTTGCCCTTGTCATCGATGCATGCCTACCAGTCTCCTCGTTCCATCTGATCTATGCAAACAAACACTCACGTACCTTAATCATGGATATGCGTCGTCTCCCAAAATTACTTTATCGTCAGCCCCAATTCAAGCTTGTCTGGGGCAATCTCAGGAAGCTATCCTTGGAGCAATATCTCACCCTGGACAATTTCGGGTTCCTTCTTGAACTGGTTCTCAGCGCTCCGAATCTTCAAATTCTGCTGTTGAATCTTGGTTCCCATGACCTGGCGGCCGAGTTTATGCATGAACTTGCCGAAAGCGCTGAGTTCTCCGGGTTGTGCGAGCTCGCTCTTTTCCGAACTTCCATCCAGGGTCCTGATCTCAATAAAATCCTCAGAAAGGTTCGTGCTAATCTAACTATACTCACGCTGTTTCATGTGACATTAGCACCGGGCAGTGATTGGACTCCATTCCTCAAAGAGCTTGGTCAAGGATTCACAGCCTTGTGTCATATCTCGCTATATTATTTATGGGCCAGCACGCCCGCAAAGGGTCTAGTGAACTTCCCCAATATTCAGAAAACACCGAACTCGTGCATATCGAAAGACCAAAATCTGAACATGCTTTACTCGGAGGAAGATAGTCCCACTGTTCTAGGGGTTGAGTACTCCGGGTCAAGGGTGTCAGATGTACTGAGTTTGTTGCAAGGGTCACCCTGAGCTGATTTCATATTAAACAAGACCAATCAGTACTTTTCTTCTCTAGCCTTGGAACAAGATGAGGTCCAATAAATGTTTCCCGAACCTAGATTCCTGTACTGGTAATTGCCAACTGCGATGCTACAACCGAGCATGGCTAGGTGCAGAGGTTTAAATGAAAGTTTCCTCAAGATCAACATGCTTCAATATATCGTCTCCTTTCTGTTGGGGTGTCAGATGACCCCATCGGCTAGCGAGCGCGCGCGCGCTTTCTCTCTCTCTCTCTCTCTTCTTTCTTTTCCCCGGTCGGAATTTTTGCTTCGACAGCCGAAATCTACTGGTTTGTAGCGATTTGCTTCTCCTCCGTAGGTCAGCCTATCATCACTTACGTGAGTTAACTAATCGACTAATTAACTAAATAGTCAGTCAGGTGCTCATACATTAAGGCATTAAGGCCTGAAGATATCAATCCCTAGATATCCGGTCCCGAATCAAGGGCTTCCCTCCTTTTCAAGCCTGTCTTCTTGTCCAGGTTTTCAGGCTGGAAATTTTTACACGCAGGTTGCGTGGCGTGGCTATTTTCTCATTGCCTTTTTCCATCAGGCGCGACGAGACAAATACTACACGGCGTGGGCGCAGCCGCGATGCTGTGTAGCATGACCCGGTTTCGAGTCTAATCACAAGCGACGGAAAGGGATTTTGGAAAAGCGATTTAGTCTTCATTGCATTAAATTAATGATGAGGGGCAAAATGGTTACTGTTGTTGGACAGGGATACAGGTTGCAATACCGGAATGCGTCGATCGTTGCATCGCGGTCGTTTGCGGCCGGGGGACCACCCTGTCTTTTCCTTCAGTCCCTTTCCCCTGATCAACCACGCGTTTTATTGATTATACATCCCCCTTTGATTGGCTAAATTGACCCTTCAGACAGCTGCTCAGGAATGTCACAGCAGCGGACCGCCGTGGAGCAACAAGAGCCAAACCGTGGAAATGGCATATCAGACGTAGCATTTTAGTCGCGTGGCTAACTCGCCTCAGTTAGGGTTGTGATGAGATCTGGGTCTAGGCTTGATGCAGTCACTTGTAAGAGGTGCGTTCGAGGTCTGTCGCAGGAGCGGCGACAACCCAGACAGCCAAGCCTTGTTACCATACCAATGCTCCTGGAGCAAGTGGAATGTGATCTTCTGATCCACTTGTGTCTCCCTCTTGCCTTGCTGTTCTATTCACTCTGACGTCGCCTGGTCGGTCTTTTTCTTTCGCCTCTGTGTATCATCATCCGCGCAGACCTTGGGGGGGCAGCCATTCTAACATCAAACATCTAGTTGATAGCATCCGTGGCTCCAGTGACTCCATCCGCTTTACACAGGAAATCTTGCAGACATCCGAGGTTGTTCACATGCTGTGGCTGATGAAATTCGACTATTCAGGCCTTGTGGTTTGATTCTCTTTGGGTCAATTAGACATATACAGCTACCATGCGTCTATTCAAAAATGCGGCCCACGGTTCGTGGAGAGGGGTATTAACTGTTGCCCTCTTGGGAACTTCAACGGTGAAAGCAATGAATTTGGATCTTGAGGACGGAGGTAGGTCATATTGTGGCTTTTCGTGAAACTTTGGCTGACTCGTGATTGAAGGCTCAATCAAGCATGTGGCCAAGCAGGTCGCAACCAATATGATGAGTTACTATACCGGGATGAACCCAGGCGATAATCCTGGAAATCTACCCGATCCCTATTACTGGTGGGAAGCGGGCGCAATGTTCAACTCTCTTATCGATTACTGGTTTTATACAGGCGATGACACCTGGAATGATATCACAATCCAAGCCATGCTTTGGCAGGCAGGGGAAAACAAAGCGTTTATGCCAAACAATCAAAGCAAAACCGAAGGCAATGACGATCAGGTCTTCTGGGCCTTCGCTGCCATGTCTGCCGCAGAACGAAATTTCCCAAACCCACCCGATGATCAACCCCAATGGCTTGAGATGGCGCAGGCAGTTTTCAACACGCAGGCACCAAGGTGGGATACCTCTTCCTGTGGTGGAGGCTTGCGCTGGCAGATATTCACTTGGAACAATGGCTACAATTATAAGAACACCATCTCCACCGGTGGCTTCTTCCATCTCGCTGCTCGGCTAGCAAAATACACCAACAATCAAACATACGCAGATTGGGCTGAGAAAGCATGGGACTGGACTGCCGATGTCGGCTTCATGACCCCCGAGTATCGCTTCTTGGACGGGGCTAGCGATCTGACTGAGTGCAAGCCAGTCAATAGAATTGAATGGACCTATAACGCTGGAGTCTATCTGCTAGGTGCTGCCAATATGTATAATTTGGTAAGAAAAAAGGTCGAGATCCTTGGCTTTCCTGTGACTGATATCTTGAACAGACGGAAGATCCAAAGTGGAAAGATCGTACCCAGAAAATTGTCGATTCCACCAGTGTTTTCTTCTCACATGATCCACCAAATGTGATGTTCGAGCGTGCTTGTGAATCAGTCAATACCTGCATGGTTGACCAACGATCATTCAAAGGTTATTTGGCCCGTTGGATGGCCCAGACCACCCAAATGGCACCTTTCACATATGATAAAATCATGGAGCGGTTAAAGGCTTCTGGGGCAGCTGCAGCCAAAACTTGCACAGGCGGCGAGAAGAAAAACGTCTGCGGTCTCAGATGGATAGACCAGAAGTGGGACAAAACAAAGGATTTTGGCCAGCAAATGGCTGCTCTCGAAGTAATCCAAGCAAACCTCATCACCCGTGTGGAAGCCCCGGTCACCAAAGATGACGGTGGCACGAGTAAGGGGAATCCAAACGCGGGCTCCAAGCCTCCGAAGACTGTTCCACCTGGCCTTGACTATCCTATCACCACGGGCGACAAAGCCGGCGCGGGCATCTTGACAGTGCTAGTTTTGATAGGCATCGGCGGCTCCTGTGGGTGGCTAATTTGGGATTGAGTTCATTCGGCTTTGCTTTTCTCCTTCACTGTTTTCTTTTCTGCCTTTTGTTTTCTTGTCTTTTTTTCCCCCCTTTCTTCTTGATTCTTCTATTTGAATTTCTGTGGCTTTCATCTTTGGTGTACCAACATACATTCTGCGAATCTGTGATTCTTTCCTGGTTTTCTTTGTACGAGACTAATCAGCATCAGCACTCTGTGAATAATTACATTCAATTTAACATATCTTTGGTGTTTTTTCTTGGCTCCCGCGTTCCCCCTTGGGTCCTGTTTGATCTTTGAGGGGCAGACACGGATATACGGCTTAAGGGGGATCCCCGCACATTTTCATAGACCTGTTCATGCTGTACATTTGCAACTCGACTAAGAAAAGAGGGGTATCGACACGGCATTGCTCCGCAACAGGTTGCCTCGGTGTTGACTGCAGCTGTTTAAGCCATTATCTGAAATCTCAAGTGTGCTAAATCATCTCAACCCTTCGGAAGCTTTGAGTGACCCTAAAATACCAATCAACTTGCAAGTCTCGCACCATGAATGGTGAATTTCAAGTCCCTAGTCACTGTAAGGCAGGGGTAGTGGTCAATGAAGGCCCCAACTTTCATCTTGATGTGCAGATGGTGCCCGTTCCCGAGCCAGGTAAGTCCATGGCTGTTTTATAGATATTCCAAAGGGCATGGTCTAACAAGACCAATCTATTTATACCCTCAATGCTTACCTTTATATGGTCTAGGCCCCGATGATATCCTTCTCAGGCTGAAATATACTGGGCTATGTTCTTCTGACATTCACATGATGCAAGGAGATTTAGGACTCCCGCCGATGTCTACCTTTGGCGTGCGATCCCCTGGGCATGAGGGTGCGGGAATTGTGGTAAGAGTTGGTGCAAATGTGAAAAATTTCCAGTTGGGTGACAGGGCCGGGATCAAACCCATCATGAACACATGCGGGTCTTGCGTCCATTGCTGGGATGACAAGGAGACATACTGCAAGGAAGCAACCCATGCTGGTCTGATGGTAGCCGGTGGGTAGAGCTCGGCAACACGATGTCCGAATGATGGCTCATTGAAACAGGTACCTATCAACAATACCTCGTCTCCCCAGCCAGATATGCATCACCGATTCCGGATGGAGTTCCGGATGAAGTCGCCGCTCCAATCATGTGCAGTGCAAGCACCATGTATCGATCTTTGGTTGAATCCAACCTTCGGTCTGGAGCTTGGGTTGTATTTCCCGGGGGAGGTGGTGGTGTTGGTATCCAGGGAGTGCAATTAGCCAAAGCAATGGGTATGCGCCCAATTGTGGTGGACACGGGAGACTCCAAGCGCAGGTTAGCATTGCAAATGGGAGCTGAAGCGTTCGTGGATTTTATGGAGACTGATGCGACCAACTCTGTGATCAAAATCGCCGATGGGGTTGGCGCCCATGGGGTGTTCGTGACAGCACCAGCCGCATACAAAACGGCCATCTCATTTGTCGGAGAACGCATCGGAAGTACCGTCATGTGTATCGGTCTCCCTGCCGCGGGATCAACGATGCTGGGTGCTGACCCCTGCGAATACATCTTCAAAAATCTTACCATCAAAGGTACCCTCGTGGGTAGTAGGAGAGACACTGCTATGGCATTGGATTTTGCTCGAAGGGGGATGCTTCAACAGATATGCGAGGTCTACCCAGTGAACCGCATGCCCGAAGCTGTGGAAAGACTGCGCAGGGGAGAGGTGGCTGGGCGAATCGTAATCAACTTTGATTGGGCAGAGTAGGTGATGCTGCCCCAGTGTAACTACTCTCCATATAATTCCCATCCATCCGTTGCTTTCTTCATACGGGGACTGTTATACCTGCAATCGCGAGTTGTGGCAGTCGATGTCTATGTAGTGTGACCTGCAGATTGTCTCCAGGGGTGTATTGATGATAAGACATGGCTTTAAAAAAAACCAGCTTCTCCCCCGCCAGTTTCGCGCATCGAATCATGTTTCGCTGCACAAAGACACTGGAAGACAGACAACCTTGGAAGTGCATGTCGAAAAAGAGTCGGAAAAAAAATACAAAAAAAGAGATGCTCACACTCGGAGTCGAACCGAGGATCTCATCATTACTAGTGATGCGCTTTACCACTAAGCCATGCGAGCCATATGAATTTTGGCCCATTTGGCCTATATCACCAAGTCACAATTCTTTTGGTCTTATTGACCGCAAACTCCGGTCAGTCTGCTCCGTACTCCGCACAGAGTATGGCCCGGTAACGGCTACCCAGTTCAGGTTCAAGTACTCCGTATAGCAGCATACCTAGTTCCAAGGTTATCATCATCGATCCTTCGAGTGTTTCCTGACCTTTTACAAAAGTCCAGTCGTTTTGTTTTGCCTTTTTAAAGGGGGAGGGAGGGGCGAGATAAGCATTCCTTAAAAGGTTTGCCGTTATATATCCCCGGGTGGGGGGACTCCATATCATCTGGGGAGAGCACCTGGACATGATACATATAGGTCAAATTCAACTATCCACATCTACCTAGGTAGTATTAGCTTCTAGCTTTATTACCAGGTGTTGTGATGTTATCGACTGGAGGCAATACTCAATTCCTAGGTAAGAAAATAAATTGGAGTTGCAGACCAAATTGATAAACAGCTCTTAGATAACACTTACCTAGGCAAAATCTGTGAATCTTTTCATAAAAGAGTCCCGAGGTCTGCCCAGCCCTGAGGCGAAGATTAGGTACAATATGCATATCCATGAATCCACCTCCAGGGCTGGGTAAATGAATACGAAAACCCACCTAGGCACAGACGAATGCAACCTTGGAACATCAGAACTTGTGGGCACCTCCAGTGCTTGAATTCAGCCGGGTATATCACAGCTCACCTTGGGGAAAACATGAAGGACCCTAGGAACAGACAAAAGAAACAACCTTTCCCCCCCAATGATGAGGCAATAACACCCAGACCAGACACCTGGGCATTACAGGTGATTTTCTATGTGAGGAAATTTTTTTAAAAAAAAGAATGGACTCGCGGGGAATCGAACCCCGGACCACTCCCATGCTAAGGGAGTATTATACCACTAAACCACAAGCCCAATTAGATGAAAGGGGCCCAAAACTTATGACACATAAGCCAGATAAAAAATCAACGCTTCATTTGATCTCCATTCACGTTCTTCTTCACCAACGACGGACATTTCGGGCGCACGTCTACTTTGAGAAAATGTGGACATACAAGGCAACAGTGTCTGAAAAGTCCCGAGACCCTCGGCCCAAGTTCCCCTTCCCCACATCTCTAAATGACCCGCGAAGCCAAGATGCGGAGAACCTGGGGTTTCCACCAATGTAACCGGCCACTGCAACTCCTCCTTGTGCAGCTACGTCTGCCCAGCCTGCCGATCGACACCCATTGCGGCTTGATTCTGCGAAAATGTGGTGCAATGTACGGAGTACGGAGTAGAGCCTATGTGGATGAAGGGAGTCAATTAGGTTTCAAGCTACGCCTCCAAGACGATGGTGCTACTACCATGGGCCGACCTTTAGCCGGCCCAACTTTTGTGCTGCCCCTGGGTTGAAAAGAGTTCTCATTTTCATCCGACAGAGGCATCTTCAACTACAAAGAAGAATGAGAGTACCGTTCCTTTCCTATGCGGCCTTTGCTGTCACCGTGCAGGCACAGCAACTATACCTGACGACAACCGGTCACTCCGTACAGCCGCAATGTACCCAGTCAAACGTGACCCCGGACTACAGATTCAACCCCTTCTCGTACACACTGAACGAGACAGTCCGGTAAGTCACATGAATGGAATTTGACACCGAAGAAAGCTCTTTTTGACTGAGAGGAAGTTATGCAACATCGATTCCCTCCCCGACAACAACTCGGACTTACGCCTCTGCCTATACAGACGTTGCCAAGCACTTGTCTACTAGCTGGTCAACAACAACGTGGGGTAGCTGGGTTCCCGGAAATACCGATATCAGTGCCACCGACTCGGACGACCCGTATGGACAAGCTGCGTGGTCCTCAATGTGGAAGCAGGCCGACCTTCATAATTATGTATGTCACGGATATGCCCATCTCGTCCTGATTGAATGTCGAAATTGAAACTCAAAATCTCAGACTACCACTGGCATGTTTTCAACAACCGTCAGTCCCACTCCTGTCCCTAGCAGTGAGCTGGTGTTGCCCCCACAGGACTACTTCGGACCCACGGACTGTTACAAGTTCCCCAAAGACTTTGTTTTCGGCGTTGCAGGCAGTGCGGCCCAGATTGAAGGTGCTATTGCGCTGGATGGTCGCGGTCCTTCGTTGCTAGAGAAGCTAGTTCCCGACAGCAAGCCCAAGGATTTTGTGACCAATGAGAACTACTTCTTATATAAACAGGATATTCAACGCCTGGCTGCTATGGGGGTGCAATACTATAGTTTCACCATCCCCTGGACGCGAGTTCTACCGTTCGCTCTTCCCGGAACGCCGGTCAATCAGCAAGCCATTGACCATTACGATGATTTGATTGACACAGTCCTTGATGCTGGGATGACGGTGGGTTATTTGTGCCGTATCATACCGTTGACACGATTCAAGAGTCTAACAGCCACTACAGCCGGTCGTTACCATGCTTCATTTCGACAGTCCCTTGATGTTCGTCGCTGGTGACAACATCACGAAACATCCTGACATTGGCTACAACAACGCTGGCTATCAAAACGAGACGTTTGTCGATGCATTTGTGAATTATGGAAAGGTGTGATTAGGCAATTTCTGGCTGCGCTTCGATGAAAATATGATACTGATTCCCGCTTGTGGACATAGGTTCTTCTTTCTCACTATGCAGACCGAGTCCCGATCTGGGTGACATTCAACGAGCCTCTTTTGTACGCGTTTAATTTCAAAGGTGCTGATCATGTCATCAAGGCACATGCTCAGGTGTATCGGTTCTACCATGAAGAATTGAAAGCGACCGGCAAGATAGGTATCAAGTTCAACGATAACTTTGGGGTGCCGAAAGACCCAAGAAACTCCAGCCACGTACTTGCAGCCGATCGCTTCCAAGAAATGCAATTGGGCATATTTGCAAACCCCATATTTTTGGGCAAGCAGTATCCTGAGTCTGTGTTAAAAACACTCCCAGGGGCCAAGCCACTGAGCAAATCGGAGTTGAAATATATCAACCACACGTCCGACTTCTTCGGTATCGACCCCTACACTGCAACAGTCGTCTCACCTGCTGTTGAGGGAATCCATAATTGTGCAGCCAACTCTTCGAGCTCGAATTCGCTTTTCCCCTATTGTGTCAACCAAGAAACCAAAAATGTCTACGGATGGAACATTGGCTATCGCTCGGATTCTTATGTCTATATCACACCGACATATTTCCGCGAGTATCTTTACTATCTGTGGAATACTTTCCGACACCCGATCCTCGTATCCGAGTTTGGTTTCCCGGTTTACGCCGAGGCAGAGGCAGAAGAGCTTTCTGATCAGCTGTTCGATTCTCCACGGAGCCTCTACTATCTGTCATTCATGTCAGAGATTCTCAAATCGATATATGAAGATGGTGTCCACGTTATGGGAGCACTTGCTTGGAGCTTCGTCGACAATTGGGAGTTTGGAGACTACGCGCAACAGTTTGGTATTCAAAGTGTGAATCGCACGACACAGCAGCGACACTACAAGAAAAGCTTCTTCGATTTGGTAGATTTTGTCAGAACGAGACAGCCCAAGGAGGAATGAGGAAAGATGATGTTTTTCTCCCAAGTTTCCCGGTGCTCGGAGTGACTACCTAAGTGACTTGCACAGAAAGGAACAGCTAGGGTGGGCCTGATTGGTTGGCTTTGAAAGGTCCTTCTCAGGTGGAAATTGAAGTTTTGATTGCAATCCACACACCTTATATGTTCCCAGGCTTTGTTCAGTAAATTTGTTTTACCAAGGAATCTCTTTGCCATCGTATTGATCTGCGCCATCCGCCGCTTGCCATCCTGGGACATGGATGTTCAGGAACTTCCCATTCTGCTTTGGCGTTGATTTTTGGATAATTTCCAACACTTTTTCAGCCCCTAATTCAACTGAAAGATCCGCACGAGGGCTTCCAAGATCCGTACGAAGCCACTGTCGGTATTAGCAAAGAGTTTAAGCTTACTATTTGAAAGAGAATGGCGTCGACCTACCCCAGGGCTGATTCCAAGAAAGGTAAATCCATCATTGGCATATTGTTTGGCATACTGGACTGTTAGCATGTTCAGTGCAGCCTTTGAAATTTTGTATGCTGGTGAGGGCAACAGTCGAAAATTGTCGGCCATGGTCATGGATGCAAGGGTTGTAGATCTAGATTTCTATGTGTCAGTCCTGTGGAATGGCGTTTCATTAATTCCTTGCCTACATGTTGATAACGGTTCTTTTCTTGCCTCTGCGAAGGAGCGACAGGAAAGCCCGCGAGACAAGGTGGGGCGCGGTGGTGTTGACATTCAATACTTCATGGAGGTTATCCCTAAAAGCGTTGGAAGTCAACATCACTCCAGGGCTCTAGCCTTGGAACTTTGGAAATGTAAATTAGCTGGGAATATGGACTGACATACATTCCCTCCATTCCCTTTGGTGACCAATCCATCACTCCCGCGTTGTTGATCAGATAGTCGAGGCCCCTTTCCTGTAGCCGGTGCTCAACTATCCCAGCAGCCTCATTCACACTCTCTAGATCTGTGACATCGAGGCTTATGAATTGTACTCTCCCTGAGGATGCATCCACTAATTCTTTCAGTTGAGATGAGTTGTCCTGACGTGCTGTGGCGATGATAGTTCCCACTTCGGTCTTCGGAAATGTCACCAGTCGGGTGATCAGTGCAAGTCCAAGCCCTCTCGAGCAGCCTGTAACAAGATATGAAGCCATCGTTCAGGTGGTAAATTGTGATTCCAGGTAACAATGAAGGCTTCAGAGAAACTGGCGGTAGTTGACACCTCGAGGGCTGTAGGTACGGTGTAGTTGTATATTATGTATGCATCCATGGATCACTCCGAAGCCTCAAACATTCAATCACTCCGTACCCGCCCGGGCGATACATTCATCAAAAGCAGACCAATGAATACCAATCCTCCAGGTATCCAAGCTACCCCCTTTCCCCATTTACTTTACTTTTGATTCATGTTTCTTCAGTAAAAAGCTCCCATGATCACGTGAATCTTGCGTCACTGCCTTCTCCAACTCCGACTCCGACCACCGTAGAGTCTCTTCAACGATTTCCCCTTCCACGTCATGGCAGACTCGTTCGACCTACCCTTACGCCCAATAGTGGACAAAAATGTTCGCCCGGATTCATTGCCTATTGAGATCGCCCAGATCAACAACCAGTGGGGCTCCTTTCGTGACGTGAATGAAGAGGTTCTCCGAAACAAGATCGCCGAAGAGAAGGTCAAAGAAGAGACAGAGGAAGATGCAACTGAAGACACGACGGAGCTTGACTCGACGGAACGCTTGGAGCAACTGTATAAGCGACGCGCCGATATCACCCAATTCGCCATGTGAGTCGAGCCTTGCGCGACTCCTGTTCGAGTTCATACTGATAACCCTCTAGGCAAGCCCACATGGAGACCATGTTTGCCCTTGACTTTGTATCTCTGCTGCTTTCGAAACAGGCCCCACGCCAGGCCGAAACTTCCATGTCACCCTTCCTCAAGCAAATCGCACCTCTCGGTTCACTCAGTGCCGAAGTTGTGAACCCTCCACCGAAGCCAGAATCCACAACAAAAGACATTTCAGCGGTATCAAGGGGATGGCGGGTTCAAAATTTCAACGGAGCCGCAAATAAGCTCTTACAAGCCGCGTCCAGACTCGACACCGAAGTTACGTCTGAGACTCGGTATTGGAACGAGGTTTTGGCTGTTAAAAACAAAGGGTGGAAAATTTCTCGACTTCCACGCGAGAGACAAGCATTGGGCGTGCAATATGGATTTCTTGAAGGTGAGGCCCGATCGATTCGAAATTGGGCATGGCTGGACACATCTAACCGGACCACACAGCTACCCCGGCTTTCCGCGACCGCGGACTTGCCTCTCTGCGCCGAGCTGAGGATGGCAGTCTTTTGTTAGACAAAGGATTAATTCCATCCAAAGCCAGCTTTGTTCGGGTGCGAGTGATACAGGGCGGTCGCCTTTCGGGCTGTTCGCAATCAACATATCCCATGTCAAATGGCGAGGAATCAATCGAGGGCCGCATACTTCAAGCACGCGACACTGTTTTCGAAGAAGAACTGTTCCACGAACTAGTCCGAGAAGCCAAGGCAATTGCGGGCTTCGGTGTCACAACGCGCCAGAATCTCATTCAAATTCCCGCTTCTGAAGATTTGGAGATTTTACTGGACTTGGTGGACGTCGATGAAAACCACCCGCAGCCCGACCACGGTACTTCGAAAGAAGGGAATTCTCTCGCAGAAGGACTGGCTCATACAATTCGCATTCTATTGACATATGCCCACCGCCAAAGCCTACAACGCCGAACACTACTTCCGCCTCCATTGACCCCAAAGAAGCGAACGACCCCTGAACATCAACTCCTTCGTCCGGCTCTGGCCTATGTCCAGCACATGTCTCACGTACAGTGGGTACAGTCTTTACTGAATGATGTCTTCGGCGTTCTGCAATCAGCCAATTTGACGCCTCCAGCGTACACGGCCAAGATATTTTCAACTGAACAGGGAAAAATATCCAAACCGCCTACAGTGGAAGCTCTTGTGGAAAACTTCCTCACACCACTGGAGTCCACGTTCAAGGGGGAGCTGCCGACCCCACGAGGCTCTTTTTCAATCTCAATATCTACTAACCTCTCTGCGACACCCCATGGGACCTACTTTGATGTATCGTTCGACATGTCTACAACCTCCGACCTCGCCTCGCCTGGTCGTCTTTACCAAAGGGACGAAGTCGAAGCTGCTATCACCCACCTCTTGCTGCTTGATGTTGTCTTCGCCATCTCATCTAATGAAACACTCAAAATCAAGACTGACAAAAAGGATCCACTGTTCTGGGAAGCGGTATATCCTCAACATGGTGAACTGCTCTTGTCCTCGGATTCACTCAAGCGCAAGAAGATGAAGATCAGGTTCTCCCGCCATGATTTATCCCTTGAGACATACACTGTACGGTGCTTCAACGGTTCTGGACGGGGAGAAAGGGAGAATTCTTCCGTCGACTCTGAACCTCGCATCTGGAAGCCCTCTATCTATTCCCAGTCATTGATGGATCATGTCCGAGACATCACGACCCACACTTACTGAGCAGAGTTTCGGCCCGAAGCTCTTAGTGGGCCGACTTGAGCCGAAACTAGCTCGCCTCTTCCATCAAATTGGGCTTGTGGTTTAGTGGTATAATACTCCCTTAGCATGGGAGTGGTCCGGGGTTCGATTCCCCGCGAGTCCATTCTTTTTGCTTCACGAAGCTTTTGATCTTTTGCTTCAGTCTCAAAGAGGCTGCAAAGGCTGCACAGCTTTGGGATGATACGATGGGTTCCGAGAGTGGGTCCAAGGCAAATTTTTTTTCTCCCACTGTACAAAAGAAAACAAACAACAAAAATTTTGATACCCTACTGATGATGAAAATGTAAATATGATCAGATAAGGATCGTGCGCTTAAAATATCCGAACACGGCAGAATAACTTGTGGACTCATAGCTTTGACAGAGCACCGATGGCTTTTGGGACCGTGAGCGTCTCCTGGAGCCTTCTTACGCCGAGTTCATATGCAATTGGCAGCCAGTCACTAACATCCTGTCCCAATATCATCAGAGCTAATGCCTCGCCACTCATCAAACTATTTGCCATGCCGTAGCCATTGAACGCAGCAGCAATCCACTCGCCTTCTCCCTTTCGCCCCGACAAGGCTGACGACAATCGTCCAACAATTGGAAGACCGTCAGGTGAATCACCCATGATCCCACTCCACGAACTGATCAGCCGCCAATTGGATGGGTGATTCTCGCCGAAGAATTTTGGCAAAACTGTTTGGAGGTGGCTAACAGAGTGCTCGGCCACAAAGCTATCGTCGGCGGAGACTGACTCGTCCACGCGTGCATTCTCCCCACCAAAATATAAATACCCGGACTTAGCACTTTGTCCCAGGTAATATAGCCCGTATCCCACGCGCTTTGTCTGAGGGTCTGAGGTGCGTGGGTAATGGAACCCCCACGAGACTGTAGCGCCCCGGTTTGGTATGGAGTTCCCCGGGTCCTGAACAGTCATTGTGCCTTTGAATGGATGGATCAGCCCTCTCAATCTCGGGAGAAGATGGCCGCTATATCCATTGGTACAATGTACCACAACCGTGGTTCGCAGTGGACCGCGAGGAGTGCGCAGTACGTATGGATTGATGGTTGTCTCAGGCGAGGCAATAATTGGGGCATATTCGATGGACTCGACCGGTGTGTGCGTTTCAAGCTTCAGTCGCCCAGGGTATTTTTTCAAGAGCTCTTCGAACACTTTGGTGACCAGACGATAGGGCCAGACTGTCCCCGCAGGAAGGAGTGCTCCCCCAAACGTTCCATGGACTCCATGGTCCTAATCAACAAGTCAGCTGGGCACATTTTCAATGCCACGGCCCTTGAGCCGCAAAACCAGGACAGACCTTGAGAACTGCGTTAGCATCCAAGATTGTGTACAGCCCTTTCTTGGATGGGTGATCCGCTTCCAAGCGCGCAATACTTTTCTTGAAATCATCAAATTTACGCTGCGTGAGAAACACCCGCAATTTTTGGAGACTTTGCATCTCACTGTATCCCGCAGCGTCATATTCATTGATCAGTTCTTGCATCTTCTCCAGGTTGCGGAATGTGAAATCCACAATCTTGCCTGCTGTTTCGGTACCATGGGTTTCCACTAGGTTCAAATACTGCTCGCCGGCGTTCGCCGCCATCTGGCCACCGTTGCGACCAGTTGCCCCAGAGCAGAGCGCACGAGCCTCCAGGACAGTTACCGTGGCGATAGGATGGTGTTCCAGTAGGGTTTTGGCCACAGCTAGCCCGGTGATCCCAGATCCAATGATGGCAAAGTCTTGATCGGTTGGCAACTCCGAGGATTGAACGTCAGCGAGAGCATGTGGAATGTGTTGCCAGTAAGACTGGGTGGGATTTGGGCGTGGCAGGCCTGGGTCAGCCGTGACCAAGCTGGAGACTATTTCTAGTCAGTTTGTTACTTTGCTAGTATGCAGCATCTAGGTACGGTATCATGCACACATGCCGCTCGCGACCCCCGAAGGGATGAGATTTACCGGTATCGTTCAGCACCATGTCAAAGGTAACCTGGAGAGAGAGTATGTGAGGTCAACTTTGGCCCCTGAGAGGGTTATAAGGAATGATTGATATGTTGCTCAAGTGAAGATGTATGTATGCGTGAGTCGCGGGGAGCGGTGCGGGGTTTATCTTATCTTATGGATAGAACTACTCTTTTGGGGTCTAAGCAGCAGACCTTCTTGACGATGCATGGTTTAAGAAATTCATGATGTATGGATGGCTTCGGTTGAATGAAACGGTCCCCAGCTTTATAGAGAAGAATTGGCAAACCAAAAGTATGAAACCTCGGGAGTACCTCCACGTGGATTGGAGAACTAGGCACACCTGGCACCCTCAGAATCTAGACCTGGAAGAACCAAGCTCCATCTTGGACTGTAGCCAGTCTGCAACGTCAATCGCGTGGTAGGTATTCCACTTCAGACCAAAATAACCATCAGACCAAAATAGTTAAGGGAGATCTCATACCGCTGAGTTCAACAATCTTGCAAGATCAATCACTCGGCTATGAAATCTCTCCACATTCGAGGTATGCAAGCTTCGAAATGGCGCACCTACATTCCAATTGACATTCCAAGTCGGTCGCCCACAGAACCAAGCTTCTGGAGGAACCTTGGAAAATTGTGGAATGCGAAGGATTTGTCTTCTGCATTGATCACTTCTCGAGGGATATTTATATAACAATTGCGCCATTCTCCCTCGATCGTTCCCAATCATCTCATTGCATTGCCAGCGAAACCATACTTAGTTCATCATGAAATTCTCCTCAGTAATCCTCGCCATTACCGCTCTGGCCACGACCGGTATGGCCGCGAAGACCTGCACACCTAGCTTTGATTATTGCTCTGATGTGCTGATCAAGGACAAAGGTCTGATACCCCGGTGCTCTTGTCGGATTAGTTCCATCGTGCTGACCAAATGATCAGGATTTACCGAGGCCGATCTCAAGGATGTCTTGAAGGGTTCTGATCTGGAGAATGAGGAGTTGAAGAATGTGCTGTTCCATTGCAAGAACCCCGGCGACGTTGGACACCCCAAGCTCTGCAGCAGTGGATGCCAAGACCCCCAGACGGAGGGCAGTCACTCATGCTCTGCGTAAATGTGATGTTACCCGGAGAACCATTTTGGACCATTGCTAACGCTGCAACAGCTGAGCCATGTAAGCAGGAAGTATGTTGAGCCACGTGAGGACTCAATCAACTGCCCTGGTGTTTTACCTTAAAACATCATATCCAATCAAAGTACCTTCAAGTACATATGTCAATAAAACCTCGAAGGTCGATGTCCCACAAGGGTGTACAAGTGTAGCCTTCGGTGAAAGTCCAGACATAGACATTCTGTAAAACACCGGGATCCCAAGGGCTAATTAAAGTAAATACAATAGATGACGACCTACCCCTGGGCCTTTTCCAAGGGTTGGCATCGAATCTAGTGGTAGCACAGAGAAACCACATGAATTGGTGTCAACATGGCCCAAGATCCCATCGCATCCATCCGTCAGTTTGTGTGCCCCATAGGTTTACCGTATCATTAGATCGTACGACCCGTCTTGCCTGATATTGGGCTATTCCATTGTCCACAAACGCACAGTTAAAGAAACAAGAGCAATGTCGAGCCACCACTTTCGAGTAATCTCGTATGTACAATTGATCGGACTTTGGTGGACTGACGATAGGGTGATAGGGTTCCAGAAGAGAAAGAGGGGCAAACAGAATAAACAGAACAAACAAGACAAACAAAGAGCAAACCCCAAACATATTGACGTCACTACTCACCGCCCTCTCCCAAACTTTAAAAAAAAAGACGAGAGACTTGCATCTTGCAGCCAAATCGTAAGGGAACGCAGGTACCATGGGGTGTTTATCACCACGTCAGGCCACTCAGGTCTGACCTCGGAAGAATTTCCCTACATATAAATTGAGTGTAGATCCTGTATTCCCCGATTTCCCCTCAACGTTGGTGTTTCAAGACCGGTTAGCTCTCCAAGGTGCTGTGACGCAAAGCATCCACCTTCTGCCCAATTTCTCTCACCGGATTGGGTTGACCCCTCCACATCCCACCCATTCATAATTGTAGCTTTACAACGCCCTTATCGGCTTTTTTTCCCTCCCCTCCTTCTTCTCCCCCTTCAGTTTGTATTTGTCTTTTACATCTTTCTTGATACCTTCTCCGGGTCGATACTCTGAATTGATCCCGACATGGAGCCCATCAAGATTCCCACCCAACCGGCCAAGAGACGCCGCATCGGTGTACTCACCTCCGGTGGAGATGCCCCCGGTATGAACGGTGCGGTGCGTGCCGTTGTTCGAATGGCCATTCACTGCGACTGTGAAGCCTATGCCATCTTCGAAGGATACGAGGGTCTGGTCAAGGGCGGAAACCTTATCCGCCAGCTGCACTGGGAGGATGTCCGTGGCTGGTTGTCCCGCGGCGGTACCCTGATCGGTTCTGCCCGCAGTATGGGATTCCGTGAGCGTGTTGGCCGTATGCAGGCAGCAAAGAACATGGTCCTGCGCGGAATTGACGCTTTAGTCGTTTGTGGTGGTGACGGCAGTCTGACCGGTGCCGATGTCTTCCGCGCCGAGTGGCCAGGTTTGTTAGCCGACCTCATTGCCTCCGGCGAACTGTCTGCAGAGCAGGTGGAGCCCTACAAGGTGTTGAACATTGTGGGCCTTGTGGGCTCAATTGACAATGACATGTCTGGAACGGATGCTACCATCGGATGCTATTCGTCCCTCACCCGAATCTGTGATGCCGTCGATGACGTTTTCGATACTGCATTCTCTCACCAACGTGGCTTCGTCATCGAGGTTATGGGTCGACACTGTGGATGGCTGGCCCTGATGTCTGCCATCAGTACCGGTGCTGACTGGCTTTTCCTTCCCGAGATGCCCCCCAAGGAAGGATGGGAGGATGACATGTGCTCTGTGATCACCAAGGTTAGTGTTCCGTTTCATATATCCACTTATCGTTTTGACTGACAACTCCTTCCCTTCGTGCAGAACCGAACCGAACGCGGCAAGCGCCGTACCATCGTCATCGTCGCTGAAGGAGCTCAGGATCGTCAATTGAATAAGGTTTCGAGCTCGAAGATCAAGGACATTCTCACCGACCGCTTGGGCTTGGATACTCGTGTCACCATTTTGGGACATACCCAACGAGGTGGCGCGGCATGTGCCTACGACCGCTGGTTATCCACGTTGCAGGGTGTCGAAGCTGTCCGCGCTGTGTTGGAGATGTCACCCAAGTCCCCTTCGCCTGTCATCACCATCCGCGAAAACAAGATCATGCGCACCCCATTAATGGAAGCTGTTCAGGCCACCAAGGATGTGACTGCCAAGATTGACAACAAGGAGTTTGATACCGCTATGGATATGCGCGATGCTGAATTCAAGGAATACTACAACGCCTACCTGAACACTGCGATTCCTGAACACCCCAAGATGACTCTTCCCGAGGGAAAGGTAATTATTCGACCTCTGATTTTGTTGCAGAATGCTGACCCTTCACAGAGAATGCGCATCGCCATCATCCACGTTGGTGCCCCGGCCGGTGGCATGAACCAGGCCACTCGTGCCGCCGTCGCATACTCCCTCACCCGTGGTCACACTCCACTGGCTATCCACAACGGGTTCCCTGGATTGACTCGCCACCACGACGACAAGCCAGTCAGCTCGGTCCGCGAGGTTACTTGGCTGGAAGCCGACAGCTGGGTCAACGAGGGTGGCTCTGACATCGGAACCAACCGTACCCTCCCATCGGCCGATATGGAGAACACTGCCAAGTGCTTTGAGCTCTACAAGTTTGACGCGTTGTTTGTTGTCGGTGGTTTCGAGGCATTCACAGCTGTCAGCGAGCTGCGCCAGGCACGCGCCAAGTACGATGCGTTCAAGATCCCTCTTGTCGTGCTCCCAGCTACAATCTCCAACAACGTTCCTGGAACCGAATACTCTCTGGGTAGCGACACCTGTCTGAACACCCTCATTGACTTCTGTGACGCTATTCGCCAGTCCGCTTCTTCCTCTCGTCGCCGAGTCTTTGTGATCGAGACCCAGGGTGGAAAGTCCGGCTATATCGCAACTACCGCTGGTCTGGCGGTCGGCGCTGTAGCAGTGTACATTCCCGAAGAGGGGGGTTGATATCAAGATGCTTTCGCGCGACATCGACTTCCTGCGTGACAACTTCATTCGCGACAAGGGAGCCAACCGCGCTGGTAAGATCATTCTACGTAACGAATGTGCCTCCAACACCTATACCACCCAGTTCATTGCCGATATCTTCAAGGAAGAAGCCAAGGGTCGATTTGAGTCTCGTGCTGCCGTCCCTGGACACTTCCAGCAAGGTGGAAAGCCCTCGCCCATGGATCGTGTGCGTGCTTTGCGTATGGCTATTAGGTGCATGGAGCACATTGAAGGATATGCTGGTAAGAGTCGTGACACCATTGCTGCAGACCCCATGTCATCTGCGGTGATCGGTGTCAAGGGCTCTCAGGTGCTCTTCTCGCCTATGGGTGGCGACACTGGACTGGAAGAGACCGAGACTGATTGGGCCCGCCGTCGCCCCAAGTCCGAGTTTTGGCTCGAGCTCCAGGACGTTGTCAATGTCCTGTCCGGCCGATCCCACGCCAACACCAAGGGGACCTGGTCTTGCTACGAGAGTACGTGAACTGACGCCAACCCTGGTTTTTCCCTCTCCCCTCTAGCGTTTGCATCCTTGGATCCCGGCTCTGCTCCATGCAGTTTTCTGGATACACCCCTCCCTTTTCTGATCACTGGCGCTACTCTCCATTACGAATGTTAACGAGTTTCCTTGTTCCCTCACTTCCAGATCCTGCGACTGTTCGATCCGTCCCCTCGGTTCCCAGCTCTCCTTGAAAGGGCTTCCACCTGGAAGAATCTAACCTCTTTCCAAGCACCCATGAAACTCACGCCAACAAAATACCCAGGATACCCCCCGAAAGATAATTCTGGCTGACATACCATCCGCTAACCTGGTATCTGGCAACGTGGAGGAGGATAACGCTGGATGTCCATTACGCTTTGTACGATGCTACGCGACAAATCCCCCCCGGACTGACTTTGGTCTGGAATAAACTTATGTCTTGGAGTTTGGGTGAATTGATCATTCATTTGCTGCCTTTCTCATCACCCCGATGAAGACTTCACACCGGTGACATGTCTTGCAAATAGAATAGCCCAAATCAAAGTTCCTTGAGTGCATTGAGGTAAATCGCTAAACTGGATGGGGTGCAGTAGACAGGTCCTTGGGGGCTCCTCCAGGGTCTGCATGCTAACAAAGTATCATGAGATGCAAATTTCAAGTCTGACGAGTGAACAAGCTCTGTAAGGTTAAGGGTGTACCGTTTCCTCCAACTCATCGAGTAATTCGACAGTTTCGGCGGGGCTTGCAATCCAGGCAGTGGTGGATGCCAGTCGAGCCTTAAGACGGGTTAGCTCCATTCAATCAGTTGTAGTCCACGGTAACACTACTTACCTTGAAGTCGTTGGCGCCAGCCGACAGGAATTGATCACCGACGTGGAGCGTCTTGGAGGGATCAATCCCCCCAAAGTAGCGCTGACAGGCGCGCACACCCCATGACTTGTCACCGATATCAACAAATACATCGTTGCCACCGTTGAAAGCACAAAATGGTAGACGCGACCCAACGGCCGAGCGTTGCACCGTGTTCTGCACGACGAGCACTGTTTCTTCCAATTGCTCACGATTAATCCGCACACCATTGACTGGGTAGACACCAACTGCCCTGTCCTTGCGTAGAACTGCGGCCGGCAAGTTCAGATTCGCGGCACAAGCGCGCAACGCCGATTCGGCCAGATCGAGTAGTTCGGTGATGTCTCCCTCGCTCCACGCCTGCATCTCATCCAGAAGCCACTCGTCGCGTGGCACATAGGACAAGCGGGCCTTGGAGGCGGGGTCGAAGCGGAACAGGAAATTGCTCTCACCACCCATGACAATTAACCCTTGTTTCTGATCTGCCGTAAGAACAGGGGAGGTGTGAATCGCGTCCAGCAGGCCCTGCAGCCGCTCATAATATTTCGGCGCGTCGGTGTACCCGGCCGCCGTCACGATACCGATCTTCCGATCCTGTTGCAGGAGTCGCAAGATCCGGGGGATGACAGGATTGTCTGGCATGAGACAAGCACCGTCGTCGTAAAGAGTTACATCACCATCGAATGTGACCAATTCCACATCGCTAGAGCGTACCAGACCCAGGACCTGAGCGGAATTCAGAATGAGTCGGATGTCGTTGAATGAGGGGGCGACAAATCGTCGCCGGCTGATGAACCGCTGGCGGTCTTGATACTTGAATGCATCCTCCAAGTACAGTGGAGTAAAAAAGGCACCCACGGTGGGTACTAGGAGATTCAACTTGGATTTACCAGGGGCATTGCGTTCATGGTGACGGACTTGACATTATTAGCGCCTGCCGTGATATAATATCTACTTCACTTACTATGATCAAGCATCAAATTTTCCACATCTCTCATGATCTCAGCATATCGGAGGTGGGTGTCGGCGGCGACGGCTTTGAGACCTTCACCATGTTCCTCGCAAATGGCGGTGGGCTGGGAATGAAGCACAAAGGGGACGGCGAGCAAGCCCTTCAGGGGGTTAGAACGATTGAAACCTTGACTATCAGCAACATACTTTGATCCATTCAATCTAGACTTGTCAGTATGACTCTTATTTCCCAGAGGAGGGTAGTTAGATTGGGCTTACAAGTTGATCCCGGCGATGGGTCTACTGCGGAATTAGCGAGGGGTAAGCAGAAGACGGATGATACTACCTTGAGGGCGTCTAGAAGGGAAGAGAAGGATTAGTATTGGCTGGAGATATGGACAGCAAAACCCTCACATTCAACTCTGTAGCGTGTCGTCATGTTGGTGTCGAAGGTGAAATGCGGTCGCACCCCGGTGAGTCACGGTGGCTTTTCAGGGCTGTGCTGCGATACGCTGCCTGAGGTCACATTACACCTCCAGCGCTTTTGCTCTATAATCGACTCTCTACTTAGCTTGGAATCTATTCGAACTAATCTGTTTTTGGTCTTTATGATGCTTATATTTTATTCATCTCGTATTGTTTCCAAGGCTGTGACTCGTGAGACCTAACTCCGTAGAAAACTCCGCCCAGGCAACACTGCCACATCAACCTCTACTGTAATGTGACAGCCTTGCAAGCGAAATCAGATGAAAGGTTCTAGATGTCTAGGTGGAAGTATAAGAATGCAAGGCTGCCTTGGGATTTTGGAATTCCAAGGCTACAAGGTTGTTCAAACTTCACTTTCCCCCCCCCATCACAGCTCTAAAGTGGAAAGCCTCAGCAAGCTATACTACAGAAACTGAAAGCATATCATGTTCACCTCAATGGAATATGAATCGCATGCTCCGCCCGCATATTCTCCCTCCGACCTGTTCATTCCAGCCGAGGAAAAAAGCGAAGTGATTCTTCCACAACAGAGCGAGCCCGGTCTGGCCGTTGCCTCTGCTCTCAGCCGTGGCCTCCAGGTGCCATCTCGTTCAACTGCATGCACATCTGGCTTCGATTACCCCGATGAATTGGCCAAATGTGGAGTATCAAAAGACCAATGGGCCCGGTTCACTCATCTGATCTGCCAAGAAGCCAAGCTTTCCCGCCAACAGTGGACAACAGTGATTGGGAAAGGTCTGGGCACATTGGGTGTGGGTGGGTTGATGATTGGGATCCTCGGTGCAATTCCGGCGGCTTTCGTTCTACGTCTCTCAAAACGACGTCAAGAGCAGCGAAATCTCATCGCTGCAATGGCCGGCGTCGAGGGTGACCATCTCGCCCGTCACATTTCCCATTGGAATGAGACGTTCTTCCAACCCCGAGGCATTTTGATCCGAGTCGACTTGCCAGACGAGTATTTGAGCGACCTTGAACATATGGAAATCAGCAAAAAGGGCACATCATCAAAAAGCACCCAGAAAGACCGGGCCAAAGCTTCGCAGAAAGCGCGGATTGTGATCATTCCTCTGAAAGACTCAATGTTATAATAAAAACCAACATGAAGGAAATGCTGAGCGGGCTCAAAAAGGGCCACCTTGGATATCAAATAGGTATGCATGTATAGATAATGAAATTTTATTAACTCAAGACTTGCATTCATCATGTGATCATCATAAACTAGATACGTTCTCTCTCTTATGACCAGCGAAGGGAAAGATATCTGGGAATCAAAAGCAAACAGCCCGATCGGGGCTCAAACCCGACCCGAAGGATCTCGACCCTCAATCTCTCGGCCCTCAACGTGCTCAGCAGTGCCGTGAGACTGCACAGCCATCTCCATCTTCTCGTTGACGAATTGATCACGAGCATCGGCATCATCATTTCCATGCAGACCAATCTTGTACCACGGGAGGGCAAACAGGCGATCCATGCTCTCCAGCGAGCGGCCAGCGGTTTCTGGGATACTGAACCAAACCCAGATGCCGCCAAGAACGGTGATGGCGGCGAAACACCAGAATGTACCCTTGGGGTCGATTCCACCTTGGGCGACGGGGAGGAGCATGTTGGGCACAGCACGTGCGTTGCCATATTGGTTGGCAAAGTGAAGAGTCATGGCCATGGAGGTGCACAGGGCACGGATACGGAGAGGGAAGAGCTCTGCAGTCAGGAGATACTGCATGGAATTCCAGCCCAAAGCCCATCCAAAGCCAGAGACGTAGATCATTGCGATCGCACCTTCGCTAGCTCCCTTCTTGCTAGCAGGAAGAACGAAGCCGTCGACAACACCCATGTCAGGAACGGCGGTCAGGAAGCCAGCAATGTAAACCATGGCGATACCTTGAAGCGTGATACCGAGCAAGAGGGCGCGCTTGCGTCCAATAACATCCACCAGGAACAGCGCACAGATGATGGCGGCGACCAACTTGATGATACCAAAGACAGCAGTGACAAGCAAACTTTCATTCTTTCCGGTGACTCCAAGCAGCTCAAACAAATCTGGAGCGTAGACAGTGATACTGCCAGCACCAGACCATTGCGAGAGAAGCTGGGCCATGAATGTGAGGTAAACGCGGTAGAGGTTGGATGGAACCATAAAGGTCTCCTTGATCACTCCCATGGGACCAGACCCCAAGGTAGCCTCCATCTCAGCTTCATGTGTGGTTTGGATCAAGCTGATCTCGCGCGAAACGTATTCATCGTCGGCAGGGAGGCCGCGGATCTTGGACAGGTTGCTGATTGCCTGATCGAGCTTGCCGCGTTTGACCAGATAACGAGGAGATTCGTGTTGCAGGAAGGAAAGGATAAAGATCAAGCCTGCGAAGATAATGTGGAGACTGGTTGGAACGAGCTTTATGCTGTTAGCGATGAAGGATTGAGGTGATTGAGGTGGATGAGGTGACTCGATACGTACCCATCGGTTGTGAGTGGCATCACCGAGGTTGAGTTCACAGCCATAGTTGGCGAAATATGCGAGCACAATACCGAGATAAACAAAGCCAGTAAAGACGCAAGTACAAAGACCACGAATGGATGCGGGAGCCTGAGATTCTTAGCATTTTGGTGTTGGTCACAGCAAGGACAAACTCACGATTTCAGCAAGATATACTGGGGCTACGACGACGGTTTGACCAACACCGAGACCGGCAATGAAGCGACCGGCATAGACGGCAGAAAGGCTGCCACCGTTACCCATGAAAATGGCAATTCCGATGATCCAAAGAATACAAAGCTGACGAGTGGCCCAGAGACGACCAATGCGATCGCAGACCAAGAAGGCACTGAGGAAGTAAAGCGAGTCAGCGATGAGCAAGACTCGAAGCTGGGGATATACGGATCGAGTACTTACAAAAGAGCACCTCCAACCGATCCAATCTGGACCATGGCAGTGACATTTCCCTTGATGTTGGTTTGTTCCACATCGCTGTATGATTCGTAGTTGATGTATTTCTGGAAGTCCTTGGAATTGAATGCGCCTGAGATGAGACCCTCATCGACACCACGGGCAGCGCCCATGAGGCCGAAGGAGATGACTGCAAACCATAGTCGCCAATTGAAGACCTCTTTGGGCTCGCCCAGGTCTTTCAGACGGAAGATGTTGACTGGCTTCTTGGCTCCACCTGCCATCTTGAATACTCAAAGATTACCCGAGGTGCGCGAAGAACAAGATAAATGACTTGTAGGGGTTCAAGACCAACGCGTACAGTAAGAGTATGAGGGTAGTAAAGGGACAGAGGAGGTCTTTATAGCCATGGGATTCCTAGCTCACCGGTCACGCGGGGTAAAAAAAAGAAAAGAAGGGGAAAATAATAATAATTCTTAGAGTCTGGGGGAATCGGAGAGTTCCAAGCGGGCCAAATCATCTCTCTTTCCGGAGAAAGTGAATCTCAACCCCAGAAATTCCCCGTTCCCAGCAGTGGGCCGAGCATCGGTGATACATCGGGTGGAGCATCCAAGGCCTGGGGAACAGCGCCAAGAGAGCTTGGGTCCCGAGTCCACACGGTATCTTTCTCTCATTTGATGGCCGCGCCGTGTGCTCTCGGCCTAGGGACTCCTGATTCTGACCGGGACATGAATTGGACATGAATTGGTCATGAGCAGGAAGTACTCCGGACTAGGGGAGACCTGCAGCCTTACTGCACTGTGGGTTCACTCCGTTTGATCCCGGGCTTTCTCTCGACACACACCGATCAGACCTGAAGCTCCCGGTATTTCACGGCCAAGATCATTTGGCTAGGCCTGATGAAAATGTGCGATGACCGGTGACAATGAAGTTCGGAAGTCGTCCGAAAGTCAAAAAAAGAAAGGTGGCAGATGGTGGTTTACAGCCGTGGAGTGTGGGTTGATCCACCAAGCAAACGCCTCTTGCGGGGCAAAAAAGCTGGAGTTGATTCCTGACAGATGTGAGGTCGTTGATTGGCTCCCAAGCGAGGCTTACCCGTGTGTCTCTGGGTGTTTTTGGGTATCTCTTACTGTCTTGGAACTGTCTGGTTGGCTAAAGCTGGAAGGGGAAGATACACCGGCCGCTTGGCGTGGGGTGCGCTTTGACGGGCGGATCGCCCCCGTCTCTTCTCTTCTCGTTGGCTTTCGGACTGATCCTTTCAACGCGGAGAACACCGTGCCGAGAATTCCAAGCTCTCAAGCCTTATGCCAATTTCCGGGCCATGGTTGTTATTAAACTCTGTCAACTTCCGATCTCAGGAATTCTGACACCCTCAACGCAACACTACTTGGTCCGTACATCGGCAGCTACTGGCAGCGACTGACCTCTGGGGAGCCGATCATCCACGTGGTCCTTGCATCGCACATCACAGGTGAAACGAGACATTTGGGGGTATCCCGGTTCAGAGCCTCTAGCTTGCATGCGGGGGAGATGTACGGAGTAGCTGGTATATACAGTCTGAACTTCATAACAGATATTTATTTTTTTGCGCTCCCGAGCTGACCCAAGTGTAAGTCCAGTGGGAATGAGTGGGAATGGATGTTTTAGTTCCAACCTTGGAAGTACGGAGCACCTATCGTAGGAAACTTCTACATGGTCGGTTTTCGCCCGAGAACCGGAGAATGAAATGGACAGGGATCAATTCAATATTCGAGACCGAGTTTAGCTTGCGCCGGTGCGGAGATATTGATTTATAAACATTTAACTACCGAATAGAGGTGATTGGCCGGGTGTGACAGCACGACTAGGGACGCCAGCGGAACCCAGGATTGCGCCAGTCCAAATCCTGAATCTGCTGCTGGGAAAGTCCTGCCAAGGCGTTGGGAACGTCAACCCGCTCTCGTCGGCGGTTGTCCCAAGAAATATACGCCCACAGGCCCATCCCGAGAAGGAGGATAGTGGTTGAAGTCGCCAAGTTGAGCCCATTCCCAATGTGGTAGTTCGGAGCGTCGAAGGGTAAAAAGGACCAGGTGCTGATGAGCCCACCAATGTTTCCGAACATCACCGTGGTTCCAATAGCCGAAGATCTAGCGGTGTCGGAGATCACATTCGCCGATGCATGTGCAGTACACAGTGCACCAAAAGCGAAGGCCCCACTAGCGATGATAAAGGTGGCCCCATATCGTACCATACTGTTCTCGCTCGCGAGGAACATGATATAGCCTATGTCACCCCCATCATTAGCACATCATACCAAACAGCGTTGACGGAAAATCTCGAGGCTTACCGGTCATCATCAATGGCGGGCTGACAACAAAGAAAATCAAACGATGATCAAAGCGCCAACTGAGGTAAGGGAACAGAAGCGTGAAGAAAGCCCCAACCACATATGGGGGGACAGTGTGTAGCTGTTGCGAGATCACACTGGCATCGGGATAAATAGTCTTGACGATGGTAGGCGCAAAGAAACCCAGACCTTGCACAGTGACATTGTTCAACAGGAACACAAATGCGGTCGTGAGAGTGACTGGACTGAAAATACCACGCAGAGTTTTGGCCATGTCCAGCTTGTCAAGGACCTCGGTAGTGCCCACACGCTCAGATTTGACCCTGGCAATAGCTAGGTCTTTCTCCGCCTGCGAGAGCCACCTTGCAGTCTCAGGTCGGTCGGTCAACGTGAAAAATGCGACCAGACCAATGCCAATGGTGACAATGCCCTCGATAGCAAAAATCATGCGCCAGGTACGGAGAGATCCAAAATGGTCAAGCTTCAGGATACCTGATGCTAGCAGCCCTCCAAACGCTCCGGCGAGAGGAGCCATGACAATGTACAGTGATAAACGGAAGGCAAGCTCACTTCGGCGATACCAGCGCGAGAGATAATATGCGATTCCAGGTAGCAGTCCTGCTTCAAACATGCTGCCGATGGTCAGTAATGTTGACTCATTCAAAATGCGTGCTCCCAGGTGTACTCGGTACGTACCCCAACAAAAAGCGAACACCAGACACACTGTGGATATCTTTCACAAAAGCTGTGGCGACCGAGCAAATGCCAAATCCTAGTGTGATTCCCGGAAGCCACCAACCGGGACCGACCCATTTGCACATGAGATTACTGGGAATCTCAAAGATAATGTAGGAGATAAAGAAGATGGAGAGCACTGCATTATAATCATAACCAACCAGTCCCAGATCTTTGTCAAAACCTGCAAGCTTGGCATTTCCTATTTCAGATTAACAGTCAGTGGGCGATCAAGCGGGCATCGTGGTGTGCGATCCATGCGCCGATAAACGAACCTATATTGGCGCGATCGATGAAGCAAAACAAATACATCACAGCAACGGTTGGGACGATGTAGAGGTCAATCTTGAGTCGCAATTTAGACTCGGCTGCCTTGTCGAACTCAACCAGGGGTTGACCATAATCATCTGTTGCGAGATGGCCTCTTTCCGCTGCATCGCGGGCAAATTCACCACCCATATCTTCTTTGTGTTGAGAATTGACTTTCTCATCTCCGACAGGCGTCGCGCCTCTCTCGGGGTCTGTCATGTTGGAAATGGCACTGTGTGTTGTTCTCGGAGCAAAGGACTCACAAGATGCTCAATGACAAAGAGGCATTCGGGGCGCAGGATTCAGTGCTCTTATAGCTCAAGGGGTGAGAACCCGATCGGAAGAGCCGAGCGCAGAAGTCCGGGGTTGCGGGGGAAAGCCACACACGGATTCAGAGCTGGATTCGGCTGTTAGGGCGACCGCGACTAATTGTAATCTGCCGCTGCCAAGCAAGGGGTGTATCGCTCAGTGTTGAACTTGAAAATCTAGGATACCTTGGCATTTGAGATTGACAATGCAGGCGACCTAATCATCCTTTAGAGCGTTACTAGCAGGGTCCAATCATAGTCACTCTCGCTTGATATGGAGTACTGGCATCGGATAGTATCCAGACAACCAACCAGTGCTGACGCGAATACTGCGACAAGGGGCGGAAGCGAATTTGCAAGGTTATCTCGAGGTTAAATCGGCCGGACCAGTAATATCCAGGGGAGATGAGTCAATGACCAGCAGACAGTTGTGGGACTTCCCCACAATGGGGCCGACAGTGAGATTTCCCCAGATTGTGATTATCTTCAACCCCGGACTGGCTCCTCTGATCGTATTCATGGAGAATACTCAGCCATGGCAAACCCTAGAAATGCCGAAGTCTGCTTCCGAGGCCCATTTGGGACCTTCTGTCAGCCACAGACCAAACACTTCAGGCTCTCCGAAAGAATGCCAAGTTTTCCAAGAGCCAGGCTTGGCAGGTGGCACAGAGAAAACGCCTGAGCTGTTCCATACCGTCCTTTGCCGTATATGGAACAGCCGAGGCGGATCGGAAGTGTCATCGGAAGGGTGGCGAGGATTCCGATGACTAGACCATTGCTCTACTCCGTACTCCGTATCTAACTGTAAGTTCCTTCGAGATAAAAGCGACTGCAGTTGTAAAGTGATACTCCCGAGGTCATTGTATGCGGATGTTGGTGCGAAAAGGGCCATCGATGCCATACTGGGTCTCTTCGCCGTGGGAAGGCTTTTTAGACACTCCCAATAAAGCCTGTCTGATGACCAAACAGACACCTTAGAATGCAGGCATCAAAATCATGACAAAGCATATAATGCCTCAGGCAGCAATAATCACGTGAAACAGCACGTGACGCGGATATATCCAGCTGAAACGCTCGGATTAAACGGATAAAGTGCAAGGCTTGAAGAGCCTGAGGGTATATCGATGTCCGAAGCGTCAGAAACCCAACCGGGTTGGCGAATTCCTCGCGCATGTCAAGAATGCCGCAAGCGTAAGATTAAATGCAGCGGTTTAAACCCGTGAGTGTGTGTCGTCTACCTTCGCGTAACGCGTGCTGATCTACTTTGTAAAAGATGCACGACGTGCCAATCGCGCAACACACCATGTATATACAGAGACTATATTCGCCATCGGCGAAAAAAGACAGAGTATGAGAAAGGTAGCTCGCCAAGTCCAGCTCGTCGGGATTCCCCTAGTGGACCACCTTCGACATCGCGCACCTCCTCGGTGATGAATGATTTCCCCAACAGTGTTTCTGCCACGCACATGACATCACCATCATGTCAGATGCAGTTGTACTATGGTCCCTCATCGCACTTTTCTTTGATGCAGCACATTTACCGGGATCTCATCTCAAACCCGGCGGCACCGCCTGTACCCTCGGGTGGTGTCGAGGAAGCTGGAGCTGGCTTGGACCTATTCAGCTTTCGTCGCATCTTTTTCGGCACACCCGACTCACTCGACAGCAACAAACCTAATGGGACCGGGGATATGTCTATGATGTTCCTTCCATATGATTTGGCAAAGCTCTTCATGTCGCGATATCTCTCGGGTCTCTACCATATGCTGCCACATCGTCCCAAGGCGTACTATGAGCAATGTCTGGATCGGCTTTACACCCCATCTGCCGCGTCGAGCTTGGACACTTTCACTCAAGCCATCATTTTGCTTGCCATGGCTTGCGCCGCAATCGGGACCGATCATTTCGCATGGGGTGACGTGCTCTTTGAACGGGTCAAGGCTTCCATGGCTATGTTCGATGATGTGGTTAACCTCCAGCTTGTTCAGATTTCGCTTCTCATGATAAGTCTCCCTTCGGATGTTCTGCTACATGATTACTGATTCTGCTTGCTCAATACGGTAACTACCAAAATGAACAAGGTCGGCCCAACTCCGCATTTTTACATCTAGGCTCTGCCTCGCGCAAAGCGCTTTCGTCGGGATTACACAAGAATGTACCCCATGGTGCGGAGAAAACACCTGAAAGTATCGAGGAGCGACGAGTGACCTTTTGGTCCCTCTATATCTATGAAACGTAAGCACACGCGCACCATCTTTTGACAAAATCACTGACAAAACAACCAGATGGTTCTGTTTCCATGTCGGTCGCCCAAGTTCACTGTCGCTTAAGGATGTCGCAATTGAGCACGCGCAAGACCCGTTCATTCGACTATTGGTCGAGCTTTGCAAAACCATCACTCGCTCGACCAAAGAGATATATGGCCAACGACATGAATCTTTGCTACACATGTGGAAGGTAGCCAAATCGATTACTCATGATCTACGCGGACACGAAAAGCTATTAAAACAATCACTCGGCTTTGGGCTGGATGCTGAAATCCAAGATGGACATCTTGGCGTTCAACAGGCCATCTTCACCACTTGTAAGTGGACTTCCCATGGCGCAAAACCTCCAACCTCTGACCGTTCAAAGTATATAACCATACATTTCTACTCACCTTCCGACCATTTCTCATATTCCGAGGCCATTGGCGACGGAACCGAACAGTTCCACCCAACAGCAATAACGGCGCCGTCAATGCAAATCACTCCGGAGAGACCCCACTTTGGCTGAACGAGGCTTGCAACCATTCCACAACGGCTGCAAAAAAGACCTTGCAGCATCTTTGTGAGGCGTCCAGAGCGAATGACTTGGTTAGGGTAAATAACATCCACAATTCTCTCGCGAATCATACTAACGATACAGCAATTACGGTATCATGGATATTTCCTCGGCAGCTCCGCATTTACACTCATCTACGAGTTTTTGCATGACCCAAGCCTAGCCCCTGCTTATCTGCCCTGGGTCTATGCATCTTTACAAACATTGTCCACCATGCGAGCTGGTGACCCAATCGCGAGCTCGATTTCAGCTATTCAGACTGTGTTACGCAGGATGAATCCATCATATGAATGGTCACCCTATACAGCTCCAAGCGGAAATCATACTCGACATTCAGAGACAACCATCGGGCGGCAAGTTCATGCCCTCGATACTATCCAGAGACCGCTACCCCATGGCCTTGCCTTGTCCAACAACCCATCGATGGGAATCCAGCCTGGCCTGCCAAGCTCTCCCTGGCACCTGCCGCAGGTCGGAGCACTGGAAGTACCAGATACTGGAGGCTCGGTGGGCTCTGCCGAAGACTTACTTGATTTCACACAGTCTGACATGGGCTGGGACTTTGACTTTTCAACGATGGACCTTGAAGCATTCCTATCAGTCTACCCATCGAATAATGATATTTTCTAGTCGCTTTTCGATTTTGCTACAGCAATGAAAGCCCACGGTCGTTTGTCACATAACCTTTTAATTGCACCATTTGAAACTATCACATTCGGTGTTTCCCGATTTTACTGTTTGTGCGGAAGCAATGGAAACACTGTGTCCAGCCTCACCAAGAACATGCCGGAGAATGTCTTTTTGAGTTGGATTTTGTTTTGAATCGGTGCAAAACAAATACCTCTTCAACCTCCACTATCAAGGTTTGGAAAATCGACGGAGATAAGCACGCCAGGCCGAGTCCGGCAATCCGGTCCATACTGCATGTTCGGACCCATCTGGGTATGGCCACAGATATTGGACTTCAGGGGGGATTTTGACAGGCTATAGGCTATTGGGGTGGATACTTTGGACTCGGAGATACAGCAACTAGACCGCGATCTTGGTGGGCCTGTGACTAGCTTGCGCCTTACACAAGCACACACGAAATTAGCATTGGACAGGTCCACTTCATCCGTGAAAATCAAATGTTGTATATCCGGACTGTGGGTCTTATCGAAATACTGGCGAATGAACAGGCTACTTGCGGCTAGAGGGTCCTGCGTTTATCCGAAATTATAATTCCGTGAATTCACCGGGACCATTTTGCTGACACAGAGGTATAGAACGAACATTCGGCAGAATCCACTCGCTCTGCTCATATTTCCACTGCGGCTTTAACATGCAAGATTGACGAATCGCGCCCCACTTCCGGGATTTCGGATATAAACCCACTATGATTCCAAAGCTCCAATATAAGAGCTTTCCTGCCCCCGGAGCTATGATGTATCTTCGATTGTGCTCGAACCAAAGTCAACGTGCGCCATTCGATTCATTCAAACGGCATCATGGAGACACCATCCTCAGGCACAGTCACCCCAGTCGATCTGGAAGGGGGAGAGGGTCAGATAAGGAAAAGACTGACTGTCACCTTCCGTGGTTTGAACGTTCGGGTTACAGCACCGGATGCAGCGTTGGGTGATACTTTATGGTCTAAGATGGATCCACGACAGATTGGAGGATTATTCAAGCACGGTGGCAGCCCCAAAAGGGTGGGTGTTCCATCGAGTCGTCATTTCACGATACATATATCGTTTTCTAACACACTTCGCAGACGATCCTCAAGGATGTCGCAGGCCAGGTCAAGCCAGGCGAAATGGTGAGATCAAAGATAGCTGCTTAAATTCTGGAAAGTACCAATGGCTAATGATTTTAGCTTCTTGTGCTGGGACGACCGGGATCCGGATGTACCTCTCTTCTCCGAGTTCTCTCCAATGATCGCGATAGTTTTGATGAAGTCACCGGCGAGACTCGGTTTGCAAGTATGAATCATCAGGAAGCCAAACAATATCGTCAGCAGATCATGTTCAACAATGAAGGTATACTATAGTGTCTCGGGTACGTTCTTTCAGGAGCTTCGATCTAACGGCCATATCTTTAGATGACCTGCACTTCCCAACTCTTACCGTCAACCGAACGATGAAGTTTGCTCTCCGAAACAAAGTCCCTGCTGAGCGCCCGGGGAATCTCAACAACCCCAAGGAGTATGTCTTGAATAAGCGTGATGATATTCTTGACTCTTTAGGCATCGGGCACACTAAGAAGAACATGGTTGGAAATGAGTTCATTCGAGGAGTGTCGGGAGGAGAGCGAAAGCGTGTATCCCTTGCCGAGGTCCTGGCTGGTCAGAGCCCCGTCCAGATGTGGGACAACCCAACACGAGGATTGGACTCCAAGTCTGCCCTTGCATTCGCTAAAATGCTCCGATCCGAAGCCGACCGAAATGACAAAACAATTATCACTACTACCTACCAAGCAGGAAACGGTATCTACGATCAGTTTGACAAGGTTCTTGTATTGGCTGAAGGCCGTGTCACCTATTACGGTCCAAGATGGATGGCAAGGGGATACTTCGAAGATCTTGGATTCACCTGCCCCAAGGGTGCTAACATCGCCGATTTCCTGACCTCAGTCACTGTGCTTACCGAGCGTGTTGTGCGAGTCGGATGGGAAGAAAAGGTGCCGAACACTCCGGAAGAATTTGAAGCTTGCTATCAGAATAGCCCCGTCTTCAAAGATCAGATGGATGCTATTGTGGAGCCTGAAAAGCTCAATTATGAGACCGAAGACCTCACACTGGCTGTTTCAAGTGACAAGAGAACGCAGCATCTACCCCGTCACAAAAGTGTCTATACGACAAAACTTTGGGACCAAGTCGGTGCTTGTATCTTGCGCCAATTTCAAATCATGTGGGGAGATAAATTCTCTCTATACGTGAAGGTGTGTTTCATATCTATATCCTCGTCAATCTGAAACCCAGATAAGAGTCACAGCAGAGTATAACTGACAACTCCAGGTCGCATCCGCAATCATACAAGCATTGGTGTGCGGATCTTTGTTCTACAACTTACCAGAGGTAAAGAGAGCACCGATCACCCTATAATATCATGAGTTCCAGCTGATAAGTCTGAAAATCAAGACTAGTGCATCGATATTTCTCCGTCCTGGTGTTTGTTTCTTTCCGGTTCTCTATTTCCTGCTGGAGTCTATGTCCGAGACCACTGGCTCCTTTATGGGCCGACCCATTCTCTCCCGCCAAAAGAGATTCGGCTTCTATCGCCCTACGGCCTTTTCCATTGCCAACGCTATCACGGATGTTCCAGTCGTTATATTTCAAGTCAGCTCCTTCTCAATCATTCTTTACTTCATGGCTGCATTGCAGATGGATGCCGGCAAATTCTTCACCTTCTGGATCATCATCATCGCCCAGACACTGAGCTTTGTCCAACTGTTCCGATCTGTTGGGGCTGTTTGTGGGACATTCGGAAACGCATCGAAAATCTCCGGGTTGCTTTCTACAGTTTTCTTTGTTTATGGAGGTAAGATCCACGATTTGGTATATGTGCAGCCAACCAAAGACTAACGGATAACAGGATATCTGATTCCGTTCGAGAAAATGCATGTGTGGTTCCGTTGGATATTCTACCTGAATCCAGGCTCCTATGCATTTGAGGCGCTCATGGCAAACGAGTTTGTCGGTCGCAAGTTCACGTGCGTCGAGCCTGATTATATCCCATACGGGCCCCAATACCCAAGCTCGGCATCCTCTCACCGAGGATGCTCGGTTCTTGGAAGTGATGAAAACGGTATCATTGACGGAGCAACATACATCAAAGAGCAGTACAGTTACTCTGCCGGTCACATCTGGAGAAGCTTTGGCATTCTGATAGGGTTCTGGATTTTCTTTATTGGCCTGACTGCCCTTGGACTTGAACTGCGCAACACGCAGACTGGTTCTTCCGTTCTACTCTACAAACGCGGAAGTGAAACAAAAAGGAAAGGGGAGGAGATCAAGAACAAGATCGCTCCACCAAAGAAGGATATGACAGAGCTATTGGGCTCAGTCAAGCAATCTACTTTCACGTGGAAAGACCTTGACTACCACGTTCCTTTCCATGGGGAGCAGAAGCAGTTGTTGAACAAGGTTTTTGGCTTTGTGCAGCCTGGAAATTTGGTCGCACTGATGGGAGCTTCTGGGGCTGGTAAAACCACACTGCTGGACGTGCTTGCTCAACGAAAGGATAGCGGCGAGATCAATGGATCTGTTTTGATCGATGGTCGCCCCGTTGGTATCAGCTTCCAACGCACGACTGGCTATTGCGAACAGATGGACGTACATCTCGAGACAGCTACGGTCAAGGAAGCCTTGGAATTTTCGGCTATTCTTCGACAGCCCTCTACCGTTTCATATGAGGAAAAGATTGAATACGTTGAGCACATTATCGATCTTCTGGAGCTGCGAGCAATAAGCGACGCGCTGATTGGCGGTAAGTACTTACATTCATGATGGTCAGAGATATGCGCAATCACTGACGCGAATTAGTCCCTGGTGCCGGCCTCAGCATTGAACAGCGCAAACGTGTTACTCTTGGCGTTGAGCTAGTGGCTAAACCAACGTTGCTTTTCTTGGATGAGCCCACTTCAGGTCTTGACGGACAGAGCGCTTTCAACATTGTTCGTTTCCTTCGCAAATTGGTTGACGGTGGCCAGGCTGTCTTGGTAAGTGACCCATATTTGGCATCAATTTCATTCATACTAACCAGCTAGTGTACAATCCATCAACCTTCCGCTGTTCTCTTTGATGCGTTCGATGGTCTTTTGCTACTAGCTAAAGGAGGCCGGATGTCCTACTTCGGAGAGAGTAAGCATTCATCGCGAAAACACATCGCTTTCAATGATTTGAGACCGCTAACATGCAAATCACAGCTGGAAAGGAGTCAAGCACTATCCTGGACTATTTCTCCCGGAATGGGGCACCTTGTCCACCGGATGTCAACCCAGCGGAGCACGTCATTGACGTTGTTCAAGGAAGCGCGACCGACAAAACAGACTGGGTCGAAATATGGAACCAGTCGGAGGAGCAGAAGCAAGCACTTTGCCAGCTCGATACACTTAACGATTCCAAAAGAGCCGAGGTTGACTACGTCGAAGATACCTCTGACTTTGCTACATCACACTGGTTTCAATTCAAGGCAGTCTCGAAGCGCCTTAGCATTCATATTTGGCGGTCACCTGTACGTTGTCCCTGAGTTTGCGCAGGGAAATTGATGCTGACACAAGACCAGGACTACATGTGGAACAAGTTCTTCCTCCATATCTTCGCCGGCCTCTTCAGTGGATTCACGTTCTGGAAGATTGGAGACGGCACTTTCTCTCTTCAGCTGAGGCTTTTTGCCATCTTCAATTTCATCTTTGTTGCGCCGGGTTGTATCAACCAAATGCAACCTTTCTTCTTGCACAGTCGTGACATATTTGAGACCAGAGAGAAAAAGGTAAGCATGATGTAAATCCTTCCGGGACACGAATAATGCTAATACCCTTTGCTTTCGTCAGTCAAAAACCTACCATTGGCTGGCTTTCATTGGAGCTCAAATTATGACGGAGATTCCATACCTCATTATCTGCGCCACGCTATACTTTGCGTGCTGGTACTTCACGACAGGTCTTCCTGTGGAGGCCAGTGTTTCCGGTCATGTCTATTTGCAGATGATTTGTGAGTTTCAAGATGAGAGAAGAGTGAGAAGAGGATATAGTCTAACCAAGCAAATGCAGTCTACGAAATGCTGTACACTTCTATTGGTCAGGCCATCGCGGCGTATGCACCCAACGAGTATTTTGCCGCTGTTATGAATCCTGTCCTCATTGGTGCTGGTCTGGTCAGTTTCTGTGGCGTGGTTGTTCCATACTCGTTGATGCAACCATTCTGGCGATACTGGATGTACTACCTGGATCCTTTCAACTACCTCGTCGGTGGGCTCTTTGGTGAGGTTGTCTGGGATGTCAAGGTTAAATGCGAAGCCTCTGAGTTCGTCAAGTTCACTGCTCCCTCGGGTCAAACCTGTGGCCAGTATATGTCCGATTTCTTGGCATCCCAAGCTGGCTACTTGCTCGACGAAAGCTCAACTGGCACATGCTCATTTTGCCAATACTCCCAAGGTGCTGATTATGCGAAGACATTCAACCTCAAAGAGAAGTATTACTCGTGGAGAGATGTGAGTTTTCCTTTCTTATTTTGACTCAACCTGCCTGCTAACTGTCAACCAGACTGGTATCACTGCTCTGTTCTGTCTTTCTACATATGGTTTGGTCATCTTGATGATGAAACTCAGAAGCAAGAAGACAAAGAGTGCACGCTCTGAATAAGTGACCTAGGAACTTGATTTCAGTTTATCAAGCTACAGCTTCCCCTCGGATGGAGTTTGTTTTCTTGGACACATGTGATGATCTTCATGCTATCCGATATTGGCCTTCGGCTTATGTATCTCGCTTCCAAGGTTTGTCTTCTTTTTTGGTGTTACATTTTGCTTCCTTTTTCCGCCAGCGAGGGCGATGTGTATCTGTCTTTTTGCATGTCGGGTCATTCAGCCCAATGGTTTGAACCTTGCGATGTTTTTGTTTGGTAGAATTATTAATATTGTACATATCATTATTTAGACTCATAGAAAACTTTTTAGCATACCACCATAGAACCTTGGAACATTCCAAAACCGATGAAATGAGTAAATACTCTGAGCACGAATGTATAAAATAAAGGTCTTTCAAGGTTCTAGACCATACGTGAGCAGCGAAGGGATTCTCAAACCACACACACAACCTTGGAAAAAAATCGTGCTTCATGAGGAGTTGCTAATAGGCTGAGGTGTGCTTAAGGCCACTGCACAGTCTTCAAAGTAAATGCGAGCTCATTCGCCAAGAAAGCATAGTGAAATTAAACTTATGCTTTTCAAACATTAAAGCCCACTACCACGGAGGATTACGTTTTCGTATTCGAACCGAGCCGTTGCTCTCCACATCACTGCGATCACATAGGGGGATCGGCATAGATCTGCCGTGGCATCCGAACACAAAAGCTCGAAACAATCCTAATTTTACGAGTACCGGTTTATCCAAAGCGACCTTTCAAAATGCGCCTTCACTATCTCCTTTGGCCTCTCGCGGCTCACGCAGTGAACATTGTGTCGTCGAATGATGATGGCTGGGCGGAAGTTAATATCCGCGCTTTGTTCGAGTCATTGGGAGACGCAGGTCATTCCGTTGTCGTGTCTGCGCCCGCTGAGAATCAAAGTGGCACGGGTATGTTATGCGCTTATGTATCTTAACTTGGGTTGGATCTGACATACGTGACGAAATCCACAGGCTCAAAACAAGAGACGCCGACCACTTTGACCGAGCCTTGCGAATTTGACAGCTGCCCATCTGGCAGCCCAGCAGTGGGATATAATGCGTCAGAGGTTAGTCGCTTAGTATATTATCTACATGATCACCATTTAACAGTCAGCAAAAGCCCCGTCTTGGCTATGTCAACAGCTACCCTGCAACATCCATGAAGTATGGAATTGAATCGCGTGCCCCGGAGTTCTTTGATGGCCCCCTGACTTGGCTATCGCGGGTCCCAATGTCGGTAATAACATCGGGCTCGCGGTCTACTTCTCAGGCACTGCCGGAGCCGCTACCTACGCCGCTCACACGGCGGGAATCCCCGGGATTGCCTTCTCTGGAGCGACCGGATCTCAAACCTCGTGGAACGCCTCCCGGCCTCATTACAGCGATGTTTATGCCGAACTGGCAACCAACTTGACCAACCAGGTGGTCGCTGCTGGAAAACCGTACTTGCCCGATGATATTTGGCTGAATGTCAACTTCGGTAAAGTATCGGACTCTGAATGCACTGATCCAGAGGATTTCTCCTTCGTCTTGTCCCGCATCCATGTCGCAGTTCCCCTCATCACTCCGGATGATGTGACCACGTGTGGCAGCTCCAGGCTCCCAAGCGAGATCGAAGTCTCCCTAGCCTCTGGGTGCCACGCGAGTGTCTCGGTCGGACTGGCGGGCTCGAAGAATGACGCGAATGCCACTATGCAGGGGGTTGTTTTGAAGAAGTTGGGTGATTTCCTGACCTGTCTGCCCTAATTGGTGCATGATACTGGTCAAGCTCGAGGACTTTGTAGATCAGGTACCTGAACAATCACACGTGTGACACTCTTGGTCCTTGTAGCGTTGCATCCATCCATCTAAAGTCGAGTGGCGCATGCAGGCTAGCCCGGTAGTATCTATATCCTGATTATCTGTTTAATTAAGGGAGCGGACCATGTCCCAGATTAGTGAGTTGAGGGGATTAATGTCATCGAGGAGTGTGCCTTTCATAGACCATCCGCACCCTAAGCTCTCGAAGGATTAAGCGAAATCAACAATGTGATAATAATAGCGAATCAATGGGTCTGCCGATCCCACGAGGAAACCAATCTGCTCAATTGCAATGTGGAACGATCATCTCCGACTTTACTCCATCGGGACTGCAGACCGTTTCCACCAAACCGTTCCCACCAAGCTAAACTTCTTCTAGAAAGCGGATGCCGAACGGAGGGGGAGCGTCTGTGCCGATCGATGGTGAAGAGTATTAATACACCCGAATGGTCAATGTTCAGGAGTGTATCATAGCCTTCTCATTCCGTCATGATTCCTCAAATTCTCATTGGGCTGGCTGCTCTGGCGGTGCTGCCCGCGTCGGCGAATCCTGCTATCTCCCGCCGAGGGACTGTCGCTTCTGATGAGATTGTCGGGCTCTCGCAAACAGTGCCGAGCGGTGCTACCGGCGATCTGTATCTGGCGTACCAGCCCGATCTATACGTGGTGAATGGCTGTGTGCCCTTCCCAGGAGTGGACGCGGATGGCAATACCAAGTAAGTCCAAAATCCCCTCCATCCGAATAGCAACAGAATTGTCAAACTGATCTCCCCAGCGCCGGTCTTAATCCAACTGGAGACTCATCTGGTGATTGTAGCAGCAGCACAGGACAGATCTATGGTGAGACCTCAAAAAGAAATCGAAAGATGAGATTGTTCCATGCTGATTCGCACGACTTCCAGTGAGAAGCGGCACCTCGGGCGATTACTACGCTTTGATGTATTCGTGGTACTTCCCTAAGGATGAACCTTCAACTGGCATCGGACATCGTCACGATTGGGAGGGTGTGATTGTCTGGCTCTCTGACTCCTCCAGCACAGCTGCCTCGAACGTGGTGGCAGTCTGTCCCTCAGCACACGGTGGCTGGGACTGCAGCACAGATGGATTTACTCTTGACGGCACTGTGCCTCTGATCAAGTACGAATCCATATGGCCAATTGATCACTCCTGTGGTCTCACAACAACCGTGGGTGGAACCCAACCACTAGTTGCCTGGGAATCATTGTCCAGTATGTTGAGCCCGCAAAGAACCCACAACCCGTTGAACGAGTGAACTAACCACGATTTGTAGGCGTCGTCCAAGATGCCTTGGATACCACTGATTTTGGAAGCGCGAATGTACCTTTCAATGAAAACAACTGGGCATCCAATCTTGCGAAGGCAACATTCTGAGACAACAAATGAAGATCTCGTCAACCCACATCACGCTTGATAGTAGCATTTTGAGCTTGGTTTACTTGAAGGAACAAATGTAATTGCTTCTAACCCATTTTATTCCACCACCACTTAGCATAGGAAAACCATAATGTATGGACAAGCCGAGACTTTGTCGTCATCTGTAGCAGTATTCAACTGGCCACAACATTTTCGATTGTTTCTGTGTGCTGTTTGCTTTCCAGCTCAGTCTCTTGGGCGTGTTGGTGAGGGACAACTGGTCGGCCCCTTGAAGAAAAGACGCCCCCAGTGAAACCGCCTTTGGCGAAGATCAAATTGATGTCTTCGAGCTCAAGTCCTTTCGTCTCTGGATAGAAGAAAAACACAATTGGAATCCACAGGAAGTTGAGAACAGCGAAGATGACAAAAACGCGCCAATTGATGTTCTCTGGGCATTGAAAGTAAGCGACAATACACCGACGGTAGCTAGAGTAGGCAGCATTGAAAGAATGGGAAAGAGAACTCACGGATGGCGATCGGGGTAAGTTTCACTACTGCGAACACAGACAACCAATTAAAGGCGGAAGCAATCGCTGCGCTCTTGGACCTTAGAGAGGTTGTACTGATCTAACTTATATGTTAGCACACAATCATCAGCCGACAAAATTCAGAAACATCTTACCTCGGATGGATAAAACCAAGGGACAGGTAGCCACCCAAGACCATAAAAGATTTGAAACAGGAAGATAAATGCAGTGGCGCCATATGCATCCTGTACTTTGTTGAATGAGAGGAGTATAGCGACCATCATAAAGCAGAACGAAAGCCCAGCCGCAGACACAATGAGTAGCACGCGTCGTCCAAACTTGTCCATCATTAGGAGAGGAAGAGCAGAGCCGACAAGGTATGCAAGTGATGTGCACCCAGATAAGATTATTGACATGTTTCTGGACATGTGAAGTGCATCTGTATAGACAGTGGGGGCATAGTAGTTGCTGTATTTATTAGTAAAACCCTGAGAAAGAATGGGTGACCACCAACATCATGTTTGAACCGGTAAATTGCTGCATGATTTCGATGAATATGATTAAGAGCAATCGTCGCCAATTTTGCAATTTACCGTGGGAGAAGAAATCCCGCCAGCCCACTTGATCACCTTGTATATCCTCATGGACTGCCTTTTCAATATCGGCCAGCGCCTGTATCACGGTAGGATCGTCAATTGAAAGGTCATTGATTGCGGCAATAACATCACGGGCTTCCTCGTATCGATCATTCTTCGTGAGCCATCTGGGTGTTTCGGGGAGTCCGATGACCTGTAGCACTAGGCAGACCGCAAAAACGGCCTGGAATGCAAGAGGGAAGCGCCATTGCAATGACGAGTCGGTAAAAATGGTTCCGTAATCAAGCCAGTAGGCTAGAAAAGCAAAGCAAAGTCTGGTCAGAAAGGAGCAACGAATGATAGACCAGATACTGTACCAATGCAGAGTCCAAGAATTGTCATGGTTCCTTGCAGAGTCAGAAGAGTTCCACGAATTTCCGAGGGAGCAACCTCGCTCTGATAAACAGGGGCAGTGCTGCTGTTCATTCCATCCCCCTTGGAAAATGTCAATAGAGTAACAAAAAGAGAGTTTGTGGGCTTGACAAACCACCCCAGTAACAATCCGACCAACAATCAGCTGTGCAACTGTGGTGGAAGAAGCCAAAATAATGGTGCCCAAAATCATGATGATCCCACCCCCCATGAGCATCCATCGTCGTCCGAATTTTTCCCCAATACAAAAGACTAAAATGGAGCCAATGATACAGCCGATGTCATAAAGGGCTACGATGTCGCCTTGTAATGCAGCATCTGGGTTGTTGAAGTCACGACCGAATCGATTATCTGCCCCTACTAAGCCCGACATGACGCCCTTGTGGCAGGGAACAGGTTTCAGTGTTTTGTTTTGCATTGAGACTCATGTCATGGTTGACTCACTTGATCATAGCCAAGCAGCAGAAATGCTTGACAGGAGGCTGCCGTGACTGCGGATATGAGAGACCTTCCTCTGAAACTATGCCGAAACATCTTGGAGTTTAGTGAGATTTCCAAACTGTGTTTTCTCCTCAACAGATGCACTTTGCAGGAGTCGATAGGTGATTTCCCTGGAAGGTTGTGAAAGCACACAGACCGGCAGGCTGCAGCAGTTCTTAGCCTTGGTCATTTCTTAACAACGACGCGTGATCGACAGGCATGATGCTGGATCTGCCTTCCCCGTAATCAGGATTGGCCAATCAATTCAGATAATTTGCAAACGGAAATCGGGGGTTCGGGGTTGAAGACTGCGAGTAAGAGCATGAGACCACAGTAGCCATAGGTCGAGCTCCGACTCGGGTCCATCGGGCGGGCCGATGAGAAACCAGATATGGCCCCGTTCCTGTTGCATTTGCAGTTCGAATGGTCCGTGACAGGGTGGCAAACACGGGAACCCCCGCACTCGGGCCAGGTGGCGCCGAAGGGTGGACCCGATCGTAGAGCGCTGGATGGGACTAAAGACCGAGAAATTTGAGAGTATCACGCAGAAAATGGAATCACTGCCGAGTTGGCGAACGAAGCAGATAACTCTAAAAAGTGAGATTGAAGCAGAGAAACAAGGACTGAGGGTCTAGATTTCCGGTGCGGGTTTTGAGTTCCCATCTCGTAACAGACAATGTCGATATTCAGTTGATTTGGTGTGGATATTTTCCGAATGCTCATGACAGCCATATATACTCAGTTCAGCATCATGCCCAGTGAATGCGGTGCGGTCTCCACGAAACCGTTCTTCTCGTACAACCGACGTCCCGGTCCATCGGCGAGCAGTGAGATATAAGGTGTTCCGTCCTCCGGCGCCTCCTGCTTGATCTTTTGGAGTAGCGCCTTCACAATAGCGTCACCGAGCCCTCGTTTTTGATGTTCAGGATGTACAGCCATGTCGGCTATGTGAAAGTACCTTTGTTGAGGCTTAGTGGAATCACATAAAAGTAAAGTGGAAATCGTTACCAGCCACCGTCTCCTATGATCCGGCCCATTCCAACTGGGCGCGGATCATCCTTGAATGTGATGTAGCACCCGTACCAACTGCCTGTAGCCACTGCAGCAGCTTGAGATGGGGTCTTGGGCGATAAGCCTGAGATGGAACGAAGTCCAAGGTAATCTGGAACTGATGGGTATCCCTCTAGAAGAATATAACCCCCGGGGAGATCTACCCTGGGAGATGCCATCTCAACACAATACAAACAGAAGGGGAGGAAGTGGAAAGCCCGCGAATAACCCCAAATTCCTTGGCACGCTAGCCCAACTTGGTTAGTAGGTCGGTTTCCGACGCGTTTCATTTTGATGTTTTACGCGTGCCTCCAGGACACATTCGACACTTCTCTCGGTGATTTCATTACCTAGGTATGCCTAACTCAATGTGATATATCCTAACGCTCAATTAAAATAACTACACAAGTAACTAGACTGGCTTTCACTTGGCGGACATTTTGAACCAAATCTCAATCTAGCACACCGTGTCTATGCAGCGGTCGGCACGCACTGAGAGTAGTACGGGTTCATCGAAGAGCACGCCGCTGGTGATGCACAGGCAGTGGCACCTTTCCAATTGATTCCTCCACATTGCTGATAGACAGCTTGTGACCCACCTGCAGCGGCAGATGCGGTGGTTGCAACTGTTGGCGCAGTGGTGTCTGCGTGCGTCGCGACGGTCGAAGTAGGTTTACCAGAGATAGTCACTAAAGTCGTAGGGCGAACAGTGGCGATGGGTGCGACTGTTGTGGTCGCTTTGGAGATTGGAGTCGTAGTAGCAACGGGCTCAATACTTGTTGCACTTGTTGCACTCGTTACAGCGCCCGAACCAGTGACTGGGGTGCCTGTGGCTGTAATTGCGGATGTAGTCTGGGTGATAGAGACTGCACCGCTGTAGAGGGTTGGCCCTGGGGCAACCTGGTGGCACGAATGTTAGCAACCAAGAGCGAGGGGAAATAAAAGTTCGATCAAATCCTGCCAGGAGAAGTTGAAACCCACATAAGTTGACAACGAGGTGTAAATGTTGACGAGAATACCTGGGTCCGTCGGGCTATACAGCTTCGTGCCCAGAACACCCGCCGGTACATCTGAGCCTGAGCCAGTGACCTGGAGATTGAAGCACTGTGGGTAATTCTGTGCTCCGCCCTCGGTGCCTGCACTGTGGAGTGCAATCCTGGATAGGACAGTCAGCATCTTGGTTAGAAACATGGAGCTAGTTCCACGTACAACTCATGTCTCAAGACGTAATAGCCCGCTGCGATGCTCGAGGGAATTTCAACCATCCATGACGAGCCTTGATCAATAAGCTGGTCGTCGCCCCAGGTCCCGGGTACCGTTATGTCGTCAACCAGACCGACACCATCAATCTTGAAGAATTCAAGCTTGTTTTTATCCACAGTCTCGCAACCGCCTGCGCCGCAGCTGGCAAGGTAGTCAATGACAGGTCCGTGGTGAGAGTCGGGCCAGTCGGTCCATTGCAGAAATACTCTGTCACCTGCAGCTACAACTGCATGCCCTTTGGCATTGGTAGCATTGTTATGGCAAATGATATCCGAAGTCGTGTACCCATCTCGTTATGGAGTCAGCAAACGAGCTATGTTATGACCGAGAGGAAACAGATCACATACCAGGCTCGATAAACCCATTGGCAGTGTTTGGTGTACCCCAAGCTACCACCGTGGGCGGTGAATCTGTGTATGGGTAGCTACCAATATCCCATCCATCGAAAGAGACGCCATTAACCACTATGTTCGTGACATGGCCATGCGCTGCCACCAAGGAGATGAAGAGGGCAGGCGCGAGGAGGGCATACATTGTGAATTGATGTAGAATCGCTGAACACAGTTATAGCACTTGCGATCGTCGGAGAGCGCTCTTAAGCAGATTCACAATCTTGAAGGGAATAGCAAAACTTGCAAGAGACACGAGAGATGGCCATCTTTATAGTGGCCGAAGAAAGTGCCTTCTTGTCAATAGTTCCATGCCGCCGTAGATGAACCTGAAACCTTGGAGCCACGAGAAAAGGTGACACACTCGCTAGCCAATAAGACTTGTTTCGGGTCAATTTAGCAAGATTAAAGTGAGGATCCTGCATGAAATCCGACAGGGTGAGGTGTATGTAGTCTCCTGGAAAGTGACAACGCCACTATCGGATGTCGCGCCGACTCCGTGTCAAGATAGCCCAGGAACACCACTCAACGAGAGGTGAGGATAAAAAACAGGCAATGAAGATGCGGGAGTAGGGATTTTGTTCCGGAATAGATGGAGCTCCACCATTCTCAAACATCACTCAGTCTCAGGAGGCGCCCTTGGCATTGTTTTGGGGGTTTTGACGGCGAGATCCCCGAGAAAGAAACGGCAGCGGTGTTCCATTTGCTAGGTACCTATCTATATTAAGATCATTTGTCCGGAAAGGTTCAATCAATATGTACAAATCTATAAATGATTCAGATAATCTCACGCCGCCTCTTCCAGTTGGGCATGCAGGACCCTTCCGATTTCAAGGGCTTCAGTTCTTACAAAAGGTCCCTCAAAGCTTCACCCAATGCCATGATTGCCATGGCCTGACCGTAAGGCATTGATGTCAGCGGAATCTGCTTGTAAAAATCGAACGAGTCACCCATTCCTGTCCCGAAGCTCGTGTTTTGCAATTCACCACTCTCATCCACATGCCCGATCACAGCGGTGATGGCCTTTTCAGCGACTGAGCGGTATTGGGGGCCAATATATCTCTTGCGCACGGCTTTCAGAATACCATACGCAAACCCTGCGGTCGCAGAGGCTTCCAAGTAAGAGTCGGGGTGGTCAAGTAGAGTGTGCCACGAGCCAGAGGAGGACTGCAAACGCTGAAGCGCCTCACATTGTGCCTCAAGAGTATCAATCAAGTGGAGACGAATGGGATCATCTGGCTGGAGCTCAAGAAGTTCGATAAACTCTGGAATCACGATGGTGACCCAACTGTTTCCACGAGCCCAGCGCGCATCGGCAAAATTGTGTCCTCCATCTTCAAAGGTCCAGCCATGGAACCAAAGACCCGTCTTGGTGTCGAAAAGGTATTTGATGTGTGTCAGGAACTGCTTCTTGGCCTCGGCAATATATTCAGGGCGATTCAAAAGTTTGCCGATCTTCGCCAGGGGCATCACAGTCATCATAAGAGTATCATCCCAGAGCTGCTGATAGTTCTCTGTAATGTATGTGATGTGCTGCATGCCACGGTAACGGGTGCGTGGCAATTCGTACATGGCCCATTCGGCCCAGGCGTCGAGCCACGGCAAGTAAGTGACATTGCCGGTCTTTTCGTACACGTAGGCAAGCGTCAAAAAGACCGCCATGGTGTTGATGTTTTTCGTCGTACCACCCTCCGCGAAACGGGCTGCGAACCATTCTTCGATAATTTGCAACAATCTCTCTTCGCCGGTCAACTCATAGTATTTCCACACGCCGTACAGCCCGATCCCGTGTGTCCACTCCCACCCATGCCACGATTTTGTGTCGATAATTCGCCCATCGGGCAGAGGGAGTAGAAACTTGCCAGTCTCATCTTTGATGTTGACCAAATTGTCAATCAAAAGGTTGACGGCCTTGTGAATTTCGGGACCCGTAGGCTTAGAGGACATTGTAGAGGATAGCGCCAATCAGACCTTTTTGACGGAAAGAGAAATTGAGTAGAATTAGGCTGATGTCCGGCAGTCTGAAGACTCATAAAAGTCTTTCAGGTGGAAGTTCTTCCACTAATAGGCTGTGAAGTTGAGCGCCACCAAAGATCCCCGCGCGGGCCAAGCTCAACTCGGTCAAGAAGGGGCCGAAGTTCCACACCCCCAACATCCCCCAACGTGCCTTTCAATCCCTTTCCCATCGGACCCACTGCACCAAGCGAGCCGACAGTGTCAGGGTTCGGGTTAGTGCATCCCCGGACTTCGACCCCCAGCACGGAGAGACACTAGCATGCCCCTCTTTTCGCCAAGAAAACCCGGGGAACAACAAGACGGGGGCGCTGCTTGGACTCTGTCTTGACTTCTTTTGGCTTTCGGTTAATAGTATATGCTGGGATCGAGCCACATGACTCGTTTAATCAATCCTTGCGTTTTTGGTTAGAGCCCTTTTGGCCGCAAGAATATGCACGGTCCTGACAAAAGGCGGTCCACTATAAGGTCGAGTAGGTCACCCAGCCTACCTCGATTCTGGATCTCGTCGCAGCCTATACCCCTGTGCTTTGTGTTCTCCCAGTCCTCGCAATGACCAAGGACGACCATCCTCAACGGAGCATCGAGCTCACACCCCAACAGGGGATTGAAGCGGTGCCTCTTGAACAGGGAATCGAAGTTGCATCCAGCCAGGAAAGGGGTTTCAAAGATGTTGACATGGGAGAATACAAGAACAAACAGGACATATCGCATGTTGAGAAGGTTCTCTCGGGCCCCGATGACCTTGCGAAAGACAATATGGACATAACACGCGTTGACAAGGAGATTCAAGCCTACGCTGCGCACGGCCAGGTCGAAATTGACGAGGAAACAAACCGTCGGTTAAAAAAACTTATCGATCGTCGTGTCCTTGTTATCATGATCTGCACATACTTTCTGCAAGCCCTTGACAAAGGCACAATGTCGTTTTCTGCCATCATGGGTATCAAGAAGGATGCCAACTTGGAGGATGGTCAAAAGGTAAGCCCAATCATTGAATTGAGAACCAACTTTGCATACTAATATTGGCGGCTGATAGTACTCCTGGCTGACCACTTGTATCTACATCGCTGTCCTGACCGTTGAATACCCTACCAACTGGATCATCCAGAGGGTCCCGATCGGTAAATACCTGGGTATCAACATCTGTCTTTGGGGCGCTATTTTGGCTCTTCATGCAGCCTGTCACAACTTCGCTGGCCTTGTTACCGTCCGAACACTGCTAGGTATCTTCGAGGCATGCTGCCAACCCATTTTTGTGACTTTGTCATCAATGTGGTATAAGAGAGAGGAACAGGCAGCCACTGTCACCTACTGGTAAGTCAAGACAATGCCAATCAATCAAGATATGTGACTTATACGGCATAGGTATATGATGAACGGTGCACAGCAGATCGTTGGTGGCTTGCTGGCCTACTGCTTTACCCTTATCGGAGGCGACAAGGCACTCAAATCTTGGCAAGCTCTGTTCATGACATACGGAGTAATTTCTGTTATCTGGGGCTTGTTCGTTATTTGGTGGATGCCAGATTCCCCTATGCGTGCCAAGTGCTTCAGCGAGGAAGATAAGCGGCTGATGGTGGAACGCCTCCGCTCCAACCAGACCGGTATTCAAAACAGAAAGTTCCGCTCATACCAGATGTGGGAAGCATTGCGCGACCCTCAAATGTGGTGTTACTGTGCTGTGCAGATGTTCACCACTCTTCCCACTAGTGGCTTGGGTGCATTCTTTGGCATCATTGTCTCCAGCTTCAACTTTACCACTCTGCAGACCCAACTGCTTGCAATGGTTCTGGGTGCGTACATCATCGCGATTTTGCTTGGTTCTGCATGGCTCGTCAAGAAAACAGGCCAGAACACACTTATCATGTTGTGCTTTATCATCCCGTAAGTACTCCATTCTTTAATCACCCGAGGGACGTGAACTAATATCATGCAGGTCTTTCATTGGAACCATCGTGTTGATCACAGTCGAAAACACTACGTTGTCAACCAAAGTTGGACTTCTTATCAGTTACTATATCACGATGTCCTTCTGGTCGGCTCAGACTCTCACATTGTCCATGGTATCTCGTAATATTGCTGGCGCAACCAAGAAGTCTACGGTGGTTGCTGCAACTTTCATCTCATGGGCTACTGGAAATGCTATTGGTAAGCACCGTTAATTCAGTCATGGGGTTGAACTCAACTAACATCGACCAGGTCCTCAGGTTTTCCTTGACTGGGATGCTCCACGATACCATATTGCATGGAGTGTTCACCTGGCATGCTACGCTTGTATGGTTGCCGCGGTTGTATACCTTCGCTTCCATTTGAAACGCGAGAATGCTAAAAAGGACAAGATTCTGGCCGAGGCCGGGCTCACCGCGGCTGATCCAAACTTGGTTCATGCCTTTGAAGACAAGACAGACAGGGAAAATCTGAACTTCCGCTACGTTTATTGAGCACCTTGTGTATTTTTACATATTCCATCCACCCAGATGTTGGCACTTTTTTTCAAATAATGAAACTATCCCTACTGCATATACCTAGTGGAATGTTCAGTCCCCCTAGTGTGTGTATAGAGTTGAATTCCACGGGTTGAAAAAAGAACCATGGAGCCGACTCTCCCAATACTCTCACAAACTTTGTGGGAAAGGGGATTTCAAAAACCTTCGAAGAGTTGTAACCCAACACACTGCGTCGTCTCCCACTATCCATGAATCCTTTCAAGTACTGTCAGTTTTGACAGTCGTGTCTCGCTGAGCCTGATGATCAGAGTTCTTCGCCACCGATGAATCATAGATCTCAGAATCAAATCCCTCTTTGACTATCCCGATCTTCCGGGTAACCAAATAGGTTGGTATCAAAGCAATTGCCCAAAGTCCAAAGTTAACACCCATCGCAGCAATAAGCTATGCAGAGTGTCAGAGAACTGCCTGCTATACGCATTCCAAGGCATGAAGTAGCACTGGGATAAACTGACTGGTGCGTGAGTAGAACTTATGCCAGATGCAACAGCCCCGCCGGCTGCTTCAACTGCACGTACAGTCGAAGTTAACCGTACAATCTCAGCGGGGTCACGAGCCATATAGCCTGCTAGCCAATATCCATAGTTATATGCCAGGGCACTGCCAAGTTAGCTCACGATAATCCAACCTTGGAAGTTCTCTCGAATGAACGGTCAGGACGTACAAGTTGACCTGCATCATAATATAGAATGCCCATCCCCGACCAAAGCCAGGATCAGCCCAATCTAGCTTGGGGGCATGTATCTCGTAGCCGTGCTGCACAACGGCTCCCCATATCCACGTTCCTCCAAAAAGAACCATGATAAAAATATACGAGTAACGGGCCCGTTGGTCCAAGGTGAATCGATTCCAGTCAAGGAAAGATCCAAAGAAAAGGTTGGCAGTGATTTGACCTAGTGCAGCAATGAGCGAGGCTAGCGCTCTCGCGCGCACGCTAAAGTAAAGCGAAAGGTACGAGCCGGCGTAAGAAAGCAAGAATGTGGCATAAAAGAAGAATGGGACACTATGCGACCGTGATCAATATGCACCCAACTAGATTTCAGAGGGATGCGACTTACACAAGAAGAAAATCTTTGCGGATCAGAATTTTGAGGATCTCCTTGAACTCGTCAATTGTCTTGATCCTTTTCGCGGTTTTGACCTTTTGGCCATCTGCGCGTATGACTTTGTCGGCAGGGGAGAGCAACAATGCGGCGAAGGGTGCCAGGCATTCTGAATGAAAGTCAATCTCTGATCAGCTCACAATGACCCCAAAGAGACTGACGCAGTGCCACAAATACAATAAATGTTCTCCAGTCAAGTTTTCCTGTGGTTTTCCCTGAGAAATCTACAAGCAGGTTAGCTTTTGGAATGGCTCTTGAAAGACTCCGGTGAGACCGACTGAATGCGAGATTGATAATGCCACCAACAATTGATCCGCTCTGTTGAATTTCAGTACTCGGCTTCCCAAATACTTGGAAAAGGAGGTTCAAACGTTTCGAAAAGCAAGCCAGTATGCCAAATATCTACCTCGCTGCGAGTCAATCGGGTCTGCTGCTTTATCAGCTCGGTTCTTTATAAGGCTCTCATCTTTGATAGAAAACGCACAGCTTATCATGATTGCTCCCTCGGCTGCCCAGAAGATCCCAGCTGTTATACCGCAAGCCGTTGCTCCAAGGTAGACAAACCATTCAGTTCCATATCGGTTGCTAGTATAGAGCGAAGCCGCATACACACAATACCCAGTCGTGCCCAGAATCAGCGCGCTTTTCAAACCTACACGATTCGCTACCAAGCTCCCCGAAAGGCATGTCACAACCATCATCACACCAAGGACCGAGTTGGCCGCCCTTTTCTCCACTGTTAACATAACTAAACGTAGTGAGTAGGTATTTAGAGATTTGACTCACATCACGAGATATGGTGTTTGTTGACCTCCTGCCCCTGTGGATTGCATTGCATTGTAAAGACCAGGCGCAAGAAAAGCGCATATGCCCACGACAGTGGCCTGAAAAAACACTTTCCGATAGAATGGTTGCTTCTCTGTTTCAACCGTGGAGCTTTGGATCTCTGCTACCGCATCACGAGGAAGATCATCAATGCCCATTTTGAGACAGTTGTTCGCTTTGTCGCGCCGTTTTTAATAAACGACATAGAAATGCCAACGAAATACAGTTAATGTTCAATTTTAAGCATGCTCGAGACTGCTCCTAATATATACCAGGAGATCCCTTGCCAAGGTTGGTCCAAAACTTCAAAGCGGATGAGGACCGACTGCCCTCTGGACAAGATGGCCCCGTCAAAGATAACAATAACACGCGAAAGTCACGTCTTCGCTCATTAATTTGCCAATGAGGGGCTTCTCTTAATTCATCTGAACGTGAGCGTTCGGATCTTCGCCGACTGTATGACGATAGTGGTAAGGCGCTACTAGAGATAAGTTTCCAAAGCGCGGACCTGATAGTTTTCAATTGGCTATGGCGTGAACAACTCGCGTAATTGAAAAGTAACAGGAAATCAAGATGAATAGATTACAAGGGGTTTGGGCGTAAATCATGTTATTCAAGCTACAATGATGCAAGGGAGCCGAGCACTTGCGCAATGAGCGGCGCTTTCCCGAGCTTACCCAAATCAACAAGCCTGAGTCAACAAATCGCAATGAAAGTCACTGCTGAAGTATTTGGTTTTCGCAGCTCAAAGACATTTGCTTCTATCTACCCGTGGACCTAGAGTTGTTTGTTCCAGATCATTGAATCACACGCATCGAGGTCACATATATCATGACAAGATCAACCCAAACCGCACAGAATGACATTCCAAATGGCGAGAACAACTTTCCACCATTCACGGCCAAATCGCAGGATCAGACGCAAAATCCATTTGAGCCGTTCAGTTTTGATGGACAGAAAGATACAAGAGACTTCGGTCTACCTTGGAGTGCCCCTTTCCCTGCTGCCATCAAAGTTGTCGACATAGAAACCATCCCACAAGCTGTGTCTTTGATCCGCACGTTTTCACAGAGTGGCCAACTCCGAGAACTTGTGAAGAGCCACGGAGGTGCCATTCTTATTCGTGGTCTTCCTCTGAAAACCCCTTCCGACTACAGCAAAGTCGCCCATGCCTTCGGTTTACAACCTCACGTTGAAGTAGGGCGTCCTCCACTGAGAACAGTACTGGCCCCAAATGTTAAGACTGCGAATGAAGGACCACCAGAGCTTCCCATTTGGCCCCATAACGAGTACGGTTGGTCGACCATAAACCCATCCTGGCTGACTTTCAGCGCACTCGAAATTCCCACCGAGGGTGGGGCCACTCCAATCACCTCCTCAATATACGTGGTATACCGTTTATCAGTACTGGCACCTCACTTTGTTGAGAAATTGCAAAAGCTGGGGGTCAAATACACATACCGTTATACAGTCAATCAGGTGATCTCCAATACAGGCGCGAGCATCCGAGAAGCTTATGGAGTACACGTCAAGGATGAGGATGACGAAGATACAGCGAGACAAAAGATTGAAGCGGAAGTGAGACGCCACAGTGACAGATTTGAGTGGCATGATGATGGCAGCTTGAGTGTGACACATGTGGTTCCTGGTTAGCATTGCTTGAATGGGGGGTTGATTACCAACTAACAAAGCCCTAGCCATCCGCATCCACCAGCCCACCGGAGCTCCGATCTTCTTTGGGAACATCACTTCTGCCTGGGGTCGCAGCAGACATCATGGAGCGACTAGACCACCATTCCGTGGTGATGACGGATCCTATCACCCTCCGCCTCAATTCGGCGATGGCACACCCATGGATGTAAAGGATTTGGATCTATTGTTAGATATTGCAGAGCGGAGCGCAGTGGATATCACATGGAACCAGGGGGATCTGGTGATACTTGACGTGCGTTGCACTTCAATTTGAGAACCGTGCTTCAGTGGTTCCAGACACTAATGATTATCACAGAATTTTGCGGTGCAGCATTCCCGCCAACCCTGGAAGGGCACTCGACTCGTGTTGGCTGCCTTGTGGGAAGACGAAGGGCGAGTTGAAGATTTCCCCGAAGGACGGGAACTTTTGAGTCGCGCGCCCCGATTCCCTATAATTGAAGAATCGATACAGTGAGTAAAGATTTTGGAAGTGAAGCGCTTCCATTGATGGGACCTGGGCGCTCTCAATTCTCCTCAGAATCGCTGTCGGCAGGCTATCTTGAGATATCATGCACAATGGCCTCATTGCCTGGAAATTTGTAACATTAAGCTTTACACAAGTTGTAGTAAATCAAGTACATATTCAACAGATCATATCTTTGACTTCGTTACAGTGCAAATATTCGTGACGCATAATAATATACAAGTATGGGTATCACTCAGTAAACACGAGGTGCGTGACTTCCACGTCCATCAGTTCCATGCATTCTGCGAGTTCCGGCAGCCTTGTTGGGAAAGAAAAGTCAATAAAAGTGTCCTTCTTGGAAAGGCTATTGAGCTAGCCCTTACCTTCACGCCGGGGCGATGCGTCAATGAGCCTTTCAACTTCAACATGGCCCCAGATACCTTATCACCTAGACTTGTTTTGCGTCGGTGATGATGCGCAGGGGTCGTGGCGTAGGCATGGCCACTGCGGCCGTTGGTGTGACCATGGCCGTAGGTTGGCTCAGTGGTGGTTGTAGTCTTCACCGTTCGAGATCTTGCGTTGCGACCCTTCAGTCGGGTCATCAACGTTGGCTTGGAAGTGCGAGTGGTTGTTGTTGCTGGGCGACGTCGATGGAACATTTTGATAGGTATCTCGGTAGAGTACTAGTAGGATTGGATTAAGGTACGAAATAGCTCAGACGAGTTTGTATATGAAAGATGGGATTGGGTGTATGATATGCAGTCAACCAAGGAGATTTAGGGTGCTTAAATAACAGAAGACGAGGAACAGTGTACAGGTAAACAGCATATGGTACGTACGCCAAGCACCATTTCGCCTTCAAAGATTGCAGATCGACATGTTGACAGCAGCGGCGTTCGACCGGCGCGTCATCCGAATGATGATCATAGTCGTACTCCAGTGAGCGTGCGTATATCCTCTCCCTCATCATTGATAGACAATGATATCTTGATGACTGATTGGCGAAGACAGGGATGTAGATTGAAGATATGTCTGGATGATGCAGAAGGGAAATGTTGGAATGATGCTGAGTGCCTGTGATGTCACATGGCCCGTGCATGTGTTTGGATGCCTTTCGGCAGCAACACCGCTTATACCTCCACACTCCAGCCCTAGAGGGATATCGCATATTCACTAGGACAGTTAGTCTTCAAAATGTCCATTGGTATTTATAGGTCATGATCCATCACACGGAGTAGTTTTTCGCCGGTGTTTGCCTGGTTTGCAGGGTCCCCGCTGGTGTAGATAGATCAAGTTAGATCTCTCTCTCTCTCTCTCTCTCTCTCTCTCTCTCTCTCTCTCTCTCTCTTCCCCCTTCTTTCCCCAGGTCTCCGACAATACATGCGGAGTACGCTACGTTCTTGCTCTCTTCGCTCGATGATTTAGACTGGCGACCATCTAACCGATACTCCACAGTCTCTATACTAAATTCAGATACTTTCTGACTCCGTACAGAAGCCGAACTTCCACACAAGCGGGACGAATACGAGCTGGGAGCATAAGAGCCTGGTAAATAATTAGCGACCAAGGCGAGTGGGTCCACGGCGTTCTCGATTCATACTGTACGGAGTAGACTTAAGGGTTAGGATGTGGAAAGTAAAGCTCCTCGCATCGTTTCCGAAGACCCAAGGAACCCTAGTGGTTGCGGCGCAGAAATTATCTCTTTAATTCAGAAGATAGACTGCGCGTAATCTGTACTCCGTGGACTTTGGTGCTTTATCCTCCCCCCATTGACTGGTGGATGGCTTCTAGACCCGCCAAATTCGACACTCGGCAAGGAGTTTCATGCACAATTGCAGATCATAGCTTCTTTCGTATGTAGACAGAAGAAAGTGGCGCAAGTGTAACTGATTTGAGAAGGCCCGCTGCTGACCTGGTTGCTTACCGGAGCTGCCAGTGCCTTTGGGGCAGGGCACCCCCGCACCCCGCCAAGACATAACTATCTGATGGGGACCAATGACTCTGCAGCTGTAGGAGTTAGTGTGAAACTTCCACATAACAGCCCGAGACACCGGGAATCTTTCCCTTCAAAGTTCACATCTAAGGCGCAGAGTGATGGTCTGATGTGGGTACATGAAAATAAATAAATGTACAGAGCTTCTCCCCTTCGGAAATCATCTCCTGGCGTCTACTTTTCTCGAATATCTTCATAGTCAATCCCACAAAGCTCAATATGGCCGGCCAGTTGGACTTCTCTGTGAGTTTCATAACATCCATCAGTGCCTGGGTGGGATTGAATCTCTGACATCGCGCTAGACTTTTCACAATGTGATCAACAACGAATTGACACAAACATCACAAACCCGACATGGCATCAACCCCGCCAACAGTCAACCAAACCCTCCGGTCCCTGTTTCGACCCAGGATGATCTTGATACGGCGGTCAAAGCAGCGCAAGCGGCTTTCAAGGCTTGGTCCAAAACTTCATTTGAGCAACGTCGAAAGGCCCTATCTGCGTGGGCAGACGCCATTGAAGCCAACATCGGCGGCTTCTCTAAGACCCTGACCATGGAACAAGGAAAACCCCTGTCGCAATCTTCCGCCGAGGTCGGCATGGCAGGTACTTGGATTCGGGAACTGAGCTCCATTGAGATCCCCGACAATGTCATTGAAGAGACCGACGATAGAAAGATTGTTCAACGCCACACACCTCTCGGCGTGGTAGGCGCAATTGTGCCTTGGAATTTCCCTATCCTTCTGGCTGTCAGCAAGATCGCTTCGGCTGTTTATACTGGAAACACAGTGATCGTGAAGCCATCTCCATTTACGCCGTACTGCGACTTGAAGCTGGCTGAACTTGCCATCCAATTCTTCCCTCCTGGGGTGGTTCAAAGTCTGAGTGGCGATGATACCCTCGGGCCAATGATCACTGAACACCCTGACATTGATAAAATCAGCTTTACTGGCTCTATAATCACCGGAAAGCGGGTGATGGCCTCCTGCGCCAAGACGCTCAAGCGTGTGACTCTCGAACTAGGCGGCAATGACCCAGCCATCATCTGCGAGGATGTTGACATTGATGCCATCATTCCCAAGATCGGAATCCTGTCTTATCTGTGCAGTGCGCAGATCTGTATGATGATCAAACGACTCTATGTGCACGAGAACATTTACGACGAGTTCTTGGACAAGCTGGTCACTTTCGTCAAGTCCTTGAAAGTTGGCGATGGCACCGAAGCCGATACTTTCTTCGGCCCTGTTCAAAACAAGATGCAATTCGACAAGGCGAAGGATCTGTTCAGCACCCTGTCCACCGAGAACCTCAAAGCCGCCCTGTGTGGCTCGATTGAGAGTTCTTCAGGATACTACATCCACCCGACCATCGTGGATAACCCCCCAGAGGGATCTCGGGTAGTACAGGAGGAGGCATTCGCTCCAATTTTGCCAGTATTGAAATGGTCGGACGAGGATGATGTTATTGAACGCGCCAACGCACTGAAGACTGGGCTCGGCTCTTCGGTGTGGAGTAAAGACTTCGACCGGGCAACCCGTATCGCCGACCAGCTTCAGTCTGGTAGCGTTTGGGTCAACAGCCATTTCGATGTCTCTCCCACGGCACCCATGGGTGGACACAAGGAGAGTGGAATGGGTGTGGAATGGGGTCTGACTGGTCTGCTCGGATACTGTAATTCTCAGACCCAGTGGCTTAAAAAGAGTTTTTAGTTAGGAAGCACCTGGCATTTTGAGCATATTGAACGCGAGTCAAGCACATGAGTGAAGATAGTGGCAGATGTCATAGAAATTGTGAAGCTCAGTGCCAAGAGTCTTATCGTCCACCCGACGGGGTTCGTACATCGGCGGTCTCCGATGTCGCGGTTTTCATTTATAAATACCAGGGTCCTGGACACGATATACCTCGATTATACTGTAAAATCAGATCCACAGCTGATTGTCTTGTTTCCGCAAATATTGGATCTCTTATTTTTCCACAATCACCATGTTGTATACTCGTGCCACTATCGTGACTGTTGATGCTTCGCGTCGCATCATCACGGATGGCGCGATTCGTGTGGTTGGCAATGTCATTGAAGATATTGGCAAGGCCGAGACCCTGGAGGAGAGATATCCTGGCGAGGAGGAATGCGATCTCTCCGGTCGGATCATCATTCCTGGGTTGATCTCGACCCACATGCATACGGCACAGACCCTCCTGCGAGGCACCGCCGATGACCTGGAGCTGGTGTCATGGCTGTGTGAGCGGATCTGGGTCCTTCAAGGCAATTTCACCGCCGAAGATGGGTACGCTGCGGCACGCTTGAGTATTGGAGAAATGCTGAAGTCTGGCACGACTTGTTTTTTGGAAAGCATGGTGAGAGACCTGCATGGATACCCGCTTGTGTGTTCTTCGCAAGAGATCTGACGAATCGCAGTTTGCCGACCGATACGGCTTCGAGGGTCTCTGTCGTGCCGTTGAAGAAAGTGGCATTCGTGGCTGTCTCGGCAAGATCGTCATGGATATTGCCAAATACGCTCAGGACGATGCATGGGCTATGCATCCTGGCCTCGTCGAGGACCGTGAGACCTCACTGCTGGGCACGGTCAATATGTGGGAGAAGTGGAACGGAGCAGCCAACGACAGAATCAGAGTGTGGTTCGGTGCTAGGACCCCCGGAGGGTAGGTAGTATCAAGTTGCCATCACCAACGAAGTCAGTGCTAACGACAATCAAGAGTATCCGACGCGCTTTACAAAGAAATGACGAGCATTTCTAAGGAGAAGGGTATCCCTATCACCATGCATTGTGCTGAAGTCAAGGCCGATCGTGACTTCTTCTCGTCCGTCTCTCACACTCCGATGTCATACTGTGACTCGGTTGGCTTGCTGGGTGATTCCACAGTCCTTGTTCACATGGTTCACCTGGATGATTCGGATATCAAGTAAGAAGTTGATATCGAACTTGACTTGCACTGGCTAACATCGTGGTCAAGGCTTCTCTCTTCTTCGGGGACACATGTGGCACATTGCCCGACCTCCAATGCAAAGGTAAGTGTTCCGTGTTGACAGCAGCGCCCCAAAAAAACCACTTATTTCACATCTAGCTCGCATCTGGCATCTGCCGTGTTCCTGATCTTCAGCGAGCTGGAGTCAATATTGGACTAGGCACCGATGGTGCCCCATGTAACAACACCTGCGATCTGCTGCAGGAGATGAAGCTTGCCGCGATAATCCACAAGGGAATATCGCAAGATCCAACGGCCGTGCCAGCAGAGAGTGTACTTGAGATGGCCACAATCAACGGTGCCCGAGCCCTTGGCTTGGAAGACCGGATTGGTAGCCTAGAGATCGGCAAGAAAGCCGACTTTGTAGCGATTGACGTGCGCGGAATCCACACGCAGCCATGGTTCAACCCCGTCAGTGCGGTTGTGTACACCGCCACAGGCCGGGACGTTGATACTGTTGTGGTCGATGGTCAGGTGGTTGTCCGGAACGGAGCGCTGTTGACGATGAGTGAAGAGGCAATCGTTCAGGAGGCCAAAATGAGGAGTAAGGAGGTGGTTGAAAGGGCCGGGTTGGGCGTGAAGGTTCAACCTCGTTGGCCTGTCGAGTAGGGTAGTAAGTCAGACAGGTTGGCCCGCTAGACGAGAATCGAGGAAGGTAGTTGTTGAACACGGATCCTTGCACCTTTTGCCGGGAATATTATGGCCAGCACTCAATCAAGCATGGGTTTTCTGAGGACGAATTTTATAGCGTAGGGAAAGGAAGGGAGGACGTGGAGGTTTTCGATCTAAAGAGGTTGGAAGTAACTCAAGTTGCTTAGGCTGCCCGCGAGAAGCCAGGAGGATGTGATGTATAGAGAACAGATGCGTGTTGTGCGTGTTAGCTATAAGTTAATATACAAGAAATCAAGCATGGCCACATCTTCAACGCTTTTTTGCAGCAAAAACTGTGTGGTTTGTTTTGTTCAGCCACCCGGCTGCAGACACGCCGGTCTTGGAACCAGCCATAAGGGTGAATCCGCTGTCCATAAAATACAATGTCGCGAAACCGCAGTCTGTCAAAGGTGGTATTAGAAGCGGGTAAAGAGCAAACAGATCTCTATGGCATGTTGAACAATGATGACACCGACCGAACACCTGAGGAGAGAGACTCAATGTGGAGATGTTGTTATGAAGACAGGATGAGAAGAGGGAATGGTGTGGCAGCAATCGTGGAGTGATGGGTCAATCGCTTTCGTAAATGGTTGAGGAGGTATTTAAGCGAGGGCCTTCTGGTCGGAGGGAGGAGGGGGAGGGAGCTGAAAGTGAGTTATGGTTAGCAAGAACGTGCATTCGCCAGAGTCAGAATTGTTTGGTTGGCGATACCTCGAGCTTTGTGTTATCGGCCATCATGCGCTGGAATCCAATACCAACACCCTCGATGACAGCAAGGAAGACAGCACACATGATCGCGGAGTTTCGGGCAGCTTTAACACCACCACGGACGGCGAGGGAACCACCGGTGAAGAAACCAGCGATGATAGCGTTCCATGGATCTTCCTTCTTGCGCATGCCCTTGATGGCGCAGTCGTACTGGAAGATGATTAGCGATGATCAGACCTGCCTCAAGAAAGGGACCGCGTACTGTGCTGAAAAGACCTCCCCAAACACCGAAGTTACCACCGAGAACGGGAGCGCGCGCCTTGATGGCAGTAAGCGCACCTATCCGGCGCTCGCCGTAGGGGCTATTGCGGAAACCTTTGATACCGTGCCAGACGGAACCACCGATGGCACCCATGCAGAAGGCACCTCCGAAGTCGCTCAGGGCAACCCATGGGCAGGGATCGCGCGTGTGATCCATTATGTGTTATCGAATTGGACGATGGCGAAAAGGCCGGGTATAGAGTCGAGGGAATCGAGCGGGTCGCGGGTTGAAGGTGATGAATGGAGTGAGATAGGCCTGAGCAGTGACGCCGAATGCCGATGACTTTTTCCAGTGCACGTGACCGCAACATCGCCCAACTCTTTGATTCTCCTCCCATTCGCTCGGGTTGCTCAGGGCCGGGTTTCCTGTCCGTAAGGAATGGCTTTTTTTTGGCTCAAATGTCCTGTCAAGCTTGGTATACATCCTACTTCTCTGTGCACTGTAGAGTCCATCTACGTGTGTGGTACCTCATTGGAAGCCAAGAATTGAATGTCAAGCTGGAGCAATATGTTTGACATTGTTTGCGTCATAATAATGCACCTAGCTGAAATCTTTTGAGAGGTCGAGGTAATGATGCTATGCTCTCGAAAATTGGTATTTATGAGATCTTTATGGAGCCCCAGGGCTTGTGGGGTATGCAGGTGTATAGCGCTCACGTAACTATTCCAGTGAACCTTGGAATCCACTGTGTAGATTACTTCAGAGGCATGAAGATATCCAAATTAAGGCTATCAAACCCGCTCTCTCTAATACGAAGAGTAATCCTTTTTTGGAACTACAGAATTGGTGCTTGTTTTACAAGTAAAGATCCTCCGGGTCTTCGTCCCCTTTTCCTTCTTGTGCTTCTTTTCACCACCCTCACAATCTTATTTCGAGGGTTTAAAAGGCGCTATCCCCTTTACATTAAAAGCTTGTGTTGACTGTGATGGGCTCGAATACTGATCACTTCCTCCAATGAGCACTTGCTCGTCCGCTCCACCTCGGGCACTGTTGAATGGATCAAAGCACAGCCCCCGCGGACAAGGACAACAGAACATACCTGCTTTCATAAACCACTTGCATTTGAACTGTGCGCATCCAGGTCTACATCTCGTTCCTTAATTGCTGTATTTCAAAAATGTCCTCAGAGTTGGTTGACAGCGGTTTTGTGTCCAGCGAAGAGCAAACCATCGCCCTCCTGGGTGAAATACAAGATTGGCAAATCAATCACGGCTCTTTGCTTAAGAATGTCAAATCTCAATCAGAGCATAGTGTTTACTCTTACCCCGTAGGCGTGAGCGTCTATCCTTCTCCTTTTCCGCAATCGGAGTTCCGCCGAGCAATGGAAATACAGTTGATATATAACGAGCTTTACACGGCAATCGCTAGCAATGAAGACTGGCTTTATCATGTCACGAACGAAATGGTTTCCAGTCATCCCCTCGCAAATGCTCTGTGGGCGATTCACCGTCAGACCAAAGCAGCGGGTGCCGCACAGGAGATATCAGCTGCAATCTTTCGATCAGACTACATGCTCCACATGAGCAACAAACCGTCATCGTCAAATGATTGCATTGAACCGACATTGAAGCAAGTCGAGTTCAATACATTCTCATGTGCAGGCGCCAGCCACGCAAAAAGAGTTGCAGATATGCATCGCTACATGACTCGAACTGGGGCCTATGATTTGGAAACTGCGACCGGACAACACAACCCGAACGCACTTTCCCTTCCGTCCAATGATAACATAGACTCCCTGGCGTCCTTGTTAGCCTCGGCTCATGCGGCCTATGGTGCCCCAAAGAATGACACGGCGAAACGAACGGCCCTGTTGTACATTGTTCAGCCATACAACTTCAACATCGCGGATGAAAGACCGATTGAATATGCACTGTGGAACCGAGATCCGCCGGTCCCTACATATCGGCTTAATTGGGGAGATGACATCCTGCAACACACCTCCCTCACGGATACACAAGAATTGCTGTTCCACCCGCCGGGGCTGCCTGTCCGCGATCCTATGGAGATTTCTGTGGTGTACATGAGAGCCGGGTATGAGGGACACGAATATGATGACATTGGACAACAAGCGCGTCTACGCCTCGAGATGTCCTCCGCCATAAAATGTCCGTCTATCCTGTCGCATATCGCTACCTTTAAAAAGGTCCAACAAGCATTGATTGCGCCTGGTGAATTGGAACGGTTTCTGACACCCGAAAAGGCTGCTGTCATCCGAAAAACGTTTGTCATGCAATATCCTCTGGACAAAACTACGGAGGGTCTGTTTGCTCGGCAAATAGTCCATGATGGGGATTGTTCCAATTATATCTTGAAGCCGTCGTTGGAGGGTGGAGGGAACAATATTTACGATCGCATACCTGAATTTCTTGAATCCACACCAACTGCTGCATGGGCCTCATACATCATGATGGAGCGCATCCAACCCCCAAAGTCGAGAAATGTATTGATGGGCCCATCAGGGGTGGAAGAAGGCCCAGTGGTGTCAGAACTTGGTATCTATGGGGCTTGTCTCTGGAAACAAACAAATCAACAGAGTGAAATGTTACACAACAGCTGTGCCGGTTGGTCATTCAAAACCAAACATGCGCATATTGACGAGATGAGTGTTGTTAAAGGTTATGGGTGTTTTGACACCCCTTGTCTGCAATGATTCGGAATTTTCATTTGCCCCGAGGAGAGGGTGTTGACTAGAATGCGGACATATTTCAAGGCCTCAAAGCCAGCATATACATGTATGCAGTGCCAGTAATATTTTGACAATTCTCATTCCGCAATGTATAGATCCATACACATGCGCTCCCCTGAGGTTGATGTTCCTGAAGTTGGTATTTGAAGGAAGTTGTGATTGGCTCTGCAGCCGCCGTTGGCTCCCCCCACTTCGCTGTGCACCCGACCTTTTCTTTACTTGCGCTGCCTGACGCCTTCCGTCTTTGTTGCTTCTTTGTTTTGTTTGTTTTTTGGTAGCCTTGTAAAGCCGTGTTTCTTCCTCACCATGCCATCTACGGCCATGATGGAAAGCACTCAGCTTGCCTACCAGTCTCGTGGCTACCAGTTGGAAATGTTGGAGGCCAGCTGCAAAGAAAACATTATCGTCGCAGTATGTCGCTTTATTAATACTCCAGTGGGAATATGCTGACTGAACCACAGATGGATACAGGGAGTGGTAAAACCCATATGTACGTTGAATGTCAGACTAGTTGCTCGGGAATCTGTTAACCTGTTTCAAAAGTGCCATTCTCCGCATGATTGTTGAGCTTGAAAGATGTTCTCCAGAGAAGGTAGAATTTCTCCTTTGACTGTGGTGGATCCCTACTTATGTGATCTAGTTGGTCTGGTTTCTTGTGCCAACAGTGGCCTTGTGTCTCCAGCAACACGAAGTCATTAAAAGTCAAATACCCACCGTCAAAACCAAAATATTGACCGGCATGGACAACGTCGACCGCTGGACGGATCAGAGCATTTGGGATGCGGTCCTCAAAGATACTCGGATTGTCATATCCACTCATGCGGTCCTTGCAGATGCTCTGGGCCATGGCTTCGTTCAGATGTCCCGAATAGCATTGCTTGTCTTTGATGAAGGTAATTACTTCACCCCCTGGGGTATGAGCATTGCGGACGGCTGATGATTATGTAGCTCATCATTGTAGAGGGCGCCATCCAGCGAATAGGATCATGCAAAATCACTATCATCCTACTTTGCAGAGGTCTGGCCGAGACTCCGTACCCGCCATTCTCGGACTTACCGCTAGTCCAGTGGTCCAGTCAAAGAAGAACGAGCTTGAGTGAGTCAATCCCCTCGTACTCGATCTTTCCATCTCCTCTTGGCATGGTTTCTTCATCCTACCCAACTAATGTCGTTTGATCGTAGAGCGATCGAAGCCAATCTGGACGCGGTGTGCAAAACTCCACGCGAGCATCGCGCGGGTCTTTTGGAGAATACGCATCGTCCCCATTTGAATCGCATAGACTATGCACCATTTGACAAAGAGCACTATGCTATTGGAAGCCAATTGCTCTTGTCCCTCATCAAATGCTGTGGGTCTTACAATCTTGAAGAGGACCCATGGGTGATGTCGTTGCGAGAAAAGGCTGAGACCCTTCAGTTAGAAGAAGTGCTCGAGAGTGGCCAAACGTTTTGCAGTGAGCAGCTCAGAAAGTTCTTGGAACGCAGCTGCCACATTTACGAGGAGCTTGGAGGCTGGGCCACTGACACTTATATCAGTACCTCGATCGATCGACTCAGGATATCGATCCAGGAAGCACGTGAAATGTCACATCTCGACCAAATGGAGAGATTGCATCTCTTGGAACAACTGCGCGCAATTCCCGCGCGTGATGATAGTCGGCAGAGCCAGCATATCTCTTTCAAGCTCCAGACTCTTTTCAACTTTCTATCCAAAAAGACAGGGGAGAAATTCTCTGGTCTCATCTTTGCGAAGAGAAGAGTCACAGTCAGCATGTTGGTCCATATATTCTCAATGCACCCAAAAACAAGGGACATCTTTAATTGTGGCGCTTTTGTTGGCTGGGCTAGCAGTCATAGCCGCAAGGATTCTCTCGGTGATCTGCTTCATCGGGAGGGCCAACGGGATGTCCTTGAAGATTTTCGGACTGGTAAAAAGAACCTTCTGGTTGCTACTGATGTGCTTGAAGAGGGCATAGATGTGAGCGCTTGTAACCTGGTTATATGCTTTGATAAACCCGCAAACCTTAAGTCTTTCGTTCAGCGACGTGGACGTGCTCGGCACCAGGAATCAACATTTGCTGTCATGATCTCGACCGAAGATGAATCCTTGAATATTCATAAATGGCAGGAGTTAGAAGAGGTTATGATTGAAGCGTATCAAGATGAAACGCGTCACCGCAAAGAGGCATGGGAGCTGGAGGGCGCCGAGGAGAGCGTGAGAGAGAGATTGTGGGTGGAGAAAACCAAGTGAGAGCCCCCCTGCCTCTTCTTGATATCTACTTACCTTCTTAGTGCGCTTTTGACTCCGGACGACGCGATTCAACACCTGCATCATTTCTGTGACGTTTTGCCTGTTGACGAGCACGTTGACAACCGACCCGTGTTTTCCTTTGAAGAAGATCAAGGGCTGATTCGTGGCATCGTGACCTTGCCCAACTCTGTACACCCATCTGTCCGCCAGACACGAGGTAAAGCTATGTGGCGTACTGAGAGAGCGGCCGGGAAAGAGGCCGCGTTCCAGACCTACAAGTCCCTGTATGAGTATGGCTTGGTAAACGACAACCTATTGCCCTTGGCAAAAAAGCCTGAGTTGCGATTTGCCGACTCTAAGGCTCTCCCGTCAATCCTGGATGGGATGGAGCAATATGACCCTTACATGAATCTCGCGAGGGCGTGGGGCTCAGGCCATCTCTTTCAAAGTCGGCTGAGGATATCTAACAATGGGGTTGAAGATGAGGATTGGGCCATCTGTCTGGTTTTGCCAGCCCATGTTCCTATGCCTGATCCAATACCGCTTTATTTGGACACAGAGACCACGTTATCCCTGTCTTTTGATCCACCAACACTGATTCCGTCTACAACCTCGGACCATTTGGAGCAGATGAGACGAACCACCTTCATGTACCTCCAAGCACCGAGCTCCCGAATTCGGGGCGAAGAGCGGGACTACGTGGCGCTTTTCATTCCTGATACCCCACACAACCTTCTAGGTGAATGGCTTCTCAAATATGATGGAGTCGAGTCGGCGTTGGAGATGCACTCCAGAGACCCGACTTTGACGCCACCCGGCATCGTCCGCGACAAATCCAAATTCAGTGAGCCTCGAATTTTCACTAAATGGATCGTCCCTGAAAATGCGTCAAAGTCATCGCCAGTAGAATTGGAATGCCGATCCTTGCAACGCCGGCGAAATCTACTCCAGACGCGGACGTCGACGAGTTCTGAAGACGGGGAGGCCGAGGCGCCCAGAAAGACATTCATAATTCCAGCCGCAACCTGCGACGTTGACAAGCTTCCTCAGAAGCAAGCCATCTTTGGACTTATGATTTCAGCAATTCTAGACAGACTAGAGGCTTCTTCGGTAGCTCATTGCTTGAACGATACCATTTTGAAAGGAGTGGGCATCACAGACATTCACCATGTTATCACTGCGATTACAACACCCCTTGCACAGGCCAGTGTCAATTACCAGAGATATGAGTTCTTTGGTGACTCTGTTTTGAAGTTCACTGTTAGCTGTCAGCTCTTCTTTCGCAACAAGACATGGCACGAAGGCTATCTATCGGAGAGCCGAGACAAGCTTATCCAAAACAGCCACCTGACTCGCGCTGCCCTGGATACTGGTATCGACACCTTCATTCTGACCAATCGGTTCACTCCTCGCAAATGGAACGCGCCTTTAATCAGGAACAAACTGAACCCGAAAATCAAGACGAGACGTTTATCAAGCAAGGTTCTAGCGGACGTCGTCGAGTCGCTCATCGGAGCAGCTTATGTCGATGGGGGCATTCGTAAAGCCCAAGCTTGTCTCCATCGGTTTCTGCCTGAGATCAATCTCTTCACCAGTGACATCTCGCCGGAGATCATGCCACGTGGAAAGGGCGTTAGCAACTTGATCAATGAACACCAATTAGCTGGCCTGATTGGGTACACTTTCAAGGATCCGGCTTTATTGACAGAAGCGCTTACTCACGCTTCCTGTGAGTACGACACGGGCACGCAGTCCTATCAGCGTCTTGAATTCCTCGGCGATGCTGTTTTGGACATGGTGGTCATGGCCATAATAGCAGAGCACCCCACACAAATGGACCAAGGGCCTATGACCATTCTCAAACATTCAGTTGTAAATGCCAACCTCCTGGCATTTTTCTGTATGGAACTCAGCGCTCCGGATGAATCAATGGACGTCGAAGTCTCCGAAAACGGAATTCACCACGTTCCACGCTACGACAGCATCCATCTTTGGCGGTTCCTTCGCTCCCACGGCCCGAATATTACGGCAGCGCGTGAATCCTGTTTAGAGCGCCACCGAGCTCTTCGTGATGAGATCCAACACGCGTTGCGACACGGACAAGAGTACCCCTGGGAGCTCTTTGCCCGACTCCGCGCGGATAAATTCCTCTCCGACATCATAGAGAGTACCCTTGGGGCGATATTCATCGACTGTGGCGGTGATCTGGATATTTGTCGGGAGTTTGTCGAGCGCATCGGGTTGGTGTGGTATGTCCAACGAATCATCGCCGACAACGTGAATGTCGTGCATCCTCGAAATATTGCGCAGAGTATGACGAAAAGCTCGGGCATCTTGGTGTTCAATCGAAAGAGGGTTGAGTCAAAGAACGGTGCTACCTATCGATGCTCAGCGATAGTCAACAAGGTTGAGATTGCATTGGTAGAGGGCTGTGCATCGGGCGAGGAGGCCGAGGTGAAGGTTGCCAATCTTGCTATCCAGCGCCTCAAGGCGGATCCCACGATGCTCACAACGTGATAGACATGGTCTGCTTGTGATTAGTTGCTGCATAAGAATTCCATTGAATATGTCAATATCTAAATCGGCTTTTCGCACCGAGGTAAGCTAAGAATAGAATCGCTTCAGCAAGATATGTATTGATAATATGATACGAATCAATGGTGAGTAGTCCAGGGAGGCTAGCCTACTGCTTTCCTTTGCCCTTCCCACCGCGCTTTGACCGGCGCACAGGCTCAGGCTTAGATTCTTCTGCCTGCTCTTCCTCAGAGCTATCGGAAACCCCCCGTTCTTCTTCAACCATGACGGCCTCGTCATTGCCCTCCGAGGACTGGGTATCCACGTCTGCCTTCGACACAGGCTCCCACGACCCCTCGGTAGGTGCGCCATCCTGACGCAGACTACTGAGAATCTTTGTGGCCTCGCTCTCAACCCCATTCCAAGCACCGCAGCTACCGCAGCGCCAGCGACCGAGCTCCTCCGGTGTTTTGATCCCAGGAGGTGCTTGGCCGTTCACCAGCCGACATTGTGTGCAGATCATAACCATCCGGTTGCGGGGCTGTGTTTCGTCTTCGCCCAACAGCACATCCAGAAGACGATCGTACCAGTGTGGTTGTTCGATGTACTCTCCACTGTTGGAGTAAGCATTTGGTGCAAAGCTTCCTTGCTCCGCGGAATTCTGAGGGTTAGGGGTGGAAGGGACTGCTGGACCTGCGGAGGCGCGTGCGCGAGCTCGATAGGGGGAGAAGGAGGCTGGGGTGAGGGGTTGCTCGGGGTTTGCGGTGCGGAGGGAGGGCGCCGAATGTTTGCAGTGGGTGGTGGAGGAAGACCAGTGCGGGGGGCCGGTGATTGATGTTGAGGAGGCTGCTGTTTGCCAGTGTCGCTCTTCGGAGCTGGAGATGCCTTGGGAGACTCGGCGCCATACTTCTCAAGCAGCTCTTGGGTGGTGTTATATTTGGTTGCAACTTTGAGCTTCTCGATGGTTTCTTCGCGCTGGTTGTGGAAGTCGTCAAGACGAGCTTGGTTGCGAGATATTTGGTAATCAAAGAACTTGGAGCTGGTCTTGCGAACTCCATAGATTCTAAAGATGTCAAAAATCAACGTCAGTGGTGCTTAAATTTGCGGAGAAGTGAGAGACAAACACAACCGGCCCGCCCGCAATAGCTGCATATTCCCTGACGCCCCAGCTGTCCCACCCGAAGACCAAGGTGATTGTGATTGTGTAAAATAGATAGGCAAAGGTTGAGTAGAGAGTCCAAAGTGCCTTCACTCTGCGCGAGGATTGACGTTGCTGATCAAGGCGCGCGGTGGTTTGGGCGATCTTCGTGGACAGCGTGGACAGCGTCTTCTCGAAAGAAGCCGCGGAGTTGTCATCGCCCTGGATGCTGTCAGTCACATTGTTGAGAGCACCTATGAGGGGCACACAGAGAACTCACCTTCCAGGGCCAAAAGGAGACCATGATTACATTGAAGGAAGAGAAGCTCAGCTTGTGCCTGGGAAGGCGACGTTGTGCACGGACCACCACTGTGATCTATTGATTCGCTCACTTTTCTTTTGTCCTCTACTTCTGCAGCTCGTGTGAAACTATTGTGATTTGATTTCATTGCACGTAAATTTATCATCTAGATTTACATTGATTCAGATAGTGTTTTTCCCACCCCTATTTGGCAAGGGTGTTTCCAAGCTCGGCAGCCCGGGAGGTGGCAGCCTGCACGGACTTGTCAACAGTCTCCTTGAAGTTGAGGGACTCGAACATTTGAAGAGCTGCATGAGTAGTGCCGTTGGGGCTGGTGACATTCTTGCGCAGCTGAGAAGGGGCATCGGAGCTCTCGACCAGCATCTTGCCGGCTCCAAGACAGGTCTGTGTAGCTAAGCGAGTGGCTTGTTCCTCAGACAGACCCAGAGCGGTAGCACTTGCGACTAGGTGCTCGACCATGGCGAAAAAGTACGCAGGTCCAGATCCTGAATTCGGTCAGTTGAGCTGTGGCTTTGGACATTCAAGGGAGTCGCGACGTGCGTCGGGGGAACTTACCGGAAAGACCAGTGACGACATCCAGAAGCTCCTCGCGGTCAACCCATTCAGTAGCCTTGCTCACACTTTCGAGCATAGCGTTGACGAGCGATTTCTCATCCGCGGTAACATCAGCACTGGCGAAAACACCGGAGGCGCCCTCGCCGACTAAAGCAGGAGTGTTGGGCATGACGCGGACAGTGTGGGCAGTACGACCGTCGCTCGTCTTCAACCAGCCCTTCAGGCTATCAAGGGTGATGCCGGCCGCGATACTGACGACAACGGGCAGAGTGGCGCGGGGGGACCAAGCAGCACCGAGCTCCTCACACACGCCTTTTGTGACCTGCGGTTTGACGGCAATGATGATCAAGTCCGCATCGCCGCCGGCATCAACATTGGAGGTGGTGGTGCGGACACCCAGCGCGGCCATCTTCTCACGGTTGACATCCCACGGCTCGGAGACGCAGATGTTCTGCTTGTTGACGCCCTTGCTGACCAATCCACCGATGATGGCGGAGGCCATGTTGCCACCACCGATAAATGCCAATTTGCTCTCTTGAAGGGTAGGCATTGTGTGGTATGTGATGTGTGACTCTTCCAAGAGCCTGGGGACTCCCGCAGTTATTTAAAAGTTTGGTGGGGCAGCTTTCACCGGCCCGGTGAACTGCGGAGCGTCCATCCGCCGTGCACTTGGGGCATATCCTTTCTATTTGCTAATGACATTGGCATATCTGAGGTTTTATGGAGAATCTGGGTTATCTGCCGGTACCCCGCATTTGACTTGGTTTCGGATTTTTGGACTATTGATCCATTCCACTTTACCGATGTGCTTCACCAGAGGGATCCGAGGTTGAGTGGCTCCCTAGATTACTGACTCTTCTCCAGAGAAGGCCTACACAAGAGAAAAGAATAGGCTTCATCAAAAGGAATGAACCGCAGACAATGGCAGTGTCCAGTTCCATGATCGCCCATATCAAAGACAAGGAGCTTGCGTCTGACATCGTTCCCAGGTTGTCAGTAGTGTGAACGAATCTATGAATCGAGTTGCTCAAAACTCACATATAAGATTGTTAGTTTCATACTTTTTCAGCTCCACTATACGTAATATGCTAAAGATGCAGACTCTTTCAGAAATCATAGTTAGCGCAACCACAGAGGCCTCGAGAGGATCGGGGAAACCTTACAAGCATCCGATGGTGAACAAAATTGTCAACTCAATCTTCTCATGACGAGGAATTTGTAGATTCCATACCACAGGGAGTGGTAAGCACAGAATGAAAACATCTTCCGCCGACGAGAGAGCACCGATGATGATGAAAAAGGTGGTCTGTCCGGACATGCAGTGTCCTTTGATCTCCTTTATCCAGAAATATTGAACCGGCCAGCATTGGAGGGTATTTCCCACTAAAGCTGTGATCCCCCATGCTGCAACAAAGATGATGGCTCCACTGATACTTCGTCGGAACCAGTCTACCGTGCCGAGCAGTTTCCGAAGTAATATCAAGATGGATATCTTAACAAATACTTGAGCGGAAGGCCAAAACTTGGTCAAAATCCAATTTGCCTGCACGGTATCAGTAAATCTAACCCTAAATTAGCACATCACCAGTCTCACCAGAGCGATCTGACGCCGTTGTTCCACTGGAAATTCCCAAATATTCCTCCCGGAGCCAATGTCAAGGAAGCCCGCTGGACACAAGTTATAATCTTGGAAGAAGGTGTCATTGCGAGGGAGATTGCGGACTCACAATACACGATGCACGCCGCGACGCCGTAAGTACATATCAAACCCACTCCCATCAAGATATCTTCAACTCGAAGTCCACGTAGTACCTTCAGACGAGAGTAGATCCGGAGTGTGAAGCACAGAGTTGCAAAAGCAGTAGCAACGATGGGGACTATGATCAGGACGTGTTTCCAATAGTCTGGTCCGTGGAGCATGCTTGGCACCTCGATCCGGACATGTGGAGACTGGGAAGACTGAGGTTATTTTGACCCGCAGAGACTATGCGGTAGAGTTTAGCGAATCTCATGGTATCAGCATGACAGATATGGTCATGCAGACGGTGAATTATGAAGAGTGCAGAGCAAAAAACAAAAAATTACTCCCCAAGGCCAGAAGGAAATGGTGGCTGTGTGGCGCTCAAAATGTTGATGTCACTTTGGCGAATCTAGGTCAGCGCCGTTTATTTTCAACGATTGGCGGTTCCTCTTTTCTGAACCTTGGAAGATTCTATAATAACTTTGGAAAGCTAATAACAGCCCTATAACAGCTCTTGTTCCTCTAGTTTCCGTAGTACAAACCAAGGATCCGTTCCTCACGAGCCGCAGTCATTGTCAACCGAGCTTGTATAGACCCTTAAGCCGCTAGTTCGCCTGCCATGGGCTCTTTCTACAAATTTTTCTATCAGCACACGATATGAATATATGAGATTGCAGTTTTTGGATGTCTTGGATGGCATTTAATTTCAGACATACAGATCACCAACCTTGGAAGGTACGAGAATCATCGCTCCCTCGCAGTTGCTGATACCCACTCTCATGAAAGATTGAATACTCTGAAGGGGATCACCAGTTTAAACTGAGCTCTACGACTCAGAAAGGCCGCGTTGTCTTTGCTTGAGGTCGGCTATCCCTCAGGTACAGCTCCTTTCCTTGTCTTTTTTTTTTTTTTTTTCAAAGTTGTCTCCCTCCTATCTCACCCTCTCACCCACTCACTCCCTTACTCGCCCATCCTATCTCTATCTCTCTCTCTATCTCTCTCTCTATCTCTCTCTCTATCTCTCTCTTGGGCGATACCATCACCATTCCATCCAACTTTCAACTTCTGTCATCATCCACAGACTCAAATCCACCAGATTGGGGATCACACCCATCCCCGAGAGAGCGTAGGGGCATCCCCATACGCAGCATCGAGCCGACCGAGACAGATATGACAGAGCCGATCAGTCAGGGTTTGAAGAGGAAGAGGAAGAATGAAAAAGAGGGAGAACATCGCATTTCGGTGGTAGCTCGACACCGAGGTTCGCTAGCTACCAGGAGCGAAGCGGCCTTGCTTCCTTTAGATGAACCGACCCCAACCGCACCAGACCTGAGTCCATTTCAGGTGCTCTGGCGCAATCTCGTCACAGTCGAATCACCGCCAACACAGCTCGATCTGTACATGGCGGTTATCTCCCTCGAAGATCAGTACCAACGATGGGGTTGGAATGAGATTGCCGCGAAGGTTGTACGCAACAAGTTTTCATCATCAGAAGTTTCTGCGCTGCGTGCTACACTACATCAACTGTCACCCAGAGTCTGCTACGTGATGCTTGGCATTGACATGAGCCGTGATGGTATAGCCATTGAGCATGCCCTCAGTTACAACATTGGCCGCTTCAAATTTGAGCGCGATGTCTCCGAGCTAGATGATGGACCCGTCAAGACAGCCTACCATCATTTCTCTCTTTATTTCGGCCAGCTCGCAACCCCGGAAGTGGCTCTTGACACTTCATATCTCAGATCCTTTTCGCCTCAGAACCCCCAAGTCGTGAAGAACTCGGAAGAAGAGCAACTCGTACGCACCCCAGAGATTCCGGCCTGCCACTCCCTTGAGAATACACCACATTCTCTCCAGCCAGGGATTGCTCTTTGCAAGTATATTGATGCGATTGATGCGCATGAGTGCTACTACCGGAAGCACCAGGCCGCGGGTGTATTTCATGAGCGGGTGACAGCTCTCCTTCAGCAACTAGACCGTGATCGTCCAGGATAGCCCGTTGAGTCAACTGAAAGTCTGTTTCTCCTTTTCAACTCATGCTATGAACTATGGAATGTGCCACCACCCACGAAGACCGGCTTTCGACCACGACATGAGCTGGATACCCCTTGAAAGTTGACATTGAATCTATTACCACCATTACACGTCCTGCACTTAATTATCATGAATTATTCAGAGGTCTATGCTGTGTGCTAGTGTGACTTTGCTTTGGGGCTGTGAAGTGCGCATCGTGTCCCCTCCCCTCATTCTTGAATCGACTTTACGTTTTACAGGCAATTTTTTCAATTATTGAATGACAAAACAGCCAAGATATCAAATGTTCCATTCAGTGAAAGCTAGTTAATCTCCGTTATGGGTAGAGCCGGGAAGTCACACATACGTTTAATCCACACTGACAGCTTGCTCCAACGCGTCAAAATGCGTATCGAGCTCGATTATTCCACTCTGTAACCCCAGAAGCCTATGCCATGAATTCACAATATCTTCCGGACTACTGAGCATGAGACGAAGTGATTGCTCGGTTTCCCCTCGAGCACCGGTGTTCTGGCTGAAAGCGGTGTCGACGTCAACACGGAGGCCATCTAATTGGCAGTGGACGTTGCGAAAGCTGTCCACTAGCCCCATTGCTGATCCTCTTCCATCGTGGCCAAATTGACGCCTGAAACGGATGGAATAAACACCAAATCCTGGCTCCCGGGTGCGGCCTCCTCATTAGGGGCACAATGTGTGTGGAGAGGTGGAAAATCGGGTTGGGAATTTGATTTTGGACTCAGAACCGGTATCCTAGAGCGAGGGAAATTCAATTCACCAAGTCTGACCGACTTGTGAGAAGAAATATTGGCATTGTTGCTTCTTGGCCAGCGGTGGCCTGGATCTTGAGGCTGCGCCGGCGTTTTTAACAAGCCAGCACCCGGTAACTTTGCTGTGCTTTTCTCTGGGGAAACCTTATCAGTATTCAGATTGGAATTACCTGGTGGAACATCCTTGTCTTTCTTGTCCTCTCACGAAAAGAACAGGTAGAGCCCTGCGAGTTGAAAAAGCAACCTGCACAGCGTCCCTCCAAGAAACCTGAAAGTACCACGCAGCTTGACCAGGTTCCGAGGCCTCTGGCACGTCGTTGGCACGAAATTGATACCACGTCTCCCATGATCTGAACGAGGGCCGACTCAATGTTTCCATGGTTTGCAGCTAGCCTTCTGCGCAGATTATCCGCATCATATGATCGTGCTTGTAACTCGTGTTTTGGGGTTTGGCTTCGGAGTGCCACGGAATTTGCTCTGAGGAGGGTTGGGCCAAGAGCGAGGAGACACTCTGCCCACTCACCAGGTAGGATATCCGAGGGACTAGTTCCAATGTGAGCAGGCATTTTAGGTTGAGCGGGGGGGCATCATCCTCCTAAATGTCGAAATGTCAGTGGAGAAACCCTTTGTCTGCTTGTGCCGGCTCACATTTGTTTTCTTCCGTCCCGCCATAGGATCAGCTTATCATCTTCTGTACACAGTAGATTTGACGCGTTGTGACAGAATGTAAAGATGAATGGCGTGTGACTTATGCTTGTCAAACGATGAGAAAAATCAGAAGGCCACGCTGGACTGTCGCCCAACATCAACAAGGAATGCAAGTAACGGAAGAAAATTCTGGGATGGTGTTGCAGGCAAGACTAGCGGAGGTTGTATGGCCAGTGGGAAGAATGCAGGTGATGGGGAAAGAGAAAAGCTCCAGAGGTAGCAGAGATTGGATCAACACGAGACTGCCATCGCCGCCCGTTTCAACCAGCCGGGATTCTATAGAGTGACTCTCTCTCTCAAGCACGCTTGATAATTATTTATTTGTACTACGGATGAGAGATGAGCAAAAGCTTCGTGTCTATTAGGGGCTTTCAGCTTAGCATCTAGTTCGTGAAACTAATACTCAACGACGACCCCCATGGACTTCATGAATGATTCAACATTTGGCTGGCTTGTAATAGAAGGTAATTTCTAAGGTCTCTTTTGGAGGCGGTATCAATCCGCAACAGGTTGGCGAGTAGCTTATTGTGACATTGGTGGTTTTAACAAAGCCCATTTCATGCTGCTCCATTGAGCGCCTGGCACTTCTACCATAATTGAACATAAGTGAGGAACCGTCTCCAGGAAGGCTGTCTGTAGTAGTGGTCAAGCATAGCTATCTCCTCTGCTGCCAAAGGACGTCGACCAGTTGTGCAGTCTGCGGTTTTCGAGTCGCGCCATGGAGTTCGATATATGACTTTGTATCCGAACGTAAAGCTGAATATGATCAAAATTCCGAGCATATATTGGAAGAAATTGGTCGCAGTGAAACCGGTGGCGCCCTATAAAGTTTTGATTGTCATGACTGATGGATAATAAACCGAGGGTGGGGGGTCTTACTGGTGGTTTGATTCCAAGGAAGATGCAGCAGACCAGCAAGAAGATGGAAATAAGCATCAGCAAAGCCGGCGCAAGGGGCCATAATGTAGACTTCCAGGCATAAACCTCTGTGAAAAGTGGATCTTTCTGCGCCTCCAACGTGCGATGGAATCGCCAGTTGACGAACGAGATGATGATCCAGTTAGTAAAAAAGGAAGCACTCGTGATCGATATGAGCCAGTTCAAAACCGTCAGTCCACCAGCTAGAATGCATCAGCAAGTGTTCGCATCGTCATCCACAAGTTTGATCAGAAACCTACCAGCAATTTGGATATATCCCAAGACCACTGCGACAAGGGAAGTGATGATCAAAGCCAGCCTCGGCCGACCCCTATCGTCCACTGCAGCAAGACCCTCCCATATAAGCTTTTGGTGTGCCATGGTTCTCAAAATTCTCGAAGAAAGATAAACAGCTTCGGCGGCAATCGCGAGAACACCGCATATCATTCCTGCATTTAGCAGTGAAGGGATCCCTGGAATTCCAGAGTCCTGAACTGCTATGATGAATGGGGATGCGGCGACTCCACTGCCTCCTAGTAACCGGCTATCGTCTGAAGGAACCAGTATAGTGATAAAGACAACACTGATAATGTAAATGAAGTTGACTCGAAAGGGAACGAGCTTTGTCGCATGGGCCATCGAAAATCGTGGGCTTTCGGCTTCTCCACCCATGATGCCGATGAAAACCTGGTCACCAACAGCCCATACAGCGAGTAAAGCACAGTTGGCAAAACCCTGGAAGTGTAAGTCTTGGTCAAAGGGAGCGGCAAGAATGCATACAGAAAATCCGTTCAGAAATGGCGGAAGGGATGTCCAAGTGTCTCCATGGTGGATAGAGCCCGTGGGCCCAGCGCCCAGAACAAGTGCCAACGACAGCACTATGATAATCAGGAAAATCACAATCTTGATCAAGGAAGTTACGTATTCGAACCAAGCAAAGACTTTGTTTGGAAGTATGAATATCACAAGGCAAGCAACGAGGAATATGGATACTTGATCCCCCTGGGTTAGATTGACTTTGGGATCACGGCGGCAGATATGGTGGCTTACTTGTTGCGGGTAATGGAATAGATCCTTCGGCCCAGTATTGGACCAACACATTGAAAAACCCAGCTTCAGCCGCGACAATTGCCGTCCACCCTAGGAGACAGTTAGCTTCAAGAGAGCAGAATGTTTCTTGCACAATAGAAATCGCCTACCAAGCCATTCGGCGAATCCTGCACCAAAAGCCAAAGCAGGATCAACCCAACGATCCGCATAGTCGATATAATTACCAGAGACAGGGAAGGCAATGGTCATCTCAGATAAAGATTGTAGAACAGCCCAAACACAAGTGCACACCATCGTGTATGCTATCAGCATGTTACCTGGTCCACCGGTGGCCAGGGCCTTTCCAGTGGCAATAAAGACGCCGCTGCCTATATTGGACCCCAAGGAGATGATCTTCCTAAATTGTGAGACAAACACAGCCAGAAAATATTCAGAGCCTGGCACGGAATTCTCACATGAATCTGACGAGGGGAAAACGAGCGATGAAATTGACCATTTCTAGTCTCCTCAATCTCCCCTACAGCTGCCTCGCTCTTAGTCGCGACTGGCTCAAGGGCAAGCTCATTGTCTTCTTTTTTGGTGAGTTCGTCTTGTTGGGCCACGTGACAGGTGAAATCGGCTTGAGACATGGCTATAGGAAACTTCTCGTTTCATTACTAATTGAGATATTGGAAAAATGTGCAGATGCTATGAAAAATCACCATGAACAGGTCGTATTTATAGTTCAAAAAAAGATAGCAAGGCGCAAGGAGTGAGTGCCCAGATTCATAGTCAAGGATGTCATTGAGATAACAAAGATGGTCAAATTGACAGACAGAGCGTAGACTTCCATTCGATCAAGGGGATCCACTTCCCCGCATTCCTAACGCCCCAGTGGCATTTGACTTTTTTCTGCGGTCTCTGATTAGGCATCGTGAGGTCTTATTAGTTGTAGCTCTCGTTTCCCAAAACCTTGGAGTTTAATCCGGTCATCGGCCACTTTATGTCCAAGGTTCTGTTATCAAACCCTATCTTTAAGGCTTATTGGAGGATCGGGAGACGAAGCCGTAGCGTTGAACTGGGGGAGCCCGGGACGCTTGCCGGGCTAGGCAAGATTCGAACGCTGGATGCTCATTGCTCGCAACCGTACCCTTACATAAAGTGACTCTCGCGAATTTTTCCTTCGCAGTTTGAGTAAGGGTCGGGACTTGGTATCACCTCACTTTATCTGCCGAGATCACGCAGCAGCATATACTTTTCCGGGCAGTATTGGTCTATCATGATCGCTGCTTATCGAAAAGCCAAGTAAGCCAAGTCTAAATTTCTCGGGTCTGAGAGCATCGTTTGCACTCCTGAGATAACGCAGGTGACACCCAAGGTACTATATCTCGTGGAGTCAGCCGTGCTTCTATGTTGATTATCTCGGTAGACACAGAGTACGGAGTAGATGACCGAAACTTACAAGTATGGAGGTGGCTGGGATGGTTTTAATATAGGGTGCTCCCCAGTCTGGTGAGCGTAGTTAAGTGAATCAACTGGGTTGAAACCATCAGCAAGTATGGAGTAAGTTGGCGATCACGGGGACGATGTAAGTGAAATCCACTGGGTTGACATGATGCTCCGGTTCCGAGGTTCCACAGACTTCGTGGAAATTGCCAGAGCCCCAAGACGCTGAAAAGGAAGGTGATCCACTTGCCGCTCCATACCGCAATTTGATTGGTTAGCTGACTGGGAAGGTGATGTCCATGCGCTTCCCATTTTGATTCACGCTTTCTCCACTTTCCTGCCAGACCCGCGAATGACGTTTGTCGCTTCAGTATCCCGTCGACATGGAAGGTGATTTGGATGATACCCAGAAGGTGATGCAGAATCACCTTCCAGATCTTCAAAGCATTGCCATACACATATCTGGTTTCTACTTCAAAAAATATGTATTTATACCTTCACCTCCGCAAGCATCGTTTTCTCCAAACAACTGAATCGAGATCAAAGAGCTCACCTTGGAAAACGCCCTTGAAACGAGCCTTGCAAACTATTTCACCACACAACTAAGCCATGTCACCGGTTATCGATCTTTCTCTTCTTAAGGGCACCCCTGAGGAAAAGGCTGCTACCTCCGCAGCCCTCTTGCAAACCCTCAAGACCCGGGGAGTGGCCCAACTGAAGAATCATGGTCTCCCGGAGAAGCTCATCTCGGACATGTTTGACTACGTATGTCAATATCCAGGATTGATGTAGTTGAGATTGTGACTGACATTGTGTACACCCAGACGCGTCGGTTCTTCTCGCTTTCACTAGAAGACAAGATGACGGCCAAGCACCCTCCCCAAGCCAACCCCAACCGCGGGTACAGCTTTGTGGGACAAGAATCAATATCCTCGATCAGTGGCTATGAAAAGGGGCTTCCTCAGGGACAGTCAGTTCGTGACATCAAGGTAAGGACCTGTTGTCTCATGAAATATGGGACGCATGCTAACAAGAATAGGAAACCCTTGACATCGGCGCGGCAAACGACGAGCTTGTGGATAATATTTGGATTGCTGACGAAAAGCTCCCTGGATTTCGAAAGTTTATGGAAGATTTCTACACAAGCTGCTTCAAGGTGGAGCTAGAGATCCTCGATGCTCTGGCCCAAGCCCTTGATATTTCCTCATCCGATCTCAGAGCTCTGCACAGCAAGGCCGAGAACGAGTTCCGTCTCTTGCATTACCCCACCATTCCTGCATCAGAGCTAGCCGATGGAACGGCAACCCGGATTGCCGAGCACACCGACTTTGGCACCATCACGATGCTGTTCCAGGACTCTACGGGTGGTCTACAAGTCGAAGATCAGCAGAACCCCGGTGTTTTCCGAGGTGTAGAGTCTGGAGGCAAATCGGAGATTATCTTGAACATCGGCGATTCCTTGCAGCGCCTGACTAACGATACTTTCCGTGCCGCGTGCCACCGAGTGACCTACCCGCCGACTGTAAAGGTGGGATCGGACGAGCTGATTCCCGAGCGTTACTCCATCGCATACTTTGCAAAGCCAAATCGCATTGCATCACTCTTCCCTTTGAAGAAGTTCATCACCCCGTCAACGCCATGCAAGTACGAGGACATCACAGCTTGGGACTACAACAATCTGCGAATCGCGAAGCTATTCTCCTAAACGAAGATCCCGTCGGGATCCAGGCGGCCAACTGGGGCGTTTATTTATTGTCATCACAAATTGCGACTCTTAGAGAGATATCACATAGCGAATTTAACAAGCATGTTACATTTTGAGAAATGCGGACAGCCACGGGCTGTGGTAAATGGTATGATATATGATCATCCACGGGCTCTGGCATGACACAACCAAGCTTCCAAGGTTCCATTGGTCTTCTCATCCGAAAGTTCAGAGCAATAGATATCTTTCTAATTCGATGTTTTTTATTAGAGGTCGTAACGCGGGGGCGATAATCATACAAAATGCAGGTGCGCGGCCGAGAATGATCAAAACGCTCAAAACAACTTGGGTCCCTTACGACTCAGCTTTTCTTTCGACTCAGCTCTCGACTCATCATCTTCTTTCTAGCAATCATGGCAGAGCCTCAATGTTTCGACGGTGGCCAAAAGATTCCACTCACTCGATTGAATGCTTTCAAGCAACAACACCCACTCATTACCGAACTGCTTTCAGAACTTTACGACATCGAAACGTACGCCGCAGGTTTCGCCACAATCAATGCCTTGAGCTTCTCAGATGCCCTCAATAGGTTTTAACATGCGGTTCTCCAGTTGAGGCGCAGTCAGTTGAAGCTCATCTACCTCAAGTTCCTCCAGCACTTCCGAAACATCGCCAGGGCAGGCCACGAATAAGGGCCCATTCTCATACTGCCGCCTGTCTACTCTGCTTTACAACTTTTCTTATCTCAGGGGTGGATGCTCGCGAAATAAACTGGTGATCATGAGATTGGGCTCTTTTGGTGTTTAAAGAGCCATGTTCCAACATGACCCTTGTCAAGTGAATGCAATATTAACTTAACCATCTTGCCCGTAGACAAGGGACGCATTTAGTTGAATGTGAGAGGCGACACCTGGGCTCAAGCTCAATAATCGGCTTCAATTGTTTCAAGTGATCTGAATTGAACCTTTGAATACTTGTCATGCATGCTTTTCATAGACGATATGGTTTTGGTGAGAATGTGGCGTCAAAGCGAGCGCCCCGCACTTGAATCAAGCGTACAAAAAGGTTTTTAATACAGGTGTCTATATACTAATTATATTTTGAAGTGATAATGGGGTTGAGCCGGGGTATAGTTAGGTAGGCCGTAATGCTGGGAAACCCCAGCCAAAGGTGAGTACTCGGTCACTGAATACTGATAGTGCAGCTCGTTAGGTTGTCAGATCTCCTACTGCCCAGGTATCCATCGTTATTGACAACTGGGTAAGTGAAATATAGTCAAAACCTTGGAAGTAGTGTAGGGGGCGGTATTTGTGGTGATTATCTGAAGTAAAGGAATTTGAGTGTCTTTTACAAGCCCTGGAGGTCTAAGGCAATTTAACCCGACTTTTATGTAATATCACAAATTTGATTGGGTAAATTCTACAAGGTCCGGCTATCATAATATCATAATAAAGCGATCATACACACATAAACCGTATAGATCCATCGCGTAGGATGTCTGGCCAGCTACAGGCGTCATCATACCCATTAGCTTGACTCCTCTTGTTCCATATCGTTTGGAATATTGTCTTCGCAACTGATGCATGGACTAAGGCAGTAGTTCGGGCACATAGCTCAAACCACGTCGAAAAGTATGACTGTAGGTCTGGTGCGATAGCCTCACAAGCCGCGATGAAAGCCGGCCATATCAACGCTGCACTATTACTGTCATCGTGGTATCCTTCCTCCTGTTTGGCTTCTATCAAGCAGCGTCGCATCTCATCAACTTTGCCTTGAAGCATCCTCGAGTCAATTTCGTATATTCGGCGGTGGAAGAAGATTAACAGGGCATTGTACATTGCTTGAGCAGTGGATGTGACTGTTGACCGTGGGTGTTGAGTGTTTGCTTGAGAGTGAACATAGCATGGACGTGAAAGAAGATGATCGATTGCCCTTTCTAAAGCTTTGGCCCGAGTCCAGAACTCTTTCAAGCTCAGGCGGGCGTCAGCCAGTTCACCAGACATCATTGACAAGTCTCTTTCATTGGCCAGTCTGATGACCTGTGAAAGAAGCATTAAGAATATCTCATCGACACCATACACGGTAGGAAACAGTGTAGAGCTCCAATATCCAGGTATTGCGAGGTGAAGGTCTCGCTGAGCCATCTCAGGATCCTTCTCTATGAGCATAGCAGTCGCGGAAAACTCCTGATTGGGATATATTCGAAAATCACCGCCATATAGCGAAGGTGTCTCGTCGTACAGCGTGGAACCCGGCTCAATCGCGTTTGTGGCCAAGGTCCCCGCTATACATGTTGTCTCGGCCATTATTCGCATATACGCGTAGCAGTGATGCAATGCCCTTTTTTTGGCCGACAATTTCGGTTGGCTGAGGCCCTTCACACAAATGAATTTCTCCGTCTGCACGAGCCAAGCTCGCCGTTCTTCCGGGTCTCCCTTCATCATCTATGAAAGAGTTGTTAGCCATATCGAGTCAACTTTAGGGGAAAGCTGGAGGTCCCACAAAAGCATTTGAAACGCTCAATATTGCCATCAGAACTTCTTTGTATTTACTGGTCTTTGCACTTGACATGCAACCTTCCTCCATGCAGCGCTGGAAATGGCACTGTGCACGAGACAGATATTGTTCGCCTGATACTTTCCATTGGTCAAAGCACCCAGTCGAGTTGTTGCCGATGTGAAATGCGCTAGTGCTCCACACAGCATTTAGAAGAGCTAATCTGGCATGGTTCACAGTTCCCTTTAGAGTTAGCTCTCCCAACGTCGTTACTGCGCAAGGGAGCACAAGGCTGACCCAAGGAGTCTCTTGTCCACGTCGTAACGGCGAGATCAAAGGAATGATCCGGTCTTTGTAATGTGAAAGAAGTGTCCAGCCTTCGATATTCCCGCCAGCCAAAGACAGGCTTGGTTCCGGATGTTGTGTGGGCTCAGTCGGATAGATTTCAGTATCGTGTGAAGGGAGCTCCTCGAGGTACATGTGTTCATATACATTGGTATCCATTGTATCCAGTGGTAGAAAGGAATGGCTGAGATCATCACTCCTTGGTATCTGCTCCAGCTGCTCAAACCATCCATCCAACGAGCTTGGTATGTCTTCAAAATCAGAGACAGATGATTCGTCTTGGACTGGTTCCGACCATCTGGAAGCGCCGAAAGGCCCCCGGAAAAGTGAGAAGGGTGCGGGATCCTCATTGTTACATTCGTTATTGTCAAGATCATCTATTGCCTGGGAGGGGCTCAGATCGTTTAGTGATGAAACGACTTGACGACTCATTTCATATCGTTCTGCGTCTTTGATTGATGTTAGATCATGTCATGGAGTGGTCGAGGACCCGAACCTGTGAAGATAGATTGACGATGTCTCGCCGAGCTGCCAGCACTTAGCCATCGAATGTCCTCTTTATTGTTTAAGAATGTCAATTTAATTGTTTCTGGTCTGCGATCGTCCGAGCTTGGTAGTAGTTCGAGCGGCAGATGGTAATCATTCATACAGTCTGGCTGCAGCGATGAATCAGACAAACCAGGGCGATCTTTCATATTGGAACGTATGATGCCTTTTGAATGAGGAAAGCGAAGTGAGATGGTTTGCCCTGGGATGCAGGCCACAGTTGATGATAGCGGGGTGCCCAAACGAGAAGGCGATTCCGAGCTCCGCAGGCCTCCAACCTTTTTGACCGAAGATAACAACACAATGATATCTAAGATGAAATACATGAACTATTTAATCATTCTTACTAGCCAGTCTACTACTTTTTCAACATCCATGGATACTTTGAATTGAATTGTGATGCGAAAAGCGGGCACCGACAAGTGTGTCGGGACGTCTGGCCTTGAGCTGCAAATAGGAGAACCTTGGAAGGCAACCCGTGGACTGGGAGAAATATATATAGGAGATATTGCCGTGTAATCTTGGAAGGAGTGCTCGCAGTCGACAGTTGAAGACAGAAGAACAATGGGCAGGTTAGTACGATACAATCTGGATAATGTGTCTATGGGTACGGAGTACTCCGTAAGTGGGCAAATTGAGCATATCTCGGAATAAAGTAACCCCGGAACGTCGAAGCTAGTCTACATCAGATCTAGCCCCCTTTGTGAATAAGCAGATCATGTGACTCTGGAAAAAGCTGCCTCTTTGGGAAGTTGAGCCAATTAGGAAGGTCCAGCTCCCAGCTAACGTAATCTGTCCAGAGCTCCAAGCTGAGTCAGTTCGAAGTTGAACCTCGGAACTTTGTAACCGTAACCTTGAAAGAGGATCTACCGAGTAGACAAGCTGAAGTTCTCCCCTGGTGGGCGACACTGGATTTATCATCGCTTCAGCTCTAGAAGCTAGGTAGTCGGAGTCGAACGGAATCGATCGCGCCTCGGCGCATTCCGCCAATGAGCCCACCACTGTATAATAGAATGGTAGGCGACTTTTTTTCCCCGCACGCCCCCGGATCGCGTTGCCTGTAGAGCCAATAATAACCTGAAGAAGTTCGGAGTAGCGTCATCTAGAAAGGTACCGGTGGCCAGACGTTCGGTATTAGAAAGCTGCTTAATACACGGCCCATCATTGGGCCCACGCAAACATTTAAATTTGCGGGGATGCCCGCTTCCCTTCCTTCACCTCACTTTGCTATATTCCCCCCTTCAATCTATACATCATGGGTGAATGTCCTGTTGCACACAAGAAGAGCAATGTTGCTGGAGGTGGTACTCGGTATGACTCTCCCGGGGTTTCTCTCGCGCCCTGCTCTTGCGGGTGGTAGCGTCCTAGACTGACACTTTTTCCAGCAACACTGACTGGTGGCCAAACGCCTTGAAGTTGAATATCCTCCGCCAGCACACTGAAGCCACCAACCCTCAAAGCAAGGATTTTGATTATGCCTCTGCTTTCAAGACTCTTGACTACTGGGGTCTCAAGAAGGATCTCCATGCCTTGATGACCGACTCGCAAGAGTTCTGGCCCGCTGACTTCGGCCACTACGGTGGCTTGTTCATCCGCATGGCATGGCACAGCGCGGGTACTTACCGAGTCTTCGATGGACGCGGTGGTGGTGGCCAGGCCCAACAGCGATTCGCGCCGCTGAACTCTTGGCCCGATAACGTCTCTCTCGGTGGGTTTTCAGTCATGCCGAGCCTCATGTTGTACATGCTAACTTGTGCAATGATTGACAGACAAGGCTCGTCGTCTTCTTTGGCCTATCAAGCAGAAGGTGAGCAAATGTTGATACCTCAGTATAGCATGTTTGTGCTAACTATATTTTTAGTACGGTAACAAGATTTCCTGGGCGGATTTGCTGCTTTTGACTGGTAACGTCGCTTTGGAGTCCATGGGTCTGCAGACCTTTGGATTCGCCGGTGGCCGTCCCGATGTCTGGGAGGCGGATGAGTCGGTCTACTGGGGAAGCGAGAACGTCTGGTTCACGAACGAGGCGCGTTATGAGGCTGAGACTCCTGATGAGAAGACCAAGCAGAGCGATATCAAGACTCGTGATCTCGAAGACCCGCTGGCCGCGGTCGTCATGGGTTTGATTTACGTTAACCCCGAAGGTCCTGATGGAAACCCCGACCCCGTCGCTGCGGCGCGGGATATCCGCATCACCTTTGGCCGCATGGCTATGAATGATGAAGAGACCGTCGCCTTGATTGCCGGTGGTCACACCTTCGGAAAGACACACGGTGCAGCTAGTGCCGACAACGTCGGAAAGGAACCCGAGGCTGCCGGCCTTGAGTCCCAGGGCCTGGGATGGCACAACGCACACGGCACCGGAGCCGGACCCCACGCCATCACCAGTGGCCTGGAGGTCACTTGGACCAAGACTCCTACCAAGTGGAGCAACCAGTTCCTTGAATATCTGTTCCAGTTCGAGTGGGAGCTGACCACAAGTCCCGCTGGAGCCAAACAGTGGGTGGCTAAGAATGCTGACTCCATCATTCCCCACGCTTTCGACTCCACCAAGAAGCAGAAGCCCACTATGTTGACCACTGATCTTTCTTTGCGTTTCGACCCCATTTATGAGAAGATCTCCCGTCGCTTCCTTGAGAACCCCGGTCAGCTTGCCGATGCCTTCTCCCGCGCCTGGTTCAAGCTGCTCCACCGTGACATGGGTCCCCGTGCTCGCTGGTTGGGCCCTGAGGTCCCCAAGGAGGTTCTCCTCTGGGAAGATTACGTTCCCGCTCCTTCTTCCGCTCTGATTGATAACGGAGACATCATCGCCCTCAAGAACGAAATCCTCTCCACCGGCGTTGAGCCCATCAAGTTCATCACGACTGCTTGGGCCTCCGCCTCAACCTTCCGCGGTGGTGACAAGCGTGGTGGTGCCAACGGCGCCCACATCCGCCTTGCCCCCCAGAAGGACTGGGATGTCAACAACCCAGCGCAGCTGCAGGAGGTCCTCAGTGTTTTGGAGAGCATACAGCAGCGCTTCAACAAGACCCAGAACGGCGAGAAGCGTGTTTCCATCGCCGATCTGATTGTCCTGGCTGGATCTGCTGCTCTGGAGCGCTCCTCTGGCATCCCCGTCCCCTTCACCCCTGGCCGCAGCGATGCGACCGCAGAGCAGACCGACGTCGAATCATTCAGCTGGCTCCGACCGTTCGCTGACGGATTCCGCAACTACGGAAACTCCACTCGTCGTGTGCGCACCGAGCAGCTTCTCGTCGACAAGGCCCAGCAGCTCACACTCTCCGCCCCTGAACTCACTGTCCTCGTCGGCGGTCTCCGTTCCCTGAACGCCAACTGGGATGGTTCTAAGCACGGAGTGCTTACATCCCGCCCTGGCCAGCTGAGCAACGACTTCTTCGTTAACCTGCTCGACATGAACACGATCTGGAAGCCCACTGGCGCTGACAGTGAATACTTCGAGGGCTCCGATCGCAAGACCGGTGCCAAGAAGTGGACCGCCACCCGTGTGGACCTGATCTTCGGTCACCACGCCGAGCTTCGCGCCCTTTCGGAGCTGTATGGTAGCTCTGATGCCCAGGACAAGTTCAAGAAGGACTTTGTTGCTGCTTGGGACAAGGTCATGAACTTGGATCGTTATGATGTGTCTTGCTTCCCCGTGACTGGCCGTCCTCGTCTGTGAAATAACAAAATTGTGGCACATAATTCTTTTTTAGCCTGCATGAACGTTCTACCTTTTTTTCTTTCTTTTTTCTTGTTCTTTCTTTGGGAAGGGTTTTTTTTTAGCTCTAATCAGAATGCTCTTAACCTACGGGGTGATGTGCCAAATATTATTCTTTTTGAGACAACAACTATAATTCGGGCAGACCTAACACTTCGAGGATACACACTGCCAGCGACCCTCTCTTTTCCTCTCACGGTGTGGCTTCAGTTGATATCGAACTCCACGTAGCAAAGATGCATCTGGGCATAATGGACAAACTGAGAATTCACCTCTAAGCCATCTTGTTTCAGGCGCTGAAGGTCTATCTAATTATATACAGTTTTCCTGTCGGTCAACTGTCACCGTTCCATGCATTTGAACTCTCGAAAGTGACGTGTCAGTCTAAATCTAACTGTCAAATTCTAACCTGCATGAAGTATGGAGTATTATGTACAGCTGAGTCGAATCGAAAAAGACTCTGCTCCTTGCGGAGTACTTGGTGGATCTGTTAGCTTCGAAAGGTTCAACCTAAAGATAGCTCAACCCCCGTTTGTTAACGGTCGTCAATGGTCGGATATGGAAAAACTGAACAAAAAACCCAAAAAAACCCCCCGACGATCACAGTTCCTAATAATGAGATCAGCTTTGCGCATTTCAAATACTCTCGAGGTCTGGGCTCAAGCTGTGGAGCGCCAACGGGAAGCGAGCAGTTGGTTTTCTTTGTTTGACATCCCGAGATACCCTGGTCGTCGCCGATAGCTCTTTCGCCTCTATTCGTTTGTCGCGTCCAATGAGCTCTCAATCTGATCACATAAGGGGGTCAAATCCATGTCTTGAGAGGGATTTCTCCATAACATCGGGCTCTCCGTACCGTTCGCCTAAATGGGTCCGGATCTCATTGCTTGACATCCCCGGATACTAGGCATCATAGACTGCTACTGCACGCAAGTTTTCTAACCCAATAATGGATTCGCCGAGACTGACTCGTCATTCACACGAGCTCGAGGCCGTCTGGTTCTAACTCTATCTAGCTGTCACACCCCCTTCCAAGGTTGTTGATGGGAGGGGCTCAAAGAGATCCTCCGATCCTCCGATCCTACGGAGACGCATATCAAGCGGTTAGACCGTTTAAGGTGTGGGACCTGCGTCTGTGCATTTCATATAGCCTGGGGCCTTCTTCGTTTCTCGTGTGTCCTCAGTCTCATCCCCTTGCCGTATGGATAGCCCAATCAGCAGCCTGCCTCCGCAGGTACAAGACTTACTCTGGGAGAATGTCTTCGTTGTCGAAATAATAGCCCTTTTTTCCATTGCGGAGATCGGTGCTGTGGAAGTGATCTTCTCTATCTTTGAGAGCTTCAAGAGATATCGCGGAGTCTACTTCTGGAGCATGCAAATTGCCGCTTGGGGAATTTTCGTCCATGCCCTCATGGCCCAGCTCCGTTACCTGAACCTGGCTTCGGGACTTCCTTTAGCGATTCCGTTTGTTATTGGGTGGACTTGCATGGTTACCGGACAAGCGGTGGCGCTTTATTCCCGATTGCACCTCGTGGTGAACGACGTCCGGCACATTCGCTGGGTGCTATGGATGATCATAGCCAGCTTCTTCATCCTCCATCTCCCGATGACTGGTATTTTCCTTTGCTTCAACCTCGGCGACATGCGATGTCTCCGTGCAGCCCAGATCTTCGATCGCTTTCAAGTCACCGTGTTGGGCTTGCAAGATACCCTGATCTGCGCCATATACCTCGGCGAGGCACTCCGAGCCCTCAAGCCTATATACCAAGTCAAAGGCCGCGAGGGGCGAAGGGTGATATACTGGCTCCTGTTCGTCAATGGCTTTGGAATATTGCTAGATATTCTAATCATCATTTTCGAGTTCCAAATTCACAATCTCGCAGTCGCGTTCAAGTCACTCGCGTATTGCATCAAGCTCAAGCTTGAATTTTATGCCTTGAACCAACTTCGCGAGTTGACACGCACACACCCATGCAGCCTGTGTCAGGGCATTGAGCGAAATGCTGGAGGATCGGGTGACATGAACATATTCGATCTGATCGACAATCCTCGCCAGTCTGGAAATGTCGAATCGGGCACTTTGCCTAGCTCTGTTGGAACTATTAGTCCACCACCGCCCACCTCGACGCGCAGTAGCACGTATGACTTCCACGAAGCATTGCGAGGGACCATTCCAACTGAGAATTCAATTCGTTTGCATATGGAGAGCATAGCCCCGATTCAGTCGGAGACTCGATCGACGGTCGAGATGACTCTTTTGGAGACCCCAAAATGAGGTATGTGCTTTTCAAAGCTGAGTACACTCGCTAGCTTTTTGCGCGATATTCGGGATGGGATTCTGTTTTTTGTATATATCATCAAGACGTTCACCTTTGTGTGGATAATGACGGGCGGCACTCGTGTTTTTGCTATATACCCTGATCGTTACCTAATGGGACATTTTGCCCTTGACTTCGAACGTGCGTTACATTTCCGAAATTTCAATTTGGCGCTTTCTATTTCATTGGGCACTAGATATTCCAAGGTTTGCGCGCAAGAGGGAACCAAACGTCATATGTGAGACCTGGAGATAACCTTGGAACATCCATGGATGCAAACGACCCTGGGCAGTTCCAACCTTCCAAGGCTTTGATGCGACAACCTTGAAACCTCCCAGCAGATGAATGATAGCATAAGTGATATACCCGTGGACTTGATGTGTAAATTCAAAGTTCCAAGGTTCGCTTGAATCGTAGAAGTAGAATAATATGTCCAATAAGGGTATCTGTATACTTTTCCCGAATAAGATCACAACGCCGAAATATATGACAGGCCCAATTCGTGTACCAGGGCCTGTCCATGCAGGTACAAAAAGCAGGCTATAAAGGAAGATTATAAGTAGAATCGTCAGGTCCGTATGTCATGCCAAGCTGAAAACTCGTGGGAGATGCGCGAATCATAAGGGAGACAAGATGATGTTCGCCTGCGAAACATGAAGCAGGTCAACATGAATGTAGAGATTAGTAGTGGTGAAAGAGTTGAGTCTCGAATGTGTGGAAGTGATGAGCCGCTGTTATTGAGTTTCGAACCATCCGCCATGCTCCCATTCACGCTCGGGTGTGTATGTGGCCTCTGTCCGGGCAACCGGGTCCGTCAAGCCCTTGAAGAAGAAATTCAATCTAGCAAATGGTATGGGCTTCATGACGTAGCCATCAAAGCCGGTCTCGATGTAAAGCTCTCGATTCTCCTCAAGCAAGGAGGCGGAAACAGCAAAGATAGGCACCCGGCCATGTTGAGTAGCTTTGTCTGGGAGCGCAGACTTTGGTTTTTTCGACTCGAGATCGCGAATCATTCGAGTAGCCTGCATTCCGTCCACAATGGGCATTTGTAAATCCATCAAAATCACATCGAAGTCTTTCGTCGCCAGGGCAAACGCCCCGGCGCATTCCTCGCCATTGCTGGTGAGTTTCACGGTATGCCCGAGCTTGGTCAGACGTTTTTGAATGATTTTGCTGTTGACCGGATCGTCTTCTGCTACAAGCACATGTAGCAGATCATAATCGGTTGTCGAGGGAACGGTGGTGGGAGATGTGGATGGTGGAGGTACTGTTGATGGTGGAGGAGCGGTGGAGGGTGGAGGCGCCGTGGATGTTGCATTTGAGAACCCTGTACCCGGATCAAACCGCGGGAAATAGGAACGGTCCTCGATGGTTTGAAGGGATGGCGACTTGATGCTGGCAGATAGCTTCGACATTCGCAAAGCACCCATCGGTACACCGGAATCTGTGATGTTCTCAACTCCCGGAGGAGGCGGTGTGACAAGAGGTTGCAAAGTGATTGGAGGGGTGTGCGTAACCGATGATAGATGTCCATGATGTCCATGAATATCATGCACTGACTGTGTTGTGGACGAGCGTTTCAAACTGGATGCTGGCGCCGAGCCTCTAGACAAAGCGTGACTGTGAGCACTGACAGGGCTGGATGACAATCTTCTATGTTTTGAAAGCGAGTTTTGGCTGTTGCTGCGTTTGTGCATCGCAGGTTCTTGCATAGCACTTATCAATCGATCTGCCTGACTTCTTCCGCTTTGGCCACTTCGAGAGCTGTCACCACTGCGCAAGCTTTCATTGCTTCGCCGTCTAGTGTCACGGGTCTCATGTGATCCTCCTACCAAAGTGAACTCCTTGTCAGAGATCAGTGGTGTCGGAGGAATAGCAGAGTTCGCAGCGGCAATCGCCGCTTCATTTTGCGATGTGTCTCCCTCGGGGAGTCGGAACTGCAGCAACATTTTGAATCGACTGCCTTTTCCTTCCTCGCTCCTGACACCTAACTGCCCATGCATGTGTCGAACAATCCTTGCCGCAAGCGCAAGACCCAGCCCCAAGACACGTTTTTGTGGTGGTTTGGGCGAATCCAGACTTTGAGACTTTTCTTCCTCGCCTGGATAATAAGTCTCGTCTGTCGAGACTTGCTCTAATTCGTGGAAAAGGGCCTCCAGCTTGTCATGCGACATACCCACCCCGGTATCAACCACCATGATCTCGACCCCCACATGACCCGGAACGGATTGCGTCGGGGACCGCCAGATCTCGGTGGTGACTGCACCAGATTCGGTATTTTGGATGGCGTTGGATATGACGTTGGATAGAACTTGTCGCACGCGACGCTGATCACCAAGCACCAATGGAGGAAGGCCAGGGTGTACCGACACTGTGAACGAAATATTCTTCCGCTTGGCCTCGCCAGAGAACATGTGGGCTGCTTCTTTGAAAGTTTCCTCAAGGTCAAAGCTTTCATCTTTGATGAGTTCTTGGCCTTTTTCGGTATTCGTAAGGTCGAGGAGGTCGTTGATGACATAAATGAGCGACTTGGAAGCCGAGTGAGACCTGGTTAAGCTCTCCCTTGTATCCTCGTCTAGGGCACCTTCCAGCGCGATCTCGAGATAATTGATGATGGCGTTCAAAGGGGTCCGGACCTCGTGGGCTGAGTTGGCCAGCAGAAGACGAGTGAGCTGTGAATTCTGCATCGCCGCCTCTTTTTGTCGCCACACTTTGATAAACTTTCCATAGACGACTGTTCAGATTAAGGTTAGAGGAGCTTCTTTTGTAGAGGGTTTTGACATAAGGACTTACGACATAGTACTGCTGCAGTTTCGACATCCGTTTCTGTCCATTCGCGACTCTGGGAGAGAACGGTCTCTCGCCAAGCTGCGAAGCTTTCACGTGGTTCGAGATATCCCTCAGTTTGCTTTCGTTTCGCGATTTCATATGGATTACCCGCCCATTTGATTTCAGTGAGCTGCCCGCGGCGGAAGAAAACGATGAAGTCACTACCACCTGCCGAAAGCGGAACATAGAGCAGCCCTGAGATAGCCTTTAGCCCTGGTGGATAGTGAAGGTCTGGGAAATCCTTGACAATGTCGTGCGATGCGAGCACGGAACTCAACTGTCGAAGGCGAAGGAATTCGAGGAGGGCTAGAAGCTCCTGAGAATTTGAGCCATCGCCTAGAATCTTGGTTTCGTCACGAATAGAGAGAACACCGTAGTCGGCGGAAAACAACTGTAGCAAGTCATCACTTGAGGCAATGATGTAACTTTTATGTCGTCAGCAAACCTTAGGCCATGATTTAAATTGCAGTTCTTACCCAGATGGATTGGCCTCGGTGGGAACTGTATTGATGAGTTTCCTTGCTTGAAGCCTAGATGTGTATGAGAGTCTTTCAATATTGCGAGACACTATGTCGCCCAGCAGGCGGCAGATCTTCCGAACTGGGAAAGAAACTCGTCGAGGAGATCCATAGTTGTGACACGATATCAGACCCCACAGATCCTGTGAAGGCTCAATTAGCGTTGGTACATTGACATGGAGTGGTTTTACTTACACCAAATGCGTTAATAGATACCGAGTATGAGGATACGACCTTCATGTGCTTCAGATATTGTATGTGAATGGGCGACATGGCTCTCAGATATGCGTGCGTCATGTCCAAAGGCGTTTCGAGATCTTCCACCGTTCGGCATACTAGACGTGATGTGATGGCGTCGCGGTCATAGAGAAGGCGGACTTTGTTGATTTTATAGAGCTCTCTTGCTTGAGCGGGAATGTCAGAAGCAGGGAAATGAAGGCCTTTGTAAAGATCAATCGTGACATTGGGATCGACCAACTCAGCGACAACCATTCCATTCCAGCTGCTGTCGAACTGGTAGATCAAAACTCGGTGGAAGCCGCTAAGTTCCTTTACAAGACCTGTGATTTGTGAGTGAATGAACGAAACCAGACGGTCGGGAAAGGGCATTACCTGCGGTGGTGTTCAGAAGTTGCTCCAAGTCTTGGCATCGGGAAAGTTGAGTTTCCAGCTGTGAGAGGACGGATAAGTAGTCGGTCTCTGCTCTCCTGCGACGAAGAACTCGAAGCGGCTGGGATATGGACATTGTCGAAGAGGCGAGCTGATCTGGCGTTGGAACAAAACCCAAAGTACTGTTTTCCGTGGGGCTTCCCGGGGTGGCAGAGCCTGGGATATCTAACGGATTACGCTCGTCGTATTCAAGCTCGAATTCACAAATGATCAGGTCTTTCTGAGTTTGGCAGACATGGGCTGCACACCAGAATCGACGGCTTTCCCCTGTAGGTGTAGAGATTGACAGAGCAAATATTTCAGGTCCATCCACAGAGGGATCATATGCATCGTCGCGTACAAAGTCGATATGATCCAGTAGAAGATCTGCTTGGTCTTGGTCTAAGATATCACAGAAGCTATGGGCTTGAAAAAGCTCCTTTGGGGTATAGCCCAAGTATTCAGCCGAGTTTTCACTCACAACGCGCACCACGAGCTGGTCCGGAGACTGCTCTCGCAATGCAATCATCACTCCAAAACTTTGGATTGCGCCAGGCTAGTATGGGTCAGTTCAAATGCATCTTTGACAGCCAGGGGTATTACTAACAATTCTGATAGGCTCGTCTTCGCAGTATTGAAGGTCTTCGCCATCTCGACCCGTGATGATTGCGTGACCATTGTCAGTCACGACATGTTTGAAGCGGGCAGTCATCAAATGATCCTCATCTGTCCGGGGCCCAGTTTGCGATCTCGGGTGAGCGGTAGATCCTGAACCGGACTGACTATCGCTCTGAACAGGCTTGGCGTAAACTTCAGGATGCTGGTTGACCTCGGACGCCAGTGAGTGTGCCCCAAGCTCCGTCTCTTTCCCGGTGGCATGTGTCTCGTGACGAGAAATATCCGTGGGGATCGTAGGTTCGGCGTGCTCGGGATCGGGGCGAGGATATGACTGCGCATCGGATTCTGATTTCATTTGATGCCAAGTCCGCTCATCAATGAAAGGGTAATGCCGAGCTCCATCTCTCGTGGGCGATGCTGCTCCCCGTGAGGTAGATCTCTGTTGGGTAGCAGCTGTTGGGTCCACCGAGACTACCGACCGGATAGGGAAGACTCGATCGCTGGGATCAAATCCAGTACTGGGTGGCTGCTGGGTCTCATAGTGCGAAACTGATTGTGACCGGTCCCTGTTCTCCGGGCGATGTTTGACCGACTCCGACGAGTCCGTCCGGTTCGGGGTTGCAACACTCTCCGACCTCTGGCGCCGGATTCCCAGCCCAATCTCCTTGGGGGCCGGCGAGGCCATCTGATCCGACTCAAATTGTCCTGAAATCGTTCAAGCGTAGACGGAGAACCCGATGTAAGACGCGAAGGAACCGATCGTGCGGGTAGAGATCGCGTGGGTCGTACTAGGTTCGATTTGGGAAATGGAGAGATCCGAAGAGCGAGACTGCCGCCTTTAAAAGGCAGATACAGCAATGAAGACCCCAGTGAATATCGTACCCGATAGGATTATTAAGGTGTAACACTGCGACAGGCCTAAGCTTCCAGCAATCGAAGTGGACCTCTCCGAATGGGGCTCATGAGTGCCTCCAAAGAATCCCGGGGGCCGTTGATCGAGGTCTAAATGGTCAGAGGCGCTCTAAGTGGACGAAACCCAGGGACAAAAGGAATGATCGATCCCGATGGGGTGAGGCGCGACGATCTGGAAAAAAAAAGGCACTGTGAGTTAGGGGTGGAGAGGCCAACGTATGGAGGGGCAGGCGGAGAGGCATGTGCGGTAAAATGCCAAATGCCTGGGCCGAATCATCAATTCAAGGGTAGATTTCCTGCTTGATTTCGATTCAATTCAGTAATGATTTTCGTCCGCTGTCAACGAAAATTGCACTCCCCCAGGGCCTAATTGGGGGGAGTAATTGGTCGCTTAGACGCGACGACCGCTCCAATCTGGTTGAGATCCACTGCAGTATCAACACCGATCTTTGATTGGATATTCTCGCAGTTGGAGTACGGGAGTAGACCTGTGGGATCGCATGACTGGCGGAACTTTCACCGTGGGGTCGACTTCTCCGGTCCAAGAGCCGAGAAGTTCCAAGGGTTGGGACAAAAAAAAAGTGGAAACGCTTCAATTTCGAAGAGACTGGTATCTGCGTAGATTGGGCTTGTACTGGTACACTTATAGAAGCTGGTGACACCATACATAGTCAAAGTATCTCCATGTACCTTTCTGGCACCCAATGAACATGCGAGAATGCTCGATGATGTCATATCCGATGACGTTGCTCATGAAACTTCTACAAGATTCAGATGCGATCTATGTATTTATATGCTCTACATTGTTGTATACAGTACGATCGTTGTAGATCTTCATCCAATATGCCTCATGATATCACTGTGGCGGAGAGGATGTGGTGACAAATGCGATGGTGTACGTGTACAAAGTTCATATTGTACTACACAAGTTCTATATCCTTCTAAGCAAGATCAGCCGGATTGCAGACAAGGTAGACAAGGCAGATAGGAACAGGGTACGGAGTCAACAGGGTAAACATACTAATTAGCATGTTGGGGGAATAAGCATGTTTCCACCCATGGACCTCTTGTACATTAGTTATGTACTGCTCTTCGTCTATCTCAAGAACCAAGATTGCATAACGATACACGTGTATATAGCGCCATCTCATTTCACCCCCCTGATATAGTCGAGACGTCCCCCGGGGTCTCACCTGGGCACTCGGAATGATCCTCAGGAGTCCCGGCTCACCAAAATGCCCAACTTGACCCTTACGCAGTGTCAGGGAGATAGGCTCAATTTGAAACTATTATTCACATCGTTCGACGATGTCTCTCTTCTGATACTTGACCGTGTCTTTAAGATGTGGATTGGGTTCACCATTCAATGTGTGTCAATTGTTTGTGTTGGAATATTAGGCAAAATTGGTCTGATCCATCCCTTGGGCAGACTTAATGGATTAAGTGAACATCCGTAGCAATTAACTAGAGCAAATACCGAAAGCTCTCGATCTCCCGATCAGTCTTGTTTGACAGCTCATCCTGCAACTCCGCCCCAACAGTGATTTGCTCGGGCAAGCCATACAACTTGTCTCGACGACGGTTCTCCCAGGTGTAATAAGAATATAAACAGATAAGGAAGAAAAGACTCAGGACCAGGCCTGACATCGAAGCTTTGATGCCCGTCTATGAAGATAAGAGTGTCAGCTATGCGACATGTCCATTTGATATCATGTCTCTCTCAAGGGGGGTGAAGAACTTACCGGATAAGATGGCTCTTCCGATGACAAGAAAAACTGAGGCCCAACAATGTTGCCAACACAGTATGCAATGAAAAGCAAGGAGCTCACAACACTTTTCTTTGAAAATCCAGCCACATTCGATGTGACTATACTCAGCGAGATTGGAAGATTAATTGCATAGACAACGGCAAGGGTTAGTCCAACCATTCTCCCAACCTGGTCGTTGGGATCAAGCTTCCAAATAAGAATCAGTCCCACGATCGAAACTACCGTGTTCAAGATCATTCCCAATATACGGAACGAGGGAAGCAACGTGGCGGCAGTTGAGGTTATGAGCAAGAACACAATCTGAGCACCACCTTGTGGCATTTGCATGATAAGGGCCTTCAAATCACTGAATCCGAATCCGGCGGTGATGATTGAGGTAAACTGGGAATTTCGTCAGAATTGAGTCTAAGAGATTTAGAACGTTTAGGACAATACTCACACTTGTGAGACCACCGTTGGCCAGGTTGGAAGTGAACGAGTTCAACACCAGGAGCCATGTCTGTGGATCCTTCAAGGCCAACAAGGCTTGTGACCATTTGAAAGTACCGGTGTCCATGACTCCAGTTTTATTTTTCAAAGTGCGCTGCACCGCGATAGCCCGCTCGTTGCGCTTCAAGAATATGGCCTTAGCAGGCGAGTCTGGGAGCAGCGTGAAGAGCACAATGCCATAGAAAGAAGTGACAGCACCCAGAATGAGAAACAAGAGCTTCCAGTGGGCGATGACGGTGGTATCAATTGTTCCAATCCCGTACGCAATCAATCCACCGATAAGCACAGCAATGCAATTTCCGAAGAACCAGGCAGATTGCCTAACTTCATCAATAAGGGTTTGGTGGAACCGATGGGGAAAACATACCGAAGAGGCTGTTCCTCGCGCTGGTAGAACATGCCTGTGATCAGGGTGAAGCCCGGTGCAATGGCCGCCTCACCAACGCCCAAGAAGAAACGGACTGTCATCAATCCACTCCAGTTAGAGCAAGCTGCATGGCACATCAAAACGCCACCCCAAAGGATTCTAGCCATGTTAGTTCTCTTCGTTAACCATGTGGAGGACAGCATACACCGAGACTGAAATGTATTTTCCAATTGGAAGTCGAACAATGATATATGAGCTCGGCCTATCAGAAATTAGCTGAGTGTCAAATGTTAAAGGCATCGAAGGTCATACCAACTCCAGGCAAAGTATCCAAAGTAAAAGATCGCGGATGCCCATGAGTATTCATTCCCGTGCATATTCTATTCCCTCCAGTCAGTCCACTGATTCTGCGTATTTAAATGAACGATTGACGAGGATGACCTACCAAATCCTGTCGCAAATTGAACAATGTCGCCTGACTCAAAGCAAGCTTGTCAAGGAACTGGAGAAAATATGCAACTCCCATCAATGGAATCAATCTTTCTTCAGATCAGCTATGCTTTTTTAGGCGTCACGCAACGGATACTCACACAAGGTCGAGCTTCCATAGCACTCTCCTTTCCTCCTCAGGTGTTGCTTGAACAGCAAGCACCTGTCCAATATCCAAGTCCCGACCTGGTGACTCGCCTTCACCCTTCATGTTCTTTTCATCGGCGTGTGATTGTTGTTGCTCCATTGTGAAAGCTATATTGCAGGTTCACTCAAGCAATGCAATAATATACCAGACGAGTTCCCCCTTCTTATCCAAATGTGGCCAGCAGCCGACATCGCTCAGGACTTCCAGCCGCAGAAATCTCGTGTCAAGGCTTCGCTTAAACCTACCAGTCCCAATATCCGCTTGCTTTCCGCGGTGGGCCCTACCCACCGTTCAAGGGGGAGCTGAAGATCTCCACCAATCGACGAGGTCTGTTTAGTTTTGAATGGTAATGAGAATTTCCCCGCGATGTCAAAAACCTGGAGAACTGGCGAGCTTGCCAATCAGATTGACATGCTCGGCACCCCAGAATTGAGTGTCAGTCGAATTAAATCTTGGGGTGACAGCCGGGACGGACCCGATCTGGGGAAAATCCCACTTCTCCCCTCAACGGATATGACACTCGGCAATTACAGCGGACGGAGATCGGCATTCGGTGCCAAGGCCCTTAGCCTAGCCTTTTCCCCTTGGTGCTACGGGGCTTGTAAGATGCGGCGTCGAGGCCGCTCCATTCCGCTAAAATTGCTAATAGGCATGAGTCCAATGAGATTTTTGACACGGGATGGTAATGTGAGTTGACTGCTCTTCGATTTGTGATCCACTATACAGAGATTTAAGATGAGATCCACTCTACTAGTAGTAATATAATTCGATTGACTAGGAAAGGTCTTTTCCAAAATCCGACTTGATCGCAGTGGCAAAGCTTTCGTCGACCAAGGCCCTAGACGCCACCACCGCCATTCCCGCCGCACAATGTAAACTCCGTTGGAATCCTTCTTCGGACCCGGCCCCTGCAGTAAACTGCGGTGTATGATTAACTCCGTCTGCATGAATATAGAATCCACCGTGGAAACCAGGGACTTCGTACGAAACATTGCCTGGTCGAATCCAAACATTAGCATTACATTCCAAGGTTGCCCCGGTGTGAAAACAAGTCTTACCCATATCGGTAGATCCGCCACTTAGTCCTCCTTCTTGTCCAGCGGCATCAAAGATAGTACTGTGGCCCATGGCGTTCATAGCGGAGACATAGCTGTCGCAGATTGGCTTGTTGATCTTCATGTCCTTGTATGCAGCCTCCCTGTACTATGCGTTAGCAGCACTTACAGAGATCACGGGTGTTATCAAAGTCGCTTCATACCATTTGTACTCCACAGTACAGCCCGTAGCAATAGCAGCAGCCTCGAAGCATTTCAGCACCTTTTCGGTCAAGGGCTTCAAGGTCTTGACAGTATCAGACCGAATGTAGTATTCAACTGTCGTAGAAGCAGGAATCACGTTGGGCCTGTCTCCACCACGCAAGACAACACCATGGATCTTCTGTGTGGGCAAGATCTGTTGTCGCAGCATGGAGATATTGACGTACGCGGACACGACGGCATCAAGTGCATTAACGCCCTCCCACGGAGCTGCCGAGGCATGCGCCGGCTTACCCGTGAAGGTCACCTCAACCTTGTCATTAGCAAGGTACTGTCCAGAACAAGAGCTCGAGCTGATCAGTTCTGGCGCACCAGAAAGCACTGGGAACGGGTGCACCATGAAGCAAGCGTCGACATCTTTGTATGCTCCAGCCTCGACGAGAAGAAGCTTTCCACCACCGCCTTCTTCGGCCGGTGTCCCCAATAGACGAACAGAATATCCGATCTGATCAGCATAGATGGAGCTCATTGTCTCACAAGTAGCCAGGAAAGCGGCAATCGAACTGGTAGCGATCAAATTGTGTCCGCATGCATGGCCCATGCCCGGCAAGGCATCATATTCGGCATTAAATGCCATCACACGCCCACCATTTCCACGTTTGTAAATAACCTCAAGCGCAGTCTCAACGCCATAGGCCTTTCTGTGAACTTGGTACTCCGGCCCGAGCGACTCGAAGACCTCACAGATGTGGTCATGGGCATCATACTCTTTGAATGCCAGCTCTGGGTTTGACCAGATCTACTAACATTAGAATTGAATGTAATGCGCTCAAAGCAATGAAAAACATGTTGGTACCTTCTGGTTGATCGTGCTCAACTTGGATTCATACTTCTCCAAGGCGCCGCGAACCTTCTGGATGATTTCTGCTTGTTCTTGCACAGGTAACATTTTGGAAATTGAGCTTTTGGAATCCTCGCAAATGCGCAATGTAGTCTTAAGAGAGAAACCAAAACCAAAAAAGGAATCCAGTGCCGAGTGATACCTCCGCAGATAAGAGAACTACCAAGTGGGGGAGTCATTATTCCGCATTCCGCAGTGGAGCTCATCTAAGACCATTCCATTATGCAATATCGCCTTGGGTAGGTGTCCGTTGAAATTGTTTCCAATGTTACTTTCCGTTTGATTGTTGTACAAGGATCTGGGCAGGAGAGGTATGGAAAGATCTCCGATCGAGGAATGCGCATTCAAAGGTTTCAACCGCCCGTAGGCACTTGCTTGACGCTTTCTATTGGTACAAAAAATGAGGGGGTGGGATTTCTCGAGCATAGGCTCGTAGAGGCTATGGTGGATAGAAAATGTACATCCATGGATTCGGTTTAGTCGGGCTCTGGATTAGTTTTAAATAACATCACAAGTTCCTGATCAATGAGTAATGGAGACATGGTGTTTGTATATAAGTACAGATTAAGTTACATCGTGAGGGTAAATAAATCGTAACGTCAGTAGACTGCGTAAAATTATATCGTCGTCGATGTACATCTGGCGTATGTGCTCGCAGACCGGTTTGAAGAGGGTCTGATTTGGATGTTGGTAGGGCTGTCGGGGCCCACAGTCGTTGAACAATCAGTATTGAATGATAGCGATTTTTCGCATCCAAAGGCTGACATACGAACATGTTCGTGTGCCAATAGATTATTATATCCCAAGTTTGTAGCCCCAAGGCTTTGTTGCGCAAGGAACATCCCAGGCTTGATCTGACGACCAAGGTGTTGTGGAATGTTCTTGATGCGCTTTGAGAGTCGCTTGGAGTCGCTTGGGTGTCAGAGCCCCTTGAAGGATGAAACAAGGACCCAGGTTGGGGTTGGGCAGTTAAGACAGGTTGGCGGCTATGAGTTCTAGGCTCAGAAGGTCGATCTCTCATATCCTAGGATCCTGGCTCAGGGTGGATGGGATTCATCAGTCGATTGCGTCGAGGGCCTGATCCTTCGCTCGGACATAGGCAGGCTCTCCACAGACATTGTATTCCATCCTCGCCGCCCCCTCGATCGGGACTCTCGTGGCGCGGCGTGTGTAACGTCCGTTGTGAGCTGGGTAGGATCCACAAATCCAGGGTACTCTTCATGCTCAGATGAGGTGGGTTGAGACCGAGAATTCTGCACGAGAGTAACCAACTTTCCGAGGACACCGAACTCGAGCTTCAGCTTGATGCTGTAGACCATTGGTTTCAAGGTGGTCTGTAGTGGGTAGTAGCCAATGTACTCGACAACGAGAAGGCAAACATCAAGCAAGATGATGACAAAATTGATAGCTAGTAGCTCGTACATGATTCGAGTGCGTCGTCGGTCTTTGTCGGGCATCATTCTGAGCAATCGCACCGCTTCGACGATGTATATACTGGAAATGCAGATTTCTTGAGCACAGAACCAGGCTAGTTGCATCCGTTCCATGACATTGTAACCGCGAATGACGGTTGGAGAGGCAATGTATGCGGTGCAGAAAGTGAACACGGTTGTTGGGACCAGAAGGATTACCGCATCAACAATGATGAGCCAAAGCACAAAACGAAGCACTTTGTTGCTCTGAACCACCAAATGCAGGCGAGAATATAGCACCACCGATTGACCAGGGACCATGACGTAGAATCCAATGGTGGTGATGGTCAGCGAAAGCCATACTGGCGCCAGAGAGAAAAACTCCAACAGATAGCCAACAGCGTGGGGGATTACGCCCAGAACGACGGATAGGAGTAGAGTCCAAAAGTAAAGTCCGCGGTAATGGGTAAAGGTCAAGAATAACAGAATGAAGAGTTCAATGGCGTTGTATAATGCGATAGACGTGAAGACGATCATCAACGTCCGCACGGCCAAGTTGTTGCCATGATACCCATGGATCCCGTCGGGGGCTTCGGACAAGTTGGTCATTGTCGGCGCACCGACTCAGCCCGAGCTAGGATATATGGACAAGATCTTTGTGAGGCGATATAGTTGCGTACCCTAATCGTGTGTCTGGATTCAAGCGTGCCAGCTTGACGGCCATCATAACTGTTCAATCACAGACAGGACATGCGCGCAAAGTATATCGAAGAGAACGGGGTGAGGTTGGGATTGCGACAGTGAACCGGGTTCGAGATTGGGTGGAAGGGATCTGGTCCGAGGAATGCGGATGTAACGCGGGGGAGGATCGATGCGATCACAGATGAACACGTAACAAATCAAGCACCTCAGTGAAGAATCACACACACAGAGCCTGCCATTGCAGGAATCGCGAATGAGAGAGAAAAAGAAAAAAGAGCAAGTATCCGGGGGACCGGGGAAATGCCAAGCTAAGCCGAGAAAGGAACCGCCACACGTGAATTTTGACTTTTTTCCTTCTTTTTTCGCTGGTGTTTTTTTGACTTCGGGCTGTTAATTGCTTCAGAAACACTGTCCCTGCAAATCTCCTTGGTCGTTTCCATTCGGCAATTCTCCGGTTTGTACGCGATTCTGAGTTGAGAATTGTCGCTCTCATGTGAGGTCACAACTGCCAAGCCTCCTTTCTTCGCAGGCGGCTCAGACGCAACCGTTCTAGATCTCTCAACGCTTACAATGCAGATTCTCCCATGTACTCCGGTTGGCGCTAGCTAGCCACTGAGGAACCGGGACTTGGGGGACTTGGGGGGACTGGGGCTGGGCTCTCCTTCACAATTGGACCGTCCTTCTGGTGGAGAGCGCCCGTGCGTTTTCGCCACTTTCCCAAAGGTCTGGGGGTGGTCGCCCTGAACTCAGGTCCGTTGGTCGTTTAACTCGTCTAAACGCCAACAAGCTATCAGGGCTACTGCAGACCACAGCAGACTGCACCACTCGTTCAAATACAATGCCCGGTGTGCATCTTCGGCCCGCCTGCGCCCAGGACCTTCCCGGCATTGCTGATCTGGCCGCACGGGCCATGCTGGAAGATGAACTCTTCGCCTACCTCTGCCCGGGCCGGTATGAGCATTACTCGCATTTCCGATATGCCTTTCTCCGCCGTTTGAAGACGCGGCTCGTGACTCCACGCTATGTGATGATAGTCGCGGTGGAGAATGAGGGGTCTGGCGAGTCGATCTGTGGGTACGCTCTTTGGAACAGAAGTGGGAGCGGAGCAGATGCAGTACAGTGGCACAACGATACGTGGTCCCATGGTGATCTCCCCCGTGTACTTGGCAGTCGCCGACAATTCCCCGACTGACATTCTCAGCTCTGGAACGAATGCTCTTGGCTGTGGAAGATCGCTACCTAGCACTAATCTATCCTGACCGCAGTGTGGATCCCCACCGACTGGAGCAATACCTGGCTTCTGCGGTGGACTGCTTTCCCTTTTCGGATTTTCCACAAAATTGGTTCTTGTCAACCGTCGCCGTCGATCCTGTCCATCAACGACGCGGGATAGGCCAACAGTTGATACAATGGGGCCTACAGCAAGGACTACAGGACAACGTCCCCGTGGGGCTGGAAGCGAGTCTAAAGGGGTTTGCTCTATACGAAAGATTGGGCTTTCGGACAGTCAATGAGCTGGAACTTAGGCCAGGCATCATCATGCGCGCCATGATATGTGACACAAATACGCTTTCTAATATGAATCATTCATGAGACTGTTCATCGTAACCGTGCTCTGGGTTTTACCACAACCACAACCCTGCCATGAACACTTCTTGCCGAGTGTATAAAACGACTTCGGTCTCATTGGAAGCAGGAAGCAGGAAGTAGATGACCACCCACTGTTCTTGTCCACGGGTTAAAGTGTCCCAATATTCTACATAAGGCCTCTATCGATATCACAATTCCCAAGGTCTGTCCGCGAGATTATTTGCCCAGTGTTCCACAGGATAGAGTCTTGAAAATGCGACTATAGCGACCCGAATTTGTCGGGAGTTTCAGATCTCTTCCAAGGTTGGCATTGATCGAAAGCCCCAGCTCTTAAGATCCCCCGTGACATCCATCGTGGATACGCCGGGGCACCTTGTTGCGGTTTTTAGGGCGTGCGGGCGTTCGGGCGTTCGGGCGTTGGGAAAAAGGGCGGCGATATCGAACACGGCGTGTTGGTAACCCCCTGGTGGTTCTGCGCCCTTAGGTTCCGGGCGACGTTTGGTCCGGTTTTCGGGTTTTCGGGGTCCCGCAAGCAGCAGCGTCACGGTCACCACCTCAACCTTGGAAACCCTGTGAATCTTGGTCGATGTATTCACTTACGAATATTGTGAATTAGCTTGGTGAATCTATAGATTTGCTTTATTATACATGGTTGTCAGATCGCCAACGCCTCTAACCTCCAGGACTATCCCAGGATGGATTGGGCCGGCATCTTAGATGCCCAAAGATGATATAGATATCACAAAACTTCATATTCCTTTACCTTGTACAATGACAGACTACTGGACAGGAAGATAAATTATGAGAATTTGCATTTGAGGTATTCAACCCTTAAAAAGATGCTCAATAAAAGATACTTCGCTTAAACTGCCTCCATGGGCAAGCGGGAAATTCCATAACACCACCAATTCGCAAAACCGAAATCGGAAAATCAAAGGCCGCGCCACACACCATTACACTAAGAACGAGCATCTGAAAAAGAGTTCAAAGAAGCGCAAGATCCAGCTAAAAAGGCTGGGGTACGTAGTAGCAGCAGATGGTCCCCCAGGTCAAAGAAAAAGAAAACACCAGAGCTCAATGAGAACAAAGAAAAAGACGCGGGTATCGAAAAGTGATCGCAAGAAGGCAATCAGGGCGCGCGTGAACAAAGGCTTAGTTCACCATGGGAAGACCGTGAGTCATCTCCTGCTTGTTCACTTCAGAGCCATCCTGACTGTCGTCGGTGCGAACGCGCTTGTTCTGCTGGAAGTTGTTGTTCAGGAAGCTGGCATCATCGTTGTGCTTGCGCATACCCAGAGTCGCGGCGGCGATGCGGTTCAGGGAGTTCATGTCATCAGAGACAGAGCCCGGGTGCTGGGGCCCAGAGGAAGGGACCGAGCCGGAGGGGCTGGAGTTCTGAACCCCGGCCGAGGCGAGGGCCATCTCAGTGGTTCGGGGCTGGCTCAAATCTATGTTGGCAGGCAGCTCGGGAACTTCGCCCTGGGCTTCGAGGAGACGCGACTGCAGATTGATGATGTACTCGCGAAGCTGGTAGTTCTCGCCAACAAGGGACTTGACCTGGTCCTTGAGGGGGTCAATGTTCTTGACCTCTTCCTCGAGCTTGCGGATGTAGGTCTCCTTGCGCTGGCGGAAGGCACGCTATAAAATAGGTCAGTGAATGTTGTCAACACAGGGGCGGCGGGGAGATGAATGCATACCTGAGCGGCGCGGTTCTGGGCAGCGCGCTTGGAGGTGGACAGCTCACGCTTGCCGTAACTCTTGGAGCCACCATCAGAAGGGGGAGAGCCCTGAGGCTGGGTGGGAGTCTGGGGAGTACCCATCATAGCACCCGAGATGGCGGGGTCGATGTTAGCCTGCTCGCGGGGGCTTGCATTGTTAGGCTGCAGGTGCTGCTGCTGGCCCGGAGCACCCTGAGGACGGTTCAGGTGGTGCTGAGCAGCGAGAAGCTGGTCGTGCAGGACTAAGGAGGGGTGTTAGTAATGGTGGTGATCATGATGCTGACAAACAGCCCTAAGTTGGGGATCATCAAAAGTATAAGAAGGGTGTCTGAAGGCTAGCCCAAACCACGACCACGAGCTACCGGGCCCCAATCGGGAACCACGAAACCACGAAGTCACCAAGCTGCGGCCAAGACACTCCATACTTTTCATACAGATTGACAATTCACGTACCTTGGTCCGCGTGGTCCTATTCTCATCGTTAGTATAGAGTATGGAAGAAAGGAGGCGCGTGGTGGCGCGACGAGGCATCAGATGGGACTCGACGCGTCAAGGAGGGGTAACATATCCCCTAATTCGCATCAAGTGCCAACTAGGGTTGTCAAGTCTCCAATATCAAGTAGACAACGCGGGATATAGATATGATGACAAACGCGTTCAAGAAGACACTTACCTGAGCAGTGGACTGCATGCTTGGATGCGGCGCTGGTGCGAGGGCAGGCTGCATGGATCGAAGTTCAAGAAGATACCAGAACCCTAAGAATTCTGATATTCAGAGCAAAGATGATCTCTTTGCTAATATCGCGATGCAGGTCAATGAGGTAAGCAGTCGATGCTGTAAGCAGGTTGAAGAGGAAGAAGGATTACTTAAGGGAGTCTGAGTCAGAAGTTCGGGGGTTCGTGGCCGGCAGAAACATCCGCGGGGGGCCGGTAAGCGAAACCCTAATAGGGCAGGCGGTGACCCCGGGTACATCAACCATGTACCATACACTCCTACCACACTGCAACCATCTACATTTTGTTCGGTCGTTTTTCAGAGAATTATTTATTTACGTATACTCTTCACCATAATATTTCAGCTAAATATGTGCTGTATTAGCCGGCCGATCGTCATTGTTCCGAGGTTTGTGGGGACAAGACAAATTAGTCTACGGAGTACGGAGTACACGGAGTACACTTCACTACGGAGTACTTCCAAGCTTATGGATAAGAACAAATACACATTGTACAACTACGTGTAGGTGCATCTGCCAAATTCACGCTTTCGAGAAGTAATTGTTAAGCTCCGGATTCTCTTTTTGGTACATACTTGAAAACCTTCATGCTCACCCCGTACTGTGATCACATTCTGCCGCATCCAGTCACGCTGACTGTAAGCTTCGATACATGACGTCACGACCTGCTGAGATGCAAACAGGGCTCGCAGTAGGCGTACTATAGACTGGGAAGCTCGGAATATTATCCATTTCAACACCCAGCAGACACGTATAATAAATCACTATACAAATCCCACGTACATCACGTAACACATTCCACACACACTGCGTAGACTTGCGATTCAAGCAGCATGTATACTGGGTGCCCGCAAAGCACCGTTATCACCCCCCTATTGTTGCTTCTTCACACTGCCACGGACCGGCTGGGCTTGAATGATACCAGCACCGACCTGCGCTGACTCCGTCCAGCCACGCTGGTGTAACCAGAAGCGTGCAGCGGGGTCAGCACCGTGCAAGGATGCTTTTCGGGCATCGTCTTCCAGAGAGGTGCGCGAGATTTCAGGTGCCTCGGATTGGGATGCAAGCTCCTCTTCATCTTGACCCTCGTCGGCCTCTGCGCCGGGAGTAGATTCAAGATAACGCTTGCGCATGAGATACCGATCAGCGCGCTCTTTCCTGGAGTTAGGGGGCTCAATTCTGGCCATGGCGGCCCGCACAGCGTAGCGAACAATCAAGTATAGGTGCTCTGAGAAAAAGATGGTCAAAAGGAGCGCCCAGCCCTTGATCTCCGTTGGCTCGCCGTTTGGTCCATGCTGTGCGTTGTCGCTGAACATGTAAACCAACGCAGCGCTGGTAATACTACCAACCCAAGAGAGAAAGCTCAGACTGTCCAACCACGGGCCGATGGTGTCAGTGCGCAGTGGCACAGGGCGACGGAACTCCATGCAAATCTTGAAGAAGTCCGAACGCAGCTCAATCCAGTTGTTCACAAAGAATGAGAGTGGAACAAGGGGCCAAGTAGGCGAGAATAGAGCCAAGTATCCAAACTGAATACACATTTCACGAAGATCATCTGTCACATCGTACTCAGATAACTCGACCTCGTTTCGGACGCGTGTAAGGAATTGCACTTCCTCGGCAGGGTCGTCGAAGACCACAACAGGTCTCTCGGGTGACTCTTTATCGCCATTTCTTTCCAATTTGCCATTGCGCTCTTGGTTGTACTTCTTGTATTTGCGCATGGCGTGCTGCTTGATATACGGCACAATTGTTTCCATCGCAAAGCCAACGATCTGGGCTGTCACGGTGAAGTAGATAACCTGGTTTCGCAGACGAGCAGGATCAATCTGGAAGTGCGATTGTTTCGCGACTGCGTGCTCCTTGGACACGAAAGGCCGGACGGTCAAGTGGAAAACATCCAGATAGGGCACAATGCGACTTGCGAATGGCACGTAAATGAAGGCTGTCAAAAAGATTGGAAGGTACGAAGTGATGAAGTTGATCACGAAGACCTTTTGTGTAAGCGCGACATCATACGCATCCTTTGTCTCATGGTTCTCATAATCATTGATCTTGGTCGCGATTGACGTTAGAATGGCGCTCATTGTAGGCACCAAAGCTGACACAAGAATGGTCGGAATGAAGATCTAGGTGGTCATGGTGAGCACAGGTCGCGATTGGTAGCAATCCGAACATACCAGATAGGTCTTCAGCGGACCATTGTACAGCTCCGAGATGAATATCTCGATGGCAAAGCAGGTCGCAATGATAGCGCCCAAAGCAACGGCTGCAAGCAAAGCAAAGGGAATCTGCAGAAGCTGTCTCTGCATGCGCTTGGTAGCTGGGAAAACACCACGCTTCTCGCCGGTCCCTTCATCAACAATTTCCTTCTCGGGCTTGAACTCGCGGCGATTGGTTCGGACAACTGACACATTCTTTGTCTCCCATCTGCAGCTCAAATCAACCTCCTGGCGCTTCCAGTACTCCACAAAGATGATACACCAAAGACAGTTGACTGCAGTGTAAATGAGCGAGAAACCACCCAACAGGAACCAACAGGAGAATCCAAAAACGGCTGGGAATATCAAAAATCGGAAATATGACTGCAAGAATGAGAAGTAGAATCCAACCTAGCATGTGTCAGCTTGGTCGGAGAACAATAGGCAGCTCCACACATACACTTTCTCCAAACTTGTTACGAATCTGGTCCAGGTCGTCCTCGGAGAGGAATGTCTTTTTGCTCCACTCTCGCATCCACGTGTTGTTGGTTTCAATATCATGCAATGGGAAGATAGCAGTGACATTCTCCCACTCGCCGTGATTGGGAGTAATTCCGGCGCCGCCCTCTTCCTTGCCGTGAGTAATCATCTGGTGAACGACCCGCAGGCGCTCAGCCTCAGTTTGAGTCTCGGTCGAGTTGGAAGAAGTAGGTTCGGCATTGCGGATACCGTAAAGCCAGTCGCGAACACTGCAAACAAAGACGACATCAGCATTCACACACTTTCCATTTCAACCTCAGAGCGCACGTACCGCGACCGATAGACCGCCCGTCCCAGACGCTTCTCGGAAGCTCGAACAAAGACAAGTAGCGAAGACTCGTCACCCTGGCGAATCTCTGCCTGGAGACCGGCCTGGGCGAGGGACTGGAGCAGCTTCTCTAGCTGTGCAATCGCCTGCGATTTCTCTGGTGGCGGGTTAGCAAGCTATGGCAGTGGGTCAGTAGCCGGGCTTACCAGCATTTCCAAAGCTGTAGCGGATCACGTAGTCCACATGGAGATTGCAAGGTTTCTCTGATTCTGCCATCGTGGAATGGTTGGAGAGGAAGAGGAAGCGGGACGGGCAAAAAGTGAGGTGATCTGCGGAGTGGGCGGACTACGTCACCAAAGGCTTAGCTGGCGAAGCCTGCCCGGGCGCACAATATGCACGATGTAGTAGTTGGAAATGTTAATTATATTAGTTGAAATGACGTTGCGTCTCAGGCTTTCAACCCTCTGTCATCAGAATCAGTCTATAGAATATTTTGAATAATGTTGGGAGCTTGACAGCTCTACTCCGTAGTACATGTACAGATACAGGTACAGTATGCCCTGCTCTGGGGTGCTGCGCATGATCGCGGCTTAGTGCATCGATCGCGATGATCTCATTTCGATCCTTCATGATCGGCCAATTCAACCAGGCAAATCAACTCCAGATCGCATGCCCTAAACACCCTCGGCCAACTTGGTCAAAGCATCTCCCTCGACCATCATCTTCATCCACTCATCCATACCCTTAGCACCCACTTGCTCGTAGAAGCGAATGCTAGGCTCGTTCCAGGTGAGCACACTCCACTCAAGTCTCCGTCCGGAAGCCTCCAGAACCTGCTTAGCAAGGTATTTGAGCAGCTTGAAGCCGTAGCCGTGACCCCGCGCGCTGGGCTGTACATATAGATCTTCCAGGTAGATACCGGGAGCGGAGCGCCAAGTGGAGTAGTTGTAGAAGTAGAGGGCCATGCCGACGGGGATTGGGTCGGGCTTCTCGGTGGTGGGCGGCGGGGTGATGAGGGCCGTGTAGACAGCACCGCGGCGAGGTGGGGTATCGGGGAAAGAAAGGGTGGCTAGGAGGGACTCTTCGGTGGCTTCGACTTCATGAAGGGCCTTTTCGTAGTCCGCGAGCTCGCAGATGAATTGGAGGATGAGTGGGACATCTACAGCTGTTAGCGGGGGTCCGAGTGATGATGCTATACAGTTGACAGCTTCCAAGCTCTCAATCTTCAGTTCAACCACTCACCCTCGGGTGTCGCAAGACGAATAGTAGGTTGGTCGGCCATTGTAGCGTTTGAAAGGGGACGAATGTAATCCATTGCGAAGTCTGGGACATGCTCCATAAATAAAAAGAGTGACTGCGCCCTGCGGACTACATGCTTCACATACTATCCCCAATCAGGAAATTACCTCCACTGCTCTTTCCATTTACCTTCTCGCCTTGGCAACTAAACGCTCTACAGTCTACTTAGCTCTCACCATTCAATACTGCTTTCTAGCTTGGGAACTTTTGAAATAGATGAAAATCTACCTGGACAACCGATAGCCGTCTGGTGGGGCCATTTCGGAAGTCGTCAAAGGGAAAATGCATTATGGTCAATGATATTGTACAGTAGGGTATAAACGCCAATCACTTGGACATGATGGCAGACATCCACTTTTGCTCGTCGGTACTATGATTTGTTAGCAATACTTCTTGAGTATTGACGTAGGGGGTGGCTTACCGATCGAAGTGTAGCAACATGCCCAAGACAGGAATGAGCTGCTTCTGGTAATTCTTATCTCGCTGTTCCAAGAATTGAAGTAGGACGTTCTTCAGGTACATGTAATCAATAGAAGCGTTGCTGGGCGGGCCGACTGGAGTCTCGCTTCTGCCGGGCGATGCGACTGCCCGACGAGACCCAGAGTCGATAGAGGAGCGCGAGGACTGCCGACCTGTGGGAGAACCACGCAAGCGTACATCCTCTCCAAGGGTCTTGTGAGACCGTCGAAGCTTCTCCAATCGACTGTTCGTCTCTTCGACAGAACGGCGGAGCTCCGCCTTGTCCTTTTCGAGGTCACGAACCTGCTTCTCACTTTCATCCAGTGCTTCACGAAGGCCTGCCATGGCCTGCCGAATCTCTGTCACTTCTTGGGAAGACTGCTCAGAGGCCGACTCGAGCTCATCACGGCGGCGACGCCAATCCTTTTGAGATTGCTCGAGGTCTTCCTTATCTTGCTCTGCCGTACGAAGAGCTCTTTCGGCCTCGCGGACCTTGGCCTTGAGTTCCTCCATTTCGCGAGCACGACGTCTACCCGTGGTGCTAGCTTCATCTTCGGCACGGTCTCGCTCTTCGATAGCAGCTTCCATGCGCTCCTTGAAATCTCGAACCTTCGACTCTGAGCGACCCTCGATGTCATTCAACAAGCGACGCATGGTTTCTCCTTCGCGGGTCCGCTCACTCAACAAACGGTGAGCATCAGCCAGCTCCTCGTCCAAACTCTCGCACCGTTCGCGAGCCTCCTTCATTTGCATCGCAACTTCGCCGGTCTGATCACGCATGCTGTTCATCAAGCTTTGGGCACTGCTATGCTGGGCGGTTTTGAGTTGAATTTCTTCCCGAAGGCTCGACAGCTCCTTGTTCTGCTGGGAAATTTGCTCCTCCAGCTCTCGTGCCTTGGTACGAATGCTCTTTAGTCCATCCTGGGCCTTAGAAAGATCACCAGAGATTTTTTCACGGGCGTTGATGGCATCTTGCTTTTTGCTCTCCGCAGAACGAAGGTTAGACTGGGTGACTGTGAGGTTCTCCTCGGCCTTTAAGCGGCTGTCGGTCTCCTGTCGAATCTTTTTGTTCAGGGTGCCCACTTCAGTCTCGCGCTCGGAGATCTTCGATTTCGCGCTCTTCAGCTCAGCACGCAGGTCCTCGTGTTTACCCTCGAGGGTTTTGAGATCCGAGTTTTTGGTGTTGAGGGTCTCTTTCAGAGTCTTCAGTTCTGTGGCCTCGGCACGTAGGTTACGCAGCTCGGGCTGAACCTTTTGAAGGGTTTCACGTAGATCTGTGAGATCTTTGAATCGGGTGGTCGCTAGCTGCTGCGCGGCAGAGAGATCAGTCTCTAGGCTAGCGGAGCGGACCTTGAGGGTCTCGAATTCTTCTTTCAGAGAAGAGTGCACCTTTTCCGAATCAGCTGAGCTCGAAGCGTTAGTGGTACGAAGTTCGACAAGTTCCTTCTCCAGCTTCTGGATGGTTTCTTCGAGGGCAGACTTCTCTGCGGAAAGCTCCTTGATCTTGTCCTTTGCGGTAACATGCTCCTGGCCGAGGTTGACGAGGTCATCACGTAGCGACTCAATCTCTTCCTTCAGATCCTCCTCGCCCTTCAGCTTTGAGCTAAGGCGGTCAATTGCAGCCTCCTTCTCAGACAGTTGCTGCGAGAGAGATTCAATTTTTTCCTTCAGTTCATTCAATTCGTTGGTGGCCGGTGCAGATGTCTCTTGAACTGGCTGCTCTGCTGGGGCAGTCTCGGCCTGCTTAGCAGGCTCCTCTGCCTTGCCGCCCTTCTTCTTCTTTTTGTTTTTCTTCTTTCCGCCGCCACCGCCGCCGGCAGCAGAAGTAGCCTGGGCAGGCTGCGGCTCATCTTGAGCTGGCGCGGGGAACGAAACAACAGGCGCAGATTCTTCCTTGGCAGGTGTGAGGCTCTTGATGATCTCCTCGAAGTCGGCTGCATCGCCAGCGAGAACCTTCTCTTTGGCGGATAACCACGCAGAGTTGTCCTTCAGGTTCTCATCAACAAAGTCGCAGACGTCCTTGTGCTTCGCAGATCTATCAGAAATCTCCTTGTTCTCAGTCTTCAGATTAGAGATTGTGGATTCCGTATCTTGGAGTTGGGACTTCAAGCCGTCAACTAGACCCTGGAGCACGGTGAGCTTCTTCTCGTTGGAAGTCTTCTCCTCCTTGGCTGTCGCTAGCTGGGCAACCAGCTCGGGATTTGGCTCTTCCTTTCCGGATGTCTCCTTCTGAAGTTTCTCAATTTCCTGGCTCTTTTCCTTCAGTTGCGACTTCAATTTCTCGACCTCCGATGCTGTTGATTCAAGAGATGTTTCGGCGGTGGCGAGCTTAGCTTTCAGGTCATCGACATCCGCGTTCTTGGAAGACCGCAGGGTCTCGATCTCGGCATCTAGCTTATCCTTGGTCTCGCGCAACTCCACGAGCTCGCGGGTGGCAGTCTCCAAGTTCTGCACCATGCCTTCGGTCGACTCACGGGTGACCGACATGTCGCGCTTGAGCCTTTCCACCTCGGTCTTGAGATTATCAACCTCTTCTTGTTTTCCCTTGAGCTCGTCTTCCAGCCGGGGGACTTCGTTCTCGTAGGAGAAGAACTCCTCGCTGGTCTCCGCCTCGTCCTTCTGGTCGCTTTCCTTGGTCTCTGACTCTGACTTCTTCTCCTTCAAGCCAGTGACTTCGTCTAGAGCCTCTCGGGTGGCTTTCTCTGCTTCTTCGAACTTCTTCTTGAAGTCTTCTCGCTCCCCAGTGACACGCTTCAGCTCCTCCATGACCATGTCGCTTTTCAAAGTAGACTGGTTGAGGTATTCGGTGAATGCTTTCGGCTCGCCGATCGAAGTCAGCGGGGTGTTTTCGCGCAGGGCGGCTTCGAACGGTTCGATGGAGAGGACGCGCGAGTGGGCCATGCGATATGCCTTGAGCAATTCTGTCCCTGTCAGTATTTCGTTTCTCTGGACCGATTTAGGCAGGCACATACCATGGTATCGCGACTCCAACTTATCGAGTCGTCGGAGCTTTGCCCGAACATCAGGCGGAAGCTCCGTTGTTGTCTCCTTCTCCTTGGACTCTTGCTCCGGGGCCTCCTTCTCCGGGGCGTCTGCGGGTTTGCTTCCCATATCTGCGGTCTCTTCGTTGCTTCCTTCCGACGCAGCGCCTGGTGTATCTAGTTGAGGGGTCGCGGCACGACTGGATTCATCGTCGTCCCCGATGGTGAACTCGGCCTCAAACTCTTTGGGGTCTGGTCCTCGCACGGGGGTGCCAGTGTTCCGTCTCGGGCGGGTGCGCTGACCTGAGGAAGAACTGGGCGGACGACGGGCGGAATTGGAGCGGGAGATGTTATCTTGAGCGGTCTTTTGGCGGGCTTGTTCCTCTGCGATACGAGAGTCGATGGCGTCGCGGAGGCGCTGTGTTTGGGTTAGTTGGGACGCAAGGCGCAAGGGAGATTTCTCACCTGAAACATCGCCGCGGGTTGAATAGAAACCACCAAATGAAAAAGCGCAAGAACACTAGCGACGGTGTTGACCAGAAAAATGAAGAAGATAAGCAGTTGGCCACGGACGGGCGTGAGGGGGAGCATTGGTTGGAAAAGGGCCAAGGCGGAACTGCCATGTGGTCTTCCCGTGAACGGCGCCGAGTTGACCGTGGACCGCATTCACTGGCTACAGTCTTTGTTTATATTAGTACCTGTTCTATTTTAATTAGGTGGTCTAATATAAAGAGATTTAATTCTGTATCATAGCAGACATTATCGCTCTTATTTACCCCGGATTCTCATGTTAATCTAAAATTCTAGTTCAGCCCTAGGGATTATATATACCAGGTGTGTAGTACACCCATGAAAACCCCCAAAGAAAATAATTAGAATTAAAAAATGTATATATTATTTCAAGCCTATAAAGACACCGAGCTACTATTTTACATAAATCTATATTATGAGTTTAAAAAAAGAAAAGGTATGAAGTATAAGTTCTGTGTGTACAGATCAATGATGTACCTATGATAGTACAGGATAGACTCATGTCACAAAAATGCAGTGGGAGTCAAAAAGCTTAAAACCACCTGGGCCTAGATACCCGCAGAGATGTGGCAGATTTCCACAGGAACAGTAAATATACCAAGTTCCAAGGTTGACATCACTGTGGAGTGCTAAAGACAAGGCTATAATAGCCGTAGCACTGACGTAGGGTGGATTAAGACTGGGAACAAAACAAGGCCAAAGGATCCCACTCAAATATGCAGAGATCAATACTTCGTATAGAGAAATATAAAGAAACATAAAAGAAATAGATACAAAATGAAAATACCTACAATTCAAAGGCGTATGATTTGACGATCACGGGGAACCGTTTAACGTTCACCTGCCAAGGTTGCATTTGAGACCTCGGGCTAATGCATCTCTCCTCACCACTCCTCCACCCACCGGTGAAAGAGCTCACACGTTGCCAATGATTTGATCAACCTGCCCGAAAAAAGACCCTTTGGGTTTGGTTGCTCCCCTCTTAGCGCTGGGTTTGGGTTCATCTCATTTGAGCCTTGGAAACAAAGCGGAGCACCTCCATTCTTGTTTCGGCCATGGCTGGCCTAGCCCCATCCCTCGCCCTGAGCCTAACGGCACCTTCATCTTCGCAGCTTGCAGCTTCTAGCGCTGCTGCCGCTTCTACCTTCACCTCGTTCCCTCCAACTCCTTCAACCATGGCGGGGTGGATCGGCTGGGTGTTTACCCTGGTCTTCCATACAATCCCGAGCCTGCTGTACTGGTTCATTACCTTTGCGACCATTACGCTGCCCACATGGTTGTTTACGCTATTTTCCATGAGCCTGACCTTCACCATGAATTTCACCACCATGTGAGTACTTTTGCAAAATGCGCGCGGGGAAATGTGACTGACCCGCAAACTTCAGAATGTTGATTGCTCTCATGCTGGTCTCCACCGTTGGCTGGTTCATTCGATATCGCTTCCTCAACATGTACAGCCGCTTGCCCCCGGAGCCCCAGCGCAAGGAAGCCCAGATCGACCTGTTCCCCGATATCCAGGAAGGCGATTCCAAGCCAGGACTCGCCAATTACCTCGATGAATTCTTAAGTGCCATCAAAGTCTTCGGTTACCTTGAACGACCCGTGTTTCACGAATTGACGCGGACAATGCAGACGAGGAAGTTGATTGCGGGGGAAACTCTCATGCTAGAGGAGGAGAAGGGGTTTTGCTTGGTGGTGGATGGTCTTGTCCAGATCTTTGTGAAATCAATGCGTGAGGGGAAGGCTGGCTCCTCGGAGAATTTACACATGGAAGATGCGTCGTCGGGTGAGGATGAAGGTCACAGCAACGGCCGACAGGGCTATCAGCTCCTGACCGAGGTCAAGAACGGCGCGTCGATGTCGTCTCTGTTCTCCATCCTCCAGTTGTTCACTGAAGACATCGAGCTCCGCAATTCGCAAAGCCATGCCTCCATGGCATCTACGCCCGTGCGGGGGGGCAGACACCAATTCCGGACGCTTTTCCAGTCAGCCCGAGCTCCGGTGTGATCAACAGTCCTATCTCTACCGTCAGAGATGCCGGCGATCTGAACAACGCAGCTCAATCCAGTGAATCATTACCACCTGTTCCCCCGTTGAATCTGGGAGAAAGTCATCCCATGCATGGGCGTCGCACCCACTCTCAGACCCCGCAGCCAGAGGCCAATGAAAAAGCACATGCTCAAAAGAAACGTCGCAAGTCGGTGCATCCGGACATTGTTGCTCGAGCTACCGTGGATACGACGATTGCCATCATCCCGGCGAGCGCATTCCGCCGCCTTACCAGGGTTTACCCCCGGGCAACAGCGCATATTGTCCAGGTGATTCTCACGCGTCTCCAGCGCGTCACATTCGCCACAGCCCATTCATACCTCGGACTCACTACGGACGTGCTAGGGATTGAACGGCAAATGTCTAAATTCACCTCTTGGGACCTTCCCAACAACCTCCGCGGAAGCGCTTTGGACCGGTTAAAAGACAAATTCACCCGAGAGCGAGACCGTTTAGGACCGGAAGAAGTTGGGAAAGGCATTGCTCTTCATAATCCCTACGCCGGTCTCAGGCGGCGCTCGAGCAGCACCTTACGGAAGGAGGCGGCTTTGCACGCGAAGGTTGCCAATGACCGCCCTCTGGCTCCTCTCACTCCGCAAAGGTCACCACCACCAGCATTTGTCGACAGAGAACAAGCAGGTGTTAGTCCTGGAGATCTGTTGTCGACAATACAGCTTTCCAGATTCGGGCCACGATATGACCAATTGGCGCCGCGCATCCAGACCCCCCTCACCGAAAGAGAGCAGCCCCAATTCCTACCGGCTAATCTGAATGGTCGACCTACTTCAACCTTCCAGCGAAAAGAATCTGTTGACGAGGACGCCTTGTTCAGGGAGTCGATACTTGACTGTATCATGAAGGGAATAGGGCTTGACGAAAACCCACGCGATGCTGTGCGTAAGGGTAGTCATTCGGGCGATGCATCACCCAGACTACTTTCTTTCGACAACCGTCGCCAGAAGGCAGTCTTCTCGAACGCTTTTGGCTTCATGGATCCCTATGAAGCATCTGGCGATGGCGAATCCGAATCCATGACCTCTATGTCAGTGACGAGCGCGGGTGGGACTTCGCCTGTCCTGAATCTTAGAGAAGAGCTGCGTCACGACATTGAAGTGGTCTACTTCCCGCAAGGTTCAGTTCTTGTGGAGCAGGGTGAGCGCCATCCTGGTCTTTACTATGTCATCGACGGATTTTTGGATGTGGGTATCCCAGCGGACGAGAAAGACGACATACTCATTGGGTCATCCCATGGAACGGCCTCTCAAGCACAGGAAGATCTGTTCCCGAAGCTGAGACGAACCACAACAGCATCATCGCGCGCTTCAGGCGCAACAGGTGGCGGTGATTCTCGACGGAAGACGCAGTATCGCAAATCGCTCTATATGATCAAACCCGGCGGTATCCAAGGTTACGTTGGTGCGCTTGCATCCTATCGTTCGTACACCGATGTAGTGGCCAAGACGGATGTCTATGTTGGATTCCTCCCCCGAGCCTCTCTGGAGAGGATTGCGGACAGACACCCCGCTGCTCTATTGACCCTGGCGAAGCGACTCACCCGACTCCTCCCACGATTGCTGCTTCATATTGACTTTGCACTTGAGTGGGTTCAAGTCAATGCAGGACAAGTCATTTATCACCAAGGAGATGAAAGTGATGCCATATATCTTGTTCTGAATGGTCGTCTGCGGTCTGTTCTTGAAGGATCAAACGGCAAAATGACGGTTATCGGGGAGCACGGGCAGGGCGAGAGTGTCGGTGAACTTGAGGTCATGACTGAGTCCACGAGACCATCTACCTTGCATGCGATCCGAGAAACAGAACTAGCCAAGTTCCCGCGATCACTTTTCAACAGCCTCGCACAGGAGCACCCTGGCATCACGATTCAGGTATCAAAACTCATTGCGCAGCGTATGCGGGACTTGGTCGAACATCCTCTGTCCGAGAAGGGTATCGAGCAGGGGAGTGCCGCTGGTGTTCAAACTGCAACCTCAACCGTCAATCTCCGCACTGTAGCTATTCTTCCCGTCATGGCTGGTGTACCTGTCGTGGAATTCGGAAATAGGCTTCTACACGCGTTGCACCAAATAGGTGTGACTCGAGGTGTCACGTCGCTCAACCAAGCGGCAATTCTGAACCACTTAGGTCGGCACGCCTTCAGCAAGATGGGAAAGCTCAAGCTTTCTCAGTATTTGGCCGATCTGGAAGAGAAATATGGAATGGTCTTGTACATCGCTGACACCAACGTGAACGCACCATGGACTCAGACTTGTATCGCGCAAGCTGATTCCATCTTGCTGGTGGGACTCGCAGAGTCTTCGCCTAGAATTGGTGAATATGAGAGATTCCTGCTAGGCATGAAAACGACGGCTCGCAAGGAACTTGTACTTCTGCATGCAGAACGATACTGCTCACCTGGACTCACGCGGGAATGGCTGAAGAACCGTGTTTGGATTAACGGCGGCCATCATCACATCCAGATGGCTTTCCGCTCAACCACAGAACCTTCACACCCACCAAGTAAGAAATTCGGTACTGTTCTCAAGCAACGCGTGCAAATCCTGCAAGCCGAGATTCAAAAATACACTTCGCGACGGGCTCAACAAACCCCGCTCTATTCTTCCCAATCCGCATTCAAGGGTGATTTCCATCGACTGGCACGGCGTCTGTGCGGCAAGTCTGTGGGCCTTGTATTAGGTGGAGGAGGAGCACGGGGTATCGCGCAAGTTGGTGTGATCAAAGCACTTGAAGAAGCCGGGATACCAATTGATATCATTGGTGGCACGTCGATCGGCTCTTTCATTGGAGCACTGTATGCGCGTGATGCCGATGTTGTTCCTATGTACGGTCGAGCCAAGAAATTCTCTGGACGCATGGGCAGTATGTGGCGATTTGCACTGGATTTGACCTATCCGACAGTCTCCTATACCACAGGTCATGAGTTCAACCGTGGAATCTTCAAAACCTTTGGCGATAGCCAGATCGAAGATTTCTGGTTGGAGTTCTATTGCAACACGACCAACATCAGTCGATCCCGCATTGAGTATCACTCGTCTGGCTACGTCTGGCGGTATGTTCGTGCATCAATGTCTCTCGCTGGCCTCATTCCTCCGATCTGTGACGAAGGTAGTATGCTGCTAGACGGTGGCTACATTGACAACTTGACTGTTGCACACATGAAGAGTCTTGGAGCAGACGTTATCTTCGCCGTTGACGTCGGTTCCATCGACGACACGACACCGCAAGGGTTCGGCGATTCACTCTCGGGCTTCTGGTCGGTGTTGAACCGCTGGAACCCATTCTCCTCCCTCCCGAACCCACCAACCTTGTCTGAAATCCAAGCAAGATTAGCATACGTCTCATCAATCGACAACCTCGAGCGCGCAAAGACCATGCCAGGGTGTGTCTACATGCGACCACCCATCGACCCGTACGGAACCTTGGACTTCGGCAAGTTCGACGAAATCTACCAAGTCGGTTACGCTTATGGCCGAGAAGTTCTCGAGCGCCTACGCAGCGAAGGCTCCTTGCCCATCCCGGAAGAAACCGAAGAAAAGCGCAAACTCCAGCGAACAATGGCACCTCGCAGAGCCAGTATATAACCCGTTCCTCCCCTCCATCGCTATTTGCATGGTCAGAGACAATCCCACGATTTCTGTTTTAGTATGCGGCGTTCAACACTGCATGCGAACTTGTTTTTCTTTTCGCGCGAGATACCTACTCATGTTTTGTCTTGCTCCCAACCTGTGAATAGCTGATATAGTACTAGAGCCCGGTACTGCCGGTAACAATCATACTTTTGACCTAGACGATCACACTGGAACATCTTGCTAGTTTCCCGAAGATACAGGTTTCAGCCACACTAGACTAACTAATAGGGCGGAAACCACTTGCAAGGTTGGCGCTCCGGTGGAGATTGACAGGTTCACCTTTCTGCACAAGCTCTACAGTCAAAGACCACCTGGGTGCGGCTGATGGTATTCTTACCCCGAGAAACGAGCGGGGTGAGACTTCTAAGTTTGAATGGAGCAGAAGCTTGCGAGGCTTGGAACAATGTAGAATCATTAAGTGATTAGAATACTATGTCATAAGAAATCAACACGAAGGAGTATCCCGATACATCACAGACAGAACGCAAAAGGCTATATCTGACAAGTCCCCATTCAAAAACAAATCCACAACACCATATGTGCAATCCAGCTGCTATCGAACCCAATTATAACAAAATTAGAAACCCAGCGTTACTCCACATGGTATTCATAGGTCTCATTTGCTTTGATACATGGCTTTCCTTAGATAGCCGCGGGAGTGGCAGCTGGTGCGTCAAGAGGCTGACGAGGTCCGACCTCCTTGTCTGTAACGACAGGCTGACGAGTGACGGTCTCCTTACGATGGGCCCACAGAGCAGCGACCTCAAGGAACATGCCGAAGAAGGTGAACACACTGTGATAGTGTTAGATGCTAGGCCAGATAGATATCAAGAAAGCTAACTCACAAAGCGAGGAAGATGAAGGCCTCGTTGGCCTTCTTGCGCTTGCAGCCAACGCCGGCTGGGGAGCTGAAGTAGCAAGCTCTGGTACTGTAGTCTTGCGCAGAGAAGATGAAAGAGGTCAACCACCTGGAATTGAAATGTCAGTATATGCAGTGAAAGAAGAGCCTTGGATGTGAGTGGAGACTCAACGTACAGATAAGAGAAGACGATGTCGATAGCAAGCACGAATCGGCTCAGTGCACGAGGCAGGAAGGGCGAGATGAAGCCCGGGAGAAAAAAGACGACCGAGAGAACAGCCTTTAGAGTTGTTAGCTTGCCCTGGACACTATGGAGGGTTAGAATGGCCACGTACAATAACTTCTTGGTACAATATATGTTGACCTCGTGGGCCATGGTGAATGAAGTGTGCAGTCAACCCCATGACGATGACAGAACTAGTCCATTGCAGAACACGGCTGCCCAGCTGCATGGGACGAGCGATGGCTGATGAGAAAGCCATTGTGCAGGAGGGTTCCAAAGTTATAAAGATTGGGTATACAAGGATGAGGATATTTGAGGGAAAAGTTCACGGTACACAGACAGAAAAATGAATTGATAGAGGATCAGAGTGAAATGAGCGTCGCCCAGCAGACTGGGAGATAGGCCTTTATATCCCAGGACCACCTCAACGACCCAAGCAGCCGGGCCACATCAACAGACAACAGTCAAATCAGGCTAGCGCCAAGTATGATGCAACAAGGCTCATCACAGTCCGAAGCCAGGGCCAGCAAGGACGAAAAACAAGAATGTCCGAGCGATTCCCCAGATGCGTCATGGTCTCTGCAATCATACGAGTACTCCGTACTTCTAGGCCGTATTTCAACTCGGTCCCGAATTATTGAAATTGATCTTGTAGCTCTTGTAAGACCCGGCTCATAATGTCGTACCTTGCTGTGTAGCTAGATATTCGTATTTGATCACACACCAGGTTGTTTTGATTTCCATGAAGCCAGCAATTTCGTTGAAGCCAGAGCTTCAACGTCGAGGGATCGGCGATGTCACGGAAAGCAAGGAGCTACTAGCTCGGCTCAACCATTTCAAGACAAAACAAAAGTCCAGTTGGCTCGCAAGAGACCAAGGCCTTGATCGACGTTTGGTAATGAAGCACCAATGAAAATAGAAGAGAGCAGAGTATATCACACCACGACTGCATAAAGGGCGCATCAAGACCAACCAGCAAGCAACAACGAGCTCGGCGATCATCTGCAGCAACACCCAATAGCGGGGTCCTCCCTGCATGGACCATGATCGACGGTGGCATCAGCCTTATTTCTGGTACGGAGTACTTGTAGAAGTCATTCAGGGATAACAGCATCCCTTGGACACCGAGAACAGATTGTATAGAAGTAAGACAGCGCGGAAGTTTGTCGAAATCGAAACGAAATGCCAGTCGCCACATGTGCAACTTGGGAAGGGGAGGTTATTCGCTCATGCATGTCCAACTCGACTGATCATGTTGTGCGAACGCTAGAGGTAGTTCCGACTTAACCGAGAACAATCGCCCTGGAGGTGCTTTGGTATTGAGTGACAAGATGGACTTCGTTGTTTTCCTCCGTATGCAGGCTTCAACGGCGTGACTTACCCCGGAAATCATGGTGTCTCAGACGGCAGACTTCAAAAGTTTATCAAGAAAGACTGAAGTAAGGAGTGTGTCTCAGTCTGGGGAAACAATGCTGGTCCCTTGCCATCTAAACAACCTTGGGAAGTCAAAGAATGGCGTGCAATATCTCAATGGGCAGAGCAATGTTTCACATATACTACTGCAATTTTTTTGAGTCTCAAGAACCCCGAGAAGGATCGCGAAGAGGGTTCCGAGGTAAAAATGACCCGGGCATGCAAAAAGTATACAGAGCCAGATGCCCCTATGAGGAAAATCAGGGAGAAAACGCTTTCCTAACTCTGCAGTAGATAGATATTTTGAGGATCAAATGAACACCAATACACGCCGGACAACCAAACCAATGGACTCCAATGCGCCCATGTATTTTCAAACTTTATAAACCAATCACCAGATAGAATTACCAAGTTCGTGCTCCTTGATATACTCACTGCCCTTCTCCAAATACTCTTGTCGCGTGACAGAAGAGCGACTGAAGTCGCTACCAGAAGCCCATTGAGCCGCACCTTTCCAAGCATCAAAAACGGGATCGGACGCCTTGCGTACATTCAGCGAAGCGTCAGTAGGCAGGAATCCCCGCACCTCGTTGCGGAAACGTTCATCGAAGCCAGTGAAAAGAGTATTTCCACCAGTCAAGAACACATCCTTCAATAGGCGAGACTGATCTTGCGGATCTGTGTAGCGCTGATTGATAATATCGGCCACAATCTCAATTAGACCTGTCTGGTCAACACCAGCGATGGAGGGCTGGAAGACAACCTCGGGAACGCGGATACGCTCAACGTTCAAATGAAGCTGGTGAGCCTCCCGCTGGCTCTCCGGGTCAAAGGGCCAAGGACCGCGAAGGAATGCGTGAACAAGACTCTTCGTCCAGTCCGACTGTGCGGCGAACGTGTTATGCTCGCTGAACTCCGGGTCGAACTCAAGTAGTTCCTTTTCAGCAGAGTCGAGCATGGCGTTGAGATCCTCTTCTTCCTCGTCGTCACTGGCATCACCCACAGCAACGGTACGGTAGACACCCCAGTCATCGTCATTGGCACCGAAGTCGTCCTCGTCACCACCGCGGCGACGCTTCTTAGGGCCGTCGGACGCCAGATTGGCCAGTGTCTTCATACGCATTTGACTGGCAAGGGATTTGCGGTTGCCCAGGTCGGCAGTGAAACGGTCACGATCTTTAATGTTTTGGAGAATGCGCTATGTGAATGTTAGTTGGGAAGGGGGCCATGTAACTTGATCTGAAAACGCACCTTGCGGTTATCACGACGTTTTGAGATCCAGCTCTCGAAGTTGTTCTCCCGCTCCTCGCGATCCAGCCTCTCTTCTTCTGCGACACGAGCCTTCTCGCGCTCCTTCTCCTCCTTCGCACGCTGTCTGGCATCGACATTGGATTTCATCAGGCGCTGGTGACGTTTCTCTTTCAAGCCAGCTTCGTCCAATTGATCATCTGGGATGTCGAGCATGGGGAATGTCATTTCTTCGGGCTGTTCTTCCGTTTCTTCAATACCGAGGTCCTTGTTACGCGAGCGTTTGATGGACTTCTCTAATTCGCGGATCATTTTTTCAAGAGCAGCTTCATCCTTCAGATCTTCGGCTTCGAGAATGCGACGAGTTTCCTTTTTGTTCTCATTCTCCAGTCTGATTTGGAGATCTTTCCAGTACTCCAGCTCTTGCTCTTTCTTGACAAGCTTCTCGAGGCGCATTCTGGCGGCCTGTTCCTGAAGGCGACGGCCGCTCTCCTTCTTGCGCTCGGCGATTTTGGCGAGTTCTTCTTCCGTCTTTTCTTGGACAACGTGCTCTGTGAATGGATACTGAATGACACGATCGCGGTCCTCCAGTCCGGACCACTCAAGGTACCCATTTAGTTCGCGGCTGTAATCTTGCGAAACATAGCAGTGATTATGGACCATCTCCTCCATGTGTGCGTCTGTCAAGCGAGTTGGGAAGGTCGGGTACTTGAGCTTCATGAGCTTCATCAAATATTCGGAGCCTTGTAGGCCACCCCAGTTGAGACGGGAGCTGTTGGAAAGTATAGGTTTCGAGTTCATCACGGGGATGACATGAGTAGACGTGTGCGATGAGTCCACGATTAAGCCATCCTTGCCGCCATTGTAACGATATGAGAAGAGGGAGTCGACACCGTAAGCCACCGAGGGTGCAGAGTAGCATTCAAATAAGATTTCGTTCATCACTGGAGGTGTCAGCACCTATAATGGCGGATACCAGCAGATACTCACTTTTTCTAGAATAGCCCATGTTGGCGATGGGCTCCGTCATTAAGATGGGACGGCCGACGCCGCCATTGGCACCATCGACGCCCAGCTTGAGGAAGAGGTAGTCCAGCACTCCTTCCATGACATCCCAGTTACCCACAACGCTTGAGCCGGGGTCAAAGCCATTGCGCAGCTGTCCCCTTGTCGTCGCATCGACGTAAGCATCGTATCCGACGAATTGACATTGGCGGTTAAGCTTGCGATCACGGTATCGGCTCATGACAGGGGGTATGGCGAATCGGGGGCTTTATCGAATGACCAACCGGCCTTGACGAGATGAGAACCTGTGCAGGTGGCACATATGTTAGCTGTGAGTCCCGAGTGAGTTCCAACAGCCTGGATTGATTGACTTTACCATTGTCAATGACGATGGCGCTGGTGTCCGGGTGAGCCTGGCTTTGCTGGTAACCCTCTGGCTGCGGAGGATGATAGCCTTTGAAAGGGAAGTCTGTAATGCCATGGAGCTGTGGAGGAGGCTTTGCGGTCTGCTTCTCGGCGGAATTGGAAGCAATGCGGCCTGGCAGGAGGCTCTGCACAGATGTAATTGTCATAGCTGGCTGCGCTCCAGAGCTATTGAGACTCAAGCTTCAAAGCGAAATTCACGGGGAGAGATTGAGGATATGCGCAGTGTCGCAATATAACGTTGCGAAGGGGAGGGGAACAAACGACGCAAACGCGGTTGTCGCTGAAGTTTGGCCGAAGTCCGCCAAGAATGGAGGCTATCTACTATCGGGCCAACGCGCGACAATACCCGTAAGGACTACGGAGTACAGTGGATGTTAGGTATGAATTTGGAAATCAATGCTACTCTGGGCATATGGCAGGGTTTCAGGACTTGATATCCTTGACATTAATTGGTATCATGGGATTCTCATCTCTTCGTTACACATTTAAGCTTAGGATGGCTCTTTGAGGTTCTCGGTAGCTAAAAGGGTGTCAATACCATGGCTGATATAGAGATGGAGTAGGACTTCAAAATACCTTCAAGATGGAAGAGAACATTGGACTGGTAGTTCTTGAACATTTGAGCCACGAGCTCAACGTTCATGTTCTGGATGTTGACTTCCTACAAGCACACAGAGTCAGCATCATCCATACAAGCATCTTGACACAAGCCAACCTGTAGGCCTTTGTTCATGACCATGACAGCCTCATTGAGTTTCTCCTACAAACAGTGTAAGCATGAAAGTGTCTGAATCTCCTTGCTGAATAACATACAACGTTGCCAATGATACGGGATAGCAGCACTGTCTGCTGATGCTCGTGGGGGCTCTCCTACTTGAATATTAGCATCAAGAAGTCACCCAATTTGCAGATCATGTCAGCTCCCTGATACATACCATTGCTGTGGAAAGAAGAGAGTGTTGGGTGATCAACGGATGTTTGTTTGCGCATAATGACAGAGTCACGTGCAGCTATACAGACTTCCCTTGCAAGGACCACCGCCGGTAGGTTCACCAAGCGCATACACACTATATACAATTGATCCTATACTTTGTTGCGGCTTTGATCGTTATAAATACTCTTTCAGATCCCACAATTCCAATTACCCATCATGCCTCCCCCAAATCCTGCCAACGACGAAGCTCATCAGCAGCTACTGAATACCCTGGATATCGCCGGTGCCCCAAAGTCATTTCGCAACCCTCACTGGAAGCCATCCCAGCGCCGAAACAAGAATGTGAAGCAGATTGTCTCGGAGGCTTCTAGGAAGGAGGCATCAGTGATGGCAACACAGGCCAACTCGGGCGCAACCACACCAGGGACGTCTGGAGCTGCGACCGACGGAACGCGAACTCCTGCAGAAGGGGCGCCCCCGAATCTGTCGCAAGCTACTCAGAACTTGTCTACCCTTGTCCTAGAAAAGAATGCCCGAGCAACAAATCCGACCGGGCCCGCCGTGACCTACACCAACATCGAATCCGCGCCTTCTTTCAACCCAGCCTACCAACATCATTACTGCGATATCACCGGTCTCAGCGGGCCATACACCGATCCCAAGACACGCCTGCGGTATCACGACAAGGAGATCTTCAAGGTCATCCGAACACTGGCCCAGGGGGTTCCCGAGAACTACTTGGAGGCTCGCGGAGCGCACACGATCTTGAAGTAAAGCGAGAAACACACACTACTCAACTTACCGACAAGACACATAATAAAGGTACGTCCAAGGGAGTCATGGAGAGATTGGATACAACTAATTGATTGAGCTAGACAGCAACGAACTCGCTACGGATAAGTTATGTACGACCAAACACAGTCAAGCCCTTTCCACCCCACCATGCCCCTTTCGAGACAGGCTCAAGAAAGCGCTCCGGCTTATTCGTGATCAAAGAGTCGATCTTCGCCTTGTGCAATGCACTCGACTATTACCGACACCCCACGGAAAAGGGCACCAGTTACAGAATCAAGAAGAGACTGTCGTCGCGGCGTGGAAATAGAGAATTTCGGAGATGTATACCAGGGAGCTCCTAGCTCATGTCTTGTATTTCCGATCAGAGCATTTAACTTGAGAACCGAATGTGTTCAATTGAATAAGTCACAACATTAGAGACCGTGTCAATTGTACAGCACACGTCAAGTCGAGGCAACGTTGTAGTGGAAGAACAGAAATCAGCGTAAAAAGGCCCTGGGTTCACCGCCAGACCTTTCCTTGGCGTTTACCCGGCAGAAATGGGGGATTTTCAATGCGCCGTTCTCTGTTTACCAGGACTTTTGTACCCCGACTGTGATCTTTGTTGAATTGAGACCCTCGAGAACCCCTGCCTGCTCGTCTCTCCTATCGCAGCCCAGTGAATTATCGATTTTGACCATTGGATTCCGTCTCCCACCTAAACGCATCTCAACTACCGCAAACGTCTGCCTGGCGATAATCCCACTCGGCCCCGGACCCAAACGAAACGTGTCGCGTGTCCTCGATTAGTTATTACGCTCGCACATCTCAGCGCCCAGAATTGCCAGCGATCGAAGCGAAAGAACAATATGCCTAGCATGTGGTTAACGGAGAACCAGAGTCAGTCGTATTCGCTACGACAGCGTCGCTTGCCATGAATGGCAGACACGCCGCAGTCTTCGTGATCATAAACACTCGCTAATTAGTTTCACAGAGATCGGTGTGGTCTTCTGCTCAGCGGGTAGGAAATGGCCATCTCCCCATTGAATCGAAAGAGAACTAACCTGGCTTGATTAGGTGGACTGTTCCTCTTTGGAGGAGTACTGATGTTCTTCGACCGATCCTTGTGAGTTTCAAGATTCATCTGGATTGTTTGTAGGGTGACAGAAGGCTAACGTTCCATGTTATAGACTCGCTATGGGAAACGTATGCAATACGCTCCACTGTACATGAACCCGACTAACGATATGGCAGATCCTCTTCATCATTGGATTGACCCTGATCATCGGTGTCCAGAAAACAATCGCTTTTTTCACTCGTCCGCAAAAACTCAAGGGAACTGCCGCTTTCGCCGCTGGTATCATTCTCATCCTTTTCCGCTGGCCCTTGACTGGATTCTTGATCGAGCTGTACGGCTTGTTCATCCTCTTCGGTGATTTCCTCGTTACAATCGGACAGTTCGCGGGAAACATTCCAGTGATTGGACCCTATATCCAGCGCGGATTGGAAATTTTGGCGGGTGGCAGGAGCAATGCCGAGCTCCCTGTATGATATCTTTCTCCGACGATCTTCCTGTCCGTCTGGCTTGACCTCCGACGGCGCATGGGCAGAATCAGACAACAAAAAGACCCGATCGAGCTGTCTGGGTACCGCATGCTTGAGACATGGGATGACACGATACATCTACGGCCTTCAAATTTATGTAATTAATAATGACCCCTTATCGATCACCGCCGGTGATCCAGTTAATATGCATTTTAGAGAATAGAACAGTTACATGCATTCTATCCTCAGCATTGGGACCTCCCGGGGAAGAAAAAAAAAACAAGCAAGTCAAGTTAAGGTGGAAAGACTTGAATGGGGCACTGAAATTCCTACTCTTCACAAACATCACTTCCGCTCATCAAATCATGTTGGTATCGTCGCGAGCATATTTTGAACGAATTTACTTAAGCCTTGTTGAGGTAGTCAACCAGGTTCTCAACGACAGTGGCGGCGTTGGTGGTCTGGACGCCCTCACCGTGGTGGGCAATGATGGTGCAAGAGGAAGCGCGGGACACGATGACACCCTCCTTACCCTGAAGCGCAAACATACATTAGCACCGATCTCACGGGGGGACAGGGTCGGGGTAACCGGGCGGAGCCGCCTATGGGTGCTTACCTTCTTGCCGTATAGACTGCGCTCGTCAGCCTTGATAGTGACGAACTTCTCACCGGCGATGGAGAAACCGTTGGCGAAGGCGTTATCGGCGGAGGTGTAAGCGGAGATCAGGGAGTTGATCTCATCTTGGGAGAGCTGGAAGTCCGGGGTTGATTAGCGACAGTGTCGGGTGGGGGTAAAGCCAGGGAAGCTTACGGCAAAGCCGGCGGAGGCGGCGTTGAGACCGGAGAAGTCGACAGCGAGGATACCGGCCTTGTCGAATTGCTGCGAGCCCATCAGGCTGTCATAATGTCAGTACAGGGGACTAAGAATGAATCGAGCTTAGAAGCCCGAAAACCCGAAAGCCCGCGAGCCCGCATCCTCGTGGGTATGTCGACATGGCGGGGCACGAATAGTCATGGGCATCCTTGGATTCTTTGGATGCCCTGTGATATATCCATATATAGGGCTTCTGAAGGGAGGAAAATGTACCTGGAGTCAACATAGCCTGCAGGGGATCAGGGGTGGTTAGCGAACTTCACGATAGAGCTGGAGCTTCCATACCTTGCCAGATTGCTGCGTGGTCACCCATTGTGTAGAATATTAAAAGACGCTGCGGAAGGTCAGAGAAAGAGCGGATGTGAGTGTCACGAGCGAAAGTACCTGAAAGTTGGAATATACAAGAAGAACAGGAGCTTGTGGGAGAGAGAGAGGAAGTAGTGGGGGGTTCTGTTGTGGCGGTCGGGAGAGGACCCCGCCATATGACGATCCAACCGTTTCTTTTCGTGCCTCACTAGAGATGTTGTATTTAGTACCTATTGAAGTATAATGGTGCTGTTTTCAATAGTAGAATTGACTGATATTATTGACTTAGGGGCTTGAGGTTTGAGGTATAGGACATTCGTCAATACCCCAATACTCCAAACACACCCTGCTGTGGGAGGCCTGTTACTTAAGGAGTATACAGAGCAATCAGTAATCACTAACTAGAAGTACAAAAATCCAAGCAAGGGGAGATATGTATGTCATACATCAAACATCCCAGGCACCGTCGATCTTCGATATGTACGGAGGATTTCCTGGTCACGTTTAGAGTACTTAAGCCCTGGAGGCCATAACCTCCCCCAAGGGTTCAAAAAGTTCTTGAACACTTCCAAGATTGTCCAGACATACTTCGTACCACTGGGAGATTTGGCTGACCGCTAGTTGAATTCTCCTTTCTGATTTATTCCACTCCGCTGCCACTACTTGGCTACTAACACCCGACTAACCGACTAGTCCAGCAAGTGCCCCGAATAAGCCCTAGAGGTCGGATGTCTCGATCAACTACTCCGTACCGTCTCACAGTCTCACGGTATTGGACGGGATGTCGATCTTCAGAATGAAACGCGCAAAATCTAGACGCATTCCAGTGTCAGAAGTTGACCTTGGCGTGGCCGATCCATAGCCGTGCACCAGGAATATCTGAAGCCCACAGGGTGAAGGGTATCAGAGATCCAAACTTTGTCTCAAAAAATTTCCCGGATGAAACACGCCTCCTGCATAGCTTCAGCCAGTGCGGAGCCCTCGTTGGCTTCCCAACGTGGTAGCGAGCTAATCAACTCGCGACCGCACCACCTCATTCGCCCCGAGGCAAATAAGCATCTCACTCAGCTTCCGATGCTAGCGCTGAGACCCCCTTTTGCTTTTCTGTCAACCGCCTTTTTTTTTCGATGTTCGCGTGTCTGACCTCCCGTTGGTGCCCCCATGTCAGCCCGCGACAATTCAGCCCCGGGCTAGACGGCGTTTGGACGCACGAAGCACCGTTGGGGGAGAATCAAGGTCTAACTTGAATGCATGCACTGCGTCTGATTCGATTAATTTGACCCTGTGTCTCATCTACAGACCTCCGTGGATGAGATTGACTCCACTCATGAGACTCTGACCTTGCCACTTAATTCTTTCATTAATATACCAATATACCCAAATTCCATCGTGAATTTCCTTCTCCTCTTTCGATTCTGTTTGGGACTGAGGCCTTCTGGAAGGGCATTTTTCTTCTTTCAGGATCCGGAATCGCCTATTAATATATACCCTGCTTCGATTTGTGCTCTCTTCGCGACACTTACACATACTGGCTGGCTTCCACTATAGTAAGATGACCAGAGGAATGACGACCGTGATGTCTCACACCCAGCCCACTGAGACCATCTCGTTTCCCGTCTTGACCTATACCGATGCCCTACCCCGGAGTGACCTTCAGGCGCTAGAGCCTTCACAGCGCCAAGAGCTCGCATGCCAGTGGGATTTTCGCCAACCTTCCCCGGGAGATGGATGGTTTAGAAGACCGCCGCCGGGCGAGGGGACCACATTCGACTTTCGGATTACCGCACCGCCAGACGAGGCTATCCGCACCCATGCCCGCACCCCGGCGGAGCAACATATGATCGGAATTGCACTGGGAAGTCCTGGATTGCTCAAGCAAAAGGAGGATCTGCCACCTCCCAGATTTGATACGTCGATTTTCACCGAGAACGGACAGGGCTTGACCCACAAACCAAGCAAATGGAAGAAGATCGGGGGATTGTTCAAGGCCAAAAATGCCTTGACCTCGTCCCCGGAGGAGATGCACTCGGGTGAATCCAAGCCACCACACGAGTACAGACAGTTCGAGAAGCCACGGAAGACCAAAGAAAGGAAGAACTCCACGGAGGAGTGGCCGACATTGGAGATAGACCCTCCACAAAGCCGAGTCCAACAAAATCCCAAGAGGGGTCGCAAGTTCTCGCTCAGTGGGAACAAAGCACCAAAGACTCAACCAGAGCCAACTAATCCAGGACCTTTGCTGAACATCAACATCCCGGATGTGCAAATGGAGCGATACAGCGTCATGTTCAGTGATGTTGTTAATAAGAACCAAAGACCCTCACTGCTGGCCAGAAGGGCCAAGACTCTGGACAATCTTCAAGTACCCGACGCAAATGTATGTCTTGTGTGGTCTTCTCCCAAATGACTTTCCATGCTGACCCATAGATAGGGCTTTCTCAAGGCCCCAGCGCCACCCCCGATGCCCCAACGTCGGGCAACATCGCCAGCGCAATCAAGTTTCACTCTGTTCCCAACATCCCAGCCCTCAAAAGCAGCCCAGGTGCTCGGAACACATAATTTCTCTCGCGGCCCGAGTCCACTAATGCGTGCAAACACCCTTCCCATCGAGAGCCCATCCAAGCAGCAGCCTCATCACGGCTCAAGCAAGAACAGTCTATCGTCTTTCGAGTCGCCCGTAATCCCCAGGCTCTTTTCTGCAGCCTCCAGCACTCCAAGGTCCTCCAGCAGTCACAGCTACGACAAGCCGCTTCCTGCCATCAGACCCGACCCGCAGCCAAGCCAGTTGCAGAAGAGCACCCACCCGCCGAGGAACGTTCAATCACCACAGCAGATTCGGTTGCAGCAAAGCACCCAATATCAGAAACCACTGCCAGCCAAGCAGAGCTCCCAGCCACGACCGGCGCCGCAACCCAGAAAGGATTCTCTGCCCAAGGCCACCGAGAAACTCCACCTCCATGCATCATCCCAGAAGACGTCGACGCAAATCCGCATCGACCAATGGCTCGAGCAACAAAAGGACGAACCGATTCCCGAAGCGATCCCGCGTCCGCGTCTCAGAGTTGAAACAGAACACCGACCGGCCCCACCTGCCAAAGACATCCTCTCTAGCACATCTCTCAGTCCACTACCAACCCTCAACCCAACCCAGGCGAAGATCGACCGTATCATGTCCCCATTATCAGCCTCAACGGGACCCCGATCTGGGATTTCGCCATCCGACTCCACACGCATGCCATTCGTTGATGCGGTCGAGATTTTCGAAGAACCCGAAGAGCAAGAGCCGGAAGCTGAACCCGAGACTGAGGTTCGTGCGATTCCCCGAGTTGAGGTCTCGGTCGCCCGGTCTGTATCCGTTGCGCGGGGCAAACGACAGATGATTGTTCCCATCGGTGGTAGAGCTGATCAGCTTGATGACGAGGAACGCATTGTGCAGCGGCGAGCTTTGACGCCGCAGATTACCGATGCTCATCGAGGACATCGGCCTGGTGTTTCACAGGAGCTGAGGATAGAGTGTCTGTGACATCTATCTACCATTCTTTTATTCATTTCATCTCACCCTCCTTATCCTCCTTTTTATATTGTTGCACATTTGATTTTGATTCCCCATCGCCACCTCTTGGCCTTTATCTATTCAATTCTTGCTGATTCGGTTCTTCCAACGTTCAATATACTTTAATTCATAGTCATGGTTCAAATGCAACTTATTCCCCTCGCATGGACTTACTCGATGTGGAAAGAGTAGATTTTTGAAAGGGCGCGTCTCAAAGACCCAAACACCAAATGCAAGCCAATCGAAATGAAACTCTCAGCTGCAATAAAAGCGGATTCGATATAAACTCAATTCGAAGTATGCAAAATCCCTCTTGGCAGCTTCCAAAGTTATGACTCACGTCAAAATTGCACCCGATCCCGACCTCGGGAGGACATCAGCTTTTAAATACCAATTCTCTGGACTAAAAACCGAAATTCTCACAAGATGGATCAGAAATTAGATTCGGCCTATACACAGGCGCAATTGACCAAATACCTCAGCTACATCGCCCTTCCAAGCAAATACGAGACCGCACCCGAATCGTTCCCCAAAACAGAAGAAGCCCTGAAAGACCTCTTTCGTTGTCAAATCACTCGATTTCCATACGACAATTTAACATGTCATTACTCCTCGACTCAGCTGGCCGAGATCGAACCCAAGCAAATCTACACCAAGCTCATGGGATGTGACGCAACAGCCCCATCATGCCGAGGAGGCTACTGTCTCGAAGTGAGCATATTCTTCCACCATATTCTACGGGGTCTTGGATTCTCAGTGTACATGACCGGCGTACGTAACCGGCTGCGCAAAGATGGGATACCGCAAGGAGAGTATTTTGGATGGTGAGTAGAAGCTCGAGCCGTTTACATTTGATAAGTCCGCGGCTAACAGAGTAGGACTCACATCGTCAACATTGTCCGACTGCCGAATAGGCAAGAGTTTCATGTAGATGCGGCGTTTGGTGGCGACGGTCCTACCAGTCCCCTACCTCTAGTTTCGGGAAAGATCACGCAGAATCTGGGTGCTCAGGAAGTTCGACTGGTATATGATATCATGCCGAAGCAAACGAGACCAGAGCAGAAAGTTTGGATATATCAGTATCGAAACGGGGTGGAGAAGCCGTGGAATTCGTTCTATGCGTTTGCGGAATTGGAGTTCTTCCAGGAGGATTTCGAGGTGATTAATCGGTTCACGAGTTGGGACGCGGTGCAGAAGAAGAGTTTCATTCTGGTGAAGTTTATTCGCAATGGGGAGACAGATGGGCTGCCGTTGTTAGAGGGGGAGGTGGAGCAGAAGGGGGAGGGTGTGTTTGTTGTTGGAAAGATTATGATGGTGAATGATGAGATCAAGTTGAATATGGGTGGAAGAACGAGGGTGATCGATTCATACACGACAGATGAGGGGAGGTTTGCGGCATTGAAGAAGTGGTTCTCGATTAGTTCCTGCTACTAGGAGGCTCTATTTACATTGATCTTGATAACCACTGTCCAGGATCCAGATTGGGATCTTATGCCTTCTGAGGAACGCTGGACTCGGCCACGGTCTGGGTCTCGATGCCGGTTCCCAAATCCACTTCCACATTGGTGATAGACCATGCCATTCCAACGTAAGAGTCACTGATGATCCTGATGTTCACCCGGGCCGTACCGGCAGTGTTCACGGATGACGACTCAGCCAGAATTCCTTCGGGGAATTTGACCGATGAACGAACAGACAGCTGGTCACCCTTGTCACTAGACCCTCCGCGACTAGAGCCGGCAGTGTTACCCTTGCTGTTGCCATTGCGCCTAGCCACTGATGGCCACGAGACACGCTTGAGACCCAAAAGTTCACCGTCCGCGCCATTGGGCAATGCACTGCAGATGATCAAAAAGAAGCCCTCAGTTTGGGGCTTAGGGAAACGAGGAGCGTAGATCCTGAACTCGGGGTTTGTGGGCTGGTTGCGCCGTGTCAAGGACACGGTCACACCCTTGGCAGAAACAGTTGCGACAGAGACAGAAAGCTGAGGCAGCTGGGAAGAAGCGCGGGTAAAGTTGAACGGTAGCGAGAGCCTCTTGACCAGAGCAGCAACAGCACCAGTGGATTGCGAGGAGAGTGATACAAGAGTACCAGGCAGACCACTGGGTGGCTTCTCGGTTGGCACACCCGGTAGGATAGACAGAGGGTGATCCTCGGGCCAGCGCGCAGATTTGATACATTGAAGCAGCGTCATCAGCATTTGGCAGGCAGCCAGGTAGCCGAGCTCAGCCATGACATCGATGGATGCCTGGATAATACGGATTCCTTGATCAAGGACAGAGGTCTGATCTCCTACATAATCAGTAATAGGTAGATCGATGCGCGACATGTACGCCTGTAGCAGAAGGAAGGCCTTGGTGTGTGGGTCCCACAGCGGCAGATCGCCCATGCAATCAATGGAAAGGGGCAAGTTCTGTGCCAGTTCGGCATTAATGAGGTCCTCATTGTGTCGGACAGGAAGTTCGTCAAATTCGGTGGCAGAGCACATCCAGCTCAGCACATCCTGGAAGGTCGGGTCGCGCTTAGCGTGGGACACGAGGTACCTAATCGTCTTGTGAGACAGGTAGTAATAACTCATGATCTTGCCGAAGGGAGTGGGATCCACCTCTCCGGTCGCAGAGTCGACAAGAACACAAGAAGACTCCGCCAAGTCATTGAGAGACTTTCCAACCAAGTCGACCATAAAGTCCTGAGCTATAGTTTGAGCTGCCATGGTGTTTTGTTCCTCGGCAGAGATCTCCAAGCCATAGTACGACGGGTTCTTGTGCAGTCGGCGGAAGAAGAATGTCCAAGTCAAGTAATCCAGCGCATCCTGTTGCGTACCGATGGTTCCAGCAGAAACTTCAGCGCCAAGATGGTTGTCCAGAACCTTGTGCAAAGTCGACTCGACTGGGAAACCAGTGTGGAGGAAGTGCTTGTAGAAAGCCTTCTTAGAGTCCTGAGTGAAAATACGAGCGATACCAGATGTATCGAATTGTGGACGACCGGCACGGCCGAGCATTTGAAGAACATCGGTCAAGTCCATGTCGCGATAACCCTCGATCTTGGCATCGAAGAACTGGGTTCCCTTGACCACCACAAGATGAGCTGGAAGGTTAACACCCCACGCGAGGGTACTCGTAGCAACAAGAATTTGAATTTTGTTGTTGGCAAAGAGTTCCTCTGCAAGTTGGCGATCGGATTCGACCAAACCAGCATGATGGAGACCGATACCGAAGTTGAGAGCTTCCCTCAATGCATCATCCTTGACGCGAGCAAGGTTGAGCTCCAGGTCCTCCTCGGACATACGTACGAACCGACGAGGGTTGTCTTCCATACCACAATAATTGATCAAATCCTTGGCAGTAAGACGGGTCTGTCGACGAGAGGCGACGAAGACAATAACCGGTTTCTCCGGAGAATGATTTTTAATGGCGAGGAAGGTTGGACGGTTCATCGACTGCATAAGAGGACAGAAACCGCGCTGCTCAGGGAACCCATCGATGAAGATCTCGAGGGGAACCGGACGGACCGAATGCCGGAAGTTGTACAGACCTTCCTTGACACCAAGCCAATTGGCCAAATCGGAAGCATTGGCACAAGCAGTGGACATGCCCATCAAACGGACAGATCCCTTGGACTGAGAAGCGATATAGTTCATTCGAGAGACAATGATCTCCAAAATGGGACCACGATCACCGCCGAGCAAGTGAATCTCGTCAATTATCACCAGGCTGACTTTTCTGACATAGTCACGGGTTTGCCAACTACGCGAGATACCATCCCATTTCTCAGGGGTAGTGATAATGATATCCGCATCTCGAATAGTGCGCGTGTCAGGTGTGTTATCACCAGTCAACTCGACAAGCTTCAGACCCATTTGCTGAGTGAGGCGTTTGCGCCAATCCTGGACACGCTCGCGCACCAGAGCCTTCATCGGAGCAATGTAGACAACCTTGGAGCCAGGTCTCTCGCGGAAAGCCCACCACATTGCCAGCTCAGCGGCAACGGTCTTACCACTACCAGTGGGGGATCCCAAGAGCACATTGGCAGGCGTGTGGTAAAGTAGATGGAAAATCTGAGTTTGCATAGGGTTGAAGAACTGGAAGCGCTGTCCATACACCTCTTCTAGGATCGGGTTTTTGAGAGCCGAGATCGGCAACGGTTGTAGGTTGAGAAGGTCTGTGTAGACGCTTTCGGTGTCTGGACGGATCAGATGCTGGAAAGAGACGGGACTAACAGTCTCAGCGCCCAACCAACGATCCGAGATCACACGAATGTAGATCTGACTAGGGAGAGGATCAGACAGCGGAATGGTGAAGTTGAGCTCGTGGTCGTTGTAGAGCTTCTTGCGGCTCAGAATGAAGTACTCATGGTGGTAGATCTCAGATGTCTCGGAATTCTCGACCCAAACCCAGAATGATTCAGATGTGCCATGGTGACGATCATTCCAAGTGAACTCCGGGTAGATCGATAAGCGAATGCGAAGAACATCGCGATTAAGCGGGGCGATCTCGGTCTCAACGCTGAGAGTTGGGAAGTTGTCCAGGAGCTTGGAGAGTGTGTTGCCCATGCGGTGGTTGTGCACAAGCTGGCCAATCTCTGCAGGTTCCATTTCCCTCATAGATTCGATGGAAGTACTTGGAAGCTTTTCATCGAGGTTTTTCAGAACCGGCTGCGGTAGATCAAATTGGCGGAATGGGTGATCGAAGGGCCAGATTTGTTTCTCAATTGACTTGCATAGAGACAGTAGAACTTGGCATTGATAGCCCCAGCGGCGGTTCAAGGCAATCATGAAGAGAGCTCGACAAATACGCGCGGAGTTCTGCGCGACATACCCCATGTCTGATGCCAAGGCAAAGTCCTCGATTCTGGCACGCGAGATATAGGACTGGAGCAGAAGATTGGTCTTGGCATGCGCTGTATCGTTTCCTCCAGCAACCTCGGTCTGAGCGACCTCATCGCGGAGCCGCTGTAACTCTTTAGACTCGCTGTCCCGGGACTGTATGTTGTCGAATTCTCCACTCATACTGATCATCTTCAACACATCTGCCTCGCCGGATCGCGGACGCATCATGTCATTGAAGATCTCAACACTGGTCTGTAAAACGTAGTACTGACTGGCAATGCGACCGACGTCTTTGGCCTTGAGATCTTCCGTCTTGTCATTGAAAATGATCATCTGGCTCTTCTGCAAAACACGGGCAGCTTGTATGATCAATTGCCGGCGTCTCTGGACCAACATGGGGTCATCCCGCAATTCAGCGAACTCAATTCCATAGTTTCTCGGCTCGCGCTTCATGCGCACAAAGAGATACGAATAGCCCAGCCACTGCACGGCCTCTGGGACCGAAGTCACTGTTCCAAGTGCAATTTCAGCATTCAGGTTGTCAACAAGCCTGGCAGAGAAACGCGACTCAATGGGCTGCTGCGCAGTGACAGCGGAGAGATAATGGTTCAGCTTGTCATGAGTGGTGCAGATGAATCCAATACCAGTGTCTTGGAATTGTGGACGACCCGCACGACCGAAAATTTGCATCACATCGAGAATGCTCAAGTCAATGAATTTTCCCTCCTGTGGGTTGTATAGCTGAGTACCTTTGATGACAACAGCTGCCGCGGGAAGGTTGACACCCCACGCCAAGGTGGCAGTGCAGCAAAGAACGTTGATCAGGCCTTCTGAAAACATTCGCTCCATCAAGTTGCGATCGCTGCGAGCCATTCCAGCATGATGCGTACCAAATCCGCCCGCGAAGAGCTCTCGTAGTTCTTTAGCGCGTGCATGTTTCATGTCGCGAAGACCCGAGGTATAGTCTTCATGCTCATGGGAGCTGAACAGATTGTCACAACCATCCTCAGCGGCCATTTGCATCAGCATTCTAGCTGTCATGACGGTATCCTTCCTTGAGTGAACGAACACCATGACCTGGTGGCCCCTTTCCCTCATGGCGCGAACCTTTTCAAACGTGACAGTATCGATATTTTCACGAGACTGCTTGGAGCCAGGCTTTCCTTTAACACCAATGAAATGTTGCTCTAGAGGTACTGGTCGGAAAGACTGGTCGAAAAAGAACATGCCAGCCATTTTGTTGACTTTCAAAAAATCGGCCACATCAATATAGTTGGGCAGTGTGGCAGAAAGACCAACGATACGAATCAAGGATTGAGTGCTTTCAACCTGACGCTGGGTACGTGCGACCAACGATTCGATAACTGCACCTCGCTCGTCGTGCAGCATGTGGACTTCATCAATGATGAGGAGGCGGACCTTCTGGACAAGCTCTGTGTCTCCTGTGCTTTTCCGCGTCACGACATCCCATTTCTCAGGGGTAGTCACGATAATCTGGGTGTCGACAATCTCACGCTTGGTCAATTGCATATCACCTGTGAGTTCGCGGACCTTGATTCCCAGCCAGGCCAACCGCTTTCCTAATTTATCGGTCACCTCGGCTGCCAGGGCTTTCATGGGCGCAACATAGACAATTTTGAAATCGTCTACCTGAACGGTAAATTCGGTTGCATCAGGTACCTCCAGCGGGTTGGGGGACGTGTTCTTTCCTATGGCGTTGAGAACAGTCAACATGGCCGCGTCAGTCTTACCGGCACCAGTGGGTGCGCAGATAAGCATGTTTTCGCTGGTCTTGTACGCTACATCATAAAGCAAACTCTGCATACGGTTGAGAGTTTTGTAGCCCTTGAAAGTACCTTGACAAAGACCATCCATTTCAGAGATTTGTACTAGCCTTTGACCTGTTCCCAAGGTCCCAACCTTTGCGGCCGGAATCTCGAACTCGGTGTAGTGCGTTTCTTCAATCTGCGTGCTGCCAACAGGCAATCCGTATTTCTTGCCGTTCGCAGAAAGTGTATGTCCACCCGAGCTTCGCTTGAACACATGTGGGTAGGAGGGTTCCGTGCGGTTCTGTGCCGGCATCAACATAGCATTTTTATGTTCAAAGTCGCGCAGCTGAAGTGCATGCTCCCTTTCCGCTCGAGTATGCAGACGACCGGCCATAAGTCCGTCCGTTTGGTTTTCCAAACGCTGACCCTTGTCAGACAGTACCTCCTCTCTGTGTGCGATCAGATCGATAACTAGATCGAGGTCATCGAAACCAACAATCTCAGCTAAGGACATTTGAAGCTCTTCGTCGTTGCTGTCGGCGGCAAGGGTGGCGATGAGCTGCTGAGCAAGTTCCGAAGCGCTCATACTCGAGTTACGGATAGCAATGTCCTGGCACTTGTTCTCCAACCATGATCGATTGTATGATGATTCCGAGGTGGGGTGAAATCCATCGAATCCATCGAGCTCGTCTAAATCGTCTGAGGTCTCGTCGTCCGAGCTGATGATATCCCAGACATCATCAACTGTTCCGGGGGATGAATAATCATCGTCAATGTCCAACTCAAGGTCACTTCCGTAGCCGATCGGTTCTTGGTTGATCTCTTGCGGGAGCTTGAGATCGGCGATGGCCTGGCGCATGGCCGCCAGTTGCGACAGCCACTGTGACTCGGTCGCTGCAATGGTATCCATATTGCAGACACAGTGATCAAGTGGAAGCAGCTCGATGGGAAACAAAACAGAACGAGAAGATTTGAAGGGCCGAAAGTAGTCATAGGGCAGTCCCGCGGGGCTCGGCCGGTCGCATGACAAGAGCGGTGAAAGCGTTTATGCGGAGCGCATCATCGTTATCAGCAACACCAGGACCCTGTTAAGTCTAGAGCTAACTTGTCGCTGTCATTCACCACTTCGGTTCGTCCTTTATCAGACTTCCTGCAATAATACAACTCTCTTACTCATCAACTCCAGTGTTATTTAGACTCCTACTTCCAGTGCCTCAGCGCCCCACCTACGACAGCTACTTGCCTCCTTTCTTGTCTAGACCAGGGTCAAGACCACGCAGCCACAATGAAGATTTTGTACATGGGCGTATGTTCTCCTTCTTGGCACTAGTTCAAGTGATATTTGGATCTCTGACTGATATTCGAAGGTTTTCCGGAACGACACCCAGCCAGCTCTCCAGCTATGCGGGGAAAAGGATCTCGGCAGGTATGTGTTGTTGCAAACCTAGCGATCAAACAGACAATGTGGCTAACACCTCATAGCTTTTCACGTTTCACTCGTCAGAAGTACGTTCCCTAGCTCCGCGTCCACATCCATGTATAGGTCATTAATCACCCGACGCCCAATAGCTATGATGAGTTCTTGATGCTCTTCACCCGTACAGTCGCCGAGAAGACAAAGGCTGGCCAACGACAGGATATTGAGGAGAAGGCCTACACATTCCATGCTTATGGCCGAACTGAGGGTGTTGCTGGTGTGATCGTTACCGACGGCGACTACCCTGCTCTGGTGGCTCATCAGCTCCTGGGCAAGATCGTGGATGAGTTCTTGGCCAAGCACCCGCGCACTTCGTTCTCTGATCCCTCGCTGCGTGAGAATGCGTGCCCTTTGCCGCAACTCAAGGACTACATTGTCAAATACCAAGACCCCAGCCAGGCCGACAGCATTATGAAGATCCAACAAGAGCTCGACGAGACAAAGATTGTTCTGCACAAGACGGTATGTTGCCACCGCACAGATATCATTCCGGATTCTAACAAGATCCAGATCGAGAGTGTTTTGGAGCGTGGTGAGAAGATCGACTCCCTGGTACAGAAGAGTGATGGACTGTCCGCTCAGAGCAAGATGTTCTATACTCAGGTATGCACATCGAAAAGAAACCCATATTTCCATGCTAACACTGTGACATACAGGCCAAGAAGCAGAACTCTTGCTGCATTTTGATGTAAACAGCATCTATACCACATGTTTGATTCGATTATGACCCCCTTTTTTGAACTTGATTTGATCCTTACAACCGGATGCGTCAACTATGCATTTCATGTAGCTGCTCTCATGTCTCTTTTCAGCCTTCTTCACGAATTTGGCCTATCAAAATCGATATGTTATGATTATGTTGACCAAACTCGACTTTTTAGAGGATCATATACATTATTCAATACGGATGGATCTCCTAATGTGTCATAGAATTGATCTGTATAACCTCTTTGATGCCCAGGTGAAAGTGGTGAGATCACGTCTGCAGGCAGGCGAACGCCACTAATCAGGTGGGGCCCGATGGAGCTTGCCCAGCTGGACTTAAAGGCCGGGGCCCCCGGGGCCGTTCCTGTGGATTACGTTATGGCCCAGAGGCCCCGGGCCCGCAACCTAGCAAGCCAATCCTCCCTATCATTTCTCTACCTCTTAACATTCTTCCGATCGTGTTCTAAAGGCATTGAAAGGATCGAATTGAAAGAAGCAATCTTTCAAGCTCAATGGTCAATGTACCCGGCAGAAGCAAGGGATGCTCTGAATGTCGTCAGAGAAAACAGAAGGTTCAATCCCCATAGAATCTGACCTCAATACACCGCTGCGGTTAGCTCACTGAATGAATTTCTACAGTGCGACGGAGTGTTCCCAGAGTGCCAGCAATGCATCAAGCGAGGACTGCGTTGCTCCGGTCCCCGAAAATCGGCGATCTTTGTGCATGCTCTGCCAGCGCCACCGAAGCACTCTGCCATAGAACAACAAGCCGCGAAGTCGCAGCATGGCCCTGCCCAAAGTCGGGCTCAGATTGTTTCTGCTCATTTCGCTCGTTCACCTTTGGTTTATCAACAACCTGACAGAGCCGACATATTCGACTGCCTCTTTGTGTCACATTTCATCGAGTCGTTTGGTTTCAAATCCGCGGCTTCGATCAACCAACCGCCAACATGGCTCGATGAATTGGGCGTAATTATCGCCTCTCCGGGTATTGATTTAGTCAAGCACTCGATACGGGCTGCATCAATGTATTTCTACGGCAGTTTGGCACGCGATGCTTCCATTCAGGCCGAGGCTTGTAAATGGTACTCAACATCTCTCCGGGGCTTACGATGTCTGCTTTCTCAAAAAAATCCAAATCTCACAGATCGCGTAATATGTGCCACTGTGATGCTAACGCATTTTGAGAATCTTGTGGGCACACATAGGGGCTGGCTGCAGCACGTGCAAGCTGCAGCGAAAATGCTCGAAATGTCTGGCCCACGAAATTGTGTCGACGGGTTCCTACATCAAATCTTTCGTCATCTTAGGCTTTTGGCTGTAAGTCTTCCGAGGTCATAAAAATCCACTCAGGGTTTCAACCCAAGCTTATACCTGAACCCGCGCAGTTTGCTGGAGCAATGATCAAGAGTGAACAGCATGTCTTTGCTTCCCGGGCTTGGAAAACAATTCCGTTTGAGATACATCCTAAGACTGCGTTTGATCATTTTGTTGATATCCTATTTTCGATCTTGCCGTGTTTATCAATGGCAGAAAGGCTAACGCAAAGTAGTGCTGGAGAATCCGATGACCTTGTCACAGAGCTGAGCAAAATGATTTCAGAGTTGTTGTCCCAACTTCATGCGTGGTGGGCACAATGCATGTCGATACCCGGTCCACTTGAAGCAAACGCGGCCGAATGGTGCAACACCAGTAAAATACCCGCCAAAGACCAGTATCATGAGCCCAGTCACTTTCATATGATCCCCCACTTGGACATGCCTACTGCAGCTCTGGGATCCTTATATGATGCAGCAAATATTGTGGTACTACAACTGCTGCATCTCGTGTCTCCCCATGCATATCTATACGAGGAGCGGATCCAGAGACACGTCGAATCAATACTGTCCGCGAAAGAATATATCGCAGCAATTCCAGGTCCTGCCTCTGGGCGGGGGTTGCTGATGCTCGATTTTCCACTGCAGATTTTGGATACATGGAGCGGCCAACTCAAGGCAACAACCAAGGACAGCTCGCAGACAGGAAATCCGCCCTGGGACCACGGCTCTGTGGATTCTCCACCTGAGCTTTTTGGTCATGTTGCATTTGCAATCTTTAATTCGTCTTCCACGGCTTAGCCTACCAATCATAAATCCTCGATGGTGGCTTTCTTCCGTTACCAATTGAAACGTGAGATTAAGCTGATAAATACATAATGACTGCTGTTTCTAACCAACTATCATCTCGAGGTCGTCTTTTTGGCCGCGCGTGAGCGCGGCACTGAGGCTTGTCGTGCACACATCACCGCAAGGTGAGAATTGAAAAGCGCTCGAGGTAAAAGATAATCTCAGACACCAGCCAGAATCAAAGGCTTTCTGTGGTTGGTGTGCGCAGGCGAGAGTTCTGAAATGCCTTCCCAGTTTGGGAACCTCCCAGGTCTGGAACCCGTAGACTTTGAAAGGTATGGGTACAATTATAGATCGTTGATTGGTGAGTCTGACATTGCTAGTCCAGATCAGGCTAGCTTTGCGGAGACCCACTGTTGGCCTAACCTTAAAAGCGCAGTGTGAAGGTATTTGGTCGTGAGGTTTGCGCTCAATATCCTCATTTTATCGCATTCATTTGACATCCATGAATATTGGCTTCGATAAATCATATCATGAAGATTGCTATTATTGGTGGTGGCATCGCTGGGTGTGCTGTATATTTGGAGCTACAAAAGCATCTACCGAAGCCCCATGAAGTTAAACAGCACGAAATTGTCATATATGAGCCATATGACATGGACATTGATACCACCGCTGAGAGGAGATCAGCAGATATCACACATTCCTCAACACTTCTCGTTGGTGGGGGACTCGGCGTTGCCCCCAATGGACTGAGAGTGCTGAGGCGCCTGGATGAAGGGTTACTGAAGGATGTCGTGCGAGGAGGATACGTGACAGCTACTTCCAACATGAAGAACAAAGACTCCTGGCCACTTCTCTCTATGAGTAGCTCATGTGCGGAAGGTGTCACCCAAGACGGGCGAAGTCTACATATGGTTGCCACCAGTCGCCACGCATTTTGGCGAGCATTATGTACACGCATCCCGCCGCACGACATCATCAACAAGAGAATTTCCCGAGTTTTCGCCAACCCCAATGGAAGGAACTTTGTGGAATTTGCGGATGGGAGCCCCTCTGTGGAAGCTGACTTGGTTATTGGCGCGGACGGCGTTAAGAGTACGGTAAAGAAGGCGCTCTTCCCTGATGATGAAGGGGATTCTTACCCACCCCACTACGAGTGAGTCAACAATTTTGAGAATTTTTCACATCTCTAAGATTGAACATAGGGGTCTTGTGGGGGTCGGCGGGTTCGTTCCCTCGGCGGAAATCCAAGGTCTCGTTGAACCAGGGTCCATGAATTTCATATTTGGAGGCAATGGTTTCTTCGGTTATTTCTTTTCTGAAAGTGCAAAGTCTGCCCCGAACCGTGACTCGCCATACCATGTATCCGAGCCTGGCGAGTCGCTGGCTTGGTGGTCGACATACGAGGTCGAAGAGTGTCCGGATCGTCAAACCCTCGACATGGTCGACGTGACTCGACAGCTGCGCGAAAGACACGCCGATTGGACGGAACCTGTTGTCCAAAAGATCATCGGATCTCTTCATGTTGAAAACATGTACCCTACCTGGACTGCTCCCACTCTTCCAACGTGGGAAAGGGATGGGGTTGTGCTTATTGGAGATGCAGCACATGCGCTCCCTCCCACCTCTGGACAGGGCTCTTCGCAGGCATTGGAGGATGCCGAGGCGCTTGCTCTATTCCTGGCACAATCCATGCACGGTATTTGTGGCAATGGAAGTAAAGTCGCTGCCGGTACCCAGAAACAAGCTATCATCGCAGCTACAAGATCCTATATGGCCATCCGTCAACCACGAGTCAGGGAGATCTTGGATTTTGCCAGAAAGACCCAGAACAACAAGCGCCAAATGGGACGAATCAAGGAGTACTCAATGTACGCTTTTATGAAAGTGATTGGTGAGTACTGTGCTTCATAAATTTGTTATTTCAGCTAATGCCTGGTATTACAGGATTGTTTCCAAACTTAATGGCCAATCCGATCCGCAAGGTCAATGAATACGATGTCGCGGAGCATGTCGCCCAATACATTACCACTGGGCATTGAGCACAGTTTCTTCCCTTACCTCAATTGTAATGTATTTAAAAACACGTTCTTCTTTTCTGATCATCTTCTGCTCCATATCAATTCTGACCGAGGCAAAATGGAGTCCATCCAACTACAATGCACCTGCAGTGTTACGGTTCCAGGTCATGTCCCCGGTAATTGTAGAGGCGGAAGCAAGGAGTCGAATATGCCTTCCCAAATTGACACTCAACCCTTTCAATTCCTTCGGCTATTTCAACTCTAGTAATGTGACGGTGAGGGAACGTGGGACAACGTTGACTGTCGATTCATTGGAGGACCAGGATGTACGCGTGTTGAGCTTCGGGGGAAACAATCAGACTTCTTCGCGCTCTAGCACTGGGCACCTGGGAATCAGTGGCTGATAAGAGAGCATCGTGCTATCTTTGCACGATCCCATCATTTTTTACCTCCGAATCAAAGCGTGAAAAGCACGGAAATTCACCGAGCATCGCCTCATCCTTAAGAATGTGGCGGCAATCTTTTCCCGGTTACGCGCAACTGGGTCACCGGTCCTCTCGCTCACCGGCCCAGGCCTTGAATAAAGCCGCATGCAGGTGAAATGCGTTTGTGTGTGGTTTGCAAATTGGACCATCTCGATAGCCCCTTGAGTATTGGAACCCCGCTCTTGTGGCCCACTTAAGCCTCGAGGCGTACAGGGATCCTTATCTAACCCCAACTTATTGCCCAGGTGTCAAACAGATTCCCGCAGTGTACAAGTTCTAACAAAATATCGAGGTTGATACCAGCCGTAGCTTATCTCATCGGCAACTGGGGAACGGCGCCGAGTGGCGTTTCAGCTAAGCTCCAACAATAAATACCCCTGACCTAACATCTTAATTGGCTACGATACCAACCTTGGAAAATCCGAAGCATACCGGAGTCTTATCTTCTCCTTGCTGTCTATTCGCATGAGCTTTGCCACGGGACTTTTGACATGGGCCGCCAAACTTGCATATGCGCCAATTCACCTCGCCGTCATGGCGTCGTGGGGGAAATGTATATATATTCCCGTCCCTATCCTTGAGATACCTACCGTGATATACTAGTCAAGCACCTCCAGGGCTAGATATCATAATCATCACCACGATGGACTTGGATGTTGAGAAAAAAGCCGTTTCGGCCGTGGAGCCCGCTGAAAGTGTCCCCTCCAGTCACGATGATTTCACTGTCGGGGAGATCAGCGAGCACAATCCACTGAAGCGAAACTTGAAAAATCGCCACATGCAGATGATCGCGGTTGGTACGTGTACCCGTGAACTCCTACTTCTCTCTATTCTATTCAACGTACCTTTGACTAACATCAACCACAGGTGGAGCCATTGGAGCTGGTCTCTTTGTTGGCACAGGGTCTGCTCTCCGAGACGGCGGACCCGGCTCTTTGTTGATCTGCTATCTAATCGTCGGATTCATGTTGCTTTTGACCGTCCAGGCATTGGGCGAGATGGCAGTTCTCTATCCTGTCAACGGCGCGTTCTTCACCTATTGTGTGCGATTCATCAGTCCAGCATGGTTAGTGACCTCGTTTCGCTCAACCGTTGACTGCATGGCAATTTCTAATCGTCTATCTTTTTACACAATAGGGGCTTTGCTGTCGGTTGGGACTATGCTATCTCCTGGCTTATAATGCTTCCATTCGAGCTTACGGCTGCAAGTATGACGATCAAATACTGGAGAGATGACTTGGATGCTGGTATATGGATCGCCGTGTTTCTGGTTGTCTTGGTCGCAATTCAATTCTTCGGCGTTAAAGGATACGGAGAAGGTATGCAAAGCAGTGGAACCCGTCGTTGAGACAAACTTATTGATCATACATCATAGTTGAATTCGTTCTTGGTTTGATCAAAGTCGCAGCCGTCATTGGTTTCATCATACTTGCAGTCGTGATTGACGTGGGTGGTGCTCCTCACGGTGGATACATCGGCGCGAAATACTGGCACAACCCGGGCGCGTTTACCGATTTCAAGGGATTCTGCTCCGTCTTTGTGACCGTCGCATTCGCCTTTGGTGGCACAGAGATGGCTGGTCTTGCCGCAGCAGAGGCTGCAAATCCGGCAAAATCGATCCCCAAAGCAACAAAACAAGTTTTCTGGCGCATCATGATCTTTTATGTCCTGGGAACCTTCATGGTGGGATTGATTGTTCCATACAACGCAGAGTGGCTTCTCGGAGCTTCTGGTGCTAACACAAAGGCATCCCCCTTCGTTGTTTCTATCAAAAATGCCGGAATCTCCGGGCTCCCTTCTGTCATGAACGCCATCATCACAATTTCCGTCATCAGCGTTGCAAATTCTGCGACTTATGGATCTAGTCGCACCATTCAGGCACTAGCCGCGAGAGGAATGGCTCCAAAGTTCATGGCCTACATTGACAAGCAAGGTCGACCCCTTTACTGTATATTCATGCAAATTGCCTTTGGCTTCTTGGCCTTCATCAATGAAGCACCATCTGGAAGCACTATATTTGACTGGCTCCTGGCCTTGTCGGGTATCGGTGACTTCTTCGTCTGGGGCAGTATATGTCTGGCCCACATTCGATTTAGGTCTGCCTGGGCACACAATGGGCACACCGTCAAGGAGCTCGCATTTGCCGCTCCATTGGGTGTCATTGGCAGCTACATTGGTCTCGGACTTAACGTTTTGTGTCTTATTGCTGAGTTTTACGTTGCGGTAGCACCGAAAGATGTAGAGAACTTTTTCCAGAGCTATCTAGCCGCACCGGTGATTATAGCACTGTTTCTGGGCTGGCTGGTGTATACCAAGTGGAGCAAAGATCCCAATCTTGATCGTGGGGGTTGGTTTGTTCCAATTGAGAAGATGGACGTCTTGATGCACATCCGAGACGGTGCTTTGGATATCGATCTTCCAGCAAAGGTCGAATATCCCACGTGGGGATCTTGGTTCAAGGCTGCCCCGATCCGGATATTGCGGTCTATCTTTTGAGACTGACCTTGCTCCAACCGCTATTCCTTATTATCGCTGTGCGGACTTGATTCACCAATTTTGAATAACTTTCGTATTAGAATATAGATTCTTGAAGAAAACATCTCATATTAGGTATATATCTCTAGGACTTTTCTGTTTCCCAACTTCACTTCAGATAGGATACACAAGTTTCTTCCCATGGACCTTTCCTGCTCTTACAAGAGAAATACCATCCAAAATTGTATGTAGTCCTCCTAGTTGGACCTCTTGGGGCATGAAAATCAGTTTCTCGCTGGCCAAAATAGGCTCAAACTCCCGGTAAAAAGTGACCATGAAAGCTTTGTCTTCAACAGAGGGTTGCCAAGTGCCATTTATGGCTGGATGGTCCATGGGGGTAGTGAAACGCTTCCCGAAGCACGTGTACACAAACTTCCATTTGTTTTGGATTTTTGCGGAGGATGGTAATGTGCTCGGTCTGGGGAACTCCTTTGATAGTGGCATTAAAGGCGCATACACGTACTCGGGCTGGTACGCATGGTCTTTGGGTGGTGTGAAACACTTGCTGCAGAAGTCTGCGGTGCTCTCCTTTCCAATGCAATCAAGAATTGCGTAGAGGCCACTGTCCTGAACACAATCTACCACTTGCTGGACGGCATTAGGTTGCTTGTAGTCGACGACCTCATCCGCACCTAGCGATCGCATCCAAGAGATACTCTGCTCAGAGCATGTCGTGATGACGTGTAGTCCGGATCTATTTCCTTGGTTAGAAGTCTGATTGAATGGGATGCATCTCTCAAACTCACAATTTGGCAAGCTGGATTGCGATGCTGCCAGTGGCAGTAGCCCCACCATAGATCAGAATCGTCTGATTTGCCGGAGTAGGATCTTTCGATGGCAGAGGAAGTTTCAAGGACTGGTACAGAGCTTGAGCCGATGTACTGATACCCATTCCAAGGGTAGAAGCAGCTTCGTACGAGACATGATCCGGGAGGCGTAGCACCAAATCCGAGTCTGCAATCAGGTATTCACGGAATGCCCCAATTGTATAATTTGCAGCGTGGCCTTGAAAAATATCAGTATTTCTCTCGGTAGGCATAGGATCAATCATGCTCACATCCATGGACAAATCCTGCAACCCGATCTCCAACAGCCCACTGAGATTTGACATTCTCTCCTATTTCCACAACCTCTCCGGCAAAGTCATAGCCAGCTCCTGCACCAGGTTTCCCGAAATGGTCGAGTGCCATCCAATCAGACGGATTAAGTGCGACCGCATGCACTTTAATTAACAGTTCATATGCATCCGGAGAAGGTATGGCCAAGCCATGCTCAACGTGTGCCTTTTTCGGGCCTTGCATAATTATCGCTGACTGGGTCTTGAGCTCGCCCATCTTGATTTGACAGATTTTCAGTAGACTTCGAATAGGTATGAATCTGTGAAAAAAGGAGAAAAACGTTGGAGCGAACAGAAGGCCAATAAGTATTCTACCCCTGAAGTGTGCAATACTCTAGGGTATCGCCAACTGGATAGCCGATCTGAAGTCCGAGAATGACGCCACCACTTAGCCTATGGCCACCACCATGAGGCTCTGCCATTTTCTGCACAAATTGACTTTGTGCCTACGATCAGAGATTGCAAGAATAAATAACAATAACAATAAAGATCAGTAACTAAATTCTCACTTCAGACTTCGGAACTTGAGCCTGCTGTGGGGTGTTGTCATTAACCCCCGCAGGGTTGATAGCCTATTGTTAGCCTATCCGCGTCTCGGATGCAGCTGGGTTGCCCCAACAATTGCGGGATGACGTCGGAAATTCTGTAGGCTATATGGAGTCCGAAGTTCCATAGTGATATGATTGAGTAATTAACATTGAATGCTGTGCCACGCCCGAGCCAATCTTCTATAAGACCTCCCGATCACCGCGGTTTCTGAAATTCCCACCATCACTGGAGAATCTCATTTTGTAAACAATTGCAAAGCAAAGACATACCCAAAATCAATTTCAATATGCAGGAACCAACCTATGACCCTAGGTAAGCCCAAGTCAAACTACATGCCCCGGCCCAACTCGAGTTAACCCAAAGCGTCAGCCGTCCGATGCCTTCGCTTTCGATTTCCTTCTCATACAAGTTGGTCGGCATCCCAAACAAGACTATGGTCAGCCTGCGAGTGGAATTCCCACCCAATGGCTCCACCCCGCCTCACCGCCATGGCGGCGCCAATGTTGGCGCGTATGTCGTGAAGGGAACTCTTCTCAACAAAATGAATGATGATCCCATGAAGGTCATTGAAGAGGGTGGGAGCTGGTTCGAGGCGCCGGGATGCCATCATCGCATTAGTGATAATGCCAGCAAGACCGAACCGGCTACCTTGATTGCTACTATGATCACCGATACCGACGCTTATGAGAGGGATGGAATGGGTGCTCTGATCCAGATTGACGAGGAATATTTGAAGCGCTAGATGATAAATGAGTTTAGTGTCCAATAGAAAATTTTGGAGCTCTCCAGGAATGATATACATGCATGAGAATAAATGTAGGGTAGTAAGCTGAACGGCCTTGGTTTGTTCCTGGAAAATATATTGTCTTTGACCATCATGTGTCAGGCTTCAGTACCATCATCTGTGAACAATATAAAAAGGCAATGGTGTGAGTTCTGAAATTCGTGAAACATATTATTCAACAACAAACTGTGAGTTCAGCTCGTTGAAGCTGGGTATGCCAGCGTCAAAAAGTGTACAAAAGTCAAATTCTGGATTTGAAAACACCTCAAAAGCAGGGATTTCGAGCGATGTTGCATGCGGAACCGGAACATCGACAGTACCTGGATTCACAGGCGGGTCTTTTGTAAGGGACAGGACTTCTCGGGCAATGATTCCGATTTCATGATAGGTTCGCTTGCCCAGGGTCCAGTGCTCGCTTAAACGTTTCAGGGTGCCCATAGTCAATCGAATCTTTTCACGGCTTCTGGATCGTTTTTCGCCTGAGTAAAGAAATCGACAAGCGCTCAGATGTGCAATGGTGACATTGGCAATCATGCAGATGATGAAAGGGGAGTGGTTCGTCATACTACTTGGAAGAGTCAGTAGCTCAACGATGCCGTCTATTGCTGTGGTGCACTTCAAGGTATGCAAATCACGCTCTTTTGTGTCGTTGCATTTGAGCCGGTCCGAGGGGGCTAATGGAGCACATCGAGAAACAGACTCAATGCCACTATGCGTCAATGCGGAGAGTGGTCGATGGATTTCAACCGCGTACCTAAAGATGTGTGAGAAAGTAGGGCGAAGAGAAATTGGGTCAGATCTCACGTATGCATTATGAACAGAGCTTTGAACATAACCTCATCGAAGGAGCCATCAGGTCGTATAAGGTCTCGCTTTGATGGGGAAAGCAAAGAGAACCACCCCTGTACGCTGGTATCAGAGCCGGCCGCCATTGCTTTGTAGAGTTGGTCATCTTCAGTGTTCCCGGGCGATAGCGCCCGGTCAATTCCAAGAGTCAAGCCAATAAGCTCAGCGTACGATGAAAATGTTGCTTCTTCTTCGCCGAGAAATTCTCGATTTTCGTAATCGTCCAATGACCTCGGAGGGGGTATGCTCTGCCGAACGTTAGATGGAATTGCTCAGACGGTCCCAAATCGTCCACTTACTTGTCTCTCATATTGCTCTTCCTCGCAAGGAAGATCAGTGGTTATTTCAACACCGCTCGTCCGGAATGGATATACGTGGGTAGAGCCTGCAAGAGAGTCAGCCATGTCCACGGTACACTCACATGTTGGGAGGCGTACCGGCAATATGGGCATCCGTTATGTATATGACCCACCAAGTTCGGCGCCAACTTTCCTCAACAACAGCATTGCCCTCCCCATAGGTCTTGGCAAATTGATTTTTATTCATCCCAAGGGTCACTGCCATCCGTATAACCTCATTTAGTAGCTCAACCCCGTATTCGGGTTCATTGCACCAATAGATAGCAATGGCATACAGCAACAGGGCTTGTACGTCGAACGGGTCTGGGCTCGCCTTGGTTCTGATTTGGGATATTGCATGATGTGCACTTTGACTCCATATTTCCGAAGATGAACCAGAGTTGTCAAAAATAGAGCCCACATAGCACATGACTTGGAGAAGATGTTGCACCCTTGGATCGGCTAGTCGAGTTTTCATAGCCGGACATGGTAATGTGCATGGGTGTGCCGCATGAAAGAAGCTGTAATAAAGTCTCAATAAATGAGAACTCAGATTTGGGGCCATCTCGATCTCTCCGCTGGTGGCGATAGAAGAACTGGAAGGAGTGGCTGAGACTTGGTGGTCCAGTGAGGACTCAACCGAGCTCTCATACACAACAGCGGGAGGAGGCTGGCTCGGCTTTTGCTTGGGATTACCACGCCTTCTGGATTCAGGATACACACATTGTTTGGCATCAGCGGCACATCGTGAGCAGGCGGGCTTTTGCCCGTCACAGCGAAGATGCTTATATCGACACTGTGCACACGAAAGAGAGTTTCGAGTGGCACGTTTAGCAGCCGTGCTGCGTTGCGTATCAGCCATGGCAAATTGGCAAATTGAAGCGAAAACAGAGTGACAGTGAGCAATGTAAAGGCTAAGTTTGGGGCTGTCAAACGGACCGATCCTAGGCGTGTGGAGATTAGTCATGGGCCGCCACCTCAGCATCGGGGCACGCAGCAGTTGGATGGAGTTGAGTGTTTTGGACCAAGAGACTTGTAAGGACTTCGGAACTTTTGAAGTACTTCAGATCTCTTGTGTTTTATCTTAGTAGACTGTGTCTCACTAAGTAGTCGATTCCCCTCATTTGCCAAGTGAGTGGCTGAATTGCACTCAACCTGGGAGAACTAGTCGTATTGTCACTTATATTTTTCCCGCCTCAGCGCGTACTACATTTTTCTTTTTCTTTTTCAATTTTCATTTCATTGCATCCAGTTCATATTAATACACTTTTCTTCAGCCACCGATGGGCTTCTTCATACACCCACTCGGCTTTCGTCTTTCGTTGCGATGACAGAGAGGGAGGTGGGTCGGCATGCGTGAAGCCGTGCGAACAACCCGTGGCGAGTGTCCATTTGTACTTCCCGCGCTCAAAGTCCTGCTCTGGATTGCTCCGTTCTTCGCTTTCTGCCAGTCGATGGATCAATTCCTGCGCTTCGAGGCGAAGCAGGTCCCATTGTGCGCCCACAACGTATATCCACGGCGGGAGATCCTCTTTCTTCGCGTAGTAGGGACTCAGCAAGGGATCGCGTCTGTTTTGACCCGGGGGCACGAATGCCCAATCGACCCACCACGAGGGCACTTCGAGTCCATCTTTGGGCCCATTGATATACGGCCGCGATTCCAATTTTTGGTTTGTCAAGAGGCCAAAATCAACAACGGGATAGTACACAATGGCGGCCTTGACGATCCCTTTGAGACCAGGCAGTTGACACGCCGACAAGACCAACTGACCGCCAGCGCTGAACCCACCCATTGACACGCGATTTCGGTCAATGGGCAAGCTTTCATCTGCTAGCACAGCAGTTGCAACAGCATGAATATCCGTGGTAGCAATGGGAAACGGATACCACGGTGCCTTGCGATAGTTCAAGCTCACGACGAGCATTCCCGTACGCTCCGCCCAGGATGAACAAAATGCATCGTCCGACCGCGCGTCGAGGATCGCGAAGCCTCCACCATGTATACTGAAATATAGAGGAAGACGCTTTCTGGTCTCATGACCTGGTGGGAAGAAGATTCGGCACCCAAGACGCGGTCGGCATGCATACTTTTTCACCAATGTTGGTCGAATTGCAGACGGAGGAGGATTGAACAATTCAATCAGAGGAAAAATTACGCTGGCCGCTAACTTGAACACCCAGAGGCAAGCGAAACAACCAAGACGATGGGCGAACGAGTATTTCGCTTTGAAAAGGGGGGGTGCAATCATGATTTCCCCTGATTTTATTGACAGATAACCAGAATGGTCCAAAGGGTATATGCATGAGGAAAGAGATCGCACTTTGACCGGAGAAAATTATGGGCACATGTTGAACTTGAGGACAGAACTCCAAGATCCAGCACAATGGCTCGTATGGGTAACTCAGATGGAGATGTTCTCCATCGTGTTCTAAAATTTACATCACGATCGGCAGCGTCGTCAGATGGCACTACTATTTATTATTGCGGAGTCAATCTCGCGATGTCGAAATGACCAATCACATAGGGATCAGCGGGTCAACAGCTGGATCGAGTGAGATCCTCGGGCTATCGCATTAGTAGCTCATCCCACAAACACCTCCACACGTGGACCAGGAACACCAATAATTCCCGTTTTCTCCGATCGGCACCGAATCATCACCTATCATCCCGCGCGATCCGAGTCGGTAGTTTCAGTTGAAGTGACTACGTCACTTTGCCAGTTCTTGAATCTCCGAGCCGGGAGTCTCAGGGCAAACATCCGATCTATCTCCATTGGCGTTCGATCTTTCATCTCTGGTACAATTAGCCAGGTGAGAACAAAGCCGACCGTCGCGATGCCCATCATCACGAATCCCGTCTTGGCACAAAGGTTTCCCTCATCTGGATTATAGATGTAGGGAAGAATTATGGCGAATACCCCAGTGCCAACACCAGCGGTAAACCAGCCGATTGCGAGTGTTTGGGACCGAAGCTTCAGAGACGAGGCTTCGGTGGAAACGACTTGGGATGCTGGCCATGAGCCCAGGCCGGAAATCGTGACAACAAGCATCAGTGTGATTGCTGAATACCTGGGAGATAGTTAGCTTGCCGCTTGGGTCGCCGACGGTGAGTGTCTTCTTACCAAATAGTGACAGTTCCTTGGAAGATGCCTGCGATTCCCATGCCTAACCAAAGCACCGCAACAATGGCCAGAGAAGAAAGGGTCAGGACCCTTCGCCCAAAGGCACTCAGTGTCCATAAACTGCCGATGTTTCCCAGCAATCCAAGTGCGATACCGAGCATCAATATCATCAAGCTGTTGGATGAGTTCATCCCAACAATCTGCATGAAGTATGAGCTATTGGCCAACAGCTGCAGCCCGAATAATTGAGGAATGAGCTGCGCAAAGGCGACTATCATTGTTCTCCTGGTGTTCACTCCTCGGAAGCACTCGATGTAGCTGCTGTTTCCTGTCTCTTCTTCCTCGGCCAGAATCGATGTTTGGACAGCGGCAATGACAGCGTCCGAGTCAACCCGGGCTGTGTCAAGTCTCTTTTGCGCTTTCAGAGCTTCTTGTGGTCGCTTCTTCCTCAACAGCCACGTGGGACTTTCGGGTAACAAAGCTGCTAAAATGAGCGGAACAGCCGAAAATGGCCATTGCGACGCAAAGCAAACTCGATAGGAATGAGCCCCCGTGTACTTGAGCGAGGTGTAGACTACAGCCGAGCCGATCAGTTGCCCGAGGAGGGTGAAGATTGGATAGAATGCAATGATAGGTCCACGGAGCACCACAGGTAACACCTCAGACATGTATGTTTGCGAGACACCCAACATGATACCGATACATGCTCCTTGGAACAGCTTTCCAGCAAAGAACACCCCACGTCGGCTGTCGATTTCGTCTGGAAGGTCTGAAATATAACAAATGGCAACCGCGATAGTGGATAAGAAACTGCCAATTGCAAGTGTGATACGCCGTCCACGTCGCTCCTGGTAGTAGCCACCGATAATCGATCCAAACATCAGCCCGATGCAGCTTGAGACATTCCATAGTGACAGCCACATGGATGGGATAATGTAAATCCCGTTGAACTCTTGGCCGAACTTCATTCTGGCAGTTGTCAGCACGTATAATCCGATTGTCTCAGTGTAAGACACATACTGAAATTGTGGCATTGCGGCCACTGCTGCAACAATGACAAGGTCATAGCCATACATTAGAATCGCGGAACTCAAGGCGAGGCAGTACCCGACAATTCGTGGGGATGCTTTGACCGATTGCCATAATGATTTTGGAGAGCTTTTCACAATAGTATGGACACGAGAGACACATTGTACAGTCTCCTTGCTGGAGTCTGTGTAATTGGGCTCCATGCTTAGTGTGTATATGCAGAAGTATTAAGAGTGAATGAAACTGCGAACAGGTGTTCGGGAGTTCTTTGTTCAAGTGCGAGGCATGTGTCAAATAAAAGAACTCGACCACCACATTCTGTTGGCAAACACAACTTCCCAACCCATGGATCGCTGGGTTGGAATTGTGGCGGTCACAAGTGACCGAGTTGTGAACAAAGAAAATGCACATAGCGCCTCGGCGGGGAAAGCCTTCAAACGCACCGCGCACTGACCCCGATTCGATGCAACATACAAGGCAAGATTTAAATCAATAGGAGATCTTGTACGGAGTATATAGGTGGCACAAAGACTAGACGAGTCAGATTCGTGTGCTATTGGAGGAGTTCGACAGTGTGTCACGGATAACGGGAACAGACAGCTGGTTTTGAAACACTCGGGAATCAGACTCGCCCCAGAAATCTGGAACTTTTGCTAGTAAAGTCTACCTGGCCCAGATCAGCGAGAGTTAGTAGCTAACTTTAGTCTAACTTCATTGCGAATGGTATCCAACAGGTAATTGGGGCCAATTGGCATATCCCCTGCCAGACAACGCGCAGGATAGGCATACCCCACTGCTGATATGGTCTGAATAATTGCTTTTGATTCTTCTTGGTCAAGTCTAACTCTTGATTGGCCAATGTCTACCGTTGACTTCGATTTCAAAGAATGGGATCGGCTGGCATGGTGCCCACCTGAGCAGGCGATAAACGAAAAATGGGTCAACATTTCCCAGTACATCTGATATATGGACTTTCCAAAGGGGCAGCATGGAAATGAACTCTCATACATAAAGAGATTGGCAATACAAATACAACTGGGAAGCACTGTACCCTCATTCAATGATGGAAGCCTTTAAGGGGGAGGAAGGAGTATCATGCAGGACATCGCCGTTGAAGACTTTGTAGTGGCTAGAACAACATCAGAGTAGCACCTCAGACCAGCAGAACTCAGAGGAGTCGCCATATTTGGAAGGAGACTGAATATCTTGATTCAATCAGAACACAGGGGTCGAATGATGTAACTGTAATTTCACCCGGGCAAGCTTTGGGGCAAGGAACAGAGGGCGGTTTGATCGCGCCTAGTTTTTTTCTCCTTTCTCTTTCATTGTAATATTGCTTTTTTGGATTAGACATGGCAGATTGAATATATGGAGTAGAGAGCAATAGGTTATCAAGTACGAACGTGTCATCGCAAGTGGAGTTGACTTGGCGACCTCGGGATTCTGATTAGTCTTCCAAGGGGTTGAATTCTTTTTTGCATCTGGTGTAATTCAGCATGGGTCTACGGGTTATATTGAGCGATGATAATTCTCATTTTGAGATTGGCAGTTCTAACTGCGCTTAATTTGATCCCTCAAACCTCGCAAGTGAAATGTATCGGCCGTAGACCGTTCTTCCTTCCGTTTCTCCAAGTAATCCAAATGCTTTTTCGTGTCTTCGATTTCATTTTCCAGCTCAGTCAAAGAGGCAATCTTGTATTTCAGGGTGAGAATCCCAGCAGATATCACAAGCAAAGCAATCGAGACTAGGTATGCCCATTGTCCAACTTGTCGTGGACTTTCTTGCGAAGGCCCGTCGTTGTAGATTTGAAATTCAATCCAACCAACAAACGCCACGATAGTAAATGGGCTCACTATCATGCTGAAAACAATGCCAAACAGGATCATTACATCCACAGATATATGCACAAATGTTCGAAGAAAACGACGAGTGAAAATGGGCCGGATTCGGGTCATTGCGGACTTTTTCTTGTTTGTCGGTGTCAAATCCTCCTGTTGCGAATCTGAGCCAATACGAAGTGGTCTCATTGCAGAATGTATCTCTTCCTTGAAGCTATTCCATATCCTCTTGCGATCCTTCCAAATGACGACGATCTGAGCAGAGGGAACACGCGAGCGATACGGAAGGAATCGATAGGTCAAGAGGAGGCAGTTGAGGATCAGACAGAGAATGATAAGGCTGTAGATATATCGCTTTGAGTAAAGAACAGCCCTCCAGAACCCGTGCGATCTTGGAGCTTCCGTCTCATCTGTCGCGGTGACAGAGTGCAAAGAAGTACTTTGCCGGAGAATCTGTGTGGTATTGAAGCAAGGGTTGAAGCAAATATCCCCCAGCTGACCCCATTGAGAAATATTGGAAAAGGTTTGCCAAACGCTATTGTTCCATGTCGAAGTTCGCCAAGAAGCCTGCCATCCGTCATTCGAGGTATCGCCGAAGGGTGGGATATCCGGATAGCAGAACATGTATTGAACGGGAATCTTAGGGGTTCGCGCCGCATAAACAAGGGCGCATATTGAACCTGCGAGCATGAGGGCATTCCAAACGTAAAATAGCAAGTTGCGCGCACGATCGTGTGTCAAGATACGGGACCAACATTGCAATGGTAGAAAAACAAGGTAACCAGTCACAACGATAGCCATCACCGCATCTGCGTCGAGCTCATAAGAGGCCGGAAAAACTAGGACATGATCCCTTTCGGTGATTAGTGATGGGAACTCGTTGAGGAGACTGGAGTTGGCGGAGATCCACGGGATGGAGACTGGCCCAGGATCCTGGGGCTTTTGGATGCTGGAAACCATGATGAATGTTTGGATTGCCGCGGTTCCTGCGTAGGTTGCCGCAGCGCCGAGAAAGACATCAGCAAGCCATCCAGTCCATCTTGTCACGCAACTCGCAATCAAAAGGGCGTAGAAGAGATATCGTGGACAGGAGTTGTAGATTGTGGAGATAGGATAGTAGCAAAGCGCTTCGTTGGCGATGAACAACGGGGAGCCCGTGTTGTTATCCATATCCCAGACCGGGGAGAGAAGGGAGAAAGGAGGGGAGACAGCCGAGAAGTTCCATTTAGACGTGAGTCAATCAAAAGTGAAGTTATCTTTCTTCCCTTTTTCTTCAGCCACTCTGCCTTTGGAATAGTAGTGGTGACGTCATCAAACAAAAACACCGTAAAAATTTCCCAACCCAATATCTCACATTGAAACAAGTGCTCCATACATGAGAATCAAAGTTGTTGAATTGAAAATTCAAAGAAGTCAAAGTATGCTACTGCCTACTGCCTACCATCTAGACATCTGGATTGTTGCTGCCTGACCCACATTGGTCTTACCCTACACGGTGCACCCAATGCACAAACAATCAAGGGTCTCCAGAAATACGAAAGCCAATAATATTTTGAGTAAAACTAAGCATATTGGCTCTTTGAGTGAGTTCTATTTATTCAAATATCTTTGAATGGTATTCTATATGGGTTGACAGTGATAACCTCGCCCTTCCATCGCCCAAGGAGCGTGGCTCCGACTCGATCACTCGCTAATACAGTGATTGAACCAATCGTCAAATGTTTATCTTCTTCTTTCATTAATTTCATCCACAGCAAACATCACAAGTCTCGAGATGGGACCACCGCTCCGCTTTGGGCGTTGCTGTCTTTCTCTTTTGGGGCTTGGGATTGAGCACCACCATTCTCCATTTCAACAGAGCTCCCATGATAGCTGGAGACACTAGCTTGGGGAGCATAGTCTGCACTGGGTCGCACTTGGAGTGTGAGACCTATTCCCAAGCAGACCAAAACAATGACAATCTCCTCGAGGACAGACATCACCAGCTGGATGGTGACATTTCCAGAAAGCATGTTGAAATCTGCGCGGTGGCCAAAGGCAAAAACCAAAGAGTAGACCAGTCGCACAAGGATCAACGGCAACGATATCCCCACTGCCAAAAGCAGGCGACGCTCTCCATCTTCAATGCCGTGAGATCGAACGGCGATCAGAGCAAAGAGGCCACATACAGCTAGCCAGGTGACTAGAAACAGGATGAGGGCCACCTTGGACACTGTGGTAACAAGGCCATGCGTGAGGTTGGTATTCTGGGTGGAGCCGACGATGGTGAGAATCAAGGCGACCAATGAAATTAAATTGACGAGTCGAAAGATTATAGGGCTGAAAGGGGTCCCTGTCTTTCTCATAATCGAATCATTGCTGGGAAAATGTTAGTTTGAGTGTAATGGTTGTTACCAATCGGGAAACTCACGCTCGCGACAGAAGACCACAAGAGGCCAAAAGCAGGGGTGATATGCCTAGGGATGTGCAAACCGCCCATGTGATGTATAAGTTCACATTGGAAGGAGCTGCGATGGTGGCAAGGTAGCATGCTGCACCGATGATGCGGGCCAGACAGAACATAACGAAGAAGTACCAGCCCGAGCTCTTTTTGAACCCATGGTGGAATGCCATCCAAAGGGCGACAAAGAGCGTCGGACTGTAGACGATGACCTCCAAAATGGAAATCCCATGTCTATAATCAATCGACATAATGGTATGTGTATGTGAAATGATATCGCTTGATGAGAAAAAAGAAACCGAGACTGTGATGGTAGATTGACAAGCAGAATGTTGTGGTATTTAACCACTTCGACACCCCCTTCAGCTCGCGATGCTGTCTGTATGCGTCCATTGAGTTTTAGTGGCAGTGCTTATTTGCATCTAGAAGAAGCGCACTAGGGGAGGCTTGTGGATCTATATCGCCGTCAAAACCGTGGCTAAGCTTCGCACTGCTCACCTCAATTGGGTTTAGCTCACGTCTCCCGCTCCCAGCATACCCGATTAGGCCTAGTCCAGCCACAATGAAGAGTCTGACTGTGTCTGCGCCATCGCCTGGTCCAGTAAAAGTGTCCAAAAGGAAATTGGGAGTAGATGAGTGAAGTACGGAGTTCTCCGTACGTAAATCCTCGTGCAAAGCGGAAGCCTGGTGAGAGCGGGGTGGCACCTGAGGCATTGTCCCGATTAAGTATGCTGGTAGTCATTCACTGACAACATCAGAGACTGAAATCATGGATCCAGATTGAGTTATGAGAGTCCAAAAGGACTCATCACAAAAGTACTCTGTAGGAAAGATTGCACAAAAGGCACGGGTGTTGGAGCCCGTCGCTGCCTAGTTTGTCAGGCTCCCCGCAGGTTGATCGTCGTACGTCTCTTCTTTTTCTCCCTCTCTCCCTCTCTTTCTCGCCCCTTCTCTTTATCTCTTCATCTTCTCCAATTCAAATATTACATTCCTACCTCTTTTCCATCAAAAGGGGTACAGACAGAATCGAGACAGAGAAAGAGTGAATGTGTCTTTATAGCCCCGGTTTGCGACAACAGTACTTCAAAAAAAGAGATATTATTCAGAAGTCGACATCTGACGTACAGTGGCATTTATGGCGATCTCCCAAATTCATTAGTATGTGGCTTCGGTAGGTCGGCTAGGCACCACCGGAGGGCTCATCGCGTGGAGCAATTGTTGCGCGCAGTTCTAAGAACAAGTGCAAGGAGATCCCTGATTCAATTCCCTTCTCTAGTGTCAAATGCCGAGCTTGGAGAGTCCATAGAAGGGGGTGATTTCGGGGTGAAGCATGCTTGTCCAGCTTGTCCAGGCCAATCTGATGAGTATGCTGGCATTGGAGGAGGAGGGACACGGATAATTTCTTCTGATTCGCTTTGCCATGGTGTGACTCTTTTGGTCTGGCTAGAAGTAGGTTAATTCTGATCAACACATGAACGCATCCTCATGCACTCACAAAGAATACTTTTGAAAGTTTCTCCAAGCAGACATGATGGATTCTTTTTGCGCCAGCTCTTGAGACGACAAAGGATTCATCGATTCTAAGAGAAGCGAATTGAATCTGCCGTCCTTTCCCTCAATAATCCACTGCGCGCAAAACTCAAATAACCTTGGATAGTAGCCGGCAGATGCCCAATCAATGAGGCAGAAAGACCCATCTTCCTGCCACAGGATGTTCCGAGGTGCTAAATCCAAGTGGCAGAGTATAAGTTCACAGCTCTGAAGGGATAGCTTCGGGTTGTATGAGAACAACCTGCTATTAAACCATTTCTCCATTTCATCGGGATCTTCAAATACCAGATCTTCAGTATCGGGAAAGAGAAGCCCTCGACAGAACCCCCCACACAGAGAGCCAGGAGTAGTATGCCGTAGTGTCGCAAAATAGTCAAGCATACCCGCAATTTTTTTAATGGCGCCTGTATCCTCCAATGGATCCACAACCTTCCCTTTTATATACTCCATCACGACGTAGCCCCAACCCCGCTCATCAGAGAAAAAAGCGTGAACACGTGGAATACGAACTATGCGACTGTCCACGAGCTCATAAGCTATCCTTTGGTTTTCGGCTTCTTCATTTGTGACATCCGGGCCCCATTTCACCACTTCCTGATCCGATATTCTGATGACACGTTTTCCGTATTGACTCACGACATTTTCAGGCGATGGATTTTGACAATAGGCGATAACTGAGGCTTGATGGGTTTCCTCAGGGGTCGCCATGTTCTGGTGTAATTTGGTTCAACAGAAAGAGCTGATGGCCGTGTAGACTCTAGGTCCCAAGGACTGTGTAAGAGAGCTATAATATGGGAAGCGATAGATATGATCTGTAGGTCTATGACGAAAGACGGAAGTTGGTTTGACTAGACAAAGTATAATCTACAACACAAGGTGATGTAAACGGTCGCTAGGGGCATGACAGACGTTTGTTGTCGAGCCCGCTCCACGGGTTCTCTTTTTGATGACATAACGAGCATACGGATTTATGGATTTTGATTGGACTCCACCTCCAGGCTAAAGAGCTCGCTAGCTCATTGGTTGTTTCTCATGCCATGCAATGGAGGTCTTGGTCCATCACACTGCTGATAAACTTCAATTTGTAGGCCTCGTGACTCGTAAGGATAGTAGACGTTGAACAAACGAAACTACTCAGATTGTATGGGTGAAAGTTACATGTAACTCACTATCTGACTGGTAGCTATTCAAGTAGCCCTACTTGTCAGAAACATGATGACTTTACCAAATCCATTTCCTAGACTTCTGTCTATTTGTCTCGTCTCGGATCTATCCAAGGTTCTGCGTCTTGATGAAAATTTGACCTTTACATGCTTTCAAAAGATTATCGACTCATTTTGGCTCAAGCACAATCAAGATGACCTCGGAAGCATCATTGAAAGTATGTGTCTTTTCAGAAACGCAGATGGAAAGATCCAAATGTATCTCTAAACCTAGGCACTTGATTTTATAACTACTTCCTTCCTTCCATATTTTTTTCTGCAAGTCAAAAGCTTCGGAATTTGGAAGTATGCATGGTTTCACATTTGCATTCACAATATTGAGCTGTCGGGAGTGTTGCAGCTGACCGAGGTATCCACTGTATACCCAAACTTGGTCATTTATGAAACCAGAGCATAAAATGGCCCAGTAAAACTGAAATAATGGGGATAATGTTTTGAATGCCGATTTCACAGGCACTGTGATAGAAATTTCAATTCAGGGTCCGATAGCGGTATGTTCTGCCGGAGAAGCGGGTGTTCGGTGACATCAAAAGCCCAAAATATGTATCAATACCATAGAAGCGAGATCTACCGCACACTAGTGCCCAGGTGATCGGTATAAAATCATATCGAGAGTATGATAGAGAGGGAATATATTGTAATGCCACGTGCTGTGGGAGACCTAAGAAGAGAAGAGGAGAGAGAGAGAAGCTCTAGATCTATCTACCTGCGGGGAGACTGACCAAACTGGCAGCTAGGAGCTCCAACAAATGACGACCCTTCGTCATTGATAATTTCTCCTCTCCATCTAACTGCTCGTCTTTGTACTTTGTAGGTTCAAAGCTCGTCGGCTCTTAAGATTGGCATCCCGTTGAGGCCGGCAAAACATAGATATGCGATCCACATTTCCAGAATAGTAAGATCGCCCCGTCACCTTTCTAGTTTCGGTCAATTCTCCGAATACTAACTCGCATTAACCGTACCTCTCCCCTTTATCGTATTCCCATCGTATAGCTCTACCGAGGTGACTGTATTCATGTACATGAGCATCCCCGACCACGTGGATCAGAAGTGATGCTCGACTATTTAACTTGAATGAATTGGCATTGCTGATTTCATCCATCAAGTCATTTTTGGGCAGGTCAATCGATCATGCTAGCATTCACCTTAGCCTTGGCTGGCATCTTAGGCCCAATCGGCTCCTATGCCAGTGTAGGCACATCAGCTTGCTCTAATATCACCTCCCAGTTGGGATCTTCAAAGATCAACAGTCACAAACTGAGCTTGGAATATCACAAGAGCACTGAATACTGGAGCACACCTCAAGATGCCTACAAGCCGTCTTGCATTGTCTATCCCGACTCCGCGCAAGATGTATCGGTGGCTTTGCAAGCAATTCGAGCAGCCGATGCCCGATTTGCAGTCAAGGGAGGAGGACACAACCCAAATACATTCTTCTCAAGCGTGGATCAAGGCGTTCTCATTGACCTGAGTAGTCTTTCGGAGAAGTCATATGACCCAGACACCACATTGGCGACATACCAACCAGGTGGCGTCTTTGGTGACATATACGACTATTTCATCAAGTACAATAGAACGGTCGTTGGTGCCCGACTATCTGGAGTGGGAACTGGTCTGGCGCTGGGAGGTGGAATGAGCTACTTGTCTCCCCAGTACGGGATGGCTTGCGATTCTTTCCGCGAACTAGAGATTGTTCTTCCTGATGGTCAGATCGTGACTGCATCCAACACCACCAACCCAGATCTCTTCTTTGCGTCTCGCGGAGGCGGAGGAAACGCGTATGGTGTTGTAACAAAGTACACCGTCCAGAGTCGCCCCGTTGGACAATTCTTCGCCGGAAACATCATCTACGCATTTCCCCAGAAAGACACCATCATCGAAGCGATTGGCAATTTTATCCGATACAACACCGATCCCAAGGCGAGCATCATCGGGACTTATGAGAAATTGCCCACCCCCGATTTGAATCTCAACATAGATGAGGCCATCATAATGTTCCTTGTCTATGATGGTCCTGATCCAGGACAAGCTTTCGCAAACTTCACAAGCGTTCCGCATCTGATCGATACCACAGGGATCAAGACATATCCCGAAGTAGCCGACATGCCCGTCTCCTTTGCGACCGAGGCATCCCGAGGAAACAACATTTTCCGAGTCGGTGTTCACCGCGCAGACAACGAGGAGTATAAGAATGCGCTGGATGTTTGGCGCAACTGGGCCGAGTCAAATAAAGGCAAATACACGCTGCTTTCACTGGACTTCCAGCCCGTCCCGAAGAGCTTGACAGACGCTAGCAAGGCGCAAGGCGGGAACGCGATGCAAATGCCTGATGGCCCATGGTTCTGGCTGAATTACTTGATTACCACGCCCCCTGGCATGAGCGATCCTGATTACGACGCCATTCAGTCGAGCTTCCGCGATATGGTCTCATCGACGACCAACGCCGAGGGTCTTCCACTCTTCATCAACGATGCGAATCGGGATCAACACCCCCTGTCAACATTCTCCACGTACGAGAAGCTGCAGGGGATCAAGAAGAAATATGACCCGGAAAACTTCTTTGCGGACAAGACGGGTGGTTGGTCATTTGACTAGAGATGATTTTCTCTCATGCCGAATGCACATAATAGGAATACAATCTTGATTAATTCTTGGTATTCTCTGATTTACTAATCTTTAGCCTTGTTGTTGATGAGAGACCGAGTATGGGGGTGCATAGTGCCGAAGTATTAAGCTGTTTACCCCCTCAAACTTTGGACCAGGGAGGCAGCTAAACCAAGGGTGATCTCACTTGCGGTTGGTCTTCAATATTTCCTCCTGTGACCATATAGAATCTCTCTTATCTCTTAACACCGAATTTCGAAATTACTCCAAACCTAAAGTGAGAAAACAAAACTTAGAAGGCTGTTTGTGAATTGGTCGCTTACGTCGAAGGTGCCGCGTATGCCGAGAACACTGCATATGCCGCATATCAGAGCGGACAACAGAGTACACGATGATACATGAGGGATGTTGATAACAAGCTCTGTGATGAGAATTCCAATCCGATTATATACTCAACTAATTAAAATGTCTAGTTGGTCTTTTTTACCCGGAGATACTCCTTCGATGAGCTCCATACACCCTTCGCGCCCGTTGCGATATCATGCCTTCCGTCGTAAAGCGGGTAGATCACGACCGCAGCAAACGCGGCAAACTGCCAAATAATAGCCACGGTCACCCAACCTCCAAAGAATGATTTTGTGAAGATATAATCGCGGTAGAGTGGAAGGGGCCAGGCGACAAAAGTCACCAGTACAACTGCAACAAACATATACCATGCAATCTTGAGCCATCTGTGCAGTTCTTTCAGCGTGGCTTCATCAAATGGATGACGAATGTCATCCAAGCTGAGCTCAATGCCACGAGCAGCTGAGGTGGGCGGTGCCTTTTCACTATCTCCCGGGACCTTTTCAGGATCATTCCTGGCTGTCTCAGAAGGCGCATTTGAGACTGGCTTGACCGAGCCAGACACAACTTTAGGGTCCTGTGAATTATCTTCCTCGCCGCTTTCGTTCAATGTGCTCGTATCGGAGGATGGATGAATTTGTGCCTCATCGGCCAATTCAATGCGCAGGAACTCTCGCCAGTCAAACTGATACGGCTTGTACAACGATAGAATGACAGAATACAAGGCGGGTGAGAAGAACGACGCGATTGCCGCGTAGAGGGCTGGATAATTGTTCGTGGTTGTCGTGATGTTGATATGGCCGTACATCGACTTCGTTGTTGCGAGCCAAACTGCGAGACCCGTGAAAAAGCCGAGAACAGGAGACACGATTGCGGCGAGTCGAGTTTGCCTTGACCAGAATAGAGTGAAAATCAACGGCAAAATTCCAGGACATGAGATAATTGGTCTCAGATAACCGATCCATGTCATGTTGGCACCTCCGTAGTTCAATGCGATGGAGATTCCTGTGATGAAGACACCGTGGATTACCACAGTCAGGTGGCTGACTCGCACAAGCTGCTTGTCTGTCACTTTGGGGTTCATGTAGGTCTTGTAGATATCATAGGAGAGAATGCTGCTGACGGCGATCATCGATGATGAGATAGTCGAGGTCAATGCCATGAACAGAAGGAAGAAGAATCCAATGATTCCCTTGTCTCCAATAAGAGCCTTGATGACATAGGGCATCACCATTCCTGAGCTGACTTCGGTGGCAGTGAGCGTTCCCGGGTACGTTGGGAAGATGGGGGTCTGATGGATCGCGCGCGCAGTCAATCCAATCACAGTTCCCAGTCCCCATGGAATGCCAAAGACGGCCAATGCAGCAATATTATATCCTGGCACAGTCGCCTTTACCTCCGTTGCGAAGGACTTCTGCCAGAACGCGGTGTCCTAAACAGAAAGGATTAGCTTCAAACTCAATGTTTCCAAGGTTCGTTGTATGCAGGATCTAGGTTGCTTGCTTACCATGACAACAAGGGCCAGGTTACCAAACTTCAAAATCAGGCCCCAGATAATTGCACCTTTCGATTTGAACGTCAGAAGGGAGCCCTGGTAGTTCTCGGGGATGTAGTTGTCTGCAGCTGTTGCGACCACTTTGTCGTATAAACCACCCAGCCCACCGACATGTGAGTCTGTCAGAACGGCGATGGTGAAGTAAATGATCAAGATAAGCGCGATAGCTGTGTGCAAGAAATCGGTCAAGAATGTGGCTTTGAGGCCACCAACAGCAGTGTAGAGCACCACTGCGCACATTTGGTCAGTAAATAAATTTTTGGTATTCTTTGGGTGTTACTCACCTCCCAAAGGAATCAGAATAGTCGCTGCCACATAGTGCATGTTGGAAATGCCGTGGATCAGTTGTGAGCCGGTCATGATCATAGATGCGCAACCGAAAACATTGTTTACAAGATTGAGCACGATGAAGATCAGATGCCCAATCTTGCCATAGCGCATGCGGACTACTTCGAGAGAAGTGTGCGCATAGGGAACTCGAATCTTGGCCATCACACCGAGTGCTGCCATCAAGGCAATCTGGAAGCACAGGCCAGATCCCCACCACTAATTTTGTACTGCATTAGTCCTGGCGTCCATCTTAAGCAAGGTTGGGGTCCCACATACCAGAGGCACAGCCAAACCGTACCGGTAGCACATACTGGCACATAGCACCGTCTCATTAATCCACATCCAAGATGAGAAAACGGCACTGGCTGTTAATCCACGACCCACGGTTCGATTTGCGACCATGAACATTTCGGATTTACCAGAATCTTCAGCCAAGTAAGCTTTCTGGACCTTCACAGCGAGCAGAATGACGCCGCAGAAGACAACGCTCAAACCAATGAGCATGCCGTACGCGGCGCCCTGGGAGATCAAGGCCAGCTTGGCCGTGTCTATTGTATCCGCCATGGTGTCTAGGCAAAGTAGGACAAGAAAAGCCAAGTCATGACAAGCAGGGCCGAGAGATATTTATTTACTGCAGGGTCCATCAAGTCCGAATGCCCAGGCTGAGGTGGGTGAATCTCGAGCCAATTAACATCTTGCGGAGGATTGCGCAACGAACAAGGTTGTCATGTCGCGTTGCCCATATCCGCAATTGCGTTATAACGGCGTAAGATCGTCTAGATATTCTAGACGAATTGAAAGACTGCTTCAAATCAGATTGATTGGAGGCGAATGAGACGCCAGTGATTTGGTGAATATGGGGGGAGATTGCGTGCCCCCACGAGCCGATGGTGTCAAATGCTCGCGCCATCGCGAAACCGTCTCAAACTCCACATGGTTGATGATTTCTGTCGGCCGATATCATATCAGCTTGGAACGATAAAGTTCAAAAAATACGACGAGTATCCATGATTGATAAATCGGATAGCCCGACGTGAGTTCCATCTCTTAAGGTATTGACCATCCAGGCTGGAAAGGTACTCGGGGCTGTGATCAGAGACATCCTGATAGTGTTCTTAGCATCATCAAAACCTTTTGCTTTAGAGCAGCCTGAGTATTCTTCATCTGGGCGACAAGACCATCATCTGTAGCCATCCCCCAGCGCGAGTTGAGGGGCGGACCGCTGGCCCCGAGGCTCCGGGGCCCTGAGGCGAGCTGACTAAGCCATCCCTTGCTTGTCTCTGATGCCATCACTTGCTGGACATAGGCGTTGGGCCATGAAATGGCTGTTCATCCTTCCTCGATGTTTGACACATCTGTGCCGGTCGTATTTAAAACCCAAGCTATATGTATCCTCCATGTGGGGTCTAATGAGCGGCTAATTTGGCGTATCAGCCGATGACCCCAAGATGAAATCCACCAAAGCCATCTCAGCTGGTGCAGTGCAACACAATAATGAGCAAAGATGACCAAAGCAAATGGGTGACGTATATCCAACAGATCAGCAAATTGAGAGGGAATCTCACTGATCCACATGAATGTTTTTGAAACGGGCTCTGCACCATTGTCTATGTTAGCAAAGAGATCTTTCAACAGATGGACAGTTGATTGGAAAGCCTGGTGCTCTTCCTGGTTCAATCTCTGGATGCTGTTGAGCTCATATAGCTTTGAAATCGCGGAACGAGAGGAATCGGACAGACTGGGATTCGACTCTTCAATGTAAGTCAACCGACTCATTTCCTCGGTTTTGGTATGCATCAGTAATGGAGCTGAGAAGCTCATGGTTGATTTCACGAGTTTGGTGATCTGGACTATTTCACCAATTGGGTCGGATATATTGTGGGTTGGGCCTGAGGCTGCAAGAGGAAATGCGAAAGCGAAGGGAATCAATAGACTTGAGAGAAGAAAGTCTTCAAGTTGTGGAGGTTGTTTCTTGTCTTGCATGAGATGCATAAATAAATTGATAGCTTTACTCTGATGATCCTCGGCGACTTGTATCCATTGCTTGAGGTCACTCCCTTGTGGATTGGCTAGTGCAATGTGGATTGCCGAGACTGCAGAAATGCCATGTGACAGACATGGATTGGAAGTTGCCTCGTTGGGTAGAAGTGTCTGCCATATTTCAAGATCAGCATCGTTTCGCGATATACTGGGAGCAGTTGCTGTCTTCCAATGTCCAAGTAGCAGGGAATCGAGGTCGTCCCCATTTCTAGCAGCGCCGACGGAAGACAGAATTGAAGAACCTTCTCTGCTCCTCTTGATTGAGTTCATATCCGATGGTGATAGATTCGAGTGAAACATGACCTCTTGGTACTGGGTTGAAGTATGCTCGGCGGCGGCAGACACCGCCCAGAGGGAAGAGCTGAAGGGGTCATATTGGCACTCCTGCAAGCGGTCCTCGCATCTTTTGCATTTCGGTCGCTTTTCGTCGCACTGATTGACATGTTAACGAAGCCACCGAGACACAACCCCGCGTAAAGAATTGTACCTTGACGCTTCTTCGCTTGCATTGAAGACATCCATGATGCGAAACGCGCGAATTCTGGCGAGGCATGAGCTTGCTTCAGACGAGGAATCTCGAATTGGGTTACATGAGACAACACGCAGAATTTATCAAAGTAATGGAATGATGGAAAAGGTAGAATGACGAAGCTAATTTTGCGGAAAGAAAGCTTCGCCCCACTTTGCGCTATACCGGCCTAGGCAAGTACGGGGCATCATCACGACGGTGTCCGGTTTTTAATGGTTCCAAGGTTGCATCATTGTTCAAAGTAAGTAGTTGCTACATGATCTTAATATACATTCCAATACCTAGGTATACCACGCATGGAGTGGTCTCAGGCGTGCTCTTATCCTAAGGGATTGCATCTCGGCCTATCGCCTGTACCACATCCGTGTAGTCCGCGTCCTCTGTATCTTTCTTTGAATGCAGAGAACTCCATACAACAATGCTTCAGCAGTTGGTGGACCTTCAGGGAACATTCAGCTTCAAACGCTCGTAACATATAGATCTGGTTCAGTGACTTACATCCTGGAATATAGACATCAACGGGAACAACCCTATCACATCCTCTGACCACAGAGTAGCTATAATGATAGTAGCCACCACCATTAGCACAGCTCCCCATACTAATAACATAGCGTGGATCGGGCATCTGGTCGTAGACTTGGCGAAGTGCTGGTGCCATTTTGTTGGTCAAAGTTCCGGCCACGATCATAAGGTCCGACTGCCTGGGCGATGCTCGAAACAGCATCCCTAGTCGATCGGCATCGTATCGTGGTCCAGCGATGTGCATCATCTCCACGGCACAGCAAGCAAGGCCGAATGTCATAGGGTATAGAGAGCCCTGTCGGGCCCAATTCGCAACTTGGTCCAGAGTTGTGCTAGTATTGATGATTTTGTCAGGTCTTGTGTTGATGATATGTATCCGCAATCACATACAGCGCATATTCTGCCGTGCCTGATGGTGTGGTCTGGCTTGGTAGGGCGACTTCCTTTCGAGGCTTTCCACTGGCAGTCAGGGAATGTTGTGACCGATGGAACAGGCGGGCTGATATTTTCGGGCTGCTAAATCTACCGAAGCTAGACTTCCAAGCTTGCAGATCAAGAAGTTAGCTTATGTGCACCGCATTTAGATTCGAGGGGCTGCGGCATACAATTGTGAGCAACAGTGTGTATCACCCTAGGCTGGGCGGCCAAACGCGGCGCTCTCATCATGTATTCACAGATGCGCTATGAGTGAAGATTTGCTGCAGAAGCAACGATAAAGATCGAGTTCATGACCAGGTCCACGGGTGTATGCACGATAAGAAAGAGAGAAGAAAGAGAGAAGAAGTGTTGGGGGGGGACCTTGGAATGACTGGAGAGGCTACTGACTCTGGAAAAACCGTCCTTCGGCTCCATATTACTCGCAGGTGAGCTCCAAGATACAAAGCCACACTTTTCAATGGCATCGGGAAAAGATTCTCAACTTTGAACGAGGTGATGCTAGATCTATAGGACAGTTCCCGATTCGGTATTAATCACGAATACCAAGTAAATACATCGTAACACACTATTTGTCCCCCTCATCGAAGGAAATATTTACGAGTCTTACCGCTAGTAATAAACGCACGAACCAGGCCTCGTTCCAACCGCGGCTATGTTTGTCGCGTTCCCCAAGTCACCGCGGACAGCCTGCCTCGGGCTGTAGAGGGGACTGGACTCCCAAGGCTCTTGATTTATCTAAGCTGAGACTCACCAACTCCAATGGTCATCATACTTTCCTTTTATTGCTCTCCTTTTTTGATTCGGCTATTTGTTCCCTCGTCGCCTATCTGGTCTTTACTTTCCGTTCTAAGAGCTCAAATGAGGGCGTGGGTTGGAAAATATTGGCAATCAGCATACTCACTAACCACATCATCGCTTGTCTTCGGGATTTTTGGTGAGGTGCACAATCGATTGTCCGTCATCTGCAGTGTTGAACTGTCTTCCGTCTTTGCGGGGCAGATGTTAGTAGCGGGTAAACAACAGGACCCGATCGCAATCTGAGTGATCAATGTCACCATCGACATGATAATGAATGAGGAGTCGCCGAGATGGTGACATATTTTTCGGAGTACTCGAAGTACTTAAACCTGCAATTTCCATGCATTTTAAGGCCAACTTCTTCCGAAAGTAACAAATCAGACCACAATGGGCGACACAACCACAACCACCGGCAAGAAGCAAATCATCCTGAATGCCTTTGTCATGAATACCCCGGGCCATCTGGCCCCTGGGTTGTGGAAACACCCTAGAAACAAGACCGATCAGTATAAGAAGCTCTCATTTTGGACTGATCTAGCCCAATTGTTGGACAAAGCTGGGTTCCATGCAATGTTCATCGCGGACACTCTGGGCGCATACGATGTCTACAAAGGACCAGCAAATGTGGTGCCAACATTGTCATCCGGCGCGCAATTCCCAGTGAATGACCCGCTTTATCTTGTTCCCGCCTTGTCGGCCGTCACCAAGAACCTTATCTTCGGAGTGACCGCCAGCCTGACGTACGAGAAGCCATATTCACTCGCACGACGGCTCTCCACTGTGGATCATCTCAGCGAAGGACGGGTGGCGTGGAATATTGTGACTTCCTATCTAGACAGCGCAGCCCGGAATCACGGGTTGAACGAGCAGATTCCACATGACGAGCGATATGCTATAGCAGATGAATACCTGGAGGTGCTTTACAAGCTCTGGGAAGGCAGTTTCCGCGATGATGCCGTGTTGGCTAATAGGGAGCTTGGAACATATATTTCGAGTGACGGTGTACGGGAGATCAACCACAAGGGCAAATATTTTGATGTTCCCGGTCCTCATTTCTGTGAGCCATCGCCGCAACGCACGCCATTCCTCTTCCAAGCTGGTGTTTCGGAGGCAGGTAACAAATTTGGTGGGGCCAATGGAGAGGCAATCTTTATAGGTGGTCAGACCCCTGAGATCACCCGTGTCACAGTCGACAACATCCGTGGTATCGCCAAGGAGGCAGGTCGCGATCCAAACCATATCAAAGTCATTCTGGGAATCAATGTTCTCGTCGCGGCAACAGATGAAGGTGCCCAAGCCAAACGGGAAGATTATCTGAAATATGCCGATGACGAAGGTGCTCTTGCTTTGTTCGGCGGATGGACTGGGATAGATCTGTCCACCTACGCCGATGATGAAGACTTCCGGTTCAGTGGCTCTCCTCGGGTCCAATCTGTCGTACGCAGATTCGCAGACACTGTTCCTGGCACTGATAATCTCCCATGGACGAAACGCAGAATCGTGGAGTACATCAGTGTCGGTGGACTCCAGGCCAAGATCGTTGGCGGTCCCAAAACCGTGGCAGATGAGTTGGAGCGATGGGTGGAGATTTCGGATGTGGATGGATTCAACCTTGCTCATATTGTAAATCCCGGAACCTTTGAGGACATCATTGAGTTCCTTCTGCCCGAGTTGCGACGCAGAGGCCTGTTCCGGGAGACAATCGAGAAAGAGGGTGCCACGGCCCGTGAAGTCTTCATTGGCTCACGTCGTTTGCCTGAAGGTCATCCCGGTAGCAAGTACAAATGGCGGGGCGGCGAAGCTATTCCCAGTTATCAGCAGGCCTAGATCTAGCAATCATCAAATTTATCCGGATTGATAGTCAAAAACCTCGGCAATGTCAAGCTCAGACCAAGCTAGTCGATCACAGCCCCACAGTGACCTCACCCGGGACCCCGGGGGATACATAGCGTCACTTACTAATTGTGCTGCCCATCTGTATTATAAATCAAGGTGGGACAGAGGGGCAGGGTGGAGAATAAAGTCGGCTTGAAATCTCGCACTTGGCCTACATATCCTCAAACTTCCCTCACAATGAAAGAAGCCGTGATTGACAAGACCGTTGCCGTCAACATCCGGGACGTGGGCATCCCCACCCCCAAACCAGGCCAAGTGCTCATTCGAGTCGTTGTATCTGGTACAAACCCCAAGGACTGGAAGCTACCTAAGTGGCAGCCCGACAATGCCATCAACCAAGGCGATGATATCGCCGGATATGTCGAACAAGTTGGCGATGGCGTCCAAAAGTTCCGCAAGGGTGACAAAGTGGCCGCGTTCCACGAAATGATGAGCCCACATGGCAGCTATGCCGAGTATGCCATTGCGTGGGAGCACACTACTTTCCACCTGAGTGAGAAGACCAGCTTCGAAGGTATGTATTCACTGACCTCTGGCATCCATTTCGGAACAATCACTGATTGAATCCACAGAGGCCGCCACTATCCCCCTAGCAGCGATGACCGCTGCTCTGGGTCTGTATCAAGAACTGAAATTGCCTTTGCCCTGGAGTCCCGCGGAAAAGCCTACACCGCTAGTGGTGTACGGCGGAGCGTCAGCAGTGGGGGCATTTGCTATCAAGTTCGCACAGTTGTCAAACATCCATCCGATCATCGCAGTTGCCGGTAAAGGCGCACCATTCGTGGAAACTCTCATAAGCAAAGAAAAGGGCGACACGATTATCGACTATCGCGAAGGCGACGAGGCAGTGCGTTCCAAGATCAGGGCCGCCGCGAAGGGACCAATTCATCATGCCTATGATGCGGTTTCCGAAAAGGGGAGCTATGTGAATCTCGGTGCGGCGCTCGATGCGCCTGGTCGGATTACCGTTGTCCTGCCCGCCGAGGCGGATACGACTCCCGAAGGAATCTCGATTCACCGCACAATGGTCGGGTCAGTGCATATGCCACCTGCTGAAGGCCAGACTCTCGGTGATAAGGAGTTCGGAGCTGCCTTTTTCCAATTTATCGGAAGGGGTCTCGCGCAGGGCTGGTTCACCGGTCATCCCTCAGAGGTGCGAAAGGGTGGATTAGGCGGCCTGGAAGGAGCCCTGAAAGATCTGGAGGCCGGCAAAGCATCTGCAGTGAAGTATGTAGTGAGAATTGCGGATACCGAAGGCGTACAGTAGTGCAAAGTACAGCCATATTCGCAACTCAACCAAATTGAATCAAGCTTGTTCCAGATCGGGAAATATAGATCGGAATGACATCATAAGCTCTTCACGTCGCGTCGCGTGAACTTCGCACGTAGTAATTTTTTAACATCTGCACACACATCATGGCAAAACGCACCCTAGACTCGTTTTTCAAGCCATCAACCCCAAAGCGTACCAAGCTTGACACCGATGCAGAGCCAGATGACCCCAATGCCAATACAAAATCACCAAGTGAACACCCAAGCTATCCGATCCCAATCGCACAGCTCCCTTCACATATCGAAGTGAGCCTCGAACATGGAACTCCATTCAAACAAGCCCTTGAAATAAACAATCAGCCGCATCTTGACCTCCTTCATTTCCAACCATACCTACCGCGTGCAACAGCGAACGAACTTTTCAAGTTCCTGCGCCGGGAACTACCATTCTATCGAGTGCGCTACACAGCCCGCCGCGGCAACGTTTCGACAGAGATCAACACACCGCGCTGGACGACGGTGTTTGGTATTGACGAAACCTCTGTGTTCACCAACGGACAGGCCGTAGATGCCCAAACGGGATCCCCGGTGTCGCCATCAAAATACCAATGCACGCCGCGGCCGATCCCAGATTGTTTAGAGCTGCTGCGCAAGCAGGTAGAAGCGCATGCGAAGGACGGCGAGAAGGGATACAATTTCTGCCTTGTGAATTACTATGCCGGAGGCGACGATAGCATCTCCTTCCATTCCGACGATGAACGGTTCCTGGGTTCGCGGCCGAACATTGCGTCCCTGTCACTGGGTGGGGAGCGGGACTTCCTCATGAAGCCCAAGCCGGTACCCGTTGACAACGCGGGTATTTCGAAACCGGCTGCTACCGTGCCTGTGGGGCGGCAGATTAAGATGGGTCTTGGTTCGGGCGACATGGTAATTATGCGGGGGAGACGCAGTCGAACTGGTTACACAGCATACCGAAGCGGAAGGGCAATACGCAGGGACGGATTAACATCACGTTCCGGCGGGCGATCGTGCCTGCGGGGACGAATAATTACTATCATTATAACGTCGGGGGTGGGGGGGATGTATAGGTGGGATGAGATCAGTCGGGAAATGGTTGAACAGAAATAGCTACGCTTCAATTATCGTGTAGTACAAACATTGGAACAGGTGATCAGATAAAATGTACAGGGCCGGGGCACGGAGAATCTCGGTTGTGCGGCCGACAGTAAAATAGACATCGAAGCGAGTCATCAGGCATTGGCTTTTGAAGCCAGAATTCTCCTTCCAGGGAGACGGGAGCCCGGGGAGACGGGCAAAGTCGAATAGAGCAGTCGAAGGATTGTACTAATGGTACAACCTCGGGTATCACGGCACGAATTGCATTCTTTAGCTGAAGACAACTTCTTCGCCGTATACGTCTGCGTAGCATTGGAACATCTCAGGGCAGCTGGTCGGATTAGCAAATGATAGTGGGACACCGAGGGTGTGCGACTTACAAGACAGGCTCCTTTCCAAAGATGATGTGCCACGAGTATTCCATGATGTTGGATGTGACCTCATCGGGGAGGTCATTGTTCATCACCCAATCGTACATACGCTGGTAGTCAGAGTGGGGACGCTTGAGAATCTGCTCCTTGGAGACAGCGAATTGCGAACAACAAGGAGCCGCGATCTCAGTAGGGACTCTCTCGCCAGGGAAAAGCGCTTTCCAAGCCTGCGCGTAGTGAGCCTCGCCGGGGTTCTCCAACTTCGGGGTCTGGCGGAAGGGCTGGATGGCATCGGGGCAGCCGGGACTAAGCTGACAACGGAGATTGACGAAACCCTCGAGCTGGACAAAGTCCTTCTGCAGGGCGCGCACGGAATCCACGTTACTGAGATCCATTGTATCGATGTGCCAGCCGGCGGGCCAGCCGTCACGGTGGGCATGTAGGAAGACCGTCACTTCGGGGAGGTCGTCATAATGGTCGACCAGGAATTGGAGGTATGGGAGGGCTTCGCGGCCCTTGTTCTTGGGGGTGTGCATGGGGGCAGTGGTATCGTCAACGGTGTAGATAATTCCGTGCCATCTAAGATTGGGGTTAGCGCAATCACAACTCAATCCTCGGACCAATCACTCACTCGGCCAATTCTCCCGACACCCAGGAGGTGACCTCGTCCTTCAGCTTGCCCATCACAATGGCGCCTTGGTTGGGTACCTGGATGTCGGTTGTTTGGTAGACTAGAGCGGGTTTGTTGTCCGATGCGACCCGCCATTTCCGATGAGCGCTGGAGTCATCTTCTGGCTTGGGCTTCAGGGAGGTGCGGAAGGAGCCGGTGTCGAAATGTAAAAGGTCCTTGAGATGTTCACCCTCTGTCCGTAGGCTGCGATTGAATAGGAGAATTGTGATGACGATAATAGCCGCAGCGGCCCCGATTCGAATTGAGAGCCTCATGGCATAACGCGATTGTCGGATGTGGAGGATATAGGTTTCGATGGGGAGAGGTGAGTAGTCCCAAGATCAGAAGAGGCCAGAGTCTAAAAACGCGCAATCTGTACTAAGCACCCATGTGGATAGCCAGAATAGTGGTAGCGCGTTGCGCGATGACGAAAGTCCCCGAGTCAAGGGATGAGATGAACAAGATCACGACAATTCCAAGGCCGTCAATGTCAAGTGTCAAGTGTCAAGTGTCAAGTGTCCAAGTGTCCAGAAGGAAAGGAAAAAAGAGCCAAAAAGAAAAAGGGACCGGCACTTTCCACATTTGGGATTAGCGCTCCTTCTGTGATTTGTTGCCGATCATTGATTGGACCTCACCCATTCTATTTTGCTCATGCTCCGTACTGTGGAAGTACCTCTTCACCTAATTTAGTATGCACAGTGACTTTGACTCTACTTTGTTTTTTTTTTTTAAATATCTGCCTAGTCTCCTACAGTTCAAGTCTTAGCATCTGCATGGGCACTCTAATATCGCTTAATTTCCTCTTTATTCTCATGTAAATTGCCGACGGCCCCCCATCATTTTCCCCTGAGATTAATGGACCCTTCTCTACTTCAAACTGATCCACGGCTGCCCCGTCCACACTAACAATGATCGGCACCCACTAACCCCCTATCAGCTTCAGCTCTGACCCGTTTATAACTTTCAGACCCCTCCATGCGCAAGGGATCTTACGGCTTCAATGCTTTACATTGCATCTTATGCAGGGGGCCCGCCACACCCGTGTACATCCTTCGTCATCCTACTTACTTTTCTTTCTTCGCGAGCTGAGTACGGAGTATGGAATACAGAGCACATAGCAAGTGTGTCGCACTACGCTCCGAGAACAGAGTTTTTTACTTTGGCCGATGGTTTCGATCCGCAACAATCCATCACATCGCTCAGAAAACCGATGGATACCGGTGTTTGGGTCACCAGGCCACCAACTACGCTACTTTCACGCCGCATCTGAAACATGTGCCAAATCGGCCTTTGATAATATAGGAATGGTACGGAGTACGGAGTACAGCGACATCGATTCTTAATTTTTGGTATTCCCGGCGCCAGTACCAAGCAGTCACGGATTACCTTTCGCCAATGTCCAAAATACCGTTCATCTGGCCAGAATATTCAGATCGAAATACTCCGAGTCCCCAGCCACCCGACCGGCCACGCATCGTGTACTCGGCAAGAGCGCAAGAGTCCCTCGATCCACGGCCCAGTGGCTGTCCCCGAGATGCATCATGAAAGTGTCAAGATTGCCATAAACCTGTCCGGGACCAATGGTAGCGGCACAAAAAGCGCAAGAGAACGCCCCTCGAGGGGTCAAAGGGGAGAAAGAAGACGTCGCATCCCGTTTACACGGCACGTGTGATTTAGCCAAGAACTCTGACCGGTAGCGGACGCCGCTCGCTCGGTGGTATCTGACTGTTTCGTCGAACAGGAGGTTGCTGCTAGATGATTTGGCCATCGGGGCTTCGAAGGCACATTCTTTGCAGCGGAGCCATGAGCGCTGCGTATAATATCCTGAGCCGGGCTCTGTGTGGACCTTGAAGCCTGCAAAGCCGGTGTGGACTTTCCATGCACCTTTGCAGAATCCCAGGTAATTGTTTGCTTTGGAAGGTGGCCAGAGGGGATGGGTGGTTCTGGGGGGATCACTGTTTATTGACATGTTTGATGGCGTGGAGTCTGTGGATGCGATTGAGGGCGGAGGGAGGGAATGGCGGCGGGCGATGGGAGGTGAGATGGGGGAGAGGTGAGTCCGCTCAATCTGTTTGCTGAGATCTTCGTCGGAGCCTGTGTTCAGTTCATACTGCCATGGATTTCCCCATATCTCATCATGGGGTATGCGAGGCTCCGGGGTCCATGCAGATGTGTCTAGCGGCAGTGGTGTCGCTGGCCGAACGTCGACCTCTGGTATAGGATCTGTCTGAGACACGGTTTGTACCGGGCCGTGTGGGAATCCAGACTCGAACATGGATGAAGGAAATGATGAAGGAACCGATGATGTGCTTCCGCGACTAGAGCGAGAATGGAACATGTCGCTCACACTACTAACGACCGACCCAATACCCGATGACGTTCTGCGAGGAAGGCTGGATATAGGACTCGATGCTTCCAATTCTCTCGGCGGTCCTGTTGACTCGATAGGGGATGTGCAAATGCTCCCAAGGACGAAGCCACTTGATGAGGTCGGGTACCCGCCAGGGTATCTCACATCCGATGGCCCATCCGGCATGATGTGAGCCGTGCGACCGGGAGACTTCCATCTCGGATAGTTTGGGTCGATTGACATCGTGATTGATGATGATAGTACAGGTGAAGGTCTGGCAAGTCGGTGATAGAGGTCCCCCAGTATCGCCAGTGTTCTCACACGTCCCTGGTCTGATTCAATCTGCAAAGCCATCAAATCCAGACTCGCACCCCTCTCCTGTGCCTCGCGAAGATGTCTCAGCAGGGCGCCTTGCAGTGTGATGATGATATCTTTCATTTGTTCTCGGGCGATCGAGTCCCCTTCCTCGTACCGTCGACCAAGTTCTTGTCGGTGCTCGTTATATTGACACATGATTTCGTGATGGCCGCGAGTCAGCGACCAGTCCAAGTCCCTAGTGGACTGGTCTGTTCGGCGGCGATTGTGCCATTTGTTCCGGATTGCTGTGAAAATGCGGCTTCCGTCATTGTAGGCGGAGACAACTACACAGTGTCAGTAACAGTCGGTGGAGAGCACACGAGGCGGGTCATGGTTACCAGCTGCCACACAGGCTACGACTGCGATCACCTCCGCCCCCGACATGATAATCTCGGGTAGATCTCGGTGTTCCCAAATTATTTTGTATAGATGTATGAAGAGCGTAGATGTCCGGATTGGCGCAAGGGATAGACAAAAGCTTGGAGAGAATAAGAAAGGAGTGGGCCTGGAGGGAGCAAGCTTGGAAATGCCCAGCCAAGGCAACGATGCAGCTTACTTTAGGTCCAAGACTCCAGGGTTCGAGGACACAGCCTGAATTGTGATAGCAACCGAAGCGGGCCAATGGGATACAAAAATGTCCGTGATAAGCGAGATGAGGGGGTCGAGGCTGAGGAAGTATCTCGGCATATCGTTCTATTCTATTTTCCGTAGTTCGTACCCATAGTCAATCTACTCAATATACTTTGTACTTGATCAGATCTTCAAAAGTAGATTGAAAAGGGTATAATCAATGGAATATCAGTGGGCTCGATCATCAGATCGGATCCACCGTCCCCACTCGAGCTCAGACCTGTGGACGCATACAATCTTCCGATGTATCGATCATGTAGGTACTCCGTGAGTATAAATGAGAGTCTGAGTCTGAGCCCTTATGACCGCTTGCATGTCGGTTTTCGATACTAAATTTATACGGGGTAAGGCAATAATAATAGCAATAACTTTCTATTGTCAATTTCTACTTGTACGGGGTAGCTCTAATTGAGAGCTGATGAATTGGAGTAAATTGATTGTCCCTCGAAATTAAATGTGCAGTACTCCGTACCCAAACGCTACAGAAAAACACGCCTCACATGCAGAAATCAACAACAACGCCCCTTATTCTTTGCCGTGTGCATAACCTCAACCTCCTCCGCATTGCCAACACTAGGAGTCGCAAGCCCCAACCAACTCCTCCTCTTATCCCCATGCCCAAGCCGAAAGCTCCCCGTCCCCTCCACAAACCCAGGACTAAACGGACCAATCGTCCCATTCACACTCGGCGTCCCCGCAACCGAGAATGTAAGTTCAGTATCCCTCCGATTACGCTGCTCAACAAGCTTTCGCGTAATCACGCGGAAAACCTCATCGATGCCCTCGCCGTCCCGCGCACTGATCTCATGACAGCAATCCCACCCGATCTCCTGCCCCCAGAATGCAGAGCTGCGCTTTGAATCGGGACTCTGCAGCGCAGCCGCACTGGCACTGGCGTTCGACGCACTCCCACCACTCCCGCCAAAGACGCCCGAGCCGAAACCCAGCGCGCCTGTAGCTGTCGCGGTAGGAGGTGGGGTCGATGCTTGGGTTGGGTATAGCTGTTCTGCAACGTATGCGATGGTGCGCTCGAAGGGGACGCGGCGACGGGAGGGATCTTCGGCGACGAGATCGGACTTGGTGCCTACGACGTGAATGACGAGGGAGTCTGTGCCGTCTTCGTTGGTGGTGTTTTTGCGGAGTTCGCGGAGCCAACCGGCCATTTCTTGGAAGCTGGATTCATCGGTGATCTATTTTGTTGTTTTGGTGTTAGTTGAGGGATCTCTGTGGATTTGGTGGTTTTCCTGGCCGGACGGGAATGTGGGGATGACTGACATCATAGCACAAGAGACACGCGCTGGCGGAGCGGTAGTACAACCTGGAGATGCTGCGGAATCGCTCCTGGCCCGCCGTGTCCCATATTTGGAGTCTGACGACAGTGTCTGAGGTGGAGTCGAGGACGCGCTTGGTGACGAAGGACGCGCCGATGGTTGAGGCAGTTGCGGGGTTGAAGGTGTTGCGGAGAAAGCGTTCTACAAGCGCTGTCTTGCCCACCCCTGTTTTGTAGCGTCAGTGAGCGTTCTTTTTCTTTGAATCATGCGCAGTCTTCATGTACAGCATGTCGATTTGTGTATCGCAGCATATCCGAGGATATCTGGAGAAAAGCCAAGTGTGAAAGAAACATACCCTGCGCGCCCAATACAACAATCTTCGCTTCAAGGGATGAACTCATGGTGCACGGTGCAGGGTGATATGGTGGATTCTCATGATATGATAAAAATGTGGAAAGCCCAAAAGATATTTGATCAAAGAAAAAATGCCCAGAACCCAGAGGGTGAAGGAGTCCCGTAGGAACGGGGCGGGATCAGCCGGTCTTTACGGGGTCACCTGAACAAGGCCATACACTCATAAGGAACAATCTTGAAAAGTGAAGTCTTTTCCGAGTATTTTAGATTCGAGTTCGATAGGCTGCATCATGTTCTGCATGCGATGTTCATCAACGCCTGGGATTTCAGGCACTCATGCAGGACTCACAGACAACCTTGGTCTGGGATTATGTCAAAGTACTCCGTACTATAGAGGAGGGATATCATAAACATGCATGAAGTATAATATTTTAGTCTGAAAAACAAAGAAAGTAAAGAAATATCATGCTCTCGGCCAGATCTAGGGATCTTGCCGTGTCTGGGATCGGGTGTCACCAGCTAGGGCTGAGTAGCCCTTGCGGGATGTCAGCCTCCAGGGCTCATGCAAGGCGCAGCGGTCGTGAGTCACTCTTGACAATATCCACAAACATTAAAACTGACACATGCAGGGACTAGGACAAACTACAATTATTTCGAACTCTACTGTGAGTGGAACCCGGTAAATAGTGGAGGAACATAATATTGAAGCCTCTATAATCATACAAAGTGTATGCGACAATGCATGAATCCTTCCCATGCCCGACCAAATTTCCAACGGTCATAACAAAGACATGAAATCATCAATAACAATGCATTGCACTCTAAACTTCCAAAGGAGCTGGGGTGCAGACAAAACCGGCCGCTGAGGCGGTCCTTCAGGCCGGAAACAATGGGTATATAGTATCAAAAGAGATAAGAAAAAATAACTTGGAAAAAAGTAAGAGAAAAAGATGTGAATCCGGCGTCCACCCTTCCAATAGATTAGGGGAACGGCACAACCATAACATGCAGGAATGGCAGCGCACAGCGCTGTCACGTTGAAGACTGAGTCTCCAATCGCTTAACGACACCAGCAGGGAATTCATCGGGAGTTCTCAATGTCCTCGTGGTTCTCCTTGCCGTCGCTGGAGGTGCTGCGAGGGGAGCTCTTCTCAGCACCTGCACCCTCAACGTCACCGTGGCGACGGCTAGTCTCGAAGCCGTATTCAGCAGCCTTGGCCTCGATCTCGTCATCGGTGAGCCTGGGCAGCTCGTAAGCAGCCTTGACATAGCTCATGTTCTCACAGTAACCCTTGGCGAAGATGAGATCGATCTCCTCGAGAGAGCGACCAGCAGTCTCTGGGTAGAACAGGTACATGCCAGGAATGAAGACGGCGTTCATGATGGCGAAGAACAGGTAGGTGCGCCAGTTGATGCTGGCGATCATGACGGGGGTAATCATGACAACGGTGAAGTTGAACAGCCAGTTGGAGCAAGTGGAGACAGCATTGGCCTTGGCACGAGTGCGGAGAGGCGAGATTTCGGCAGGGTACAACCAGGGCAGGGGCAGGATGGAGGCACCGAAGAAGGACATGTAAAGGAAGAGACCGAAGACGGCACCCTTGGCAGGTCCGGTACCACCGGGGATCAAGCAACCGAAGACGATAACCATGGAAACCATCTGACCGGTCATACCTCCGATGAAGAGCTTGCGACGACCAATCTTCTCAATGAAGAACCAGGAGAAGGTGGCAAAGATGGCGTAGACAATCATGTTGATACCACCGATCAGCATGGACATGAAGTGATCCTGGCCCAGGGAGCTCTTGAGCAAGACGGGGAGGTAGTAGATGACAGCGTTGCAACCGGAAAGCTGTTGGGCGATCTGAGAAGAGGAACCGATAAGCATGCGGCGGAGGTGCTGGGTCTTTCCACCGGTGAGAAGGTCAGAGTAACCAGCGCCGTCAGCGACACCGGCAGCCTCGATAGACTCGATAACGAGCTGCTTCTGCATCTGGGTCTCGTGGGAATCGATCTCATAGCCCCCAAGAGCAGCCAGAACGTACTCACCCTCGTGGACCTTACCTTGAGCGATAAGGTAGCGAGGGGAGTCGGGAAGGTAGTACATTCCAACGATGATGATAACACCGAAGACGATCTGGAAAGCGATAGGGAATCGCCAAGCCAGATCGTCGGGGCCGTATGAGGCACCGAAATCAATCCAGTAGGCGATCATAGTACCGATAGCGATGATACCACCCTCAATACAGATGAGCAGACCACGGTTGGAGGAGCGTGAGCACTCGGCCTGGTAGGTAGGGATGGTGGAAGTGTTCATACCGTTACCGATACCAGTAACGATACGACCAACGAAGAACTGAGCGGTAGCACCATGACCCTTGACGCAAGCGACTTGAATAACCACACCAATGATCATAACGAATGCTCCCCAGATGACCATCAGACGACGGCCCATCTTGTCTCCAGCGAACAGAGCGAACATGGCACCAGCAAGACAACCCAACTCGTAGACAGCAGTCACCAAGGCCTGCATGGTGGAGTTGCCATCGGTGATGGGGAGGATGTCGGCGAAGGGTGTGGAATCAATGATACCAGACATGACACCCTCTGTGCATGTTGTTAGCTACATGATATGTATATGATGTAGGAAGTACTCACGATCGTAACCGAAGAGCAGGAAACCCATGGTTGCGATGGTCGACACCGTCAACCCAAGGGGCCTGCCGGACATGCCAGCATATGTCGGCGCCATGATGAATGTATGAGATGGAAGTATAGATAACCCTATGCAACAAGTCCGATTTCAAGGACTCTTTACCCAGTGAATGACACGTGGGGATAGTGGATATATGGAATGGCTGAAGATATAGAGTCAGACAGTCAGAGAGAAAAAAAGAGGTCTCGCACCCCGGGGGGACATCAGGAGATATTTGAATCCTCTCCAACTACGAGGACGAAAATGGCAAGGAGATGCATCGTGGGGCAAAAAATGATTTTTCGAATTATTCCCCGTGTCTCTCCTCGCACGGGACAAAAGAAGAAAGAAAAAAGAAAAAAAGAAAAAAACATCTCAAAGCCGACAGCGTCGCCCGAATCAGACCTCCCCACAGAAGATGTAGGGGCACAGCCAATGAAGGGGAGGTGGTGGTGGAGGAGGAGATCCGAATGCATCAATGAATGGCGTTTTAAGCATTTTTGGAGAAACGCTACTTCCACCAGATCTCCACTTGTTAGTCCCACCCTAGCGCGGCGGTAGTTTGCGTCCCTGATGACATCAGATCCTACATTAATGGATCCGACGAAGTTTTGTGGTCAATATGCTCGACTCGCTATCATGATTGGCGAGAGGGAATTTGTTGTGGGTGCAATATCGCTGTCCATGGGCTACAAGTACTCATATTACGATTGACGAAACGAAATAAGTTTAAAAAAACCACGCAGCAATATTTACGCGGTGTACTCCGTACCGTTCATTTGTTCATAATATTATATAAAATAAATTCCTGCATACACAAACACTGTATAGTTGCACATAATTAACCGCGAGAATAAGAAATTACGGGCGGCAAGGGCTGAGAACCACGCCTCGGTACCGACCTTGCTGAAGGAATGTTGATTATGGAAGGCCACCCGAGAAATGGCTAGTGCATATAATTCTACGAGATCAGCAGAATTGCGCAACGCACACGGCGTTACTACTAGTGCTAATTTTATTTGGTGATTCTCACTCTACTCAAGTAAATACGGGATCTCTGGTTGCATGCAACGGGTTCGGGATCCTCGCGCCAAGCCACTGCCGTCGAGCTCGGTGTGCCTTCGGGATGCTGACGGCTTCCCGAGTCGGCGTGAGAATGCGCGCCGTCTGTGGCCTAGCGTCCTTTTGTTAGGCTAAGGGGGGATCGGTGGATATCGATCTTCGGACTAACTTCCTTCTCGGGCATGTGCATAACAATCTCCCTTGCTCGGATTTATTGAATATTGTGATTCCGATATTACTAAGAGATCTCGTTACTGGGTTGACTGCGTTTTTTTCCTTTTTCTTTTTGTCACAAAAATTCGGGGTTTCCAATAGTGCTCTCCGCGTCTTCCCCCTCGTTTACGGAGAACTGCGCCCGTGCCCAAAACAGTAAATAGTACTCCGTACAGTATCTGCAACAAGGCTGAACAATTCAATATCTGAAACTTTATTGCCCGCTGTGCAACCCAAGGAAATAGGATTCCTGCAGAGCCAAGAGCCAAGAGCCAAGGGAGGCCCAGAGCCTTTAATTTTTCTTGACCGTTGCTTCTTTTGAGCCTAATATTGTGATTCAACAAAATCCGACGAATAACATGACACATAGATTGTAACAAATAAGATTAGAATATGGAAAAGATGGGTGACCTTCAATTCACCGACCCACGTCATGTCTCAAAGAGATGTGCAAATTTTTTCACAATCCAAAGAGAGAGGTCGAGGATTAGGCGGACAAGCAACGCGTCTCCGCAATGATGTCGTTGAACCGCTTCCCGATGCAGTCGAAGTTTTCTCGAACACCAAGTGGACATGGACGGGCGAAACAAAAAGCAAAAAAATTAAATGGATATGGAATGCACACATCTAATTCTCGGATGATCCCCGTAAGACACCCGTTGGATACTCCGTACTGGCAACTTGCAGTCGGATTGGAAGAATCCTTTACCGTCAGATGCCCCTCGTCATGCTCGGGTCCAAGCGTTGCACGTCCATGGAGCTCATGCGAGTACGAGTAAACCGAGGCCGGGGGGAACTACGAGTAGGATTGAGCGAAAGTCGATGGATCAACTTCGGCTGATGCACACCTTCCTGGTCCCGTAGGTCCATCAGATTATCTAGCCCCATCTTCGCGCGACGGAGCTTGTCCGACTGACCTGGCCTGACTGAGGGGTTGATTGGGCGTACGTGTAGTTGGGAGAGAGAAATCGATGTCACACTGCATGGTTAGGTCTGCGTTATTTCGCTGCCTTGGGAATCCCGAGGCGTCATTTGAGAGCTTCTCGGTCCGTGATTTACTGTAGATTCCGAGCGATGGTTGAAAGGTGATTTGTCCATGGTTGATTTCTCTGTGGCTGATATATTCTTCGTTCTGTTATTATGAGCTGTTTTCATATAGGCTGTCCAAACATTAGCACTGTGTGAATCGACACTAATCCTGAATTACGGCAGTGGCGATCGGAAGCGCGGCTCCGAGTTGGGGTCATCTCCAACCCGGTCGCTATGGATGAGCGACGAGTGACCAAGTTCGGTATGAGAGGGTATGTCCTAACAAAGTGCGTGCCCCGTCTTCCCCGCTGTTTCCCACACAACGTCAGTGGCAGCCACGAGGCAGAAAGGGGGTGTGCCATGGAGAAATGGCGGAGGTGTGGACAGGTGGAGTTCGGAGGCACCGGTAACGCCAGGGTGTCGCGTAGGGGCTATGAACGATGCATAAATGCGTCCGGCGACAGTGATCAGATCGATGCCGATACTTTTTCTCCTTGAAAGTGGCCAACGTGGCCTGCCATTTCCCATGCTTCTCACGGTTGGTTGTCAAAAATCTGGTTTTCAGTAAAGCTTATGTCCCTGAGATCGACAGTGGCGTCCGTCAACTAGAGCCAAATCGTGGTAGGATCGTTTGTCAAGCCATGGCCCCCACAACGATGTTGGATCTTAATGTGAGTGATGAGATCAGAGGACAATGAATTCTGTGGATGGTCATCAACGCGAGATTCTTGTACAAGTATATCCTTCAGGGGTGTATTCGGATAAATGACGCACTCTCACGTGATGATATCTTGCCTCAGGCCTGCCGCGACACTTTCCTAAACGAGCGCTCGTTGCACGATGGACATTCCATATTCCGTCTTGTCTTCCAAGAATGTAGATCGCTGCCAACGGAGCTTCCATCTGTTCCCAATCTGACATTCTGTTTATTTATGGCATTGTTCCAGATGTTTCTGAACGCAGGACACAAAAATAGACTTCGGCAAGTAATGTGGTCCAGCGTATTCCGCACAATGTAGGGATATACATCTGTAACAGTCACGAGCGGATGACACCCTAATGACTAGCCATTGGCTCTTCTGCAATGCGCGCTGTTTCATGTACGGGTTACTGATGGGTATAGTCGGTGTTCTCCGTGCTGGTATGAGGCCCAAACAAATGCAATGAGCCGAGTACCTACAATCTATGGATATCCCTGGCATTTGAAAGGCAAAGGCGGGACAGAGGCTCTACCCTTGCTGTTAGTGTGAACCTTGGTACTGGGATATTTATATCTCCCCTGTGTCTATATTGCAAGATTAGTGTCTAATCTCGCTTGGCCGTTGGAGAGCCCTCGGGTGAAGGCGGGTCGTTGACTGTTCATGATTTGGTTTCAAGGTTCAGCCGACCACCGAAGGGGGTGTGAAGAGGAAGCCTGCCCAGCTCATAGGTACCCAGGTGTCAATTCATTCCATTCTGGGTACATTAGGTTTTCATCCATCTCTCATTTCAATGTTGTTCCAGGGTTGCTGTTGTTAATATTCAAGCCCCATTTCGAAATATACAATGGTAGGCATCTACCGATTGCACAATCTTCTAAGGTTTCAGTCGGAATCCCCACGTTATATGTAGATTGTACCTCAAGGCTGTGGAACCTTGGAACTAGCGAGGCCCATGAGATCAAACAATACAATGAGAGGTAGCTTTCTCAAATTCTCTCAAGCTCCAAGTCGTTGTTACGCTGTAGGTACGACAATTTATCTGTGGATGCGGGGATATGTGTACTTATGATGGATCTAGTTACGATGTCGCGAGCTGAGCTCTGTTCCCAAGGTCCCATCGGGATATAGTTCATTGGTAAAATATACTGGGTACCTTGAAAATGTGATCAATGGGGTAACTGAACATAGTCATCCGCTGTCTGCGTGATGAGGATTTTGTTGTACTCGAAATGTTCATGATGCGTAGGTGAAATCCAAAAATTGTTCATCTTCAAATGACAAGCAATAGGTATGGATTAATCCAAACACCCAGAGATGTCTAAGAGGATCAGCCCCACACGGTGCTTCAGACGTTGATAAACCCGGATGGAATTAGATCATGAACATTGGAGCCGCCTGTTAACTTGTTTCAGATCCGCTAAAATTTACACGATTAATCGACTATTTACTCGCGTGCTTGCTTAGTAGAATGACAAAAAGTTTCTTGGAATTATCCCGTTGGTTTGGTTGTGGACGAAAGAACATAGGACTGGATGCCACAAGCTCTGCAATAAGTCGGTCGGAAAAGGGATTGTAAGGTTGGTATGGAGTTATTTTCGAAGCAGTATTGGGCAGTTCCACCGGATGACTTGGAGCCTTTGGATTCCGTATGAGCCTTTCAGAGACGATTTATGCTGCTTTCTAGGCTCATTTTTGGTAAATTCTGTTGATAAACAGTGAATCCTAGCCACAGCCAATCACAGCCAACCACAATAAGCCACTGCACGTGACACCTCCGCCAACCCGAAAGTGAGACCGGTGACGAGTGGCAGTATACATAGATAGTAAGCCGTATTAATGTGCACGCTGTTATTGGTTATGGGTAAGAACACTCAAAATGACCGAGGCATCATCTTTCGTTCGCCCTACGACACGCGACCGTATTTTGTGTACCTAAACCAGAATATAGTCTTATCAGATTCGTGATATTTGCATCTCTTGTAGGATTCTACGGAATTATGGAACCAGAGCACGAATTGTAGTCGGCCGAGAAGCTCCCCGCAATTTTCTTATCCCCGGACTCTTTTATCCCGAGGTCCCAGCGAGCTCTTCTTTTTGCTAAATATCCACCCGATCCGCCCCCTGCTCCTTTTCCTGCTCGTACAGTTAAACAATTCCTCAATCATGACCGGCAAACTTACCGGCGCATCAGTCGCCGAACATAACTCCAAAGACTCATGTTGGGTCATCGTTCACGGCAAGGCCTATGATGTAACTGAGTTCCTCCCCGGTACGAGATTCTTCACTCTTTGCGCACACAGAACCCAACTGACTCCCATAGAACACCCTGGTGGTCAAAAGATTATTCTTAAATACGCAGGCAAGGATGCGACCGAAGAATTCGAGCCTATTCACCCACCCGATACCTTGGACAAGTTCCTTGATCCGTCAAAGCATCTGGGCGCGGTCGACATGAGCACAGTGGAGCAAGAAGAAAAGGCTTTCGATCCAGAGGAGGCCGAGCGTCTCGAGCGCGTTTCCCGCATGCCTTCCCTGGCGGCCTGCTACAACTTGTTGGACTTTGAAGCAGTGGCTCGCCACGTTATGAAGAAGACCGCTTGGGCATACTACTCAAGTGGAGCTGATGATGAGATTGTGAGTGGTGTGACGGCTTCAGTCAAGTTCAATGACTAACAACACGCAGACATTGCGTGAGAACCACGCAGCCTTCCACAAAATCTGGTTCCGGCCCAGAATCCTTGTCGATGTCGAGAACATTGATATGAGCACGAAGATGCTGGGCACCAAGTGCTCAATCCCATTCTATGTGACTGCGACCGCACTCGGCAAGCTTGGTCACCCCGAAGGCGAGGTAGTTCTCACAAAAGCTGCACACCAACACGACGTCGTGCAAATGATCCCTACCCTGGCATCTTGCTCGTTCGATGAGATCGTCGATGCCAAGCAAGGCGACCAAGTCCAGTGGCTTCAGCTCTACGTGAACAAGGACCGCGAGATCACGCGCAAGATTGTTGAGCACGCCGAGAAGCGTGGTTGCAAGGGCCTTTTCATTACTGTCGATGCTCCGCAGCTTGGCCGTCGCGAGAAGGATATGCGCTCCAAGTTCTCCGACCCTGGATCAAATGTGCAATCCGGTGGTAGCGATATCGACCGCTCGCAAGGTGCTGCTCGCGCCATCTCTTCTTTCATCGATCCGGCTCTTTCATGGAAGGATATCCCATGGTTCAAGTCAATCACCAACATGCCCATCGTGCTCAAGGGTGTCCAGTGCGTAGAGGATGTGCTACGTGCCGTTGAGGCAGGCTGCGATGGAGTTGTCCTATCCAACCACGGAGGTCGGCAACTCGAAACCGCTCGCTCGGGTATCGAAGTGCTCGCCGAGGTGATGCCGGCGCTCCGCGAGCGTGGATGGGAGAAGCGTATCGAAGTCTTCGTTGATGGCGGAGTTCGTCGCGCTACTGATATCATCAAGGCACTTTGCCTCGGCGCGACGGGTATTGGAATCGGAAGACCATTCCTGTATGCGATGTCCGCGTACGGTCTTGATGGTGTTGACCGAGCGATGCAGCTTCTCAAGGATGAGATGGAGATGAACATGAGGTTGATCGGTGCTGCTCGTGTCGAGGATCTCAATCCCAGTATGGTTGATACACGTGGACTGCTGGGCGGACATAACGGCATTGTGCCTACTGACACACTCGGAGTTGGGGCTTATGATCCCCTGGAAGCGCCGAGATTCAACGAGAAGGCGAAGTTATAGGCTTCTATCGGTGTTGTGCCTAATGATATTGCCTTAGATGGCGTATAAAATCTAAACATGTGTGTATATAGAATGGACAAGTTATTATGAGTTTGCTATGCAATATTTTATCTCAGACAGTGCAATGCCAAGCCACGTCGGCGGGTGTTCGCCAGATGCTAGCGCGTCTCAAGGTTATTTCTCCGACACCTTCACCAACTTGCTCTTTCTCGCCGCGCTCTGCGCCACCGAGGCCACCGTTGCTCCTCCGATGATCTCGAAGACTCCCAAGTCGGCCTGCAACTCCTTAGAAAACCAACCCCGCAGCTCCACCGCCACAAGCGAGTCCACACCGTATTGATGCAAGGGCTTATTGGCATCAATATCCCCGCTTGCAATGCCCAAAGCGGCCGAAAGCTTGTGAACGAAAAGCTCCATGACAGCGGGATTTGCCTCGGCCAAGGTTTCTGCTTGTAGCAGCGAAGTTGCGCCTCTGCTGCTCGAATGTTCTTGCTGGCCACCATCTTGACTCTCGTCTTCGATGAGATGCTGAACGAGTCGCTCCCTCCTCCATTGATCGTTGCTAGAGACTGCCTGGGATGATAGACCAACGACCACCTGACAGTCCAGTGAAGTGGGGTCGCTGATGCGTGGATCGCAGTAGGTGGAAAGGAGACCATGGACGTGCGCTTCAGTCACTGGAGGAAGTTCGCTTTGCTTGATCCACAATTCGCGGAGTCGAATATCCTCAACAACTGCGCCAGCGAAATCGATCACTCCCAAATTCAAAGAGGTTGCCTTCTCTCCAAGTCCGACCCGGTGTCGAGCCAGCGCGTCTTGGAAAGTGTTTCCGGCCGCGTAGTTGGCTTGTCCGGTGGTTCCCAGAATCCCGGCAATGGAGGACAACATGATAAAGAAGTCCATATCTCGAGGAAGAAGTTCATGCAGGTTCCATGAACCCTGAACTTTAGGACTGATTGACTCCTGCCAGGATTTATGAGATATGCCCTCGAATAGAGCATCTCTCAAGACCATGGCTGCTTGGATGCATCCTTTGATGGGAGGCATACTTGAGCGACATTGCCGCAAAGCGTCCTCAACGGATGCCTTGTTTGAGACATCACATATAGGAGCCGAGACCTTGACGCCCCTTCCTTCAAGATGTTGGATTATATCCTTGCCCTTCTCCGTTTGACCGCCGGATCGAGACAGCAGAAGCAAATGGCGAGCTCCCCGGTCTGCTAGCCAACACACAATGTTTCGGCCAATTCCCCCAGGCCACCGGATACCACAAATGTTGCATTTGAGTCCAAGAAGAAAGCCGGTCTCGTCTTGAGTACAGTCTAAAATCATGTGAGCGACCTCAGAGATACAACTGCAAAGAAAAGAAATTACCTTGACTTGATCGTGCGCACGCATCTCAAGTACCATTTTACCAACATGTTGACCGGTCTGCATGATCCGGAAAGCCTTCTCCATCTCCCCAACACCGTATACGTTGATAGGCTGGGAGGGATGCAATTTGCCTTCTTGGATTGAAGTAAACACCGAATTGAGGGCTGCGGTGCATACAGCTGGTCGCTCAACTGACATGACGGCCAGATCGACACCACTGAATGTGACATTATCCAGGAACTTGAGCATTGGGAGTTTTTGGTTCGAGAGAATGTCTCTTTTTCCAATCTCCAGGAACCTGCCATACGGAGCAATGCATTTCCATGAGGCAAGCAAACTCTCACCTGCTAATGAGTTGAGGATGACATCGACTCCTTTCCCACCTGTCCTGAGTTTGATCATCTTGGAGAACAGTGTGGTTCGGCTAGAGAATATGTTCGATTCGGGAATCTTGTAAACATCCATCAGAAGCTTCCTCTTGCTCTCGGACCCAACCGTTGCAAACACCGTGGCCCCGGCGTTCTTCGCGATTTGGATTGCTGCTTGTCCCGTTCCTCCAGATGCGGAATGGATCAAGACGGTTTCCCCGGACTGAATTCGCGCAACATTGTGCAATGCAATGTATGAAGTAGCAAAGTTGACCGACACCGCAGCCGCATCCGAGAAAGAGATACCAGATGGAATCTTGACGATAGGTCCACTCTCAAGCATGCGGACTGAGGTAGAGAAACAGCCATTGTGCAAACCAACAACAGAATCTCCAACTTGGAATCTCGTACATGCATTGCCAACGCGACTGATAGTTCCGGACCACTCAGATCCAGTGTGGCTGGCTTTCAGTTGTCCAACCGCAATTAACACATCGCGGAAGTTGATCCCAGCACACTCGACTTTGACTTCCACCTCATCTGGCTCGAGAGGAAGATTTGCCGTCTCATCCTCGATGAACTCAAACCCATCAAGGAGCCCGGGAGATGCGGCATTCAAGCTCAATGGAACCTGGCAATCGAAATCCTGGATTTTGGACTGGTGAGAGCTAGCCATGAGACAGATTTCCTCATTCAATGTGTTGGCGGGGAGTACGCGAGGAACATTCAAAACACTTTCGTGTTCAATGTACTCCATGTCCGCATTTTCAGCCGCTGGAGATGATAAATATTTGACCAGATTTACGACGTGATTATATTGACCTTTCGTGAGAGAGGACTGAGGCTCGAGCGACAACAAGTGATGTCTTCTCTTACTGTTCTCCGTCTTCAAAACACGGAACATTCCTTCCGCAAGACGAGACTGAGGCCGAGAGGGGAATATACCTCCACCTTGGTTAACCCATAGGATGTGCTCCGTTGAGGAAAGGAGATTTTGAAGTTGACCAAAGAGCTCAGGCTGGATGTCGGATAAGACAGAGGCCTGCAATTCCAGAAGGATGACTCGAAGCAATGGACCGTTAGGCTGGTATTCCAGAGCCTGTTGAATCGTGGAGCGACGAATTGGGCTTTTGAAGATGGTTTCGAGCTCTTTGACAAGGTGGCCTGTCAGATCCCGCTGAGCAGACTCAGAATCGTTGTAGACGATCTCAATCTCTGGTTCCTGGCAACCTGTCGTTGACTTCTCAACTGCTGTCGAGACTAATATACTGCACTCGTGGCAGACGAGGCCTCCAAAGTCTGGCAAAGAAAGATCCAATCCAGAGAACCCGGCCTCGATTAGCAGTTCGTTCCATTTTTGCTCCGTCACACATGGGCCCATTTCGCGATATGGCTCCGAGCCTATGACAATCAATTTTCGATCATTGCTGTGGGGAATGAGCGGAAGTAACTCACTTGACCACCAATCTTCAGCAAGTCCAGAGATCAATGTTGAACGTTGTTCAGAGGCAGTGATTTCGTACATTAGCAGCTTGCCACCCCTGCATGGCATGTGTCAGATCAACGCGAAAAGTTTCATCGCTTTCTGGGTTTGACAAGAACTTACGGCTTCAGAAGCTTACGAGCATTGCACAATGCCTTCTTGAGGCTTTTGCTCGCATGAAGTGCCTGAAGTGAAAGGTGTCAGCCAACGAGATGTGCACCAGAAGACAAAATGCAGAAACAGTCAAACTCACAAGGCTGGCAACAACCAAATCGTAGGTCCCACATTCAAAGTCCTGGCTGTTGGGGTCCTTCTCGATATCGAGCTTTTTGAAGTTCATTCTACTGGCTTCCGAACGGAATCGATCCTGAGCACCAGCAAAGAAAGAATCGGACGTGTCAGTGTAGTCCCACTGAGCGTACTTTCGATGTCTGCTTTCATTATCAGTCCCCAGCATTTGGATCATGACATCAGTCATGGACCCGGCGCCAGCTTCAATCTCGAGAATCTTCATCCTGGGATTGGAATGAGCCAAAAGGTCAAGATAGCGGTGGAAATGCTTGATGCCAAACGACTCATGGAACTATTTATATGATTAGCGAGGACGCGGATGTGGAGGACGAGACCTACCTCTTCCATGTAGAGCTCTTTCATCTTTTCGCTTTGCAACAGATGATCTGAAGGGGCTGTCTCGCCTGCCAGGAGTTTGAGCAAGTCGCGACCAAAAGTCACAAAGAGAGCCCCGCGATTGTTCCGACTCATCACACGGGATTCGACCTCACGAACGTAACTAGAATCAGCGAGCCTGGCTTTCCAGGTTTCATCGGACAGCCAGAAGCTTGGCTCAGCGAGAAGACTTTGTTGATGCTTCATCCAGTCCACATACTTTTGAAGGTGTGGTTTCGAGAAGTGGATGGCCTGCTCAGATAGAGCTTGAAGTGTTTCAATGACGCGCGACATTATCACGAAATCCAAGTCCCTATACTCGTCTGCGAGATCCGACACGTCACAGGCACCTTGTGTACAAAGGTCTCTCAGATCTGTTTTGGATAGCAGATTGGGATCTGGTTTCCACTCAAATCGATGACAGATGTCTCCAGTTGTTCCTACTGCATTCTGAACACTCTCGGGCTCACTAACAATGCTAGTTCCCAGTCCCTGGACAGACACAAGGGCTTGATTCAGCGGCTCGTCGAGCGCAATGATATCAACAGACGCACCAAGGAAGGTCGACTCCTCACTCTTAGTCGCATATGTCTTCAAAATATTTGATGATGGAGCTTGGAGGAATCTGCTGGAGACCCACAGACTATCAATAGATGTTGGAATTGCGGTTGGAATCTCCTCCGCTTCAGCGTCCACTGTCGTCCAAATCGAGGTTTGCAGAATGGCATCCAGAGTGGTTGGATGGATTGTTTCGCCTGCCGAAGATGAAAACCTTTGCACATCGGCGACTACTTGCGACTGCTGAGGACCAAGTGAGACATATTTCACCAACTGGAAGGCTTCACCATATCCGTAACCCGACTTTTGCAAGCGTTCATACAAAGACGAGCCATTGACCGGTAACGTGCATGCGGTGACTGCTTCCGAGTAGCCTTGAAATTGATTGTTCCACAACTCCTCTTTGTGTCGCTTCTCGATATTGGAGTCAGCGTCGTTCGGAGCATACATAACTTGTATGATTCCTGTACAGTTCTCCGTCCATGCCTCGCTTTCGTATGTGCAAACACGGAACTCAAACCAGCCGGATGATTTGGACTCGAGACCTTTCACGGGTCTCAGAGAGAGACTGGATTCGAGTCCGTGGGCATTGTTGGGGACTCTCATCGCGGCAAGAAACTTGACCTCCTGTGCATTGAACCCGTCGATGATCCTACCTGGCTCCGCAACCTGCTTGGCAGCCTCAATCGCCATGACTAACATGCCTGCGCCGGGATAGAGGATTGAGCCGTCAATCTTTCTTGCTGTTAGGTACCTCGCAAATTTCAGATTGCTCTTTGTTCTTACCTGATGATCTTTGATCCAGGGCATCTCGGAAACACGCAAGAAGTGTCTCCACCGCCTCTCAAAGGGATTACAGCTCGGGTCAGGGACGCCGACCAAATCGTGCCGACCAACCTTTCGAAGGCGGTGATTCTTGCTGATATCACTTTCATGCCAGTATTTAGTCTCATGGTTGAATGGATAGGCTGGCAGGTCTGACAAGGACTTGAGAGTTGTACAACCCTCAGCAGATCCCTGCCCGTTCACCCGCATCAAATCAATTGGATAACCGGCGGCGAACAGATTTCCGAAGACAGAGAACGCAGTATCTACTGCCGAGATGTTTCGCACCAAGAGAGAAAGGTATTCGGTGGGCCTTTGGCTCTGGATGCCTTTGAGAATGTCCTTGCAAGCACCTTGCAGAACAGAATGTGGCCCAACCTCGACGATATGATCTATCGCCCTTGTTCTGCGATGGCTACCGTCCAGTTTCTTGTGGGAATTCGAGCTTGCGCCTCCACAGAGAACAGCAAGTCCATCAGAGAAACGCACTGGAGAAATCATGTTGTTTGCCCAGTGAGAAGACTTGGCGGCCTCTCCCCGTTCAATCCAACGACCCGTGATAGAAGACACCATCTCTGGGCAATCTCTGTGGCCCGGGTAATCGGCTTCCAGTTCTCCCAAAGCTTCAAGGTATCGCCCAGCAATTTCTCGCATTTGGGAGGAATGGTAAGCCAGGTTGACCTTGAGCCTTCGGCAAAATATATTGTCTGCGTCCAACATCAATTTGAGGGCGTCTAGTTGAGTGGCTTCTCCAGTAACAGTCACACTTTTTGGGCTGTTGATGCACCCGACACTTAAATGGAGAACCTCGAACTGATGGGCAGCTTTCTCAATATAGGAGTTTGCATCTTGCTCTGAGAGGGCGACGGCAAGCATGGAGCCCTTGAAATCGCTTGAGTTTTCCAATGTGCTACTGAGGTTGCCTCGGTAGTACGAAACCTTCCAGGCAGACTGCCGATTGATTCCTCGCGCACAGTAACTAGCGGAATTGCAAGTTAGTCACGGCGATCTGGCCAAAAGAGAGAGAGAAAACGGCCATCACTTACGCCGCTGCGACCTCCCCAGAGGAATGACCAAGCACCGCTGCGGGAACCAGATTCAAGAAGCGAAGCAAGTCAACCAAAGCCACTTGCACGATGGTACACAAAATCTGGCTGTACTCGGTCTTATTCACATTGGAGGTAGACTCGCTGCGTTTGAGCTCCTCTAATTAACATGTGTTAGCAGGTTCGCGTCATTCATGAGCTTTGTTCCACTGCATACCAATTGGAGTCCATTCACACCCCAGGGATCGAAGAAACTTGCCGGCCTCCTCGATGCTCTGTAGGAAGACAGGATACACATCCAGCAGTTGGCGACCCATCGCAAACCATTGCGCTCCTTGCTTTATTATTGTCAGCACCATTTCCTTGGGATGGGAAAAGAAAACATACCCCGGAGAAGATCATTGCCATATTTGGTGAAACGCGAGCCTGCGACGCGGGGGCGAACTTTTCGAAAATCGTGGCCCAGGTATTTGACGGGTCGGAGACAACGAAGGTTCTCCATGGATGGTGAGTTCTTCTTGATGCCAATGTATACGCCAAATTATTCAGGAACGCCGGCTCCTGGCTCTCTACAGTCGAAGTGGGAGAGAAATGCGATTCCCATGTCTCTCGAAGACGAGTCACGCCCTTCTCATCTGCCGTCGACCAAACAAGTAGCTTGGGAGATTCATCTGAGCTCTTCTGAACTGATACCCAGCCTGGCTCCCCAGAATCAACATCCTGCACCTCAGAAGCCCCGTGGTCCTTGCACATGGTTGATTGATTAGGGATCATTGAGTTGCAATTACCCTGCAGGTTGTTCAGCTTGAGGTAGTTATAGGCATCATCCAGCACAATGTGCGTATTAGAGCCTCCGTAGCCAAAAGAGCTGACAGATGCACGCCGAAGTCCCTCCGATGGCCAGGGGAGGGCAGTTTGGGGAAACTGGCATTGTTAGAAGCTTTTGGCAAGTATTCAACATTGATGACTTACTTTGATGTTAAAGAAAGAATCGTCTATCCTGGGATTGAGGGTCTGCAGGTTCACGCTGTTGGGGGGAATAATCCCCTTCTCCAAAGCCAAAACAGTTTTAATGACTCCAGCAACACCACTTCCTCCTTCCAAATGCCCGATATTTGATTTTACCGAGCCACTAAATCTGATGTCAGTATATCAAAACTTTCAAGGTTAGGTCTAACCGTCGCACTGACATATACAAGGGGTCGCTGGGTGAGCGATGCTCCCGAAAAATAGATCCGATCGCTTTGACTTCGATGGGGTCTCCGACAGCGGTTCCTAAACAATATTAGCGAGTATCCCAAGTTGAAATGACAATTATAACTAACCCGTTCCATGCGCCTCGAAATACCGCGTGGCTGCCATGTCTAGTCCTTCTTTCCGGTATGTGTCTTGAATCAATTGAGCTTGAAGCTCAGGACTTGGTTGTGTGATACCGGGAGTTCGTCCATCCTGATTTGACGCCGAAGCCCGAATAACAGATCGGATGGTATCTCCATCGCGCAAGGCATCTGCTAGGGGCTTTATGACAAGAACACCAACTCCTTCGCCGCGAGCATACCCATTTCCGCGGGAGTCAAAGCTGTGACATCTACTATCTTTTGAAAGAAGGCCCAAGTTGTCCATCATGAGAGTGGTTTCCAGTGAAAGAAGAATGTTACTTCCAACAGCCAAGCCCTAAATAATTCGCTCAGCTGGGTTCTCACTCCGGTCCTTTCTCATACATACCATGGTAGAGTCCCCACTCCAGATAGATTGACAAGTCATGTCAAGAGCCATCAAGCTGCTTGAGCATGCGGTGTCAATTGCAGCACTGGGGCCAACTAGGTCAAAGAACCAACTGACACGGTTTGGTACCATGTTAGAAGTTGTTCCCGTTATGTCCCATTTCTGAAGATATTGTGGGTCCTTCACGTTCAGCATGAGGTAGTCATGGCCGGTCGAACCAGCGAATACACAGGTCTTTGATTTTGCGATGTTCTTCATGGTCAAACCAGCATTCTCTAGTGCCCGATAGGCAGCTTCCAGAACAAGTCGCTGTTGAGGCTCCATGGCCTCGGCCTCCGCAGCCGTGATTGAAAAGAACGGGGCATCGAAAAGACCGAGATCCTCAGTCATGAAATGACCCCCACGCATAGACAAGGTGTCAAGCCGACTTGTGTCTGGGTTGTGATAGGCGTCGATATTCAAGCGGTCTGGTGGAAATTCCGTTGAAGCACATCGTCCTTCCACTAGCATATTCCAGAATGATTCTGGAGATACAGCATCTTGTGGGAATTTTAGTGACAGCCCAACAACCGCTAATGGGGAATTTCTTTGCTCTGAGGTTGACATATTGCTACTGCCGAAGCTCGAGAGATAGCCGGCGGATGAAAACAAAGAAAGCTATCCTCGCAATGATGCTTAGGTTGAAATTGAAACGTGACCCAGATCAGACTTTGTCATTCTCCTGCAATACAATTTGACTGAGTAACGTAGTACTTGCTAGCCTGCATAATCCACTATGTACGTATCACTTGATCTAGGTGGCGGTGGGTTGTAATGCACCTCCGCTGTGTGCCTCATGCACGGGCTCCATCAGAGGTAAGACAGACAATATGATAGATAAGGCGTCCTATAGCCGGCTAAATACTACGTGTCTCTATAAGTTGCCACTTGGCCATATTAATGGGTTAAAGCTGAACAGTGGGGAATGTACTCGGTATAGCGGTGTAAATGCAATATGCCCTTAAGGCGATCAAATCTGACCGGATTTAGCCGAAATATCAACATTCAAACTCAATCGAAGTCAGCTCAGCTCCGCCACTTCAGCTGCCGTGTAAACCTTGGAAGCACCTTGGGCTGCAATAAGCACAATCTGACCCCACCAGGGCACAGATGAATCCAGACTAGTGGGAGTACCAACGAAAAGAAAGCTAATGACCCCATAATAAAAGCATGTGCATACAATCGATCCACTACTTCGCATTTGAAGAGGCTAGTCAGCGATCTACGCTAGATGGATCTTACACGCCGGAACTTCGGGCGAGAATTGTCTGGTTCCCAAAAACGAAGCGTTCTTGGAGCAAGCTCTTGAGCGGGAAACGAACAAAAGAATCAAATATTGAAAAGACATTCAGCGCATCACTATATACAAACATGCGCTTCCTGTGGTAAATATCTCACAATATATTTCAAAACCGCGCTAATCAAGATGTTAGCTTCCATGGAATCGGCACAAATTCCGAGGTAAGGCCATTTCCGATCCCTTTAATATTTATCTACGGAACAAGTGTTGATCACAAACATCCCGAGCAATCAGACGTTCAAGCAACAAACTGGTAAATTAGCTACACCATGATGATTGAGATATGCTAATCCGCAGTTGAAGCTGCCATCAGATATGAACTCGGGGATAGCCACAACTATGACTTTGTTGACGGAACTTTGCCCTGGGAAATGGACAAAGGTTTGAGCTTGAAGATAGAATTGATTCATATCGAAGCTAACACCACAATAGAGATGAAACAGTTTGTGCTCCCTGAAGAGCCAACGTTTGCCTACTGCACTCCCACCGTGCCGGAAACTTGTATGAAAGCCGTCAAGGATCTGGACAAGTATTTAGAGACGGAAGAGCCCTACGATGGTGTCATTGGATTCAGCTTGGGTGCAACCTTCATATTGTCATGGATGGTGAAGAAAATCCAAGAAAAAAAGCAGGGTCAGTCCGCAGAGCTACCCTTCAAAGTCGGCATCTTTTTCTCCAACGCAGGTCGGCTCTTGGAATACAATGATACAATCGAGCAATCCGTGACCCCCTTGGATCTTGCTGAGATTGATGGAATCATCGACATACCAACGGCCCACATTTGGGGTACTAGAGACCCCGACCAGCTGAATGCTCAACTGGCGAGCCAGGCCTGCGATGAAGATACTAGATCCGTTTTCGTTCACGAAAGAGGACATGAAGTCCCGATGTCTCCCGAGAATGTGATATCGGCAGCCAAAGTCATAAACAGGGCGATTACAAGGGCCCAGGGCTTTGTTTGAGCGGTTTTACAATGTAACCCGAGATTTCAAGAATGAGAACAGAGAAAAATCTCAACTTTGAGAATTATTTGACCAAGCACCCGTTGACTCCGTAAGCCCGGCCTAGCTAAAACCTTTGCATTAAGCCAACCTCTGAATCTCATACCACAGTTGTTGTGGATTAGTTTGATAGGATGAAAACAATGGAGGAGTATTTCCAATGTTGGTGCTTATTTTGTTTGTAATTAAATTCTACCTAGTGCTTACTCAAAAAAGGGCTTAAAGACCACAACAAAGCTAGGGCGTGAGGAGTATAAAGCTACAACCTACGGAGTAGACGAAGCTGAAATAAACATTTACCCATTTTACGACTTCTACTAGACAGGTAAGAGCTACATAAGAGACTGAGCTACCGTCTTTGATACGATATGTTTCATTTGGGGGCCTGAAGCCTGGAACCCATGCTTTGCCCGTGCCCGCGTCAGTGAGCAATTAGCTTGGCAATGATAGCTGGGTGTACTTTGAAGACCAGGCTTGCTCCGTACAGCATCCCTGGAAAACCTTCCTATTTCAACTTTATACTTTTTTTGATCAAGGAAAATTGGATTCGCGGCAATACGGAACGTCGCTTCAAAAGCCCGCTGCAATCAAGCTGGCATCGAGCGACCCACACACATAGGGAAAAGGGCCCATACAACCGACCACATATTGATGCTTATTTGTCTAGACTGAGTCTTCTCAACATACGTGGAGCCATATGCTAATACCGAAAATTTGGTCGGGTCTCCATGGTGTGCTTTTTTTTTCTCGTTCGTTTCCCTTACGCGTTGCTAGTCAGCTCCTGATCCGGAGAAGATCGAAGATGCATGATCTTACATTGCTCTTTGGGGTGCATAAGAGGGCCCAGCGAATAAAGCAAGGGGACAAATTACACAACGGATACTCCGTGTGTTGAATCGATGGGATTCATCACTTCTGAACTTTCAGTTTCTGCATTTGGCTCTCATTTCTGTATTACGCAGTGCTCCGTACTCCGCAGATGAGCTCGGATATTTTCCTCAGCTTATTTCTATATCTTATCTTGGGAGAAAAAAGGGATTTCCCTGTAGGTCAGTATTAGCCTGAAAATCGACAGTGCAGAGCCAGGCGATCAACAGGACGCCTGCGGGTCCATAAAATCCAAGCATAAATAGTAATACCACATCTAACTTGGTCCAGATCAACTATACACTGCCATTGCTAGAATATTAAGGTATCTTTGGTAGATAAAATGGCCGTCGAAAGGGAAGCCATCGATCTCTTTGAGCATCTATGCATGCAAATCAAAAATATCGGTATCGACTCAGTTCACGGAGTACCCGGTGAGCGATTGATCCCTAACCGTATCATCACATAATGATTTATGACTGACAGTGAGATAAAGGTGACTTCAACTTGGTTGCTCTGGACTATGTCGAAAAGTGTAACCTACAATGGGTCGGAAACTGCAATGAACTCAATGCCGGTGTGGATTTCACTCATATTCCTGCTCAATGATATGAAATGAGCTAATCAGATCCTTGAATTCTATAGGATATGCTGCGGATGGATATGCACGCGTCAATGGAATATCAGCATTAATGACCGTGATGGGAGTAGGCGAGCTATCCGCATTGAACGCCATAGCTGGTGCCTTTGCGGAGTACGTTCCCATCATCCATGTCATTGGAAAACCAAGCAGAGAAGCACAGAAGAACAAATTGTGTGTACACCATAGCCTGGGAGATGGCCAATTCGACGTGTTTGAAGAAATGAGCCGCAAGGTGTCTTGCCTGACTGTCAGCATCGACGATGTCCAGACGGCGCCAGCACTGATTGACGAGGCTATACGATCTTGCTGGGTCCAGAGTCGGCCTGTTTCAATCTACATTCCCTGTGATATGTTCCGTCTTCCAATACCTTGTCATACATTGCGCAAACAGCCAATGTTGAGCCGAGAATTGCCACTCGACAACGTTCGCGCATTCGAGCAGCTGGTAGACATGGCGACGAAAGAAATTCGGCAAGCGACCAACCCAGTCATCCTGGTCGGTGGATATGGAATACAGAATGGAGCAAAGCAGGAGCTCGAAGACTTCTTGAACCAAGTCCGCTTTCCTCTGTTTGCCGCCGGCTCAGGGCTGGCAATGGTTGATTCCAGGCTTCCTCACTATATTGGGCTATATGTGGGCTCATGCTCTAGTCCGCAAGCTTCGAAGATAATGGGTTCCGCGGATCTGGTAATTTGCATAGGAAACATTCAGTCTGATCTCAGTACTTCCGGGTTTAGCGGATTTGTCGATCATTCGAAGTTGATTGAGATCGAGAGGACAAAATCTCAGGTCAAGGGCCGGGTCTTTGAAAGAGTGCATGTCAACAACGTGCTCAAAGCGCTAACATCAAAACTATGCACATCCTCACATCTTGCCATTAGACATGTATGTGTCGATAGCAGTCTACACAGTGGGGTAACCAAAGGTGTTGCTCAAATTGAGACATCGGTTACTTCAGTGGGACAGGAAACGATGCTCAAATCCGGGCTACGACTTTTGAAAAGCATTCAGAGCTCTGTCAATCCGTTCCAATATTTTTGGACGAAGGCCACACACGAGACTGACTATGCCGTTGAAAAGTCAAACCTAATCACACATGACTGGCTCTGGACGAGCTTGGGGAAATGGCTTCGAGCTGGTGACATCATATTAACAGAAACAGGTACTTCAAGTTTTGGAATATGGAATACCACCATGCCGCCTGACAGTATCTTCATGGCCCAGTACCTCTGGTCGAGCATTGGCTACACAGTAGGAGCCTGTCAAGGAGCAGCCCAGGCCGCTCGGGACTCAGCCAACGCCCAAAGACGCACCATCCTCTTCATTGGAGATGGCAGTCTTCAATGTGGATGCCAAGAGCTAAGCACTATCATTCGACAAGGACTCAAGCCAATCATGTGAGCAATAGATCTGACGCCCAACCCACAGATCGAAATTGGGCTGCTAACTCGTGAATCTGACAGATTCGTTATATGCAACAATGGCTACACCGTCGAGCGACTGATCCACGGTGAAAAGCAGATCTACAACGACATCCAGCCATGGAATCATCGACTCCTCCCTGCAGTGTTTGGTGCAGCGCCAGATACATATCAGACCCACCGTGTCGAAACAACAGCTGAACTCGACGCATTGTGGCGTTGTAAAGATTTCACCGACTGTTCAGTTCTGCAAGTAAGGGAATTCGTTACCAAATTTGAGAACCGAGATCTGACAACGTGCAGCTTGTCGAATTGTGCGTCGCACAAGATGATGCGCCATCGAACCTAGTTGCATTAGCGCGATCACTGCATGAGCGGAACGCCTAATCTTGCCGCCCCTTGCTCGGCCCTCCCGATCTAGACTTAGAGCATAATTCCTTCTTTTTGTTTTCATCTTCAGTGTGACCGTAGTCATGCCGCCACGTAAACCTAGATCTAAAATTTTTGTTTCACCATTGCCACCGTAAATTGTATACAGCCCGCTATCTCCAAGATTAGTTCGAGAAACGACGCAATCCCCAACATGGACTCATCTTGTGCTGTTGTAAAAGGACCTACCGAGTCCCCACTCTGGCTTTCGACCACTGTGGGTGATATTGTCAATAAACAAGCAGCAAAGTTCGGCTCGAAGGAAATCGCCGTTTTCCCATGGCAAGGCGTTCGACTTTCATATGCCGAGCTTGCCGAGCGAGGGAAATTGGTAGCCAGAGCTTTGCTCCATGTCGGCGTCAGATCCAACGATTGTGTTGCTATTCTGGCTGGGAATCGATCGGAATACCTTGAAGTTGCTGTCGGTGGTGCGCTGATCGGGTGTTCGGTTCTGGTGCTTCATACCACATACAAGCCATGGGAGCTTCAGAATGCGTTGGAGAAGACAAGTACGTTAATCCACAAGATGCATAGCTCTCTTGACGTTTCAACTAACTGAGCTTGTGGGTTCCAGAATGTCGTGCTCTGTTTCTCGCGTCCTGTATTGGAACTCGTAGCATGAATCAGCACTTCGAGCTTTTATGTTCCCCTGCCACACGTTCTGTGTTGGCCGGGCTGGTTCGAATCATTACCCTCGGCGATGGGCCATGTCTTGAACAAACGGCGTTGAACGAGGATTATGAAAGCTTTCTCTCGTCTGCACCCTGTACTCCAGAGTCGGATACTTTATATGATACAGCCATTGGGTCGGTTCAGGCATCAGACGTGGCGAGTTTGCAATTCACATCTGGTAAGCACAACCCGACTCGTTCATCTCCAATTCAAAGATCGACACTGATATCAGACTAGGCACAACTGGCGCGGCCAAAGCATCGATGCTGACCCATGTGTGAGTCTCAACCTTGTTCTTCCTCAATGCACCCCGTCGATTCTGACGTTGATAACAGGAATATTCTCAACAACGCACGTTTTGTCGGAGATAACCTCCGGCTAACAGAAGAGGATATCATCTGCTGCCCACCTCCACTGTTCCACTGTTTTGGACTTGTGATGGGCTTCCTCGCATGTCTCATCCACGGCTGTACAATCGTATACCCCTCAGACCACTTTGACGCTGATGTTGTCCTCGACTCAATCGTGGAGGAAAAATGCACGGCACTCTATGGCGTCCCAACAATGTTCATCGCCGAACTGGAAGCCAACCAAGCCCGAAAGCGCAACATCCAAAGCCTTCGCAAAGGCCTAGCAGCAGGATCGGTGGTCCCGCTAACCCTCATGAACAAGCTCAAAGATCAAATGGGCATCGAAACAGTGCTGATCGCGTACGGGATGACCGAAACTAGCCCCGTCACCTTCATGTCAAAGTTTGAAGACCCCGTTGAGATGCGTGTTGCGACTGTCGGGCGGATCATGCCTCACACATCAGCCAAGGTTGTTGATAAAGCGGGTCGTGTATTGGATAAGGGTGAGAGGGGCGAGCTTTGCACATCTGGCTATGTGCTTCAGCGAGGGTATCTAGACGATGAGGCGAAAACGAATGAAGTGATGAAGCGGGACGAAGATGGTGTTTTGTGGATGCACACGGGGGATGAAGGGATGATTGATGATCTTGGATATTGCCATATCACTGGACGAATCAAGGATATTATCATTCGCGGTGAGTGAGCCGGATTGGATTTTCCAACTGCGAGTGTATCTGACAAAACCAGGTGGTGAGAATATCTTCCCCGTTGAGATAGAAGAGCGGCTACTGGGGCACCCTTCGATCGCAGAGGCATGCGTGGTTGGCACCCCGGATCGGAAATATGGCGAAGTGGTAGGATGTTTCCTCAAGGCGTCGGAGGGGACGATATGCAGGCCCGGGCTGCAGGAGATCCAGGACTGGGTGATGTCTAGTATGGGATGGTCTCGCACACCCCAGGTGGTCTTTTGGGTAGGTCCAGATGGGATATGCCTTGACTTCCCCAAGACGGGCAGTGGCAAGCATCAGAAGCATTTGTTGCGGGAATTGGCCGCTGGTTATTGCAAAACACATTCAGTGGGTGTTCGCAACGATCAATAGCTCATCCATCCTTTCCCTTGTGGCGGGAGCATTGCGAGTATATGTTTGCGAAATTTTCAAGGGTTGGAGTTGAAGAGTCTCCAAATCATCCAATATAAGATTAAATATATCACATACCATCAAAGCCTGGTCCAAAGACCTTCGGCATAGGTATAGCTTTTCTAAATACAGCCAAACCGAAACCAACGGCATTACTGCGTATACACAGGGATTACAAATTAAACACCCTAGGGGGTTCCCCAATCGCCCGGTATCGCCATACATACAAGCGGCGTTTACCATCCACCCACCGCCTCTGTTCTCGCCGCCCCATACGTGGGCCCAGATGACACCCAGGATGCCGTACCCGACGACCCGGGCAGCGTCTACCCACGCAGTGAGGTCGAAGAGGTCGCGCAGGAAGCCTGCTAGCGAGGCGAGGCGAGTCAGTCGAGCCCGACAGCGGCGGGAGGCACATAGTCTCTCCCAGGCAAGCTGGGCTTCATCCCAAAACACCGGTTCTTGGCCGGCGCCGTGGTGGACGTGGCCGAAGACGTGCAGCGCCGGGCGGACGCGCCATGACTCTGCTAGCAAATTGGGACAGCCGATTGAGTAGATGGGAGAGAGGTCTAAGTGAGACTGCGGTGGTGTGTGAGTGACCAAGATGTCCGTTTCCTGGGGTACGGTGCCGGACCAAGCGTCATGTTGCGGAGGGTAGGTGAAAGCGTGTTCGGGGCCGAATGGGACGATGGCAGGGATCTGAGGGGCACCGTAGATGGTGAGAGCACGAGAGCGGGCGCTGGTCAAAGGGGTTGTTGGCGAGGGCGCGGAGGTGTCCTTAAAGGAGAGTGTGACGGCGGAATGTTGCAGATAATGGACATCGCCCCAATCGATGCGGGAGTTCAGGTCAAGGGAGTGCACCGAGGCAGCGGAGGAGACAGCTGCAAAGGAACTGGAAGAGTCGCGGTCCTCGTCTAGGCGCGAACGCACGTCGAAGTAGCTATCGTGGTTTCCGCCAATAGCGATTTTGTGGGGATGGGGAAGGCTTCGAAGCCAGTCGACCGTGGCCTGGATCTCTCGCACTGAGCCATCATTGCAGAGGTCACCTGCATGGATGAGCAGGTCCCCCTCTGGCACCTCGGGCCATTCGAGGGTGTGGGTGTCGGAGATGCAGACGACGCGGATGGGTTGGGCCTCCGGGGGCGGTAATCTAGGAGGACCACGCAAGCGGAGGAGGACCTGGTGTACGGGATAGAGCAGAGCGACAAGGGGAGAGGCGACAAAGTAGTGGTGGATGGGACGGCGGTCGAATGGGCTGGCCATGGTTGTTGCGATGAGGAATCCACCGGAGCTTTAAGTTAAAAAAGGGAGTTGCGGGGATTGGTGACATCAGATCCGACTGACAGGTACTTACATCGAATACTATACTGTAGACTGTACTTAGTTAGTGAGATTATTTCCAATGTTCGAATATTTTCAATATTAAATATTCATATTAGATGAGATGAGATCGAATGAAAGTCGAATAAAAAGAGTTGAGTATAGCGACTTCATACGTGTACAGAGTAGATGTACACCTCATAGCGCTGAAAGTCACTCTTTACTTTCTCTTTACTACTCTTCCTACTCATTTCTCTTTTACAAAGTACGCCCAAATATACACAATAAGACCCTCACTATAGGATGTTTATTTAATCTCTCGATGCGGCGACCATCGCCACCAGGCTGCTTGCGGAAAACATCATATCGCTCTCCCAAACCGATTTAATTCAGAGTGGGCTTTTTTTCTTTTTGATCGGCGCTCTGGACTTCTTGTTTCCGTGACCATTTTCGCCTCTGTCACTGCCCCCTTCACGGAACATTTTCCTATTTTTGTTTTAGTTTGTTCATCTCTTTTTTTTTTGCGAAACGGAGAATTGCAGGTTCATCTCAAAGTGCGCCCCTCATCCACCGCTTAACTTTCCGCTGGGCCAACCAAAAGCCCGTGTGCCCCGCCCTCTCTCAGCTTGACCTTCCAAATCTCCACATCATGGAGGGAGTCGATCTCACCAAGACAATACTCAACAAAGGCAAACAAATGGCAAACGTGGCGGCAACGGCTGCCAATGGCAATGGAGGCAAGAAACGAAGAAAGGGAACCGACTTGAAACCTATTCTGACCAACGAAGGAAACCCTGCAGAATCGTATGTGCCGCTGTTTTGGATCGCCCGATTCAAGCGCTAACTGAGCAGCACCGGTGCCGTACCCTCCAAGACGTCCGCCTCGCGTTCCTCCTCCTCCTCATCCGGCGAAGAGCTGGAAGCCACCGCCGAGGAAGAAGACTCCGAAGATTATTGCAAGGGTGGCTATCATCCGGTCGCGGTCGGCGAAACATACAACAACGAGCGCTATGTGATCGTGCGCAAGCTGGGTTGGGGCCATTTCTCCACCGTCTGGTTGTCGCGGGACACCACCACCGGTAAACACGTCGCACTGAAGGTCGTTCGTTCCGCCGCCCACTATACCGAGACTGCGATCGATGAAATCAAACTCCTCAGCAAGATCGTCCAAGCGAAGCCCTCTCACCCGGGTCGGAAGCATGTCGTCAGTCTGTTGGATTCCTTCGAACACAAGGGACCCAATGGCGTGCACGTCTGTATGGTGTTTGAGGTTCTGGGCGAGAACCTGCTGGGGCTCATCAAACGGTGGAACCACCGTGGCATCCCCATGCCTTTAGTGAAGCAGATCACAAAGCAGGTACTGCTGGGATTAGACTATCTCCATCGGGAGTGCGGCATTATCCACACGGACCTGAAGCCGGAGAACGTGCTGATCGAGATCGGAGATGTGGAGCAAATCGTCAAGGCGCACGTCCAGGAGGAAGCCAAGAAAGAAGCCAAAGAGGATAATAGGAACGGCAGAAGACGCAGACGCACGTTGATCACGGGCAGTCAGCCTCTTCCAAGCCCGCTTAACACCAGCTTCAGCAGCTTTGACTTTAAACACAGCTCATCCAACTCCCACAGCAGTCTCAATCAGATGGTCAACGAATCTTCATGTGAGTTTCCGCGTTGCGCCCATGAATGCGCTTCAACTGACTCTCCTCCAGCAAGTAACGCAGACCAGCCCTCCATGAAAGACCTACTTGGCGTGAAAGAGGAAGACGAGAAGCAAAACCAGCGGGAGAAGACTGCGTACGTTGTTCCCTACCGTTGACAAGCTCACTATCTAATGCATGCGCAGTGACCTGCTAGAACGAGAGGTCTCTGGAATTTCCCTAGATAAGCCTCCCCCACAGTCAGTCGAAGAAGCAATCGACGCAAACATCATCTCCGTCAAGATCGCCGATCTCGGCAATGCCTGCTGGGTCGGCCACCACTTCACAAACGACATTCAAACCCGCCAATACCGCTCACCCGAAGTCATCCTGGGTTCCAAGTGGGGAGCCAGTACCGATGTGTGGAGCATGGCTTGCATGGTAAATACCGCTCATAATGCATTGCGAACAAATATGCTGACAATTCCAGGTCTTCGAACTCATCACAGGTGACTACCTCTTCGACCCACAATCAGGAACGAAATACGGCAAGGACGACGATCACATCGCGCAGATCATCGAGTTGCTCGGTCCATTCCCCAAAGCCATTTGCATGAACGGCAAATGGTCTAACGAGATCTTCAACCGCAAGGGTGAATTGCGCAATATCCACCGTCTCCGCCACTGGGCTCTCCCCGACGTTCTACGGGAAAAATACCACTACTCAATGGAAGAAGCTTTGCGAATCAGCGAATTGCTTCTTCCGATGCTTGACCTCTCACCCGAAAGGCGAGCCAATGCGGGTGGTATGGCCTCCCACGAGTGGGTGAAGGACACGCCCGGCATGGATGGGATTGATCTTGGGATTACACCTGGCACTCGTGGTGAAGGGATCGAAGGCTGGGCGCTTGAGGTGAAGAAGCGATGAGCGCATTTGTTCTAGTCTAGATTTTTTTCACGGGCTTTTATTCCCATGCCCTTATGGCTATGATGTGAGTTAACGATCTTTTTCTTTCCCATTTTCCACTTATGCTTCGATGCTGGTTGGTTCTATGTCTTTTGATCGCACTTTCTTCCTTTTGGTAGTTTGGGGCGGGTGTTTATTTGCGTTTCTCGTATGTCTCTGTTTGTCCTTTGACCCTGTTGCCTAGGCTTTTTTTCTGTCATCCATAGACTCTGGTCCGATTTTCCATTGATCTCGAGGAGACTATTCCCTCTTTCGTCTTGTGTTATCTTGTGCCATCTCTTGTAGGCCTGAGGGCCTGGTAATGTCATAGCTGTGGATGAGATGTATGGGCTCCTCGCTTTGATCCCGCTGTGGTCGTGATAGGAGGGCCTTTGCCATGATGCATGTTGTGCGCTGTATCAAGGTATGACCTGTCATGTTGCGCTCTTTTCGCTCTCGTCCTCGTTTTCCTCGCTTGGGAGATGGCTGGGGAACCACCCATACTGGGCCAGGCTGACATACATTTCTCCCATACTGTCTGTGGTGACTTCGACGCCTTCTGACTGGAGAGATTCAGCTTGGCGCTGCGCACTGCCGGGTCCACTGCGTTCAACGTCAGCCACGAGTGCGGGGATGCTTGCTGCGTTCTGGACTGTTTCTTCATAGATTACTTCGTACACAGTTCCACGAGCGCAATCTGGGTTATAGTGGTTGAAAAGACCTACCGATGCGATATCATCCCCTTCGAGTTGATGACTCGCTGCCAGGGCACGGTGTCATTGTTAAAATGCGCGCCAGACTCCACCGGTGGAAGAACTTTGAGACAAACTCCGACTTGACGTGGCCGTTGAGCTGGATTTCCAAATCAATTCAGTATTTCTATAGAGTCCAGAACATCATTCCATACGTTCACCGAGTAGTCGAGCGATATGGCCGTAAGAAGTCACTTTGCCTCGGGGGATCTCTTGGATCGCCGCGTATACGGCATTGGCCCACCACTCTGCTTCCTCAGACCTAGGCATGCTGCAGCGGGAGTAACAAAGAAATGCAAATAAGATTTTGGGCGACAAATCAGTTGTCACAAGAAGTGCTGGAGCGTCGATATTGATAAATAAGGGCGCTAGTCAGCATACAGTTCGGAGAAACATTATTCCCGGTATCAATCGCTTCATCGATTTATCACTGAGCTCTGCCCTTCTTCCCACGCTACACCGGACCGAAGTCATGCCAGGTTCACTTGCAGATTATTTAGCGAAGAACTACCTCACAGCCGATCCGGCCACCGAGCGGCCAAAGAAGAAGCGCAAGAAGACCAAAGCCGTCGACACTTCAGGCTCTGGTCTGATCATCGCCGACGATGATCCCCCAGATATCCGCGCCTCATTAGGCAACCAGCGTCAAGACGATGAAGACAGCCCATATATCGATACCTCTGCCAAGACTGCCGAGTTCCGCCGAGCTAAAAAATCAGGTTGGAAGAATATTGGAGGACCCGCACCCAGCCAGGCGAACGAACAAGATGCCGCAGACGCGATCCTCGCCTCAGCAGCGGCCGAGCGAGCGGCCGAGCAGAACCAAGATGATGGCGACGACCCAATGATTGACGACAACGATGACGGAGCAGGAAGAATGGAGTCCGGCGCACGCGGTGGTCTTCAAACAGCCGACCAGACCGCGGCGATGGTAAAAGCGCAAGAAAAGCGCCGCAAAGCCGAAGAAGCACTCTACCGCGACCCGTCTGCTGCGAACGAAAAGTCCCAAGAAACCATCTACCGAGACGCCTCCGGGCGCATCATCAATGTAGCCATGAAACGCGCGGAAGCCCGACGGGCGGAAGAAGAGAAACGCGAAAAGGAAGAACAAGCGCGCGAGGCCCAAATGGGTGATGTACAGCGGCAGCAACGCGCGGATCGGAAACAAGAATTACAAAACGCCAAGGGAATGACTCTTGGGCGGACGATCGACGACGAGGATATGAACGACGAGATGAAGGCCCAGGGCCGGTGGAATGATCCTGCGGCGCAGTTCCTGACTGAGAGTCGGGATGCTGGGGCTAGTGTTACAGGCAAGCCTCTGTACCGTGGATCGTTCCAGCCGAATCGGTATAATATTCGCCCTGGGCATCGCTGGGATGGGGTGGATCGCGCGAATGGGTTTGAGAAGGATTGGTTCGCCGCGCGGAATAAGAAGAGCCGGTATGAGGCGCTGGATTATCAGTGGCAGATGGACGAGTAGCCTTGATTGTGTACCTTAATACCTGGGTGCTGGACGCCTGTTGCATCAATATACTGGTGGAATTATACCCTCGACATATTACTATGTGTAGTATCAATACTCCATTGAATTTTTATGATTCTCATCCCCTTCCAATGTTGAAATTAATTGTGGACTTACGATCGTATTTAGCTTCCTAAACTGCTGTCTCATGCCTATATTGCTCGACACCTATTGTTTGCAGGACAGTGTTCAGTATCTAATTGGAATAGATATAGACCCCCAATTAGATGTGGGCGGAGATAAAGAGTGCCAAGGTTGCTACGGGACTCTGTTTACCCAAACAAAAAACTTGCTGTTCCTTGAACTTCTCCACCATCTACCGCATACCCATAACCCGGTCGCGAAAATGGACAAGCGAACTGGAGAGAGTCCCATGGAGTTCGAATGGGAGACGAAAGCTCCCGGCGACGCCAGTTCGCCCTTCTTTCAGCTCGGCGCACAGCATCATGACAAGAAACGTTGGTGCCCCGATCTGCAGCACTTGGATACGATGTCAATTGCTAACATCTATTAAGGAACCCATAGCACATTTGAGTCTCCCAAAAAGCAAGGCTTTCCAACTCTCCGCCAACCAAACTCCCAACCCTTCCTTTTCTCTCAGCCTCGTCACCAAGCCGCACCACCCTCTCCCAAAGCCAAGTTCGGACAACCCTCGTTCATGACACCACGGAAATTTGATGTGGATTTCTCATCAGGGGCAGAAAACATGTCATCGCCTGAATGTGCAGATAATGAGGATACCCCCGAGCAGCCATCCAAGGCAGGAAAAGGAATTGGGTCAATGTTCAACTTCACAAAAGCCCCGCAGAGCCCAGGGCGAGGGCAGATCCCGCGACTGGCCCACCACTCCAACGGAGCAGTCAACCGCATACAGAAAAAGCGAAGGAGGGACCGGGAGCTCGGCCGAAGAATAAAGGTGGACAGCGACGACGAGACCGACGATGACCGACCCAGCAGCAGGGATCAACCGACAAAGCTAGTGAAACAAGGCAATAAACAGGTCGAGCAGGGATCAAGGGCATCAACATGGTCTGAATTCTTCAGCATGCTCGAGGCACACCCGAATGTCCCCGCCATTCTGTCATGGTGGGCCCAGCTAGTGGTGAATCTGTCGCTCTTCTCGCTAGCCGTATACGTTGTCTTTGGATTCGTCTCGGCGATCCGCGGCGAGTTCGAGCAAGCCGCGCAGGAAATGTCCGACACCATTTTGGCCGACATGGCAGTCTGCACGAAGAGCTACCTTGACAACGACTGTGGACGACCGACCCGGGCACCGGCCCTGGAAACGATCTGCGAGAACTGGGAACGGTGCATGAATCGCGACCCGGCGAAGGTTGGTCGAGCCAAGGTTTCCGCGCACACCATGGCGATCATCATCAACAGCTTCATTGACCCCATCAGTTGGAAGGCGATTGTGAGTTCCTTCTCTGGTAATTGGGCGTGAAATTGCGCTAACCAAGCATCTAGCTATTCTTCCTCGCAACCATCTCGACCGTCACAGTTGTTAGCAACTGGTCATTCCGCTCATTCAGGCACCGTCTCCAACAGCAGCACTACGCACAACACCCCCAATCCCAGCCCATGCACCCACAGCTGCAACACAACCCCTCTTTCGGGTACTATGGCCAACAACAAGATCCTCGGCAAGGCCAGACCTACGAGAAACCAGAGCAACCTCTCATGTTGGAGAACAATCGGTCGATGGATTTCGTGACCGAGCGCAGCCGTGATCGCGAACAGCACCTTCGTACCCCGAGCCCAACTAAGCGCAGGTTCGCCTGAAGCTGCATTGGCATCTGAAAATGGTCGGCGTCTTTGTTTGCGGGGTTTGGCAGCATATTCGGGGATTGCTGGAGCTAAGGCTGGCAATTGAACTGGTTCGGTGTTACTCTCTTATACCTGTCATCTTGTGTTCCTTTCTTGTATTTCTCTTGAACTTATCTACGGGAATTGGACTTCCCTCTGTTCATTTTATATCCCATTCACAGGACTGTTTTGTCATAAATTCCTTCGAAGATTTTTTTCACAAATCCGCCTGGCGCCATCCTTTGCTTTGAAATGACAAGTCATCATGCTTACTGGTAGCTTGATGCGATGGCAGAGCACGTGCAGCAGTAGTTATGGGTAATGGTTCGTCCAATGATGAATTTGAAGATAGCAATGAAACAAACAGTAATTTTCAGGATCAATTTGGCCGTTTTGATTTATACTGCGGGCAATTGGGCATCGACACATGCGTGTGCTATTGCATTCGATTCCATTTTGGCCGAAGCCGAGTCGGCGAACGTTGGCCGGTGGGCGAGGATTCGGCCACCGGCAGCGCCGACCCAGAGTAACGACTTTGCCACGGCGCCGAAGTACGAGCATGACTGATTCCGGTTCCTTCGCATGCCCTTCCACCCCCTTCATTCGCTGAACTGTTGACAGGTCCGAGGGGATGTACCCGTTCCCGATCTTCAGACTTACCCTCGGCGATTATCTGGTCCCGCTGCACGTCAGACGCCATGCGGCCTGAACTATGAAAATGGCCGAGCTTTAAAATGTTTATACATGAAAATTTTCCATATCCACCACAACATAGCTATAAAGTAGTTGATATCCATAGAGTATTGTTTCTGTAGACACAACCAAAAGCCAATTCCATCTTCCATCTTCCTGCAAAGTCTCAAATAATGCATATGGAACCAAAAGTCGACTCGGCCTCCATCCCGGAAGGAGGCCTAATTGGCAACCTCGTGGTAGCAGGCAGTTTTAGCGCTATCATGGGTGGATTAGGCCTGATGAACAGCATTGGAATTTATCAAGCCTGGATCTCAACGCACCAACTGTCAAACATTAGCGAAGGTCAAATCGGGTGGATCTTCGGTATCTACAACTTCCTCGTCTTCTTCTGTGGAATTCAAATTGGTCCTATCTTCGATATCAAAGGCCCTAGACTATTGATGTGGATTGGTTCTATCCTGTTGGTCCTCACATTCGTTCTTATGGGCTTTTGCACTCAGTACTGGCACTTCTTAATTGTCATTGGTATACTTGGAGGAATGGGAACATCATTCATATTCATTGTTCCAGTAGCCAGTATCGGGCACTTCTTCCTCAAGCGCCGTGGTGCAGCGACTGGTCTTGCGCTGGCAGGTGGAAGCATCGGCGGCGTGATATTCCCCTTGGTGCTGCAGAACCTTGCCCCAGAGATTGGGTTTGCATGGGCCAGTCGAGTCGTCGGTTTAATCACACTCATTCTCCTGATCCCCGGTCTGATCTTTGTGCGCGCGAACTTCCCTCCGTCCAAGGTTCCCGCGGCGCCATCTCTCAAGGTCTTCCTGCCTGATCTGACTATTCTCAAAGATCCTATTCTTGCACTGACGACTATCGGTGTCTTCTTCATTGAATGGGGATTCTTCATTCCACTTGAGTACATTGCTTCTTATTCAATTGCGAGTGGAATATCCCCTCGCATGTCATATCTGATGGTTGTCTTCCTAAATGCGGGATCCTTCCCTGGACGATGGCTTCCGGGAATCGTTGCCGATCGAATTGGACGGTTCAACACATTGATCTTGACCAACATTCTTTGTCTGATCTCTGTACTGGCTATTTGGATGCCCGCAAACGGAAACATTGTTGCTGTGATCATCTTCTCTGTTGTATTTGGATTTGGAAGTGGTAGCAACATCAGCCTGGTCCCTGTTTGTGTTGGAGAATTGTGTCCAGTGGAAAATTATGGACGGTACTATACCACTGTGTATACTATTGTCAGCTTTGGGTAAGCATTGTTTCATGTCCCCTGTCTTGAGTATAACCGGCTAACATATTTTCTTATTAGTGCATTGACCGGAGTACCGATCGCAGGAGAAATCATCCACCGTTGCGAGGGGGCATATTGGGGCCTGATCTCATTTGCCGGCTGCTCTTATGCTGCTGGGCTGATCTGCTTCATTTCTGTGAAAATTCTCCAAAACAAGAAAGCAAAAAAGGAGGTGAAGGTTGAAGTGGCGGAGGAAAAAGTTGAGGTGTCGGGTGTTTAGCTCTGACATTCATATGACGAAAGTGATGAAACGCCAGCATATAATATTTTAGCGAATCGAGACCTGAGTAGGTATAGATGAAATTCCTTTTGAAATGATTAATCTTGGAACTTTGAAAGGTAGATACTACCAAACTACATTATCCATCAATGCCATCCAGCTAGTGTACTGGACTCTGGCGTTGGGTAGCCCAACCTTGGAATAGGTATACTTAGACCCAACCTTCAAATTCTTCCAACGTCAATGACGCACATATCGTATGGCTTTGAATCAATTGGCAGTTGTTCAGCTCATAGTCTCGAGCCACGTGAACTAATATTTGAACATCGCGCAAATGCCGAGCCATGCCCAAGTGGTCAGTAACAGAGCGCCTTCATACTGACGTAAATTTGCCATTTGCCATTTGCCATTTCTGGGGCAAAATGTAACTTACGGCACTCATTCGGCTGTTTGCTTTGTATAAAAGAATCCATGACCATTGAAAGGGCGAAGCAGTGGGTTTCACTTCATACATCCATTCCCTTTGTTTTCACACTCATATATACTGTTCCGGATGCGAAATGGGTCTGCCCTCTGAGGAAAAGCAAAACCTCATCATAGTTTCCAACCGTCTACCACTGTCGGTGAAGCGCGTGGATGGTGTCTTCCAGTCTTCAATTTCCAGTGGCGGTCTGGTCACATCTCTCGCTGGATTGACCAAGTCCACCAAGTTCCAATGGTTTGGCTGGCCGGGTATCGAGGTGAGGGACCCCGGAGACAGGGAGGAAGTCTCAGAGAGTCTGGCAGTCCATAATGCCATCCCTATATTTCTTGATAGTACTCTGGCACACGAACACTATAATGGATTCTCAAGTAAGCATCGCACCTCAATTCAAAAGACCCACTCTGATTCTCAGACCGAATCCTTTGGCCCATTCTTCATTATCAGTCGGGAGTGACTTTTGACGATATCCCATGGCAAGCCTATAAGCGAGTAAACGAGCTCTTCGCCGATGCTATCGTGGAGACCGCAGCGAACGGGACATTGATCTGGGTCCACGATTATCACCTCATGTTGTTGCCCGAGATTCTCCGAAACAGACTGAAAGAGCGAGGAAAGTCTTGTGCCATTGGGTTCTCTCTCCACACACCGTTCCCCGCAGGAGACTTTTGGAGAAATCTGCCTGTTCGCAAACATTTGATCGAAGGTTTGTTGTCGAGCGATTTGATTGGCTTCCACACCGACGAGTATAAACAGAACTTTATCGATACCTGTGCCAGTCTTCTGTGAGTATTAGCCATGACTTGATACCCCCTCCCAGTAATAAAGAGCCCTCTCATACCCGTGTAGTGATGCACGCACCGAGATCCCAAACCAAATTCAGTACAAGAACCGCCTCGTTTGCACGAACAAGTTCATTGTCGGTATTGATCCGCAGAAATTCACCGAGACCTTGGAGATGCCGAAGGTTCAAGATCGCATCCGAACCCTGAAACAACGTTATGAGGGCGTCAAGGTGATTGTAGGCGTCGATAGGCTGGACCATATCAAAGGTCTAACGCAAAAGCTCAGTGGCTTCGATGCATTTCTCGACGACCACCCCGAATTGCAGAACAAGGTTGTTCTCATCCAAGTCGCAGTGCCCAGCCGAGAGGATGTCAAAGAATATCAAGATCTCGAGCGCGATCTCTGCACAATGGCTGGAAAAATCAACGGCAAGCATGGTTAGTCCTCGCATTCGACAATAAGCGTATACTGACAGTATAGCCACCCCTGAGGGTACACCATTGCTGTACATGCATCGGTCTGTCCCATTCGAGGAGCTGACAGCCTTGTATTCGGTGGCCGATGTGTGCCTCCTCACATCCACTCGCGATGGTATGAATCTCGTGGCATTCGAATACGTGGCCTGTCAACGTGAACGTCATGGCGTCCTTGTGCTGTCTGAATTTGCCGGAGCTTCTTCTTTTATGTCGAACGGTAGTATCTCGTTTCATCCGGCTAACAAGACCGAAATGTCCGAGGCAATCTTCAAGGCCATCAGTCTCGATGCGTCGGAGCGAAAGTCGAAGTATGAGTATCTCCGTGATTTCGTCAACCATAACACAAGGTACGACTCGAGCTACCACGACCCAATCGTTAGTGACTAACTCTCCACAAGCGCGAAATGGGGCCAAGATTTCACCGAGAAGCTATCCCAACGCTGCAAGCGCCCAGACAAGCCATGTTAATCTTTCATTCCTCTGCAAATTGTAAATAGGTTGAGCATGGTTTTTCTTGGCCAATGAAGAAAGTGTTGGTTTCTACCAAAACGCTTGCGTAGATCAGACTACTATTCCAAGTTCCCCGGCCGGGTAGTCTCTTGAGTCCAAGGCCGTAGCGAGCAAAACGCCTAGGGGGTACAGTAAATCTCATGCTATAACACAAAATCTTCACCAATGGCCCCTCCGCACCTTTTCTCATTAGTATATGCCAATTCACCCGTATATAGCGTGTAATTACTCACCGCATTATATAGTCAAGTGTTCAGGGACAGCGGCTGAAGTGTAGACCTTCAAAGTTGCGGGAAATAGAGTTCGGCGCACGGACCACCAAGACCACGAACCAATGAGCGCTCGTTTACTTCCTCCGGCCCACAACCAATCAGCGAGTCCGTAGAAGTAAATATTGCCCAGGTGTTTTGTACCCGTGGGCCGTGGACTTCTTTAGAGGGAGTATTCATTCCATCTGTGCGATATTTCTTTTCTTGTCTTCTCTTCTGCTCTGTTGACGTGTTGGTCGTGATGCAATCGTTTACCCCAAGTTCAGGTCGCTTAGTCGTCGACAACCAGATGATCAGTCGTCGACACGTCTGAGCGTATGCCCAAAACAAGTACCTTCCTACGCCTCTGCTTCTTCTTTCTCTGTTTCTTCCTGTTCCCTCTTTACTTGCCTGATCCCACTTTCACAATTCCTTGCGCCAATACTTCATATCCCCGAAGCTTTGACGTGGCATGGTCTGTTATGGCTGAGCATCTTGCATTGGTACGTGTGTCTCTGTTCATTCTCTGCTATACAGCACTCGCATCACGTTGAATGTTTATCCTACTCTGCCTACTGCTCGACACTGCCCATACCCTTCATACTTGTGTTGATTCCCCCTACACTCACGAAAGAGCAACAGAGGCCCCTTTGGCGATTGGCTGCAAGTCATAGCTCATACTGCCGCTCAACACAGCTCAAAAACATTGTGCAGTTGGAATACATATGGGCTATACCTTACTGACGTGACTCAAGTTCAAAATCTAGACCTTCCACGACAGCACCACTTTCACGCCATGGGTCTTCCACGCACATCATGATTTGGATGTTGCTGGATCGTTTCCACACGAACAGACTGATTACAAGCTCAAAGGCAAAAAGTAAGTTCATTCTCTCTTACACTCGGGCTTCTTGCTTGATCACCCCGGTGTAGGTAGCGATTGAGAAGCCCATGCTCCTGACAACGACATTTTAGCATTTGCTGATGCTCTGTCGACAAAGAACACAGGAACCTTCCAGGTGACGCCAACTGGAATCGTGGCTTATCCTGAACACTTCCAAGGTTCGTGATATCAATATATGAGAGATTTACGACTTGGCTAATCAAGTGAGCATAGCTTCACACGTCTCCAAAGCATTCACCAAATGTATCATTGGAATGCTTTGAAAAATCGAATTGGGCAATCTTCACGAGGTTTTTGAGATTATGAGATCGGTACGTGGGGTCCAAAGCAATTCATGACAGGCAGCCACCTGATCAGGGCTTCAATTGTCAAATCTGAACGTGGTTTGCTGACACCAGCTGTTTCAACTAGTCATCTCTCGTGTGTCAACTCGCCACCTAGTTCGCTACAGTGTTTCCTATTTCGACTGCGTACCTAAAGAAATCTGCAACGCGAAACCACAAACCGGACGACTATTGATATATTTGAGAGGTACAGTTGCGAGGTGCTTTGGATCCCGAGGTGATCTGTGCTGGCTCTGTGCTAGTATACGTTCACCAAAACCATCTCGGGGAGTTCAAACAGTTCAATCGGTGAAGATGGCGATATACGGTAGCCACCGAGGCTGCATTGGTGAGTTTGCTTCCTTTCGCGCGTGTGAGAATTTTACATGCTGACCTCGGTGTTGAATTCGAGTATCTCGACAACAAATGTCGCATAGCCAAGTTGCTAGCTTACATTGCCGGATTATTGCAATTGTGATATTATACCACAATGCCGCTAGCTCAACCACAGATGCCGCAGGCGAGTACAACATTCCAAAGCTCCTCCGATTTTCGATTCAAATGGGCGGTGAAGATCAAAAAAACATCATCATCAATCTGAGAACGGCGTTGATGAAATCATGCGAACCCGATCTGAGCCCTAACTTTTGACCCTTTTTGAAACCCAGCAAACGAAGTTGATCAATTTTGCTAATTTATTTTGAACAGGGAATATTCTGCAATTTGTCCTCTCAACCAGGTGAGTGGGTTCATAGCCCCCAATTCACACGGGCAGTGATGATCAAGAAGAATCGTCAATCTGAGAACCCCGGTTGAACGGCATTGGTGAAAACACGTTGATCTGAGCCTTTTGTTTCTCCCAGAATCAGTATGATTCAAGTCACATTTCTGCGCTAACCTTGGAAAATATTTGAGCAGGGAATCTTCCACCTAAATACGAGCTATCTCCATAACCAGGTCAGCAACTCCCAGGCTCCTGATTTCTGCGGGCAATGATGAGAGAAGATATCCAATCATCGCCTCACCACCACCGATTATCAATCTGAGCTCCCCGGCGTGGAAAGCATAGATGAGAAAACTTCGTTCTGAGCCCTGCAAATTCTGTCTCGGCATGAGTTATTTCCGTTGAATCTGCTGCTAACTTTCTTATTTACAGCGCGGATGATAAAGAGAGCCCCAGACCCCTAGTTGACATTCAATTGAATCCACGCACGGTATGTCGACTACTTCTACAGCAGATTTCCAGTCCTCTTGGGCAGTGATGATCAAAATGGTTCCTCTCACCGACCTTCGGGCATGAAGAGAACACTCCGATCTGAGCCCTGACTATTCTGTGCTGTTTAAATTTCCAATACTGGCTTTTTGCAAGTGACTGATGGGCTGTTGACCTACAAATTCGCTCTAGGACTGCCCATAACACCAAATTCGTGAGCATTTTACATCTGCTCCCCAATCCTTCAGGGCGATGATAGATCAAAAAAAGTTTCTTCATCATCATTCAGAGCCTTTGGGCATGACGAACACGTCCCGATCTGAGCCCACACTGCTCTCCGAGTCTCAAACAACTGCAGGGTTGGGTTGTCGGATATGGGCTCTTCCCTCGTACACAATTTGATCAAGGCCCGTCCATCACCACAGCTAAGGTGAGTCTCCTAACCTCTATCTTCATTTCAAATGGGCGGTGATGATCAAAAAATTCCATCATCATCAATCTGAGAACGGCATTGATGAAATCATTCCGACACGATCTGAGCCCCAAACTTCCTCTGGTCCTAGAACCACTATGTTCAGCATTGTTTGTGGGGTAGAGATATTGGTGACACTTACTCTTGATCAAGGTTCTCTCCCATTCCTACAAACCTAGTAAGTACCCCACCGTTCGTCTTCAATTTGAAGGGGCGGTGATGATCAAAAAACATCATCATCAATCTGAGAACGGCGTTGATGAAATCATTCGAACCTGATCTGAGCCCTATAACTTGCTCTGGTCCTAGAACCACTATATTCAGCATTGATTGTCAAGTATGAATACTGCTGACACCCACTTTTGATCCAGCCTCTCCTATTTCGAAACACCTCGTGAGTTTCCCACTATTGGTTCTCAATTTAAAGGGGCGGTGATGATCAAAATCATCATCAATCTGAGAATCCAGGCGTGGACGGCATTGATGAAAACAACCCGATCTGAGCCTTAAAAATTTCCCAAAATCGGCCAATTTCGAGATTGCAGCTTTCTGCTAATTTATGTTGGTTGAAACAGGAACATTCTACCCGTTGTCTTCGAAAGCTCTACGAGCTATATCCATGAAAAGGCGAGTGAACTCTTGGCTCCCATTCCCCTCTACCCACGGGCAATGATGATAAAAAAATAAGCTTCATCATCATCAATCTGAGAATCCAGGCGTGGACGGCATTGATGAAAACAACCCAGTCTGAGCCCTGAAAAGTTCCCAAAATCCACTCCTTGGAGATAAAGTCTTCCAAGGTTGATACCACTTTATATTGGTTAACAAGGGAATAGTCTACACGCTTTCTTCCAACGTTCTAAAAGCCATATCTATGAAAAGGTGAGTGAACTCCTGACTCTTAATCCCCACGGGCGGTGATGATCAAAAAAATTCTTCATCATCAATCTGAGGATCCAGGCGTGGACAGGAAAGATGAAATCTCTCCGATCCGAGCCCTTACCAACTTTGCCCCCAAGTCTCACAAAACATTTGAACAAGAGGCGGGTTCTGATAATCCATGTTCTTAGAAACCTATCAACGGTACCTTTTCGGATTGACTGTGCCCCCATAGCCGTCTCCAATGTCAACACGAGCGTCGATGATGAATTCTGAGACCAATTCCTGTTCTTCTAAAATTTGTTTCCATACAAACTGAACTGGATTGCAGAAGACCCAGCGTTGAAGTTGTTTGGCTAAAGTGACACTGGATGCGCCGAGCCTAGCGAGCCGCAAAGAATGAAGGTGTCCACTGCCGGCATATTTCCATGTGATCCCCTTCCTGTGCCCATTGCCTCATGAACCTCTTGAAAAACTTCCAGCAGGAAAATCAACCTGTTTATGCTAATCATGCCGATTTTTCCCTTTTGATTTGGAAAAACGGGTTGAGTTTTCTGCTTCATTTCCCAGTTCCAGATAAATGGTTGACCTTCTCGGAATGACAAGGTTCCTTTTTCTTTTTCGATACCTCCAGAGATCCTCTCTCACTCTTTCAAGATACTCAAAACTCTCTTTGCCTCTTTCTTCCCTTGAAATCCTTTCCACAGTGATAAGGGTTCATATTTCACATCTCCTCCTGACAGGAGGCAGAACCAGTGTTTATGATGAGTGACTTAACGCCAGTCTGAGCCTCTCCTGGGGCAGTGACGACTGACCTACAACCCAAATCTGAAGCACTGGATGTCCACCTAGCTTTCATTATTCGACTTCATTGTCGCACGCCAAGCACTTTTGTCATGGTGGGACAAGAAGATCAATCCCATTCCTTTTTACCGAGACGCAAGCAACCTTCTTTGTGTCGCTTGAAATATTTGCTGGTATAATGATGAAATATCAACTCATTCCAATCTGAGTCGTGAAGAGAATACTCTACTTCTGAAACCTGATGTGCAAACTTTATTTTCGGGCCCCACTTCTGCCGAGGTCTTGACATGACTCTAAGGATGATCCATGCGCAGCTCTAAGTGTTGGGATTTTGGAATATACTGATGTTTCAGATTCGTGCAGGTACATCCCGCGGTTACATGTACAATTAAAGAGACCATCGATCCACGGAACCCTCGAAGGAGCCACAGAGCGATTAAGGAACGGCCCCACATCGGTTGCGCCGCACATGTGGCTTATCACGACATGGTCAGCAAATGGAAGCCCCCAAAAATTTCGTCATGTACCTTAATGTGACGGGGCCAAATTATCGACTGTGACACTTATCGTGGGGAGATTTCCAGTCTTTTCCCGTTCCTCTTTGCTACCTCAACAATGGCGGACAAAGGATCAACCGTCACATACAGGGGCGCCGCACAAGATGGCGATGGGAAAAGCTTCCGATCGGAGGGACCGCCCCGATCAGACGAGGAGTTTGCAGACCCGATGGCTGCGCCGTTGAAACGCCAGTTGAAATCGCGACATCTTCAAATGATTGCGATTGGAGGTAAGTTACACGGTCGCGTGTAGGCGCATTTGCTGACAAGGTCTTTTTTTGGTAGGAATTATTGGACCTGGCTTGCTTGTGAGCTCTGGAAATGCGTTAGCCGATGGTGGACCCGCGGGAGCTTTGATCAGCTTCTCACTGGTCGGAATTATTGTCTTTTTCGTTATGTATGAGATCTCAAATTTGAGGGTTCAAATGTGGACGCTAACCTGTTTAGGCAATCACTGGGTGAGATGGCCACTTTGATTCCAGTGACTGGTTCCTTTACCGAATATGCCGAGCGCTTCATTGATGACTCCCTTGCATTTGCGCTCGGATGGGCGTATTGGTATTTATGGGTGACGGTATGCAATACTCCCGGGTTTGACATACCAAATGCTGACTGGGCAGGTTCTCGCCAATGAGTACAATGCCATATCGCTGGTTATTGGATATTGGACAGATGCGGTGCCCCAATGGGGATGGATTCTGATTTTCTGGTTCATGTTCCTCACCCTCTCAAATTTGGGAATTTTGGCATACGGCGAAATGGAATTTTGGTTGTCCCTGTAAATACAAAACGCCACGGAAAGACATCGCAAGCTTACTGACTACTTGCAGAATCAAAGTTTTGGCACTAATTGTTTTCTTCATTCTCGCCATCATCATCAGCTCGGGTGGCATTGGACCCCATAAGATCGGGTTCGAATACTGGCACAATCCTGGGGCATTTGCAGATTCCATCAATGGAGTCGCGAAAACCTTTGTTGTTGCTGGAACGTTGTACGCTGGAACTGAAATGTATGTGGCGAGAAATCCTCAGTTTTGACTGTATATGAAACTAACAATGAAATAGGGTCGGAATTACAGCGGGAGAATCTGCAAACCCACAAAAGGCAGTACCGAAAGCAATCAAGCAGGTCTTCTGGCGTATCCTAATCTTCTACGTCGGTAAGTTTATAGAGAAAACGAATTGCACAAGATCTAATGATGTCAAGGTACTATATTCTTCATTGGAATTCTTATTCCGTGGAACGACGATAGACTTCTAGGGGCCACGTCCAAGACTGCCAGCTCCCCCTTGACGATCTCGTTGCAGGATGCCGGAATTCTTCCCGCAGCTCACCTGATCAATGCATTGATTGTGATCAGTGTCATTTCTGCAGGAAACAGCTCGCTTTATGTGGCATCCAGAACCCTACTCTTTATGTCTCGCAACAGAAAGGCTCCAAAATTCATTGGCCGCACGAATAAACTTGGAGTGCCATGGGTTGGCTTGATCTTCACCAATGTATTTGCCTGCATTGTGTTCTTGGGCCAATCTTCCAGTGCTGGACGAGTTTACTCCGCTTTGATCACTCTTTCTGGAGGTAATCTATCATTCCAACAAAATTTTTGCTCACCGCTAACAAACAAAAGTGGCTACGTTTATCGTGTGGTCCGTTATTGGAATTGCTCACATCCGGTTCCGCCAAGCTCTGGTTGTGCAGGGCCAAGATCCATCGAAGCTTCCGTACCAAGCTATTTTCTACCCCTACGGAACTTACCTCTCATTGGCGGCCAATGTGTTCCTCATCTTCTTCCAGGGATATACGTGCTTCCTGAACCCATTCAGTTCAACCGATTTTGTGATCAACTACATTCTGCTGCCTGTCTTCGTTTTATTCGTTGTGGGATACAAATTCTGGCACAAGACCCGATTTGTGAAGCTGGAAGATATGGACATCTGGACAGGGCGGAGGGAGATTGCGGAAGTTGAGGAGACCGAGTCCTTGAAGCCACGAAAGTGGTGGTCTCGCATATACTCTATTGTTATCGGATAGACAATTGGAATGTCTTTTGCTACCATCATATAGCAAAGGACTCTCAGAACAGTGGACGCCTTCTCCGAACTCGGGGGCAGGAATCACAGACATGCATTTGAGAACTAGCCTGGTTTCACTACCCTCATCGGAAAACAAACCAAGTACGATCTAGCGTTTCTATTAGCCATTCTTCAGGCTTCAAGCGACTTAGATTATAAGATAAGCACTGTGCGCAATCGCATGGACGCTTCAATAAATACGGAAACCGTCGGACCATCAACGGCGAGAAGGACATGCGAACGGCAAGTCTCAGTGGTACAATCAGCCCAATCACTCTCACCTCAGTGTAGGTTTGTCTTGTCAGACTGGTCTGCACGTCTAGAATAAGCCAACTACCAATGTGGATTCCACCCTGAACTACCGAAACGACACTGCGAAGCTCCACACCTTCTGTTATCCAGTTGACCGTCAGATTGACATCGTGCTGGAATGACTTAGGTGATTGGTTGGATAATGAGGGGTAGACCCTCAATCTAGACTGCAGGGCGCTAGTCAGGGTTTAGCATCGGAGACCACCGGGCCTGTCGATCACCATCTCGAATAGGACGAATCTTCAAACACCAATTATTCCATCACCACTCAATTCCTCACGCTCTGGCAGAAGCTGAGAGGGAAATGATTGGGTCCATACTAGGTCCATACTAGAAATTGAGACTTCACCGGCAAACACTCCCCATTCGGTAATGTGTTGTGTATTAGTCCATCTCCTGCCCAGCTGCAACCTAGGTAGTCTTTCTGCGCCAAGTAGACACTAAAGACGAGATAAACAAATTGTAACATCGCGTGCACCGAGGCATGTCTTTCCTGCTCGCGAGGTCTTTTTCTAGGGTTCCAGTGGCTGTTATGGAGCAGTCCAGGTATATATAGCCCGCCGATATCCAGCAGATTTGAGATTCGTCTCAAGCACCCCAGCCCTCTCTATTGCAACCCAGCCAACGAGCCCCAAGTCTTAATCAACAACATGCAATTCTCAAAGGTGAGCACCCTAGAAGCCCACCACCAGCTGTGGAAAGCCTGACTCCTCCCAGCTCTTTGCCGTTGCGGCCTTCTTCATTGCCGGCGCCATCTCCGCCCCGCTCGACCTCGAAGCTCGCGCCTGTGCCTCCTCCTGTGGAACAATCTGCTACACCAGCAGCGCAGTCAACGCCGCCAAAGCAGCCGGGTACAAGCTCTACTCTTCCGGTAGCACAGCTTCCAGCTACCCGCACGTTTACCACGACTACGAGGGCTTCGTATTCCCTGTTTCTGGAACATACTACGAGTTCCCAATTTTGAAAAGTGGAAGCGTTTACAGTGGTGGCTCACCCGGTGCTGATCGCGTCATCTTCACCACAAGCAACCAACTCGCCGGTGTTATCACACATACTGGAGCTAGCGGGAACGATTTTGTTGAGTGCTCTTAGATGATGTTGGAGGGCTAGGGGACCTGGTGTATCTTCTTTGGCTCTCTGGCAATCTTGCAGCGACGTGCGGAGACACGTCGGGAATTCAAAGATAGCAGCAGGATTTTGAATGGCAAACCGGGAGCCCACAGAGATTATTTGTTGACTGTATCCATAGAAGGAAACATGCATATATACGAACGCAGCCTCTCTGAAACCTTAGGAGTTACCTCTTTCTATACTGAGTATGGATAGTTGTATTTACATTTTTTGAATGTAGGACATCGCAATTTTGTGTTGACACTGACTCGAGTGCCAACATGCTAGTGCGGTCCGTTTGTATTACTCTTGGTAATAGGGTGAAGCGACAGCGTGTATTGTGTTACTCGGTGCCATAGCTTTCATTACCATATGTGCTTGGGTTTACGAGAAAAAAGAAATCGAGCACTGTCGTTGCGTTGAGAAATATCTCTGTCGGAGCGAGTGCCTGGTAATCAAGGCCCCCGACACGTAACTAATTTCACAAGTAGGAGAATCATTCCTGGGAGCCCCTCTCTCCCCCACACTTTCCTCTCAGGTGATTTTACATTTCAAGTCTTTTGTCACCTTCCAAAGCTTCATGCCGAGCTCTGTTACCGGTGTGCCGAAAAAAGTTGATACTCGATCCCCGTCAAACGTCCTGCTGAGCCGAAGTTGAAATGCCCCTGTAAGTGCTCAGGTGGTGGGAGTTCAATACAAGCAGGAGGAATGAAACAAATGTTTGAGGGCATGGTAGTTATCCATGCGCCATTTGGGAGTGGAGTTCTAACAGTACAGATGTACCAAGGTTCTTGGGGAATTTAGATTTAAGCTTAATTTTCTATGCCCGCGGGCTTGGCTGGCGCATGGCTCTCTAACCTTCCACCATTTCAATCGGTGACATAGTTTCTTTTTGTCGGGGCGTGCAAATTTGAATAGAACTGAAAAGATGGAAGATTCTCAAGACTTCTCATAATACGGAGTACTCCATCCATGAAGTGACTCCGCCCCGATCTGGAAACTGCCGATTAGACAGCTTCACACTGCTGGCATGCCTAAAGTATAATTTCCTCACGGTATCCGTACATTGGCACAGCTCAATAAAACCGTGATAAACGATGCGCAGCATGGGAAAGCGACACGGGAAATTTTGTCCGACGCCGAGACTTGCCGCGCATGACTCGGCCCAACACTGACACCAGTCCAAACGACGGAAGAGGAAGATGCATGGTTCAAGATACGAGCGAATAGGTCAGACTGAACATTTCAGGAAAAGTAAGCTCGGCCGTTCGCGCTCGGTGCTCAGCACCGAGATTAATAATTCTATTGTAAATCATTTCGTCGGCAACGGACTAAGAAGCGGACGAAAAGCGGACGAACCCTTTCTCAGCATCACATCTGGACAGTATCCTTGTTATCTTACTAAAGCCTGACAGGTTTCAGTAAGTCGTTGGTGTAATCAATGGAACCAGGAAGAATCCTCGTATACAGGAATCGCGCGGTGAAGTTAAACGCGTACCCTGTACAGGTATAAAGCTATTAAGCCCTGGGTCAGTTATGGGGCATCCAAACAAACATTCATCAAATCCTCATCACATTACCACAACTCACTTTATTCATTTCACTTCAATCAGAATTACCGATTACAAAAATGGTTTCCACAATCAAACCGATCCAACTTTACGGCGGCATTCTCGGCCCAAACCCACTGAAGATCGGGATCATCCTCACTGTTCTCGAGTTGCCCTGGGAGACAGTCGCAATCGACCACGCGGATATCAAGAAGCCAGCTTATGAAGCAATCAACCCCAACGGACGTCTTCCTTCTATCCATGACCCGAACACCGATTTGACTATCTGGGAAAGCGGCGCAATCATCGAGTATCTCATTGAGCGGTACGACGCCGAAGAGCCTCGCAAGCTCAGCTTCGCACCCCGAAGTGCAGAAGCCGAGCTTGCGCGCTCTTTCCTCTACCTTCAAGTATCAGGCCAAGGTCCCTACTACGGGCAGGCGTACTGGTTCAAGAAGCTCCACTCTGAGAAAGTCCCGAGCGCCGTGGAGCGCTACGTCACTGAAGCTAAGCGCGTGACTGGTGTCCTCGATAAGTGGCTAGTCCAACAGAAGGAAGCCAATGAATCAAACCTTCAAGATGGCCCTTGGTTGGTCGGGAACAAGCTGTCATACGCGGATATCTCCTTCATCCCGTGGCAATCGGCTGCCCACATGGTGTTCACCGATGATGGGTTTGACGTCGATGAGTTCCCCAACGAAAAGGAATGGTTCGAGCGTATGACTTCTAGGAAGGATATCAAGGCTGTTTTGGACTCTTCCAATGAGCAAATGGCAAAGGTTCAAGCTGCAAAGGCTGCAAAGGCTGCAAACTAATGTCCGACACTCCTTGAACTTCGAGAACAAGATATACAGATTTTCTCTAGCTTGGCAGAAATATACACGATTGGAACAAGGAAGCCTCTTTGCATTTAACAATGAAAGACTAGGCACGTAATCCATTCTTATATAGTGTTAACTCCCGAGGATTTCGAAATGTAACCTTAGAACCTGCATTGCAATTATCTGTTGACGGAGAGCATGTAGGTAGACACAGGGTTCTGATTGGGAGGAGTGCAGCTATCCAACTGCACATGGACCCGTGCCTGAGAACGATGTCTTGCAGAAACCGCTTCTTGATCCTGAAAACGGTAGTTCCTCTCAGGTAGTAGCTGTTCACACCCATCGGAGAATTGAAGAAAAAACTCAGCATTCGGCATGCTTGGGTATGATCAGCACCCATGAATGTGTGCACAAGTTGAAAAAAGCATGATGCCAAACTCATCCGCAGATTTTAACCACCGCTCTATCCGCTCGCGACGAGCGGGTGTACCAGTCTCAGCAGATTTCCAAAGCTCAGATATCTGCAGCATCCCATCTGGCCAGTCAGATAGGTGGTGATTATACTGCTTCTCCCAATCCGTGCGGTCATGGGCTGCCCATAGTACTTTGCTTTCCGGGACAACCACATCCCGAATTTCTTCGGCCACAAAGTTAGGAAGCTTCATGTGACTGTTGTAAACATTGGTGAAAATGTACATGACAAACAGCGTTCGGCGCTTGGAGGAAGTTAATATCCAGGATTCCCAAGCTGGGCGGGTATCAGATTGCTCTGCAGTGGTGCTTAGGCCTGCTTTGGCGGATTTGAATGCAATCTCCTGCATCTTGATCAGAAAATCGGAGTCTGGTGGGAGCGAATCCTCGGCGCTGTTTATCATGGGGAATAAGTGCAACGCCATAGCATAGAGAAGGTAGGCTTGGAAGGCACACAATGTATCATAGTCAGACTCGAAGTAAATCTGCCAAATGTCAGACTGCGATTTGAGAGAGCTGTGCTTCCATTTACCTGGGTCTGGATCTTCTCCATCTCCTCCCTCATTGTGCTGAGAATGAAGACCTCATACTCGGAACCTTTTCCAAGCCACGTTCGGATATTGGCACAACAGTAAGAAAGAACCGGCGACGGATGGTGTGTCAACTGTAAATGATGGACAAACGGCGGAGCCACTGAGCTCGCAAAATTTCTCAGATACGACTTCAACACGCATGTGAGGTATTGTATGGTGTGAGGATTCAACTGTTTGGGCTCTTGGCCCGTTGACGCTGAAATATAGGGGCGTAACCAACGATCACGAATCTCATCCGCGGCAACCATGGGAAGCAAATCAGATTTCGGAACTAAAGATAGATTGGAAGGTGATTGGGGTATGCTAGTTTGGGCTGGTGTGTATGATTCGGCTGTGGGCCGTGACCGGGTTGAGTGACGTGTGCTGGGAACAGCTTGGTCCGAAAGGCTTCCGGCTCGTGATGATCTTCCAACGATGTGTGCATTTCCCCCTGCGTTGGCATTTATAGGTCCAGGTTGATCGAATGGGTATTCGCAAACATTGCCCCGGGCGGCGCACCTGTTGCATTTTGGTTTGGCAAGATCACACCGAAGCTTAGATATGACACATTTTCGACAAGATTTCTTGCGGGTTGATATGCCCTTTCGTGCTTTTGAGCGTGCCGGGGTCGTCAAAATGGGATCTTTTGTGAATTGGCCGTCCATGATGGTGTGCATGAGAAGTGGCTCCTTCAACTTTCGGAATTCCGTGGAAAGCTCGGAGTTCCGTGATGCTTTGTCAGCTTCCTCATGGCCCGGGCCCCTCGAGTTAGGCGCCACCCGCAAGCTGTGGGCGGGCGGCTCGAAGGTCGACAGGCGACATCTTGCGCCGGCGCATCCCCAAGTCAGTCAAGTATGATTTCGGAATTCCGAACCTGGTTCCACAATGACATAACCAGCTGTTTGACTCCGCGAACTACGATATTAAATGCTGGAAATCTTACTTCTTTAATCAAATATCCCAAGTTTTACAAATCACAAGTCAACACAATGCCTGAAGTCTACACAACCGACCACTCTGCCTCAGTCCTGCGCACCCACAGCTGGCGCACGGTGTCCAACTCAGCACCTCACCTCCTCCCACACCTCAAGCCAAACCAACAGATTTTGGATGTAGGCTGTGGTCCAGGATCAATTACGATCTCGATAGCCAAACACGTACCGACCGGCCATGTGACTGGCGTGGAATACGTATCAGATCCACTCGAAGGCGCCCGCGAACTAGCCATAGCAGAGGGTGTCACCAACACCACCTTCCAAGAAGGCAATATCCACGCTCTCCCATTTGAAGATGACAGCTTCGACATTGTGCACGCGCATCAGGTGCTGCAGCACATTCAAGATCCAGTGCACGCGCTGAAGGAGATGCGGCGAGTCACCAAGAAAGGCGGCATCGTTGCTTGTCGCGAGTCAGCAGAGCTGACTTGGTTCCCCGAGTCTGTGGGTATCGCCAAGTGGCGCGAGGTCACGGAGCGGATGCAGAGTGCCAAGGGCGGCTACCCGCATCCCGGACGAATGATCCATATGTGGGCACGTGAGGCGGGATTCTCAGATGTGAAGAGGAGCGCTGGGGCTTGGTGCTTTGGAGATGATGCGGAGAGGGCATACTGGGGCGGGTCAATGGAAGAGCGAGCAAGGTCCTCTGGATTTGCTAGAGATGTTGTTGAGGAAGGGTTTGGGAGACCTGATGATCTGGAGACTATCGCGCAGGGGTGGAGAGCGTTTGTACAGGATCAAGATGCCTGGTTCGGACTGTTGCATGGGGAGATCATTTGTCGGAAATGAATGATTTGTGTATGCATAGTTTCATTTATGAACCTCGCGTGCCTCGCAATGTGGCACCTGGGCAATAAAGAGTTGAAAAGTAATATCATGTAGCAATAGCAAACCAAGCACTGATTTGGAAACCCCCAATATGCACCCTTCAACCCTGGTAATGATGAAATCAAATATCGAAAAACGAAATAGTTAAGAGTCGCTCGAGAGATCAATGCTTAGTCAAAGAAGCCACCACCACCGTCATCCTCGTAGGCCTCATCGCGACGACCATCTTCATATGCCTCTTCGAGGTCTGACTTCTCAGAGTCCTCATCTAAAAAGAGAATTAGTTTCGAGTTCACAAAAGTCAAAAATAAGGTTTGATAAGGCAAGACTCACCGCGCTCGTGTTCAATGAATGCACCAGCAAGACCACCGACAGCTAGACCAGCAGCACCAGCGGCGAGGTACTTTCCAGCATTGCTGCTCTTCTTCTCAGGAGCCTGCTCCTGCGATTGGTAGTAGTCGGGGCGGTTGTCGTAAGGCACGGGAGGGGGTCCGGGGGGAGGCGCATAGTAGCCGCCCTGGGGAGGACCAGGAGGAGGAACGCTGCGAGAGCCATCATCGTAGCCAGCATAGGCGGGCTGGTAGGGAGGCTGCTCCCATTGGGCACGACCAGTGGCCTGCTCTACCCAGAAAGCACGGCGCGCACTGGGTTCCCATTCCTGAACCCAACCCTGGGGCAGAGGAGGTGGGGGGCCCCGGTGGGGGGTCGAGCCTGAGGAGGGGGTGCACTGTAAGGGCCGCGGTCGTATGCTGGGCGGCCGCCATCATATGGAGGCTGCTCATAGGGACGGTCTGAGGGAGGTCGAGCATATGGGTCCGCAGGAGGGCGGCCATAGGGGTCACCATATGGAGGACGATCGTAAGGAGGACGATCTGAAGGAGGACGGGCGTAAGGGTCGCCGTAAGGTGGGGCGTATGACATTGTGGAAGAGGATTGAGGAGATGAGGAGGAGAGAAAGGGAACGCAAGATGGAAGGAGGGGTGGGAGCTTTTATGGGAAGGTCAAACGGACACCCTTAATGTATCAACATCAACAGTTCCGTCCAGAACCGAAGAGAAGCCTCCACATCTCTGACTCCGACGCTAATGGTGTGATCCACTCTATGAGCGTTTTCATTAAGCGCTCACCCTTTTCTTAATATTAGGCAGATACGATAGCGAACCCTCCGCAAGCCCCCCTCCCAGGGGCTTGCAGCTTCCGGTCAGATTTGCAAATCCCACGCCTGACAGGGCTGTCGACAACAAGTTGACCAATTGTTGCAGTGCCAAGTGCCCGAGTGGGTTCATGTGTCACAGTAAGCTGCGCCATATCAGAGCAGTTCGATCACTTCAAAGTTTGGTTCGGCCACCCCCACACGGGAGATTGACTATTGTTTCTGCTGTTTCATTTTGACCCTTTTCGTATGGCCATCAGGAGAAAAAGGGTCGAAAAGGGGGATGATACCCCCGCAGTGGACAAAGGAGAAACAGCGCTACTGCGTGCCGAGCCACTGTGGCTAAGGCAACCGAATTCGCGGACACAGCCACTCAATGCCTCACACGTGGCTGGTGGATATCAATCTGTCCTCCCTACGGAGTACTCATGACATTACTCCGTACAGTTACTCCCTGCTCATGGGTTTATTTTCGCACCCCGTTGCTTGCACTAAGTCTCACAAAATTACCGATCGTCTTTTCGCTTATGTTGCTATGTCACAGCAATCAGGGGCTCGAACTTGAAGACTGCACTCATGAGCCGTGGATCGTGGCCCGGGCCCGGGCCGCTCATACTAGTATTACCTGTCATCTTGTTCCGTCTTGCATGGCGTCTGGTTCCAAGTGAGCCAATCATATGGTCCATCGAATTCGAGCCACACCACACCGTTCAATTGTGGCGGCTATCATTCTTGACTTGACTTGCTGTACTCCGTACCGAGTAGGAATTCGCGAGTGGCTCCCTTCGGACAAATTCCCGCTTGTCGGTGTACTCCGCACAGCATCCAGACTTTAGCGCGGGGTATTTTTATGATTGATACTGGACCTCAACTCTCGTGTTTCATGTGCACATGCTCTTGATTCTATGATGAGTTATGGAGTAAGTGCGACAAATTTCGATGCGCAAGAGTGAGGCATCGTATGCAGAGTGCTGCGAGTAGCTGAACGACCCCACCCACCAAAAGCATTTCTTCCACACGGGCTATGTATATTTCCACAACCACAAGTATCAACATATCGGGATGTCGCATCGCCATGGCTTCAGCTCGTGGGGAGACTCTTTTTGGTACTTCAGCGGCCACCAAACTTGGTAAGGAAACCGTGCTGTTCAGCTCTCCTTTCGGTCATCCAGCTGGTGACTGCGGGACTTAGGTCACAAAGTGTGTCGAGGCGACCGAACAGAAAACATTCCAGCGTTTTATTTCTGCGTACCTTAGTCTACTCTAACACCTACCGCCCATGCTGTCACTGTGTGTTCCCAGTCGCTACCGAGTACTTGGTGGCTTTTTGAGACAAGTCTCACGAAAAACCTTGCAAAACTAGAACGGCCCATGTGGGAGGCGCACAGAGTATCTACGCACCTGGGCAGGCTCATGGGCTTTCCATGTGCTGAACAACAAACAGGAAACATATTCAGGGTTCAATGCCATGAGTTTGGAGTGAAGTGTCAAATGGTTAAGGCGGCTTCAGACTGTCCCGAGATCCATAGGTATATTTGGCGCATATCTACGAGTCGGGAATATAGGGACGCTATGGATAGGTACTGGTAGACTACAACGTTCAAGGGATTACAAAGCAAATCAAGTACCTAGGTATGATGTTGATTAAGTCTCTGATTATGGTGTTCCTGCACAAGCTATCGGAGACTGATTGAACAAAGAGGAGAGCGTGTCATCCTCGAGACGTTCATGTTCACATAGGTTATAGGGTTGTGCCGCTGCACCCAGCACTACTCTGATCCCGCAATGCTACTTGCCTGGCCACTGTCAGGGTAGAAGAATGCAGATAGACTAAGATGAATGTTAGTGGAAAGTTCGAGGAACCAAGGTCTGGGTAAAAGAACTCACGCAATAATAATGTATGCTGCAATTAGCAGTACACCTTCAAGGTAATTACTGCGACCATCCAGCACCAAGAAATTGACCACGAAGGTTGTGACAAAGAGACAGATGGTCTCGAACAGGGTGAAGTAAAGAGACATGTCCTTGTCCATGCACCAACCTAGAATAACAACCAAGGGCGTAACGAAGATAGCTGCGGGTTTGGTTAGTAAGTGATATTGTAAATATGATGGAGGGTTGAAAACATACCAATTTGAATACTACTTCCGACAGAGACACCGATAGACAGATCCATTTTGTTCTTAGTCGCAACGCTGACAGCAGTGACGTGCTCAGCAGCATTACCGACAATAGGCAAGATGATCAGTCCAATGAAAGCTTCGCTGACGTTTGAGCTGGAGATCATATCCGGAATAGCATCAACGAGGAACTCCGCACACACAGCGACAAGACCGGTGGACAGCAGAAGCATCACAACAGCAGCAGTACGAGACATTTCGGGTTCCGGGGCCTGGGAGGCTGTCTCCGGAACTGGGGGATCGCTTGGATCAGTGAGGCGCGAAGCCCCACGAGCGAACTGAACTGGATTGCCCGCTAGAGGGGGACGAGTAATGTGTGCCGGCAACGAGTTGCTGCGGGCGATGCCGGGGCGTCCCGCAGGCCCAACGCGCGGCGAGAGGTTGGGTGCTTGGGAGCTGAACACGGTGTTGGAAAGCAAGGATGGAATGGGTCCGAAGGGCGAGCGGCGCTTCTGTGCCTCATCCGTAATTCCATCGAACCCAACAAAGTTGGGCGCAGGCTGTAGTCCCTTGGCCGCTTGACCTTTGCCGTTCGCAGGGCCGCTTTCGCCAGGTGCCTGGATCTGCGCTTTCTTTTCCGCCTTCAGAGCCTTGCGCTTCTTACGGTCACGCTTCTTGGATTTTTTGCTTGAATGACTATCCATCTGACTCAAGGCAATGCCAAAGTCACGAGAACGAATTGCGGACGGGTCTTGAGCCTCATCATCGGCATCATCACGAACTTCATCGCCGAGATCGATAGCATGCTCATTACTTCCAATGGAATTGGAAATAGAGTTTTGGTTGGAGGTGGATGCAATGGCCTTCTTCTGGAAAGAAGTGCGCGATGCAGTACCCTTTGAGCTTGTGCTAGACTTGCGGTGTCTGCGGTACTTCATTGCTCTCTTGATGCGTTTAGCGGTTGTCCACGATGTTGTAGTATCATCAGAGTCATCACTTGAGCTCGAAGAGGAGTCCGAAGAGCTGTTCATGAACTCTGCCAGGACACCAGGATGGGATTCTTCATCAATGATGGCCTGTGGAATACTAGCATACAAGTAGGAATGGGTTCGGAGTTGGAAAATGATGTAGAGAATGTACACCAAGAGAAGAACCACACTCGTACCGCGGCTGACCTTGATGGTCTCTCGGTCGGCGTTCACGCTATCTGACCAAGAGGCATGGAAGGCAGTAGGCAATAGCAAACTGACCACACTCAAGCTGAGCAGACAGGCGCTCATTTGGGTGACAGTACTGTTGTAGATTTGTTCCTGGAAGCGAAGACCGCCAGAAAGAAATGCCATGCCCATAATCAAGAGTAGGTTTGCCAAGATGGAGCCAAGCAGTGAAGCTTGGACGATGCGAATCTCATTCTTGACTAGAGCAATGATGAAGATGATCAACTCCACAGCGTTTCCGAATGTGACGTTGATGAGAGCTCCAATGGTATCGCCCAGACGACTGGCAACGCTCTCGGTGGCGTGGCTGAGAAGTCCAGCGAGAGGGATGATGGCCACTGCGTTCATCGCGAAGATGATGGCGGAGTCGAGACCTGCAGCTTCGCAGGCAATACCCACTGGTACAAAGACTAACAGGACATTGACCCAGCTGTGACAGATGGCATCTTTGGTATGGTGATAGAAACGGATGGATCCGTTTCGCATGCGGCGCGCAAGGCCCGGCTTTGGGTTGGATTCCGTGACGGACCCTGGAGTAGGGTCCTCCACGGGGACATTCACTTGTCCATCTTGAGGAGGTTTTTCGGTATGATCAGGATCAGCGGCCTGTTCGGAGGGAGTCTGGTCTGTCAGGCCGCGAGAGGAGGCGTGAGCTTTCGCCCACGAGTGAATCCGGTCTATAGAAATGAGCATGGTTAGATGGAGAAGACATGGTGGCTCTATTTTGGAGTCCACTTACGCATGTATTTCAGAAAGATAGCAGTAGTAGAAACAAGGCAACGAGCCTTTGATGGTTGAATAGTGTCAAACGGTTGAAAGTGACAAATGGACACCTCAGGGGGAAGGGCCAGGCTTATTTATCTGGGAGCTTGGCAGTCTTGGCGAAGCCCAACGCCACTATTTCTCCCATCGTGATCCACCACATCCCCCAGTCCACAAGTTAATTACGTGGGTCTTAGAATGCTGACTAGTCTACTAGTGTTGCAAAGACATTCCCGACCGCGTTTACACATCCCTCGCATGATGTCAATTCAATTGTCCACAAAGTGTCAACGTGTCCGTGTCGAATGACGCGTTCTTTGGCGCTCTCCCTATAAGGATGCCAAGGGTGAGATGCGGCAGGAAATCCGGATCCACCCCGGTTGTTGGACAGATCCGTCGATGATCATCTTCCATTGGCCGACGTGTATCAGGATCGACGTCCAGGCCGGTCTGACTCTTGGCCTTTGGTCTTGATTGAGCTTGTCGCCCGGCCTTTTCGAAGTAGAATTTGACACGGCTTATCCCATTCCGACGGTAATTCACCGAGAATTAACATCCACAGCATCGCACGGATGTCACAAATTGAGAACCGAACCTCAACCAGAGTCTGCAAATTTGGGCCGAATGAGACCTATTCTTGGTCTTCCGTGTCACAAGCTAGCCTGGTCGCCACAGCGCTTCTAGACATTGCTTCCGGATTTACTCCGTACTCCGTAGATGGGGTTTGCTTATCGGATATGAAGTCATCTATGCATATCCCCGCTCGTCTTCGGGTTTGGGCTATTCTTGTACCCGGATCTCGCTTAGATATGGATCTCTTGCTGCGCCCTCTCGCCTTGGGAATTACAGCCGGCGCTTGAGCCCCACTCCGCACCATTCGTGGCTGTGCCACTTCGCATGCGCCACAGTCTCTATTCGCGATCGTGGAAGGGTTCTCTCAACTTCCACTGAAGTTCTACTTCAGACCGTTAGGCTGCCATTCGAACCTTGAGATGTCTGTACTCATCCAGGTGTAATTGCAATGAGGTAGTCCTTGCTTGCAAGATGCAGCTAGGCAAGTTACACAACGCGTAGAAGGCTGCCTAACGCAGCTCGAAATATCTAACAGTTTTTTATGAGGTCGATATTTGACGAGTGTTCAATTATCAAGTATTGACTTCATACGAGATGTCTTGGTGCGATAGATACTTGGTCAGATCATAATGGGGTGATTCCAAGGTCTGTACTCCGTACGCAGTTGATCCGATGAACGGAGACTTCAATCTTGGCATGCTCTGACGTCTTGAGTGGGCACACGTAGGTACTCCAAGAGTGAGTTTGTGGCCTTCTTGTATTCATCGCCTTCAACTGCGTTATAAGGAAACTAAGTATGGAGTAGTACACTGCCAATCCACATCACGTCTGCCATAAGGTTTGATCGGTAATTCTTGGAGGGTGATCGGCGGGAAATACATAAGCCGCCAGCTATGCAGATGTGCCCGATGCCTAATCGAGATTTCTGTTTTCCGCTGATGAGTTTATCGTCCTCCGTGGCTCTGGGGGCTATCGTCTGAGCAAAACTCCACTTTTAATGAGCCTCTTTTTCTGACCCGACAAAGCTTTGGACCAGACCAGATCAATGTGTATTTCGTTTGTTTGTAGACCAGTCACGTGTGGCGGATGTGCGCGGGCGCATCCCAGGGGGATTCGCATATTCCCAGGTGCCGTCGACGGCTAGCGATTTCTTGATAATTTTCGCGAACTAGTCAGGAACATCTCGAGGTGCAAGACCAGAATCCACTGTCACCATCGGCACTTGGTCTCGGCACGGATCCAAGTACTCGGCAACCCGGTCCGCTTGCAGAAACGGAATAGTTTAATTCATCCACCTCTTTACAAATTCTACCATCACACTTCTGTTCACGCTCTGCTTCTTGCAACCTCGAAATTTCCAAGACTGGATATACCTAGAGACTCGGCTACCAGTCCAGTGTGGATACAGTGCAACGGACATACATGAGCTAACGTCATAACCATGGGTTCTCGTGAGCCCAGGCCATTTTGGGCGACTATGGCCAGGTATGAACCTTTTGAAAATCACCCGTGCCTCAAAGTTAGATTGACTGACTATGCGATAAAAAATGAAGATTGAAAATCTCACAATGGTGGTCCAAGCTGGATTTGGACAGCCGGACTATGCTCATGATGCTGAAAGGCGCCTTAGCACCTACAATCACGATCGCAATGTGAGCCAAACAGTGTTTGGAATTCTTAGAAGTGTCAAAAGCCTGCTAACGCACGGAAAGTTACCAGAGTGATTCTATATCCCATATAACGACAACGATTGGCTACCTCTCGGCTTTGATGTCAGTAGTGGCGCAATGTCTCATGCCCCGAGCAAAGTTCATCAAGATCATGTTCTTTAACTTAGTGGCTGTATGTGTCTCTGCATCACTATGTTGCCTGGCCGTCCTCTGCGCGGTGAAAGCCAGAGAACATAACACCGCCGCTGATGCAAGCGAAAGCGTTCGCACTGGATATAGCAGCGATGCGTGCGCAGTTGCCGCTATATGGTTGATCATAATGATTTGGTACGTTAAATTTAATCCAACAGGGTTTCAAGGCTATGATACTAATGGAAATAGGGGTGCTAATGCCCTCCGTGCATTGAAACCAATGGAGCTTCAAGACACCATGGTTGCCTTCTCGATCTTTGCTTCAGTCACCATAACTCGTGCCGGAACATTTGTCACGCTGGACGATGGCCTTGAATTTATTGCGCGGCTTTTGAAGGGATTCCTCATTGGATTTGCCATTGCGACTGGGGTGTCATTATTTGTTTTCCCGATCACCAGCCGAGGGAACATGTTCCATGGTATCAAGGGGTATGCCGGGTCAATTGAAGCAGTTCTCCAATCGCAACTATCGTTTGTCAAAGAAAGTTCAGCCCCTGGTCGACTTTCCGGCAGAGGGCTTCTTCGACGAGCACGGACCGCTAAAAGCACTCGGGACACACCAGAGGACGACGAGGCCGAGTGGCACCTCAAGCAAAAGCAACCGCAGGTGGAAATGGCCAAGCTCAACGGTCTACATAGCAAACTGCAGGCCGATTTGTTCTACTCCAAAGATGAGATCGCATGGGGTAAGCTGTCAGCTAAGGATCTGAATGACATCGAGCATCTTCTGCGAAGTCTTCTCCTTCCACTTTCTGGAATGTCCATGTTGCCTGAAATATTGGAGTCAATTGTCAACAATGAGACTAGCGACGACAAGACCGCCGATCTTGATGATCCCGACGAAGGGGCTTTGAAGCATTCGGAAATTCAAAGAGTAGTGGAGACGCTGCACGAACGGCTAGTGGATTCCTCAAAGCTTGTTCATCAAGGTCTTGACTACTTTTTGCTGACATTAGAACTTCTCAAGCCCAAACATTTGCAGAAGCAAAAAAAGGCTCACGGTACATCGGCTGCTATTGACGAGGAATCAAGGGGCGAAACTCTATCGCCGCTCGACCCCAACTTTCCTTCACGATATGAAGAGGAGTTGCGTGAATACTATTCTCGTCGAAAGCACTTACCACAGGCACTAGCGTCTCTTGAGGCATTTTCAGCATCGGAGAAACATGACGCGGATCCAGCCTCAACGCAATCGGCGCAAATTGCAGGAGATCCTGATGTGCAACAGGAATTCTTCATGATCTTGTACATGGGTCATCTACAGGATGACATGCTGAACGCAACATTGCAGCTGGTACAGTTTGCAACCAGCAAAATTACCGATGGTACAATGAAGCGCAACAGGCTCATTTTCCCCAAACAAAAGTCTATTCGAGCATGGCTGTCATTGAGTCACGAAAAGAAGCAACCCGAGACTTCGTCGGAAAGCAGACAGTCGTCCAATGTCAATCCCTCCACGATCTACCATGAGCAACCTTCGACAAGGTTTCCGGATTCCGAACACCTCCCGCCGGAGAATGTCTGGGAAAAAGGAAGCACGATCCTACGTACCATTTCCCACGTCATTAAGTCTGATCAGAGCATGTTTGGGTTCCGCGTTGCTGCAGCCTCATTGTCCGTCGGAATACTTGCCTTCTTGCACCAGACGCAGGATTTCTTCATTCGGCAGAGATGTATCTGGGCTATGATTGTGATCGTCATTGGGATGAATCCAACAAGCGGTCAAACCATGTTTGGCTTTGTTGCTCGGATCGTCGCAACAACGATTTCGCTTGTGTTGAGCTTGATAGTATGGTACATTGTCGATGGTAAGACTGCTGGGGTGATAGTGTTTCTCTACATTGCCAACGTCTTCGAGGTTAGTAAATGAGCTTCAAAGATTGCGCACCTGGGCATATGGACCAATCTAACCGATCAACAGTATTATTTCTATATCAAACTCCCACAATATTTCGGAGCGTCTGTCATCTCTATCGTCACTCTCAATGTGATTATTGGCTACGAGCTACAGGTATACAATCTACAATTGGGCTGCAAATATCGAAGCTGACAATGTTTAGGTCCGTAAACTTGGATTCCCCGAGGCGACATCGAATGGCCAGCCATACTACCCCATCTACCTGTTTGGGCCATACAAACTGGCAGCTGTAGCCGCTGGGTGCGCTATCTCATTTTTCTGGGTGATATTCCCCTACCCAATCACTGCCAAATCACAACTTCGCAAGTTGCTTGGGCGAAGTCTCTTCGTTCTCGCCAAATTTTACAGTTGCATGCATACCACAATCGAACTATGGTTCAGTGACGAGCTCGGGATCCTGACAGATCCCAGTGCTCCAGCTCATAGTCTCCAAGCGTCACGCCACAAAATGTTCAAGGAAGAAATGCACCTCCTCGCCGGTCTCCGCGCACATAGCCACTTCAGCACCTTCGAGCCGCCTATCGGAGGCAAGTTCCCAAAACAAATCTACGATAATATCATTGCCGAGATCCAGCGCATCTTGACCAGCATTTCACTTATGGCACATACAACACAAAGTCTGGAGGCACTGGTCGTGGAATCTGAGAACTCATCATCTGGAACCGACAATCAGTGGATGACACAGTTAGCAGAGATAGCGCTGAAGTCGACGGATTTCAACTCCCACCGCATTACATCCCTACTATGCCATCTTTCAGCTGCAATTACGAACGGCCAGCCTTTGCCGCCCTATCTCTCTTCGCCGGACACCTTCCCACTTGCTCGTCAAATGCATCAGATCGATGGAGAGTTACTCAGCATCCGCCACATCGAGGACCCGGCCTTTTCGGCGTTTGTGTCGCTGGAAGTCCTGAGGTCGGTAATTAGTTTCAGTCTCAAAGACTTGATTGAGTATGTGCCTCTCTTGGCTCCGGTTTGGGCTCGCTGACAGTATCCTAGAAACGTGAAGAAGTTGGTTGGCGAAATCAATTTTGACTTCTACGTCCGAAATACGGAACAGTACGCAGAGACATCCGGGTTGATGTCTCGTTCTCATAATGAATCATGATTCTTCGATGAACTACATGCAAATAAGCAAGCCTCCTTGAGATTCACAAGGAAATCAAAGGAGTCAACAGGAAAGTGTAAGGTTATCCGGTTTGATCTGGACGGCAAGAAGATATGACATGAATTTTGTGCAGAAAATAATTTCCAGAATGTAATGCGTGCAACCAGTCTAACAACTCACAGCAACTTGTACTTTGTCGCTGCCGCGATGCAAATAACCATGAAGGCAGCGAAAACACCTACAATACCAAAGAACCAACCTAACCCATGAGCATCCTGTCCAGGAACAGGGACGTTCATTCCCCACATTCCCGTGACAAGATGGCATGGTACAAAGATTGTTGCCAACAGCGTCACCTTACTCAGACCGGAGTTAATTGTCAAACTCAATCTCAAGTTGGTAGCGCTCAGCTGAGCCAGGCAATTCGCCTGAGACCGACCGATGATCTCATCAATGTGGCTTAGTGTCGACAGAGTCGTGACAAGATGATCCTGGACATCACCAAGGTACATAAGAAGGTCGCCGCCGGGGAAGACAGAATGTTTATCCGTTGATTGACATCGCTTGACGAATCCATTCAGCACGTCAACCTTTCCGTGAAGACAGCGAATGATATGCGTGATTCTCTTGCGGAGAACGTCAACTTGAGGGATCAACTCCTGGGCATCGTCGATGCGGGCAATGAAGACCTGATCCTCGATGGCTTCGGACTCTCTTTCTGCGTCACGGGTAAAGGGCTCGAAGCTATCAATGATGTCGTCACTACAGAAGTCAGCAAGATACAGACACGAGGAATGCGTTGCACATACATCATTGCATAACAAACCCAGTCGCTGGTCAAGATAGAGGGATCGTGCATTTTGCGAATCCGATCTCTGGCCCGACCGACGTGTCCGCAGCCACTGGGCGAGAAGGTCACGACGCCGTACTGGAAGACAAGCATGTACAGCGCGGCCGACACAGGAATACCCGGACGTTCCTCTTTGACCTTGTTAGCCACAAGGGTCTGGAAGGAGATGAGGTAGTAGTTCTTGAACACGTCGACTTTCTCCCGCGGCTCACGGATCGCAATATCCTCCGCGGTCAGGGGGTGAATGGACAGAGCCTGGGCGACGGCATCGACATCTTCCTCCGTGGCGTCGCGGATATCGATCCACCAGATCGGATGGCTGGGATCCGGTCGAGTTTTGAACTTTTCCAGAAGAAGTTGGTCACTGGTGCCACCTGGGAAAAGATCATGCCAGGTGGAAGACGTGGTTGATTCCTTTGTCGTGGAAGAATAGAAGCTGAAGCGATCAGGGGCCAGTTCCACCTCCTTCTTTTCCTGTGGAGCGCCCATCTTGTCCAGGTTCTCGAGACGGAGATTCTGGAATTCTAAGGTACACTTCGGGGCAAATCTGATGCCATCTGAAGTCGCGGGTCGCTTCAGGGAGTGTTTTTCCCTTGATACGCTGATCGAGCTTTCATGGATAAATGAATGATTGTTTCAGCCCATTCTACTTCCTCGAAATGGAATCTCGAGGGAATATTGGATCGGAGTGTGCGACGTTGATGATCGGGGGAGGAAAGACCGGAGAGAGAAAGAGAAAGGTAACATCCACGTGAAACGCCTACCAGCCCTACCCGTTAGCCCCCAGACGCATGAATGTGCCACGAGCCAAGCAGTGGAGATGAAAAACTTGATGTCCAATTAAAAGAGCAAGACACTGAACCATCTGGTTAAAGCGGAGGCGGCCGCCCAGGGCACGGGGGCCTTGCGAGCTTCCAAGTTTGGAACCGGCAAGTCGCTTCCGAACTTGGGCCCGTACTAATCTCATTCTACTCCGTACAATTATACATTCTATGTGATATAGAGTTGACAGGAAACGTGTTATCAGGCTTCCAAACCAAGTAGAAAAAATGAAACAGTGTTTTCGATTGCTGTGTGAACACGGGAAATTTCAGACCAATGCACTATTAGGGACGCCGTAGAATGCGAATTTTCGCCTGCAAGCGGTCAGCCCCAAGCTTGGAAGTTCAAAAGAAGGTTTTGCGGAACAATGTCTAGCCATACCGTAGCTTTGTTTGAATTGAAAGTCACTCTGTGGGTTGCGATTTGGGATCCGGTCGCCGTGTCTCCATCCCTTGTTCGCGATCAAGGGTATACGACTTACGTAGGCGGGGGTAGATCAGCCCGAAGAATACGACCACGCCAAGTAGGATGACAAAGGTAGGCAGGAACATGAAGATGAAAAGGAACACGCTGAGCCCGAGGGTAATATTCTGCCCACGCAGAAATCTTCGAGCCATCTCGATAATTGCGGACATGCGTGAGCCAAGTTGCGAAGTGTTGTAGATGGGGTTGAATCAATTGCGGGTAGGACGAAAACTCAATGACCTCACCCCAAGGTGCCCGCACTTGAGCCTCGATATATACGCCTCATGGAAGCACCGGATGCATTGTGCACTTTGCCCTATGGAGTACACGATGGCTTCACCGAATAATGTTGATGCCTGTGCCAAGTGGTTGGATTGAAGTCTTATCCACTCTTGGCAAGTTCCAAAAGAAAATTCGACAGCCTAATGAGATTAGCCGAAAATGCTGCTCCACCACGAAAATCGAGCGAATATTTTGAAAAACAGGAATCGCAATTGAGCAGTCATGCGACTTGGCGCCCAGAAGGCACCAGCATTTTGCCCAATTATACCCCCCCTGCCAAGATAAATTCCACCGGCGAAATATGGCCATGGCGAATTTCTGTCACCCAGAGAATGTACGGAGTATTGGGGGGAGTTGTTAGGACCTAAACAGTAGGATGGACTGGATAGACTGGATGAACTGGTAGAGTTCGTTCACCGACACGATCTCCCGAAAGTTGCAGAACAAACCTGCGGGCAGGCCTGCGAAAACAGGCTGAGGGTCGATTTCCACCAATGCGCTGACTGGATTGCGCCCGGAGTGGAGACCAGCCTTGTGCAACTTCGCCTTTAGCGCCCGTACAGCGTGTCCTTGTTGGCACTGCAGATGTTTGGATTTCGAGATCCTTTGAACTCCCCCCTTTTTCATTCAATGTATTGAAAATAAATGAGGCATCGAACGCTTGGAGTGACAAGCAAGGGGTTGGGAAAAGCGGCGATCGTACCATGTCACTGGCAACGATCATCGTGTAATAAAACCCGCCCCGTAGGGCTGAAGCTTGGCTCGTGGGGCTTTGGTATTCACTTGCAGGAATGCGTAAGGCGGAGGTTCCGGGAAGATGGGTGCATCCTGTAGGGAGTATTTAGGGTGTTCGAAAGAAGTCTCGAATGTACTTTGTACATCCCAATAAAATGAGTAGGACAATTGTAGAAGAGTCAAGAGAAGAAAAAGAAAAAAGATGGAGCTGTGTCGATCGGTAATTTTCCCCTGTTCGCGCGGAACGGATTATCGAAACAAACAGACCAAATGGCAATACGGTGTATATTAATAGTTCCAAAGCGACGTAATCCCAATACAAAGCCCATCTTCCCCCACATTCTCTTCCTCTTCCACCTTTCCCCTCTCACCTACCATGTCTTGGCTCGCGGGGCTCAAAGAAAATGGTGAGAACGACAACCTCGGGGTTGATTGGGTTCTGCAGTACGAATTCGCAGATATCGGTAGGGTGTGCTGATTCTTGGCTGCCTGCAGTAACTGACGATCTCCAGATCCGGCACAAGCTATCGCAGAGTTCCGAACTCTGATTGCCGACCTAAGTGAAGCTGGTCTTCGCGTACAGGTTCGTCACGGTCACGGCTCAGCTTTACTGGTTTGCATTAGAGTTCCGCGAGACCACTTGGGGAATCTAGTACATCAATCGAGGTACGTGGGGTCTCTGGAGATAATCATGACCCTGTGCGACTGACACAGCGCAGAATCAAAGACTGGTTATTCAGCATCACCCACATATTACCAGATGGCGATGAGACAGAAATCGCAGACGCCGACACACCATCAGAAGAGATTCGCTCAGTCTACCATGCTGTCACCTGGCAAAAGAAGCTAGGTGGTGCGGGGATCACGCCCGGGTTCGGAAAGTGGAAGAATGTCACTGCCTCTTTTCCGTTACACGACCAGGAAGCCTGTGCGGCGATGCTGCGACAATGGAACCGAAAGACCATGTTGACAACGAAGGACCTGGATGATATTCGAGCGTTGTTTGGTGAAAAAGTGGGCTTAACAATCGCTTTGTGCGACCGATTCGCGGCATCGAGCTAACCATTGACAGGTCGCATTCTACTACGCTTTCATTCACTGTTATTCATTATTCCTCGTGGTGCCCGCCGGACTGGGAATCGTTGGATGGTTATATTTGGGACCGTATTCCATAATTTATGGTCTGGTACTTTGCACATGGTGCATTGTGTTCGTGGAGTACTGGAAGATCCGGGAGGCAGATCTCAGCCAAAGATGGGACGTGAAGGGCGTCGGGCGACTGAAAGTGAATCGAAAGCAATACGTCTGGGAGAAGGAAGTGAAAGACCCAATCAGCGGGCAAGTCAAGCAGGTCTTCCCAGGATGGAAGCAATTCGCACGACAAATGCTTTTGGTACCATTCGCTTCTGTGGCCAGCATTGCACTTGGAGCTTTGATTGTCGCATCGTTCGCCTCGGAAGTGTTCATCTCGGAAGTCTACGATGGCCCGTTCAAAGGATATCTGGAGTTCCTCCCCACCATTCTCTTCTCGCTATCCTTACCAGCAATCACCTCGTTCTTGACGAACATCGCAACCCGCCTCACCGATTACGAGAACTACCGCACGCAGGACCAATGGGACCTTGCGCAGACTCAGAAAACCTTTGTGATGAACTTCATTACGTCATTCCTGCCAACAATACTTACCGCATATGTCTACGTTCCGTTTGGTAAACAGATCGTGCCACACCTGGACGTCTTACGGATCATGGGCTTGAAGTCTGAGCTGTTGAGCGGACAGAAAGAATTCGAGGTCGACACCAGCCGTTTTCAGCAGGAGGTGATTTACCTATCGATGACAGCCCAGGTATTGAGTTTTGGCGAAGAGATCGTCCTCCCTTACGTCAAGCATGTTCTTTGGCAGAAGTGGCAGAACTACCGGGATCGCAAAGCCGAATTTGGCCGCAAGCGCAGTTTTTCTGTGGCCACCGATTTGTTGTTGGTCGATCCACCTGAGGAAGCAGAATTCATGGCTCGCCTTCGGAGCGAGGCTGGAGCGGATGAATATCACGTCGAAGAAGATATCCTGGAGATGTGTGTACAATTTGGATACCTGGCGTTGTTCGGAGTTGCATGGCCGTTGGTTCCACTTGGGTTCCTACTAAACAACTGGTTGGAGCTGCGTGGTGATTTCTTCAAGCTCACCTTGGAATGCCAGCGACCCCCACCCATCCGCGCTGACTCGATCGGACCTTGTTTATTGGGACTGGACTTCCTGGCATGGCTAGGCACTCTGTCGACAGCCGCCATTGTCCACGTCTACCGGGGACCGATGTCCGAGGTGCGTCTGTCATACCTCCTCCTCACAATCTTCGTTGCCGAACAGGCTTATCTTGGAATGAGGTTTACCGCTAGTGTGGCGCTGGAGAAAATATTCTCGGATACCATCCGACGAGAAGAAGCTCGCCGGTACGCGGTTCGCTCGAGCTATTTTGCTGCTAGTCTGGCTCGCAACTCCTCCCCCAGCTCGGGCTCTCAGGGCTCGCCCAATGGCCGTGTCCGTCATCGGGTTCGATTCAACGAGCGGGTCAACGTATACAGTGCCAATGAGAAAGCACCATCGCCCGACGGCACGCCTTCGCCCACTAGAGAGGAGCCCGAAGATGATGTACTTCGGGGGTCCGACCGTGAAGCCCAGTTTTGGAGCGCACAATCGCAGGGCACGGGGGCAGATGCGGGCGTCAAGCTCATTCGTGCACTGAGCTCCAAAGCGGAGACCAAAATGTCGAAAGAGGCATAGAGATCTTTCAGCCCTACGCTGTATTTGTAAAACGAAATTTTGAGTGTTTTTGATTTACGGCTTTGTCAAGGGTGTTTACGATACGTAAGGGTAGGAGAGTGTACGGAGTAGCTACAGGGGAGTAGACGGAAAATAAAGCCCTGGTAAATTACGGTCAGAAGTCAATAGCGGATGGATCGAGTGGAGAGTAATTTCCCAACACAACTAGAATAGCGAGAATAATAATAGCAACTAAGGACGTAAGTACTGCGTAGTACGGGGGAATCCCAGACAGGGATTCTCAGCCCTACAGGGCTGCCAAGGCGATCCACAACGGCACTTTCATTGGAACCTTAAGACTCCCGCGCTTGCGTGTCTTTTTGTTTTCTCTTCCTACCTTGTACAGAGAAGGTGGTCGTCATGTGAGTTGTCCTTTTCACTGCACACTATAATGGCTACCGCAGCGGACTCCTCCGACACTTTGATCACAATCCCTTCTCCCGCGCACATGTCCCCAACCAAGGCGATGTCCATCGAAATGGACACTGTCTCACCTGACTCCCCGCCCCCCGACGTTCCCAAACTCCTCCGCGAAGCCAGCGACATCACATGGCAAGAGAGTCTCGAATCCACAAAAGATCAAGTCACCTTGGTCCGCCGAGGTGGCCGTTTCCACCTGCTCCAACAGCAACAATTCAAAAACAGCTTGTTAGCAAGTGTTGGGTACCTCGAGCTGGCCAATGCGGGTGACTTTGCTGCCAATGTTTGGAATGATATTCCAGTGCCTACTTTCGCTGCCGTCCTCATGGGCATTGGTGGTACCTTGGCGTTGGGGATGGTGCTGGTCGCTATTCAGGACTTCCGGTTGAGTTGGAAGAACGTCAAGGTCCTCCGGGCAGAGAAGGAGCATCTTGAAAGACTACGGCAATACCACAACAAGAATGCTGAGCTGGCTCGGCTGATTGATAGTCGGCTGGGTGTCTCGAAACGTGAAATTGGCACAGAGGTGGTCGATCGGATCGTGATGGACGTCTTAATGGGTTTTGGGTCCATGCTGGTCGGCGTCGGCACATTGATGGCTATTGGCGGTGCCAACCCAAGAGTCTTCAAGGCGAGCAATTTGCTCTCCGGATATATTGGGAACGGACTGGCTGCGATATTCGGTCTAGCAAATGCGGTCTGGTCAGGGTATCTGATCCATCGATTTCGCATGCATGACGCTGCAACATTTGCACGAGAGCCCAGCGATGAGATTCGTCGCCGCCTCCACACTCGCTTCCGGCGCTTCCAATGGCATGCCGCTATCAATGGGCTGAATGGTCTTGTTGCCGGCGCCGCTTCCATGGTCACCGCTGAACGGTGGTGGGGATACGTCGTTTTGATTCCATGCATAATCTCGCTCATACTGTGCAACTACTTCTGGCGAAAGAAGATTGGCTATGATCGGCCCGTATTCGGACATGCATCCCCAGCCAAGATCCAGTTGACACCCCTCATCGAAGACCTGGAGTATGTGATCCTCATGCAACGTGGCCTGGCCGAGCCAGAAACCTCTCTCCCCCAAGCCATCGTCCAGCTAGACTCTCTGGACTCTATTTTGCGGTTCATTGTTCGAGAACGCATGTTGGAGACGTACTGTGAATCACTCTCCCGCGACAAGAAAACCCGTCACCTCCTCACAGAGCTACCATCACACAAAGAGTCCCCGGACCAAATAACGATTTCTCTCGAGGCTCTCTTTCGCCTCTCAACCAACCACCTAGACACAATATTAACGCACGCCAAGAAATTCCTCCAAACGACTGGGGTTCTCGTCTTCACCCACCGCGAACGCCACCTCCTTGAACTACTGGGCTTCGCCATCTGGCAGGATCAGATGAATGAAGCAAAAGATCATACAATAGAGCAAGCTTAATATCATGTGGGGACTTGATTAATTCTTCTCGGCTCTCCCTCCTGGATGCGAGGTTGAGGTTCATGCTGGCGACTGGTCGCTGGCTCATTTGATGTGGACATTTGCATTGCATTACTATTGCCTCAATGTTTTCGACAATAGTTTCAATTATCATACAACAGAATATTCAATATTGTCTTGACCATTTTGGAATTTTCTTCCAAAAGTTTGTGATTCGGTATTTTTCTTTTACGTAGACGTTCATTTTTCCCAGGAACACCTGGGCAGAGATATAACTTGTATGCCTATCATATACAACCTTGGAAGTCGGTAAAATTATTTGCTTTGAGCACCTCGAATCTTTTCGTCCTTTTCAAAGATTTTGTGCCACTGAGGATGCCTTCCTGATTTGGCTTACCGAATTGGCCAAGAAAATCATCTATGGGGGTTTCCGGCCGTGATTCCGGCCTATTCGTACCTAGGACTTTACTCCATGAAGTGAGACTTTCTCAGACAAATTAATCTGGCCAATAGCCGTTCATGGATGGTTTTTGACCTGTATTGAGACTAACTCTCTAATTAGCCCTACGGAACGGGATGTTCTTAGTGTTAATAGGGCATAGTATTGAGTAGACATCGAGTAGTCGAAGTCGAAACCGAGATCACACACTAGGACGCTAAAAGCTGAACAAGCCACTGCGAGCTTTTCCATACGGATACACTACCAATGCAGAAATGAACAATCCAATCGTGATTCCAATAGCGACTTGGATCATGCCGAATCCCAAACTGAAAACCGAACTGCTTGACTGCAACCCAGCTCCCGGTGTTGAGCTTGCAGACCCGTGAGAAGAGACATTTTGGCGGATTTCATCTGCTGACTGGACACCCGAAATCAAGGATCCTGTTGCGGCGAGGCCGGAGGGAACGAGAATGAATATACCTGGCAGGATAGCTGTCGCGGCGTGGCCATGCCAAAGGCGGCTGTACAAATTACCCATGATCCCGATAGTAAATGCACCAACAGTGTTTGCGACTTGCGAGTTTGATCCTAGCTTTTTGGTGCTGAAGTAGTTGCTGATGTACCCAGCCAATGCAATGACACTCATGGGAGGAAGCTGCTTCCACTTCCCTTGGTTGATGATCAGCAACCACACTGTCATGATCGCAACAAAAGGGAATCGCTGCACATAAGGGTTTTGGAAGGCACCATGCGATGGACACGAGGTATCGGAGACTGCGCCATTATCCATGAGCCCGTAGATAGTTGTCCCAACTGTGATTCCATAGCCGATGAATAGAGAGAACAGAAGAGCATACACCATGCGAATCGATCCTGCGATGATCTGGTGCGACTGGAGCTCTAGGCTACTACATAACACCAAAAAGCCTGGTAGGATCAATGCGATGGAAGCTTGAGCGATTGCCGAGAAGCAAAATAGGTACTCTCTCTTGCCATCCACAAGCTTGAGTGGGATGCTTCCAAAGCCTCGAGCAAGAAACGATGTGACGACAGTAGATGTCACTTCAAAAACATTCGAGTACAGCACCGAGCGAGGCGCAGCCACATGCTGCATCAGACCAACGAGAATTCCATTGAGGAAAATGATTGGCATATCAATCGGTCGAGCGTTGAAGGCAAAAGGCCCCACAGTGGCTGTGGCCAGTCCATAAACTAAGACAACAATCCACTTAGGAAACCGGGGCTTCTTCTTCATGATCACGTCGAGCTCTTGCACTGCTTCTTCGATACCCATGACGTCATGTATCACATTTTTGTAAACAAGGTGTGTGTCCGAAAGACGCGCCAGATCCACCCCTTGCGCAACGCGAACCAACTTCACCTCCGTTGTACGGGTCGAGGGATCATCAAATGACATCACCATGCAACCTGGCAGGTACAAGTACTGACTGTCAACTTCAAGCACTTTCGCGGTCATCTGCATGTACTCCTCCAATCTGTGTGTCGGGGCACCGAAAGACATCAGTGCCCTGCAGAGCTGCATGATGTATCGCTGGCGACAAATTATCTCGGCAATGTGAACTGTCACTCGAATTTCGTCTTCGAGTCGGACGTTGCGGCCGCCTGCCCCTGGGCCCCCATGTGTTTCCCCGCTAGTCTCTTGCCCACGGCGCTTCGAGGCGGCAGACAGAACTTCATTGGAGACAGGAGTGCTGGCGCCACTAAAGGTACCAGGACCCCCGCCAATCAAGGTCGAGTTGGAGGTATTTTGGTTCTTCTTGTACCATTTTGGCGGCTTGCTTTTTCGAGGTGTTGTCACGCCTGTACTTTCCCCTGACGGAGCGCTGGTAGATGTGGTCGAGGAGTCGACCGAAGAGCCAGAAGATGATTGGGACTTTTCCTCGCTTCCAGGTGGTCTACCACCGTTTAGTTTGATCAATTGCGACAAGATACCACCGCCACCTGACCGGTACCGCAGACTCGAATCAAGCCCTGTTTCATTCTCTTCGTCTTTGAACTCATTTTCGGGGCTCGGATAAGGTTTGCCTCGACCTTTCCGGCGTTTCTGGGAGTGATCTTGCGTCAGATCTCGAACAAGACGATGTGCCTCGGAGCTGCTGTGGATTTGATCTCTCTTCTTTTCCTCGGAGCTCTTGTGTTTGTCATCGGTCATGTCAGAGAGCGCACCTTCTCCACCTGTCGCCCAGTCCGCGTGGTATTTCCCCACTGACAAATCATCGCCTTCAGATTGGGGACGGCCAAGACGATCGCCAAAGTTCGATGCTCTCTGCCGGAAGTTTTCGGTCACATTCCGCCATCTCTCCATCGTGCTTCGGCGGTCAGGACCCCGATCCTTCTTTGGTTTCTTCTCGTCATCTTGTTTCTCGGAGTGATCTATCGCGTCGATGCCTGGCACGCCCATGGTTTGCCCAGGGGGCGGTTCGCGATCTTTCAACGGGGTATCGGTTATATCTGCAGACTCGTGGGCATAAGGCGTTGTTGGTCGATGAGGCTCGCCTTGGCGCTGGGCGTGATCCCATTCCTCCCGGAGACCTTCTCTTGGCTGATCACGCTGGGCACCACCGACGAACCCCGGATTAGATCGAAATCGAACCCGAGGCGAGCTGTGCCCTTCTCGCGGTGAAATCTGGGGCGCATCCTGCCAAACTTCGGACGATGTTGTATTGTCTGCATCGGAGTCTTCATTGAAGGAACTGATGGAAGAGGCTTCCGACATGAAGACGACGGCGAAATTAGTGTTGTGCTGACATTGAGCTTTGTCTCATTCTAAGAAAATGCTGATTCCAAATGCCGAATTCTTTGCTGCTTGGTTGTCATTGACAATGGTTCAGAGTTCCATGGATATTCTATGCCGACCCAAACTTCAGCCACGGATAGAATACCGGGTTGGCTGCGGGTTGGCTTCGATGAGCTCACGAAGACGTGACTGGGGGATGAACACCAGACACGGTCGGGGATTGATGAAAAAATCTTCATTTCACCATGCCTCAGTAATCCGCGGAATTAACATCCTGTGCCGCTGATCAGAAGGCAAAATGGAGTTGGAATCCGCGAAATCGGACATTTATTCCACGCACAAGTCTTGACCTTGCCGCCACATAGCCATTCCCGTTTTGCGTTAAATGGCAAATGCAATGTTGATTTCAAGGTATTATGACTCAATTTGCAGGACTTCCCTACATCGAAAATGTTGCTATATTGGAGCGGCGTTGGATCTTGGGCGATACATGCGGAGGCCTCATGGTATGCCGTATGGTATGCTGGCCAGCATCCAGCTCGGAAGTTCCATGTCAGCGAGGTTAAAGCTACCGTCGGTCATCTTGGAGGACATATCAGCACGTTGCACATAACGGGGAAAGATGGCTTACCATGAAATCCCATTCATCTCCCATGTCAGGTAGTGCGGCTTCGGATACAGACGCAAGTGAACTTCCCATCTTCTCCCTCTGGCCTTTCGCCGCGAGATTTTCGAGAATCAGCAAGCACTTATCTTCAGCCTCTTCAGCAGCCTTAATCAAAAGCTTTGGGATTTCTTCTTTAGCCACCCCTCGCATGAGAGCATCAATTTGAGTGGTTACCAGTGACATGAACAGGTGACCTTTGATGTTGGTTTCTCCATTCTCAATACTTCTCAGACTGAACCCGTCAGCTTCGCGCAACACGGACAGCAAGTCTGATCGAAGGGAGACAGGCCCGAGGCCCTCTTCCTCCAGGATTTGATTCTTCAATTCGACTGCTACCAAAAAGCTGCAATGCAAAGGCGCAGTGCGGAAGAATCCCGACCCACATGTCGTTAATCGCCTGAAGTCGGTTTGGTGCGTCTGTGCACTTTGTTTCGATCCTAGGTTCGGCGATTGAGTAGATGGCTTGAGTGCGGAGTTGAATATTTTGGCCGCGGTGTCAATGACCACACTTCTGGAGAAGGCATATGTCGTTTCAAGGTATGACGGCCCGAAAAATGGTATGTGGATGGATATGAGATACCGACGAATGAGAAAATCAAGCATAGATATTTCAAACCCTGATGGAGTCATTCCGTATCTCTGGATCACCCGACGCATCTCTTTATAGGAAGCTCTGAGCCTGGAATCCAGTCGAATGGCTTCTTCGTAGGAACTCTGCCCATTAACATCATTCAAGAACCTCGCGATCGCAAGGCGAACGGGGAATGTCTTCCGCAAAGCAATTGATATTGATGTCGATGTCAAATGGTCGTCTGAATGAGGTATGGATGTGTCGATGATAATATCATCATCGTCAAAGTTTCCTGGAGGCTGTGTATCGCATTCTTCAAGTGATATGAGAGGGGAACCGCCAGACTCCATGCTATATTGGAGACAAATTTCCAGAATGGTGCTCCACAATCTGCGATGCATTTCAGATACGAATCTCGACATATTCGGCATTTGAATTGGGTCCCGGTGTAATCCCATGTACATAGCCGTTCGAAGCAAAGTACCTGCTGCGGCCCATATCATACCCCCATCGACCCCCAGTAAGTCCCTGGCTAGAAGGAGTAGAATCTGAGTTTGCAAAAATGGTATACCGAGGCGAGCTTTTGTTTCGGGTTCAGACAGCCAAGTTTGAGCTTCGTAGACGAAGTGGATCGCCGTGGAACGCAGCGATAGTTCATCGTCGTAGGTTGTACATCCAATAGCAAGCACCAATTTTAGCTGCACAAGAAAAATAGGATCGTGGCGCCCTTGGGAGCTCCAGAATGCCTCATAGTCCTTTTTGAATGATGGCACGTGTACCACTCTGTATACCCGCTCGAAAGATCCAAGATAGCAATCCAAGAGAGTGTCGCAGATATCCTTTGAGGGCATATCAGTCGTGATTGGCACGGGCCATTGAGGAGTACGCTGTGCCTTGATTTTCCGTCCGAGGTGTTTGCACTTTTGCAAGCCTAACATAGCCTTGGATCCCTCTTCCATCAAATATGGCTCTATCAACACGACGATATCACGAAACTAGCACTTGTTAGTTGTTTGATACTGAGCGTCAGCTGTAGATGTTTTACCAGTGCCATGCTACTTATCCAGTGGCTTTGACCAAAGAAACGTCTTTTGTGAAAGAAGCTACGTCTGATCGTCTGGCCTTGGTTCGAGGGGAAGCTTTCATTGTGGACGTGAAATGTTCCAGCCAGATGAGAATGTACTGTTTCAAAATCAGAAATAGGAGTCGGGACGGAAGACTCGGCAGGGCTCTTTTCTGGTTGAGCTAATTGATGTTCAAGCTGTCTTATCTTGGCCTTTAGGGCCTCGATCTCTTGCGAAGACGAGTGACGGGCCGGAGTTGGGGGATTGAGCCATGAAGTACCGTTTCCGAAGCCTCGCTTGAGATTCCTCTGGTATCAGTTGGGGAATTTGCGAAATTATTCAAATTCTGATGAAATTGTTGAGATGGTTGGGTGGCTCCAATCGGTGGTGTTTGTGCCTCTTTCCGCCCGCTGCGATGCGGAGGTGGATGGGACTGATAAACACACTTTCCACTCTTCATTCGAACACAATTACTGCAAGGGTCTTCCCTGTTGCATCTAATTTTTCGCTGACGACAAAGCGAACAAGATCTGTGTTTTCGTTAGATCACGCAAACTCGTCGGATATACCAAAACTGACACGGGCGGCCGTCTGCGCCGGGGGTTTGTCCCGGACGTCGGAATCACGCCCACCGAGATGTTCGCACTATTCATGACTGGTCTTCAGAAGTCCACTTCAACGGCATGAGGTGTTTTGACCTGGAGAAATCGCCCCCATGGACGTGAGAGTGAGATTCCGCGTTAACTCCGACGGATCTGCGCCTTTGGTCCGTCTCGTCTGCCATTCTCCGTCTCCGATGCCGCTCCGAGTGTATACATCGCTTGCTTTGGCTTGTATAAAAGCGATGGGTTTCAAGTGCATTTGGAAATGCTAATTCTATGTTTTCATATGAGCTTCATCTACTAGGTTAACTGGCAAATACCTACAGTTTCACAATTTGAAGTTGAGAATCTTTACCGGAATCCATAACGCGACTCACCAACAATATATCTTCGCCATGGACCCTGAACAAGCCGCACCACTGGGGGTTGAAAAATTGGGAAATGATGTGGTTCTCTTGGCCGAATCCAGCAATGACAAACTTGAGAACTCAAGTAAAGCACCGGATGGTGGTCTCCAAGCCTGGCTTACTACAGCCGGGGCAGCTTTCACCTTCTTCGCGGCCCTAGGTTTCGCCAACTCGTTCGGTGTCTTCGAAGAGTACTATCTTGCGCATCAATTGAAAGACCAAGCGGCGGACAAAGTTGCATGGATTGGGTCATTGTCAGCTTTTCTCCAACTGGCAGCAGGAGCTGTGGGGGGACCCTTGTTTGACCGATATGGGGCCTGGGTATGATTCTGTCAAGAAGCATTGATGATCAAGCTAACGTGAATCCAGGTTATTCGACCCGCGGCAGTATGCTATGTGTTTTCTTTAATGATGACGAGCCTATGCCAGGAGTATTGGCAGTTCATGCTTGCCCAGGGTGTCCTATTGGGCATCTCTATGGGTCTGTTGCAGTTCCCCTCAATGGCAGCAGTGATGCAGTATTTCGACAAGAACATCGCAGCAGCATTGGGAGCAGCAGTTGCTGGGTCATCCATTGGCGGCGTGGTAATTCCAATCGCTCTATCTAAGATGCTGAACAGCACATCACTTGGATTTGGGTGGTCGGTCCGGATCATTGGATTTGTTGTCACTCCCCTGTTGGCTTTCTCATGTGTGACAGTGAAAGCACGGCTTCCGCCTCGAAAGACGTCATTTTATCTTCTCTCTGCTTTTACCAAGCTTGACTACTGCCTCCTCGTCGCGGCCATGTTCTTCATGTTCTTTGGATTCTTTACCCCTTTGTTTTACATCCCGACATATGCCGTGTCTCGGGGGATGGATGCCACCCTTGCCTCATACCTACTAGCAATTCTGAATGCGGCTTCGACATTTGGTCGAATCATTCCCGGAGTTCTAGCAGACAGATTTGGCCGATTGAATGTGCTGTCGCTGGGGGGAATCATCACTGGCATCATCATATTTTGCATGAACAAAGCCGAATCCAACCCGGCTTTGATTGTCTACTCAATTGCGTTCGGCTTCTGGTCAGGGACTATCATCTCTGGCGCCACAGCAGCACTTTCAATCTTGATTCCGAATCCCAGTGTAACAGGCACATATCTGGGAATGGCATTGGGTGTTTCCTCGTTGGCAGCTCTGATTGGGCCTCCAGTGAATGGGGTGCTTGTTACCAAGTACCACGGATTTTCCGAGGTGTCAATCTTGAGCGGGACAACCTGCGTATTTGGAGGACTGATTGCGCTGGTTCTCAAGACACAAACCAAACAAGGGCTATTGGGCAGGGTATGAGTCCTAGAGACAGAAGCCGACCTGGGAACGTTCCAAGGTCCCTTGGTGTCAGACTGGCATATTACTGTCCACGGGCACAAAAGCCCTTCCCTGGATCTCTTTGAGAGGTACATACATCCATAGATCACCTCCGACAAAGTAAATTTTGAGAAATATACATACTCCACTTCACATACTCAGAGTGGCCAGATCGTTTAAGTACTCCGTATTAAAGCACAGCATGTGTCGATGTATGGCAGCTTGCCGCCCAGTAAATAATTATGACGTGGGTTGGGTTTCCAGGAACGACAGGAATAGAACACGGGAGATAAATCCAGGCTACGGAGCACCCTAGAAGCTGTACATGAGAAGGGTCGAAACATATTGGGAGATATGCCTTGTTTCGGTTACCTGGGCGTTGGTGGTATGTGGGCGACGGGTGCTCAGACAACGGCATCATTCTGGCCCAACGCAAGGGATATTTTGGGACGCGTCAATAAGCCGATGCTCCCCCGCTTTGATTCGGTTGGTCATTTTACCTCGAGTGGCTAATTGGTACAATGATTTTCGAGGTCATGGATCAACTGGAGTCTTACCTCAGAAGAACTTTTGCGGAGGAGTGAGTTGGAGAAATGGGGCGAAAGGACCCGAGAGATTCAATGGACGTCAGACAACAGGGGAAGGGCTGAACATCCATGCAGTCTTCAACCTCAACCTTGGAAGGAGGTCGTAGGACCTCAGGACTCAATCCATCTTTGAGGCTATGGTAGGAAGTGCATATGGATACCCAGGTGTGGCCTGTATGTACCTATTGAGCAAACTACACAAGGTGTCAAAACTTGAACCCGAGCTAGCCTGACGCCGGGATAACTTCGGAAGTTTCAACCTTCTTTCAAGGGCGCACCTGGGCAGGAATATTATTTGTGGCTTTTGAAAACCTTGGGAAAAACGTGGCTTCTTTGCAGTAAAAAAGGTATCTTACTCGCCAGAGCTTCCCGAGATTCAAGGTCAAGGATGCCGAGGAGACAAAATCTAGGAACGTATATGTGCATCAGCCGGACCGTCGAAGCGCACTAAATGGAACGCACTACATGTGCCCGGATGCACTTTGCCAGGGCGAGATCTGCTAGTCCTGGATGGACCTGAGGTTGATGACAACCGACTTGGAAGTCAGTCCAACGCAGCAATTCGAACAACCCGAGAAGCAAATACATTACAATCTCAATAGCAGGGCTGTCAACGCTGAAAGTAGAATAGATGCCCTGTTTTCAGAGTTGGAAGTAAAGTCGCACAGTATGTAAGTCCATATCCCGGATCATCCAAGGGGTGAAGATTTTGGCTGAAAGTTCTCCTCGCGACCCACTCAGGATACCCAGACAGCGGGGAGTACATTCTTGATATTGATTGTTTTTTCTCCCCATACCGCATGGTAGCCGTTGGACAACCTGACATTTGTCAGGGAACTATTCTTAATACCCATGCGCCCAACTTTCCTCGTAAACCTTCTGCATCTTCGTCGAGATCGAGGTTGAGATCAAAGATAATCATGAGGGGCTTTACATCTTTGGCTGCAATGGCAGCTGTTGTGAATGTGGGATCCGGCCATGTTGTGCCTCTCCACTCAATGCACACATCTTCATTGGCATCCCACGCCTCTCAGGTGTCACAGAAGCCACATGTGTCGCAGGCCGCGCATGTATCAGAAGGGGTGCAGACACCACATACATCACAGACATCGTGCACATCGCATGTCACTCACGGCTCCCACAAGTCGCCACCGTCGCATGGTGCACTGTCGCCCCCTGATGACGGCCCCTCAATGGAAGACTTCCCTTTTGATTGGGCCCTTGCTTCTTCACTCGCTGGGATCACTGGTCCACCACCTAGCGCCACCGTCCATGAATATGTGACAAATCCGCACCCATCAGTGAAAGGGACGGGGACGACTGAAAGTGGTTCCTCTTCAGCTGCCAGACCGACAGAGCCATCCAGCGGTGCTCATGTAAGGCCCAGCTCAATGGTCACAAGGGCTAGCTCGATGACTACCGACTCAGCCTCCACTTCAATCAGCCAGAGCTCTACCGATATCACGCGTCCGGCTTCCAAGGCTTCGACCAACTCTCCCAAACACAGCACCATCTCACTCAAGAGCAGTGTGCCATCATCTACTGCCGACGCATCGTAAGTGATTGTCGATCTTCAATATCAAATGTGTTCTGAAACTGACTATCTAGACCACTCCGGGACCAAAGCCAATCTCCTGTCACGAAGACATGTGCCAAACCTGCAAGCAAGTCGTCAGGGCCGTATTGGTTTGATCAACAGGACCACAATCAGCACGGTGCTGGATTCGCACCCTATGCGAAGACAGGCAATTATCCCGTCTACCGTAATGTGATGGACTACTCTGTCGTCAACGATGGAACTGGAGACCAGACTGCCAGGTTACAGAAAGCGATCGATGACGATGGTGCCGGTGGTACTCGCAAAGGCCAAGGTGTGGGCCGCTACCCTGCCCAGGTCTATCTACCTGGAGGCGTCTACCAGATTGGAAAAACCATTGATCTCACAGTCGGCACGATCATTGTCGGCGATCCAAACAACCCACCAGTTATCAAGGCTTCCAAAGGATTTGATGGCGAATATCTCGTCATGGGATATGACTCGCATGCAGGACAGCCAGAAACGTCTTTCGCCATCGTTCTCAAGAATGTCATTTTGGATACAACTGCCCTGGATCCCGACAGAAAAATCACTGCACTTCAATGGGGTGTTGCACAGGGATCTGGCTTGACAAACATTCAAATTCGTATGCCCACTACTTCCGTCGGACATGTTGGTATTGATATCAAGGCCGGCTCGACCATTGCGGTAACGGATGTGGTAAGTGTTCCGACCATAACCTTTAAACCAAGAAATGTCTAACACCTGATCACAGGATATCACCGGTGGTGCCATTGGTATCCAGAACTCTAACCAGCAGGTTAACTTCAAAAACATTTCTTTCAAGTCTTGTGGTACAGGTTTCTCTGCCGTTGGCGGTTGGACAGTGCTGCTCCAACATGCAACGTTCTCCGGCTGCGGCACAGGCATTGATATGACAAGCAATGGCCTGGGTAGTATGGTGCTGTTGGACTCTATTGCTGTCAACACTGGTCCCGTCGTCCGGTTCTACGACTCTTCCAAGGATTCTGGCCACCAGAACAGCCAGTTCTTGATCCAAAACTTGCAGCATGATACCGGCAACGCGATCGCAGTCGATGTCAATGGAAATGTGAAGTTAGCCGCAACTCCTCACGTTGACACCTGGGTCTGGGGAACTGTCGTCCCCGAGAAGTACGAAACCGGTGCAAGCTGGGCGACCAAGCGCCCGGCGGCTTTGCTTGTCAATGACAAATATTTCATCAAAGCGCAGCCAACGTACGAAGAGTATACGAAAGAAGATGTCGTTAACGTCAAGCTTGTCTCTGCTCATCCAGTGAACGGTGATGGCCAGACCGATGATACAGAGAGTCTGAATGCTATTCTGGCTCAAAATGCTGAATCTTGCAAAGTGACGTATATCCCCTATGGTGTTTACCGCGTGTCGGACACCGTCTTTGTCCCCGTCGGAACCCGGATTGTCGGAGAGGCATGGTCTGTCATCTCTGGATACGGTTCTAAGTTCAAGGATTCGGCCAACCCACGACCAGTGGTACAACTTGGTAACCCCGGTGATGTCGGTCTAATCGAGATTCAAGATATGCGATTCTCGGTCGGCGAGATTCTCCCTGGAGCCAAGATCATCGAGATCAATGCCGCCGGAAGCGAGCCTGGTGATGTCGGTCTATGGAACACCATGGCACTTGTTGGCGGTACCGCCGATACCAGCGTTACCACCACCTGCACTTCCCAGGACCCGAAGAACTGCATGGCCGCCTTCATGGTTATGCACCTGACCGAGAGCTCCTCTGCGTATATTGAGAACTTCTGGGGTTGGACCGCAGACCATAACCTGGACAGCGAATCCCTGCTCACCATCATCTCCACTGGGCGTGGTATTCTCGTTGAGGCGACCAAGGGCACATGGCTGACCGGTACCGGTTCTGAACATCACTGGCTTTACAACTACAACTTCCACAAGGCCCAGAATGTGTTCGCGGGCCTCCTCCAAACGGAGAGTCCTTATATGCAGGGACAGGGAGAGTACCAGGCCGCGCCAGCGCCTTGGACCGCAATCGCCAAGTACGGCGACCCTGATTTCTCATGGTGTGGAGCAGATGACCAGAAGTGCCGTAGCGCTCTTGCTACCAACATCGATGGTGGATCTGACCTTGCTCTCTACAATTCTGCCGCCTGGGCCTTCTTTGATGGCTATTGGAACGGCTTGTACAACGAGCCCTGCAATGGCAATTGCCAGTCAAACATGATGCGGGTGACGAATGACCCTGTAAACCTTGTGTGGTATTCAATCAGCACCCGCATGACCGACGTAATGGTCCTCGACGGGAGGACCAACCCTCGCGAGTCGAACCACCAAGGTGGGTGGGAGGGTATAATCCAGGTTTATGGCGAGTTCACGGCTTGATTCTTGTTGTTATTTGCATCATTATTTGCACATATACATCACAAAGTATAGATACTAGAGTAATTAATAATGACATCTTTAATGAATGTATCGTGCACTGTAAACCTGGAAAGCCAAGAAAATGATCTATGTTGTGGTGATGTGTACGGAGTACTCCGTGATGCATGTATACACTGACGTCATTTCAATAATCCTTTCCTTTCTATTTTTATTCCAGCACGTGACTCCTGCCTCAGGCCCCAATCCGAGTCAATCCGAAGTGCATCGCCCCCGGCAACTCACTGCTCATCCAATCACGCGAGGGATGATAGCCTGGTAATCTAGCTGCCTCAAGCCTCCAGTATCACACTCGAAACTTCTAACGCGTCATCATATTTCTTGGCTTCTATACCACAAACCGCTGCGGAATCAATAATTCCAACTTGCCAGCTGCTGTTTGTTTTTTCCCCATGACGCGCGCCGAGACTGGCCAATTCCACAGAAAGCGACCCACCAAATCGGAAAGGGACACTCTCATCCACCACTCACGTCACATAGGGAGAGCCGATCTGTGGATAGTTTTGTCAATGGAAACTGTGCGAGATCCTCAGGGGGTCCAATTTCACGAGGTGAACTGCCGGGGATTCCGATGAAAATTGAGTTGGGACGGCAAAGGCAGCAGCATGCCACCTCTGGTACGGAGTACTAAATTTGTGGCAGGCTGTGCTCACCCACATTCAAGCTCATGCAAGCACCTGCAGGCTTAGATCTCGCAGGTGTTTAGCCTGGGGGAAAAGGTTAGAGCGTCCGTTGAAACAGCCCCCAAGACTGCGCCCTCATTACGAAGTGGGCCCGGAGATGACGATTCATTGTTCCAACCGTATGGCGAGCCATTCACGCAGTCCTCTGCCCTCGGACTGGACTCTCCTATCCCTGAGCGGACCCTTTGATCGACATGCGTATTTCTCTTCACAAGGCTGAGGTCATATCGCCACCCGTGGACTGCCTTTCGGGTGCCTAACAACGGGAGGCGCAATTAAACTCCGATGTTTCTATGTATAGGGGAAATATCTGCACCAGAAGATATAAGGAGTGGTTCGCCCCAGATCTTTTGTAAATCATTCACATCTCTAAGTCAAGATTTCCGATCTATCCACCTAAACACACACCAACCCAATACCTTCAAACCACACCTTCAAAGTCAAAATGAAGTTCACCCTGGTCTCCGCTCTTTTCCTGGCCACTGCTGCCATGGCTGCCCCTGATGGCATTGACGTGAACTCCATTGTCTCAGATGCCGAGGGCATTGCCTCAACCGCTGTCAGCGGCGGTGAGTCCATTGGCTCCGACGTCGCCGACAAGGCCACCTCAATCTACGAGGCTGCCAGCACCGGCGGCGCTGCTATCGTCTCCTCCCTCCGCAGCGATGCCTCCGAGGCCGCCTCCACTCTCACTGGCGATGCCGCTTCCGTCGTCTCTTCCATCACCAGCAAGGCCGACTCCATTGCCTCCGAGGCTACCTCCCGGGCTGCTACCTGGGTCTCTGCTCACACTCTGACCGACTCTGATGGCTCGGCCACCGCTACCCAGTCCACTACCCTCACCAGCCAGGTTACCGGTACCTCCACCAGCACTTCTACCGACTCTTCCAGCGCGTCGGCTTCTGGCTCTGCCAGCACCACTGACAACGGTGCCTTCGCTCGCCCAACTGCCGTCGGTGCCGCCGCTGCCGGTATGGCCGGTGTCCTCGGTATCATGGTTGCCCTGTAAAGGGTTAATTCTACCTTTTCTACGATTTGGATTCGTTATCAGAAATGATACCCGTTGTCCTTCTATTTGATGACTTTCCTTAAAATTGTGTCTATAGCTATTTTGCATCTCGGGAAAGAGGTTTGACTCTGGCGTTTCAAAGTATATATACCTCGTCGTACATTTATGACAATTTTGATCAATATCACACTTGAACAACACCAGGACCAATCGGTTTAAATGTGTAACACTATCCCTGGCAGCTGAAACACCTACCAAGCCGTGTTGTCTTGACAGGTCCGATGAGAGGGCGAGTAAACAGTCGGGTTACCACGGCCCGCGGGTTCCGCAGACTCATTGCCCGCCTGGGTAAATACCCCACTGCATTAATCATTTTTGCGACCGGCCGCAGTTGGCCCATCAATGTGGGATGCTGGGGATACTGAGTTGATCATAAAATTGCCCGATGAGGCAGAATCACTCTCATCAATAGTCGTTTGAGGCCCGGTGTACCACTGGCGCGCGAAAAGGAAGTAATAAATCATGCAGCCAAACCACACAGCCCCATTTATGACTATAGTGTAGTTCATGCTCGATGCTATGTTGATAGGCGGTCAGCAATCTGGCCATCAAGGCTCAAGAGTGGGCACGCTGGAACTTACGGGTAGGATTGGGGCCTCCAGAGGGAAACATTGACAGCACAACTCCGAAGAGGAGGTATATAACAGCCACACTTGAAATGGGCTTGCTCAGACAGCCTGTGTAAAACTCGCCTGGTTGAAACCGATCATGGCCCCAAACCAGCCTACAGAAAATGGGAGTGCCCCATGATAGATAGTTGCTGGCAACGAATAGTGAGAAAAGAGCGTTAGCAGCGGCAGAGTCGATCAGACAAAGCAACCCAAGAACGATACACGCCACAACTATGCCGCATATCATGCGCACTGGCTGGTATCGTACACGTCGACTCACGTGGGAGAAGAATTTGGAAAAAGGAAGTGCGCCGTCGCGAGAGAAAGCCCACGCCTGGCGTGATGCGGCGAGAGCCAGACCGAGGCCATTCAGAAACTGGACGAGGCACATCACAGCCATGAAAGCCAAAGCGCCTTCTCTACCCAGTGCATCATAGTAAATTTGAGCCATAGGCTGGCCAAACTGCGAGTTGATGGTGTTGTTGACATCAGGATCCATCGTTGCAACAATGACAGACAACACGACAAATCCTAATATGAATGCCGAGCTGGCTGTCCCAATGATTCCAATAGGAACAGATCGAGCTGCGTGCAGGGCCTCTTCACTCATATGCACGCATGAGTCAAATGATGCGATTGACCAGATCGGAGCGAGCCAGGCTAGCATGAAAACCCATCCTGTCGGCCAAGTTGTCTCATTGTCGACGTGACCGTACACGAAATGACCGGAGTTGAGCGACCCGCCTCGGGCCAGCTTCCCAACCGGTAGGGCAATCACCGTCGCAATCATTAGTGCAACGTTGAGGTAGAGCGAAAGACTCTGGATTGCAGGCATCATGCGGCCTCCCATCGAAGTACAGAGCCCGTGCAAGCATATCAACCCGACAAAAACGGCATAAAGCACGCCATTTGAAGCAGACCAATCGTCCAGTCGTGATATAGAAACACAGGACAAAATCATGAGCGCAAGTGTGTCTGGGAAGCGGTAAGTATTAACAATGATCTCGGTGGTGGTGATTGATCTCACAGTCCACCGAGCAAACGCCACCAAGTAAACCCAGGGTATTGCTATACCCGACCAAGAAGCTCAGCGGTCTCTTCCATTTATCACCAGCGAGGTAATGGGTCCACCAATAAAGGCCTCCAGCAGTGGGCATGGCAGACGCGAGATCAGCCTACTTGACAACATTAGTGCCAGGTCTTCGATAGTGCTCAGGGGCCGTACCATTGCCAGCGCAACCATCACGATAAACGTCCCCGCGGTAAACCATCCCTATGCGCCAGATATCAGCCAAACACGCGATGCGACACAGAAACTCGTCGGTCGCATACCCAAACCATCCCAACCGGGCCCGCAGGCAGAGAGAAGGAAAGCGTTGACGCGATCGAGGGCACAAGGCCCATAATGCTGAACGCGACGGCAAATATCTGAGATGTGGAATACTGGCGACGTAGCTCCTGCTTGTATCCCATACGAGCTGGAGCGCGATTAGCGAGGGTCCCCAACGCGGATTCGATCTCATCTCACCAAGCAGCTGCACATCGTCGGGATCTGCGATTGCATCGGGCGCGCCCGACGCGACAGCTTCCGGGTCGGATTTCGATTCCATACTTTCAACTGCCGACCGAGATCATGCTTGGAAATGACCATTTTCAAGAGGCAGAAGTTTCTCAGTTTCTCAGTTGCAAGGAAGACACAAGTGGATCGTGCAAATCCCTTGCGTTGCTGTTGCTAATCGCCCAGTGGCTGCTTCCTGCAGCTCACGGCTGAGAATGCAGCGCGATCTGCCTCATTTCCCGCACTGTACCAATCGGGAGGAAATGCTTGTGTTTGCAGATCTTTGATTTGCGGGCTAGCGCGTTGCTGCATGACCAAATTGCCACTATCGGGTGAAATGATCAATTAAAAGGAGGGTCTCGAAATTGTGGCAGACTTACTATGCAGCCTCGCGTACTCCGTACGGACTACTCCGCACTCGCACTCAGCTCATCATTTTGCAAGCAAATTGCCACGGGATTGATACTAAACCCGCACTGTACGGAATATTTCTGACCTGAATCACATAGAACGACTCTGAATTTCACAACTTCATGGTTTGAATTAAGATGCTGCAACTATGAATGACTTTAACAGACACTCCATGAAGACAGCGCATGGGTACTCTCTTTCATGGCTTTGATCGGATACGTGCAGACAACCCGCCTTTTTCTTCATACGATTGTCAGGTAGATTCGGGTTTGCCAGTCGAAACCCGTACCTTCCTTCACATAATATGCCCCGTATAGGCCAACCCGATCGACAACGAATTCTCAATGGCCATTCATTTCTAAACCTCGTCCCCGGGCGGCCCCTCTCTCCGTGGCTGATCGAAGCTTCCTGTCATAGTGTGCTCGGAAGCCATGGACTCCTTTCTTCCATTGTTCGCTTCCCATTCGTTATAATCCTGCCCAGGGTTGATTTTCTCCCAGCGGACGAAGCAGAGGATATGATAGAAGCCAGACGCGAGCAAAGACCCAAGGAGTGGACCAACCCAATATATCCAGTGATATCCGGGGAAGTTGCGATTGATCACATCGGGCCCTAGAGAGCGAGCAGGATTGAGAGAACCACCGGTATAGTAATCACCTAGAAAAAGACTGTCAGACTGATGGCTTGAAGATGACCAAACTAGGATGCATACCGATCAATTCCGCCACGAAGAATGCCAGCCCAATGCCCACCGGCGCCAGGTATGTAGACTTGTGCTTTACCACCGCCAGCATGATGATGACGATCACCAACTGTGCAGTCAAGAACATTTCAATGAACAGTCCCTGTACAATTGATGCCCCTCCTCCCAATCGGGTTGCGCAATTGAGTGGACCTGGGAACAGAGCGCTAACTACGCCGGCCGAGGCGATACCAGCAACCAGTTGAGCGGGAAACACGAACAGTCCTCGCAGGGGAGGCATGCCACCAGTTAGACAGAGGGCCAGCGTGACCTAGTCATTGTTAGTCTCAGCGGTATAGTTTTCTCATACTTCACTGGCTTACCGCTGGATTGAAGAGACCGCCAGTCACGCGGAAGAAAGCCCAGACATTGACCGTCAATGCAAAACCGAAGGACAGCGCCGAGTACAAGAGATTAGATGTATTTGGGTACGAGCCTGGCGGCGGCATCGGCGTATTCGACACCTGAGTACCCGCAAAAGAGAAGAAGAGGAACAGGAAAGTCCCGACAAACTCGCCCATCACACATAGCAAATTGTATCGTAGCTTGTCTGGCAATTGAAGCATAGGCAGCTGCCCACGGCCGCCGGGGCCCGGCGGACCACCCAAGGTCGATACATCAGCCGAACTGCGCTTCTTGAATCGCATCTTCAGCTATGAGTTATTTGGAAGAGAGGTCAACGAAGAAGAGCTTGAGACTACCGCGTGCGAATCTCGTCAATATGAGAACATCAAAAGCTCTGCATCTTAAGATTTCGTCATGCGGCCTATATAATTTACCCCCCATGGGTCTATACCTCGTGTGAATTGCATATCACCGACGTCACTACCGTTGACACAAGCGTTTAAGCTGGTGGAAGTATCATCGACCCATGTTTGGCCACGTGCAATCACCCCTCCTGATAGCATCTCTCGCTATTGCAACATCTGGCAATGCAATGGGATAGGCGGATGCTGCTTCCTACAACAAACAGTCGTAAAGAGTGGAATGGTGAGGTAAGCAAATTAGGTTCGGCCGAGGTATACAAAACGGCGACCGTTGGACGGGCACACCCGGACTTCCGCAACCGGTTATGGCGATCGATTGTCTAGACCTCGCCGGTCTGTCTTTGAGTGCATTGTCCAATCAGGTGTCTCAATTGGGTCTCTCGATGGCTTTTCCAGAAGGCTGTCATTTGGCTAGCGTGAAACATGGATTTATAGACGCCACATCGATGAATGCCTCATCATCCGCAGCCAAAAGTCTGACGTCTCGGAGTTCTCCGTGGTATATGCCTCTCTTGATTGGTATATCGGAAGTTGGACTGACTTTGTAGATCTATGGCAATTCGACGGCTCGTTACCGGAGCCGGGGATGGAAGTCCCGCCACATCTCACGGGTGACCACTTGACTCCGGTCGATGATCTGAAAATACCACAAGCGAACGCCAAAATGGCTCTCACGAGATTCTAGGAGCGGTTCATGGTGGTGTGGAGCTTCTGAATCACAATTATACCTGTGATCGAGAACGAGCGTGTCCACGGAGGCCTTGCCAAGGCTGCAGCTCCTTTCTGAGGACCAGTCTGGGGATCCAGTGCATGATTCATTGAACTCTCAGCTTCATCGTTGCTTGATGGACATTGGCTGTTCTGAGATGTACAATGCTCGTATTGACCTTTGCACCATGATTCATGAATTCCACCCGAGAAAGCGCGAAGTCCGCTTTGTTACTTGCATAGTCGAAGCATCAATCTTTTGCTGGCTGACAATGCTTCCTTTGATCTCGATTTTGCTCCAGATTTCTTGCCATCGAGTCAGTTCTCACATGACCCAGGAACTCGGGCGCAACCTTGGAAGTTTGCAGAGCATTTTGTCAACGATAGGCTATCAGAGGTAGCTCGCTTAACTGCAGGCTGGTGGAGTTCCGCAGGTCGGTTTTTGCTGAATAACTTGGAAGCCGGGAAAAGGCCGAAAAATGGTTCACAGTTCTGGCCACAAGTTCGTGAAAAGCGTCGGGCGGTGCGGAGCAAAAGAATTGTAATTGTTGGTGTCTGATTGGAAGATTTCGAAGTGTTCGGCCCGGCACATCCCTAGTCTTTCTCGTGCGTGGCCTGACTCACCGAGATCACACAAGGGCCCGGGATCATCTGGTGTACCGATAGAGAACTATATCTGAAGTAGTTACTTATTGTTTAATTTTTCATATCTCAATTGAATGTTGTAGCGCTGATGTAAATTGGTTCGCCACTACGGAGTACATAGAAAAAGCTTTTGAGTTGATCGCCTGTCAGATCATACCCCACTAATAGGCATGAAGATTTATTAGTATGCTACTCCGTACATTGACACTCAATATGTAGACCTGAGATAGAACATCAATAGAACATCTTAGAAGAGTATATGCACATGGTTGTCCAACTTGCGATAATTTGCCGCTCGGCGGCCGAAAAAAACAGCGTGCGCAATATCCGCAATACCCTCATCTCCGCGGAGCTCTGGTTTTTTCTCGGGATTTCTCGACAGCCTTCTTCCTCATCCTGCAAGTGGTACCTTACACATGGCAATATTGTGGATCCAGATGTCTTGTAAGCCAACGAAACGTAAATGATTATAATTAGTAGGTCGTTTAAATCTGTCGCTATAAAAGCCGGCCAAATCCTCTAAGTCAAGACGTTTCCAGATTCTCATCCAACTATCAATTCAACTTACACACATCCACCATGGGCTCCAATCCAGCAATGACACCAGACCAGATCGCCGTCATCAAGGCGACGGTGCCTGTTCTGGCGCAACACGGCAACACTATCACTACGGTCTTCTACCGCAACATGCTCGAAGCCCACCCCGAGCTAAATACTATTTTCAACACACCCAACCAGGTGAACGGCCACCAGCCCCGCGCTCTCGCAGGTGCCTTGTACGCCTATGCCTCGCACATCGATGATCTCGGTGCGTTGAGCTCGGCCGTGGAGTTGATCTGCAACAAACACGCCTCTCTATACATCCAGCCCGACCACTACAAGATTGTTGGAAAGTACCTCCTCGAAGCGATGGGTGAGGTCCTCGGCGCTGCATTGACCCCAGAAATCCTCGATGCGTGGGCCACGGCCTATTGGCAACTCGCAGACCTTATGATCGGTCGCGAAAAGCAGCTTTATGAACAGAGCGAGGGCTGGACCGACTGGCGCGAGTTCAAGATTGCGAACAAAGTCAAGGAGTCTGAAGAAATCACTTCCTTCTACCTCGCTCCCGTCGACGGCAAACCTCTTCCCACTTTCCAGCCTGGCCAGTACATCTCTGTCCAGGCCAACGTCCCCGCCCTCGGGTACCCACAAGCCCGCCAATACTCTCTCAGCGACCAACCCAAGCCAGATTATTACCGCATCAGTGTGAAGAAGGAAACCGGCATCAACTCAACGGACCCGGCCCCCGCTGTCACGAACCCCGGGTACATCTCGAATCTGTTGCACGACACATTCAACATCGGAGACACCCTCCAAGTCTCTCACCCATATGGCGACTTCTTCCTCTCGCCAAGCAAGTCTGACAGCACCACCCCGATCGTCTTAATCTCCGCCGGTGTGGGTCTCACCCCCTGACGTCAATGGTCAACACCTTGACTTCTCAAGCGCCTCAAGCCCGCAAGCTTCACTTCATTCACGGTGCGCGTACTTCAGCCGGTCGCGCTTTCAAAGACCACATCTCACGACTTTCCGAGCTTTCACCTCCTATTCAAGCGACTTTCTTCACCAGCCACCCTGTCGAGGGCGATAAAGAGGGTGTTGACTACCACCACGTCGGACGTGTCGACCTCACCAAGCTTGATGACAAGGACTTGTATCTCGAAAATGCTGAAACCGAGTACTATATCTGCGGACCAGAGAAGTTCATGACGGATGTGGAATCGAGTCTCAAGGCCAGGGGTGTGGCTGCCGACCGTATCAAGATGGAATTGTTCGGCACTGGAGGTGCCCCCCACTGAGCATGAAGTCGTGCATTGATTGCATTGTATATCATCGAGCTGTTTTTTTTTTTTTTTTTTTCCGGCGTTAGAACGTACATATCTCACCTCTAATATCACGATTGATGAATTTGTCAAGATGAAACCGGCGGTTTGTACCCTTTGCATTGTTTACACTGTTTGCTTTACAACCCGCTCCACCCACCTCCATGGACAACGCGTCGATGTATCTACAGTGTGTTCAAACATCAGAGCTATAGACATTTTTAATGTTTTCAATGGGAGTTTTCAAATTTTTAGACTGGAACCTGCGAGAATTGCCATGATGAATAGGACATTTGTTCGGCATCGGTCGTTGCCGCAGACCGAAGCCGAGCATGACTGGAGATGATTATCAATTTCTAAGCAATCGCGCGCCAAGAATCTTTGAATCCCACGTCATCTCGAATATAAGATCAAAATTCTCAAGGTCACTTCGCATTCCTATCCCAATTTTATACCCACTCTCTTCATTTGATAACAACATGGTTGCCAAAATTGGTGTTTTCCCAGCCGCTGGTGGTCTCGGAGGAAGCACAGTGAACCACTTGTCCAAGCAAGTTCCCGCATCGCAGCTGGTCTTGATTGCAAGGAAACCAGAGAAGCTGGCAAATTTTGAGCGAGATGGAGCTACCGTCCGCCAAGCTGATTATGATCAGCCATCATCGTTGGAGACAGCATTTGATGGCGTCGACGTTCTCATGTTGATCTCGTATGCGTCTTTTGAACTCGAGCATCGCGTGAAGGTAAGAGCAGTGCTCTAAAAACTATATCGAATATGACCTGACCCGAATAAAAGTCACATCGTCTAGCTATTGATGCAGCTTTGAAGAGCGGTGTGAAATACATCTTCTACTCCTCTCTCGGCTTCGGCAGCGGTCTAAGCGACAAAAGCGTTGCCCATGTTATGGGCGCCCATTTGGAGACAGAAAAATATCTCTCGTCGCTCAAAGACAAAGTTTCTTACACTTCTATCCGTGAAGGGCTTTATTCCGAGTCGTTCCCGATTTACACTTCATATTTCGATCCCCAGAACCCAGTGAATGAAATCACGATTCCCCACTCTGGCGACGGGCCAGGCGTGACGTGGGTGAAGCGCGATGAGTTAGGCGAAGCAACCGCGAACTTGATTGTGTCTTACGTCAACAACCCAACCAATTTCAAGTATCATAACGAGATTGTTCTGCTATCCGGACCACGGGAGATCTCACTTGCAGAGACGGTGGAGATCATCGGGCGGGTGCTCGGCAAGCCGCTCAGCATCCGCGAAATTTCGGTAGCTGAGTATGCTAAGCTCCCTCAAATCGGGAACAACAATACATACCACGGAGTCGAGCTTTCAAAGGAATGGGCAACTGCCTGGCAGGCAATCAAAAATGGTGAAACTGCTGTTGTGTCGCCGGCCCTTGGAGAGATTCTTGGCCGTGAGCCAGAGAGCTATGAGCAGACTATCAAGGAGTTGCTTGCTTGAATGATGTGATTACTTTGTGTCCAATGATAGACAGCCTAATTTGATGAGAAATATTGAACCTGAATTCGCTTCTTATTTATGCAGCTTCAATCTCGCTATTAGGTATGTTTGATATGTAATTGCGAACAAATAGGTACAAATGAGTGTAGGGTCTTGCAGTATGGCCACATTCTCGAACCATCAAGGCCTAATGCGATTCCACCTACAAGCCCCCTCTTTAAATTCGATAAAACATTTAAGCAGAGTAGTTCTTGAGCTCCTTGACGTAAAGGTTCTCACTGCGGTACTCAGCGTTGTGAGCAGCGTACCAGTAGATCTGCTTGACGGGGTTGTCACCGTATCCGTCAACGGAAAACCAGGGCTTGCCGCCGTGGGTGAAAAGACCCTTGTCGTTGACACCGAATCCAGTGAGGTTGCCGCCCTCGGGAACGGCACCAGAGTGAGGAATGGTCAGGCCAACGGGGGCGACCTGGTCCTCAACAATGTACAGGTTCTGGAAAGCAGTGGGGACACCGTTCTTAGCGGTGTAGGAAACGAGGCCGTTGGGGCTGCCACCACGGACTAAGAGGCGGGTTAGCTTCTTGGAGGTGAGATCAATCTTGAGTGGAAAGCTTACGGATGAGGATGTCGTGGGTGGTGGTGTTGGCACCGATGTAGGCGCTCTGACCATCGGTCAGGACGGTCTTGCCGCCCTCAGCGACGAGGGTGAAGGCGTTGGGGAGGCTGGCAGCGCTAATGGCGCCGACGAAACCAGTGAGAGCAGCGAGAGAGAACTTCATTGTGATGGTAGAATTGTGATTGTGAATGAGAATCAATGGACCTGGGGCAGGGGTATCCAAGACCTTTATAGCCTTGGAAAACCGGATACTGATGCAATATTCGACCAAGGCGAGCTACTAGCGGAAGTTGAGGTCACCAAACGGGGCCCGATTCCACTTTGCGAATAAAGTGGCTACTTTAAATGGATTAGTTGATACCATTGGCCGATCATGCCGCAGGAGTAAAACATGTCTTGCAACCCCTCATAACATAACGGCAAAATGCATGCTTTGCACGACAGATGTCGTCAAACGGTCGGCTTGGGCTATCCTCCAACAGCGACTGTGTAGATGGCTCGGAATGCACAGTTTCCCTCGCAGACACTCCCCAGCAGCTAACAGGTAATATCTCACTCGAAACCCCTGAAGACCCTGCATTATCCGGTTAAACCTCAATATCCGAATAGTGGATCTGACCCCATTACGGGAATCAGCCACTGTCGATCTTCAGGGCGCTGGTGGAGGAAATTCGGGGTGTCGCCCATTTCGTGCCATTTGCTATTCTTAGCTCCTCATTTTTCAGGTTCGATCATCGTTCATCCGCGTTTCCCATCGAATGCGCCTTTCCGACGTCCCGAGGATCGGCCACGGCTTCGGCGAAATTGATTTTTCCACGATTTTTGGTTCGGAACCCCCGTCCATCTTTAGTTCCAAGGGAAATAATTATCCGGTTGAACTGCTCAAGATCCATGTTTACGATCGCTGTGATCGAACTGTTCGGCCTCCGATGGAGGTTGCGCAGGACAACCATCAATGATGTGATCCACAAGCACGTAATCAAAGCCTCATCCGTCATTGCAAGAGCGGTGTGCATTAGGTGCGAACAAGTACAGGAGCACACCACTCTGAAACGAAGTGGCTCTAGGCGGCAAATTTCTAGGGTCGCGTCCTCCAGGGTCCTTGCCTCACAGAGCTGGTCAATTTAGCGTCTACTGTTGTAGAATGATCTCAGACTTTGAGTCATTCGTCTCTCATCCATTAACTATGCATGGACGAGGTGGAAGACCTTGGGTTGAGGGTGGTACAAACTTCTTTCGGGGTTATCAAGGTTTTGTTCATTACCTACTCACCTACCTCCTCAATGTGAATGTAGTATTAGAGATGGTTTGGAGACAATTGGTGTTGGTATTTCGAATCTTGATATATTTTCTCAGCAAATCGAAGCTAAACTGAACACCGATAGGTAGGACCTCGGGAAGAGCCCTCCAGGGCTGAAGCTGACCAAACCACGTCGGTACTTTCCCATGATTTGGCAATTGGTCAGAGCAACATTCCCAGATGCTCACTTATAGATGTAAAAGTAGTAAGTGCCACCAGGTGCGGTCTTCGCATCCATCGCGCCAGCAAGCAAGTCGTCCCTGACGTATCGGAAGTAATCAATGATCGGAACATCATCATAAACCATTGCAGTTGAAACTTTGCCATTCCATTCAATTTGACGAAGCTGAAGCAAGTAAAATGGTCAGCTCGGACAGGACAATGGTCGACATGGCTTAGCGAAATCGAAATCAAACGAACTCACTCGCGCGTGTCCCCAATCGGGATTCCAGATCCTCTTCTGATCTTCATCGTAGACCATAATGGGATCGACATCCTCCGTTGATCGGAATTTTTTCCCGGCCCATTTCATGCCAGTGAGTTTTGCCTCTGTTGGGTGGTTTGTGTTCACGTTCGCTCCCTTCCAGTCCCCGATGAAGAGAGCTGGCTTAACAGGCTGAAGATTGTCAAAGGCTGCTTGTACATCGTTGGCATCGAGGTTTTTTCCCGCAACTAGTTGCTCGTAGTGTTGTTCCGGTGAACTTGTAGTGTGGCCGAGTCAGTACATTCAGATAAATGATGTCGAGTAAAGATGGTTACACACAGAGACATGGTGGCTGAAGGCTGGTATGCTAACTTTCTCAAGTTTGGGGATATGTATGGGTTCTCTTATAGTCGGGTTAAGGGATTTATCGCTCAAAGTTGAGTGTGTCTCCAGGGCTGTCCGGAGTTTGAATGACATATAAATATCCTGTGTCAACACACATTCTACTTCAACAACACAATACTTGTGTGACACATCGTGCTCGTTATCTGTTCACTTGATCTGATTTGTTGACGTTGGCGAACGGATCGGTTCTCAACACACTTCCATGGAGAACTTGTATTCTGATTGGATTTCAAAGATTAAGTTGTGACGGAGCACTATGGTCTCGATCGAGGTGATCGACTCAAGGCGATCGAGTGTGCAGACAATGTATTGAAAGCCAGCGAAAGACATCAAATCAAGGTGTTTGCTGTGGGTACTTGATGATGTTTGGTGTCACCGGACGTCAAAGATTGGGGTCATTGAGCCTGCACGATCCGATTTCGACAACAGGACATGGTTCATTTTTTTTCCAATATTGATACGATTTTGTTGTTGAAAAGCACAGCTTTCCTATCTCTGAGAGCCACGTGGCCTGCAAGGTGAGACTTACTGTATAATCCAATTGAATGCATGCATTCAAGTTGCCACATTCATTCTGGTATCGAATATCGCATTTCGCTCACCTGGGTATTGTCGTTCCAAGTTTTGCACGCTTGTCGCTACAACTCTTGAGATAAAACTCTAAATCGAGGATAAGAGTACACCACAAAGTCAGTATTGAGCGCGGCCAGCTCGGGAACCATTAGATCGGGTGTGATAAGCTTAATTGTTCCACAACGTGCGTCATAGAACATGAAGATCATCCTTTCTCAGCCCTAGAGCATCCCACCGCTATTTGATGAACGTTGTGCACCAATGAATTGTTCTTCGTTTGAACGCATGATCTGGGTTTGTGTTGTGAAGTGACATCACGCCTGATGCTCTCTGGGTATAATCGTCATCTGCGGAATGCATGTCATATCTGCTCGGTGGGAGATGGCCAGGCTTCAAGTCGATAAGTCGATTGCTCATGAGCGAGTCCCTTTCCACCTTCTCTTATCTCGATGAGATAATTAGGACGATCACTGGAAATCACGATCTGGCGATCGTCATACCATGTCAATCTGGATCGTCGTGTGGAACAAGCCTGTGACCTTGGAAGAACTCCTCCGCAGAGTTGCGGCTCCGTTGCATCTCCAGATCCATTTGCCAGGGCGATCAACTTCAAGGGCTGTTTGAGCGACAAGTGAGGCGGATGGAAGTCGGTGGTCTCTTTCCTGGGGTGTTGGATATCTGGGTCAGAGAAAGGAAGAGGAAACGGTGAAAAGAGAAAGGAAGAGGAAACGGTGAAAAGAGAAAGAGGGAGGGGAGGGAAAGGGAGGAGGGGAGAATTCTACCACCCACTCTGCGTCAGTAGCAAAAGACAGATAAGAAGCCACTACTTCCTGTCCTTTTGCGTTGAGGGTAATTCCGACTGATGCATGTTTCTTCTTCTAGAAGAGTACCGTAAGATGAGCCAAACCCATGGAAATGTACTATAGGACGGCTGTAAGCCCTCAGCCCGAATTACCCATCTTGTCTTCGGCTTCCGATGAGAATACACCCCCTCGAGTAGATTTGTGGCGGTACAATTTTTATCCTCCGGTGGTGACTTCGGGCCCACTGTACATTCCAGTGGGCTAACCCGGGTACGCACAAAGATCCCGTCGCCGTCCAAGATTCGGGGACAATACCCGGCAGTAGAAGCCGTGACAGAATCGAGGTGTTTATTTTGTGCAGCGGGCTTAGCGCCCGTTATTACTCCACTTTTGGGTCAGGGCGGGCCAAGTGGATTTGACTGATGCATTTTAGAAGCTGTCACACAGGGGCAACGGGTGCCCTGCAGAGCAACACGCCTGCTTGACTCCAACGGTCTAGACTCAGTACGGAGTACTCAATGACGTTTGAAGTCTCAGGGGTGTTAAGGTTGTGATAGATCTGAAGATAGAGAGTATGCTGAGAGTTGCTGGCGACCAGGATCACGAGGTCTGTGTGCAATGAACCAAGGCTCCCGGGTCCTATCATCCATGATCAGCTTGATCACGAACCTATATTAAATGCAAGTGTTCCATTGAATCTTGGAAGACTAAAAGGTACCATCGGATCTACTCAACCCAGATCGGAGAGTATCAGGAGACGAGTGCCTCATGCCATACACTGTAGAAACTCTCACCGGCAGCCAAAGTCGAGTACTGGTTTCCGAAAGCACTTCGTGCAAAAGCCACTTGTATTTCGGATTGTCACAGGGGTGTCATGATTTACAGGGGATCGGTGGGCATCGGGTTGGGGGAAAGCTAAGGAAGGAGATGATCCGAGTCACCCCACTGATTCAAGGCGCAGGTGACACTTGATTAGGAAAGAATCCGAGGTAACGGGCTATTACCTGATTTCCTACTGGTCGAGATGGCGGTCGACGCGACACTGGTCCACGGGTCTCTTCCGCAGTTGACACAACTTTGTTTATTGTCCTACCAATCCTAAGTCACCTTATGTAAGGCAGCAAATCATCGAGGGCTGGATGCTTCGAGCTTGTTTTAAGTGTGCTTTTATTGTATGGAAAATTCTGCAAAAAAGTGGCGCTGGTTTTGGGTCAGACTGGCAAAGGTACTGGACTGATACACGTACGTACACGTGGACATTGCCCAAAGCGGTGGTGTATAGCAACTGGAATACCAACAATGCATGGATTATACAGGAGAAACCTGAATAATCATACTATAGAATTGATACAATTCTGCTAATTTGGGAGTATCGCCATGACTTGCAGAGTACTAGGAGGTACGGAGTATTCCCCAAGCCGCATTGCTGACTTGCCCATATTGAAGAGCATTGTGACCGGCGAAAGATCGGGTACGCGATGTTTCAGCAGGTTTGCGGAATTTTCAAGGTTCTCTGCAGCCACTGATCAAATTTAATTTAGCTGCATACGTCAAAGAGGATTATCATCAGGGTTTTCCTGCCTTAAGGGGTGAATGGCAGGTGATCGTCAACAAACGCCAACCTGTCACTTCGAAGTGACGCGGGCAATTAGAGTACGTTACTCATGTTCATTACAGATTAAAACGAACAGGATATTACTTTTACCGCCTATGGCTAAAGAATGGCCAGTTGCCCGGGTATGAAGCCCCGTATCTCAAGGCTGTACGTACATGTACACAATGCTTACGTGCTCTATACCTGTCCAAACTTCGATTTGATACGTGTATATCCCTATACCAGTTTCAAGGGTTCGACTTATGGAAGCCTTGTCTACGTAGTACTTCGTTGCCGCTTTTACCTCTCCATGCGACTGGCTCTTTACATCTTGACCAATTCGTGGACTGAAGTAAGATTGCATCTTACAGGCAGGATCTGGGATATTCAATATCAAATTTATTCCATTCTTGAGCCCAGCTGTAGGTGGACGAGCATTGCAATACACTGCTCAAGCAAAGTCTGCAGATACATGATACATAGGCCGTCAAAGTGATTTAATATCATTGCAGAGTACTTCGTTAGTACTTGCGATGGTCGGGAGCACCTCCAGAGCTAGGCACCTGGGCAGATGGTTGTGATTATGATCTTGGTGGATATGAGAGGCCGGATACACTCCGTATATCTCCAGGACTCCTTTTGGATCAGTCAACGTCAGATTCGATAGGTAGCTCCCGAGGTCTTTGCTGCGTACGAAGTACATCCATAGATTGGAGCTACCAGCTCCAACACTACTGTAAACATTGAAATCGCCAAATCGAGACGAGTACTTAGGTGTACCCATGGATTCTGCTCTGAGTAGATGTATACCTCGTATTGAGCTAGCCAGATCCGTTCCACCCTGGAAACTGATATTCCGGAAATATACGTCCGCAATACGGCCAGACGAATTCGGCCATGTATAATTACGACACGACTTTCTACATAATATAGTTATGCTACAGGATATCAAGACTGCTTCCTGGAGTTTCATCTGCACCCAGATAACGCTCTATCATCATAACGTCAGGAAACGTAGCTGTGATTATGACTTCGCGGGAGGAGATTCCTTTGCGGCTAGGAAATCGGCAATTTAATGAACACAAGCAGGAAAAGGGGCGAATCAAAAATGCAGAACGGTGCATAATTAAAGAAAACGGTCCGATATACCCAGCAGCGTGTATCCAAAGGGGCAAAACAGAAGGAAAAGTACAAAAAGTACAAAAAGTACATTAAAAAAAACGATCGGGTCCGGGCTTCGGCCGAAGGATGCTTGGCGGCGGGCCCGCGTTCCCGTCATATCCACAACTGTCGTTCATCAACGGTTTCACGCTGGGATCTTGGAAGTAACGGAAAGGCATCGGAGCCGGCCGTTAGAGATCTCGACTGGGGTGATCTCGGCTTCAAGTGACCGTGTCTTTCTTTTGGATCTTATGGATCAGGGTTCTTACATCACTGGATCTTTTCGATACAGGTAATCGTCCGTTCCGGGTCTATTTCGTACCCCTGTATATTTTCGGGGAAGACTCTGCCTTTATATAAATTCCCTACGGCCGAAGCCCCCAAACTCCTGATGATACAATTCCCAATTATTTATAACCCAAATTCATTCGCCACTCCTCCTTTCATCATCCATCTTCACCTTACTATATATCCCACACCGCAGATTACCTTCGCCAACGTATGATCCTTCAAGATGTGCATCATGGCTTGCAACCGATCCAATGAGATCCCGAATCTCTCGATGGATGAAGAAACCTACCTCAACCAACAGCTGAGTCCACAGTCTCGGCCTGCCGACTTCTTTAACAGAGCATCCGACCCCTCCGACCCCTTGGCTGCCAACTGGAGCTATGATAGCGCCATCGATATGTTTGCTCTCAACCCCACCGACATGGAGCCGGTGTCATTCGATTTTACCGACAACCTCGCCAACCTGGAGCCCAAGGACCTCTTCGCCGACCCATTCACTGGTTCGTCCGGCATCAGTGGCTTCTCCATGCCCATGGCAGAGGATGCTGCCTCACTCTCATCGGTAGGTTCCTGTGATCATATGTTGTCTTGAGATATCACTAACCAAATCGAAATAGGAGCTCGACAGTGACGATCAGTCATGGCAGTCTGCTGCCGCTCGTCAATCCATCGACTCAAACGCCTTTGAGATCCAAGCAAACGAGCCAGCCAACATGACCCACAGCCGACCAGAGATCAAGACTCGATCGTCAACAAGATGGTCATCAAGCCCCGACTTCAAGCAAGAAGAGGTTTCCACGCCGCAGCCTACCAAATCCGCTTCCACCTCCACATCCCGCAAGACCCGCAGTTTCTCCCAAGACTCCAACCGCTCGTCCGGTAGCCAAGACCCGCAAATGCGGAATGCTGCCAAGCGTGCCGCCCACAACATCATCGAGAAACGTTACCGCACCAACATGAACGCCAAATTTGTCTCACTGGAGCAGGCTATCTCCCCATCGCGTGTTCAAAAACACACCAAGGTTGGCGCAGGATCCCTCAAGAAATCAGAGATCCTCACCAACGCCCTCTCATACATCGATGGTATCCAACAAGAGAACCAAGCTCTCCAGAAGGAGTTAGCGATGCTGAAGCAGAATATGGTACCGGGTGGTATGTGGCGACCGAACAAGCACCCCAGAATCTGATCGACTTCACGTTCGACCTCTACCATTCTTGTTCTCATGACCGTGACGAGCGTTGTGTATTCTTAGAATAACCGGAGAAATTGATCCCGGTCGGCGTTGCTTGTGATTCTTTTTTCCCCTTCTTATTTCGTTCAACTAGGCGGAGGCGTTTGGATTGGAGTTCTTTGGGCTGATATTCGGTCCGCTCTCATCTCTCAGATGACCTTCGAGTCGTGGCGACAACAAAAGTGTTTTTAATTTGTCTTGAGATATCCCTCCACGCGTGGGAATCATCATAGATGGTATCCTAAAGCATCAATATAATGCCAAGGCTCGGATGATTCATTTTTTCGCTCAAGTTCTGCGCTCGTTTCAGTATGGCCTGATTCTTCCCGATCCGGATAATTTCGCGCTGGGTATATCTACCTCATCGCACCTTCTTTCCTGCGCTTCGTTCCCATCTCTTCTCTGGTCCTAGAAATGACCAAATGCAAATACACAAGTTCAATTCCCCGACTGTGCGACCATTCAACTCAATGACCTTGTGCCGCCGTTGCTTCCGACATGCTTGCCAAGTTTGGAAGTAATTCCAGCCACAAAGTCCAAACAAATGTGGTGGAATGTACTGGCTCCCACTCACGAAGTGATTTGTCTTCGCACTGCATTACTGCGTGCTGTTGGCAAGCATTTTCAGGGGACTGTGGGAAAAAATGGGAATGCTTGTGGATTGAAAGGCCGTACACACCACCGAAGTGAGCAAGTAGGGGCACTTCCACGCTAAGCCAGCCCCAGAAACCCAATGGAAGGGGAATGAAACGTTCCGACGCGATCGACCAATCCTCGTCACTCCATGAGGAGCGTCCAGGCTCAAAATTCCCAATTGGGAAGAGGGCCCTGCGCGGTGCCTGAATATCACCAGAATCCCCCGGCCTCGCAACAGATATGAGACCTTACCGCTGATGATATTCTGACTTTGTCGAAGCCGCTCCGCCACAAGATCTCCAAAAGTCATGGGATTGGAATCACGAGAACTATACGGACCGCTTCACCCCAGATTTTGCGGGGAAGCAGCGAGACTACCATGGCAGATTCATCTCCTGTTGACCCCTAGCCTCAAAGGGAAAGAGCAGGAGATTCAAGCACCGAGATACGGCGATGCAGACCAATAACAGTCACCGTCTCATTTGAACTCAAAGAGAATCGCTTGCTCTTGTACATTTGCATACCTCAATCCTCGACGGGCAGCAAGGTCCCAACTAGTGGAAGCCTTATCGCTCTAATTGCGCAGCTACTGTTGACGAAGTGGAGTCTCCGATGCCGTCCCTCGTGGATGAATACCAGCACTGCTGCCTGCGTAATGCATATGCATCGTTTCCTCCTTCCTATTTCTTCTATGAACCAAAAGCTCATCACTGGTGAGTTGTTCCCATGACTGATCATCAGTCGCAGAAGCTTCAATTGACGGTTCATTACGGAGTATTGACATCGTGATATTACATCTTTCTCGAGTTTGTGGCGATCCAACATCGGCAAAGTCAAGTTAACCCACAAACCGATAGTATCCACCTGTCTATCGAGGATGAAGATCGCGATATGTCTACAGTTTATGTTATGGCAATAAGGAACCCTATTCCAAGGTTGTTAGTAGAGCCGCGCTTCAAGCCCCTATCTCTCTTATCGCGCATGTACCTGCCATTTTGGGCGGTCGCCACTGATGACATCTCGACTTCAACTGCCCAGCTCCTATCACAACAAGCGTAGGGAGTAGCGCGATGTTTCATGCTCCTATCTACAGTATCACCTCCACTGCCGCTACACGAGGGTCGATATGTAGTGTTCTGTAGACCATGCGATGCTAATAGCGGTCGGAGCTGTTCCCATGTGGCAATGGCAAAGGGATGGCATTTAGCCACAAAGTCTATCTACCAGCACCAATTGAGTTCACAGCCGTGAAAATGAATATCGCCAATCACAACAGCACAATCAGAGCAGTTCCATTACCCCAGCTCTCAGGTGTGGAGAGTGGGCGGCCCACTGCAGGAGGTCCTACCGAGGCGAGCCACCGAAATCCCCGCAATCGAAAAGTGGAAAATCCTGCTTTCTATTATCAACGTCGCCTAATTCCATGACCAATTGTCCTGATTCAGCCTGACCCCATATCACACAAGTGACATAATTGGCCAACGTTCTCCAAGCTTTATCTCGATTTACTTCGCCCGGTATCTTCCTGTGAGGGGTGGTCGGTGTCAACGCGGAACGGGAACGCCAACCTCCCTCCAGGGCCTATATATGTACATAGCATTCAGCAGCTCTTGCATGTTCCTTTACTCGATCAGAAAATGGGCGCATTGATCATCAGCCTGCCCACCGAGTTCATTCATATCGCCTTCGGCTGAATACGAGTACCCAAGTGATGGATTTGGAGTCCAACGCACCACCCCTTAAACCGCCATTGACGGACCAAAATGTGCAAGATGCGCAGGATCTCGCGGCCCTGGGCCATTCCCAGGCCCTGACGAGAAAATTCGATATGTGGAGTATGCTGGCGCTGGCCTTTTGTGTGCTTGGTATGTTATTGCGTTCGCCACCCCTAATATGCAAATGTTAACTTGCTCCAGGGACATATTCGACATTTGCCCAAGATCTCAGCAGCGGCTTGACCAACGGAGGAGCAATTACAATCCTTTGGGGTCTGGTGCTGGTCACTGGGTGTAACCTCTGTGTCGCCCTCTCGCTGGGCGAGCTGACTAGCAGCATGCCCACGGCCCTCGGTCAGGCCTACTGGGTCTACCGACTCTGGAACACACCACTGGGACGATTTGTATCCTACATGTGTGCATGGATCAACACCTTTGGATGGTGGACCTTGACTGCTTCACAGGTCGCCTTCATGACCGAATTCTTACTGGGCATGAAGACGATGTTCAATCCCGAATGGGAGGGAGCCGGCAAGGGCTGGCTAAACTTTGTCGTGTATGTTGGTGTCGTCTTTGTACTCACTCTGATCAATGTGGTGAGCTGTCGCAAGGAGAAGATTCTCCCCTGGCTTAACAATTTTGTTGGGGTGTGGTTCTTCGGTCTATTTATCGTCCTGTCACTTGTGCTGCTGATCAGCGTCGGTGTGAAGAGCGACTTGTCCTTCCAGCCTGCATCCTTTGCCTTTGGAGCCTGGAAGAACGAAACCGGCTGGGGCGATGGCGTCGTGTGGTTTACCGGGCTGGTACAGGCCGCGTATGGTCTGACTGCGTTCGATTCGGTCATTCACATGGTGGAGGAGATTCCAGCGCCCCGCAAAAACGCACCTCGAGTCATTTGGATGGCAGTGCTCTTTGGTGCCGTGACTGGTTTCATCTTCATGGTGGTGTGCTTGTTCTGCATTCAGGATGTCGACAAGGTTCTCAACGCCGACTTACCATTCATGGAGCTGATGCTGGAGACGGTCGGGCTGAAAGGAGCCGCAGTCCTCATCTCACTCTTCATCTTCAATGGCTTGGGCCAGGGCGTCAGTGTCCTCACCACGGCTTCCCGACTCAGCTGGGGATTCGCTCGAGATGGCGGCGTTCCCTTCGGTCAATACTTCAGCCATGTCGACCCCGTCTGGCAAGTCCCCGCCCGGGCGCTCTGGGGCCAGGCCGTTGTCATTGGAATAGTGGGTATCCTTTACCTGTTTGCCAACACCGTTCTCGAGGCGATTCTTAGTGTCAGCACCATCGCCCTGACTGTCTCATATGCAATGCCTATCCTTGCCCTGCTCGTAACGGGCCGTGAGAAGCTACCCCCGGGCCATTCAAGCTCGGTCGCATCGGACCTTATTTGAACTGGGTTAGCATTGTTTACTGTATCATTACCACCATTTTCTTCCTCTTCCCAGGCAGCCCCAACCCCGCGCCGGCTGATATGAATTTTGCCATCGCGGTGTTTGGTGTCATGTTGGTCATCGCATTTGCATTCTGGTTCATACAGGGAAACCGCACATATCTTCAAACCGAAGATTCCATCGCTTCCATGGTTTATGCTCACCATTTGGAGATGAATGAGACTGGGCTCGAAGAGCCGACGGCAACTCAGGCTCCTGTGATTGTTGACCAAAAGTGATGGCTGCATAGGAATGCGAGGCTATATATACGGATGCTTGCTCACAATGGCAAAATACATAGGACGTGGCTTTGGCCTTGTCAGGATCGGGTATGTCATATAATAAGAGCCCTTTTGGCTGTCGACAAAACAAATCAATTACGGAGCACTTCGTAGAGTAAATACAAATAAACATTTCTTCACAGACCATGGATTTTAATGATGTGATTGTGTTCGCTTCGGCGCCTAACGACGGTGTAATTAATTCTGTGCTCATGGTTTAGCCAAGACTTCCTTTACTCGAGTAATCACAACTACTCAACGATTAGTTGGAGAGACAGCTAAAAAGACAGCTAAAACGACAGTTCAAAAGAGGCCCTGAAGGTGGTGATAGCTTTCTTCGATCGTCTTTTTGGTCGCGCGTGAGCGCGGCAACTCAGGCTTGTACGGAGTAATCAGAAAGCCGTGGGCGTGAGCTATGGAAGACAAATCAGAAACATCGACTGCTAGGCTAGGCTGCACTATCCAGAATCTACTCAACACGACAAGTTCAAATTTGTCGATTCGCATACTCCGTACGTTCCGCCTGTTGGAGGTTGGCGGCAATGATCTGTGGCTTAGCCGGGGGGCTGGGGTGACCAGCCTCCCCGCTCCACATCACTTTCAGTCCAGCACTTTGGCCCCAAAGCCTGACCAAACGCCTCACAAGGAGCCCCAGGGCTTCGATGGCTGTGTGTTGTACAAAAGCACATGGCCAGGCTTCCCTGCATAATCAAGTCACTCTGCATATAATGTCACCAGGGCAACGCTAGACATCATGTTTCACCATATCCAAACCCTAACCAACAACCATATACTGAGGGAAGCAGAGTGATGAATATCACAATGCCATTTCATGGCTGCATTGTACGGAGTACTCTGATTCTTTATGATTTGAAGAGTCGGATCTTGTTCAAATGCGATCCAGCCACATCTGCCCCTGTCACCCTGGCATGCCTCAAACAGAGTGGGGCGACCCCTGCCGATCATCAACGGAACCCCGACCAGCGTCACAATAATGGGAGATTGTCATACCGATCACATCACAAAAAATCCTGCGTTGGGCTGCACGGGAGTCACCGGCTGAGCAGGATGGGACGCTATGCCCATGCAGTCCCATCAATTCCACTCATTTCTACGCAACACTTGCAGTGTGTGAGGTTCAGGGCTATTGTTTGACCGTCGGAAATCCGCCAGGGTCCACAATTGATGTGGAACTGGAGCAATCGCCAAGGGCGAAAGGGCGAAAACTTGAATTAAAGCTGCCGACTTTGCCAATCTTGGGAGTTATCTCGTCCTCATCAGCCCGCATTCTTTCGACGGCCCCATTCTCCCCACCCCTATGCAACCACAATAAACACCAAATCGCGGTCGTCTATTGTTACCCCTCCTTTGAGTCTGATCTTGTGTCCAGTTATTTAAACTTTCCGCCCTCGCTGAGTCGAGTTCGCGCCCGAGTCGAGCAGGTGTTCATAGATAACATAACCTTCACACCATGATTGGATCTATATTGAGCCGTAAGGCGTTGTCGCTCGCGGTCGTCTCTCTACTGGCCTCTTCTGCCGCTGCCGATGTTTTTGAAAGTCTATCATCCGTTCCCAAAGGTGAGTTTTGTTTCAATCTCGACCAGCTGGACGTGTTAGAATCTGACCGAGTGCAGGATGGAGATATTCCCGCAAGCCGCGTGGCGACCAGCCCATGAGACTGCAGATCGCCCTCACACAGGGTGATGCATCTGGGTTTGAAGAGACTGTTCTGGAAATGTCTACACCGAACCACCCTAGCTATGGAAACCATTTCCAAACACATGAGGAGATGAAGCGCATGCTGCAGCCAAGTGCTGAATCTTCTGACGCGATCCGTGACTGGCTCGAAAGTGCTGGCATCACACAAATTGAACAGGATGCCGACTGGATGACATTCTACACCACCGTGGACACCGCGAATCAGCTGCTGGCAGCTAACTTCCAATTCTACGTGAGCAATGTCAAGCACATCGAGCGCCTTCGCACACTGGAGTACTCCGTTCCGGATGCCCTGATGTCTCATGTCAACATGATCCAGCCTACCACACGTTTCGGACAGCTCCGCAAGCACCGCACTACCCTGCACAGCGAGTCAAAGGAGACTGATATGGCCTTCCGCTCCGCCGCTATGTCCGCTACCCCCGACTGCAACAGTGTCATTACTCCGCAGTGCTTGAAGGACCTCTACAAGATTGGCGACTACAAGGCCGACCCTAAGAACGGTAACAAGGCTGGTTTCGCTAGTTACTTGGAGCAGTACGCCAGCTACTCTGATCTCGCACTGTTTGAGAAGAACATTGCACCTGATGCCAAGGGTCAGAACTTCTCCGTCGTTCAGTACAACGGTGGAGGAAATGACCAGAACCCCAAGGGCGACATCAGCGAGGCCAACCTTGACTTGCAGTACATTGTCGGTGTCAGCTCCCCTGTTCCTGTCACTGAATTCAGCGTTGGTGGCCGCGGTATCCTTGTTCCCGATCTCGACCAGCCTGACCCCAACGACAACAACAACGAGCCATACCTGGATTTCCTCCAGAATGTGCTCAAGATGGATAACAAGGACCTTCCCCAAGTGATCTCCACCTCTTACGGCGAGGACGAGCAGGTATGTTCCGTCAACATCGATCCCAGTGTTTTATCTAACCCTTCAACAGAGCGTTCCTGAGTCTTACGCCCGTACCGTGTGCAACTTGTACTCCCAGCTTGGCAGCCGCGGTGTTTCCGTCATCTTCTCATCCGGAGACTCTGGTGTCGGCGCCGCCTGCGTGACCAACGACGGCAAGAACACCACCCACTTCCCTCCCCAGTTCCCCGCTGCCTGCCCCTGGGTGACCTCCGTTGGCGCCACTTCCGGCATCTCGCCCGAGCAGGGCGTAGACTTCTCATCAGGTGGATTCTCCGACCTCTGGGACCGCCCCACGTGGCAGGAAGATGCCGTGGGTGGATTTCTCGATGTTCTTGGTGACCAGTGGTCCGGTCTCTTCAACGCCAAAGGCCGTGCCTTCCCCGATGTCGCTGCTCAGGGCGAGAACTTCGCCGTTTACGTAAAGGGCTCTCTCAGCAGTGTTAGCGGAACATCCGCCTCTGCACCTGTCTTTGCAGGTGTCATCGCCCTCCTCAACGACGCTCGTCTGAAGAGCAACCAATCCCCCATGGGTTTCCTCAACCCGTGGTTGTACTCCACCGGTCGCGATGGTCTCAATGACATCGTTGATGGTGGCAGCACAGGCTGCAACGGCGCCGCCCGTTTCAACGGACCCCAGAATGGGAGCCCCGTTGTCCCCTACGCGAGCTGGAACTCCACTGAGGGCTGGGACCCCGTGACTGGTCTTGGTACACCCAACTTCGAGGCCATGCGCAAGTTGGCCAATGCTGAATAGACGGATACATGCAGTGTGCTATTTGACTTTTTTTAGGGCCCGTTTGACGTGCTGGGGGAGGACCCCCAACACACGTCAAACTGATACACATAGAGCTTGTTTATTATGCTTGCAGATATAATTTCAATTGATCACAAATAACAGGACCAAGCTATATAACCCCAGAATTAGTCGTAGAAGCGCAGGCCCACGAAATCAGCGGCATAGGTTTGGGATACGTCTCCAGCGACATCATTTCCTATCACAACATCGTTGAACCCATTTTTCCAACCGTCAACTAGTATTCCCAAGTTCGAGCTATCCCACCAGCCTTTTCCGGGACCGAACAGCTCGCTGTGACGGCCTGTCAGTGGCACCTCCAGCCTGACTGGGTCTCCACCATTCAGCGAGATTGTCAAGTTTCTGGAACTAGAGCCCCAGCCCCAACTCGTCGCAAGAGCGATATCATTGTTGATGTAGTCAATCTCGAGATACTTTGAGACAGTGCTGCTTTGCAACTTGTCATCCACAGTTGCTGGAATACTGATCTGCGCTGTGCTCTCTGCGGCAATGTAGCCAATCTTGGAGCCGACAGGAGCACAGAAACCAGCATCGCACTTTTCCAACTTGGAAGAGCCACTAAGTGTGAAGGAGGTTGATGGATAATATGTACCAGCTGGTGATGCAATCTGGATCGATTTGACTGTACTCTTCGAGTAAATGGTGATCTGGTTTGCCGATCCCGCAGCGAGAGGGAAAGTTACGGATGTGCGTTTGGATGACTTTTCCACTGGCACGTTAGCCTTGTGCGAGCCTGATTCAACAATCAGGGTCTCCTCTGACGGAGCTGGATCTTCGAATTGGATCGTCAATGTGTGGTTCGCACTAGTCGTGTTGGCGTAGATGGATTGAAACCTAGTGTGGTCGCTAGGAAGAAAAGTCAGTATCGCGCATAAGGACGAGGAAATCGAGCAGATTTCACGCAGCTGAGTGCTCCCTCCACTTCAACTGGTACCAACTCACCCTGATACCGTTGCAAATGCCTGTCTCACATACTGCCCCTCCGGTGATGTGTCTTGTAATTCAAGAAGTATCACTCCATGCGGTTCAACCGAAGCAGTGTATGTTGTTTTCACGTTAGAGGATGTCTTCTTGTTCCAGATATCCTTCACAGTACCCGCTGATTGCAGTCCAATATCAGGCAAGTTGAGTGTTAAATCACGAGCCTCATCTGCCCAGTTAATCACCGCAGCGACAGTGCGTCCTCCTGACAACGGTCCACTCCAAACCTCATACTCCTGATCTGACCATCGTCGTCGAAGACTGGCACTCTGACCCAAAGAGTCTTGATTGAATCCGATAACATCCTTGTTCGAGAGAATTGCCAAAGATGCATCGCTAATCTCGGTCCATTCGTCCTTCAACGCACCACCGATCACAAGTGGACTCTTCAGATTAGCCCACAAGGAGAAATGAGTTTGCTCTTCCGGGACAGTCAGGACATCATTTCCAACCTCCATCATATCAAGATCCGGCCACTGCCCAGGTCCCGCGAAGGATGTCTGCGGCACGGCCTGGTTGAGGGTTCTGAAGATGGCTCGCCATGCCGGGATAATGTCATTGCCGATGCGCCACGTGTGACCCAATGCCGGCGCCCAAAGAGCCGGGAAGTCAACTCCCCATTCGCAGATTTGGAACAGTACCTTCTTTTCCTGAGCATTCAGGGCGTTGGTCATGTTGGCATATCGCGCGCGGGGAGATGTGCTTGGTGCGTAGTCTGTGTTGGGATATCCGGTATCTTCTTGGGAGTAACAATTGTCATCTAGACTTGTGTGAGTATATTTAGTGTGTCAACCCCCGGATTCTTACATTTGAGCGCATCGATGTTCCACGACGCAAAGGTTGCCGCGTCTTGTTCCTCATGATCTGATCAAGTCAGTACAGGCGGACTGCATCTGATGTAACACGGGTATAACCTACGCAGACTGCCAACCTGCTCAATGCCAGTATCACAGGTCTTGATGCCTGCATCTTCGTAAACACCGAAGAGCAAACCGAGATCATGGATGTACTGTCCGATAGCCGGGAAACCACTGGGAAAGAGTGTCTCATTCCAAGTCAAGGAGCCATTGGATAATCGATCAGCGATGGTCCACCCGCAGTCGATTCCAACATAGCGGTATCCCAGAGTGTCGAGACCTAGATCGACCAATGCCTTTGCATTTGAGCGAATAGTAGTCTCATTGGGTGAGCACGAATAATGGTTATAGCTGCTCCAGCTGTCAAAGTGTCAGTAACATTGCAGTCTGGGTCTGTAATGAGCGCGAACCCCATGGGTGGTGTATTTGCTACGCCATTATCAAGCCGGGGCCACAGCGCCGCGGCGTCAATGCCCAACGACAAAGATGCTAGCAGAATCAAGTTTTGGATCATCGTAAAACTTTTCTGAGCATCATGGAGCGTAGAGACAAGGGATGTTATACTAGTCCTCCCATAAAATAAATCAAATGATTTGCGGGGAAAGCAACTAAGTGTCATGCATTGTGGAGTTGCAAAACAACCGGAGAATTCCCTTTTTGGGAACCATGAATATGCAATACCACTGCCGATCAGGAGAAAAGTCATATTTATTGGCTCTCTGTTTTCCAGACGGAAAAACTGGACTAGGTGAGCAATCTTGGATTTGGCATATACTCTGTGACTGTACCTGATCTGCGAGAATTTCCACTGTACTGAGGTCTGTGCCATCAAAGGTGGCCACTGTTAGGTTCAAGGAGACTACTTATCTGTTTACCTGCATACATGTTCACTATGGCAAAATCAACGACGATTTCTCTGAATGGGTGTCCCTATGTACGAATCAAGGCATGATCAAGATATGAAGGTCAAGTAAAACATCAAACACTAAGTTTGCGTTGCACTTGACCACCCTGGTTTATGTAGTAAAACGGTGGGATCGTCTATTTGCAGATTCGAGGAGACTGACATCGACATGAACAACCCGGCCATCTTATATGCAGCTATTCACTCTTGGAAGATTGGCTCGGTCTTTTCGATCTCCTCCTTGCTCAAACACCACTTGTCCTGCAACTTGGTGTCGAGACTAGTCTGGTAGACGGACTTAGGCCACCATTCACCCCAGCTAGTCAAGAAGATCTGCTCCGGATCAGCGGGGAAGTCCTCCGCCTTGACCGCGCGAAGAAGGTTCTCGGCACCTAGAAATTGTTAGATCTCACAAAAGTGCACAGGTGTTACATCCAAGTTGGCCTACCTTCGGGCACTGTCTTAGCATCCGGCATGTCCATACTCAACCCCAAGCTTGGGTGTTGTGCGAGCTTGGTATCGGGGATGAGGCCGGGTGAGACTGCTACGACCTTGCATGTGGGAAGACTGCGACGCCACCAGTGTGCACCCAACAGTTGAGAAAACTTGGAAGCACTGTAGACGACCCTGGCATTTGCGCCAGAGCCAGCCTTCAAATCAACGTCGAGCGTCTCTGCGATATCATCAGTAATTGATCAAGATGTCTAGCCTGGTCTCTTCCCACTTACTAGGGTCATTTTCTCTCACTCCACGAATCGCGCCCGAGGAAACGATGACGACGCGAGACTTGGAGGCAGCCAATTTCTCGGCCAGCTGATGTGTGAGATAATGTTGAGCTAACCGAGTATCAATTAGCCTACGCCTGAGCGATTAGCTGGGAGATTGGTTCAAGTGGAGCATACCCAAGTGGTTAGTGATGTATGATTCACACCACTGTGAGCCGTGAGGACCGGGTCCATCGGCACTGTTCAGAGAGCCAGCAACTAGGAACAGCAAGTCCAGGTTGTTCTGACCAAGTTCACCCAGCGCTTGAGTAGCAAATGATCGAACGCTCTTCAAGTTCAAGAGGTCGAGAGGCAAAATTGACACGCTGTGCTTTGCAGAGTCATACTTCAAGTCATCGTATGCGGCCCGTGCCTTGGTGGTGTCTCGAGCGCCCAGAATGAAGTTGTATGGCTGGGTTTGCTGCAGCAATTGTTTAATTGCTTCAAATCCCTGAGCATTGTCAGACAGGAGCAGGAACGAGTTGGGGACAACGTACCAAGCCGGACGAGGTGCCTGTGGCAATAACGTTCTTTACAATTCCAGCCATTGTATTGTGATGATGTTGATTCAAAGATACGTGTGCGGTCAAGGAAGCTCCCACTTTGCGGTGACGTCATACCCAAACCCCTGGGCTCACCGCTTAGTTTCGAGTCCATTTTGATCCTGCGTCTTCACTGCTTACATCTCCTTCCAATGTGCAAATGGCCTTACAAGCCGAGCTGCTAGGTGCAGCCCAATCATTTCGAGTAGGCGACACCTTTACCAGGGCCTAGATGCTCGCAGAGACATTACTGGAATGCTCCGACATTTCATCAACGTCCTCAATTAGAAACACACCAGAATGCCGCCAGCAAGCATTCCCCACACTCGGGCAGCTGATTTCTTCGGGCTGCCACTTCGGGTCCTCACGAAGATCACCTCCGGAATTGGAATGAGCTGCTGAGTGATCTGCAGTAAATTCATAGGAACGTCAATATATTCGGATCAAACTCATTATGTATCGCATGTGCTATTTTACACCGACTGACATGTCCAGATGCCAGGATCAAGCACACGGTCGCTCGCCCGCTTTCATTTCCCGATCCTACTCCTCAATTAATGCCCTCAAAATATTCCTCAAGAAACAACGGCCATGAAAGCAGATCCGAAAAGGAGCGCAATCAAGCCCAGGCCCGACTTTGACACGGGCTGGTTCGCAATAGCAGCGTTGTGGGTGGAGGTGGAGGTGGAGGTGCTCGTGCTCGTGCCGGTCGAGGTAGACTTGGAGCCAGTGGCCGTTGCGGTTGCGTTGGGAGCGGCGTTACAGAAAACATCGTTGAAGTTTCCGCTCTTGCTGCTCATACAGGACTGGAGGGCGTGGGTATCTTGGCCCTGCGCGAGACAGTAGATGGCACAGTCGTTGTCGTACTTGTGAACAGACGCGTCTTTGCAGCACTGGTCCAGGGCATCGGTGACATTGCCGCGAACGACGGCAGCGCAGGCGGCGTCGGTGGTTGGGATCTGCCAGACGCTGCTGCCGCAGGCTGTGCTGGTTGCGCTGACGGAGGAGGTAGTGGTAGACATTTTGGTTGATTTCAAAGTTGTGGAGGGCGACGCTGTGGTTGGGCGTAGGTTTAAATAAAGGAGGAATACGAGATCAACAGGGAAAAAATTCGAAAAGAAGGTGAGACGATCCCAAAGTCAGGGAAACTAATTTAATATCAAAGGTAAGACAATAGTGCCGGCAATTGAATATGACTGGTGTTTCGGCAGGGAGCGAAGCTCTCCACCCTGTCCAAGGATTTCTATACATAGCAATTGGCTGAAATGCTGGGGATCTTTCCCTTGGCTCTCCTTGTTGCATGCTCTATTGTCTGACATGTCCATTATGCCATTTGTTACATGTGATAAGTACTCCGCACGGTATGGTTCGTTGACCGTAAGTAGCTCCTACTTAAATTCCATCAAGGGTTAAAGACTAAATGTCTCCATGCATTGAAACCAAGATCCATTCGGGTACCGGAATGTCGACCTGTCGATCATGTGCCGCCAGCCTTGCGCGAATAGCTCTGCCGATCAGGGACCTTCGGCAGTTCCTATGCTCCGCGCGGTCTACTTCAATTGATGGGATTGGCCACCTCATTGGTCTTTGAATATTCAATCTCGGTCTGACCGAGATCGGTGTGCTTTTCATCGACAGGCTCCACGCCAACAAGCGCGAGAAGCCCGATCTCGCTTTCGATACGGTGCTTGCGCTCATTGTCGGCAGCTGCCACTCCACTCGATCCAAAGATTTCGTCCATTTCCTCGAGAGTGCGGCCCTTTGTCTCCGGCACCAGGAAAATGACATAGAAAATAGCAATCGTCGTGATACATCCAAAAAGATGAAAGCACCGAAGTTGCTAGTTGCCAGGAATGGAGATGTGGCGGTACCAACTGCGAAGTTGTTCAACTTTGAGATACATCGTTAGAGACTTCTTCATTCCACCTGATACTTGGCTAGACTCACCCAGTTGCTACTACCGCCAAGACTCACACCCTTGGCACGCATGCTGAGTGGGAATACCTCCGAGGTAACAATCCAAGCGACAGGCCCTGCAGTGAAATCACGGTCAGCAATGTCTCAACCCCGCAAAAGACTGCAGCATACCCCAGGAATAGGCAAAGTTGATGACGAAGATCCAAACGAAGACAATGGCAACCCAGCCTGCTGCCTTGTGTTCGTCGAAGGTTCCTTGGTAGGCGCCAATGATACCTGCCACAATGAAGTGGCAGATTGCCATTCCAGCTGCACCGGCAATCAAGATCTTCTTGCGTCCGATTTGATCAACCCAGAGCACAGCAGGAATCGTGAAGACAAACTCTACGATTCCTACCACTCCAGTGGCCAGCAGCGAGATGGTATTGCCGCCAAGTTGCATATCCTTGAATATGTAAGGCCTATGAGATGTCAGCTTGATCAATCCTGGCAATTTGTTTCCTCATTTTCAAGAAAGGCTTGCCGCTTACGCGTAGTAGTTAATTGCGTTGATGCCTAAACAGCTGTCAGCAGTGGATGCAGGATTCAATGACTTCAGGGACTCCTACCATTCCATTGTTGAAACACCATGATCATACACTATACCATCGTTAGGTCTGAAATGCCATCGATGTACTTGCACGTCGACTTACAGCTGTTGCTGTTCGCTTGAATAGCGATTTGTTGGTAACCAGTGACATATAATCATGCAGTCCGATCTTGAAACGACTGGAAAACGAACCGTCTTGCCAGTTGGGGTATTTCTCGGCAGCCGTTTCGCGTTCGAAGAGATACAAACTCTTGATTTCGAGAAACTCGATGCGAACAAGCATGTCGTCAGTGGATGCGTTACGCAGACGAGCCAGGGTGGTGAGGCATTCTTCCTCACGGCCGGTGTTCATCAGGTGACGCGGGGACTGGGGCATGAACAGCATCATACCGACAGCGAGGACAATAGCAGGTAAGATTTGGATACAGACTGGCACCAGCCATGCAGCGTCCGATTGTGTCGCCCCAGTCCCGCCAATATAATTTGTTCCGTAGCCAATCTGGAATTGTCAGGGCTATTCTTCACAACACAGAGCACAGAGAGATGACGTACCCAAAAGCTGACCATAATACCAAAGGTGATTGCGAGTTGCTGCACGGCGACGAGTGACCCTCGGATCTCCGGTGGCGCCTTCCCTCGTCAGCTTCGTTTTGTTGTTGCCTTCCTTAACTTACCAACTCCGCATTGTACAGTGGCACGACCATACTCAGACTACCAACACCCAGACCTGTCACGAATCGGCCGCCGAAGACGAAGTCAGGACTAGCCGTGCATGCCTGGACAATCACACCAACACAAAACACTACCACGGCAACCAGAACCGTCAAACGACGCCCGAGCGCGTCAGCGAGATATCCGTTTGCCAACGTTCCAACCCAGGCACCAAGCTCCAGAATAGAAGTCAGCATGCCTTGTCGGATGCCCGTTTCCGCAGCATATCCCTGAGTCTGTCCAAAGAAGAGCATTAGCACGGAAACACCATCGCAGGTGATTTGGGGTACATACCGCTGCTTGGAAGGCAGGCATGGTCAAGACTTGAGCGAACATTCCCTGGTTGTCTAAGGCAGACAATTAGAGCCTATTCGTTAATGTCGTGTATCTATGCTCACATCCGTACACCAGTCCACCCAACGACGCGAATAACCCGATGCAGGTGGTCTTCTTGTTACCCAAAAGGCCCTTGAAGCCATGCTTTCCCGCAAGCTGGGCACGCTTGGCCGAAATGGCCGTCTCTCCTGGAAGAGCAGCCACCATGGTGGAACAAAGTGTTTAACCTCGGGATTTCAAATATACAGTGAAGCAATTATTCAGCAGTATATAACGACAAGCGAAATGTCCCTAAAGAAATGGTTGGGAGACTTGATTCCTGACAGGGGATCTGCGATTATTTTATACCGGGGTGCAGCGGGTAATGGCTAACAGAGAGTACACTTCCCCGGGAACTTAGCCCCATGGGGGAGTATCATCAGGTTTGAAATTCGAAGCATCAGCCCAATCAAGTCATACCGACCAAGCTTCGTGGCTTCTGGTTCGCTCTTCCCCTCAGCACATGGACCCGGGTCCAGTCATGCCGAGACGGCTAGGATGAGACGGGCAAAGGCCCACCTAGCGTGGGATTGGCTCTGAGAGCTCATCAGCGGTGGCATCATGGCTTTGTGGACCGTGCGCCACGATGCTTGTTGCTGCATTTATCCGGTGCTTAGCCAAACGCTGGGTAAACTGGAAGGTCGGGGTGGCTGATAATTTCCATACGCTCTGGGTACAATGGATTATCGATGTACAATGCAACTTTCAAACCTTTGGACATAATTCTAGTATCGCCCTGGCCTTTGTTGGGGATTGAGGAATTGACCCGGATGGGCCGACATCCCCACACATGGGGATGGAATCCCGGGGACCCCGCGTGGGTTGAACTATGGAGCAATCAATTCCCCAACACTGAGCTTCTAATTCCATACGCCCAAGGCTGCAAGAACTAACGACACATCATCCAGGCCGACTTTCTTGCAACGCGAGATGGGTCATTACTATGCAATCTAAGCTTGCGGTATTTCCCCATGCCAAGCTCGTTCGCGAGCCCGGCTGAATTGCCCAGGTTTAGCCTGTTGATCCTTGTCACCCACCGCGCACACCCCCTGCCCCGTTCGCCGCCATCAACCCACGTACTTAACAAATCGGCTTCGGGCGGACCTCCCCAATGCCGGCACTCTGATCCATCAGGCAAGACATCAGTGCTCGAAATGTACCCGGGAATTATGAATTAGCCGACCACGGCGCCGTGCTCCTCGGCATATGGCTAATAGGGGTCTTCGGATGACATGTCGCTTTGAACCCTCTGTAATTGATCTGGAACAGTTGTGCTAGGTGTCTATCTCGGCTTCGCGTCGGAGATTGATCGGTTCTGGGCGGAGGGCCAAGACAGCGGCATCCTAGCGTTTAGCAACTACCATTGGGTGCGCTGTGTGCATTCATTCATCCATTGGTGTTAGCGTGCGGGATCGTTTTCTCATTGCCTTGCATCTGTGAACAATATCTCCCATTCACCCCATCTACGTCATTCTATCATCCGATGCTTGAGTCTGCCCAGACCTCTTGGCCTGGTCTGATGATAGCAACAAGCCAAAGCTTTGCCCAGGCGCTCCATGGTAGATCATAGTATGTAATCAAGTAGCATCACATTTCAGAGCAGAGAGAAACAACATCGGGCTCAATATCGTACATTATCAAATCCTTCGATCCTCGTGACCCACTTCTAGTTAATCAAGCATAGTGATCCCAGAGAAGAGCAGCACCAGTCACGAACGCCATGGTAGTTTCGAAAATGGCTACCTGCTTCCACCCTCCTCCATTGCGATTGAAAATAAAGGCTGCAAAAAGGCGACCAGGCAAAGAAGACAACATGATAAGCAAATTCCGCTGGTATATCGCAATTGCATACACGGTACCGATGGACAGAGAGGTGATTCTAGATTTTTCTTGTCAGCTTAATTCACCAACGAGTGTCAGAAACATACCCCATAGCTTGGACCATGTGTTCGGGAACTCCAGTCATAGGTGAGTCAGGGATGCTGGCGGCTGCCGTAGGGCAGGAGATTGTGTACACGCCATTTGCTAGCAGAAACAAAGCCTGCGCGGCGAAGACGGTGTTCAGCACACTTGGTGTGCGGAGGCCAAGACTATGGAGAGGCATTTTGCGTTGAATTTTTGTTTACGCGGGATTGTGAGACAGTCAGCTTTGAAGTTAAATTTGGAAGATGTTTGATATTGGGGTCCGGCATCTCCCGATACGACCCCTTCTCTTGCAAAAATAGAAGATTGAACAATTGATGTATTGAAAGGAGATTTTTGAGCTACATACGCGTTAGCTACAAGCTTCCCTTCTTCTGTATGCCCCCGTTTTCTGACCAGACTGAGCCTATTCTGTGTTTTGTCGCCTAATTCACTGTCCCGGAATTTTCCGATCTATCTACAATGCCTCACGGTTTGAACCTCATCAAAGTCATGCTTCATGCTTTTTAGATTACTTGTCGAGGGCCCAACTGGTAACTTCTCACAAAAAGCAAGCAAAACTGGATGAAGTAAGGATAAAATACAAAAGTCTGAACCACGGGTCTTCGAATACCTTGCATGTGGTTTCTCTTCCGCTGCCATGGAAAAGGAAGAGCAAGACTCTTTGGCAGTGAAACGAGCCTAGTTTCTTACAAAGGTGCTTTTCACAGTCATCCCAACCTTGGAAGGTTTGACGCCACCAAAATGGTGTCATCTCAAGGATCTTTCCTGAGAATGCACAACTTCGAGTTCCCCACTCAACGTGACGAAGTGGCTCGTTTATGCCAATATAAGATTGGCTCTACGCCAAATGCATGGGAAATCTCGTGAAGTGATCAGGGGAGAGAGCAGTTAGCTTTTGGTATAAAACTCGAGTCTGAATGGTAATAACCACAGCAGGCCTAGAAGGCAGGCTTTCGATTCTAGGTGTTTGCAGGTTAGGATGCCTGGACGGCAATCGAACTCAAGGTGGACGATAATATTCCACGGTAGTTTGATGCTTTGGAATGCTGCTGGAGATATCTGTTCACGATTGCGAGTTAGTCTGATACTCCTCAGGTCCATGTCAATATACCCAGTAGCCAATTTGCTGGCCTGACGTCCATTTTTGTGCTCACTGTACTAAAAGTGGCACTAGAAAGAGACCGGGGCATATATTCCTATTAGTGGTACTATGCACAAGTATTTACCAAGAACCGTTGTGTAGAGAAGATCTCTCTGTTTCCAACAAGCCAGTGGGGGTGGTGATTGTTCAACGGCCCCGGAGCGTTGATCAAATGATTGACAGGGTCACGTGCAAGGACCCACAGCCGCGTCGAGCTCAGACTCGGTATAAACAAAGCTTCACGCCTGTCACCCAGGTGCTGAACCACGTTTGTCGCACCCGTGAAACGAATTGAGGAGTGTAATTCCACTGCTCTGATATTTTGAACCCCAGATTTACACCCATGCCTCCCTGCGTCGCGACCATACCTTGCATCAACAATCAGTCCTCCCATCATGCCTTTCAAGCGCAAGATCCCGAGCGCGGTGAGCGCCGATGAGCCTACCGCCACTCCCTCAAAGCGTATTCGCAACAACGCTGCAGCAACACCAATTTCTGTGACACCGAAGTCTGCGGTAAGTGCACTGCTCATGCAGGGGTTGATCATCGGGATTCCGAGTGATGCTCTGCTTTATCTACTTGAATGATATTGATTGAGTCTGAACAGTCTGCAGCAACTCCCCAGACCGGCGAGAAGAGAGGCCGAGGCCGCCCGCGCAAGAACCCTGAGACCGCGACCCCCAAGCCAGCTTACGATGGCCCTAAGCGTGGCCGAGGCCGCCCGCGCAAACTTACCTCCGAGACACAGCCAGAGGCCCTGACTCCGGGTGGTTCTAAGAAGGGCCGGGGTCGTCCCCGCAAGGACTCAGGTATGTTGGCATAGCTGATATATTTCCAAGTGTATGCGCTGACTCTAGTCCGAATCTAGGCGACGCGGCACCAACCGCAACACCCGAGGCTAAGAAGAAGGATGGCCGTGGACGTCCTCGTAAGGTAACAGGTACGGATTCATGACTGGTACGCTGGTTGACCACATGCTGACTTGATAATTCGCCAAGATGACGCCACGCCATCAACTCCCGCTATCAAGAAGAAGGATGGCCGAGGCAGACCTCGCAAGAGCATTCAGCCAAATGGAGAGGCCGAGTCCAAGATACAGTCCCCTCCGGCAGCTCTGCCTGCTGCGGAAACCATTGACACCGACCGCTCTTTTTGGCTTATGAAGGCCGAGCCTGAGTCGCGCATTGAGAAAGGCAAGGACGTCAAGTTCTCTATTGATGACCTTGCTGCTGCCGATAAACCAGAGCCTTGGGATGGTGAGTGGTCCTAATTCATACCTTGTACATCACAAGAAATGCTAACGTGTAAACAGGTGTGCGCAATCACGTCGGTGAGTGATTTTAATGAACTGATAGAACATGTCATCCGAACAATCTACTCACAGCGCATCAGCCAAGAACCTCATGCGGGACATGAAGAAGGGAGATTACGCTTTCTTCTATCACTCCAACTGCAAAGTCCCAGGTATCGTTGGAGTCATGGAAATTGTCCAGGAACACTCTGTTGACGGTTTGTAACACCCTTACCGCGTACTCCCACCACTATGCTGATATATGAATGCGAACAGAATCTGCCTTCGACCCCGAGCACCCCTACTACGACCCTAAGTCCAAGCGATCCGACCCCCGATGGGTGGCTGTGCACGTGGAATATCGCCGCAGGCTTGCAAAGCAGGTTACCCTTCAAGATTTGAAGGCTCACGGTGAAGCCGGCAAGCCACTCGAGAGTTTGCAGATGATCAAGCAAGGTCGACTTAGCATTTCTTCTGTGACCCCGGCGCAATGGCGTTACATCCTTGAGCTGGCGGGCGAGAAGCCACAGGAGGAGTTCACCAAGCTGGCAGACCAGGAGGGATCACAGGAGGAGCCAAAGCAAGAGGAGTCAAAGGAGGAGTCTAAGGAAGAATCCAAGGAGGAATCCAAGGAGGAGTCGAAGGAGGAGTCGAAGGAGGAGTCGAAGGAGGAGTCGAAGGAGGAGAAGCCACTCGAAGGAATCTAGTGATGAGGGCCTGGGGACTATGAGGCCGCGCATCTATACATGCGCAAGTTTTGAAGATAGCATGCCATACCAAACTCTGACATATATTACTCGATGGCGTTGACGGTTAAATAAGGGTTTCAAGGCTATTCAGCGAAGCGAAGCATTTCATCGGAAATTCAATTGTTCTACTCCGTCCTCGGTGCTCAGTACCTCATACTTTTGTACAAACATTGCTAGCATGTCTAGTTTCCCGAATCTGTGCATTACTACAGGGCTCGGGCCGATAGGGGTACATGCCCAGGTGGAAGTAGCACAGCCCGGTCCCGATCCATGTATGTGAAGCAGTGGTGAAGCAGTGCGACGCCAGCTTCACCGGGCACCACCACCCGAGCTCCGTACTTGCGATGGCCTTCCTACCTATCATGTTGCGGTTTCTCCCTGCGTCGGATCATCTTCACAGGCCATATGGTCTTTGAACCTTTTGATCCCCACCTGAGCGACCATTGACTGCATTAGGAGGAGCTGTCAGAAAACCATTTGACTCCAACGCTCGCAGATCAGAGCTGCATGCGATATGTAAGGAGCCGCGGAAGTCTGGTGTTGACATCCGGCGCACAGCGACCGGATAGATCAGATAGTGATGTGTCCAATGACCGGGGAGCCACTGATTTATCGGGCTAGTACGGAGTACTTTTGCAGTTCTTCGAGGGTTCTAGCCTTGCAGGGTTACAGGCCTGGAAGCCTGGGGTTGGATCTTGGGGTATTGATAATCAAAAAGTGAGAAGATCGCAGATATCGCCCTCAGTTGAACGATATCGCCGAGCCCGGCACCTCGCAGCCAACCAAAGCAGACAGATAGAAACAGTGGACGAGACTGTGTCCCTAGCCCTGGCGGATGCCTCGGAAGAGGTAAGTCTATGCGATAATTGTGGAGCATCCCGAGGTCTTTATCGTTATCAGGCGGGGGAGAGCTCATCCTGGGTGTTCTCCAAGGTTCTTAGCATCCTCTCTTCATGTCCGGTTTCTTCTTTCGATCTTTGCGTTTGTACAAAGCCCCAAAGTTTAGTCGCTTCACTCGTACATTTCACAGCACTCCTTTCATCATGTCGGATATCTCAGTGCAATTGACCGCCCCCAATGGGCGCAGCTACACCCAGCCCATCGGTCTCTTCATCAACAACGAATTTGTTGCGGCCAAGTCGGGCGAGAAGTTCGCTACCGTGAACCCTTCGTATGTACCTCTCTGGATGGGAGATACCAAATGCTGACCGTGATAGTGATGAGTCTGAGATTACGTCAGTGTACGCTGCCGGCGAGGAGGATGTCGACATCGCCGTCAAGGCTGCCCGCAAGGCCCTGAAGGACCCTTCTTGGAAGCAGCTGCCCGCTACAGACCGCGGTGTCTTGATGCTCAAGCTGGCCGATTTGATTGAGCAGCACAAGGAGACTTTGGCCACCATTGAGACTTGGGACAACGGTTTGTGGCGAGATAAGCGATAATGGAAAAGGCATCAAAGCTGACAACTCTTGTGTCATATAGGCAAGCCCTACCAGGTCTCATTGAACGACGATATTGGTGAAGTCACCAACACTCTTCGTTACTATGCCGGCTGGGCCGACAAAGTGTACGGCCAGACCATTGGCACCACCCCGGCTAAGTTCGCCTACACCCTCCGCCAGCCCATTGGTGTTGTTGGCCAGATTATTCCATGGAACTTCCCCCTTGCCATGGCAGCTTGGAAGCTGGGCCCTGCTCTTGCATGTGGTAACACTATTGTGTTGAAGCCCGCTGAGCAGACTCCCCTCAGTATTCTGTACCTGGCAGGTTTGATTAAAGAGGCTGGATTCCCTCCTGGTGTGATCAACGTTGTGAACGGTCATGGTCGCGTTGCAGGCGGTGCCTTGGTTAACCACCCCGGTGTCGACAAGGTCGCCTTCACTGGTTCTACCCTTACTGGCCGCGAGATCATGAAGATGGCCGCCGGCACCCTGAAGAATGTCACTCTTGAGACTGGTGGCAAATCACCACTTGTTGTCTTCGAGGATGCAGACCTCGAGCAGGCCGCCAAGTGGGCACACATTGGTATCATGTACAACCAAGGCCAAGTTTGCACTGCAACCTCGCGTATTCTCGTCCACGAGTCCGTGTACGAGAAGTTTGTTGAGCTCTTCAAGGAGGTGGTTCGCACTACTAGCAAGGTCGGTGACCCCTTCTCCGACGACACCTTCCAGGGCCCCCAGGTCACCAAGGCTCAATACGACCGTGTCCTCTCCTATATCGAGGCCGGCAAGTCCGAGGGCGCAACTCTCGCATCCGGCGGTGTGCCACACAAGAACGTCGGTGATGGCCGTGGCTTCTTCATCGAGCCCACCATTTTCACCAACGTCAAGGACAACATGCGTATCTACCGCGAGGAGGTCTTCGGACCTTTCGTTGCTATTGCCAGCTTCACCACCGAAGACGAGGCTGTCACCCGTGCCAACGACACCACCTACGGACTGGGTGCCGCTCTTTTCACCCGCGACATCGAGCGCGCACACCGCGTCGCCTCCGATATTGAGGCTGGTATGGTCTGGATCAACAGCAGCAATGACAGCGACTTCCGTGTACCTTTCGGCGGTGTCAAGCAGAGCGGCATTGGTCGCGAACTGGGCGAGGCTGGTTTGGATGCTTACTCGCAGGTCAAGGCTGTTCACGTCAACATGGGCACTAAGCTTTAAGCTTGCTAATTGGCTGTGAATATGTAGGATAACTTTATATTCAAATCTATCATGTGTTAACGATCAAACCCGAGTTGACCAAGCTCAGCTACCATTTCATTTCTTGTACGGAATACCTTTGCATTGACATAGATCTTCGATGATCTTGACGATCTTCATGATCTTCTCGACAATCTCAAAGTTATTGTTTCAATCTCGCTTTCGCTTTTGCAATACCCACACCTATCCACAAATACGAGAGGATCCCCCGCAAGAACGGAAAAAAGGAAAAACGGGGCCTTTGCAAACTTTCCAGCCGACTGTAGATCACAGCAAGTCCTCCGTACTCCGTGCATGCATTACACTGACATGGCCAACGCAGCGTCCAATCAAAAAATGCCGCGATTCGAATTTTGTGATTCATTTGCAGTTTTTAATATTATTTGCATTTTTTGGGCTCTCTCGTGTTTTACTGGCACCGCCGTCCGATCCGCACTGCCAAACCGGACCCGAACAAAATTTTGATGCCCAACTTTCTTTCCACGCATCTGCACGCAAGCCTTGCCTCAAGGGGGCGGCTGCAGATCTCCTTTGTACGAGCGCTGTTGGTGCGGCAGTTGGGAGAGCCGTGCGCGAGAAACCTGTTCGTCCGCACGCTATCACACCAATTTCGTCACCCGTGAGAGCACCGGCTACGGGAAGCTGATTGGACTCTTACGAACCCCAAGGATTTACCGCAGATTACAATCTGCATTGAGTTTCACGTGTGTTGGATCACAGTGACACAGGCATAGCATGCATGGCGCCCAATTTTCGAGTCAGGCCGGAATGATGAGAGACAGTCTGGGATTGGCAGTCGAGGTTAGGACCCAGGACCCAGGATCCAGGTGTAAGCGCCAGCACACACACATCTCTTGCATCTGCATGCAGAGTTGGTCATGTGAAGGCCACGAGCTAGGATGTCTATTGGAGGGTGAATTGTTGGAGGGATGCACGACTTGCCCAAAGTCAATCACACGTAAAGATGGAAATTTGAGGAGATTGGAGAGGGGATTACGAATAGGATGATTTGCATTAATGCAAGTAATTAGATTAAACTTGTCCTACCGGTTCGTGGAAACAGTAGTAGTCCGGACGGAGGAGTACTCCGTACTTGTAGAGGCCCTAAGAGTCGGTCTTGGCAATATCTTTCCCGTCTCCATAAACTATCGACTTTCACCTTTCACCTACTCCGGATTGACGGAGCAACAACCAGTCCGACAATTTGGCTTTTTGGTTTTTTTTTCTTTTTTGCCTTCTAGGTTACGGGTCGGGTGAATTCCGCGATCTGCGCTGCCATTTTCACCTCAGGGGCGCCTTTTTCAAACCGTTGCGTGCCTAAAATCTCACCCCTCTTTTCAGCTCAAAGAGCGGTGTCCACTCACCGATCGGCATGTCTGAAATCCAGAGGTGGACGGTCAATGAGGTGAGTTGATCGTGTGCTGCGCATGCAATTCGCCGGCGACCCTTGATTTGCCTTTGCTTTTTTTGGTTGCTTTTTGCCATCTCGGCTTCTCGTGTTGGTTTCATACTGTCTGTAGGTTGGTTCTTCGGAGCCTGTCACAGCAAAGGGAAAAACCAACACCAACCGATATTGGCGCCAATTAAAGAAAACGGGAAAAAAATAGATAGTTTTCAATGATGCAGATGGTTGGTGACTAACTATCAATCTTGCTCGATCAGCCGTACCTTGACATACCGGGAACTCTACTCGAAGGCCCCTTTTACGATGCAGCTAAGAATGAACTTCGCTTCGTTGATATTTGGGATCAGAAACTCTACCGTCTCGATCTGGCAAAGGGCCCTGAATCCCTGAAAGTCATCGACACCGCCGCTTCTATTGGGTGGGTTTCCACCGTTCCCGTGGGAAACTAGCCAGCCTTCCTTGCTGACAAGCAAATCCATGTGGGCTTTTAGTGTTACCGCAAACATCACCGACCCAAGCGGGTCCCACGAGGATCAGCTGATCGTTGCTGCCAAGTATGGATTCGCACGGCTCAATCAGACTACTGGGGAGCTATCCTATATCCAACAGCCCTGGGGCGAAGAGGATGGACCTGGAAAAGCGGAGAGGTAAGCATAAGCCCCGAACACAAGCAAGAAAAAAAAGAAAAAAAACAAAAACAAAAAAAGATCACCGAAATTAAAAAAAATACTTGGAAAAAAATCACATACAGTGACGCATGTTCCCCGATAAACGCCGATTTGCTAAATATGTCGTAGAATGCGTTTCAATGACGGCGCAGTCGACAGCCAGGGCCGGTTCTGGGCTGGAGCGATGAACGACCCGAAGATCAAGAACCCCGAAGCGGAGGGCGTTCTCTTCAGACTGGATCCCGACCAAAGTCTGCACCGCATGCTTGCACCAGTGACGATCCCTAACGGGATTGGATGGAACCTCACTGACGACGTGATGTACCTGACGGACTCACCAACAGGTAAAATCTTTGCATTTGACTTTGATGCGTCGACCGGCGCGATCACCAACCGGCGTGTGCACTTCGATATCGGTGAGGCGCTGGAGCCTGACGGCTTTGCTATTGATGTCGAAGGATGCATCTGGAGCGCAGTCTATGGTGGCGGAAAAGTACTGCGCATCTCCCCTGCCGGAAAGATTATCGGTCAGATCGACCTGCCCACGCGCAACGTGACCTGTCCAGCCTTCGTTGGTACTGAGCTGTTCATCACTACTGCCAAGGATGACACCGATGATGACAGGCTGCCGCAGTCAGTGAGGTATGGGGGCCGGCTCTACAGGGTTGATGTTGGGGTCCGAGGCAAGCCCAAGAACGAGTTTCGGTTTCAGGGCTAGGCGCTGAAAGTCGTGTTTCGGGGCGACAGGGATTACGCTCCTACGTACATACATCACGGAGTAGCGGGTCATGATGTACTTCAATGCAATGTATATAGTCATTCGTTTTTTTTAGGATATCAGGGCTCGCCGGGTCTATTTCCGTTTCCTTCACCTAGGTTCAGCAAAGTACTTTACTCCGTACATGTGAGTCCAGATGGATCGACGATGCATCTCGGGTCCTCGCTTCAAAAATTAGTCGAAAAGGCGGTAATGGTAGCGGCCCTCATCGTGGAGAAAAAGTCCCAAGGACGCAGGCGACAGATCCGGATATGCAGTATGGAAGTGGATGCAGTGTAAAAGTGGAGGTAAAGTTGGTGATCAACAAAACGGGCGAAGACGGTCCACAGTGTCACCGGCAATCTCAACCCCAAGCTTGTGTGTTTTAAAGACGGTACTTTGTACACTGCATGCAACGCAAGGGGCGGATGTGAAAAAAGACACCACACCCCCAATCGGGCTCCGCATATCGATCTCACATCATGTAGACCATACTTCTCCATACATACCTTGTTTCCTGCCCTTCCCGCTCTTTGTTCGGCCCGATTGGAAACTTGGCCGGATCTCTGTCAGGGCTAGACAATGTGTAGACAAAAGCACTATCACTTTTCCATGTTATTTTTGGGTCTCTGCATGTCGTCGGCAAGTGATAGGTGTGCACAATATTACGGTGTGAAATGTACCGACTACGGAGCACTCATACGAAGGTTCTACACGCTACTGGAACACTACTCGTATCAAAGCAATAAGGTGGGGAGTCTTGGTGGGGAGACAAGATGGATCTGTACTCCGTAATAGTCAATCTACCAACTTAAGTGGAAGACTGACAGTCTTGTTTTCGAGTTTGCAAAAGAACGAAACACATTACGGAGTGCTCACTAAGGAGTCCATACAATGCCATTATTCCTTCGTCTACTCCGTACTCTGTACGGGGTACTCTGTCTGTACTCTGTAATCCGTACCCTCAAGCCTACTAGTTTATTGCTTATTGAGGCGGCTGGAGCGGACACGGGTTAACCGAAGAGCGAAGAGAGCTGAGGAACTACTCCGTACTGGTAACAGTCACGGGAAAACAAAGGGGAAATTCAAACATCGTCAGACTAGGTAAAAGGTGAGGTGGATACTATGCATCCTGACAAGCGACTATTGATTATAGAAAGAGTTAGAAGTAAAAAAAGTACTTATGCGGTGAACCCCTGTACTGGATACTTATGGGGAAGTGCCCACAAATTTTGAATAGTGTGATGACACGCATCCGGGCCGGGGGGTTCTCGGGGATATGTGGAAGACAAAAAAAAACAAAACAAAAAAATGTCCAGAACAACTCATCCCGACACTCTGGAGACGGTGGTTTGAGAATGCACGCCACATGACACTAAATAAAATTCAGTCAAGAAAAAGAAAAAAAATATTGCGAAAAATCAAAATAACACAGGAAGAGACGGAATTCTCGTGGAGAATTTAACCCCCTGTTCAAACCAGTCACAATCCTTGGATCTATCAGACCGCAATTATGATGCTCGTAAGCTCTATGATTCGCCATTAAAATCAGAAAATAGGGCGTTTGACAGCTCCCTCCAAACTCTGTCCAATTTCTGCAAGTATCTACTCCGTACATGAGAGACGCATCGCAAGAATGCATGTTTTCTTTGTTTTCTTTTTTTCTATTCCTGCTATTTGGATAGCTGTCAGCCGGGGAACATTTCCGAGGGCAATTACCGCTTTGGAACGTTGATCATTGACGCCAACCAAACTAGCTCACTGCAAGTGCAACGAGCGCTTCAGCTGCGCCTCTACCTCTAAGTTCTACCTCAATTTCCCATATCGAATCCACATTGGCGAGGTGGAACATTCTCGATTAGAGATTAGGTCGATCTATACCATCGTTTATTTGGCGATAACCTCCCGGAGTCTTTATCCACCGGTGCGATCTCAGGAGGCGGCAACCGAACTGGCTAGACCTTCAATAGAGCCATTTATCCGCAACCGCGTGTGTTGTCCCACAGAGTGAGGCTGGAGAAATCGACGCCGGATCCTTTCCCGTATGGTCCGATCGTGGAGTATCAACTTCCATCATTGTGATGTAGAGAGAGGTCTGTTCCACTACGGAGTACGGAGTACTTGTTTACGTTTTACCCAATCCTCAATTGACATCATCGATAATTATCCTTTTTGACATTAAGCCTCCGAGCTAATGGGCTTAACCCGTGTGACACGAGTGAAGGAATCGGGGGCAAACGAGGGTTCGAGTGAGATTCTGCCTCTTCCACAGATATCGGTTGTGTTCTGTCTGCGTTACCCAGGCCGATGACGTAGAGGCCAAAGTTCCATTTAATGAGAGTGCTATCATTTCCCCTTTTTGCAATGATCGCGTAAATGGCATGGCAGAGCTCTCCCCACTATTGACTTGTTAGGGTGGCGTCTACCGAGGACCGGTGAGGAACCCAATAGACTTCCGAGCTCCCAGCCTCTTGCCCCCTAACGGTCAACCTCAACGGGCCCCCTTTAACCTGGGCGACGCATATCATCCTTAGAGGTTTGACTTTGCTTAGTGCAAATCGGCGAGATGTGTGCAGTGCAAGGTTCGAATACTACTTTGAACGGGAAGAACTTTTGGTTTAGAGCGCTTTAATATTTCTGCCAAGGTGCGTTGTCGCACCACGCCTTTGCCTTGTTCAAGTTTGCCTTTCAACGGGGATCTCAAGTTTAGTGGTATACTTCGAGTTTAGTCTCTCCAAGCACCAAACTCTCGGAAATTGACAGGACCGGACTGACTAGGCAACTATCGGGGCGTTGCCTCACCCGCTATACCCGAGATGGTATAGATCGGACGGCCAGTGGGAAATTAAGTAGTTCGGTGTTCATTCGGTTGCCCTTCAGATTTACAATGCTCAAAGCGCATCATAGATCGGGCTCTTAAATGTCCACATGAGCTTGCTGGAATCCTGCGAATTTTCTTAATTCCCTTGGCGTACGGAGTACAGAGTATCGATACTAATGGCATTCTCGCAGCTCGAACCTTCCGAATCCGACTAGATCTCGGCTTATGTGGGTAAGGAACAGAAGCAAAGAAACATAATAAGAGCCAATAGAGAAGAAAAAGAAACCAACCAGCAGAGATGACTCTCACACAGGAACCCTTTCCCAGTTCCCGGACACAAGAGGTCATAATGGTGAAGCACCACAGAAAAGCAAAAAAAAAAAAAAAAAAGGAAAAACATAGAGGGAAAGCAAAGGACCGGTCTCCACTCGTCCCTGTCCATGACCATGGCGACGGTGCGCACTTGCAGAGTGCTGTGCATGACGATCGCTTTCCCCGGGTAGTGAAGTCACTAAGATGTACTATAATAGGGGTGGATTTATGATTATTCTTTTTTCTTTTTTTTTCGCTTTTTTTCTCGCATTATTCTTTTCGATTAACGATTTTCTCGGCAGCTATTTATTGCCATACCCACAAAAAAGCAAAAAAAGGCCCAACTGGCAGTTCCCGGGGGTTAGACACTATATCCTGCCCAACGCTAATCCGACAGACTGGGTCGGACAGAGAGACAAGTAAGTTGTCTTGGAGCCATCCAGACCAGGTGATGGATCACTCTCTCACCGCTGCTCAACGGCTCTTATTAGAGCTTGTCTTCCCCATTTTTCCCCTTTGACTTTTCCCGTCTTTACTTCCTTTCTGGCTCTAGTCTTCATCGGGCATCGAAACCTTGATTATATTGAACTGCCTCACTGAAGACGGCCATTTCGTGCTTTCTTCTGTACATACCTTCACCGTGGCTGCCCTAGGAATCAGCGTGTTGAACGCTCCTTATTCCGGCTCGCTGCATTCACCCAATCCGTCACTCTACTCAGATCATCGTTATCCGTCACCAGCACCCTCCCTCTCTCATACTCTTCGAGAATCTGACGACGAGGAGAGAGGGGGGGCTCGGCCATGCCCTAATTTCCGGTCTATCCTGGAGTATTCTGGTTCCATGTCGCAGGACTCTCAACGTGCAGGTTCCTCGTCAAGAGATTCACCTCAAAACGACGACCGCGCAATTGATAACGATCGTGGTTTAGCAAACAGCCGCAACACATCCCGTCGGCCCCCACTGCGGACACGACCCCAGTCATGGCATCCATATGGACCCGTGGAGCCACCATTAGAGGCAATCTCATCTCGACCCATTGGGGTTCATGCCATCCTCAACCCCCCATCACATACAACCAAAGAGCTGGGCACAGCTAGCAAACGTGAATCGCTTACGCTACCTGGTCAACCATCTTCGCCTCGACCCCATGGCTCCTCGCCAACGACTCGCCCATCACGCTCTTTGGTACCTCAGCCACTATCTCCTCGATCCCATGCACGCCCATTGATGAACCCAGCTTCTCCCTCGGCACGGTTTGTTGGCGGGGGTGGTAGGACTTCTGGACAATCGAGCGTCGCACAGTCACCGCTAGTTCCTCAGGAACATTTGATGGGCCCACGTCTTCCCACCTCTAGTTCGCCTTTGCCACTAGAGGCGGGTCTACGACCAATAGCATCTCTCACAAGCTCACAGCCTCCTGTCTCGGTTTCGCTGCATTCTACGCCTAGCCTGCATTCTCGACGAACAAGCGCTGGTCCAGGACCTCTCACCAACCCGAGCTCTCAAGAAACGAGTCCCAGCACACCTCATTCGACCTTTAGCCCGTTTGGACGTGTATCTCCAAATGTGACTAATGCCTCCCTCTCACAAAGCGCTACATCCCATCCTACTGCACATCCCCCGTACATGACCATGGATCCAACGAGCCGGGCAACCCCCGCACCCAAAGCCCCCAGAAGTCAGGAAGAAAACCCATCCCGAGCGGGAACACCGCAAGGCAGTTCATTCCCATCGGGAATGATCCCGTGCGTGCTGGACATGCGATCCGGTTCGAGCAGCCAAGCGGAAAAACGCAAAGCGAACAGCGATGCATCACGACGCTTCCGCAATCGCAAACGCAACGAAATGCAACTCGAGCAGCGGCTCACTGCACAGCAGGATGAGATCACACGCAGCGTAGAGACTATTCGCCGCCAAAGCGATGAGATTCGCTCTCTCCTCCAACAAAGAGACCACTACCGCTCCGAGCGCGATTTTTACCGCGAGAATCTTGACCGCACAATCTCTACGGGCTCCCTACCACCAAGGCCGCCATCCCCACGCTCTGCCCAACCCGCTCTCCTCGCATCTGAAAGTGCTCCATCCACATGGTCGGGCGCTGATGCTGCCCGATCCGTTTCAGGCACACAAGCGGCCCCGGGTGCCCCAAAGGGAAGATTGGACTCGACTCACTCCCAGCCTGGTTGGCCGGCAAACCCCCCCGTATTCGACTGGCCCGATCAAACCTACCGCACGAAGTGCTGTTACGCCTGCTGCATCGCCGTCCCTATCCGGGGGCCCTCTGCCGCCGCTACAGGGCTCTTGGCCACGTCCTTGAATTGTCACATATAATCAATATCCCTGTTATGTTCTCCCTTGTCATTTGTTTTATCTTCTTTTCTTCATTGTCATAATTCCCTTGCTGCTGCTTTTTGGGGAGGAGGAAGGGAGAAAAAAAAACTAGCGGTCACTGGTCTGACCGCTGCCCAATGGTTTTCCACATCTAAGTTAGGTGGTCCACTTGGAATGGAGCTTTTCCCACAGGCTGGGTTCAATACTTCTTCCATCTTCACCACTACTTGGAATACCATGCTGCTCATCTTTGGAGCAAAAATTTGCATTTTGTCATACCTACATATACTCTTCCTCGCCCCGCTCACCTGTCTATCTCTATAACCTTCCTTCCCCAGCCTGTGACTTTTTCTCTTTTGGTGCATTGCACATCGGTGATACCTCCATTGGCGAGCATTGAGATCTTTATTTTTAGTTTTTTTGAAGCTGGATGATATGATTAGTAAATCAAAAGATAAATCTGGAATTGAGATCCAATGCCTTCAAACTCTTAATACGGAGTATTGTCAATCCAATTCCTATTGTGACCGCCTATCTTATTGGGTACTAGGCACTTTGCTGTGTTTTGTGTTTTCTTCTTTTGCTAGACTCCCGAGGCCTGTACGGAGTACACCCAAGACAGCCCTCGGATCCGAGAGACCCAAAAAAGCTTAGCCTTTGCGTTTGTTTTGAGACATGCCTTGTTACTAGTGATTGGTTGACAGGCACACTCAGAACAAGAAGCAGGGGGTGAAGTCACAAATCTGCAGTGTCACAGGGCAGCCTGTATGACATCACACAATATTGAGTCTACCTTGATATGAAGAATATCGGTATCAAAAAAATGCAGAGCTGTTCCACTCGCAAATCGCCACAACCTTGCAACCTTGGAAATCGTCACTGCGTGTCATTTTATGACATGAACCTAAATTTAGATGCTTATGTTTTTACCACAGATCAATAAACATACATAGGATTACCTGGGAAAAGAGATTGGCTCCTTTGAGAATACCATCCAAAGTTCCTTAGAAAGTGCTAGGCAATGGAACAGATAAAATTACTGCATGACATATGCGTGAAGACCAACCTTGGAAGAAGTTCAATTAATCTATCTCCATGCTATTTGGCTGTAGAGCTTTAATGAGGACATGGGAACAGTTCGGATTTTCGGCACCACACCGAAAACAGCTACCTAGATCCCGAGGCCTACTGTCATATTCAAGGCATCTCCTCTCGGCGGCGAGGACAGCCCTGAAGAACCTCTGTCCAGGGTTCAAGCCTCGGGGATCAGTGGAATTTTATTGTGATTGCTCGTCAGAGACTGATCTGGCCGTTTCACAGTCATCGATCCCCATTCTGAAAGGTAGTTCAAATTCGGTCTCCGAGAGTGTCGGGTTTCGTATTTTAGTTTTCTGACCATGTGCCTTGAGTGTTGATTTTGCCACCAAGCTCTTGTTCATGTCTCAATGTATCAGTATTGGTATTCTTTCAATCAGATATAACCTTGGAAGCAGCAAGGGTTGGAACAACAGCATGCCCAAAACAACAAGGTCACTGACCCACCCAGATTATTTACTATTGGAATTGGCCCTTGTGAGAACAGGCTGATCTGCGTGGGAGAAGCACGAATCGCTTCAAAACAGTAGATTCTGGCTGTGAAGCAAAAAGACCGACCGGGGAAAAGAAGGAAGAGAGAGAGAGAGAGAGCTATCTCAGCAAAGGGAATCATCTGACCTCCCAACACCTTGACATCTTTAGAAAAGCATTGAGTCCGCGAGTGGACCTAATGGGCAAACCATAAAGGATTGATGTCAACCTCAACTCGGAGCTCAGACCAATGCCGCAACACCCAAGGCGGTACATAGAGCGTGGTTCAACAACCCTGGAATTTAACCTTGGAATGGGCTTGAAGTTCTAACCAGACGCGCCGAGAATGTAGTGCCAGACACTGCCCAAGTGACAGTTCACCCAAGCTGGCTCATATCCATGGATATATCCAAATAAACTACTTTGGAAAGTCTTCCAAGGTTGACTCCGAACGTTTGCCAAGGTTATTCCGCCCATTGCTTAGCCAACAGAGATTATACGTCACGGGTATCTACTGCCCAGGTGGGTTGGACAGGCCAAAGGACCGGTGAAATGAACCTTGGAAGTTTTCGTTTTTATAATGCTACTTAGCATGAGTATCCAGGTTTATGACCCTCCAAATGCACACGAAATGATGATTTCATGGTCCGTACGCGTTCAAATGTTACTTCGGCTTCGTGAAATCAAATCGGTCAACTCGAAGAAGCAAAAATGACGCCGTTGCCGGTGCGCTGTAGACTCCAGCGGGCAATTCTTTGGTTTGGTCAAAGGATTTTGCCGGTTTCCAAAATCCAAGGGTCAAAGAGACTGGTCGGAGTAGGTGCACCACTACTCCGTAGTTTGATAATCAATCGCTGACTGACTACAGTAATTGAATAATGTGCATAAATAGTTGTGCAGTTTATGGTCCAATGACGGACGTCAGTCAAAGAATAAGTTCGGCAACCGTTACGGAGTAGGAACTTCCAGGGTTCCAAGGTTTGATTCCGGGGTAACTTGATGTCCGAAGAACCACTCTGATTGGTTCATTAACTTCCGGCGGAAGTTCCGTTTGATCCGTTGGGGGCTCCGCCTGATCCGGTGGAAGTTGGGTGTCCATTCACCGCAACTTTGTACGACACAAGGGGTCTGAACATAATTGTGCAGACGAAAGATGGCCAATTAGTGCCAGACATAGCCTCCATGGCGCACTGTTGAAAATGCGGGGTCTGTGGACTTCGGGACACCAATGTGGCCGATGCGGGTGGTTTTCGTACCCCTTTTGCTCATATTGAGCTTGAGTCTTTCGCATAGTAGACTAAAGAGAGACGAGGCGGCAGACTTATTATCATGAAGCGAGTCACCCAGCGAGCAACGCAAGCGTGTATCGAGTGCAGAAGGTCAAAGCTGAAGTGCGAGAAAGATCCGGGCTCACGTGTCTGCCGCAGGTGTTTATTGACCTCCTCTTCCTGTCACCCTAAAGATATCAGGTTGGTTGTGCTCCAAACCCCATGACATGAACTTTTGTCATGGAAATCGATAGGCGCTAAGCTCCAAACCAGGCTTGAAAAGGAATCTGAGTCCGTGCCAATGGATCTGTCGTCCTCTGTTGGCACTCTCCTCACGGCCTTCTCCAATGCCGAGGATGTAGATTGGCCTAACGGGAGTGGGGGTGAGATGGGTAAGTCATTTGCCAAGTGGACCTTGAACGATATTGGGGCACCCTTGCTGATCATACCCAGGTCCCTTTGCGCAAATCATTGCATCTGGGAGCAAGCCAATCTCTGACCAACCTCACATGTCGCTCACGCGAAATGTACCCCAGACATACCCACTTGACAGTTACCTCACAACCATTAATGAGCTACTCTCGCCGCAGACGCCAGATCTGATTCTGAACGAATGCAACCAGCCAGCAGAGCTCCAACGGACTTTCAAAACCCGACTTCCTAATGTCTCCCAAGATACCGCCGAATACCTTCATCTTAAAGGAGCGCTCAGGATAGTTCCCATCGAGCTTCGAAACCAGTTGATTGGGGGATACATCAAATATGTCCACCCTTTGCTTCCTATCATTGACCTGCAAAAATTCTTACTCGATGTCATGGTGGAGGATGAGTCTCAGTTTGCAAGCCCCCTGCTTCATCAATCTGTGATGCTAGCCGGGAGTGCGTTTATTGAACAGGATGATGCCATAAAAGCCGGATTCTCCTCACGCAAAGCACTACGCAGAACACTGTTTGGGCGCGCGAAAGTCAGTCTCCAATGACAGCAACCATTCAGGCGGGATCTTAAGCTAACGTCACATTATCAACAGATTCTGTACGAATTTGATACTGAGCCCAATGCGTATACTCAGATCCAAGCATTGTTACTTATGATGCAATGGCATGGCAGTGGAGCGGGTCACAAGGATCCAACTTATTGGTTTGACCTTGCATATTCGACAGCAGAACGCGTTGGTCTGCTCAAAAGCTTGGAGCCAGGGAGCTTCTCCCACAAGCATCGACTGTGGTGGTGTCTCTATGTGCGCGATCGAATCCTTTCCATCGGTTTCCGACGGCCTCTGCGCATTCCCAATGGCGATGTCACAATGTCCTTGCTAGATTCTACCAAGTACTACTCATCCGAGCCTTACCACGAGCTGGTTCTTGCTATGCTGGGAGACGCATCGGCCATGTTGAACTGGGAAAATCAGGAACGAATGATGCTCTTGTTCATCCAAGAGATAAAATTGAGTCATTGCGTCGGACTCATTGTAGAGCATTTCTACCAAGACGCCTGGACAATGTCGCCTTCAGGATACCCTATCTATTCTCTCGCTCCCAAGTCGAAGGTATCTCTTGCTGCCATGGCAGGATGTCAGCGACTTCTCAAGTCTTGGATTCAAGACCTCCCTGCTCCAGCACATTATTACCCTCCATCGTTATTGCAAAGTTATCATCCGGGGTCCCCAGATATCGTTCTTCTTGTCCATCAATCATTTCTATACCTCCTCCATCTCACAGCAACATCGATTCTCTGTCAAGTCGCCCCAGATGGAGTAGATGGTATTCGAGCTACCATAATGCCAGAAATGGGGCAGTTGACATCACGAGTAATTGAGACACTCAATGAGCTTCATGACTGCAGAATGCTCCATCTTCTACCTGGGAGCACGGTCACTATTTTGTTGATCATCCTTGAGGGAAGTTTGCCGGGTCTCAAGGTCTCCGATAATATTGTGCGAAAGCAAGCCATGTCCAATCTCTATGCCTGCGAAGAAGCAGCGAGTCATCTGTTGCAAACCTATCCAGCCGCCGAGATTGTTCTTTCCCAGGCACAAACCGCGCGCGGACATCTTCTGGGGCTAATAGCCACCACGTAAGAGAGAAAAAAGTCACTTAGTTACTGAGCATGTACATATTAAAAAATTGCCAATAATATAGAAATTTCTACAGCCTGAATATAATTTATCATTCCGAAGTCACGAGGGAGAATCTTGAAAACGCCCAGACACAAGCAAACCTTGGGAGGCCAACCAAGCGGGTATAAAGCTCGGCTGCCCGCGGTTATTCGGTCATCGCCCCGGAATAATTTGCGGGGACCCCAGCTGTGACCCCGATCCTGCAAATTTTGTTTTCAATGCCTGTGGCTTGGCTACATCACTTGGTATTTCTACATTATTATGGAATCTGATACTCCGGGGCTGTCTAAACCCCTTCGCACTTCGCAGGCATGTGACAGATGTCGCCGACAAAAGCTCAAGGTATGTGCATCCTTCACGATACCCCTGATTCCGACTCTCAACTATATTTAGTGTGATAGCTCTAGACCCTGTGTGTTATGTACTCACGCTGGACACAAATGCGAGACATCTCACCGCACAGCACGGCGCACTCGTCGACGAAATATAGACAGAGCCCAGCCCCGATCTTTCGGGGTACACAAAGCAATAGCGCCAGCTAAAAGCTCAAGGGACAGTATCTTACCCGCTGATAAAAGGTCGGTTGAGATATCTGATGCCGTTGAAAACTCTAATTCATACAGCGAGCGATCTCCGAAGGAACCGCAATCAGGCGCCAACGCGTCGGCGATCGATTTCGCCAGACGAGTGTTTAATGAAGAGGAAGCTGGTCGGACTCTGACCGGGGCCTCCATACCTGGCGACACAGGAGCTCCTACAATCGATAATTCATTATGGCATTTGACCGAAGTGGAACTTCCCCCGGAGGCTGTTATGCTTGCACTCATTGATGTCTACTTCGAGAGAATGCAATGGTTCGTGATGCTATTTCACGAGCCTTCATTTCGGCAAACCGCTCGCAGAATAATTTCTAGCAACGCATGGCGGCGCCAAGATCTCAGTCTTACCATGTCTGTGTTGGCTGTGGCCATGATAGGGCTACAGTCTGTGCTACCGGATCAGAAATGGCCCGGGCATGAGATACTGCGAGCACACTCTATTGATGGAACAGAGCTGATGCACGGATTTATCAATGAGATACGCCGGAACTTACTCGATATCTCGGTCGATTGTCGAATCGAAGCTGTTCAAGTCTGCTTCTTGGTATCTTCATATTATGTGTACCACAACTCCCCGAGCATTGCTTGGACGGTCTCTGGTATGGCTGTGAGATCTGCCTATGCCCTTGACCTGTATACAAAATCATCACATTACGAGAATCCGGTTGTGGATGAGGTCCGATCTCGTTGCTGGAATCATGCCATCGTCGCTGATACGTTTACGTCTATCATCTATGGCCGACCGTCTTCCATAGACACGGGTCTTGTTGCCCTCCATCCCATACGAGATATGGACGACCTAATTCTTGACCCAATACTTTTGAAGAACGAATTGATATCCGCAAGTGGAAGCCAAAAAACCACAGCTGGATTTTTTACCATGAAATATGAGCTTTACAATATCATCCGACATATTCTTTCCCGTCTTCGGCGACTTCAGCTGAGAAATGAGAGGATGGAAGAAGATTTACAGGCCATCGCGGAAGCTTCGCGATACTCCCAAGAACAACTGGAATTATGGAGGAGAAGGGTGCCTCAGCTGTTTGATTTCGAATTTTGGAGCAGCGAGAACCGATTGCAGTTGTTCCAACGGCAGATCGAGACATTACCTGAGCGCACAAAACAGCAGGCGGAGACTATCATCTTACAAGCAGCCTGCCTCCAATTAACATACGACGGAGCTTTGATCCAAGCCCGTCGGCCTCTGCTGGAGCAGAAAATAACCAATGCTTGTTCGCGCTCAGTTGTAGACGCCATTCATGAATCATTGAGTGTTGCCACAGCTGCTGCCCTTCGAATATCCCGCATCCCTGTTCTTCGCTTCAAGCATCACTTCGCCGAGTCCTTCGTTTCTCTTCAGCAATTTACTGCAGGGGTCATCCTCTGCATCTCACCTACGAGCCAACCATTTACTAGTGCTGCGCATGAGGCCAAGGCTGGTATAATGCGGATCATCCACGCTAGCACAGCTTTCGGCTCTCACAATCGAATAGCAAAGCAGACCGCACAGCTGCTCACTGAGTTATTGAAAGTCACCGTAGAGCGTGAAATGTCCGGTGCACTGCGAGGAGAGAACAACATAATTTCAAATATTGAATCCGATGCCAGTCAGCGACATGGACAATATGGATCCCGATCATCGTCCACGCAAGCGCCTTCTGATGAAGTTGTCACGCCAACAGCTCCCCTTCAGCCTAATTTTCGACAGTCCCAAGCCTCGCTGGTCCAGCAAAATGGCCAAGAGAGAGCGGATCATACAATGGCTCAAGCACGTGGGGGAGCCTTCTGGGTATCCATCCGCTAGCATCTTCGAGCAGCTAGACGATACATTTGGGGCCTTTGGTGAGCGTATGTGACCTTCAATTACATCAATTTGTCCTGATATCGCCCTTTTTGGACTAACGTGCTACAGTGATGTTCAATCTCATCCCTGATGACCAGAGTAGTGCTTGGAATTGGGGGCGCACATTTCCATAAGGAGCATGAGAGCTGCATACATGAATGGAGCATTTGGAGCCAGCCTATCTCAAATCCAACAAGATCGTGGGGGTATGAGCTACAGTACGGTGGAATTTAAAAAGTTCGGCAAGTCAGAAAGAGGGATGCAATTGGATAATGGCTGCACGAGCGTTCCCAGGTTGTCATTGATGCATATTTTGATAGCGAGGGTCTGTAGTAATTGTAATTTATTACTATTATGTAAGGGCCGGTTAACTAGAAGACAACATCAGTAAAACGATCCCGATCCACCCCCGAAAAAGTAGCATACTTCAAGACAGGGTTTCCTCCCGATGTGGCAACGGCCACAATACTTGGTGTTGTTCTGAGTCACGAAGCAATCGATCAAAAGCGGGTTCTCATAGCCTTCATCCTCCCACTCGCGCTGAGACGCGTAGGCAGGTCATACAAAAGCTCTGTTCTCGCCAAACGGGGCACAAAAGCGGAGCATCTCATCCCAAATCTAACCAAGTCCGCAGCTCTTTCAAATCCACCGCAAGCATGAGTGCTTCCGATGGGGCACAAAAGCGGAGCCGCCACCTTCGAAGGGGGCCTCGGTATCCTGCGGGCAAGATGGATCGACTGCGAAAAGACTGCAATTTGCGGATGGTGATGCGTACAAGGGTGTCAGAGGGGCCTCACAAGTGAATGCGATGATATAAAGGCATCAAAAACGATGCTAAAGCGTGTTTTCAGCGATGAGCCAAGCAAGCTCGTGAGGCATCTCTGTAGTTTTCGGCTGACATGACGTGTATGCGCTTAATATATAGAGTGAAAGGCAAGCGACGTGAGGAGATCTCTCCGAACTGAGCGTAGGCGCCTTGAGAGTATTGGTAAGGATGTATATGGCGTTGTTGACTTTGAGGATGTAGAGGTTTGTCCGGAGGTTGAGGGTTGTGAAGCAGGGGATGGCTGATCATCAACATATCCCCCATGGAAAGAGATAAACTTGTGAATGTTGTAAATCAGGATGTGGTCTTCATGGTTGACACGGTGCCCAATGTAAGATGCAAAGCCAGCTCTGGAGCTGAGTGAGCCAGGTCTTGATTGGAAGTTGAGATAGTCATCTTAAAGCGATAGTTATGGATGCTTGTTATCACCTCTTGGTGGGGCCTGACTTTGCTCTCTCTCCTCGGTTGTCAGTGGCGATCTGCTGCCACCCAGGAAGAAGCTTTAGGCATAGTAATGACCTCTGTTTTCTGAGGTCCAGTGTGTAAGTGTTATAGAGAAGGAAGATGAAGATGAGCTGTGTTAAAAATGGGCATCTCTCATGATTCTTATAAGCGCTGCTTTTGCACAAACATCAAACATCTTCTGAGGCCACTCAAAGGGAACAAAGCGAGAGAAAAGAAAGAGAGTGATCAGGCAAGTAGACATGCCAGAAAGGAGCTCACAATCAGATCTCTCTACATGCAACTCAATGTTTCGCGATTTTAGAAAGAGCATGCTATGTGCTGTCCTGCGGATCTTTGTCAATGACTTTTCGTGTTCCAACTAGATGGTATTGAAAGGACTTTCAGATTTATTGAGAGGTCCCATCAGCAGGCAAATATCCGTATTTGCTATCGTGGCTAATTATTCCAAGGTCTCGGCCTGGCTTGTCTTCTCACAAGTCCACTGCTCTCCAGGGTGATGTTGGCACTCTAGGATAAGGGTGAGCCTCTACACAGCCCTCCCATTCATACATCTCTCAATATTCATTCAAGAATACTAAGAGAAGTGAAAGGATGTTACACTGAGTCTCACCATTTTAGGTTTAGGTTTAAATTCGAAGGTTGTGGTGAGAATTAGAGTGGCTCAACACAAAGGCGCGACGCCAAGCTTTAACAATGGTGTTTATCAAAACCCCTCAAAGGCCTAGCCAGGACTTTAGACTTCATCAGACTATCGCTACTGATCCAAAGAGTGTCATTCTGTCAAGCAAGTTTTACGGCCGAGAAATGACAGATGTCATACAGGTGGAGCATTGCGTGCTCTGCGCTTCATCTTTCATAGGACACACCTCCTCGCTTGGCGAAAAAGATAAAACCACGATATCGCGATCGCGATGGGTCCTGGCGTGCCACATGGCTTGAGGCAAAATGTTTAAACATAAGTATGCGACACTGCCTATCAAAGGTCAAGGCAAAGTCAAACGTTCATACAGCAAGCATGGCTTTCGAACGCGCAAGGAAGTTCTACCGCTCCTGTTTACTACAGATTATCCTTGTTGGACTGGTCGCATTTTGTGAGCCTGGGATCTGGACTGCGCTCAATAATCTCGGCGCTGGAGGAAATGCCAAAGTAAGTATTCTCAGCGGAGTGCTCTTGGGCTGCGAAATTGAATCTGACGGAATTAGCCCTTCCTGAATAATGCCGCCAATGCCTTGACGTATGGACTTATGTCAATAGGCTGTTTCCTTGCTGGTGGTGTTAGCAACAAGATCACTGCCAAATGGACTCTGTTCATCGGAGCGGCGTTCTACACTCCCTATGCAGCTGGTCTATACTGCAACAACCGATACGGCAACGAATGGTTCCTGCTTCTCGGCGCCGCGCTTTGCGGAATCGGCGCATCTCTTCTCTGGGCAAGTGAGGCGGCAATTGCAGTTGGATACCCCGAAGAAGAGAAGAGGGGACGGTAAGTTGAAACCCTCCGAACTTGTCAATACCCACTAACGCAAGATTAGATACGTCGGAATCTGGATGGGTATCCGACAGATGGGGCCCCTGGTCGGCGGTGCAATCTCCCTCGCTCTTAACGTTGGCACCTCGCATACCGGCAAGGTGACTTACACCACTTACCTAGGCCTAGTGGCTATCTCTGCCCTGGGAGCTCCGTTCGCGCTGTTACTGTCCCAGCCTCAAGATGTTATCAGAAGCGACGGGTCTAAGATCCCTTATATGAAGAAGACGAGCTTCGCCATTGAAGCGCGCGCTATCTGGAAGCAGCTGCGCAATAAGTACATGCTGCTACTTATCCCGATTTTCCTGGCTGGACAGTTCGGCTCCACTTACCAGGGTAACTACTTGACGAGTATGGATTTCCCCAATTCACCCAATGCTCCAGATGGATCATGTTACTAACAGCACCTCTTAGCCTACTTCACCGTCCGCTCCAGAGCCCTTGCATCATTCCTGACGGCCGTGGTCGGTGCCTTAGCAAACGTGACCACGGGTCTAATTCTGGATTTGAAGTGCATTTCGCGAGAGAACAGGTCTAAGGGCGTATACATCTTCGTTCTCATATTCGTCACGGCAGCCTGGACATGGAACGCCATTGTCGAGACCAAGCTCTCTAAAATGGCCGAACCACCAGCATTTGACCTTGGCGATGGACCTTTCTTCAACTCCGCCTTCACCGTCTACATGGTCTTCAAGTTCTTCTACGAGGTTTTGCAGACCTATATCTACTGGCTAATGGCGGAAATCAAGGGCGCACAGGCCGATGGTGACATCGCGAGAACTACTGGTATTTTGAGATCGTGGGAGTCGATCGGCAGTACGATTGCTTATGCTGTGGGTGCTACCCATTGGCCGAATCTGAACCAGATGATTCTGGGTTTCGCCTTGTGGGGGTTCACGATTCCTTTCACGCTACTGGCGGTGTTTGGCGATTGGAACCAGCCGGTCGCTGTTGAGGCAGATGACCAGACAGATAGTAGTAGCTTGGAGGCACAAAGGGTGGTTGTCAATTCTGATGGAAAGGATTGAGTTTGAAATGTTAAGATAGTTTGCATATTTAATCTGATAAATTCTGAAGTTTATTCTAAGTTGCACTTTTCTGGTTACGAGAAAAGAACAGGGGTGTGGCAATTCTATACTCATCTTCCAAGGGTGGGAACGGCCAAGATTGGACAGCCAAAGAGTACCTTCCAAGGTTGACATTCGGGTAGTTCCCGAGGTCCTCGATTTGCTTTGACCCAACCTTGGAACGATTATGAGAAACATTAATTAGACTACATCCATAGTACGGAGTACACTGGTTCAGACTTAACCCTTTCCCACTGTTTACTCACGATCTACAAGGGAACAAGACATAAAGGCATGAACTTCATATTACACAATAGCTGAAGTGGACGCAAAGCATAAGAAAGAGAAAAACATGGTATAAGAACGACTGCTCGTAAACAGCGCGATCAAGAGATCATATAAAGATTAAGCCTGCAAGCAGGCATTATTCCAGTATAGAAAGAAAGGGAAGAAAATCTCAAATGCTATGAAGCACTTAGATAGCGAAAGCAACGAAGAGACCAGCGAAGACAGCGCCGAGGCTGAAGGCGTTGGTGGAGGCAGCGCCAGTGTAGACGGGCGAGGAGGCCGCGGGGGAAGCAGAGGCGGTGCCGGAGGGAGCAACGGTGGAGGCACGGGCAGAGGAGGTCCAGGCAGCGGAGGAGACGGGGGAGACGCCGGTGGGGACAACCACGGGGATGGAGGTGGCGGAGGCAGTCTGGGTCTCGGGGCAGATGGTGGTGGTCACCTCGGAGCTGGGGATGACAGTGGTCCAGGCGGGGGTAGAGGCGGAGGCGGAAGCAGACTCCGACTCGGGGCAGTAGGTGGTGGTCTCGGTGGTCTCAGCAGTGACAGTGGAGGGGTTGGCGGTGGCGGTAGGGCCGGCGGTCTCAGTCTCGGGGCAGATGGTGGTGCTCTCGGTGACCTCGATGGTGGAGGCGGCGCTGGAGCTGGCACCAGCGGCGGCACTGAGACCGAACTGAGTAGAGTACTGGTACTGGCCGGTACCCTCAACAACGAGGAGAAGACCGTAGTGGGTGGTGTCGGGGGTCAGGTCAGAGCCAGGGGTCCACTTGAACTCGCCGGAGTTGGGGATCTGCTCAGCGAGGGTCTTGAGGGGCTGAACGTTGGTGGAGGGACCGCGGAGGAGGACCAGGGAGATGGGACCCTCGGTGGTGGGAGTCCACTTGATGGTGTAGCTCTTGCCCTCGGGGACGATTTCGTTGAGACCGGGAGAGGTGATGGCGTTGCCGGTAGGGTTCTGGTTGTAGTCAGGCTGGGTGTGGGCAGCAGCCAGGGCCACAAGGGCGGAGATGGTGGTAGCGACGGAGAAACGCATGGTGTTCTTTGAGAAAGAGTGACTGGGGTGAAGACTTTGAAAAAGAGTGACTATCGTTGAAGAACGAAAAGAGGTTGTTAAAAAGGAATGGACTGGAGTGAGTTGGGGGAGAAAGAAGAATAAGAGGCGAAATGGCCCCCGGGGCCCTTTCTACTTCGCAAGTGGGTCTCCGCACTAAAAGTGCCTCAAAGCCAAAGTTGTATCTGCATTGACCAACCACATCACGTCACTTCGTTCTCCTCCGAAGCGAAGTGTGGCTTTGAGTCTGACACTAGTATTGGTTTCTGTTTGTATTTGTGTTTTGTATTTCTATTTCTATTCTAATTTCTATTATCTATTTTTATTTTGATTCTTATTTTCAGTTGACGTTTGTGTTTGTGTTTGTATTTTCTGTGAATAGGACTACAAAATTCCCAATTCCAGAAAGCCAAGCACATTTCATCCCTCGTGGAAGAAGAACGAGGGGAACCCTGGCCAAAAAAGAAAAACAAAGCCTGTGCGTAATTAAAAACAAACACGGTCGCTGATTGGCGCATGATCCCTCCAATTTCAACGGTAGACCCTGCTTACTTTGAGAATGCTCCGGTAAATTACCACTAAAGGGAGATTAGAAGGACTCGTGGGAATGTTAGTTGTTTTCAATTGCTCTCCTAATGATTATATCGTTCAAGTATTATATGCAGTTCTGTACGGAGTACTCCGTACACCTGTTCTACTCTGTACACTCTCAAACTCTCAAATACTCCTGAGAGAACCCGTTTGTTGGTCTCTTTTAGCGTCGGCGGATACTACCCGGTCATTTCACACCAATAGCGGAACGGTCTCAATTCATCTATTAATACTTCCTCACAGATCCATTGTGCATTGTTATCTATCCCCTATTCAATCTATTCGGCATATTATTTTTAAGATTGATCATCTTACCTTGCGCCACTTTTCATCTCCCAGTTCATCTGTTCATCTGTACGGAGCAGGTTCATCAACGATTCGTTCCCAAACTCGGACCCTGTGACAAGCGTGATACAGTAATTCAAGTGCAAACTCTAACCTTGCAACACGATGCATGCAGGTACAAGGTCCATGTGTTTACACACGGGACGGGAAAACCCAATGCTTAGATTGGAGATTGGAGATTTTGATAAACATGCGGTGGCTCAGTTTGCCGTTGAGGTGAGGGGCCGTGACGATCCCGATGCCCAACTTGATATTCAGGGGGTCAATGCCAGTTCCTACTTAGTTGCTACATTGCACAGGATTTTATTTCTCGTACTACACATGAGCAATGTGTGATAAATTGCAAGTTCCAAAGGGGGGCCCGGGTATGAGCTGTACGGAGTACGGAGTAGACGTACGAAATATACGAGTATTAAAAAACAATGTCTCACCTGCATCGAGAGATTATGTGCTGGAGTGCAGAGTGGCGCCCGGGGACAGATGTTGCCTCAAACTACGGAGTAGGGAGTGCCTACAGAGCACTCGTACGGACTAGCCCGTCTCCGGGAAATTCGGATTTGAAGACTATATTTACACCTCTAGTTCAAGACTTCCATTTTTTTAGGCGTCTATCTCGGGGTTGACTTGATCGAGTTAGCCAGCAGGTTCTTTAAGCCGCATGAGAACCGAGGCGAGGCGGAGCCCCTCCGAACAAAACAGGATATCCGGAGCAGCATACCGTATATGCGTAAGACCGGAGTCAAGAATCTCTGACTAGTCGTTTTGTATCGGGTATCACTTCCAATAGAACGCCCCCGAAAGTTTTTCAAGTCTTCCATTGGCGAGGCAAGCCACGCCAGAACAAGCCCCCAAACAAGTCCCGGTCAAAGACCGGGTCTAAGACTGGCCCAAGATTTGAGAAACCGGGGGCCAGATCATGTACCTGAATTTGCTAGGTTCTACTCTTGCCAAGTCACAGTCTTGGTCTGGAGGAACTCGTCGTATCCCGACGTTCCTCCGAAGCGACCAAAGCCACTGCTCTTCCATCCACCGTGGGGCAAGACCGGCTCATCGTGGACCGTCATTGCGTTAATGTGGACGGCGCTAGAAGAAGAAAAAAAGTCAATCAGCATGCATATACTTTGCGAAGCGCCCTGATGTGATCGAGAAACTCACCCCGAGTCAATCTGCTTCGCCACCCGCAATCCACGGAACAGGTTGTTGGTGAACACAGATGCGGTCAGTCCGTATTCTGTGTCATTGGCTAGTGCAATCGCCTCTTCTTCCGTGTCAACCGTGATGAGAGACACGGTCGGCCCAAACGACTCGGTCGCGTACATGTCCATTTCCTTGGTGACACCGCCGACAATCACCGGGCGCATACCGGTCGCGACGGACTCGTTTGCCTTCGCATCGCCAAACACGACTTCCGCACCGCGCGACACCGCATCGTCAATCAACTTCTTGTTCTTGACCACCGCCGCGGAGTTCACCAGCACCAACGCGGGCGCTTCCTTGCCGAACAACTTCTCCGCTGTGTCGGCGAGCTTCTGTCGGAAAGCGTCTGCGATGCCGCGCTGCACGACAATGCGCTCGGTGGACATGCAGATCTGTCCGGACTAAAGGCTGGTCAGTACTGGGTGTTTGGTGTATGGTGCCATGCTCGGTACTTACGTGCATGAAGGATCCAATGGCGCAGTTCATAGCAGCCTTGTCCAGGTCGGCATCGTCCAAGACCACCGCCGACGCCTTACCGCCCAGCTCCAAGAGCACGGGCTTGATGTACTTACCAGCGGTGGAAGCAATGATCGAGCCGACCATGGTGCTACCGGTGAAGTTGACCTTGCGCACGGACGGGTGGGCAATCAGAGCATTGGTCACCGCGGGAGCATCGCTGGTCTGGTTGAAAATAACATTCAAACATCCAGCAGGCAGACCTGCCTGGCGGAAGATATCACCAAGGACCCAGAAGCACTTGGGGGAGAGCTCGGAGCCCTTGAGGACGACGGTGTTACCGGCGGCTAGAGGCAACGCCACGGCGCGAACACCAAGGATAAAAGGCGCGTTCCTGGATAAGTGCCGAGTCAGCTGACCTGTACTCCCTGCAGCAGACGGATTTGAGGCACAAAACTCACCATGGCGCAATTGACAAAATGACACCGTAAGGCTCCTTGTACACGATGGCTCCCTCACCCTCGCGGTTGATGTTGGGGACCACGCCCTCAATGGTAGGAATTCGGCCAGCAAAATCCTTGATGAAGTTGACACCCATGTTGAAAGTGTGTTCGGTGAAGGGGCGTCCAGCGCCGGTCTCTTCGCGCTGGTATTGAATCAATTCCTCTTTGCGGGAGGACATGATGTCAGCGGCCTTGAGGAGGAGGTCGCGACGCTCGTAGGGCTTAGTCTTGCTCCATGCTGGGAATGCAGCCTGTGCATTGTCTACTGCGCGCTTAGCGTCCTCGACGGACACGCCTGCGCAGTAGCTGCTCAGCTCGCCGGTAGCGGGGGCGTAGACCTCGAACTTGATGTCGGTCTCAATGGACTCATTGTTAATGATGAGGGGTGTTGTAGATGCCATTGTGAAATTGTGAAGTAAGAATAGAACGCAAAAAAAATGGTTGGATAGAGGAAAGGAGTCCAACGAGGGGCAATGTTATTTCAATAGGAGCTGAGATCGATCTTGACCAATTTCAGAGAGGCGGGGAGGTGTGGGGCATCAAAAAGAGCGGTCATGGGCCCGTAGATCGTGACTTATCTCCGGCCACTTTTCTGTCCTCTCCACGGATTTCCATTGAAAAGCCTCAATATCTCCGGCCTCTCGTATGGGGTACCTTCGGATATAACTTCCCAACTCCCTTGTTCAACAGCCGTGTGGGGGACTCCCCGGTCTGAACGCAGGATGACATATCCGGAGTTATTCCGCACGGCCTCGGCACTCTCAGCTCTTCTCTACCAAAGTGGGCACAAATGTGAAGATCCTTTCTCAATCAAAACTCGATTATTGAACACCATCTATGCTGATCCTTAGAGGTATTCCCATAAGCCCACAAAATATCCAAGCGCCTTCCAATGCAAATAACTACCCTCAATTCGCCCAAATCTTCGTCTCTGTCGCGTTTTGCTTCCCCATCTCCGCAAAGGGACAAAGGGAGGTCTTGGACTCGGCCCGCGACGGTATCGACGGCGCTCCACTCTGTGTCGAGGGCACCGCACTGTGTGTCGAAGGCGCCGGACCACTCGAAATGCTGGACCGGTCATCGTCATTCGAGCTCCCGGAGGTACTGCCAAGAATTTTCTTATCACCGATGTATCCCTCCTGATCATCGAAGCTCATCGTCGACATCTCGTCGAAGAACTCTTCACCATCATTGGAGTGGTACCGCGCAAACAAATCATTCTGGATCCAGAGAATTTTATTGACGGCTCGCACGAGTGCGATCTTTCGGCGCAGCGATAGATGGGGGTGCGACATCATCGCCTCGATCCAAATGTCTTGGATGTAACCCATGCAGGCGCCGAGATGGATATACTCGATGTTCAGAGGGGATCTGCGCACTTGCCCGCTGTGCATCATGCTGTGTCACGGTTAGCGTTGCACTGTGACAATTAAGGAAGGACCGGGGATGCACTTACCCAACCTTGTTCAGATAGCGCCAGAAGTCCATTGTGGTGGGATCTTGGCACAGTCGGGTGAGGTACCAACGCAAGAACATCTTGCGGCGCTTGATCTGGGGTGTTTCTTCGTGGAGGTAGTCCTCTTCCGGCTCGGTCTCGTCGGCGGTCGTGCGTGTGTGGAAGGCGCGTGATGTGATGTCGCACTCGAGAAGCTTTTTGTATACCAGGTTGACCACCGCGGGAATCAGTTGCTTGATGTACTTGTGACCGTTCATCAGTGCCTCGACATCGCCTGTGGAATGTTAGAGCCTGTTTCGATTTTTCGGTATTCATGGGCCTTACTGGAGTTGAAGTCGAGCATGTGGTGCAAGTACTTGATTCGCTCTTCCAGATTGGTATAGAGCAACTTGCGGTCGACATGTTTGGGTTCGGGCGCCATGCCGTATTCCATGACGCAGGTAGGAGAATGTGGATGTGTGTTGGTGAGTTGAAGTCAATCGTACGAACCACTGGGGTATTCAGTCAAGATAGAAAGATGCAGAAGATCTGGGATCGTGAGAACAAAGAGGCATAAAACTGGGCCGCCTCGTGGCAAACTCGTGGCAGATCGAGTATTTATACACTCGATGCACGATCCCGGGGCCCTTCACCGTTCTTCCACGGCAGGCAACTTGCAAGCCATGAAACCGTAATAATCAGCCTACCAGGGATCCGCTATACATGCTGGCAGGAGGCCGTCCGTGGGTCTTTTTCCTAGAAAAGCGATCGCACCCGGTCTTGGCCAGCGCATGCTCGAACCAAGGCCAGGATTATTCCTGGGTATATTCAAATTATGAATATCTTTATTGGACACCGTCGAATCAGAGCACAGCACTATATGACGGAGGCCGTATCCGCGGTGGAGCCATAAGTGATGTACATAGGCATGTGTGGGCTGATCCCTGTAATCTCCTACACCAGGTTAGACAAATGCGAGAGACACCAAAGCCACACCTGGGCATGCTCCATCCATGACTGTGGTCCTGTCATGCTCGGCAAGCTGAAACAAGCGACTTGAAGACGCGGAGATTGTCCAACGTTCATCTCTAACAGGCTGGTGTGCATGCTACCGGGCCTCCTACTTCATCTAAAATCCTGTATAAATTTTGGAGGCGTGTTTCCCTTTATGTCTTTGACCCCAGACTTTCGACAACCGTCGGAATTGGACAGGTCACTCTGGCCCGTCACCTGTCACAAACTATATAGTGGACTGCCAACGTTGCAAATTAGATTGCGTTGGATACCCGGCATTTGACTTTACATCTCGCTCTCGCTCACTGGTCGGTCGTGCGGGTGTTCGGAGCTCCGCTGCGGTCCCAACGGTTTCACTCGCCAGGGCAGAATCCGAGATGAAGTGGATTCCGTTCGGGTCCGACAGGGCTGCGGGTCCAGGTGTTGGCTGTGAATTTAGGATTAATGCTCGTACTAACGGATATGCATGACACCCGTACACTATCCGGTGCTTAATTGTGAGGAAACAAAAGCCACACCTCGAAATTACTACTCCGTATATTGCGTCGGAGTTAGTGTCTACCTGCTGGTTGGGGACGCGTCTTCATCTTCTCGATTCAACTCGCTTGGAGTATGTTCCCGATCAAACTCGTGGTGCAGTGGGTCACGACAGATGAAGAAAAAAGTTCTGACTAGTACCTAGGTAGGACATGGCATGCAAGCGATTCATCGGAGCCAAGTGATAATAGCGTGGAAAAAATCAGGGAATACTTGCATACTAAGGCACGCTAGAACATCGGGAACAGGTCTACCGTCTATCCGCACTGATCGGATCGATCAAAGAGCTCCAGCTCGTATCGAATCGTGTGATGGCGTGGCATGATGCCCTAAACGGGAACAATTGCCCGGGGTGGGGATGGCATGATCAAATTGAACTATTTTCATTGCAAATATTAGGCAGAAATATGGAGTGTGAAAATTTTCTCAGCAAAAGGGGTCAAAGAAGGATCTCACGAGGTTTCCCACATAATTTCTTCACAATGACAGATCAGAATCAAAGTCCTGTTTCAAGTTTCAACTTCGGGTCAGGTTTGACATCTCAAACAGCCGCGTTAGACGATCATTGCCGACTTGGTGCAATGTTCACCCCCAAAGGCCTAGATCTGGGACCCAAGGACCATTGACAAGCCTTCTGGACCTTTGGACTGGCGATCATAACATTGAACCCGTGTGCCGTGAGCCACGGCGTTAACGGCTTCCAAGCTTTGTTCCATGGATACGTCATGCCAAGCTCATCTATTTGACTTTACGGGGAGATTTGACAGCGGCACTTGGATGAGCGCCCTGAAGATAGCAGCCAGTCAATTCCCCTGTGGACTTGAATCCTGCAACGGAGGCGTCGCAAAAATATGACCTGTGCAGCGGGGGAGCGCGTGGCAACTCGTGGTTTAGATACTTTAATCTATTAAGGTTGTCGGCATCAACGACAGGTCGGTTCTTGGACTTGTCAGGGTGTTTGAAATAGAAATTGAGGGGACATGAAATTATCTACTCATCACATTCGCTCAGTGAGTGGATGATATGCTTTGGCCACTGAATACAGCTCCTTAGAGACTTTCCCTGGTCGCGTTGCTGCTCCGTGCGGCGGCGGCATCGTACAGAGCCTGAATGTCCGCCTTCCACTGCTGCTCGTCTACCCTAGAGACACGTCGGTCATAGGTGATCAAGCCATTGACTTCGCCCTCAACATCTGTAGTCTGAGTCCACACACCTCCACTGCACGCGAACAGTCTGATTTGATCCTCCAACTCGCCGAGAAGGATGTGGCTACGGTAGTTCCACGCCTCGATGGTGGTATCAATCTCGTAGGTCTGATTGATGGTATCGATAGCCGCTTGGTTATTCCATAGACTGCGTAGATGTTTCAGTAAGATTCAGGCCCGGGGATTGCTGCACTTACTGCTCAATCGAGACATTGTTTCCGATGCCACCAAATTCGCCCTGGAACCCAATTCGGCTAGGGTCATACGGACTTGAAGCTGTGGAGTAGAATGGCGTTCCGCATTGGGGGTTTGCGTAGTGGTGGTTATCCTAGCACGATCTAGTCAGCCACGTTGTTCGGCCCCATTGACAATGTGATACATACGCTAAAGTCTCCGGCACCATGGTCGACCCAGCCGGTTGTAGAGTCCACAAGCCTAGTGGGGTCGAGCTGTCTGACCCGGTCCGTCAGTTGGAACTCGGGGTACGTTTCTGTGATCTGGCCCCAGCCCTCGTTGTAAATGACCTTGAACCAGTTTTAGTAAACATGCGTACCGCTCGATTGAGAAAAATGACATACCCAGATTGCGATGCTAGGGTAGCTTTTGAACTGGTTCACCAACACATCCAATTGGCGCGCGAACTCAGTTTGCTGCTCAGCATTGGGAAGAACCCCTTGCAATGGACGGAGCGAGGGCATATCTTGGATAACAAGAAGACCTATCTCATCACATGCTCGATAAAACAGATCGGTTTCGACTTTGATCTAAGTTTCTCCAGATGAGTATACCACTTAACGGAAATGTTGACGTGATCACTGACATGCTTGCGAACAGTGTTGAAACCCAGGTCTTTCAACATTTTCAGATCATACACCATTGCCTCATGATTTGGCGGCGTGTACAATCCATCGGGCCAATAGCCTTGGTCCAAAGTACCGAACATGAAGATAAACTCGCCATTGAGCAAAGGTCGCTCAACACCATCGATCACGCCTCTGGAGATTGTGCGGAAGCCGACGTAGCTCTCCACCTCATCTTGGTCCAAGCTCACGGTCACATTGTAAAGGTTAGGTGAGTCGGGAGACCACAGCTTTGGCGAGGAAACAGTGAACTGGAATGGCTCATTCGTAGGCCCGCTGTGAGTTGCAAGGGTCTCGCCATCCTTGTGGACCGTGACCTTGGCTTGTGCGGATGTCCCATTCGCAGAGCTGTGAACGGTGATGTTGACTATGCGCTGTTAGAATCGATTGAGTTAAATTGGTGCTCCAGGCACTGACCTTGACCATCCATGTTTGCATCAAGGTCCAGCTGAGTGATATGATTGGCTGGCGCTGCCTCGAGCCAAACACTCTGCCAGATGCCGCTGCAAGGGGTGTAAAAGATGTGGCTAGGGCGCAAGGTTTGCTTTCCGATTGGAATAACATAATCGCCATCATCTGTAGGATCATGGACGAAGACAAGCCTGCGGTTGGTCAGCATTGCAAGCGGCTTTTATTGAGTTGTTGTACGCACAGCTCATTTTGCTGATCAAATTTCAGGTACTCCGTGACATCAAGGTCAAATCGGTAGTAACCTCCACGGTGGAAGCCAGCTTGTTGGCCATTTACAAAGATGGTTGCTTCATAATCCACAGCTCCAAAGTTAAGCAGGACCTTCTCGTCCTTCCATTCAGAAGAAACATCGAAAGACGTGGAGAACCAAGAGTACAACCCCCAATCTGTTTGAATTCCTGTTGACCGTGTTAGATCTTGGCAGCTCAATTAAAAATGTATTTTCAAACAGCTCGGACTCACCTGACAGGCCACTCTCAATGCAAGAGGGAATCAACACCTCTTGTGCAAGATCCTGTCCAAAGGGAGGAGAGTCGACAGCGTTCAAATCAGAGGCATTTTGATATTTCCATATGCCGTTGAGATTTTTCCAGTCAGACCGTTGCAGCAGTGGCCGGGGGTACTCAGGCCATGGCTTTGTGCCGACTTTGTCGGTCCATGGAGTTGTCAAAGGCGGCTCCTTGGGGGCATATTTCACACTGCGAGCCAAGTTTGCATGGTGTTTGGCACCCTCATTGCTGGGAAGGGCAAGGCCTGCAACAGCCAGCAATGAAACCACAAAGCTCTGAGCCAAAAACATGTTGGTCAAACGCCCTTTGATCTTGAAAGGGGAAGACACAACAACGGCAGGGTCCTCGTGGAAAAAGTGTCACATTCTGGGTATTGATGGGCCCATCCCTGAATTTAAGTAGAGCCTATGCACGAATCTACCGTAGTATTTTCCCCTGCAGCATAGATATCCCTCCAGGGAAAAAAAAGAAACAAAAAGGCCCGACACTCAGACCCCCTTTGTCTTGACCAAACGGCATCTTCTGGGGTATGAGCAAGTGCACTTGGCAGAGCCAACTCCACAAAGATTGGATAACCCCGCATGGAGCACGCAGGGTGCCCAGAAAATCCCGATCTAAGACCGCGAAGATGTCGGTCACGGCCTGGTGCCCGATCACAGGGTTTATCGGCCATGCCTTGGCATTGTTGGCAGTGGAGGCTTCGCCAAGAAACGACAAACAACAATGATGTCGCCGTACACGAACTCAAGAAATTGCATATCACAACTTGCGTTATGCATATCGTTTCCTCCGGTCACTCTATGCTATGTCTAAACGTGAGACAAACTGGAAATATGCTAGCTAATACTGCCGACACAAGAATGTGCATCGGCAATCTCACAGTTAAATCCGAATCTCCGCGTCCAAGACTGACAAATCACAACAGCTTAAAGAATGTAGTGGAGTACCCTCAGCAAGCGAATCAATCTTAAATTCCAATTGGGCTTTTGCTCACGCGATGGTATGTTCGGCCTGTCCCGACACTCCTCAAAATCTCGCAGAAGACGATCAGCGATCACAATTCAAAGGCGACAGCCCGATATACGTCGTGCAAGGGAAATCTTGCTGCTGTCTCACTCTTGGATCTAGAGATGCAGCCTAGCTGCATGTGGTTCTTGTGGCCAAGTCTAAGATGAAGTCACCTTGACAGGGTCTTGGTAGTCCAGCATTATTAGCTTGCCTAGCAAGGGTTGCGTTTCGCTGTCCAATCCCTTGCGTCGGTTTTTGCATGGCACCCAGACCTCTGCTCCGGCCGGAGTATTGGAAATGGTATGTGTTGAGAAACTCTGTTAAAGTCCATCTCATTAATGGCCTCAGATCGCATGATCCCGCCATTTGCGCCGGCGTGGTAGAGTGAGGTTGTATTGAATTTGAATATAAGAGTACGAGAGCCCGCCCTTCCCCTCAAGGGCTGACTTGGCGCGACGATCCCTCATTGGCCATTGGCAGGTGACTCGCTGGCTGTTGTCTCCGCTTTAGCCTAAGGTTATGGCTGACCGATTGGGCTTGGGGGAGCTCTACAAGCCCCCGTCCCCCCGCGCGGGGCTTATGTTGAGCGGAGTCGAGGTGCCGGTGAAGGCTGCGGCTGAACTTGAAAAATCTGGGGTGAAAATCAGAAAAGCTTTGCGTGTATCAAGCAAAATGAAAGAGTCTGAAATGTGGTCTCCCGTTCGGCAAAACCCCGGCGGGCTAGGTACGCCAAACATGTGCCAACCCGCTCACCTTGGGCGGGTCAGCGGGTCTTTGGCCTTTTCTCTCATCAAGTGCTCTATACCCATGCACCATACGCAGGTGCAATCTAGAGTTCACGTGTATCCAGCCACAACATAATTTGCCATGTCTGCTTTTCTTTGAAGTATTTCGAAATGCCGAAATGACCTTGGTCTTTCATCCAGCATTCCATTTGTTTTCCAAGAGGTCTCATTCATGCCCAGACTGATGGACAAAGCAAAATATATAACTACATATCCACTGTCGGTTCAACGGAATGTCTTCGTTATACACCCCTTTTTCAGGCGGGCATACCAAGGATTCACCGTTTTCATAGTTTTCGATGGCTTTGAAGGTTATACCTAGGTATTCTCCTTTGACAATATATGAGAAAGCTAACCTTGGAACCTTGGAATATGAAAAACCTTGGAATTTATGCCAATGCTAATCCAATGACCATAGAAGAGCACAGCCTTCCTTGGAAATACTATCCATATTTCAACCAACCTTGTGAGGACTACGATATGACCCAAAGCACTGAGCACAGCTACTGGCTGATTGATCTCTGAGAATATTGGTCATCGACGACAAAATTGATATCGACCCCGGGCCTCGGGGTTGCCGAGATCCCAGGCTGCATCTTCCTACAAACAAGGATATTGATTGGACAGTCTCAACAGGTTAAGAATCAGACCGACTTATGTAAAATCTTTACGCTCAACCGGAGCAATTCACGGTGTCTACGGAGTACCCAAGAAAGGTGCAACAAGCCTGAGCGCACCCGAAATAGGTCCCCAAGGATTCATATGCTGACTTTAGCAACCTCAGGGGAGCTTCGAGTTAGGTCGGTACCTAGGTAGTTCATGCGCTTCAAAATACCTCGGCATCTTTCCCATGATTTCGACTTATGGAACTTGGGTTCATCCATGGATGTCCACGGTGTTGCATCTAGGTCCGTCTGTCCCGAGGCCTGTTAGATATCACGGGGTGATCTATGGTAACAACCTTGGAACCCTGGAACCTTTCAGAAGGTACCTATAGTTATGGATCCTCAGAGCCAGCTAGGAGGCAGATATGCCTAATACAGCGCTTCCAATATCTCCAGAGAAAAATGCTCCAATTCAAATTCTCTAGCCAAATCCATCAACTGATTTGTTCGGGTGGCCAATAGCACGACTTCTTCCAGCTCGCCATTATCTTGTGTCACAATATTGGATGCTGTAGAACCTTGAGGCTTCCTACCATATAATGATATAGACCAAGAGTTGCTTCCACCACTTGGACCTAATTTAGTTCTTGTGTTCGAGACAGGAAAATCCGGCAGATACATACGTTATCAACAATTGTACAAATCAAGATCCCGACTGCGGTCAAAGACAGGAAAGCGGCGTTTTCGAATTCCCAACAATGCCGTGAGGGGTTTGACGGGAAAGAAGTCTTATCTGTGTTGTCACTGCAAGTACGTTGTTTGCTCTGGTTGGGGTTCGGGGTTTGCAATGAAACGTCCCGAATCAGCCGGGTTCGACTTCGGGATTCACAGTGCGGGGCGACAATGTTCTGGAAGGGCGGGAGTGCCCTATACTCATGGCGTGATCTAAAATAAAGCAAACCCCATCAGACCCCGCAATTATATTGTTCAGCCCTTGTTTGGTATAGACTTGCAAATCATCCGTACACTCGGGATCTAGTAGATCTACCATGGCCTGACACTCCACCAAAGCAGATCCCGACCTCAGACCCCAAACGCTTGGTCTTACTCTTCAACGCTGATAGCAGATTTCCAGTCTCCTGAGATAACATTTCCCAAACCCGAGCACATCCGGATCTCATGATGCTGTACACGACGTATCTCGGGGTTTGGGAAGATGGACGAGCTTCACGGACTCACTACGGCCCTGGGCTATAAATATGCCCATGTTCCTGGCTGGTTATTGGAATCATCATTCAATATCAATCTTTTCATTCACAAACAATCTTCATCAACAACCTCTATAACCTCAAAATGGTTCAAGTTCTCAAGAAGTACAAGGCCGCCGCCGTCAACGCCGAGCCCGGCTGGTTTGATTTGCAGGAGTCTGTTCGTCGTACCATCCACTGGATCGATGAAGCTGGAAAGAATGGCTGCAAGCTCATTGCTTTCCCTGAGCTCTGTGAGCATTCTCCTCTCAATGCAAACCAGGAACGTATACTAACGGGCATGTTTAGGGATCCCCGGATACCCTTACTGGATGTGGAAGGTCACCTACCAGGAAAGCCTGCCTCTTCTGAAGAAGTACCGCGAGAACTCTCTTGCCTCCAACTCCGAGGAAATGCGTCGCATTCGTGAGGCTGCCCGCGCCAACAAGATCTGGGTCTCCCTCGGATACTCCGAGCTTGACCTCTCCAGCTTGTACACCACCCAGGTCATGATCAGCCCTACCGGTGATGTTATCAACCACCGCCGTAAGATCCGTGCTACTCACGTTGAGCGCCTCGTCTTCGGTGACGGCACCGGCGACACCACCGAGTCCGTCATGGAGACCGAGATCGGCCGCATCGGCCACCTCAACTGCTGGGAAAACATGAACCCCTTCCTCAAGTCTTACGCCGCCTCTCTCGGAGAGCAGGTCCACGTTGCCGCCTGGCCTCTGTACCCCCGCGAGGAGACCCTCAAGTACCCCGACCCCCGCACCAACATTGCCGAGGCCAACGCCGATGTGAGTATCCTTTGTCCAAGGTGTAGAGATTTGACCTGATCACTGACAAGAACGCTACTCAGCTCGTGACTCCTGCCTACGCCGTGGAGACTGGCACTTTCACTCTTGCCCCCTGGCAGACAATCACTGCCGAAGGCATCAAGCTCAACACTCCTCCCGGAAAGGAGCTCGAGGACCCCAACCTCTACAACGGAAACGGTCGTATCTTCGGCCCCGATGGCCAGAACTTGGTCGCCCACCCCTCCAGAGACTTCCAGGGTCTTCTCTACGTCGACGTGAGTCTCCTGTCTTTCCTTTCGCAGCCAAGCATCATGTCTAACAAATTACCTACAGATTGACCTTGACGAAATCCACCTCAGCAAGGCTCTGGCCGATTTCGGTGGCCACTACATGCGCCCTGACCTGATCCGTCTCCTTGTCGACACCAACCGCAAGGACCTGGTTGTCCACGAGGACCGCATCAACGGTGGTGTTGTCTACACCAAGACCGCTGACCGCGTCGGTCTCTCCACTCCTCTGGATGCCGCCGCTCCCGAGGCTCCCGCCGAGAGCGATTAGAGGGTCTGATTGAGCAACATTTGATTGGACATGTATTATAGCAACTTCGAGAGCAAATCCCAACTTCATATACTTTGCGACCTGATTTGTCCCGAGTTTCAGATTCCAGATTAGACATCCAGACATTCGAGGTGAGTGTAGCGGGTACCACAATGACGTCACTCGGATGTTGCTAGACAAGCAGTGGAGACCGAAAATAAACTAGCCGCTGTGGTGCTCAGTTCCAACGTTAGAAGGTTAATATCAGGAGTTCCGCTTTTGTATTCTGGATGCCATGTGATGTCCAAATTCATGGACATTGCGGACTGACCTGCCCTAGGGTAGTATGGTAGCACTGCCACTCAGGCCAAACGTTGATCTTGGTATGAAACACGCATGTTAGGTATTTTCTCTCAGACGGTGATTTTTGATCGGGATGCTGAGCCTTGACACCTCTTAATTAGAGTGAGCTTTATTAGGGGGTAAGGGAAAAGATATCCTGTTATGTTCAAGCTAAAAAAAAACAAAAAATGTTATCCCTTGTTGCAAATAAACTTCGAGTGATCAGATCGACGGCTTCCAGGCCTCAAGGGCCGAGCCCCGTGAAACGTGAGGGCGAAAATTCCGATCTCTCTACTCTTCCAATTTTTCACATTCCTCGAGGACACGTCTGGTACATGGGAATCGATTTGAATGTTACGAATCCTGATCCGAAGATGTCTGGGCGGGAGAAGAACCATGCGCAGACCCATATATTACGTGAATCCGTCAAGGGACACCAGGGATTGTGGATCTCGAACCTCTTCCCCTGATTTCCAGAGTGTGAGAGTGTAACTGTGACCTTGTTGGGGATACAGTGTGGACTCCTGAATTTGGACCTGTCAGTACTCCGTACTAGGTTGGACAATGCGATTGTGGCCGGGAGCGGAAGTAACCCGAGAGCTTTAAATCTCGATAGTATGGGGTAACCTGAGGTTGCTTTGCTTGTAACGCGGCCAAAATAACTGATTACGAGGCCTGAGACCGCGTAAGATCCTTGTCTTAGGAGGGATGGTTGTGCGAGCGGTCGGCATGCACCTACTAGGTCTATTATGTCCCTTTCTGCGGTAGAACCCCTACGAAAGCCTTGACTGGCACTCTCAAACACCTAAGATCTCATCTTCTAGCTATTCTCACAAATCACAATCAAGGAAGTGAAGAAAGGCATCTTCATCTGGGCCGTGCCAAGGGATCACATTCTGAAAAGGGCATCAACCACGTGTAGCGGAGGAATGTGAGCAACCGCAAACAGGTGGTTTTTTGCTTTTTACTTCTTTCAAGGTTGAGAGAGCTGTCATGTTATTGATTGGTTCATGTTCCTTGGTACCAGTGGGGAGTAGTCTTCCAAGATTGGTGCTGTGGTTGAGATTGAAATAACCTTCGGAGAGAAGCTCGGCTTCCACTGAGAAGTCTAACCTTAGTTCTTTCCCAAAACTCTTTGGTCGTAGCTTCCTGTAGAACACACAGTGACGACATCGGTCATCTTTTCAGTTCTTTTCCTTTTTCTTCCTTCTTCTCTTTCTCTCTACAACACACTTATCAACTAATACGACTATCCTTTTCTCTCTATATCCATATCGTTTGTCTGCTAGAAGCGCCACAAACCCCACTGTCCGCAGCCAGCCTGACAGTGTTACTCTCATTTTGAAAGGCCATTGTCTGTCTTTACCCCCGGACTCCACAAACCAAACTTCGGCTGTTTTCGGTCACTCCACCTTCCTCTTTGGAGGCATCCCTGCTCGAATCAGGCCGCGACAAGGAGGATCTGCGTTTAAGGTATGTGGATAGTCCTTCGAACCGCGTGGGGGCTTCCGCTCCTGTGCAGGTTACCTGGCGTTCACCTGCATCCGGACTCCCGAGCCTTCATTCATCCACTCGTTTTTACTTATAGCAGCTGATCTCCATGCCATCTGACCCAGCTCTGATCATTCCTCATTCCTCACTCCCAGCCTCCTGAAATTTGGGGTTTGACTCAAAGTTAGATTTTCAATATGCCTTCCATGTCCAAGTTCGCGCGGCAGTCCGTGCTCGGTCTGTCAATGCTGGCAGCCTTGGTGCAAGCTACTCCGTAAGTGAGGTTGAATTATCGATCGATAGTCTACCTGGCCTGGGATTTGTACTCAATACTAACTATAAGATAGAAGCTTCGACTACGGAGCCAACAAGGTCCGTGGTGTCAACCTTGGTGGTTGGCTTGTGCTGGAGCCATGGATCACCCCTTCAATCTTCGACGCTGCTGGTGACGCTGCCGTCGATGAGTGGTCGCTTTGTGCCACTTTGGGTCAAGATCAATGCCGCAGTGTGCTGACAGGTCACTGGGACAGTTGGGTCACTGCCGACGACTTCAGCCAGATTGCTGCCGCTGGAATGAACCATGTTCGCATTCCGGTTGGATACTGGGCCATAGAGCACCTCGACGGCGATCAATACGTCGACGGCCAACTAGAATACCTAGACCGAGCCATCGGCTGGGCTCGCGATTCTGGCTTGAAGGTCATTCTTGACTTGCACGGCGGTATGCTTTTCTCGATTTTCCACTTTGATCAACATGAACTAATCAATAAATAGCACCCGGCTCTCAGAACGGCTTTGACAACAGCGGCAAGCGTGGTGCAATTGGTTGGCAGCAAGGTAACACCGTCGAGGACACCAAGTCTGCCCTGAAGGCCCTCGCTGCCCGCTATGGAGGAGATGGAGATGTTGTGACCGCCATCGAGGCTTTGAACGAGCCTAGTATCCCAGGAGGCGTGAACCAAGACGGCCTCAAGCAATACTACTATGACGCCTGGGGCGTCGTCCGCGAGGCCAGTCAGGACACCACCCTCGTCATGCACGACGGATTCATGCCCACCGAATCATGGAACGGATTCATGGGCGCGAGCTCCGGTGTCTTCTATGTGATGATGGACACCCATCACTACGAGGTCTTCGATAGCGGCGTGCTCGCCTCAGATGTGAACTCTCACATCAGCAACGTCTGCGGTTTCTCCAGCCAACACATCCAAACCGGTGATAAGTGGACCATTGTTGGTGAATGGACTGGTGCCATGACCGACTGCGCCAAGTACCTCAACGGAAAGGGCACCGGTGCCCGCTACGACGGTTCTTTCCCCGGTAGCTCACTGATCGGCAGCTGTGATGGCAAGTCCGTTGGATCTGTGGACGCCCTGCCCGAAGATGACCGCACTAACCTGCGTCGCTTCATCGAGGCTCAACTCGATGCTTATGAGAAGGGTACCGGCTGGGTCTACTGGACCTGGAAGACTGAGGGCGCTCCCGAGTGGGACATGAAGCAACAGATTGCCGGCGGTGTCTTCCCCAACCCGGTCACTGATCGTCAATACCCCGGCCAATGCTAAACCTTTTTTGTGGGTAGCTTGTTCGCTTGTTCTTGTTTCGCAGATCTGCCATTTAGCACGATCCTGTTCGATGCTTGTCAAATTCTTTGCAAATGGGTTTTTGAACTTGTGGGTGTCAGCAAGTCGCTTTCACTTGGTGTTACGGAGTACCTCATTTCTCAGGCCAGCTGGTTGGGTCGATTCACTATATAATGAATATCACTATATTACTTGCTAAATCGCGTGAAGTAACCGCTAGGGCCCTGGCTCTGGCGAGGAATGATTGCAGAGACATAGTGTTCCATGGCGCTTGGATGATGCGTAGATTCGGACCTTCTCCCGAGGTCCCGCATTCAGCACAGTGGATGACCTATGAATTGTTACAAGGACAACTACTCAAAGGGTGGAGATGTGCAACAACTCAAAGGTTCCGATAAATAGAAATAATGACCTTTGCTATGGGGTATGTAGATAAGCTGCAATGGCCACTGCCTCATTGCAAATGGGACAGATCATGCGTCTAGAAATGATATCAGTGTTTATTTTATGCAAGATGCAGTTCGATGCAAATGAGATTAGACGCAAGCTCAGAGCAATCCCAAAGCTCCAAAGGCGGCAACCACATCTGCATCAATGTTGACCAGCCACTCATCCTGGAATCGCTGAGCTCCACCACAGCCAGAGATGACTTCCTGCAAGCGGTGGCGGACAAAGTCGCGGATCATGAAGCGGTGGACCACATCTCCAGACTGCCATTCGCTGCGGCGGATAGTCTCAGGTGATTCGACTTCTTGGTTGGATTCCGGCTGGGCGAATTCCGACCCGGCAGGTGCGTTCCAGCATACAAGGTAGTCGGCGTTGGCTTCAGTTCCGCCGTCCGCTAGTTCAGTGATGAGGTCGGTCCACATGGAAAGATATGATTGGAGATGGGAAAGCATATATGCGGGAGGGGGAGGGGGAGAGAGGGATCGAGAGGTGCATCTGGGAGGGCGAGAAGCTGTGTCAGCGCGAGGGCATGGAGTTTCTTTTGGCTGACGCTGCCAATGTTGTCATAGTGCGAGAACCACTCCGTTACGATCCATGAGAGGGACTGTTCCTCGGATGAATGGGTTGCGGCGGCGACGGATGACGCGAAGATGGTGGGATTTGCCAGTGCTAAACGTGCTAGCACGGAGTAGTAGTCGGTCTCAACCACACCGACCACGTGTGAGGTCTTTCTGTTAGGTCCGGAGGTTTGACTGGCCTCATGTGCCGAGTAGAGTCCCTCGAGCAGTGATTCAAGGAATGAACTTTCTACAAGAGATTGCGACACGACGCGGTAAGTTGCTTCACTGCCACCGTCGACAGTCTCAGCGCCACGAATGATAAGTTCGACAACGCGAGGGATCACGCCAAGTCGTTGTTTAGTTGTAGATTTGAGGAGTGTTTCGAGGATCGTCAATAGCTGGAATCTGAAACGGTCGCTGAGCAGGTCCTGCGGGGCAAGATATGCGTATGATTCGAGAATGTGAAGAGCCTGCGGTGTGTTGTCTGTTGCATCCTCCAAAATGGGGAAGAGAGAGGGAAGAAGCGAGATAATATCAGGCGAGGCAGGAGACGGTGTAGCCTGAATGATTGCATGCCAGAGATCCAAAGCTTCGTCCAGAAGATATACGATAGTTTCCTGCGAGCAAAATTAGAGATATGGCAATCGATATGACCGAGAAATCACTTGGCTTACCGAGCCGGGCTCCACGGAGCTTTGAATCAGCGGAAGGATGAGAGAGTGGTATCTCACAGACTCCTGCTTGAGCGAGACAATGAGCGAAGATAGCAATGTAAGGATGGCTTGTTTCATCAGGTGTTCCTCTCCCGAGCTTTCCCACAGAGGAGGCAGCAGGGATATGATTTGATCAGAGAAGGGGGCAATCTATAGATATTAGTCCAGGGAACCTTCGTGGAAACAGTGTCGCAACTCACATTGTCCTCAAGCTTAACCACTACGGTACGAACTGTCTCCAATAGACCCATCTTAGTATCGGAGCTCTCAGTCTCTTGAACAAGAGACATCAGACTTCCAAGAATGCCAGGTGCGAACGGCAGGAAGACCTCGGGCGCAAACAGATACGGATCAAGCACATTCCGAAGCTGGCGTCCAGCAGTGATGCGAACAACCAGATCATTCAGCGGATCGCTCTTGTTGAGCAGATGTTGGAAGATCTGGTAGACTGCGTTCATGTTCAGCTCACCCGGTTTGACCGGCACCCACTGGCCAAGCACAAGCGCAATCCGCCGTCTTAAAAGTCTGTATTCTTGCTCTTGGGATTGCACCTCGGGGACCATGGTCTGTTCCAAGAAAGAATTGAAATCTAGATGCTGTTCTAGGCTAGCCGCAGCTAGACCGATGGCGGAATACAACGAATCTTTCAACGCAACCTCGTGGTTATCGGTGTCTGAGGGTTGTGTTAGTACTGTTGCATGATCCACGCAGCATTCATCAACTTACTTGCGAAAGAATAGAATACGGTCAGTAGACGAGGTATAAGAAGATCCTTGAAATGGATGACCAGATCAAGGAAGAGTCTTTCTGAGCAGGAACGAATAGAGAATTCCCAAGCATCAGCATTCTCTTCCTCCCGCTTTTCCCAGTCTTCTGGCTCTTCTTCCCATTCTTGGAAATCGATTTTGCGGAAGCGGAAGAATTGTGTGACAAGAAGCTCCATCACATTGACGACAAAGTCATGCGTGAAGAGTTGGGACTTGATCAGCTCGACAGATTGTTTCCGCTCTTCCTTGTCTTCTGGGGTCTGATATTTGAATGTCTGGGCAGGGTTGAATGCCATCTTTGCGCATGCCCGGATCAATAGCAACGCTCTCAGGCCAGTCTTTTCGATCAATGACTTTTCCTCATCCTCGCCACCGGCACCAAGGCTGTCATACGTTTCCCCAAGCTTGACGACTAATGACCAATACGAATGGACAAGCGGGATACTATCGGGCAGCAATGCGAAAGATGCAGGGTGTGTTTTGGCCATTTCAACATGCAATTTGGACATCTGCAGCAAGTGCTTCTCGATAGCCTTGTGGACTGGCTCAGGCAGGCTGGTAGGTCCGTTCACAAAGGACAAAAACTTGCTGAAATGCGAATGGGTGAGCACCCAGAAGCCCTGCACTTCGGTGCTGCGACTTGGATGCTCAAAGCCGGCAATAATCAAACGCCGAAGAACTTTGAGCGATACCAAGCTCAGCTCAAGCGTCTGTAGCAATTCCTCTCCGCCGGCACTACCCTGGTCCAACACTGAAGCCCACTGGTTGATCTTGTCCACATATATGCCACCTAACAACTGGAATATCTCGGGCGACACAGACTGGAGGTTGTGTCTTGTTCGTTGGATTCGTGCTGTGGACAGCTCCTTGATGATCTGCAATAGAATGAGGAGGGTCCGAGGAAGTTGCAGAGGGTTCGCCCCTGATTGGGTCGAGGATCGCAGGGAGGATGTGATGGACGAAATGGCATCGGGCCTAGTGTCTGTTGGTTAAAGTGATCGAGGAGACAGAATAGTTGACATACCAGTCCTGAGGGAACTCAAAGCGCATGATTTTAGCAATCATTAGCGAATTGTGAAGAGCGAGAAGGGGAGCAGGCTCAACAATTCCTGCCTCAAGAGCCCTGGTCTTGATGTGTTGTTTTTCTTCCTGTTTGATTGCACTTTCGCGCTTATCAGCATAAGTCGTCCAAGCAAACATCCTGGGAAACATACTTCGCTGCCGTTTTGCGCCAGTATTTATCAATACCATTCTTCAGCTGAATGATTGCAAGATAGCGGACTTCGATTGGAACGGAGTGATCGAGGAAGACATCCTATAACGGGAATGGCGTGAGCTTTGCGATTTGCAACACTTTGGATTGAAACGATACCTGTAGAAAAGAGTGGTACATTCCCTGCTTCTCCCAGTTCTGGAGCTGCTCGGTACCTGCTTGAACCTGCTGCTGACTTGAGCTTGCTGCAAGTATCAACGTACTCAGCACACCCTGGGCGCTGAGTGGGTTGGTCCCACCCTGCGATTCAATGGCAAAGCTCATGGTGAATGGCGGTGATGGTGGACTTGGGGGAGAAAGGCTAAGGGTGGCTCTTTCTTTGCCAAATTTAGATCCAAGTCAAGAGTCCAATTGCCTTGGATCACTGATCATTCATCAGACGATACTCAAAGTATGTCGGGCGATGTTGATTTCATCAACACCGCGCTATTCATCTAATCGAGCTCGATCCGCGGCAGTAAACTTACCGCCCGGCGGGGTACTTTCCTCGGGAGGCGGAGTATCTGATGTTCCGTCGAGATGTCGCTGATTGGCTGGCGGAGCCTCAGATCACAGGTGGAGAACTATGAAGTCAGTGACCACCAACTTGGCTCCAGGGTCTTATCAAACTGGATCTTCAACCTTGTTTTGGACCAAAAATTTCATCGATTCACCCAGAAAAAACTACAACCTTCCTCCACTCGTGACATACCTATGATGTATCATGATGCAACTGCAAGTTTGGAAACATCGATGATATCGACTGGAGGGTTATATAAAGACTGAAGGTTGGGGCAGTCATTCAATCCTCATAATATAATACGAATCCTTCTCTCAACTCCCTCAATTACCTCCATATCCCACAATCATCATGCCTACCACCGAGGAGCTCAAGCAGACTGCCTTCAATGCTGAGAAGGACCTCAACTCCTACCAGGCCAAGCAGGGCCTGGGCAAGAAGAGTGACTCCAGTATGGTTACCATGATATCATCGCATCGCATTCAACGCTAATATTTTTGCAGCTCTCGAGTCTGGTGTCGACGAAATGGTTGAGAAGAAGTTCGAACAACCCTCTGGCCTGAAGTACGGACCCGGCTCAACTGCCTCTGGCAGCGACCACCGCGTCATCCCCGAGGATGAGGGTGGCACCCGTGATGACCGTGACCGGTATGTTATGCATTGTGTTATCAATCTCGCTATCGATCGTCTGCTAACGTCGCTATCCCAAACAGCCTCCCTACTGCCGGTAAATTCAATGGCACCGGTGGCCCCGAAGACGACATCAAGATCCAGTCAGGAGACCGTGGCGGTGACCAGGAAGTCCCCAATCTGCAGGACCTGAAGCGCCGTGGAGTTGCTCAATAAAATGTACATTAAGACAATACCTGACGACTTGTATGAATTATCTATATCGTTGAACATTTCGAATTGAACCTTGGGTATTTGACCATGGACCATGTCTATACATGACGCACCGATACTATTGACTGCATCTCTTTTGTACCTCACCACCTAGGCATAGACCAAGTGATACGCTATTCGGACTGACAACTACCCGACTGAGCAATGCAGTTCCGCCCCACTCAGAATAACCCCCGCGTCGAGGACCTGGGCTAGCATCGAACCAGCCAATCACGTTGGATTTTGTCGTTACACTTAGACATGATAAGCCCATGCGTTACGACTGCGCGCATCTGCCTACAGTTGAACGCGGTGTGACTACCCAAGGCCGGCCTCGAGTCCAATCAATGCACGTTGACGTCGCAAAAGACCAAGATCTTGGCTTTGGGGGCGAACCCTCATTGGTCTCAAGCTGCAGGGCCCTATTTGAAATGCACCTCCGCTCAACTTCAAAAAGCCGCTCATTTCCGCTTTGTTCGGAGCTGTGCAAGCTTTCTTGTTCACTTTATTATCTGATCCTTCGTCCCGTCCAGCATGGCATCCGCACTCTCTGAGCCGATCGAGACTCGGCTGTTTATCAACAACGAAGTAAGTATTCAATCAGAGGCTCGCAATAGCTCTTTCACATGTTGTGATCGGTACTAAGAATGCCAGTTCCGAGATGCATCTAGTAAACAAACATTCGACGTGGTGTACCCGTATACCAGAGAAGTCGTTGCACAAGGTTGGTCCTCGAGTACATACCCCGCAGTATCAAAGGTCTCACACTTCGGCAGTCCAGGAAGCCACTGTGGAGGACGTAGATGATGCTGTTGCCGCGGCCGGTGCAGCTTTCCCCGCTTGGCGTGACACAAGCATCGAAGTGCGGGGTTCATACATGCAAACACTCTCCAAACTCATCTTGGAGTCCAACACCGAGCTCTCCAAGCTCGAGGCAATCTCCATCGGCCGGCCAGTCTCGGCGTTCTTCGATGCCGCTCTGGCTGCCGAATACTTCAGCTACTATGCTACCGCTGCATGGAGCGCGCAGGGCACGGCTAGTGTCAACACACCAGACCAGCTGAACATGACTGTTCGACAACCTTTTGGTGTGGTAGGATTGATTATTCCGTGGAACTTCCCACTAGTCCTGCTTGCCGGAAAGGTCGCGCCCGCGATCGCGGCTGGTAACACAGTTGTCTTGAAGACTAGTGAAAAGGCTCCATTGACGGTCAGTCTTGATTTTCCATATATTGCAGCCGTTCAAAGCTAATCAAGCATCCCGAGGTCAGTCCCTCTATATAGCCAAGCTTATCAAGAAGGCCGGCTTCCCACCCGGTGTCATCAACATTATCTCCGGCCACGGAGAACCATCCGGAGCCGCTCTAGCGTCGCATATGAAGGTGCGCTGCATCAGCTTCACTGGATCATCCCTCACAGGCCAGAAGATCCAGGTCGCAGCCGCAAAGTCGAATTTGAAGCAATGCCTCATGGAACTCGGAGGCAAGAGTCCTGCCATCGTCTTTGAAGATGCCGATCTAGAATCCGCTGCTGCCCAGACACAATTCAGTATCCAGTTCAACAGCGGTCAGATCTGCACTGCCAACTCGCGGGTTTATGTCCACGAGTCTGTAGCTGATAAATTTATCGAGGCTTTCCGTGGAAAATTCGAAGCCCAGACCATTGGCGATCCGTTGGACCCCACAACATCGCACGGCCCGCAGATTGATGTCAAGCAGTACAACCGAATCAAAGAGTATCTTGCCATCGGCGAGAAGGACGGAAAGCTCACTGCAGGTGGTGATGCGACCAATGGATACTTCATCAAGCCTACAATTTTCGAAGACGTCCCGGCGAAATCGCGATTGGCGCAAGAGGAAGTATTTGGGCCAGTCGTGGTAATTACTCGTTTCTCAACTGAGGCAGAGGTCATTGAGAAGGCAAATGATACAGAATTCGGTCTATATGCCTCTGTTTTCACCAAGGATCTCGATCGGGCGGTCCGATTGGCGAAGGCTCTTGAAGCGGGTACTGTTGGTGTGAACTGCACCAGTCCTACCGGTGCAAAGGATGGCGCCTTTGGTGGTTGGAAGATGAGTGGCACTGGCCGTGAAGGACTTTTGTACAGTTTGGACAGTTTCCTCGAGACCAAGAGCATTGTCATTAAGACATCGCGGTTGTGAATAGTTATCCGGGAACATGGAATTATTGCACGTTTAAGACAAGAAATATCTTAAACCTTACGACTAGAGTTTCATTATTTGTATCTCATTCCAGGGTTCTTCAAAGTGGCAAACTTGGAAATAACCTCAAACTACTCTAGTGATTCCAAGGTTGTGCTTTAGTCGCTTTATGCTTGATGATACTTGAATTGCGCATTTGCTAACTAGGTCTGGTTATTTCCACAAGTACCCGTCGTTCTTAGTCGGCTATGCGGCCTTTTATCAAGCAAAGCCAGTAGTAACCACCCAGCTAACATCATCATTGAACGAAGCAGTAGCATCGAAAGTGTGGACACCTCCATTGCTCGCAATATAGAGTGTGTTGGTGTAATGACGGAAAAAGCGGGTGGGATAGCTCCAGGACCGAATAGAATTTCCCTGGCCATTGAGACCGGTCTGAGGGCAGAAAGTAGCGTCTTCGTTGAACTGCTTCGTACCATCACCGGCAGCAAGCACCAGACCAAAGTCATAGTGTCGAATGTAGCTTCCAGCAGTGTCCTTGGACTCGAAGGAGAAACAAGCACTGTTTGCAAGACCGGCACGAACAGTCCAGCTAGCAGCCTGTTTGAGAGCAGTGGTGCTAGATGAAGTGACGACTTGAGTATCGATAGTAGAGCCGGTGTGTGAGATGTACCGCGTAGTGTAGCCGGATGTAGTGGCCCGTAGCGAGATCGAAGAGCCAGCAGTCAGTGCCGGTCCGCTGGTCAAGGAAGCAACTGCATACTTTGCAGCCACAATGTTAGCCTGGACCGAGTTCTCGGTAGCATCGCTTGGGTATCCAGTGGTCATAACACCTTCATAGAAAGTGCCCTGGGCGCCATTGCTGTTATCACCACCGATGCCGAGGATAATGGCACCCTCCTTGCTCATGGGGTTGTAGCCCGATGCAGTAGGGCGAGCACCGCTGTAATATGTGGACAGCGAGCCGGAGGCAGCATTGCCACCACGGATAGCCCACAGGTTCGGTCCGCCCTTGACAACAGCATTGACGAAGCGGGATGAGATGGACGGATCGCCAGCGTTGTTCGCAGCGCTCTGGCCAGAGAACAGGCCGTTCTCGAGATCGGCCATGATCCAAGGCCCACTGCCAGCGCCAGATCCCCAGCCAGTGTTGGTTCCAAAGTAAATGGCCTCCATGTGGCCGTTACCCGTGTCGGTACTGCTGATCTCCGCATTGCCATAGTCGAAGCAACAAGCACCGTTGTAATGAGTTCCATCAAGGACGGCGTACATGCCTTCTGCCGCATCTCCTGTAGCAGTACCACTGGCAGCATTGTTGCTGTACCCAGTGCCGGGTGACATGAAGACTCCGTAGGCTTTTTGGCCGTTCAGTGTGACTGGGGCACCAATGGCACTGGCAAGATTGTCATAGCCACTGGCTTCAGGGCCCTTGAAGCCACCTGGTGGAGCCTGGGTGAGATGGTTTCCACGGCCAGATTGATCATAGATAATTGTGATGAGGCAGGTTGTACCGGCACAGAAGGTGTCTTGGGCGGCGGCATTCGCAACTCCGCCGGCGGAGAGTGGCGAGATGGTTGTTGTCGTACCATCCGAGCCACGCTTCACTTGGTAGAGGGCACCGCTGAAGGCGCTGTAAAGGGCACGAGTGGTACTGTGTGCGGCGATACAGGGCGTGTTGCCAGAGGCGTAGATATCACAGGGTGCAGCGGCGACAAGGGAGCCTCCGGCCACAAGGCCGAGAGCAAAAACCCAAGCGCGTTCGATACTTGGTCTTGAGAGCATGATTATCCAATTGTTTGGAGAAAAGGAATTAAAGGAGAATAACAGGCGACTGTACTCAATTTATATATTCTTCCTTGGGTGTCTCATTACTGCAGATCTCAGACAACAAGATCTCATGCGCCGCTGAGAGCGGAGATCTTCCTCCAATAATTACAGATGGCGTGGATATTGCTTCATTGACCTTCGATGCGACTTGCAGACTATCTAAACTCGGCACTAGGTCGGTTAATACCATGAACCAGCTCCATGGCATTTTCTGTCGATTGTTTCTGTATCCGACTGGCTAGCCTAGCCAGACTAGGCAGTCTCCTCTCATCAGAGACAGAGTCGTATATTAGCACGGACTGCCCAAATTTAGGGCACCGATGTTCTCCATTTCTCCGGAGTTAAGCCGTGTCGAATGCACCCCGCACCAGGGCAACTCTTGGTGCAACATTAAACTTCCGAGGCTTGATTCCATACAAGCCTTGTTCAAGACATCCCCAGGTGCCACCGGGGTTTTTCCTAATTCTTGGCCGTAATTAGCCGAGGACCCAGTTTGGCAACAATCTTGTTTTTGGGTAGAAGCCGTGTGGCTGTGGCGCTCAAGTGTGATTCAATGAATGCGGGGTTCCGGGGGTAGTATTTGAAAGGGAGAGCACAAGTATTTAGAGACCTTCATGACTACTCTGTACCCCATACCGCATGGAGTGTTTGTGTTGCTGAAGCGCCACTGGGCTCGGAATCCCCTTGCTTTCGAATTGGCAATCGGGCCGGGCCGTCCCAGAACCAGATCAATGGAGACTATCCCGTTCCACAAGCAGGCTGACCACCTGCGCAGGAGGATTTCCCTGCAAGTCTGGGCGCCCATGCATAAGTTCCAAGATCAATTTTCACTTAGCCCAGTAACAGGGCAATACTTATACGTCGATAGTTGTACATGGGCACTTGTCGCTAATTTTGCTACGTCGGTCTATCTCACTTGTCCGTGAGAATGAAAAGATGAATATGGGACTCAATTGAATTCAATGATTAAGATATCAGTATTAAAACCTTCAGATGAAGAAGGATAACATTATCGTGTTTTGCAAGTTCGAAATCCAGAGCTAAGACGAAGTTTTTTTTTTTCTTCCTTTTCATTTTTAATCATTGAGCTAGTGTCCGCAAGGCATAGGTATCCCGAAAAAAGATCTTTGAGCCATAGCCCAGTCGTAAGAAAGGAGGGATCGGAAATTAGTCGGTTTAGAACAAGAAGACAGCAACGGTAGATAGAACTCCAATCACAACGTTGGGAATGAAAGCAACGACGCTCGCTCCAGCACTGCGGTGGTGAGTATCAACGCCAGTGGTTTTGTTGGTCGAAGCGGTCGAGCTGTTGGAAGGACGCTTGAAAGTAACCTTGTCGTTGTAATTGTAGCGCGAATCCCAAGGGAAGGGAGTGGTGTAGTTGTAGGTGGGATGCAACTTTCCATAGGTGCTCTTGACAACATCCAAGATACCGTTTCCAGCTGAACACTTCTCGTTGCTATCGGTAATTGGAATAGGCCAATCTGGTATGAACTTGGAGGTGTTTCCGGTTTCTTTGTCGCCGATGGACATGGGTCCTGGGTAGGTCTGGTTCAAGGTCAAGAAGGTCTTGTCGACTTCGTAATTGATGTAACCAGTCTTGTTAGCGACGATCTGGAAGATGTTGGCACCACAGTCCCAGCGACCCAGGGAAGGAAGACCCCAATTGGCAGAAACAGTAGCGATGCTGGAATAGTGGGTATAGAAGGTGTCATCTCTGGTACCCTGGAGATGCTCAGGAACGGCGCCTCCAACGAGAATACTGAAGATGCGGTTGTCCTTCTTGTAGGTCGAGTCTTCGTCGAATGTGAGAAGAACCAGAGTATCCTTCATGAAATAGTCGTTCTGGAATAAGTTGGCCATCCAGGGACGCTCCCACTTGGCAGCAAAGGTGATGTTGGTATCATGGGCGTCGTTAGTCATGTTCGGGGTAATGAAAGCCCACTGAGGAAGCTGCTTGGCCGAGAGATCATTCTCAAAATCCTCAAAGCTCTTGATAGAGCGTGCGCGAGAATCATTGGCAACAACCGAGTCATACAGAACCATGGGGTTGTGCTTGCGAACATAGTCAGGCTTGTAGCTGTGCTGGTTCGAGAAGTTGAACCCCTGGAAGCCGGCGTGAGGAATGTGCTCCTGATACTCAGCCCACGAGATGCTCTTGGTGTCAAGCAAGTCAGCAATAGAAGAGATGTTCTCAGGCATCTGCTTGAAGTCGTCATTGTCCATTCCGAAGGTGTCACCACCGGCGGCGGCACAGTAGTTGGGCTCCGAAGGGTGAGTGACAGCATAGAAGTTGGTGCTATTTAACGGTTGGTAAGAGACTACTCTCGATGTGTTTGATATATCAAGAACATTGATGACATTTGAAACTTACAGAAGAATGCCCTGAGATGCGAGCCACTGCATGTTGGTATCCGCGGCGGAGTCTTCGAAGTCCTACAGACTCGTCAATTGTCACGTTCCATGGGGCCTTGCAATTGCGTCACTTACAATGTTCTCCAGCCAGACCTGGTAGAAACGGTCGAAAGACAAGCCCTTGACACCAGAGGTGGTGATCTCTGGCTTGGTCGTCGCCGCTGCCGCTTCGATCTGCGCCAGAGCAGGCTCAGAGGTGGTGGCCGTGAGGCCGGCGACCAGAGCGGCCATCGCCAGAACACCAACGATAGTAAACTTCATGATGAAGGGATTGATCGTGAGTCTTTGGAAATGGGAGATTGGGGTGATGAGGTGAAGGAAGAAGGAAGAAATGATTACGCCTTGGAAGGTTTTTAACCTGTATGGAGGTGTCACTACGTTGGAGCCCTGGTCAAGAAAAGCATAGTACCTCACTAGGACCTGAGGTTCAGTGTCCTGTACAGCTTATCAGAAGGTAACTCGGGAGTATCCGAACTACGCTACCATTGGTCGGGGCTGGGCGTGCCGCCATGCGGCCTTCTGATTGGTCAATTCGGGGGCCGCTAGGGCCAAGCTTCCAGGGACAGCTTCTCTCTCGATTCTTTCAATCCGCTCAGCCCTACGTTCACTTGCTCTACGGAGTACTCTGTATCTCTCCTCGCTTATATTCAGTCAGGTGTACGAGGGTGTTTTCAAGTTACCAGGGTCACGCTGCTCGGGTAGTACAAGTTCACCTGTGCCCAATGATTTATGCCCGGGTTGAAACTTGCATATACTTTTGTATTCTTGCGATTCTCTACACACGATCACGTGCACACTTTGCCTATAGACTTCTATGTTTCTATATAGTAATTTGTTCACCGTTGTGGCACTTGGTGGGATGAACCATACCTGCCCAGATGGCCACCTAGATCTAAATTTGGCAGATTGATATACACATATACTATCACTTGTTTAAACAAAGAACTTTGTTAGTGTATTGGCTAGCATTTGTCTAAGTCTAAGCTGCATATAACACCCGATTTTGTAGGAAGTTCCAATGATGCTTCCAGCAAAAAGCTTGTAACACATGCTGCGATATAGAAAATACCTCCGAAGGTCCTCTAGGGCGACCATTCTTGGTATTCAGCCATATAATCCTCAAATTGACTAAGGTCTTACACCAGAACACTCTTCTTTTCTTCCAATATCAATTTGAGGCTCAACAAATGTCAAAAAAACACGCCGAGGATGGTACCCATCACGTGAGAAACAACCTCGGCTCCTAGTCCGGGGAACCGAGCGCAAGCAACGGGACCCATTTCCCCGTGCTCTCACAATCCGCACCTATCCACATATGCACGCGATGATTTCACGATGAGCTCGACTAACTTCGCCGCTGCCCAACAGCGGGTTCTTGAACGTCGTCGCCTGCGCGAGGCTGAATCCCGCGCCCGCCATACCGCTCAGCAGCGGGCTTCTCCGATCAGCCCGGCCATTGTCCAGCGCCTACCGTATCCGTTGAATCGATTACCCACTTCAGGATGGCGCATATGGAACTCTGTTAATGGCCGGGATGGAACAAAGCCTGCTTTTCGTGTTGGTCAGGTGGACGCTGAATTGTTGGATGAGGAGCTGCTGGGTCTGATGAAGGGCCAGGTTGGAGATGCTCTCAAATACTTCGGGGTATGTGTGGTCTGGGATATTTTAATGTTGATTGGTGTTCGTGGCTGACGATAAGGCAGCCTCAAATGCGCGAAGACTGGTCCCACGAGATTCAGTTTGCGCTGCGGGCTATTCTCTTCAAATTATCGATTTGGGATCATAATGCATCATATGGCGCTGCGCTACAAGGTCTCCAATACACCGATAGCCGAAGCAAAGGGCCTGTCTATTCCACCCCTACTAAATGGCAAAAGAGCGTGTATGGTTTATTGACGGTGGGCGGACGCTACGCTTGGGATAAGTGGGAGAGCTGGTTGATTGGGCAAGAAGGTGGCTATCAGGAGGTCAGTTTGACGAAACTCCATTCCACGTTGGCGATGACTTTGTACTGACGGAATTCGAAGCCATCGCAAGATATCCGCATGTTATCACGACTCACCGACTTTGTCTCGACCTCACACTCCATTGCCGCCTTCATTTCCTTCCTCGTGTTCCTAGTGAACGGCCGGTACCGTACCTTAGTCGACCGCCTCCTCCGCATACGCCTCACTCCTCCGTCAGCCCAAGCCAGCCGAGAAGTCTCCTTCGAATATCTGAACCGTCAATTGGTCTGGCACGCTTTCACCGAATTCCTTCTTTTCCTCCTTCCCCTGGTCGGAATAGGCCGCTGGCGGCGCTGGATCTCCCGCGCATGGCGGAAGATGGTCAATTCCGTGCGATCCAGCGGGGATGATGACGAGCCTTCCGAGAAGCAAGGGGAGCTGGCTTTCCTCCCGGAACGCACATGTGCCATCTGCTACCGGGATCAGAACCCCACATCTACGACAGAGACCGATGTGCTAGCGGCTTCTGCTTCGGGTGGCATCTCAGGCTCGGCGCAAACTGATATCACAAACCCTTACGAAACTGTTCCTTGTGGCTGTATATATTGCTTCGTCTGTATTGTGCAGAAGGTGGAAGGAGAGGAAGGCCAAGGGTGGACTTGTCTGAGATGTGGTGAGAATGTCAAGAAATGCCAGCCCTGGAATGGAGATGTCCTCGAAGAGGCACGGTCTCAGCCCGGTACTGGCAAGATCGTCGGCTTTGCCATGGATGGGGAGCCCGGCGATGAAACCCGGGACGCAGATCGTGACGAGGAAGATTTCGACAAGTCTAGTCCATTGCAAGAAATCAGTGCCGACGAGTCTTTACAGCATTCAGAGCAATGGTCCACCGTTGAGAAAGATGCCGACGAGGACACCGAGCATCCACCCGCGGCCCAATAACGGGTATGCTAGGTCTGCTTCGACACGGCAATTGCATTCTTGCATCATCATTCATGCTTATGGCCGGGTACATATTGATTTGCTTTTCTTCTCCCACTTGTTTATAAAGCTTTATTACTTCCAGGTGCTGCGGTTCCCGGGACCATTTGGCAGCGTATAGAAATTTGACGATACCCATCTTTGAATTATCCGTCTCCAACGTCAAGAGAAGTCGCTATCTCTCTCTGCAGTCAACGTTCCAAGAGTGCACCATCTCGGAAATTAAATACTGCTGGCCATGCTATGACGTGGTGGTTGATCATGAGGAATTTCCATAACATTGACCGGCTCTCCCAACCTTGGAAGTTGAATTTATTGCTCGAGGCTCCTTAATTGAAAACCAGCTCAAAGTCCGAGTCCACGGTTATTACATGGTATGGAGATCCCCCGGATCAGCCGAATGCTCGTAGGCGCAACTCCGAGTTTGATCTTAAATCGGCCAATTTTAACTGGACGACGCCCGAGGAACGCGGGGTCCACTGGGGTCGGTCTTCGCAGCGAGTTCCTCCTCGGCTGTGGATGAAGGCTATTTATCACTATCCTTGTTGCTGTGAACGCTGAATTGCATCAAGGTTAATTCCTTTCATTCACAATGTGTCCCTCCCACCCAATTGAGTCGAGCGCTGTCAGCGAATCCAAATATATCAACTTTCCCTCATTGCCGACAGACGCGAAGCACCCAGATGGATCCCCCGCACTCAATCGCCATTCCCACACTATCACCAAGGGACATGACTTCCCCGGTGCACGGGTAAGATAATTGAAACCTAGATAATGAGCTTTGCTGACTATGCCAGGCTATGCTCTACGCCGCCGGTGTCCCCGACAAGGAAGCAATGGCCAAAAGCCCACATGTCGGTGTTGCTTCAGTGTGGTGGGAAGGAAACCCCTGCAACATGCACCTGATGGATCTGGCCAAGACTGTCAAGAAATCTGTCTGTGAGCAGGGCATGCTTGGATGGCAATATAATACCATTGGTGTTTCGGATGCCATCACCATGGGCAGTGAAGGTATGTCAGATAAGGACCAGCTCTCTCAAGGTTGAAAGAACTAATCATTTGCTAGGAATGAGATTCTCCCTCCAGACCCGTGAAGTCATCGCCGACAGTATCGAGACCGTCACCTGTGCGCAATACCACGATGCATGCATTGCGATTCCCGGTTGCGACAAGAACATGCCTGGTGTGGTCATGGGCATGGCGCGCCACAACCGCCCTTCAATCATGATCTACGGTGGAACTATTGGTATTGGATACTCCGATCACTTGCGGAAGCCCATCAACGTCTCAACCTGCTTTGAGGCTGCGGGTGCCTATGCCTACGGTACGCTGCGCCAGCCCGATGACGGCGGCGACACGACCAAGACTCAAGATGAGATCATGGACGATTTGGAAAAGCATGCTTGTCCTGGCGCTGGCGCTTGTGGCGGTATGTTCACGGCTAATACCATGGCTACGGCCATTGAGTCGATGGGCTTGTCGCTTCCTGGTTCGTCTTCGACGCCCGCTGAATCGCCGTCCAAGATGCGTGAGTGTGTACGTGCTGCCGATGCCATCAAGGTCTGCTTGGAGAAGAACATCAAGCCACGAGATCTCTTGACCAAGCGTTCATTCGAGAACGCTCTCGTCATGACCATGGCACTGGGCGGTAGTACTAACGGTGTACTTCATTTCTTGGCCATGGCCAGGACGGCCGACGTGGACTTGACATTGGATGATATCCAGCGAGTCAGTAACAAAATTCCCTTCATCGCCAACCTGTCACCCAGTGGCAAGTACTACATGGCGGATCTGTATGAGATTGGAGGTATCCCGTCTGTTCAGAAGCTGCTGATCGCGGCCGGTCTGCTCGACGGTGATATTCCTACAGTGACGGGCAAGACGCTGGCTGAGAACGTCGCCTCCTTCCCCTCCCTTCCGGAAGGACAGGATCTCATCCGGCCTTTGAGTAACCCAATTAAGTCAAGCGGCCACTTGCAGATCTTACGTGGCAACCTTGCACCCGGCGGTGCCGTCGCCAAGATCACCGGCAAGGAAGGCCTAAGCTTCACCGGTAAAGCTCGCGTCTTTGACAAGGAGCGCCAGCTCAACGATGCACTCAACGAGGGCCGTATCCCTCGCGGCGAGAACCTTGTCATCATCGTGCGTTACGAGGGCCCTAAGGGTGGACCGGGGATGCCGGAACAGCTTAAGGCTAGTGCCGCCCTGATGGGAGCCAAGCTGACGAACGTGGCATTGATCACCGATGGTCGGTACTCAGGGGCCAGCCACGGTTTCATTGTTGGTCACATTGTGCCGGAAGCCGCGGTCGGTGGTCCGATTGCTCTTGTTCGTGATGGTGATATCATCACCATCGACGCTGAGACTAATAGTTTATCAATGGACGTGTCGGACGAGGAACTTGCTGAGAGACGTCGTCAGTGGACGCCTCCTTCACCGCAAATCACCCGTGGTGTGCTGGCCAAGTACGCACGATTGGTCAGTGATGCGTCACAAGGAGCCATGACTGATCTGTTTTGATTTTATTGAGATCTACATTTAAAAACATAGCATGTTTTGGAAAAGGAATTGAATAATGTTGTTATGATCTACAAATAGGTCTTCCACCGGGTTTCTAGAAGACGGAAACATTCGATGACATGATCTTCATGGATCCGCTGGGAATGGGCCAGTAGAGAGTGAGAAGCTCCCCATGCTAAATTACGGTGAAACGGGGGTAGTCCGATCCGATGACCTTGGAGACGGAGACTATTACGTGAAATTACATAGTAGACTAGTACTCGCTAGGCCGAGAGGAGCAAAAACAAGGATTTGCGCATCGCGAGCCCGATTTATGCTTAAGATCTTGATCTATAGAGGTACATCGGCTTCCATAGTAAACTCCATAGTTAAGCAAGTACCCCCTCGCCTGGCTGCAGGGCAAGTGGGACCACTGGGCGGTGAGTCATTCCCCCACGCCGTCCATCCCGAGGCTCTGAATGGCTGAGCCGCTCTTTCACTACTTTTTCTTCTTCTTGCAACTCTTTTCAACGTTGTCGATCTCGCCTTGCTTATTGGCTTTGGCGCTCTTTCCGCTGTGTCCAAAGAGCATCAGACGCCCCCTCGCGTGGTTCTTGGCTCTAGGGGGCTCTGCAAGAGTCCAGAACTCCTCCGCCTCTACTTAATCATGGCGTTCGGCACCATTTACGAGCCCGCAGCTATCTCGCGACTCGTAGACTCGATTCGCTCAACGACTTCAAACAGCCCTTTCTCTGACATCTCCGGCTATTTTCGCGGCCTCTACCGCAATGACAAGGTGAATTGGGGTCAAGTTGTGTTCTTGACTACTTGTGTCGTCGCAATGACTGGATGTGGACTTATTTCGTCGCTCGTGCGGCGCAAGTGGTCACGGTCGCCTCTTTCACAAAGGTCCTCTCGCAACGGCTCCAAGTCGTCTTCCAAGGGCCTCAGCTCTTCGGAGGAGGATGACTATGAAGATGAGGACTATGATAGCAATGCATCTTTGCGCCATGGTACCAACCCCAACTATAAGCCCAAGGAGGACTGGCTTTCTGAGCCTCAAAAGCAGAGCTCGGATGGTAAGTGGACATCGGTTGTACTTGGATCTCATGACCTTGCTAACCTTGCGACAGCGCATAAGACAGATCCCGGCATTCTCAAGAAATTCACTACCTACAACTCCTATACAACCTCTGTGGCTACGTACCCCGCCATCCGCACTTTCTACAGCCCTCACCCCCAACTTGCTCGACTTCCTACCAAACCGACCCCTCTGCCTCTGATTGTGGTTGTGCATGGACTTGGCGGATCTCTTGCACAATTCCACCACCTTCTGACTAGTCTGTCAAACGTTGGATCCTGCTTTGGTATTGACTTACCAGGGTGTGGACTGTCCAAGTTCTCACCAACGGAATGGGATGCATACTCCGTGGAAGCATTGTCGGAACTATTGGTCGAAGCAATCGATCAGCACCGGGACCGCGAGGCTGGTCAGGAGGTCATTCTGGTAGGACACAGCCTGGGTGCTTCCTTGTGCGCCCTCTTGGCTTCCACTACTTCCTCAATTGGCTCAAAGCTGAAGGACCACATTATCGGACTTGTTGCGATATGTCCACGGGCGTCACCCCCATCTGCAGAAGAGACGTCCAAATTCCGCAAACTTCTCTATGTCCCTGGGGTTGTCTTTGACCTGTGGCGCCGCTGGGACCGACGTGGCGGAGAACAAAGCGCTAGTGTGATGCGCATGGTCGGTAGCAATGCCGACACAGAGACCCGTGACCTTCAAATTCGCTTCAACAAGCAGAGCCAGACCCCTGTTTGGCGAAGAATGGCGTGGGGGACACTTCCCAACTACAACGAGAAAGGCGATGCGATTGGCGGAATGCCTGGCGAACAGGTCTGGGCGGGGATCCGCATGCCAGTCCTGTTGATCGCCGGAGAGGCGGATGCCGTCACCAAACCAGTTGAAGTCCAGAAGCTTTTGAAATTCTTTGGTGACGCTTCAGTCCACACTGCTATCAACACCAGTGACAGCAGCATCATTCCAGACGCTTCTCGAATTCATGACCATATGTCAACCTCGGCTAGCGATCTGGCCAATGAAAAGGAGTATGGGCTCCTGGCCTCTGAGAAATTACTTGAAACCGGCCAGCGGAAGCGGGTGGTCAAATCTGCAATCCTACCGGCACCAGCATCTCATGCACTGCTCTATGACCGGGCGACGTACCGCACACTTGCGGGAATTGTGCAAGACTTCTTCTCGTCGAACATTGACAAGCGTCTTGGTCTGGGCTGGCAATTGCAGTGTATGAACACTTCTGGAAAGTGGGATGTCAAGAACCTTGCCAAGTGGAAGAAGGTTGCGCCAGTTTCAGAACCCATTGCCAACACTTTCGCTGCGATGAAGATGCTGCGTGAGGTTGACGAGGAACACAATCCTGTGACATTCTCTGCAAAGTATCACGATCGCATTCACGCCGTTATCGACATCAGTCATGAAAGCCCGGTGTACAATCCGGCTGAAATGGAGAAGGGTGGGATTCGCTATTGCAAACATCCTACCGTGTCCAAGATTCCCCCGACTCCAGATGAAACACGAGACTTCATCGCTCTGGTCGGTAAACTTCAAGAGGAAATTGACCAGAAGATGGAGAAGCGTACGGACGAGGAGAAATCATTGCCTCGTCCATTGGTTGGTGTTCACTGTCACTATGGCTACAACCGGACTGGGTTCTTGATCACCTGTTACTTGATCGAGCATCTTGGTTTCAATGTGCAGGATGCCATTGACGAGTTCAATCGATGCCGGCCACCTGGTATCCGACATGGACATTTCGTCGACACATTGTTTGTAAGGTATTGCGTTGGGCTGAAGAGAGCACCCACGCTGTAATTCATATTGTTTCGGGCGTTCCAAGGGTAGATTGGGGGTTTTGGGCCATGGCATTGGGAGATAGGGCTTCACTTCAATTGTTAATTCACGAATTATGACAACTACCATGAAATAGAATTTTGCTTTTAGCTTTTTACGGATGGCTGTGAGCTCCCCAATTATTCACTTCACTAAATTGGATAAAAAGTGCTTCGTAAACAGTGACCTCAGTAAAGAGAATGATTAAAGCTCGGCTTGGTCCATTTGAGCCGCATGTTTGCACCAGTAAGGCCCGTCCTTTTGAAGTCCAGGGGTTTGTTTGTAATCACGTGATGCATTTTCGCTGACTGATCCATGTAAGGCTCCAAGGCATTAACTCGCTTAACCGAGAGGCTAACCCCAAAATGGACACAAGCGAACGGCCCACAGATCCAACCCGCCCAGCGTTGTGCGTGTCTTGAAATTTTGAGCGACTCTTCGACTTCGACCCTGCCCACCTCGACGCCCAACGCCTCTCTCTCTCTAATCCCTACCCTTCGACACCTCGACAAGTCGCCAAAATGGGTGGTGTTACCGTTCGCGATGTGGACGTAAGTGTCCTGCTCGATTTTTACAGGTCATTCACCAGGTCTGCTTTGATGCGCACGATTCGTTTCTGGATGCACGGATATCACAACTTCGGTCGGTCAGCTTCGCCAGGGTGGAAATGCTTCGCACGGAATACGCAACACCGTCAGTGACATTGGGTTCATCGCGATGGGAATATCACCAATCATTGAAGGGTACACATGCTTGATTTGAGGGGCCAAGTCTTGTCGGTTTACATATCTGACACTCACTCATATTCCATGTGTGATGCTCAGTACTGGTGCTCGATAGTGACAACACACTGGCGAAGTTATACGACCGATCTCCACGCCTTCAAGAAACGAATTCGACACATCAAATTTGCAGACCTTGACCGATTTACGCATCTGAGCCCCGTACTAACATATCATTCTCCTACAGGCGCAGAAGTTCATCTCTGCCTACTCTGCTTTCCTGAAGCGTCAGGGAAAGCTCCCCATCCCCGGATGGGTTGACACTGTCAAGACCTCTGCCTCCAACGAGCTTCCTCCCCAGGATGCTGACTGGTACGAAGCACCAGCCACGAAACATTGAAGTTCAAGAATTGACATGAAGAAGGTTCTACGTCCGCGCCGCCGCCTGTGCCCGCCACATCTACATGCGCAAGACCGTCGGTGTCGGCCGTCTTCGCAAGGTCCACGGCTCCACCAAGAACCGTGGTTCCCGCCCCGCTCACCACGTCGATGCCTCCGGCTCCGTTGACCGCAAGGCCCTCCAGGCCCTCGAGAAGATCGGTGTTCTCGAGACCGACGAGGACAAGGGTGGTCGCCGCATCACCCAGTCCGGCCAGCGTGATCTTGACCGTATCGCCAAGACCACCGTCGACGAGGAGGAGGAGTCCGATGAGGAATAAACGTATCGCAAACAATGGGCTTTTACTAGTTCGGGGATAAGTCGTTTATTTTTGTCTTTTGCTTTGCGGGGCATGTTCGAAATGACGACACAAATAAAAATTCGGAGCTTGCGGTCCCTCGACTTTACGTTTGTTTCTTTTTATTCCAATTCATATTTTTCTGACGACCAGACGGGGCTACTAGCGGAGAGAGATTGGGCGGTGGAGAGTGCATGAGGATGAGGCATCTTTCAGGAGACTTGAACGAGAGAAGAGAGCGGACGAGACGTTTCCCCACCCCCTCCTTTTTCTGTCGAGGCACATCTTCATGTGCGTTAGACGGAGGGGATCTTTTTTCCCTTTGACATGTTTTTATGATCTCCCTCACCTCTTTGACCCCGAACCACCCCACGGCGTCTTTGTTCTCGTTTTCTCTCGCGGTCTCCTGGAAATAAAGAGCATGTCTAAACACTTCAAAACTGTTCCCAATCTCGTGTAGACGTAGATGTAGGGTGCTTTATGGATTTGATACTGTTGGCTCTGGCCGGCTAGTGTCTTTTGATATTGCCCAGGTGATCGCATGGGCCTCGCTAGGTCTGTCAGTAGGCACTGTGTTATCATGTATGTTCATGTTCTATATGCATGTCCAAGTACATCTCAACTTTGAATGACATCTATCTGCACTTTATTTCTTTCCTGACTGAGCCGCAGTGTCCTATAAGTGCGATTAGTACCAAAATCAAACACAACCCAAGGTGTGTAGCTTACCAGATAGACCTGATAGAATTGCATCTTGATATCCTCACCCTCTTTGTGAGGCGCGAAGACAACCCGTCCAGCCCAAGGCACATACACATCGTTATCGGGGTTTGCCTTGAGTCTATAGTTCACACCACCATAGAGCATGATCTCATCGTCACCGCCGAAGTAGATGCGCGTCGGTGTGTGTCGGCGCGAAGCAACATGTGTCCACAGACCGTGGCGAAGTGGGAGAATTGCTGTTAAAGCTTGTTAGCTAGGTTCCAGCCAAGCGTCGACATATACTGAGATTGGACACAATGAGTCCGAGGTCGGGATATGTAGATGAGCTTTAGAGAGATTCAATGGAGATGTTCGTACCACTAGCGCCCTTAGCCTCCTTTGATCCCATGATCAGCGTCGCATCTTCAGTGAATTGCTGGACGTATTTCTCGTGCAGGGATTCTGTGTCGCTGGTGCGGTAGAAGTCTTCCATAAATGCGACAAGCGCAGCACCGCGGGGTGGTGCGCGAGCCGTGTCGTAGGCAATTTGATAAGACATTCTGGATGAGGTTATAATATTTGCAATTGAGACTGGAGTGAGTCGTAAGTAGTTGAAGAAAAGAGAAAATGAACAGGATATAGAGTTCTAATGACGGTAAAGACCCATTTCATCATGAGGGGAACCGTCGGAAGGGGCGTATCCGATCTTATCGCGACGGTATACTTCAATGTAGGTTTCTAATTTCTGCGCAGATTCAAATGTTATGTAGGATGAGCTGTCCTAATCCCAGACATAGGATATACCATGTCTGTTGAAAGCATGATGATTTATTCCAATGGGCTCACTGGGTATGGCTGACTCTCCGTGGCTTCATGTCACCGTCGGCAATATGTGATGCACAGCACTCGCGGAGTATAGGAAGGGTATTGATAAGTTTTTGTGCTTTCTGGTCCTGAATGCTGTGTCATGTCAACATCAATGGATTTGCTGCATTTCTCATGGATTCAAGTGTTTGCTCCAACACATTGCCCACAATACACTTCGGAAGCCATCGCATCGGAAGTGGGGACCCATATCCGCGTAGTGCCACATTCAAATTGCAAAGAATTGCATCCAAGGACAGTGCCTAATAAAATCTCGCCTGTTCGTCGTCTCTTGGTTTACCCATGTATGGGTTGGTCAAAGCTTTGGGATCTGGGATTTTTAATGGGCTATCTCGGTATATTTTGTCATATATAGTCTATTCCAAAATTGACTCTCAGTTCCGGTTAATAAAAAAGTCCAACGGCAGATTCAGATCACGGCATTGCTTCAAGTCCGCCAACCCTGTCATCACCGAAGGCCACTGGAGTACTCGCATCTGGCCGCCGCTCTTGAACGACTCCCATGGACCACTAGTTTTGATTTCATGGGTGGTATTCGTGTACCCTCTTGCCTTCAAGAACGCAGGATCAGGCGTTGGCCTTCCATTTCTTGCAAAGCTTGCCCATGAATCTAGCACGTATTGGCTAAATGGTAGATCAAAATCATCTCGAAATGGCAGACTCTGGCGGCGGAAAGTCCCAAATATGTAGAACAACTCCCCAGAGTGGCATCTGAAGTACTCTTTGCTGGGATCACCATCCGGAAACTCTTCTGTGATAGGCGCATTGCACACGGGGGGATTGGGTGACCAGCCAGGCATCTGATACGAGCGGTTGAACTCGTAGTAGAAGATGTCAGGGAAAATATGGTTCTTCAAGCCTGCATGAGAAGTTGCTGCATCAATGCAGCGAAACATACCATCTGTAGCTACACGAGATGATACATTGAATATATCTAGTGTGGCGTTGGAGGTCGATGGAACGGGAAATAATTGGCTTTCTGAAATTATGCCAGGAAGATCGGAGCTGTTGAGGAAGGCTCGAAACGTTTCTCCTTCTGAGGGATAGCCTATCATAGCAGCACCATCGTCTCTCATGGTGCCAATCATGAGTGGGACTCTAGCAGTGGATGTTGAGTTGGTGAGATCCAGTTCTGTTGTTTGGAGATAAACACCATCCACAACTAGGTAACGTGCCGTGTGTTCGAGACTCGAGATTGATGTTGCAGGAAGGGCTCTGAGGCACTCGACAGGCGAAACAGCCTGTGTGCAGTTGGTTTCGCTCAAAATCGCCTTTCCCACGATTTCCATTTCCTGCGATATGGAATAGTATTTCGAATAGGTTGTGCCGTATCCCAAGCCTCCTAGATTGCTCTGCATTATTGCCGCAGAAAACTTGCCTCGTGCCTTTGGGGATGCGAGCAGTGCTCTGACTGATCCAGCACCAGCAGATTGTCCAAATATCGTGATCCTGTCTGGATCACCACCAAAATCCTTGATGTTCAGACGAACCCATTCCAGGGCTATGATCTGGTCTGCTAGACCATAATTCCCAGTTGTTTTCCCGTCGTCGAGCGCGAGAAAACCCAAAGTCCCTAGACGATAATTTATTGCAACCACAACTACATCGCCTCGAGAGGCGAGATTGCTGCCGTCGAAGGTTGGATCGCTAGAAGTGCCGCCTGTGAATGCTCCACCGTGTATCCAAAACATCACAGGCTTGAGGTTCTTCTTTGTGGTTTTGGCGGGTAAAGGAATATAAGGGGTCCAAATGTTGAGGAACAAGCAATCTTCTGAGCCACTTGTGCCTTGTACACACTCGGACCCATAATCGAGCGCCGATGCACTCTCGTTGCTGCCTTTGTATAGTTCTGAGTATTCCCATCGTCGTGGCTGTTTTGCATATCTGACGCCCAGAAATCGGAAGCTGCAACGATCACGAAATCTAAATCAAACATTAGCGGCTAGCCCAAGGCTGCTCAACCCAAGATACGATCCCACCCGATTAGTTGTTGATTGCCAGACTCCACCACCAATCGCCATCTCTCATTTGTATCTTGGGATGTGCTGTTGGAATATGGAGCGGTCTGTGTGCATATCACAGGCAGTCTCTTTTGTGGGGAAGCATGGTTGATCTGGCCATCTGCGTTGATGGTTGATGACTTTTGGTTGTGGGCAGCAGTCCAAAACTGTTGTTTTGGGGAATAACTACCGAGATACACGAGGTAATCCAAGTCACTTTGAATAAATTCGAAGCCTGAGTCACTTCTCCAGAGAGTTTCCCCGAGCTCCAGGCAGCTTTTGGTTGCTTCTTGCCACGTCCTAGGGCCAAGAATCAAAACCGCCGAGCCAGACAGAGGACTTTCACCTTCTGGGAGTGTAGAGGTAAGTTGATTATCATCCTCATAAGAAAGCAGTGTTTTAGCCTACCCATCAAGTCATTATGAAAGATTAAAGAAATGTCGGAGTTGAGAGATGCTGGGCTGGCTACAGCGCTGGCAGTGGCAGCCAAAATGAGGCACGCTGCCACAAGGTTGATCATGGTTCACACGCTATCATAGATCTATTGACATAAGAGCAAGCGTTAAAGAGACTTTTATGCTCGAATTTTGAAACAATGGGCTTCAAGCATAATTAAATTGTTTGCTCATCCTACCCCACGGCCAGACACCCTTGATTAAATAGGATGGTCTGGCTTCATTTACCCTGGGTTAATGGGGGTGAGACTTTCGTTTTATCCGAAGCCATTGGATCGACATGAGAGACCATTCTCCATTGCACCTAGTGACAAATCAGTTATAGACCGAAAACTCCTACCCCGCACATCATGGTGCCGTGAAAGCACCCTAAACCCATCCCACTTGTCTAGTCTCGACATTCGATCAAGGTCATTGACTGAAAAACTCGGGGTCCACCTCAACACACCTATGCCATATATCCGACGCAATGTCAGACAATAAACCTCCACCACCGCCCCCTTCCTGCACCGGAGGAGCTAGGCCCAAAAGTTTCACCTGCTGTATTGAAGATGAGAAGTTCCTCTCCAAGCAAATATTTTCCACCTCATTCTTCCCGCGCTCTAGACCAGGATCCAACCCCGGCAGGTCTTTACTTCTTCTATGGTTCTCTGCAAGATCCAAGTCTACTTGTAGATATTTTGAAACTCGAAAGCCCTCCCACTCTCCGGCCAGCGCACATCAACGGCTTCACAAGCCGGCTTTGGGGTCATTACCCAGCTTTACTAAGGGGGATTTAGATGACACAGTCACAGGTACTGTGTATGAGGTACCTACTATGAATGGTGCCAAAAGGCTGGCAGATTACGAAGGCCCCAGCTATCAACCAATACCCTGTGATGTTCTATATGCCGATGATGATGTTCCTTCTCAGGCAAAAGCATATGTGTTCCTTTTTGTTGGAAACTCGCGTGACCTGAGTGAGGGTTCATTTGACCTGGAGAAATGGCTGGAGAGAAGGGCATTGATGAAAGACACCATGAAGCCTGTTCCTCGTACGTGAGGACTTCTACCCGCCATGGAATTCGACAATTTCTTCAAAGGTGAAGCAATGAATCTCCCCCTCTCTCCCTCTCTAAAAAAAACAACAATATATCCTGTTCATAGCTTGTACTTTTCTAGCTGTGAGCACAAGAGTTCATGCAAAGAACATACACTACAAGGGTTTAGTCCTCCGACTTCAAACCGGTGAGGTTGTCAGCACCCACGATGCATAGAACATTCTCTCTATCTAAGCTTTTGTTCCACAGTAATCTTAGCAATGAAGATTTGACTCAAGCTTTTATCAGCGAGTACATGAGCACAACTACGCGTCACTTGCAGGAATGTTTTCAACGTTGGAAGCGACTCTGAGCAGTGTTCGGATATAGTCAATCTTAGGGTTATACTATCTAAATGCGCAGATCTACATGGCCCTCGTCGGTTATCTGCGGCTCCACACTCACAGATGAATATCGTCCGTGCACGTATCTCAAGTATAAACACCAATAGGTTGATTGCGCCAGATTGCTGGCCACCGAAATCATGGCTTTATCGCTTTGGAAAATGTCAAAAATGTCAAAATCAATGATCCTGGAGCCAGGGCTGGCGGATAGTCAAATGAACCCCGGGTCAAAAGCTCACATGTACCTGCAATGACAACCTCGGAGTGGCAGATACAAGGTTGGACGCCTGTTCGTCGGGATGACGGCGTCGCACATTGGGGCGTAGTAGGTACATACGTAAGTGGGCGTTCGTGTTCCAATGTCGATCTACTAAATAAGTTCGCCCGTGGCCGACCTAATGCCAACTTGGAGCTATTGATGGATGGTCTAATTTTCCCTGTCGGCCGACGATTGAATAAACAGTGGGCTTCGGACAAGCTGTGTTATGTACCTTTCATATGTGCATGCTATACAAATAGTACCTTGCATCTTTGCCCAAGAAGATCTCGATATCCATAGATCCATGATCTCATCTGGCTCAAATCCGAAGCTGAGCCTCAAATTGTAGAAGGTGGCTATTTGTGTAGTCCACCATTGAACAAACCAAGGTACTGTAATTTGCGATACTTTCCGGGTCACGTTACCGCGCAAAACCCTCGCTAGGAATGACAGATATTCATGGACAATACTTTCCAAATAAGCTGAGTGTGATGAACATACATATTATGCCATTGTCCTAATAATGGCGACCCGCTTTGTGGCTTTTTTTTGTAGCCCTGTTTACGAGGCTGCGTAATCAAAACCTGAATGCTCCTAATCTACAGTTCCCACTTAATCCCGAGGTCCCCAAACAAGGCGCGCTATCGGTTCCAAGGAAAGAATGTAATGCTGCATATTTTGACACATTGATCGTTGCCCCGTCATACTTCCGAGGAATGGCCCTAGTGCGAGGTCAATGTACGACATACAAGCCACTTGTATACTTTTGTTGGGAGTTGGAGCGGGCGCCGATATCCCCAATGCGGAGTAGATGCAAGCCCCTGCATGCTACCTTCTCTACTCCCCTCGGGATGGATTATGGAGTACGGAGTACATATGCAAAAATATAACCCCTCAACGGCATCAACGCCGAGTTCGGATGTTGGTTCCTGTGCTGACTGTACACGAAAATGGTCTCAGGTCAATGATCTGAGTCAGAGATACTTTCTAATTCGGGGCACGCTTGGGTACACGTAGTGGCGACACCCCTCTGCGCCGGAAGGAGCATATTGCCATAATTGAATAATAGCCAGGAATGGAACACCGTGCCCTAGATGCCCAAGCGCTTGTCACCGGTACAACTGACGTCAAGGGCCAAGTCCAGATTGTGGTGGGACCCGAGGATAAGTGGATGTACCCAGTACTTAGCGTAGGTAGATACACGAAGTAGAGGGGGTTGGAGGGGCAATTCTCGTAGAAAATACTGTAGACGTAATGTCACATTGGCAAAGGAATAAAATGATTGACCAGTGCATACGGAGTATATGAAAACGGTCTTTTAAGTGATTTCATACTTTTATAACCTCCACAGCCTGTGGTGAGTAGAATGGTCCACGTGCCTTGGGGGACGGTTATCAGCCGATGGGAATAGGGTTACGCCCTGGAGCGCTATAAGCGTTCAAAAGCGCACGAGCACTCGGGATCTTCATGACTGGCTGATAACCAACTTGGCATGAGGGGTTTCTTTTTCTTTCTAGTCAGGTACCTTTCCTGTGAACTTGATTTTCAGATCGGTTCTAGGATTACTTCGTAGTGTGCGGTCTATACTGTATGCTGGATGTACTATGAGGGAGCCGTGAATGAGGCTATATATCCAATATGAATGGAAATATCTAGCAAATACAGAGTACTATATCATAGATATAATAGATGTAATAGATAGAAGAAACAGAATAAGTAATAATGCAGTAATTGTATAGAAAACCGGACGCACCCGGTCACGATGCGCCAATCATTCGGCCCCGAGGCCCACGCGCTTTCCTTATGCTGCGCCTGCGGAGTGCCATACTTGGACCTTCCATGGGGGGGTACTTCTCTACTTCTCTGCCTTGTACTATGAGTACTTCCCTCACCCCTCTATTCTATTCTTCTCCTTTCAAATACCCCATACTCTTTCCATCCCTTGATCCTCATAGATCAGGTCGCGTTAAGTGATCTGTCCTTATCGCGACTTATCTCCGCCCCTTACCGCGTCGCATCCCCTGCGTGGAAAGCCCTAAGCAGTCAAAGCAGTCAAAACAGTCTGACAACTTCACTTGTTCTGTGACTTTGTCTCTTCAGTGAAAGGTGTGTGTTTCTCGTCTCTCATTCTTTGTTATTCTTTCAATCTCGAATCCTTTGAGTCCAGTTGCCACTTCCGTGTTTCTTCCCGTGGTACTGCTTTGTCGCGTTTTGGAACAGGTCTTCTGACTCATATATACATTACGCGCAGGTCCTCTCCTTTCACTTTCATTTTCTCTCTCATCATGGCTCCTCAAACAACCTCCAGCATTGCTATGGCTCTTGCTGGCAAGACTGGCAAGACTGCTTCTGTTGATATTCCGCATGCAGGTGTGGGCCGCCCTACGCGACCCGGACAGCCTGCCATGCTTCCCACGCCACCCAACTCTATTTCACCAACTCTCCCTCCTACCTTCCAGCGGGTGACTCTCTCCCCGGGATCTCCTCTGTCTACAGTCCCTCAACTGGACTCGGATATTGATCTCCATGATGGCGTTGAGTCCAACTCTACCGACCGGGACGAGCTCGATAGCACTGGCGATATCACCCCTGGCATGCTCGCCAAGTATCACCTCCCCGAGATCCTGCTTCAGCAAGGACCTCTTGCCATCCGCCACGTCATGGGCCATTTGACAACCTCAGTCCCTGGCTTTGCACGAATTCCACCCGCGAAAGCACGCAGATTGGTCGTGGCCGCGCTAGAGGGCCGAGGCAACGGCGGAAGTGGAGACGTGGTTTTCGAGAAGATCGGTTGGGGTCGCTGGGACGCACGACGTCGTGGAGAGCCCGCTCGCGATCTCGTGTCTGCATCCCCTCCTTCCAGTGTGGGAGGCTCTCTCCATCGCGGCGTCCAGATCCAAGGCCAGTCCAGCTGGCAGGGCGGCAACCGTCACCCTTACCGGATGAGCTTTGCCGAATCTACTGCCTTCTCGTATACCGACGACTACGGAATGCACGGTGATCTCGACGTGCTCGAGCACGAAGCTGACAAGATGTCGCTGGATGGCGAGGAGTACTGCTCGTCATCGGAAGCGCCGGATGAGATCCAAGAGAACGAGTGGGACGAAGGCGACGTTACCGACGAGGAAGACTGGGCGCAGATTGGTGCTGATGCATTGCGTGCACGTTCCATGAACACCGGTAGTTTCATGAACGACGCTGCGCGGGCCAAGCCTCAGCCTGGCGGTATCTTCCCCGCCACCTGTCCCGGTCCCTCTCATGCTCCCCAGATTCCCCGCACCATCGATAACCAGGAACGTGCGGCTGTGGAGGCGCTCCTCCGACTGGGCTCCATGTAGTCCTCGCATTTTCGGCGTTTTCGACTTTGGGTTTCTTACTTCTCTTCTCTTTATTTTTGCCCCGCATAGCCGCAGCTGGTCTGGACCGCTGTTGCGCTATCGACGATCCAGAAAATTCTCGGCTGCTAGGTGCAGTGCACAGTGGCGTGGTATTCGCAACGGATGCTTCTCTTCTTTTTATCATGACGCCCACGACAACTCTGACAGTCTTTTCATGACAAGTCAATACCCCCTCTTCCTCTTCTCTTCGGCGTTATTCTTGCATCGGTCGTGGCTTGGCTGCTTTCTCTTTTTTCACACTTTCATACGGATTTTAATAATTTTCTCTGCTTTTCGTTTATATCGGCAATCCACCAATCTGCGACGAGTCTTACGAAATGATCTGGTCGTCTTTATTGATCCCACTGGTTTCAATTCTAGGATATCTTCGTTTGATTGTCTCAGTCATCTTCACTGATCCCACTGAGAATTGTCGATCTCCGCCTCCCTTTTTCTGTTCGTTTTCCATGTTTTCGTCTGTGCCCAGTGCACATCCATGTACATGCAGGTCTTATCATCTTGCGTCGTCTTTATTTATTCGGGTTGAGGTGGACACTTGTTCACCGGGGATGGGAGTACATAGTCCCTTAGATAGTTCACAATATCCGGTGCTATTCGCACGGTTCTACTCATAATCTCTACTCCACCGTCTATGCCGTACACCTTTAGTATTCCATGCACCAGCGCGAGCCTAATTCATATAAAAAGTCAAGTTCAATTCAAAACAATGCAACACCCGAATCAACAAATACCCATCCTAATGTCTAAGAACATACATTAAACGCCCAAGCAATAAGATCCATCGTACACAGCCAAACCCAGAAATGCACTACACTTCCCTAGTCCAATCCAATCAACTCAAATCAATCCCCAACCTTGGAGCCCAAATCACTTTTCATGCACATCATTAATCTTCTTCCAAACCTCCTTCTCAACCTCAACAAGCTTCCCCCCCCCCACCGCATCCACCCCTTCGCCGCCCCAATAAACCCCTCCTCCTCCTGAGGAAAGATACTATCCGCTCCCCCACCACTCCCACTCCCCCCACTAAACGGTAACTGAGGCCTCCCCGCCGAAGTAGGATACACAGAGCCATACGACGCAGATGTCGAATTAGGCGTAGCAGGTGTAAACGAGTATGGCTGTGCATACGCTCTAGGCGCAGGTGCAGACGCAGGCGCCGGTGCAGGAGGAGAATTATGAACCTCACCTGCCTTGGGCGGAGGCGCAACAGAGCCTGTCTTTGTTGGATGCTCGGGTCTAGAGACTGGTTGAGGAGCTGGAGGTGTGCGTGTGATGGATGTTGCGGATTCAGGGAAGGAGGTTGAGGAGGGTTCTTCTGAGTGTGGTGCTGGGGTTGGGCCCGGTGGTGCGGCGCCAGGTTGTGCGGGTGGTGGTGGTGGTAGGTTCTGTGCGGGAGCTGTGGTTGTGGTTGTTGCTGGTGCTGTTACTGGTTCTGGCGCTGATGCTGTTGGTGCTGTTGTGGCGCTGGGTGGTTCGGAGGATGACTCCATTGCAGTGGCGGTTGTGGTATCTGGGGTTGTGCCTTGGTCAGATGCGCTGGCGCTGGCGTTGGCGTTCACCGGCGCAGATGTATAGGTTTTGACTCCTGACATTGTGGGACTTTGTTTCTTGTTTGAAGTTTGGAAGTTGATAGTGGAGAGGGTCAGGGGGAAGCTTTGGGGTTGGAAAGGAGCTGAAGGTTCAGACGTCATGGCATCCGCTGTGGAGCCCCTGCCGCTTTGGGATGCTTTGATGCTTTGGGATGCTTTTGCTTTATGCGGCAACCGGCATGGGCAGTGTTTAGTTGGCATAGATGATAGACTCAGGTGGTAAACCTGGCTCCTGATGATTGTTTTGCGTGCATAGAGTAAACGTTGATCCTTAAATCTCACATTGATTGCTTGTATCACTGGAGGTCCTGGGTACTTTTGCCATATTCATAATCAATATCTAGAGGTTCAGCAAGTTATTGAAAGCCTGCTCATTGAGGATTTGAGTTTCTTTTTTCTCTTCTTGATGTTCTCTCTCACACCCAGATCGAGCACACTAAGCACAGGCCCCGGTGGCTCTCAGCTGATACCCCCTCGCACTTCAATCACTGTTGTCAGAATTTGCGTGACTTTTGACAGACGTAGGGAGCATTTCAGAGTGAACAGGACAAAGGAAAAATTTCAGGGGTGAAGTATCTCAATTACTGCTCGGAATTAGATACTGATGTCCTTACAATTGATTCTACAGGTTTCATGATACACGTTTACAATGGAGTTTGATGAAAGAAAAAAAGAAAGAGTTGCAGGCAGTAAAGTACATTGGGTACATAAAGGGAAGAATCACCATTCTATGCTTCAAGATCCCCGAACCCATTCTTGACGCATCTATCTTTTGACGACCACTTCGTCGGTTCCACACCAAGCGGTTACACAAGGCGGGAGATTACCCCGGGCTAGTATAACTACATCGGTAAGTTATCACATTTCAGCGAATAACTTAGAACTTCTTGCCGAGGAGGAGGAGCTGAGCCTTGTCGTAGATGGACAGGACACCAGCACCGGCAACACCACGGAGGATGTTGGCACCGGCACCCTTGAAGAGAGACTTGACACCCTCCTTGGCGACGATCTGGCGGGCAGCATCCATGGAGGAGGAGTACTTGACGGCCTCACCGGAGGTCATCATCATGCGGCGACGGACGGTGTCAAGGGGGTAAGAGGCAACACCGGCACCGGTGGTGACGGTCCAGCCGAGCAGGAAGGAGGCGAGGAAGGAGCCCTCAAGAGGACCGACAAGGAGAACGGGCTTGATGGAGTCGTACATTCCGAAGTAGAGACCACGGTAAACGACAATTCCGAGAACGGAAGGACCGAAACCACGGTAGAGACCGGCGAGACCGTCGGAGGCGAGGGTCTTGCGGTAGACATCCACGAGACCGTTGAACTGGCGCTCACCGGTACCCTTGGCGGACTTGGCGTCGTTGGCGAGACGGGTACGGGCGTAGTCCAGGGAGTAGACGAAGAGGAGAGAAGTGGCACCAGCGGCCTGGGATCTGTTAGCATGGTCCAAGCGCGCAGAGATTTTTCAAAGGGGTACATACACCACCGGAGGCAAGGTTACCCATCATCCACTTGGTGTATCCATCACGGTCCTTCTTGTAGGCGAACATGGACTTGTAGGTGTCACGGAAGGCAAAGTTAAGAGCCTGGGTGGGGAAGTAACGGATGACGTTGGCAGTGTTTCCACGCCAGAGAGAGACGACACCCTCAGCGGCGGCGGTGCGCTTGAAGCAGTCACCGATACCGTTGTACTTGCGGTCGAGACGACCGGCCTTGAGCATCTCATCCTGTTTTGGTTGTTAGAGACAGTCGCGGATGGTTGCCGAATGCGGTGAACTTCAAGAGGAAACTTTTCTCGACCAAATGTAACAAGCTGAAATCAAGTTTGTTGTTTCTGCTTGGTTTTCAAAAGATTCAAAGACGATTGAAAATTTCAGTCGGGATCGATTCCCCCTTGGAGCTCACTTCACTTTGGCGTAGGGAGCAGTCATGACCAACCTGGTTCTGGATCAGGAGCTTGATACGCTCAATGGGGGCAGCAGCGGTCTTGGAGACAGCGGCGGAAACACCACCCACTAGAAGAGGGTTAGTATTAGTTTTTCGCGAAAAGCTGACTGGTGCCAGTGATTCGAATTGTAGTGATCACGTACTAAGGAAGTCGACAACGAAGCCCTGAAAGGAATGTTAGCATCGTGCTTCTCTATTTGGTTCATTTGAAGCACTCGAGTCGTTCTTTCGAGCCATTGAATCGTGTTGACAATTCGAGGCTCTCCCAATAACTCGGCGACAACAAAGGGGATCACTTACGGGCATGCCGAAGACCGACTTGTCGGCCTGGTTAACGTCACCGGAACCCATTTTGAATGTAGTGCAAAAAGAAGATGCAAAAAAAAGAGAGGAGATGGAGAGTGTCAAGAAGGAAGAAACACCAGGGATAAAGAGGGAAGAAAAAGGAAGAGCCAGAGGCGGGAAGGGGGGCCAGAAAAAAAAATACGACGGGAAAAAAGCGAGCACAGGCCGCCTGCACCCAATCAGGACGCCCAGGGGGGCAATATTACGGAAATTACCCCGTATTGGGCGGTATCAACTTGCCTCCTGCCGATATCTCCCGATCCACTGAAAATTCTGCAATCTGGCCTGCTCCTATTTTTCCTGACCTTTTTATGGGGTTATGGGGTTCCATTTGGTCGTGTCTGGTCTAATTGGCTTAAGCTGTCTGTCCTCTCAATTCCAGTCAATTATGTACAAAAATATCCAAAGGATCCAAGTATAAAATGAACCTCTAGACAACTGTCTCTTCCGGCTCACGGTCCAAGCGCAGTACGGTAGGGGTACGGCGTAAAATCCCCCCAATGCCGGGCCTCCACTCCCCGGCCTCCTTTTATCCTGCCCGGCTATCCGATGGCGAACCGGTGAAATTCAATCATCTGCAACTTTCGCGGACTATTAATACAGCGGATAGATGTACTTCAGTCAAACACGTTTTAAGAAATATCCGTGACTATATAGTTCGTACGCTCTACGGAGTACTCCCTCGGTCGACGAGAACCTTTTGAAGTCTCTGAGCTCCTTTGTCTGCTAGCTTGGTCTTGAAAGCTCTCCACGGCAACCTCGGAACTATTCCATGCACAAAAGGGTATCTTGCTCCGTATGGTTCATTCAATTCTCCATAGCTGCAGCTCTGCAAGCTCAAGCAAAATGTGATTCCTCGTTGGCGCGGCAATGGAGCAACGGATGTGAGGGATAACCCGGTTCGATATGAGACATTTTTTTCCCCTGCGAGCCTATTGATATGTCGCAGGTACAAGATTCGTGGCCATTGCTCACCGCATGGACGATGTACCACGGTACTTCACATGATAAACCCAGTACGGGACTACGGAGAGCGGGAAGCCCAATTAATCCACTTTCGACCTTGATCTCAGGGAATTTTTTTCATAGCTTGCAGACTACGCGTCAATCCTCCGTATCAGATTGGACCTTCGCAGTGGATAGCTCTGTTAGCTTCGTTGCGGTCTAAACAACCCGTCTCTTCCCCCAGCAACGGTAGTGGGTCCCGGTCGCATGGGCGTTTGCCGCTTTGAGCTCTGCGAGGTCCGGCGATTGTTGATGGGAACTCGATCGTTCGGAGTGCTCCATTTATGTTTGATGGATGAATACTATTTGCTCTGTCTGTGGCTCCTTCTCATACAACCTGATAGATGGATAGTTTTGGAGCTTGGTGAGTCTATACTCCGGGGGTACTCGGTTTAGAATGGGAAAGCCAGATATATATACAATTTCCAGGTTTCAAGGTTGAGCCACCACAAAACTCCATCCAGCACAGCAATCCATGGATTGTTTTGACCATGACCCAGGGCTCTACAATTATTCCATTTCCTTCCAAGGTTGGTGGCTATTCAATTGAGTCGGTCTACTGTCGAGATTACCATCTCGGTCTCTCTAATTTCCAAATCCCAAAAGGGTTCCAAGGTTGGGACCAGATGAATAGGTTAAATCTTGGAACATGAAGGAGAATGTTTTATTTCATACAATCGGGTACTAGCTATAAACAATAGAAATGCATCAACATGCTTAGTGCTTCTTCGAGCGCTTTCTCTTCTTCTTTGATCCATCACCCTCCCTGATATCAAGCTTGGTCTCATTCTCCTCGGGCTGAGCTTTAGGTTGAACATCACCACCAAACTTGAACTCAGGTCCGTTCTCATCACCGAAAGTGTCCTTGCGCCACTCGCGGAGTCGGGCCTTCTTGCCAAGCTTCTTGAGATCACGCTGCTTCTGCTCCTCCTCACGGAAGGAAGCCAGCTTCTTCAGACCGGCGAACTTGTTCAGCTGTGTGTCGTCTGCCATGAGGATATCACGTGCAGTTAAACCGAAGCTCTGCGGCGAGGTTTCGCGGTAGCGGAACTTCGTGGCGTTCTTCTTGGTAGCTCCAGGGAGCAGTGTGATGTCGAGATCGAGGTTGCGCTCAACGGCATCGTCAATGCGCATACGGTCTTTGCGGGCTTCGCGTTTTTGAATGCGCTTTTCCTCTGCCTTGCTCTTCTTCTTAGAGCCGGAGGCCTCAGCCTCATCATCCTCCTCGCCTTCTGATGCCTCGACAGTGGGCTGCGCTTCCTCATCCTCGTAGTCGGGGATCAGGTCGTTGATATCAATATCATCATCCCATGTAGGCTTCTTGGGCTTCTTCTTCTTGGAATCGCCATCACTGCCTTCGGCGTCGTCATAGTATTCCTCTCCGAATCGCTTCTGCATCTCTGCCTCCCAGTTCTCATCATCCCAGGAAGCATCCAGGAAGCGGGACCAGTCCTCATCTGTGAAGTTAGAGGCCCGAAGCCCAGCAACTTCCTTGATCTGGTCGACCTTCTTCTGAAGTTCCTCGGTCTTGAGCTTGCGGAGGCGGTTCTTCTCAGTCTCGCGCTGTTTCTTTTCCTCGTCCTTTTGCTGGCGCTCCGCGTCACGGATCTTCTTACGAGAGCTCTTCTCATCACGACGAACGGATTGCTGGTTGGTGAGATCACGAGAGTGGGTGACCAGAGCCTCGTTCATTTTGTTGGGGTCCTCGAAGCGGAAGTTGTACGCTTCCTCGAAGGCGTCGGCCCGATTGAAGTCGTCGTCATCATCTGAGTCAAACGGCTGCATCTCGGCCTTGTTGGTGGGAAGCCAAGCTCGCGCTGAAAGGAAGTTGGACAAGAAAGTTTCGGGGTCCTTGTCCGCATTTTCAATGTCGAGTTTAATTTCTTCCTTGGGCAGAGAAAGGTCTTGACCAGGCTTGCGGACCAAGAACTCATCGGCATCTTCCATTTCGTCATCAGAGTTAGCTGCCGCTCCGTGCATTTCCTTCACGATGTTGTTCTTCAAGTCCGCCTGTTCCTGGGCGTAGGTCCTGGGAGCATTCTCTTCCTCGGCTGGGTCGACACCCTTCAGGAGGTTATCGGTGTGGTACTGTCGCAGAGTCATAGACTTCTCCTTTGGTTCTTTGGCAGCATCGACGGCCTCCGGATCGTACTTGGTGTAGAATGTGACATCTTTATCGTAAACACGGGGGTCCTTCGAGCGGATGGCCTTCAAAGTGGCGGAAATCTCGGCATCCAAAGCTTCAGTAGCGAGCTCAGCATTATCGTCTTCCTCCTCATCGGTTGAGTCGTCTGATTCTTCAGCGGCTTGGCGGTTTCCAAGACTGGATGATTTGCCGTACTTGGCCTCCACTATACTATCGCATTAGCAACATATCAAATCAAGTATCAAATTCCAGCGCATACATCTAGCAACCTCCTCTCGCTTCTTGTTGTGTTCGAATCGTCGAGCGAATTCTTCGTTGATCTTGAACGCAGCATCAGGCGACTGCTTGCCAAGCAGAACACCACCGGATTCGTCTCCAGAATCGCTGTCGCTATCGTGCTCCAGGAGCTTGCGCATCTTCTTAGAAGGAGGCTCCATTATGTTTTGTGAAATTGAAGACTTGGTGAAATGCGTAGACCCGCAAATGGCAAATTGGCAGTAAAAAAAATCTCACACCGCCCCCAAACCGCCCGGAAGATCAGGCACCGAGGCAGGAACTTCAATCACTGACGTAGCCAATTAGATCATTCCATCCCCGGAGGCTCAGGGCTGAGTGTCTTCAAAGTCGAGACCGCTGAACGGATCCCCCGCACGCAGGCTATGTCCAAGCCTTGAAATTGGACCAAATATCTAATATTATCGCCTCAAGATCATCAACGGGAGGCCCGCTCACACAACTACCTTGGTTCTGACTCGCGTCGTGTGTATGTCTACAGCCATACACTAGATGTCGAACTCAGCACAAACCCCTTTACCCCAGGTCGGGAAGCTCGTGAGCGTTGTGTAAGTACTTGCGGCAGGCAGCTGAAATTTCTCGTTTGCTAATATTGCACTCCAACTCCAGCCCGGTCGGTCTTAAAGAAGCTGCCCTCGACTCGCCCACCTTCCGCGCCACGACCCTTCATTTCTCCGATCAGATCGACTTTATCGAAAAATGGCTCGACGGATATGCCAAAGCTGCAACCAAACTCTCATCTGAATTGACTGCTTTAGAGAATGTCGTGAACAACTTTCTATCCTACTCGACACACCCTCTTGTGGTCTCTGAAGCGGTTGTCGATCATGACTACACACTCTTGGCCATGCGTAGGTGCGGGGAGAGTTCCAAAGATCTTTGGAGTGGACTGGTTACAACGACCAGGAAAATGGAGTCGTTGATCTCCGAGCCCATTCGAGACTTCATCCACGAGGATCTGCGCCAATTCAAGGTACGGGACCCATGATCCACATTGTCCGCACGCTATGTATCTGACATTTTGGCTCGACAATAGGAACTCCGCCGCAACCTTGAGCACACCCAAAAACAGTATGACTACTTACAGGCTCGATATGCCTCTCAGTCAAAATCGAAGGAAGCATCAGCCCTGCGAGAAGAAGCCTTCCAGCTGCACGAGGCTCATAAGGCTTATTTGAAAGCATCGATGGATTACTCAGTCCAAGGGCCCCAGGTGCGCAATGCGCTGGATCGACTTCTTGTCACATTATCTTGTGATCAATGGCGGGAGTTCCGAGGTTTCCACAATCAGAACAATGGCACTTTCTCGAAATGGTCACACGAGATGGATCGCATCAAGGGCTGGCTCCATGAAATGGAAGCCAGTGAACGCTCATCTAAGAAGGAGTTGCTCTCTACCAGAAAGTACATTGAGGACGCGGCAGAGATTGCGACTCGCCCGTCTCGAGAATTGGAAGACTACAACATTTCGACCGTCCCTTACCTGGGATCTCGCCCTATCTCGACCGTCCCAGTGAGCAAAGAGACGAGACCCGAGAAGCAAGGCTGGTTGTATCTGCGTACACTTTCGGGAAAACCTACTCGTCATGTTTGGGTCAAGCGTTGGGCTTTCCTTAAGCACGGTATCTTTGGGTGTCTCGTGCAAGGATCCCGTACTGGTGGTGTTGAGGAGAGTGACCGCATTGGTGTATTGCTATGCAGCATTCGCCCTGCTTTCCAGGAAGAGCGCCGATTCTGCTTCCAAGTCAAGACAAAGAACAACACCATCCTTCTGCAGGCAGACAATCAAAAAGAGTTGATGGAATGGATTGGTGCATTTGAAGCTGCCAAGCAGAAGGCGCTCGAGAACCCTGCCAGCACTGATCTTTCGGTTTCTGGAAAGCATACGGTTCAGGATCCTGCATTTTCAATCTCTCAACCCCCTGCTCCTGAATTTGCCGCAGACCCCGCAGACTCTCTCACTCCACATGCCCATGACGAATCGAGCTCGGCGGAACGCAGCATGACACTGCCTGTTCCAGATCGCGATGGGAATATCATCAGAAATAGCACCGACATCGCAGGCAGCAGGAGACCCACAGTCTTGGATAGTGAGAGTTCGACTCGAGATCATGCCAGAGAACACACTTCTCGTTTGATTCAGAAGTTGGACCTCCATCGAAAGTCGAACAACGCACCCCCGACATCTCCCTCAATCCCTGGACCGGTAGGAGGAATTGCAAGTCTCATTTCCGCCAGTCACAATATCCTCCCCTACAGCACGACTGTTCCAATCAACCAGAACGACGATAGCATCAACCGCGGTCGCAGTTTCAGCAATGTGGATGAGCCTGGCTCAAGCCTTGCACCTGCTACACTTGCCAACCCCCCAGCTCCTACAAGTATGAGCAAAGCTGCAGTCGTCGTGAGCAACGAAAGAGGTATTGGGCTCGGTGTTTCTGATAGCACAGGTGGCATGCCTAGTGGAATGATGGCAAACTTGTGGGGTAGCTCCAACTGGGGCTTTGTGAACAAGCTCCAACGTGAACAGCACGAGATCGATGCGGCACATGGTCCAGAAGGTCGCCCATCTTCTACCCTCAGTGACGGTTCAGTAAGGACGATTGCCGCTCAGCCTGATGCCTCAAGTGCCTCTGAGCCCGTGAAGCAATCAGGACCACGCCATAGACAGACAGTGAGTCTGGATGGTGATGACGTTAAACTTACCCAAGCTGCGTTGGGGATCGGACATGAATATCCCAGCTATTATCCCCAACAGCTAAGGATACAAGATGCTCAATTCCGCTTGCTCTTCCCAGATGTCAAAAGGGAGGAAGCATTGGTGATGGTGTTCAGGGCAACCTGGAGTCCAAATGACACACAAGAATTCCCTGGACGAGCTTATGTCACTACAAGAAACATCTACTTCTACAGTCACCACTTTGGCCTAGTCTTGACGACTGGTGTTTCTTTGGAGAGCATCAAGGAAGTGACGGCAGCACCTGGCAGAGACTGTGATTTCCTTTTCCTACACACCATCCCTCCACTCGGCAGCGACACACCCGGTCGAGTCACGATCAAAACCTTCCTCGAACCACTCAGACTTGTCCAAAAACGTCTCAACTTCTTGATCCAAGGGTCTATTGCCGTGGAGCAGCTGTCTTTGGAATCACTTCTCAAAGCATTGATAAAAATGGACTCAGGCTCTCCAACTCGGGCGTCCAGTGCAGATAGCTGGGAAGATCTCTCGTCTGGACTTGCAGATATCAAGGCAGACGGGAAGTATCCTGACCGGAATCGGGAAAAGGACTTCAAAGTACCCATATACATCGACAAAGATCTTGACTTGGATCCTGGCAAAGCTTCCCGGAGCCGAGACATTGCGAAATTCAGACTTCCAACCCAACCCGTGGAGTATGTTCCGCAAGGCGACCTTTCTCTAGTAGCCGAAAAGGTTCTTGACATTAGCCCCAAAGCTTTGTTCCACATCCTGTTCGGTGACAAGAGTGCGGTGTGGCAGCTTCTATTGCATGAGAGACAAGCTCGCGGTAAGTCCAGTATATCATTCTACCACTATACAAATCGCTGACTCAGATAGACATCAAACAAGGCCCATGGGTTGCTGCAAAATCACGGCATTTGAGACGTGACTTCCACTACAACATTGGAGCGTCGGACATCTTTGGTGAGTGGGATCAGGTTTATCAGATAAAACCGCGACTGATTCTTTTAGGCCGCACTCAAGAAAATGCCATCTCAGATTATCAGATCATCGATGTGCTGAACGATCACTTGTGCTATGTGGTCACAGACAAGAAGACTCCATGGCATCTTCCATTCCGACGATCCTTCAGGTTGGTCAGTAAAGTGGTCATCACGTTCCACGCCAAATCAAAAAGTAAAATCGCCATTTTCACCAAAGTTGAATGGCTATGGTCTCCTTATGGCCTCAAAAGTGAGCTAATGCCCCTAAAAACAGCCGAATGCATGCTAACATCCCTCAGATGTGATCGACAAAAAAGCCAATGATGACCTGGAGCAAGATGCTTTAGATCTCGTGGACTTGGTCAGTGACCAAGTTCGCCGTTTGGGGGCACACAGTCGCACCAAAAAGGCCATCACAATCTTCGGTCATGTCGGACGCCAAAACCAAACCTCCCATTTCAGCGGTGCCGGATCAAGTCTGAAGCTGGAGCCTCGAAAGCCCCGCACACCCCGTAGTATGCATGCGCTTCTCCTCGAGACAGTCCTATCATTCTTGGAGACCAGCGTTTCCTTCTTGATGATGTGGGTCTTTGGTATCGTCCGCTGGTCCTGGAAGACTGTGAGTGCACACAAGATCATCTTGGTCTTGTTAGCCACAAGTGCAGTAATGAACGGATACTATTCCTCTCGGGATAGCTGGGACTGGTGGCACGAGCGTCATGCAGGCAAATTCATGGCGCGGCTCGGAGTCCAGCCAAATCTCGTCATGAGCAAAGCGATCTACATGAACGATATCAATGAGGCAGTCGCAAACACGACTATCTGGTCCGCAACCGGAAATACGAGTGACTGCTTTGCTACTTTCAACGAGCAGGTGATGCGCTATTCTGATATGCCGCTAGCATTTAGCTCGCCGGGTCCTCGGGATACTCTGACGAAGAGCGCTATCAAACGCTTCCAGCAGACTCGTGAGCGCCTCGGCATGTACAGACACAACCTGCTAGTTGCAATGCGTGTGGTGAACAGCATCGAAAAAGAAGTCATTCAGACTGAATGGGAGCGTTGGCTTCGCGAAGAAATGCGTCGCTGTCACCAGATCGAGGTCCGTCTTGGTGGTGAGACCCAAGGTGATTCGGAGGGTCGTCATGCACAAGCTGAGCGTGTCTTCGCTGACCATGCGGACGATGTTATGCAGTGGTATGAAGAATACTGCTCGAGTTGTCGATTGGAGCAAGACCAAATCACATCGAATGACAGCAATGACTTGCTTGCTTGATTTTTGCTAAGCATCTTCTGTTGCATCCCGTCCAGCCTTTTGTACAGTCATTTAGCTTGTTTCTGCTGTTTCTCCCTCGCTATCCTCAGTGATGAGCTTGAGATTTTGCAGGCATTTTGTGTATAATCTCTGACGTCTCACATATTTCGCGTTGCTTTTGCTTCTCAGCGTTGTACTCTACTGATATCACGGGTAATGCCACAATTCAATGCACGAGCACATCATCGTACTCCATATTTAATTTTTGAGATCATCACTTCATATGACCAATCCTTAAGGATTGCAATGGGTATATACATGTCAAAACCAGCGCTCGCAGCTCAATTCTGCCTCGGCTTCACTTCTCCCTCCTGCACCACATAATACGCCACCGTTCCATCTCCACCCATGCCCTTATCAATCATAGCCAGCAACAGACGCTGCGACCCCCATTCTCCCGTCTGTAAACTCTCCTTCTTCTTCGCATAGTACTTGGCCAACCGCTCCCGCTTCTCGGGATCGTCCGCAGCCTTCACACCCAGAGAACCACCGTCCTGCTCCTTCGCTTGCTCAACGAACTCGGGTAGCCTGTCGAATACAACGGCAATGTGACGCAAGCTCCATTGTTGTCCTTGTGTAGTCGGTACGACAAACATGCGCTCTGGCTGCAGATCATCTTCTTTGATCTTGTTTTCTAGCATGTACAGCTGCTCGTCTGGGTGCGTGTACACACGGTGTGGAGGATATCCGGAGATAAGGGAGATCGTGTCTTTGGGCGCATTGAGGGGATCTGTTTGTGTGGCGTTCCCTGGAATTGTGTAGCCCGCTAATGAGGTCCAGAGGTGCTGGTGTTGGAGGTTGTGCTGGACTTGGGCAGCTGTGGCGAGGTGCGGGGCCACGTAGTTGTTGGCGGTGATATTGGATGTTATCGTCGACGCATCAGGGCGTGTTGTTTGTGCCATTTTGATTTGTAGCTTGGAGATTATAGTCACTGTATAGTGAGGACGATGTAAAGGCAGTGCTTAAAAGCTGCAAAAACTCGGCATTTGCGACTCACCGCCTGCCTTTCAAGATATTTTTGTATCGACACCGCTTTCCTGACTTGGACTAAGATTTGTTGATTTGAACACAATCCGCCTCGAAGATGCTGGCATCAGTAATATCGGTTTATTTTTGTAGGCATGCGGAAGATTCAATAGTCCTCTTGTTGAGGTTCTTCATAAAAAAAAGGTTATGTGGGGCGCAGCGGCGATCATTGTATAGGGCGCATCTGAACACATGGCATCTTAGGGTCTATTTGTTTCACCCCGAGACCCTCGAGACCCTCGAGACCTTCGGTTTCTCTTCCACCACTCCTTTCCATCGCTTGTTCAATCAATTTGCATTTTCATTTTTCAATCGGTCATCATGGGTCGTCAGAAACAAACAGCGCCACTCCAGCGATCCCCTTCTTCTCAGCTGATGCACCTCGATGATGCCGACGTGCCCAAGTCCGCGAATGGAACCAAAGACATTCTCACCTCCAAAGGCAGCGCGTCTGGGAAGGCATCGGCAGTTTTGGAGACAGCCGCTGAAACTCCCGGACTGGGACAATTGATGATCTGCGTGCTCGGTATATACGCTGCATTGTAAGATCGAACCAACCAACCGTCGCAATCCTCGAAGCTAACAAACTCAGCCTGTCATGGGGTGTTCTACAAGAGGCAATTACAACAACGAGCTATCCCGTACGCCCGCCAACTGCCGCCGACCCAGAACCTCCTACCGAGCGGTTCACATATTCCCTCGTTCTAAACACCATCCAATCCTCCTTCGCCGCGATCACGGGCTTTATCTACCTCCTGGTCTCGACCCCTAAGGGCCAAAGCACCCCGTCAATATTCCCGACACGTCGCATCCTGTTCCCTCTCTTCCTCGTTGCCGTCTCTTCATCACTTGCCTCCCCCTTCGGCTACGCCAGTCTTCAGCATATCGACTACCTGACCTTTATCCTCGCGAAATCATGCAAGCTTCTCCCTGTGATGGTCTTACACTTGACAATTTTCCGGAAGAAATACCCATTGTACAAATATGGCGTAGTGTTAATGGTCACTCTCGGTGTTGCGACATTCAGCCTCCACCACCCGGGAACAAGCAAGAAAGTCGCCGCTGCGAACTCCGGATCCTCGGGCTGGGGCATCTTCCTGCTGGGCATCAACCTCCTCCTTGATGGCCTGACCAACACCACGCAAGACCATGTCTTCAGTTCGCCGAAACTATACACTCGCTTCACCGGACCCCAAATGATGGTCGCGCAGAATGTGCTTTCAACTGTGCTGACAGGTGCATACCTGTTGATCATGCCACATGTCTCGCAGAGCGGCGTTGTGCACAACCTGTTACCCTTCCCCATTCCCCCATCTACCGAGACGGAGCTGTTCGGCGCCATTTCCTTCCTCTCCCGACACCCGGAAGCGCTCAAGCACGTCCTTGGTTTTGCGGCTTGTGGCGCTGTCGGCCAGCTATTCATTTTCCATACTCTGTCCCGCTTCTCCTCGCTGCTACTTGTTACCGTCACCGTCACACGGAAGATGTTGACCATGCTTCTTAGCGTGTTCTGGTTCGGACATTCCCTGTCCGGTGGCCAGTGGCTAGGAATTGGCCTGGTCTTCGGTGGTATTGGCGCCGAGGCGGTTGTGCAGAGATCGGAGAAGAAGGCGAAGGAGCGCTCCAAGATCGAAGCTGCCAAGAAAGAGTTGTAAGATAGCATGTCAAGCTCCCATAGCATTTACATTCCCAGCATAGAATTGACATTGTAACAGCCATATGGCTTTCATTTAATTGAGTGTTTCATTCATGACAACGTAGTGTGAACAGATATCTGCTATGATATGCTTTGGTAGCTCACTTTCTCCCCTCAACCATCATAATATGGTAGCCAAACCCAGTCTTGGCTTCGCCATACTTGGGATTATTTGTTGTGCTAGTCTCAAGCTCGAAGGCAACAGCTTCGAATGCAGGGTCTAGTCCACCCTTGGTCTTCCATCCAAGGGCACCTCCTGCAAGCGAGAGTTAGCCATGTTCAATGGGCAATTTTTGCCAATATAAACTGGAAATCCAGACGGAACCCGCTTACCCTGTCTAGCTTTATCCTCCGAGAATTCACGCGCAACCTCGTCAAACTTGGTGCCATTGCGGAGCTTCTCGAGTGCCTCTTCTTTCTTGGCGTGTTTCTCACACTAGATATGAGCGTCATTAGCATCTCATAAGCCGCGATACCAGCTATGTCTGAACACGAATCCAGGTCGTAGACAAAGACGTCAAAGAGTAATCACATACAAGAATATGGCGAACGTTGATCGACTGAGCGCCTTTCACGGCAGCCTTTCCGCCTTTGCCCTTGTCCTCGGTAGCATCCTTCCCTTTGCCTTTGCCGGCTTTGGCGTTGTTCTTGGGAGCCATTGTAATGGTGATATATTGCTGTTTTCTCTCCAGGGCTTTGGGATGATGTGGGGTGGGTGCCGTGCCTCAGGCTCTAAGGCGGAAAGTGACGTGGGGTCACGTCCGCGGCTTATACTTCTGTAGTACATCAGAGGTCCTGCATTCGGTCCTTTGTTTTTCTACATTCACTTGCTTTAGAACCCTTGAAACTTCTCAGACTGCTCCATCTCCTCATAAGCCGGTGGACCATGAAAATCTAAGGTCTGATGGGGTTCGAGGTGGAGAACATGCGCATCATTGCATTGCCCGACGATGCCTTCTATCTCTCGGACTTCATTACAGAAGATGAGGAGAAGTGGCTTTTACAGAAGGTAAGAGTTTATGCTTTTTTATTTTGTCTTGTCCTTCTACCTAAGATGTCAACACGGAGGTGTGGGTCTTGACATACATGTTGATGGCTACATATATATCCGTTGCTTTTTTGGAGGATAGATGACTTTCACTTTCATGCTCGGTGGCTAACTGTATATCAGGTCAAATCAGCACCTCTTCCTCGCTGGACTCAGCTTGCCCACCGCAGGCTTCAGACATGGCCATCAGCACTGACCAGAAACAATGTGCTCCTCGCATCACCGCTGCCAGCTTGGCTCAGAAGTCCAATCATCGAGTCTCGCTTCAAATCGTTGGGAATATTCAATGATTCACCCCACAAGGAGCCCAATCATGTGCTAGTGAACGAGTATCTGCCCGGCCAAGGGATCATGCCACACGAAGACGGAGCAGCGTATTACCCTCTCGTCGCGACAGTGAGTCTGGGAGCACCAATCGTGCTGGAGTTTTACGACAAACACACCCAGAAAGCCACAAGAGCCAAGGAAGAAGAAACCGGCCTCGAAACCAATCAACCGCGGTACAGGATCTTGCAGGAAAGGCGGAGCTTGCTCGTAACGAAGAACAAGATGTACACAGAACTTCTACATGGAATTGCGGAAACGTTGAGGGATGAGAACCTCAACCCGGAGGCAATCTGCAACTGGGACCTCTTGCGAGACAAAAAAGCCTACATGGATGGATGGTATGAGCGCGAGACGAGAATCAGTCTCACATACCGAGATGTTCTCCAAGTTGCGAAGATAGGAGATACTATGAAGTTCTTGAGCCGATGAACCGGAAGGATGTGTTGTACAATGTTAGTAGACATAAGGAACCATGAACCACCAGTCTTTGACAGACTCGTTGCCGAACTTTTGCGCATACCACTCCTTAGTATTGCGCGCCGTGAGACCCAGGTTCACAGCGACGAATATAAAACAGGTCAACATAGTCTTGTTGATAAACTCCCCGCGCGGGGCAGCCACCAGCGCTAATGAGAGATAGATCACACATTCGGCACCGTAATGGGGACATACCACACCACGGAACATGGGATGTTCAGGGAGGGTGTATTTCTTCAAAGAAGAAAGGTAGTGATGAGAATCATGTTGCAGCCCCGACGCGACCAAGAACAGCGGCACGAGCGCGAATGTCTTCAAGCTGGGTGCATTGGTCATTTGGAAATGCGCAATGGAGAATTCTGTCGTCAACAGGGCGCCTGACCCCTCAATCCAGATCGCCACGCCGGCAGCAAGGTAGAAGCCCAGACCGAGAATCCAATGCACGAACCACATGCGCGACGTGGAAGGCTTTGAAAAAGTAATACACTCCCAGAGTCTGCGCGAACCCTGCATGAACAAAAGCACGCAGCAGATCACCAGCTGAGTTATCGACATACTGGGGCGTCGATGCTCTTCGCTAACGCGCGTGGCAATGGCTTGGAATAGAGCACCGCGACATGTTATCTGCACGGCCCAGAATATGGATGAGAGAATAGATGCAATGTAGAATTGGGTAAAGTAGCTGTGCGGCACTTGCCAGGTGGCCAGGGTATCCAGGAAACCCTTGTTTTGGGAAGTGGAGGGCTGAGTTGAGCTGGCGCGTGGGCCGTAGACGAGAAAGCGTGAGCGGAGGGATGCCGGGATACTGATAGTGATCGTCTAGGTTCGTTAGCTGCTGCGCTGCAGTTCCCTATCACGGTGCAGGACGTACTGTGGCGGCGGCAAGCAGGAAGAAGGCGCGAAGCGCATCCACCGCGTCCATACCGGTGACTTCTAGGGTCTTGTCGACCCAGGCGCTAAGAGACATGATATTGGGGTACGGAAGAACCCGTGCTCCAAAATGCAAATTCCGTACTTGTGTTTGCCTATCGGGCCATATGATCTCGATGAGCTCTGGGTGTTTTCAGTTGTGGAGAAACTCAGCCCCCCGCCCTTTGACCGGAGATAGCTCGGCCTGGAGTCGGTGACGAAGCTTGTAGCTTTCTTCTCTCTTCCATACAGGAGCAATGCAGTAAATGCAGTTTAATTGAAACAATCTCGTACATAAAAAGCGCTGCCTAAAGGATACAGCAAGTACACGCCTCCAGAGCTGTCGAGCGATATGGGCTGCTACGCTGAGTGGCCACTGGTCGTATACACTAGTCCCAATTGGGACTAGTGAGTTTCGCAGTTTGCACTGGCCACAATGTTTGTATTGTTTGTATTGTTTGCATTGGCTGAATCGAGACTAGCGGCGAATGGCCATTTCGTTCGCAGTTGAGGAGGGTGTCGTCCATTCGCATTCCCCCCGTATTCTCCTTGGATGATTGGAGCTGTCCAGTAATTTTAATATTTTCAATCTTTCAAGCTTTTATTCTCCCCCTAAATAGTATGCTTTCAGTCGTAAAATCCTAGCTCAAAACTTGAGCTGCTCGATGATTCACCTGTGGCCAAACTTGACCCAGTGAGGATCCCCCCCCCCCAAAGTCCAGTCCCATTCCTTTCCCTTCCCGCTTTTCCTCTTCCCTTCTCTTTCTTCCCTCCCTATTCGTCTTTAACACCCTATAACCTACCACACCCACCTTATACGATCACCCAGTAATTCCAAATTGCCTTATCGCTCACACGAGAGCGATAATCTACACGTTTTTCTCAACCGTTGGCGACCCCCCCGTGGCCGAGGATCGGCGCCCGACATCTGGCGTTGTCGACCCCGGTCATTTTGTCGGTCGCGTTTGCCCCAAAATGACGAGCGGCAGTTCAAGACTTCGAGTGCTATCGCTATGAGTGATGTCGAGGCAGTTTCTTTCCCAGCTGCCCTGGACGTCGGTCAGAACATTGCTCCGGTGAAGCCTGATCCTGTTGCGCTTTCACCGGGAAATGCAGACTCCCACCGGGTAGATGAGGGTCCCAATAATGTTAATGTGCAGGAAGGGCCTCCTAGTCCCAGGGCGGACTCGGAGGCGGAAACCATAATCCAGTCCGGTCGAGAGTCTCTGTCACCAGAGAAGAAAAGAAAGCATATAAAGCACGATCCGAGTCGCCGTGAACCCAATGGAATCGATGGACAACGAAAAAAGCCCCGGGTTGTCACCGAACGAGAACGGACTCGTTCGCCCCATCGAGAGATCTCGCCATCCATGGTTAAGATCGAGAAGGTTGATGATGCTTTGCATGGGACGGAAGGTGTACCCAATGGAATCGATCACGCGAGGCCTCGCGCTTTCCGAAAGCGAAGCTTGAGCGATAGCGCCGATGAACAGCGCGAGCATCGTCGCGCCCACTCTCACGCCTCCCACCCAGCTCGAGAGCTCAAGCATAACAACAACACGCGGTTATCCAGGCCACCGTCGAATGCGCGATCGCTGTCACCGAACCGTCGGTCTCATCAACGGTCTGCGTCTGGTTCTCAGTTCCCAAGCAAGAAGAAGGCACCGACCCCCCTGCTTTCTGGATTTAGCCGACACAGCTCTGAAGATCGACAGTCAACTGATTCTTCGACGAGTGGCTCGCCTCTACCAGGTGCGCCGCACCTGCGAAAACTTGGATCTGGGGCAGGTGCATCTGCATCTCCCGCAAAGCAGATGGGACCGAAGAAGTTGCGCGACAAGAGCGGCCGGACTCCTCTTGCACGGGCATGCGCAGATCGGAAGCACGATCAAGTGATGATGCGCCACGCGGAACGACCCGAGGACATTAATATCCCTGATAATGCAGGCAACACCCCCCTGCAAATCGCATCACTTGCCGGTGAAGCCGAAATCGTCAAGTTCCTGCTCGAAGCAGGTTGTGAGATCAACACGAAGAATATTGATAAAGACACCCCGTTGATCGATGCTGTGGAGAATGGTAATGTGGAAGTGGTGAAGCTCTTGCTTGATGCAGGTGCCAACCCGCGAACTGTTAATGCCGAAGGCGATGAACCCTTCGAGCTTGTCCCATCGTTCGTTGACGATGATGAATACGAAGAAATGCGAAAGGCGCTGGCTGACGCCAAGGCCAACTTGAGGCCCGGGCGGCGCTCTGAGGAAAATACGAGACCAGAGAGCAAAGAACCATCGTCAAGACGGGCATCGGCAGCGAGGGGATCGGCAGCTAGCCCTCGAGATTCACCGCCGATGCGCAGTCCTCCCCCTGCAGGTTCTGCGGCAAGTCGAAGGAAAGGTGGACGAAGTGAAGCCACAAGAAATGATTTGTTGTGGACAAAACCAACATTTGAGAATCTTCGTGAATTTGCTGCGAAGGGTGATGAGGCGGGAGTGGTCAGCATCCTGAACATCCTGCAGAAGGCTGATAACGCATCTTTGATTGCTGCTGCGAAAGGCGGTCACCATGACGTGCTCTCTCTCCTGTATGCTATGGGTAATGCGGATGCCGACCCAAATCCACTGCGAGGTCAAAAGCCAGGTTACAACACACCCATGCTTGCTGCGATCGGTCGAGGAAACAGCGCCGTTATCCAGTTGATTTTAAACCAGCCTGGTTTTAATCCCACTCGTCGATTGTATGAAGACAGAACTTATTTTGATCTGTCGCGAGGTCGAATGGGAGAAAACTGGGAGGACGAATACCAGATCCTGAAGGATGCGTATGAGAAGTTCCCAGGAGACAAGAGCAGGAAAGACGATTCCCCCCGCCGTGCACGCAAAGAAAAAGAAGACAAACGTGCCGCCCGCCGAAGTTCCTCTTCCCCCGTCCGCACGAAAAAGCTCAACCTCAGCCCCACCAGCAATCGCAACCGCGATTCTTTCAAAGATCTCGACCCCACAAAAGAAAAGCGCCAAAAAGACGACCATTCACGACCATCTGACCCCAAACCAAAATCCTCCCTATCAGCCAGACGCGACAGTGAATCCAGCGGGATGACTCGAAACGACGAAGTCAAAAAGCGCCGTCTCATTCCCGGCCGTCGGCCCCAGGAACGCAGACCCAGCCTTTTCTCCTCAGATTCTCTTTCCGGACGTGACGAAGCACCGAAACCTCGCGAAGCAGACAACTCGCTCTCACTCAAGCGTATTCGCACGGATCGCTCCCCCGAACGCTCTCGATCCCGCGGGAGCGAGAGTGGCCGGATGTCTCCCGAGTCGCGCCCGAAGAAGAGACGGAACGTGTCAGAGGACCATGCCACAAATGGTGCCCCGCGATCTGATGAGCAGAAGCCCCGCCGACCAGAAGATTCAAACCGTCCTGACCATCCGAAATCCGAAGTCAAGAAAACTTCCACTCGTCCTCATTCACCTTCTCGCGACGCTCGCAAGGATGTGGATGTGAAGCGAGTGAATGATAAGGGTGTTGTTGATGCGGATGCTAAGCGTGCCGAACTCGAGGCTGAGGATCGGCGCCGGGCTCAGGCCAGGAAGGCACAGGAAGAGCGCGCTGCTGATGACAAGCGCATAGCGGATGACAAGCGTGCCGCGGATGACAAACGAATCACAGAAGAGAAGCGGGCTGCAGAGGAGAAGCGTGTCGCAGATGATAAGCGAGCTGCAGAAGAGAAACGGATTGCAGACGACAAGCGAGCTGCTGATGACAAGCGTGCCGCAGACGAAAAGCGTGCCGCAGACGACAAGCGCATTGCGGACGAAGCCGAGCGGGAACGACTTGCCAAAGAAGAAGCCGATCGAGCTGCTCAAGTTGCGCGCGAGAAGGCCGATGAAGAAGATCGCAAGCGTAAAGAGGCTGATCAACGACGTGCTAAACAAGCCGAGGATGATCGACTCAAGCGGTTGGAGCAAGAACGGGCTCGCATTGCAAAAGTGCGTCGTGATCGGGAAGCTCACGAGAGACAACGTCGTGACGCACTTCCCGGCCGTCTTCGAGTGGCAGCGAACCTTGTGGGCTCCCATGACCCACGAGCCAAAAGTCACGACTGGCTCCAGTCTTTCATGCCCCTCGTCACTGCGCTCACTCGTCAACTTGATCCAGGCTGTGCCCTTGATATGGCGGAAGAGAAATGGATTCCAAACTACCTGGTAGCACCCCTCTTGGCGACCAATGACCTGCAACTCTCACAGTATGCTAGCTGGGAGAAGCGCAAAGCGACTCCAACCCAGCGCGTGAATTTATGGCGAGTCACCCGCCGCATGTTGAATCATACGGAAGCGCTTGCCGAGTCAAGCTTTGGGCAAGTCATGCAGCAGGATTGTGAAACCAGGCCAAAGTACTTTGACATGGAACACGTCTTTTGGATCAGAGTAAGTTTTGATACAAAACCCCCACCCTTGAACATCACTAACAACTTTCCAGCTTTCTGATTTCACCGACCTTGTTCCCCACATCCCTCACCTTCACGGCCTTGAGCTACAATTCCTGAGCATGCACGTCGATCCCGAACCGCCAGTAGCTGGTTCTGGGTTCGGCGCTCACACCAACGGCCACGGTCCGGATCCTACCGAAACCAACGGCACCGGGCCGATCAATGGCTATGGTCATCCTCGATCGAGTACATACGTCTAGTTTTTTGAGCGTTTCACTAGCCGCGATGGCAGCAATGCTGCGAGGTGTACAGGCGGATTCTGATTGTACGATTATGATACCTCTTGCGTTTCTCTGACGAATCAACTATCTTGTGATAGTTTGTGGCCGTTTTTCTTTTGCAGTCCTTGTGGTTGCTGATGGAATCTTGTATTCTTAGCGTCAACAAGAAGTTGAAACAACATCTATCTTCCTCAGTAGGCTGTGAATGACCCGAGTAATGAACGCATCTCATTAGCTAGTTTAACGGAACAACAAAAACCAGCGATGAGTATCCGTACTTCCAAGCCTGAGTTCCGCGCTCACGCGCGCCCAAAAAGACGATCGAAGAGAGCTATCACCACCTTCAGGACCTCTTTTGAACTGTCTTTTTGGCTGTCTCTCCAACTAATCGTCGAGTAATTGTGATTAGTCGGGTAAAGGAAGTCTTGGCTAAACCGTGATCACTGAATTAACTACTGTAAACTACTGTATTGCTGATTTGGTGCTGAGACGTCACGTGACATTGGTGATTAGGTTACCAAAAGATTGGATGACATAAGTAGGGCTCACAACCGAAAAAAGTCGAAAAATAGCGGGAATTTTGGCGGCGCCCGCACCACTTTTTAATCTCCATCAATTCAACTTCTCTTCGAGGATCATCCGCAAGCATAAACAGCAATCAAAATGGTATGTCTACCGCCAAATACACTTTACCATGCCCTCACACCCAGATCTGTGACAATTGAGATTGGATTCGACATGCAACGATAGCAACTTTGCGGGGTTCGCTGTCGCCGATTACACCTCGAATCCAAGCCTCACTGCCTCGATCAAGCCTCTCTCACCACACAACCAAGAAAGCATACTAACTCGCATCAACAGTCGGACGGAGAAGAGCCCACATCCCCCATCGCCCCTGCCGACGAGGTCGAGGTCTCTGCCGATGCCGGCTCTGGCCAGATGTCCGTCCTGGACGCCCTCAAGGGTGTTCTGCGCATCTCCCTCATCCACGACGGTCTTGCCCGTGGTCTCCGTGAGGCCGCCAAGGCTCTCGACCGCCGCGAGGCCCACATGTGTGTCCTGAACGAGGGCTGCGAGGAGGAGGCTTACAAGAAGCTCGTCGTCGCTCTCTGCTCTGAGCACAAGATCCCCCTCATCAAGGTTCCCGATGGAAAGATGCTCGGCGAGTGGGTCGGTCTCTGTAAGTTCTATGTCCTATTAGTCGGTTCTGAAATTGGACAATCGCTAATTCTATACAGGCACTCTCGACCAGGAGGGTAACGCCCGCAAGGTTGTCAACTGCTCTTGCGTCGTTGTCAAGGATTGGGGTGAGGAGTCCCAGGAGCGCTCTGTCCTCCTCAACTACTTCCAGACCGAGCAGTAGATTATGTCTACGCAGGCTGTGAGTAGTCAGGTGTCGGGGTGACGGGGTTGTGGTTGGGATCAATTGGGATGGATCGTTTGGCTTAGGTGGAATGTGATATCTCTGTGTTGGATCCCGCGATTTACTCAGTCTTATGTCGTGCCCCGTTTGCTCGGGTGTGCGACACCAATACCATTGGACTTGTCTACTTGACAATCAACAAACAATCATGAGATCCTTGTAGAATGTAGACCAATCCGGTTACATTTGACTTGTAATGTGCATTTCGGGTGTTTCAAAGCTCAATGTGACTTCGCCGATTCCACTTGCTCCTACGCAGTATGTTCGTCAGCCACTCCCAGCTCAATCTGCTCGGTCCAAGAGGCAGGGGTTGTGACGCGAATGTCTTTCCAACCAAGAGGGTACGGAAGAACACCAACATGGGCATGCCTAGTGGGATCTCCCTGTTGAAAAGTAGATTCTGTATGGCAATGTCAGCTTGGGTCATCTGGTTGGAGTCGACGTCGACGCACGCCGAGTATGGACCCGCAGAATCTAGTCCAGCAATGACTCTTCCAACGATCAACACGACGGATGAATTGCTTAATACGCAGATGAGTGAGCCAATTTAAAAGACAAGATAGAAAACAAGATAAGATTGCTGTGCGGGGTTACCCTTGAAATCCGACAAGTAAAGTGATATCGCAATGATGCATTCACCTTGGCGCGGTATTTGACGTAGATCGGACCCGCGATGGGTTGTGTAAACGCATCGCCAATCGAGGATGAGTTCCCATACCTTTCTAAATCCTCGAAGGAATAGCCTTCGGGCTGTTAGCATGTAGTCTGTTTCAGGCGGCTGTTGGCTCACAGTTCTGAGAACTATGGTGTCTAGAAACAACAGGAACACATTAAGGGCAACCCCAATCTCAACAGTACCAGTTTGATTCCGGTCAAGTAAGTCATATCAAGATCCTTGTTTTCTGTCTGTCTGTCCTTATTTCTCTCCTGCAGTTGACCGTGGAGCTTACTTTGCTCGATCAAATTTATAGCTCTGACAAGCTAGATCAGTAAATGCCGCGTCAAAGATACGACGAGCGTATACGGAAGGGCGGGCTTGATTGAACCTGAAATATGGGTCCCAAGAAGATAAAAAATGAGAAAAAGATTGCGAAGAGGGGTTTGCAAAGTAAGTAAAGGAGCTGGATGCACTTCTAGTGTACGACAACCCATGGCGCCCCCTCGTGGCTACGACTGATCTCCAACGACCTCTACTGACTCTCAGTCTTGAGAACCAAAGACAAGCTTCAAGATTTACTTAACACACAGGTCAATTGGAGCCGGTGCAAACTGTTTACCCGGTCATCTATTGACAACTTGGTTTCCACCTGGGCAATTCAAGTGCTTAGGGCTAGAATGAGTAAGCGCGCCAAGACGTCACTTTGGAGGAAACGCGGAGTTGGCTCCAATCCCGTCCGTGTTTCTTTGTTTCTTTGTTTCTTGAGCTTCCTTGGATGTCCGCTTCTTCTGTGTCAGACTTCTCATTCATGTCAGTAGATCGTTGGGATCGATATTGGCCACTACTAGTTCTCTTTCGTCCACAGGGTTTCACGCCCCATATATCCACTCTCTCAATCCCGAATCTCACCCGACGGACATCGGCATGAAACCCGCTCGACCTTCAGGTGGAACCCCTGCACCGTATGGACGCGCGTGTCAGAATTGTGCACATGCCAAATGCAAGTGCATGCTGCTTGCCTCAGGTAGTGGCTGTGAAAGGTCAGTAATGCCGGCCGAATAGAAGCTGGGACTAAGACCCGCATAGATGCCAACGTCTAGGTAAGGAATGTCAGCCGACACAGAGCGTTCGAAAGCCCAACCAACGATCATCGGCGTCCAAATTTGCCAAGCTTGAGGCTAAAGTGGATTATGTGTTGGCCACATATCCTGGACTGCAAGGTAGCACAGCCTCCGTTCTATCGAATTGGGAACCTACAGACCCGGTGCAGCACCAAGGCAAAACCCTCGAACCGTCCAGATCAGGGATTGTTCCCACCCCTACAAGCATTTCTCCTTCCTCCTCCGGCGATAAAGAAATATTTGCGACGCATAACGTTCCTGCTCACAATGAGATCTTATCTCTGTTGTGCATCCCCCCGCCATGGCTGAAGAGTGCTTCAACCAGTTCCGTACCAACCATCTGCAATATCTCCCGTTCGTCTATATTCCTCGTGACATGACATCTGGTCAGTTGCGGGATAGATCTCCGTTTTTCTGGATTTGCATAATGGACGTGCTCACCCCTCAGAATACGGAGAAGGGTGATTCTTTCAAGAGAATCACTAATCATATTCACCAAAGAGTGATGATTGACCCTGAAGCGAGTATGGACCTTCTCCTTGGAATGATCACCTTTATCGCATGGTTAGTAACGCGACGAATGCTGCTGTTGAATTTCAACTTACCAGTCATTCTCTGCCAGGGGCATATATTCAAAAAAGCCTTTTCTCAACTCATATGTGCATATCCTGATGGGGGTAGTCGCTGAGTTAGGTATCAACCAATCCGCTCTAGGGGGGGTCTCTATCATGCAAGACTTCAAATTTGCCATTGGAATGAAGCGAAATGAATCTGGAATCAGAACGCTCGAAGAGAGAAGGGCAGTTCTGGGCTGTTTCTTGATTTCATCCAGGTCAGTACTCGATTTATGTCCAATTTCTTTTCGCAGAGAATACTAATACCAGTACTATTAGCGCCGCCTGTTCAATGTCCAAAATCGACGCTATGCGGTGGACGCCGCTAATGGAGGAAAGCCTCTCAGTGCTCACCGACGCCAAAGAATCTCCAGAAGATGAGGTACTGGTCGTATTGGTCAAGATATACCTAGTCCTGGACAGAATGCACCAACTTCGACGCGACGGCGAGCCAATCAGCTCACCAGCTTTTTATATGAGTGCTCTCAAAATGCAGCTTGACGCCGTTAAGCAACAAATACCACCACACTTGATACAAAACAGTATGTCACTCCCTCGCAGAATCACAATGAACTCTCTAACTGTTCGTCGAAGGAGCAATACGAATGTACCTCCATAGTGCCGAGTTCACAATCAATGAAATGGCCCTCGGGCCTTCCGCCATTCTGCATTTACCTGATCTTCAGCGTCTCGACTGCTTATTCACCTCTCTCCAAGCAACAAAGTCCTGGCTCGACATTTGGCTAGATCTCGCGGCGGTCGAATATATGAAAGTGCCATCTATAATATTTTTCCAGTGGGCAAGGGCCATCCTCAATCTATACAGACTCACCATCCTGGAAGACCCAACTTGGAGCAAGTCTGTGGTTCGAGATACGGTGAACATACTCGAACATCTAAACAAAGCCATCATGGCGATCAAATGCTACCCAGAGTTTCTCAAATTTGACCAAGGAAAAGAGGTCAACGTACTCGAGAAGGGACTGAGGATGATGGAAGCGCTGAAGTGTAATTGGGAGCCCAAGTTAACTGACCTATGGGGAATACGTGCCAATGATAACTCCGATAGTATGGTCCAGTCTGATGATATCCTGCCTCCGGGAATGACTTTGCCTCAGATAGATGACAGTTGGATGATGGAGTTTTTGGGATCTTTGTGAAATTCTACATTCCTTGCTTTTATTTGATAGGTGATGGGTGAGCAGCAATCCTTCAGCTCTAGAATAATATTTGATACCCATTAAGATGTTGTGTTCCAAGGTTTTCCGCGCTCCAATAGAATGAGCTTTGAAGTGACTTCGATCATAAGATCATAGTTGCTGAGTGCCTCGGGACTCGAGATCCGAGCCATTTAGAGAGATGAGCCCTGGAGATACCACCAACGGACTTGGGACTGATTGACAATAAACGAACTGTGCCACGGCAAAACTAAGACATCACCAACGTTTAAACAACGGAACTGGATTTTTGACCACACCGGGAATCCGGAGATGCGGAAATGCGCCAAGATTGCACGCTCGAGGCATTTGAACTGACCTCCAGGGCTTCAATGTAGCCCGGAAACGACAACAGATGTCTGTCGCACAGTTTATAAACCAAATAAACTTAAGGAATGGCCTCGGCAGACCACTGAACGTTGTTCCAAGGTTCGTAGTACCAGCAGTGGCCAATCGAGAGCACGGGAGGTATGACAACACAGCATATTCCACGAGAACTTAGACCTCGAACACCATCAACTACCTAGACATAATGAGGAGAGAAAGTAACTTCAGAGTGTTAGAGAAAGAAGTGTAGAGGATCAATGGTGGGTCAGGATCTATCTTTTCTCCAACGGCCCGAGGGCTCATAAGCAGGTTCTAATATAAAAAGCTCCCTCCTCCCCACCATGAACTATCATCAAGACAAGGAAATCCACCATTGCAGTACATTAGAACGAGGAAAAACATGTCTAGCCTCTTCAAACTTCTTGCATTCCTTCCATTGGCGTTGGCCGCTGATCCTTCAGTCCTTAATCCTGGACAGGTATGATTAGCCGCACGGCCGCCTCTGTTGAATGTCACAGTACTTACCATTTGCGTAGGCCATGATCTTCAAGGAAAGTGATTTTGCCGTGAGAAATGGAAGAAAAGGAATTGAACTTTCCTTCGATGAAAATTGCATGAGCCTCGACGGCGTTCCCGAGTAGTAAGTGCTTGTGCCCTTTGCAATGGAGCCATGCTGACTGAACTCCAGTCGGATGAATGTTGGGTCAATTTATGTTCCTTGTTCGTCTGACTCTTCTCAGGACAACATGTGCATAATTTATAGGTATGTGTACATTGGATCACCTATTGACCTCAATGCTCATTCTATACAGCGACAACTCCTGCGGAAATGAGATGTTTACCTTCACTCGTCCCCATGCGAATTTGTTCAAACAGACCAAGGGCGACGATGTCGGAAGACAGGTCAAGAGTATAAAGTGCATGATAGCTCGATCTCCCCTTGACAGGAAGGGGCATATTTTCACAAGTGATCGTCCTTCGACCAAGAGCGCAAGCAGCTGCTCATATGATACTTGTACTAGTGACGAGGCTTGTCGAGCTACACACCCCAACTACAACCTGAGTTGTTCTCATGAATCGAATACTTGTCAGCAGCAGTCTCCGGCTGCTGGGGCTTGTGACAGCCCAAGCGCTGGATGCAGCCCTGACAGTGTGTGTCGCAATGGTTTATGCAAGTCTAAAGGAGAGCTTTCTCCCTGCATCAACAACAACAACTGCGCTGTCGGTCTTGAGTGCCGCCCGTATCGTGCCACAGGTCCTTCTGGAGGCTCTATCGCCGAGAAAGTCTGCATGAAGGTGGATGATGTCCGCGGCAAGCAGTGCTCTTCAAATTCCCCCTGCGCAGAGCATATGATGTGTAGTCTTCAGAGTGAGGGAAATGTGTACTGTGAAGGAGATGGCACCTGTGGACTCAAGGAGTTAAACTGCCAGTCTCACAGCCAATGTTGCTCCGGAAATTGCTTGAGTCAAAAGTGTCAGTGATGATGGTCACTCGTGAACGAGATTGGAACCGGAGACTATGAGGCTCAAATTCGAGCAGCAGTTGATAGTATGAATGGCAGCGTTTGAGATGGACTTTTGATTTTTTTTATTTTGACTTTATTTTTAGCATGATAGTGCTCCAGTTCAGACAGAAACCACAACTTTGAGATGCAATGGAATGAAATGTCTGCCATGATTGATCCACAGAACCTTCGAACCACCACATGGCGTTATATGCTACGTTCCATCAAGGACTGAGAATAACCTTCGAAACATTGTATTCCCCCATTGCGATATCAAAGATCCTACTGACTGGGAGAGAGGGTTGAATTGGTTTAATTCTTGAGGGGGGCTTGTAGCTGAAGCCTCTGAAGCGCCTGATTTTGAGTCTCACGAACAATATCTGCCGCACTCTTGACATCGTGTATCAGTCCGATTGACGCACCAGCATATGTTGCAAGTCGACCACTGGGACCCCAGCCCTTATCACCCGCCTTAGCAGCTTCATCATGAAGCCTTTGGAGTTCCTCAAAAGACTTTCCTTGCTGTTGCTCAACAAAAGATTGATTCACAATAGTGCGAGGGCTGTATTCTTTCGGCCACCCAAATGTTCCTCTAAGATGGTTGTACAACAGCGTACGGGTTGTTGAGGCCGCGCCATCAGACGCACGCACGACTTCATCTTGATAACCCCGACTAATGCGCGCTTCGGTAGCAGCCAGGAAACGAGTTCCCATCGCTGCACCGGAGGCACCAAGACAAATTGCCGCAGCAACGCCTCTCCCGTCGGCAATGCCGCCGGCCGCAAACAGAGGAATCCGGCTGTTTGCCATGGCATCTGCCACTTCAGGGAGCAATGACATCAATCCCATGCCGTCATTCACCCGACCATGGCCCCCAGACTCGGCACCTTGTACTACAACAACATCTGGTCGCTCTGATATCTGGAGAAGCTGCTTCGCTTCTTTCAGCGTGCCAATCTGGATCCAAATCTGGGTTTCAGGAGAGGCTTTTCGGATCTTGCTGGACCAATCGTTGTAATCTTCGGGCCCTTGCTTGGGGGCATATAGCCAAGCAGCACAGGGTCTATATTTTTCGATAGCTGCAACAGCGATCCCAACATCATCAGCCCAGAGTTGGTATCCCACACCGACGGGTAAAGCGGAAGAGGTAGTGGGTATTGTGTTAGCGCCCCGAATGAGCGTTGATGCTTTTTCCAAGTCCTCGGTTGTGTCTTGTGTCTTTGCGCCAGGTCCGATAAATCCTAGTCCGCCGGCGCGCGATACGGCTACAGCGAGTGCTGGGCCGGACATGACTTTCATTGGGGCGCTGACCACGAATGGACTGGATACCCATGGGTATCGAGACAGCAAACTTTGAGCCATGATGAGAATATGAGAGTGCCTCCAGTGAAAGGATAAGGCCTCGAATCAATATCGCGTGCTGTTGGAAGATTGAAAGGAAAGGAACCTGAGCAACTGCTTGGAATTACCGAGGCATCATCGACGTCATCTGCATTCCCCGCAATACCCGCTTCGCAAGCATACATCATCACAGCAATCTCAAGCTTCTCAAAGGAGAATGCTTGCATGTGAGCCAAACGAAGAAAGGAAGGGAGTCACACTGTTAATTGTCAATTTTCAGGCGGTATGTACCTGGAAAATTCCACAGTATCCCAAGGTCTCTCTCTCACCATAGTACCTCCGTTTGACTGTTCCCGCAATTTCCGCCCATCCCGACCGCCGCCGGAACTTGCGGGATATCTTCCCCAAACAACAGCATGTCGCAATTCGAAGTGAAGCGCAAGCGCGCGCGAGTCGCATGCGAGCCATGTCGGGAGCGCAAGCGAAAATGCGATGGCGATGAGCCTTGCAATACCTGCCGTTACTGGGACTATGATTGTTACTACGATCGCCAGCCACGACGGAGGCGTACGCATCAAGAGGCCCCCGCGGAGGTTGCCCCGAGCCCTGGCTCTCCATACAGAAACCCAAGCGACGCACACGGGGTGGTTCGGCGGCTCGAGGCTAACTCGGGGGCTGCATTTGTGCACAAAATGGGCTTGAAGATTGACCCTGGCAAAGCCCCCAAGCTTAGCCTTTTCGGCTGGAATATTGGCAAACGAAACCTGTCCTCGCCAATTGGGAATGTCACTGCTGCCATGTCAATTACGGACATTACATCACTGGGACATATGAGGAGTCTTGCCCAAATCTACTTCGACAAACTGCATCCTTGTTATGGGTTTATCGACCCCTCTCATTTCTTTGAGCGATTAACAGCACGATGGAACTCAACCTCGGTCAGCAGCTTATACGATTGTGTACTGGGCGGCGTTGCTGCGCTAGGCTGTCTGTTCTCTCAACGGAACATGACCATGACCGAGATCCACCTGGTCGGATCTGCATGCGCAACACTAGAGCTACATGTGTTGACCGGCGTACCTCCAGTAGATCTGCTCACCGGATGGACGCTGCGCGTTATCTATATGCGAATGACAGACTTGCCCCATGCTACTTGGATGACGAGTTCAAGATTGATGCACCTGGTTGAGGCCGCCGGATTCCATCTAGAGTCCGCCGATTCGGTGTTTCCACGCAGCAGCACCACAGGATGTGATCCAGATATCAGAAGGAGGCTCTTTGGGGTAGCCCAACACTTGAACATGTGGACTTCTTATGACCTTGGTCTGTCCCGGGTGTCTTTTCAAAAGAATGACCTGCCATTCCCCCCATCAGTCAAGCCGGGGGATTTCACCCACGAGGTGCTGGGCCTTCTGCCTGTATCCGCCAGTCTCGATCCTGGAAAGTCAAAGGAAGAGGAAGTGGATCTAGAAGCGACACTTTCTAAGACTCTAGATGGTGTTCATAAAGAACCGCCCTCTATCATGGCGCAGTGCAACCTTGCCCTGTGCATTTTGAGAAGAATCCACACGCAAAACTTTGATATCCCCTCTCACATAGCGGAGAGAGTTCTCGATCTCTTCAAAAGAGGTCTCAGTTGCTCACGCACAATGGTGACAAACTGTACTCCCTGGCATCAAATGGCAAATGTACCTTTCCAAATCACCTGCGTTCTGCTCGTCATGGACACACGGCCATCTTTGTCAATGCTTCCGGAAGCTATGCAGACACTGAAGCTTGTTGCCTCCACTTATGACACAGACAGCATGAGGGAAGCGTGGAGTGCTGCTCGCTTGCTTGTAATGCTTCATCAGCAGCGCCGGAAAGATGATATCGCCATTTTCAATCAGTCCCTGGAGCTGGAAACGGAACAGGGCCCGCTAGAGCCACCTACTCAAGAGAACGCAAGCGCCGAAGAATATTCATGGCTGGGCGCTCTTGTGGCTGATCTCCCTGGCCTACAAAAAGTAGACCTTGATCAATTCCTCAATGCGGACATGATGGACAATTCAAGCTTACTTGGTGGATCCGGATGATAGAATTACCACCAGGCGGGTAGACGGGGACTATTCGTCGTGTTAGACTTTTCCAAGGCTTTACGAAAAGTAGTTTTATTTATTTGATTACTCATATTTAATAAGTATCATCGATCAAGAAGAGAAGAAATCAGATTGAAGAAAACCAATTCTTCCAAACAGTGTGGAACGTGCGATCTACTACTTGTACTTCTACATTGTTTCCCCGATCCGCAATATCCGACGCGCAACCCAATACAGACCTGACTGCTTTTGCCGCATCTTCCGCAATTTCCATAGAGTCTCTCAAAACCCATGTCCAGTCCTAAATACTTTGTAATGACTCACTTTGAGGACTCATTGATACACCGACCGTTCATCCAACCGACAATAATGTGCCTGGGCCCAGCCAGGTCAGATCATTCCCATCGACAAGATCTCTAATCATTTCAGTGTGCCCGAAATGTATGAGAATTCACCACTGGGTGCCGATAGGCCATTCCCAGCACCTCTCCCGGCCTTGGAAAATTACGTTGTAGACTTCGATGGGCCTGATGATCCTCAGCACCCCCAGAACTGGAGACTCTCTCTGAAGTAAGTAGGAATACCCCAAAGGAGGGAAACATCTTGACAGTCGACTAACGTACTTTGCGATAGATTGTTTATTTCCATTCTTGTCTGCTCAGGGACATTTATAGTCTCACTCACAAGTGCAGTCTTTGCGCCAGGCATCGATAAAGCAAGTCAAGCTTTCGGTGTCAGCTCTGTTGTTGGAACGCTGGGGACAACCCTCTACGTCCTAGGCTTTTCATTTGGCCCCGTCATCTGGGCCCCAGCATCTGAGCTAAAAGGACGAAAATGGCCATTGACAGCTGCAATGATAGGAGGCGGCATCTTTACCATTGCATCAGCGGTCGCAAAAGATATACAAACTTTAATCATCTGCCGATTCTTCGCTGGCGTATGTGGAGCAAGCCAGCTTACTGTCGTCCCTGGAGTACTGGCAGACTTGTACAACAACTCAACTCGCGGCGCAGCGATCTCCTACTATGCTTTAACAGTATTTGTGGGCCCGTTCATGGCTCCGTTCGTCGGTGGATTCATTGCGTCAAGTCAACTAGGTTGGCGATGGACGCTTTACATACCTGCCATCATGAGTCTGGCTAATGGCGTGTTGAGTATCTTCTTCTTGGATGAGACATTCCCTCCTTGTCTACTCGTGGCAAAAGCCGCACGTATTCGCAAAGAGTCCGGTCATTGGGGTATACATGCGAGACAAGAGAAGGTAGAGCTTGATTTCTCAAGTCTTGTGGAGAAGTACTTCACACGTCCGTTGAAGCTGCTATTCATGGAGCCGATCATCCTTGTGGTCTCGCTATACATGTCCTTCATTTATGGACTTGTGTACGCGCTCCTTGAGGCATATCCGTACGTCTTCGAAAGCGTGTATGGGATGACCCCTGGTATCGCTGGGCTTATGTTTATCGGGTTAATTATTGGCGTGGGACTTGCTTGCACATTCATCGTGTCGAGGCAAGTGCCTTACGCAAAGAGGCTTGCAGAAAACAAGGGTGTGCCAGTGCCAGAGTGGCGCCTCGGCCCGACACTCCTGGGGGCGCCTGTCTTTACCATTGGCCTATTCTGGTAGGTTGTTTAATATTACGTTCAGAAACAGATTGCTAACTTAATTCAGGTTCGGATGGACCGGGTTTACCTCCAACATACATTGGGCTGCACCCGCCGCCGCCGGTATTTTCATAGGATTTGGGGTTCTATGCATTTTCCTTCCATGCTTCAACTACATTGTCGACTCTTATTTGCCGATGTGAGTCCCTCGTTCCATTAGAGAGCCATTTTTGTCACAATACATCTAACAGAAATGGATATAGCGCTGCTTCAGCCGTTGCTGCCAATATCATCCTCCGATCAGGGGTGGCCGCAGGCTTTCCTTTATTTTCGAGACAAATGTTCCAAAATATGGGAATCCAATGGGCTGGCACTTTGCTAGGTTGTCTTGCTGCAATCATGATTCCGATTCCAATTGTACTAAGGGCTTATGGGCCGATGTTGCGAGGAAAAAGTAAGATGTTCCAATAAGGGCATTTAGTTCTGTCTTAAACACTTGATCGAGATTCGGCTATGACACGGGTCCCAAAGCCCAAAAGTCAAACCGATGACTCCAGCCGCACTTTGATTGGAGAAAATCTACATCTTCAAAGATCAAAACCAACGTGTCTACATGCAGGCACAATATTTCATGAAAAACCCAAAATCTATGTTTTACTATAGATCGGAACTCTCTATACTGTGCTTACACACTCCAGCTTAGTCGCTGTTAGTATCAATGAAACTATCCACCGCCCAGCCATTGAGAATAGTATAGTCCGAGTAAGGCGAAGTGCCATGCAGGGTCTCGTAATGCTTGCGAGGTCCACATTCCCTCAACTTAGTAGAGTTGGCATTGACGCATCGGTTCTGCATAATAGCCGCAATTTGTCGACCAGCATCCAGACCCTCGAAGTATGCACCGTGCAAGAAACCAAAGAAGGTCGGGCTGGTGGCCTCACCGGCAAACCAAACTCGACCAGCGTTGGCACGCAAGTTTTGATGCATTTCCAGAGACGTCGCGGGAGGCCAGTTGGAATAACTACCGTAGGCCCAGGGTTCTTGGGTCCAGCGTGGGTACATGAAAGCAGTTGGCTCGGGGATCTCTTTCTCCGGGAACATTTTGCGCAGAACTTCCATGGCTTCCTTTTTGGTTTCTTCGTCTGTCTGGCGTTCGGCACGGTAGGCGAACTCGTTGGTGACGGTCACAAAGATGATGTTGGAATCTGGGAGGAATCCCGGGGTGGAGAGGGACTGCCAGATCGGGTACCAGCCGCGGGTGACTGGGTCAGCGTACAGGTGATATTGAGTCTCTGAGGGCCAGAAGGTCTCGTTGAACTGGAAGAAGATCTTGGTGTAGGTTCCCATGGTAAACTTCTGGATGGCCTCCTGCTTCCAGTCGGGAAGCTTGGGCGAGAACTGGACTGCGTCGTTTTGCAAAACACCCAGTGAGAATGTGACGATTGCATAATCTGCTTCGACACAGCTGCCGTCCTTGTTGAGGACAGTCACACCGTCGTCCGTATAGGTGATGTTGGTGACCTGAGTGTTCAGAAGAAGACGTGGGTCATTCTTGCGCAAGAAATTTGAGGCCATCTTCTTGAATATGATGTTGAAACCGCGTTGATCAAGCACGAAGTTATCGTGATCACTGAAATAATTTGAGGTCAAGTTATCGCCTGCACAGCCGAAGACAAGAGAGCTCTCCAGGGGGAATAGGCATCCTCAAAATCTGATGCAGATGTTAGTATCACAGCACGCAGTTTTCAAGCAGGCTTGCTTTCCCCATGACCACCAGTCAACAGCTTGCGCTTCCATATCAAATGGCTTTGGATTCCAACCCGCCAGAGCAAGGCCCGATTTCGCATTCTGGTCTTGGAGATTCTGCGTGAGAATTTCACCAGCGTTCTGACTAGCAACGTCATATGCATCCTCGTAGAGATCGAGCAGGTGGCTATAATCAGAGTAACCATCCTTGTTGTAAGTGGATACGTTATCATAATTTGAGTAGTGGGTCTTCAGCCCGTATTTTTGAGCCTGTTTGAAGTAAGCTTGTGTTCGACCGAAGATATTTCTGAGACCCACCAAGACCCAGATTGGGTTTTGCGCTCCTCCTGGATTCCCAAGACCTTGGACCTATGTCTGTCAGCAGTGTGTTCGGAGGGATTTGAGGCGCCCATACCCAATTGGCACCCATTTCAATGTTATACGGCTTGCCATCTTTATCTTTGCCGAATGGTTTATGCCAAGCTCGACCTCCAATGGTATCGCGGTATTCGATGATCGTGAAATCATGTACGGACGCGTTGGTCAATGCTTGCTTTTGGGATGTCAGTGGTGGTCAGAGTAACAAGGGGTGGAAAAACAAACCGCAGCAGTGATTCCGGCAACACCACCTCCCCTTCAGTGTGTTAGTATTAGAAACCCCGAGAAATATCTTCGTTCTTACAGAATTGCGACTTTGGTCTTTTTGCATGTTCCTTGCTGAGCTTGGTGAGGCACACCAAAAACAGGCTGCACGACGCAGCCCGCAGCAGCTGCCAGGAGAGAGAAGTGCCAATGCATGATGTTGAGCAATTGAAGGTAGCAGGGAGAGATCAGAGACTAAATATTAGTTCGGTATTCCATCGCCCCACATGAGCTGAAGCACATGTGCTAGGAGATAAGCAACCCGCCGCAGTCAAGAGACCATATCGATTCTCCAACTCCGATAGTATACTCCATCGGGTAAGTCCACGCGGTCTCGAAGCTAAGGATTAAAGACTAATTCCTGAAGATGCGGGGATGGTTTCAACGTGCTATCTCAGTTAATCTGCTTTTCATTACGTTTAACTCAAGATTGGCCTACGGAGTATATGGTAGTAGCCCTAAAACTTATGACGATCGGTATCTGCAAGCGAGGATATCCATCGCTCGCTGTTTTTGCCCTCTGTTATTTTTCTTTTCTTTTTTCGGGGGTGGGCATCACGCAGCTGAAAGCAATCAATATGCACCACTAAGCCAATCGCTGCCGCTTGCTGAGAACCATCTCTGCATGTTGATGTCATTAATGACCTATACCGAACAGGTAAAGCTGGGGACAACGATGTGAGACTGCTTGTCTAACCCTCCTCGAGTCGTTGTCATAGTCCACACAAATTCATAGATCGGATCTGGAATTAATAAAGATGCCTACCATATCAGTCTGCATAAGACCCCGGTGTAATATTGTTGTATTCAGTGGAATGTCTCAGGCGCTGTCGTCTTCCGGGTACTAATCCTTGACAGTCATCCCCTGCCCGCTATGCACTGCCGGGACCCCATAAAGCCAGCCGTCTTTCTGAAAGCCAATACTCCTACCAATGGCATATCTCCAATCGATGCCTCCGAGGTTGTCATTCACCGCAGATAGATAGATATATGATGTCCTGGTGTAAAGCAGTAGTTGATCCCGAGCCGCGTTTACTCCGTACTGCCAGCACAGTTCCAAGCCAAATCTACCAAGTCTAGCCGAAATCATCACTGGATTGGATATCAAGACCGAGATTAGGCGCTCAAGATATCGGGATTGGTGTATTCGCCGCGATGAAATCGGGATTTAGTTTGAACCCGTAATGCCACGCCAGGAACAGGATTTGCGGGGCCCCGCGTTATACGGATCTATGGGAAGCGCATACTCTGTACCTTCTATGGACTTGCCTAGCTTGGATCGGCTTTGATTTAGGTGAGAGGCCCCGGAGGATTATTGGCTGTGGTCAATCATTCAGGTGTACGAGGGAGAATACTTCCAAGGTTTTCCGCCGGCCTGTGATTTGATATTTCTTGTCAACCTCCAAACTTGGAACATTCCCTTTGACTACATCTCAGAGTGAGCTGGAGAGCTCTGTACAGTAACATAATGGTATCAGTGAAATTGAACTAGCATGAGTTTCAAATTGCCTCGAAAAGCACCATGTCCTTATTCCCCCAAACATGACCACATTGGATCAGAAAGAGATGGGAATTAAACAATATTCACATATAAGCAAACAACCTAAAAGCCACCGTGAAGCGCATAAAGCTTCGACAGTAGGGAAAATAGAACAGTGACTTGACTGTCTCCAACGAAAAGAACACCAACATAACATAAATGACAAGAAAACACCACCAGCTATGCAAAAGGCTGAGTCAGAGACCGTCTGACGTTTTCCCAAACACCAAGTAAAGACAGCCGAGAGTAACGGAGGCCAGAAGATTATTCTGAACCAAAACAAACACTAAAAAAAGATATGCACAGGTCGCCTTAACGGAAGTCATAAGCAGGGCGAACCATTTTCGTCGTCTCTGGCTTCAGGGACAACTGTTGATATGGTGAACTTCCGGGGTCATAGTATAGACCTTCAATTTGTCCGTCTTCGCGCCGGAGAGAGATGTAATAGAATCCGGAAATGGTTAGACCTTGTCGAGCATCGGTGGGTGTGATGAAGCATCGTTCTAGGCATGTTAGCGCGCGAGAAGAGCCATGATACAGATTTGTACTTACCCTTCCATCTCATCAGGATCCACCCTCTGGACAATTCTTCCGTGATCCATTTTCGGCTGACAAGGTTGCGGGCCATTTCGGCATCTGTCAGATCCTTGAAAGGCTGCAGTTCTCGCCAGTATGTACTATCGATATCGGCATCCGCTTTGAAATTTTTGGTTTCCAGTGTGTGCTTGTTGAAGTCGATGATTTCACCCTCCAAGAATGTCACAATGTGTGCGTCGTGCGTGGGTGAGGTCTTGTCGGGGATGTTGTACGCCTCCATGGTCCCAGACAGTGTCATCTCCTCCTCGTTGATATGATGTATGGTGACCTTGACAGGCCAATTCTCGTCGCGATGGCTGGCTGTGTATCGGCGACCGCTCGTGGTAGAAACGCTTACCCGGGGGTTGCTTTCACTTCCATTCACAATGACGGGTTCGCTGGGTGTTTGCGGACTGGAGACTCGTTGCGATAGTAGGGAGGATCCGGCGCTCGCGGCACGCTGGGATCCCGAGAAAGCCATGCCTGAACGAAGCCATGAGCATGCTGCCGGGGGTGCGATGTTGGGTGTGTAGAGGATGAAATCGGTATCTCGCCACGATTTGTTGTCCATAGAGATCGGTAACCGACTGTCGGCGGCGGCGAGCATACTCTCTTCGAGGGAGTTTGAATATCGGAGGCGATCGAGGTAGCTTATTGTTTCTTTCAGAATATCACTTGACTGACCATCCGACTGTAACTGGCGATGAGCGGCGGCGCGGGCGCGAAGGTCGTTGTGTGTGTGGGTGGTTTGTTGTGAGTCGGACTGATATGAGGGGCGATAGCGGTATGCGCGAGATGCAGACGCCACCGCATGCTCATTATCCGGTTCTTGTTCATGGTCTGTGTGATCGGCGTATCGATCCAGGAGATAATTTTCCAGGGTGCGAGTTCTTGCTAGTCGAGGTTGACGTCTCGCAGATTGTAATAAGGCGGCCATGGCGGTGATCGGCGTTCGTGCTCGCTGCTGGTTGATGATTTCCTGGGGTACAAGTTGCGCGGGGCCCGGAAGTTCATGTCGCGGAGGTCGTGTGGGTGCTGTGCGGCTTGAAACGGTATGGAGAAATGGCTGCACTTGATCATCTTCCGATTCCTCACGCGCGCCACCATCCTCCTCATCTGATCCGGGTGCCCAGCCATACAGGGAGCGAGAGTTGGGCCCTCGGCCCTCGTAGTTCGGCATGGTTGATTCTTGTGGTGAGCGGACGATAGGGATGCGACGATTGAGCTCGACAGAAGTGCGCTGGTTGTTTGTGTCTTCCACTTCCATGCGATCGGTTTCGGTTGGGAGGTTGACGGGATAACGACGGCGACGGTGGCGGCTCAAGGAGGGTAATGACGGGTTGAAGAGAGCTGGACGCGATCGCAGGAAGTTTACATTGTCATCATGGGCATCGGTCTCCACAGGGGCGGGAATCGACGATCGGCGAGGGTCTGGAGACGTTTGCTGAGGGTCTGAGTGCTGTGAGGGATCAATACCAGGTTCTATCAGGGGGAATGCGGCAGAACGAACGGAGGAGTTGGGAGGCATGATCGGAATTCGCCGTCAAGGAGTGTGGGTCGTAGGCCATACAGAAAAGATGCAAAGTCCAGAAATTGTCCGATGGGAATATCGTTGATTGTATGACGTTTTTCCTTTCAGCCGGGATCTCCTATCGGGCATCGGGACCGCTATACAAGGTGCAATCCATGGATGTATGATGTGAGGAGTGTGGAGTATGGAGTACGGAGTCCCAGATTTAAGATCAGGGAGAGTACTAATAAGTATGCGGAGAACTAGTTAACTAGAATGAACACTACATTGAATGTACTATATGAAACAAATGAAACAAATACTCCATATCCCTTTGTTAGTATAGTGAGCCCCTGAGACTCCCGCACCAACAGTGGCTAATCAGTATAGACCACTGTCCCATGTACAAGGGCGATCAGGCACTAGGACTGTTGGACGTGAATTTATGCGCCGAAGACGAGCGATTTGGGCATCGATAATGTACAATGCACGCCTAAGGCGAAAGTAGGACACCTGCGAACTCAAATATCCTACCAAGTACTCCGTACTCCGTAACATACTCCGTCCCTCGGGACTCCGTACGGAGTACTCCGTACTTGGACACTGCATATATCCCAACTCCAGGCCGAACCCCCTATAGGCTCACTCGCCATCCTTCTATTCACTCAAATCCTTGCATGCCGACTGCTCCCCACGCTCCGCGTGGTCGGCGATCCGGTTATCGCTTCCTCACGGCGGACTAACTCCGAGTATGCTCGGCTCGCAGCTCTACCCCTCATACAAAATGCTTAAGAGCTTCTTTTCTCACAAACTTGAAAGTTAGCTACAGCATATTCGAACCCATAATCGAGAGTACCAAGGCAAAAATGGTCAAAATCAAGAGCATTGAATACTTTCGGGTACTGCCCCGATGGCTTTTTGTCAAAGTGACAGACGAGGAAGGGAAATATGGATGGGGTGAAAGCACGCTTGAAGGTCATACTGAGGCTGTGGAGGGTACTCTGAATGCTCTGTGCCAGAGATTTGAAGGTTATGAAGCTGAGTAGGTCACTCCGACTCCAATGCCTGACGGTTGAACAAACAGGGCTAACCATACCCAGTGACATTGAACACATCTGGCAAATGGCATGGCGCCTCGGCTTCTACAGAGGCGGACCTGTATTCATGTCCGCCATCTCCGGAATCGACATTGCTCTTTGGGATCTCAAGGGCCGCCGCCTAGGCGTCCCTGTCTATCAACTTCTGGGAGGCAAGGTACGGAACAAGCTATCTGTCTACGCTTGGATTGGCGGTGATCGACCGGCAGATGTCGGGGCAGCGGCCAAGGCCCGTCAGGCACAAGGGTTCAAAGCCGTGAAGATGAACGCAACGGAGGATGTCAACTGGCTCGATTCCCCCGCCGTGCTGGATTCCAGCGTCGAACGTCTGAAGACCGTGAAAGCTCTGGGCATGGATGCGGCACTAGATTTCCACGGTCGTCTCCATAAACCCATGGCTAAGCAGCTCGCCAAAGCACTCGAGCCACATCGGCCTTTGTTCCTGGAGGAGCCGCTTCTTTCGGAGCATCCGGAGGCCATCAAACAGCTTTCCGAGTATGTTTCATGTCCCATTGCGCTCGGCGAGAGACTTTACAGCCGCTGGGATGTGAAACGATTCTTAGAGGATGGCAGCGTGGATGTCCTCCAGCCTGACATCAGTCATTGTGGTGGAATCTCTGAGCTCCGACGCATTGCCAACATGGCTGAGACATATGATGTGGCCATTGCGCCTCATTGCCCACTGGGGCCGATTGCACTCGCAGCCTGTATGCAGGTTGATCTCTCCATTCCTAACTTTGTCATTCAAGAGATGAGCATTGGAATGCACTACAACCTCGAGGCGGGAGAGTACGATATTACCAGTTATGTCAAAGATCCCAAGGTTTTTGATGTCCAGGATGGGTACGTGGAGGCGCTCAAAGCACCTGGGCTGGGAATTGAGATTGATGAAGATGTCGTGCGCCGCGTTGCTCAGAACACCCCGGCTTGGCAGCCTAAGGAGTTCTTTGGCCCCGATGGGTCGATCCGGGAGTGGTAATTTAATGCGGTGTATAAAAACGCCGAAGCCTGCGCATTAGCCAGGGGCAGTGAGCTTACACTATGATCTGCTTCAAAGTTTATGGACGGTGGCATATGAGCATCAGAGTCTTCTCTTTCTATCAAAAGGTGTTGGGAAATATCTAATATTCATGGCAGTATATCCTCGAAAAGTCTAGAAGTCAAAATGCCACCTATAGTACTCTTTCCAAAAAATTGTGTGGCGTATAGCAAGATGATCAAGCAACGCTCGCGGCATTGCAGTCATCGGCTAGCTGGACACATTGCAAGATCATGTTCCAGAACGCCTCCAAGTCAACACCTCTGGGAATTGCAACGCCGGGACCGTCCACTGGAGTAGCTATAGATCGCCCCATATGCCCTGTGACTGAGACATCTTCGCCATGATGTCCGTCTGTAACAATATGGAGAGCGAATCGTTCTCCATTCTTGTCGTCAAACTTAAGAGTCTGGTTGGGATGCTGAGTGGCAAACGCCGGGTTCAAGGTCGACAAAATCACTGCCACGGCCAGGGGATCATGCAAAGGAGGGCCAGTAGTTAGCCCAAACGCCTTTTCATAAGTTGCAGCAAAGAAGGTCAGAAGGGCATGCAATATCTGTCGAAGGACGGTTGGTTCCTGGTCTGAATGGATCGAACCATGCAGGATGCGGGTTTGGACAGCCTGTGAGGCCAGGACCTGATGTGTTAGATCTAAAGCAATGATTGTAGTCTTCGCAGCAACAATTGGGTTGCTGAAGATTGACTGCGATGACTCTGGATCGCACTGATAATTTCCCGAGTTAGATATAGCATCACAATATGAAATAGTTTGAAGACGAACATAAAGATTGAACTCAGCCCAAGGAGTTACGTTTCCGATTCTGGACTGTTCACCAGGAAGTCGACTCATGGGAGCATCGGTGAACCCTTCGCCGATAGCACCTCCCATGAGGCTCAGCCCCGCAATATGCTCGGCAACTTCGGGGAACGTTGCAAAGAGCAAAGCTACATTGGTCAGAGTTCCTGTGGCAACTAACCAGGGGACGCCTTTTGGCTGTGCCAGTAAGGTATCTCGCATAGCCAGGATAGTGTTTCTATCGGAAATAGGTGGTGTGGCAGGCTTGGGAAGAAGGTCGGTACCGTCAAGTCCCGATTCGCCTTGATGATTGTCACCAAAACTGTAAGATATTTGGGTATCACGGAACTTACCATGAATATCAGGCGCATGAAGGGCTGGCCGCGAGAACGGTTTCTGACTACCAGGATAGACAGGAATATCGGGCTTGCCAATAGCCGTCAAGATACTGCCTGCATTGGCAGTTGTGTTCTCTAGAGATGCGTTTCCATGTATAGTACTGATGCCGAGAAGATGCAGACTGGGATGATGAGCGGCTATCAAAATAGCAAAAGCGTCCTTTAGGAAATCAGTATCTCCGTATGTATCTGTCACTGGGATATCTCCCCTGAGCTTACATCATGGCCTGGAAACAGTTAGTTGGGGTATCGCGGTAGCAGGATGTCAACTCACCTGGGTCGCAGTCCAACCATAAGGGAGTCGCGCTGTACTCAGTCGCTGATATAGTCATAATGTATGTTAACAGAATTGATGAAAAGTCAAAGAAACAAAAGGTTCCAAACAACCCCCCAAGTAAACACGATCCCCGCATCCATGGGACTCCTTATCGCCCTTATCTACGTGCCCTAAGCCCTACTTTCCAGATCAGGCAATCGATTCAACTTGGGATGTCACTTGCCTCAGACTGCCTCAAAACACAAGGATTCCCTTTGTCTATTGATGGTTATTGACTGGCCCCAAGGATCCTATGGCTATGTGATGAGATGACCGAACCTTCCCGCCCCGGCCTTCAGCCGGTTTCCCATCTCAAGGCTGGGCCGACAACCTCCAGCTCGAGATCCACCGCGCTGCCATCCCCGACCACGCTTCAGCCTCCATCGCGTCCTTCCTCCCGACTGCGCACCAAAAAAACCACAAGCAAAGAGGAAATAGACTCAACTGGCGACAAAGCTACCGCCGCCCTCATTCGACGCGTTCTTTGTCCTCAGAACGGCAGTTATGGAGCGTCTTCCCCACAGCCTCCGGAAGAGCTGTTACCTCCCCTCACGAGCTCCAATGACGTCGATCGTCAACTCTACGCCCTTCTCGCCATTGTAATAAAAGAATTCGTCTATACGTGGTACTCGAAGATTACCTCTGACCAGGCTTTGGTGAATGAGGTCCTTCAGGTGATCGCGCATTGCACGCGTGCCCTTGAGCAAAGACTGCGCCAAATCGATGTTGCACAGTTGGCCCTGGATGAAATCCCCATGCTTGTGGAAGCACATGTACACTGTGAGACTCGACTGTTCCATTTCTTTTCTTTGGGGGTTCTTGGTCATACCGCAGAGAGGGGAAAAGGCCCGTGGAAAACTTTGTGCTGACCCTTTCACTTCGTAGCATACAGACTGGCCAGGAAACAGTCACATCTTTCTGGTTTGCCCACGTCGTACCGCACACTCTACCATGAGCTGAACCCGCATCCTGGTCTATCGCCAGTGCCAGATGCGACAGATCCAGACACGCTTGTGGAGCAGAGCGAGAACGAAGCAGCCTATCGCCGGCTACTAGCCAATGGCAGCCTCGCCGTTCTTCTTCCCAGCGAGGATCTCGAGAACAGCAGTCTCCGAGCTTTGGTAGCCGATGTCATAGCTGACCTCATCCTGGGTAATCAAATTAGCGGGCGGGCATGCGAAGGATGGTTCATTTGGGAAACTATAGCCAAACTCGCCGCTAGATTGGAGAAGCCTCAAACGGATGACACCAAGTCTGCTCCGGACTCTCAAATAAACCGATTGGAGAAGTTTGGCTTACTCTCGACCGAGGACAAGGTCCAGCCTTCGGCGTCATTTCCAGCCACCGCCTGGATATGGAACGTTCTGCAAACCATCTACATTGGTTACGTCGCCTTGCGTTTCATTGCGATAGGTCTCTTCCGCGTCGCATCGAGTCCAGGCCCCTCGCACGGTGTCGGTGTCTCAGTTGCCCCAACGGCACTCGAGGACCAAAAGGGCGGGGGGATGGCTTCGAAGGACGTCACCAATAAGCGCCCAGTACTCGACTATCGGGTGTATTCTATGGCCTCGCAGATACTTCGGATCTCTCGTCGAATGCCATGGCTGAGTGGAATGCTCGCTCTCTTCCAACATCTTATTCTGGCAGGCCCAGGCAGGGTCGGTGGAACGGACGGAATTCTTGATAGGTGAGTTCTACTATGATTTCTTATCTGCGGTGCCTTTCGCCCTGCGACATCCAAGCCCTCCCCTCCGGACTCAGGCCCTCTTGGGAAATGAATGCTCGGCTGTGGAGCAACGGTGCGATCTTCCGAACCCCGATCTTCAGGTCAAGTGTCACTTGTGCGAGTCAGTGTGGGACAGGGAGCGTCTTGCTCGCATGCCGCATCGATCACTTGATCTGGCTGTAACCTTGGAAAAAGGCGGGATTGCGGCTTACAGTCATCTTACAACTTTACGGCGTCTCCTTACTGTACGGTTATTACCGTCAGGCTTACTAGTCCATTCTGACATCAGATTGGCTGCCGCCGACCTGGTCCGAGCGAACCTCGAATTTCGAGCAGGGATGGCTGCCCGTCCCCGTCGCTCTGGTTGCCTTTGAGAAAAGAGAAGTCCCTTTGTGTGCAATAGCGCCGGGGCCCGGCCCTTTCCGTGCCGCGCCGTCCACTCTTTCGCGTGAATCTGAGATTGCGACATGTGCCAACTTTTCAAAGAATTTGATTTGCGGCCGAACAAGTGCAAATGAAAATCACTGTCCACGCCCTTGGCACGAAAAAAAGGGGGCCAGCATGATGCAGGACCCAAAGGATTCACGAAAATGGACTGATGTCGATCATCCCATCGGTGGAACTACACTGGCTTGCGGCGCTTGCATGAGACCAAGAAGAAATAAAAATAAAAAACAAAAGAAGCCCCGAGGCTAGTGGATTTACTTGCATTGGTCCAATGAACGAAATTCGTCTCGGGGAGGTTGGGAATTCGCAAGTCGACCGAGGTTCGTGCATGAAGCCCGCTTGTGCGCCAGGCACAGGCTGCTACCCGCTGAAGAGGGGGTCACTTTTCTTTGACGTCCCTTAGGGGAGTCTGATCCCTGCAATTGGCCCAAGCTCCTTTCGCATCGCATGCCTAAGCCGATCTTGCTCCGCCTCCCCCCACTCTATACGGCCGGTTCTTATTTGGTGGCCTTGACCTCATATTACGAACTAAAATATGCGCGAAAAAAAAAGGCACAACGTCCCGAGAGCTCCACAGTCATAGCGGAATTTCGCTTCATTTTTTTTTAATTTTAATTTTTGCGCCTTGCTATTTTTACGACGTCATGATTCGAGATATGCTAACTCCACAGATTCCTTCGAGAGACCATTGAGGAGTACGTGCTCACCCCCACTTTGTTGCCCAACCTTCTTCTCGCAACAAGAACCGCGTTGTTTCCAGCCAATGCTCGTCCATCTCAGGCCGTGGACACTGGACCTTCAAATCCGCGGTCTGTGCAGACGTCCAGTCAGAAAGCCGCCTCACCGGCACTTGATGCTCCCTTAATGGAAGGAGTCAGGGATTCTCAGTCACTTGGTAAGAATGATCCCAGGCCCGGCGGCAACAGTAGTGGTCCAACAGCGCCAGTGTCGCTTGCTCCTGTCGCAGTCGAAGTCCCATCATTGGATAAGCCGACCGAAACAGAAAAGCAAGCCCGTCCATCGCAAGCAGAGATCGCCGCTATCAAGCGGCGATGTGCAGCTAGCCTCGTCGCTTTGATACCACGCACCGTCGCACGTACTTTCTTTGGTGTCGCCTCCTCGGCATCTCCGCCGCCCTATAGCTGGGATGGTACCTGCAGCACCGACAACTCGCCCTGTCTTGCCACCCCTTCCCCACCTTCTATCGCCGAGGATGCGTCCTGGTCCCAGGGGGCTGATCCGCATTCGCCATCGCATTCCGCGATATCGACCCGTCCCGACGTGGGGAGCGGCTACGTTCCCGCTAACCCGCTGCGCACAGACGAACAACCCGTCGAGATCGATCTTGAAGCGCTTGATCTCATATCAGCAGTAGAGACTGATCTTCTCGATGTCTTTGCCGATGAATACTGTAATAAGCACTTAGTATACTCTATTATCGAGGTGGTCCTGTCCAAGGTCCTTCCTGAAATGGCCGAGCGCAGTGTCGAGGACTTGATGGAAGATCGCGGGGTGGCATCCGTGCCACCTGCTTTTTAATATTTAGATGGAACTCTTTGAAGAGCACAAAACAGATCGTTCAAAGATAACTCAATATACATAATAGCAGTGTAAAACGTAAAGATAGTTGAAAGAACAGGTTATCTGAATACCTCTAGATTAAATGTGATATCTTTACCATCTTCTATACGCTGGGACCCGTGGACAACGTTGGAAATTTCCAAAGTGGGTTCAAATGGAGGCGTCAGCCTTGCGGTGGAAGTTGAATCTGATGGCCAAAGCTGGAGTTATCTCCCATGTATAGGCGCGTAGCTCCTAGGAAGCGGAACGAAGTAGTAGAGCAGCCCCCTGGGCATACCTATTCACTACATCAAGTATCCTCTTGTCTACAGATTACTATTCGTCCATACTCGTCCGTAGCAAATTTTGAATTTGAATGTAATGTGTCCTGCTTATGACCAGCATAAGACCAAACCTAAGCGTGAAAATCAGGTTCGTTGTAGAAAAAGAAAGGGGAAATGGGGTATAATAAAAAAATGGAGATCAAGGAAAGTAGGAACATGAAAAGGGTAAGAGACTAATCTGACATGCAGGCTCATTTGTAAGAGCCCGAAAAAATTATGTTCTTTCCGCGTGGGCGGCCCAGTGTAAGAAATCCAGCAAGACAATAAGGAAAAGAGCGTAAGAAGATGCAGTACAACGGAGTGATGTGGGAGGAGGGGGAGGTAAAAGTCAGAGACAGGGGGGATATAGCAAGCCAACATTATGAAAAGCAGCAAAAAGCAAAAAGACCCTAAGAAAATAACGGCGGCAAGACTCCTGCGCCGCTTCCAATATCCAATGAAAAAGAGAAGATAGAGGTTGCCCCCTCGGAATCGTGTACGTTTTTTGTGAGGTTTGTCAGGGTTTCTTCCTGTGGGGCAGTAAAGAAGGGATATGAAAGTTCGTACAAGGACATGCATGCATAAAACCAAAGGAAAAAAGCTCACCATGATGGAGAACAGGGGGGAATCACAAGGAGGAGGACCGGGGGGAACGAACTGTAAAACAACAGCCAAAAAAAAAAGAAGAAAACGAACTGGAAAATAGGAGAGGAAGAAAGACAGAAGGGGCAGGCAGCCAGGGTGCTCATCCAAGATTATGGATGCTCCTCTTCTTAGTCAAGCGGGGAGCATCCTCATGCTCATCGATCCGTGGCAAGCCATTCATCATCCCAGCCGGGCCTCTAGTGAGCTCCAGACGCTCCATCAGCCTACCCATGGTAACATATTCATGGTTGGCCAAAGTAGCAGGCCGGTGCTCGAAATAGTTGATCAGCAGCTCAAGGGCACTTCGAGCCTCTTCTTGAGTTGGGGAACCAGGCGTGCTGATTGGCGAAATAGGGTTTGACGATGAGGGGGGCATGGATTTGATCTTGAACTCCGGGTTGCTCTGGTTGCGCTTAATGAGCTTTGGAGAATCGAACAGGTTCTTTGACTCATCCAACTCTAGGGGAGATTCAAGAGTGGCAATGGAGAGAGATGGCTGATTGCTCTTGTCCTTGGATGGTTGTTGCACGTGCTCATCGGCCGAGAGGAGATTTGGGTCGATGGGGAGAGGGAAAGTTTGGCTGCGTGGCCGGTTGGAGTTGTTGGAGAGTCGGGATTGGCTTGTTGGTGAGAAGGGGCTTTCTGATAGCAAGGTTGAGGTTGGGCTTATCATGCCTGCTGAAGAACAAGTATCGATCGAGCCAGCGCTGTTGGAATATCCAAGCTGATATCCACCTGTCACATCGGAGAGTGTGTCGACCACGTCACGTTTGATGCCTTCTTGGCTCTTGGGGGATAATGGAGATCCAAATCCATCGATAGGAGATGCTGGCGAGGTTCCAGTGGGGCTTTGCAAGGCAGATCCAAAGTTGGTGTTGATTCTCGTAGGGCTGTTGGAATTGCTCCGGGGCGCAGACCCTCTGCGGACCTTTGCGCCGAGAAGGTTGTTCTTGTGCTTGAACTTTTCCAACCAAGCTGTAGTGCAGACCTTTTCTTTTCCTTCAGGGCAGCCACAGGTGCTGGCAAAGAAAAGAGCCTTTTCCTTGATCAGCTGATCGTTGAGGGGATATCCGTGGCTTTGGTAATTTTTGGCCCAATTAGCCAGAGCTTTCTCAATATCAGGGACTCTGCCTTTAGCACGTTTGATGGCAGATCGACTTCCATCGTCAGGGTTGAGATATTTCTCCTTCTGGCGTAAGACTTTGGAGACAGTACTAGAAAAGAAAGCATTAGATTTGATCACCAGAAGCACATTGCAAAAGGTACCTTCGTTCCACTCCAAACAGCGCTGTAACGAAGAGTCAGCCCTAGTACCGTAATATTTCAAGACAACCACGTGCTCACCTCCAATATCAGTCTGCTTGGCAGTCTTGTTTTCCTCATGATATAGACACATTTGTCGGCGATCCTCATCGGTCAGGGTCCTTCTCGGTGTAGAGCCTCCGGTGGAGGTCTTCCGCACTTGGAGCATTGGCGTGGTAGGCGAAACCGAAGCATGGGCGGAAACGTGCATCCCGGTCTCGGGAAAAGGCGGGTTTGTTGCAAGCATGCTGGGCCACGAATGCGCAGGCATAGGCAGCGGCATAGTGGCATACGGCGGCGGCATCGACATGCCATAGGGAGAATCCATTACCATCGTGGAAGTACCAAAGTCAAATCCACTATATTCTGGCATCGGAGGCGAGTGCTGGGGAGAAGCAAATGCGCCTACTTCCACCCATGGGGAATGCGAAAATTCGCCATCTGGCGCATGCTGAGTTTCAGTTTCCATGGAGGACCTCGGGAATCGTCTATTGAATATTCCACGTCCAAGGTTGGTCCTTTGTGCTGGTGGGGTAGGGCTCGGTAGGTAGGCAATAAAGAAGAGACAAAAGAATTTGGGAACAATGAGACAATCTAGTGAGACAATAAGAACTGATGCATGTTCCACTGCTGTCGACCTGTATAAAATTACCGGTGAGATTGTAGCAGAGTAATGTCCCGAGATGAGGAAGCTATTTACTAAAGGTAGTAGAACAGCTGTAACCAAAGTATATATGGCAGAAGTCAGAGGTGAGGTGAGTTAAAAAGAAAAATCAAATTATCGCAGAAGTCGAATCTTGATTGCAACTAAGAGGACTCCGGAGAAATCAATGATAACCTAGAGAAATCCCTACTCTGGGATGATTGGTCTTTAAAAAAAGGAATTAAACCGCCCAAAAAAGACAAAAATATCATATTCAAGTAATACTGTAACGATATTACCTTGGTATATAACGAAACATCTAGTTTATTTTTTACATGCGCAATTTAAACATAATCCTTGTAAATAGAGGGGGAAAGACAGTTGGTTGGTTGGCCGCGCGATATATTGCGGCAGGGGTTGCATCTCGTCAAGCCTATTTCGATTTTCGTATTACCTTGTAAGAGTATGGAAATCTACTTGGTTGGTTCTTTTTTTGGTGTCCTTTTTATTTCTCTATTTTCTCTTTTTGGCTCTTTTCTTTTTACTATTAGTCTGATTTTGGACACTTTCTCCCCGGCAAGCTTGAGCCTGATGGTATGTTTTATACTGACAATATAAAGTAGATACCCAATGTAGACACCCATTCATACATACCCGAAGACTTCGGCATGACTGCTCAAATTTTTCAACTTGTCGAAAACTCTGAATCATAGACTAACAATCCTTCGCGGTGGTTGGTCATTCTGGTCTCGCTCTTGTCCAAGAACGCCCCGTCAAATCAGGGTCGATCATCCGGGGGATGAACGAATTTCGGTGAAAAGCACAGCCTAGATCGGGGTTGATTTGCCCAACGAGAGCGGATCGATAAACCGCTGAACCTAGAGTGCGCATGACACCCGTGTGGGCATAAAGGGCGATCAGGGTGGACCGGGAGCAGGGAAACACTAGTGCAGCATCAAGTGTGGTCTCAGCCGAAAGCCATTTTCCCGTCTAGCAAACCGTTGAGCCGAATGAAGACTCAACATTCAATGGCTTGTCTGTCCATGTGACGAAGGGGCACGGTTGTGAAGAAATTCGGAAATAGGACGGGTCCGAGGTCTTCATGATAAACACAAATCATGAAGCGGGCTAGCGAGCAAATCCCTAGATTGGACAGAACTGTGTCCATGGGACTACCAGACTGGGGCGAGATTATGGATGTGAGAGACGTGCCGATCTTGAGTTCAGGATAAAAACCGCAGAAGAAATCCACGAGAAACGACACGGTCAAAATTAGCAGATGAGGAGCAGCAAGGATCATCTATGGATGGACGAATCCGCTGCTGAGATTGCCCTACGGTTGATACGAGTGAATACAAGGGCCGAACAGCAGGTTGGAGAACTGCCCTATCATAAGGCAGAGAAGGCATTCGAGCAGAGTTAGTAAAAGAGGGGAACATCCTCCAATGAGGCTTTTCTTTCCTTTTTGGCGCCTTTCAGCACTGCTTTGCTCCACTGACCCACTGCGGTCCCCTCCGGCCCGGCAACCTTCAATATTCCGATGTAATTTGCTTTAAGAACTCGAGCGAGGAACTTTGTAGAAAATGTGCAGAGCCAATTGAGTCTGATAAAAGCAAAAGGGGGACAAAAAAATAGTATGTTAGGGCGTCGTCTCGAAATAGGGGCTATATCTCACGTTCTATACACTACTCCGTCCTATTGCTCGGGATTCCCATTTGGACGCGGTCTAGTAAATGCTACCCAAGTTTTCGAAATCCAAGTATGGAGTCCGGAGTACTCGATACGAGAGCCCCCGCTTATCCAAACCACGAGGTGACCAATGTCAAACCTGCCTGCTATTAAATGCAACACATAAAATCCACGAAACATTGTTCCAAGTGCATGTCTGAACCACAAAGAAACAGAAGATCTTCGACAGAGAAAAAAAAAGGAGGGGACAAAAAAGCAAATTCCAAATCAGCACGGAGCTTTTATCAAGGTTGTCGAATAGTTGACAAATTATCCCCAGTCCAGCTGCTCTGCTCCATACCGAGTCACTACACGGAGTAGAGAATGTTTGACGGCCGAGGGCTGATTCGGTCGCAGTGCCAATCATCGTGCTTACTGTCCTCGGTTTTTGTAACTTTGCGCCAGTAAGATCGGCCGAAAAACAAAAAAGCAAAAGCAAAAGCGAAGCTAAACGAGCGTACTCCGTAATTAAAATTAAGTAACAATTCCCCCTAGCTCAGAACAATAAAATATAACCGCCAATGTTTCTCACACAATGTTCGATTATTCGCGTTCCATGGTCAGCCCATTATAAAATCTCAAGTCGATCATGGGCTGACGCCATTGATGGATACTATTTCGGTTGATCTGTTTAAGGAATCGGTCTTGCAATTGCATCTCATCATTTCGGAGCAAGGCAGTCTAGACCGGTCAGGATTGAAATCGCCAACCTATGGACGGGTCAATCCGTATATTTGCTTCTTTCCATACGGCCCGTCGTTTCTTGGCCGTCAATATCAATCAAGCTCTGACCGAAATTGCCGTTGGACAGAAGCAGGAACAGACATAAATATAGTGTAAGGGTGCACACTCGAGTCAGGTACCGATCGACGGACCTCAGACCGTTGCAATCCTACCCGGGCCATCTCCGGCGAGTTATCAAGACTTATTTTTGCCGGCCTATGGGAAGGCTAGTGGTGGATAAAGTCGGGAAGTACTAGGTGAAGAGCGAACCAGTATTGAGAAGGTTCGGTGCTCTTTGAGGCAAAGTAAGAGATAGTGTAGAACTTAGAACTCAATTACTCCAACTCCATGACATAATTCAAACACTCTCGGGCCACGACTCCGGGGAAGAGCATGGCTTCATGCAATGCAATGCGACGGGGATGACCGATGGAACCTCCACGAGAACAAAATTAGGTCTGCCGGGGATTGGTGTCTTGACAGTCACCTGATGAAGCTTCATAATTTACAGGTATACAGGTATACAGGTACGAAGTATACTAGTCCACAGGTATGTCTGTTCGTACTCCGTATACGTCGGTAAACATACGGTATAGCCTGCCGATCTTGAATCTGAGAACAGACCAGATCGTGAATAGCCCCCCTTTATAGTGCGATGTTTTCATCATTGCACCGATCGGCGATTTGCGGGAGATTCTCCACCTCAGGAAAGTCTCCGCAGAGAGGTTCATGAGGAAAGTAGTTTACATTACTCCGTCCGTCTTCGACCCTGCCATTGGGTGTAGTGCAGTGTCACTGGTATGGACCTGGCTACAGGGCACGTTCGCTTAGTGGAGTCGATCAGATAAACGTTCGCAACTCAACTAGGATCCATTCACCGCTTGTTGCAAGAGTGCTGAGATTTTCAGTTTGCCTCACTTTTTGCTTTTGTCTGTTTGGTGGGATTCCATGTACTATGTATTTTGTGGGTTGAGTGGCATGCAGTTTGCATACAAATCTGCAGATCTGTGTACTTTTCTTTTTCCCTCCCAGATTTTGGTACCGAGCAAACAGCCCAAGGAATGGCCCAGAAGCTAAGACAGAAAACGTGCTAGTCGGTTGACAGATCCTCTTTTGATTCCTTGCATGGCCTGGGCGGGGGCTTCTATAGCCTTTTCAGTACCGTAGTCATTTAGCACGGTTGGACCTATCGGATGTCTGGCCCTAGCATTTACTAAACCAAGAAGCTCTCGTGGGCCTCAAACCACTATACGCGACCATGATCAACATTGCCGAAGTTATAGCAGAATAGGTCAATGCGTTGAGTCGCGGCCCTTAGCACCAAAATGCACGCCATAATTACCTTTCCGGCTCTTCCGTCGAAGCTATCGATTTTCTTCGGGGCTTTGGACCTGACAGCCAAAAAGCAAAGTGATCGGCATGCGCAAATGAAAGACCTGGCTAGACTCGGTGCTATTACTACGTTTTGGTGCCTGACTCGTCAGCCCAGCAGAAAAAAAGAAATGGCGGACAGATAAAAAAGCAATTAAGATCAAAGGAATCAAGCCATCTGCAAGCATATAAAAGTTGAAAATTACTGACCAGGGATGTGTGCAGGACGGCAAGTATGGTAAGGGGAACATACCAATCGGATAGCTCTCGACAGGATTCATGCAGGAATCCTCGGTAAAACCCAGGGTTCTGTAGGGTCCGTATACTCCGTAGAACGATAAGAGCTGGCGTTGCATGATGCGATTTTTGAGTCTGCCATGCGATTGGTTGAACATGGTAGAAATTCTCATTCGCATACTTAGTTGCATGTCAAGAAGGCAATTTGTGGCTGACTTGTCCTCTCAGGTTGATTAGGCACTGCAGAAGCAATCAAATAACTGGTACGGTGTACTACAGTATAAAGATAGGCTCTCTTTCATCGTTTCACTTCTACTACATAAGATATTTGGTCCGTGAAACAATTCCATTGATCACGAGGTGGAAAAAAAATTAACAACTTTTGCGCTGGACAAAGAGACAAGAGCCTCCTGAAGAAAGGGTAATCATAACAATATGGACTGGTCGCTTTCAAGGGGCCACAAAACTAACAAAGAAATCGACTGCGTGCCAAGGATATCAAAGATACCCGCGTCTCCTTTTTTTTTCTCTCTTGTGCCTCGTGTCCCTGGGCCTGTACGACCCCTGTCAAGCCTAACTTGAGTTCGAGAGGCAACCCAAAAAAATCAATTAGAAGCAGCCATGCGGGTGCTTGCACCTGATTGATTGAATGTCAAGATGCGTGACTCAATTTCCCCATTGATCTCGCCCGTGCTTGAATCTACCCATCCGCATTTGGGTCCGGTGGCGTCTGACGGGGAGCTGTCCCCATCGCCGTGCCTGTCAGATCGCGAAGGCGCAAAGACATCGCACAGACCACCTTCCACCCCCAGCGCTTGGATCAGCTCGTTGCTTACGGGCTGTGGGGGTAAGGATTTGATCGAAAATCCTTTACCGCTTGACGATCGACACTGTGACTAGTCAGTTTGGGAAGTCGAGTTGTTGGGAGCTGAGTGAGACTTACCGATATCTTCATCAGCGAGTTCGTGGGAAAGACCGACTCGCTGCGGTTGGTGCTTCACTGAGCGACCATACACAATGGCGTGCTTGAAGTCGTCCTTGATGGTTCGGTGGATAGAATCACACTATTTTGTCAGTCAGCATTTGGAAAACAGTTAACAAAGGGCCAATGAATGCTTACGAAGTTCTCGACTGTGCATGCATAAGAACGCAACACAACAGGTGCCGTATAATCGGGAGCTCTGCCCTTGGGCTTAGTGTAGATGCGACGAAGTTTGAGCTTTTCCCACATCATCTCCATCAACTCGTCGACGTTCCATCCGTGCTCTGAACTGATGGGGACAGCGTTCGGAATACGGTACAGCAAGTCCAACTCTTCGATGGAGATAGCATCAATCTTGTTCAGCGCATAAACGACGGGGATGTAACTGCGAGACTTGGCTTCCAAGACATCAATCAGGTCATCAATAGTGGCGTCGCATCGGATGGAGATATCAGCGGATGAGATCTTATATTCGTTCATCACAGCTTTGATTTCCTGGTAACTGTTAGTACTCATGTTCCCGGTCTTGAATGAGCTGAGGTCTTACATCGGGGTCAATGTGTGTCAAAGGCTGAGTGCTGGTGATGGCAATACCACCCTTGTCCTTCTTCTTGAAGATAATGTTGGGAGGCTTCTTGTTGATTCGGATTCCGAAGCCCTCCAATTCGGTTTCGATGACACGCTTGTCAACCAGAGGCTTGTTCACGTCGAGCACAATGAAGATCAGGTTGCAAGTCTTGGCCACAGCAATGACCTGGCGACCACGACCCTTTCCGTCTTTGGCACCTTGAATAATACCGGGAAGATCGAGAATTTGAATCTTAGCTCCGTTGTACATGACCTGACCGGGAACAGTCGTAAGGGTTGTGAATTCGTAGGCCGCGGCTGGAAGAGGTTAGCGAGGCCATCGGTATGCGACTTGCGATTCGAAACTAACCTTCCGAATGTTGGCCAGTCAATTTATTCATCAGTGTACTCTTGCCGACGGACGGGAAACCAATGAACCCACTGCAAAATATTAGCGCACTGCCATCGCAAAACTCATAGTATCACTTACACACTAGCAACACCAGTACGCGCGACATCGAAACCGGCTGAGCGTCGAGTTAGTACATGCAAAATTTGTTCGTTCGAGTTGCTGATACATACAGCCACCACCACCACCACCTCCACTGGGGGTCAGCAGTTCACGCTTGAGCTTAGCAAGCTTGGCCTTCAGTTGTCCTGCGAGTTGTCAGCGATGCACGTCATCGGCGACGAGAGGTCGGTGTGCGCGTACCCAAATGGAACGAGGTGTTCTTGTTCTTCTGGGTTCGAGCCATTTCGGACTCGATCTCCTTGATCTGCGGTGAAAAAAAGGCATTGTAAGTAAATTGCTTGCTGTGACGCCATGCTTAAAATTCTAAGATCGCACTCACCTTTTCAATAGTGGTCGACATCTTGGCGTGAAGACTCTTTGGTCCAGAAAATCACGGGCAAAATCAACGGGAGGTCGCAGAAATGCGAGAAATGAATTGAGTCCCTCGCTAAGAACCAGCGTAGTCGAGCGACAACTTCGGAGAAAGAAAGCACTTTGCGGACAATCTTTGAATTGTGGCACCGTATTTTTAGTCAGGGCGGGGTGTGAGCCTGAGGCAACGAGGGCAATTATGTCATAGGCTGCCTGAGGCCGAGATCCGCAGGAAGTCGCCCATCGTGATTCGCATTGCATCTGAATCTAAACAACATTTCATGTAATTTCATATATCTCACCTGACATCAGACAAGTGAGCTCCTTCCTGGGCTCCATCCGCTACCCCCGACTATTTGGTAGTCCTGTAGCCGCTCTTCATAACTCTCCTTCTCTTCGTTGTCTCCCACAACAAAGCCAAAATTACACTTATTGCACATATCACTTTTTCTTCTCTGTGTTGATACTCCGAAACCTCGACCTCTCTCCTATTACATTCGTTCTGGAGCCCGGGGTTATCAATTCATCGATTGCGCCATCTATCGGCTTCCAAGGTTCCGATACCGCCCTCGAAACTTCGCAGTTTTGGGTATTCTGTCTTTATTCTTTCTATCAACATACCTAGAATGCCATACCTCAGGACTGAATCGGAATTGCCTCGTGGCGCCGAGGTGACCACTGATGCCTTCGAGAAACTCGTGCAGGATTTGAGCGCTGCATTGGGTCCAAGCTCGGGTCTTGACTCCAGCGATGTCGACCCCATGCAAATACAACTTTTGATGGAGGGATATGCATCAAATCCAGATGAATGGTCCTCATACGCACTTGGCGATGCCAGCCGGACATACACCAGAAACTTGATTGACGAGGGCAATGGCAAGAGCAACCTGGTAAGTCTATCGCGCTCTTGCTAGATATGATCTAACACTTCCCAGCTCATTCTCGTCTGGAGCCCTGGGAAGGGAAGTACAATCCACGATCACGCAAATGCACACTGCGTGATGAAGGTATTGACGATCTCTCCATTGTTGTGTATCACAGCACTGACTCTGAAAAGATCCTCAAGGGCAAACTCCAGGAGGATCTCTACTCTTGGCCTGATCAAAAGCAGATCGAGAACGGTGAATCATGTCCACCTCAATTGACCAAGCAGACGATCTACGGCGAGGATCAGGTCACTTACATGTCCGACAAACTTGGTCTGCATCGCATTTCTAACCCCGACCCAAATGACTTTGCCATCTCTCTACACCGTATGTGCATCCTTCAAATGAAAGCCAATGAAGAACTTGAGCACCCTTTTAACCGGCATAGTCTACACACCACCCAATGCCGCAATCCATGGGTTCTGCATCTACGATGAAAGAACTGGCAAGGCCAGGCACATCAAGCAGACCAATTTCTACTCATTCCGTGGTCAGCGCCTCAACGATGGACAAGAATAATTATCAGGCCATGTTCTATGTGCCTTTATTTTTCATCCTCGTCGACATGCGACCCTGAATGTTCAGCTCAAGCCGTCCTCTGTGTCTGAAATAAGACCTGCGGTGACACTTGGAGAGCTCCAATTCGGCTTCAGTCTCCTTGTTTCCATTCTTCCGGTTCTTTTTTCAATTACTCGAATACCCTCTCCGTCTTTGTATGTTGAACTGCATAGCCGCATCGGATTCCCGGTCATCCGAAGCCTTTCTTAGGAGAAATGGCTTCTCTCATCTCTTCCTGTTTGCAATAGCGGTCTTGCTTTGCATTTTGTCTATCCCCAAAGCCTCCAAAGTAGCATTGACTCTATCATTATCGAACAGCGAGGACGTTCCAGATGCATTTCTCCACCCTGGAAGTAACATGACAGCCTTGAGGCTTTATTAAGTTGGCACGGCCGAAAGGACTGGCAGGAAGGTCCACGGGTGCGGCTGACGGTTTAGTTGCAAGAAGCATTCTACGTGATATGTTCATTGAGAGAAGAAGTCAAACTTCATGAAAAGATATGCATGCCCATGTAATGTCGCGATAGCAAAAACACAATGTTTGCTAAATCAAAAGTGGTATGACGAAGCCAGGCGAAACCCCATAACGCCGGAATCCCAAGTGTGATCTCAGATGATATACAAGAACACAAGGTTGATGAATCGCTGCAGACAAGGAGAAAAAAACACGGATCGAAGGGTTATAGCTGCCCCGAGCTTCTTGGTTTCAAGCCTCCGCCCCCACTCGAATGGGGGTGTGACTCGCAAGCAGAGCTCACAACATTCCGAGAGTCGGTGTGACCTTTCGTTCGGCTGTAGTCCGATGCATCAACTTGATCATCCCCTTCGCTCCCACCAGTATCAGTCTCCACCCCGCGCAACCCGAAGGCCCTCCGCTGCCCGCCCGGTCGTTCATTCAAGCTCGGCGCGCGAGGACGCTGTCGACCCCTGACGCGCCCACCGATCCAGGGAAGCTCCCAGAGAATCAATTTATAACCCCAGATAGTTGCATCGAGCAGAACGAGGAAGGCCCAGGGGCCGATGGTGACGAGGCCGAGGAAGAACTGTGGAATCCGGGGTAGATTAGCGACTGCGTCATCGACACGGGGCTGAGATCGAAAAGTGGTAGTCTTCACTCACAAAGAAACTAGCTGCCCAGCTCTCAAGGTGGGTGAGCTCAGGTGGGAGAATAGAGTACCACGCCATGGTGGGTTGGGGCAAGATGGAATGGGGAGGTCAAGGTTGCTGGCGGATTGGAGCTGCGCTGATGCGCAAATGCGATTTTGGCCCACTAGGCAGACTATGGATATCGCCAATTCTCAACTTTGTCTCATTATTATTTACCAGGTATTCTCTTCACGAACTTTATCAGCCAGTGTACTATGTACGTATAGCATGATCGATGTGCTCTACAAACCAGGTGGTTCATATGATATGATTGGCCGGTTCCTGACTTGGTCACATGATCTGGTGCCATATGTCTCAGGCTTAAATTAATGCCTGATGTACCAGGTGTCAGTGTTGATGTCAGAGCAACTAACCAACCAACCAACACAGTAAGCTGGTCTCAGGAACCATTCCGTTAAGTCCAATTATTTAGAGATCTTGGGCATCGGATGTGACCCAACTGCGCTTTTTCTCACGTTTAATTAATATATGAATGAATATGTCCACCTCTGGCTGCCACCAGCTAACTTTATCACCCAACAGCGCTTTCCCATCTACTAGTTTGGTTGCCATACTCTGTAGAACCGCCCAAATCTTTTGCCCCAACTATATAAACCTTGGGCCTTTGTGTCTCTTTTCAAACTATATTTTTAGTCTTGTGGGAATCAACAGAGATTACTGCACTATCTCTTTGAGGGGCTCTTGCCTGCTTGTGCAACAAAGCAAACCTTTTGAAAACCAACTGTTTGTCCACAAAAGCACAAAATCAAGCCCTGAGCCAGTCAGACAGCATATTCTTCTACATCTGCTTCTTCAAAAAATTTCGAAATCCTGGTTGCACAATGCATCTTAACCCAGTGCACATGGCCATGGCTCTACTAGCTACAAGCCTGGCCACCGCATTCCCTGTCCAAAGCATGAACCCACAGTTCAGCCTCGAGGCTCGAGCACCCTCTCAAACAGTCAGTTGCGCTGGATCATCTGCATGCAGTATTGCACTGAGCTCGACACTATCATGGGCCTGTAACAGAGCGCACACCAAGATCGACCCTACAGCCACGTACATGACAGGGTATGTATACAGATATCTTTTGGTGATGGAGTGAAACGTTTCGAGTCTGACTTTGAATTCATAGACGTCGAACGCGTGACACGGGGGTTTGTGCTCGGATGTATGCCTCTGCTTTCGGGTGTGGTATTTTCGTATCCGGGCCTCGCGGTTGCTCACGTTCTGGGGCGGAGATGATACAAGCCGTTTCGGATATTCGAACTAGTGGAAAGTGTGCTATTTGCGGATGGGTGCAGGAGAAGTCGGGGGGTGATGGGTGCAAGATCAAGATTGATTATGTTTCGGGATGCTGAGAGTGCGTGTCGTGGTTTGGTTTAGCTAGAAGAGGAGTAGGTAGGCTGAATGGGGAGATGTTCAGGTAGGACCTCGGGAGGCGGTTCAGTCCTAAACCTCGGGAGTTCCAAGGTTAGAAAAGCAGAAGTTGGAGACATTTGAGATCCATGTATGCATAAACCTTGAGGGTAGTATTTACAACCTTGGAGTGTAGAGTACATGTATTATTTGCATGATGTATATCGCCTATGCAGGCATGAGAATATTTGTCGTAAACTTCGTGTTGAGAAATAACGCTGACACCACCCAGAAACAGTAATTGCCTTTTGAACAGGACAATACAGGAAATATATATGCAAGGTTAAGCCCAAAGGGCCCATATGAATAGCTCAGCGCTGCGCGCGGTATGCTTCGTAGGACGTGTATGAAGGCTCGTCTTCGTCTTGATCGACAGGACCATAGCCACGAGTGCGCCAGCGATCAATCGGATTAGCCATCTCCGTCTGTGCAGGGACTTGTGCATGACTGAGAAGACCTGACTCGGCTTCATCGCCGTGTGAATAGACACCAGGAACTGAAGTGCCACTGTCGCCTCGAGAAAGCGGCACTCTGAAGGCTGGGTGAACAAGCCCTGTAGGATCAGAATGCTCGGAGACTTCGTTTATCCTCAAAGGTGCTATCGTGGGCAGCGAGGGGGCCGGTGAGGAGGCGCGGGATGAGCCGGGCGACCACTCACCTCCCAAGTGGCTACGAGGTGTGTGGGAGCGCTCTGTCATCAAGTCTTCGGGTCGACCGTAGATACCGCCGCCGAACTCGTCGCGGAAGTCCGCGCGGTTCTTGTAGTATGAGAAGTCCAAATGGTTTTCAGGAACAACCTCGAAGGGCGATGGATCGGTTGACGATTTGCCAGGCTGCGATGGGAGCATAGGGTTCATGGCCACATCTGAGTACTCGCCACCCATGTCTCCGTGATCCAGACGACCTTGGTAAATCTGTTTCAATGCCTCCGCGGCCTTGGCGTGCACCATGGGGGTCAAAAGTGGCTTGTAGAGGGCGGGATGTCCAAACTTGGAGTTCAACCGTTCCGCAGCCTTCTTGTCGGTCTTCTGTGCACCCAATGCCTCGGCGTCGTTCAAGTTTGCGCGGTTGTAGAATTCGCAATCGATATCGAAGGTCTTCATGCAATAAATCTTGAATGCGATCATCAGGAAGGGCAGAGGAACCACACAGAATACCATCGTCCAGGTACCGCGAGCTTTGGCCACCAGGGCAATGATCACGTTGGCAAGGATAGTAGCGAAAATCATGCGATTGAACAAAACTCGCCAGTACATGCCACCGGATTCGTTCTTGGTGATGAAGACGTACATCAACAAGTACTTCTTGAGAATGGCATCAACTCCAAAGTAGAGTGCTGTCACGGGCAACACAATCGGTTGAAGAGTAGCAAAGCAGAATGCTACCGTGGCATAGAACAAGAAGTAGTTGTAGTAGCTGGCGTAGTCGAATGCTGGCGGCGCCGTCCACTCGATAGACTGTCGGGGGGGTTGGTGCAAGGAAAGTCTTGGCAAACCAGACCCAAGCCATGGTAACCAGTTGTGCGAGATCGATTGCAGCTCCCAGGTTTCGCTGCAGGAGATAGGTGACCCAGAATGGCGACACAGTGCACAAAGCACTCACCATCTTGGAGTAGATCCGACTTTCTACGATAGCCTGCCAAGCATTTTCATGATTGTTGGTCTTATCGACAACAATTGTCACGAAACCCCAGGCAGCAGAGAAAAGCGAGAAAACAATCAAGTTGTTGAACACAAAGAAGGCATAAAGATGCCCCAGAACGTGACGCTCTCGGGATGTCTTGGTTTTGCTACCACCCTGAATGGAAAGTCGACGGAAGATGATCGGAAGCACGAGGTAAACGAGCGAAGTAAGTGCAGGCGAGGCAATACCCTGGACAGCGGCCCAGACGTTCGGATTGGCCTCCAGAGAAGTCTGGAACGCCGGCCAAACAAGACCCAGGTTGGACAAGTTGGACAAAAAGACGGCAATCAGACCGTTAGGAGCGATCCATACAAGTGTCAAGCATGTGACCCAGATGAAATTGACAAATCGTTTCCACTTCCGAGCCGACTTCGTCAATGGCAGGTTTTCCCAGATAAGATCACTGGGCCGTGGCGCAAGTCCGATGATGGTACCCTGAGGCTTTTTGCGGCGACAGTTCCATGCTACGGCGTGAGCGTGCTCAATATTCTCCCAGCTAGCAAAGCCGTAAGGCATGGCGTTTCTGCGGTCAATTGACGCGCGTCCATGCTTGATTTCTTCTTCCAGGACTCGGATGCGAACGGTCAGGTAGTCGATTGCGTCCACTTTACCTCCAGGGTGTTTGCTTCGCTGTGAACGAGGAGGTCGAATCTTGGGTCTCTTGGCCGGAAGTCGATCCGGGTTCCTGAGGTATTTGGCGAGTACGGACTCCAGTTCTCGTACAACTTCTTCATGCTCTTCAATGATCTTTGGTAGATCCCGGACGTTGCGACCAATCGAGGCCCGGGGCAAAGCAGCCGTAGGATTGACTTGGTCGGTGATTCGCAAGATTCCTTCGTCGGTACGATCCGCAGGAGGAATATCCGTGATCATCAAAGTTCGGGCATGCAAACTCCGCTGGTATTCAGAGCTCTGGAAGTAATGCCTTCGCAGATTCCGGACAGCGCGATAATTCCTCCACAAGAAAAACATGATGATCAGATCAAAGGCCCATGCACACACCACTTGACTCCAAATGGCTGTGGGGTTGACGATGTTCAGTGGAGTCATCATGTTGAACGCAGAGGACTCCGATGAGTCGCTGGGACTGGCGCTTTGTGTGATATTAACCGGTATCATGACAAGACATCCAATAATGCTCAAGAAAATGAAGATGTTGCGACACATCTTCACAAATCGCAGGAAAATCGCGGCATCCAGGCCGACAGTTTCCACCAGCTGGGCTTCCCGTGTTTTGATCACAGGTTTGAGCCAAGCGAATAGGCCCTTTCCCACCGGGGGTGGAGCGTGTTTGAGGTCTGCATGTTTAACCTTCGGCGCATAAACGAGCGAGTGACGGGGTCGGATAAGGGAGAAGAGGAGGGCGAGGAGAATCGTGACGCCGATGGATGTGCCTAGCGAGGCCCAAATAGCGGTGACCGTGAACTATCTTCTGTCAGCGCACCATTCACTCTGGTTCAAAGAACCTCGACTTACTGCAGAGCGGAACGGATTCGCAATTAGGTCGAGGAAGGTGTCCGTCCCGGAATCCGCTCGAGCAGCTAAGCTCCAGTTATGCAGATCCATTGCGTCGATATCGGTTGAACGAGTGTTGATCCGGCATGAACGAGGGGCCGGAGGAGGTCAACAGGACAGCATGCGGAAGAAAGATTTAAAAGAGAGGGTCTGAGACAGAACCCCCAAAGATGAAAAACGAGCAAGCGGAGGTGAGACAAGGCTAGTCAGGCCCAGAAATGAAAGAAAAAAGTGGGTTCGGAGGTCTGGGCTAGTTATTATTAGATCCCATTCGATCCACGCTGATCAACGTTAGGAGCCACTCGAGGACCATTTTCCCACTGTGCAGAGTTGTCCTCACGAGCCACTTTTTTTTTCTTTCTCAATGCCCGCAATGTATTGGGATCACCTCTTGCGTCAACCTTGCCTCGTGCCCCAAGACGTTTAATGCTCCATATGATCCATCAATACCCGTCTCATTGGTAGACCGCCACACCACGTCAAGTGGCAGACCAATCAGCCGGATATGCGAGATGATCTGGAACGTTGCGATTGTTCGGTTCAAGGGTCGCACTGTCATGTAGGTACGTGTGCCACCCAGGGAACCTTTCTTGTTTCATGTTTCGTAATTGTTTGGCCTGTTTGGCCTGTTTTGCTTGTTTTGCACTTTTTGCGTTTGGTTTGTCTGGGTTTGTTGCCTCAGGAGTCAGGCCATTAATCAATACAAGTTAAATACGACATTGAAGTACTCGCATGGAAAGTATGAAGAAACTTTTCGCGGCAAAAATGTTCTTTGAAATAAAATCTGTCAACTGACGAAGACTCTCGATATCACCCGATGCATAGATCTACTTTCTGACCCAATCACTCGGGTGGCTTGAGACAATTCTATCAAGCCCCATTCTTGGCTCCAAAAGAAAGTTCCCTTTTCCAACCTCTTCGCTTATAGTATGCGTGCCGACCACTTTGCAATAACGTGGATATTAAATTGCACGAACTCGATTGATTGATGCCTATCCTCTCTCCTCCCCTATATTTTCTCCTCGGCATGATGGAGCATTAGGGAGTAGGGTAATAGGTTCGGGTGGCAGGTTGGTTCATAGGTACACCTTGATATGACCAGCTACGCGCATTCTGAACGAGATGACCTTGCTCACCTAGGCAGTCAGGCTTCGAAATCGCTGCCTTGGATAAGCGGACTGATGGCTATATAGTGGTGTATTCAGAGACATTACCCGCCAGGTCGTTTCCCTGAAGCGCCTCGGGATTTCCATATACCAGACTCGTTCGCCCGCTAGGAACAAATCCCTCATTCCCACCGGCCTGAAAAATACGTTCGTTCAAGAGATGGTCGCATACAGACGCTACGGTTCGTGCGGCGTCACTCCCAAAGTGTTTGGATTCGACTGGTCCACCACCGAGTTTGACCTTTGTGATAGCAAAACCTACAAGAAAGGTGCTTGTACGATGAACGGAGCCATGGTGACTTAGTGATGTATCTCTGGATTCAAGATCCAAAGCCAACTTCAAATCCGGCGGTCTACATCCTAGCACATGCTCCGATAGTCCATGAGGGATTGACATGTTGTGTGTTATTTGACATATACAGTTCCTCAAGCACCCACCCCCTCGTCTTTCTATACCCAATGCCCTCATTTTCACCTTTCTTCCCTCTTAAATCTCTCTCTCACTCCCTCTTTCACCTCTCTTGGATTTCTCTCATTCTTCTCTTCCTAACATAGTCTACCAATCTTACACATCTCGAGCCAGTCGACTAGCAAAGGCGCCTTTGCTTTCATCTCATTCAGGTACTAATACTAATCTGGGTACTAGGATCTCGAAATGTCATCCAACTCACCTCCAGGCGTCTGGGACTTCGGTCTCCGTCCACAGTTCGTGTGGTGCCTCTCTTGTCTCAACATGCAAATGATGATCTGGGCCTCTGGTAATCATTTGGAATATCCCTTTTCGATCCAGTGCCAGTTTGAAGGCACTGGCACAAGCAAATGTCGCAACTGCATGGAAATCGCGTCGGAGTGCATCTTGGTATGACTCTGATATCATTCTTTCAACATTTCAGTTTTGCTAACCCTGCATACTCTGATCAGACGCCCGGTTTGATGATAGGGGATTCCTATGATCTACAAATGATTTTCAACTGGGCCTCGTCATTTTGGAGCGACGACCTCCAAGGCTTCACTTGGAACTCTGGGTTTCGAGGCGGCGTCGCCCGCGCCCTTCATGAGTTGGCCGAGGCATTTGCAGACATTGTCCGGGCTCATCAGCAGGAGCTCTGTACGACCGTCTCCGGCGATGTAAGTACCCCGGATCCATGAAATATCGCGAGAGCTCGGCTGGAGTATTTGATTATTACTTGGCAGATTGGTCCCATCGCCTACAAGACCCTAATGGCGCAACGCCAGCAGGTCATCCTCAATGGATGCACCACGTACGCCAACTACGACGGTCAACCCCTTCTGCGTCTCATACCAGGAGACGCGGGGTATCCCAAATGGGGGGACGCGAAGGACAATTTCCTTCGCCAAGTTTTGATGGCGACTGAGGCTCACTATACCTTCCTCCACACCAACGGCCACGAAGCCCCAACGTCGGCCACGGCTGATATCCCTCCATATCCGGGTAATCAGCAGGACGGAACCACTGGTCCACGCATGTGGGCCATTCGGTCAACTTTCCCACTACCTTCCTAAGCCGACAAAGGTGCGGTAGCGCCCAAGGCCCAAGGCGCCAGGTTCTTGTTGGAGGCCTGGTGGTCAGTTTACCCTGTGGATGACAGGGCAGGACTAGATAGATTGCCTCTTGCTTCCTCTCTCTCTCTTCTTTTTCCCCCTTGTCTGTTTTCCATCCACCAGAATTGCTCTGTTGATACGCTTTACGCTCGTCGTAGATCCGTTCCGCTGCCAGTTCTAACCTTCATCGTCCCCAAAGCATATGGCCCCAGAATCAGTGTGGCGAGGCCATCGCTATAGTAATGGATCAATTGACGTTGTTCAAATCAAATTCCTTCTTTTTCTTGCATTTGGTATAGATAATATCCCACCCATGGGCCCATTCAGCGTATCCCGAGGTCATTATACAAAAGCCAAACACTCAAATGACCTCGCCTACCAGGGCAGCAGGAAACTTGTACCGAGGTATCCTTAGACTATTGTCCTCCAGGCCTCCAGGCCTCGTTCTACTAATTACCTAGGGATGCAGCATAGGTAGCTGCGGGTCAAGCTCTGGCAGATGTTGGTGCGAGTTAGAGCAACCTCTTGGTTATGATTTTGCTGCTGCATCAAAAGTCACCTGCAGGTTATTGAATCGGTTCTCCGGCCCTGGAGGTGGGGATCAATCAGCGTACGGGTGGTAGTGAACAGTGCAGAATCCGGTACGGAGTAAAAGCAGAAGCTATCTCTATCTAACCTGGGAACTGCAGGTGTCCATGGGAGTAGTCAAAGAGGTGACAACATTTCGAGTCTCAAACTCAACGATGTTGCATCAGTGTGAAGTCTCTAGTGTCAATATATTTACTCCGTCTGCAAGCTATGACGTGGTGGTCGGAGTTTACGATTGATGGGCAGTCTTAGGCAGAGCCATCCTGCGCTTTGATTTGTTGTGGATGTGCCAGCTCGCTCCCATTGTCCAGGTCTATCTGAAAGTCTTGCAGACAGAGCTCCATAGTGATGTGTCGCAATACCGAGTACAGCCGGCAGGATTTATCCAGAATACTCAATACAGATTCAAGCATACAAGCACAGCAAAGTCTACAAGTGCAGTGGCCCGCGATGAACTTGGAAACTGGTTGTTTGCAGGATTGAAGCCAATGTGCATGTAGCCTCCGGTCCAATTGGAAGGCGGCAAATTTGTATGCAAGCCAAGCGAGGCTGTTAGGGTTGCGGGGAAGACCAGTCACCCCTTGCGGGCCTCGGGAGCGCGCCTGTCGAATGTGGCGACCGCATCGGAGGTAAGACCCCGTCAGGCTAGTCGGGGCTGCTTTAGGCCAGCCTAGTCGCACAATTAAAACAAATCTGAACCCGGGCGCCGTGAAAGGGGCATTGGGTGTTGAATTTGAATATTCAAATTCTGCAAAGTTGGCGAGCCTTCAAATTAATCATTTTGCGAGTCAGTCACAACACAGTTGGCGCGAGGCGGCAGGTTTTCGTACCGCCTGGAAAACCCTACTCAATTGGGGACTTGACAGCACGCAGGGCAGAGATAATGCATGCATCTGATCAGCTGCTAGGACGAATGTAATTTGGGGATTGCTTGGTCGCCGGGTCGACAATAGTCATTCTGAGCCAACGTATGCATAGAAGTTGTGCTAGTCGATAACAATATGCAGCTGCGGCTGCCCTAGATATACAAACCGTACGGGGTTTTGCGTATTACTTCAATTGACGCTGGAACACCCCGAGGTTGACGATGTAGCATACTCCACCTCTTTCGCTGAAACAACCTTGGAAACCTTATGAGAAAGCGGTCTCATATACATATGTGAGCTGGGATCTGAAATAGACAGGATACAGAGAGATGAATGACATGTCTTTTTCGGGTCGACTAACGCGGGCTACTTTTGACAGTAGTCTCCAACGTTCCCATTGGCTGATACCATTGCAGTTCTGGCTATCGCTGCCGAGAGATGACTTTGTTCCTGAATGTGGTACAAAGTACGGATATTCGCTACCTAAGCGCTTGAGTGAGAGGCTAGAAAGGATAGCGGACATGGCTTCGTTTACTCCGTACTCCGTACTCCGTGCAAAGTATAGAGTAGTCAGAGTAAGCTGCAGCCAAGCAAACAGGGATTGAACGAAGTCCAAAGTTAGCGATCTCAAAAAGAGGGGAAGTGTCAGAGATTAAAAAGCATTCTACTCGTACTCCGTATGTTCAGGGGTGCTGTGGAAGTACTTTAACTGTGCTACCGCACTGTACTATATTAGTCCCTGATCGGCGATCCAGCCGTTCGATCCGCCGTTGGACCTGTCGATTTTTTTGGCTACCACACACATTGTTCACTCTACTTTGTTGAAAGCAACGAGATAGATACAATGCTTTCAGACTTATAGTCTGAAACCTCCGTCTTGACTTGAAGTTCTCCGTGAACCAGTTTGCCCCTATATTACGTCACATGACACTAGGCCCAATCAGGGCTTGTTGATTTTGTCTCATCTGCGCCCTTCGTTTCTTTTTCCACTGTCCTCTGGCAGGCTGTCCCCCGGAAATCTGGTCTACATGCTCTTTCTTTTTGATTATTATTCACTCGTTACCTGGTTCAATTCGGCGCCGTTCCTTCACTACCTTCATTCGAGTACTCCGTGAACCGTATATTCTACACCCATGGTCTTTGACCGTTCACCCGAATCTTCCACTTCAGTCACGATAACCAATGTCCAGCGGGAACTGGGTGCGAAATCGTGGCCATGGTCACAGAAAACGTAAACTCTCGATATCCGCCTCCGGCTGAGTTCGAATTGCCCGGCCGGCGCAGAGCTCCTCTCCCACCCCGATTGGACTCTTTGACTATTGATCCACGCGCTGCGCGAACTGCGAAGCCCGCCCCGAGATCCTCTCCTCACCGGCCACACCCCGCCCCTCGTCAACGATCGCGTTCTCCTCTTCCGCGAACCGCACCACACAATGAACCTCCGTGGCCGTCACCCCAACCTTACCAGACCTATCAAGCCTACCCAGGCCCCTCGCAGGGCCTGAGGGGCGAATGGCAGACCCCGAGATCCAATCCTCGTCCTCGTCTTTACGCTGCGTCCCCCGAACCTCATTCTCGCCCATGGCCGCGGGACCACGAGGCCGAACGGCCGAATCATCGCAAAGCTCCGCCCGCGCGAGGAGGACTCCGCATATCCATGTCGACATCACGCCTCCATACCAGACGCCCAAGAACACAGGAATCCATGGAGCACCATCCGCAGGAGCTGAGTCCTCAAGGACTGCCTCTACCGCGCTTTCCGAACAATGGACCCGCCGATGAAAACGCGCCTCGATCAAGCGTGAATTCGTCCGAAACTTGGCGTTCTAGCATCGAACAAACAAGCGGAACTGAGAGAAGCAGTGTCTTGACCAAAAGCAGCTCTATAACTGACTTATCACCTGACACCCCAGACGCGCCGTATGCAATGGATACTGGAATGAGCGTGGATGATGCGATATCAATGTACCTTGACGGTTTCAGTGATGTGACCGAAGAGCCTGGCTCGCCAAAATCTCATGCCGAGAGCAAAGCGCCGTCAATCACGCCTCCTCCATCACGCGACACACATCTGGAAGAGCTACACCCAACTTTTACATCTATAAGCGATGTTCCGCCGATGCCTTCTTTACAAGATTCATATACGTCGCAAAATACATCTCCCGCATCTACGCTACAAAATTCGACATTTGTACCAAGCTTCACGTGTTCTGAACCAGCATCTTCAAAACCAATACTTCCCGAATCTCCACCCGAATTTGCGCCTCTGGAACCCACCTTACCAGAATATCCACCAGAACCCGAACCTTCCGACCCTGTCGCGCCGGACTCTCCGCCACCCGAAGCCACTCCAGATTCTCCGATAGTCGATGTTCCTGAAGTGCAAACCCCACGCCAACGCCAGCCCTCGAAGGTATTCATTCCTGGATTGGTGCCACCACAGCTCCTTTCTGGTAAGGGTGCTCGAGATGATTACGGATTCCGCAAGTCCACACAATACGTGACGCTGGACGAGTATGAAGCATGGAAAGGACCTTATTCCGATCATGTGGCGCAGCGGAGGTTCAAATGGTGCGAATTGCTCAAGGAACATGGTCTTCCTACAACCGGGGCGACGAAATTTCCTCCACAATCCTCAAAAGTCAAGCGATTTGTGCGCAAAGGCATTCCACCCGAATTCCGAGGTGCTGCTTGGTTCTATTATGCCGGCGGGTACGAGCATTTGAACCGCAACCTTGGTCACTACGACAGGCTTGTTGAGCAGGCCATGAGCTCAGCGAGCAATGACGACAAAGAGCACATTGAGCGTGATCTTCACCGCACGTTCCCCGACAACATTCACTTCAAACCAGAGGCCCCCGCGGCAACCGAACACTCTGGAAGCAGCAATCCAGCCTATTCCAATGTTGTAACTGAGACGCAGATGATCCAGTCTCTTCGTCGAGTTTTGTATGCCTATGCCCTACATAACCCGAAGATCGGATACACACAGTCTTTGAATTTCATCACGGGCATGCTCCTCCTTTTCCTACCCGAAGAAAAGGCATTCTGGATGCTTCACATTATTGCCGCAGATTACCTGCCTGGAACTCATGAGATCAGTCTGGAGGGTGCAAACATTGACCTCTGGATCCTCATGGTTCTGTTGCGGGATTCCATGCCGGGCATTTATTCCAAGATCGCCGCCATGGGAGGGACCCCGTCTGGACGGGGTAAAATGCCTCCCCTTACCGTGAACTCTCGCTTGCCCGATATCACACTGGGGTTGACCAACTGGCTCATGTCTGTCTTCATCGGCACCTTGCCGCTTGAAACCACTTTGCGCGTGTGGGACGTGTTTTTCTATGAAGGATCCAAGAGCTTCTTCCGGGTGTCTTTAGCCATTTTCAAGGCCTGCGAGCGCGATATTCTCGGCGTCACAGACCCCATGGAAGCATTTCAGATCGTTCAGACAGTCCCCAAAAAGCTTCTCGATGCCAACTCACTGATCGATGAGTGCTTTGTGCGACGACATCGCGTCGGACAAGGACGCATCGAGGAGCTCCGAGGCTTGCGCCGGGTCGCCGTTCGAGAAGAAAAGCTACGGCGATCGGTTGCCTTTGGTAAAGGTCAGCTTCATTCGGGGACAGACGACTTCACTGGTCGTGCGCGCACACCGATACCAGGCATTGAGCACCGGGTCGCTGGATCCTGGCGTCACTTGAAATCGCATGCATTCCGCTGATTCTGCGCTATCCATACCAAACCTTCCCAGACACAACGCCTAATGTCTGTAATCATAATGGGAGTCACACTGCATTATTGGGCGTCTAAGCTTCACGGCGAAGCATACATAGCATTTAGAGATAGAATTTTCATGTACATTATTATTATTATTTTCAATGCCAAGCGGGCTATTGACTTGGCCCTCAAACTTGAGAAAAAGTTTGCAATTAGTGTAGTACTAGCGCGTAGTGATTCCTTAGATCGAAAACCCTACAAGGCTGATCATTGGCGATCGCAGTTTCCCGAGAGATGTAGGGGTCCCACCATGTCGTCATGATTCCAATCCGGAAGGAATTTTGTCTTTCCCCTGAACTTCTCTTTCTCTTCTCTTGTTTTGCGAACATTTTTTACTTCTCGCCCTTGCACTCGTCGTCATGAGTGGGCAGGCTGCTAGCTATTACAATAACGAGGGCTTTGCCCATCCGCAGCCTCAACCACAACAATCTGCGTACGGGTACAACAACGGACAGGCCAATTACCAGCCGGATTATCAAGCGCAACCTCAATACCAGCAAAACTTCCAGCAACAGCAGCCTCAGCCAAACTATCAGCCGCCTGTGGAGGCTAAGCCACCCCCAGAATACCAGCAAAATGTCCCGCAGTCCGGATATAACTTCGATCAGGCGTTCAAGATCGAAAAGCCGAAGTGGAATGATCTGTGGGCAGGTCTCTTGGTAAGACCTTTGCGCGATACTATTGATACAGCTCCCCAAAGCTAACTTTGTCCAGTTGATCGCGGTTTTCCTTGGATACGCTGCTGTCTCCGGAATCACCATCCACAAGTACGCGACAAACAAGGGTTTCAGTGGAGGTGGCATCTACGATTCGGCCAATGATTTCTCCCTGAACACCAACACTCTTGTGCTATTCATTTTCGTGCTCGTGGTCGCTCTCGTGTTATCCTGGCTTTACTTCATGGGCGCGAGATACTTCACCAAAACTTTTATCTGGGCAACCGGTATCCTCAACATCGTCTTCGCCCTCGCGACGGGTATCTACTACATCGCGCGCAAGCAATATGGAGGCGGAATTGTGTTCCTTCTGTTCGGAGTCTTCGCCATCATCTGTTTCATCAGTTGGATCCCTCGTATCCCTTTTACCGCATTCATGCTGCAGACCGCGATGGACGTTGCGCGAGGTTACGGTCACATCTTCCTAGTCAGCGCCCTAGGCGGAATCGTCACCGTCGCTTTCGCTGCCTGGTTCTCTGTCACGCTGGTCTCGGTTTATGTCGCCTACGAGCCTAGCTCGACCGGAACAAACCCATCCTGCGCAGATGGCGGCTGTAGCAGAGCCAAGGTCATTGGTCTGGTTGTGTATGTGACCTTTGCCATGTACTGGGTCAGCGAGTGGATCAAGAACACGATCCACACTACTATCGCCGGTGTGTATGGCTCGTGGTACTTCTGGAGCAAGTCAGCTGGTGGTATGCCTAAGGGCTCGACCCGCGGTGCATTCCGACGCGCAACTACCTACTCCTTTGGAAGTATCAGCTTGGGAAGTCTGATCATCGCGTTCATCCAGATGATGCGTCAGGCTTGCTCAATTGCCCAGCGACATGAAGCTGCGCAGGGTAATCTGATCGGTAGCATCGCCATGTGGGTCCTCGGATGCTTCATCTCGCTGCTCGACTGGCTGGTTACACTTTTCAACCGCTACGCTTTCTGTCACATTGCGCTCTACGGAAAAGCGTATATTCCCGCGGCCAAGGATACCTGGAAGATGATGCGAGACCGAGGTATCGATGCGCTTGTTCAGGACTGCCTCATGGGCCCGGTTCTCACTATGGGCTCGACCTTTGTCGCCTACGTGTGTGCACTGCTCTCCTACTTGTACCTGCAATTTACCAAGCCCGAATACAACAAGGACGGCAATTTCACCGCTGTCATCATGGCGTTCGCATTCTTGATTGGCTTGCAGGTCTGCCAGGTCTTCATGACCCCTATTGGCAGTGGTGTTGAAACTATCTTCGTGGCCATGGGTTGGGATCCCCAGGTCATGATCAATGACCACCCAGATATCTACTACAAGCTTGTAGAGCTGTACCCACAAGTGCAGCAGGCTGTCCACGCGTGAGCTGGCAGGTGAACTGGTCACAGCCGATGCTAATACATAACCACTTTCTTGCTATATGGACACAAGCCCACAGTACACGATTTTCTAGTCGTTGGTATGAGGAACGAGTGATTATTTTAAATTACGTATTGTTTAATGGAAGATAAGTTTCTTATCATATTTGATTGACATACTTATTTCATGTATCATTACAACTAACTGCAGAAACTAACCCAACTCCACGGCAACCAAAGGTAAACTCCAATATAGACTCCGAATGTCCAGCACATTTGAGAGGGAACAAAAAAAGAAACAAGAACCAATACCCGACATTTTCAAATACAAAACCCACGCATCAACTTAGAGGGCGACCATCAGGGCCATGACAGCAGCAACTCCGGCAACAGCAACGCCGTGCACGGAAGCACCAGCAGCAGCGGCACCCTGGAATGAAGAGAAGCGGTGGGGGTCCGCGCCAGAGGGCGCAGGGGTAGCAGCAGAAGCCTGAGAGCCAAAGACAACAGAGGAGCCAACGGCACCCATAGGGCCGTGAGAGTACCCAGCAGGGGCGGAAGCAGAAGCCATACCAGCCATGTAGCCCTGGCTAGTGGGGACATCAACAGGGATTTGAGAGATGTGAGCCCGCTGGGAGTCAGGGGCAGGGGTGCTCTTGCAGCTGCAGTCGGTCTTGGTCTCTGTCACGTAGACAACACGGGGAACGGCAGGGGCAGCAGAAGCGGGTGAATCGAGCTGGGGAGCGAAGGCGCGCTTGTTCATGTCAGCGAGCTCCATGGGCTTGGAGGCGTGACGGGCGGGAGCGGCCTCGCTGGAGCTGCTGCAGAGGGCGTCGGTGAGGGAGCTCAGGTCGACGCCGGCGCAGGACTTGGCAGCTTCTTCGCTCAGGTTGCTGATGGCGTCCTTGTTGTCGCAGAGACATTCTTGGGCGGTCTTGCTGCTGCAGTCTTCGAAAGTCGATGTGTCGGCTGAGCTCAGGGCTGCGCTCTGAGGATTGTTAGGTTGCTATGGATTTTCGGTTTAGGGTTGGAGTATGCTTACGGCGCACTTGAGGTAGTCGGTGGAGGTCTGGGCGAGGGCACCAGCAGCCAGAACGGAGGCAGCAAAGAAGTAACGCATTGTGAATAGTCTTGTGAGTTTTGAAGGTATGAAAATTGGCAATGGGTTTTATCAGAGTGAATATGGAGCAAAGGACCGTGGAGAAAAAACCGCGAGGCCGGGTGGGAGAATTGAATGACACTTTATGTTCAATTAGTTCAATTAAATTCCAATTAGGATCTATTTACAGACGAAAGAATTTCTCGAGATAAACATCCCTTGATCCCTTATGGGTGATGGAAAAATTATGACGTTGGGACATTCTCGTGGATAGCCCTCTACAGGGGAGGGTGTTTGAGGTGGGCGACAAGCTTTGAGTGGCATTTCGCTAGGGAGCCCCCAAGACTTATGCCCAGTTTCCCTTGTTGATTGAGTTGGAATGACACAAGAATGTGCCAGTTGTCAGGCCTCTACGGTGTCCTGCGGTATCCCTAGGTTCCTTATACTCCGCAGAATGCTGTTTTTGCAGGACAAGGGACTGGTTGAGCGTGCTGGGTTTTTATTAGATCTTCGCTTCCCAAGATCAAAGCTGAAGATCAAAGGAAATTCAGAACTATTCTCTCCCAGAAACAAAGTTAGCCCTGGGCTAGGGTCAGTGTGGCAAAGCACACCCTTCAACTGGTGGCTCCTAGCTGTCACTCCTGGCTCTTCTCTGAATCGAATGAGATTATGTATAACTCAGTCACAATGGAAGTTAGTTGCGGTAATGTGATTTGTACACCTATCATTGATTTCAACGCAGCCGTGGAGTCACGGTAGGGCTTTGGTTAGAAGCTGCCGGCGTTCCACCCTAGACTGCAGACTCGACTGGAATGATCAGCAGGCACCCAAGGAGGATTATCATGCTTCAACTCCTACAGTAGATCTTAAATTTGGCTGGCGTTGGGAGAAGGATTCATTATCCTACATGATTCAAATCTTGTTAACTTCAATGCACCTGGCTAACCTTCCGTCTGAAGTTGAAGAATCTCTTACCACTCACCTGGCAGGGCAATTCAATGAATGAAGACCAAGTCCATTTGTGGCAGCGCTCATACTGTATGCTGTATCACAGAATCAAATCTCACAACCTTGGAAGGTCAAGAATTCAGTGATTAGCAAACTACCAATTTTTATCATCTATCCTTTGTTACTCCAGTAAAGACCTTTTAAAAACATGCTGAGCTGCTTGTTCCAAGATTGTAGTTCAACATAAATCTCAAATTGGGTATAAAAACTCGTAACTATCCAGTACCTATAACCCCTATCGCTTCCCAATAACTCATAGAACGAAATAGAAATAGAACACAAACATAACAAACGGAAAGACAAAGTCAAAACACAGGATCGATAGCAAAGTAACATAAATGGAAGCAATTCGAGATTCGAGCGCAGCTCAGAACTTTTCGCTAGTCACGCACCGTGTCGATTTAACCAGCAGCCAAGCCAAAACCTTGACCAAGAGAGTCAAAGCTTTGACAATCATATCCAATCCAAAGAAAAGGATACATAGTATTCCACGAGTAGGGCCTGGTAGCTTCTCACCTTTTCGTGAGCCACTTCCATACCGACCATATTTCTCTAGATCAAATTCCTCAACAGCCGGCTGGTTCTTGTTCGTAGCCGCTCCATTCTGGGATTTAGATGAGCCCCAGCCCCAGAATTTAAACCTTCTCCTTGGCTCAGCTTTGCTTTTTGATTTTTTCTGGGCCGACTTGATCTGCGACGCCAGATCCATGCTCTGTGCCGCGTCTTCGCGCTCGGCAATCGTTGTCACCAACTTACCCTGGAAAACCGGCATCGAGTATGGATTCGGATTTTGGGAAGTGGTTGGTCGGGATGGCTCGGGTGAGCCCAGAGCCATATCTGCTAATAGAGGATTGGTGGCCTCGTCTGAGACAGCGACTGCTAGCATCGCAGCGATGAGCGAGTCAATGGCGTACAGGGATGGGATGGTGGCGATGACGGCCGCTGGCGATATGGAAAGAGTTTTAGTGCCAAAATCCAGTATTGCGAGCGGCTCATCCTGGTCTGTAACTGGGAGAGTGGAGGTGCGTGGGTTGGCCGCCTGCTGGGATGCCTCAATTGCTGTTGGTGAGACTGGTCCAGTGACGATGATGGTTGGTGGTTGGCGGGGGGAAGCATTGCTGGATGGCGAAGAGACTGTGATGTGGACCATGCCAGGAGACTGAGATCTGACAGGCGATAAAGGAATCCCTGCAGCGCCCACCAGAGCGGGTGGATGGCGTTGAGAGAGAGATGGGTGTCTTAGCTCGTAGAGTCGTTGGTGCCGGTTCCAGGACAGTCGGCAAGATTCTTGCGCTGCGGCGCGTTTGAGGGCATCAGTCTCCACTTCCGAGGTTTCTGAGGGAGAGAGATGGTAGTGCTTGCTTATATCTGCAGCCTGGTCGATTGCTAGCATGGCAGCTAGCCTGGAGAAGAGGAGAGTGACAAGCCCGTCATGAGGATGCTCACGCCGAGCTCGATCCTCCAGATTCATCATCATGATAGAAACATCGTTAGTGGTCTTGGATGGATCGGTTCTGCTCAATGCGATCTCATTTGTGGAGTATGTTTGTAGTGTATAGAATGGTTGCTGGTAATTGCCGAGAGTGAATGTTGCTGGCCCGGTCCTGGAAATATGTCAGTATTTTGATATACTGACCGAACAAGAGAACATACTTCGATATCCGTAGGTTGAGCATTCCGACCATCTCTTGAGGCCGTTGACCATTGGCTATTTCCCATAGCATTTTCAGCTCCTGTGTTGAGGAGTACTCAACAACCTGAGAGCCCATAGAGCCATTTGGAAAGTTGAAAAGACTAGCAGGCACAGTCTTCGGCCCAAGAACGTGATCAATCTCGGCGCCCGTTGACAGAGTAAGCTTGGGAGGCTTGCGGTCCTTTTTTGGAGGCGGAGGTTGTAGATTGATTCCATCCTGTGGATGGTATACTTGCTGATTGAGTGGTATTGACGGGTCAAATTGAGGGAAAATGGATCTCATTGGTACTGGCGATACGGAAGACTGCGATGAGTGTGGTGAGATGGCGGAGGCTGCGGTCTGACTACTACTGTTGCTGCTATGGCTACCATGCGAAGGCAACACTTCGTGATTTGGGGCTTTGGGTTGACGGTTTTGACTATTCATAGACTGAGGTGATCTCGCACCATGAGAACTCCCCGTCACAGAGGGCGGGGATTTCTTTTGTGGCGGGGATTTGGCTCTGTCAACATTTCCTGGAGGTAGGGGAAAACCCTGTGTATCTTCAATAATCTGAAGCAGCACGGACTCGGAAGTGCTGGGATCTTTGATCTCTTGCAATGGAATCGAGGGTTCTGGTTCAGTTTTCGCTGGCTTCTTGCCCGGTTTGCGAAATGGGTTATTGGATCTATTTACCTCAGGCGATGGAGGAGGAAACAATTGAAATTGGCTCATCTTGTCCAAGGATATGAACAAAAAAATGCGAAACATGCAAAGCAGGGGTCGCGACCGAGATATACCCCATTCTCACCATTTTCCAGGGCCATCAGCCGGATATCCAAACAGAGTACATGGCTTGTCGACGGTGTGACAACTCTGCGTATAGAGTGGGCGGTTAACTGATTTGGGCTGTGATTGGCCCTGATCCTGGGCTGGTCACTTCGGAGTGCAGTAGCGGCGCTTCATTCGAACCGTGTGATTGGTGCCGAGACCTTGTGAATGCTATAATTATCGCAACCCTCGTGTTCCATTCGATGATTTATTTTGGCTGAAGAATTCGAGGCTGGTCTCTGCATCGATGCCGCACTACGGGGGACAATGGATGCATCTTTGCATATGACGGCATAACCCCAAGAGAGAAGTCTTGGCGCTTATCTACTCGTTCCAAGGTCGCGATCTCTCCATACATTGGACTCATTGGTTGACCAGACGGAGCATTGTCCTCCAAATCTCCAAAAAAATTCCAAATTTCACGCCGTTCGAGCAGATTGGGGATCGAAAACTTGGAAGGCTCCGAGGAAATGGTATGTGCAATTATGTGCAGTTCTGTTTTACATTCTTTGTGCCAATGTAGGTTCTTTACATGGTAGAACCCTCGAGCTCCTCCAGACGGTGCATGTCCATGTCCTTCTCGAGCAGGGGAATCACGTAGGGGTCGAAGGTCTTCCAGTAGGGGTTGTTGAGGTGGTACTCCTGCGAGGTTTCCTGCTCGTAGCGCTCGACGATGGTGAAGTCCTGCTTGTCGAACACAGACTGCATGACGAACCAGGAGATGGTCTCCTTGTCGTTGGAGTAGACGTTGGAAGCCTCGACAAGCTTAGCCTTGAGCTTGGAGATGGACTCCTCATCGGCCTTAGCGCGGAGGTCTGCGGGAAGTCCAAGGTTAGCGCGGAATGGACAATTGGAGGGATATGACAATCACATACGGACGACAATTGTGTAAACCATGATGTGTGATTGGGGTGCGGGGTGAGTATGGAGGGGAGATGAGGGGCAAAGGCCTCTGACGTTTAAATAGCTTTAACATTTAGTCAGTCCGTCGGTGAGAGAAACAATGTTTCAAGGTGGGCCGATCTATGTAAATCCCCGAGATTTGCCCCTAGTGACCCCGAGCTTATTTTTGAACCGTTGAACCGGAATACTAGGACCAGAACGGCAAATTCCAAAGAAAGTTCTTGTACAAGGTGTCGTTGTTATCTCTCTATTATTTACATACTGATATACACTTAAGTTCTTTTTCCTTGATCCTGGCCCAATGCCTCAGTGTGTGCACTGTAGGTAAGACCTTCGGCCATGGAGATAGCACCCTCCATATTGCCCTTGTTGTACAGGAACAATCCCTGCAGAGCCGCAGCACTGGTGTTCAGGGAGCGATCAGCCTTGTTACCAGCCTCATCCTCGATCAAGCCAAGCTGTTCAAGTCGAGACAGGAACACAGCGCGATACTGTCCGTCGGTATCGTTCTCTGCGTAGAATCGATCCCAAAGACACCCAACCTGGTAGCGAGTGACTTCTCCCAAGCGAACAGTCATGTCGACACGTCCAGGTCGGACCAGAGCCTCATCAAGGCGATCGACGTGGTTGGTTGTGAGGAAGATAATCCGCTCTTCCGCACTGGCAACGCCATCCAGGGCATTCAGCAGACCGGAGAAAGTCACATTAGCGCCTCGATAACCATCGGCATCGCTTTGTTCACGGCGATTTGAGAACGCAGCATCGACATCTTCTAACAAGACAAGCGTGCGATTGGGCACAATTGTAAGAAGATGATTGAGTCGGTCATCTGTCAAGCCTCGCTCGCTCAGATTCAGAATGGCGATATCATAGTCCAACTCGCCTGCTAGCGCCTGGATGAAGGAACTCTTGCCTGTACCAGGAGGACCATAGAGAAGATATCCTCGGCGGTATGGGATTCCACGATCATGGTACCATGACGAGCTTGAGATAAAATCTTCCACATCTTCCACGATGCGTTCCTTTACGCCCTCTTGGAGGATCACAGACTCCAAAGGACGCTTCCGGCGTGGGTTGCCAAATGGCTTCCATTCCGTTCCCCAGCTGTTATAAATAGTAGTTTTGCCTTCGTGCGATTTGGCAGCGTAGGCGTGGGCCTCGGTGAAGAGATCCTCGAAGATGTGGCGTTGAGAGTAGAGGGTGGTTAGGGTGATGGTTTCCCAGGGCTTTCCGGTCTGAATGTCGCGTGACTTTGACTCTCGCATGCGATTGACAAAGATGAAAGCATTTTTATATCGTAGGACATGCTTTCCGGGGCCAGGTACGAGTGAGAAGTGTGTGTGAATGGCTCCGTTTGAGTGTTCCAGCTTTTGTGTTTGAATCGAGAGGTGGCGCATGCCGGGGGTGAGCCGCTGTAGGAATCGATCCATGTAGCCGACATTATTCGCTGCAGCCTTGGACGCGGTGAGTTGGGACTGTTGGTACAGAGTCATCCAGTGCAGAAACCACGGATAGGAATCATCTTTGATGCTGATCTCAACGTCCACTAGCATGCGCCTGCGGAGCAGAGCAGCGCCATGCCGGACGCCTTTTTGTGCGAATGTCAACCCAGCTCCCAAGCCTGCGAGACCGAAGCCCTAGAAACAGCACCTCGTCAGTAAAGCCAATTAAAACGGGGAGTTAAACGTCGTATCTCATACCGCGGTGAACAAGGGATTGCTAGTCAGCTGGGACAGGAGAGTCCCATCACTTTTTTGTGGCTGTAACGCCTGGGTTCTTTGCTGCAGAATTAAGTCGCCTGCTGACGGCGCAGGCGCAGATGGCGCAGGATTCGGGACCGCATTTGGCTCCATGCCCAAAAGACAATTGTGGTGAAGATAATGTTCGGATCGATAAGGAGATATCGGACTTGCAGGGCTTGGCGGAACGGCCGATCAGTGCCCGCTCTGCTCCGTAGTATACACGTTCAGATGATTTCCGTAAATAGACTTTGGACAGACTGTGTATACAATTGGCTTGGGTAGTATGTACGAGACATATTAATTGAAATTCAAGCTCCGCCTATGTTTTGAGGCTCTAGTCGTATGAGTCGGACTATCACACAGTCAAAAGGCCGGGCGGTGAACGAAACCAGCGAATCACGAGGTTCGGGGATCGGGGGCACGGGGCACGGAGCCCGGAGCTCGAGCTGTAGATGGACGCGCTCCTCCTCCGACTTCTTCGGACTTACACTCGTCTCTGTACTTCATTTTTCTTCATTTCCTAGCGGAATCGTCCGGAGAAAGCCATGCTTTGATCGGATTCGGGGGAACGAGTCATCTAGGTCCGTCGGGGCTGAGATCCTCCGCTCCGGAGTTAGCGGGATTAGCAGGGCTTTTACTTCTTGCATTCCGAAACCATAAGCTGGGGCTGGCTACGTGTCTAACCAGTTTAATAAGCCTTAACCCATGCGTTTCCTTTCTCGCGCCCCGTTCTTGCAACGGGCATTCTCACGTCACACCTTTCACCCAGGAATTCGCAACATGAACACCGCTGCCGCTAATGAAGTGCTATATGCGCTGACCGTGGGGAAAGCCTCAACCAGACCTAGCCCCGAAGATGTCTTGGAAAAAAGCCACCATACAAAGACTGGGTTTAGAAACCCTTGGGAGTGAGTATACCGCGTGATGGTCGGCGCCCTAATTCATCGCAAACACTGACATTCTTGCCCCTAGGTCTTTTCGCGACTTGAGCAGCTTGGAAATCATGCGAATGATGTCGTAAGTCCATGTCAATGTCTTCATGCCAATGCCATATTCTTGATAAGAACCATTCTCTTATTCAATGTCACAGCTCGCGCCGGATTAGTGGTAAATCCAACAACCCCGACACTACGCCGCCCACTGTCACTGTTCGCGAACCCCAATTCCTCCCCACCCGAGACACCCCAAAGCTTCGAGCCACATGGCTGGGACATGCATGCTACTATGTTGAGTTCCCCAGCGGTCTCCGGGTCCTATTCGATCCCGTATTTGAAGCACGATGCGGGCCATGCTGCGGGCCCTATACCCTAGGACCTAAGCGCTACACCGAACCCCCATGCCAGATCAAAGATCTTCCCATCATCGATGCGGTTGTCATCTCACACAATCACTACGACCACCTGTCCTACCCTACTGTTTCAGAAATCGCAAAGAGACATCCCAATTGCCATTTCTTTGCGCCGCTTGGCAACAAGTCTTGGTTCGAAAGCTCGGGCATCCATAATGTAACAGAGCTGGATTGGTGGGATGAGCGTGACATTGCAATGTCCCCCAAGGAGAAAACGGGCTCACAGATTGAGCAGGTCGGCAAGGCTTCACCCACAGCTGACATCAAAGCGCGGATCAGCTGCTTGCCGTGCCAGCATATTACTGCCCGTGGTCCCTTTGATAAATACAAGACATTGTGGGCTTCCTGGGCCATAGAGTCAGGTGGCAGCAAGGTCTACTTTACCGGGTAAGATATACTGATTTCCTCAACCTGAGATTGCGATTTTGTTGCTGACCTGCCCTAGTGATTCCGGATACCGCTCCGTGGACGAAGTGCCTGACGGAGAAGATGATTATAATCCCAAGTACGACTTCCCAATCTGCCCTGCCTTCAAGCAAGTGGGCGAGTTCCGCGGACCGTTTGATCTTGGCTTAATTCCAATTGGGGCATACGCCCCCCGTCACATTTTCAGCGCTGCGCATGCCGACCCCCATGATGCTGTTCGTATGTTCAAAGACACCAAGTGCAAGAATGCCTTGGGTATGCACTGGGGCACATGGGTTTTGACCGAGGAAGATGTCCTGGAACCACCCCGAAAGCTGAAGGAGGCGCTCAAGAAGCACGACATCCCGGAAGAAGGCGTTTTCGATGTGTGCGAGATTGGCGAGAGCCGCGAGTACGACTGATGCTCATGAGACCAACAATAATGCGAGTGCAAGTAATGCGGTCCAGCATCCGTGCACTCTAAGTTAATAATACCTGCGTTCGATTTAGATCGCATATGTACGATAAGAAATTAATTTCACGACAAATTCTTCCTGTGTAATAGGGCTGAGTGTAGATAGTTGGGAGATGTTGTTTGATACAGGTACGGAGTAGCACAGACGCTGTAGACCGTTGCCAAGCTCCCATGTTGCTTTTTCCATCTGAGTTTGATACTTGCCCATCTGGGCAGGTGACATTGGCTCTACCCGCGGATACGAACGAGCCAACAAAATGATGGAAATAGCCTTCCGCGACCTAGAGTTGGTCCATCACGTGGAACGAACAATGCTGACGACATCTGAACTATTTCCCGAACTTTGGAAGTTCGGATCATTCTCTTCAAAAACCATGAACATGAATTTCTGAATGATGTTGGCACCTCAGGGCGCCACTACCTCAACATGGCCCAATGCTCCGCTCCCGTTGACGGCATCGTGGGCTCATACACTGGGAACAGCTTCGCTCTCCAGGCCACAATTGCTACCCTACTCGGTCTAGCGTTGTACAGTGCAATCGAGCTGATAGTCCTGGTGTTCTCGATGTTCCACGCCTACAGTGGGCTCTATTTCTGGAGCCTGTTGATTACTGCTCTACTCGGTGTAATTCCCGATGCTTTGGGTCTGCTCTTGAAGTATTTCAAATTGGCACCCATCTGGATACCAGTTACATTGTCCACAGCCGGGTGGGCTATCATGGTGACAGGACAGTCACTAGTTTTATATTCCAGACTCCACCTCATATTGCGTGACCAAAGGATTCTTCGCGGTGTCCTAGCGATGATCATTGTGGACGCAATCATTTTCCAAGTCCCTCAGATCATTGCTTCATACGGTGTGATATATGCCTGCCATCTTGCATTTGGTCGATTCTTCAACACCTGGGAAAAAGTTCAGCTCACAGCATTCTTTGTCCAAGAGATTATCATCTCGAGTATCTTCATTGTACAGACTGTGAACCTGTTGCGCAGTTATCCAACTAGGAGCAAACGAAGGACCAATATCATGTACCAACTTCTGGTCATCAACTTGGCCATCATATTAATGGATATTTCACTCCTTGTGCTTGAGTACATTGGGCTGTTCATTATCCAGACCGTGCTCAAGACATTTTTCTATACCATCAAGCTGAAGTTGGAGATTGCGGTTTTGTCAAGACTGGTGTCATTTGTACAATATGATCCTACACAAGACTCATCAGGAATGAGTACATCACAATAGTTAAAAAAGACATTCTCATATCAATTCCTAGGTCATCTGGTGCTGAAGCAGTTGCGTTGGAAATAACTTTAGTTGGGCTGTTTGCCTAGTTTGTCGGGGGTCAACGCTAAGCCATATGGAGACTAGCGCGAGGGAGCTCCCACTTCGCCTGGAAATTTGATGGAATGCGGGCGAACAGCGTTGAAGTCGGACCTCCTGGATTATCAGTCATTTTCGCGGAGTATTCTCTGATTTTCGGAAGTGAATTATCGAATTCACATACCCCTACTTCCCGCCCAATTCACTAAACACAACCGCCGATATGCAGGCACCGGTGGTGGTGATGAGTACGTTTACCCCCCAATCCAACTACTCCCCCTAATGTGCTAACATGTCGCTCAGACACCAATTCTGGCGAGCGCCAGGTCGGCCGCAGAGCCCAGATGTCCAACATTACCGCGGCTAAGACGTACGATACCCTTCGATCCGCCGCTATCTTTCCGCTATGATGCTAATAAACACCAGTGTTGCGGATATCATCCGCTCATGTCTCGGACCCAAGGCGATGTTGAAGATGCTGCTCGACCCCATGGGCGGTATTGTTCTGACTAACGATGGACACGCTATCTTGCGAGAGATCGAAGTGTCGCACCCAGCGGCCAAGAGCATGATCGAGCTCAGCCGTACCCAGGACGAGGAGGTCGGAGATGGAACCACAACAGTCATCATTCTTGGTATGAGCGAATGTGCATCGAAACTTTGCATGATGGTAAACTGACTGTTGATAGCCGGCGAAATGCTCGCCCAGGCCATCCCCCAGCTCGAACGCAACATCCACCCCGTCGTCATCATCCAGGCTTTCAAGCGTGCCCTCGCCGATGCTCTTCAGATCGTTGAGGAAGTTTCCACACCAGTCGATATCCACGACGACAAGGCCATGTACTCCCTCATCCAGTCCTCCATCGGAACCAAGTTCGTCTCCCGGTGGTCAGAGCTCATGTGCAGCTTGGCCCTGAGCGCCGTGCGCACCGTTTCCTTCGACGTTGGTGGCGGCAAGCAGGAAGTTGACATCAAGCGTTACGCCCGTGTCGAGAAGATCCCCGGTGGTCAGATCGAGGATTCCGAAGTTATTGACGGTGTTATGGTCAACAAGGATATCACGCATCCCAAGATGCGTCGCAGAATCGAGAACCCCCGCATTCTGCTTCTCGATTGCCCTCTGGAGTACAAGAAGGGCGAGTCCCAGACGAACATTGAGATCTCCAAGGAGGATGACTGGAACCGTATTCTCCAGATTGAGGAAGAGCAGGTCAAGCACATGTGCGAGGCTGTTCTTGCTCTCAAGCCCGATGTCGTTATCACCGAGAAGGGTATCTCTGGTAAGTAACGAGCCAAGTGGATGATCCCCCTTGTCAGACGGCACACGCTAATCATGAAACTACTAGATCTTGCACAACACTTCCTGATGAAGGCCAACATCACAGCCCTCCGCCGTGTCCGAAAGACCGACAACAACCGTATTGCCCGTGCAAGCGGTGCCACCATTGTCAACCGTGTTGACGACATCCAGGAGTCCGACATTGGTACTGGATGTGGACTGTTCGAGATCGAGAAGATTGGTGACGAGTACTTCACATTCATGCGCAAGTGCAAGTCCCCGAAGGCCTGCACAATCCTGCTGCGCGGTCCCTCAAAGGATATCCTCAATGAGGTCGAGCGTAACTTGCAGGATGCCATGTCTGTTGCCCGCAACGTTATCTTCCACCCTCGTCTTTCCCCCGGCGGTGGTGCCGTCGAGATGGCTGTCTCCGTGAAGCTTAGCCAGCTTGCCCGCTCCGTGGAGGGTGTTCAGCAGTGGCCATACAAGGCCGTTGCCGATGCCATGGAGGTTATTCCCCGTACATTGGCCCAGAACGCTGGCGCCAGCCCTATCCGTATTCTTACCCAGCTTCGTGCCAAGCACGTTGAGGGCCACACCACCTGGGGTCTGGACGGTGACTCTGGCAAGCTCGTTGATATGAAGGAATACGGTGTTTGGGAGCCCGAGGCCGTCAAGCTCCAGAGCATCAAGACTGCTGTCGAGGTAAGCTATTCACATCTCCGCCCCGTGTTTACCAATATACTAACATTCTACTCTACAGTCTGCTTGCTTGCTTCTCCGTGTCGACGATATTTGCAGCGGCAAGTCCGCCCAGCAGCTCGCCGGCGGCGGCGGTGGCGGCGAGGAATAATCGATAGACGAAAAAGAAAAATGATCCTTGGACTTGAGGTCCGTACATAATGCTACACGATTCGCCTCTTGGCTATCTTCCTTCTGTATGAATATCTTAGATTCAAACCAATTCCAGATGGGTATCTTTGTATTGTACACTGCCAGCAGTAACGCTTTCCTTCAATCATCGTCATGGATAATGACACCGGGGACTTCGTGAGCCGGCTGACCATCCGCCGCTCCATTGCTGTCTCCATCCGCGCTGACCATAGTTCCAGGAGCAGGTCCAGCCTTGGTAGGCGCTATATCCATTTTATCACCACCCTTCTTTCCGCGAGCATTCTTCTTCTTCTCCCTCCTCCGGCGGTTCTTGTCGGTCTTCTCGTCATCCTTGCGCTTGGCTTCTGCGCGCTCCTTTTCCCAGCTCTCATTATCTTTCTCCTGGTCGACCTCGGACTGCATCATGCGCAGACGCTCATATTCACGCCTCCGACTGGCCTTGTACACGTGAAATTCACCAGAGCCCGCACCGGCTGAGGAACCCTGGACATTGGTGACGATCTCAGGGGGCGCAAGCAGCGATGATGAGCGCTGAGAAGAGGGATCAGGTAGCTTGATATCCTTGCTTGGATCTTTGAAGAGGGTCTCGATCTGATTTGCGTGTTCGGAGTGTGGTGTCACGGCGCGGCGCTTTGTTGGCCGCTTGCTACGCGGGTCTGCGCTTGTGGGAAAAGATTCTGGGCCTGGCTCGGACATTGTTCAAGTTGTTCGGAGGAATGCGACTGCCGTGAGATGGCTTTTGTAAAGAGTAGCTGTATGCAACTGAATGTGTTATGGAGCACTGCACCTTGCGATGATCTTTTAGCAGCGCAGGTCCAAAACCATACGCCGAGCCCGCTAACCGGATCTGGTTAGCGGTATCAGTTGCAGTTCAGCGCATTAATTTCCCTTTTTTGCTGCGTGTTCTTGTCAGATTGTTTTTACTCGAGATCGAGTCTCATAATCTAAATAATTTGTACTGTATGAACATTATTTTGTGCTTCCATCATGTTCTTAGAATTGACCCCTCGATAAGATACTCGATTTAAACCCCGTTCTTTACATTCCGCTGTCTTCTCTTCCTTTTCCCTCATCACTTTTAGGTAAAGGGTTCTGGGGGCTCAGCACTTGACTTGTGTTCCCTTTCTTTTTTACTTTGCTTGCGACACACCATCGTGAACTTCCCTGTGAACTCTCTCGTGCAACTTCCCTTTCTCTTTCACTTACCCATTTCCCGCATACTGATCGCACGCAAAATGCCGTATCGCTTTGGTAAGTCCGGTCGCATTCTTTTTCAATATGCTCGCATGAGGAAACATTTGTTATCGCATCGTGAGACACGCGCAAGAGCGCTCTGCAGCGCAACGATGCGATCCATGGTTCACCAGACATGGGAACTTGCCCTAACTGCGCGCGCAAGATCGCTGCCTGCAAGTCCAATTCACAAGGCAATTGAATCAATCAATTGCTCTTTCTACTACACGATTGTGTCTGAATGTCCATGGTGTTGCTGCTAACCTGATTTCTCAGAATTGGCCAAGTCGGGCCGCTCTGGCTGCCAGACTAAGGAATGCAAAGATGCTCAGACGAAGATTGCCAAAGGCGAACTTCGCATTGGCACTTGGGTCGACAATGAGTCACGCCAGTTCTGGATGTGGCGCCACTGGTAGGTTCATTTACAGCATGGCAACAAATTGATGACTGATTCGTCTCAGGGGCTGCTTCACCCCTCGCATGGTCCAGAACGTGGTTGAGAGCATCAAAGATGGAGATGACGATGGAGCTCTGAACTATGAACTGCTCGACGGCTGGGAAGATCTTACCAACGAGTACAAGGACAAGATCTCCCAGACTCTTGAACGGGGTCACGTCGATGACGAAGATTGGAGAGGCGTAAGTGCACTGGCCCGTTGTTGAACTCAGCCCTGTGGCTCTTCGAGAATACCAGACTCATTGAGAGACGTGGTGGCAATTGACTGACAAGATATAGGACATCGAGTGCAATCGCCCTGGTGGCAGTGGCATGCGCGTGAAGGTTAAGGCTGCCAAAGGTGTACGTCCAATAATCTTACTTGATGTTCCACACATAAAAACTGACATGGTTACAGGCAAAGGGGGCTAAGAAGGACAAGGAACCCCAGGAGTCCTCTGCTGCCGGCAAGAAGCGTGGTGTGAGCGATGCCGAGGTCTCCGACGTTGGCGACAAGGATGAGCCCGCGAAGAAGAAGCGCGGTCCGGGTCGTCCCAAGAAAGAGAACGCCCAAGTTGACAACGGAGAAGAGGCCGTTACTGCGCCCAAGAAGGCCGGTCGTCCCAAGAAGCCTGCCGACGACAATGCTGATGCTGCCGCTGACTCTCAGCCAAAGAAGCGGGGCCGCACTGCTAAGAAGGTCGTTGATCACAAAGAAAGCTCCGATGAAGACGTTGAAATGCCCGATGCCGAAGAGGCCCAGCCCGCCAAGCCGAAGGCGACTTCCCGTGCTAGGGCTGCCGCAGCTTCAAAGAGCAAGGGCGATTCTCAGGCTGCTGAAGAGGGATCTGCTCCCCAGAACGACGCAGAGGAGAGCAACGAACCAGCCGACAACAAGGAAAAGCCCAAGCGTGGTCGCAGTCGCAAGCCTGCTGCCCCAAAGGCCACCGAGGAGCCTGCTGAGAAGGCCAAGGCCAAGCCTGGTCGCAAGCCGGCTGCTTCAAAGGCCACCGAGGAGCCTGTCCCCGGCAACACTGAGCAGGACAAGGGCCAGACTGAGCCTGCGGAGAAGGCGAAGGCCAAGCGTGGTCGCAAGGCCGCTGCGTCTAAGGCTGTTGAAGATGGCGTTCCTGAGAACAACGACCAGCAAGATCAGGAATCGGCTGAGATCAAGCCCGCGGGAAAGCGCGGTCGCAGTCGCAAGCCTGCTGGTGCCAAGGTCGCCGAAGACCCCGACAAGCCTAGCGATGAGGTGTCTCTGGACCAGTCTGGCAGCAATGGCCACACGAATGCCGAAGACCAGCCTGTCGCTGAGTTGAACGCCGCCGAGCCCATCGCCTCGGGTGTTGAGCAGCTCTTTATGGACAATGGCACCGATGTCAATGACAAGACTGCCGAGCCTGCCAAGGAGGTTGCCGATGTGCAGCTCGCTCCCGATAACACCAACAGCGAAGCTGTCGTCGGGGCCGAGACTGTTCAAACCGCCTAATTCAGTGCGTTTCTCGTCTTTCGTACGCGCAGAGAACATTTCATTGCTTCTACTCTTCGACATTTTTTGCTTTTTTTTCCCACACATGGCCAATCACAAAGCTCTCTGAGCACTATTCTTATCAAGGACCTTATATGGTCTAATTTTCTTACGTGGGCGATGCGTTTCTTTTCGTGGGGTACGAGCTTCTGAATCTCTTAGCGATGACAGCTTGCGGGTATGCCTTTTGCGTTCTTATTGATACCGGGAATCTCCCTCGCGATGATTAATTCCCCGAGGCCATAACTAGCTACTTTAATGAGAAATCTTCTGAATAAAACCCCATCCTGGCTCAGTAACCTTATTCATAGTGGAGGAATAATATGGAGCAGACAGCTCACACTTTTACAACCTTAAACCTTTCCAGGGCTGGAATATCAGTCCGGGCATGTGTTATGCCCCGGCCCTAGTCCACACATGTTGGGCAATAGTTAGATACATATCATCAACGGATGTACCCTTCCTTGAACCTCTTTGCCAGTATTGAGGTCAAACCCTCCTTGTCGGAATGGTTGCTTTGTTATGTGCGTCCCAAAGGGTCAGATATCCCCAATGAAAGCCACCTATAACACAAGCAAGCATACTACCACTTGTATACTTCAATAAGGACAGGCTATAACACTAGTTTTGAACGAAAATTATCTATTGTTGTCTAATTTGATCAACGGGAAAATTCAAGGGGGAAGGGATGGGAAGGAAAATTTCGGGGCTGTCGAAAAGTCGAGGGCGTGCGTCCAACTTGCACGAATTGGGGCGTGGGGCGTGGGGCGTGGGGCGCGGGGCCACACTCGACGCCCAGGATCCGGGCGCCGGCCTGCGGGCTTGCGGACTTTCGGGGCTGCGCCTGCCCCCTTTCCAAATCCCTTTGTGAAGTGGCTCTTCGCACGACCAGTTAGGCTTAAATGCTTATTTGGAAAGCAGCACCTGGGCATTGATCTCGCTTTACGTAACAGGCATCGCCGGAGCAGTGCTTATCGTCAAACGTGGCCATGTGCAGGTTAACTACGACCGTCCCACGGGCTATCACGCATTAAGTGAGCTCAAACCGAAGTGAATCCGATCTCTCAGAGACGCGATTTTGATCGCTAACTGCGAGACGCAGGTCTACCTCAGATCACTAGGTCCATTGCGAAATAATGCCATTACTACTTATCGATCATGCTCCTATCCATAAAGAAACTATGTCGAGTCCCCAAACCCATGCGCGCAATGGAACAAGCCCAATGGGGCCAAACAAAGAGAAAAAGAAAAATCGTCAACTGGGGCAAGCGAATACGAGGTAAGACGAGGGACACCGGTAGTGCCATTTTCGTCTTCGGTGATGTCGATTCACAGATCAGAGATGCCTCGGCTCCTGAGAAGGATGCGGAGGTCCATGAACAGCTCAGGCTGGCGAACGCACATTTCCTTCTTCAAATCGAGGATCTCCTGGTAAAGCATTGGTCGGCTGCGGAGGAAATTATTCAGTTCTCCGGGGCATGCGTGAGCGAAGAGCTGGGTGGTCTCCGCGATGAACATAATGAGCCAGCCTTGCACCTCGTCAAGAGAGTTGCTAATGCTGTACTGCGGGCGGAAAGCAACCTGGGCAAGTTCGATCAGGTATTGGCATTGTTCAAGTCCCCTGTAGCAATTCCAGGCAATTTGAAGCTTCTGAGCGATCTCCCGGCACAGATCAGACATCTCGGCCACCGAGCTGGCGTAGACTTTGGCGTAGCTGTAGAGAACGGTGAGGGAGCGCATGCCTTCACCGAGGACCTGGGGGTCATGGAAGTTCAAGAGTCGCTTTGTCAGACCGAGCCCCAGTCGATCTCCCAGGACGCGGTGGGTAATAACTCCATTGCTGTCCTTCATGGGAAGAGTTTGGGGGAGGTTAGGGTCCATGACGCCTGGCTGGGGGGTTTCGATGGAGGGCCGGAAAACCTTATCCTCCAACCAAGTGCGAAGGTCATCCATCGCCGGCTTGCCCCGGAGTTTGAACAGGTCATTGTAGTGATCAACATCCTGGACACTCAGAGAAACAATTGCCAAGACCTGGCGCTGGACCATATGAAGCCTGGCAGGGGAAGAGTTCTCCGAACGAGATCCGGTAGTTGGGAATCTAGTGAAACAATATATTAGTAGCTGAGAGCAGTATACGAAAAAAGAGACTAACCGATGGCGATCGATCCGGGCTTGGATGCCCTGTTCAATGGTCTCAGACATTTTGCTCAACTTGGAAGGAGAATCAAGAAGAGAAGTGGAAGGAGGGGAAAAAGGATCTCGTTTTATAGGAGTCCCGGGGTTTGGGGCTTGAGAGTCACGGAGCTGGGGGTGCTGGCGGTGAGCTAACGAGCTCGTTGGAGCTCGTTGATAGACCATTGCCTTTGATTCTTCATCTTCTCCTTTGAAGAATGGGTTAGATCTTCCGTTCATAGTCTCAGCCACTCCAGCGCTGCTGTTTGTCTGGCTATTGGTCCGCTCATTAAGCTCCATAGACCCATTTCGGGAGTGAGAAAAAGAGCTGCTCGTAGCTTGCACCTTGCGCGGACCTGTATTCGAGTCTTGAAGGTCTGGTCTCTTTTGCACAATGGGCAAGCTCTCGTCCTCGCTGTACTCTTCATCTTCATCTTCGGCTTCATGAGGCATCACGATGCGCACTTCACGGCCACGCTTTCCTTTGGTCCCTATCTCATGTAAAGCCATATCTTGCCAGAACATGACGTCTGGCTTGCTTCTTATAAGTTCAAGCAGTGAGTCCCAGACTTTCGATTCTTCATGTCTGCCATTTCTTTCCATAATGTTGATGGTTCTTTCCTCAAGGAGAAAGATATCATTGAGGCCGATCCATCGAATATACCAATGTTAGCTTTTCATCATGAAATCTCAAAAGACTAGAAAAAAAACCATATCTTGGCACGCCAAAAAAGATGTCAAACTTACTACATGTTTCTTCCGGGCAAGTAGAAAGAGTAAACCCGGTCTTTAAGGTGCGTGGTCCACTCGCCATCTTCCGGCTTTGCGCCTGAGGGGCGGCGATGAGTATGTCTGGTTGGGCCGAACATATGGGGAAGAACCACTCCGATCCACACGTCCGTGGTGTAGTTGCGCATGGCGTTTTTGTATCTGACGATGAAGATCTCACCCTCCTTGAGCAGACGCAAGACTGGCAAACGGCGTAGACCCCTTGTCAGATAAGCATGTGTCGGCATCTTGATGTAGTGTTGATTCAACTCAGGAAAAAGTTAGCAGGAAACTTTTGAGAGTGAATGACATATGCCATCTATCGCAGGGATTGTGAAGACTGGGTCGGACAGCGAAGAAAAGATGGCTGAGGCTAATACTCACGGTTGTATGAATAGAGAGAAGATAGTGCGGTGCTGTAAGAGAGTTGATCTGTTAGCGTCCACTGGTTTGAGATGATTCGATCGCCATAGAGACATACGTTGGCAACGCTAGCAGGTGCTTTCTGGGTTGGTGAATGACGAAAATGTCAGGTCTTGGTCAGACTGCGGGTAAATCAATGCTGCAATTTTAATTGAAGAAGGAAAGTTGTTCACGGTTGTGATGTCAAACCTGGGAGCTGTCAAGTGTAGATAGGATCTAGCTCTGGGCCACGAGGAAAATGATAGTGAAGGTTGTTCGCACAGTCGTGGTTCGATGTTCATCGAACTCGCAACTGACGACGATACCAGCTCAGAGTGAAGAGAATCAGAAAGAAATCTCTGGTAATGAACTGTGGTTTTGTGGCTGGCAGATGAGACGAAATCAATGATCTTGACGAAGAGATAGAGTAGAGCAAGCTGATCGAGGATATCCTGGCCGACACTGTTGGGTGTTTGTAGTGCACAGCGGAGCAGCGAAAGATGGATAGATTCGACGTCGAAATTACCAGGTGGTGAGACGGAGCGATATTTGACACCATCAAAGAAGCATAGCAGATACCGTGCACTCGAGCGCATGAATACCTGTTTGAAGATTGACGATAAGTGAATACCAAAGCGTGGGGGGCTTTAGCATTGGCAATTGGAAGGTGCCTGAACAACACAACTGAGGATATAAGACTGTGTTGCTTCGACGGATTGATTGAGTTCAGAAGAAAGAAACGTCATAAACACCTGTGAACTGGAGTGCGAATGAGATGATCTTTGGGGCTCCGGAACATCGCCCAGGAAATATTGTGTATAAACAATGTTCCACGTCGTTGGGGGAAGTCACGTAGAAAGAGGATGCTCAGAATGGCGGATCATTTGCGCCGAGGCTCTCGCGATTCCGGAAGATTCCTCACATCACTCAGGCTTGTCACCCATGAACATTTCCGCCAACTTGACAGATTTTTGGATAGAGGCGCGGGCCCAGGCGGAGAGAATGGTTTGGTAACCGATGTAGTTTATTTGGGTATCCAGATTGACATCTGAAATTCCCCAACATCCAATGAAGGATTATTGGCATACTAAACGTTGTGAGTCCGATTGCGACAAAAGTCCTTCACAAACCAGCACTCGCTTGGTACGTTTGCTTTATAGGTGAGCTATCTTGGAAAAATGCTCGAGCGCAAAATTCGATAATGCAAGATGCTTCTGCAGGCTTCGAGCTGGCGTTTTGTCTTTTCAGATGCCACATCTGGGATGCCAGGGCAGATGCCAACACTAGCGGTAACAGAGCAGCCTGCTGTATGATCGGTCCAAGACTTGATTGGTTGTTGTTGGATGGAACTGCGGATTCATCAGTTCATGTATAAAAGCCCTCTCAGTGGCAATCGCACCAGGGCAACCTTGGAAGGTGGGTATAGATCGATAAGATATCCTGCGCATGAAAATTAGTCACGGACTGTATGTGGGTTGAGCTTACTTGAAGTTTGAGTACACGAAAGAATGTCACTATGGTGGAAACCACCAGATTGGCGAATACGTTGTGAGGTGGCCAAATTTCTCGATTTCTGTTGCTCATCACCAAAATCACGGCAAAGGGTACATAAGACAGCAAACTATCAAGGACATGCGACCTTCACTATTGCCACTTGAGTTGGAAATTAGAACAGTCATTGCATATGCCTAAGCCAAAAAAAAAAAAGCAGACACAGATATCGAAGAGCGTGGCTCTTTCGATAACAAAGAGTGTGAAATGATTCATCATAAGCCACCGCGCACCATTCGACGATTAAAATATGTAAGGTGGTAATTTCAACCAAAACATGCGGCCAACCTCGAATGAAGCGAAGTTAGATATGTTGCTGAAGCAAGTGTTCTGTCGTGCTATCATTGTGAACAGGCTGTTTATTTGTGGTGAAGTTGGCACCAACAAACGTTGTTTAGCGCTTAGAAAAATCTCGACGATCGTGTGGCCCTAGCAGTCATGAGTTTGAGTGCCGAAATTGAAGATGGTGGGCATCATAGGAAGAATGGGAAAAGGGGAGGCGCAAAACACACCGTTCCGAGATATCATCCATATGGTTGCACATTGCCACGAACAGGTCAAAGAACAACTTGCCGCCTTCCTCCATCTCCATCTGCAGTGTTCCGCTTTGTTTGAAAATCTTTCGACTTCGGATGATCAAAGCGAGATAATGAGCTCGCAATCGAGAATCGGTCTCGGGCGTGTGATCATATGCGTAACGTGCGGATCGAAGGATCACATCGGCTGGGATGCCACTTTGCAGCCCCTGCTTTCGAAATGCAAGTCGCTTGAGGTCCTCCAAGCCGTATTTCTCGGCAGCACAGTAAATCACTGTGTCGCGAAGAACAAGATCTCCGACTTCGGGGTGAAAGAATGTGGCTTCACTCGACCCGCGGCCACCGGTCTCATTGATGTCCTCCGCATTCTCGAGGGAACAAGAGTTTCGGTGCTTTGCATGCAGCAACCGAGGGAAGTACTCACCCTTGTATAGAAATTCGAGAACGCATGACAAAATCTCGGGCTCTCTAAAAATATGATGAGCGTATATCTTCGACTAATCAAAAGGGTGAGATACTCTTCTGGCAGCGTCAGCTGCTTCCCGCCATTCTCTTCGCATTGCTCCTTGATCGCGGCAGAGAAATACGGCGATACAGCAAGGATGTCCTCATGAGCGGCGAAAACACTCTGGTCGCGACCCACAATCATGGAGATAATGGGGCTAGTCAGAGGACTGCTCGATTTTGTCAGCAAGCCAAACCATCAAAATCACTCTCGTCTTGCGATATGTCTATCTTGGTGGCCTTAGTCACCTTGCGCTGGAAGGACTCTCCACTTTCTGCTTCATTTTGAGCTTGGCTAGCTCGTCGTACTTCTTCTTGGCAACCCTGACGGTCTTTCCCGCCCGGTCCTTGGAGATGAAGGAGCGTTTGAACATGACAGCAAAGACCAAGTCACTGATCGAGCAGTGCCTGGATTTGATGTCCAAGATTATTGGAATGAACCTGTCTGGTTAGAGGGAATGGTAAGAGTTGGTCAAAAGAAAGACTGATTGACGCTGCTGGCCATGCACACGAAGCATGTGAGTCTCGGAAGCTCTCCACTAAAGCCGTGGTCCCCGGTTCTTACTGAAAAGACGAGGATTCACGGATCTGGGACGACTTTGCACTTGAGAATCTGTGACGACTCTCGAGGCGAGGATTTATCAACTCTAGCAGGCGTGGGAAGAGAAAAGAAGGTAAGCAAACGATGCGGGGGCTTTAAATGCGGGGGTCAGGTGACAGTGATATCAAACGTGACTGGATTTGTACTAGGTACATGGCAAGCCTTTCAGCTGAACGTATATCCAAAGTCACTTGTGAGTCTCAAATCATATGCACTAATGCTCACGGGTGCGATCTTTGATCAGCTTGAAATCTAGTGTGTACATTTGAACACCATTTTGCGACATCACAACATTCAGTGCAGATATGGTACTATTGGATAATGAAATTAACACGTAGATCGGAAAGTCTATCTGCTATTTAGGGTCTCTTCAATCGTCTTTTTTCGTATCTTTTTTCATCATACTTTTCGAAGCTACCCAAGCATAGTTTCTCCAGCCCTCTTTCCTCGGCAATATGTTCGTCTTCAGAGGTAGTGTAACATAGCTAGACCTTGGACTTCAAGAAGTTTGTTCCAAGGCAGTTCGTTTTTTGAATTACTACAATCAAAGCCCAAGGGACGGCGGCACTCAAAGTCAGTCATATTTGTTTCATGTCTAAGAACATTGCTGAAGAGGTGTCGACCATGTTGAATGATCGACCGTTCCCAGAAAAAACAGCACCTTATTCAGTGCAAAAGTATGACCTCGTATCTTATAGCGCTTGCTTGCCTGCGAGAGACCTGTAAATATCCATAGCATGGTGGCCAGGTGGCTTACCACCCGGTAAGCAGCCAACCTTCGGTTTTATCTGCAACCAGCGAGAGCCATAGTGATACCAAAGCTCTGGAAATGTCCAACAGTAACACCGTACATGAGATTTCCTGCCGAACAAAGAAGATCTCGCTGTCCCTGGCACTTGAAACAGGTCGTTGACAGACCAGAGCTGTAATATTCCTAAGAGATGGTAAATATGAATCCGTGCCAGAGCTCGGTGATAATACTCACTGTTCCATAGTGCTGGAAATTGAATAGCCCGCTTACATACATATTCTACGAGATAGGTCAGCGAGGGATGCAAAGGAATATTTTTCTTGATCATTTCTCACCGGAACTCCGTCGGCGATATTGTTTCCACGCTTCAAGGTACCCGCTTGGGAGCTAGCAAAGGTAGCCCAGGCGGAGTTGCCGATTGGAAAGGCAGCGAGTGCAGTGCTAGTAAGTGCTTTCCCGGGGAAATTTTGGGCAAGGGCAACGTGTGAAATGTAGGTGAGAGCACCACCGAGCGAATGACCAGTTGCTTCTAGCGAATAGGTCGGATATTTAGCGACAAGTGCCTTGACTTCTGCAATGACGGTATCGTGCACGGCAGACCATGGTCTGTTGATGCCTCGCATAATTTTCACATCAGAGGGGAAATTAACTCCCGAGAGTGAAGGCGTAACGAGAGTAGTGTCAATGTCATCCAGAATATCAGCGACTAAAATGATTAGCTCAGTGTGCTGCAGAGATAAATTTATTGATGGAAACTCACTGGTAGTGGATCCTCTCATCACAACAGCAATTGTTTTCTTGCTGTCGGAATATCCAATATAGCCCTATGCAAATTAGTATTCCAATGGCTTTAGATACTACCACTCGAGTGTAGATTGGGCGTACATCAGTATCTGTCAAGGTATCGCGTATGGTTTTCGTGATGGTAATATCAAATGCTGTTCCACTGCAGCCACTGTAGGCAGCCGAAGAAAGTTGAGCCGAGCGACGAAGATCAGAAAACGCAGATATGTCTTGAATCATGGTCAATACTTTGCGTCACAGAAAACTCGTGACAGAAGTCTGAATTTCATACCGAGAGTCGCTCGTGGCTCCAAAACGGGTACAGCAATGGCTTGGGCAACCAAGGAGATTCCCATGAGCAGGTTCTGACTGTTGAAAAGCATCTTTGCCGTATTAATAGGAAATCTCTGGGACCAGGATTTGATATAGTGGTAAAGAAGTAGTCTCTGAGTGCTGTAGTGCTGTTGTGCTGTATAGAGATATCTACAGCTTGTCTTTACGTTCTTTATATAATTTTTCCATGGCCCTGCTTCAGCTTTCCATGAGTCAATATATTCGGGTGATAGCTCGAGGGCTTGTGCATGACCACGGGTGTTTTCGCATCGGTGCTGGTTCTGAATGGGGAATTGGATATATGGCCAAGATACCTCGTCGCATGAACAGACTCATACCCGATTTGGTGAGCCCCGACCTGGCGTTCTTGGTATACTCAAGGTCGGGCATTGATTCCTGCGCGAGGAGTCTGACTATTTATTAAAGACCGTAAATTTACTGCTTCGGTACTGCTTTCTAACTTGGCCTAGTCTTTGTTACTGATGTAAAAGATCGTCTAGTGGAAGCCTTTCTTCGTCATTTCTCGACTTGAACCGCATACTGTCACCAAAAAGAAAAAAGTGAGCGAAAAACATATTATATGAAGTCTGCAGGGTCGATACCAAGAGTGCCTATGTTACTATCATACGCCACAATCAAGGATCTAAGGCAGTGGCTGAGATTTTGCGGGGAAATAGGGTTACTGGTGTCACTTCAATGTACGCAAAGACCACACGACCATCAACAGCCTCGGTTTTAAGGGACCAAGAGTTAAGGAAGCTTCAGTGGTGGGTCATTAGGCGGGTCAATTGGAATGATACTGGCAAAAGAACCATTGAAGGCCCACCGTGCGGTGCCAACGATGAAGGGCATTGGATCAATGGACCTAGGTCAGGTATGGCCTGCAGCCCGAATATGTCCGATCATGCACTTTCTGAGCCTGCATGAGCGTTTTTGGAACGGAGAGAGTACCCGCCAGCTCAGGTATATACCGTCTTCGTAAGGAAGCGAAGCGTCCGGTAGTTCGAGGTTCGGCAGTTGGGGACCGAGGTGCTTGGCTTTGCGGGGTTGGTCTTATTGAAGGCTGAAATTGAAATCCCAAACGTAAATTGATTAAAAGCATGCAGCTTTCGATAGAATTTACTTCATTTTGATACGGTTGGAGGTGCCCAACTCGGATCAGCCAGCGACGCAACACACGGTTCTGAGACCATCATCTGACACAACAATTGGTGGTGGGATTCAATTTGTGAAGGGCCCGTCAGAAATCGGAAAAACATAGTTCTGGCTCCTTGGGATCTCAGAAAGTATGATCGAAGAGATGGCTAGCGACTGCTCTATTCTGAGTTCCATTGAGTCTATTTCATCCTACGTGTCGGAACACAATGTTTCCATCTGCCATTGAATTGCAGCTTTGACATGTTTCCTCATTATCTCCATCTTTTTGGTATTTACATTTATACGCTTTGATACATTTTTTGTTTGCTAGAATGAAACTCTGACGGTAATCAGGATCGCCTCCGTGATATTTTGATGTTTAGTCGCATTGGGATGATAGTAGAGGTACGGAGTATTTGTCGCGTTGCGAGAAGGACAGTCAACGATGATGACATGTACGCATCTTCTGTTAACGTGATACCATTGATATGAGTACGGAGTAGTTGTGGATCTTTTTTTCTTCTTCGGCATCACGGAACTGCTACTGGGATTTCCCTAGGCGCCGACTCCTGTGGATGTGAACTGATTTCCTCCAATCAAAAGCCGGTAATAGCCGCTGGTAATCCACGGGTGGCTCCCGCGGCCCACATCCGGTCAGCCAAAATGAAGGTGCGTGCCCATATACTTGTCACAGCAAAGCTCCGTGATTGCTGGTGAGATACTCGTAGTATTTACGAGTAGGAGTAAGTCTGTGAGTATCGGGTACGCCCCGCCCTTGATAGTGGACTGCGCCGGAGCCCGGGAGAGTTGACATCTCATTGCCTCAAGTATGAACTTTCCCTTGCTCCAACTCACGCAAGCCAATATGACAGCCTGTGAGATAGCGAGGTCTTTCTTCACGTATGCATTAATCCCATGCTTTGCGGTGGCTGGCCTATACATGATCCTCCTTGGGCTACTCACCACTTCGACCTTTCAATCCCATGTCGTTTATCTCCATGCCATTCAAATGACATGGTTCAAAAACCTCAATGTACCTGAAACGTTCGGATTTCTGAGAAATCAAGTCACTCCCTTCTCAGTAACGACCCCGGACGGCGAGCGACTACATGCTTGGCATGTACTTCCCGTCGAGTTGTATCGCAAGCACGAAGCTCCTCTTCTCGACGAACCTGTTGGGCTCGTCTCTGATATTAAAACACGAGTCGGATTTCAGCTTTTACGGGATGACTCCACTTCCAGGCTGGTTATCCATATGCACGGCGCAGGGGGAACTATCGCCTCGGGATATAGAGTCCCAAAACTACCGAGCACTCTCCGCGGGGAATCCTGGAAAGATTCACGTTCTCGCATTTGACTATCGAGGATTTGGAAATAGTACTGGGTCTCCATCCGAGAAGGGTCTTATCGTCGACGCGCTTGCCATTGTTGACTGGGCAATGAACGTCGCTGATATTCCTCCATCTCGAATTGTTATATTCGGACAGTCAATGGGAACAGCAGTTGCCATTGCGGTATCAAAACATCTGGCAACCCAAAATCCACCGATAGTTCTTGCGGGCACTATTTTAGTAGCCCCATTCGTGGACGTTGCCACACTCGTTTCAACCTATCGAGTAGCAGGGACTATACCAATCTTGTCATCGATCGCAAGATTCCCTGTCTTATTCAAAAGTCTCCAACAATTTATCAGGGACAAATGGTTGAGCAAAGATTACATCGCAGAATATGTCCAGGCCAACGAATTGAACAGAGAGACATACCGATTAACGATAATTCACGCAGAGGATGACTATGATATTCCATGGAATCATTCACAGCTTCTCTTCTGGCATGCCGTGAATGCCTCGTTGCCAAACGGCATCAGTTATGATGAGCTGGAGCAGCAAAAGCTAGATTCCAAGAATGACCTGGGGGCTGCTGGGTCTGTGTTGGAATGGGTGGCACCCAATGGTGTCATTCGTGAGGAAATTCTGAAGACTGGACTGCACGATGTTGTGATGGGCTACCCAATAATTAGCATGGCAGTTATGCGGTTCTTTGAATCTGCTGACCCGACATTCATAATTTGATTTGACCGGCATGGTACTGGCGTTGTGGTGGCAAATATTGCAAGAATTTCAGATCAAAGCTTGTTGGGCCGAGCTAATCACTTTGTTTGTCAATCCTGTTGAAACTTGCATGGCACATTGAGAAAATTCATCACTGATGTTTTTATCTGATTGTTTCAAAAGATCATTGGAGTGCAAAGATATGATCAAAAATTTGATCAATTTCCCATTTCCATAATTTTCCTAGTATCGAATTTGAGTATTCTGTGTGTCAAGTAAAGGTGTTGAATTCACAACCAGACTCTGTCTCAAGGTGGACCGTGGGTGGGATTTGTTGATGATGTGGCGGTGCCATCAACAAAGTGGCGCAGCAGCTGTGGGGGGCCCACTTGTCAGCCACCGGTGATATCATCACGAGGAACAACGCATGTGAATTGACAGCACAGCATTCTGTGCCAGTACGAAGTATACGAGGACCACTAACTTCTGCATCTGGTGATCAAGCCTTTCATCTGACATATCAGCGAAGAAATTGATCTATCACGGAGATACATAGCGCGCGTCCCCTTACTCCGTACCGGCTGCACGCGCCCGCTTTCAACCTACTGCTTTTCCCACTTCAGATCCGTTGGGCCAACTCAAAGATTTGCTATCTCAGTGTGATATTTCCACTGATCTTTGTTTTGTTGTGTCACCGTCACCATGCAGTACCTCAACCTAGTCAAAAAAAGCAGACCTTTGTCCCAAATGATCAGCGCCCCGAAGCCTGTGCTGACCCCCCGAAGATGAAGCTTATTTCCGAGAAGTCACCTCCCATCCCGAGTCTGCAGCCAAAGGAGAAGGCGATGTCCCCGAAGTACAGACCGAGACCTTGCCTGAAGAGTCCAGCCAGGCTACACCGAGCACACCGGCCGAGAACATACCCTTACCCATATCGCCGGTGGAGGAATTTGGGAAAGAGCTTGGTGAGGAAGGAAGACAGGAGCGGAGAGAATCTCAGCCTACTTTGACGAGATCCGAGACGCCCAAATCAGAGTCCTCGAAAGCCCCACAAAAGAAGAAGCGATGGAGTGCCATGTTCTGGAAGAAGAATACAGACAAGAAGGTATGCCACTAGTCTGATTCCAATCATCGCATCATCCCCATGCCTGTGTCCCCACGTACTAACATCGTTCGCGCATCAATAGTCCACAACTACGCCAGAGGCGGACAAGTCTCAGATCGAAACTACCAGTCCTCCAAACGCATCGGATGCTTCCACAAACGGGAAAGAGACAGAGAAGGATAAAGATGCGGAAGATATGACCGATATCCTTGAGAGGCTGAACCTAGCCGCGGACAACAACAAAGTGTTCTCAATCAGCGAAGAAACGCAAGAGCTTCTGCGCAAGTTCAAGCTCATTTTCAAGGACCTGATCAACGGAGTGCCAACCGCTTACCACGACTTGGAGATGCTCCTTACCAATGGCAACCGCCAACTGCAAGAAACCTACACAAAGCTGCCTGGTCCTATGCAGAAGTTGATCGAGAAGCTCCCTGGACGCTGGACTGAGAACCTGGCGCCGGAGATGCTTGCTGTTGCCGCCGAGCGTGCTGGTAAGAGTGGTGTTAACATGGAAAATGTCGGCAAGGCAGCAGCTGCCGCTGAGAAGATGGGCATCAATGTCCCGAGTTTGAAAGAACTGGTGTCAAAACCAGCTGCTTTGGTGGGAATGCTTCGCTCGATCATGGCTTTCCTCCGAGCTCGATTCCCCGCCGTGATGGGAATGAATGTGCTCTGGTCGTTGGCACTGTTTAGTAAGTTGGTTCTTTATGCCTGTGTGCTCCATTGCTGACTTTCCCTTCCTTTAGTTCTCTTATTTGTCCTGTGGTATTGTCACAAGCGTGGACGCGAGGTTCGCCTTGAGAACGAGCGTCTGGTGACCGAGGAAGAGATCAACAAGCTCAACGAAGACACTTCGGAGGGATTAATACGTCCTACTGAAACCTTGACCACCACAGCGCCTCAAGGTGCCACTTCCGAGGAGATTCGGGAAGGTGTCAGGAAGGTAGAAGAGGCTCGTGCTGGTCCAGCGGAAACTGCCACTCCGGTGGAAGGCCAAGATGACATCCAAGAGGCGTCATGGCCACCACCCATGCCAACCCGGTCAAAATCCCGTCTTTCTATCTTCGGTCGGGCTAAGACAGAGCCGGTAACCAACACTGTTGCGCCCTATCCTGGAACTTGATATGTTTGTTTGATTTTGTTATATTCGATGTTGCTTCAGTGGCGTACCATGGTTGGAGCACATACAAGCCGAGGAACCTTGACTTTGAGCGGGCGACCCAGAGTCGCAGGATGTTAATTAGAACCTACTGCTTTTTATTTTTGTGTAGTTGTTGTTTCCACTAATTTGATACCTCCCAATTTTGCTGGTGTGACGTTGACTATTTTACGGATGCTCGTATGAAACGAACCGCTCATTTTGTTTTCCATGGGTTGAGCCTGGGTGCCCAGATGGTCTCCGGGCGTCCAACAATCTCCAGGGCTTTGCATAGTCCCCCGAGCTTCCAAGGTTCCAAGGTTCATGGAATGGATATTTTCGCCTCCTAAGGTCATTACGCTGTGATCCCACATGTTGAGAACGATAGGCTCGTAACCCCTGACGCGCTGCTTTGTTGACTTTTGGTGGGTTTTCTACCCTACTGAGGCCATGCGTCCCGGATATATTAAGCTGTTCCAGAGATTTGCAACACCAATGTAAGATTAACACAATGATTCATCTTGTCGGCTATAGGATACTTGCAACCTTGGAACACGACCATTTAGAACTCGAAATCGGCGAATCCTGCTCAATGCATCCATGAGCACCGGAATGAAAGCGCCACTCTGGACACGGAGAAAAAGCGAACATTCGAGCCTTGAATTGTGAGTCTACTGACACTATTGAACACTTCGTGAACAATCTATGTACTCCGAGATATTGCAAGCCAGAGGAAAAATTTTCTGATATCGACAACGTTCGCAACTCAAATGTACCACATTGCCCGCACCGACCGAGGCTCAACGGCGTTCGAGAATACAGGCTAGAAATAGAACCAGTGACAAAGTGGGGGTATATACAGGCTAGAAGTCTGTCGAAGTGGCCAGGTGGAGGATTTGCGGTAACTGATCCGCGCCTGAAAACATTATAGCGTCGTGAATAATGTCCCACTCCGGTGGACTTGATTGGCGGCAGAAAATTTGCACGGGGCGATCTCGTTGAGCATCAGGTGGCAGGGGCAAGAATGGGAGGGAAAAAGGAAACGGAAAGATCTTCCGTTTGCCCAAAGACCCGCAGTGTCTCTACTCCGTACGGAGGACTCCGTCTACCCAGTAGTGTATGGAGTACGGAGTACAAATTGAATTTCTGCTGTAGAACGCTGAGCAAAGTTGCGATGGAGATAAGAGAGATTGATAGATCTCATGCACGTTAACCGCGCCTATGCAGAGTATCTTGTCTGGCCCCTTACCGCCACTTGTGATCATCTCTAGAGTGACTAGAATTTGGGGCAAAGAAGACCTGCAGGTTCCCGCCTGGGACACGGCAAATGCTGCCAAGCCGGCCGGAATGGAGCACTATACTATTGCCACCGCGAAAAAAAAAAGAAGAGGTGGCCGGATCTATAGCTCGAGCCAATAGTATGAGTGAAAATTCGGATGTAATTATTTGGACTGAACACGAGGGAACAATATGATTCATTCTCGGATGTGTCATACAATAAACGATGAAAATCCCGATCTGAGGATGAATCATCGGCATCATCATGCATATCCGCACGGGTCAGTTGCTGCACCGAGTCTACAACGTACTTGTACGTTAATGTACGGAGTACGGGGTATGTTGACTTTCGATTCCATCAATCTATGCAATGTATAGTATACTACTTTGAAACCGACGAATGGCGACATCTTTAACGCAGAGTTTGCATGAAAAGGAGGCCTGCACCGAGGCTCTGTAATGACGTTTTAGGTTTTCTCGGAGTCTCTTCGGATTGTTCAATGCCTCTCAAGCCACCCGCGCGGCTAGAACCCTCGTATTTCCGCATAGAAATAGACAACAGTGGGATAGTTCAACTCAGGGAGTCTGAGCCCATTAGAGTCATGCAGTGTACACGTATAGGTTAGAGTCTGATCTATTTCTGAATGTCATCAAAAACGGGGCAGTTCCGTTGCAACTTTTGGCGCCGTCTGATTGGTCCGAAGGAGCGGTGAGTGGTGCCAGCAAATGGGCGGTCGTCGTCCGGAGCCAATCAGGAGCGTCCCCCGCTTCATAGGGAAAAAATGTCGTCCCTTCTCTTTCTTTCCCCATCCTCATACCACTCCTGCTTCAACGGCTCTGAACTTACCAATTCCCCCGATTAACTATCGAATACCTCTTCCAAAATATCGTCAAGAGATCAGCCAAATGGCTTTCGTCGAGCTGTAAACGCCTCGCTGGGGAAGCCTGGTATCTAGGCTCCCCAGTCCTGCAGCTCCGATCCTCAATTTGACTTGACGATATTCGTTTCTCTTTCGACGCCTCTAGCAGAGCGTTGGAATTGCCCCCTAGCAAACTCCCAGAAGGAGCACTACAGCATCCGCAAAGGACTGCAGGTGCTTTCGTGAACGAAAAAAAATTCCCCTTCGACTCCTCCCCTCCACTCCGCTTCTCCTCCGATTACCTCCACTCAGTCCCACCTTACCCCCTCGACTGTTCCCTTTTCAGAATTCCTATTTTGGAATCGATTACGAATATCCTCTCAACCCCCGGAAGACCCACCTCTCTTTCTTCCTACTCGCTGGCTTCCTCTCCAATAGACCAGATCACTCGTCCCAAAGAAAGCAAGGACCAAAAGCCCTTGAACAACATACACCACCCTTTACCAAAACACAAGAACTTCTCTCAACATGCCGCAGAGTTCTTATGCCTCCAAGCGGGCTGGAAAGGGTCCCGCAAAGAGCGTACACCCCCCGCCCAAGGACCCCCGAGACCGGTGCCATGCGAAATCATGGCATCTCTCCCAAGGGAAAACAACCCCGAAAATCTGATAGCACTCGACCATCAGACCGCAAACGGCGAGTCTCCACCTCCTCAGTCTCAAGTGTCTCCTCAGTGTCATCTCTTGAAGAATTGAGCGATGGTGATGGTGATGACTCGGAAGAAGATGCAGATGACGAGCAAGAACCGGCTGTCCGGGCCCCGTCTTATGGCCGCCGTAGAGACACCAAGGCGGGGCGCCAACAAAACAGAACCAAAAGACGCCGTGTTGTGCAAGATGACAGCAGTGACGGCAGTGATGGCAGCGACTCTGAGAGCTCAGATGATGTCTATGCCGGCGTTGACTACATCACAGATGCCGAGGATGAGGAACAAGAGATGGAGAAAATGGAGGAGATGATGATCATGGAGTCTGAAAAGAACCCTCGGCCTTTGCCCAGCTCCGAATTCAATGATGATCTGTGGACAGCGAATGCGTTCGATGATAACATGTTCCTCCCAGCTGCCTCCTTCTTCGACGAAGAGCACCTTTACAGCGCCATGGACACTTTCGGCGAGCCCGATGTGCCTAGTGAAGCGGTGGAAACACCGGCCACCCGACGCGTACACTTCGAGGAGCGATCTGACTCGTCCTCTGATAGTGATTCACACACTGATGATGATATCCCTGGGGACTTCTTGCAGCAAGACAGTCTTGATCCCCAGCTCCGTCGGATGATTGAAAACGACAATGAGAATTACCGTAGAAACAACCGTCGCCAATCCGAAGAGATGTTTGGCGACGTTGACTACGGTCATGGAAACATCTATCATGTCGAATCCGAGGGCTCCTCCGAGGGAAGCCTGAGCGGCTATGAAAGTATGATGTTTTGCTATCTATATCTATTTCTCAATTTGCTAACCCGACTCAAAAGGCGACGATGGCGACACTACAGACGAAGATCTTCCCCCACCTGCAACCATCACCCACCCTCGATCGCTTCTTCGTCGTGATTCATCTGACTCCTTGGCCCCTACGGGCGATGACAAGAGTGACAGTGTGCCCCGTCGACGTGGGCCCATCATGGGAACCTTCACCACAGACCCCCACAAGCCAGTGGCTTTGGTCGACTGCACTGGCAAGCATCTTGTCATTATCCCTGCGTACGCTTCTTCACGCCACGACTGGCTGGACTCTGCCGCCAACAGCATGCCCGGCACTGCGAATACCAGCCCTCGTCAAACTACACTGCACCTTGTCGACGAGAGTGACACGGATGCACTTGCGTCTCCCAATCAAACCGACTTCAGCCCTATGCTGGCTTCGAGTGCCAATCTCATGATGACCGCTTTGGGCAATGACCTGACACCAGGAGGTCAAGTTATGGGCCCCCCTGAGGCATTCTACCCTTCTCAAGATTTCACCATCGACAGCTCGTTCGAAGAGGACGACGAGGAAGATCCCGAATCTGCTCTCAACGTCGATGATTTCATCGACTTTGGGAACGGCTCCTCGGATGACGATGATGATATGAACCATAACTACCCGGAATCCGCTCAGGCATCCCCAGGAACTGCTCCATCTGCCAAATCCATGGGTACACCCACGCCTACCCGCAAGTCCGAGTCTCAGCCTACCAACAACGAAGAGCGATTCCTCAATCATCTTGACAAAGGCATTGTGACCGCCTTCCGTCGCAACCACAACCGCTACCAAGCGCTCCTCCGCCTCCCCCAACACCGCGAGTTCATGCCCGCGAACTCCCCAGCGCGCCCTGCTAGTGTATTCCGACACGCAAAAACCACAGACCAGCGCACTCCTACGCGCAAGCGCAAGTCCAACACCATTGCTGGTGGCGAAGCTGTGCGACGTAAGCTGATGGACGCTCAGCAGCGTCGCTCCTCTCAGCTCCCGCTCTAAAGCTACCCTTTCTAATGATTATACGAACTCTGGATCTTCGTCCAGATCATGTGATAACCACGGCCTTTTCTATCCCTTTTTCTATCACTAGCAGAATCTACTGTTAACATATGGATCTGTCAAGTCTTTTGTGATATTCAAAATTTTTCAACGAGTGCCATTGCTTGAACGCAAAGAACTTGCTTCGCCTCTGGCTATATTGCATAACGCCAACGCTTCGTCATGGCTTTTTCTCCGAAGAATTGACGCATTTTCTCATGCATGTTCAGTCAGCCTTGGAAAGATCGACCATGGTTTTTTGAACCACAAAAGCGATCCTATTATCTTGCTGCATTTCAATCTTCTATTCTTATCATTCTTCCGCTCCCTCCATTCTTCTATTATGTCATATTGACTGGCCATTTTGTCCCCTGTTTGCTGCAGGGACCAGTGATACCTTGGTTTTGTGGAGTTAAAAAAATCTGATTTGCGTTCTAACGAGTGATGGCTGTTTTTAGTTATTGTTTACATTTACCTTTCCAATTCCAAAAACATTTGAAATCTTTACTCTGATCCCCGTCGACTAGTTATTGGTAACCTAGCGTCGGTCGTATCACTTGGTCCACCTCTGGAGTATCTATATCACGATAATTCCGGCAGTGGTCAATTGACTGCAAGCCTCATGTAACGTGGGACTTTGTGTACTCAATAAGCACCCCTCGAATAATTTTATGGAACAAGAACAATTCATCGGCTTTCGTGCATTTACCAAACGTAGCTATCCCGAGGCTACCTAATATAGGACGCTCCATCAATTACCATAGCTCCTTCGGGGCATGTCTTCCGCTTTGGAAGGAGGTCCCCACTCTCAATTGATAGCAAATGCCCAGGTGGTGGATGCTTCGTAGTTTCAAGTAGATGGACCGGAAAGATCACTGCTCCCAGCGCATTGATCCCGGGTGGCTTACCGTTGGTCAATGCTACTGACATTTTTGGTCAATGCTGAATTAGTCTGTCTACAATAATCGGCGAACTATGCATGTGTTTACTAAATTCCCAGCGTTGGTGGGCATACGTGTGTCTGTCTATTTGATTCCAAGTCAGCGCAGATGGTGGCTGCAATCCTATGCCCTGTAAAGGTTCTCTGTGTCTACTTTGGCAGGCGGATGCTTAATCTTATTCCAGCAATGTATCCTTGGAGGCTTGGAGAATCACTATCCACATGAGTAGATAGAAATTAATGACTACACACTTTTCATTGTTTTTCGGTCATGAAAAAGCCGTAGAATGATATCTCATTACTCTCTGTAAACACGGTCTTCGAATGCTCCCTAGGGAGTACGGAGTACCATTATACGAGTTGCACATCGGACACACCGGTCGTGTTTACGGCCAATGAATGAGGGTGAGAGAGCTAGACCTAGTTACGGGTTGATGCTAATGGCTAGTCAGAAAACAGACGTCCAAGGGGCATAAGGTAGCATCAACAGTGCAGTCGTCCCATTCGTCGATATTTTTAGGAGGGTGTTTCACGGCAAATCAGACTTGGGCTTCCAAACAAACGGCTTCACAGCGAAGACTGAGACTAAGGGTTTACAAGAGGTTGAGTGATCATAACATATCTTCGATCAACAAAGAGAGAATCAAAATGAAGTTTCTTTGTTACAATTAAAGAACATGGTCCGAGAACATTGTGCAGGTCGAGGAACAAAATCCCAAAATGACTTGTCGGGTTTCAGCCTCTGCTTAGCCCTCTTGGCACAGCATAATACCATACCTCAAGCACCCCCTGAAGCTACTTGAAGATATTAATGGGGCAGAAATATTCAATTGATTCACAGCAGGGTTGATGGTTACCCTGCAGGGTCTCAATTCCTGTTTTTTGATGGCGCTTCGAGTGGAGAACATAAGGCTATGAACATAGAGAAGATCACAATTCTAAAAGGGAAGAAAAGAAAAAGACCAAGCACAAACCCTGGAAGCTACAGCAAGTGGGGAACGAACACCCAATCTCCGACACGAACGTCTCAGGGCGAGACGCCGGCGCCAGCAGGGCCGTTCTGACCGGTCGCACTCGGCAGTTTTTGTGGGGCGCCCATTGTTTGTCACTTGGGATCGACCTACACCTGCGGCTTACCTTTGTTATTCACGTCGATCAAGCGCTTGCAACACTCCAGGGTTCCTATTTATACTGCGCAGCATGCTGATTGGTTGAATATTAACGGGATTTCGATTGATCTCACTATCACACTGCGCAAGAAAAGAGTGGGATTGGATCCCCGCAGGCGCCCTGGTCAATGGCCCCTCCATGCAGACCCTCACTGGCTCCCTGGAAGCCTCTTCAGCCTGTTCCTGCACTAGCCGACGCCCAGCTTTGGATGGGTCCCAGCTCACCTCCTCATGGGAGTCACCACCGTTTCATCTGCGCCTCCAGATTCCTGCCGATTGGAGGATTATCCGTTTCTCTCTGACGATATGTCTTACCCGTTCTCCTGATGCCAATATACTTTTGGCCTAGAGCGGGACTTCCCTGCTGCAGACCCTTTGTCTGCAGGAGTTCATGGGCTAGAAGGTTGGGCAATTGTTTTAAAGACCCCTCCATCTCCCCTGGACCCTGGACCACCTTTCTTTCTCGTCATTGTTCTATCTCTTCTTTTTTAAAGGCTTTTTGGCCTTCTTGGTTCGTCTCCAACCAAAGACGCTCGTTCAGGGATCTGGAATTTCTTGTCCCACTCTCTTTCGTTTGAAATTGGTTTATTTTCTTTGAGGCTTTTCACTGTTGATCATTGATAATCCTAATCGCTTTTGCTTGTGTTGCCTATATTCAGGAATTGCGGCTTCTTCTATCTTTTCTTGTTCATTATTGTGGACTACCCTACCGGGACACTTTTATTCCACTGAAAACTTCTTTTGTCTTCTCATTTCCACCGTCTTGTCAATCATTGACACCCTTCCAAGATGAAGGTCGCTTCTGCTATCACGTTTCTCTCTCTGTTGGCTTCTAGCCAGGCTACTGGATCTGTTCGTCTTTCAATGATCCCGCCAAAGATTAAATTGCTAACGCCTATCTTCTACAGTACTGGGGCTCTGAGAAGTGTTACTCGAACCCTGGAAGATCGGCAAACAAGTGTAACGATCACCAGCAAAAGGGCTTCAGCTGGACTGATCTCGCTGCTGGCTCGTTCTCAAGCTACGGCGGCTTCTCCTTCTCCGGTTTCACCTGCGGCAATGGCTTTGGATCTAGCCTTGGCAAGCGTGGCGTAAGTTGAATCCGTTCATCGCCAGACGAATGCTAACTTGTTCCACAGACCCAGAAGTGTATCTCCGGTACCGTGTCAAAGGGCGGCTCAAGCTCAAGCTCTGGGTCTAGCTCTGCTTCCGGTTCTTTCTCCGGTTCCTTCTCCGGTTCTGCCGGCTCTAGCTCCTCTAGCTCCGGCTCATCAGCTCCATCTTTCTCGTGTGGTTCAGAGGAGAGCGGCTTCTCTGTGACAGACTTCCATGTTGCCACCGAGAAGGACACCGAGCTGCACATCATCTACAGCATGCCAGATGGATCCACATGTAAGAACACCGCATCTTGCAACTCCGGTGGCACCGTCGTGAGCAATGACCAGTGTGGAGGTGCCACATCTGTTCACTTTGAGCTTCCCGAGGACAGTGAGCATGAGAGCTGCGGCTTCGGAATCTACAGCGTTGGCTTTGACTGCACTCCTGGTTCCACAACCACTGCACCGGCCGCTGCCAGCAGTCCTCCTGCTACCTCAGTGCCTTACTCATCTGGACCTGCTGGCTCTAGCTCCATTGTTGTGCCTTCCGTCTCTGTTCCTGAATCTTCGGTTCTGCCTGTTACTACCCCAGCCGGGAGCACTCCTGCTGCGAGCACTCCTTTCGGCAGCACCCCGGCTATTAGCACCCCTGTCCAGATGACTACTTCGACTGTTTACACCACCAGTGAAGTCACCATCACCAGCTGCGCTGCTAGCGTTACAAACTGCCCGGCCGACTCGACTATTGTCACCACTTCGACTATCGCCATTTCGACTACTGTGTGTCCCGTCACTGATGCCACTCCCGTCCCTGCAAGCTCCCCACCGCTGCCCTCTGGGCCTATCCCAAGCAGCGTCTTGCCTGTCGGTTCATCTGTTGTATCTGCCTCGCCTAGTGAAACTCCAGCTGGCGCATCCTCAGTCCCAGCTTCTTCGTCTGTTGTGTCCTCTTCCGCTAGTGGCACACCAGCCATCAGCACTCCTGTTCGGATGACCACCTCGACTGTTTACGCCACTAGCGAGATTACTATTACCAGCTGTGCTGCTAGCGTCACCAACTGCCCCGCTGATTCAACTATTGTCACTACTTCGACTGTTGCTGTTTCGACCACCGTCTGCCCTGTCACCGAGACAAGTCCCGCCGCTGCAAGCTCTCCATCTCTGCCCGCGGGACCTAGCCCGAGCAGCGTCTTGCCTGTCGGCTCATCTATTGTGTCAGGCTCACCCAGTGAAACTCCAGCCGGCGCGTCCTCGGTCTGGTCTTCATCGTCTGTTTGGTCGGCTTCTCCCAGCGAAACGCCAGCCGGTGCATCCTCGGTTTGGGATTCTTCGTCCGTTTGGTCTTCCTCTGCTAGTGAGACGCCTGCCCAGACTCCTGTGCCTTCAACTCCCGCGATCACTACCCCTGTTCGGATGACCACTTCGACTGTTTACGCTACTAGCGAGATCACTATCACCAGCTGTGCTGCCAGCATTACTAACTGCCCTGCTGATTCAACCATCGTCACTACTTCGACTATTGCCATCTCGACTACTGTGTGCCCTGTCACTGAGACCACCCCTGCTGGAGCCAGCTCGCCACCTGTCTCTGTTCCTGCAGGCCCAAGCCCGAGCAGTGTGTTGCCCGTTGGCTCGCCGTCTGAATCGCCTTCCCCCAGTGGCACTCCTACCGTCTCTGTCCCAGCGGGTACCCCTGGAGTTCCTAGCGTGACCTCTGTCGCTTCCTCCCCTGCCGGCACCCCCTCTACCCCCGAGGAGGCCACAACAACTGTTGTGACTTATGAGACCGTGACCACTTGCCCGATTACTGAAACTGTGACATCTGGCTCTTCTACCTTTGTCACTACCTCTCAGACAGTCTCCACGGTGACGTTGACTTCCACTGCCTCGGTTTGCACTCAATGCTCAGCTACTGCTACATCTGTTTCTCCCGAGGGTAGCTCTATCGTTCCTTCTGGACCAAGCGAGGCGTCTAGCACAGTTTTCTCCGGCACTCCTGAGGCCTCTACCCCTGCCCCAACTGGAACTCCCGAGGCTTCCGTCCCCGTGCCGTCCGAGACCCCTGAAGGATCGTCGCCATCTCCATCTGAGACCCCGGAGGGCTCCAGCCCCGTCTCGTCGGCAACCGGAGAGGCTTCTAGCCCGATTCCCAGCGGCCCTGCTGTCACCAGCTCCATTGGCTCCAGCATTGGCGTGACCACCACCCCCCGTTGTGCCTGAAGGCTCGACTGCGACTGTTGTGACCTTTGTCACCGTGACTACATGCCCCGTCACCAACACTGTCACCTCGGGATCGTCGACTTACCTCACAACCTCCAGCACTGTCTCGACTGTCACTTTGACATCCACTCCCGTGCTTCCTAGCTCCGTCGATGCTGGCAGTACTCCTGCGTTCGCCACTAGCCCTGCTCCCACCGGCCCTGCTATCACTAGCGCAATCGGCTCCAGTGTCGGTATCACCTCAACCCCCGCTGTTCCCGAGGACTCCACCACTACAATTGTGACTTATGTGACTGAGACTACCTGCCCTGTTACCAACACTGTCACTTCTGGCTCCTCGACCTACGTGGCGACTTCCAACACTGTTTCCACAGTCACTCTCACCTCTGTGTCGACAATTTGCACCAAGTGCTCTGCCACTGCCACTGCCACAGAGACTGCTGCTGTTTCTGTTGAAACCTCCGTCGCTGCTACTGGCACATCTCCAGTGTCGAGCCCCGCCCCATCGTCCCTTTGCCCTAACACTGTGCCTCAGTGTATCAACACCTGGCTGAGCCTGGTGCCCAAGTGCAACTCCAACAGTGACGCTTCTTGCTTCTGCCCCAACAGCGAGTTCACCTCCAAGGTTATTTCCTGCATTCAAGCTTGGGGTTCAAGCAAGAGCGAGATCCAATCCGCTCTGTCGTACTTCACCGGTATCTGCGCCACCTGGGTGCCCGAGAACCCCGGCATCGTGACTGCGATTCCCTCAACCATCACTCTGATCCCAACAGTCGCTCCCTCGCTCCCTGCCTCTAGTGTTGCAGCTGCCTCCGGTGCCGTTACCGAGAGCGCTGTGGTCCCTGTCACTTCTGCCCCTGCAATCCCCGTGACCACCATCACTTACTCCACTTACACTGTGACTGTTCCTCAGGTCAGCTTCGTCACCGGACCCGCCGCCAGCTCTGGCGTCGCCGCAACAGTCGGTCTGGTCCCAGCTGCCCCCTAGCGGCGCCTCCCCAGCCAATACCGGAAACGTCCCTGCCCCAGCCTCGGCGACTTTCGTCACTGCTTCCAGTGGTCGTGCCTCCGCTACAGCCAGTACATCTTACAGTGCGAGTGCCTCTCCGATCTTCAACTCCGCGTCGAGCTTGTCGGTCGCCTACAGCCTGGTGCTGGCTTCTCTCGCTGCTTTCCTCAGCTTGATGATGTAAACATTTTTGGATCATGTGTTCCTCGTTGATATTTCTTTGATATAAACATGCACAGTGTGATTTAGACTCACTTTTTTGGTTTTAAATTGGTTTTGTCTTCTTTGTTCTGTATGACCTCGATTTGGAATCGGAAGGTGTGCGGCTTTGAATTGACTCAGATGGCCTGTTCATCGGCATCATATCTGTACTTTATTTATTCACTCTCTAATTGATGCGATAGACTTCGCTGTTTCGTTGAAAAGAAAATTGCCCTTGAACTAATTGCTAACACCAGGAAATATGGAATGTTGCGCTGATTTCGACCATGAATCATCACCTGGACAGACATGAAACCAACCTTGGAAGGTTGACATAGTCTTGGAAGAACGTGGAAAAGAGTCAAAAATCGTGCTAATAAAACCAAGCATACATCCATCGTCTTGGTAAATCCCGTAGCCCAATCTTCCACAGTGACCTTGAGCAAACCACCAAAGCACTAAGGGCCATACAGGCACCAGTGAAAATGACCACAGCCATATACTTCACCAAGCCATAGTTCTCCAACTCAACTCCTTGCAAAATCAAGTTACCACCCAGAGGGCCAGTCGCCACATTCCCAATTCCCTTTCCAAAGCAAAATAATCCAAATATCATCGAAGTGGCCGTCGGATCTGTACTAACGGACGTAGACATCCTTGCCCACATAGCGACGTATCCGGCACCGAAGAACCCATAAATCAGAGCGAACGCAACCAAAGGCGCCAACGAATGAGCAAATCCCCAAATCGTAAACGCAGCAACAGCTGCACCAACACTTGATAGGGTAATCAGGAGATTCACAGACACACTCTTGTCGGATAAGAAACCAAAAGTGAACTGCCCTGCTACCTGGGCAACACTCATCAGCGCCAAAAGCAATGCCCCTTCCGTATTGCTCAGTCCAATAGATCTAGCATACGAGGGAAGGTAGAGCGACGGCAGGAAATATCCGAGGCCCTGGGCAATATTCGAAGCTGAGTATACCCAAAACAAAGGAGTTCGCAGGAAACTCCAATCTGACTTAGCTGTGGCGGAGGCCGTATGTCTAGATGCAGGGAGTCGGCCCTTCAGGAACGGAATTAATGGACCCGTTAATATGAAAAGCGCCACAGCGACGGCACGCAATGTAACGCGATAGCCGTACTTATCCAGCATCTTCCCCATTATGAATGGCATCACGGCACCTGAAACACCAGTGGCGCTGCACAGGAGACCGTAAGCCATTCCGCGGCGCGCAATCCAATATTCGTTCACCATGTTGAGAATGGGATAATAAAATATGAGGAAACCGACGCCGTAGGCTACACCCTGAGTCAAGATGAGGGTCTCGAGCGTACTCGCGAAAGACCCAGCGACGAGAGCGAGGATACAGATTGGCCCTGGTGGAGTCAGCATAGACACCTGGGCATAGAGATTGACTTTAGCGGAAACAGTACATCCAATCCAGATCATCTGTCGCTGGTATCTTTGATAGCGCTTGATGAATGGGGCTGTCAACGGGGCTCCGAGATAGGAGATTCCCGACGCCACGGTCCCAACGACGGAGATGTAACGGCTATCTGCGAATTCCGGGAGCTCGGAATAATAGTCCTGGAAGACGCCGAAAGACAGTGGGAAGCCTGCATTGTGTCAGGATCGGATCGTTGCAAGGACTCTGACGATGTAGTACTTGCCCCATAACAATGATTCAAAAACGAAGGCGGTTCCTAGCAATTTCCATGCTGCTAGACCGCGGTCGGTTGGGGCAAGTTCTTGGTTGATAAAGGCCCCATCGTGTGGCTCTTGGAGTTCAATTTCTTGCAATGGGTGAGGGGGTACAATTTCTGTCAGAGAAGTCGATGTCATGGCAGCAATTCCCCAAAGGCCGATTGACGAGTATATCAGGAGAGCACGAGGCCACAAGACCAAAGCAACCGCATTGAGCAAGCACCGCATACGATAAGCGGGTCCATCCCCACGTGGATAGAGTGGGGGCCGGAGTAATGCCGAGGTACAAGCGCTAGAGCCGCGCATCTATCCAACTTGAGGTGATTGTTCACGACAGTCAACTGAGCACTAGGACAGAAGGGTTCTTTTCGTGACTTTGATTCAATCAATCTGGGCTAACTAAATAGAATTTTAAGCCACCACGGAGCACGATACAGCGCACATCAAGGTGCTCACCATTCCACCTGCACTTTACTTCTCCGATGGGTTGCTGCGGAGCTTGGGTGAGTCGTTTCGCGAGACTTCACGACTATCAAGCCACTCCATATACTCCCTAATGCCCTCCTCGCTGCTTCGGAAACGAAGGGTGGAGCCGGCGCGGCGAAGCTTGGCTGTATTGGCACATGTCTCATTCTGGAACCTGCCTTTCAAGTGAGCAGGGAACTCCTCCGAGCCGATATATCCCTCTGGTTTGCCGAAATAGCGAGCAACAAGGGTTGCGAGGTCGTGAAATGAGGTGGCAACTCCGGTGCCGACATTGTAAATACCGCTGATCTCCGGGTGATCGAGGAACCAGCAATTGAGACGTGCAACATCCTCGACATGAACGAAATCGCGCTTCTGCTGTCCGCCTTTGTATCCATCGTTGTCTCCGAGGAGCTTGATGACCTTGAACTCCTTGCGCTTCTGGTAGAATTGGAATGGAACACTGGCGCGTTCTCCCTTGTAGTCTTCATTGGGTCCATACACGCTAAACAGGCGAAGACCAACAATCTGCGGAGATCGAACTTCGGTGTTGTGTACCACGTACTGGTCGAAAAGCATCTGGAAATACGCTGATGTTTTCATGGGAGCCTCCATCCCCGCATCCTCCCCGACATCCGAATGATTGCCGTAAACTTTATCCGAGGAGGCGTAGATGAAGCGAGCTTGGTGGGACTTGCACCAGTTGAGGAGCTCCTTCGGGTATGTGAAGTGGGTATCGAGAAGATTATTCTCGCCAGTGATTTCGGAAGGGACAGCGTCGCGAGTGCCGTAGTGGAAAATGATTCGAGGGCGAATAGACATCGAATTAGTCTGGATCATCTCTCGAAAGCGTGTGGTGTCAATAAAGTCGGCGATCTTGCAGTCGGCCAGGTTGCGGAATTTGCCATCATCCTTCAGGTCATCCACGACAACGATCTTTGTAAGCCCGCGACCGTTCAGTTCTTTGATGAGGTTAGAGCCTATGAAGCCAGCACCACCCGTGATGACAATCATTTTGGGAGAAGTGGAGGATTAGTGGACGCGGTGTGGAGGGAGATTGGAGAGAGGAAAGAGGTGACAGAACTCGAGGAAGTGGTCGCAAAGGGAAGGAGCGACTCTGCAAAGCTCTCGAGTCATGCCTTCCCTTTCAAAACTCTTGGTGATAGTTGAGAGGGAAGGAACAGTCTGCTGAACTTTGCAAGAGCAAAACAATTGATCATCTACATCGTCAGTTCACAGTTATCTCATGAATGTTGGCTTCATGTTCGAGTCGAGGACCCATTGCCGATATCACAATATAGAGATCTTAAAATTCTTTGGAAGAAAATGTAAATATGAGTCCCCAGACTGAAAATTCACAACCTCAGGCATATCCTGAAAGTGAACTGAGAAAGACATGCCGAAACGGGAAGACCCTGTTCAGGAAGACCAGGGCTCGGAAAATTGGCTTTGTCAGACACCACGCAAACAAAGACGAAACAATCCAATTATTGAAAATCTCCTTGCGAGAATTAATATTCAATAGTGAAAATAGTCAGAATAGTGTGAATCTTGCAGCGAGAGGTCTGACATCAAGTTGGCTTATCTTTCGCCAGCGAGTGGCCGAGATAAGCCAACAGCCCTAGATTGGCCAGCGAACAATCCGATTCATCAACTTCTTCACCTCGCCCTTTTTGGCGGCTGTTACATATGACAATTCCGGAGTATACATCAGATACGGAGCACGGATTACCCCATGATAAGCCGGGTCTCCATGGGTGTTCCTTTCCAAAGTGGACCCAGGGGCACTGACAGCCGCAAAACGCTCAGTACTGCACGGTTATCTATATAGAACCTCTCTCGCTTTCCATTTCAGCCCCAAGCGCCATGTCTCATTCACAAGAGCACACTTCGTTATGGTGGCCCGAGGAACGAATCAAGGCCACCCTCACTGCCAAGTATATCGTCAGCCGCCTGCAGCCGGAGAATATTCCGCGCCTCTTCGAATTACCCGACTGGGGTGAGGGCTTGACCAGCGAAACGTACATGGAATGGATCATTCTCAAAGCCGGCCGTGTGTTTCTGATCCTTGATGCGATCGGCATTCCCGATCGCATCTTCGCGTTGGTCAATGAGTCTTGTGACGATGATGATCTGCCTGTCGCCGAGCACAGTGTCGATCTTTTGCATCTGTCACCGTATGGCGAGGACCTCGCGTTAGAACAGCGCTTCTTTCATGCGCAATGGCGATTCCTGGTCCGTGGTATCGGTGATGGAGAGCATGTCGTCTATACTGAGAACGAGGGCGTCCCTGTCGAGGCAGTGCGAACCAACACCAGCAGCGGCGTTCATGGCCGTGACGACACGGTCGACAGGGTCGTCCTCGCAGGCTCCCTCTGCCGTGTATACATGCGAACTCAAGTCCAAGTTGGCGGCGCACCTCACTTCTTCTCAGCGGATGAGGTCCTCGCCGAAATTCGCAAGTTGAAAAAGCTGTCCCATGAACACCTCATCTCAGTGTACGCATCGTACCTCAAAGAAGACAATGTATGCATCCTCTTCACTGGCGCCACCGCAGATCGAAACCTCCACAGTTTCCTGACAGACGAGCCGCTGTCCTTCAAGCGCTTGGAAAAAGAACAGCGTCGTCAGATCTTGATCACCTGGCCACACTGTCTGGCATCAGCGGTCTCCTGGCTGCATGCCCGCGGCTACTCCCACGGCGCAATCCGCCCATCAAACATTCTCATCGACGCCGATTTCCACATCTGTCTGGGCCAATTCCAAGCCCTCGACTCTCTCCTTGCACCACCCCATGTAAACGACCTAGAGGCCTACAACTATTCAGCACCGGAGCGATGGATCCGCACCGCCGCACCAATTGCACCTCAAAAGCCTCAACAAGTCCAGACAATCCAAGCCTCAGGAGGGCGTACGAAGCGCCGACAAAAGCCAGCCCGCCTGGCCCTCGCACCTCTAAGCGAAAGTCCACTTTCCTCCCCAGATCATACACGACCAGACTCAGCCGCATCAAAAGGCACCGTCATCCGCATTGGACTCCCAGGCTCGCCATCGCGCTTCTCAATCGCCTTCTCATCCTCTTCATCATCAACAGCCTCAACAGCATCTTCCGGTCCAAACAGCCAACCTTCAAACCCAGGCACCAAAAAGCACCGCATCTCATCCCTCTGGCCCAGACGCAAACCACCCTCAATCACCTCCTCAAACTCCTCATCATGCAATTCAAACGCAACCTCAACCTCAGCCTCAACTTCAACATCCACCCCCTCAATTCCCCCTTCCCCATCATCCCTACACCCAAATATCAACATCCCACCAAACACCCTCTCCCCAAACACAATCCCCCTCCGCCACTCCCAATCCGCCCAATCCCTCACAAGCTTTACCTCTAGACCCCAAAGCCAAGCCCCCTCAATCGCACCCCCATTCCCCGCATCCCCAACACCAGGCCCACCCCAATCACCAGCAGACCTCTTCTCCCTCGCCGCCGTAACCCTCGACATCCTAACAACCCTCCACAAACGCACCTTGCAATCCTTTGCATCCCACCGCAGTGCCCGGAACCGCTCAGCGGGTCGCGGCGGCGGAATCGCAGATGCGAGCTTCCATCTCGCGCGCAATGCGGTGCAGGTGCAGAGTTGGATTGCGTTGTTGGAGGGTGATGCGTTGAAGCGGTGTCGGAGGGATAGGAGGTCCGATGCGGCTTTTTGGGCTGTGCCGAGGATGTTGATTGCTGTTAGGGCTATGTTGGATTCTGAGGCTGGGAAGAGACCGCTTGCGAGGAGGGCGAGGAGGTGTTTTGCGGCTGCTGTTGAGAGGGGTGGAGGGAAGGGGACGTTGGTGGTTCATTGTTTGAGGGAGGGGAAGGAGAAGGAGAAGGGGAAGGATGAGAAGGTTAAAGAGGTTAAGAGGGAGGGATTGGAGGTTATTCAAGAGAATGGGAAGAGTGGTGTGTATGTTGCGCCATCTGTTGTTCCGTCGGAGTCGGCTTCTGAGTTTGATTTCGGGTTTGGGGATGCCAGTGGGGATGAAAGCCACACTCAGGATGAGGATGAGATTGAAGATGATGAGGAGTCAATTATTGATTGCGGTATTGTTCCGGAAGAGATGGAGGAAATTCACGTGCCAGAAGAAGAAGGCACTCATGAGACGGAGAGTGAAGACGAACATTATGAATCAGGATATGACTCCGAGCCTGATATACGGGTCCAGCAGGATTCGCCTCAAATTTATCTGCCCGAGTTGGATGTGAACATCACGGGGATGGAAGGGTTGACGTTTAATGATTTTAGTCGGTGATGCCCATCTGGGCAGATGTATATTATGTTATGTTTTCACGAGGGTCTATTGACCGGGTACTTGGTTCAGCACTAATAATTCATTTCTTGTGTATACTTCGTTTTCGTGAAAGACAGACCTAAGATGGCATAACCTGTATGCGCAGGTCCAGCAGATGCAATGTGTTGGGGCCCATCTATTCCAAATGCTGATGCATATCAATACAGTGGTCTCACCAATTTTTCGGCGAGGGATGATGAGATAATTTACAGCCAGAAGGCAACAACGCCAACCAGGCCGGAGAGCACAAGAGAGCCAGCGAGCAGACGCTCGGTGACTGGCGAAGTGGCGGCAATTGCGTTGGCAGCGCCCTTGGTGGAAGAGGCAGTGGTGGAGGAGCCGGTGGAGCTAGCTCCGCCGGCTGTAGTGGTAGCAGTGTACTCGTCGTCTCCCTTCTTGTAGGTCTGGCCCAGGGTAGGAAGCGGCGAGTTAGGGTTGATCGACCAGCCACCAGAGGTCGACGCAGGGCACTCGAGAGACGCGCTAGAGGCGCTCTTCTTGTAGGCAGACAGCGCAACACCGGTTGGGTTCAGGCTAGCCCACTGAGACTTGAGGTTTTGGAAATCGGGAGAGATCGGGGTTGGAGTACCCTGGCGAGTGAAACCGTCCTGGACGTCAGTGGCAGTGGCAGTTGACGGGTCGACGGAAGCGCCGTAGCTGACCAATCCGTAGTCATTTGTCTCCTCAATCCACTCGTAGATGATGGATCCAGACCAAGTATCGGCCATCTGGTCACCAAAGATAGCGGACTGGTCCCCGAAAGTACGCGGCTTGACGGTGTTACAGCCAGTCTCAGAGAAGAAGATAGGAATGGGGTAATCAGTCGCATTCTTCTGCAGTGCGCTGTAACCAGACAGCGAGTAGGTCGAGTCTCCGCACCACTCGTATGCATTCAGCGAGTAGAAGTCCAAGCGCTCGGAGGCATTGGAGGAACACGCCAAGTAGTTCTGCAGCATGGGTCTCAAATCAGCAATATCGGCTGCGGAGTAACCGACGGGGATCTCGCGATAGCCCTTCTGATCACGGTAGGCTTTCACATCACGGGCAGCAGCCAAGACATAGGGAGCCGCGGGAACGCCCTCGGGGGTGGTCAAGACCTCATTTCCGACGAGAACACCGGCAGTGTTCTTGTACTGCTGGAACTCATCAAGAACCTCCTTGAAGCGATCAAACTGAGTCTCATTCCAGTGAGGATTAGTCTAGACCAGTCGGTCAGGTCAGCAGGTGCATCTCCCCATCTCAAGGCTCAAGTGGGCCACATACCTGTTCGATCTGAGTGGTGAAAGTATCGAGATCCACGAACAGGTGGATTCCTGTAAGACGATCAGTACCAGTCACCGGGGAGCCGAAAAGCGATCGGCCATACCTGCATCTGCCAGAGCCGTCATACAGCCCTTGTGATCCGCGCTCGGGTCCACATGGTACACCCGAATGGCGTTGGTGCCCAGCTCGGCCATGCGGGCGATATCACGCTTACATTGGGCAGTATCGACCAGTGGGTCGTCCGGTGTGAGCTGATAAGCAATACCTGTCTGGGGTCAGCCAAGTACTTGGCACATCACAGGAGATAAGCCCACCCTTGATGTAGAATTGGGTGCCGTTCTCGTAGAAGAACTTGGACCCGACGGCCGAGATACTCGGGATGGCGCTCACGGTGGTGGCTTGCAAGCCAGCGAGCAGCAACGGCGCGAGTGCCCAAGACAACATGATTAAGTGTGTAGAATAAGAGAATAGTACTCAAACCTGGAGAATACAATACTAGCACAGGTTGAAAGAAACCCTTGGAAGAAGAAAAGAGAAGCAGAACTGCGACAATTCAGTTTGTCCTTGCCCGAAAGAATGAAGGCAGGTACAAACCAAAAAAGCAACAAACGAGGGCGAGAAGGAAAATGAGCAGAGAATTTGAAGCTAACAAGGCCGGTTCCTTGATTTGCGACTCTAGCAACCAAATTATCTGCAGGACCATTATTTCCAACTAGCGTGCTTCATTCTTCGACATGCCAGGGATAGGCTCAATGTTTTTCAATTCATTCCGAGAGTTTACTTAGGCACTTGAAAGAGTATTTTGGAAACCTTGTCAGGGAGTACTTCGCATCCGAATATTGTTTGTTTACTGTACGACCTAGATCTGTAGTTGTCGCACCGCATTGGAGAGTATAAGAGCAGGAAATGGAGTCCCCCCGGTTAGGTGCCCAAAGAGTACTTAGCGTGGCCTTAGCGCGGGTAACCGTTGGGGCCCAGCCCTAGTCCAGAGCCCGACATTTGAAGATACAAGGACGCAGGACGGATCATCGATGCAGATATCACACGCATGTAGTACTACGTCCTGCTTACTCCGTACAGGTAGAGCTGATAGCCAAAATTAGAAGACTCCCAATGTACGGAGTAAATATTGAAAGTTGGTTGTGCATATCGACCTCTCGGGGTCTCTCCTTACCCGGAATTTACCGAGCCCGACTATAAATAAAGATCCGATTGAGGCGTTGAGACATTGAGACATTGAGGTTTGCCACTGTTCTACCTATTTGTAGATACTCGAGTAGGGAGTAGATTCGATAATTTTGGGAATGTATAGGAGTATACACTGATAGTTATAGTAGCAGCAATAGTACCGAGAGTACTCCGGAGTACCCCATTGCGAAACCCTGTCAATCACTTCTCTTCTAGACTTAGACCCCTAATCCCCACTAGCACTGGAGATGGAAAAGATATGCTAACTTCAAACCTGGCACCAGATGATCGATCGGCAGAGAAATTTGAGAGATTTTTTTTTAATATGGGATCAGTGTGCGATGATTTTTCTTTGTTGGGCAGCTAAAAAAATCCAAGGTTACAATCAATACGGAGTAGTATCTTGTAGAGCCTATAGCGAGACCTCAACCGGTCAATAATTGTAGTTAGGGATAACGCCATGCGATCGACTCTTTTTTAAGAGCCACGAGACAGCCACGCTACCCCACTGGGCGGTTTTCGGCGGTCGCCACAGAGGGCTAGAACGGGGGCCCTTTTGTGAGATAGGAGTAGGTGTATAATCAAAAAACTTGAGATGGGAGGGAAATATTGTATATTGCCAAAGATGGAGAAGAGCATGTAGACGTCAACAAAGTACTACGTATACTTGAAACCACAAATGCTTGACTTGCTCCAGTCTGGAGTGCTTGTACAGTGTAGTACTTGGAGTGCAACAGTCCAGACTTCTCTCCAATCTCCACTCCTCCACTCCATTCCGATGAATCCGCCAATGATCGTCGGGATACGCAGAGTGTTCGTCAGCTAGTGGAGCCAGCCATTAAGATCATCTCCTTTGCCCTTTGAACGGCCTAAAACGGGAAAGCCATGGCCCTTACGATATGACGTTTCCGCAAAGGGGGAAAGAGACTATAACATGCCCGTTTCCGGCGATTTTTCTGGACCCTTTATTTTCTATATGCTTTTCGCCCTGGATTTTATTCACGACATGGTTCTATAATCTCGCCACTGGAAATTAGCACTTCATACACAATGGCATCTCCATTCCACATCTCACACTACGACCAGGTCGAGCTGGAGCGTAATGAGGCCTTCAGTACGATGCGTGAGCAGCTGCGCCGCCAAGAATGCGGCATGGAGCGACCGAGTTTCTGCGCCTGCCACCGACTCTCCTGCACTCCGGACGAACAAGAGACCTTCCGCTTCCACCGCGATATCATCCACACCCTCCTCGTCCCCCTCTTCTTGATCAACCACCAAGCCGAGCGCACCGCCGCCCGAACACTCCCCAGCCAAAAGGGCGCCGAACCCGAACGCGCCTTCCGTGGCGAAGCTCGCTCCGCCTTTGCCTGGCTCAACTGCATTCTCACCGAAGAACACGACTGGTACCTCACAGCCCGCTGCCCAGCCTGCATCGTCCAGCACGTCCTCCACTCCGAGCCCACTATCCGATTTGTGACTGTTGCCTCGCAGCTGGCGGGCGCCAGTTCCGGCTTCCAATGCTGGTTGACCGCGCTCGAGACCGCCGTCTGCGAAGACCCTTTCTGGGGCGATGCTTTCTGGCCCGATATCGAGGAGCGTGCTTCGCGATTGACTGACGGCGTGCGCCAGCTCGTTCGTCAATGCTACGAACTCACCGCCAACCTGGAGAACCCTCATGTCTCGGCCAAGGCCGCTGGATCCGTCTACGCCAACCGCTCTGCGACCTGCACTATCCCCCTGAAGCCGTCCAGCTTCGCCCGCAAGCAGGTGCGACTTACTCGGGAAGAGCAGCGATACCGTTCTTCCCTGTGGACCTGCTCGGAGATGAGACAGCCGCTGGCCGGCTGTACTACTGCGCCCAAGTCTCGACGCCGGTCGCTGACTTCATGAAGGGGCAATTTGCGAGCCATGACATGATTGTCATGCGCAATTTCCTTTCCATTTACTTCACACATGTGATTTACAGGGCTAGTCCATTCGACAGCCACCAGACCCAATGTCCACTGTGTCTTGAAAGACCTCTGGACCCGGACCTAAGGAACCTAAGGGACATCACGGAATCTATTCCCGACCCATATTGGCACATGGCCAAGCACGCGACCGAGATCCCACTCGATATGCAAGGGTCGCCACGCCTCTGGAGTAGACATGATGCAATCAACTCCAGAGCCGTGGGTGAGGGAAAGCTTCCCCAGACCACGGTCAACTCTTATCTGGTTACCATGAGCTCAGAAATTTTAGATTTCTCCAGGCTTCCTCAGACTTAACTAGAATAATCTTAATCTTAATATCAGTCTACCAGAATATTCTACTACATCCATGGATGACATTTCATATCTTTATAGTATCTCTCCACAGTCATGCAATATAAACCAGTCCTCCGTAGTTCCGATTCCATGGTAACACGGTGTCCGGGCCACGCATGCATCCACGTACAGTGTCACAAATAAATTCCGTGCAAGGTTGAGATAAAACAATATGTGATCTCCAATCTCCCAGGCGGAAATTCCACCACTGGCAGAGCTGAACGGGAGTGGCAAGACACTCTAAGTGAGACGGTGGAGCAGTCCGGAGATGGAACAGGGAAGTGAACCAGATCTGGGTGCACGGTGGAAATTAACGCCCCAACGGCGCAACGGCCTCAGATGATGCCAGATCTGTGGATGGGGCCCTGTCAGATGCCACTTAATCGGGGCTCAGGGTCTGGAATGCGAACTTCCTGCGAACTATAGAGAGTCACGATCTAGGGCTAGACCGTAACGGACATTTAGGGACTTGAGAAAAGAGACTATGACTAAGCTACAAGCTGAGACGCAAGACGCAGTAGTCGATTAGTCTGGAAGCACGTACAGAATACCAAGTACACCTAGAATACTAGAGTACTAAATCGAATAACAAGTCCCAAGTATAAATGTGCATATATGCGCTGGCACGAAAATTAGATTTGCATTACGAGTTGCCGATGCCCAACCCCTCAGTGGCGAGACCGGAAACGGGACTATGCGCAAGAGTCCCAAGGTCAATCCAACGGACAGTCCAATAGGTGAGCCGTACAGGCCCAAAGGGTTGTGAATACTTCGTCTAGGCCCGGCATTGTGCGGTACGAAACAATCATCCAGGATCACACATTGGGGGACGGGAGAAAAATGGATACAAATTAACAGTGTATGCTGGAGTCTGGTTCAGGCAATGAGGAGGTCAGCGACTCATCAACCCGATGCACAAACCGAAAATGATCGCCCCCCCGTGGAGCTAAGGACAAGCCACCGGTCGCTCTAGACTGCAACAATTTTAGCATCGTAAGAATAACACCTAACAGTCATAGTCACAGAACAACATAACCACTTCACCATAACACATAAACTTGATAATCAAAAATTAATCTATAGATCTTATATGGGAATTAATTACGGAGGGTAATAAAAGAGAATAGAACGAGGACATCCCTTACTTCCACGGAACCGATGACTCCATGACTTTGAAGGTCTAGACTCTTCCCACCTTTCCGAGTCTAGCCCAGCCCCGGTGTACTCAGTACCTGCAATTGTGCCTGTCAGCCCATACTGAGCCTGGGTACCCAATACCTGCTTGCTCCACGTCCATAGGATTTCCCTCTTTTCCTCTTAATACTGAACCTCTTTCCTCTGACTTTTCGAAACTCTTTCCCATTCTCATCATTTCCCCTGTCCCTCACGGCCTCTGCTCCCATGCCGACCGTCATCTCCCTCCCTCCGCTCCAAACTGACTGGATGAATCGCAATGGAAAATGGCCCGTCTCTCCCTCTGAGACCATGCATGCACCTGTGAAAAACGACTCTGCCTATAACTCCGACTTGCAAGAAACCTTGAACCCCGCGAAGCTTCGTCGTCGAGCCTCCCAGGGATCTTTGCGGACACGTCCCTCCCCCGTTTCCCGCTTCCTCTCGAAGAGCAGCGTGGCCGTGAACTTCCCATCCTGGGAACACCGGTCCTCGCATGGGTCGACTCGGTCTGAATCCCGCACCAGATCCGCCGACTCTCGCCTTCGCCTTTCTACCACCGTGTCTCGCGGGCCGAGACCTCTCACTGCTTCTTCCTCGTGGAACTCTCCGCCTGCATACCAAGGCGAATACCCCACCACGTTACCCCCCACGCCGCCTGAGGACGATATCCCCGTAGCCTGGGATACCAAGTCTGAGATGTTGCTGTTTGATACACACCATCCGGGCAACATGCCCATGATGGATGACACGCCGAGCGTGGACAACTCCTCGACAAATGGAACGTCAGATACATTGAGCAGCCCATCAGATGGGCTATCACATAGAGGCTCCAGCAGCTCCGGCGGTAGTCCGGGACCTCGCGATGATATGGACTGCCAGCAAGATATGGGGTCATGGCTGGATCATGGCATCAATATGACTGGTAAGTTTCGGGTGTTTTTTGTGTTTTCCTGAACAATCACTGATGTTCGTCTTTTTTCAGCTTCTTCACTCTCTCTCGCCAACCCTCGAGGCGAGGCTGTCAAAATCGTTTCCCAGACCCTCCCATATCCTCAAACATCTGATCAGTCGGTGTCATTACCTAAAACCGACAGCGTCTTTTGCTCCATGGTTCAGGCCGTCCACAACCACCTCCAGCCTGGCCAATCTCCATATATCAATGTCACACACGCAGTGCCGGAGCACTTTAGTCTCTCGAATCTCCCCCACTCTCCACCCAGCACACCGCGCTCCTCAACTTCTGCGGAGGATTACTTCAATGCCACCGTCTTCTCCAGTGCGGCGGTCGTCGGAGCCTATCACGATTACCGTGGTCCCCTCCAACGGCAAATGACTCATGCCCCGATGCCCATCGTGCCTCCTCACAGCGTCCACATCTCCGTTCTCGAGCGCTATCTCCCTCCACCTTCCGCTCAAGAATACCGTGATGTGTTCTGTCCCACCCGTCCGTCGTTCCTCGTTGATCGCATGAGCGAGCTGTCGCCCAACGGCGGCTCCCTCCTTTTCGTGTACCCTACCAAGAAGGGTGCATCGACCTTCAAATCTCAATACCTCGGACCTATTCTCGACCCCCTCCTCCGCCAACTCGTCGTGGTGAATGAACTCTCCGCAGACGTGGGCCGCTACCTCGGCAAACTCTCCTCGGTCTCCCAGATGGACGACTTCGCCACCATGAAGGCGAACATCGTCGCACTCTGCGAGTCCCTCAGCTCTCCCTCCTCCAAATTCCACGTCGCAGATGCTGGCCGCGGAAGCACCCATCTTGACCGCAACCAATGGTCCGAATGGTTCATCCACCAAGAGAAAGCCCGCATGAAAGAGGTCCTCAGTCTATACTGGCAGAACGGCCGACGCTCGCACAAGTCGATGGGCCCCGGTTCCGGCATGATGGGCAGCAAAGAAGTCACCTCATCAGGACTTCTGAGCGAGATCTGCGACGGAATCCGCAAACGACGATACGGCGAAGACAACGAGCCTCGAGACGGTATCGAGCTCGGAGTCTTCGTCATCCGTCGATCCAACTAGATCCATTCGTGATCTCACCCTTAACCCCCAACACCCACCCTTCTTCTTCTCTTCTTCCCTCTCTCCCTCTTTTTCCCCTTTAGCATATTTTAAACAAACGCTTCCCCCCAAAATAATGGGAGCCACGGAGGCGTCCCCGGTGTTGGATTTTTTTTCTGGCTTTTGGCTTTCGGTGCGAATTGCGTATCTTGCATGACTCGTTCGGGGCGGCTCCCCGCGGGATCTTGAAATGAACTATGAATACCCTGGTTGTTGGCGCGGGGTTTTATGATGTTTCTATCTTGATGATAGATAATAGATACACCCAATATGGGAAATATATCTGCTATAAACTGCATTCTGTTTCATCTTCGTAGTCGCTATCGATATGGAATTCAGCGCTTAGGATAGGGGCTGGGGTCGAGGGGGTCAGGCTGATTTTAGGCTTCACCGGTCTTTCTGATGCTCCCGGAGTCTCGGAGATTATATGTGACATCTTCAGGAACCTTGGAAGACTCTGGCTATTTCGTCATTGCTTTTTTTTTTTTTTTTTTTTTTGGCTACGCTAGCGTAGCGCTTAGTTCTTTTGGGAATGCTGCCCAGGTGTGATATCTATATATGCATCGCGCCTGCGATATTGCAGCAAGAGTGTATAGAGTCGTTGCAGGAAGGCTCTGAGGTACAAGCCTTTGAGGGAGATACTTTTCTGTCAAGATTTGCTTGTAGGGGGCTGCATACAGAGTAGTGTTCAATGTAATCCCTAATCTCTAATTCTCTGTTCACGGCTTAGCCAAGACTCCCATTTCTCGACTAATTATGATAAGCTGACAATTAGTTGGAACTTTGAATGGACAGCCAAAAAAGACAGTTTAAAAGATATAGAGTATGGAGTAGTTAGAAAGATAGTTAGAATGACCGTTAAAAAAAGATCCCAAAGTTGTTGATAGTTCTGTTTCTTTACCAATCGAAATATGAGATTGAGCTAATAAATAACTACCCCTATTTACAAGTAACTATCGTCGTCTTTTTGGCCGCGCGTGAGCGCGGCACTGAGACTTGTAGGTAATACCTGGGCAGGGTTGGATTTAGTTGGTCACCTAGAATACATGTGTGGCTTATGAGCACCAACACACCCCCAACACACCACCAACACCAACCTTGGAACAACAAACATGGCCAAGCTCTCGGTATTAATCGAGTCGTCTGCTGGCGCCTGCCCCCTCTCTCCATCTCTTCGATTTCTGAATTCCCTCTTTGATCCATATCTAGCTTTGAATATTTTTGTTAGACTCAGTTTTGTTTTACAGCAAGTGAAGCTACGAGAGCGTTACATCTATTATCCCAAACGTAACTTTCCGCCGTCGCTGAGACGGTTGCGACTCTGACTGAAAGTCTGAAGCAAGAATACAAGATGTTTGCAGCTTTAATGGAGCTCTTCTGGTCTCTTACCATGGCTACCTCCCAGCTCCGTTTATCACCCATCACACCGTCCTTCCCAACCCACGAGGTGCGCAAAAGTCTCCACGATGCCGTCTCTTCAATACATGCTCTCCAAAAAGTTGGGGGAGCCGCAGGCATGTCTGTCGGGGTCATTGAATATGGGCAAATTCTCCTTGAGCATCACTTCGGGCTTCGCAGATGTTGAAAACCAGCGAGTTGCTGAATCTACAACACGATACCCGATTGGCTCCTTGTCAAAAGCTTTTGTTGCAGCTACTATCGCATAACTAGTCAATGAGGGCAAGCTTCAAGGGGACGAGCCCATCACCAAATACCTACCTGAGCTCTCTTCGCTCCCCGGCCCAATGCCCGCTGACCAGCTAACATTGATTGACATCTTGTCTCACCAAACAGGTCTGCCTGGATTAGATGCTTTATGGCTTGGTGCAGACAACGAGATCAACATACCAGAAGAGTTTACTCTTGCTATGTGCAAGCACTTGCCAGCACTGTACCCACCCCGTTCCAAGTGGTTGTACAACAACTGGATGTACGCTCTGGCTGGTAAGATTATTGGTCAAGCCGCGAATGTGTCATGGGGCCAAGCTTCAGAGTCACACGTCCTCGGCCCGGTCGGCTTGACTCAATCCTCAGTGATCGAATCTAAAATCCCAGCGGGTTCGACAGCATTGCCGTACGCTGTCCTAGATGACAAGACAAAACGGCGTATTGGCGACGTCAGGCTCACGGATGGGAGCCTTATGTCGCCGGCAGGTGGAGTCCGTAGTACACTTCACGATCTTCTCTCGTGTGGTGATGCCTTGCTATCGAGTCTTCAGGGCGAAGTATCGCCTCTTCGCCAGTTAGACAGCATTCTATTTGGCCACAGCTTCATCAACAAATCAGCCTCATTTGACGAATTGTATGGTCTTGGGTTTGCTAAAGTCACTCTACCAGCACAATTTGGAAAGATCAGGTTCAATCCAGGCCTAGTAAACGCAATGCCAGTTATTGGCTCGAAATCCGACCATCAACTTGTCTTCTATCACAACGGCGCCATTCCTAGTTACAATCATTGTATTATGTTGCTGCCGAGCGAACAGATAGCAATTGTGGTCTTGACGAACTCGATCTCGCAAGGCGATATTGCGGATTGGGTTGCTCAAACACTCCTGCAGGTTGTCTTGCGCCTCGAAACCAAAACAGACATCGTTTCACTTGCTCAGCAAACAGCCAAAAAGTGGAGGTCGGGATACCACAACTTCGTCGAAACACTTGAAAAGGAGAAAATTCCGAATACCATTCCGCCGCCGAACGAAGACCTCACCGGAACGTACGTTCATTCCCCAAGTGCCTTTCTCTTCAAGGTGTTCATGGACGACGGGCTTCTCAAATTCAATATCAATGGAAAGAAGTCACAAACTCACATGCTGACGCATTATCACAATGATACAATTTCTTTCTTGCCTTCGGCCGAGGAACGGATGAAGCGAGGGCTATTCCACTACGGGACTCATGCATGGTTGTTACATTTCAAGAGAAATGATCAAGGAGCTATCAAGGAGCTCTCATGGGTTATCGATGATAATATAAAGGAGGGGGAAGTTTTCACGAGAGTATGAACGTCAATTGAACACCATACTATGGCTCATGAAGTATTGATTCTTTGACAATCCTACGCTAGTCTATGAATTTATTAATAACATGACTCACACAATGATACAATACCACTAGTCTGAATCATATCAATACCTATGTTCAATTGAAAGATAGTAACTATACTCCATAACTATTGATCGCTGGTATAGACCCGAGAGCGGGTTTTGGTGGATCAATTATCTGAAGTCTGGATGATTCTTCATGGTCAAATTTTCACACAGAAGAATAAAATGAGAAGAGATCATATGCTTTACAGCTGCCACAGTGTTCCCTGGTTTTCGCGTTTCTTTACTTCGAACTAGTTGCGATGACAGAAGCTGAAGACCGTTAGGAAGGAACACGGAAAGACGGAAAAACAATACACCGGTGACCCACCCCTCTCATCTTCCTCCGATCACCACCCCGAATACGAACATCTTGCCCACATACACCACGCACCATGTCTTATTCAAATACCCAACCTCTCAGCCCCGGCGGTGGGGCTGGCGGTGCTCCCTCGAAACGTGACAAGCGCCGCACGGCGTTGCAGGAGCGCCTACAGGAATTGACCGGGCAGTTCAGCAACAACCGCGACATTCAGTTCCGCCAGCAGTTGCATGCTCTCCAGTGCGATATGACCCTCATAAACAATGCCGACCCATATGGTACTGGGCCACTGTCGGATACCGCAGAGAGTATTGCGTCTCTGATCGAGGAAACTGTCGGTGGTGGCAGCAAGTTCGCCAAGGAGATGGCAGGCCTGGCTGGAAACTGGTACTCCAGATTTGTGCAGCAAGTGAACGAGATAAAGGAGAAGCGGGATGCAGAATTGGTGTCAACTATGGTAAGCTCTCTCAGCGACTCCGTTTCTTGAAAGCTGGGACAACCAGTGACTTTTTTTTCTCGCCGCAGAACGGATACAACGATATTCTCGAACGACAAAATCGGGAACATGATTTCCGTGTTTACTTCGCAAAGGAAGAATTCCACCAGCTGTCTAGTACCCTCCGCGAACGATTGATGCAGACCATTTCCAGCAAACGGGCTCGTCTCATGCGCGAAAAGGAGCAGCTCGATATCGCAGACACCAATGCCCTGCTTCTCCACCCCAATCAGTTCAGCATCACCAACCCCGCAAGCCCCGGAGGTATCCACAGCAACCGCAAGACCCGACACACTCGTCACCGCGTCGACCTGGATGAGCTTGGAAATGGCGTCATCTCGGAGCTGAACAAGCGGAAGCGCAAGGCCCCAGAAGAGGAAGCAGGCACGCCCCCGCGGGACGCCGGCGATGCCACTCCCGCCAAGCGCAACAAGGTTGAAATCGCAAAGGAGCAGACGGCGCCTACATACTCGATCAACTCGCTGTTCACCGATAAGGAGCTCAGCGCGCATGCAAACCAGGCGCATGTCGCGGCAGTCCACTTCTTCTCCACATCCAAGCGCCCAGACCACGGGTCTGGAGCTGTGACAAACGGAAACAACACTGACGCCGAAGACACACCCGAAGGCACTGGTCACGAAGACAACGGCACCCCTAGTGCGGCCGACATGATGCGCACAGCAAGCCATAACTTCCACGCCACTCGATCGACGCGCACCACTGCTGCACATAGCGCCCTCAGTGCCCTCGCTGACTTGGCCGACAAGCCAGCGACTCGCCCGAACCTCCCCTACCACGTCCTCTCCAACCACCACGCTCGGCCAAACGGCAATGCGCCCCCGCTGACTGCGCTTATGAACGAGGAAGTTGACGATGACTGCGCTCGCATCAGCCGACTCACTTCCAAGCCAAACTCCTGGATCGACTTGTCGCTAGTCGAACTTGTTGCAGCACCCCTTCCAGCTTCAACGGAGCCAATCGATGGTCACCCGCCCGACCCTGCTATATACAGTCAGCTGCACCCCGACTTCTCGCCTTCTATGGGCATCGATTGGACACCTGGCACTCATCACCCTGGATTGGAGATGTTCCCCCCCCACGGCTATGGAGCGCGAGCGCAGCCGCAAGCGTACCCGCAACCATTAAGCGAATGCATGAATTTCAGGATGTACTTTAAGGCGGGATGGACGGATGGTTTTCATATTACAGGATACGGTTAGGGGGTATTTTTTTCACTGGTCATATTAGCTACTGGAGGAGTTCGGTTTTGTTTATTGTCCTCGGGCTGATGCTGGTCCCTGGTACATGTTCAGGCCTAAGGGCAAGCATAATTACATTCATTCGGCATTTCATTACTCGGCGATCTACTCGTACTTGCCGAAAAGGGTCAGGGCCTGAGCATCCCTCGGTCTGATCAAACTTAGGCACTTACCCGACCTCAAGCTTAGAAAGTCCTCTGATCACGGTCACGGCCATGTCGATGGTGTCATTTGGAGCTCAGTCGTCTCCGCACGCGATTACAAATGCCGCCTATGGACCTCGGGATGTCGGAATTGGAGAATCCCTGCTGTTAAAGCGCAATTCTTTTGCATAATCGCATTCTCTCTAATTCACCTCATATCAACAGCCATCAATATACGAAATGGCGACTTCAGCCTACATCCCTCGAGGTCCAACAACCGCAACTCTTACATTCTATGCACCGCCGCTAGACGGTGCCGCTCCATACAACTACGTCGAATCACCACCCCCAGGCCAACCTCAACGGAACTATACAGAGCACCCCCAATCAGTCCCTCTCACCGACATCCGCAGCTCCGAGTCGAGCTTCACCCTCGAGAAAGATGCGTTCCAAGCTCTACGACACATCTCATCCAAAACAAATTATCAAACATTCAACTCGGATACCTCCATCCGTGAAGACTACTATCCAGAAGTGGAATCACTCCTGCTATCCTCAATCCCAAACACCCACAAAGTAATAATCTTCGACCACACGATCCGAAGACAGAAAGACGGCGCTCCTCGTCAACCAGTGAATCGCGCTCATGTGGATCAGACACCACGCGCAGCCGCAGACCGCGTGCGCCTCCATGCCGATGACGCAGAGGTCGAGAAGCTACTCGAGGGCCGATACCGCATCGTCAATGTGTGGCGCTCGATAACAGATGAACCTGTACAGTCTGCTCCGCTGGCTTTTGCGTCGGCGAGCTCCGTGCTTGCTGATAACCTGGTGCCTGTTCAGCATCGGTATCCGAATCGCACGGGCGAGACTCTAGGTGTCAAATTTGACAAGGGCCAGAAGTGGTTTTATTGGTCTGGCATGACGAGTGACGAAAGGTTGCTGCTTAAGTGCTCAGATTCAGAGGCTGTGCGGAATCCAGGGAGTGAGATTGGGCAGTGGGTGCCGCATACGGCATTTTGGGATGAGAGGACGCCCGACGGGGCGAAGGGGAGGGAGAGTATTGAGGTGAGAGCTTTAGTTTTTGGGTAGAGCAATTTGAAGCCATGCTCAGTTGTACGTTACGTATTGAGTCATTGTTAGGTCTATGTTCGAAGAATCGACTGTTATTAAGGGTGTGATCTTGCATCCCCAATCCTTAATTCTCGGTTCACGGCTTAGCTGGAATGATAGCTGAAAAGACGGCTGAAAAGACGACCAAAAGGATAACTAAAAAGATAGTCAGGTAAGACCGGGATGTCTATATATGATTTACACAAGGGTATTTCTATACAACAAACGTAAGTTATGGAATCCGAGGGCCAAGGTTAATGTCATCATCATGATAGCAGCGGAACTCGTCGCCGACTACTTTTGTCCAGCAGACATCTACTTGTGAACTCTGCAAGGATGCCCCATAGATAAACACTCAAGCCTAAGCATGCTTCGCATCCTCATAACCCGCCTCCCCACCCGCCTCAAACCACACCCAATGGCATTGAAGAAAGACAAACCTCTCTTCTGCGGAAACATCACACCCCAAGAACGAACCTTCAACGACGCAGCCTCAACACCGGAAACCCACAGCCGTATTCTCCCAGCAATAAAACACGACCATCTGGAAATCCTCTCCCACAGCCAAAAGATCCTCACCTCCACCAACCCAGACGAACAAACCCGCTTCCAAAACCAATTCACCTGGGAGCTAGCCCGGCACATCATCGGCGAAGAACTTGTCGTCTACCCAGCCCTCATAGCATCCCTCTCCGACGGTCAACAAGCAGCAGACAGAAACCGACTCGAGCACCAAGGTATCAAAGAGAAGTTAAAGATATTCCAAGATCTAGCATCCACAGACCCGCGGTTCGTGCCTACGCTCCGTGGTCTCATGGATGACTTCGGTATTCATGCTAGACATGAGGAGGATGTAGAATTGCCGAGGCTTGAGGGGATGTTGTCGAAGGATGAGAGTGTGGAGTTGACGAAGTCGCTGGATAGGACGAAGGTTTTTGTTCCGTCACGTTCGCATCCGAATGCTCCTATCAAGCCGCCTTTTGAGAGTGTTGCTGGACTCATCACGGCACCGATTGATTCTGTGGCGGATTTGTTTCGGAGATGGCCTCATGAGAAGAAGGGTTAGTTGGAGTGGAGGTTTCATGGGGGTTTATTGAAGGAGATTTGGGAGGACTAGACTGAACAAATTAGATATTCTTTTGATATTACCAAACATGAGTGAAGTGATTACATGAATAAAAGATGTAATGTTTATTGAGCGTATAGATATGAGAAGTATCACGACGCCGAAAAAGGGTCATAGTTATGAACATCGTACCTTCCCCACAGAACAACCGCTCTTTCCGCTCTTTCCAGTCTTGCCAATGGTAAACAAAGCCAGACGAAAGCTGATTGGTCCGATCGATCCAAAGCCAAGAGACTAGAATGATATCTCGGACTGTCGATACTACACTTGCATTACAACGACTACTGCGTACTTATTAGGCATGCTCTGCAGGAATCTGAAAGATGCTACATGATATTAGGTTCTACATTATTAGCCACATCATCCTTTAACCGATAGAGCCGTCCCAGCGCCCAATTGCTGCCCTGAATATGAATAGCGCTGTAAGCGACGCAATTTTCCCAGTCGATTGGCAGTCTCGGTCTCAGACTGGTGAGACTCTTCATCGCCCGATGATCGACGTCGTTTCCACGCCTTGCGGAACTGATGCTGCTCCTCGCCTTGTTGTCGGTGGCGAGCAGAGAGGAATCCCGTATGTGCTTCTTTTTCCTCGCTCAATGCTTGGACCTAAGTAGATATGCATGAGTATCATGACGAAAACATACTCCGCAATTGGGTTGAAAAAATGACCACATTCAATAATTGAGTCCAAGGAAGCAAGAAGATAGAATAAAGAAAAGAATAAAAAACATACATAGACCAACCAGACCTCTTGCTCAGAACTCCAGGCCTTTTGACATTTCTCCAACTGTCTCTGCGCATGCACGAGTTCCTTTTCCTGCTCGGCAGTCCACCGATCCTGACTGCGGACAATACTAGCCCAACTGACAGCGCGGGCGAGCTGTGCGCGCGTGGGAAGTGTCTCGCTGGAGGAAGCCCGGCACTCGGGTCTGGCATCCGGGATGATTTCCGGGGGTGGGGTTGGCTGTGTTTCTGCGTCTGCGCTCACCGCTACCTGAACGGTGGTATAGACGTCACGGTGCATGAGGTCATATTCGGGGTTTGGAACAGGGGTAGATTCTGGAAGGTTGTTCTTTTCGCTGATCTCGATCTCTGTGGAAGGCGCTTTGCCTTTTAGGCTTGTTCGTCTCTTCCAGAGGGAGAGTGGTGGGAGGGCTCGGTGGACGATGGTGAAGACGGACATGGTTCTTGGGGTTCCAAGATTGGAATTATGAACACATCCAGGGAGAGAATGAGTAGATGAGGGTAGAGAGGTTGTTTTTGATGACCTGGGGAAAGTATTGCTTCATGTCGTACTATCCTTGCTATATAAATGGCCCGAGTCATTCCAAGGTTTAGGTTGTACTTCTGGACTCAGCTAGACCGACACCCAAGGACGAAAACGCGTGCAGGGGCACCTCACACGGAAGTGGGGGAATTCGAGGCTCCCCGGCTTCTGCTTGGCTGGCCACGCGATAACCCGATTATGCAGGAGGTGTTGGTTGGTCTAGACGGGCGGAGGACTGCAGCTTTGGTCGAGACTTCAATGTCTACGTATATTGTGCTTGTGCTTGTGATAGTTTGAGAGGCTTTAGTTGTACAAGGTGCGTATGCTAAGATAGATGCGGATTCGTGCCTGGATCTTCACTACAAGCCTTGAAGTCGTGTTTGAATTGCATTCGATGTGAATTGGGCTCTTCAACATGAGACTGATCTATACATCGCCACCTCATCGGATACTCGGGAAAATGTACAAGTCTAGGCGCATGAAGAGCCCGTGAGTGGCTGGAAAATTATGCTTGATCTGCAATATCTAGCCGGTTCAGGGTGTTCGCAGGAAATCCTTCAGGGATCCCCTTCCGGGACTCGGTGCTTTGATACGGAGTACTGGGAAAGACCTGCATAGTATAGCACGATGATGTAAATTAATGTCCAAAAGATGAGGCCGGAGGCCCAAACGAAAAGACTGGCTCGGTAAACGCCTCAGAACAACCTAGCGCAACAAGGAAAACATGCCCAATAACCGTGAGGGAATCATAATTAAATCAAGAACAGACGGATTCAAAACAAAGTGACTTCGCGCAGGGATGGGATATCAAGCCTCGTATAGGGATACAACAAATAAAGAAAAGAAAAAAAACAAATCAAATAGCCGCTCATCGCCATGTATCCACCGATGTTCCCCGGTTGGCCTTGGCCTTACGCTCCCCCTCGGATCTGCTCGCCAATGATGATGCTGATCAGTCGACGATGCATATCCGCTTCGGTCCAATCAACCTGTCCACTGCCGCCGTATTGGATGTCAGCCCGGGACAGCTCTTGGGTAAACCGGTCGATAATGGCAAATTGGATCTCAGTAATGGGCACCCCGTGATGTCCATTTGAAGTCCATATCCAATCACCGATGATGGCTGCCCGCCCGGGGGTATCGTAGTACTCAAACTGCTCAGGGTACCGCTTGGCGATGCGATAGATCCGACGAAGAGCGATGTAGTGCTCGTCAGAGAAGTATCCAAACGTGGCAAGCGGCCGTGGCCCAGAAGGCGCATCGTCCTGATGGGCGGCCGGGTCTATGGCCTCGTGCCCGGAGACCTCTAGTGAGGCACTTCGCTCGGACGCTGTTTCCTCAACATCCTCCGAATTCCCCCGAGAAGAGTCTCCCTCAGAAACGTCTATCTCGTACACAGGCTCTTCATCCTCTTCTGTCGTTGGCTGAATATGATCCTGCGCCTCGGGAGACCGAGGAGCCTGGGGAGAACGAGATACTTGAGGAGACCGGGATGCTTGTACCCAGATATTGACGGGTGATTGGCTTGCTCCCCTGGGGGGCGATTCATCGCGAATGTGTTCACCAATCTCTTTGGCGGATTCAATGCTAGCCAATTCCTCATCCTCGGATTCAGATTGTTCCTCTGGAATGGTAGTGATACTGGAGCTTCGAGCACGAGTGGGGGCTTTCAACCATTGCGGAGTGAGACTGGTAATTCTTGAGAACCAAGAGGAGCCTGGCACTTCTTGGGAGTGGCGTGCCGCCGGGGTGGAAGATGAGTCAATTTGAGAGGGATCGAATTGACTATGAGCCACGCTGGGACTGCGAACATTGCCATAATCTTCGGGGTGCTCTTCGGGTTGCGCTTCTGCTGGTGATTTCTCCCATTCGTGGAACGACATTTGGGGGGTTCCATTCTCAGGGCTAGATTGAGAGATAGGTTGCAATCTGATATGTGCAGGTGTACGTGACACTGGCTGCTTCGTGCTCGAGCTGGGAAGTGGCGAGTGCTGCGGATTTGACGAACGACTCAGTACACTCCGAGGGGTACTGCTTCCATTGTAGTATCGGGCGCGATTCGGAGTGTCCTCTTCGGCCAGCAAAGCAGACAAATCGACATGTTGCTCACGGAGTTCGCGCACCTTGGACGGACCAAATCGGGCAGTGTGTTCACGCTCCGATGGCACATCAGGGGACGAGCTCAGTTGCTCCTGATCTGTGGAGGTAGCATTCATGTTCCTCAGGGGCCTGGGGGCTCCGGGGCACGGTCTTCGATGCTGTCATCCTCAGAGTGATGGTCATAGCTGTGATCGTTGGCCTCAAGTTGCCAAATATCATCATATCCATCATCTTCGTCCTGCTCAGCTTCCGTTTGCACATCACGAGATTGATCTATGTAGCGTTCAGGCTCAGTTTCATGCTCGAAATTTTCGGGTTCTTGAATTTCGGACCGAGGGTGTTCGTCATACGCAAGTCCAACCTCCGGTTGATCGAATTCCTCTTCTTCTGGCGAAGTGTTGTCGCTGTCGATGTACACTACAGACTTCGAGTTTGACGCCATCTGAGCTTGCTGACTGACCGCGTCGCGCTCGAGCTGCCATTCAGCCTCCCGCTGTCGCTTTTGGTGGGATATTGGACTTTGTTGCACGGAACTTTGTCGTCCGAAGTTTGGCGAGTACATCGGTCCTTGTCGATAGTTTGCGGCGGGATCCACTGATTTGTGTTGAACCTGGTTCTCCGGCGATTGAGATTGAGATATTTGATCCGAAGCCTCGGAGAAATCATCGTAGTCGGCTTGCTGCTGCTGCTCTTTGTAACGAGATGCTGTACGTTTTGCTGCAACCGCTGCAGCCTCTTCTTCATCTGCTATCATCCGCCTCGTGGCAATCACTTGACCAAGACCCATCGCGATCCGCAGTTCTCGCCGGGTTTTGAACCCAAACGTGCTGAAGATATCCTCTAGACGTTGTCGTTTGTGCCGACCATTATTGTGGCCAGACCACTCATGTGCTTGAGGCTGAAATGGACCTTTCAGAGCAAGGGCAACTCGAACAAGTTTGGCCAGACTGGTGAGGGTCCTCTTCTTCGGGACAATAACTGATTGGGCCGCAGAAGGTATAGTGGGAAGTTCGGGGTAGCTGACGTTGCTGACATGATTGACAGCGTACTCGTCGTTTGCATAGGCAGGTTGATGATTCGGAACGCGACTATCGGTTATACCGTTGGTCTTTGGAGCAAGATCGGCTGTGACTGGGCTGGAGGAATTTCGAGTGCGGGAGTTCGCTCGGAGATCTTCAATGGTGCCTGGAAGTTTGCGCTTCAAGCGATCTCCGACTTCTTTTTGTGTAGGGTTGCTGCTAGTCATAGCACTAGAGCCAAATCCATGCTGTTTGGCTGAAGGGAGTGTGTCAAGTGAGATCATAGTAAATCCCTCACTTTCCATGATAGTGTCATATTCTTCGTATTCTTCATGATCATCATTGGGGTCTTCAATGGGATCCGGTTCAGAATGCTGAACATCTGTCCCAGTATGCTCATCATCCGCATTTTCTTGGGCTGGGGCCTCTTCGTCCGCCAGTGACGAAGTGGGCGTTGGAGTTGGATAGGTGCCTGATTGCGGACTTGTGGTGTGGTGAGATGACCTGGATGATTGGATCGCTCTTTCGCGTGTAGGGGAAGGCATTTTAGAAGGAGTGGAATGGATGTTCTCATCCAGGAAGTGATGTTCTGTGGCTCTGATGACAGGAGTTTCCAGACTTGTTCGGCCATAGCCACGACTATCGTGCTCAACAACCTCTGTGATAGGTTCGGTAGGATCACGCAAGTCTGCGATAGACATTTCAGAGTCCCCCAGGGAGTCATCTTCGGAATCAACACCACCAACCAGGTCGATTGGACTGGCATGGGCATTACTCCCAGCGAATGAGTCTGTGGGGCTGAAAGACTCGCGCTGTACTGCGTCACTGGTCACAGTGTTCATGGGACTGTAGTTTCGTTGATCCAAACCAGCTTCACGCGAATCCGTTTCCATTGGACTGAATTGTGCATCCAGACCAGTCTCACTTGCCATAGTGTCCATCGGACTAAAGCGTTGATCTGGTCCAACATCACTATTGGGAATAACATCCATCGGACTGAATGGTTCAACATGCTCCACGGTCGGAGTTGGCTGATCCTCAACCATTTGAAAATCCTGCTTCCTTGGTCGACCTCTCTTCCGTGGTTGAGAATCTTGGCCGCGCGGTCCTGGTGTGTGCCCAGGACCAGGAGTGTGCCCCAGACCTGGCGTATGACCTGGACCTGGTGTGTTTCCCGGACCCGGAGTGTCCCCGGGCCTAGGGGTATAGCCAGCCCGTGGTGTATGACCGGGTCCCCCGGGGAAAGGAGAGATAGCCATGTCAGACTTGCGCGGACGACCACGTCGCCGAGCAGGTGTCTTCTCCGACAATGGACTCCTTTCATCCTTCAAAGGTATCATAGTCGTCACGGTCGAAGGTTTTATTCGCTTGCGCGACGGACTGCCCTGGTTCTCGTCCTCCTCATCTTGGGTTGCTTCGAGGGTGAGGCGAATACGCCACGGGCTGACATTTCCATCTTGTAGGAGCTTCTCCGGTGAAATCGACCTTTCGCGACCTCCATTAAACTTCCTTGTCGGCGAACCGGGGAGGATGACATCGTTGAATTGAATCGAGTGCGCGCTCTTTGCGGGACTCAGGCTGACGCGCGATCGTGGTCGTTTGGCCGGGGTTCGGGACCTGGAGTTCATTCTTCCAACCATGGGAGACATGAAGCTTTGGCGCCCGTTAAACGGTTTAATCGGCGAGGAAATCAGATACTGGGCGTCGCCTGGCGGACCCAGGATATCGGGTGAGGAGCTGAGGCTGCGCGACGAGGTCGACATGTCTTGAAGTCTCGCATGCCGCCACAGGGGTAAAGCGGCCCTGAGGAATGCGATGAAATGTACAAATTAGTCAGTCAAGTACTGATCCATGGAAGTGCAGAAGCAGAGTCCGCGGGGCAAGAGGTAAACAAGTGCATGCGCAAACGGCCTTAGGTAATCTTCCCAAAAAACAAACAACGTGCTTCGGGGCATTTTCCCCTTTACCTCATGTTTTCTTTGTCGCAACTGCTCTTTTCTTTGAATTTGTCCAAATTATCCAAATACTATAGATCTTTCTCGACAGAGTCGACACTGGGTACTCGCCTCAAGGTCACACCGCAAGATTCTACTACCAACTCAACACAATCCATCACCATTTGCACGTCTTCTCTCCGTACTCCCAAGCGTCTTGTGCCTCGAATATGCCAGTAAGTCATCCGTGGTAAGTCTTGGCCCATCACCGCTGGTAGAACGACCAACTCTGTATCCAAATCATCCAAGACCTGCCGGTCGGACAAGAGTAGGCCGTACGTGATATCAGCAACCCAGAAGCCAAAGTCAGGGTGCTTCTTGAACAATTCAAACAGGGCCGCGGTATTATGCGCATATATCTGCTTCAGCCATCCCATGCCGCGAGTGTGATTCAAATGGTCACATTGCCAGCCCTCACGGCTATAGGTATATTCTGCGTCCTCTTCTGATAGAACTTTCGTGATCTCAATCAGAGATTCTGTAGGCCGCGGTAGTCCAATCAGCCCAATATCCTTGAACAGTGCCTCGCGCATGCGGCGCATCAGTCTCTGGCGTGCATCCTTCGTTGAATATGCGTGTTGGCTTATCAGGTAAAGGTATAGCTGAGCGCAAACGTGAGACTCGGGGGTTGTTGTGATTGCACTCAGCACAGTAAGATACCATTTATCATCATCGATTCCAGACGCTCGGAATTTGGCTTCGATGGTTCTGAAAAGCTGGAGAGAGCTCGGCTCAATGGTTGCGAGGTCGATGTCAGATTCGTTCATGGTCTTCCCTGGTGGCATTGGCTTGCGAGAATAGGGAGCAGCACCAGAGTATGCAAAATTGATCACTTCGGATTCTTTTCATGACGCATTGCTGAGGTGGTGTAGTGGCAATCCACGGATCTCAGATCCTTTGCGCGCAATCCTTGGTTCGGGGAAACTGTGGTTCGACTACATTCGGCGACTTTGTTTACTGGACAACTATAACAGCAGGAACAAATGGCATTGCTCAGTCGATGATTTATATTTAGCTTGGGATGATGTGTTTGGAGATCTGATCCGAGGGCCTAGGCATGTAAGCCTACCTCAGATACCTATGAGCGGACTCATCTGCGCGTTCTGATGGATACGCACATGTAGGCCGGCGCTTCGGCCAGAAATTCATCGAATTAACCGATCAGTATAGGGTCTCTATTTCATCCAAGGAAGATCGTGCGGTATCTAGCTTTATTATGCGCCCTTTCGCTTTCTTGAAACTGCATATAAGAATATTAGCGGCAAACTCGGCGTTATTTTTCTATTGTCTTATACCGACCGCGGCAATATCGGAGATGTCTACAGCACATGTATGGGAAAGAATGGGGCATCACGTCAAATCAATATTCCTGGATCATCATTGGTACGTGTGGCAGAGTGCGGATCGCTGCCCGAGCTCGTCATTTTGGTGGAACCATTGAGCACCGAAGCTTCTACGGCGCAGTCTTCTCCCCTCGCCCACAAGCTCAACGATTCCAAGATAAAGAAGGCTAGTTCCTGGTCCCGGTGCGCCATCCTCGGGCCCCGAAGGAAGTTGAATTCTGTTCGCCAAGTTGCCAGCAGGGCACAAACTGCCAGCCCCGCCACGCGACCAAGACCTTGGAGCTTTGATGAACGCCCTAGGGGCAAATGTCTTTTTGTTCTGTATCTCCCACCTCAGGTGGTTCCGCTCATCCTCTTTCTCATGTATGCTGTCTTCCCCTGCTGAGATGGTTTGAGCTTCACTCCCACAACTCATCTGTCGTCTATTCTGTGTTATCATGCAAAAGCAGAACTCTATCAAGAATGAAAGACAAACATGAATTTCTTGATCAAAACCCTTGTACCTGTTCTCCAGTACGAGCCTAATCTCTCTGTAGACGTGATAGATGACATGAAATGGTAGATGATAGATAAAAAACTGGAGACTGTGCTGTGCAAACAACCAGGGGTATACGAGCAATCCGTCGAGGCACGTGAAATAATAACTCGTACCAAAGCTAGTCGCTGAACATGTCCAATCTTTGTAATATGTAGACAACCGTCTTCCAAGCACCTTGGTTTGAGAAGTGAGGATTCTGTCAAGTCCTTTGATGCATGCTTTGAGAGGTCTTTCGTAGGGTCTTTCGAAGGGTCTTTCGAGAGGCCTTTTGAATTCCCGAAAAGCCATTACAAAACACAAGAAAGCCAGACCTCGAGAAAAGTGGAAGAATCCAGAGGACAGAAAAAGAACCAGAAGAACTGGACATCTCCATGCCAAAGTGTAATAGTTGGAATCAAGGACGAAGTCTAAAGCTTAGGTTCTCTTGTGTTGCTCCATATTTGCACTTCATCAAGTGCTCCGTAGTTTGGAGGAAAGAAGTGAGGTCCCAATATCTTCTTTTGTACCTTTCCCGTCCCAGATTTGGGCAGTTCGCCTTGCACCACACGAAGTACCGTAGGCATTTTATAGCCAGTCATCTTGCTTCTCAGGTCCTGCCGCAACCTTGTGATTGAAAGATGCGAGTTTGGTAAATTGGTGTCCCGCTTAAGACTCACGGTTGCTGCAACTCGCTGCCCAAATTCCTCGTCCTCGACCCCCACGACCATGACCTCCGAGACATAGTCCAGTCCTAAAATCTCACGTTCAATATCCAAAGCCGAGATCTTATACCCACCAGACTTGATGATATCAATCGAGGCTCGGCCAAGGATAAAATAGTACCTGCCCTCCCGGCGGGCAATGTCCCCTGATTTAAAGTAGCCCTCGGAGTCATGGGCATCCGCTGTTGCTTTCTCATCAAAGAGATACCTATAAAGAATTATGAGTATCTTTTTAGTCTGCTTTAAATACCAGTATTTAGCACTTACTTGGAGAACATCAATGGACACTTGACCAAAATCTGACCATCTTCTGCAAGCTTGAGAGAGACACCCTCAGCAACACGTCCCACGCTGTTTCGCGGAGACCCATCCGAATCAAGATCTGTCTTGATTGCCGCACCAAATTCAGTGGCTCCGTATCTATTCAAGATAGGCTTCCCTCTCAACTGATGCCAAAAGTCTTGGACGGGCCCGGGAAGTGCCGAGGTGCCGCACAACATTGCTCGGATCCCACGCGCACCCGCGGCATACTCGGCACGCACCTCCGGTGGCTGGCTCGATATGTTCTCCTCGAAATAACGCATCATGCGCATGTATATCGTCGGCACACCCGAGAAGAAGGTAAGACCTCCCTGTCGCCAGCGCTCCCAGGTCCATGCCGTATCGAAGCTTCCACTTCGAAATTCTATGCATGCGCCGGCTACTAAGAATGGGAGGAATGTCAGTCCCACGCCTGATGCATGGTGCACAGGAAGGACATGCAGAACTGTGTCTTGGTCTGTGATCTTATAATGCTCCACGTCTGCTTCGCCGGTTCCAACTATGTAACTGCGACGTTGTACAGCGCCCTTGGGAGGTCCTGTTGTTCCAGATGTAAATATCACCAGCGCGGCTCCGTTCATGTCTGGGACTGGGCCTGATGAAATCGTCGCATCGTCCGCAAAAGAGGCAGAAGGAACGAAAGTCGAGGCGACTGGAAGGACACAGGGTATATGCACCCCTTTGCTCGTCTTCAGAATCCTGAGCACTGATTGTGCATTCACTTCACTTGTTGTACTGGTAACCAAGGCCACGCATCGTGCTTTAAGCAGAAAATAAGACGCTTCTTCCGCAGGTAGAGCGGCCACTGCAACGGTCAGCGCTATTCGATTGGCCCCGGGGGACCTAACACTTACCCATAGGAACAACCGCTGCACCGATAGCTAGAATCGCAATGAATCCCACAGCATACTCATATCCTCCAGGAGCAAGAAGTCCGATGTACACCTCCTTGTCCGCCTCTAGATCGCGTCTGGCATCATCGCTGATTGATTCATATAGAGTCTTCCGGAAAGAAAGAACGTCCGAAAGGAGATCATGGTACGTCTTCTCCACGTCTGCGTTCAAGTCTCGGATCGCGGTGGGGGAAGGAGTGCGATGTGCGTAACGCAGAAGTTTATGGAAGAAAGGAAGGTTTGGTAAAACGCTTTCTCCCGAATGCGCGGGCACAAAAAGAGTGCGGTCTCCAACTGTCATTGTAAAAAGGTTTGCTGTCGACGTTGTCTTGATCCGAGGCTGAACTTGGCTGTTGGATCTTAACGATGTTGAGCTGTGTGGTATTGCACCTTTAATTTCTGGCTCATGGTCGATTGTTATTGCTTGTTTATTCGGCTACTTCCCCACGATCGTCCTTGACACCGCGGGGTAGACATGCCGGCATTCGGCACTCGGTCGTTTGGATGGTATGCAGACGAGCCTAGGCAAGTTAGGGTCAGGAGCTCAGGCCCTGGAAGTGACTAGATTTGTAGAATCTCCAACTTCACCACACCCCGGGGAATGTTGAAGTCGTCATGCCAAAAAGGGCTATTTCGCCATTACAAAGCCAGCAAGTGAACAATGAAGAGACGTGATCCTTCGAGCTCCGCGATTTAAAATTTTGAGATTTTAGCGAGGATAACACAACTATGCCCGAGCAATTTCAGACCTCGGGAAGTTCGGAAGATGCCAACGCTCATAAGTCTCACGAGAATTCAGTATTTTCGTTAACAATAGTTAATTAATTCCAATGAAGATTACGGTCAGAGTAATAAGAATGACATCTAGTCAGTACCGAACTGATAAGTAGCCCAGTTGACGGCAGGACCATCTTCAGGACCAAAGACCTGGTAGGGAGTACGTCCCCACTGAGGCTGGTTGATGCCATCGATCCAGTCCTCGGTCTCAATGACAAAGCAGCCATACTTGTTAACATGAGTGGCACCAGCATCACCGCCGTTTGCCTTGTTGCGCTTAGCCTGCGACGCCTTGGTTCCAATAGACCCGTTCTGGCCACTGCAAGTGTAAATCTGGAGAGCAGCTTGGTTGGTTGCAACTTCCAAAGTAATACCAGTGGTGCTGGATGATGCGCGCAGAGCGGTAGATAGGGAATCAGCCGAGTTTGTGGAGGGGCGGTCGACGAGGAAGCAGGTATCATAGCCTACACAGCCAGTGCCACAAAGACCAGTGGTCTTATCGATGTCTTCGCCAATAAGCTTGGAGCTGGTGAAGTCGAGGGCACCTTCAAAGGTGCTTTCAACGTCCAAAATGGTGCCATTGGGAATGAGAATGCTATCACCGCCGATGTAGCGGCGAGAAAGGGGCAGCTGCAAGCTGGTATCATTCAGCACGGTGGACTCCTGGAACGCGTTCAAGTTCCAGTAAATATGGTTGGCAAGCATGATGGGGGTCTTCTTTGTAAGAGACAGAGACACGATCTTGGAGCTCAGCTGGGGAAGACCCTTGGGATTGGCAGGGCTCTTCTCAGTAGAGACGCTGAAGGTAGCATGGGTGATGACATCGCCGGGGAATTTCTCAAAGCCTTGATCGAACAAGGTGAAAGTGATGGCAGAATCGGTATGCGCAGTAACTGTCCAGTTGCGCTGGTCATAGCCGATGAATCCACCATGGAGAGTGTCCTTGCCATCGTTCTCGTTTTCAGGAACTTGGTAGGTGTTCTCATCAATGGTAAAGGTACCGTTCTTGATGCGGTTGGCATAGCGACCAACAACCGCACCGAAGAAAGTGCGGTTGGTTTCACTATCGTGAAGATATTCCTTAGGGTCATCATAACCCACAACCACATCTTGTACCTTCCCGTCGCGATCTGGGACAAGCAAGGAGGTGAGACGCGCGCCGTAGGGAATCAACTCCGCAGTGATGTTCTCCGCCTTAATTGTGTAGCTCTTGAAGTGATCGGCCTCTGGACCGGTCGATGGCGAGGAAGTCGAAGCTGAGGAGGAAGGGGACGGCGCGGCGGATGTTAAGGCAGGCAGCCCATACAGGGCGGCCGTGACATAAGACTTGAGATGCATATTGAGCCCCAAAATAAGGATTGAGAGGAAGACAAAGAAGTAGACGAGGAGAAGACGGAGTGTGATTCGCGCAGGGCAAACTAAAGATCGGACGCAGCCGAGGGGTGCAGGCATTTTATGAGCTCCTATAAACATTCCCCAAGGTACGCTAAACTACACATGGCCCCAACGCCAGGGAGCGCACGGAAACCGGGGTAAAGCTTTGTTGTAATTTATCCGCAGGCGTGATCAGGATACGGGTCACCCATTGGTTGCAATGGGCCGGGGTCGGACAAAGCTGAGGCTGGGGGAGTGGAAATCGTGAGGGGGAAGATCCGAGCCCCTGTCGCGGAGGCTTTGCGGGATGTAACGAGGGCCCAGTCAGGTCAAGTCAAGCTCAAAAGTGACGCCACTGGGGCGGGACCAAACAAGCAATTGAAGGGCAAAACTCCGGTGGAGTAAAGCTCCTTTTGCGTCGGCTCTTCGCCGAAGGAAGCGAGCGAATCGAGGCACATTAACCATTTTGGGCGATCAGATGACTGTTTGTTATGTTTGCTTGGTATGTTTAGTTTGCTTGGCCCAATGTTCCCTTTCTGGTCAATGTGTGCTGCGATGGTACGTTGGAATCATACGATTTATTCTCTCAGACTGATAGTACTGGTTTAAGCGATTGCGCTCTGCTTGTTTTGGTGCCGCCAAATCTCAACATCGCCGCCGCCCCGAATCACCCCAACCCGCATTGTGGAGAGAAGATTATGAGCCGCGTTGGAGTGCATATAAACTCCACCGTTGAACATGGCAGTAGCATCCTTTCCAATCCCAGATGAGATCAGAGTTTTTCCACCAGGATGTTCCTTGATGAAATCAGTCACATCATGTACAACACCGGCAATGGCAACAAGGGCCTTGCCACTCTGAGTCTCGGCGATGAAATCGTCCCAATCCACAACCGGCAATTGACCTAAAGGAACACCCCAGTCAAGTTTGGCCCTCTTCTGATCAACCTTCTTCTGAAGTTGTTGCACACGGCCCTTTTCGATCTCGTTGGCTCGGAACTCCTTGAGATTGGATGCGAGCCCGACCTGCTTCCATGTCCAGATTGACCATTTGGTGGGATCGTATTGCCACCATTCAATGGCATTACGGTAATCGGAGGGGAACTATTAATTGCTCAGTCAGTTTCACGCCAAAATGCTGGTAGTCAACAGGGACGCAGTATTTACCTCATGGTGGAAGTTGTGGTAGCCCTCGCCGAGAGTGACCAATGCAGTCACGACATGGTCACGAGGTGAGTTTCGGTCATCAAACGGCTATAATAAAGTCAGCATCTCGAAGGTCAATTTCAGGGGAAGAGTAACACTCACCTGTTCTCCCAACCAGTGGGCGAGGGAGTTGACACAGAATGTAGCTTGCTGGACAAACAAGAACCTAAGAATGCCTGCATATACCAGACCACCCTTCCAATCACCCCAGCCCAACCCAGCAACGAGCATTGGAAACAGCACACCAAAAACCAGGATGACAGATCCATAATTTCGGTGTTGCCAGACCACCACAGGATCTTCGTTCAAGTCAGAGATATCGGTTCTTCCCTTGTTCTTTGGGTTCTGCTTCAACACCATCCACATGAAGTGCGAATACCAAACTCCCTTCATCACACTGTATGGGTCCTTGGCGGTGTCAGTCCATCGGTGGTGTGCTCTGTGCTTGCTGCTCCACCACCGGATCGACCCTTGTACGGCGCCACCGCCAACACAGGCTAGGAATATTCTGAGAGGTAGACTCCTGTTAATTGGAGTGGTCAGCGGAGGCTCAGTCTCGATGGATCAGACACATGATTGAATGGAAAACATACGCTTCGTACGACCGATGCGCCCAGAGACGATGGTACCCAGCAGTGATTCCAAGTCCAGTCCAGAAATAGTACAGGATTGCCCAGGCGGCGGTGATTGCTTGTAGCTTCGTGTAAAATGCGGCAACACAGCCCCCCAGGGGAACAATCAGGATGAGAGATGTGTTGACCCAATTGACATGTTGGTGCCAGTTACCAAGAGTGATAGCCTGCTCAGTGATATGAGGCTTCCGTTCATTTGGCTCGGTTTTGGCCATTGTGGTAACGTATTGGAGAAGAAATGTTGAAGTATTCGATATCAAAGTAAATGGTGAAGTGGGTTCATGGATCTTGAGTTGAAATTTGTGATTGTGTAGAAAAAGCAAGATCAGAGCAGGGGAATGAGACCATTATTTCAGTATGAATGATTCTACGTGGAATGGCTCGCACACAACATGATTCATACTTTGTTCTATCCCTCAGCAAGAAATTGTTGAACCGTTGGGGGTGTGTCAGGCAAGGCCGCTGACACCCGTGGGCCCTACAAACGTTGACCCCCCGATTGGGCACTGTGAGCACATCACCTTCCAAGACACTTCTGTGTTCTAGAATTTTCTCACTATTTTCCCAAAACTCCCTCTGGGGGCTAGAATGAGACGGAATCCAAAGATCCCTTGAACTGAAGATTTACCACCAACCAGACCCACTCCGAATCTCAACCTTGGAAAGACAAAGCCCTAACATTCAACATCCAAAGTATAATAAACTCAACAAGTGTAACAAGTGCAACAAGTGCCACAAGTTGGTGTAACAGGCCTTCTGATAATTCGAGCGATTTGGTAGGATGTAGTTCATGTTAGCCTATGGAAATCCCGACAAATAGGCTATTGGTCGGAACCGCAGAAAATGACATCAGGGGCTGACTCTGTATCGACAGCGCACTGCAGTATGTAGCCGCCATTTCAGAAGAGAAAGGGGGAAGTTTTGTATCAGTGTTCGTAATTTTTGAGTCCCTGTACCTCGGACTTTACTTTAGCGCCTGAGATCTCTAGCACATTTGCGTTTGGGGTATTAACCTTGGAAGTACTGTCTAGTCAAACTTTTAGTTAGAGTATCTATATTCTGTGAATAACAATCAACCTTCGCTTGAAGGGGCTAAAAGACCCTTGCGGGAAGATGTTACAGGAGTTGAAAATCAGGTGCTACTTCTGGAAGCGCCAGAATTGAGTATCGTATGCCTCAATTTAATTTCACTATCCTCAAAGCACCTCAATCTCGAGATTTCCTCTCAGTCAAAACCAGTTCCATAAGGCGATCCGCGATGTCAGTCGCGAACCCGGTGTCATTGATATCGCGATCATCGGATACCACGCGAGTCGCAGCGTCTTTCAGACCAGACCGCAAAGTATCGGCAAGACGACTATCTGCTTCGAGATCCTCAAATGGAGAGCCAGGAGTTGCCAGGATACTAACACCACCGCCTGGAAGCCAAAGTTCGACTTTGCTTTGATCTTGCGCAAACCGCTTGACTTTGTCGACGATGAATTCTCCAACTTGTCGACATTCATCGGGAGATGTTCTCATCAGTGTGACTGTAGGGTTGTGGACTACCAGCTTGCGGTCACGGTACTGGGGAGGCACAGTGTCCTTTGGTCCGAAGTTCACCATATCAGTGGCTCCCACGGAGATAATTGTGGGGATGCCTTTTTCAACATCGCATCGAGGCGATCAGGGTCGCAACTCATCGTTCCACCTGCGACAAAATCACATATTTCAGTGGTTGTGACATCTAGTACGGCGTCTAGATGACCTTCTTCAACCAAACGCTCCATCGCTTTGCCGCCATGTCCCGTCGCATGGAAAATGTACACTTCAACGGGGTATTTCTCTTCCAGGTGGGCTCGTATACGGTCCACACAGGCGGTAGTGACGCCAAACATTGTGATACCGACACGTGTTTTCTGTTCTGACGATTCTTCGGCTTTTGATGCTCTCTCTGCTATACGGCACTCGTACGCCGAGGCCATACCGAAGACAGCGCCGGCGGCATTATCAAGAACGTCACGCAAGAGCCCATTTGTTCCAGCAATATCAACAACAGAGTACATCAAGGTGATGTCGCACTCTCCGACAATCGGGCTTGTATTGCCAGAGGCAACCGTGCTGGCAATGAGTTTCGGGAGGCCAATAGGTGCCGACCTCATCACCGCGGATATCAGACTTGTGCCTCCGCTGCCACCCGTGCCTATAATGCCGTGCACTTCGCTGGTTCTCAATATATCTTGCACACATTGGGTAACATAACCGATCAGCAGCTCGATTGCTTCGCCGCGGGAGAGCTTTATGACCTCTGCTTTGGAAGCTGCATATTTTTCGACCAAGTCGTTATGGCCAACTGTGATGGCGTCGTCGGTGACATTTTGGCAGCCACAGTCGATAAGAGTGATTTGGAGTGGCTGAGACAGGCGAGAGGCTATTTTCTTCAATTGGCTGTGGAGATACAATACTTGTGCAAGCTTGGTGTCAAGCGTACCCAATAGAATGATGTGAGGCATGACTTTTTCCGAGCAGTGATCGAAGGAATAAAGGCAGTTCTTCACAGGTCCACGGGTGTTATCAGAGTGTTTAGGTCCCCAATCACTATGATCTCACCAGGCCCCCTCGGAGAAGTTGTAGTGGAACCGTGACGATGGCGGGGCATGGGATCCACGTAGGCGTCGCAACCTGTGTCTACATCCGACCCTTCATAATCTGCGCTTTGCTGCGGAATTCTTGATGCTTGCGAACAGATCAGCACGAGGGGGCTGCTGTAAATCAGTCTGAAGACGTTGAAATCAATCTTTTGGCTGGATAGATAACTTTGGAAATGGGTGATATCAGACAGTTCAAATCTAAGCAATCAACCCCACCAGAGTCCGCCGGTCCGTTCTCCACTTGACATGCTGTTGGGCTTGCGGATCGGTAGATCCGGTTTCTCTTCTTTTAATTCTTTCGTTCCTCGTTCCGATCATATTAATTCACTTAAAAGCTACATAAACCCAACTCCTTCTCTTACTCCTTTGCTATAATCGTTTGCTATACAACCTCCTCAAGATCTATACCATGGCCCCACCAACAGATCGCAAAGAGATACTATCCCGCCTACGCGGTCATATCAAAGACAAAAAGCCAATTGTTGGCGCCGGAGCAGGTAAATCACCCATCAAAACATAAGACCCAAATCCACTAACCAGCCAAGGCATCGGCCTCTCTGCCAAATCCGTAGAGAGCGGAGGCGGCGATCTAATCGTCATCTACAACAGCGGACGATTCCGCATGGCAGGTTGCGGCAGTCTAGCAGGACTGATGCCATACAGCAATGCCAACGACGTAGTTGTCGAAATGGCAGCCGAAGTGATTCCCATTGTGAACGACACACCCATCATTGCGGGCGTATGCGGCACAGATCCCTTCAGACTGATGCCGCAGTTCCTGAAGCAGCTCCAGGGTCTAGGATTCGCGGGTGTGCAGAATTTCCCGACCGTGGGACTGATTGATGGGACTTTCCGTGCGAACCTTGAAGAAACGGGGATGGGTTTCGGCAAGGAGGTGGAGATGATTCGGACTGCGGCAGAGCTGGGGCTTCTTACGACGCCGTACGTTTTTAATGTTGAGGATGCGGTTGCTATGACGAAGGCCGGGGCTGATGTCCTTGTTGCTCATATGGGGTTGACGACTTCTGGTACGATTGGTGCACAGACTGGCAAGACGCTTGAGCAGTGTGTTGGGGAGGTCCAGGCTATTAGGGACACTGCTGTTAAGATTAATCCGGAGATTATTGTACTCTGTCATGGCGGTCCAATTGCTGCGCCAGATGATGCGAAGTTCATGCTCGAGAGGGTTCGAGGTTTGCATGGTTTCTACGGAGCAAGCTCTATGGAGAGACTCCCTGTTGAGAAAGCAATCACCAACATTACGGCCGAGTTCAAGGGATTGGAGATACCCTAGTGCTTCTATGATGTACCACATGCTATGAAGCCAGACTCACGTTTCAATGATCTTGTTGCCATGAATGGCGACTAACACGCATTCTTAGTTCGGGGTTAATCAATTCAAGCGAACATTATAGATAAAAAAAAGTTAAACATCTTCATTGTGTTTCTAAAATTGCCGGTCTCGAAAAGACCAGCTTCTCTCGAGGCTGCCTCAAGCTTGAGGTATGAGCCAGATTAAGAACGCCGTGGAACGCCAGCCAGGAGGGTACATCAGGTTGCATCGATGCAAGATGTGAGCTAGCAGTGGTAATATACAGCCATTCCATTCCCGATGGAATTGCAAAAAGAGGAAATGTTGGCACTTGGGTATGATAGTGAACGCCACTTTCATCAAAAAACATGCGTGGTGTTTGTACGGGGTTCCTTTCAAACCGGACACGAGAAAGCAATCCTTGGACCAAGATGCACGCAGCACGGTTCAATTCATGCTCTGTGAAGAGACATCAACCGAGTGATGGCGGAGGACCGGGACTTAGTCCTGATCAAGTTTGAAAGGGTGTCTAAAACCAGAGATCATCTGGCTTAGCGTTTGGGTCTTCCTTTCCAGCGACCAAGTTACCATATTGGTTATAAACCGGAGCATCTGGGTCGTCGTTCTCCTTCGACCAAAGACCGAGGCCATCATCGAATAGGTCTCTTTCTTGGCCATTGCAGACTTCGGCAATAGTGACCCAGTTCTCTTTATCGGTCCATATCCCACCTCGACCTCCGCGCACCTCGAGCCAATCCTGCCCTCCGAGAAGAGATGATTGCGCGGCGTCGAAGCCATGTGCATTGCGGACGTATTTCCGGAGAAGAGCACGGCCCCATGGGAAGAACCACATACTTTCCCACCAACCATTGCGCAGCTTGGGATCGCCATTCAAATGGGCCAGCACAGGCACAGAAGCCGAGTGGGGGTTTGTCATTAAAGCAACGTTGTGCCATGAATGGTTGTTCGGGTTGGGCAGTTTGTCCAGAGTCGCATTCCACATCGGTCGGAGTGTCGATTCTTTCGCGAACCGCGACTGGTTGAAGGGATTGGGAAGAGCCGCGATGTCATGTGGCAGCAAGAGTCGATGCTCGCGTGGAACGCCGTGCTGCGCCTGCAGCATTGACATTTTGGTGATATTGTTGAACTTGACCCACTCGACATCCTTGCGGGACATCATCTGGTTGAAGAATAGCTGAGACTCGAAGTCGACGCCAATACCGTACTCGTAACGACGACCGGCCTCTAGCCGGAGAGTGATTCCGGTGAGGTTCGACGCATCGGAGATTCCGACCATTTGGTACATCCAGTCTTTGAATCCATTGACTGTTCGTCGCCGCTCCAATTCTCGAATTACCTCCTGCCGCCCGTAGATCTGCGTCAAAGCCTTGTAGTCCCCTGTCTTGGTCGAGCGCTGCCCAACTTCCCGCAGGACCTCATCGTAGATTAAGCGCAAATCAGCAGCCTGTCCAATTACCGCTCCGGGATTCAGCCATCGGGGTCGATTGAAAGAGCTATCGTCATCGTCATCTGTCTTCCAGCCATAGACATCTGGAGGCAAAGATGATTCAGGCACAGTCGCACAACCAGGGTCATCTCGCAACCCAGGGAAACAAGTCTTGCTTGCAGCAAACAAAACTCGCTGGTTGTACTTCGGTATCTTTTTGAACGGAGCGTCAGGCTTCTCTCCTTGCACATCCACGAACCCGAACTTGGCCTGTAACTTCTGGTTGTTTGCTCGGATAATGCTCTGGAATCGCTTGATCAGTACCTGCGGTGGAAGCTGGAAGATTGTATCCAGTCCATCCACCATAAGTACAAAGTCGTTATCGTGTACAGTTTTGCTATCGCGTAGGTAATTGCGGGCGCGCGTGATCCGATCCACCATGTTCTCGGTCTCGGTCGCGCCCGGCGCGTCACTTCCATATCCAATCAACGTCGGTGGCGGATATCCCAGGATCATAGCTGACGTGATGGTTCGGCAGACACCGCGCGAGCCCTGTAAGGCTGGAACCAGGACATGCAGGCGCGGGTTGGGCTTGTCGAGGTCGTGTGGGAGGGTGTGGTTCACATCGATATCGGTCCGGGGAGGGAGAACGACCCTGGCATCTTCCGGACGCTCAGGGAAAGGAAGACGAGAGGGGAACTTGGTCCAGAAGTCTGTTTCAACTCGCTGGGCGAACAGTTAGCTCTGATTGCGGTGACCACGTCATATTGCGCCGGGGAACCGATCTGCGGTTACCTTTGAAGAGGATCGGAGCATGAGAAGGAAGCATAACAATGCGATGCCTGCTAGCGCAATATTCTTGACTCTTTGTGTACGGGGACGGAAAGCGGACAGCACGTTTATCGCCGTCGACTTGGCATCGTGGAATGGCAGCGGCGCGCCTTCCGCCATCATGCAGGAATATAGTCAAATCAAATACAGAGTAGAGTGGCAGGTAACATGGTGAGGACAATTGTGTGAGAGGCCACGCGGGACATACGCAATGGTGGTGCACAATGGTTCAAGTGGATAGGCCACGGGCTGCGATCGGCGTCTGAGGTCGGGACTGAATCCGGCCGTCCAACGTTGCTTCAAGTGGGAATCTCAACCCTACGAATCTACGACGCAATAGTCGATTTTCCCACTGGAGGCACTATCCTTTTTTTATATTACTTACTCATGTTAGAGCAAATTAGAGGCAGATAAGTATTAAACATACCAATGGTTTGAGATAGTATGCTGGCTTTTACTCCGTATGTTTAGTTTTGATAGACCTGTCACTACGTCATGCTGCGATAAATTAAAGGTCCATGTTGACACTTCAATTCAGACCAGGAAGCACTAGTTCGGTCGTTGGATGAGTCTGCAGCAACCGATCTATAGACAGCTTGGGATACACAACCAACGAATATTGACTACCTCGCGGCGTTCGAGAGCTTCGACTGGAAGCCCCTGGGGACTCGAATTCAACTATTCGATCATACGCTCTCTGTTGAACACAAAATATGATATCGTACAACTTTGAAAGTAGGCTCTTTCTACAGAAGACCAGCTCAATAAGCATCCCAAGCCCACACATGCACATAAACACTCTCATTCCAGGTAAATTTCCTCACGAAGCCGCTGTAAGTTCCGGAAGAGTCCACCTGCCGGCGCACCACTATCACTATCACGACGAGCCTCAGGTCTCGACCTAGAAGAGCTACGCTGGTTCTGTTCCGTAGCCTGGTCCAAACTGCGACGCCGATCGTCCACGATCTTCGCAAGACTATCCACAAACCGACTGCGAGCCTTCTCCTCCGCGGAACTATTCCAGACCGTAGCCAGTGTCCGGAGAGCTTCGACGCGACGATTAGCGGCGTCCAGCCCGCTGCGCCCTCCGCCTTCACTTTCCAGTAGTTCCGTCACTTCGTTCCGTAGCTTCTTCATCATTTCCTGGCCCTTTTCTTCGCGGTCGTGGCCGTCTGCGTCGAGATCAGGTCCAGAGACAGAGATGAAAGATGAGGAGAATGAGAGTTCTGATGGGGGGAGAGGCCACTCCATTGCGTCGCCGAATGTCTGGACAACCTCTTCAAGTCGGGACCGCACTTGGTTCAAAGTGCGCAGGTTCGTGACGTATTCCGGATCTGTTGCGACAGCAGGGGTGTTCTTTTCTGTGGCTTCTGCCTCGTCCGCCTCCGGTGCATCTTCGACTTGTTCTAGTTCGCGCTCGTTGGGCTCTGGGACAAATTTGGCGATGTCGTCACGCAGTACCTCAGTCAAGGTTTCTGAGAGTCCGATTGTCTCGCCTCGCAGCACCTCGACTTCATAAGCTAGTCGTCCACCGCTTCGTAAGATCTCATCTGTGAGTTGCGATAATGTACTCGAGAGACGGACGTTCTGGGCGCTGATTTGCGAAAGTAAGGATTGGACTTGCGCAGAGAGCTCCGTTAGCGGTACGGAGCCTTGCGCGCGAGATGCATTTGGCTGTGATGATGCCACGGTCAATGGTGATAGGGAGGCATTGAGGAAGTCGGCAGGGTCGAAATTAGGGTCGGCGAAATTGGGTTGGGCTAAAGGTTTAGAGCCACCTCGGTTGGAGGATTTTGGTGTTTGTGAGGCCATTGAATTAATGTGTTTGGAATGCCACCTAGATCTCGAGAGGGCGTGCGTTGACCTCCGCGGGGACAATCCATATCTCCACGCCCGACCGCCTTCTATTTCCCCTTTTGGTATAGCCTGGATTTGGAAAAGCGTCTAACCTCTTTAGGCGCACAATCTATACAAAGTAAACAGCGTGCATGAGGTGAAGGAGATATCCGGGTATTCGTGAGTCTAAGACATGTGTTGAGATTCAGGATTTCCATTGGTTTTACACCTCTACCTTCTCTTTATCTTCCTTCTTCCGTCTCCCACGTACTCAGGTGGCTGAATATTAGTGCTCCAGTTTCTGATCTTTCTTTACAGTCACCAGGTACATTCTAGTCATGTTTCGCAATGTTTCCCAATTTGAAATGTCTCGACTAGACTCATTTCCCACCAACTGCCCTAGAAGCTTCGCCAGGACATCCTGCAGACCAAACGGCTTTCCATGGGAACAGTTCGACTACGGTCTTCTAGCTCTTGAGGTCGAGAAGATCCCCGAGACCCTACCCAAGAATCTACCAACTGATCCACTGTATTAATCCCCTCTACATTCAATATCTATTGATTGATACTTTAGCTGACAAGAACAGCCACAACGATAATGCCGCGCAAGACACTTCCAAAAAAGGTGCGGACCAAAGCACCGGCTGAAAGACGTGGCGACGGGCAGGCCCGTTCCACGGTATACGAATTTGGAGTCCGATTCGAAATACAAGATGGCGAGGAACCGGATATTGAACTGGAATTTGAACTTGATGACGAGGAGGGAATCATGATTGAGATATCGTTCGAAGGTCTTCAGATCAGCAGTGACTCGCCCAGCCTTTGAGCTACCAAGACTGCAAATCCTTGCTGCTGCAGACTTCTCCAAGGCTTTAACTCCTCAGCACCACTTCTCCAAATCATCAATGCGATCATGGGCCTCTTATTGATGGTATCATCTGACCCGTACGCTGCTGGATGGAGGTTTCATTCGGACCTCGAGAAGCCCGATATGCTCAGGTGGTGATGCTATCCCTCAATAAAAAGATTGAATCTTGCTTGCGTAAATATCCAGATCCTGGTACATATTTTCAAACCATTGCTAATCAAATCTGAGCTTATGATTTAACTGCACTAGGTAACATGGTACATTCGTGCGCCACTTTCCGTCGCTACCTAATTGCGGTAGACGTCTTTCTTGGGTTTTACGGGCGGTGTTACAAAAAGTCTAGATTGGTTTGAGGAAGAGATTAGAAATAACTAAGTTTGACATGAAGATATTACAATGTATTATGTCTGTGCTGTGTTATAGTTACATCAAACAGCATCGGACAAGGAGCCTCAGTCTTTCAAAGAAATGCCAATCGGAGGGAAATTGCTCCTTTCACAGATCCAATCTCAACCCGACATCAAATCTCATCTCAATATACATAAATCAAGAGCGCCGAGATTGTATGTAACGACCTTCTTTAAGAATAGCATATGTTCAGAATGCGCAAGAGACAAGGACTGCGCTTATTACCGCTCGATGACATCGCAGCAGAGCAAGAAAATAAAATGGGCGGTGGGGGGTATAATTCCGTATCACAGAGAGAAAACTATGCAAGTTCGTGTAGAGGCTTGGGGCCATTCGACCCGTCCAATTCAGACATCGTCGTGTGGCCAGGTGTGCTTGATGGCGCAACCTGGGAGCTGCCGCCGAGTTCACTTGGTTCCGGGTTGACAGAGACGTATGGGGGGTTTGAAGCGGTGCTCTTCTGTGCCTGGCGCCGACGGAAGAACCAGAAGGCCAGGCCGGCGATGACAATTAGGGCTCCTACGCCGACACCGACACCGATGCCGATACTGGCTCCCGTTGACAAGCCGCCTGACCCTGAGTCTGATGAGTCGCCTGAGCCCGAACCGTCTGTTGCGGTTGGCGATGAGCTTGTTGTTCCTGTTGCGGTGGCGGATGTTGAGCCGGATGTGGTGGTCGCAGTGACAAACAGACTGGAGTCTGACTCTTGCAGTTGTACCTGGATGGGCTGCGCCCACATGGTAATCGGGCCGGAGACCTGCGTGCTTTCGGTGGTGACTTGGCGCACGGTGACAATGGTTGAACTTGAGCTGGGGAACATGCTTGTACACCCGGCAAAAGTGGTGCCTCTCGTGGGAATAGTAAGATATTTGAAGTCACTTCGAGGTTGTTAGTCGGGGATTGAGATATATAGCTTCAAGAATACATACGATAGACAGCAGATAGCAGTAGTAGTTGGGCCGTGAATGACTAGATCGGCGGAAGTGTAACCAGTCGGGCAAAACCCAGGGCTGTAAACAATGGTAGGTTCATTTCTCTCGTACTGGCTGTACCCAGACGGGAAACAGCTTGGATCGGCACCGTCGCTGGCATGCGCATTCTGCAAGAGCAAACCGTTCGATATTCCATTTGCTCCTGATGGTTCGAAGGTCCACGAGCTCGAGCATGAAGCGGGGGGCGTGAACTGGCTGGACATAGCCAGTGTCGTAATGGTGTCGGTATCAGTCGCTCTCGCGACGAGCGTCGGCTTCGTGGACGTCATATTGAATACTGCAGCCAAAGTACGGGGTATGGAGTACGGAGTCCAGAGTAGTGAAGAGGGCAGAAGAATACTATCGCATGATGAGATCGGCGTTTTGGCCCCCAACGCACTCAGGGGAGTTAGTTAGACTTAAGTACCTATCTCAGTTAATTTCCAGCCCCCCCACAACATGCCTAGTGCTTATTTTTTGATTCGAAATTTTCCCACTCGACACTGCCCCGACACCCAAATTTAGCATTCGTATCTTCTTGGGAGCTCTTTTTAATGTCTAACCGCAGGGTTTCTTGGGCTTCCAATGTCTGCAGATACGAGTAGATAGCTTGGCCTGAAGACAAAGGGATTCTTGCAATTATCCGTGACGATCGGCACACGAAAACTCGTTACCCTAGCGTGGTCTTTGTTTGTAGCCAATCTCGCGCCAGAACCCGCTTCCTGATTGTTGACGAGATCCGAGACCCTTTTTTATCTGCCAAAAAAACAAGTCTGGGGTTAAGTACTGGGTCCGGAAAGGTCTTCATGGATTACCAGCGTTAACCGGAATTCCCGATTGAATCAAAGTCCGTTTCAGCCTCTTGTTTGTGCGGGAAATTAAGTGGACGTGCATGCTTGCTCAATCCTCTAATCGGATCGCGTAACCTACAGAGGTTTGTTTGTTTTGCTCTATGTTGTACACGTCCAACCATGCAATTGTTTTGTGTTGGCAGATGGAGAGCTTGATAAGAAATTGCATTTGCATTAATTGGTAACATGAATTATTCGTAGGCATTAACTAGTTGGCCGCAATAATTGCAGCAAGCGAAGGTGGGTATTGAATCGCGTCCACAGAGCACAAAGATCACTTCAGGACGAAAGGGGAATCACAAAGCAAGGTCATACTTCATCAAACGTTGACCAATTAAATAAATGGGATGGAAAACAGCAGATGGACATCATCTAGATATCCTCGACGACGCGAGCGTTCATCGCACGCTGGAATCCGTCGTCCGTCTGGGAAGTGGCACCGTAGTTGCTAGGACCCTCGCCGGCATTCTCAGCAGCGGTAAGCGACGACTGCACCGTCTGGTTGGGAGCAGGTAAGAAGATAACCTTGCTGTTGGCAGTCTTAGCCATGGCTTGCATAGCCTCAAGGTAACGGATCTGCATGGCAGGAGCCGAAGACAGGATATCGGCGGCCTGGCGCATCAACTTGGCGGATTCGACTTCGGCGCGCGCGGCAATAACCTTACTCTCGCCGATACGCTTAGACTGCGCGGCCATGGAGAGCGAATCTTGCAAATCGCTGCTGAAGATGATATCCTTGATGAGCATCGACTCGACCTTGACACCCCAGCCAGCAGCGACCTCCTCGATGATCTCGGATGTGGACTGAGCAATCTCCTCACGGCGCTCGATCACATCTTGCAGCACGCGAGCTCCAATCACATGGCGCAAAGTGGTCTGAGTGCGCTCGATGAGAGCCTGGCGCACGTTGGAGATTCCAAATGCGGCCTTGTGAGGGGAGACCACTTCGTAGTAGATGACGGAGGTCAGGTTGAGAGTGACGTTGTCCTTGGTCATGCAGACCTGACGGGGCACCTCGACAATCTGAATCTTGACATCAACGGTGATGATGTTTTCGCTGAGAGGGTTGATCTTGACCAGACCGGGATCGACTGATCTCTCAAAGCTATGGGGGTTATATTAGCGGTGCGTGAGAATGCAGGCTAGAGGGGAAACCAACCGTCCGAAACGCGAGATCAAACCAACTGCACCTTGTTCGACAGGCTTGAAGGGGTTGGGGCAGCAAATGCAACAGGGGATAGCTCCGCAGAAACCGATACATTCACCGAGGCTGTGAACTGGTCGAGGGTTAGAGAGATATTAAACGCAGTATGAGTTACTTGGACTTACTGAATCCGGCATACCAGCCATGCGCATCAGGGTTGTCATCGTCATGGTCGATTTTCGCAGCGTACTTAGGCTGCAGGTCATCCGGACGGGCAGGCTGGACGTTGATCAGACGGTCTTGGGGGATATGGGGCTGCTCGGCCGGAGCCTTGCCATTGCTTGCACCATTCGCAGACATGTTGAAATAGTAGGGTTAGGATTATAAATGGTTGTATAAGGTGTCTGAGATGTATGAGTCTCAGGGTGAGTGGAAAGAGGAATGTATCGAGGGGGCCGCGGGCATTTAAATGCAAAGTAAATAGAGCTCCTGCACTTCTCCGCAGTGGAGCAGGGCACCTCCCAATGGTTCCTTTGACCACACTTATTCCTTCCTTCAACGCCCATTGGATCGACAATTCTCTAAGCCTCCAGGGCTGAGTCCGTTTCCGGGCGCACTGGTCTACCTTGCCGAGTTTCCGTGATCGTCATGACTACTCCCGTGTAAACCACTACTGCTGCAAATACGCTACTTACACATGATCCAAGGATTTATACTGTTGGTATCGGCGGATATTGTTTTTTACAGCACACAGTGTAGTTCGTGTCGCTTTCCCTCGATCTGGCCTCGTATGGCACCATGCATTCCTGACGTGGTAGACGTCATCCACCTCAACAAGGCTATCTTCTAGACGTCTTCCACGTCCCCACCAAGGCGCAAGGGTCCCGCCATGCCGCCATGGACTGTCACATGAGATGAATGCGAGAACGAGTCCGCGGGAGCTCTTGTGGGGAAGAGTCGGGCAATAGACCAAGTGCTGCCACAACCAATCACGCGATAAATGACGTTGATACGACCTTTTGGCCCCCAACTCTCTACTTGGCCCCCCTTGGCCCTTCTTGGCTATAAGGCAGTTTTCTCCTGGGGCAGTGTTTACCGGAAACCCGAATAACCCGTGTTTTTAGTGGGCTGTGCACGGGTTCTTGCCGACCTCGGGGCAGCTCGTCGAGCAGTTGAAGTTTCCACGCCGATGATCCACGGGTGCTCTATGCCATTACCAGTTGATTTGTCTTGAGTTATTGTTGGAAAGAGGGTTGGTTGCTCTTTCTGGTATATACCAGCTTAGCTCGGTCGATTACATCAACTAGCATCATTGGTCTAGTGGTAGAATTCGTCGTTGCCATCGACGAGGCCCGTGTTCGATTCACGGATGATGCACATTTCTTTTTGTTAATTTATTTTATCCTCTTCGAAGGTTGGTTGTTATTGAGCCAATACTTCTTTGTCTTTTTGGCAATTCAGTTCGTGGCATCCAAGAAATGGACCTACCACTATATTGTCTTCCAATATTGGGAGAGGGCCTGGGGGAAGGCCAAAACTAACCATTTGCATCTGCACTTGAAGTCTTTGAAAGATCCATGGATGTCTACAGTTGGGGAGTACCGGTCAAAGCACTGGTCAGTGTGTTCCCAGCCCTGGAGGTGGCAGACATAACGCTGGAAAGTTCCGACATAAAATGGTATCAATATGGATATATAATTTACATTCCCCTAGTCGAAGCCCTTGAACTCCCCCCTTCGGCACCTTCAGTGCCTTCTTTCTTCGCAGCCAATCTCGCAAGGCGCTCTTGCTCATTCTTGGCACGAACCTCCTCGAGCATACGCTCTGTTTCAAGAGCCCTCTGCTTCTGGTCCTCCGGCAGGTTATCCCATCTATCCTTCTCCTTGCGCGCCTTCTTGACCTCCTTCTTCTTGAGTCTCTGTTCCCGATCCTCGGTCTTCTGACTCCAAGCCACACTCTCCGTGGCCCGGCGTTTAGTACCTTGCTCGGTATTGGCACTATTGGCAGCCTCTGCAATAGCTTCCTGGCGACGCTTCTCTTGTTGCTTGTCCTTGTAGGTGTAGTTGTCCCAGTCCATCTTGATACCCAACGTCTTGTCTCCCTCAAAGTGGCGTGACTCGGGCATCTTGGGTAGTCTGAGAAGACCCCATGCCTTACCGAGCGCCTCCCAGTCTAGATCTGTAACCCGGAAGATACTGCTTGCTTGATGCTTGCTGTAGCTGCGCAGCCAGCTGACAAACGCCTTCTGACCCTTGTCGTACATAGCACGGTCCTTCATTGTAGCCCGGCGAACCTTGTCGATGGAGGCCATGGCCTCTTCGTCGGACAGCTCGGTAATGTTGAATGGCGCAACGGGGGTTTTGCGGATCTCCAAAAATGAAACGTAGTCCTCCTCGCGACCAGGGTGGACAAGAACAATACTGAGGCCTCTGCGACCCGCGCGACCGGCTCGACCACATCTGTGAATGAAAGTTTTGGGATCTGATGGTGGGTCGATTTGAACCACTAGATCGACTGAAGGGATATCCAGACCGCGAGCGGCGACATCAGTAGTGAGGAGGATGGAGGGGGTAGTGGAGGTCGTGAATTTGGTGAAGTTCTTTTGGCGGACGTTGGCCTGGTGCTTTCCATGTAGTGGGACTAGGACAAAACTGCTGCCCAGCATGATAGGCAGTATGGTGGCGAGGTAATCAACACTGGAGCATGTCGATACGAAGAAAATGGTCTTTTGGGGTGTGGGTTGAACCGATGAGAGAATATGCTTCAGAATTGCAAATTTGTGAAGGGGAGGCGTTGTCAAATAGGTCATTTGTAGACTTGCCGGAGTGCGTTTCTCTTCGGCACCGGCTCCTTTGACCTTAACGGCAATCTTGACAGGGTTTCGTAGACCAAGGCGCACAATTTGATCCACAGCTTCGCTGATACTAGCGCTGAATAACCCGGTTCTCCGCTGCTTTGGCAAGCGGCGCAAGATCTTTTGCAAATCTTCCTTGAATCCAAGATCCAGAAGTCTGTCGGCCTCGTCCAGCACAAGCATCTCAAAGGTTGACTGAGGACAGTGGACATGGGGCGACGAAAGAAGCTCTAACAATCTTCCGGGGGTGCCAACAAGCACGTTGGGAGAGTTCTTGAGGAAGATCTTCAGATCCTCTGCCGGGGATGTTCCACCACCCAGAAGGAGCTGCGGCACAACCTTCATTGTCGAGGATTTTTGGCGAGGTGCACCCTCTTCGGCGGGCTTGATAGCCGCCGCCGAGTCTGAGTGGAATTCCAAAAGGGAGAGAAGGACTTGGTGGATTTGCGAAGCTAGTTCTCTGAGATATTTTTTTAGCGATAAGCTCCACAGGCCTGCACTTGATTGCAACTTACCTGGTAGGAGAAATGACGATGGCGCCGACATGGTGCTTCTTGAGGGGCTCATCCAGGCGAAGGAGCTTTTCAACAATGGGGATGAGGAATGACAATGTCTTTCCACTTCCGGTGACAGCTTCCACCACCACATCTTTGTGTTGCATAAACAGAGGGATGGCCGAGGCTTGAACTGGAGTCATGCGCGTGAAGCCCATTGAGCCCATGGCATCGAGGGTCCATTCCGACAATGGGGGCTCGAGGGCATCCCACGCCCGCGACGACGACTTGGGAGGCATTTTATCGTATTATTATCCAAGCTTGTCGGATTGTAGAAATCGTCATTGCCTGAAGAAAAAAAATCCCGTTATCGATTAGATACGGCGCACGTGACTGCGGCTTTGAGCGGAAACGGAGATCGCGATCTGCTTTTTCCATGTCCATCTCAGCTCTGCTGCATTTTTCTATATAATAAGAAAGGTGCCTGGTGGTCCCATCATGCACCGGGACTACATCTCTTCTTTCCAGCTTTTCCACCCATAATTGTCGACCAGGCACCGTGTTGTGCTCATACTAATCGCCCACAATTGCTTCATTCGCAAGCCCATTAATACACTGTGGTGTACGTTCCTCCGCCAGCGCAGACATCCATCCACGATCGTTGTGTGGTGTCATTCGAGTCGCATCACTCCCGCCATTCACTTTGCGAGCGCCCGACATGGCCTCACCGAACCCCGTTCCGGCAACCCCTCGCGTGATCTCTCCGACACCCTCTGTTTCCGACCCATCGGAGGGACCCGATGGATATTTTGCGCCAGTGACACGATCGGCAGCGCGCCGGCAACGCCATCCTGAGTCTTCAGGGTCAAGTACCGGGTCAGCGCGGACATCGAGAACTCCCACAACACCCTCCACGCGCACCCGAAGGTCGAACCCCATGATACCCGCTTCTCCGCCGCACTCACCAAATGGAACCGCCGCGAAGGATTACCTCTCACCATTAAGCATCCCGGACGCTCTGCGCGATTTGTCAAGATCGCCTTCGCCCCTTGGCCTGATTCCTCTGCACTCGCGCTACCGCAGCTTCATTCACCGCCATGAAATCCCGCGCAAGCTCTTGCACGTGTCAATAGGATTTTTGACTTTGTCCTTATACACCCGAGGCATCCAAACATTACAGATAACACCTGTCCTATTCACCGCATTAGTGCCTATTGCTGCAACAGATCTTCTCCGTCACCGCTCTGAGAAGCTCAATAAGATCTACGTCAGGTGCATGGGTGCACTCATGCGCGAAACCGAGGTTAGCGGCTATAATGGTGTGATTTGGTACCTCCTTGGAGCCTATGTTGCCCTGCGGTTCTTCCCCAAGGACGTTGGTGTTATGAGTGTGCTACTCCTGAGTTGGTGTGACACCGCCGCCTCCACATTCGGCCGTCTTTATGGCCGCTACACACCCCGCCTGCGACCCGGCAAGAGCTTGGCTGGCACTGTGGCCGCCTGGGTGGTCGGTGTCGTTACCGCCGCTGCATTCTGGGGCTGGTTTGTGCCTTATATCGGTGCCTTCCCCAACGACCCGGAGGACGCCTTCATGTTTACAGGACGCCTGAACCTGTTTCCCAACTGCATTCGTGGACTTCTGGGCTGGGAAGCAAGTGATTCCGCTGTTATCACCGGTCCCTTGGCTCTGGGTGCCATGAGCGTCGTTTCTGGTGTTGTTGCCGCGGGCAGCGAGTTTATTGATCTGTTCAGCTGGGATGACAATCTCACGATCCCTGTCCTGAGTGGCATCGGACTTTGGGGATTCCTCAAGGTCTTTGGATAGATGGATGAATGATATACTTCCACTCTTGTTGGTTCATGCATATTCACGCTTTTTGCCTTTCCGCATTACTCTCGGGTGTTTCACACTTAATTTTCTCTGGACATGTCTCTTTTTTCTTATCTCCCCTCCCATCTCCACTTTCGGAGTTGCATAACGTCAAGATTCTTTTACTGCCTTACGAGGCGTCGTTAATTCCATACCAGTCGAACTTTCTGCTTTTCAATAAACGCCCCTTGATATACTAGCAAGCATTTTGGGTTCACAATATTTCCAATTTTGGTCTGATTAGAAGCTTGACCAGACAGGCTGTTACCCTAGTCGCCGCACCATCTTTGTCATATCATTCTCCGAGTGGATGGTGAGCTCCGAAGAGACCTCGGCAGCAATTTCGAAGCCTAAGCAGATAACAACAATATGCATGTCCATGTGGACCAACCTCAGAACTACGGAATGGTCTTATTTCTCATTTGTTGTGAGTTTCAGGAGGTACATAGTCCTTCAATCAACATAAGACGGTGCTCCATTGCGTACATTCACTGCATAGTTCCCAAACCCGGTCTAAGCCTAGGCCTTATCAAACGCCATTATGACTCGCTAAACGAAAATGAGGGTATAGTACATGATTCAAACAAGATCAATAATGCTGACTCGTGAAATTCGCTTTTTCTTATCTCCTTGGCCTGGTCTGCGCCTTGTGTTTTGGGTGTGTGGCCCAGCGAGATCCTCAGACGGCGATGAATCAATCGACCAGAAACCGTCATGGATTGTGATGTTTTCCAAATGTCCTTTGGTCTCATGCTCTGGGGTTGTGATTGCGGATTTGACTTTCGTTGTCTTTGAGGCACTGTCCACTTTCTGACTGTTGCTCTTCCTGCAAGTTGTGGTACTTGATGGTAGCGCATGTTCGTTTGATGCACGACCCTTGTCAGAGATAGAAATCATTGAATCCGGCATAGTATGAGGCGCGGACTTTGGTTTTCTGGAAGTATTGGATGGCTCCATGACCTCGACTTTGGAGGAACGACTGGCTGGTTTCCTTTCCCGCTTTGTCTTTTGAGGTGAGCTTTCGCGCACTCGCCGGACAGGGGCGATGTCATCATGACTGAGATCGGGTTTCACTGATAATGAAAGAGACTCAATTGCTCTTTCAATCTCATGAACCTCATCGCTCCCGTCCTGCAGCTGCGACTTGATGATCTTGCTTGACTTGGGACGGGACTTTTTTGAGGGAGAGGGCGGAGTCAATACGCTTGAGTCCAGTGGCTCGTCCAATGGCAATTCTGCGGTCGAGTGACTGATTCTCAGCCCTTGGGGCCCTGCTGATCGGACCTGAAGATCATCGACAACCAGACTTGGTCTCTCTGACTCTTCAAACTCTATGCCACTAGCCCCCACGACTCCTCGTCTTGATGCCCGGAGAGGCTGGTCTGCGATGGGGCGATTCTTGGCGCTTGAAGCAGGAGATAGATTGCACATCGTATTGAAGCTTTCAAGAAGATCGTCCACCTGCTGAGAAAAGTATCTCATTGTTGGGGAAGCGCCCTGCTGAGCATACATGCTTGGGCCATATGTGCCATCCTCTTGGTCCAGTATGATTGGCGAAGAGGAGCCGGACCCTGTCACAAGCCGGGAGAGGGGATTATTCTTGGTTGATGTTCGTGGAGTAGCAGCTTCCAGTAAATGCGCCTTTCCAGAATTCGACAGCTCAGACCGTTCCTTTGTTAGAGTTCCATATTTCAATATGCTTCCCTGTTTCATTCCACCATCAATTGGCCCCTTCTTCTTGGGTCCTTTTCGGCGAGTGCCAGTCTTCTTGGCGGCAGCTGCCCGGGCCTTCTCGGCCTGCTCGGCTTGTTTTGCGGCCTGCTCTTTCTCCCATTTAATCACAATATCGGGAATGCCGAGTCTCGCAACGGTCTCGAAGATCCATACTTTCTGCACTGAGAAAGGGTCCCATTTTTTGGTTACTCGCGACTTTGATGGTGTTTGGGGGGCAGTTGTAGCGCCCGCATCGAAGTCTTCGTCTTCTGCATCCTCATTGACACTTCCTTGAGACATACTTCCTGCGTTTGCAGGCGGAGGTAGTTCCTCAGCAAGAAGATCCAACCCAACGATGTCCACCGGTAGCATGTCGAGTTGAAGTTCTGACATTGCATCCGTGCTGAAGCTCGTGCGGCTTTTGTACACCTTCTGGCAAGTTTGAGGGCCACCGGGCACAAAGGAAAAATCGGGAGAAACACCTGCAGTTGGCCTCTGTAGGCGTAGCCTGTATGACATCAGAGGTTCAGCCAACAGCTTGGTCACTCTTGTCGCCCCATTGCGATAGTTCCAATCGAAGTGTTGCGCGGCGTACGAGCGAATTGCCAGGGGATCAATGTCTTGGTCCCAGGCCTGTCGGAGACGGTTTCTGAGAAATTCCATGTCTTCATCCCCGGAAACCTTTGGCCGGGCATAGTGCTCGAGAATCGTTTGATCGGGAAACTCTTTCGGGACTCTGATAGATGGATGCTTTGACTTGAAATAACCACTCAGGTTTTCATCCAACTCATATTGAAGCCGTGCTCTCCAATCGTCCAATCCCTTCTTGTTATCTGATTGGGTTGCAATTTCTTTCAGAAGATCTTCACCAAATCCAGCCATAGCTATCTCTGAAGCAACGGTAGGGCCACATTTGTCGATGCCAGAAGGTAAATAGTCTCCTCCACTAAGCATAGCAAACAAGATCATACCCGGTCGATCAAGAGGTATGTTCGACGGGTGTCCGTCCTGGCCCATTGCGTAGCAGGTAACGTGGGAGGCAGACGTTGAGCCACTTCCACTCTCTTTCGAAAAATTCATGATTGTCATGGATGAACCGAACATCAAGGCATCGACATCGTTGCTCATGACAGCATCTACAATGCCTGCCTGTTGAAGGTGAGCGCATTCGGCCTCTGCCTCACCCGGCGCCTCGTGCCAAGGAAATCTGAAGCGCTCAAGCAGATCTTTGGATCGTCTGATGATTGGCGCGCTGCCGTAACTGCGTGCGGACACGGCCTTGCCTCTTTTGAAGGCTGGTTTGTGTGGCCCATCATAGACAAAAAGTGGATGCACAGGCAACGCAAGTAACTTGAGCAGACGGAAGAATAAAGTGCGAAGCTCTGGATTTCTTCCGCCCCGGCCTGCTTGGACCTGGAAGAGCCAAATGGAAATATCGACAGCGATGCGGATCGGCCTTGCTGTTCGTTCCAGATGTGTGACTGCCAGCTTGGCCAGTGAGATACGCTCTCCTGGCCCTATGGTATTGATAAGTCTGTACGTGCGGTCAATACATGTGTTCGGAGACTGGTAGCAACTCCTCGCGCAGAAGTGGATCGCTATCGCGTTCAAGTCTTGCAGGTATATATTGCTGCATGGGAATAGCACAAAGCTCGCACTCACCCTGGGATACCCATAGTACCGACTCTGGAAATGTCCGACCCGAAATTACCAAGGATAAAGATATTGCCCACCCATATGGCTTAGGTGGTGGGCTGGTTGCGTTTGTTTTGGGGGAGTTGTTGATGTCAAATAAAGATGGGCGGCCCGATGTAGATCCGTTTACCCCCGTGAGAGCTCCCCACGTCGCGCTCATAGATCTGGTTGTCACAATCTTTTCAAATTTTGTTCAATTCAATTGCGCGGGATCTTCAGCTTGCGTGTGCGCCCCATACTACACCGCTTCGTTATCCTGCTTCTCCTGATCCGAGAAAGGAGAAGCGGCCGAGCCCAACCAAAGCACCATGGCGAGCGACTCTCCTTCAACAAATGCCAGTAAACGTGCCTCTGCAACTTCCAACCTACGACACAGCCAAACAGCACGACCGGCCTCGCCTCATACCCCACAGCAACCAATTCGATCAGGAAGTACTTCATTTGCAAGCAACACGTCCCCCAGTTCCTCGTTCCGAAGCGAAGAAGACGCGATCATATTCGAGATAGGTGCACGATGGCTGCGCGCGGGCTTTGAGGGGGCTAGCACACCCGAATGTGTGGTTGGATTTGGACCCGAACAATCGAGGAGAGTGGGAGACTATCGAGGATGGATACAAGGGAGCGCCGGAGCTGCACGACTACCGCAACCCGTTGACGCGGAAGACTGGGCGCGAGCATATGAGCTATGGCGCCCGGACTCAAGGGAGGTCGATCTGGGCTTGGTCGAAGACAAGATTGAGCGCGCGTTTCGGGAAACATACAATCAATTTCTCTTGACCGATGCAGGCACATCTCGCCTGGTGCTCGTTCTGCCGTCCCTCATGCCACATCCATTGCTTTCGTCTCTTCTTTCGACCTTATTCAGTCGTTGGCGCTTTTCAAGCGCGACTCTTTTATCCAGCGCGACCATGTCTGCCGCAGCTGCAGGATTGCGGTCGGCCTTGGTGGTCGATCTGGGCTGGGCGGAGGCGACAGCTACGGCAATTTACGAATACCGAGAGATTTCTACCAGGAGGACCACCCGGTCTATGAAGCACTTGGTGCAGGAAATGGGGCGACTCCTCACTTCATTGGCTTCCAGCGGAGGCGACAGCAACGAGGCCGCTGATGACATTTCAATTGGTTTTGCGTATTGCGAGGAAGTGGTCAGTAGATTTGCATGGTGCAAACTCAAAAACGGCGATAATGCAACTTCCGAACAAGACGATCGCACATTGGCAATCCCTTCGCCTGCAAATCCGGAGCAAGAATACATGGATGTGCCGTTCTTGCGTTTCGCTGAGCCTACGGAGAAAGTGCTCTTCGCACCAGGCATCCCAGAACATGAGATGGATGACGAGGAAAAATCACTACCGCTACTAGTTTATAACACCCTCCTTGCACTCCCTCCTGATGCACGAGGGACATGCATGTCACGTATCGTGTTTGTTGGTGGTGGATCTCGAATCCCTGGTCTGCGCCAACGCATTCTTGACGAAGTTTCAAGTCTGATCGCCCGCCATGGATGGAGTTCAATTCGAGGAAAAGCACTTGAGCGACAGCGAGAAAGGCTGGAACAGCTGAAGCTATCATCTCAAAAACCTATCACCCAAACCAAAACCCCCGAGAGCAACGAGGAAACTTCACCCATCGATGGGGAAGTCCCAGACCCCTCGAAGACGGAGCCAGAGATCGACTTTGTGGAACAAAAGCTCCGTCGCCAGAACAAAGATGTACCTGTACCCGTCCAAGGCGTGTTACGTGAAATCGAATCACTCGGTCCTTGGGCTGGTGCGAGCCTAACGACTAGTTTGAAGATCCGTGGCATGGTGGAGATTGAAAGAGAGAAATTCCTGCAGCATGGACTTGCCGGAGCTACTCGAGATATCGACCACCCTGTCCCTGATCGTCGGTCGGGCCTGAGATCCGGTGGTGATCGGTCGAGCTGGACTTTGGCAGGATGGGCATAGGACCTCTGTACATATTCCATAATAACAACAAAAGATACCCCGTGGACCATATGTCACAATTGATATTGCATTGCCTATGAATGATCCGTATCGCTGTCTACCGCTTTTCTGGCCTTGTTTGAGTCCACTTCAAAGCCCTAATCATTTAGCACGGGCCGAGGCTATTTCCCGACCCTGTAGAAAATCTGCAGCTGGCTCTTTGGACTCCAGGGTTCAAGCCCCTAGGGAAGAATGCTGAGCCGGTCGGAAGTTCCAATGTTCGCTATGTCGGATCCATTTACCCCAGCAAATCCCCGCTCGTCGAGGATTGTCCCCAAAGGATCCACCTGGCGGACATCCCCCGTTCAGCATCGGATATTTACCGTAGCACGCAAAAGCCCACCACTTAATAAATAGAGTGCCGAACATGACTTGAATATCCAAAGTGACAAAGCAAGACAGCAAACCTCTGGCCATTCTTCTTCACATTTGACTCCACAAGACCCTAGAGTTTCTGCCTACAGCAAACGCCTCAATCCAACCACCATGGGCTCCATTGCAGAACCAACAATTTCCGTTTCCAACCCATTCAGAACCCGCATCTTGAATGGCGAGATCACCCCTCTCCTGTCAGTCAAGTACGTGGTCGGCAATGAGATCGCCATGATGGCCAAGATGGCCGGCATCCACGGCCTCTTCATTGATATGGAGCATTCATCATTGGATCTGCACTCAGTCGCACAACTGATCCTGGCTTGCAACTATGTCGGGGTCTCTCCCGTTGTGCGCTCGCCTTCCAAGTCTCACTGGCACATCAGCCGGCTCCTCGATGCCGGCGCCGCAGCTGTCGTCATCCCGCACATCGAGAGTGTCCAAGAAGTGCGTGATCTGGTTCACCATTCCAAGTATGCGCCGCTTGGTGCGCGCGGATGCACCAATAACCTGCCAATTTTCAACTTCCAACATGTTCCCACAACGAAGCAGAATGAGGCGCTTAACCAGCAAACTATGTTGATACCCATGATCGAGACACCAGTGGCTGTTGAATTAGCCGAGGAGATTCTGGCTGTCGATGGAGTGGACGGTGTATTGGTCGGATCCAATGATCTTTGTGCTGATCTTGGGATCCACGGAAAGTATGATGACTCGAAGTATCTGGACTCAGTGGTCAAGATCATCGAGGCTGCAAACAAGGCTGGAAAGACGGTGGGAATCGGCGGAATCGGTGGCCGACTTGATATCCTGGAGAGATGGTTCTCACTCGGTGCTACTTGGTCACTGAGTGGTGCTGATGGAGCCATTCTTCAAAATGGTATGAAGCAGATCACCAAGAACTATGACGAGATCAGCCAGAGGGTACAGAAGATTCAAAAATAGAACGTATATAGTATCAAGGGCTAGCATTGTGTATAATTGATTATATCCGAATATTACTATTGAAACATAGAAAGATCAAAAGAGTCACTCGCGTACAGGGTAGCAGGTGGGTCACCGTACGCATACTCATTCAGCCCGGCCTCCATGTTCCATAGTGAATCATCATTGAGAAGGTCCCATGGGAGTAGTGAGCTTTCTGATATGGGGGTATCATTTATAGCAACGTTGGGGTATAGAGCAGTGGTTTCGTCTCTGCCGAGTGTGGAGCCAGGAACATAGAGCTGTGAGAAATATTCAAGTTGCTGGTATTGGTCCTGATCTGGTGGTTGGGCCAGAGTATTGGGCCCATGGAAAACTTGACTCCCAGTGACAGGGCCAACTGTAGGCAATGGAGCAGAGTTGGATTCCTCATGAAGATGGCGACTGCATTTGCGGCGAACATTCGCCCCCAAGGCCTCATAGACCGCGACATAGCGTTTTGCATCGGGTAACTCTTCACCCATTTGCTGCAGCGCGACCTGGCCCTGTGTGATTGCATTGTTTGCTTCACGGATGGTGAGTGAGCTGTAGTCTCTCACCACAGAGAGACAAAACATGATTGAGAGGCCGCCAGTAAATAGCATCTGGAAGTAGCTTCGGGTGAAAGTAATCTGCTTTCTCTCGAAAAGCCGACAAAAGCCGGTGATAGCACCGACGGCACATTGCAAGCATAATGTCACCAGATCCTTCGGCGGTATATTTTTTGGTTTTGGAACTAGGTCCAGAGCCTTTCGACTAAGGATAAGCTGTTCACGCAGACATAGAAGATCGTACCATTCCTGCATTTCGTACAGACAGCTCGGGCTCTCAAAAATGGGCGCTGACCGGCGCCATGCTTGCAAATCATGGAGCAGTTGATCCAGGCTGGCATAGACCGCGCCTCTTGCTGTTATCGAGCTCTGACTAGAGCTACTTATAACATTTCCCTGGAATGTCAAATGAATCTTGGAGGTTATTTGGCGCAGTCGTACACAAGCGGAGAAGACAGAAACTTCGGTGGTTCTTTGCATACTCGTGGATACATCTTTGAGCGAAGATGCAGCGCAATATGAGCTCAAATCGTGGAAGGAACCAGTGGAATCAGCGGCATCGAGCTCTTCGTCATTTGCATCTGCGGGAAGACCGATTTGAATTGCACTGTCAGTCATTGCAAAAGGCCGATCTAATGTGATAGAGCTGTAGCGATCGATCATATAACTTTCCCAGAAAACTCTGCGTTCGAGCTGCTCTTCTAGAAGAGTCATTCGCCGAGTGCTGGGCCGAGGCTTGTGCAAATTTTGTTCAATGCACATACGCATACAAAGTCTGGTTATTTCCCATATAGAGATACCTGTGTTTTTAATATCAGTCAAAGTTCTTATAACAGGCCCGCGACATCACCAAAATTGAACATATTGCATATATCTCTACTGTGAAACCAAAACACTGAAAGCAGGAAGAGAGCTTACCGATATGATGATAGATACCAAACCTCCCAACAAGTAGAAGGTCTTGAATCGAATGGAGCCCTCTGGATAGGAGGGCATCATCAAGATTTTGCATGGCAGACAGAAAGTAGCCATAAGGATGGTGAGGATGGGTTCCCTGGCGATATGGGAGAACGGAAGCAATGGCCAATATCATAAACGTGCGGAACAAATCATGAGACGCCTTGCTAGATGCACTGTGTTGTTGCTCATGTCTTTCTGTTGGAGAAAAGACCAAATAATATAGTCGCTGGACATCACGCCGAAGAAGAAATGGATTTTGAATGTTAGATCCGCTCAAACTTCTTAAGTTAGAACTTGCATCAGGAAACTGACCACCTTCCTTGCTTAGGATATCCAAGAACTTACTATTTGTCAAATAACAGTCTTGCTTCTGAGGCCGATGGAAGAGCATTGGGCTTGATACCTGCTTCTGCGGGGCCGGATGTCTTTGAAAGATTTCTCAATAAGCTAGAATCTTGATCTCGCCACGAAGAGTCAGTGAAAAGATGCCGCATGAAGCTGAATAAATCAAGGGTTAGCCGACGCGCTTGAACATGTACCGATTGAGCCAACCTGATTCCACCACCCTCAGTAAAACTCGGAGAGTGTGTATGATCCCGTTTTTCAGAATCCTTGGATTGACTTGAACTATTTCTCTCATTGGTAACGATGGCTTGAAAAGTATCGGCAGAGGGTAGTGTGGGACCCAATTGTCCGGATTTAGCTTGCCCTAATCGATTTTGGAAATCTCTGATCTCGATCTCGAGATCCCCAATGTATCTATCAATAAAGTCAGCGACGTCTCGTCAGTAGACAATCAAAGGTGGCTGTACTGCCTGGAGATAGAATCATGCTCATCAACGCGCAGTGTGACGCAGTTTTCTCCATGTTTGTTACATGGTCCACATTTTGGTCGGATATTGTCACACTTGATCTTTCGATTGTGACAGAATTGACAGGCTGGAAGATGGGGAAATTGGAACTCAGAATGGCCGTTAGGTCGAGTGCATGATGTGTGGGCGGTATTAAATTGTGCCATGCCGCACGTACTCGGTCGTACCGCAGGCTCAATAGTTGCGTCTAGCACGCCTCACTAAGATGGAGGGTAATGGTTGAGTTTGGGTGTCCACGGTTAATCAAATAATCGGCATTTGGGATTTAATTCATGGAAGATGAAAAGAGAAAGAGAGAGATGAGAGGTTAAGATCGGCTCTAGTCACCGGGTCAGGTGATAGACCCACCCCCGCAAACCCCCGGGGCCCCGGGGCCTACAAGTATGAAGCACTCGGGGCACCTGGCAAGGTCAATATAGTTATTACCTACTAAATCTTGAGCTAAAATCCAAGGATGCTTAGAAATAATCCGTGTACCGGAAGGAGTTAATTTTGGGAATTTCCCATTTTCCATGCTACGTAGAACCTTGGAAGTGTTTAGGAATTGATCTGCATTTGCGATATCGCAAGGCTTCTTGGTGCTTTCAATGCAGGACGTGAGGCCTATAGACTACGCATCAATCTCGTAAACGACTTCCGGGCATCTTTCATAATTCAGCCTAACGTATATATACTGCTATATCCCTAGAAGTTCATTTGCGATATTCGCGTCTAAACCACATATCGGAAGTTGTTCTGAACTGCACTCCTAGATTCATCGTCCAATCGAGACATGAAAAGAGCGTCATTGGTCTCCGCCTCAGTAGCGAGAGCTTCCAATTTTCGGTTGGCTCTGTTCAGCAGGAAGCGCAAAGTCAGGATACAGGTAAGTCCCAGAGCTTGAAATCCCAAGAGACAACCCCAAGACTGTCTGTACATAGGCTCGTATTGGTCTAGCCAGAAGTAGTTTGCGAAAAGCGAAGCAATGTTGGCACAGCTGTTGGCTAGTCCGATTGCCACTGCTCGCTTGATAGGTGGCTGTGTGATCGTGGAAGATAACCACGCATATGTAGTCGAATAAACACCAAAGGTCCCACAGCACACGAGAATCGTCAAAGCGTAGCGAGCCCATAGAGAGTTCGTTATGGCGATCAAAAGAATTGTACCGACTATAGCCAAGCATTGCGAGATGCCGGCAGGAACGGAGCGGATCTGTTTTCTGTCCGCCAAGAATGCCCAGCTCATGGCCCAGAAGAAAGCGACAATGTAGGGAGGCGATGTCAAGAGCAATACGGTAGTATTGTTTTTGAAGCCGAGCTCCTTGATCAATGTGGGGAAAAAGTGAGAGTAGGAGATTGATGCAGTAGTGCACATTTGCAAGCAAGCGAAGAGCCATGTTCGGATATCTTTAGCGGCCCAAATCAAGCCACGGGTAATGGGTACCTTCTCCGCATCAAGAAGCGTATTGCTTCCAGCGTCGACGGCAAGACGACCCTGGCCAACAACTTTCTCGGCCTCGGTGAGCCATTTGGTTGTACCAGGAAAGTCTGGAAGGACGAAAAAGGCGACGCAACCTACCACCACGGTTGCCAGACCCTCCAAGATGAAGAGCCAGCGCCAGGCAGCAAGGTGGCCCACCCCACCCATACCGGACAAAATCCCAGCGGAAATCAAGCCAGCAAATGCATTGGAAAGTAGGATTCCGCAGATGAGAAGGGCCATTCGAACACCAATTTCGCGCTTCGTGTACCAACAACTCAAGTAATAGATAGCTCCGGGGAAGAAAGGTGCTTCGACAAAACCGAGACAAAATCTCAAGATCAACAAACCAGCTGTGTTGTTAACCGCAGAAGTGCAGCCACTCACAATAGCCCATATAACAATGCAACTGGGCTATGAAGAGAACAATTAGAAAGAAGCCTTTCGTGGGGAGTTAGTCTGATCTGGTACACACCAAAAAGATAGAAGGCCGAAACTTGGTCATCAACACCGTTGATGGTAGTTGCATAAGAATGTAACCGGCCGAGAAAATCGAGATGGCAGTTTGATAGTGAGCTCCCTTCACGCCTGTATCTTCTTGCAGGCCATATAGACGGGCTTGGGTGATGGAATTGCGATCCAAATAGTTCAAGAGATAGATCAGAACGACCAGGGGAAGGATCCGAGTATCAACCTTTCGGCGCAGTTGGAGTTCAACCTGCTGACGGTATTCGGCATCATAGGAGAGATATATGCTCATGACATCGTTGGCATTTTCTTCTTGAGAATTCTCAACCCAAACATCATTCTTGTCGGCTTTGGGTTTGGTGTCATCCGGTTTGTTCGAGGCCTGCGTGTCTGAAGTCATGTTGAGATAAAGCAAATAAAGATTGACCCAAAAGGTTCTTCGCTGCTTGACTCGAGGCCCATAATCGGGTTTGGCAAGCTTGTGTTTATAAGAGAACTGACAAGCTTTGGGAAACTCAAACCCCGGACTGTCTTCCCCAGAGGAAAATTTCCCCCACATGCTTGGCGCGACGGGACAGGTCCGAAAGCAACCGGAGAAATTCCTTCGGCTAATTTGATATCAAACCGTTGGGGCAAAATCTTTGAATCGGTGACAATTCATGTGAAAACAAAGCAGAAAAGCTCTATTCGGTTACCTTGTGTAGACTGATATTGGAGTCATAAGTAGGTTCCAATTAGTGTCATATTCCGAATAGCCTATCTGGGTTGTATATGAGCATCGCCTTCCACTGTTCCTCGTTGAGCCATGATTGCAGGGCCAAGAGCTCTGATGGAACATCGTCTTCCCTTCTGGCATCATTATGGACAGGGTTTGGTGGGTCAAGAGTTCGGTTGCTGCTATCCACATGAGGCCAGTCGCTGCCCCAGAGTAGACACTGTGGGGCCAAAGTCGCAAATCGGTTGATGATTGGTTTCATTTCGTGGATGGATTGAGCACTGCGTCGATAAAGTGCTGAAATCTTGACATAGAACTTCTCTGGTTGTAGCATGTTGACAAATGCGTCAAGCTCCACGCTACCAATATCAGCAGGGGTAGCACAGCCGTTGTGATCCGCAATAATAGTCAGAGATGAGACCTCTGGATCTTGCTGAATCAAATTCTTGAGAGATGCCCATACTGCCAGGGGCAATTGTGCAGAGAGACTCCAGCCAAATTTTTGGGCCGGATACGAGCGGGCGAACCGGCGAATCTGTTGCTCTATACTCAACAGACTTCTTCTTCCGGTTCCAAAAAGTCCATGTACCCGGCATGATCTAACACCCGCCGTGTGCAAAACATCAAATTCTTGATCTGTCAGGCTGTCCCATTTTTCATCCATACAGATGGTTCCACGAGCCAGAATGTGCGGATGCTCAGTATGGATGCGTTTGAGGTGAGTGATCAAGCCATAGTACCCATCTTCAATTGAAGCTTGGACTAGATTAACTTTCTTGGCCTTGCAATTCTGCAAGAGGGATCCAAGGGGAGCTGGCCCTGGTGTGTATGTGCGGGTTGGTTTGAAAGGGTGTTGCTCTGGGTCGAAGCAGTGAACATGCGTGTCCCACATCTCGATCAGATTCAAATCCATCACTAGACTAGAAGAAATGATTGATGTATTTGACCTGGGCTTATGTTGACCAAAAGCAGCAAGATGCCACACGAGATACAATCTTGGAAGATAGCGTGGTCTTGAGACCTCGGGCGTCTTGGTGTACACAACAACCTGACCAATCACAGCGCACCGGACATTTTCCACCTTTCCCCGGATTTCCCCCTCTTTTCCACTTCCATCAAGTTGGCACGTCCGGCTTGACAATCAAGAAATGGTTGCGAAAGAAAGCAACGAGAGCAGCTTTTCGACACCGCGACAACGTGGCCAAGCATGTGAGAGGTGCTGGAAGCAAAAGAAGAAGGTTCGGCACGATTCCGGCGAGAGAAAGACGGCATCCTGATTATGACGGAGCATAGTGCGACAAAGTCATCCCTGCATGCACAAACTGCATAGCAGTGGGTGCAGAATGCATTCCACGGAATTTTACCTCCGGGTCAATCGCTGGTACCGGGAGCCTTTCACATGCGACAGTGCCCAGGTACTCCATCCTAATGCCGATCTCTCTATCACGCAGCTGATTCTCGAAGCTATGTAGAGACCCTGAAACGAAAGCGAGACGATCTTGAAGGTCAGGTTCAAGGTCAACGTGCTCGTATTCAGCAAGATGAGCAACACGAGCCACCCTGCAGTCCCGCCAATCGCGTCGAACACCCTCAAGGCAATGTCAACAGTGGTTTGCAGGATGTAGCAGACACCACTGTTCAGGCAGCCATGGGTGAGGTCGGTCTGCTATCGCGTAGCGCCATGGCAGAGCCACGAGATGAGATGAGCGGCTTCTCACAGGAGCTTGCCATGGGCCGCATGGTACGCGCCACTATAGCCATCTCTGGAAAAGACCCCACAAAATCAATGGCAAACCCACACAGTGCAATAATTCCGACTTGTGATCAAGCGAATTCTCTGACCAGGGACATTGCATTGCCTTACGTGACTCGTTTCATTGAGAGCATGGAACCACAATTCCTCCATCTCAGAGAGTCCCGCATATGGGAGGAATTTGAAACATACTTCCGCGAGGCGAACGATGATTTCAGATCTTTGGCCAAGGGCCGAGTGATTTCGTTCAATGTTTACATGAATACCGCAATGGGGATGCTTCTTTCTCCAGACTCCACCGGCCTACAGGGCTTTGCAAGTAGTTTGCAGGCAATAGCGATGAGAATGTTCGCTGGGATCCTCGAGTCGGGAAGCAGATTTGATATCTTGCATTGCATGCTGTCACTTATCATCTACTCCATGCAAACCTCGCTTGGTGGGTCAACTTGGCACTTGCTAGGACTCGCCATGCAAAAGGCAATCACATTTGGTTTCTATAAAGACCCAAATCCTGCGCATAATCTACCCAGCGAACAACTCAGAGACAGAAGAGACATCTTTTGGGGGCTCTATACAATGGATCGGTATGTCCCCAGTGGTACTTTGTGCCTCTGACTTATATCATTACAGGACCATTAGTATCGTCATGGATCGCCCTTTTAACATAGAGGATAATGATATCCACATCCTGGTACGGGTCTATTCAAAGTCAATCCAGATCGCTTTGACCCCAAGCTGACATTGAGAATTAGCCTCCTGACCAATACACAACAAGCGATTCCGGAAGCACTGATCATGTAGCATGTCAAATTGTCGACCATGCCAGGCTTATATCTACAACTCGAAATTCTTCATCACAGGGAGTGATATTCCATTACAACAATCTGTGTTATTGGAAAGAGCTTGTTTCGGCCACTGATCTGCAAGCCAGGATGTCTCAAAAGTGCATCCAGCAGCTTTCATGTAGAGCTATGTGTCAGATCCTGAAATCGAAGGGATCAGCAGACATGGCAGAGTCTTTGGTCACGAGCCCTCGAAATATCGAGACAGATTTCATCCAGAACTGCCAAGAATACATTGAAGATGAATATCAAAGATCCGAGCATGGAGAGCTGACGGGAACTTTTGCTGATGCCTACGATATCTTCGCAGCAGGTGTTGCTGTGATATGCTTGACTAAAAAAGCTCCATTGGTTTTACCTGTCCCAGACATTATCAACAAGTGCACAATCACGCTTGCCCTTCTGGTTGAAAGATTTCCCGCACTTCGAATCTTTCGTCGTGTAGTATCAGCTTTGTCTACTGCCACCCTAGGAAGTTCGCCTCATGATCACATACTTCATGAGTTGCCTGATGTGATACCCGAAGGGATCCGGAATTTGATAATGGGGACTTTATCTTAATCAAGATAAAAGAAAGATACTTCACCCTAGGCACTTTTTTTACAATGATTGAACCTACAGTACGGAGTACTTTGCAATCTACTTATAGCCTCGGAACCTTGAAAACTGTGACTGCATTGTCTTTTTTACAATATTTCCTAATGTCTTTTCAATATCATACCGTAGAAGGTGGCTCTTACCGTCAGATATCTAGACAGAGGGTTGAATTTGAGAGGTTTCTAACAGGCAGTTTTGGAAACGGGTCTGAGGTCAACCTTGGAAAGTGCCAGGGATCAAATACTTTTGAAACTCACTGTACCACCGAATGATCCTGGACTATGCATTACATGTGAGCCACACCATGCAGTAACCAGTGTACAGGATTCTGCTGAAATCCATGCATATTTGTCTAGCATCAATGAATTTGATCGCGCTCGGCGGGATATCTCCGGTGCCCGCGGATGATTTCCGGTGTGCGGAGCATCGGAACATATGAGGCATTGCCATGTACCAGTCATCAAGATGAGCTGAGTCAATCAAATGGGGGAATTTAAAGCAGCTGTGAGGGTCCTTGAGCTTGAAACAAATACCACACTGTGTTGTGATCTATTGCTTCCATCGTCAGCTATTCAATATTTCGTACCTGGGTACAATATCACCTCAATCCTCTGATATGTCTCCCTCAAGCATTCACAGTGGGGATAACCTCTCACATTCTACCACAACTAGCGTCAAGCCAACTGTTTACGTGATTGATGCATTCAATCCTCTGGCTATCGCCCACGCCAAGACTCTATTCAACGTGATTCTTCCGGAAGACCCAGGCTTCGCTGACTGGAGAAAAAATGCTACATCGATTCTCGTCCGAGGCTCATACGTGACTGCAGATGATATTGCAAGCTGTCCAAATCTCACTGCAATCGGCAAGCATGGTGTCGGAATTGACAAGATTGACCAAGACGCCTGTGCTAAGCGCGGTATCAAAATTTTGAACACACCCGGTGCCAACGCAAGAGACGTTGCTGAGCTTGTTCTTGCTTTGACAATGGCTGTCGCAAGAGACATTCGCTCGATCACTGTTCGACAAATGTCCAAGCCGGTACCGAAGGAGACATGCAACGGACTGACGCTTTATGGCAAGACAATTGGCATCATCGGTATGGGCAACATTGGGCGAAGAGTCGCGGAGATCTTCCGAGGCGCTTTTGATGCCGATGTTGTGGCTTGTGATGTGTTCATGCCAGATGATGCATGGCCTCATATCCCGCACACAAGAGTCCAGACCACGCAGGAGGTTCTCGAGAGGGCCGATATTATTTCCGTCCACGTGCCTCTCACCAAGGAAACAGCGAACATGATTTCCTATGATCAGATTCGTGCTATGAAGCAAGATGCCATCTTGATCAACGCAGCTCGTGGTGGAATCGTGAACGAGGCTGATTTGGGTAGGGCCCTTTCTGAAGGTCACCTCTGGGGTGCTGGGTTAGACTGTCATGAGCAAGAACCTCCAACTCTGGAGAAGTATGGAGCTCTCTGGGAGCATTTGAATGTCATCAGTACGCCACACATTGGAGCTGCCACAACTCGTGCACAAACTGCCAGTGCGATGGCCGCTGTGAATAACCTCTACCAACACGTGAAGACTACACAAATTTGACCTGGGGATAACTATTGAGTTGCAATTTCAAACAAAAATTAATCTCTTGCTATTTTGTTTGTTTGGTCATTTTCAAGCCAAGGCCTGACTTGGAGGGTTGTGACTATTAGTAGTATTATTTGAATGTTCCTTGATATTTGTATCGATTATCCTCAGTAACCCCCTCAGGCTCAACATTGAAAAGGTCTTCCATAGCTTCAGGACCTTCATCTAGTTTTAACTGCCTTGGGCTTCACAGAGCCCCCACAATGCCACCTCACAAATTGAATGTTCCCCTTCATGCTATCCGTTATGAATAACGTTCGACCGTCTTCGCCGCCAAAAGTGCAGTTGGTTAGATTCTTGCCTCCCTCAGATGAGGTAGCGATCCTTGCTTTGGGAATGCCGTCTGCATCCACCACAAATACCGATGCGAGGCTAGGATGGCAAATGAACAAATTACCTTCCTCGTCTACCGTGAGTCCGTCCGGGCCAGAGGCCCCGAAAGACTGGAAGAACAGCCCCGCCTTTGTTGTACTACCATCCGAATTGAGGGGAAGACGCCAGACGGAATTCGACCGAGTCATGGCTACGTACAGAAATCGTTCATCAGGCGACAGGGCGATCCCATTCGGAGAAACTCCATTGTCCACTAGACAGTCTAGCCTCCCGTCGGGACAAAGCCGGTAGACTCGTCCGGTGGGATCGGACATGCCCGTTTGACCTTGGTCTGTGAAGTATATCTCGTTTTTTGACGATACCACCAAGTCATTGGGTCCTTTGAAGCGTTCCAAATTACGACGCGCTAGGAGTGGTGATATACCCCCAGTTGACGGGTCGAAAACAAGAAGACCCTGAAAACCGTCAATTCCAGAGTTTGCGGTCAAATGGTTCTGTCACTTACTTGTTTGTAATCGGCTACCACTATACAGCCGTCTTCTCTGATGACAAGACCGTTGGGCTCACCATCATACTTCACACACTCCGTTATATGGTTTTGGGTGTCGATTTTGAGAATGCGTCCATATGGAATGTCGGTCACGTAGAGGTGTCCATCGCTAGAGTAGACAGGGCCTTCCAAGAAGATATCCGAGGCCGGAAGCGCAGATCCGCTCCGCCAATCTGTAGGCTGTCCAGTGCATCGCAGGGGGGCTGTTATTTGAACCAGAATCTCAGCCTGAAGGACTGGTGGAATGGGGTAAAAGTTCATCACGGAATAAGGACAAGATCTCGTGAACTTTTTTTGGTTGGAACTCAGAGTTTGATGTATCTTTTCAGTTAAAGAGATATTCTCTGTTTTTCTAGAACCGCAGAACAAGAGATCCGGTGGAATATAGGTGATACAGGTACACGGGAAATTTCCGAAGTCTCAGGTAAGCCCTAACTCCAGCACTGGGGTATTCTAGTAGACACGGTACTTGTACCCCGGATATCGGTTCTTGGCATTCCAGGTCGGGGGTATGAAAGGGACCGCTGAAGATTTTCTGGGGTCGTTCGAGTAAAATTTCTTGCTATTATGGGTCTTATTGCGGATACGAGAAAAGCCATTCAGGATGCCCCCAAAGGCACCTTCAATTGGTATGTGTTCATGTGCACTTTGATATTTGCGTTCCCTGGAGTTGCCAAAGGATTTGACGAAGGTAAGAAAGAGAGATCTTCTTTTTTTCTTTTTTGCTTCTTCGCTGCTGATAGAATGGGATTTGCAGGCAATATCGCTTCATTGGTCGTGCAAGCTAGATTCAAGAAGGACTTTGGACTTGATCAACAAACCGAAAATGACTATGCCAATACCAAAGGCTGGGTTGTTGCAATGGCAACAGCAGGGGCTGTCTTTGGTTGCTTTGGGGTTTGTGGCTCTTTTTTTGTCACGGCGCTTCCTATCTGATGATGAAAATAGTGCTTGCCGCTCAATGATAGATTTGGTCGTCGATTTACCCTGCGAGTAGCCACCTTGGTTTACATCGCTGGGGTTCTCGGTCAAGGGCTGTGTGGTGGTAATATGTCTGGTCTCTATGCATCGAGATTTATTGCTGGAATTGGCATCGGTGCGACAACTGTTGTTCCGTCCGTATACATTTCAGAGGTGTGTAGAAAGTCATTCTATTACACCAGTGCCTGTTTGCTAACTCTCCGGTGTCTGATTAGATTTCCCCGAAAGCTATTCGAGGCCTTCTCACTTTACAATATGCCGCTTGTCAACAGCTGGGTGTTGTTTTCGGCTTTTTTATCAACTACGGCGTGACAAAATCTTACGCTGGAACTGAGACACAATGGATGCTTCCTACCCTTCTTCAACTGCTGCCAGCAGCGTTATGGGGATTGGGGACGTTCTTATGCCCCGAGTCACCACGCTGGCTTCTCTACGTTGGCCAGCGAGAAAAGGCATTGGAAACAATGTCTAAGCTTCGCCATGTCCCATTAGAGGATCTCTCCCTTCAGGCAGAGATAGCCAGCATGGATGCAAGAATTCTCCATGAGAGCGAAGCAGCTGGAAATGTAGGATTATGGGATCTCCTCAAGGAGACTTTCATTCCGGTCGAAAATCGACGTCGATTCTTTTTGATCTTCATGGCAACCCTCTTCTCTCAATGGTCCGGTGCCAACGCAATCACTCAGTATTCCCCAACGATTTTCGGGTATCTGGGTATCGATGGAGATGAGGCCAAGTTTTTAGCCACTGGCATCTATGCTGTGGTGAAGTTCGTCAGCACTTTGGCGTTTGCCTTATTCATCGTTGATTTCATCGGTCGACGGCGGTCCTTGATCACAGGCATCACACTTCAGCTGGTTACTTTGATTTACGTTGGTGGGTATCTTGGTGGCACTAGCTCCATGAGCCCTGAACACATTGGTGACAGTCCTGTTGTATCTCGAGCATCAACAGCGGCCATCGTGGCAATTTACCTTCATGCAGTGGCATGGAGTATCGGTTGGTTCAGCATTCCGTATCTCGTCGGATCTGAAGTCTTTCCTACCAAGATCCGTTCCTTCAACATGTCTATTGCCATGGGCTTTCACTGGGCTTTCTATTTCGGTTGCTCCCGTGCTATGCCGAGTCTGCTGGCTGCAACACACAAATGGGGTGCCTTTGTGTTTTTCGGGTGTATCTGTCTGATATCCCTTGTCTACGTGTTCTTTGCCATGCCTGTTGGTTATCTTCTTTCCCGTTATGATCATAGTACTGACCTTTGTGCAGGACACCACTGGAAGGTCATTGGAGGCATTAGACAGTTTGTTCCAGCGACCATGGTATACTGTATACCAAGTGGCATATGCCGACAGGGACATCGAGCCAGAGAGTTCAGGAAAGACAATTGTCAAAGCTGAGCACCTTGAGTCGGTTTAACTCACAGTCGATTGATTTGGCATATCTTGTTTTCGCTCTCAATGGGATTGTAACTCTGCAGAAAGTGATTTGTAGCAAATCAATTCAGTCTAGTTTTGAGTGAGTTACAGAGCACAGGTGTCAAATGTATGAGATGGACATCACTCGAGAAAACCGGGGACTTGCGGTCAGTTAAGTCGAGAATTTCGAAGGCCGTGAGCTTCCAGCAATGGCTGTATGAGCTTCTGGGGAGACCTGTACATTGCTTGATGCTAGGTATCAAATTTGTGAAAGGAAAAGCTAGAATAAAAACATCATTCCATGCTGAGGCTCACCCTTTCACATTCTCATAATCACCTGTTAGTGTCTCCCGAATGATAGCAAATATAGCCTTCATATCATCATCTGAAAGACGCAGTTCTCGTTCTTCAACAACAGCATCCAGTAATACCTCCGCAGTATAATCGGCCTGGGTTTGCTCCTCGTCCTCCTCACCACCCTCTTGTTCGCCATTTTGTTCATCAACCTCCATAGCTCCGTCTCCATTGGCACCTTCTTCGCCTCCATCGGCTCCAGCTCCAGCACTGCCGCCAAGCCCGAGGCCGAGATTGAGGATCATGACGACTTCAGCTTTGGTGAGTCCGTAAGGCTGCAGGCGAACAATTAGGTCATAAAGTGCGTTGTCCATTGGCGTGGACTCTGTGGAGGAAACAGGAGGTGGCAGCGCAGCGGTTTCTGAGTCATGGGCTGAGTTTGAAGTTTGAAGTGTGCTGGTCATGGCAGCTTGTGATTGTGATTGCGAATGCGAGGACGAGGGGCGGGCTGTGTAACGAGGGTATCGGAGAAGGTGTGGGGATAGACGACTGGCATAGTTGTGGATCTGGAAGAAATCAGTTGTTTGATCTCTACGATCCGAATGCTCGTCATGAAAGAAAGGGCTTGGGGGCTTGTGATCTTGAACATCAAGCTGCAAGAGGGTTGCGCAGCATGTTAAGACCAATGGGCAGAAACAAAAATTGCACGGTAAGCTTCCATACCTCTTTGATCACTGTATTATGGTCTCTAAGATCTGGGCTCGGCACCCAGTTTCGCGAGCCTGGCGGCGGGTTTGGTGGTCGGCGGGGTGGATTGGAGGTTAGGTAGGCCAGAACTTCGACATTAGTCAGAACGGCGGCTTGAGGGTCAATTATCTGAATGCAATATTAGTCACAGTCAACAGCTCTAGCCTCCAGCAGCACTGACCCTCATTTTGGCAGTTGAATCGGGAAATACGACTTTGGAGGAAGTGGTATCTGGACTGGAGAAAGGAAATTTGTTTGATCTGCCGGCATAATCAGGCGGTATCTCTGTCTTAATTACAAAGCGGTGAGATAGTACATTCAATGATCAAATCACATAGAATGAGGACTGACCAGAGACAGGAGACATAGATAGGAAAATATGTGCTGTCTTGCTCGCAAAGCAACGATCTACAATGTAGGACTGAAGTATGAACAGATTATTCCAGCTAAAACTGTACTGCCTTGTTCCTAACGAGCACCCTCTGCGCCAGTGAAAGACCGGTAATCAACCTTTAAAGCCCAAACAATGCGAGCGACAGGAAGATAGCAAAAAAAATGAAAACAGCAAATGAAAAAGTGTGATATCATACAGATCCCAGGAAAGCCATCTGGTCACATTGCAGAAACTTTTGAAAACAAGCGCTTACTCTCCCTTGGACTTCTTCTTCTTCTTCTTCTCGTCATCATCTTCAGAGCGCTTGCGCTTCTTGCCATCGTCCTTGTCGGCTTTCTTGGCATCCTTCTTAGACTTCTTGAGATCCTTCTTGCTGACTGAGGTGGGGTTACCTGCAGCATCGAAAGTAATCTCGCCTCGCTCGAGCTTGCGCTCGTAGCGCTTCACGCTGAGGCCGGCCTTGGCAGCCTGAGCCTCGATGTCTGAGCCCTTGCTCTTCTTGGACTTCTTCTTGGGTGATTCATCCTCAGATGCGTCGGAGTCCTCGGCGTCGGAGTCGGCATCGGCCATCTCCTCATCCTCAACTTCCTCAACAAGCTTCTTAGACTTCTTGGACTTCTTTGCAGAGGCGGGCTCCTCGGAAGCCAGAGCATCGGCATCGGGGTTGTACTTGCGAGCCTCCTTGAGGTCGAACTTCTCGGGCTGGGCAGCACCGTTGGGGGCAATGGCGACACCGCGGGGCTTCATGGGCTTGCCCTCCATGCCGGCAAGCTTGCGCTCAAGGTTGAAGCGAGCCTCGGTACCGAGAGCAGCCTTGTCCTCCTCGGTGGCATCGTCATCCCACTCAGCGAGGGAGTCGACACGGATACCGAGAGAGGCCTTGGCAGCGAGGATACGGGCCATCTTACCCTTGTTGCGACCGGTGGCTTGACCGATCAAAGAAGCGTGGTAGATGAGACCGTACTTGGGAGTATCGTGCTTGGTCTTGAGGGCACGGAAGAGGGCCTTCTCGGCACCAAGAATCTGAATGGTGGAGGCGGGGCTCTTGGACAGGTTGGTAAGGCTGCCAGCGTGGGCAATGAGACGGGCACCGACAAGGTCACCAACAAGGGCAGTCAGGTTGGGGGCAATGGCGTTCATGCGGGAAGTGAGGTAGCTGGCGAGCTGGGAGCGGTAATCAGCAAAGCCAACAACCTGCTCAGCGAGGGCCTGGATGTTCTCGAGATCCTCAGGGCTGATCTCGGTACCCATGGAGCGGTCGGCAGCGGTCTTGACGGCACCCTCAATCTCCTCGGGAAGGATCTCGGCAAGATCGGCGGTCTCCCAGTTGGAGCGCATACCCATCTTGAGAACGAGCTTGGCGTAGGCAATGTTGTCATTGAGGATCTTGGCCAGCTCGGGGAAGTGCCATCCGTACCATTCCTTAACACGCATAGCGTAGGTGTTCAGCTCCTTGTCAAGGTCATCCAGGAGACCAATGGCCTGGACAATCATGGTATCGATTTTATCGGGGGAGAACTTGAGTTTGTGACGTGCGAGAGAGTGGGACAGACCAAGAGCCATGGTGGACATGTCACTGGGGGCCAAGCCGGGGATGAGAGAGGTGATGTGCTCACGAACGGCACGGAAGATGTCGTGAGTGGAAGAGTCAGCGACACACTGGATGTCAAGACCGGGAAGCTTGCTGATGGAGTTTCCTATTAACATGAAGTTAGTCTGATGTCCAGTAAATATTAAGAAGAGATAAAATTACCAAGCTTGGCGTCGGCAACAGCCAGAGAAACCTTCTTCTCCTCCTTGATGCCGTCGAGCAGAGAAGCGAGACGGGGGGTGACCTTGCCCTCAATGATGGCAGCAGCCTCCTCCAGAGCTGTGGCAGCACTGTCGAACTTCTGGAAGGTCTTCAACTTCAGACTATTGCGTTGATTAGCATGGGTGTCGCCGATAACAAAAATTTTGCGCCCGCTTTGCGGCAGTCGTGCATCCCACTCAGACTCTTGTCTGCGGGATCACAGCGGAGAATTGACATACAGATTGGAGACACCCTCCGCAGTGGAGGCTTCCTGGGCGATATCATCACGCTTGAGGAGCTTCTTGTCCTTAGCCTTCAGCAGGGCGTAACCCGCGCTGGTCTCGGTGAGAATGAAAAGCGTCATGGTGCGCGGCCACGGCGTTTAAACTCGAAATATAACGAGAAAGAAAGACTTGTGTGGAGTGAACGAGAAACCGAGCCGATATAACAAGTGATGAAAAAAATTGGGCGTGGATTGGCGGCCGCCGTTGTCGTTGAACTAGATAGAAATTTTGCACGGCGGAAAGAAGAAAAAAAGTTCGAAAGCGTGGTGGTGTGGCGGTGCGCCTGTGGCTGTGGCTGACTAAGGCTGTGCGTGTCGGGGCTCGTAGAGCTACAGCTGGGCCTCTCCAACCACCTTCTACACGTTCACCATGGAGGGCCTATTCTTTAATGTTAACGGCGGGTATGTTACTCCCCTGGACATTTGCTTTATTTGTTGCTGACTTACTCAGATACGTCGAGGGTATTGTTCGCGGATATCGCAACAGCCTGTTGAGCGGCCAGAACTACTCCAACCTCACTCAATGCGAGACGATCGACGGTATGCTCCATTGATCCCATTGATGTCCTTATGGTCTCTGTTGTGGACTTTGGGTCTGACAATTCACCAAACAGATGTCAAGCTCCAGCTTGCGCCTTCATATGGCGATTTCCTTGCCTCTCTTCCTCCCAACCCCTCCACCTCCGACCTCGCCGGCCGCATGACCGATAAACTAGTCTCAGAGTTCAAGTACCTCACCGGACAAGCGACAGGGTCATCTGCCAAGTTCCTCGAATACATGAAATACGGATACATGATTGACAATGTCGCCCTGTTGATCACCGGCAGCCTGCATGGACGAGAGTTAGAACCCCTCCTCAAGCGCTGCCACCCGCTAGGATGGTTCGAAACACTGCCTTTGTTGAGCTCTGCGGGGAGCATGGAAGATCTTTACAATATGGTTCTGATCGAGACCCCACTGGCGGCCTACTTCAAGGACAGCTTGAGCCACCAGGACCTGGACGAGCTCAACATCGAGATTGTTCGCAACACGCTGTACAAGAACTACCTCGAGGACTTCCACGACTTCATCAGTACTCATGCCGATTTCCAAGGGTCACCAACACAAGATATCATGGCGGAGATTCTGCAGTTTGAGGCAGATCGCCGCTCAATCAACATCACTCTTAATTCGTTTGGCACGGACCTCTCAAAGTCCGAACGGGCGAAGCTTTACCCTCAAATTGGAAAACTGTACCCAGAAGGTAATTACATGCTGGGTAAGGCAGAGGATGTTGAGGGTGTGGCCCTTGCTGTCAGTGCTGTGGCAGATTACAAGGCATTCTTCGATGCCGTGGGTCTGAGCCAAGGCGGCGGTCTAGGTGGTATGGGAGGTGGTCCTACAGATGGCAAGAGTCTGGAGGATCTCTTTTACCAGAAGGAGATGGAACTTTCAAAGTTGATCTTCACCCGTCAATTCACCCCGGCGGTGGTCTACGGGTGGATGAAGCTCAAGGAGCAGGTGAGTGATCCTGGATCTGATGCTGAGAAATCTAGTCAACTAATCAACTTGTTGCAGGAAATCCGCAATGTCACTTGGATCGCGGAATGTATTGCCCAGAGTCAGAAGGAGAGAATTGGAAACTTCATCTCCGTGTTCTAAGAGAGCTTCGTGGTTTCCTATCTCCCTACCTCTTTGTACTTTTTGTACTTATCATTTTCTGGCTAGTGTTTTGCTTTGATAGCCAGCCGATTTCTGTTATATCGAGTACCCAGTTTGTTCTTTAATGTGAGCGCATCCACCTCTTGCTCCTTGATTGGGGCAAGTCGGTTATCTTCAGTTCAATCTTTTAGCTTTTCATTCTTACCATCACCGCTCAGAGGCGTTGCAAGGTTCCCACAGGTTCACCAAAACCTGGGCATCAGCAGACAAGTACGTGCTTTTTTCACTGGATTCTAAGTATGGCGGGATGGATTTGAAAATACCAGGTGTTCGGCTTTCCTATCGAATTTCCTGTGATAACAAAAAGCGAAATAGAACACCTGTGGACAGTGAAAGCCGACTCATGGGGAGCATCTTCATCTCATGCTTCACAGTTGTTCTAAAGACAAAATCAAACACACCGCGATAATGCAGTCTATCATGCTGCGGTGGAAGATCTCTCTATTGTGAGTCATGAAATCCACGGTAATCACCCAAAGACTGTACTTTGGCTGACAGATGACCTCGGGATGACTGCCCAGGTGAGTGGGTGAGTGGGGGAGGCCTCCGGGGCTTGAAACTAACATTGGTTAGTTTGACCTGCAGTCTCGAGGTTTTGGCAACGTTTGAAACCCACATCCAATGGGGTGGGCAGACGGAAGAGCCTATTCTAGATGATTGCTCATTGGCTGAAAATTATCATTTCAATTTCATTTCAACATTGAACACTTGATACTCATATGTGCAAATGGCAGAGGGTGTGGCGGATAATATGACATGAATAAAGCAAAGCGCAAAGCGCCAGCCTGAGCCAGTGAGATCAAGCAATAGTAAGAACAGCAGAGCACCGAAAGGCAATTTCAGACCACCAAGTCTACTGCAAACCTGGATCTATGACGGGGAATTGGGGAGGAAAAGAGATAGGATGGAATTTTAGGATATCGCAAAGAAAAGAGAAGTGTCAGAGGTCCGCAATCAGTCGTACTGGAAGAGAACACTGATGCTTTCGCCGTGGTGGACGCGGCGGATGGCCTGGATATATGTCAGCTTTGATATTCGGGATATATCGGACCTTTAGGACTCACCTCGCCGAAAACGTGGCCAATTTCTAGGACCTCGAGCTTGGGGCAACGACGCAGGTGATCAACTTGGTCCACACTGTTGGTCACAACCACCTTGTCAAGGGCGCTAGCATTGATGCGCTCGATGGCATCACCACTCAGAATACCGTGCGTGACCAAGGCGTAGACCTGAGACGCACCCTCCTTCTTGAGGAGTTTGGCGGCGCGAGTGATCGTGTTTGAAGTATCCGCCAGGTCATCAATCAGAATGGCTATCCGATCACGAACATCTCCAACCAACATCATCGTGGCATTTTGGCGGTCTGTGATCTTGGTGGGGCGGCGCTCCTGTGAGATTGTTAGGCTAGAACAGGAAATTGCGATGACACCTTCAACTAACCTTATGGATCAAAGCAAACTCGATACCCATTTGGTCAGCAATTGCCGTAGCGCGCTTGGCACCTCCGGCATCGGGGCTGACAATGACGGACTGCTTGTAATTGGGAATGTTGCGCTGAATGTAGCTCTTGAGAAGGGGGCGGCCGTAGAGGTTGTCGACCGGGATATCGAAGTAGCCCTGGTATTGCGGGTCGTGCAGATCCATGGTGATAATGTGATCAGCACCGGCGCAGGTAAGAAGGTCGGCCACAAGGGTGCCGGCCTGCGCAACCCACTGCTTGTAGCCTGGGCGCGGCTGGAAGGCAGAGATCTTGGAGGAGGTGCTATTGGCGGCATCATCAGCTCCGTTAGACAAGGACTTGAGAGAGTCTGTGGTGTCGTTGCGGGGCAAGCCGTTACCCCGTCTCTTGACGGGGCTACCAGTGCTGTCTTCGATCTGTGCCTTGGCGAGCCCCTTTTGCAGGTTCTCCATGCCGTTCATCAGACCGAGGCCTTCGGGCTTTCCGGGGCCGGGGGTGGGAGGAGTGCTTTCGAAGGTGTATCCATTGGTAGGCTTGCCTCCCACGGCGGCCTTGACGAGAGGCGCACCAGCCTTGTCGTAAGGAATGTCACTTTGACGGGAGTAGGGGAAGAGAGGAAGGACAGCGGTCACTCGGCGTGCGGAGGCGGTCTTGCAGGCGGAAATGGTGATGAGGAGTTCGAGCAGGTGGTCATTGACCTTTCCACCGCCGGATTGAATGATGTAAACATCCTTCTCACGGACAGACTCTTGGACTTCAACACGAGTCTCACCCACGGCGAATTTCGAGAGTAGAACCTCAGCGGGAGGAATTCCGAGGACACCGCAAATGCTCTGAGTCAACTGAGGGTGGGAATTACCCCCAATGACGACAAGATTGCGGACCATGTTGTGTAAATGTTATGTGCGTATTGGTTGTCGGGTTTATGAGTGAAAGTGAATGAGGACGACAGCGCTTGATCCTAAGAAATCAGGATTGGAGGGACTCGGTGGAGGGGGAGGAAAATCTGGGGCGATCTTGACCGGTGAGCCGTCGAGGGATCGAGGTTCAGGTAAGGGAAAGTAAGGATGAAAAGTTCTTGTAATTGAAGTAGATAGCAGCTACCTCATGGCGGAGCGAGGATCAAGGCTTCGAACAGTCATTAAAAAAAAATAGACGTAGCTGTGAGTCCCGCGATGGAAAAAAAGCCTCTTGGAGTGGATCGGACCTGTCTTTGATGCCTCAGGTGGCAAAGTGAGCCGCATCGGGTAAAGCGTATGTCGTGACGACGCAGGCCCCGCAGGAAAACGGCCCTCGAATCGCAGGAACAAACAGTAGATGGTCAGCAACTGTTTGTACTTCGTATTCACTGCCATAAATATACAATTTCAATAGTGCTTTCCAAGTCGGACTCAGAGAAAGAAAAAGGCCATATTCATGCACTCCCATGCTCCAGTTCCCATGATACTAAGAAAAGAAAGAAAAAAGACATAAAAACCACTTGGCATGACTGTCTCGCCGACTGCAGTCTGCTCCGGGAAACCCTATTCGCCCGTTCCGACTTCCCTATACTGAGGTTAGTATATGGTTCTTGTGGTCTACAAAGAAACGAGAGGGGGTGGAACTCACAAATCAAGCTGAACGCCGTTGCTCACACCGTAATCCTCCAGTGTGAGCTCGTCCTTGAACGGCCGTTCGCCTTGACGCTTGAGAAGAATCTCGTGAGCTTCGCGACCAATCCGAGCAGCCACATAGGCTTTGAATAGTCCTGCAATTGTTAGTTTGGCTTGGACATGGTCAACCAGAGACACAAACTCACTTATGGGATCTGAAGCCAGGCAAGGGATCGCAGCCTTGGTGCCCAAACGATCGTTGACATGAACAACGATCATAGGTTCTGATGGAGCGACCTTTTTCACCTTCTTTTCCTTCTTCACTTTCTTTTCCCGGTCCTCGCGCGGCGTATCCCGATCGTCGCGTCGTCGATCGCGGTCGTCTCTGGGTTTGTCACTGTAGCGGTCGCCATCTCGATTGCGCCGAGGAGAGGATTGGCGGTCTCGGTATCCTCGCTCTAGTGTGCGGTCATCGCCGCGGGAATCTTCGGTGCGACTTTTGTCTTTCCACCGAAAGCCTCCGGTCTTTTTGGGGCGGTCTCGGTCGCCGTTGTCCCTTGGTCGGGGGGATCTGCTTCGTGATCGGTCTCCCATGGTGTAAATGGAGAAAAGAAGATGTTAGGTTGATGTCCGACCAGATGTATTTCCAACGGAGAAGATATGGCACGTGAGATGCAGCTCCCAGAAATAGTGGGGCACGGCACCCAAAACGGACTAGTGCGGCGTTGGCCGTGAGCTTCTCCTGTAACCCTTGGAACACTTCGAGAGACGCCGCGATGCGACTGATCGGACAATAACATCGGTGTTGTGGGTATTTCCTCCGCTTTCACAATGCCAGGCAGACTCAAGATTCAGCGTCCATCCCCGACGACTGTCTCCTTCACAGTATCTAATGCGCCGCAACGATCCAGTTCTCCAGCTAAGATCTTATTCGGTCTCCAAATCCTGCTACGCGCGATCTTATTCCTCTGCGTGATCGTTGTCGGAGTCACACTCCTCCGGCATATTGTTTTTAATGGAGACAGCGGAGCGATCAGTTGGTCGCTTGTTTGGTCCAGCGCACTCGGATCCAAGCTGTGTCGCTTGGTGGATTCATACAACCCGTTGGCCATTGCCATAGTCAGTGCCTTGGTTGTATACGGTGTGTTCAGAAGAGGCTATACAGGTATGTTAGGTCCCGCTGCATGGATCTGGCAATTTGGATAGCTGACCAGGTTTGGCAGAGGAATCGCTTTTAGTCATTCGAGGATTCGGCATCCAGACCTCGACGTCGTCAGCCACCTATCTATCGACAGCCGCGACGAGGTTTATCCCTACTACCCAGATTCAAGATATTGTCATACATGAAGCCTTCAAGGGCTTTGAGGTCCGCTTTTATCTGGCAGTAATTGTCGAAGGTGAACCCGATGCCGTTGTGGTCTTTCCGGTATGTGATATCCTAGCTAGATGTCATCGGAGCTAACCCAGTGAACAGCATACGCTGCCCAAACGAGAAATCCTAGAGCAGGTTTGGAGGGGCTCGAGACGGTGCCTCTACGATGCTAAGTCGTGATACACACTACCTAGCCTGTTAAGATCTGATCAACGCCATGATAATGATATATTGGCAGTTCTATAAAACGCTTATGCTTCTGGCGCCTTTGCGGCCTCATCTCTTTCCAGCTTTCGCTGCTTCGCCCTGAGTCCCTTGGCATTTTGGGATTCAACGGTTTCCATCTTGGGCTTCTTGTCGACGGGGGTATATTTGCCACCAACAACGCAGTCGTTTCCGCCATACCAGGTTTTAGAGCCTCTTTTCGACTTTTTGCCAGAGGAGCTCGAAATCTTTAACTGCTCATCCCTCTGCTCGATGCTCTGGTTGCCCTTGCTGACAACCAAATCCAGCAGAGCACCAGCAAGGATTTCGTCAATCTTGCGCTGTCTCCAGACAGTCCACATTGTCTCAACTGTGCCCTGCAACCCGAATTTGGCGTCGCCCTTAGCGCTTCCCTTGGTGTTGCCGACATCGTCGCCAGCATAGACCCAGTTCAGGGCATCCTCGCGGCTACCCGAGGCGACATCAGGGAAGATGCAATCCTCGAGAACCAGAGGAGCATCGTCAGCCATAAAATAGGTTGGCTTACGTGGGTTCTTGGAAGGGTCTAGCAATTCAGGCACAATGGACGGTGATTCCAGGCCTTGTCCGACCAGGAACAGAATTGAAACCATGTGGCGCACTTGGTGCCACAAAAAGGCTGATCCGTGAAGGCTGAACGAGTACACCTGTGGAACGTTCTGAGAGACTGTGTCCGGGGTTACCTGATCGGGTTCTGGAATGGCATTCTGCTTGGCCTGGAACCCAGCTTTTCCAACATAGCCCAGCGGGTCAGTCTTGGGGTTCACAGCTTCGATGTCAGAGTGATGAATGATGCGCATAAAGTTATCAATCTGCTTCTTGACGTCTAACTTGCAGAAATTCCGGAAATCATGAACACCCTCGAAATGCTTGGCTGCCTCACGCATGGCATCAATGTCAAGCCAACCCTCGCGGAATTCAGCCCGTGGTCCGTTTCCACTTTGCGCGCGGTTCTCGAACCCAGCGGCGCCAGGAGTTGGTGTGAAGGCTGGATTTGTGAAGAAGTACCTGTACCGACGTTCACGGCAAGAGAAGCGGGCATCGAATCCAGGTGGTGGGTTAGGACACCAAGCTAGAACCCTAACATCTTCCGGAAGAACTCTGTTCAGAACAGCTGGGTAGTTGATCTCGTCGGCTACATCATCCCACTTTGTTTCAGTAGATGTGTCAACCTCCATAGCATCCTCTTCGCCTTCAACTGGAGGCTTAGGCTTGGGTCTCTGACTGCGAACCCTCAACCCAATGACTTGTCCAAAGGCGCTGACTCCCTTATCCGTGCGGCCCGCCTTGGAATATTCAACCCCGTCCCAGTAGAGGTGGTAAGGGCGCATAGGGACGCGCTCACGTTCAGTCGGTTCCTGATCAGAGGTCGTTTCGGGGAAGATAAGGCGAGTGCGGCGCAAAGCCTTCCACACAATTTCCTCAACCGTGGGCAAGGGAGTCACGTTGCCGTTGGTGTGCTCCAGTCCATTGTACGCCTGACCCAGGTATGCAAATTTCAGCGCAATGTATCGCGTGGAGTACTTGGAGGGGTCAAAAGCCCGTTCAACATTGGATCCGGCATTGCTTTTGACCTCCCGGGCCGGCCCAGGAACTTGGGTGATGTCCCCTTCGGGGGAGAATGCGGGCGCTTCTTCGAGGTTTGCGCAGAGTCGGCAAGTAGGATCGCGGGCTCGTGGCCGTCTGCGGGATCGGGCGCACGAGAATCGGTATTTTGGGTAGATTGCTCGGTCGGTGCGGTAAATTCCGTTGTACGAGTGTGAAGCTGACGCTCGAGGTCTGTGATACGGGCGATCAGGCTTGCGTTTGTCCAGGCCGAGTAATCGGGCTGGTCCTTGGTGCCCTCCGCCATGGTCTGCGTTATAGTGCGGGATTGGCCCAGATATCGGGTCTGTTGGAGAACTCGGAGGTTACAACGCAGTGGAAGAAATCTTGCCGGCTTCCACATACCACGACAAACGATCGGTGGGGCTTGAAGTTGGTGTGGATGCTCGACCGGACAAAATCGAATTTGAGAAAACTCCGCGGACCTGTATTTTATGTATTGAATTTGCGTATCAGGTTGGAAATTCAAGGGCCTCGTAGTGAGTCCAGTATCTTCCTCGTGTATACTAACGTTTCCATGTTTTTTAATCACTTAATTTAAACGACAGACAGTTTTCGTAATTGAACTGAATAGGAATGATCAGCATATTAGTGAATACGAAACACACATAGAGTAACATATAAGAGGGGTGGTTGTATATTTAGTCGATCTCGACGGCTGAGACTTGAACCTTATCGGCTTGACCTTCAAACGTCTGGACCTCACGACCATACTGCGCATTAGTTTTCATAGCGATCTCAGTGCAGGGAAACCCCTTCTTACCAGTACTAATCGGGAGATATTACAACAGGGATCCTAGATCCTAAACTCACCAGGTTTAGAAGGGGCTCTGGATATATTCAGGGAAAGCTCCACCGAGCTCAACTGTACAACCCCAGCATGACGGAGGTCAACACTGCTCCTGAAGCCAATGAACTTCCAGGGAGTGATCAAACAGTCTCTTTGTTACTGCTCGGAGACCCAGGATGTGGCAAATCAACTTTCCTAGCGTGAGTGGACTTTACCTCCCTCCCCGGAATGTGAAGCATGGCCTTGACAGTCGGTGTTGGAAACACCGCTACCGAAGGACATACAGACAGGTTCGACTCGGAAACTAACAAGTTCTAGTCGCCTTAAAAATGGAGGGTCGTCACTGTCACCACAGCCAGGTGTTAGGCCAAACACGATTGTGCCGTTAAGAGATGAAGATCAGCCTTTCATTTACGATATTCGATTTTCAAAAAAGAAATTCACTCTTGAGCTATACGATACAGCAAACCCAAACCAACATTGGTCAAGTCTAAAGCCGGACGTGGTTGTTTTGGCATATGATATATCGAACCGAACCACACTTGATGGTCTTAAAGCGGTATCGTCGAATGCCAAATTCCTTAAAGTTCTCAAGCTGACCTCAAACCTTTCTTGCTAGTGGAGGAACGACATCACTCGATACTTCCAGTACGGTCATGGAGAACGATTGCCTGTCATGATGCTAGGTTTAAAGAGGGATCTTCGAAGGGAGGGCGAAGGCATCATATATCCTCAAGAGGTAGACAGCCGCATCCCAAACCGATCGATTGTATTTGACTGACTGGATCTACAGGGTTACCGTATTGCCCAGGAACTTCGCTGTGATCGGTACGCAGAATGCTCAGCCGTGACGAGTGAATTACTTGCGGAGACATTCGAAGATTTGGCCAGACTCGCGGCGATGACCACAACCGAAGAGGGCGGCCAGACAGCTGGAACGTCTTGTACTATTCTCTAATTGTGTTCATCTGTCGATCATGGGAATATTCTGCCCCGAGGCGAAAAGGGAGCATAATGTGCAGAGCCATATAGGATGATATAGGACGATGAGAATCCATCGCCAGTTCAATAAGGTTCACTGTTATAGTCACGAGCAGCGGTTATTTGTACTGTACTAGAATGTGACCCCAGGAGGATGACAGAAGAACCTTGGAAGAGGAATTGTTAGATTTGCGGAAATGCATGATAGAATCAAGTTGGGTAGTCCACGGCCGCATGTCCTGCTGTGACTTCAAGACAGTGCCAAAAGCCACCCACTGCTTGTCAATCCTTGGACTGTTGAACAAACCGCAGCAGGCTCGAGAGGTAATACAATATACAAGGTCAGAACATCCAATTGTTCCGGATGAAACCATGACATGATGCAATCCACTACATTTACAGCTACGAGACTACTGGACATGACACCAAGCACAACCGTTTCAGATTACTAGAATACAACAGGGAGAAACCAAGGTAACGATTAAGTCCACCTTGTGAATTGACAGCACAGGGCTTTCCCCCAGAAACTTCGTGGACAAAAGTATCTGGATATCTTTCCCTCATAAGCGCCAGTCAATGATTGGCATGACAATTCCTCCCCGAAGCAAACATGGAAATAAAAAAAAGTGCTGGTAAGGAAGACCCCACTGAGGCAAAAGAATCGAAAGGTTCCGGGTGAAAGCTCATTTTCTTTTGATGTTTTGCAGTTTCTTTTGGTTTTTAGCACATTGCGCACAGAGACTAGGATAGACATGTCAAGGGAATTTGCGGGAGATTGGTTGTCCATCTTGAATGGAGTAGATGGTGTAGAAAAGAAAACAAGAGTCGTGCTTCGATTTGTCGTCGAAGAACTCCAATAGTCATCACAATCATCCCGGATCACCAGAAATTCTGGTTTATTGTGGCCAAGCTTCCCCCCCTCTCAACGAATATCCTCAGTCATCCGCGAAGCAATTTACCACTTAGCCTCACCAGCGGCGGGCTGAGCCTCAGCCCACTCACCAGTAGCGGGAGCGGAGCTAGCGGCCCAGTCGGCACCGTCAGCCTCCCAGGAGGTGGCACCAGCGGTGGCGGTGGCAGCGGAGGCAGCAGCGAAGGCAGTGCCGGGGTTACCAGCACCGGGGGCGGAGGCATCCCAGTTCTCACCGGCGAAGCCAGACTCGACGGCACCGGCACCAATCTCCTCAACACCGGGGACCTTGGCCTCATCGGCGATCTCCTTGTTCTCCTCGGCCTCGGGGTCGCGGTAGAAGTAGAGGTCGACAACGGAGTCCCACTCGGTCTCGCGGGTAGCGAGGGTACCGCGGAGACGGAGGACCTCACGGGCGAGCATCCACCAGACGAGACCAATGGCGTGGCGACCCTTGTTGTTGGTGGGGATGGCAACATCGACGAAGTCGGTGGGGGAGTCAGTGTCGCAAAGAGCAATGACGGGGATGTTGACGTAGGAGGCCTCCTTGATAGCCTGGGCATCGGTGCGGGGGTCGGTCACGATGATGAGACGGGGCTCCTTGAAAGAGCGGGTGATGTAGTTGGTGAAGTTACCGGGGGTGAAACGACCGGCAATGGCGGTGGCACCGGTGTGGGCGGCGAACTTCAGGACAGCGCGCTGACCGTAGGGACGAGCGGAGACGACACAGACATCAGCGGGGTTGTCGATGGCGGCGATGATACGGGCGGCCAGGACGATCTTCTCCCTAAAAGCGCAAATCGAATTAGACACTCAAATTCCGGTTTTCCAAAGTCAGTTTTCGTGTGTCGCATACCAGGTCTTGCCAATGTTCAGGACGTTGACACCGTCGGCGCGGAGCTTCCAGAGGTAGGGCTCCATGTGCACCTGAAGGTTCTTGGAACCAAGGTGGCACTGAGCGGCAAGGAGCATCTCAATGTCCTGCGCGGTGGGGTTGAAGACCGGGGGGAGCTGGGAAGGGGCCATTTTGGGCGATTGATGGATTGATGATATGGAGGATCAATCGTCTGGCTCTTGTCGTGGTGATGGAAAAGATTCAAGCCAACTAGCCGCACCTTCGCGATTCGGAAGGAAAATTCGCTTGAGTGGGTGGCACGTGCACCACAATCTAGGGCTAGTCTAGGGCTATGGTGGATACAGGAGGGCATTATGACCATATGCGCAGTTTGGTACTGTTTGGGTCCACTTGGCTCCAACGGGACCCATCTTGTACTTCCAACATCAACGCTTTTGACTACACGTACAATGAATACCTACCAAGGTTGTGTAAATATAACCAATGACAGCAAGCGCAGCTATTTGTCTTGGTGACTAGAAAGTATTCTCAGATTGAATCTCAGTGGTTGTGGACATCTAGTATGGTCTTTTGTCCTCAGAAAAGTCTGTGCAACGACGATGTACCTGGTTTTGATCCAATTGCTTTCGTGTAAAACTAAGGTGCTCCATATGAGCTTGAACTTATTCATTAGAACAAAACAAACCATATCCTGTCTTGGGATAAGGTTGTCTATGCTTTCAAAGATATAAGAGTGAAACGAAGAACAACCACAGCGAGAAAGCAGTCAAGCAGCTGTTAGCAGCCATGAACTTTAGACCTGGACATTGTGGGGAGAATTTTTGAACTAAATATTGAATGCAGATAGGGACAGTGCTGTTAGGTCACATATGTTTGTTTCAAACTTGTATATGGGCGAAGGTGGGCGATCAGCGGGTAGTCTGATCGCAAGACTGGCTGACGGTTGGAGTTGGAGCGAACACTTCATCACCGGCCGCCTTTTTGCGCGTGTTGATGGCAACAGGCTGACAAGCGCTTGCGCCGATGGTGCATGAAAAGAACGTGATCCAGATGAGGGTGAAAACGGTAAGAACTAAAGCCTACTTAGGGTACGGAGTATAAGAAGTGAATATTGAAAGCCCATGTTTTAACAAGAGGTTCCCTTCATTGATTCAAAAAGGGTTCGTGTATGTTTATCCTTCTCAGCTCACTGAACGCGCCATGGGAGGTTAGTTGCTTATAAACACGAGTAGCTATATATTGGCTTGATCTCATATTGCGATTGGTAAAGGAAGAGAGCTATTGTCAATCCGAGACCTCTTGTCAACTGTCTTTTGGCTGTCCTTCCATTGTTCCAAGTAAGCATGATTGGTCGAGAAAAAGAAGTCTTGGCTAAGCCGTGAACAGAGAATTAGGGATTGACATCTTGAAAAAGTGATTGAGAAGAAAAGCATAATCTTACCAAAGTACCTGGAAATATTCCATGCAAATTGTTAGCATAAGCCCTGGAGCGCTACAACGTTATCATCAATTTTCTCCGGCCGGAGATATAGTATGTCGGAGAGCGTAGACACCTGAGGCTCAACAAATCCCAAAAGGGAATAGCGTGCTTAACTTCCTTTCGGGCGCAAGTTTTCCCGGCGAAATGTTACTGATGGAAATCAGTGAGTGTTGCTATCGGAGTATCAACTTGCCAGCAACGCCCATCATGCCTCTGCGCATCTCACTCCAGTCCTCTCTGAAGGCATTGGCCGGTATGTCCCAGCCTGCTACCCTGACCAATCGCCACAGTGTGCTAACAATAAGTTGTCTAGGATCCGCTTCCGCTCCGCCGTCCAATGTGTTCCACACCTCGATCAGAGCTGCCTCCAGCAAGACGCAAGTGCGCAGAAAGCATGATCCTTTCATGATGGCTCAGGCTCGCCAACGTAAGGCAGCCAATGTTTCTCGACAGAAAGAGCTCGCGGTGGAGCGGGAATCCTCGCTCGGTGATCCCGTGAAGAGCAGCCCGACACCATTCATCCTAGAAATGACCGCAATCCAAACCGACTCACAGGTCCCATCCACTGTGACCGATGACTTGAACTACTACTTGAAAGCCAACGAATTGGACGCTGCTCTGGGCTACTCCAAAAACTTGACCGAGCCGCTCCCGGAGGCTACCCGCGACACCACCGATCCTCAAGCCGAGAAGGAAGCCCTTGAGCGACACGAAAAGGAACACAAAAATGCCCAGGAGGCAATCAACCGAATTGTGAACCTCAACAATGGAAATACCAAGGACCGGGTGCGCCTCAACATCATGAAGTGCGTCGAGACATTTGGGCGACACTACACAGACCTGAATCTTCCACCAAAGCCGTCAGCCATGGTTCATGGGTCTGCCCCCGTTCACCCGGAACGCGCGCCGCGCGTTGGGCCCGATACCGGCTCCGCAGAGGTCCAGGCGGCGATTTTGACCGTGAAGATTATGAACCTTTCCCGCCACCTGGAGTCTGCTACCAAGGACAAGCACAACCGACGCAATATGCAACTTCTTGTCCACAAACGCCAAAAGCTTTTGCAATATGTTCGCAGGAAGGAGCGCGGAGGCCCTCGGTGGCAGAACCTAATGGGAACATTGGGATTGTCTGATGCTGCATGGAAGGGAGAGATTGCCATCTAAAGAGCATGGCTGCCCCGAAATATCTGCGGCGTCTCTGTATAATTTCGTTGTGTTTGGCTGGCTTTGAAAAAGGCATCAGCGTGTTGGCTTATATCATCTGCTATCCAGGAACTAGCGATGGGTACTTTGTTGGTTCATGGCTCTATCTTTTCGCTTCGTTCATAAAGCATCTGTACAAATAGTATCTTGTTATCTTCTTAAGTTAATTCTCGAGGTCATGAACGTAAGGGTGTGGTGTAGGAAAGACGCACAAGAGTGTCTGTTACATGTGTAGGTATGAATCACCTTGGCATGGGCCATAGGTACTTATAACTACATCGATATATAAATAGATATAGTATACATAGGATGAAATCTATCGAGTGATCATACAAAGTCTGTTAGCTAGTATCCATCTTTCCAGCCTAAAGCAGCCAATTCCAATGTTGCTTAATGATATTCAAAAGCCTGTGTAAACAGTGCTGCAAGTAAATTATAATGAGACAGGATTCTTCAAAAGGAAGGAATATATGGATATGATAGAGTAGAGGGAAAGTATTGGTAATTATTAGCATGGAAGGGGTTGGCCGTATACTCCCTTTACTGAGTCTATGGGCAAAATTTGGTCAGACACACCGCCCTCAGGCCAACTATTCTGCCAGATCGCGACTTCCGCATTTGAAAAAGTTACAACTTTTGAGGGGAAGTCGGCCCCGGCAACCGCTCCTTCCATTTGCGATTTCACGCCCGCCAAAACACGCAGCAACCATATCATCGCGTCTTTGTTTACTTTTCATCTCCTCTTCTTCTCTTCCCCCATCGTTCACCACTTTTTCTTGTCCAGCCAAAACCTTTGACTGTCACTTCCAACTGCGCCTTCAAGCGCCTCTGTGATCGATAAACTTGCTTTTATCTCCCCATAAACCCTCAATTATCTACCGAATCGTCACCTCATTACCTACTGCACCCTGTGCGCAAGCCAAGATGCGACTTCGATCAAACCACGTTCTCGAGCCTGTGGCCGAATGGGAGCAGACACGTCGCCGCCATGTGCGAGCCTCGTCAGCTCAGTCGGAATCCGAGTCGGAACCCCAGCCAGAACCCCAGCCAGCACGTCGTCGCCGTGGCGCGCGGAGCGTGTCAACCCAGCCTGAGACTCAGCAAGAATCTCAGCCAGCAACTCGCCGACGGAACACCCGTGGCTCATCGGCTCAGCCTGAAGCCCAGCCAGAGCCCCAGCAGCCGGCAAGTCGGCGCCGCACCACGCGTGGCTCATCAGCTCAGCCTGAAGCCCGGCAAGATCTCCAGCCGGCTCGCCGCCGTAACACGCGTGGCGCCTCAGCTCAACCCGAACCCCAGCGTGAGCCTCAGCCGGCCACCCGCCGCCGCAACACGCGCGGCTCCTCAGCGCAACCTGAACCCCAACCTGAGCCTCAGCCGGCAACCCGCCGCCGCCGCAACACACGTGGCTCCTCAGCCCAGCCAGAGTCTCAGTCAGAACCCAACGAGCAAGTACTGTCAACTCCAGCCAGACAGGCCCGCAGAGGGCGGGCTGCCAACAAAGACAAGTCCGACTTGGTAAGTACCTTGTTAACACGTCTAAGTCATTTAACTAACCATTGGTCTGTTTAGGTCACCAATCTACTAGAGTTAGTTTCATCCAGCCCCGCACTCTCCCCATTGGTTTCCCATTCCGGATCTCCCATCGCGGTCTCCCTGACCGTGGTGTCTACGCCTGTTGCCTTCTTGTCCCCAATCCCGGAGGTCTCTTCGGCACCAGCGACCCCAGCCACCCCATCCCCAGCGGGTGGTATATTTGATACACCTACGGTGTCGGTGATGGAAGAGGAGGACGTGTTTTTCACACCTCTTGCGCCGACACCCCAGAATGTGGTTTTGAGCTCATTTGTGTCGACACCGGAAGATGTCTTTTACACCCCCGTTGGGCCCACCCCTACCAGTACCTCCTTCGTGCCATCCGGACCCCTTGGACCCCCTGGACCCCGTTTTCAAAAACCCCAAAACCGCATGTATACTGATCTATGGCTTCCCAGAATCGAGCCAACCGAGACAACCCTTGCGGTCATGACCTCGGAGGACCCCGAAATGAGACGTAGGTCAACCCGGCCAACCCGGCGACGCCATAGATTGCCGCCCCTGTACTATGGCTCAGCCGCTACGCTGCTTGTGCGCAAGCCCAACAGCAACCCGCTGACACGTACCCAAGATGGAAACAGGAAACGGACCCGAACCACCGAAGACGAGACCCCAGCCAAACGCTACAAACCTGCACCAGTGATAACTCCTGGTGGTTCGTTGATTCGTGCCCGTGGCAGTTCCCGAACCACCTATGCGGACCGCACCCGACGACGCCAAGCCGAAATTGGTGGTCGAATTCATTCCACAATGTTCCGTGTCCCTGAATATCTAGCGCAGCGAGATGCAGATGCGAGGTCCGCCTCCCTCCCCCAAGATAATGACACGCATGAACAGACTCCCACTCCCGAGGAAAGTGCTCTCCCCCGCGAAACCCCCGTCCCTGCCACGCCCATACGGGCAAACACCCCTGGATGGGGCCGATGGGTGTTTGACAGTGTGTCTCGACGATGGACGGGCATTTTGGGACGACCCAATGTGCCACAGGCAGCAGATGCTTCGCACCGTATGTACCTAAATATCCTTTCACCCATCTCAATGACTAACATCTCATTAGCTGCCGAGCGTGAGCAACAGCACACGCAAGCTGAAACTAGCCAGCAGCATGGTCATTCCAGTCTCACTGCAGTCTCATCCTCTGTCCCTGCAGGCACGTCCACAACTTCGCCCGTCCGCGGATCCCCTGCTCCAGTGGCCTCGGCGAGAACAGATTCACACCAAGCACCCACTGTGCCTCCGCGCAGGAGATATAATAACTACGATCTTTTCAGCGCTGGTTATTCCGAGGAGCAGCGCGCTCGTTGGCTTATCAATGTACCACCCGCCCCCACCGCCCCTGCGACTACTGCGATCGATTCCTCAACCACACAATCCGCCCCACAGTCTTCTCGCGCAGCACAGCCTGAAACGCCAACTGCCTCTAAGCGCAAGCGGCAGCCAACCCCTGACAAAATCCCCAACCCCCCAGGGTGTAGCTACGGGTTGCACGATGATTATTTCATCTACGACGATGAAGATTGGGAAGCGAATGAGAAATACAACGAACAACACCCAAAAATTACACCCACCAGGGCCGGGGCCAGTGAAGACCCAGATACCGAGAAACGTTCCTCCAAGAGAGTGCGCATTAAAAGCCCGGCAAACTCCAACCAAGCGACTAGCCCAAGAAAAATGGGCTCGAGAAGATCGCGTGCTGAACGTCCGGCAAATTTCAACTGGTCGGGTCACTTTGAGGTTCCATATTCCAGCTCTGAGAGCTCCAGCTCGACGCGCACCAGCCCTGCGAGCCAATCTCAGACCCCAGGTCCATTCCCCAGCAGTCCGGGTCCATTCCCCAGCAGCCCAGCAGCTACACCAAGAGTGAATGCCTCGAGAAGAGAGCGGGTTGAACGTCCGGGCCCCTCTGAGGCTCCCTATTCCAGTCCTGAGAACTCCGGCTCCATTGCCAGCAGCCCACTCGATCTTCCCGCGCCAAACACACGCTCATACCATACCACTGTTGAAAGCGTCGAAGATGACCACTCATCCTTCCGCGACGAGAGCCCAAAGACCATTGGTGGAGCAGAACCCCCCAAGGCCGAGAAAGACCTTGGACCTCTCCAAAAGGCCCGTGACCAGGCCGAACAATACAAACCCAAGACGCCAAGCCGTCTGCGCGCTGCTCACCGGTTCTCAAGCAGTAATACCAGTTATGCTACCAGCCGGTCTCCGTTTGTACGCGAGCTGGAGTACGTTTCTACTGAAGCTGTTCGCCGACGTATGATGAGAGAGACCTCTCTTGCTAAGGCATGCCCGAGTGGCGATATGAATCAGATCAGGTGGCCAGAAAATGACACCTGGGAGAACCGCCTGCGGGGTGGGCTCACTCGGGAGGTTGTGGCGTACAACCGCCGAACTCAACGACACAACCTTCTTTCGCCAGCCAAGCTGGAAGAATTTGACCAGCGTTATCATGAAGCACTTTCCCGCAGGCGCTTGGAAAACAACTACAAACCCAGTTTGTGGAGTCAGCGCCAGCTTGTCAAATAACCAATCAATCTAAACACACACATTCGCCCAAACACATGTCACTTTTATCCCTAGCCCCGCGGGCCCTTGATGGACCTCATCTGGCGGCAGGGCACTTGGGCTCCGTTGCGATATGCCCCATTTCATCACTTTGATCACGATCTTGTTTGATGACAGAGCACTTGGGCTCTATTGGGGTCTGTCCCCGTTGATCATTTTAGTTGGGGTTCTCATTTGGCGACATGGCATCTATGCCCCATAGTGGAGGAATTGATCATCAATCATGTTGGATTTTGTTGAAACTGATCCTTTTATTTTCGGTTATGTTAGCGAATTTGAATTGTCTGGAATCAAAACGTCCCGTCTCGCACGAGAGAATTGTATGTGTAGAGTGGAGGATACGTGGGCACGAATAGCATTTACGCCCTGGCTGACGCCATACTTCTCCAACTGCACGTCAAACCTTCGCGGGGTTGCTCTTATACAGCTCGTTTTTTTTGTTCTGTTACCTTTTGCTTTTTTTGCTCTGTATTTTCGAGCCTGTCTATAACCATGTCTTCAGATAAAAAGCAACTCATCATCAATGCGTTCGCGATGCATTCGCCCAGTCACCTCAACCCGGGACTGTTTCGCCATCCCGCAGACCAAGGCGCGGATTACAAGAACATCAAGCATTGGATCGCATTGGCAAAAAAGCTCGAAGATGCCAAATTCCATGCAATCTTCTTTGCGGATGTTCTGGGAGGCTACGATGTTTACAAAGGCCCAGCCAATCTAGACCCAACTATTCCAGCTGGTGCTCAATTCCCCATCAACGACCCTCTCTACAGCGTTCCCGCCATGGCAGCCGCAACTGAAAGCATTGGATTTGGCGTCACAGCATCCACAACCTACGACTCCCCCTACGCCCTGGCAAGACGCTTCTCCACCGTTGACCACCTCAGCAGTGGCCGAGTTGGTTGGAACATCGTCACCTCGTATCTCGACTCCGCAGCTCGCAACTTTGGCCTCGACACTCAGGTCGAACACGATGAGCGCTACCGCATCGCTGATGAGTACCTCGACGTCACATATAAGCTGTGGGAGGCGTCTTGGAGAGACGATGCCGTGACTTGGAAGCCAGGTCAGGGCAAGACCCAGGGATATGCGGACCCCAAGGCTGTCCGCCAGATCAACCATAAAGGCAAATACTTCCAAGTACCTGGCCCCCATCTCTGCGAGCCAAGCCCCCAGCGGACACCGTTCATCCTGCAGGCTGGCACTTCAACCGCTGGCAAAGCCTTTGCGGCAAAGCACGCTGAGGCTGTCTTCCTGCATGCACAGAAGCCTGAGCTTGTCAGACCCTCTGTCGACAGCATTCGCCAGCAGGCTGCAGATATCGGTCGCAACCCGCAAGATATCAAGGTTATTGCCGGTGCTCTGGTCATTGTTGCCGAGACGGACGAGGAGGCACAAGCCAAGTTCGACGAGCTGAAGACTTACGGCGACCGTGAGGGAGCTCTTGCTCTGTTCGGTGGCTGGACTGGATACGATCTTTCGACTTACGCCGACGATCAGGACTTCCGGTTCGTGGAACAGCCTGCTGTCCGCAGTATGGTGAACCACTGGGCCAGCACGGTCCCTGGCACTGAGGGTCAGAAGTGGGATAAGAGGACCATCGCCGAATACTTGACTCTTGGAGGCAATGGTGTGAAGATCATTGGTAGCGTTAAGACCGTTGCTGATGAGTTAGAGCGGTGGGTCAGTGTCGGCGGCGTTGATGGGTTCAACTTCAGCTATGCTAGCCTGCCGGACACCTTTGACGATGTCATCCGCCTTTTGCTGCCCGAATTGCAGCGTCGTGGACTCTTCTGGTCGGATTATGCCGTCAAGGGCGGAACCCTGCGCGAGAATATCTATGGCCGAAAAGGTCAAAACAGACTGCCTGAGGAGCACCCCGGCGCCAAGTACTTCTGGCGTGAAGGCCAAGAAGTGCCTCCATATACATTGGAGTCGCAATAGTATGTAAAATAGAGCATAAGTAGCAAATAAAACCTTGGAACGATTTGTATCGTGACTTCGAGTACAACAGTAACTAGTGCCCACCGTGCGCTTTGGAATTTTGCTTACTGCTACATAGAATCTTGGAACCTTTGCTGTATTTTATCAAATTGCTTGGAGATCCCGCCTCCACTTGCCGAAAGTACTGCATGTATTGAAAATGCCGAAGATACCGATGTTTAGCGTCGGTAGCCCCGCGCCCGAACTTTCCCCACAAACTGCGGCGTTCTCGCTCTCCTATTGGTGCGTCGCCGCCCTCTAGCCTACAATTTTGACATCTGACCACCCGTGGTCGTCTCGCCTCCCATGGTTCTTGCGGGGTTTCTCGGGGTAGATGGCAGCGAGTATCCATCTCTCGGATATTCCGAACGTGATCGAAATGTCGACTCGACTTTCTTCAGATTTGGTCTGTACAAGCATCACCACAAACATACACGATGCAGATTTCCCGTTGTGGCATTCATGGGTTCCATGAAGTGCTCGGAATCGACACAGACGAACTGCGATTCCACTGGACAATTGAGACAGAAGATCAGGATGCAGCTCAACTCGCATATCGCATTGTGGTAGCAACCGACGAAGAGCTTTCAAACATCATTTGGGACTCCCAGCGCGTTGAAAGCAATGCGCAACGAAACGTTCTCTGTAAGCCCGAGAATGGCTTCCAATCCATCACCAACCACTTCTGGAGAGTCACAGTGTGGGACCAGAGTGACGCTGCCCACCAGAGCGCCGTGAACCATTTCTTCACAGCCTATCCACGATCCCACCTCCTGCCACCCTACAGCATGAACCAGACCTACATGCCGCATACGAGTCTGATTTTTAAATCCTGGTTCGAAGATGCTGCAAACCGCTGGAAAGCAGTTTGGATCGGTGACGGAGGCGACAAGCCGATCTATCTCCGGAAATCTTTCCAACTTGCCCGCAAGCCCGAACGCGCAATTCTCTTCGCCTCCGGGCTCGGTCACTTCAATATGTCTGTTAACGGCCAGCCTGCGTCCGATCACCGCCTTGATCCTGGTTGGACAAATTATCACCGTCGTGTTCAATTTACCTCCTACGATGTGACGGGGCATTTGGGTGCAGGAGACAATGCGCTGGGCGTTCATCTGGGCAATGGATTCTACGCTGGTGAGAAGGGCGGAGAAGGCCGGTTCTTCTGGCCCATGTATGAAGACAATACGTACGTGCGCTACGGAAATGAGCTATGCTTCTTTGGAGAACTGCATCTCTTCTACGGGGATGGTGAACGCGAGGTTTTGATCTCCGATGCTTCTTGGAAGACCAGAAAGAGTGCCACGACACTAGCAAATATCTACGCCTCAGAAGACCACGATCGGCGTCTGTATCCTGCTGGCTGGGATTGTGCTACTTTCGACGACTCTGACTGGGCGCCTATCAAGCCTCTGACTGGACCCAGGGGGCATATCTTTTATCAGAGTCAACCTCCTGTTGTGCTGCACGAAACTTTCGAGCCCGTAAAGGTGCACAGTCCCAAGAAGGGCGTTGTGTGCTATGACTTGGGTCAAAACTCTTCGATTTCAGTTGAACTTGCAGTTCAGGGAGTGGCTGGCTCGGAAATCGTTGTTCGATACTCCGAGACTGTCAATGATGATGGCACAGTCTTGATGCCAGACCCTCTATTCAAGGAATTTGAAACGGGTGTCTTCTCAAAAATTACATTGGCTGGTACTGGTCAGGCCGAGATCTGGGAGCCTGACTTCAGTTTCACAAGCGCAAGATACATTCAGGTCGAAGGCGTCTCACTGAACCCTGATGATGAATTGCCTGTCATTCATTCCGTTGTTGGCCGTCACATTTCATCAGCGGCGAGAAAGCTTGGAACAATGACGACTGACAAAGAAGATGTCAATCAGTTGTTGAACGCACTTTACTGGACCTTCAGCAGCAATCTGTTCAGTTATCACACAGACTGCCCGCAAATCGAGAAGTTTGGCTGGCTGGAAGTCACCCACTTGCTCGCTCCCGCTACTCAATACATTCGGGACATGGAATCCCTATACACAAAGATCCTAGATGATATCCTTGACAGCCAAGAGCCCAGTGGTCTCGTGCCTACAATGGCCCCCGAGATTCGCTACATGTGCGGCCCTCTGCATGACACCATTACCTGGGGATGCGCTTTGTGTCTCCTGCCAGATATCCTTCGCCAGTACTACGGCTCTACGCATGTCATCAAAAAGGTCTACCCAGCTGCTGTGCGCTATATGGAATACATACAGACAAAGGAACGGAAGGGCGGCCTCATCGAGCATGGTCTTGGTGACTGGGGTCGAGGTATCGCCTTCGGAAACAACCAAGCGAACATCGAAACAGCAATTTACTACCGCTGTCTCCAGTGCGTGGAGATGATGGCCCAACAGCTGGGCAAGCTCGAAGACGCCCAGCGATTCAAGACCTGGTCTGCCCGCATCTACGAGACCTACAACCAGCACCTCCTAGTCACAGACGACACCACCCGTCCATATGCCTACTACACGTCCCTCGACAACTATCCAGCACGAGACTGCGATGCGATTGCGCAGTCAATGGCCCTGCAATTTGGACTCGTACCTGAAGCACACAAGAAAGATATCATGACTGCGTTCCTGGAAGATGTAGCAGACGGCAAAATACGTGCGGGAGAAATTGGTCTCCGCTTCCTATTCAACACCCTTGCCGACGCAAACCGCCCCGATCTCGTCTTGAAGATGGCAAGACAGGAGGAGCACCCTTCTTATATGCGGTTCCTACGGCGTGGCGAGACCACGCTCTTGGAGTTCTGGCAAGACGCATGTCGGAGCAAATGCCATGACATGTTGGGTACAATCTATGAGTGGTTCTATGCTGCGGTCCTTGGATTGAAACCCGTGCAGGAAGCATACCGGACATTCTCGGTTGAGCCACCTTATGCATCTGAGTTTGACTTTGTGAAGGGCTCCGTGGACTGTCCATATGGATTGATTGAGATTGAGTTCAAGCGTGAGGGCAGCTCTGTGAATTTGCAGCTGAGAGTTCCCTTTGGAACGAAGGCAACTGTCAAGCTTCCTGGTGATATGAAGAAGGCCTTATGCCATGGGAAGGTAGAAGAGTCTGTGACCGGAGACGAGTTGGTGTTGAGTCATGGTTTGTATACTGTATCTATTGAGCTATAGAGGATAGACGGATTTCAATAGAATAGTTTGAATTTAACCAAAATGCTAGACCAAAGTCTAGTTGAAGACAACTGCTTTCTCAGACTTCGTACGTGTGATGTGACTTTTTCAAGTTTTGTCCCCAATGTGAGCTCTTTGGCCAACTCTCTCAACCCATACAAAGCCACCTCATCCATGGAACCTACGCCTCCACTTAGTTACGTCTAATGTCTCGGCATATATTGCCCATCCGTATATATCGCCCCATCTGAGCCAATTTTCGGGACAGAACATACCGAATGCCCGTAAATTTTCGGCAGTCCACATTTTTGCGAGGGCCGGAAAAGCCGTAGAGCCACCTCTTTCGCGCTACCCCAGCTATGCGAGGTCACTAAAATCCTTTCTGGCTTAGCTGAAACATTTCTTCGGCTCTATTAGATGTCTATAAAATATCATATCCCCACGGGGTATTTCCCCAGGCTGTGTCCTGAATATCCATACTGAAAGTCTTAGTCAAAATGCCCAGACTCAAGACTTTGCTAACCGCAGTGTTCCTAGCCACAGGAGGTAAGTCTATATCTCTCCATCGTTAATAAAAGCTAATGAGATTAGGGTTCCTCTTCGGCTATGACAGCGGTATCATCACCTCGACGATCGGTCAAACTGAATTCATCAAATACTTCTCCAACCCTAGCGACACTGTGACCGGTGGTATCGTTTCTGCATTCCAGGGTGGCGCTATCTTAGGTACAATCATCAACATCTTCACTGGTGATCGGCTCGGTCGAAAATACTCTGTCCTAGCAGGCGCTTGCGTGTCATGCTTTGGCTGTGCCTTGCAAGCTGGCGCCATCAACATGGTCATGCTCATCGTTGGACGTTTCATCGCCGGTATTGCAGTTGGCATGCTGACTTCGGTCATTCCAATGTATGCGGGTGAAATTGCTGAATCCTCTTCTCGGGGTATGATGTCTGGTTTGTTGCAGTGGATGTTGAGTTGGGGTTACCTTATTGCCCAGTGGCTTGGATATGGGTGCTCTTTCAACGAGACTTCTTTCCAGTGTGAGTACAAGATCCATTTTCACTTTCTACAACTTCCTGTTGAATATCTGCTAATCTCCCCAGGGCGCTTTCCTCTTGCCTTTCAATGTGTCCCAGGTCTGGCCCTAATGAGTGGCATCCTTTTCCTGAATGAATCTCCACGCTGGCTGATGGAGAAGGACCGCCACGAGGAAGCCCTTGTCGCGCTCAAAAATCTTCACGGTGACGGAACACCTGAGAAAGACCAGTATATTGAGCTCGAGTTCCAAGAGATCCGCGAGACCATTCAAGCGGAACGCGCTCGCACAGAGATAACATTCACATCTATCCTCCGCAAACCATCTTGGCGTCGCCGTCTCATTCTCGGCTGTGCAGTCCAAGCTTTCGGTCCGTTGTCTGGAATCAATGTTATCAACTACTACGGCACTCGCATCTATGCACAGCTCGGATTTGACACTCAGACCTCATTGATGATCATCGGTATCTCCGGGGCTCTCTCCATTGTCTACTGCACCGGTGGCTTATGGGCTCTCGAGCGAGTCGGTCGTGTCAAGCCTCTCATTCTCTCAGCGGCCGGTATGGCAGGCGCGCTCGTCTGCAACGCTGCCATGTCGCAACACTGGGACACGGGAAATACCAACCAACTTCGAGCCATGGTGGCCATGAATTTCGTGTTCAGTTTCTTCTACACGTTTGTCGGAATCATTTCGTGGGTTTATCCTGCTGAGATTTTCCCGGTTGATATTCGCAACCAGGGTAATTCGATCACTACTTTCACGAACTGGACTGTGAATCTTGTCTTCGCGCAGTTCTCGCCGAACGCACTGTCGACGATTGGTTTCCGCTACTTCTATGTTTTCTTTGTTTTCAACCTGGCGGCTATGCTGTCCTATATCTTCTTCTTCCCTGAGACCAAGGGCAAGACCCTTGAACAGATGGATGCCCTGTTCGGCGATGAAGCGCCTATTGTTGAAAATGAAAAGGAGGTAGAGACAGTTATGGTGGAGGATACCAAGCAATGAGCACTAGTCAATATATCGAGGTCTGCGCCCTGCGCTGCTCTGAAACTCGGATTACGAGGTACATAAGCTATATTCCGAATTGTTATTTTGACCTAAGTTTGCTCTTGAGCTTACCGAATACAATGACTCATGACCAATGTTCAAAAAAAAGTGTATATGTTCAAAGCATCAAAGTGGTGAAATGCACAATTGATGCACCCATAATTCACTATCTAAACAAGCTTGTCAATAATCTAGTATCAAGTATATCAAACGTCCCACCATCCCTCCATATAAGACTTTAAATCAACATCCTCAGGCAACCTCAAATGAGGCGTCAACTCCGCACCCGGAGTCAACTCCCTGGTAGTCCACCCATTACCAAAGTAAGCAAACCGATTTCCACTAGGATTAACATAAGTGTATTCCCAATCTTCCCAGCGAGGATCACGTCGAATGTAATTGACACTAGATGCACTCGCAGGGAAAAGACCATGGATTCTAGCACCGGGCTTACCACCATTGTACCAAGAGCTACAATTGGCGGTCCACACAGTGCGTGGGTAGAACTGGTCGCAGTAAGCGACGAAATCGTCAGTTGCTTGTTTGCCCGGCTCGATCGATTTAATTCCCTGGCTGCGAATCTTGCGAAGCACCTTGGCGATGTAGGTCACCACATTCTCGACGCTGTTGGGGACTGTACCACTGTGGCCGGAGGCGTAGGGACCGCCTAGCCAAAGGAGGTTAGGGAAGCCCGGTGTCGCGAAGCCGAGGTAGGAGTATGGGAAGCCGAAATGACCATCTCGTTTCCAGGCGGTCTTGAGATCGATGCCGTTGGCGATTATGGAGAAAGGCGGCGCATGGTCTACATTTGCTCCCGTGGAGCAGATTGTGATGTCGACCTGGCGCTCGACTCCATCCTCCGTCACGATTCCGGTTTCAGTGAAGCGCTTGATTCGTGTCTGGATGTAATCGACGTTATCTTTGGACAGGGCTTCTAGGTATCCGGGGCCTGGCGTTGGGCGACGGCAGTTGGGTGGAAAATCTGGAAGAATCTTGTCGCCCAACTCGGGCTTGTCTTTGATGCGTTGCAGCATCAGCTCGGTCCACTTCTCGCGAAGAGCGTTGTTTTCAGGTGTGTCTTTGAAGATCGCGCCGAAGCGCTCGAAATAGTTTCTCTCGACTTCCCTCCGGTATTTTAGATACGTTTCAGGAACTTTGAAGGATTCTCGCTGCTCTTCGGGGATGATGTTTGGCTCCAGGCGACGAACTCCCACATTACCACTGCTGAATGAGTCCGCAATCCAAGTTGGGTGTCGCGCATAGTGATCGACGTGGCTGGCTAGTGGTTGGATTGAAGGCAAGACTTGCAGACCAGAGGCACCGTTGCCGATGAGAGCCACTCTTTTTCCTTTTAGATCAAGGCTGTGGTCCCAGTGGGAAGAATGGAACAATGTTCCCTTGTAATCTTTGATTCCTTCGTAGTCGGGCAATTTCCACTCGTTGAAATGACCGATGGCGTTAATCACCACGTCCAGCTCCTCTTCATAGATCTATTCGTATGTAAGCTTCCAACGTTTCCACTTGTACTGATCGTGCCAGATATTCACTCTACCTTTGACCCGTCCACATGCTCAATAGTTACTTTCCATTTGCCCTTCTCGGGCTGCCATTCGGCCTTCTGTACTTTTTGCCCCGTGCGAAGATATTGATAGACATTGTGCTTTCGCGCGACTCCCTGCCAGTAGTCTCTGATCTCCTCTCCTTGGGCAAATTCTTCAGTCCATTGGGTATTTGGTGAAATTCCAGATTGATAGACATGTGCAGGAATATCACAACGAACACCAGGATAGGTATTTTCAAACCTAACATTCGGTCAGTTAAGATAGCCAAAAGAATAGACTTGGTTGGTACTCACCAGGTTCCACCCACGTCCGCGTTCTTCTCATAAATGCGTAGATCAAGACCAGGCAGTTTCGCAGGCAGCATCACACCGGCAGTAATACCTGTGAGTCCAGCTCCGATGACACCGACTTTGATAGGACGCACTTCATCAACGGGGTGCTCCTCCAGTGTGAACTGGGTGTCCGCCTTGTCTGAGGCCGATGCATCTATCTCGCTGTCTACAACTGTGGTTGGCTTCGAGTCCGAGGGACCCTTGATCTCGACATGCTTTATATGAGATGGCAGACTAGGTTCCACGAGCGCCATGATGAAGTATCAATTGCAATGGAAAATAAAAAATATCAAATAGAAATCGAACGGAGGTAGTGAACGCGGGGATTTCATATAGATACCAAGGCCTGCACGCCATGCGGAACGTTTCAAACGTCAATTGCCATTTGAGAGGCTGCCCCTCATTCTTCTATGTGTTATCAAAATCGATCGAATGTTCAGTCTGCGATGTGGTTCGGTGTTGATTCGATGCGGCTAACATCATCGCGGTCCGTGATGACGTGCGGGTTGTCAACATCCACTCCACTCCCCACGCCATTGGGGTAAACAGATACACTCTGCTCTATGAATTCAACCTGATTGGCTCTGATTTTCTCGGCCGGTAGTTCTCCATTTTGGGGTCGATCGAGCTCAACGTAACTACCGAGCCTGAGTATGTTTAAGATACTTCAGTTGTATTCCCGAGGTCAGCCGTGGATTGATAATGATATCCACATGAAAGATAAATGAGCACTTTCCAGATCGAAGAAGCCTTGTCTGGGGCTCTTTTGGGTTCAATGACCCACACCGTCTGTCGTCTCGGAGGGTATTTACCAGCGTGAAGTAAGTCAAGCCCATGCAGGTGGGTAAGGGTTGAGCGCGAAGCAAGACTCTCAAGTGGAAAGATCCATAGCAAGTGGGCTACTGCTTCATACTTAGCAGGGCAAACGGATCAGAATGAAAAATTTTCAAAATCGTTCCGAGGACGCATGGAAAAAGAATCCGAAGTGCAACAAGGGCGCGCAGGGTAGTTTCGTTTCTCTCGGCGCCCCTGATTTTCAGTAAAGTAGGGTCCCAGGCACAACTGCGATACCAGACCGAGTGCGCCTTGAGAGGGTGAAACTTTCTCAAATAACTCTTCAGCCTCTCACTGCACAAGTTCTCCGCACCACGGGCGGCTCGAGCAAAACGATAACTCAAAAGCGGCGAATTGGTTGGACTCTTATCTGCTCAAGTGAAGTTTGGAATAAATTAATTCGATAAAAGACAAGAGAGCCACCAGTATTTAACAATCTTTTCCCGCAAGAATATCAAAAGCACCATTCTGACACGAGGTATACAAAGCAAAAGCACGCAAAGAGTCAACTCATGCGATCTCAGCTTCAATAACCATCTCATACTGCTGAGGATCAGGCCAAAACTTGGTGATCTTCAAGCCAGCACTGGTCAACAGCTGATTCCACTGCGCTTGGGTCCGCTCAGAAGCCGATAGCAACGACATCATCTGAACATCCATCGTTGTCTGGCTTATACTCGCTCCTGTGGCCGGCAGGACAATGTCATAGACAAAGAGCTTGGAGTATCCTTTGGTCATAGCATCTCTGGTGTTGACTAGCAGCTCCCTAGCCTTGTCGTCAGGCCAGTCATGGAGGACAGCATGCATGAAGTACGCACGACTCCCTGTGAGTGGTCAGCACTCTACTCAACGTCATGTCATTGGGGGTGAGTTACCTTTGACTGGCTGTGGTAAGAAGAAGTCATGGGCCATGGCAGTGACTTTTTCGTCAACCTTTGCGGTGGCGATGATCTCGGGGAGGTCCTGCAGAACCAAAGATCCAGCGGGGATGTTTGGGTGTTTAGCAAGGACATGTGAGATATCAATACCGGTGTTACCACCAACATCAACGACGAATGGTGAGCCGCCATCAAGTTTGGCTCCTGCTAGCAGTGTATTGGTGTCGATGACCTTGGTCCATGGTGTTTTCCATGTTGTCCATGCTTCCATGTGTCCAGTGAATGCTTCATAGCAGGCGGGGCTTTTCTGCAACCGGCCGAAGAAATTCAAGCCATCGGGGTCTGCAACCGAGTGGTTGTTCGTGGTGACGTCTTTTGGCTCTTGGTATGAAATGCTTTTCAGGTATGTGGGCAGGCTTTTGCTGGTTGCGATATACTGGTTTGTTCTAAGATGAGAGGGGTAAGCATGAATCTTAGATGATAGGCAGGGGCTACTTACGCTGCTTGGAGTGATGCTCGGACCTTGGTGCTCTCATCCCCGATAGCTAGCGAGAAAGGTGTGGGTTGGAATCTGTCCTCGGATGTCTCTTTGACAACATTGAAGGCCGCTAGCAGTCGGAACAATCGACCTGTATTCTCATCAGCGGGCGATCATGACAAAAGTGAGGGGACTTACGGAGAAGATTTGCATCAACGGTTGGACTAGTCAACTTGACCAGCTCATCGATGGACTTCTCACCTCCGACACTAGTCCATGATCTCCAAAGGCCCACGTCGATGCATATCTGCAAAGCGGCAAAGACCACCGGTTGCTCGAAGCAGAAGCCCCAGGCTCGTTCGTAGGGTGTCTCCACCCTCGCAAGCAGTCGACGAGCTGCAGCTCGTACTTTGAGGCGTTCTACTTCATTTCCGCCAAATGCTTCCGGTTGAACAGCATCGAGCGAAGCAATGATCTCTTCTGTTTGAGATTGAACAGGATCCACAGTCTGTGCCTGCTCTGTTTGGCTGCCGAAGCCTTTCAGTCTAGCTGAATAGAACGAGGTAATAGTTTTTGTCAGAGACATCATTTTGTGTTCGTACAATTGACCCGCAAGACAGGGGTAAGAAGTTGACTCATATGAAAATCTGATGATTCTGAGATTAAATTAGACATACCAACAGCGCGAACATTCGTATAAATGCCAACCTCCTCCCTAACTAACGCTAATTACCTAACTTTGGCCTTGACCTCCGGGATCACCGGTAGCCAGAGTTAAGTCAGTTCAATTACCAAGTTGGGAGAAACCGAATTCACTTGCTCCAAGGCTAGACCCAGCGTAACATCCAGGAAGATTCCTGCTCTAGACTCCTGTCAACTCTAATTTAATTTGTGATAGATCCAACTCTGAAGAAATGTCCACTCGCTTAACTACATTTAGAAAAGATCTCCGTGTTTCGGCTGCAGCCACCACGAGGCTAAGACGGGGAAACGGGAGCCACCTGTCAACTTTTGCCTGTGCGCTCCACTAACCGTTAACTGTCAAAGCCCGAGCCTAAGCACAGATGAGTCTTGACCACACGCTCCTATCAAGTACGGGTAGTGCTGGCTCAGTTCCGGATCCGCTTTGTATGACAGATCCAACGTCTTGATTATCTTCTGTGGTATCATTTTTCTCTACCAGCGCCATTTCTGTCCTAGTATGTCCTGTCATGTGGGGCGTGGCGTGGAACAGGCCACTGTCCATATGTCTGAGCTACACTGAATGCATTGTGTACTTGGTGGAGCTCGTGGGATCGCCCTACCGGTCTGACAGGAGTCCTTAATAAAACTCTCCAGGTCGTCGGGCGAAGATCAGTAAGGCAAAGTGCAAGGATGCACTCCGTGTCGTTCTTTCAGATCATTGGCAGGGGCCATGCCTCTAAAGAGTCACATTTCCGTCGTACCTTTGCTCTTAGTGGCAACAGGAGTGTCAGGGTTGATGCATCTCAATGCAGATAGCATATAATGATTCAAGAGATTCACAGAAAGCGCATGTTGAAGTGATATGGGTAGTTCACCTTTCCACACGCCATCCATCCTTTCTTTTAAATTTGAATTGTGGTGAAAATCCTCAACATGAGTTATTACGGTGGATTGGGCCCTATGACCAACGCGGTCCTCTGGGTGGAGGTGGTGGTCTTTGCTCTCTTTGTGGGGCTGAGACTTTATACTCGAAAGTTCATCCTGAGCGCCATCGGGCTTGACGACTTTCTGGTCGTTCTTGCATTGGTAAGACTGTTCTCTCTTGAGCTGTTGCCCTCTTCTAAGTTAACAAATTCAGGTTCTCCATATAGCTTACACTGCCTTCGTTACCGTGGGGACTGTCTATGGTCTGGGGAGGTTGTTTGCTGAAGTGGGTGATCCGGTCATATACTTCACAGCGGTCAAATATGAGCTCTTCAGTCAGGTCGCTGGAATCATGGTCATCGGGGTGGGAAAGAGTGCCGTTGGTGTCTTCCTCCTCCGAATCGTGAGAAACAAGATCCAGATTTGGATTATCTGGGGATGTCTTGCAATCACCGCCATCATCACGCTTTTTGCCAGCATTACTGTCATCGTGCAGTGCATTCCAGTTGAGAAATCCTGGAATCCCACAACACCAGGTCATTGCTGGCTTGACTTTTCTAAAGTTGGCTATACTGTCGGATGTGAGTAGCCCATAATTTGGCACCTTTATTCTCCCTATGTCCTAATAGCCTGCTAGCATGGTTCGTCGCCGCCGACTTCGCCTTCGCAATCCTGCCGTGGTTTGTTGTCTGGGATCTAAACATGAAGCAAAAGGAGAAGATCACCGTTGCCTGTGGTCTTAGTCTTGGAATATTGTAAGTCATGTTTTCCAGGCAGAATGATGCGTACTCTTCTAATTGACTTCTCAGTGCTGGAATTTGTGGTATCATTCGTACCAAAGCCCTTGCTGGCTTGAACGCTTCAGAGTATATATGTAAGCCATTTAAATTCTTTCCCATTTACTTCCAGACTAACCAAACCAGACGATACAGTGCCAATGCTTATTTGGTCAGCCACCGAAAGCTGCGTCACTATAATGTGCTCGTCGATCCCCGTTCTACGTCCACTCTACGTGCGCATCAAGTATGGAAAGGATGGCAAGAGCAGTTCTTCTTCGGGCAACACGTCCTACAAGATGCCGATGTATGGCAGCAATCGAAAGTGGGGCAAATTCAACAGATCCGACATCGAATCTTCTGGAGAAACGGATGATGTCTCGTACCAGACAACCGTCATGAAACACGGTCCCAGGAACTCGAGTGATGAGAACATCCTACGTGGTGCAGCTGGTATTGAGAGGACTGACGAGATTTCGGTCAGCTATGAGCAATATGGGAAGAAAACCTAGGCTGTCTCATCAAAATTTGGTCTATCAGGTGGAAGGGTTGTTGAAATGGGCTATTGTATACTCACATTCATTTAATTTCTTTCTTTCCACTGCTAATTTCTTGTTGTCGTGGTGTTGTAATTGGATGAAAGTCTTAGTGCTCACGAACTAGAAGATGTCTGAGAGCTCGGGCCCCGAGCTAGTTAGTCTTCTCTTCGTCTCGATAAACGTAGCTCATTCAGTCGCATTGCTTGGGATTGCACTCTGGTTGATAGACATCTGGTGAATTAGACCCAATTTCTGAGCAGAGTCGGTTAGTTTTCGAATTCAAAGATCATTATGGAGGAAAGCTTCATCGGCTTACCGTTCTACGGTATTCTAACACGATCCACAGTGCCTCTCGGGGTAATGGTCCACCTGCAAGTGCTCAGTGTAGTAACCAGAGCTCGGTGGGCCGGATTCCTTCAATTCCCAACCACTCTATTCCGTTAATTCCGAATTGCTATCCTCGAAGTCCCAAGCTTCGAAACGCCCGATTAAACGCCAACTTTTGCTGGTCTTCCACTGAGATTTATCTTCATAACTGTCATGTCTTCTGCCCCACCAACAAGCGGGCTCCCCGCTCAAACTTGGACACGGGAAAACAAACCCGAGTTCATCATCTCCACCGACCCGTCTCTCCTCTCTGTACCAGCAGTAAATGCAGCATTTGGCCGAGAGTTCATCTACTGGATCAAAAAGCCTTTGCCTGAACAAGTCCTGTGGCAAATGCTCCACGGCGCCTTGAGTTTCGGCGTATACAAAGTCCAACCCGGAGGCTCTATCACCCCAGATCAGACCGAGCAGATTGGTCTGTGTCGTGTAGCCACAGATGGTGCTACATTTGCCTATATCTCCGACACTTATGTGCTGCCTGAATACCAAGGCCATGGTCTAGGTGACTGGCTTGTGGGTTGTGTTGCAGAGACCTTTTCGAAAGAGAGAATGCCGTATCTGCGTCGCATTATGCTGCTTACGGATGATGAGCGTTTGCAGAAGTTCTATGGCCGACTTCTCGGCGTTGGAGTCGTTGGTTCTGAAAAACGAGAGGATATTGGGAGAGACTTGGTTTTTATGTGTGCCAGACCCTGAGTCTGAACATTGTCGTATAAGGCTTTCTTGAATTGCAGAGTTTCAACAAATTCCCTCGAAATTGTCTCAAGATTATTTGACCACAGTATGAGTTACTCTTGATTGTAAATCAACTCCCTTGACCTTCTTATTTGAAGGGGCCAAAAGCGTGTCCCCACCACGTGTCCCATCCAGGTACTCCCAACTGGATGTCTCATGTCTAGGCGTCTTGTCTAACACAGGACATATCCTAAACACAAAGAACTTCTACGGAGTACGGGTGTCATGATTAATCGGGAGGCGACATAGCTGCTGTATTCCCAAGTAGTAATAAGAGGTTCATTCGCCAGCGGCCCACTAGTTCTCACCAAGCTAAGCCTGGGGCACACGGGTGCATTGACAGTTTTGTTGTCATTCCCAAGGGCCAAACTTCATGGGGTGTGGTAGAAATTACCATGGAAGCTGCAATGGGGTTGACAGATTCTTTCCCAGAACATCTTCTGCCGTGCCAATATCCCTGTTGATATACATTAGCTTGGACATTGGCACAAACGATACTTCTATTACCTTGGTCCTGCTGGTGCCCAGAACTCCCCTGTCTTCTCAATATTAAACTCATCGATAAAGGAAGCTAGTGTTTCAGCGGCCTGGTCCGGCGTGACAGCTGTTTCCCGATAATCAGGACGAGTTCGCGTAGATCTCAGAAGAACTAAAACGTGACAAGGTGTTCACTTACCTCCACCCGCATCCCAGTACTTATCAAAGCCAACACTCTTGGTCATCTCTGTTCGCATGAAACCCGGATGAACCAGCCCCACCGCGATGCCTTTGGGCTTCAGGTCCAAGCTCAGAAGCTTCCCCACCATATTCAGCGCAGCCTTGCTAGCGTGGTGACCGAAGTTGCCGCCACCTTCTTTCTCGTGACGCAAGGTAATACTACCTCCTTCACTGCTGACCAATATCACTTTGCTGCCTTGGTCCAGTAGTCCGGCCTTGACTAGGTTGTGTACCACAAAGACCGGACCAATAGCTGAAGTTGTGTACATCTGGACTTGCTTCTCCCAATCTGGGGAATCGAACGTTTCAAAGCCAAAGTAGCCCGCAGTGATAATCGCAGTTGAGATCTTGGTAGAGGGAAGCTGGGAGACTAGCTTTTGTCCCACATCTGGCTGAGAGACATCTATTCCGGTCAGCCATGTCACTCCTGGGCTTGGTTCTGTTGATGATCGTGATGTTGCGAAGACGTGGGTGTCCGGTTTGGTAGAGTATAGTGATCGCAATGAGGCTCCTAGCCCTCTGGTAGCACCTAAGATAAGTACATTTGTCATTTTGGTAAATTTCTTGATTCTCCAAGATATGTTGAAGAGGGGAACTCGAGATCTCATTGACTTTATGTACAGTAGCACGCCATTGACGCATGAAGAATGACGTAATGATCTTTGATCAAGACTGCGACTATACAAACCAGTTGCACTCCATATTCAAGCATCCCCGTGGGCCGTGGATGTAAGGATAAATCGAATTCAAGTTGCGCCAATCAAAAAGATAGTCCCCAGCATGGGGCTGTGTACGAGTCGGTGGCATTCCAGACTTTGAAGTGGGGAGCTGTCTATATTTGTACCTGTAGCAAAGTAGACAACACTGATAGAACTCGCGACTTACCTTGACCTGTTTCTCACATACTTAGCAGACAATCTTCTCTGCTTCTTCAATTGATATCAGCATGTATGTTCCCCTCCAGGACTGTGTGTACTGCTGCACTGCTTATTTCCACCATTATGTCAGCTCTAAACACTGACGTAAGCCGATTCAGCCATCGAGATTAAGAAACCCTGATTTTTCTGAAGCCCCTTGGATCGATAACTGGATTCGACTTGGGTTTCAAGGTGTCAAAATCCGGTCGCCAATGTGAGGGCTGAAGGATGACTGGCTTTGCCAAATTCGCCCTCTCAGTCCAGAAAGTCCGGGCCGCGATCCGAAAGAAAGGCAAGGAAGCCAAGCGGGAAAGGTAAACTTCGCCCTACGCCAAGGTACAATTCGATCCTGACCACCTTTCAGACATGCAATCGTACCGTCTACGCCGTCCCCTTGGGACCTTCCCGTCGAAATTCAAATCCGCATCTTCGCATACTGCGGCATCGTTGATTTCCATCCACTGAGACTCGTTTGCAAGGCGTTCTTCCAGCTACTCACTTCCAACGAGCACGAAATAGTCCGTCAGTATCTTCGTCTGCGTCGTCACGGCACCCTACCTTCCCCGATTGACGATGATCGCATCTACACTCGGAACCCGGCGGACGATGTTGTGCTCTTGTCGGACCTATTCCCGCCCTCAAAGAGTGCCCGCGGTGGGCATCTCTACACCTTCAAGTATTTGCACGGGCTTCGCCGGAGGCAGATGCTCTGCTCCAGGCTCTGCTATTACCTTGCCGATCGCATTCTCGATCGTTTCATCCAAACCGAGCCAGCCGTCATGAAAGCCTCATTCCCTTCGAAGCGAAATGAGCGCAACGCCCTCGTCAAGCGTGGCATAGCTAGCATATGGTTCCACCTCGCTCCATTGATGTATGATATCCGCGATCAAGCTTGGCGGAAGCAACTCGCTGACTTCTCTAGGTACTACACCCTCTACTTCCTCGAAACGTACGCATCCGCTAGACGAGAGCATACAAACATGCTCGTGCAGAAATACGAGGCAGGAAAACTGCCCGTTCCCTTCCCACTCGAAATCCGTCAGCGGATGTACCGTGAACTGCAAACTCGCATTCTCCAAACACCCCCATTCACGAACACCGCAGCACTGGTCGCAACGCACCACTGCATGCACTTGCTTGTCTCGTACATTCGATACACAATGAACTCGGAGGTGCAGGTGGAGACCGACGACTCCTGGATTAGCTCGTTGCTCACGTTGGCGCCATTCGTGCGCATCGTCGAGTTCTTCTCTGCGGAGATCGGTGATGGGGGAAGTCAGCGAACCCAGCGCAAAGACTTTATGTATAACTTCTATCACGACATGACGATGTACCAAAAGGATCATATGAACTCGGTTGTTTTCGCGCGTGCCTCTGCGCAGAACTTGCATAGCTCCGTGGATGATATCTGGTTTGCCGCCGCCGAGGCAGAGCTGAGGGCTCGCAATGCTATTCCTCATGATGTGGAGCATGTCTGGGTTTGGAACGGCATACCTATTGTTTTCGGGTGTCCGCATTGCCATCGCACCAGAGGATGGCAGGCTTGATGATTCATAGCTAGGTGTTGCATTGGCGTTCGGGTTTGAATTATGGGCTGGGAATACACGATACAGGAGTTATTTGTGAAACTTCTCAAATTGCATTTACAATCAACCATAATGTTATCTATTTCTTTTGATTTTCATGTTCATAAATGTATGGAATTGTAGCCTGCAGACTCCGGTCTAGTGTTTGTGTTGTTTGCAACCCGCACGCGTCGCAATGTATACCGAGTATCAAACTCTCGTCAACTTGCTGCGGGTAGAGCTTCTTACTCTCAAAGCAGACCAAATATCTGGCCAATATGGAACATCCAGACTTGTTTCAATTGTTTAATACCTCTTGGACCATACACCGTCTCTCGCCTCTCCACCACGGGAAGGACTGTGAAACTCTCCTTGGCAACGAGGTCGCCCTCAAAGCATACGAAACGCGCCTACGTGAACATCTCACAGGCGAAGTTCTTGCTGGGGTTCAAGCAGATACTATCGCGGATGATGGTGCGCTTGCAAAAACAGGCGCTCTCAACGAGTGCCTGTGGCAGCCTATCTCTCCCTCGCGTGAAATGTCTGAATCTCAGGGCGTACTCCAAGGCATCCTAGTGACACTGGAATATGAAAACATCACCTACAAAGCCGCTCTTCTTACAGACTCGTCCAACGACCGCAAGGGATCTACCTCTCTCCCTCTTGTCCTAACCAGATTCCCAACCGCGCTGCGGCAAACATTCCTTGCGTTCTTATCTGCCAATTTCGATACTTACATCTCTCCTCTCCGACTGCCTTCAAACTTTCTCTGCGTCGGACTTGAGACTTATATCGGGGCTTTGCAGCGTGCCGAGACTGTCGAGACCATTAGAGAGCTTCAACTCACACTTTCGTTTTCGCCGTCCATCGCGCCGGACTTGAAGTCGCTCAATGTCAATGTCTCGCGTGCGGCGCTGAGTGACTTCCTTCGTGCCAAAGCACCAGTCCGAGGTCAAAGTTTGAAGCAAAAAATGCGCAGCCCTTTGATTGACAATCTTACCTCATATCTGGAGGAGCATCTTGCTATGAAGCTCGATTTGGATGGGTCGGATCAGGCCAAGCAGCATGTACGGCTGTCGAAGATTGTGTGTGCTTCATTTGTTCTTGGGGGTGAAGGCCGCCTGAAGCTGGTTGCCACTGACAAGGATGACCATGAGAATAAGTCTGCCTTGGAAGCTGGTGAGACGCTTCTGAAGTTGGTAGCGAGGCGCGCGGTTGCCGGGGATCAGCCAACTACATGAGCCTACCCTGACGTGCTGCCAATATCTGCAAGTCTGCACGCGTTCGTGTGGAAGATCGAACGATGCTTCTTGGCAAACGAATGAGACAAAATGTGTATTTGGCTCGTTGATCCGTTGCCTTTCTGCAAATCGACTCCTCAGCCCAGAAGATCTCTGGCTGAAATCAAGTCCGAGTCAGAGGATGCAGCTACTTCCATCAGTCATGCTGGCGGAGCCAATATGGGAGAGCTGACTTCAACCAGCTACCATATTATGCGGCAACCACAATTGCCCAGGGGACCTCAGTAGTAGTCCAAGCTTGAGTCAGACATGTGGTCACTGAATCTCTTGTGCGGGGGCCACAGGCTTGCATACCCTCCAAAACGAAGCCTGCACCGGCCAACATCTTATAAATTGCTACTTGTGAACTCTGTATTCAGGATGACGAAAATATCGTTGAAGAATTGAAACCAACATTGTTGTTACACATGTATCTAAATGCCGAAAACGCAATATGTCCACAAACAGCTGTTTCCAAAATATAAACTTTTGATAGATCAGAGTTCCTGCGTCTGGTCCTCGGTTTCCGCCAGCCGCAGCGCTTCATCGACGCTAGGGACGAAATGGGTCAACCCACCACACTTCTCGACAATACCACTTCGCTCAAACATGCTGAAAACATTCCGATTGGGCAGTCGGCAAAAGAATACTCGAACCTCCTGCTCCGCGTACGCATGCACGATCTCCGAAAGAACTTGTGTACCAGACCCATCAATACTAGTCACTCCATGGACATCAAAAATAATGTTCTTGTTGTGCTCTGGCGCGCGCATACGGGGCAGCGAGGGGTGCGCATGGTTCGAGCCATATAATTCCAGGCGACGAAGACGGTTCTTCAAATCACCTGTATTGGCAAACGTCAAGGGTTCGGGAATTTTGACGATGAGGGCGCCTTCAACGAGCTCGACATTTTCGGCGTGGAGTTCGGCGTTGTCAAAGCGAGATTCGGTGCCAGATACTTTGCCAAGAATTTGAATTCGGGGTTGCGTGGCGTGGCGAATGAGGATTATGACCGAGAGGCCGATACCCATTGCCATGCCGAGTTCCAATGAGTAGAATATGGTGGTAGTGAAAATGAGGACCATGAGAACAAGTTCAGTCCAACCGCGTAGTCGGAAGAAGAAGAGTAGGTCATGGGGACATTCTTCCACCAAGGTGTAGGCCACCACGGAGATCATGGAGCACAGGACTGCTTTCTGTTCGGGGTTAGCAAAGCTAGTGATAAGACAGATCGTCTTGAAACCGAATTGGTACATACCGGAAGGTAATAGAGATAGGGCAAGAGGACCATGACACACGCGAAAGTGATCAAACTCAAGAAAACACTGGTCATTGGCGAGCGTGCTCCAGTCTGGGAACTGAGCTTGCTTCGCCCGTACCCACCAAACGCAGGTAGAGCGGAGAAACATCCTCCAATCACGTTCGCAACGCCGAGTGCAACCATTTCACGATTCGCACTCATATGCATTCCTTTGATACCGTCCGAGCTCCCTTCACCCAATCCTTTGGCCGCGACGGATGATTCGAAGAAGCCAAGGAGCGCAATGATGAAGGCTTTGCTCATGGCTGTTCGCACATGCTTCATGTGAGAGAATTGGAAAGGCCAGTTGAACGAGAAGAGTCCTCCAGCGGCAACTTCTGTAGACCCGAGAATCTCAAGCCCTTTGGACTCCCAGTCGAGGTGCCAAGCCAGAACTGCTGATAGAGCGACAACTAAAAAGCGGTCGGGGAAGTAGATCACTTGGGGAATACGCGGAACAAGCATCTTCTTCAGAGTTCTGTGAATGATTAGCTTTGGGTCTGAGATACCACATGCGGTACACACCTGAAGATCATGATGACGGTGAAGCTGACGATTGACACTATGGCAGTTAGCCCATGTGATTGACCAGCGTTTCGAAAAATGAAGATCAATTTGGAAACGCTGGTACCATGGCTAACACCAGACTCTTTGGCTATCTCCGCAAGACCCAATTCTGGAATCAATTGGTCAACAAAGATCACAAAGCCGATGGCAGTAATGAATCCTCGCAGAAAGGGCCGACTCAGGACGTTATCCAAGAACCCTAGACGAGTCAACCCAGCTATGAGGATCATACTGCCCGACATAGCGGTAGCGACTCCCACGACCAAGGCTGTTTCAGCGAGGTCGTCCTCGCCCGAGTTGCCTTGCATAACACTTGCTTTCACAATGGCACCCGTGAGAAGCGAGCCTGCAGCCTCTGGTCCAACCACCAGGAGAGGACAGCTTCCTAGGATCGCATAGATCAAAGGGTGAATCACGAAGGAGTACAGGCCGCTGATAGGTGGAGCATGGGCAAGGTTGGAGGCTAGTGATAGTGCCATTGGGATATATATGGAAGCCACCGTGAGCGCGGCCATGAAATCTCCACGTAATAGTGACCAGTGGTATTGGCCAACCCAATTGAAAAGAGGGATGTAGTAAGATATGTACCTGCACTCGATTGGTCAGTCCTTAAGAGGTCACATGGAGCAAGCCACCATATTGGCAACAATCGGTATACACTATTACATACTGTTTTCTTGTGTCATTTGCCGAGAGCATGGAAGAAGTCTTCAGCTGTGACAGAGTCTCTGACTCTGCGACTGACGCTGGGTGGTCTGGTATGCCTCTAGAATGACCACCTGGGCCTATCGGAACTCCATGTCTGTTGTTTCCAAAACCATCAAATGATCCAATATACGCCTGCCTCCCGGCATCTTCCACCCTCGGGGAGAATGTGCCATGGCTGCAGCGTCTGTCGCCGCACGCAGGGTCGACATGGTTGTAGGAATCTAGGAGCCTTGTTGTTACGTCTGGCTGGGAGGTGTTTGCGGTTGGATTGCCAGAATGACCGGCAGGGCTGGAGCTCGTTGTAATTCCAAGGCCGGCTTGGGGTGGAGAACGAAAAGCGTCGACCACACGATCTCGTAGTGTCCGAGGCCCGTCGGACTCTCCAGGGCGTAATGAGCTTGTCTCCGACATCGTCGCGGGAAATCAGGTTTCGTGAAGTGCTAAGGAAACGAAAACAATGGCAAGTGGCCTGCCATATATGCTTGCCAAAAAAAAAAAAAAAATCAGGAGGAAAATGTCCGACGCAATTGGATTCAGCTGCCGCAGGGACCAAATTGGCTACGCAAGGGCACGCTAGGGTACTGATAAGCGGAGAAAGTGAGCGTTATCAATGCCAACGCAGATCACCGACTATGCAATAGGAAGGTCGGCAGTGAAAGCATTGTCAGCATAATATCATAGGAAGTCGTCTGATTCGTAGGTTCGAAAGCTATTGAGTAAGAAATATACTACGGGTCAGTCTACTGCTTGGCGCCAAAATTGTCTCGCCCAGGGCCCTGGAGGGCGGTGTGTCTTTGGTCACGTTATATCAAGGTCACGTGCTTTGCACTTGCCCAAGTGTGGGTTTTGACTCCTCCGCCACAAAGAGATAGATTGTTCGATCCAAGTCGCATATTCCCTCCGGTCTCCGTCGCTCGGATATCTCGCTCACTCGCTGCTTTCCTGCCACCGTCCTCATCGTCTGGACCGTGCCCAATACCCTCCCCTTTTCATAATACTTCACGAGAGAAAAAAAAGAACCCCGCCAACATGTCTCTAACAAACTGTCGGTTCTATGAGGAGAAGTACCCGGAGGTGGACAGCTTCGTCATGGTCAATGTCAAGCAGGTACGACTTGTCGCAAGATTTCTCAGTGCTCAGCGTGGCAGGAACTGGGCTAACTTTGCATGGGCTAGATCGCCGAAATGGGCGCATACGTGAAGCTGCTCGAGTACGACAACATTGACGGCATGATTCTCCTCTCAGAACTTTCTCGCAGACGTATTCGCAGTATCCAAAAGCTCATCCGTATTGGACGCAATGAAGTCGTTATCGTGCTCCGTGTCGACAAAGAGAAGGGCAAGGTTACACCATTCGCTTTGGAAGGAACACCGAGCTAACTAGCCACACTGCAGGTTATATCGATCTTTCCAAGCGTCGTGTCTCCCCCGAGGATGTCATCAAGTGCGAGGAGCGTTACAACAAGAGCAAGGCTGTGCACTCTATCATGCGCCATGTCGCAGAGGCCACTCAAACCCCCCTCGAGACCCTCTACGAGACCATCGGATGGCCTTTGAACCAAAAATACGGCCACGCGCACGATGCCTTCAAGATCTCCATCACGTACGGCTCCTTCTTTCATCCGATTTGATGTTTCAGTTTTGTTAATCTCTTTCTAGTAACCCCTCCGTTTGGGACGAGATCACATTCACCAGCGACGCCGTCAAGAGCGAGATTCAGCAGTACATCGGCAGCAAGCTCACTCCCCACCCCACCAAGGTCCGTGCCGATATCGAGGTTACCTGCTTCGGTTACGATGGAATCGACGCCGTCAAGGACGCTCTCCGCACCGCTGAGGAACAGAACACCGCCGACAACCAGATCAAGGTCAAGCTCGTTGCTCCCCCTCTCTACGTTCTTGCCAGCCAATGTCTGGACAAGACTGCCGGTGTCAAGGGACTCGAGGAGGCCATTGAGAGAATCACAGAGCGCATCCAGAAGAACGGCGGTAACTGCACCGTGAAGATGGCACCCAAGGCTGTCACCGAGCAAGATGACGCAATTCTGCAGGAGCTTATGGAGAAGCGTGAGCGCGAGAACCAGCAGGTCAGCGGAGATGAGGACTCCGAGAGCGATGACGAATAAACGGGTTAATACCAGTCCGCGTCGAGGGGCATCCAGCGCTTATCGCTGGCATACAAAGCCGGAATCACCGCCATAGGGGAGTTTGGCAAAAATGGATAGAAAAAATAGCTTGCACATTCTGGGGGATGGGCTCGACGGGCTCAGTGTGCTGATGGGCAGGATTGCGGTCAGAACTCACTCGCCCTCAAGGGCAGTCGCCTGCGCCTCGGGTCCGTGAACAGTCCACGCCCAAGCGCTACATGCCACCTGCGGTCGAAATCCTCGTGCCCGGAATAGTCCGCACGGGGTGCAAGTTCTGATGTACATATGTTTGTGATGCAACCGAGACGTTCAATGCCAGTGATGCTTTTAGATGTCAACACCTTCTCACTCTAATCTATTTAAATAGACGCTGAGACCAAAATGCGACAGTTTGTACGGAGTAATTATTGTCCAAATGCAATTCAGATGGCGGGGAAGAGCTTGAAGCTTATCTGCCGCCGATCTCTTCCCCTCAAGATCGGTGAGCCCCTTCGATCTTTCTTCTGTCCTTCACCTTCGGGCACTTTACACAACATGGGTCATTGGAAAGATTTCTTTCGTTCAGATCGTGGTGCAGCTCGACACCGACTCGAGGTGGAACGTCGTCGACGTACGTCATTACAAAACCAACGGTCTTGTACCCGCTAAATATGCACACAGTTCTACCAGCCTATGATGGCGAACAACCTCACGCATCTGATGCCTCAAAGGAAATTGCCAAAGTCGCTCTCAAGTTGAAGTATCAGCTTGAGCTAGTTGTCTCCTGTGAAGTCCAGGAGACTGTCTTGACTGACCCGAACAGCCGCATCATTACTGACGACGTGGTTGCAACCGCCAGAAATGCTGGTGGTGAAGATTACAAGGCGTGTGTTGTCTATTGTCTTCTAGTATGCCTTAGATGGTTTAAGCTCCAGTCCAGTGTCGAGCTTTGGGATGCTGATCTCCATGACCTTCGGGCAGTGGCTTGCGAGGTAATTGCCAAGCGCATGTACGACCCTTTCCCGTGACATCTCTTTACTGTCTCTTCACATAGTCATATACTGACAAAACTCCTACAGTATTGAAACTGAGCAAAACCAAGACTACTTATTCAGAGACATTTTGCTGAAGCGGTACTCTATCTACAGTGAGGGTGTTGAGACTGATCCAGCCAATGTCATCGAACGCTCAGTCGACCTTCATGCCTTGAGAATCATTAGTTCTTCTGGGTATCAGAAGTGCATTGACTACCTGTGGAGAGGCTGGATCTGTCAAGAAGAGGGCAATCCGACTAACTTCGTTGATTACGATGGAAAGTCGAACACCAGCTACTGGTCTCATTTCCATCCCGACAGAATGAGGACACCGCTTTATCAAAATACATGCCAAATCATGTTTTCCTTGATATACCTTGCCGTGTACACTGCGGTCATCAACACTGTGAACCCGACTGGAGATTTGGATGTCGTTGAAGGAATTCTCTACGGCATGACACTTGCGTTCATCTGTGACGAGGTTATCAAGTTTTGGAAAGTTGGATGGAACTATCTCGAATTTTGGAATGCCTTCAACTCGACTCTTTATACTATTCTCGTTGTCTCCTTGGTATTGCGCTTTGTTGCCCTCGCCCATTCGTCGTCGACCCAGGATGAGCAAAGACAGCTGTACAACCAGCTCAGCTACAACTTCCTTGCTTTTGCAGGTCCGATGTTCTGGATTCGCATGATGCTTTACCTGGACTCCTTCCGCTTTTTCGGTGCCATGTTTGTCGTCCTTCGTGTCATGATGAAGGAGAGTTTGATCTTCTTCGCGCTCCTATTCGTCGTGATGGCTGGGTTCTTCCAGGCTTTCATTGGTATGGCACAAGTGGAGCCGGATGTCCCTATTCACAGGAACATTCTCCAGGGCATGATCAACAGTATCATGCAGAGCCCTGAATTTGATACTTTCCAGGAATTTGCATTCCCTTTCGGCATCATTCTCTATTATGTGTTCAACTTCATTGTCATGACTGGTATGCTCGCCTCTACTTTGTGGGAATAACACTAACCACGAGCAGTCCTCTTGAACATTCTCATCGCTTTGTACAACAGTGCATATGAGGATATTTCCGGCAATGCTACTGACGAATACATGGCAATTTTTGCACAGAAGACCATGCAATTTGTCCGCGCTCCAGACGAGAATGTCTTTATCCCACGTATGTGCAGCGTCAATTCCTACCAATGTGCTGAGTGCTGATCACGCTTATTCTAGCTTTTAATCTCATTGAGATTCTGTGCCTGGTCGCTCCATTCGAGTGGTGGCTGTCCCGGGAGGCATACGCTAAGTTGAATGACTTCGTTATGGCCATCATCTATTCCCCTCTTCTGTTTGTCACGTCGTGGATTGAGACCCACCAGGCACATCGGATTCGCTGGAACCGCCGCCATGGCGAAGAAGATGATGACTGTGCTCAGGAATGGGAGCATGTCGCCCATGAGGTTGACTTTGATCTTGATGATACTTGGAAAGAGCAGGTGGCCGAAACCACCCCAGATATCAAGATTGACAGTTGTACATATGAAATCCGTGAGCTGAAGGAGCAGGTCAGAGTGCTCACGGAGATGGTCAAAAATCTGGCGCAAGATCATGGGAGAAACTAATCTTCCAGGGTCAAGAGCATTCAGCAACCAGCAACCTTGCAAACTTGGGAGGATCTTCTTGATATATCTCACTCCAGGGCTCTATCCCTAGGCGTGAAGCTTTTGCCACAACCGTGGAGTACATATGCCTACCTGGTAGGTGTATGTGCCTGTATACACATCGATATATATAACGTTCATATGCACATCGTATTTGACCTTGCCATGGTTCCACCTTGGAAACAGCCAGTATCTAACCAGTACTGAGCCTTGGAAACCGCTTGCTTCAAGACAGCAGCAGCACCTGGACAGATGCCGACCATATGCGTACCTACCTGCGCACAAAAAACGTCGCCCGTACTTTTTTACGAAGAGAACAAAAACACAAAAAAAGTAATCTTAAAGACCATGTTGGTATTTTAGGAAGAGCCGAACGCGGGGGTCGAACCCGCAGCCTTAAGATTAAGAGTCTTACGCTCTACCGATTGAGCTAGCCCGGCGAGAGGCTGTTGGTTGAAAAATCAAAAATTGTCGTGCTATATAAACCACCGGGCAAATCTGGGTGGATACCGCTGACATAATGGCGCGTCCACGGGTCGAGCGGCGAACCCTCTGGAACCCGTATCTCAAGGTGGCTTCTTTTGCGTATCTGGGCATATCCTCGATAGTACTCATAGCTTGTCTTTCTATGAGTCTTTGAGTTTGTTCCTCTCTGATACTGACCGTGGTCACCCGCTGCCATCATGTACGTCTCAAATGTCATCCAATTATCTGCTGCAGCTAACAGGATACAGGGCAAAACTCGTGGACGACCACCAGATTCAACATGCCTCGTTGCATAACCCGCTCCCTTGGCAATTGCATACATACATCTGGCCTTTTCTGATAATTTGGCCCGCGTTCTTCGCCTTCTACCTCTCTCCCGAGCGTTATGATACATATATTCAGGGACAGGAATGGACCTTCGTCTGGGCGGGGTCTATCATTACCTTCCAGTCGCTCTTCTGGTTGATGACCAAGTGGAACATTGACATCAACACGCTCTTTACCACCACCCGGGCCAGCTCAATTGACACCGCGAAGCTCATCAAAGTGGTTCCCATCACCAATGCCGGCTCCGCCGAGATCTGTACCCTGCTTAACGAGAACGCCGGCCCTAAGAAGACCCTTTCCTTCCTCTTCCAGAAGCGCCGCTTCTTGTTCTACCCGGAGACTCGCACATTCGCACCCCTGTCCTACGTCCTCGATGCCGAGCCCAAGCCGGCTCTCAAGACTTTCCAACTGACCGAGGGTTTCACGTCCAAGGCCGAGATTGACCGCATCCACCACCACTATGGCGACAACACCTTCGACATCCCTGTTCCTACCTTCACTGAGCTGTTCCAGGAGCATGCTGTTGCGCCATTCTTTGTCTTCCAAATCTTCTGTGTTGGATTGTGGATGCTGGATGAATACTGGTACTACTCTCTCTTCACGCTCTTCATGCTTGTTGCCTTTGAAAGCACTGTTGTTTGGCAGCGCCAGAGAACCTTGGTTGAATTCCGTGGAATGAGCATCAAGCCGTACGACGTTTGGGTCTACCGCGAGCGCAAGTGGCAGGAAATCACCAGCGACAAGCTTCTGCCCGGTGATCTCATGTCAGTGAACCGCACCAAGGAAGACAGTGGTGTTGCCTGCGATATTCTTTTGGTTGAAGGCAGTGTGATTGTCAACGAGGCTATGCTTTCTGGTGAGAGCACACCTCTTCTCAAGGACTCTGTTCAGCTTCGCCCCGGGGACGATCTGATTGAACCCGAGGGACTCGATAAGCTCTCTTTCGTGCACGGAGGAACCAAGGTTCTCCAGATTACTCATCCCAACGCGAACGGTGAATCATCTCTGAAGAACCTGGCCAGCACAGTCAGCTTGGCTCCGGACAATGGTGCATTGGGTGTGGTCGTCAAGACTGGTTTCGAGACCAGCCAAGGTAGCCTCGTCCGAACCATGATTTACTCTACTGAGCGTGTCTCTGCCAACAATGTTGAGGCTTTGCTGTTCATCCTCTTCCTTCTGATTTTCGCAATTGCCGCTTCCTGGTATGTTTGGAAAGAGGGTGTGATCCAGAACCGCAAGCGCTCCAAGCTCTTGCTGGACTGTGTCCTCATTATCACAAGTGTCGTGCCACCCGAACTTCCCATGGAATTGAGCTTGGCTGTCAACACCAGTCTTGCCGCTTTGAGCAAGTTCGCTATCTTCTGTACCGAGCCTTTCCGTATCCCATTCGCTGGCCGTGTTGACGTCGCTTGCTTCGACAAGACCGGTACTCTGACCGGTGAGGACCTGGTCGTCGACGGTATTGCCGGGCTTACTCTAGGTGAGGCTGGCTCTAAGGTTGAACCTGATGGTGCCCACATTGAGTTGGCCCAGGCCACTGCCGCCGGAGCCAACACCACTCTTGTTCTTGCAAGTGCTCATGCTATGGTCAAGCTGGACGAAGGTGAAGTTGTTGGTGACCCCATGGAAAAGGCTACTCTGGAATGGCTTGGCTGGACCCTTGGTAAGAACGATACTCTGTCCTCCAAGGGCAACTCGCCAGTTATCTCCGGACGAAACGTCGAGAACGTTCAAATCAAGAGAAGATTCCAATTCTCCTCAGCTTTGAAACGCCAGAGCACCATCGCCACCATCACTTCAAATGATCGCAAGACCTCAAAGAAGACTAAGTCCACCTTCGTGGGTGTGAAGGGTGCCCCTGAGACCATTCGCACCATGCTGGTCAACGCTCCTCCCAACTACGAAGAGACTTTCAAGCACTTCACTCGTAACGGTGCTCGTGTCCTTGCACTTGCCTACAAGTTCCTCTCCCCCGAAACCGAGCTCTCACAGAGCCGCGTGAACAACTTCGTCCGCGAAGAGGTCGAGTCTGAACTGATCTTTGCTGGTTTCCTTGTTCTTCAGTGCCCTCTTAAGGATGATGCGATTAAGTCTGTTCGCATGCTCAACGAGAGTAGCCACCGTGTTGTCATGATCACTGGTGACAACCCATTGACTGCCGTGCATGTCGCTCGCAAGGTTGAAATTGTGGACCGTGAAGTTCTGATTCTTGACGCCCCGGAGCATGACAACTCTGGTACCAAGATCGTCTGGCGCACCATCGATGATAAGCTCAATGTTGAAGTCGACCCTACCAAGCCCCTCGACCCCGAGATTCTGAACAGCAAGGATATCTGTATCACAGGATATGCTTTGGCTAAGTTCAAGGGCCAGAAGGCACTTCCCGATCTCCTCCGCCACACCTGGGTCTACGCTCGTGTGTCTCCCAAGCAGAAGGAAGACATTCTTCTCGGTCTCAAGGATGCCGGATACACTACTCTGATGTGCGGTGATGGTACCAACGACGTTGGCGCCCTCAAGCAGGCTCACATTGGTGTTGCGCTTCTGAACGGCTCCCAGGATGATCTGACCAAGATTGCCGAGCACTACCGTACTACTAAGATGAAGGAGCTGTATGAAAAGCAGGTCTCTATGATGCAGCGATTCAACCAGCCCTCACCCCCTGTTCCTGTTCAGATCGCCCATTTGTATCCCCAAGGTCCCAGCAACCCTCACTACGAGAAGGCTATGGAACGCGAGTTGCAACGCAAGGGTGCTGCCATCACTGCCGGTGCCGAGCCTATCCCGACTATCACTTCCCCCGGTGCCCAGGCTCTGCAGCAGCAGAACGCAAACCCTCAGCAACAGCGACAGCAGCAGGCCCAAGCAGCCGCGGCTGGCCTTGCAGATAAGCTTACCGCCTCCATGATGGAACAGGAGCTGGATGACAGTGAACCCCCCACTATTAAGTTGGGTGATGCGTCTGTCGCTGCTCCTTTCACCAGTAAACTGGCCAACGTCATTGCTATTCCCAACATCATCCGTCAAGGTCGTTGCACCCTCGTTGCGACTATTCAGATGTACAAGATTCTTGCTCTGAACTGCTTGATCAGTGCCTACAGTTTGAGTGTCATCTACTTGGATGGTATCAAGTTTGGTGATGGTCAGGTCACTATCAGCGGTATGATGATGAGTGTTTGCTTCTTGTCTATCTCTCGCGCCAAGGTATGTACTTGTCCACCTGATTGTTCAAGTTCCCTCTAACCAACTTATACAACAGTCTGTTGAGGGTTTGTCCAAGGAGCGCCCGCAGCCCAACATCTTTAACGTCTACATCATCGGATCCGTTCTTGGACAGTTTGCCATTCACATTGTGACTTTGGTCTATCTTTCTCAATATGTCTATAAGCACGAGCCGTACGTTGCAACATTCCATCTTTCATAATCTGCCACTGATACTAACACGACCAACAGGAGAGCATCCGACATTGATCTTGAGGGCGAATTCGAACCCTCCCTCCTGAACAGCGCCATCTACCTTCTCCAGCTTATCCAGCAAATCTCCACCTTCTCAATCAACTACCAGGGCCGTCCCTTCCGCGAGTCCATTCGTGAGAACAAGGCCATGTACTGGGGTCTCGTCGCCGCCTCCGGTGTCGCATTCTCCTGTGCCACCGAGTTCATCCCCGAGCTGAACGAGAAACTCCGCCTGGTTCCTTTCACCACTGATTTCAAGATTACCCTCACTGTGCTCATGATCTTCGATTACGGTGGTTGTTGGCTCATTGAGAATGTCCTGAAGCACTTCTTCAGTGACTTCCGTCCCAAGGACATTGCCGTTCGTCGTCCTGACCAGCTCAAGCGCGAGGCGGATCGCAAGTTGCAAGAGGAGGTTGAGGCTGAGGCTCAGAAGGAGCAGCAGAGGAAAGTTTAAAGAGTTCTGTTTGTACCTGTAAACATAGAGGTGGATTGTTGGCTTAAAGATGTGATATCCTGTCGCACTTAATACATGATCTTGCTTGTTTTGTATAGCCTGATGACATGTGGTAGAGGGATCATATACTTTCTACCAATTTGAATCACCGATCGATCTGAATTACAATGTCTTGCTCATAATAAACCTTGGAAGTATCCGATATTGCGTTGTGCTTGTTGTGATGTGGGCAAAGCCCCGTAAATGGTAAAAAGCCCACCCTCAACTGATCAATTTCGAAGACAGGCCTCAACTTTCACCGGAGGAAACAGAACCTGATCAGTAATAGATATTAATTCAAACTTTGTGATCCGCTCAAGCGCATAAAAAGCAATGAGCCAAGCCCTATTCCAGCCTGACGGTAGAGAGCACCTTGCCGCCATCAATGGCTCGAAGCAGGTTCATCAAGATAGTCTCGATTTGCACAAACCGAAGGTACCCGCATGAGCCGTGTTCCAAGTGACTGAACAACGCAGACAAGGAGGAAAAGCGCCGACCACACACATTCGGATCGGTCAGGCAATGGTAGATTTTGGCATCGTGAATGGGCGAGTCGAGATGTGAAATCAGTTCATCAACGTCGAAGAAATCCTTCAGGCAGAGACGGCAGATCCAGTCACATCCGTCCGCGGCACCGTTGGTTATCATTCCCGTGGGGTCGAGGTATTGGATGCGCTCGTACAGCGCTCGGCGGCTCGTAGCACAGGCTGTCGTGCAGACGCCGGCCTCGATGTGAGTAGGGATCCCGCTTGGGGCTATGTATTCTCCCTTGCAGTACGGGCATCTGAACATTATATCGCTGCGGACTTTAGTTCTCGTGTGCTGGATATAAGGTCAGTTATTGACAATCGACCGAAACGGGGAAGTGGCTTACTGCGCAGGAGGGAGTATCGCTTTCAACCGGGTTATCACAAGCAGCGCAGGAATGATCAGGGAAGTGGTTGTAGTCTCTCATATGCTCATTCGCAGCATTCTGGGTATCGAACATTCGCTTGCAGGAGTGACATTCAATTTGAGCATCCCAGTGGTCGTGCGTGTTCATGTGTTGGTTGCGAGACAAGATACTGGCGAATGGAGAATGACAAGACTCACAGTGGACCCAGTGATCGCGGTTAGCCATATGGCTGTCAAGATCGGTCCAGTGACGAAACAAGTCTCCACAAGTAGGACACTCGTGCATCTGAGTGGGGAGAGAATCCATGAAAAGGTGCGGATGAAAGATGGGAGTGTAGCAAAGGAAGGCATACGTCAGAAGAAAAGAAGTCAATCGAGATTTCAAACCTGAGGAGTGAAACGAACAACAAGGCACAACTGTATGAGTTTGACTCTCCCTTGACCCTTCACTTCCTACGATAGAACAGTGTCCCCTACGAGCAGTTTAGTCTACGGTGGCTATATGCTCAGACCAAGGACATCTACATCTGAATATCGACTTTATTGTGGGAGAAATGGTAAACATTTGTAAGATTCATTTCACTGCATGAGGCACCCTCAGCGGCCAAAGTCGAACAAGGTGATTTGCTCGCCATTGTGAATAGAATCGGTCAATCGAAGATAATAAAGTGGAATTTGGGTGAAACCAGCAATGCCACAGGACTCACTTTCAAGGTGCTGGAATAAAGCACTTAGTGTGATGAAGTGCTTATCGCATCCACGGTTGATGCAATGGTATGGTTTGGAGCTGTGCGCTGGTGAGTTCCAATGCATTACCAGGGCAGAGCGAGTCCGAAAGCCTTTTGAGCAGAGACTACACTTCCACTGTCCGCCATTGTGCTCTCCAATGTCGGTCAGAATGTTGTCAATGTCGAGGTTTTGAATTTGGCGAGCGAGGGTGTCGCCGTTCGTGTTGCTTTTCTCGCAACATCCTCCCTCAAGGTGATGGAAGGCACCGCTTGCAGTGACAAACTGTTCCTCGCAAAACTCGCATTCAACATGCATGTCACGGTGGATCTTTGGAGGGATTTGCTATATGTTGTAGATGTCAGTTTAAGTAGAGTAGATCAGGGAGAAGACATGATGGATTACGGCACGGTAGTCCATCGGACTGTCAAATTGTCTGTTGCATGATAGACGAAAGTCTTGGTGCTTCGTGTCGCGCAGGTGCTGATAACGAGCAAACGGCGAGGAGAACGAGCGAGCACAGCTAGTGCAGCTGAAATTCGATTGGGGGGGACATGGTTGTGACGAAAGGAAGGGGATTCCCGAAGTCGAAGTGTGAGAAGAAGGAAGCAGGGGAGTCATCCAGCAACGATGAGGCTAGCCTGACTGAGTTTGTTTGCCTCTCCCAGCACGTTCAATTCTGTTTGGTAGAACAATTGAAGTAGCCCTTCTTTCTGTTCTCCAGGATTTTCAATGCAAGTCAAGGATTCTTCTGTGGATGCATACACACAGCATTCATGCAGTGACACTAGTACCTCACCCGAGGTATTCACTATCTTGGCTTTCTCTTTCATGCAGAGTATTTGTTGGTAGATCTTTTGGGGTATCGTATTGAATACTCGAAGGGACCAGGGAAAGAACACCGACCTGAGGAACAAGTCTGATCTGACTTGCTCCCGAGGGCGTCCGCCAGCCTTATGAGGCTCTGCTCTTTTCGCTGCGCTGCCAGCGCATTGTTTTTGGGATATCCCAATCAACATTTGAGGGGCCAGAGAAAGAACAACGACCTGAGGAACAAGTAAAATTTGACTTGCCCCTGAGAGCGTCCGCCATCCTTGTGAGGCTCTGCTCTTTTCGCTGGGCTACCAGCTGATTGGCTTTGGATAGTTGCATAGACCACAAGTCGAGATCGACATGGGTACTCCCGCATATCCCACGCCAGGAAAAGCCCCTGGGTGAACTCCTTTTTTCTGGAGTATATCGTGCTAACGTTGCTGCGACCCGCGTCGCTTCCGGGAGCAGATAAAGATGAATGAATTGCCCAACCAAGTTGGTTGCTTTAATAAAAATCGACAAACTGACTCCCAACATGAGGGAGGCATTCGGATGGAGTCGAGGGGCCAACAGAGCATGCGGCTGCACGTGCTATCAAATGCAGACACCAGTTGACACATAATTGATCAGAGGCAAGGTACAATCACATAAAGGACGGCAGTTGTCCCCATTGTCGACGATCTTATTGCATGATTGACAGAAGTATTCTCGTTATTAGTGTTTCTCGTGCGAGTGTTGTTCGAACTTGGACATTGGATGTTGAGACCATGTCAGAGGCTGGTCACGTGCGACCCCCTCTTAGCAGAATAGCTAGTTAGCTGAATGCATCATCTTTACGCTATTCTGCTTCCAGACCGTAACAGACCGACCGCAATTGTTGCGTCTGAACTGGTAACCTTCATGACGACTCACAGCTTTCATATGCTGACGTAGAGCAATTTCGCCGCAAGACTCTCGAGTGTATCCAGGAAACTGGTAGAGTGTGAGACTGTTAAACATTGAATAGTAGTAGTCGTAGTAATAGTGATTAACGTCCGGCTGGCATGACAGGATGTGGAAGGTAGCAAGGTTAAAAATCACGATATTTAGGCAATTTATACATGGTCTTTGCTAGACATCTACCAATTGGCCTAATTTAGATCCCTTCAGATTAGTCTCAGTCTCAATATCTAAGATGAGGCCAAAGCAAGGCCAAAGTGACTGATATCTCGGCGCTGTTCCGATCCCGGTGATCCGTACTTGTACGGCATGGAACAGCCCACCATCTCCACTATGATCTCATTGCCGAGACACCTGTACAGCACATCTCGACCCTTCACTTCTTCCAACCCCAACAATCATGGCCAATTTGACACTTCAGTCCAAGCACAAGCTCCTGTCGGGACATGAGATCCCGGCACTGGGATATGGAGTTGGTTACCCCGCAGACAGAGTCATAACTGAAGCTTACGTGAATAGGTCTATATGATGTCGGTTTCCAACTTGCCAAAAAGAGGCCCAACTAATAGCGAACAGTCCTTCATCCGCAACCGAGAAAGCTACAACCGAAGCTCTCAATGTTGGGCTCCGCCATGTATGAAGCCTGCCGCTAACAGGATGACCAACGCTGAACATGACAGGTCGATTCCGCGATTATGTATCGCAACGAAAAGCCATGCGGTAAAGCCATTCAGAAATCCGAGCTGGATCGATCGGAGATCTTTTTTACGACCAAAATTCCCCCGGAAGCTATGGGCTACGAGTCCACGAAGCGGGCTATCAACTCGAGTCTGCGGGAAGCAGCCCAAGACTACTTCGATCTGTAAGCGATTGTCCAAACTACAAGGACCGCACTGACAACCCTAGCATTCTGATTCATGCTCCCTACGGTGGCAAGAAAGCCCGCCTAGGATCCTGGGATGCGCTAGTCGAGGCCCAGAAAGAAGGCAAGACTAAAGCCATCGGTGTGTCCAACTACGGTATCCACCACCTCGAAGAACTGGAGAACTACATCCATGGCGGCGGAGGTGGCCAGATCGATGTCGGCCAGTATGAATTGCATCCGTGGCTCGATCACTCCGATATTGTGGAGTGGTTGCAGAGTCGAAATATTATCGTTGAGGCATACTCGCCTCTTGCACACGGAAGTCGACTGAGAGAGCCAGTCTTGGGCTCCATCGGGAAGAAGTATGGCAAGACGCCGGCGCAGGTGTTGATCCGCTGGAGTTTGCAGATGGTGAGTCTAAATTCCCTTAGGAGGCCTGAGGCCAAATTATAGTTGCTGACCATCCAGGGATTCGTGCCGCTGCCCAAATCCGCTACTCCCCAGCGCATTCGGGAGAACACCGATGTCTTTGACTTTGAGTTGGCAGAGGAAGACATGAATTTGCTAGACACTGGGGAGTATGAGCCCACGGACTGGGATCCGACAGTTGATTCGGATTAAAGCAGACAGATAGAACCTGTGCTTTGAACGTTGGAAGTATATAGCAGAAGCAAAGCGAAGTATAGCGCGAAGCAATTAGATTTGTCAGAGCCGCCGCGGGGTCGCCGATTAGCAATCCACTTTTCTTGATCGCCAGGCCTCCCAAGGTTGTCTTCTTGTCTTCCTCGTAGATTTGCCTTGCACAGTCCAATCATGAAGCTCATTCTTTCTAGTTCGTGAGTGTCACGAGCCGTACGTTTTATCCAGGGTCTAACCTTTCGCAGGAATATTATGCAAGGGCGGCAGTCCGTGATCCGCCATCCGCTCCAGAAATCCAACGTCGAGCTGATCAACTCCTTGCGCTCGAACTTTCTTTCCTCGCAGCAGATCGAAGCCGGACAAATAAATGGTAGCGGGAAGGCGCCTGCGTGGACACAACAAGGCGAGGACGGGCTCTACATCCCCGCGATCGATTTCTCACAACCCGGACTGGCCGAGGAGCGGGACCAATACGATATCACAGTCAAGCTATTCTACCTGCCGGGAATTCCGGTCTCACGACGATGCGCGCACACTCGAGAGGCGATTGATTTGGTATTGAAAGAGCTACATGTGAAGTCCATCGACCTATTGATCGTGTCCTTCCCGGGGATTCTGTTCGACGCCGACGATGACAGCGAGGAAGAGGACAATGCAACCAATGGGGAGGACGACTTTGACAGCATGGTACAGACATGGCGAGTGCTGGAGACACTTCACGAACAAGGCATGATTGCCCAGCTGGGCGTTGCGGAATTCGGATGCGACCGATTGGCCCGACTACTGCAATACACGCAAGTCAAGCCGTCAGTCGATCAGATCAACCTGAAGGACTGCTGCGTCGTTCCGAAGTCTCTGATCCTTTATGCGAAACAGGAGCAGATTCAACTCCTCACTCATAACGATTGCCATGATATCCTGCCTGTCGGCACAACGCGCGAACTGCTCGGCCCCGCGGAGAAAAGCGCCGGCATTCTGGCTTCGTCCCCGGATGCCAACGACGGTATCAAGGGTGATGTCGAGCCGCAGTGGGTTGTCAAGTACACGGCCGTTGTAAAGGATCGTGGAGTGGTTGAAAACAAGGGATATTTCGCACTGGCCGATGTTGGCACATGTGTCAAGCAATGAAAGTCGGTCCTTTCTCTTCTTTTTTGTGACGTGAGCGTGGCGTTATTTTTCATTTAAGATTAAAATCATAGCTGGGAGTTGCATCAATCTCCGAAAATTTTTTCATGGCTTAACCAAGCATGCTCCTCTTGCGACCTCTCATGCGCACATCCTCCAACCTCTTCAGCGCAGAAGGTGCCCCCTTGTAACTATCCCGGTATCCAACGATCAAATCCTCCGCTAGCGTCTCGGATCGCGGATGCGTGCTAGCAATGGCGCGCTCGAGAACATACAAATCCACCGCGCGGTCCTCATCCTGCGCACTCTGCGACGCCAGCCCGAAGTCAATCAGCACAACGTCACCGTCCAGCTCAGTATCATGATCCGCCTTGCCTTCCGCATCCGCATTCGCATTCGCAAAGGGCCGTAGCATCAGGTTACTCGTAGTCAGGTCTCCGTGCACGACACCCGCCTTGTGCAGCGCACCGATAGCAGCGCCCATTTTTCGCATCAGGGCGCGCACGCGATCCTCCTGCGCCTGTGTCTGCTCGTCGTTCAGCGTGGCCTTCTTCATCCACGCTTCCCATTTTTCAAGAGCGACGCGCACAACGTCACCGTCGATCCACTCCATCATTAACCATGCTCCGCCCCATCCGCCGTCTTCTCCGCCGTGGCCCTCCCAGTCCAGGGCGAGGAGAGCGGGCACGCTCACGCCTTCACGTACTAGTTTTGCTAGACATCTGGCTTCCTGGGTGATTCGTGAACGGGTGAGGCGGCGGTCGAGAATGGGGTGACGGTAGGGTTTTGAGGGGCGGATCTTCAGTGCGGCGGGTGTGGAGGGGTTCAGAGAAGTGGTTTTGTAGAGGTGGGCTTCGGCGCCTTGGGTGAGGAGTATTGGTGGTGGGGTAGTGTTGTTGAAGGGAGAGGGTAGAGCTGGAGGTTTGTATTCTTCCATTGTGGGAGTGTGGAATGTAAAGGTAGAGCGTAAAGTGCAGCAGTGTAGGAGTGTTGTTGGATTTGAGATTGAGAAAAAGTTGTGGGGCTCGGAGTATACGCGATGTTTCCACCGTCTGCAATGAATCACTTCTCTTTTTGTTAATCTTGAGTTGATCCATAATGATAAGTCAATTGTATAATCATAAATAAACATAGAGAAAATGACACTCGAATATTAAGGTAAATCGAAACCCGCGGACGTTGCAGTATGTATGACCCTTGATGGGCGCCTGATGTGGAAGTTCCACTATAAGCCCCCAATGACCCTATGTACTTTGCCCATTGCCGATGAATGTAGCTTTCAAATTAAATGAAGATCCGGTCGAACATTAGCCAGTCGACAAGTACCTGTGTACATCCTCTCAAGTATCGACTGCATCACCTCGATATCAATCGACTCAGCCGCCCAGTGCTTCATCGTCCTTATTGAGACCCTCACCAACGCGGCCCAATTATGCGGAATGCGCACTTGCCAGGTATTTGGAATCTTCACAGCCTCTAGCTGATATAAGACCGCGGCAATTATATGCAGTGCGCAGCAGAAACTGGCACGTATAACGTTCCAAATCCACTCGTGTCGGAATTGCCACCAGTAGTTGGGGATCACCTCAACACAGCCATCAATGGCCTTCTGGGCGAACTCGAACACTTCTCTCCACATTTCATGCTTGTTTCGTATGAAGGCAGGCATTGTATGGTAGTGCATTGCGAGGTAGAAGTTCGGCCGGTAGATTCGCTCTGAGGCCATGACATATCGGCCGCGGAAGAAGAACTTCAGGTCTGAATTGCCTTCTTTGGATTGAATCCCTGCCATTGATATTTCATACCTAGTTTTTGGTTAGTTGAATATTGTTTTGTGTCAGAGCATATACTAACCAGGATCTAACAACGTGCTCAGCTGCCCCTGTCTGTCGCAGGAGGTTGGGGATATCCTGAGTCCATCTTTTCTCTCCGTGGCGCCACATGTCTGCGAGAAGGTCATTTGTGGTCCGGCGGTTACAGATAGTTCCGATATAGAATTTCCATCCTTTTTCCTCTTCGTTTCCGTCTAGTTCAAACGTGGGCTTGACGTTGTATCCTTCTCCCTCGTTCATATCATACGAAGGAGTGGACTTGGGCGAGAATTTGGGGAACGGGTCTGAGTAGCCCAGCCCTTCAAGACCGCTACTCCACAGAGGAAGCTCACCCTGCATCTCACTGGAAGGAATTAGTGATGGTCATGCTGCCACACAGATCGGGTGAAAACATACTGCTCCGCTTGAATGCATGACCAGTATAGACGGGACTCTAAGTTATGGTAATCGTCATCCGCGGTCCACTGTTCTCTACAAAGAGACCGCAGACGGACTTCTAATCTGCAAGACGCCTGCTGGAAGCAAAACCAAGCTTCGAGAGGACGCAAGGCATGTCGGAGGTAGCTTCCTGCGAGTAAGAAACACTGTATGTCTGTAGGAGAGGTGTGTAAAAAGCCGAATCTCTGCTTAGCGGCGTGGAAATATGTCTCAGCCAGGTCCATATTTGCGTCTGACATTGGTGGCGTAGGGAGTGTGTCCAGATTGGATGGAATCTGTCCCAGCGGGACGAACACAGACGATGTACACGAAGCCAGCGCGCACACTAGCAGCTAGTGGGGACTCAAGTTAAGTTGACTCTCCCGGAACCAAACGGGTCTTTACGACTTACCACTTGACATGACGGACCATCCCATCCAAGACCTTGGATAGTGACCTCTTTTGCAAAGCGGTCTAGGTTATCGAGATCGACTAACGGATTTCGCCGGTGGCATAACACAAAGTACTTCTTACACAGGTTGGGGATCTCATCAACATAGTGCCCGATGCCCAACTGCCGAGGTTGCTGCGCGTTTTGGGACCTATTTTCGAGCGAATCAAGCAGAAAGGACCGAATGTGCTTTTCGGCTTCAGTGATGACTTTATTGAAGATCGGCCAGCGGAGCATATGCTCCCCGGAGCTGGCTATGTAAAGCAGCCGGGGGTCATGCTCCATTGCGCGATCTTCAAAGCTCGCGCTGCCATGCGAGGTGATCCCCGGATCAGCCACGGGGCTAGTGGTCTGCATGGCTAGCTCAAAGAAAGATTCTTTGAGCGAGCGAGTTGAGGAACTGGTGGAGCCGCCTTCTGACTTGATCTCCTCCAAGAGTCCGGCGATATGGTTCAGCCGCTGCATGACCTCTTGATTGGATGGGTTTCCGGGATCGAAGCCAGCCCTGTCTGAGTTAATCTTCGTCCGCTGCATTATCGAGTATCTTACTGGTTCTGTTGGGGGGGAGGTCTCGGGATAGTTGCACTCGACCCCCTGCACGGAACAATAGCTACAGGTCGGTCTGGCATTATCGCAGCGAGTTTTGCGGAGCCGACAGGTCTGACAAGCAGTCGGAGCTCGGGTACGAATTTCACGCTTTCTAGCGAGTTTTGGATCGCCGTAGTCCATCTTCACCTATAATCCGGCGAGATTTCGGGGAGATCGGGGAGCGTGGGGTGAAGGGGGAAAAAAAGGAAAAGTCAAGTGCGACCCAAGGGGATAGTAAGGCAATACCTCCAGTGCCCAGAGTCTAGAAACAAAGAGACGCTTCCCAAAACCACGGTTGTGGCGCCGGATGAAGTCCAGGTTGTGAACAAAGAACTCGAGGAGATGAACCCCTACCCGACTGCAGGGGGTTTCACGATGCTGATTGGAGGGCAGTGCGCTATACCTTTGAGGTCCTTTCCTTTTGCTCTGTGGCCTCCCCGAAGGATTTCTTTTTTTGGGGTCAGTTGCATCTCAGGGAAATACGAGACACTCCACATCCCAAGGCTTCGTGATTTGGATACAATCCGAAGAGAAGCTTGTGCCTGGATATTCCGTCGAGTTGGAAATTAGTCTCAGGACTGCACACACCCCAACCCTTTGTTTTTTTATCTGGATCTCCATCTGATGCTTCTTTTTTCTTGGTCGGGAGTTTGGTGTGTTTGGGGAGAGAGAAAGTGAGTTGTGGATTGCCGTAGAGATCGGAGACCCCCCATACACCTCCAGGGCTGCATCACACATATGAAGCGTGCTCTTCGGGTTTGGAATATGCTTGTAAGCACTTTGTGCAATAGATGCAATAGATGCAATAATAATGCCCAACCCTATATCTTCATTCTCCCAATCTCTACCCCAGATCTAAGTATAGATCAGAATGTGAAACACATTCGTCATTTAGCAATGAATAGCGAGCAGATGGAACCAAGCAGATGCCCAGGTGACCATAAGTAATTTATCACATTGGTCGGGCAATAAATTAAGGCCAAAAGAGTTAAAAGAAGGTGGAACTTCCCTACCCAGCGGTTGGTGGCTTAGCGGTCAAACACTACCACGTCCACGTACGCCAAAGCATTAACATCACACTCAGATCCGAGTCCTTGAAAATGAATACAATATTGCACAGGTTTTTGTTGCTCAAAGGGTATATCCAAGGATGTCCCCGTGGACATCTCCTTGTACACCCTGCGGTAGTTGTACACACTTTCAACGTTTGGGTTCATTTCAGTTCCACCACAGCCCTAAAAGGATAGAAGGAAATTGTGAAGAGTTCATAGTATTTCGTCAAGTTGACCAACGCTCAGAAGAATAGCTCGGTAGTCTGATAGTGATAGATACATGTACAAGGCCTTACCCGCAAGGCCAACTTGTTAACGCCAGAATAATGCAGTGTCACACACTTCATCGGACCTTTTTCTTAGGCCGCCTGGTTAAAGGCGCCTCACAGTGTTCGGTCCACACATCTTCGAAGACCGTCTTCCGTGGGCCAATCTGGCCTTGGTAGAAATTGAGCTTACGCACAACCTCCATGGCACCTGTACCCAACGACACCGTCTTGCCCATGATGATACATTCCGAAACACCCTCAATCAGATCGGTACGACCAAGGCCACCGGCGTCGAACAGATGATCAGCGGTCTTCTCGAACGAGGCGAGCTGAAGAACTGAGTCACGCATTTTGGCGAGACCGAATCGAGTGATACCCAGCACTTCACCCTTGTAGGTCATCACGTCAGCCAGGAGTTGCATGTGACGAGGATCGATGTCCATGTCCTTCATGACCTCGCTGATTTCCGTAACAACGGTGCTTCGTGCTGCCTCGATACCTAGAACATCGCGCGCCTCCATGATGTTGTTGGTTCTGGTTCTGAGGCCGTCCACACCCATGGTAGTCATACACTCCCTCAAACCATAGCCTTCAACAAGCAGAGTGTTCTTTTCGGACTTCTCGTCTGTACGAATGATAGCACGAGTGGCACGCGGGTGACCCAGAATTTGAATTCCGGGGAGAAGGCGTTTCAGATGCTTGAGACGCAAGAATGGATCGCTGCTAGTGGCTGCAATTTCTGTTTTGGAGAGGCCCACCTTGGTGGCTGGGTCGAGATCCATGTGGACCTTGATCGAAGATTGCTTGTAAGAGAACTTGAGATCGCTTGCCTTGAAGCGCTTGTGTGTCTTGATTGTCTGGACAATCTGCGGCGTCGTGATCTCGAGCGAGAGGTCTTCAATTGTTTTCCAGTTGATGACCACCTTGATATAAGCCTCATCTTTGGTCCAAACATCTGTGACGGAGTGAATGACGTCAGACAGGAAGGTCTTCTCAATTCGTCCCTTCACGATACGAGCGGCGATGGTGCTGTCCTGGGTGACAAGCTCGCAAGCAACGACGGGCGTACTGATTTCTTTTGAGGCGTTGATAATTTCCTTAATACGGGGAACACCCTGGGTAATACTCATTCCAGCGACACCGGCGAAATGGAAAGTTTTCAGTGTCATCTGTGTTCCAGGTTCACCGATAGACTGGGCACCGACGGCACCGACGGCATGACCGGGCTCAACCTGGGCTCTCTTGTACTTCAACAAACAGGCAGTGATGAAAGCCCTCAATGTGGTTTCTGTCAGTTTACCGGTGTGATCCAGGGCTTTTCGGCTTCGCTGGTCGGATGGGTCAATGTCTCCACCTCGAGAAATAAGCTTATCGGCCCTCTTTGACACGTATTCTTCGATTGAGTCAAGGAAGTCACGAGCACTTTCAAACTGATCGATGCCGTGGTCACTGCGATCCATATATCCGAGAGAATTGCCAAGCAAGTCCTTGCGGGTCAGCTTGGCACGTTCCTTTGAAAGCATGCTCTCGCAGACTTCCATCATTTGTTCTGGGAGTAGACTTGGCTCGTCGTTGTTGTATGTTGTTGATTCGGAATGAATGAAAGTTCGGTCGAAGTGGACGGGTTTAGCTTTACCCTCCATATCCACAGGATCCAACTTATCATCACCATACTGGAATTGGACGATGGCAGCAGACGAGTTACGAACTGTGTCATCATACATCGACGACAGATCCTCAAGGGATTTCATCAGACGACGAGACATGTAACCAGTCTCAGCTGTCTTGACAGCTGTATCGACCAGACCTTCACGACCAGACATAGCGTGGAAAATGAATTCAGGAGGCTGTAGACCGGAGAAGAAACTGTTGCGGACGAAACCCTTTGACGGCGGCTGTCGGGCGTTCTTCGGGAAATGAGGTAAGGTACGATCCTGGAAACCGTCCTGGACACGCTGACCACCAATAATTTGTTGACCGACGAGGGCAACCATCTGGGACACGTTGATGCTGGAACCCTTGGAACCGGAAGTGGCCATGATCAGGGGCGAGTTGTACTTGCTGAGTTGCTGGATACATTCGTCACCAGCTTGCTGACGAACTTTACTCAGGATACCGGAGAGCTGGTTCTCCATGGTTTGCAATTCGTCACATCCAGGGTACTTCTCCAGGGTACCGGCTTTGTACTTGGCAATGACCTCGTCACAAGCCGCATAAGCTGCTTCTACCAGGTCATTTTTAGATTGAACAAGACCTGCGCTGGGGTAGACATCTCCAATACCAATGGAAAAACCGATGTTAGTGAACCATCGAGCAGAAAGTTTTGAAAGACGGTTCATGCCCTCAGCCGCCGCAGGGGGGCCGTAATCTCTGAGCATGATGTAGAAAACGTTGTCTTTCTTTCCGGAACCAATCGTAGACTTGTCCATAACACCGCACATAACCTCGGAGTTACGAATTACAAGCCAGCCATCATTGGGGTCCAAGTCCTTGGGACGTCCGTCCTTGGGCTGCTTGAATTCACGGCATGCAGCATCCAGGTTCACTTGAACAGGGTCAGACATATTAGGACGCATGAGAATATTGAAGACCTGTTTTCCAGTCCAGAGCATTTGAGGCTTCAGAACGGATGGCGGAGGAAGATCAAATCTTGTCTCAGGGCCAAGCATGTAGAGACAAATCTGCGAGAAAGAAGCACGGTCAAAGAAGTTATCTTTGCTGCTGAGAATATAGGCGGCACTGATGAAATCCTGGATGGCGGAAATGATGGGCTCTCCGTTCTTGGGCGTAGCCAAGTTGTTCTTCACACCCATGAGTTCCATAGCCTCTGCTCGTGCCTCTTCTGTCTGGGGGACGTGGAGGTTCATCTCGTCTCCGTCGAAATCGGCATTGTAAGGATTGCAGACACACTCGTTCAACCGGAAAGTCCTGTGAGGGCGAACTTTGGCAAAGTGGGAGAGAATACTGAGCTTGTGAAGTGAGGGTTGTCGGTTGAACAGGACAATGTCACCGTCTTCGATGTGACGTTCGACCATGTCACCCTCTTGTAGCTGATCGGCCATCCATTGGGTATTTCCGTACTTCAGCATCTGTTTGAAGCCGGTTCCTTTCTTGATGATGACATTTGCTCCGGGCCATTTGTTGCTACCATTGATGACTCTTTGTTGCAGCTTCTCCTTGTTATATCTGGTCACAAGCTCAGGGTAGGTCATGTTCTTTGCTACCAGTTCGGGGACTGCAACCTCATCGACACGCAGGTTGGGATCGGGTGAAATGACGGTTCGACCGGAGAAATCAACACGTTTTCCAGACAAATTACCACGGAAACGACCCTGCTTTCCCTTCAGGCGCTGCACAAAGCCTCGAATCGGTTTTCCGAGATCCGCTTTATTGAGGCCAGGGACATCACTGTTAATGTACACAGCAATCTGAAGTTGCATGTAGTCCCAACATTCCATGATGGTCTGAACAGGAGCACCCTTGAGCAGGGCATTCTTCAAGTTGATGTTACTTTGAACAATGTCACCCAATTTGGCAGTCAAGTCATCTTCTGTAGAGGCACCATCTTGACCCACGGAAGGTCGGATGCACACTGGTGGGGCCGGAATAAACTGCCACAAGAACATCTCGGGACGTGCTTCCTTCGGATTCATGCCGATCAACTCACAATCGGAGTCTGACATTTTCTTGAAAAGCTTCAGCACACGAAGAGCGTTCATGTCGTCCTGGGCTTTTTTGAAGTGCTTCTCCACCTCGGGATTGGCGCCCCTAGCCTCGAGGAAAGAGTTGTCGAAAACATCTTTACTGATGGGGGTTTGCTTCTTCATAGATGTCGAGGCATTGAACGCACGGAACTTGTCGTGGGTAATCTTCAAAGCGCTTGTTCCAGTCTTTTTCACCACACCATTGATCGCTCCACAGTATGTGCACTCGCGAGTTTTTCGACACCGTTCATTGATGCGTTTCACAATCTGGTTTCGTCGGAGGTTGTCAAGGCCCGGTCGGCGCATCTCGCGCAGATAAGACCGGCGCTCCGCTTCGGGAAGCAAAACATTGGAGCATTCTTTGCAAATTTCCTGAAGGATCCCGATAACACGCTTGAAATAGCCGACGTGGAAGGAAGGAAGAACCAGCCGCACATGACCGAAGTGACCGTTGCAATCTTTAAGATTATGTCCGCACGTCGCGCAAGCGTCAGTCTTGTTCGAAATACCCATACGTTGGTCGAGAGGTCCATTGGAGACAACTGTTCGAGCCTGGTCCAGGTCGAAGAACTTTCGGTCGGAAACCTCTACCACTGCTTGGCCGACAATGTCATCGTTGGTTCTATGGGCACAATGCTTCGTTAGCGATCAAGTATGCGACAAACTCCCGCAACAAGCATATGTGAGTGGTCTGCGTACAAGACACCAAACTTCAATTCTTTGATCACCTTAGGAACACTGTCAATGACCTGGGCTTTGCCCAGGTCTACCTGCGCACCCTCTGGAGGCTGCATGGCCGTAGTCAAATGCGGAGCATGGCAGGGTGACTCAAGGTGATGCGATCGGCAAGGCGAACGTCAGTCGCCAGTAACACAATTCTGGGCTCGAAGAGGAAGTGAGCGGGACCCAGGGTAGAATTCAATTCAAGTCAAGGTCACAGAACCTCCGCGATCAGACAAGATTCGGAATTTCCTAGAGATGAGCGGCGGAAGAAGTTGTCGGACCCCCGCCATACATGGAACACTTTTTTTCTGCCGGTGGAGCTCTCACCGCTACCACAAGCAGCAAGCAGCTAATGTATGAACTCTTTGGACTAAACGAGCGGTTTTTTGCATTGGCCACTCCCAAGGTCTGTACTGGGCTACTACAATCCTAACCAACATTGTCTTCAAAGATAATTGTGACATATGATAATATACATTTTGTTCTTAATTTACATTATTTTGCTAAAAATGCCTGGAAGGCCTTGTGCTCAATAACCACGTTTCCAACAGCCCGCAGCTTCTTGCGACCTTCCTTTTGCTTCTCAAGCAGCTTTCGTCGGCGGCTGACATCACTGGCATGCAATTTCGCCAGCACATCCTTGCGGTATGGTTTGATGGTCTCACGGGCAATGATTTTCTTGCCGACGGCGGCTTGGATGATGATCTCGAAAAGTTGCCTGTCGACGTGCTCCTTGAATTTGGTGACCCACAGTCTTCCTTGTCGATTCACCTGACTCAAATGCATGATTCGCGCCACCGCATCAACGGGTTCTTTGTTGACGAGGAGTTGAAGCCGGACAATATTGCCCGCTCGCCATGCAGATTCCTCGTAGTCCAAACTGGCATATCCTTTGGTGCCTCCTTTCAGCTTCCCGAAGAAGTCATCAACCAGGTGTGCCAGTGGTATCTGGTATTTCATGATGACCTGTGTAGATGTGAAATACTCGATGCTCTGTTGTTCGCCACGGTTGGCCTCGCAAAGCTCAATGACCTTGCCCAGATATTCTTCTGGGAATGTCAGGGTAGCCAGCACGTACGGCTCTTGGACTTCTGCCACCTTGAGACGTGCGCCCTCATCGTCAGGGAACTTGGCAGGGTTTGTGATAATGTCCTCAGTACCATCTCGGTATATGACTTTGACGGGAACGGAGGGTGGTGTGATGATGATGCTAGCGCCGTGCTCCTGTCGCAAACGATCTTCAAAAACAGAGCAGTGAAGGGTTCCCAAGAAACCCATACGGAAACCGGCGCCCAATGCATCCGAAGATTCTTTCTGCACTGTGATACTTCGATCGTTAAGGATCAGCTGATTGACACTGTCCTCCAAATGCTCGAAATGGTCCGCATTGACAGGGTATACTGCCACGAACACCATGGACTTTGGCTCTTCAAATCCAGGAAGTGGCTCAACCAGCTTTTCAGAGCCGACTCGAGTAAATGTGTCACCGATCTTGGCTTCCTTACTCCGTTTCATGCCTGGGTTGAAGTAGATATACCCAACTTGACCTGCACGGAGAACGGTCTGCGCGGTCTCGGTTGGATACATGATTCCAACCTCACCGACGTAGTATTTGAGTCCAGTGACAAAAGATATCAGTTGTTGGCCTGCGCGCACTTCGCCATCGAAGACACGAACGAGCAGGATCACACCTTTGTAGGCGTCATACCAGGAATCCACAAGTAGCATACGGAGAGGTTTCTGTGAATCACCGATAGGTCTAGTATGGTCAGTAAATGTAGTTTATGAGATGGCCAATTGGTAAACTCACGCAGGAATCTTCTCCACTACTGTTGGTAGCACGGCTGGGATATTCAATCCGGTCTTCGCCGAGACCATGACTGCGTTATCTGTATCAATCTCGAAGGTGGATCGCATCTGTTCCAAAGCCCGCTCTGGATCGGATGAAGGCAAATCGACCTTGTTGAGGATTGGAATCAATTCAAGACCCTGGGCAAATGCCAAGTAGAAATTGGCAACTGTCTGCGCCTGCACACCTTGACTGGCGTCAACCAGGAGGATAGCGCCACCGCAGCTGGCATAACTCCTGGATACCTCGGCGCGGAAATCCACATGGCCAGGGGTATCAACTAGATGTAGCAAGTAATCCTCGCCTTTATGATTGTAGATCATGGTACACGTCTGCGCTTTGACAGTGATTCCGCGTTCTCGTTCAACATCAAGTTTATCCAGCACTTGCTTGTTTGTTCCAGGTTTTATGGTGCCCGTGAATTCGAGCAATCGATCGGAAAGTGTGCTTTTGCCGTGGTCAACATGTGCGACGATGCAAAAGTTGCGGAAACGTTCGATTGGGATCGCGAGGATTCGGGCCTCGAGATCGGCATCCGGTTTGATGGGAATGACTTTGGAACGCGCATGATATATTGTACTTGTCGAGAAAGCCCGATTAAAGCTATGTGAAAAGGCAGTTGGTCGGAGGTGAGCGGCCTGGCATCTCGGCGCTGCGCTCAGCCATCGGCCTAACTGCAGACATCCTCGCATTGGGACTTCCGCGGTGGCATAGAAGCTGACAGGATGCAAGGAAAGACGAGATTTCTCGGTACGATAAGGACTTTCAAAAGCTAGTCGCAGGGATCTCGTCACAATCTGCGGAGAAAAAACGGACGCGCGGGTCACCGCCTTCATTGATTGCTGCAGTGACTATCGACATAAACAAAGCACTCCCACTTCCATCTTCAGTTCTCGCCCATTCCACATCATGCCCGATCCCAAGGACAAGTCTAAGGTGCACAAGCTTTCCATCAAAGGTTTGTTGCTTCTTGCCTCGTGATATCGGTTGTACAAAGCTCATACCATTGCAGGATCGGCAAAGCTTGTGTCTGAATTCGTGAGTTACTTGCTTTTTATTACTCAATACCGTTCGAGTGCTAACGACTGCTAGTTTGAATATTCAATAAATTCTATCCTGTAAGTTTGGGTCCTTGGTCAGTTCAGGACACGAGCTCACTGCAATTGGTTTTAAGCTTCCAACGAGGAGTATATCCCCCCGAGGATTTCACAACGTGAGTATTGCTTCCCATGATTTCCACGGCATATGCAGTACGCTAATTAGTACCAGGATCAAGAAATATGGCCTCAATATGCTCGGTTCGTGAAACGTCCACCGCCCGATCCCAGCCCTCCTAACCTCAAGCAGTTTCCGCCGACGACCAGGTCAAAGCCTACATCAAGAAGATCATGTCACAATTGAAAGAATGGATGCAGGGTGGGAAGATCTCAAGACTTGTGGTAGTCATCACAAGCAAGGAGACTGGTGAACATGTGGAGCGATGGCAGTTTGATGTATGCTCTCGCCAATACCCCTCCTCCGAGTCAAATGCTAACCAAATTGCGCGGAATAGGTCGAGATATTTGGCAAGAAGTCCAAGAGCAAGAGCTCCCAAAAAGCTGGGGACAAGGAAAACAGTACCCCGGGGTAAGTCGATCGCCTAAGAACGCTGTTCGAGCGACCACTGACTTGGCATCACAGAGACGCGGAGTCCCAACCAGCTGAGCCTGTCGAGAAGACAGAAAAGCAAATTCAAGAGGAGATCCAGGCAATCTTCCGCCAGATCACTGCTTCGGTCACTTTCCTTCCCGTTCTAGATGGCGATTGCACCTTCAATGTCCTTGTCTACGCCGACGCCGATTCAGACGTCCCCGTTGAATGGGGCGACAGTGACGCCAAGGAAATCAAGAACGCCGAAAAGGTGCAATTGAGGAGCTTTAGCACAAACAACCACCGAGTGGGAACTCTGGTCAGCTACAGACTGGCGGATTGAGCTCGTGGTTTATCATTATGATCAGATACGAAGGATGTGGTATGGATTGGCGTTTTGGGACATAATCAAGCTCACTCTCGCAGTTTTGATTTTCGCGATCAATTCTGTCGGGCTCCATCATTTTTAGCATAAGACCATGGCAAATCCTCTCGCTTCGAGAACCATTCGTTGCGATCTTTTCCTCCATCATATCGAAGTAACTCCAGTACGACGTCCTCTAAATCCATGCTGGAGAACTCATCAACCATCTCAGGGAACCAGCCCCGTTTGGTTCGCTTGCTCCCCAGACATTCATTCACGCCGTAAAGATCCATTTTCCAAAGCCCAATGCCACTCAGAAGTTCACCGCGCACGAGACTCTCTGATGTTGTCACCTCCTCTGGTGGGTTCATGCCGATCACCGAGACTTTCTGTCCGTACACTTCTTGCCCAAGGTCAACAGGCAGAAGTCCCACAGCTGGAAAGTGACACTTCATGAATCGAGCCCGTTTGAACTCGTGGGTGACTACCGTGACTCGCTGCGGGTAGACCCCTGCATATTCTTTGAACCGAACCAGGGAAAACAGAACATTTTGATATGAGTCTGTTGCTCTATTTTCTGCAATCACCCGAGAAGGGTCAAATGGGATTCCTGAACAATCCTGAAAGTAGTTGTTGTCTTTTGCTAGATTCTATCGATGATGAGCGTTTCTCCCATGGGAAGTGGCACTGAAATGCTTACAAGGTACGATTGACCTTCGCTCAATCTAGTCCTGGGCTCCTTCGTAGGTCCGCTGTGTTAAATTAGTAGAGTTTTTTTGGGGGGGGTATAGGGCTCGTTCTATGTTCTTACCCAGAAAGAATTAACAGGCCATGAGGGTCATCTTCGAGGGCTTTAATACCAGCTTTGAGATGGTTGGTGAAAGTCGGCGTTTCACCTTTCTGAAAGGGTTCTATTACCCTGCATTTGATCAACTTGCTGCTTTTTGACCTGGAGCCTGTCTCCGATCCAACTGCAGAACTAACCATTCATCCTCCGAGGCACCGTGATTAGGGCCCCCACTATAGATGGCGTGGCAGCAGACAATAATGAGATGATTGCAATGAGCAAGGCTCTGAGCAGAAGAAACGGCCATATGTAGAGAATTGAATAAGTCTCATCGATGAGTTTTAGAACAATACAATGGGCGGATGAACGAACCACCTGAGGGTCGATGCCTCGGGCGTCTGGGGGGGCATTGCGCACAGATCCCGGGTCGTGCCCAGTTGGCAGAATTCTGTCAACGGCCCTAATGCCGGCTGTTAGGGTTACTCATATATATCCTCAATCAAGCACATATTGGAAAATTCCAAGTTGTAGTAGTGGAAATTTTAGCTCTAGAAATTGAATCCCTCAAATCATTGAATGATAGCAGGCGAAGGACCCCAAAGCATTGATATGGCATCAGAGTGAGGCAGTTGTCAATGTTACCACGCCGTCTGGCACATCGACCATCTCCAAGATAGACGGATCATCTTGAAATTCTTTGCTCCCAATGACTTCCTTCAGCACCATGTAGACACTCCGCTCAATAACTACGGCCAAAGGATCACCCACGTCTCTGGCACTCAGTACCTGAGCAAGATAGCGCAATGTAATTAATGCATTCTCGTCTTTGATAAGATCGAGTAGAGCAGGGATATAAGTCGGCTGAACAGCTGGCTCACTTCTTTGACCGTCCAAATTGAGGCTTTTTACCAGGGTCTCCCTGATTGGGTCCTCCAAAGCACACCATGCCCCTTCATAGAGAAAAGCTTTCTCGGCCGTAGTCACATTTCCCATACAAAGCAATCGAATCAAAGCGCGGTCTTCAAGCTTGTCTTCAACATGGTATACCCGCACGTTGTTATCTCGGAGTAGCTCTGCCCGTCGTATCAAGACCAGATCATACCCACTGCGAACAGTCAGATCACCGGCAATGATACCCTCGCATGCATCGTAGACATTGCGATGAGAATCAAAGATTGGATCGATGAGTTTTTTTTGCGCATGTCCAATCCATATGCCCCGCACCGCCGGCAATATTTATCAGTTGCTCCATGAAGCGGAGCCTGAAGCTGCGGCCATGGCCTTCCATTTTCAGCAAACCGGTTAAACAAGCCGGGACATTTTCCGCCTGTGCCAATTGGCCAAAGTTGAAAGTTGCACTGAGCTCGATACCACGAATAATATCGTCTCTGTCTTGATCGGGAAGCTCATCTAGCTTAGTGAGGAGGCCAGCTTTGCAAGCTTCAAATAGAATGGCATTGTGGTTAAGACAAGAGATATCCACCCCAGTCTGTGCGCAGCAATCCGATGCTAATTGCGGATCTTTCCCTAGATCGTTGAGGATGATTGATGTGATCAATGCGGCTAGGGATCTCCCGTTTGTAATAACTTGGGCATAATATTCCCGAATCCAATCAAAGGATGCTCTCGTCAACTGAGTTTCGCCCGGTTGTGAAGCAACAAAAGTCTCGTATTGGTCTGTGTGGATCCAGCGCAGGGCTAGGACTCCCACTAATGTGCGGTTGACTTCGTCGAAATCTTTCTTATACAAAATGTATGATGGAGACGGAGTGCTCGGAGGGTCCCATGGCCCTTCTCGGATAGAGTACGCCCGCCGCAGACGATCAATCTCTTGGGGAAACTCCTTGTGCACTAGATGTAGAAGCTCTTCGTTTGATCGAGCAAATAAAGAGTCCGGTGTTTCGCATGCTGCTATCAGGGATTGAGCTGTAGGCATGGTTGTAAACGTTGTGCACCATATGCATAAGCTGCGCCGGTGATGAGTCTAGGGGGAAGACCCTTTTGTCATTGGCTCGGAGCTTGCTGTTTACATGAGAATGACATGGGAATTGCGTCGAGGGAGAAAGGGAAGGGGGAAAAAAGATAAATCCTATGAAGGAATTGATAAGAAACTAATTGTACATTTCGGTCCCTTTAACAACAGGGCCATGACAGCTCCTAATATGACCCTCGCTGAATACATCCGCAAATGATCCACGGCGAGATGACAAGAAATGAAAACGCCTGTGCTCTCATGCAAAGGATTTCGCAAAATCAGAATGTGCCCAGCCCATGAAATGCATCAAACGCCAGCCAGAGAAGACTTCTGAGTTGTAACCCACATTCATGACCCAGTAAAACTAGAATGCCCAAGGCAAGAATGCTTAGATAAACAAGAGAAGAGTAATGAATACCAATGCAAAGAGCAGAAAAGGGTATTGCTCGGAAAGAAATCGTGCGACATTGGGTTTAAAGTGGATCGTGACGGTAAGTGCAGTTGTCGCCTTTGCGACACATGCCTTCGGCCCAGAATTTGCAGGCAACAAGTCCTACCTTGTACTATTTCAGAGTTAGTGAGTTCGTCCTCGAATGATAAGCCGCCAGGGTACTCACGGGCTTGTCGGTGCTCTTCGTTCGTTTCGACCGGCTCCACGCTGGGTCGAAATCGTCATAGTGACCGTTATCACGACCCCGCTTACGCTCTGGGTCATCGTAATCATAATTCTGCTGCGGGTAATGAGGAGCAGCGTGTTGCTGGTTCTGTCCGCCAAATTGCGAGAACATAGCGCCAAGGTTAGGGGCCATTGCTGGCGGGAATTGTTGCGGCTGAGTGAACGCAGCCGGTCCCTGCATTTGTTTCATGACATTCAAAATTGCGTTGAAGTCAATTCCTTGGGGCTGGGGTGCGGCAACTGGTGCAGCTTGTGGAATAGTTGGCATCTGAGGCGGTGCCTGTGGTTGTTGCTGTCGGAACATGTTGATCGTCTTTTCCAGATCGGGTTGGGCTGGCTGTGGTGGGGGAGGCGGAGCTGGTGGTTGGCCTGCCGCACCACCCTGGATAATCTTCAGCAGGTTGGTGATATCGATACCATTTCCTGCAGCGTTTGGTTGCTGCGGTTGCTGCGGAGCCGCCGGTTTGGGATTAATGAAGGCATAGTAGCGTTCTTGTCTAGCTTTAACGAGGTCGGGTAGTTCACCAAAGGGAACCACATCTGGAACAATCTCTTCGGGATCCGGGATTGGTGGTTCCTTTGGCGTATCAGGCATATCGGCAGGCGAAGTGTGGAAGACCATGAGTGTGGTGGCCTCTCGGTGATCTTGAGCTTCTTTCTCTGGGCTTGCTGGCACCAGTGGACCACCGCGCTTGATGAAGTTACCGTCCATGGGTGCTTCAAAGTCGTAGTCGATAGCTACAATTGTCAATTGGGCTTCGTTATCAGTTTTAAAAATGCACTTACTCGAGATTTGATAGTCGTCAGTGAACGCTTCCTCACGAATGCCTCCCAGATCTTCTTCTTCGAGTTCATCTAGATCTTTGTGCAGCTTGAGAACACTGCCCTCGCCCTTCACATCTCCCAAGCTGCGCATTGACCCATCGCCAGGTCCTAATTCTTCATCGGGATCATGAGTGAAGAGCCGAACTTCAGTGAGGTCATCGTCGGGTTTCCAAGTCACGCGTAGTTTGCGTCGCTCTTCCTTGCGCAATCGCTTAGTGCGTTCCTCTTCAGTCTCAGGGGGCTGGTCTTCAACGGGCTTAGGAGCTGGGGCTTCCTTTGGCTTGTTAAGATCCGCCATAAGGTCCCCGAATGAGAAAGATGGCTTCGGTGCCGAGCTCTTTTCCTTTTCACTGGCGGCGCTATGGATAGGTTAATGAATTGTAGTTTGGAATGATCTTTGCACGAAATACATACTTTGGTTTTGCGGCGGCAGCGGCAGCAGCCCGCTCTGCATTTGTGGTGCCAGGTCTTTTTGAGGCCGAGCTTAGAGTACCGAACAGACTTGATGGTTTGGGGGCGACAATGGTGGGTTTGGGGCGCATGGCGGTTGCACCAGGTAGCTTATTCATTTGAGCTCCCTTGTTCGACCCAGGCGCAACTTTGCCTGCATCCTTGGAATTGCCTACAACGGCCATTCGCTTCGGTCCGGATTGCAACCCGCCATCGACTTCTCGAGCTCGTTTCACGCCAGCGCTATCGGTTGGGACGCCCTTGGTCTGCTGGTCTTCCTTTGTAGCCTTGTCGTTCTCCATCTTGCGTTTTGTGGAAGCTGCGGCGTTGTCTAAAATCTTTTGTGTGAGATCTTTCACTTGTTGGCCGCCTTTCTTGATAAACTTGGGCAACAACTTGGAGAGATTTGTTTTCACCATCAAGTCTTCAGACAAGCTTGTGAACCGAGCAAAAAGCTGTTACATTGTTAAACGAGTCTTCAACGAGGTAGATGAGAATTGGCATACCTTAAGTAAATTGATGGTCAAAGTACCAGCAAAGTCGGTGGCTTGGAATCGATCCACCAAGAAAGAGTACAGAGCTGCCACCACCATGGGGTGCTCTCCCAGCCTACATGATATCAAGCATTAGTCACGTGAACAGCATGATTATGTCGAATGATGGAAATTCAAGTAAACAATCCCCCAGAAGATACCGCGCAGCTCCCTTTTCTAGATGGATGCTGGGCCTCATTTGGTTATCACACGTGACAAAGATATCAGAGAATCTTTATGAACCAGACCAATTCACTTTTTGGAATGCAATATCACGCACTGTGTCTGTGTTTGGAACACACATATTATAATCTGGCCTTGCCAGCCCGCAAACAGGATAACAACCCATATTTCGGTGATGGCAAGACCGTCTTATACGGCTCTAGCAGAATTTATGGGAAATTTTTTGTAGCTTCAAGCTTATACAGCTATCACGGCCATAGGATAAGGGGCAACGACAAGGGTAAGGGGAGGGGATACATACTTCTCAACAATATTAGGATGACCCATCTCCAACGTGGTGGTCGCGATTTTGTCCATCATTCGGCGTTGTGAGGTCACTTGCTCTTTGAGTTGGGCTGCCTTGACGTTATCGCCTTGGTTTTCTGCCACTTTCATGGCCTGGACTTGTTCCTTCCAGACATCTCTAAGTGATTTGACGAGATCTTTGTAGGCTACCAACGCAGTTTTCACCTTCTCGGGTCCTGGCCATTTGTTCCGTGGTGACCACACAGCCTGGACAGTGTCAAACTGTGCCGCTGCTTCGGGCTCTTTCGGGCGAAGCGGAGGGAGAGGTGACGGCTCATCGGGAGCTTCGATCTCAAGTTCTGATTCATCTGAGCTTTCACTCTCGGACCTAGAAGATGTTTGTTTTGCGATCTTTGCGCCCTTTGCTGTAGTCTTCTTTGTTTGACTTTTGGGTGCAGGCTTCTTGTTTGTTATCACAACCTGGGGTGTTGGCGAACCTGTAGGCATGTGTGCTGGATGGCCTGTCGACGATAGTGGATGTTGAACTTGAATACCATTCTGGTAGTAATCAAAAATTCTAATCACCGGAGAATTAGTTTCTGTACTGATGCCGACTTAAGATAGGACAAAGGCTTACTGTTGGCTTCCCGGTCTTTGGAAATCCTGTTCGATCCCCTGTATGAAATTGTTTTGCAGAGGCTGCTGTTGGCTGTAAGCCTGAGGGGAGTTTAGGAACTGAGGGTTTATCGTGACATTAGGGTCCGAGTCCGGGAAATCATTGGTTAAGTCGATGGTGTTCTGCTGTCTGGTGTTAGGTTGATGATCGAGATTGCCGTGTACGTGAATAACAACTTACCAGCATCTCAGAGGAGTAGCCTTGGGGCAACGGATAAGACGGAATCGATGATCGTGATTGCTGCTGCGGTCGTGGCTGCAGTCTCTGCTGGGTGTGTTGTTCGGGGAAGGAGTCGGAAAGGCTTGGTTGTTGCTGGAAGTAGTTTGTGGAGTAGGAGTATTGAGGGAATGCCGAGGATTCAGACGCATTCAACGGACGAGAATCGAAATTGATCTGGCCTTGCTGGAATTGCGAAGGGGGGATCTGGTACTGAGGTGATGCCCCGTAACCTCGTTGTGGGGCTTGTTGCAAAGAGTTTGTTTGCTGCCAGGGTTGGTGGAGGGAGGAGTAAACACCATGGCTCGGGTCTGGTCGAGGAGCAAGCTCTCTTGCTTGTTGTTGAAACACAGGATGATCCCAATCGATACCGAGCGAGGGTTGGTTTGAGCCGAGCTCGTGCTGCAGTGGAGGCTGCTGGAGCTGTTGGTCGGGGTCGGGGTACGAGGCTTCGAGGGTATTCCAGAATTCAGGGGGCATTGAACTGTGGTTATTGCCGGGCAAGCCCTGCATGGGGTTTTGAGCCGATTGCTCCATGTTGACCGCAGACAGGATGTCTGTCTCTCTAAGCTACTATGAATCCTCGCACAGTCACGTGCATGCAATGTTTATCGTGTTTACCGCTTTCCGTATTGGGTGAGTTGAGTGGGGCGGAGATCGGACGAAAGCTTTTCCCGCGGAATATGCACGAATGTGATTGGTCGTTTGTGTCACGTCACGGCAAAAAAGGAGTTGCTGGACTGGAAGAATTGATAAGGATTAGACACCAATTCACGTTGATACTGCTTAGGATCCGCAATAGATGCATATGAGTACTGCCGTACCTTAGGGTGAAACAGATTGCTTCTTCCGCGAAAACTTTTGTGGGGTTTACCAATGCCTTAGGCATCAACTTTCTTCTCCAGTACCAGCAAGTCACGGTGTCGTCCTTGGGCATGCAGCTTAATGACGAAAGCTCCGCAGTTGCGAATACAACGTGGAAGTATAGTAAGATGGCCCAGGATATTACCTCCAGTTCTCTCTTGTCCTTTCTGTGTGTCCTTGCGATCCTTGCAATCTTGGTTTTGTAACCTTTCCTCACTTTCTCCTTTCTTTTGGTGCCAGTTCCTGCAGAACTTTCGCTGTCCCTTTCTTAAGTTTTGTCTCAAGAGATGTCCTTTCGGAATCAGGTCAGAGATGAGTTCTCATACGAAGGGCCACTCTATAGCCATTCGCTTTACGAAGAAAAAGAAGAGGGGATTGGGGAAGGGGTTTGAAAGGGTTAGAGATGATGACTGAGGTTGGGTTGAGGTGAGAGGAACTTTTGAGCGGTTAGCCGATGGTACTGTATTGTACTGTAAACAATCGTGTTTAATGGTGAAACATTGTCTGATTGGTTTGGTATCTGGTAAATTACAACCCCTTTGTTTCACAGCAAACGGAAGATTCATGTGATTCTTGATGTTTGGCATGTTTGCATGGCTATGTCAGCATAGCTCAAGTCCGGGCGGGATGCCAGGTGGAGTGTGATGTAGCAAGAGCCGGCATCAACATCATAAGTACATCTGCTCATAACTCGGAGAGTTGCGCGCATACTCCAATTATCATTCTGCGCAACTCTACATAGTCTGGAGCTTCTTTCGTTTCCGAACCTCTTCCCGGTTTCTCTCAGCGTTGCCAACTTGTCATGGCCTCGCAACTCTTGTCCCTCCGGGACCGACAGGTCGGTAAGTGACCCAAAATGCGACCTGGAGATTGAATGTCACTTGCTCACTCATGAACAAAAGCTTCGATCCAGAAACTCCTCAATCTGAACCATGATTCACAACCTACCGATGACACAACCCTCGATCAGTCCACGGGAGGCGGTCTTATCTCGCATACCACCCCGATCCTGAACGAAGATGGCGATCCAATCTGGAAGGTGCTGGTATTCGACAAGATGGGCCGTGATGTTATCAGCAGTGTTCTGCGAGTCAATGATCTCCGCGCATGGGGAATTACAATTCACCTGTATAGTCCCCTTATTCCACACATCGCTTGGGGGCCGCAATGCTGACGAGAAGCTTTTGCCAGGAACCTGCACTCTCAAAGATACCCAATTCCAGATGTACCCGTCGTCTACTTCGTGGAGCCCACTCCCACCAACATTGAAGCTATCACTCACGACCTTTCCCACGGGCTCTACTCCCCAGCCTACGTGAACTTCTTATCATCCGTTCCCCGGCCACTACTGGAGGACTTCGCTTCTCAGATAGTCACCTCTGGCGCATCCGAGCATATTGCGCAAGTCTTCGATCAATATCTCAATTTCATCGTGGCAGAGCCAGATTTGTTCAGTTTAGGACTTGGAAACGATGCATACTACAAGATCAACAGCCCCAAGACAACCGATGAAGACTTGGATGCCATTGTTGACAGAGTAGTTGGTGGTCTGTTCAGTGTTAGTGTGACCATGGGTAAGTCCATTCTCCCCCTCAATACGGCAACAAAGTGTCTGACTTGGCAGGTACCATTCCAATTATTCGATGCCCCAAGGGCGGCGCGGCCGAACTGATTGCAACCAAATTGGACCGAAAATTGCGCGATCACATTCTCAATTCCAAGGACAACCTATTCTCCGGCAATCAAAAAGCTTTGCCGGGTGTACCATCAACACGGCCGGTTCTGATCATCATGGACCGAAACGTTGACCTGGTTCCCATGCTCTCCCATTCATGGACATATCAATCACTGGTGCAAGACGTTCTCGAGATGCGACTGAACCGTATCACTTTGGATGAAGATTCAACTAAAAAGTCTTACGACATTAACAGTAATGACTTCTTCTGGCAGCGCAACGCTGGAGCTCCGTTCCCTCAGGTCGCCGAGGACATTGATACGGAACTGACACGCTACAAGGAGGATGCAAATGACATCACCAAGAAGACCGGCGCTTCTTCTATCGAGGATCTTCAAAATGACACCAGCGCCTCTGCGCAGCATCTGAAGGCTGCCATCACACTTCTCCCTGAGCTGCGGGAACGTAAAGCTGTTCTCGATATGCACATGAACATCGCCACCGCACTACTCAAGGGTATTAAGGATCGGCAGCTGGATAATTTCTTCGAGACGGAGGAAACTATCACTAAACAATCAAAGACCCAGATATTAGAGCTGGTTCAAGACCCATCCAAGGGCAGTGAACCTCTGGATAAGTTGCGTTTGTTTGTTATTTGGTTCCTAAGCACCGAGACCGAACTCAGCCGCTCCGAGATGTCTCAATTCGAAGAAGCTCTGACCCAAGCTGGTGTTGCCGATATCTCTTCCCTCGCTTATGTTCGACAAGTGCGCGAGATCACTCGAATGACTATGATGACAACGGCCGCTCCCGAACAACAATCTTCCGATCTTTTCCGCGGATTCTCCTCGCTTTCGAACCGTTTGACGGATCGCATTACCTCAGGGTCTCTAGGTGCCAACTTTGACTCGCTGATCTCCGGTGTGAAGAACTTCCTCCCTGCGAACAAGGATCTCACCGTGACAAAGATCACCGAATCAATCATGGATCCCGCAGCGGCCTCCGGCTCTGCCATTGCAAAGACAGAGAACTATCTCTACTTTGACCCAAGGAGCGCCAACGCGCGTGGCGCCATGCCACCGGCCTCTGCATCACGAAACGCACAGTCCCCGGGAAGCGCAGGCCCCGGCACTGGCGCCAGCTTTGGACAGCGCCGTCAGGCCTTCAGCGAGGCGATTGTCTTTACCGTTGGTGGTGGAAGTATGGATGAGTATGGCAACTTGCAAGACTGGGTTCGCCGAACAAACGGCGAGGCTGGTACAGAGGGCGCGCCGGCTCAGCGGGCAACTCCTGGACACCGCCGACGGGTTGTCTACGGCAGTACTGATCTCATGAACGCCACTGAATTCATTTCGGACTCATTGGCGCCATTGGGTCGGGACAGTTAAGTGTAATTGTGACAGGGCGAGGCACAAGTCGACATCAGCGTGACTAGGACTCCATGGCTGTATAACATGTAAGAGCCGAGGATCGACCACCCCTTCATGGTCACCAGGTTTCAAATTGAGAGAGTATGATACCAACAGATATTCTGAGGCACACTTTGCAACAAAGATACTTATTAATAGAACCAAAATTGACCTTCGGGGATATATTTGAAGGTGTGACCGGAAATATTGCGGAAAACGCCATCAACAACCTTAAACTTGAAAACACTGACATGCCCTAAGTAGCCCCTCGGGGCCAGCAACTCAATCGAACTGTGCAGTCGGATACGGGATAGTCCACGGGTGTCGTCAGCATTGAAATGTCACCAAAATTCGAAGGTTCCTGGAAGGTCCCCACTGCCCAGGTGCCCTTGCCCTTTCCAGCTAGCCCTGGAGTACGTAGTACCATTATTGTGCTTGAACCGACATCTGGGCGTATTTTGAATGTCCACTCAAGACTATTTTCGACGTCTTGTACGCTCAACACCCTATACATCCTAGCCACGACCTGGGTAATTAGGAAATTCTCCACCAACCCTGTGATGGAAATTGCCAAGTTACAGGAATTCCACCTCAGCTTCAGACTCGGCAAAAATGTGGCCCCGGAAATAAGGATTCGCGGCTCATATCGGAACTTCAATGGCCGAAATCTTTCAGCCTTGTGGTATCTGGGGCTCCAGCGAGTGACTAGCGCATGTGGAGCGACGTTTCCCACTTTCGAGTACGGAGTAAACGAGTAAAATAACTGCAATAATTCTTCTAATCGTCGACGCCACAAGATAACATACTGAACTAGTCTGGAAATCGTCAGCTTCAAATTACAATACCATGTAGTCGACACGGACATAATCACGGTGAACACACAGAGCCGAGGAGCGGGGCCAAGGAGGCTCTAAGGAAATCTCAGACGGTGATTGGTGCAGAGACGCCCGGTAGGGCACTTAGTCGGTCCAAACTCACAAATCTCACCGACACACCTGCGGGCACTCAAGCTGACGCTGGTTTTCTCGTGTTTCCAAGTGGAGTTGACATGTCAGTTCATTGGCCGAGTTTCTCCTCGGGCGTTCCATCGTCCTTAAATGGCATCATTGTCGTGTGGGTCTGCGATTTGGTTGGTTGCCCTACAGGGCCACGATGATCAGTGGGAAACAGAATGAGGGGACATAAATAAGGCCCCCAATTCCTCAGGCTATTACTCTTTTTTTCTCTCGACACAGTCTATTTGCTTCATCCTTTGATAGTAATGCACTCTCAGTCTTATCCCCAGAGGTCACTCTCCCAAACTTCAACTTCCTCCTCACGCTCCAACCAATCCAAGAAGTCCTCCAGACTCCCTAGCAAACTGTCCTCGAAGATCTTTCGCTCCAAATCTCCAGCTCCAATCGATATTCCCAAGACCCGGACCGCAAATATTCCACGGAGCAATCCCGAGGATTCATACTTCTCCCAAAGCTATACTTCCAACAGCCCTGCAGACATGTCTCCCACAATCTCGTCTCCCCAGTCCCCGAAATCGGACGACGAGGTCAAGCGTGCTTCTACGCCGACTCGAAAGACCAGTGGTGACTATAAACGCTACAGTGGAACCGTAAACCACTGCGGTCGGCACTCGAACGACTGGCTGTTTGGCGGCTTCAGTGTTCGCGAGTCCGTGCGCGATGGCCTCGAGAAGCTCCGTCACTCGGACAAGGAGGGCTGAATCTGTCGCTTCCGAACCCAAACTACCTCCAAATTTTGGATAGCCCCTCTTAAATCCAGTGCTTGATTTCCAACAAACCAAACCACACTGGGTCCTGCTTCGGCCCTTTTGGCGAGAATCAAGACCCGTCTTGCAAAGCCAACCGCTTTGATGTCCCAGTCTGGGACTCTTCCATCCGGATTTACCGTTATTGCATTCCAAAGCAGTTCGTGCAACAGCTCAAATCACAATTCGCGGTTTTTCCGCCGACCCTCGTGATATGCTGTCGATATCTCTTTGGTTGGCTTGCTATACTCAAGAGCCTCGTCACTTCTTTGACTACTTGCTTCCTTCGAATAGTCTTTATCTCTTGGCACTCTTTGGCAAATGTCTGTCTTGTCCATAATGAGATTATTGTCCTCGTATTTGAGTGACAACCCCGATGTTGAAAACACAACTGCACTGTCATATGTCTAGTACCTGAATATTCAATACAGACCATCCAACCAATAAGAATTTTCAATACTTTTTCTATGAAAATCGTTCCAGATCTACCCAAACGCTGATTTTTATGGTGACATGTAACATCCTTGAAATTTCCAATGTTTATCTGAAGGCTAAATCAAACTCCATAAAGCAAGATGTCCATGTGAACCTAAGATTAGAATAGCCTTGGTTTATTCAATTCAATGATCAATATTCCGATCAAATTAGCTTCCTTAAACATCCATCTTCTCACGAGCAGCGTTTTGCTCTTCTGCAACTACATCTGCAGGAATCCGGTCTGGTGTTGTATTCACAAGCATGATCATTGGGTATAATGCAGCTGCGAGGAGGGCGAATGTCACGCAGCTACAGTGTCTGTTAGTATTCAAATCTCAAATGTCCACTTGAGAAGTTAGTGTTTAGTAAACTTACAACCCGATCATAGGATCATTTGTTGTTTGTGTGTTCATTCCATATGCAATGGCTTGGCCAACAGCTTCAATGCATCTAAACGCAGCACCATTTCGGACATTTTCTATGAGACTGTTAGCTTCTAACCCGAGAATCCGCAGATCTGACCAAATTTTGGTTGCTAAAAACTCACCCTGTGCATCTGTCGCAAAAGATGATAAAAGCCAATACATGTATGACTGGGACAACGGCCCTGTGGTCTGCACGAAGAAGTATGGCAGGAAAGACGAAGCGTATAGCGAGTCATCCCAGTCGATAGCTCCGGGATCATTGCGTTTGAACTTGGTCTGCATGATGATAGACCAGATATAGACACCAACGTTTAGGATAACGACGGTATAAAGGCCAATTTGGGCGCGACGGCGCTGGCTCAAACCCTTCATGTCCAGTATAAATCCGAGGCCAAAGCAGCCGACGCTAGTTGAATGCAAGGTCAGTAAGCCTACTTTGTAGCTTCGAGTGGCTTCACTTACATGCAAAAGAATGGTGAAATGAGGGAGGAGAGAGCCCGGGCGCGAACGGTGAAGTAAATCCCAAGATAGGTGCTCCATGTGCCACTATTGAAGTCGTCAGAAATTTTGCTTATCTTTTGTAGTATATTACTTTTGATGGCATGACTCACGAGTAGAAGAAAGACCAAAGTGCCCAGAGTGCAGAAAGCAGGATGAGCTTCGAGCTCATTGTCTTTACGATGCGCTTCATTTCCATCTTGGTCGAAAGAGTCTCCGAAGTGACGATTTTTGTGCCGTCGGAGCGGACAACGCGTTCAAAGGGAATAATCAACAATGCGAATGGTAGACTAGAAAATCGTGTAAGCAACCTCAGTAATCTTTCCGCGATGGTTTCCTTGTCGTTGGGCTACTCACGCAAGACACTCAATAATCACGAAAGCAAGATAAGTATCGGAAGTGACTCCGCCGCTTACACCTTTCTCGTAATTCTTGGACAGACTATACAGATTGGACTGTCAGTTGGAGTTCCCAAAATTGTTGTAACCCCCTATCGACGTTTTACTCACTTGATTGCACCACCAACCAGCTGTCCAAGATTTCGCGAGACAATCCACAGAGCAAGATACTTCCCACGAGCACCAGAGGGTGCAAGCGTCATGATAGCACCGGCTTCGGCGACATACCAGCAAGCAGTTCCAATGCCACTGATAGCACCACTTAGAATCAAATACTGAAAAATGAAAAATTGATCGTTAGATGCATACTCTGAAGCCCATTTCAATTCAAAGACTGATTTTCACGACTCACCCATTCGTTTCCAAACTTGCTGTTGCAGTAGTATGCCGAGCCCTGAATGGGGAACGACATCGACCCAAGAACGAGTGCCCATTTGATGCCAATTTTGTTCACAAGGGGACCGCCCAGGCAACAGACTAAATTGTAATTCTAAAGTCAGCTTTTAAGCTCCTAGGATCTCAATGTAGATCATTGGCACGTACCAATTGCGATCAAGGCATACGTGATTGCATTCGTGATATTCGATACCCGTGGAGAGGCAAGACCACCACCACCGAGACCTTCGAAGAGTTAGCGACACATGCCCACTGATTTTCAAATCTGAGGCTTGGATTATTCCTCTTACCAGTGATTGCATCGGCCATTGCAGGACCGCAAAATGCCTGGATACTCAAAAGCATCATCTGTGTTAAACTGTGTTGCCATACTCGCCTCCACAGAGGCACAGTAGCCTGATAATGCTCCACATCGATCACTGCGCCGTGGGTAATATCCACGTTTGAATGAGGATCAGAGCTGACATTTTGCAGGTCTATTTCGGAAGACTTTTTGTCGGTCATGGTGTCAAGTTGGCAACAATGCAACCAGTCGCGTAAGAGTTGATCCAAATAACCACCCAAAGAAAGGATGGAACCATCTGATTTATACAATGCGGGCTTATCTCTCTGATCCAGATGGGGGGATCTCCCCCGCTCTGACTCCGGGGGGTCAGTCTAGCGCCGTTGGGGTCATTTCAGAGCCCATGAAGGTCCACGCGAGAAACATGAGCAATTAGTTCTCCCTCATATCGGCAAAAATCATGTTTATCAGCATATGATACCGGGACAAAGGGCCGGGGTCGGCTACATAAAAGACTATCTGTTTATCGAATTTTGGTGGGTCAATTCCCCGCGTTTTGGTGCATCTATATCTTCGGCGTTTCTTCGGTGTGGAAGGTCCACGCGTTGAAATGGCGTGCCTCAAAGCTCCGGTCGCCGATACCCTTTCGTCCACCAATCGCGTGAATCAGGCCATCAGGAAAACAGATAAAGGTGTCTTACCAAGTGCATTTGTCGCCCTCTATTCTTAATTTCTTTATCAAGGCGTCTTTTGGAATTGAGCGGCTCATCCTCTCCAACTCACACCGTCTTTCCTCTCACTCACACACCCCATATCGGTCGCAAAAACCACAACCATGGTGTCGTCACGCGCAACCACTAAAGTTATCGTTGTTGGAGGAGGAGGTACCATGGGATCTTCAACAGCACTGCACCTGATACGAGCCGGATATACCCCCTCAAACATTACGGTGCTCGATGTGTATCCAATCCCCTCTGCGCAATCCGCAGGGTATGATCTCAACAAGATAATGGGGATCCGGCTACGCAACCGACCGGATCTGCAACTTTCACTTGAGGCTCTGGATATGTGGACCAATGATCCACTGTTTAAGCCTTTCTTCCACAAGGTCGGAATGGTACGTTTAAGTTCAATTCCACATTTTTTTTATATGGACTTAGAGATTAACACGACTAGATTGATTGCTCATCATCGGACGACGGGATCGCAAACCTCAAGCGGAAATACCAATCACTTATCGATGCGAACATTGGCTTGGAGAAGACGAATTGGTTGTTGGAGACCGGGGAGATCCTAGAAAAAGTCCCGGCGTTTACAAAAGACCAAGTTCAAGTAAGTGATATCAACAAATGATGCTTTGGGAAATTTTGCTTATGAAAATTCTATCTCAGGGGTGGAAAGGCTTGTTTTGTGGTGATGGTGGCTGGCTTGCTGCAGCCAAGGCCATCAATGCGATTGGACAATTTCTTAAAGATCAAGGAGTTAATTTCGGGTTTGGCAAGTGAGTGAAGATCCCTCCAAGCTCGGATACTATCAATCTTATGGATTGACTCACATAATGCGTTGTAGGTCCGGTACCTTCAAGCAACCACTTTTTGCTGCCGACGGAAGTACTGTGAATGGCATTGAGACGATTGATGGAACCAAATATTATGCCGACAAGGTCGTTATTGCTGCCGGTGCCTGGACTTCCACCTTAGTAGATTTGGAGGATCAGTGTGTTTCAAAGGTATGTTTGAAGCTTTGGCTCAGATCAAAGAGTTCGCAAATCCAGCTCGACCTACTCTTGCTGATCAAAAATTTACCTAGGCCTGGGTATTTGCTCACATTCAACTTACACCGGAAGAAGTGGAAAAGTACAAGAACATTCCAGTAGTGTACGATGGGGAATATGGCTTCTTCTTTGAGCCTAACGAGTAAGTCACCTCCGTCGAAACCCCCTTCAATGAGCCTTCCCAGATGACAGTGGCTAATGAATATCTACAGACATGGAGTAATCAAAGTGTGCGATGAATTCCCCGGGTTTTCTCGCTTCAAGCAACACCAGCCTTATGGTGCATCTTCTCCCAAGATGATCTCTGTCCCTCGCTCCCACGCGAAGCATCCTACAGATACCTACCCAGATGCCTCTGAGGAAACGATTCGAAAGGCAATTGCCAGGTTCTTGCCTCAATTCAAGGACAAGGTGCTCTTCAATCGGTCCATGTGCTGGTGCACCGATACCGCCGATGCCAATTTACTGATCTGCGAGCACCCGAAGTGGAAAAACCTCATTCTAGCCACGGGTGACAGTGGGTAAGTCGACATCGGATCAGGCCATAGTTTGATACCAGCTTGCTAACTTTCCGATTTGCAGTCATAGCTTTAAGCTTTTACCAAACATTGGCAAGCACGTTGTTGAGCTCATAGAGGGCGCTCTCCCGTCAGAATTGGCTGATGCGTGGGCTTGGAGACCTGGTGGTGATGCTCTGAAGTCTCGACGCGGGGCTCCTGCAAAAGATCTTTCTGATATGCCTGGCTGGAGACATGATGCGAAGATATAAGGTATTTAGCTTTTGATTAGGTATAGCTAAACCCCTGGGTATGCGCACGAGTACCAGGAAGAACCCTGGTTGGTCCATCCGATCCATGGATATACAACCTCGGAACATATGTTTTATAACGTAACCTTGGAAGAAGACACCATACCTGGCCATGATTCTAGGTAATTTATTGATGAATATATCTTCAATTGCTCTTCAATAAATGAATTCCAAGGCCCTGGGGGGATTTCCCAAGGTTGCATTTCCACAATGAACAATTCCAGATCAAAGATAATTTTGAGAACGAGCCTAGTAGTGTTGGGGCTTTGCTTTTGCTTATGTTGACAAATATGGCTTCATCTTTCATCAACCAGCCAAGTGGCCGAGCAGTAACTCAGCCATCTTATCTTCCTTGGTCTAGTGGTGATGATTTCCGCTTGTCATTAACACTGATAAGCGCGGGAGACCGGGGTTCGATTCCCCGAGGGAGAGATTTCTTTTTTGGTCATTGTTTTTTTTGCATGACAACATCTCAAGAATTTTCTACCTATTTAAAGTGGCACAAATAAAGTGGGAATCGTGGGTGATATCTTTCGGGGTGGGAAGTGAGTGTGAGTCGGTTCACGCAGTATAATGCACACTTCTGTGCCAGACATGTACTCCGCACGTCACGCAGTGATCAAGAGTTGTTCGTTGTACACCAGGTCAGATGTGTCGTGCTACTTCATATCTGGATATGCACCTGAAGGTACGGAGTACCAAATTAAACCTCGCATGCCCCTGACTTCAGGGACTCACTCAATCTAGGCCGGTGATTGATGGCTCACCTCCGCACTTCGGCCAAAAACAGCCAATGACGTCAATTCCCCACACTCTGTCAACACGGGCGCGGACGACCTGCGGCAAGCAAGCAATACCAAGCTTTCGTCCCTTGTCCATCTCAACCCCAAAGAATCCATAGAGAATGAGCAATGGATCGGAAATGCCCGGGGAGTTCGATGATGACAGCTACGACATGACTCAGAGCCCGGAGGAGGCCGGCCCCCTCGCAACGCTGAGCCCGAGACTACCCAACACTCAATGGAAGGCTTCGTCTCGGACAGTGGAAGAGACGCTAGCTCAGGGACTGTCAAATGAGGATCTCTGGATGCTGATCCGGCGGTTCGATAAGGTGAGTGCCGGTTCCAGTCCGAAGAGCAGTGCTGACATGTGACCAGCAAATCTACCATGTGAAAGCAGTCCAAGACGCAAAGGAGACGATTGACCTGAATCGCACGGAAAATGAACAATTTCCACCGGAGAAGCTGCGCATGACCCTGGAGCGGTTTTACACATCTGTGGTTGTTGGAGTCACCGAGTTTTTCCGGCATATCACTCGCTTGCGATCATGGAAGGAACCTGTCCGTACGACCATGTTCTGTGGTGTATGTTGGCTGGCTCAACTCAATGAGGTACCTAGAGAGCTGACTGTCTGCAGGGATACTTTGTTGCTTGGGCCATCGATCTTCTGATACCGACGGTGTTGGGACTCATTGTCGCATTGATAATGGTTCCTCCCGTCCGAGCATTGCTATTCCCTGGTCTATTAAAGGGAGACAAAACAGATGGTGGTAATGGTAGCCCGACTGGGCAACCCGAATCCCAGGACAGCCTCACTGGTGCTCCGGAGAACCACAAGGGTGAAGCCGCTGAGCAAGAGGCCAAGAACTTTGTTGACAGCTTCGCCACTGTTGCAATGGAAAGTGCAGCCGCCAAATATGGCCAGACTGTGACCGAGGACGAGCCGGACAGACCTGCAATCACTGACGGCCTGGAAGCTGCCGAGGCTGCGGCGGAAAACCGCTCGGATGATGTTCCTGAAGACAAGACCAAAAAGCCAATGAAGAAGAAAGTCTCACATGCGACAGACCAGGTTATGCGTATCTTGAGCGATATCACTGACATATATGAGAAGTTTGCCAAGTGAGTTTATCTTGAAGAACAGAGCGTTACGAGATCTCTAACACGTAGCAGCTTGCTATCTCCCACGCCACCTTTCTTTTTGGTTACATCTAGATTGAGACTTGCAAGTATATTTACATTGATCTCTGTGGTTGTGCCTTTCACGTCTAGCTATTGGATCATCAAGTTCGTTGGATTTGGAGTTGGACTTGGTTTCTTTGGTGATCCAATCTTCGGCTTTACACTGGACCTACTCAACACCAAGATTCCAAATTGGAAGGATCATATGGATCTACAGAAGTATGTGGAGTCCCCTCATAGCATGCACTGATTTCTAACAAAGATATAGGACGCTTCTGTCCGGCGTGCCCACAAATGCACAATTGACTTTGACTCTCTTGCGCATCGGCGAGATCAACTCCTCACCACTGCCACCTGCCCCGGTATCTGATGATAACGGGCCAGCATGGCCCATTCGGCGCAAAAAGTCACAAGCGGCGAGCTCCACTGACCTCACTAAACAGGGTACGGGTTCATCCGTGGACCTCCAATCCACAACTTCAAATGTTTCCCTTCCAGAAACAAAGCCGAAAAAGAAATTCATAGTCAAACTTTTCAAGTTCTTCCGTCGGACAATCGCAACAGCGATAAAGGGCCATATTGCTATTGACCGAGCAATGGCGATTGCAGGGTCTGCGCATACCAAGAACCTGATTGGAATGTTGCAAAATCGCACATTTGGTTCAACAACCTTTGGACCTCTGAAGTTCGATGCGAAGTACGAGCGCAAGAGAGGTGCAGTGGTCATTGACTCGTCAAAGGAGCCTCCCCTCTTGTACTTCACCACTTATCAGTCCTCTGGGCTAGATGATCTACGCATCGAAAGTCGGAAGAAGGGCTCTGTTCTTTTCCAGATCCCGGTTACCGATATTAAGGAGCTGAAGAAGACCGAGGGTCTAGGCTGGAAGGGAAAGCTCATCGTGGAGTTGACTGCTGGAAGCAAGGAGGCAGCCGATGGACTGGTGATTGCTGGCGATGAACTGGGCCAATCATATCATCTTACTGGCATGAGGTCACGGAATCAGCTGTTTAATAGGCTGGTCGCTATTGATGCACAGTTCTGGGAAAGTCGTTAAAACGACATCGAGAGCAATTTGGGAAAGAGATGTATAGCCCGAAAATCTCAGTCAGACGATACATAGACAAACTCCCTGATCGAGATCACATGCATGTCATCAACCAAATAAGTCTTTACAAGCCTGAGTGCCGCGCTCACGCGCGGCCAAAAAGACGATCGAAGAGAGCTATCACCACCTTCAGGACCTCTTTTTAACTGTCTTTTTGGCTGTGTTTTTGGCTGTCTCTCCAACTAATCGTCGAGTAATTGTGATTAGTCTAGTAAAGGAAGTCTTGGCTAAGCCGTGATCACTGAATTAATTATTGTTGATATGATGTTGATTGCAATTACTCTAGCTTTCTAAGCAAATTTAGGCAACTGCTGCCCTTTTAAAACAGCGAGAAATCCATCCCTGTCTACGAACATAATGGAAATTAGCTTTGGCCATAACGGAAGCCTTGATTTCGAAGCCTTGTGCTTGACTCACCTTCGCTAGCTTGAAATGATATCGAGAAAGCCGCTTCTTTATTCTTGATGTTCGGGTTCTTGGGACCACGGGCCATCAAATTCATCATGTCTAGTGTCTTACCGCGCAAATATGGTGACCGCGGAAGGATCACACGGGTCTTTTCTTTCGAGGTGTCGTTAAATGCCGCAGGGACAGCCATAGTAAGCCATTTATCCGAGACATTGCCGCCCAATCGAGCCGCAAGTTGGAATGTTGACCCCCGGCGCCATAATTGAAGCTCAACGCCACCTTTGCCCAGCTTTTGAAAGCCGAGTAGGGTGTTGGTTTTTGTAGACAAAGCCTGAACATGCCGAGAATAGAGAAGTTCATACAAGGGAGAAAGGGAGCTGAGGAATGAGCGGACCGCAACATCGGTGCCAAACCCAATTGTCGTCTGCTTGAACTTCTTATCGCAATGTGAGAAGGTGGCGGGAGTTTCGGGTTGATAAAGCTGGTCCACATGGGTGGAGATGTAGTCTGTGTAGTAAATCTGAGGGAAGCAGATGCTGTTCGTGGTGTGGTCGTACGTATAGTCGGTGTCACGATAGACAAAGTGCAGGTCTGAATATTGCCACGAATTTCGATTGCGGAAAACCGATATGGCCTTGTATTGTTTGTGCTCTATACCGGCATCAACCACATCGTAGACCAGACCAGAGCTACTGGGCTGTGACCAAGAAAAGCCAGGCCGGAAGTTCATCTCGAGAATTGCTCTCCCAAATTCCTCTGCCAGTTCCTTCCTGGAAAATTGCAGTCCAATGCCTAGGTTTGGCGCGGTGGCATCGTACACGTAAGAATGCAGTGTGTTGTAATTGCCATCGGTTTTATCTGATCGTGCCTGGGATGTGTCGGACCATTGCAGAAGAACTTGACGTGAGAGATCATCGCGCTTAATGAGAACTTCGCTGAGCGGCATGAAGAGCTCGATGGTCTTCGGTGCTTTTTCTGCAACAGAGGAGCTGATCACCATACGACGAATGTTTCGCCAAACCTCTCCAAAAGATCGCTCCAGGATGCGAACCTCACAGGACTTAAACATGACGGGCGGATTCATCGATTTCATTGCCGGTGTGTTGAGCTGCTCAAATACCTCTACAGAGCTTTTGAAGATGACAGTTTCGGTGAAGTTGGTGGAATCCATAGGCTCCCGTTGTACAACAGCGTCAAAGTAATCCTTTGAGATATTGATGCAGTGGTTGAGATCTGCTTCAAATTGAAATGTGATTAACACACCCATTTCATCAAACTTGAACGGTATTGGCTCCAACATTCTGGGTCCCGGAAAGCCAGCCAAGGCGGAGTTGGATAGTTGTATGAGGGGTGGAAGGTCCTCCAATGTGACTGCATAGAATGTTAGATCCGGAAAACACACAATGAGGGCCAATGCCACTTACAATCCCTTTCAAGGCACAAAGTACCGCTTTGGTTGCAAAGAACAATCTTTGGCTCACTTCCACCTTCGCGTGTTATGATGAGCAGCATATAGGGTGCACCTTTCGTACGCATGCGAGATTTCTTGCCTCCAATTCCTGCATTGACAAATGTGCGAAAAAGAACATTTTCATGCTCATTGCCTGCATCCTCGAGATCCACGGCGACCCATCGTAGATTCTCCAGACCCACATCTAGATCCATACCATCATCTGGGGTCTCTTCGGGCTGCATGTGCTCCCAAATTTCCGTATTTTGAGCCTGCAAACTGGATAATTCTGGAATATCAATGGATGTGTACTGAGAGAGCTCTTCATTGATGCTCTACGTCAAGTCAGTAAGTCTAACCAGGTTGGGGCGTATAGAACATACTTCGGAAAGTTCAACGATGCATTTGCGGTCCTCATCAGGCAAAGGTGCGGGTGATGCCGCCTCTGCTAACACAATATCATACAGCACATATGAGGCCTTGAGGATATCCAGGTAAGCTTGATTGCCGTTAGATCGCGGTTCAGTCGATGGAGTTAGGCTGCCCCTGGCACTAGAATAAGTGTGTCTGTTGCAGTTTGCGAGAGTCGCACGCGCCTTTCATATATCGTCAGCGTAGCGTAGTCATGGCCATGCGAGATTCGAACCTTCAATAGCCACCACGTAGCAACGCAAAGCCAGTCTTTTGCGATCAGTCTTCTGATTTGCATCTCAAATCTCACTGAAGCTTCGAAAAGTTTCAATATCTCAGGAGGTGGTCGATGCAATTGGTTTTGTGATTCAACGCGAATGGGACGGGAAATTTGCTCCTGGTGACGGACATGGTGCAGATGCTGCATGGCGGAGGTTACAGCTTCCGTCACCCGAGGATGGCCATCGTAATTGTAGCCAATGTCGCCACCATAGCTTGTGACCTGTTTTTCATCCATGTAGCCATAATTGGACCATGCCTCGCGATCGAGTGTCCGCTCGTCAATGGAGCCACCCAAAAGAAGCTGCTCGCTGCGTGCTCGAGGGTGGTTGGAACCCTGTGTCATGAGCATGGGTGACGTATTCAAAGACAACCATGATGTCGGACAAGCTTCATTGCATAATGATGCTTCGGATCCAGTGATGGCCGACTCGGAGGAGGTGGAGGTGTGCTTGAATTTGCTTTCACTGCCAATCGAGACTCTGTGACCGTCCAGCTCAGCAATTTTAGTGCGAACTTGCTGTGTATCAACGTGTTCATCGTTGGCTGGTAATTCCACCGCATCGGGGGTCATTGGTGAGACTATAGAGTCGGTTTCTCGGACAGGGGATGGTTCCGTGCTGAAAACGATCTGTGCGTCGTCTCTGATTGCGATAGCCATAGACTTTTCTATTCGATCGAGAGAAGCACTGACATTATAAGCGTACGAAAGAACATCGGAAAGGGGGGAGTATACTTACTTTCCAATAGAGCTTATACACAGGCTCAGGTTGCAAGTGTGGATCATGATCTTGGATCTGATATCCTCAACGTGGGTCCGTTGGGTGACCCATTTGATTCTTTTCCAGAGATTGTGTCCATCGCCCGAAGCAAGGCCTTGAAACCGAGCAAGAAGCTCTTTCAGCCCGTGAAGAGTTGTGAAGCAAGCGCCGAGGGAGCGTTGAAGAGTCTTTTTGCGATCTTCATCCATCTTTTCGAGTAATGAAAGATTGGAGCCCGACTCTCCGCCAAAGGTCCGTAAAGTTCCTTGCAATGAGCCGAGCTCAGTCACTAGCTTCTTGAAGCCATCAGGCCCATCCTTGCTAAGGATTAGGCATTGGTTGTGAAGGTCCCATGTAAGCTTCGCGAGAATGGGGATATCAACGGCGCCGAAACTGGAAGGCATGATTGGACAGGAACATCAGTCTTGACCAGTGCTCAACATCTACAGAGAAGGAGAAATTGCAATGACAGTGTCCCTCCAGGGCTCTTCCATCCTCATAAAAACAAACTGACCTCAGTGCTTTTCTAGTAGCTCACTATGGGGCATGTATAAATTTAGCAAAGCTATTGAAAAAAAGACCAAGATCGACAACAGCTCAGAAGAAGAAAACGTGAAAGAAACATACTTGAAGGAATGCCCGCCAAGCATTCCCAGCTAATCCGGGGTTTGAGATGGTTACACCCAACCGGCTTGGATGACTTGAGCCATTCAAATCATATTGCATCTTTAGCCACTGAGAAGCAATTGGTCAGGCTAACTTGCCGCTATGTGTAATGGCATGGAATGCGAACATTGAGGGCGCAGGTTTCTTTGATCATTGCGCCACCAGGCTATGCATTCATGCGGGTAAACAAAGAAGCATTCAAATAGAGACATCCGGTTGGCCATTAGCAACATGACAACAAGCTGTGATTGATGCGATAAATCGAGCTGCATTTTATGTTGACGTGCTCCGTAATAGTTCGTAGTCCTAGGTTACCTGTGGTAGTAGGGAGCACATGGATCTCCCCTGCTAATGCTGCCTTGGTGCTTTATGGAAACACCAAGTAAACATGTCCCTCTCAAGTGTCATACTCCATCGCAATGACTCAAGGGCGGGCGTATGTACTCTCGAAGTCGGGCAAAGCAGAATCAGCAGGCCTATTTCACGAGAGTACTTCGTAGCGATGAGGGAGATGACAGTGGCTAGGCGGGGCATTCCTCCCACACAGGCACGCCCCGACGAACTATGATTATATAGCCAAGACAACGAAGCTTCACAGCAAGCAAAGATGCCAGGATGTGTAGAGTCGACCAAGCCAATACAGGATCTCGCATTGGGTGTTTTGTGAGTCGCCTGGCTATTTGGTCCCCGGATTGTTGTAGGCTCGGTCAAGTATATCGCTTAAAAAGCAGCCATCAAAAGATGAACTCATGCCCAAGATTCACTGGGCACCTTGTCCAACTGACTGAGATTTGAAGTATTTTTCAATATCGGATTGGCAAACTAAAAGGAAGCTGACCATGAAATTTACCAAACGTCTATGGATGCTATGCAAACAGTGTAAACATGAATATAGACACCTTAGGCGGCCCAAAATATTGATCTTACTATTTCGTTTGCTGCTCTTCAGTTCGTGTACTACCTACAAACACTTCTCAGTGCTAGGATGAGTCGCACTTAAAATCTACTCACACCCTCCTGAGCTCCTCTCCTTCTCCATCACGCATCGCCCTTCTCCTTCCCGAACCGCAACGCGATCGAGTCCTACAACTCCACACCCGCAACCATGGCATCCAACACTTCTTTTACGCTGGACGTCCCCACGGTCCTGAGCATTGTGGTCTCTCTTTCCTTGATGCCGGCTGCCCTGATCCTCAGCCGAAGCCTCATCCCGGCCAACAAGACTCGCGATCGTATCCTCTTTTTCTGGCACGCCTACGATGCCCTGACACATCTGTTGATTGAGGGCTCCTTTGCATACCACTGCTTTTTCAGCTACACCACTGTTGTCAACAACCCTGAAAAGGGACCTTACTGGTTCAACGACCCCACCCGCCTCTACGGCCCGAACCACGGCACTGGCCCAACTGCGCGACTCTGGCAGGAGTATGCCAAGGCAGACCTCCGCTGGGGAGGAACCGATACCGGGGTTGTCTCTCTCGAGCTGTTGACCGTCTTGATCGGAGGCCCGACCGCTACCTACATCTGCTACCTCCTCTGGCAGTCCAACACGAAACTCAAAGCCCAGTCCCGCGGCAGTGTCAAGGCAACATTGTGGTTCTTCTCGATTGCGCTAGCCACAGCAGAGCTATACGGTGGCTTCATGACCTTTGCACCAGAGTGGCTCACCGGAAGCACCGCGCTTGTTACCGAGGACCCAGTCTACCTCTGGTTGTATCTCGTCTTCTTCAATACACTCTGGGTGTGGATTCCATTGTGGGTCCTGTGGGAGGCATCCAAGGAGCTGCGCGCCGCTTTCGTGGGAGCTGAGACACAGGCTGCGCTCAAGAGCCAGTAATGCGCGAAGCTGCACATTTTCTTGCACATTTTTGGGACCAGTCACACCGTGGATCCCCTTTTGTACCATTGAAGTTAATTGACATGGTCTGTTTGTTCAACACGTCTTTCGGAGGTTCGGTCTGCGTCAAGAAGCCGGATGAGATTCTCCACTGGTGGGCCCACCCGTTCAGCAGCTTGGGGAGATCGCTTGGAAGGCTCGTTTTAACGACGGGAGGAAGCCGGAAATGAAATTCATTCAAGTCACATAGTTTTTCAATGAATATTAATCACCCCAGTACGGCTCAGTTGACGTCAAGTAGATTATGAAAAACTTGGAAAGTGTAAGGAGTACGGAGTGCAAGTAGCATACAAAAGTGTTTTGGCACATGATCGGCATGATGTAATCCCTCCGCATCCTCGGCAATCACATTCGTAGAACGTCCATCTTTGACTCTTACGCTTCCTAGGGTTTTATTGTTCTCTATCATGGATCTTGGTCGCTTGCACTCATAATATAATACTTGCAATTTACCCTGTCAAGAGAAGAGACTGAAGCGTTGGCTTCGTCTGAACCGCCATGGCGGAATACAAGTTGTCATACGAGTCTCAACTGGTACGTTACATACTACAGGTCATTTCGTTAGCACCGATTTTCTGGCGTCGCACGAGCTGATACGGAGTACGAGTATACGAGTAGGATGTTTACCACCCCTCTTATCGCTACGAAGCCCACGACCCTCGCGATTGGAAATCAGCAGCCCTTCGAGGCCCAGCCCTTCCAGCACTGGGGAACGCGACTGCTGGTGCTATCGGCGCAGCTATTTCCAATGTCGTTGTCTACCCCCTCAATGTTATTGTAGCCCGTCTACAGACTCAGAAACAAAAAGCCAGCGACGACCATGAGAAATCGGACGAGGAAGAAGAGTACACAAGCGTGCTTGATGCAGCCCGCAAAATATATGCACAGCAAGGAATATCCGGGTTCTACCCTGGTTTGGCACAGGATACTTGGAAGACGGTTGCAGACTCCTTCCTCTTCTTCCTCGCATACAGCGCCATACGCCAGAAGAGAATAGTCGCACGCGTTGGTGCGGAACGAGCAGCCAAGAGCAAGCATATCGTTCTCCCTGTACTCGATGAGCTTGCTGTTGGTATCCTAGCTGGCTCATTTGCAAAGCTGTTTACCACGCCACTGTCAAATATTGTGGCGCGCAAGCAAACCTCGGCGGCACGCAAAGAGGGAAATACCAAAGATCTATCAACAAGCGACATCGCAGCCCGGATTCGCTCTGAAAAGGGTCTTCTTGGGTTCTGGTCTGGATATTCGGCTACTTTGATTCTGACACTCAATCCTTCCATCACTTTCTTCCTCAATGAATTTCTCAAACGCACCCTCCTCCCCCGGTCCAAGCGCGACAAACCACCGCCATTCCTCACTTTCTTGCTCGCAGCCCTAAGCAAAGTCGCCGCGTCATCAATCACATACCCCGTTTCCCTTGCCAAAACTCGAGCGCAGGTCATGAGCAATTCCAAGTCTGGCTCTCTAGGCTCCGAGAAGACGGCATCAAGTACCCTTGCATCTTCACTCACTCCTGAGATTCTCTCCTCTATTCTCACAATATCACGCACAGATGGCATGAAAGGGCTATACGCAGGTTTGCAAGGTGAAATCCTGAAGGGTTTCTTTTCTCACGGCTTTACCATGCTGGCCAAAGATGCGGTCTATACCTCTATCATCAAGAGTTATTATGCCCTTCTCATGATTGCGCGTCGCTATCCTTCGCCCGAAGAACTGATTGAGCGCGCCCGTGAGCAAGCCGAAGAATTCTCCGAGGTGGCGCGCGAAGGGGCGCGCGACCTGGCAGAGCGAACTAAAGAAGGTGCCGAGGAGCTACTGAATGCGACTGCCGGCAATGTTGCAGTTGATATGACATCAAATTCTGCCGGTGTAGCTGATGCAGCGGAGTCTGCAAAAGATGGAATTGATGCTTCCTCTGGACTCAAAATTCCAGTCCCCTCGGTGCCTGATGAAGTCAACGAGACGGCCGAGCTGGTAGGGGACTACGTCGAGGACGAAGCGGCCGAATGGAAGAGCTTTTATCATTGGTTCTGGGAAAAAGATCGAGGCCCGCATCGGGATTGACCTTTTACTTGACGCCCGTTCTAGCCCGTTCATATTTGTTTTCTGATACTACCATTTCCCTAATTTGTCTATATTGCGAGGTCTCTGTCTTGGGTGAATCGCCTGGGCAGTAGCATGGCCATCCATGGACCCATGAATGTTATGTGATTTAACCATTGACACCAATAGTTACATGAATTGAATACCTTTCGCTTTGCCGTTCCGGGGCTTTCCTGATTGGCCCCGAGTGTCTCGCATAAAGGCTTACTTCCAAGGATGTATCACCATGAGCTAACTTTAGTCACACCACAGCAGGGTCTGACTTAAAATTCACTTGTATAATGACCACATTAAAGAGGATAGATAGCACTAATAGGGCTTACTTGTCCTTATCTATTCAAGCCCGATTTCCTGATCGGGAGCCCGTGTGACTCACGTTGGCTAGCTCGGGTCGGGGCGTGAGCATTCACGACCGATTGGCCTCCAAAATGCAACCTCCTGCGGTGCACGGGTACACCCCTCCTTTCAAAAGCTCGTCGGTATCCAACAAAAAAAGACAGACTGCTGTGTTACCAAAATCCAATTCTCCAACATGGGATCAATCCAAGCCCCAATGGAGCTCTACAAGTCAATGCGTCTGATCTACCGAGCCCCAGAGGACTCTGCAGAGGACAAAGAATTCCTTCATCGCTCTATCATCAATGACACAACGATCCAAACACTGAGCACCATGCGCCTCAAGCGCCCAGCAAACAAGGCCGCTGCCGACGATTTCATCAAATCAATGCAAGGGGCAGTTCTCGGCGTGCTCATCTGTCTTCCTGTTGACACTCCCGAAGAGACAAACACGACGAATGCTTCGGTTTCTTCGCCGTCAAATCCAAAGAGCGGCACCCGAACGATTCCAATCGGCCATTTGAACATATTCAACAAATTGGGTCCAGATACCGCCCACCACCGAAATGCAATGCTAGGCATATCCTTTGCGGAGGAATATCGAGGTAAAGGGTACGGGGGAGAAGCAATCAACTGGGCGCTTGACTGGGCTTTCCAGCATGCAGGCTACCACAGAATCTGCATTGGGGCTTTCTCTTTCAACACCAACGCTTTGAAACTTTACAGAAAGCTTGGTTTCGTCGATGAAGGTCGCGAGCGTGAGGCGATAATACATCTTCGGAAGTGGCATGACATTGTCAATCTATCCATACTTGAGCATGAGTGGGAGGCATTGAGGGCGAAGGGCCCAGATGATCCAGAGAGAAATTAGGAGCCTCACTCGGACTCAAACTAGTGATTGGGTCTATTGACGGCTTGTCTTAGTTTTAGAACGACACGATATGTTCAAATGAACCACTTCACATCATACTTTGGCCATGTATACATATTCCAAAAACAAGATTATTTCTCATTCATCGGAAGCAAGGACTGGTTGAGTTGCGCAGTGAATCACTCCTCCAGCCAAGGGAAGAGCTTTGACATGCACCGGACGCACCACACGATCGGGGCACAATTTCTGGAACAATTCCAAAGCCTCTCTGTCCGTCTGAATGTCTCCAAACTGAGGAAGAATGACTCCACCGTTCACGAAGTAAAAGTTGACATAATTTGTCGCTGGCTCCTCGTACGACAACTCCCCAAGACACCGAGGGTCCGGCTCCTGAACTGTATGTATTTCGAATGAACGACCCTTCGCGTCAACTGACTGCTCCAAAATTCTCTTAATATCTTCGAAAATCTTGATCCACTCTTTGGGGGCGCTGGAATGAGGACGCGAAAGCACAACAACACCAGGACGGATAAAGCTGACTTCGGCATCAGCATGTACGTCAGTCACATCCAAGTCCTTTTTGCCCGGGAACCATATGAATTTCTCGATACCCAGAAGCCGGCTCAGTTCTGCTTCGATCTCGGCGCGGGAAAGATCGGGGTTGCGATTGTCGTTGAGGATGCTGCTTTCCGTGGCTAGCAGGGTACCCTCGCCATCCACGACTAAAGCACCGCCTTCTAGACAAACGCTAGATTCCAATTTAGTGACCCGTGACGGAGATTCGTCTGTTTCAATAACTCGTTTGGCAAACGACGTGTTTTCTTGGAGCTGTTCACTCTCCATCACGGGCCAATCCATACCATCAGAGGCGCGGTCATGGTCACCAATATCATCCTTTCTACCCCACTCACTGAAGCGGAAATTGACTGCAAAGCGTTGGTGACGAGTGTCTTCACTAAGTCCCTGTACATAAACCGGGCCGGTATCACGGACCCAAAGATGGTTTGTAAGGAATGGAATGATAGAGACATTTTTAGTCTCACTTGGATATTTGGTGCTTGCATGCGCAACCATTGAGTTTGCTTTTGACACATCCTCGGGTCGTGTGTATAGCCTCACTGGCTCATGGGCTGAGATTGCGGCGGCCAGACTGGCGATGTCGGTACATGCGCTCTCGTAATATGCCGGGGCGATGGAGACCTTGGATGGGAATCCGAGGATAGTCGCGGCATGACGAGCTGTCTCGCGGGGATAGAGATATCTCCCAGCGCCTTTGAGCGAGGTAGAAGACATTGTTCGGATTGACATGGGAATCCTCACGGTTGTGGCTAGTGAAAGTTAGTATATTCCGTACCGATCAAGGGAATGAAAACCATCCGGTAACTGACGTCGATATAATGTATTAACAAGAGAGTGTGAAGACCTCGATGAATGCTTATGAAGGAATTATAGGTGAGAGGGAACAAGAACTTTATAAGCGTCAATTGCTGAATGATGCAGGGCTGGCGGACTGTTGTCCGCTGCGTGGATCACAGCCAACTTGGTTTCGGGACCCGTGGACACCGTTGAATTACGTAACTGAAACAAAATAAGAACATTGGAGCTTAAGAGGAATCAGAGGAACTAAACAAGTGCCATTGGCAGCTAACAAAGAAGAAGTTACTGTTATGGGTTTGGGATCAACTCCAAGGACTGACACAAATGGCCATGACCCTTCGAGACGATGAGCCCCACATCCATGCCATGTGGACTTAGTTTAGCAGTAGGTAGCAAATGTATAGTTGAATGTGACCACGAGTTATTTAAATAAGCATGTATTAATAGCTGTGTTACCAGAGAGTCGAAATTCCTAGAGCGAGGGAAGAAAGATGGGCAGGAAAAAGGCGAGACACCGTCGTGTGAGTACCCGGTAGTCTCAGCGATTTAGAGTAATAGGTAATGTGTAGATCCATATCAGCATCAATTCTGCAAGGACATGTTATTCTGGTAAGAGATCTGTGTAAGGAGTAATAGTTCGAGATTAACACCGACAAATGGAATGCGCCCGAGTGCAGGTGTTCGTGTTGACCGGCCGGGCCATGCCATCAAATCCGACGTATATTTCCAAGTCGCCTTTGAGATATCGAATAGATTGCTGAAACTGAGTTGCCGATGGGATCATGATGTGAGCAACCATGGACTCAATGTCAACGAGCTATTCAATATCGCAAGAGTTGATCGGCGTCATGTCGTCAAAGAGCAAGCCCGACGGGGATTCGATGGCTCTGCTGGCCATTGGCGTGTGAGGCAGCGACAGTTTTCGATGTTGACAGCCCACTGGAGGCGTGACGAAAAGCAGAACCTGTCGAATAAAGGTGCATCAGATAGAAGTGGAATTGAACGGTGGAACCCGATTAAGCCAGTCGTGGTTAGTCAGCACCCGACACAGCCAATAGAACGGCAGCCCTAGCGAGTGGTTAATCATGTGACCACACACACACCAAATTATTTCCATTAAACCTTCCGGCCTGGAAATCTCGACGACTCCAACGACAACCGCCCCGAGCTCTTTCACGATCCCCTTAAGAGGCTCCGACAAAATGCCCGCCATGAACCAGAGTACGTGACTCCTTTATTCTTTTTTTACTCGCCGACACACCTATGATTTCGCCCACCCGAACGAGTATGCTGATGGTCAATTTTCAGGTCTCGCCTCTTCGCGCCGGAAGTCGCGCAAGGCTCACTTCAGCGCCCCCTCCAGCGAGCGCCGTGTCCGCATGAGCGCCCACCTGAGCAAGGAGCTCCAGGAGAAGTACAATGTACGTTGGATCCAACACCCAAGCGATCTGGAATACCCCTCGAAGTTGGAATGGGATGTGGCATGAACATTTTTCTCATGGAAGTGGGCTCGCCCACTATCGGAATTGGAAATGCAGCAGCGAACCAAATCAACGACGACGCCGGATTCGACGATTGGATGAACGAAATTTTTCCCACGCAAAGTTCTAACATGTTCGTCATAGGTCCGCTCCATCCCTCTCCGCAAGGACGATGAGGTGATCGTGGCTCGGGGCTCCAGCAAGGGACAGACCGGCCGTATCACCACCGTCTACCGTCTCAAGTACGTCGTCCACATCGAGCGTGTTGCCCGCGAGAAGACCAACGGCCAGTCCGTCCCCATCCCCATCTCCGCCTCCAACGTCATCATCACCAAGCTCCACCTCGACAAGGATCGTGAGCAGATCCTTGCCCGCATCGCCAAGGGTCGTGAGGCCGTTCAGAGCAAGTCCGCTTAAGTGTGTTTTTGGGGGGGGTTTACGTTCAGTTTACTATGGTGGTGACAGCGCGGGAGTTCTGAAAAACGCGAATAAAATGCGAGGCCCAACGTCTATGATCACACATCTACTGAAATAGGCGCATTAAGATACTGAAGAACGAAAATTCCTATTTATCTTTCCATCATCTGCGCTGCGGGCTTCAAGTCTGATTCTTCTGGACATTCATTCTCGGCCTATTGAGGGGTTCTGGACAACTTGATCTGCAACCATTGGTTTTCGCCATGGCTCAGTTTCCAAGAGTTCAGAGTACCTCGAAAAGCGTTGTTCAACTAACCCGTCATCTGAGCCTCTTCCCTGCATGGACGACCGTATACTCGTCATCTACGCTGAGTCGTTCCAGTAACTACGAACTTGGTTCAATCTGGCATGAATCGCTCTTGTAAAGTTGAACCGTCCTGCCGTAATGCGACATGTTCTACCTGGTTCAAATATATTGGCCAGATCTAGTAGTCGGCGCTTGTGTCCGTGCCTCAATCCGAATTGGCTGTCTAAGAGTGGGCTCTCGGTCTGGAGTCGATACTACTATAGGTAGTACTTGGACTTAGTGGCGCTCTAGTCTCTGTCTCGATAGACGTAAATCCTTATTGTGGAGCATGGGCGATCCGGGTGGCCCTAAGGACTGCGCTCTTCGTACCTATTTTGTATTAGCCGTGCAATTATGAATGTTCAGTCAGCCTTTCAATGTTGGACTATACCGTCTTTCCCATAGTGCTCTACCTACCTTGGAATGACAACCTTGAAACAACCTTGGAAGTTTGTGGAAGCCGGCCAAATTCTCGTAGGTATTTGCCCTCAGATATATACATTGGGCATTCGAAGTCTTGAGGATTTTCACCACACTTCAAAACATCCATGGACAACCAATGTTACCAAATCCAAATGACCAAGATTTGATCAATGATTGTGAAAACTCTGGGAGCAGCGAATGATGGATGTCTGGCATGTCTGGCATCTGCACGAACATCGTTGATTTGGGTAAACTCAGGGCTGGACATAAGAAGGCACGATCCCGGGACCTTGGGATGTAGGTAGGTGTTCGCCGAATCCATGGATGTCTCAGGTCTCCTATTGCTAGATATCCAATCCCGGGGGTGCATTCCAAACCCTGGAGGCACGATTTCTCAACTAGATGATCAGCATCTGTAATTTATGATTCCTCTAGGGCTGATGTTCCAAGGTTTCCAGGCGCGCCCACGTCTTCACCCTACAAGTCACCGGCAGCAAAATTTCTTTGTACCGCGCTAAGATAATATCCAGTCATAAAAGGTAATTGAAAGAGCTCCTGACCTTGACCAAGAGATGCTTTATCTGGGCAACAACGGCTGGATTCCCGAGGGTTTTACAAAGAAAGACATTTATAAGCCTCATGTGTACGAGGGACCCAAAACCTTTAGGTTCTACTCCGCACCCAGGCTGAGGACAAACATTTCATGTTCCCCTCCAAGATTGAACTACATACTCTACAAAGTGACTACCTGCCCAGCTACACCTACGTCCAGATCTAAACACAGCCACTACGACAGAAGAGAATTGACCAGAGGCAAACGTGTATTAACTCTATCCATGGACAAGAGTCAAATCCGATCGCAGATCGAAAACTAGCTAACTGGGGTACCGTAATGAAAAAAAAACCGAGACCGAACCCACGACGCAAGCACGTCAACCATATTCCCAAACCCCAAGACCATAGAAAGCGCAAAACAAGAGAAAAAAAAGACCATCACAGCGTGGCGCATTAACAAAAGCCGCAGCGGCGATTGGAGTAGAAAGAAAGCGAAAGCATTTAGCCACCGAAACCGTAGAGGGTACGGCCCTGGCGCTTAAGAGCGTAGACGACGTCGAGGGAAGTGACGGTCTTGCGCTTGGCGTGCTCGGTGTAAGTGACGGCGTCACGGATGACGGACTCAAGGAAGGACTTGAGGACACCGCGGGTCTCCTCGTAGATCATGGCGGAGATACGCTTGACACCACCACGGCGAGCGAGACGGCGAATAGCGGGCTTGGTGATACCCTGGATGTTGTCGCGCAAGATCTTGCGGTGACGCTTGGCGCCGCCCTTGCCGAGACCCTTGCCTCCTTTACCGCCTGTGATGATTGTTAGACATTGTTGTGGAAGTAACGTGTGGGGTATGCAGAAATAGCGAGCAGTATTATGTGCTTGAGGTGAGGGGAGGGTAGGTTTGTCTTAGATGTATGGAGGGAGGGGAAGCCTTTCCCGATCGGGAAAGGTGGGATGCGGGTAACGCCTGAGGCAAATGTCACGTGTAGGCAACATCACCAGTTTCTTGTTTTGAACCTCATTACAGCGACAACGAGGGCGACGAGTAATTCATGACTGAAGGAAAAAAGAGAAGTAATGATGTAACTTACGTCCAGACATGATTTCTGATATTAAAAGATGGAAGTGGTAGATAAAAGTGATGAATCGACGATTTTAGTGTCGATGGTTGATGAAAAAAACGCGTTTGAGAGGGCGAAAGGAGAAGAGAAAAAATAGGCAGAGGGGAGGGAGACTTAAATAAGGGAACGGGAACTACGCGTGATTCGGGGGTTGGAAATATTTAGGTAAGCGAGAGAATTACCATTCTGCAAAGGGGCGGTGATTGGCGAACGGCGGGGGAGGAAAAAGGGCGTTATGAAGGGTCAATTTCCAGCGCGTCTACCAGACATTGCCCTGCCCGCATTTTCCAGTGTCGAGCGACATTGATGCACGTCACGTGTTGATAAGATAGCGAAGACGCTAGTCCCCTTTGGGAACTATATACTCCGAAGTATGCTACAGCCATCTTCTGGAATATCAGATGTCTACACGCGGAATTCTGGAGGAATTCCTCTTGAAGGCTTCTGAATGAATTACTACTTTAAGTCTTATTCTACATTACACTACGAAGGGAAGGTTTCAGTGATCAAGTCGCGTTCATCATGTTTCGTATCAATTGAAACTACGTCACAATGCCGAGGGCAGTCATGTATCAGTATCTTCGCATCTTCGCATAGTCGCGTCTTCACATCTCATATCCACGTCCTACCAAATCGGCAGACAATCTTGTGGATATGGAAATTGGAAGGAAAAAAGAAAAAAGAAAAAAACAACAGGAAAAAAAGACATCAAAAGCACAAACAAAGTCCGGAACACCATGCAAAGAAAACAACCCATAAAAGTGCAAAATGCATCGAAGTCGAGAGTGGAGGCGGGCAAACTAAAAACTTTTGCGTTGAAGAAGGGCCATCCAAGGAACAGCAGAGAATTGAAAAATGCCTCGAAAGGAGAAAAAGGTCGTATCGTCATCATGCGTAGCCAAAAGACCACGTAGCGAGTAAAGGGAAGGAAAAACGTAAAGCTGACCGAACCGAGATCGGGACGGTCGCGCCGATGATCTCTCTCGACGCAAAGTGGAACAAACCATAGCAAGAAAATGAGACGAAAGACCCGCGGTTTATTATACATCGCAAAGACAATCGCTCACAAATGCTGGTGACTGAAAACCACTGGCGGGTTGAGATGTTGAGGGCAGGAAATGGAAAAAAAATTCCATGTCAATCAAATAGCGCCGATACAAGGGGTTGCAAAGGAAGTCGACAATGGGGAAAAAGATCTGTCCACTTCATGCAGAGGATATTCAAGTCCTCTTAACAGAAGGTGTCAACAATGTGCATTCAAGGCCGACCGGGAGGATCAGAGCCAGGATTTGAGGTGATCATAGAGTGATCTATGGTACTCACCCTCTGATGACGGTTGATGTGTGAGGGTCATTCATAAAACCGCGGTTGAAGTTATAGTGAAACCCCATAGGAGAAGAGGAAGGCCGCGGGGAGGCGCGGGGGCTAGTGGAACGAGATGTCTCGGTCTCGGGGGCCTTGAGGGGAGCGGGGGATCGCGGAGACAGAGGAGGGGAGGGGCAAGCTGGCACAGAGACGTGCTTAGGGGCCTCGCCTCCCCGAGTGGTTGCGGTCGTGGCCGGTGCTTTCAGGTTGGTGCCTTGCGGCGATCCATACTGTCAAAAGAGTTAGCTGATTGTCGTGGTGGCATGATATGACACGGATGTTCGGATGACTTACAAAGCAGTACTTATCGACCAGCTCCTGGTACACGGTGGACTCGAGGCGTGGCTTGCTAGATACCAAAGAGGAAGGCTTCAGATCTTCCGCACGACCCGCAGGGCGGGAATTATCGCTCACTGCAGGACCAGGTCCTCCAAAGCTCGCAGTCTTCTTGATAGGCTTCGCTGTCGGCTGGGCGGATTCTCCGTTCTTCGCACGGGCAGTCAGGGTGGTCCGGTCCACGGGCGCCTTCGACTGCATGGCTGCAGTCAATGACGCTCCGAAATCGTACCGATTCCCGAATGCCTGGCGGTTGGAGTTCTCGCGGCGCTTCGGCGGGGCGACCGTATCAATCTCATCCGAGGGAGTCCGGGCCAAGGGCGCACCGTTGGAACCGTTGAAAGGGTTTGCGAACGATGGTTTCTTGCCAAGGTCAGGGAAGTCATAATTAGGAGACGCCTGCGGTTGAATGGTGTGGGTGCTAGTGAAGGAGCGGCTGCGCGGGAGAGCAGGGCGAGAACCACCGCTGGCAGGCTTGTGCGTGGGGGCCTTGGGAACTTTGTGGAAATCGACTTGGTAGTTCACTGAGTCGTTGTTATCCCAGTATTCTTGGCCGTCAACATTATAACGGATGCACATGAACATGGTCTTGGTTTCCAAGTTCGCCTGATCATTCAACTTCAGATCAAAAGTAAAGCGATCAAATCCATCCGCGGCTTGCTGTCTGCGCACGTCATGGCAATACGCTGCGCCAACTTCCGAGGTAGTCCTCCAATAATCCAAAGTGAACCGAGCAGTCACGAACTTCTGGAAAGCGAGGTTTGCCACGGCCACTGTGCCAATCAAAGTGGTCTTATCAGCCGACAAAAACAAGCGCTCGAGGCGAACAGGGTTGTTTGCACGAGAAGACAGGTCTTTGGGCCAATTGGCGAGCTTGATCTCCCACTCCCACGAAGGACGCGAGTCAGAACCGAAGGGGAATTCGGCTTTGCTGTCATGGCTATCAACAGGGGAGGTTTCTGCGCTCACTGCTAACGGGCGATCGAGCTGCAAAAAGTGTCTAATGTGTTCCAAGTGGGCATCAAAGTGCACAGCCTTTGCGTACACCGGCGTGCCGGGCATACTCGAAGGGCGTCTTCGCGCCGATGGAGGACGAAGAGCCGGACGAACAAGCTCACCTGACTTCTTACGGACCATTGGAGGCTTTACGGTCATTTCAACATCGCTGTCGTCCGGCGAGCTAGTCAACGCCTCTTCACGGGCGAAATCGATGGCGGTTTCGGTGGATGATCGAGAGTGAGCAATCTTGCGAGCTTCCTTGGACAATGGCAAGTGGGGAAGCTTAGGCCGGGTAGGCTTGGAGTCCGGGGTGGTAGTGGCAGTGGTAGTCGCAGACGACGAGGTCGAGGACGGAGCCTTTCCCAGCTCTTCTGGACCCATCCGCTCCGGTGAGCTTTCCCTCTTTAATTGAATTGACCGCACAGCGGCCTCCAGCTCCTCCATTCTCAGACCCTGACCATGTGAAAATGAGGATTCTTCATCGCTTGAGTTGGGACCGGACTCCGGTGGCGAGATGACTGCCCCGGGAGGGATGATGGCGTTGTTCACCGGGGGGTGGGGACTGGCGAAGACTGGCATGTGGGTCGATAGAGGGCGAGGCGCGGGCCGGGGATTCTGGAGCGGAATGCACTGTTGCTTTACTGATCGAAGGGCTCCTCCGATGACGACGAGTATAAGAAGTGGAGGAATATGAACGGGAGTTCTGAAGCCGTTCTGACGAGGAGCGGACCAAAGCGGGTCGCTCGCAGGTCTCGGGCGTTTGAGTGTATTCGATATGCTGCGCGGAGAGCAACGTCTTCAACGGCGCAGTGTATGGCATCCGGCCGACTTGTGCTTCCACACAAGAAGGTTGGGATGAAATGGTGGGGGACGATGTTCGTTTCATTCACAATGAAGTGTCTGAAGAAGTCATGTTAGTTCGGATTCCGGCGGCAACGGGTTCAAGGGGTGGCGAGAGGCGACGGACTGAAGGGAACCGGCATAAGAGGTAGCACTTGAACAGGCAAGTGCGGGTAAACCTCTCACAGACGTGACACCAGAAAGAGACCAGAGAGAGGGAGAGAGTACGGAGTACCCGGGTGGTGAAAGATCAATTGATCAGGGAAGGGGGGGAAGGAAGAGAGGGAGCTTATCAATTACCTTCAAGTATGGGAAAGTGGCGAAAAGAAAGAAACCAAAATGTACATTAAATGAGAAAGAAGAACAACCAAAAGAGCATAGATAGGGAATTCAAAAAGCCATTCCCGCTATGACCGAGATAAGCTGGACAACCAGGCGTGAGAGAGAAAAAAAAATAGCATGAGAAGAGATAAAATTCCGGTATTATAGCATTCGAGAGGAAAAGTGGGACATGGATATCAAGTTTAAAAAAAAATAATATTCCCCAATAATGAAATCGGGAAAATAGAAAAATGACATAAAGGGAATAAATCCAAGAAATAAAAAAAAGGGAATATAAATTGCAGTGCGTCTGCTTTGCATAGAACTCCGCTTGGATAAGGTCAATGCGTCGTATAAGGTGGTATAGCTCTGGTATACCTTTTTCCCTCTCTTCCATCTAGTCTCCATTTACTCCATTTTACTCCATTTTTTTATTAAGAGATACCCTTGATAACTGTTGGTACTAACCGTGGTTCAACCTTTTGCATGTACATAGTCTGGATATAGTATCCTCCCCCTTTTTCCCATATTTCCACGATTCTCCGACATGTGGTCGCACGTTGATCTACTCTCGAGCCCACTATACTGCACTGGCCGGTGCCTCTCTAGTGTGAGAACTAGCGGAAGACAGACCTCCATCAGCCCACAGGCGCTAAACGGGTCCAGTCACCTAACTTTTCTTCAACCTGTGTTCCTTGTTTCTGGACTGACGTACTCCGTGTCCCACCCATCTGTTGGAACTTCACATTCAATTGGAACCTAAGCCATGACTGCTACGCGATTCAAGGGGGCTGTACGAAGTAGAGATAGAGAGAATCTTATCTTGACTGTCCCTTGGTTCAGTTCGTATTGGGTTTAAGAACGTTGGATTGTCCCAGCCAAATTTTATAGAGAGAGAGAAAAAAAAAGGTATTTTCCGCGGGGGTCTCTCTTCCTCTCTCTTTTTTTTTTTCTTTGGCGCGCACAGGTAAATACTAGGGATATGTTTGGCCATGCAAGTGCTAGAAGCATAGTACCCACAATTTGTACCTCCAGATTGGTGGTCTTACCTTCGCGGCTCGACATTATACGAGTACCCGTGGACATACGAGTGGACAATTTCGCAATTCGTGTGTATAGCTCATTGTAGTCTGGACGTTTCCCCAGTCGTGACATTGTCGACAGAAAGCGGAAAGTCTAGAATGCGACACGATTGGAGTACATGATGAGTTTACCATGATATTACTACACTGTTATCGCCTACGCGCGATCGGAACCTTGGATCTCCACAGTTCGCCGATATCGTGCCGTGAAACCCCAGGTGGGGGTTTTGGGAGGATTTGGTCTTCGCCGGTGTATGTATGGAATTTGGACAGTGACGTGCATTGCGCATTTGTATACTAACGTTGTACGTGATGTTGGAAGTCCACACTTGTGCTGTACTCCGGAGTTTGGTGGATCTACGAGGCGTAGTATGCACTCCAGGGCTCCACCGAGTGTGCCGCAAAGCCGGATCTGGAGAAAGGAAAAATTGGAGTTTTTGTGGAAAATAAAAAAGATGGGGGTTTGAAATGTTTGAACAGATCGATTTTCAATATTCGAGAACTGTCCAGAGATCACGAAGCGATCACGAATCTCTACCGCCATATTCTCCGTTCTTACGAATAATCTTGCCAAATGCAGATCGCAAAGCACGACTTTTCCAGGCTGTGGCAATTCCACGCGCGGGATAGTCCATGATGTCACAGTGCAGTTTGACAGGCAATGCCTTGGTTTTTTCGCACTTGGCGAATGGTCTGGACCCCCGGTCGCTCGTGCAGCATAGGATTATCTTTTCTGCCTTGTACCCTGGTACTCTAACCGTCGATCGTAGATTCTTGCAAAAAACTTGGAAGAGATGGAATGTGCATTGAATAACCTCATGTTCCCCCCTCAATTGATCTTCTCTAATCTCGATTCTTTTGGCGTAGTCTGTAGATACGCAGAGGTGTAGAGGTGGGCTGCCATCGGAGATATACGGATATCACATCCAACTTGGTCTTTTTTTATTTTTTGTGAAACTTTCCGACGTAGTGACAGGCAGGTTGAAGACAATTCGTATACTGAGTACAGAGTACGGAGTAGACCTGGACCACTATCTCAACCATTTAGTTCTCCGCCGCGTTTCACGATCCTTTCAGCCCCTAAGTAGGTCTCATTTCCTTGTCTCACCAATGAGGAGCTAGACATGGAATGTAAACTATATTGGGATTTGAGCATTGATCTTATATTAGCTGCTTTAACTAGAACCCCACTAAAAAATTGAGTAAAGGATCCGATGTCAGTATACGAAGCCATTCCCATTGAAGGCCGCCCGGACCACCAACCCCTTTGTTAGCGAGCTTTGGCTTTAGATTTTCAGAAACCAAAAAAAATAAAAATTTGCCACTCCTATAATTTCCCAACAAAAAACACATGTGGCTTGTGGGAATTCGTTTAAGTTGAAAATGTGTGCGAAGGCAAGGCGGAGACTAACTGCGGTCCGATAGAGTCGAGACTTGTTGGAAACGTTCATCTGACAGTCAGAATTCTTCGGATCTGCAAGGTTGTTGATCACCAGAATTTCTTTCCCCCCTCCTTTTTTTGTTTCCCAGTTACCCATGGGGTTGTCCCACAATATGCCAAGGGTCAATGGATCCATTATCCTAGTCCACGGGTAAGCCCGACACACTACGGGATCCTCATTGCCCATATGAACTTCTCGGTGAGCGGCAGGGTCGCAACGACATCCCGAAACCACAGGGCGATAACGCCCGTTTCGCCCTCCCCCTTCGTACCGGCAGCCTGGAAAGCTTCCGTGCGCTTTTCGTGCCGTTTTTATTTTTTTTGCTTTTTCTCTTGGCCCTTGCTTTTTTTCTTATGCTACGAGTATCAAAAATTCTCAAGCGCTCGGTCCAGGCCCGATCAGGTTATGAGGGGGGTACCAAACACCTGAGTATAAAGGTAAATTGGATCAGAGTACGAAGTATCCATGGAATGGGATGGTCGAAGCGCCGAAGCGGTCAGATCACGACCTATCAAAAGTATATGTCGTTTAGACGTGAACCTTGAGAGTTCAGCCTTAGGATCTCGCTCACAAATAGATCGTGAGCATTGTCGCTTGTTTGCTCTCTTGGCTCTGATGCGATCAGATCATGCATTGCAATTCACTAATTTCACTCAATTCATACATCCCAATTCAATTCCTCCGAGATTTTCCCAGGCGGACGAGCGTACTCCTGGATTTCCGCTCTGACTCGCCGGCGATGAAAAACTGCAACTCACCCCGAGGGCGTTACCGTGGCTGAACCACGGCAACAGGCCAGGGTCAACGGGACTCACCGGTAAGGTCTCCGAGTCTCATCTCGCGCCATCAGACCCGACCGTGCTAAAATTAAGCTTCTATAGATTCACCCTGTCGATAAAACGCGCAACCCGCTTTGGGCAGCGGCTGGGCCATCCCGCCATTGATTCGCCAAGAGCAACTAAATAGCAAATGAGGCAGAAGCATAGGCAGAGCCACTATGCAGTGATGAGACGAGACGAGCGACATTCAAAGAGGGGCAACGCATTGCCTAGAGAGCTCCAGCTAGTTACTACCCCGCGTGCGAAGCGTTGGCGTCAGCTCTTGCGCCCATGCATACATCTCGAACTCGGAGATGATGCGGACCCCGCGGATCTGGGGGAGTTGCTAACTTGCTTTGTAGTTTCTGTCCCTACCCCGCAAGCTATACCCCAGGATTGCAATGGGCTGGCAGCGATCACGAAGATGGGGGATCTACCAATGGGAGATTATGGCTCGTTATCATTTTGGATAGATGCGCTCGACCATACTGACAGCTCAGGCACATAGACAAATTGACACAGTCAACAACTCTCGTTGGACTAATCTCCTGATTGAATTCACAGACATACCACCTTGCGATCAGCTAACATCCACGGCTCAAATGTTGCACAACATTGCCCGTTTCAACCTGTTTCAACCAAAGGACGTCCACAAACATGAGACGAGATATGGGAACCCATCATGATTGGTCAAGACCTGCTGATAGCTCAGGAATAAGAGCTCGCACGCAACCAACGCATATGGGCTGACTTTGCAATGTCACACGTCAGGCAAATCCCAGGCGCCTCTTCTGCACTGCACTGCACCGAGCACCCGACTTTCCAGAATCCCTGCAAAAATGCTTCTCGCGTCCTCAAGGGGCATCTGTACTCCGGAAGCTGTATATACAAGAAAAAAATAAATCTGTTGAGGAAGTGGCACCACCTTGAACGTCTTGGCATCGTTGGGCGATCAGGGACAGCCGCTTTAGTCGAGTGCATAGTACATAGCTCGAACGTACACGCACCAAATATCGAGACAGCACGGGCCTGAGACTTAGTCCACATTCGAAAAAGTAACCTCAGAACGAAATATACATACTCAGGTGCCACCTATAATAGAAACTAATAAAGTCGAAGTATACAATGTACTTCGTTGCCCCACGCTTATGCATAGCATGCGAGACAGGCTCAGCGCCAAATATGCCCCACCAAATTGGACCGCCCAGGTGGCCAGAACGGAGGCGCGGTAGTCAGTGCACCCGAACCCGGAGCTACAACTCGCCGGCGCAGTGACAGTGGGGCTTGCATAGCTTGATTAGCCTGCGAGGCCGTGCATTAGGCGCTACATTAGTGCGGCGAACTGACAATCGCTACGCATGGCCGAGGAGGTCTGTGCATGGGCGTCGTTTTTTGGTCTATCTCAGGGGTTTCATGTTTGCATTAGTTGAGTAGGTTTATTTAAGGGCTTATCTGGGGAAGTAAATGATGTGCAACTTGCAGGTGTACCCCGAGGTCGCAGGTGGGGGACAGTCCCCGTGTTTGCCTGCAGATACGGGGATTGTGTCAAAATAGCATTGAGGCTTTGCGCTTGGTGAAGGTCCTCGCGCGACCTTCAATGTGGCACTCGGCTAACTTGTTCAAATGCAGTCGCTCAAACCCCTACTAGCCCTATAGTACTTCAGCATTATGAGTATACTCCGTAAGGAGTACATAACATCTATCTGGCAGCGACTCATGGGTTTGTAACAAGTATATTACCTAACAGCCAAGCCACAAATAAGAGAACAATTACTTTGACTTGTCCAATCCGTATCTAGAACCGCCGTCAAACGCCCAAGCTAGTGGGTTGGCCTAGTAGCTCCCGTTATCATTGCACGCCCAGCGGGAGAGGCGTTTTCTGTGTCAGCGCTATAGTTGGCTAGTTGGCTAGAAACTAAATTTACGCCTTCAGATAGCCCGGAGAGAAGTTGCCCAAGCAGATTCATTTCCAGCCGGGAGTCATTATCCGTCGGTGATTGATATGCCAAATGTGTGAGTATCAAACATCCCCAGAGTCGGCTTAGGGCCCGGGGAACAGCTCCTGATAGATACACGCGGACATCGGGCTGATCCCTTATCTGTGAATGGACCTCGCAACCAAGGATAAACAGCGATCAATACCATATCGGTAGTATTGTAGAGGGCCTGGCGGTGCGGACGTTGGAATTTAGGGGTCTAAGCTACTAAGTACTGATGATCACTACTTGGGTGATCATTGACTCTTCGATATCCCCGTGCAAGTCTTTCGATGGAAGTATCATAGCTTCGCATATCGCGGGCCACATATCGCGGGTCACTGCTATCTGAACACATTATTATTCTTTGCATCTTGTTCACTGCCCAGGCGAACATACGACCAGATTCTCTCCCCCTCAATTGCGGGGTGCATCTGCCACCTCATCCTGTCCGAGCGATGGTATCAGCTTACGGAGTACACCTGAACCTAACCTCGGTTTGGTCTACAATCCATGTCTAGGTCTTCCCTAGCAGTAGACACCTGACAAGGCCTGAAAAAGGCTCACGAGACGATACTGCCAGCAAAGCAAAGCCCCCTCTTTGATAGATAGCGATAATCGGCTATACATCTTCCGCTCTATCAATACCCGTACCACCCCAAGCCTCATAGATGTATCTTTCTCCCCTCTTCAAATCCCAAGCCACAGGGGAAGCCAGTAACCGGGCCCTAGCTGCCGGGCTCCTATTCCCTAGGCCTTCCCCACATTTTCGACTGATGTGCTCACGCAGATGATCACAGCATGCATCTCGCGCCGGAAGATCCGTGAGGAAGACAGCGTCAGCGTCTATCTCCACGCGATATCGCATGCACAAAACCAAGAGACACATACAAAAGCTCCGAGGAACACAAAGTTCGCACTCACATGATGCCGTTAACGGTAGGTGTCCAGTTCCGACGTTCCGGCTTCACAACATAGTGCTCAGATCCCAGACGAGATGGCCATTGAAAAAGTCAATTCTTCACATTCTGGCAGCCACCCCCTCACCGCTGCCATCGTACCCCGATCGTCGCGGTGGAATGATGGAATATTGCCCACGCCACAAAGGAGGCGAGGTCTAGAGAGACCCTTTCCATCGCTTCATCTTTGTCGCTAGCATCGGGATCCCTTCATCTGGAGTGGCGCGCCAAGGATGTACTCAGATACAACTAAAACTCTTTCTTCTCGGCCGGTCTGGTCTACCCACGGATTGCCGCTCGGACGTTGTATCGCAAGGTCACTAGCAGGTACCTCTATTCCTGCCAATAGAGGTTCCCTCTTGTGTCGCCATGGCGTTGAGGGACGTGTCCTGCATCTTTGCCGCCACCACCGTAGTTGGCGACTGCGTCCTTTTGTCGGGGATGTAACGAGGCATAGGACAGATCCCTATAGTCCAATTTCGAATGTACCTTAAGTTTCGAGAGCAAACTATCAGGTGATATGAGTCTTGAACTTTCTCAGAGATTTCCTTTCTGGCGGGTGAAATTGGATTTGGAGCGAGAGAGCAGCTCGGAAGCATATAGACGATGTTTACCAATATTTGATGTAGCATCGATATCCTCGGGTGTTTTTCACGATGTCTGTATTGGGCAGGCCGAGATATTGTGGAATCTGAGTTGAGATCTTCAAACGCATTGCATGGTTTGCCAGAGTGCTAGCGAGGATCAGTCTGAGGGCAAATCTGTTGACGATACATGTAGTTGCTGATTTTCAAATAGATATTTTGAGATACATGATCTCGAATGAAACCTGTTGATGAGTTTATCTGACATCGCAGTCTCCCAGAGCTTCAAAGAGCAACTGTTGTCTTTTGCCGAAGTCATTGTGCTTCGATTGTATTCTGCAGGGTCTCAGCTGAGCTGGTCGCCTGAGGCTCACCAGACATGTTTTTTTTTTTCTTTGTCACCTCAGCAGTAAAGAGTCTGAATGGTTGGGAACATGATCTCTCAACGACACAGAGTTACAGGCAGAGCTTGTTAAATCTGTTGATTCAGGTCAGGAAGAAAGTGAAGCTGAAGTTGTAAGCGGCTGGAGATCGGGTCCCACTTCTCCCACACTTTCATTTCTTTTGTTTACCACCACCAAATGTCTCAAGCAAATGGGTTGGCCGATTTCGAAAAAGAGCTGGTATGCTCGGTATGTACATATCCATTCCTATCCCTTACATGCCGCTGATCCCCCAGATTTGTACCGAGCTCTTCTACCAACCCCTCACCCTCCTCGATTGCCTCCACACTTTCTGTGGCTCCTGCGTGAAAGAATGGTTCTCCGCACAAGGGTCGCGGCCCTCCCGAAACTCACCCCGATTCACCTGCCCATCTTGTCGCGCCGAGGTGCGCGATACCCGCCCGAATGCCACAGTGACAACTCTCTTGGGCATGGTCTTGGATGCGCATCCAGATCGTGCCAGGTCCACTGACGAGAAGGCGGAAATTGCACAACGTTACACCCATGGGGAATCTGTATTTCCGACACCTGCATCCGGTGGCGAGAGCGCAGAAGACGATCAGGATGATGGACGACTACTGGATGAAGTGCGCGAGCTGAGTCTTCGCGAAAGTCGGGCGCATGCAAGGCGGGAGGCTCGTCGGACGGCAAATTCCTCGCGGACTCGGGACAGCGGACACACCGAACGACATGCGACCGAGGGTCGGTCAAGACGTCGAAGGGAGGATCGCACACCGGGCCCCGATGGTACGGAGCGGTCACGGCGCGTTGAGCATCAATCCAGCTTACGGTCGCTGTTGAGTTTGTCGTCAGATATGGAGACCATGGAGGAAGAAATATTGCGCCAAATTCTCGAGGAAGGGCTTTTGGATGACATCAACCTGGATAATTTGGGACCCAGACAAGAGGAGGAGCTCAGTGAACGCATCGCGGAGGCGTATCGCCGAAGGCACATGCGGCAATCGCGATCAAGGCAGCGACAAGACCATGATCAGAGACAGGAGTCGGATAACGATTCACGAGCGCATAGATCAGATTCCACACAGAGAACTGCAGAGTCAACTCCCGCCACTCGAGAGCACAATGATAGACGGCCGCCGGTTTCCAGACCGCATCTGCTGCATGCAGCACCGACGCGACCGAGCGTTTCAGGTCACCAAAGGCGAAACTCAGAACAAGGTAGGGTGCGCCGACGCACCTCGCCTGTTCGAACAAATCAGGCATCTGCGTCAGATGATGCCATACGGCCCGCTGTTCGGTCTTCGAGTGATATGACTGCGGATCGGACTCACCCCTCTCAAACTGGACGGATACGTTCAGAATCCTCATCAGCCAGACCGCGACGCGCAACTGAGTCGGGACAAAACGCTACTAGTGTCTGGGCAGCAGGCGGACGAGAAAGAAGTTCTCATAGACAAGCGGCCAGCGAATCGGCTACAGGCTCTCCAGCTGCTGCTAGTGCACCGTCTACGCCTCTCCAGTATTCGGCATCCACCGAGCATAATTTGCCTTCCATGTCCTCACCTCTTGTCCCGAACAGGTCGGAGCGAAGGACGAGAGCAATATCCTCTCGACCCAGCGTCCCCGCGTCTCCCCCTGTACAATATGTCGAGCCCTCAATATCTTGCGACAGTTGCAAAAAGACCAACATCCAGTATGATCTACACAAACAATGCATGCAATGCAACAACGGCAATTATCATCTCTGCCTTCGATGCTATCGGCTGGGCCGTGGCTGTCATCGATGGAGCGGGTTCCGTGCGTCGGCAAAGGCCAACTTTCAGAGAATGGTTGCTTCCTCTACTCATCAGCCTATACATATCAATGAACCAGGCCACGTAATGCTCTGGTTCAAATATCAACGTCCGGCAGAGACATCTACGAACACGGCGCATGGCGAGCGACAAATGACCAGTGACAACCCTGCTCGCCGCCTGAAAAGTGGTCTCTTCTGTAACATGTGTCAATCAACGGCAAACGACTGCTTTTGGGAATGCAGAAAGTGTAACGATGGAGATTGGGGCTTCTGCAACTCCTGCGTTAACCGAGGACAGTGTTGCACCCACGCCTTGCTTCCCATACGTCGCATAGCCCACAGCCAACCTGCAGCATCTTCATCTACTATGCACCCACAACTATCCACCGAAGCTCTCGCTACTCCTACTCTCCCGTCTGAGATCGAGAATTTCAAAATCCTGTCATTCTCAACGAACTGTGATATTTGCACCTACCCAATCCCGGCATCCAACACACGCTACCACTGCCTCAAGTGCAACGGCGGTGACTATGATGTCTGCAAAAACTGCTATCTAAAACTGGTTGCCACAGGCAAAATCAGCCGGGAAAACGGCCATCAAGGCTGGCGGCGCTGTTTAGCCGGTCATCGAATGATCACAGTCGGCTTTGAGGACCACGAAGAAGGCCAGCGCCGCGCCATTGTGAATGATCTTGTCGGTGGCCGTGCTCTGAAAGATGAGCACGTAGCGCAACCGCAACCGCAGTCCCCTGCCTCCCCGGCAGTCGGTGGCCCAGTCGCATCACCCAAGTTAGGCTCTGGTGGTTGGAGCTGGAAGGAAGACCACGGCCCTGAGCGGCGGAAGAAGGCATCCCGCATTCGCGGTACCGCTCTCGCCCTTACCAGTGGAGGCCATGTGTCTTCTTCTGATCTTTCATCTCAAGCCGGTACCACAAGTGCCAGCCCTGTTCAGAGCGTTTCACTACTTCGCAAGTTCCCCCCTAATGGTGGTGTTGGTCTCGTCGTCGAGGCTATTTGGTCTTGGTATCCCGAAGAAGATGTCGTGGATGAATTGGTGTTTCCACGGGGTGCAGACATCACCGAGGCGGAAAACATCAATGACGATTGGTTTTGGGGTTGCTATGCTGGAAAGACCGGGTTGTTCCCCGGTGCGCATGTCAGAGTTGTGAGGGAAATCAAGTAAAGCTAGGACTGCTGCATCTTTAAGAAGCTTGGACATGGTGGTAGTCCTTGTAATTTGCTGTTGCTATATGATTATGACGATACGACGACCGGAATTGATGAATTTGAATGTCTTGCATGAGATGCTATCATGATAATCTAGAAAATTTCTTGACCAAAATCGCGATACTAGAAATAGCGAGGTAAACTAAGGCCTTGCATGATATAAGACCAAATCTGCCGACGTTCTTGCTCACTCCTTTGTAGCACCTATTGGCGGAGTCAGTAAGGCCATGTGGAAAAAGTGAATGAAAAGGTCAATTACACATACCTAGAAGTTTCTTGATATCACCGTAAATGGCGAATTGGCCAGCGGTCAGTCCACCGACCATGAACAGACGCGTCGGTAGACCGGCAAAAGATCCACGAAGACCAAGCTCACTAGCAATCTTGACCAACCGAGAGACAGTGCTCTCGCCGGGGAGACCCTTCGTCTTGTTGATCTTAGACAACATGGTATCGGCAGGTTGAGACACAATAGCAGCGGCAAATCCACTGAGAAGACCGGACCCTAAATTCACTGCGGTCGAGGTACCCGCCGACATTTGAGACTTGTCAAACTGGCTCAAGATGGCCTCTGAGATCTTTTCAAAAGCGACAAACTTGGTGATTGTGTATGGAACCCTGTACCCTGATCAGTCTCTCTTGATCGACCTCGCCTTTCGTATTGTGTTGTATCATATAAGGATCTGTGATTGAATGCACTCACTGCTTGAAAAGAATAGGACCAAAGCCCGAATAAAAGGCGCCAACTCCCTCATTCTTCAAGATCTTCCCAAACCCACCAATTAGTCCACTGGCAAAGCCAGGTGTCGAGACAAGGCGAATTCGTGTCGCTTCCAGTGGACACAGTGCAATCGAGGCGAAGAACCCAGCAGAACCAGCAGAAAGGACGTAACCAAGCGTACGATTCTGTTTAGCCTTTTCCGCGCCGAGAGCATCAGTGAATTTCTTATTGAAGAACTCATAGCCACCGAATTTGAAGGCACCCTGAGCGAAATAACCTGCAAAGGTTGGACCAAAGCCCGTTGCTAGAGCGCTGATGCCTTCGTTGCGGATAACCTGGCGGAAGCTACCAATCATGCCACGATTGTATGTGATGGGATCGAGTTGAATCTTGGTCTTGACACTATATTAACAAGGACTATTAGCTGATACTGGATATGAGAATAAAGCCGGAGAGCTGGGGCCAGAATCAAATGAGAACGTACACGTCGACAGGGGTGAAGGCGCTATGGGTGACAGAACAACCCAACGCACCAGCAAGAGCGAAGCGAGCGTAGAGGTTGAAACCATCTGGCTTGCTCTTGAGTGTAGCAGGATGAGCCATGATGAGTGAATGAGCGAAGTGACTACAAGAATGATCAATAATAATTTGTATGAAGCGAAGCTGGTATAGATCGGAGTTTGCGCCCCATTTGCTTAAGTCCGTGATTGATATGGCCCCCATCTTCTAGTGTTATGCAAGTAAATGATCATTTGGACTCTCTTTAAAGCGTCCTTTCTGACCATTCAGCAATACGGTAGGCCTCAATGCATTGTTCTTTTCTTGGTTGTCTTGTCGACTAATAGGAACTACGAATCACCCGTTGCACCATGACATCGGTCCAACTGGTGTATGTCGCAAATGCCTCTCGGATTTAACGCCGCTAAATCCGCCACATAGACCAGAGAGCGGACGCTGTAGAATGCTATTGAGGGGTTTCAACCAAAGCAACTCAATTTGTCCGAATGTAGACAAGAGCAAACACATCACCAAATGCTGAACATACGTGGCGGCTTTTTCGAGAAGTGATACCCAAGAAGGAGACACAGAGTGATCTAACTTTTGGTTCTAGTGGCACTTAATTTTGTACATAAATTCCGCTAAAGATCGCTGCAATTCATTCAGCGTCGTGCTCTAGAATGCACTAGGTACAACTTCGGAAGAACAACCTGGGCAAGATCCAGTGATATCTAGGTCATTGCTTTTCGATCACCGATACCTTGAGATTAAAAGACTTTGAATCACCTCCAGTACCTTCCAGACTTTCCTTATCAAACCGAGAACTCTCTTCATCCGTCCTTGTTGACGTATTGGACGGCGCATCGTATCCAAATTCAGCCAGCTGGGTATTCCGTCGTCCCCACCAAAGCATACCCAGCTGAACAAAAATAGATGAGAAAATAAAAGCAGTCGCCAGAGGGAACCCAATTGGATACGTCGGGGAGTCACTTGTTCTCCAGACTCGAATGGGAATCGTAGCGTGACCAATGTACACGATGGTCACTGTCAGCGCCACAAGGATTGACCGTGCCTCGGGCTCTTTTTTGAGTAACTCGGCCAGCCAAGCAAGAAGCGACGGACTACCTGCGTTTGTTGCATATGTGAGGAAGTAGAAAACGAGAATCACCCTCCAGTCCGAAGGCCATGCGCTCAAAACGCTCAGCACGATGCCGAACAATAGGGCTGGAGCAATACTGATTTGCCAGCGCCATTGTTTCCAGTCCGATAGTGCATTGAGACCCAGATTAGCTAAAATCTGCAGCGCATAGCCTCCCATGGGGATCACGTTCACTTGGTACGTGTTGAACCGGAGGTTTCCGTTCTCATCTTCCAATCCTTCGAGATAGAGCGTGAAGTATGAATTTGCTCGATTGGCCCAAGCACTCAGAGCAAAAGCAGCCACAAAGAAGTATGTCACTGGGTGGACGATAAGTTTGCGCAATTTCTGTACAACCACCTTGGTGGGTATCATGCTTGACGTGGTAGCACCGAATTCGGCCATGCGTCTGCGAGCAAGGGTTTTATCAGCCTCAGTGAGCCAGATCGCGCGGGTAACTGCCGGTGTATCTGGAATGACCACGAGACCCAGAAGACCTTGTCCGATGGTAATTGCACCCGAGACAATGAACAGCCATTGCCATCCAGAGATTCCATGGACCCCATCCATGTTGGTATATAGAGCAGCCTGAAGAGCGCTCAAGAACATACCACCTGCCGCATCCGAGACAGTGAAGAAAGCAATTCGTTTAGCTAGCTCGGCTGGTGTGTACCAGTTGAAGATCATTGACACAGCTGTAGGCCAGAAGACCGCCGAGAACAGCCCGAGGAAGACTCGCAGCGCATAGATCGTTTTCGCATTTGGGGCTTGAGCAATACTGTTCATCACAGTCAGTATGATTTCCTCGTGAAGTTACGTTGTGTTTTATTTACCAGGTGACCAAGATTCCCCATGAGATCTCGCAAAATGGAAGGAAGAAGGAAGCTCGAACCTGAAAATCCAAGTCAATAATTGAATCTGTCGACACCCCATTACCACTTACTTTGGTTTGTATAAGCTGGCCAGGAATAAGACCGATAGCATATCCCACGGAGAAGAACGTGTTGAAATTGACCAATTCGTTTCCATATAATTGCAAGGACTCCTTCATTCCAGAGACATAAGCTTGAGCAGTGGCACTCTGATCCATCTCCTTCAAAATACCAGCAATGAAAGTCCACGTCAAGAGCAAACAGTCTAGTTTGAAGACTAAGACATGCTGCGGATTGCGGAAATAGGGCACATAGCGGGAGACAATTTTGAAGAGACCCTGGACCTCAACATCCGCGTCCACGTCTCCGCCTTTCGACGATACCATTCTTGATTCTGTTTGCTTTTTCGGAAGACTGCATCACTGCATCTTTCGCCGTTAAGTAGAAACATCTTCTATTCCCCATCTTGAGGGGCGATCACGAAATTGGCTTGGCGCTGCAGGTGGAAACTTTCTGATCTTCGCGTTGCGACTCAATTGAGTGGGCGCCCGAGTTAAGCTATACATCATTAATATAAGGAATCCTGGAGATTCTCAAACAGGCAACTCGAGTCGGCTAGTGGCCGAACAAACGCACTTCGTGCTCATCCTGACTTGGCTTTTTTCTGTTGCGTGCCAAGCCACAGGTATCTTGGCCACTTGTGCTTCGTACGTCAATCTCGGTCTTTGTTGGTATCATATTTTTCATTCAGGATGTTTAATAAGACATCAAAACATAAATCATCGAAAAAATCATAATATATACAAAAGTGCCCAGGTGCCCAGGTGATTTACTCAAGAAGAGCAACCATCAACCGTCCGTAATCGCCAGAAGTCTCGCCGCGTACACGCTCCACCAGGGGCTTGCCGAACTTGTGGTAGTAAGCCCGCTTCACCGTCTCCTTGTGGTTGCGATCCCAGTGAGTTCGCACAGCGCGTACAACAAGACGCTCATCCTTAGTTCCCATGCCGCTCATGCAATCCTCAAGTAGCAACGCGTCCCGCATGGCAGGATCTGTAGCTGTGCGGAGCATGTGAAGCAGTGCATCTTCCATGTGACCCGAGAACTCCTTCTTAATGTGCTTTTCCAGAGAGGTGTGGTAGCGGGATTCGAAAGTCTGGTTGATAGCACGGATCTCGGCATCAGAGGACCGGGCGAAGATCGCGCACACTTCCTTGACATTCTTAGGTCCCTGCAGACAGCGGACGTCGGCCTCAATAGTCTGTGGGTTGATAGGCGCTGACTCCTCATGACGCGCCGCCCGGAGAGCAGTGGCAAAGAGGTCGGAAGTTCCGAATGAAAGATCAGACTCGACGTCTCTTGACAGCGAGCGCCCGTAGCGAATCTCGTAGGCGGTCCGGATAGCGTTCAGGTCGGCGTTGGACCGACCGAGGAGGATATCATTGAGGAGCCACTCCTTCGTGCCAGCACCGTCGATCGCGGAATTCACGCTCTCGACATCGTGCAGGAGGGGGCCGTTGATCACGGAAATAAGACCTTGCTCGAAGTACCCACTTGTCTCGGACTTGACGTCTTTGACCAAATCGCGACCGAGGTTTTTCGAGAAGGTGTCGCGGACGGCGGCGACCTGCAGCGGATCGAGGGGCGCGAGAACCGCGATCAGTGTCTTTTCGTCCGTTCCGAATCCCTTCATTGCTTTGCGCAGCGCATCCGCCTGAGGGCGGAAGTCGCCTGGTGCCAATGTGCCTGGGATGTAACCTAGCGAAGGTCTAGAAGGGATTCCCTGGGGAGGGAGACCACCGGGCGGCCCGTAACCTCCAGGTGCTTGACCCTGAGGCGGGAATCCGTGCGCGCCGGGAGGAGGCTGGTTTGGAGGGGCATGGCCATACGGAGGCTGCGGGGATGGCGCGTGGTATCCGGCGGGCGGTTGAGGAGGGGCGCCGTAGTGACCTTGCGGTGGGGGAGCACCGTAATGCCCTTGCTGAGGAGGATAGTGGCCCTGTTGAGGGGGATATTGACCCTGCTGAGGAGGGTATTGTCCTTGCGGGGGATATTGGCCCTGCGGAGCACCGTAAGGCTGTGCTGGATGCCCGTAGCCCTGGGGCGGGCCTCCAGGTGGCCCTTGCTGAGGGTGACCTCCGTAAGGGGGTTCTGTCTAAGTTAGCGATGCCAAACACCTCTGTCAAGAACGTGCACTCACGGTTTGGATATTGATAAGACATGATTTTGAATTTGTGGCTTTGCCTGGAGAGTACGAAAGAAAACGGGCTGACGGGACTGTTTATACCTGCTCGTCCTCGGGTTGATTGTGGCGCAGTAAGGTGGGGGCGTTCATAGCCTTGTGGGAATTGACGTCTGCCAATGTTCTGCCAGGTACTCTTTCTGTTCTAATTTAAGATATGATGGAGCCTCGTGTACTTCAGGGTCACTCTACTACCATGGTAGCACAGTTCTCTCATTCTGGAACCTGATCTCCAAACCATCATTCATGCTTCGTAAGATGTAATCAACGCGAGATTCCCGTACATGCAGCCTTTGATCACAACTTCAGCCATTTACCACCTCCACCAACATTGGTCCCTTTCTTCACCTCGCCATCGCTGAACGGCATATCGAACCCGCCGGTGATTGCAACTCCATTTTTGAGCCTTAACATAATCTGGTCTTTCTCGATAGGCACTTCTTCGAAATCTTCTGACTGTTTATTCAACTGTTCGACTGAGTCATAGGCAACGTCGGCATTGGGGATCGAAAATGACTGCCCGAAGCCAGTCAAGGTTCCCACGAAGATGTACTGGGATCCCTCGACTTCGAATTGGCCGAGGACTCGCCCTTTGTCACTGGTAAGCGTTCCGGTTCCTTGTGGCATCTTGTATGCCGATTGGTCAGCAAATTTGGTATCCGGGGACCATGGGGAGAAGCAACCATGGACGTTGTCGGATATGATTTACTACTTACCGTGAGTAGATCACAACTTATAGCTGAGTTCAGATTTGCAGAACCAGCCAAACTTACCTGGTCACCCGCTCTTATAAGAGCATTGAAGGAAGAGCGGTCAGCTACGTGGTGTTCAAGGCGGAACAGCGTACATCATGTCCGATGTCATACATGCAGGCCAAGTGGAGCTATGTAGGAGCTCAGTGCAATGTGGATGGTGGTTAACCTTATCAAGTTCCAAGGTTTCAAATTGGAGAACATGCGAATAGGTACCTCATGCAAGGTGCACTAAATCACACATACCAGAGATGCATGTTCATGCAAGGAGACCGTTTAGGTGGATAGACAGAATGACACCCCGGAAAGTAAACCAGACCACTCAGAGTTGATATTTACAGATTACCCGGTTCTATGGATTTGGTTCTATCTTATCAAATTCAACTTCGATGATAGTGAGCCTTGTTCGTGCATTCGGGAACATGTAGGCATTCGACAAATTTGAAACTGAACATGCGGATACCTGGGAACTTTGTGGGATAAGCAGACCTGACAAAAGCCTGGGCATCCATTAAATGCGAGTGGGTATAAGCCTGAGCCAGTGTTACCAATTGCGTGTGGTCTTTTGATACAGAATGGATCTACCTATACTCAGCAAAAATACGGCAAAAAAGACGGCAAAAAAGACGGCAAAAATGATAGTCGAAACTTTCTATTGTCAATTCCTTTAGATGACACCTTTTTGAACTTTAGCCTTGACCGGGATTGATCCCACATATTTTGCCCAGGCTAACCTTGGAAGTTTTCAATAGGCAGAACTCTTATATTATGGTTAATTGTTACACTTAAGTAGTAGGAGGCCGTCCCGCAGGGATAGCCTATGCTAATTGCGCCTAGACGACAGGAAGTAACAACCTTGGAAAATCACCCGCTAGATGATCATATATTTGGGTGTTTAGGTGCCCAGGTTCTCTCCACAACAAACCTTGGAAGTGGTTGATTAGTGATTGATTGTACATGTAGAGAATTCTAGCTCACAGGCTCCAGCCAATTGACAGGGTAAATTTGCTCATTTTGGAAGATCTAATGAGATGGATACTGATCAAACTCCATTAGGCCGTCGAGAAGCGCATAGAAGTATTGGATCTGTTCATCTGTGCTACAAGCCTACAACTGCATGTGGGATGTAGCATGTTATGATACATCCATGGATCTATAGGTGTAGCGTTACAGGGATAAATGATGTTTCATCCTTATATGTGTCTTTGGCCTAGTGTTTAGCACGCCTGAGCGCTGAGCTCTTAGTGTTAACAGTCTCAATGTTGTTTGTTGCTTCTGCGCCTATGGATTGATGAGTTTGTAATTCCCAAATGCCAAATCACCCATTGTTTCTGAAAAGTAGGAGAGAGAATTGAGGATTGAAAAGCCGTGAGGTCGGGGGCGGGGGGAGGGGGAAGAGTTCGAGGGTGAACAACTCGTCACCGTCCAGCCTCACCTCTTCCCCACAATTTCCTATCACGCTAACGCAATCCGGTTAGCGCCCATCCCCTAGCACACAACTACTCCGATTTGGATAGGCTTCTTGGTTTCCTTTTCTTATGGTTGGCTTCATATACATTGCCTGCTGGGTTAGGTTTTTCATGAGCCACAACTGACATGGCTTCTCCACCTCCAGGCCGCCGCTCGCACAAGAAGTCACGGACTGGTTGTGCGCAGTGCAAAAGAAGAAAAATCAAGGTACAGTATTCAGACCAGACATCAATACATGCAAACGTTGGGATGTTTCTTTAGCTGACTCACAACCCTTCAGTGCGACGAGGGTAAACCAATCTGTGCCAATTGCGAGAGACACGGAGTAGACTGTGCATTTGCCAATCCCTCCCCGGTCCCCTCCGCGCCACAAATGAGCGCCACAGAGACACCTCCTGCGCTCTCTGAGCCAGAAAGTTCAGAATCACGAATTGCTTCAGTCATGTCTCCTACTATTCCAACTACTCAGGAGGGCTCTCCAAGCCTGCCTTCAATGCCACTTTTCGACCCCACCGTGGGTTGGCTCAGCCTGGAGCTTCTCCATCACTACACGATTTCAACTTGCTACACGCTCTCGCGAAGCCCAGCAGTCCAGGCAGTCTGGCGTGATGAGGCGCCTCGAATTGGATTCTCTGCAGCACCGGTCATGCACGCTCTACTGGCCCTCTCCGCGCTTCACATCGCACGCTCCGACGAATCCCGACGCGTCAGGTACCAAGAGCTGGCAAAGGCGCACCACAACGCCGCACTTGAGCAAATCGTCCCCATGGTAGCAACACTTGCTGAGAAGAACGGCGCTGCGCTATTCATGTTCTCTACCCTGACCTGCCTGTACTCTTGCGCCAAGCCACAGGAGGAAGAACATTTCCTGGTTCTTTTCGAGCGTGGCAATCTATCCAACTGGGCCCAATTCTTCCGCGGAACGAAGACTATCATCGAGAGCGGAGGTGATGATCTCAAGAATGGCAAGCTCGCACCCATCTTCCTGAATGGATCTTTCATTTCTGCTGCTCATAAGTCGCCCGAGTCGCTTGAACAGGGCACGCCCTATGTCTGGGAATTGAAAGAGATGGTGCAAAAGAAGTGCTCCAAGGACCCGGGTCTACTGCGTGTCTACGGAGAGGTTCTGGATGAGCTCGCGCGCACCTTGGCTGTCACCATGAAGCCCGACAGCAAGGGACGACTTGAGACTGCCGATGTCTTCCGCTGGCTACTCGACATCCCCGACGATTATCTGAATCTGCTGCTTCGGGAAGAACCCATTGCCTTGATCATCTTCGCTTACTGGTGTGTGGCCATTCGTCAGATTGAGTGGATGTGGTGGATGGAAGGTCTCAGTTCGCGCCTCCTGTCACAGCTCTCCTCTGTCCTGGACACCGGGAGCCGAGTGTGGCTTTTGTGGCCCGATCAAATCATCAACGCAGATTGAAAGAGTCAAACTAGACGACACATTCGCCAACCGCCTGAGGAATATCGAAGGCCCTGATTGGTTCATATTGGTGCTAGCTAATGGGAAGGCCTTACAGGCATGGGAGCATGAGTTAATATGGGGTTTTTTTTCTTTCAGACACCCCTGGAGTTAAGGATAGGTTTTCGGATCGATAGATCGACAAGGGGCTGCTCGAATAGTTCATCAGATGCAGAAACATACTCTTCATTCACCTCGTACATTTTCCTTAACGTATGACCCTTGTCGTGACAACTCCCACCAGCGTAAAGGCATTCCAGATCTATGTCAAAGTCTCCGCCATTGCAAGTGTCACAATGTAGGACCGTGTCGTACTCGCTAGCGGGCTTCAAACACCAGTCGCATTCCATCCTCACAACCTCGTCTCTCCAGGTCTTTTTGGAGGAGTTTTTGATCTGTTGCATGTCGAGTGTGATCTCCGAGGGACGAGTGAGCCATATCCAAATACGCCGCATGATGTCATTTTCAATCTCAGAGACTTGATCTTTGGTATCATTGGCAAAAGACAAGGGAGTCCGACCGGCGCAAGTTGCAATGTCCAGGGAGGCGCCTTTGCTAACAAGTATGCGGACCGATTCCTCTTGTCCGTAAAGAGTCGCAAGAAAGAGCGGCGTACGGATTCGGTTGTCGGGAATATCAATGAAACTCGCGCATGTCCGGTTTTTGCCCGATGACGCGAGAGAATCTTGCTCGGTCGCCTTGTTTGATTCGTTCCAAGTGAGAAATTCGAGAACAATGAGTGAGTGTCCATGCTGAGCGGCATGTGCAAGAGCAGTGTATCCATCGACGTCCACTGAGGTCGGGTCTGCACCGTTCTGCAGTAAAATCCTGACACCGACATGGGTTCCACGCGTGGCAGCTAGCGCAAGCTGTGTTCTTCCACGAGAGTCTTTGTGCTCGATATTTGAGCCAGCGTCAATGAGTGTTTGGATCACTCTAGGGTTGGGGTATTTGTTCCCGACAGATCGCGATAGCGCCGTTAAATTGTTCGAATCTTGGACGTCAACTCTGGCCCCCTTCGACAGCAGAAAGGCTGTAAGTGATTCGTGTCCATACGCTGCCGCCTCATGGAGAGCGTTTTCACCACGATTGTTCACGGCTTCGATATCAGCACCGGCCTCGATGAGCTGTGCGACTATCTCTTCTTGACATCTACGTGCTGCCAATGCCAGAGGAACAATGATAGGTCCGTAGTCAAGGGAAACATTTCTCTTGATAAGATGTTTGATGATCTCGCTCTCGCCATATCTTGCTGACCACTGCATGGGTGTCCACCCTTCGTCCATTATGATGTCGGTAGAAGCCCCCCATTCGAGCAAAAGGCCTGCGACCTGGGAATTTCCACGACTTATTGCCACAGATAAGGCTGTCTTCTCTTGAGAGATACCATGAGCTGAGCCCTCTACATTTGCGCCAGCTTCAAGCAGTGTTTTGGTGAGTTCTGGTTGATCATAGACTGCAGCAAGCCACAAAGGGCAAACATTTTGCACCATCTCAGATCCCTCTGGCTCAATTTCATTCACGTCAAATCCATGACTGAGAAGAAGCTTGATCACTTCCAACTGAAGATGTCTGGTTGCAGTGCACACCGGATAAACTTCGTTCTGGTGGGAGCTATTCACGCCTGCGTCAAGAAGCTTTTGCATTGGGATCGGTGACGATTGTTGTGCGGCCCAATTCATTGCTCTTCGGCGAGATAGATCTGATCCGTGGACCAGATGACGATAGAATCTGGGACCTAGGTCATCATAAAGATAGTGGCATGTTTTTGCTAGCGCAAACATGTCCGGCTCAGACTGAGTAGCCTCCCATATACTCAGAAGCAACTCATGGGGCAAGTCGAGTAGTTGCATTTTAATTATTTGCGGGCCGACTGCAGCAAACTTGATTGGTATGCACGAGCTGGAATGATAGGTCGGACTGTCGGAGGCCAAGAGGGGAAGGGTCTCGTAAGCACAGGCAAAAGCCCTCGAGGCTGTTGGTTCTTTTATGCGAGATCGCTAATGCGGCAGACGAAAGAGTTTAAAAAGGCAGGGATAGAAAGAAAACAAAAGTTTTATTCGATTCTGGAGAAGTGGCTTTCCGGATAGGTGGGGTCAACAAGGAGTTGTGTCTTGTTGATGAGCCGCATCGGCCACAGTGGCAGTGTCCGAGGCCCCACTTGCCTGCCGTCAGCCTCATATTCTCCGTCCTCCCACCAGTTGAGGCCAAGTTACTCCGTATAACTTCTACTTTTGTGCAAGTTGGTATATAACTGATGCGACGAGTTGAGCTCTACGTTCATTGAAACTCCAACAAAATCGACATTTCAAGAGCTCATGGCAGAGACCAAGTCGTGTGCTTCCGTTTCCTCGGTTTTTCGTTCAACATAGTGACCGGATTCATTGAGAGCTCACACTCATTCACAGGTCAGCCATCGGAAAAAAATGTGCATACCTGTGTTACTCATCGAAAGTTGACCAAGAAATATCAAGCTCCAGATATAGGAGGTGAGGATTTCGTATTCGTATTGCGAGCCCAATTTGTGGAACGGGTTCGGGTTCGGGTTCGGATCCTGATTTCGTGGACCTGAATCAGTTTGAACGCCACAGTCCATGTCGATCAGCACTTGCCTCGGCAAGGTCTCCGGGTACATAACCTTGTCTATCGCCCAATTTTTGAAATGATACAGAGCGATCGCAAACATGGGCATATCAACTGATGTGCAGCATGCGCTAGTCGCTGCGTTATTAACGGTATTCCAACAACTCCCAATGTCTCTCCTGGATACCCGTTCCTAATTTCTATAGGGCGTGCTTTATATTTTTTCAAAAGTCGTTTATAATGTGCTATTTCACCCTTTGAGTCGGTTTCCAGGGCCTTTGAAGCACAAAATAACCCGGCTGGCATATTCGTGGAAAGCAGCCCGAGGGACGCTCCCCTTCGATATGTTGGAAATGCATAAGCGGTATGGCGATGTTGTTCGCATTGCGCCGGATGAACTGGCATTCTCACACCCGGATGCTTGGCAAGACATCATGGGCCACAGGAAAGGTCAACATGAATTCATCAAGGCCGACTGGTTCTACCGACCGGTGGAAGACCAGCCCACACATGTGGTGAACGCGGCCAGAGATCAACATGGACGTCTGCGAAGACAGCTGGCGCATGGTTTCTCTGAGAAAGCGATGAGAGATCAGGAGCCTTTGATCCGCGGGTATGTCGACCTGCTCTTGGATCGGCTGAGTGAGTTTTGCGCATCCGGTAGTTCCGTGGTCTTGTCGGATTGGTACAACTTCACAACTTTCGATATCATTGGAGATCTAGCATTCGGGGAGCCATTTGGCTGTCTCCAGGGCTCGGATCTTGATGGGTGGATCCAGGGGATATTCGACGCTGGTCGACTCGGAATTCTTTTGCAGACTTTATCGTTTTACCCGCTTTTGAAGCGGATCTTGATCGCGATGGCACCTAAGTCAATGAAAGAAGCCCACGAAAAGCACAAGAGAATGACTCAACAGAAGATGATGCGTCGAATGGAAAAGGAAGAGGGTCGACCGGATCTTATTGAAGGACTTTTGAGGAAGAAGGACGAGTTGGTGGGTTTCTATACACTTTTCTGAGAATAACTATTGACATTTCACAGAGCCTAACAGTTGATGAACTGATTTCAAATGCCGAAATTCTCATCATTGGGGGATCAGAGACAACGGCTTCATTACTGAGTGGAGTCACTTACCTCCTTCTCGCGAACCCAGAAGCCCACGACAAATTGAAAGCAGAAGTGCGCTCGGCTTTCCAAAGACAAAAAGATATCAACTTGATCTCTGTCAACGGTTTGCCTTATATGCTTGCATGCCTTGACGAGGCCATGCGCATGTACCCACCAATTGCCAACGGACTTCCTCGTCTGAGTCCTGATGGTGGTGCTATCATAGGAGGCCAACACATACCACCCAAGGTAAGCGCATCGTCATGTCAAACGTCATTCTCTCGGCAACTAACATAATCTTCAAAGACATTTGTGTCGGTTCATCATTGGTCACTCTATCGACGCGAAGAGTACTTCAAAGACCCTAATAACTATCACCCGGAGAGATTCCTGGGTGATCCTGCCTTCGCGGATGACCGCCGAGAAGTGCTACAGCCATTCCACGTTGGGCCGCGAAACTGCCTTGGTAGAAAGTAAGTACAGTGAAGTGCAATGCGAGAATATTGGTATTAATTTGTTCCTAGCCTTGCATACAGCGAAATGCGTTTGATCCTCGCGTTGATCATCTTCAAATTCGATATCACCCTTGATCATGAAGCAAAAGATTGGATGAACCAGAGAAACTTCCTCATGTGGGAGAAAGGGCCACTGAAAGTTCATTTGAGCCTAGTGTAGATTTCAATACAAAGCCTTACAAGTTCGATATGCCATGGATTGTGCTGCTTTCAACCAATAGTGAACGTCGTTCAATAGACGTGATCCCAAGGCTACTTATTTTCTGTCCTTTGAGCTATCTTTTTTACTGTCTTTTTTACTGTCTTTTTTACTGTCTTTTTTACTGTCTTTTTTACTGTCTTTTTTACTGTCTTTTTTACTGTCTTTTTTACTGTCTTTTTTACTGTCTTTTTTACTGTCTTTTTTACTGTCTTTTTTACTGTCTTTTTTACTGTCATTCAAACTAATCATCGAGTACTTGTGATTGGTCAAGGGAAGTCTTGGCTAAGCCGTGGACAGAGAATTAGGGATTGGGGATCATGGCGTATTCAATTGCAGCTCCTAATCATGAGCAAAATCGTTTAGGATATGGCCCTGCCCAGGTGGGTAATGAGACCTCAATAGTGATATGAGATTCAGTCATGACCAGGTTGCTGGCATGTAGGTTACCCTGAAACATCTGGAATGGACAGTTCTAAGTCCATGCCTAAGCCGATGTCACGCTTATTCCACAAAAACTTGACCACCTTCTCGACAGTCTCCCGCGCGCCTTTTTCCCCCACGAAAAAGAAATGGTTGCCATCGATAGCAGTCGTCATAAGTTCTGGAATCTCGGTAACAAACTTCTGCGTCTGCTTGAAACGAGTTCTGCCCGATGCATGTGTAGGAACGGGTGCATCCTCTCCTTGCTGGCAGTAATCGTCTATCCTTTCGTCTTGAGCCAATATGTTCATAGTGCGCTGGATCATCAAGAATGACCAAGTGGCTTTGTCAGTGAAAGCATGGCGGAGGTCAAGGGGGCTAGTGGGGTATATGGCCGCCATTGGTGGAAGGTTGGAAAAGTCATGAGCCTTGCCGTCTTCCATAATCTGCCATTCATCGACTTCTTGTACAAAATCGCCTGTGTCAACATCATACCGGAATCCAGATGTAGTCAGGCCGATAGGCGTGGCGCCAATGTAATCTTTCTTGTAGATGGCGGGATCGATGATATGTCGAGGAGAGCCATTCTCAACGTTTTCTTGAAGATGGCGCTGCTCCTCCAATTGTCGCAGGAATTTCCCCTCCAATGATTTCTTGGTTGTGTAACCCGCGGCGGTTTTATCGAAATGGGCCTTTGACACAGCGGGCAGAATGCCGGGAAGAGCCGGGGTGGCTGCGAGGGAGACAAATAGCTCAACTTTGATCCCGAATTTCTTTGCCTGAACTGTAACTGGTTGGAGAAGCTTGCCGCCCATGCTCCAAGCAAGCACAATGATCTTCTTGGAGAGATTGTGTGTGGTGATGACCGAATCGATAACAGCGGCGGTCTGCTTGCCCCATTCGTGGATTGTGAAGTTGGGACTGACAGCCGACATGAGGGGTTGCTCGGACTCTAGAGGATAGGATATGCCCAGGAAACCATAGCCACGACAATTAAACCAGTGGGCTAGGAAGTCTTCCTTGCGGTGGCCCTCGTGTCCTCCATAAGAGATGCGAGCGTAGTGGGCCATGCCCGGAATGAAAACCACAAGCGGCTTCGTGTTTCTTTTGGCAGGGAGGTATTTGTGGATGACGGGGTGACCACCCCGGGTTTCCAACTGCTCTCCTTCAAACAACGGCATATTGCGGAGTTGCGCGTGGTTGGGGTTGGAGTGTGGGGAAGATAGGCCGAGATGTCACAACAAAAGAGGGTCCGAAGAAAGAGGCCGCCAGGAACCAAATGGAAAGAAGACAGGGTGCCAGGAACTTAAAGGCAAACAATGTCAGCCCTGAAGATTGCTCTTTGGAGTACAAGCTTTTCACCTCACTGGTCTTGCCATATTTGTATGTTTCTATTGTTTCAAGGTTATCTATAGTTGTAGGTCTTTCGGGAGTCTTGAATTATGATCATGGATATTTTTTGAATGTCTAAAATGGAAAGTACCTCTCGCTGCCATAGCTGTATACATTGCAAAGGAATGGTCTCGCCCAGGGCTGTCGAGGATACTTTCCTGTGGTTTAGTCGGAGTATCTCCATGGTTGGTAGCAGCCTACAATGATCTCAGAGAACGAAGGTAATTAGAGTAGGTGGTATATCCATATTAAGTCCCGCTTGTACAAATCCCCAAAAAGCCTCTGTATGGCACATAAGTCATAGCATCATAAATCAAAACAGAATCGCGAGTCTCGAGCTCATGCCTGTCCTCCACAGCACTGAACTTCGTGGGTATTTAGTTTTCCGTATGCAACATGGATCTCATAAAAAAGAAAGAAAGAAACAACAAAAACAAAAACAAAAACAAAGGCAGATCATGATATCGTTTACACGCTCGCAGTGCGCCGGGGAACCTCGCTCGGTTTCTGAGCGTATGCAATGAACATGCGGAATCCAGTTCCGCGCTTCTGGCACTCGCGGAGTACCTTGCGGTCATTCCACATGTTGGGGGTGGAGTGAGCTGAGAGAATGGGATCTTCGTAGCACTTTGAGTACCACCAACGTCCGACACGAGCGACTATCTTAGCAATGGACTCATCGTTTGCTGGCGACGGGGATGGGTCGGAGAGGAGGTCCCCGAGGGAGATATTTCCATCTGGATATTTGGAGGGCAGTCCTCTGTTCTGGCTGTCTGCAGAAGTGATAGCAATAGTTGGCAGCGAGAAAGCGTTAGGATGGGCAGTCGTTGAGAAAGAGTTGGTGGATGAAGATGAGTCGGAGGATCGGAGAACCACTCCTGCAACTGGGATGCGAACTATGCAGCGGCGGAGACTGTCGAAGCCCTGGGCGCCGATTTCGCGTTGGATGCAGTCGCTGGTGGATTTGAGGCAGAGGGTCGAGTCGGATAGACAGGTGGTTTCTTTCAGTTGACGGACTGCTTTGCGGGTTTGCGGTCCCATGTTAACCATGTCGCGGTCGAGGAGCGTCATTTCCAGATAGCCGCCTGTGCGAAGAACGCGTTTGCACTCTTGGACAATGTTGCCTTGGACGGCTTCGGAGCATACGGTGGGGAAGCGTAGCACCACAACGGTGAAATAGTCCTTCGGGAAGGGAAGTGGATTCCCGAGTCCACCGTGGTATACGGTATGGTGATTCGTAGGAGGCTGCCATGCCGCAGGGTGAGGAACTAAGGTTGAGCCTGGGCGTCCAGAGAGGCAATACACCTCTGCATCGGGGTATGCGAGGGAGCAATCAAATGACCAGTCATCGTTACCCAATCCATCAATCACAAGGATTCGTCCCTGCGCTCCAGCTTTGACGTGGTTGTGTGCCGGGCTAAAAAGGACTCGACCGAAAGACAACCAGCGGCTGGTCATGAGTGAAGCAGAGCGCATATTGGTTTTAGTTACCACGTCCCACTCATGTTCAGGTGATCCGGTCTCTTGTTCGCGAGGAAATTTGGGCCTGGGAGACGGGACGGCAGCGAGGGAGTTAAGGAAGTTAGACTGGTTTTCACGGCGCTGGTCGGTAGTCGAGGACGGCTCAATGGTTTCAGTAAGGTCATCCTTCTCTTCTTTAAGGTCACCATACGGCGTGGCAAGGTCGCTATATGAAGGCTGAGAGGAAGGGGCCGTAGACGACTGCAGAGCCGACACAATTCGTGACCGTCGGAGGTGAACAGAGCTAGCACTTGATCGAACCGATGCGCGATCAGGCACAGGCTTATTATTGTGAGCACTATTCAACTCGTCCTGAAGCGCTCTGCTTGCCATAGTAGCGAGCTCAAACCTGCCCCCTTCATCAGTCTTTTCAACTTCTTCCGGCTTAGGCGTCGATTTGTCTGGCGACAGAACGTGGTCAATTAAATCATCAAACTCATTCCACACCTCGTCTTCAGTGGGCGGGGATCCGGGAACTGGTGCAACTGCTGTAACTGCAGCCAGCGCCCCAGAGCTCTCTGACGAGGTGGAGTCTTTCTTCGGAGGGAATTGAAGAAACTCGTAAGTTGAAAATGGACCAGCAAGGAATTCCAAAGCACTGGTGTCTTCTGCGGCGCTGAAAGTCGGGTTGAAACCGCGACCCCACTCGGGAGACTCATTGGGCGCGAATCCCAGATCGAATGGCATTTGCACATTCAAAGGGGTGTTAGCCATCAGCGGGGCCTCTCGAGTAGACTCTGTGGTTGGAATCGTGAGAGACGGGGACTCAATGCCGCTAAATGGCCTTGAGAAAGATTGCATGGCCGGCCGGTGATGTCTATCGCGCCTCGAAACTACCTGGGGGATACGGCCAATGGAGGCCAACCGTCTTGGTTTCCGCTCTGGTGATGGCTCAAGCTCTTTAGGCATCAAGTTGCGGTTAAACATCGCTGTCCGTGGTGACGGAGTATTGTCCCTCTCGAATTCGGCGTGCATCTTCGGCGGAGAGGGCAGCAGAATAGAGGGCTCTCTCTTTCTGATGTTCAAGCCTCGCGGAACTTCTACCGGTCTGGATGCTTCTTCCTCTTCAGTAGGTGGCGAGTCTTCGATGTTCTGGATGATATCATCCAGCTCATCTGAATCAGTATCTACCAAGGCGTAGTGGGCAACTGGTCGGTTGTTCAGTACTGGGGTTATGGCGGCATGAAGCTTGGTACTTGGAGGTGCTGTCTCCAGAGGCGTCGTCTTTTGCTCATTGCCGCGACTTTTGTGGAAGAAACTCCACATGGATCCCTTTCCTTTCTTGGCTTGCTGGGGCTCAGTCGGTTGGACCTTCGTTTGCTTGTTTGGAGATTGTTGGGCGATACGAGTTTGCTGACTCGGCGCCGCGATACTTGACTGCTGACTTGACAAAGAGGTGCTCGTTGCAGAAGCTTGAGGATTCGTCAAAATGCCAGGCTTCTTTCCTTTGGGCACCGGCATGCGCGACTTGGTTTGAGGACGACCTCCAGACTTGACTTGGCGTTCGGGGCTCCGGCTTCGCGCTGCTTCATTGAATCCATCCAGCGTGAGAGTCTCGCCTGATGTTTCGGTTGATGTTGCGAGAGAATCGGTAGATGGTCCAGTCGAGTATGAGAATTGCGCCTGGCGGGGTAGGGTAGAAACAGATGCAACGCTCACACTGCTCATACTCTGCTCGCTTTGTGTTCGCGATAATGATGCACCATCCACTCCGCCACCGTTGATAATAACGGGTTCGAGGCGACTCATCAAGAAATCATCGATTTCCAATTCCGGACGACTAGATTGACTCCCTTTGCTGGTGGCACTTCGAGCTGTGCTAGTTGATCTGGTTCTTGTGCCACTGCTGCTGCTCCCACTTGCCTTGCGACCTCTTTGTCCATACTTGCCATATCCTTCATGTCCTGTTCCTGCCGTAGGTCCTTTACGGGGTAGACGGGGATTTTCAGCTGTGCTCTCCGTCATATCTGGTTTAGACTTTTTCGGGAAGAGACCGAATCGTTTAGGCACTGGGATTTTCGGTTCCACATTCTCCTTTGGTGCCTCTTTTGTCAATGTTCGAGGTGATTTTCGTGATAAGACTGGAGATCCACCATCACGGGAAGGTATTTGTGATAGCCCTCTCGAATGTAGCGAGTCGTTTGATGCAGCTGCAGCTTGATTGGGAGTAGGGGTTGGTCGCTGGCTCGCAAGAACCTTCTCTATTGACTCGCGTCTCGTATGGCCCGTCGATCTGATGTATCGTAGATTACTTTGGACCACTGGAGATGTTTCCAGTTCCAGCCTATGTGTTCCATCTCTGCTTGGTCGAGGTGGAGTCTGCGGTGGCTCGGCTGTGCGTGCGGGGGAAGAGTGTGTTGCCCCATGTGAACCAAACAAACGCCTCTCAGCTTCTTCGACTTCTTTGCGAGCCTTCTCAGTGTCGATCTCAGCGGTTTCTGTATGGTTGAAACCGACGGAGAGTTTCCTTGGAGGATCTTGACGGGGACCTGCGATGTTGGCAGACGAAATATTTGTCGTTTGGATACCGCGCTCATTTTTGCGTCCTGGTATCTGCTCGGGATGTTTGGAAGCTGCTCGGATTTCCTCTTTCACATCTGGTATATCCTGTTGAGGGCTCGGGTGGACCGGTGGAGAAAAGACGGGCAATCTTGTTTGAGACGGACTCGGTTGTCGCAGCCGACCGATTTTCGTAGAATGAACGATACCTGGAGAGTAGGAAGATAATGATGTTGGTGTAGACCCTCGACTCCAGATACTCGGTGACACCGAGTATCTTGTTGAGGGACTACTTGCCGAAAAGAAGGGCGTGGGAGGGGGTGGCAAGTTCTGAGTATCGACTGTAGTCCGAAGACTTGCCAGCTCCTTCGGGCCATTGAACTTGGAACTCGCCGAATTTAATGTCACATTGCTATCATTCTTATGGCTCGGGTTGAATGGACTAGCAGATTGTGCCGATAGTGAGGAGGCAGATTGATTGTATGTGGACGCATTGGTCATGTTGATATCCTGAGAGCCCTGCGGGATTACAAGGCTGAGCTTGTTGGACTGAGACTGCTCCACATGCTGTCCTATTGTGGGCGCTCTTCTTCGTAAAACATTCCGAACTCGTTTCGGGGGCAATTGTTGTCCAGTAACAAACAGCGAGGGGTTTGCCTCTGGGGTCGACACCGATGAGAACGACCGTTGGGTGGAATTCTGGGACGAGGCAGACACCGGGGTAGTTGGGGATGCCGTAGTACCGATATTGGGACGCGGAAGCATGGACAGCCGATGGGCACGGCTTGATCTTTTGGCCGGGGGATCTTCGGCATCAGAGACCGATGCCTTGCTTCTCAAATTCCGGTCAATTGCAGGTCTCGCGATTTGAGAACGATGTCCATAGCCAGAGGCATGCATGTGATCAGAACCGTACGACATTGTGTACTTGGTTTTGGCTGCAATGCAGGAACGTATGATTAGATGGGTACATGTACTTCAATATAGTAACCATCACGCCTATCTGCAAGGCACTCGTCAGCCACAGTCCATTCTTGAATCTTTTCGACTCACTTTGTATCATGTCAAACGGAAATATTGTCGAGGGGCAATAGTGGGGTATAAAATTAAGGCAGAGAATCAAAAAAAAAGAATCAGATTGGCATCACAGTCGCACAACTACTCGACTAGCACATCGGAAGATTAATAGAAAATCGCCGGGCTGCAGATGTCAAAGTAGATAAAAAAGAATTGTGGATTGTAGCTGCAGCTGCTTCGCCACAGTATGGAGCAATGTGGCGTTGCGATCTCAGGGTTTTCCGAGCCCTGGCCACGTCAGAGTTCAAATCAGGCTGAAAAGCAAACAAAATAAGTTTAAAAAAGAGATGCGTCAAACAATAAATTGTAGAAATGGACGAGACAGACATTTATGTTGCTGACCGGGATTGCCCCTCGGTGTGGAGAAGAGAAAAAAGCCTGGAGACCGCCATGACCATATAGACACAACCGTTCTAGACGGCCTCTCCGATATCGACAGGGGGATTCCAATCCACGTCTCTCATTGGTGAGAATCTCACCGTGACTGTCGTGATGAAAATGAGTCGAGACACTGGAGACCCCGATTTAGTGAATTTAGTTGAATGATATGGCCCCAGTAAACCTTGCAAGTCAAACGGGAATTCTACAAATACCCAGGGCGATTCCCCAGTGGCCCAGGGTTGTGCGCACGGAAGTCCCATATGGGGATTAAAGGGCCGAAGGCCCACCAGAGGGTCTTTTCCTAGTCGCAATTTGTCGGTCTACGGATTCCACGCTCGGCGGCAAGGTATACTAGACACTTTCTGACAGGCTAGGACATAAGACGCTACTTTTGTCATGGCTTACTCTGTCCTGATCTGTCCTGCCTCAAACATGCTGACTTGAGATCTAATGCACAGAGTACAGAGTAGACTTAAGCTGAGTGCATGCATAAGAGCCCGTGTCGCCCTGGCTATACTGGTTATCGCGTCTCTCGTTTGAACAACGCATCCGGAGACGCCGAGTCGATCCCAACTAGGCGAGATCGACTTGAACGGGCCTTGCAATGCGTTTGTCGCTTTATCAATTAATCATTTTCCATTTCTGTTTTAGTACTCCGTAGTCTGGAGATCTTGCATTCAAGGAATTCTCCGTAGATTGAAGGCATGCATATGCAGAGAGACGTAAAGGTGCATCCTACGCGCCGTGAGATACTCCGACACCGTCGCACATATCCCAATCATGTCTCGGGCAGAGGCATGAGACATCTCTCGTCTCAGCTAAGAGATCCCCGGCCATCCAGAGTTGTGCGTAGTTTGGTTCCAAGGCCCGACCCGAGCCTTTCTGAGCTTTGGACAGGTGGGCCTCGAATCCGTCTGTCCTTCGCACTTGTAGTATCACTCGTAACTGGGATGGATGTTTCAATGTTCGAGCCAACATTGTGGAGGCCGCTAGCCCATAGGCTGTGATGGCCCACTGAGTGATGGAGCAATGAACACGCCCTGGGGGATCATCGCAGATTAGCCCTGCAGCCACCGTCTAAAAAAAGGCGCCTGGTGGATTTCCATTCGCGGAGCCCAAGTGGGGAGAACGGTACGGAGTAGCGCTTTCAAACTCGCAATGTTCAATGCTCAAGAGAATGAGGATTGTTCGCACGGCTAGAGACGGTCGATCCCACACGTTTTGGCTTGTTCTCGCTCGGCCACTGGCCAACCCCCACGCAGGAACAAGCGACTAATGCACTCTTCAGCTGTCTTCGCACACAATCACCGGGGAACTCCAGCTGGGCGCCGCGAGAGAACTTAAGATTGAGTTTTCCTCCCTTGAGACGGGAAGTTGAGACGCAACGTCCTCACTACACTACTCCGTACATCCTACGAGGGTCTGAGGTCTTTACACACAAACTGCTAGTTCCGCAAATATTAAAACAAATCGAATGGAGATGGCCGAGAAGATGGCCTTGGAATTGCCCAATAGCATATCAACACACAGAAAGAAAGAACGCCCATGAGATAGTTAACATTGAGATAGAGAAACAGAACACTTAAGCCGCAGCAGCAAAGCGCTTCTTACGAGCCTCCATGGCTGCATTGTCCTTCTCGCTCCAGGTCTTCTGTGCATTGCCACCCGCATTGGGCTTCTTCACACCAGCGTTGGTCTTGTTGCCGTCCGGGTTGCGATTCCGGTTGCCATCGCCACGGCGATTGCGGTTGCGACCGGTGTCGCGTCTCTTGCCACCACGGCCATCGCGAGAATCATTCCCGCGCTTGCGAGGCCGCTCATCAGGAAGCGCCTGATCAAGACGGCTGACCCCAGTTTCCTCGACTCCAGTACCGAATCGTTGAGCGCGTTCGAGTTGCTTTGTAGCCTCCTTCAACGCCGTCTCATCATCCTCGACAATTCCGAACTTCGCGGCGCGGGCCTTGCGCTTGGCCAGTTCTGCTTCCAGATCGGTTGTAGGGAGTCCGCGGGTGTAGTCGACAGCAGGCTTCTGTTCAACAGGGGCTTCGGCTTGGGTGGCGGCTTCGGGCGCAGCGCCGGTCGATTCAACCTTGAGGTCGTCGGTTGTGGCAGGGTCCTCGTCGAGCTTCTGGTTGGGCACGGCGACAGGGTTAGGGACTGCGCCTTGTCCGCCAGCGGCGATTGCGGCAGCTCCGGTTTCTGTGGAAGCTTGCGCGGGTGTCTCTGAAGGCTCGTCGTCCCAGTCGATGACGTCCTCGGTGTCGGTCTTGGCGGCGGGCGCAGCAGCGTCAGTCGCAGTAGCATCGGCGGGCTTGTTTCCGTCGTTTTCTTGAAGGCGCGAAACCATGTCGGCCTTTTTGCCGGTGTGGGGGAGCGATCGAGCTTTGAGGATCTCGACCAATTCGGCGTTGGTCTTCTTGCTGTAGTCGGTCATTGTTGCGATCGGGGTGGTGGTATCAGGTAAAGACAGGGATAACAAGAGCGATGTGATATGAAAAATTCACTCTGTCGTTATTTTTGCGTAAGATTGGATGAACAAATGAAATTGAGATTGAAGACGCGACTGAAGGAGCTGAGTGACAGATGTGTATGTAATTGGACACCTCAGGCCGCAAAGCCAACACGACATTCCCTCGACTTCCATCCTCTTTGCAGATGCACTTCGCCACTCACAGGGGTCCCTGTCAAACAAAGTAATTGACATCAGTTATCTTTATTCCTTTGACATAGTGAAACTCTATTTTTTATCACATTCTTCGGCCTTTCAGCGACTAGGAGGGAAAATCCAGGTTTCATAGATGTAGATATAGGCGGTTCCTTGGGGAAAATTGAACCTTCGGAATTACTACATGGTTAGAATCCGATATTCTGTCTAACAGGCAATTCCTTCTCTCATCACAAACATAGCAATGTCCCTTAAGCCCCGTGGATCTTTTTCATCTCGAATCCAGTCACGCCGGGTTCACAATCGACGCCATCAGCAAGTTCAAAAGACACGCCGCAATATCCATCGATACTGATAGCAATACCAATAAAATTTGTGTCATCCTGACCTTCTCCGGTAGCAATATCATTGCCGTCCTTGTCTCGAACGGCACAGTTGTCTGGCAATTCGGCGTGTGTATAGCAGTAGAATTGGAGCTCTGCTCCCTCTTCCAAGCATCCGCCAGTGAGGGAATAAAGAGCCCCATCTCCACCCATACACGGAGAATAGCCGTCGGGGTAATCAGTGTTGAAGACCTGGGATCCGTCTTCCTTGAGAAGAGAGAAGCCGCTGTCGTGTCCGATCATGGCGCTACCCGAGGGTGGAGATATGGTTGAATAACTCCCGCTGCTCCAGACAGCATTGAGCTTTTGACCACAGTAGCCGGTGGAAGCAAACATGAGTGTCCCTAGTGACAAGGCCTTGGCAACATTGGAGGAGTACATCATGGTGGTGGTGGCAGGTTGGTGAAAAGTGAAGGTATGTATCTTGAGAAACCAGGATGCTGGTTTTATGGGATATCAGGTATCATACGTCTCTTTATATGTTTGTTTCTGCTTCATGTCTCTGCCAATGAAATATCATAACATTGCCTGTACCTGCAGTTATTCTGATTTCTCTCGCCCCCAATCGATCCTCGACTTGGTTTCCTAAAATGGTATGGGAATCATGGAGACCCCGACTCTGAAACCCACACTTTCATCATTCCTGCACGGGATATACGTCAATAATATAAGCACTAATCAAATGGGGCACTCGAACGTAGATGTCTTCAGACAATCCTAGTAGATCCATATACTCAAAGGGCTGGTCTTCCTCTTGGCATTGTGTCATTAGCATACCTTGGCGGGTGAACAAATCTATCGGGTCTGAATCAGAAAGCTAAATTGTTGAATAGGAATGGTAAACTGACTAAAGCATCGGCATCGATGCAGATGCCCAGGTGGATGCCACAACCTTCGGAGCGGCGGTCTCGGGAACTTGGCTAGTTATATTTGTTTTTGTTCTCATTGGGTAACTTTCCGGACATCTGCTTGTTTAAACTCTCGAAATACTCGCTTGTGTTGCTCCAGAAGCACTAATGTCGCCACTGTTTGGGGTCCCAAGCGGACAAGACTAGGCGTCCAGCCTCGAAAGATCCATCTGATACCTTCGGAAATGGTAAGATCCTTGATGACCTGCAGAACTCCATATCTTCCCGAAGCCCCCATCATCTGCGTTTTGATGACATCAATAGGACTGCATACCGTAGTAGCAACCAGTGCAGCCATGAAAGAAGCCGACACGTGTAATCCAGGATGCTCGCTAGAAACGCCAGTGCTCGCAGCTAGAATGTCCCTGAAGGTATCATATGAGGCAAGCTGGCAGCTAGTCATCATGCCACAGCGGAAGGCATTTGGCCATAATCCCTGCCCAAAAGCTTTCCATCCTTCTTGTCGTTTGATCTGTGTCCACGCATCGAAGATGTGGCGATAATTGCGCCGAAGTTCTGGAGGCAATGAGCCGTCATTCTGCATGCGGATATTTCCAATGTCCGAAGCGTTGCCGAATATGGCACCGACAAACCCTGATATACCTGCAAGTAGACCAAGCACAGGTGGGGAGTTTGGAATATCATTTGACTTTGTTTGCTCTTTCAGTGTCTCGTAGAGACCAATGCGGACTGAGCCATATGTCACTTGCAAAATAATTAGCAATAGCTTGATTTATACCTAGCCATTTCACTCACACTGTCTCATAAATCCTGCGGAGAGCTCGTGTCTGTCAGCGCTTGAATGACTTCATGTTCGCATTTGCATCAGACCTACCCCGTTATAGAGCCCAGATATGCCTTCCCCTCGAATGATTCGAACTCCGGTAGCGAGGGTGCCGACTTTAGCTCCGCACTGCATCTGCATTCTTACTTTGACTTTTTGGGCACTTGGTTAATTCCTGAATATTTGATTGGGTTGATATGCCTCTGAATTCACTTACTCAAGTCCAAAGGATGAGAAACAAGTACAGCCATGCATGATGCTGAACCCCCAAACCACTTAGGGTAGATGACATGGGGTTCTGTTGGTTTTGCCATTTTCAGAAGGATGCTCGCTGCTTGGCTGAATTATTCCTTCTGTTTTATGTTGCATTTACATATAGCCGATTTGGAAGCATGGAGGTCGTCCCAAGAAGCCGGGCTGAACGCGGGGGATTACCGAGCGGTTGATCTCCGGAGTAGCTATTTGACTAGTATCGACTTTCGAAAATGATCGTTAGCTTTGGGTGAATCGACGCAATGCATGGACCCTCGAAGCCCATGGGTCGAGCCTCGTCTCCCGAGGTCGACGTCCGGGTACCTTGCATTGGGATATGCAAAGAACAAGATGGTAGTTCAATTGTCCACACCAGTTTACTTGTGGACACGAATTACCCAGATAATGATTCAAGCAATGCAGTTTACGATCAAAAGCAGCATACTACGCTGAGAGTAAGAAAACAACTCACAAAAGAATCAGGGTTCACTATACACAGGGCTTATTTGAAGCAGTAGTTGGGGAAAAAAGCAGACACACAAAGGAGAATGACAAGACATAATAGCACAACGCCATGAGAAGAAAACATGGAACATTTGATACACCCCGGCCAGCATCGGAAGATTCAGGGTTTATGAATCACATCAAGGAAGTAAATCGTTCCTCTTTTCTGATTTTATCCCCCGGCACAGGCGAATCTAACCATCTAAAAGAGTGCCATGGGAAGGTTTTCTTCGGTTTTGGTTTTTCGTTTTTATTATTGCGTTGCCAACATGATTTACCGGTCAACCTCTCCGAACACCAGATCCATAGTACCTTTAAAAACGTTAGCATTTGATGTGAATGACCCAATGGGAAAGAAAACTTACCGATGATAGCGACAGCATCGGCGAGAAGGTGACCACGAGACACCTGGTCGAAACCACCCAAGTGAGCGAAACCAGGAGCACGAATCTTGCAGCGGTATGGGCGCTCGCTGCCGTCGGAGACAAGGAACACACCCATCTCACCCTTAGGGGCCTCGATGGCAGAGTATGTCTCTCCAGGGGGAACAGAGTAACCCTTGGTGAAGAGCAGGAAGTGGTGAATGAGGGCCTCCATGTTCTCCTTCATGGCGGCGCGGGGAGGAGGAGAGATCTTGTAGTCCTCAACACGAACGGGACCAGCGGGCATCTTGTTCAGGCACTGGTGGATGATACGGAGAGACTGGCGGAATTCCTCCATACGGCAAAGGTAACGGTCGTAGCAGTCACCGTTGACACCGACGGGGACGTCAAACTCAACCTGATCGTAGGCATCGTAGGGCTGAGACTTGCGGATATCGTAGGGAACACCGGATCCACGAAGCATGACACCGGTGAAACTCATGTTGAGCGCATCGGCGGCGTTAACAACTCCGACACCCTGGGTTCTGGCCTTCCAGATACGGTTGTCTGTGAGCAGCTCCTCGGTTTCGTCAATGCGGTCACCGAATTGAGTGGCCCACTGGTAGATGTCGTCAAGGAGACCAATGGGAATATCCTGTGAAACACCACCGGGGCGGACGTAGGCGGCGTGAAGACGAGCACCGGAGACACGCTCGTAGAATTCCTAAAACATCCAATGTCAGAATTCAAGGCTCCGCTGACGTCGCAATGGATAGCTGTTCAGCACTTACCATAAGCTTCTCACGCTCTTCGAAACCCCACAAGAAGGGAGTAAGGGCGCCAACGTCCATGGCGTGGGACAAGACGGACATGAGGTGGTTCAAGACTCGGGTCATCTCACCGAACAAGGTGCGAATCCACTTGGCGCGCTCGGGAAGTTCGACGTTCAGCAACTTCTCAACAGCGAGAGAGAAGCACTGCTCGTTGGTCATCATGGAAACGTAATCCAATCGATCGAAGTATGGCAGGGCCTGCATGTAAGTCTTGTACTCGATCAACTTCTCGGTACCACGGTGAAGCAGACCGACGTGAGGATCGGAGCGGACAATTTCTTCACCGTTCAGCTCCAGAATCAATCGGAGCACACCGTGAGCAGCAGGGTGCTGGGGACCGAAGTTGACAGTGTAGTGACGGATCTTGCGGTCGATCCCTTCGGCCTCGGATTCAAGACCAGCCGCATCGGGGTCCTCGGTTGGGGGCTTGTTGGCCATAGAGGTGAAAGTCGGGTCGGTCGGCACAAGTCGTGTGGCCTGGTAAGCGGCAGCCTCTGCATGACGGCGAGGAACGGAGGTGGTTATCGATCGAGAACGAGGAATGGATGTGTTCAACGAGGAGGGGCGGAGGCAGAGCCTTTTGGGCGCATTGCCCGCCAGGCGAGCGAAAGAAGCGGCCATGAAGGATAGGTAGTGGGAGGTCCGAGGGGGAAGAGAGGGGAGATGATCCTCAATCCAGGCGCATTCAATGGGTGGGGATGGCTCGCTACGGAAAAGGACTGGTGAATTGAAGTTGGCCCGGAGTCGCGCATTTTGGCTCGTCACGTGAAAAGCTGCCGGGTCATCAGCCCGTTGCTGGTTGGCTTGTGAGGGCATCTATACTGCATTCAATCTAGCGTGAAGCTAGACCTAATCTAGTTAGCGGCATGCTAACTTACATGCATTTGGGCGGTATGCAGCTCACATAATCCAATTTTATGTCTGCAGAATAAAGACCAAGTTCTGCCTTAGGCCATATAGAAAATTGCTTCGAGAAATTCCTCTTATCGGTGATCGCGGATTTTACCCTCAACCTTCACCAAGCCTTCAATACTTGCCCACCATGGCGCCTCTAGTTCCCTCGCAGGACGAGCTGAAGCGTCGCCGAGTATGTTCAACGGAGTTATAAGCTATGATCCATGCTAACAGTCCTAGCTCATTGGCATCAATGCCGAAACCGTCACCAACATCCCCTCCACAGATTTTCCTGGCCACTGGCCCGGAGAGTCGCATGGCTGGGCAATCGACGAATTCCAGAAGGTACGTGCTGAAACCCTTTTCAGGTGCTATCTGTCAAATGCGATTCAACAAATACTAATCTTTTTTATCTAACAGAATTTCCAAGTCGAGTTCCACCGCAATGATCAATTTGAGGCTTCCTTCTCGCTGATCGGACTCGATGCCGCGGTCGCCAACGCTTTCCGCCGTATTCTCATGGCCGAAATTCCAACTATCGCTATTGAGGATTGCTTCATTCACAACAACACCTCTGTCATTCAAGACGAGGTGCTCGCACAACGTTTGGGTCTGATCCCACTGAAGGGTTCTGTCGAGGGAATCAACTGGATGCAATGGTTCAAGAAGGCCACCGAGGAGGGCGGGGAGGAAGACGGTCCCTGTGATTTCAACACTATTGTGCTCCACCTCGATGTGGAATGCTACAAGAATGAGCACGCAGCCAAGGACGAGCAGGATCCCCGCAAGCTCTACGCCAACGCCAATGTTTACGCTAAGGACCTCATGTTCACCCCCGTTGGTCGCCAAGAGCAATACTTTGTCGATGATGGTGCTATCGCACCCGTCAACCCGGATATTCTGATTGCCAAGCTGCGTCCCGGTCAGGCTATCCAGATGGAACTGCACTGTCAGAAGGGTATTGGTGCTGATCACGCCAAGTTCTCCCCGGTTGCCACTGCCTCGTACCGCCTCCTCCCCGATATCAATATCCAGCGTCCTATCATTGGAGACGATGCGAAGAAGTTCGCCAAGTGCTTCCCCAAGGGTGTTATTGGTCTTGAGCCCGTCACCTCCGCAGAGGCTGCGAAGCGCGGAAGTGGGTACGAAGGCCACGCCGGCGAGCAAAAGGCTGTTGTCAAGGATGCCTTCTCGGATACCGTTAGCAGAGAGTGCTTGCGCCACGAGGAGTTCAAGGACAAGGTCAAACTTGGACGTGTGCGCGACCACTTTATCTTTAATGTGGAGAGCACTGGTCAATTTGACAGTGACGTGCTCTTCCTTGAGGCTGTTAAGGTTCTGAAGTTGAAGTGCAACCGGTGGAAGAGAGGTTTGACCGACCTGATGGGTTAGGTTAGCACTCTTCACCTTATTTATGCATTCTCGGCGTTGGATATATTGGCTACGTTTGCGCTGTACATTTACGAAAAGTTTGGTCGGGGCTCCGCCTCACGAGGCTGGAGTGTGGATGTTGTTAATTGTCTTGGAAAAGAGCAGGCCAACAGCTATCTTTTGAATTCTACACAGTCAACTGAAGCTAATTCTCTTGTCATCAAGTATTCGGTCGCCGTAGATATTGCATCAGAGCACTGAGCGTTTAGTTGAAATTGAGACGGAAGCGGAAATCGATGGTATAAGCCGGATCACTGACAGCGATCTCCTGGCCATCCTCGATCAGTTCTGACAGCTTCAACTTTAAGTGCGGTCTCGTCATTTCCTCCAGCTGAGGCGGGAACCGTTGGTAGAGAGTCTTTTCCTCGGTACGCATGCTGGGCTTCTTCAATTGGGACTCAGCCCGCTCGCCCAAACTCTCGATAAATTCACCCAATGTCATATTGGGATCCACGTTCATCTTGCGGGCAAGGTTACCACACACGGGGCAGTCAGGTTTCTTTTCGGCCTCGAAGGTGTAGGTGTATACTCCTTCCTCGCCGGCATACATCATGTAGTTGTCGAGGTAGGGGTTGCTGGAACTGGCGATCTTCAGGACTTCGGAGGTCGTGGAAGCTGCAATGACAGCATTTGTTGATGCGATGGCGGGAATAATGTTCTTCACAACGCCTTGTGTCATTTGGAAAGTGACTCCGTGAATATGGAACTGCTGTGCTCGTTCATAAGCGGCGTTGTATATCCATGAGATGTGCTCCATGTCATCGCTATCGAAAGTATCATCTTTGCGCTTCTCTTGCCATGCAATCTGGTGTGCCCATTCAATGCAATGCTGAGGCTGGCGAGGGATAGTGGCAATGGTGCAGAGGGGAACTGCGGGACGGGGAGCGTGCATATCAAGCTGGCACTCGATGCATGATGAGAGTGTTGGCAAAATCACACGCGCTTGTCCCTTGAACCCTGTTTCAAGTTAGCCATGTCCTTGGGAGGAAGGGGGAAGGTTTTCTATAATAGCCCATACCTTCAGTCCCGCCGTCGACCAATGGCTTTAGACTGTCAGGGTCTTCCATGTCCACCATTGAGATCAAGGTGGCATTAATCCATCGTCTGGCTTCGATGCTGTCCAAGCCGCAGATGATGATCTTAAATTGCATGTAGTAATCTTCATCCTTATCCTGGATCTTGCCAACATAAGGTGTGATGGTGACACCCTTCACTCTCTTTTGCACGAAAGCGGCAGCAACTTCGGCCTTGGGTTTTCCAATATCAGCCTGACGGAAAAGGAACTGTCGGTTCAGATTTGAAATATCAATTGTGTCTGGCAATCATCAGCTTCTGGTCTCGATGGTGTGTATCGCAAAGAACATACCCATGTCGATTACATGGATGTCTTTGAATCCAGACAAAGCTAGGTTCTTCAAAATTTCACACCCCAGTCCTCCAGCTCCGCTAGGTTCTTATTAGTTGACAATGTCGCTAAAGAACAAGAACTGATAAGGCAGACATACATCACCCTAGGAATCCGGTTAGCAAAGCAACAAAGTCTGCGGAATACATCGACTTACAAGATCTTGGATGATTCCAGAGACTGAATGGTCTCAGGTCCAGGGACCCATTCTTCGTCTGTGTAGGGACCCCGTTTGCTGAGAACGTTGTAAAGATGCTTCCTGTGGGGTATTAGAGAGGTGGATGATCGCGGGTGGCGCGACTTACCATCGACCCTGCTGGTCCACGTAGACTGGAGCTTCCGGGCTTCCTGGGGTTTCGATATCCAAGTCCATTTTGGTAATGTTTCTCATTCAAAAAATCGATGGAAGTAGATGGACCCGATCACCTAGTATCAAGTCACGATCCGCTGTCTCTACAGTCGACCTGATCCGGCTTTTGTTGTCTTTGAGATAAGGTGAATTTGGGTTGGAAAAATTCCGATGGCCTGCAAGGGTTAGATTCCTGCTCAGATCACAGAAGTATCGAAAGTATCGAGAAGTCAGAGGAAGTGACAGCACTCATCGCGCGCGCGTGGGCTGGCCAAGCTGACTAATGAGCTGCCCGCATACTGGAAACTTCACCTCAGAAACAGCTTGTCTTTCCTCGTCGAAAACGATTTCGGCGAAGATTCAAAATGGATGGACTTTTAACAGAGGTCAAAACTGTTAAGCGGGATTCAGACCCCTTCATCACGCCTGCTGCTGCTGTTTCGGAAGACTCAACAAAACATGACCTAGATCTCGACCACTTATCATCTCGTCACATTATAGATCTACTCAAGTCGAACCCTGATCGAGAACAATTATCTGCCATCTTGACATTTATCGATCCTTTCAGCAAAACCAAAGCTGACAGGGACTTTGATCTCCGACTTGCAAGCCCCATCACAGCTCAGATTCTCCAATTGTTAGTCAGCACCACGATTCCAACCCATTGGGGATTGCTGGATTCCAAACAGAGCAAAGGAAAGGATCTGAAGTCCCGAGCAGCGCTGTTGAGATGTCTGAGCAGTGTCGCTGGTATTGGCTCCCTGGTCGCTCAGCTACGCACGTTGATCAGCGCCGCGCGTGCCTCTGCCCATCAAGCCCAAGGGTCAAGTAGTCAGCTCGGAATTCAAGAAGTTTTGGCTGTACTAGCCGCTTTGACAGAACCGAAGGATTTCATTCTTAGGCTTTATTCCGACATATCGAAAATCTCTGACAACAACACCCGACAGCAAGTTGCGTGGAGGGAACTCGTGTCCCTTGTTGCTGCCGGTAAAATTCTATCCACGGCAGCTGAGGCTCTGACTGTTCTAGATGCATCTTCGGTGTCTCCAAGCCATTGGATCGCAACTGGGCCTCAATATGCGGTGTGGATTGGGCGCAATGTCGCCCACATGGCACTCAAGCTCAATCAGGAGGACACAACCGGCTGGTCGTCCCTTGCTCTTCTTGTGGGCAGATCTTTGAGTCTTGGTTATACTGGTAAATATACTATTCTGTGTGATTATAGTTTTAAAGCTAACAAGACACAGATCAATTCGTCAAGGAAGTCTACGCGAGTCTACTCCTTGAGCACTCTTCACCCGAACCCTTTACCTTGCTACAAGATCAACTCAAACCAATCGAACAAACCGCGTTCCTCGAAGCAATCTTCCGTGATATTCAACGAAGGCACTTTGCAGACGACCTGTCCGGCTCGGTGAATCAGCCTTTAGCTTCATCAGAGTCTATCGGGGCTGTAGCAGCTTTGTGCTCCGTGGTCATCCCTAGTCGGTCTCATCTGGAGAATCTGGTCATTGAATGGCTTTCGAAGTCACAGGGTGGCTCTATCACCACATTAGGACTGCGTCGTGCTCTTCTGGTCACTTATAGTGATCGCAGCGGTCAGTCCTTCCCTGGGTCTCACAAAAATCTAAACTAACAACCCAAACAGATGTGTTGAGCTCCGTGCTTCATCGCAGCTTGGAACAATTTGGAGATAGGTTCTCTATCAAACACGTCCCAAACGTGGTTCAGAATGGTAAGTCGGCTCCTGGTGCCTTTCTGCAGCAGAAGAGCTTCTAATTGTAATCAGCAAATGCACAAATCATCCTTCTTGCTGCCGGGCACCTTCAGCGATCAGATAAATCGCAGGTCCAAGATGCAGGCCGGTCAAGTGCATATTTGAACGCAGTGTCTAATCGACTAGCTGCGTCCTCGAACAGGGCTCGATTCCTTGGCATGGTCGTTGGAACTGGAATCTCTGCGCTTGTTGAACAGCCTGACAAGGTGCTTAAGTTTGATCTTGATGAAATGAAAAGCGAGGAAGCCCAGTGGTATCTGAATTTGACCAATGTTCACGACCAGCTCGGCTCTCCCGGCTCTATCAAAACATTGCAGGTCGTCCAACCGGCAAGGCCAGAGACAATTCAACCCAAGCCCGTGCCTAAAGCAAAAGCACATGCCCAGCGCCAGGAAACCAGCAAAATTGTTGCGATCGAGGAAATAGAGGACAGTGAGGAAGACAACGACGATGACGACGATGATCTCATCCCATATGAGAAGCCAGATGACGACGCGTATGATTCTGATGACGATCCCACGTTGATCCAACGGAATAAACCAGTAGCACCAGTGTGAGTCTTGGATTTCACGAATTCGCTTCGAACGTGCTAACAAATGTCAGATACATACGCGATCTGATTCCAGCCCTCAGAGACACCGAAAATGTTGAACGACACCACCTTGCTATAACCACAGCCCCATCTTTGATCCGAAGGAAAATAGGCTTCGGAACTGAGCTTGCCGAACAGATCGAAGAACTAGCATTGACGATCGTTGGTCTTCAAAATGAAAATGATCATCCGACGTTCCACGAGTCTCGTTTGCAGAGCATGATTGCACTGATCGTATCCCAGCCCTTCAAAATGGCGCGCTGGTTCACTGCCATATACTTTGATGGCGATATATCTCAAGTGCAAAGATCTGCTGTTTTAACGGCGCTTGGTCTGAGTGCCCGTGAAATAGCTGGCAATGGGGAAGATGATTCCAAAGCACTTCGTCTCCCGACCACTGGCGACACATCATTCCCATCAAAACGTCTTTCCCCTTCTTTAGAAACTGTTTATTCTGGAGCCGACGAATCTCCTATTGCAACGCTCACTCGCGAAATGTCCCGCGCATCGTTGCAGCCACTAGCAGCAAACGCGGCAGATGCAATGACAGGACCTAATGCTCTCAAAGTGCGCACTTTCTCATCACGCATGGAAGTGGAAAAGAAACGCCAGCAGCGTGATACCCAGCGTCAGAAGTCCACAATAAAGGATCTACACAAGGTGCTGGCCGAAGGCTTCTTCTTCCCAATGCAGGGCCGGTTCGAAATCATGATGCTGCAAATCGCATCGTAAGTCCTCTAAATCCAGCCCAATGCGCTATGCCATGCATACTGACTTGATTGCAGATCGTCTTCCTCCTCATACAATCCATTCTTCATTCCGCATCTCCTCACTCTGTTCCTCCAAACCCTTTCTCTCATTCTCTCTACCACAGGCCCAAGCACCCCCTTCCTGCCTGGTCTCACCCACGAAGCCATTTCCCTTCTCCTTTCACTGCATACAGCCTCTACATCCAGTGAGCCAACGGTAACCGCCGCTCTGTTGTCTCTGTTCCTTGTTGTGGTAGATCTCAACATCGCATCTGGCTCAAACGGCGAAGAACGATTAGTCACTGAGTATGCGACCCAGGTAATCGAGTTGCGTGAGTGGGCTTCTCAGGTGTTTGATCGGACGCCACCATCTGCTGCACGGGCCGATCCAAGCTCTGCTGTTAGTGATCCACAGGAGCAGATACGTACACTCGCTGCTGGTGTCATGGTACGGCTTGGTGAGGTGATGGAGCGGTACCAAGGCCGATTAATGGGTGTGCACTCTGGTTTCAGCTATTAGTTCACTTTCTACTGTATGAAGCCATGAAACAGTTATTGAGCTGGTTTGGGTGAAGAATCTCGAGATGGATAATGCTAGAACCACTTATCATATCCACATAACGTTGCGACATGAGGTTTCAAGTTGTAGATAATATTGCTGAATTGCTTCCGAAAATGACATCGCTATGAGCGCCGAAGTAGATTAATCTAATTACTTTGCACTGGCCGGGCCAAAGCTACCCTTCTCGATAGCCGCCTCCATCATCCGATCGCCGCTGATGATACTCGTGGTACAAATGACAATCTTTCTCCGCGGGGCCTCCTGAGCAGCAATAAAGCGCAGAGCAGCAATCTCCGTGAACGTGATGCCACCCAAGAAAAAGACGTACACAGTCTTGGTACCAGAGTTTCCACTGAGCGTCTGTCGCGCGCGGACAGCCTTGTCATCGCCTTTCTGCACAATGCTGAAAGTCGCACCCCGCGCGCTTTTAACCACATCCTCGAAGCCAAGCCAGCCAGGAGACACTGTGCTGGCGGCATTGATAGAAGCAGCAGGCGTCCCACCCTTGATAAGCGAGACCATGTAGGATTTCTGCAGTACGCATTGCACTAGCCGGACGCTCAGTGGTGCAAAGCCACTGTACACGTATGAGATATCGTTGGGATCTTTCTCGCTGACTTCTTCAATGACAAGGCGGAGGTTCTTGCGCAGGTATCCATAGTTCGTCTTTGTGCCTGCCTGTGCGCCTGATGTTGGAAGAAGCATAGTTGTAGCTGGAGATCGGGGTTGCAGCAGCTCCATCTTTTCCAACGCCCAGAATGTGAGAAGATGCTGGTGCCCGTATGCTTGCACGATCTGTCGCTTGAAGTTTTCCAAGTCGCGTGGGCGGAGACCGCCCGACATGCATGATTCCAGGCAAAGAAGTCGGAGGACCGTTTTTAATGGAATGTCTCGGGCAATGAGCTCTTCAATGGTCTCGTGCTGGTATGTCGAGTCTGCACCAGCAGCGTTGTTTTGTTGGACTTCTAGTGTTTTGCGGAAGGTCTCGGACCGTGTGAGTCGCATTATCTCCTCTGCTAGGTTTGTATGTGTTCGAAGACTCTGGTGCTCCAACTGATATGTTGGGAGCCTATTGACAAACTCCCGGAGTTCGCCGGTCGTTTTGGCTGTATGACGGGTTTCGTATTCGTTCTCCAGGCGCCGTGCAACTTTGTTCAGGATATCACCCACGATTGCAAAGTTAGCATCCCGGAGTTGGTTAAACAGTTGATCTGAGGCATCCAGTTGGACCTTGCGCTTTGGTGGGCCATGTTGCTGGGGTGTCTTAGATGATTCCTGAGGCTGCGGTGCAGAGGCGGGACCAACAATGCTTGTGTCGATATCTGCCTGATTGTTCTTGATACCAACGTACTCATCAATCAAGCCTTCATACGTGAGTTGTGTTAGAAGAGCTGTTCCGAAATCGACATCGCGATCGATGATGATCAGGTTCTCAACATTCGAGCTGGGTAATAGCCCTCGAGCAGACGGATCAGCCAGGCCAGAGCTCTCTTCTGCGTCGAGTTCCTTTCTCATGCGCAGCAGCAGATCTGTCAAGCGGCGGGCATTGTCGCCCTTTCCAACGATTCTTGGGAAATACCCGTGGCGTTGCTGGATACCCATCAGAGCCTTGGCGGCATGGAATATGCATCCAGGATCTTTGTGCTATTTCAGGTTAGGATGAAATAGCTTCCCAAGAAAGAGATTCCCACTCACCAAGTACAAATCGCTGAATGAATCATCCAATTCTAGCGACAAGATGTCCTGCTCTAGCGGCATGAACAGAAGTGGAAATTCGGCAATGTTTACGTCGCCAATAATTCCAGCCTCTTCCAGTACTGCATTTCCCACGAGGGTCCGCCTCGGCGAGAAGAAGATGGAATACTCATGTTCAACGTTGCCGTTGTTCTGCAGGCGCTTGATCTGCTCTGAAATAACAATGTCAGCTCATCCTGATGGCGCTCAATGTGGATGTGTATAGATAGATGCCCTAATGAAATGAGCTTGTAAAAGATGTGATAAAATGTATATCAATATAGGGCAAGTTCCATCCAGATTACATAGGGTTGAAGAGATCTGCGTAATCTGAGTGTGGCCCATTTCGTATCCCAAACATAGAAGATACGAGCAATGGCCTCATAAGCCGAAAGGGAAGGCAAAAAGAGCAATGTCATACCTGCCACAGTTCGAACGTGGCGAGCCTTCTCGCCACGAACTAAGAACACAACATTGCGTTGAGATGAGTCAATGTTTGCATTCTCCAGGTAGAAGACCCGGTGGACTCCATAGTCTTGGAGCTCAGAGAACTTGACGAATAGCCCCACTGGGCCAGCCAGCTCCTGGCTTATGACGAGGTTCTTCTTCCCCCGGACCTGGACAAGTAATTAGCGGTGATTCGAGGAATCGGGGAGCTATACTCACGCCTTCCAGTAAAGTCAGGAGATCCCTCCGCGCCTTGTCCTTGAAATGGTCAGCATCTGACCCCGAAAAGGGCGCCATTTCATTGAAACAGGCAGCAGAATGTCGTGGCCAAAAATAAACAGATGTCGTTGGAGTGCCACTGCGCCCGCTTTGGGTTTAGCACTGCCACTGCTGATGTAACTTTGTAAAGTTCCGTATGTGTATGGTTCGTTTTGCGCGAGTGAGGGGAAATTTGTATGAGTAACTTTGGTATTTCTTCTGTACATTTATTACAATCAGGCGGCGATCTCGAACATTCAATGCTCCCCTGAAGGCGTCTCACAATTGATCTATTTTGTCTCACTTTCTTTTTCTTCTTTTCTTTCTTATACCCCCTCCAACTCATCCTCGATCGTTTAACAAATTACACCCGCACCTCGTATCAAACCCCAATTCATCATGGGTCTCTTCAACAAGAAATCTGAAGGCGATGACGACTCTAACCGCCGCGCACTCTTTGGGCGCAAGAAGGACAAGAGCCCATCCACCCCTACCAACCCTTACGCCAAGGACATTCCAGTAGACCCATACACCAAGGCCAAGATTGGTGCTGGTGTCGCTCCCTTGCCTGCCGACCACCCTGCCGCCAACGGCGGCCCCGCGTCGCAGAGCCCCCACAACATTCCCTCCGACAACAAGTACGCCAGCGGATACTCTGCCAACAAGTACGGCAACCAGGGCGGCTATGGAAGTGACCGATTTGGCGGATCTGGCGCAGGCGTCAGCTCCCCGGCCTCGGGCTCCGGCTCCGGCTCGCGCTATGGAACCGGCGGCTACGGTGGTCTCGGTAGTTCCGATCCCAATGACCCCGCGGCGGCGGATGCGGCTCGCAACGAGCTGTTCGGTGGTGCTAAGCGCACACCCGACAACTCGGGCGGTAACCCGCCGCCATACTCCGAGGGCCAGGGTGGACAAGGCGGACAACCGAACTACGGCGGCGGCAGCAACGAGTACAGCATGGCGACATTCCAGGACCGCCAGCTGACCGCGGAAGAGGAAGAGGAAGAGGAGATCAATGCTACAAAGAATGAGATGCGATTCGTGAAGCAGGGCGATGTGGCGTCGACGCGGAATGCCCTCCGAGCAGCTGCTCAAGCCGAAGAAACCGGTCGCGCCACGCTCGCCCGGCTAGGCGCCCAGGGCGAGTCGATCCACGATACCGAGAAGAGTCTGGACATGACGACCATTGAAGGCCGCCTTGCGGCGGAGAAGGCGAAGGAGCTCAAGACTCTTAACAAGAGCATGTTCGCTGTGCACGTGGCGAACCCGTTCACTGCTTCGCGGCGTCGGCGCGAGCGCGATGAGAAGGTCCTCAACACACATCGCGAAGAGCGTGGAATTCGTGACGGTACACGGGCCGAGGCTCATGGTACCAACCAGCGCATGGACCGCGTGTTCCGCGACATTGACCGTGAAGCCGCCAAGCAGGGCAAGGGCAAGAAGGCCAGTGTGACTGAGCGTGCCAAGTACCAGTTCGAGGCAGATAGCGAGGATGAGCAGATGGAGGACGAGATCGAGCAGAACTTGGATCTGCTTGGAGGTGCTACGGGCCGTTTGAACGGTCTTGCCAAAGCGACTGGTAAGGAGCTCGACGAACAGAACAGACATTTGGAGCGTATCACAGGCAAGGTGAGTTTTGGTCAATCCATGTATTACCCGGATATGATACTAATGGCTTGCAGAGCGATTATGTCGACGATCAGATTGCCATGAACCGTGCCAAGCTGGACCGGATTCACTAGACCTCTTCTCCAAAGCAATTGGGACTGCGATATGCCTGGTGCTGTCGAGTCCTGTAATTCATCTGCTTGTACTCTCTCGGTTGGCATGGATCACACATTGGCGTTGGGGCTGGTTCTGCATTGTCGTGGTCACTTCAGAGCCGACTAAAACACTGAGTCAATATTATAATAATTGCATCGCATTGATTTCCACAGCCTACTCGAGTAGATGTGTATCATTGGCGACAGCTTTCGACGTAGGTGTTTGAACACATCGGAGCTCTGCGCTGTCCATAAAACTTAATCTTGCGCGTGTCTCCAAACCCCAACATCCTTGTTGATCTGATAACCCCATGCAGTGTTACCAGTTTACGCGCAGATCGACACCCCAACTGCGGGGAGTGTGGGCCCAGTGACTGAACCTCGGATGAACTCCATCTGCACAGTATAAGTCAACCCTCAGGTACACTTCCATACTCATCAAACTCGCAACATCCATCATGTCTAACCTGCCCAGCAGAACAGACATCCTAGTCATAGGCAGCGGCAACGCAGGCCTCAGCGCTGCCCTCGCAGCCGCCCAGACCAACCCCCATCTCCAAGTCATTCTCATCGACAAGTGCCCCGAGTCCTGGGCAGGAGGCAACACCTACTTCACAGCAGGCGCATTTCGCACAACCCACGATGGCCTTGCAGACCTTCTCCCAATCGTCAACAACACACCTCCAGAGCAAGCATCCCGCATCGACATGGAACCCTACACAGCCGAAGACTTCCAATCCGACCTCAACCGCATGACAGACAACCGCACCGACCCAGCCCTATCAAAAGCCCTAGTCGAAGACTCCCGCTCAACAATCGACTGGCTAGCATCTAACGGCATCCGCTTCCAACTCTCCTTCAACCGCCAAGCTTACGAAGTAAACAACAGAATCAAATTCTGGGGCGGCCTCGCCCTCAAAACCCAAGACGGCGGCAAAGGTCTCGTGGAAGATGAATTACGCGCTGTCCGCAACGCAGGCGTGTCCATCTTCTTTAATACAGAAGCCACGAGACTCTGCAGAGGTGGTTCGGGCGGCCAACTCATAGCGGTAGAATACATCGGCGGAACGCCGCGTCACAGATCAGTCATCTCTGTTCACGCGGCGATTCTAGCAGCTGGTGGCTTTGAGGCTAATCCCCAGATGCGCGCTCAGTATCTTGGTCCAGGGTGGGATTGTGCGAGGGTGCGCGGCACGCCGTTCAATACAGGCGATTTGCTGAAGATCGCTCAGCAGCATGTCTTTGCGCGTACTGCGGGCGATTGGGGTGGATGTCACAGTGTTGCGTGGGATGCGGATGCGCCTTCTGAGAGTGGAGATCGGGATGTTTCGAATCAATACACTAAGAGTGGATATCCGTTGGGGATCATGGTCAATGTCAATGGGGAGCGGTTTGTGGATGAGGGCTTTGACATGCGAAACTACACCTACGCGATGGTTGGGCGGCGTGTGCTTGCGCAGCCTGAGCAGGTTGCGTTCCAGGTTTGGGACAGCAAGACTATTGGCTGGCTGCGCGAAGAAGAATACCGAGGAGAGATCGTTAAGCGGATTCAGGGTGATTCGATTGAGGAGCTTGCCGAGAAGTGTGGGTTGGCTGGGATGGTCGATCCAGGGAAATTCCTGAAGACTGTGAGGGAGTATAACGCTTCCGTTGAAGGGAATGAAGTGGAGCAGTGGGATCCTGCTGTCAAGGATGGGCTTGGAACTAAGGGCTTGGCTCTTTCGAAGTCGAATTGGGCTTTGCCAATTGACAAGCCACCTTTTCTGGCCGTCAAGGTTACAGCGGGCATTACTTTCACCTTTGGTGGATTGGCTGTGAACCCGGAGACTGCGGCTGTTATTTCGGAGCAGACGAAGAAAGATGTCCCTGGATTGTACTGTGCGGGTGAGATGCTTGGGGGCATCTTCTATGGCAATTATCCCGGTGGAAGTGGATTGACGTCTGGTGCGGTCTTTGGACGTCGTGCTGGTCGTGCAGCCGGGGAGCGAGTTGTGCATCTGATAAGGAACCAGCGTTTACCTCATGAGCATACTGAGTGGTTTATTAACGACCCACAATTCAACAGACAACTTTGAATAGAACCGTCCGTGGATTGACATCTCTCCACACGATGTGGCCCTTGAATGTTCAATCTCACCAGACATCCTACATTCAAGACAAATGAAGAGATAGTCGAAACACCAAGACAGTCTTAACTTTCTGCACAAGTTCGATAAATGAATAGCCAATGACAAAGAATCTACAAATGGGAAGAGAAAGTGTTCAGAATGTCTTTTTTATATTGATTAGACAATATCGTTATAGTAGCGACTGTAAATAGAGACTCGACTGAGCTCCACATGATAAAAAAACTTTCTTATGCCACGGGTATCATCACCAACACCTTCCCAAAACTGCACTCGAAAACAGACCCGGCGGAAAAAGAAAATGTGACCCTGGAGGCACACGAGAAATGAAGAAAAAGATGTAGGTGTAATAAGATCTGAACCATGCTATATGCAGGCAAGATGGAGAAATGAAGACGGCACGTAGCCAAAAAGGTAAAGGGAAAAACAGTGTCCCACAAGAAAAGAAGCATCGAATCATCACAAGCCCATGGTATCGAGAAAGGGGGAAAAAAAGAACAACAAAAAGGTGACGCCCAGGCCTAGTGATAGGATAAGAAAGGAAACAAAAAACCAGCAACGCATCCAGCCGGGAGCTTCTATGGTCGTAACGTCAGACAAAGGAAATAAAAAGGGCTCTCCCTGGCCCGGGCCCTCGATCCAAGCCCTCTATACCCTCGGTTGGGGGGTATAAATAGAGGGATTGTTTTCTCTCCGATTAGGAAATGTTTCCGGAGTATATAGAGAAGAGGAAAGAAAGGGTATCCAAATTGTACAAGTACAAGCAGACAGAGCCGAGCGACCAAGATCAAGCCAACACAGTTGGAGATCATGAAAACGGCACGAGGGCGGGTCTGAGTGGTGGACCCTGTGTTGATGACAGGGAGAGCGCGCTCGAGGAAACGAATTTCCGACCTCGAGTAGAAGAATGTAGTCGTAAGATATTCACGGGAGAGAAATTACTCGTCGTCGTCGCCAGATCCGCTGTCCTTCTCGCCCTTGTGGACCTTCTTGTGACGGCGCAGATTCGAGACAACGGAGAAGTGCCGCCCGCAGCCTTCAACGTCACACGCAAATGCTAGAAAGATACAGTCAGAATATTGTGTTTGAGGTGATTGTTTGGGACAAAACTTACGCTTTTCGCCAGTGTGGCTGTACATATGGGTTTGCAAAGATGAGGGACGCGTGAAACGCTTGTCGCAGACCTTGCACTTGTGCTTTTTCTGAGTGTTGGAGGGCAACTTGGAGCTGAATTGGCTCATCATAGATTGCGGACCAGGGGGAGCACTGCCAGCCAGAAGACTGGTGGGTCGCGGCAGAGTGCGCGACTCGTATGACTCGGAGGTAGTGGAGCTGTAGTCTGTAACGGAGGAGTCGACGGAGCCCACCGAGGCGCTGTAGTAGGGGTAGTTGCCGCCGGAGGAGATAGAGGAGGCGGAAGAGTGGGTGGAGGGGAAGCCGTAGGAGTCGGCTGAGCTGCGCGCGCCGCGAGGACCGGGGCCGTAGATATTGCGCGGGGTCAGGTCCTGGCTGAGAGCGACCATTCCACGGCTGGCATCGAGCGCATCACCGAAGGTGGGTGCGGAGGCAGAGGAGTTAACGCGGGCAGCGTCTCTGCGGGGGATTGTGAGCATTCGCGCGCGAAACAAAACATCGAGTTGCGATCAGAGGGGGTGCAACTTACGAGTGGGAAATGCGGCGGTTGTCGGTGGGGGAAGGGTGGATAGGAGCATAGCTGACGGGGGCGTAGCTGGCGGGCGCGAAGCTGCTCATGGGGGGAGCAGTGGTGTAGGAAGGAGCCTGGTCGAAAGTGGTGCGCGGCACCTCGTGTTGCATACCCATGACCTCGGGGCCGTAGCTGGCGGTCGCGTAGGTGCTACCGGGCACCATTGTGGGCGCGGACACAGGGATGTTGGGGTATGGCATAGACATGCCGGTGCGGTTGACTTCCTCCTGCTTCACGCCGATGGGCATGCTGGCGCCATTGCCCATGGAGGTCGCATAGACTGGAGGTGTCGAGTGCGACGAAGTGTGAGCCGCCCATGGGTCTGTAAATTGTGGTGGGTTATGGTAGACATTGTCGAAGCTCATGCCGCCGTAGGGACGGTTTTGGTTTTCCATGACCATCGTCATGGTATATAGAGATGCAAGAGGATCGTCGATAGAAAAGGTAAAGTGATAAACCCGAAGATCAACAATCAACAATTATTCAAAGGAAGTAAGAAAAGGAAAATGAGCAGTCTGGGGAAGGGGATCGGCGAAGCTTATGAAGGGGACAAACAATATAAGGTGTTGAGGCATGAGTCCATACTCCAGTGCCACTGACGACGTCCCGTCGGGGATTGCAGATCGTTACAGTACCGTGTATTGACTTGTATTTTTCCCTTTTCCACTTTTTTTTTTTTTTTTTTTTTTTCGATTTCTTTTCTTTTTGGTGATTTTTTGGGGATTTCTTTTTTTTAATTATTTTCCTATTTTTTACCTCCCTCCCTGTTTCTTCCCCCCTACGGAGTACGGAGTACTGTCTTTTTTTTAGGGCCCTGAACTCTTGTCCATGTTGACAGTCTACTCCTTCACTGATTGGACTGTCAAACAATGAGTGGTCCCCATGACGGGGACCAGTTCCTTGGACCCTAAGGCCTCACGCTTTTATAGGATACTTTATTCCTATTTAAGCTAAAATCATCTCGATCAGGGTCTAAAATATATTAATTGCTTAACTTAGGAATGGAAGATCTGAAGATTCGATTCTAAGTATTTAGACGCGCAGGCAGGAATGTACAAGTGTACACTGGTAGTGGACTCCGGGATCGGAGTCGAATGTAAAGAAATTACTACTGTAGGACTCCATATACTTGGTAAGGCCAACCACTTCCAAAAGGCTAGAAATCAGAAAAAGAAAAAGAAAAGAAAAGGAGTAAACCAGACCCAAAAAGTAGATAGTGACCTCAGTGTACTCCATACAAAGTGTGTTCAATTGCTGAGAGCTGTGCCGTGTGGGCTGAAAAGGGAAACGGTAAAAGCGGAAAGAAAAGAAATTCGAAAAAAACAAAAATAAAAAAGGAAAAGGGACGCCAAGACTTACCACTCACGATGCACCAAGGTTCGCCTTTGTTTCAAGGCAGCGGGGCAGATCCCAGTGTCAAAGGGTATACCCGCGCCGGGGTTAATATGAGACTGTGATATAGTACGGAGTACGGAGTATACGGAGTATAGGCTGCGTACACTTCGCGTAGTCTAGCCTATAATGGAGTATAACTACATCATATCTACGGAGTACTAAAAAAAGATTAAGTACCACGTAGAAGAAATAGATCATGATACGCAAGTTCAAATGAACGTCACATCTGTCGCACATTCGAATATGTCAAATAAAAATCCCACACTCGGAATGGCTGAATGGCTTAAGCCATGGGTCTTTGACACGGCACAGAGAGGGTTTAGCGTCCCAGCCCGACCTTACATCCTGAGGGAGGGTTATCGAATCACTAGCCGGGAACATTATTGACTGCATTCTAACTCCATTCGACAGGAATCCAGCAAAAATGTGATGACGACGGTTTTGAATCGAATAGCCTGAATGTCCTTGTGGAGGATGTACAGTGCAGTCCACTCCACACGGGACAGGTGGAAACCGTGTAGACATTCCTCTCAGCGAGAGCCAGTACCAAATTATCGTTCGGACTTGCTCCGGTCTGTCTCCAGGGCTCTCGTTTCATGGCTTGACTTGGGTTCTTTTTTCGCACAAAATACGAGCGGAACGGCGGGTGCACGAAAATAAAAAAATAAAAAGGGCCTGCAGGGTGCTGCAATAAGTTTGAATCCCAACGATGTCATGGCCCGGGCCATGCGAGTTGTATCACATAAATAGTATAATCAACGCCGACACAATCAATCTCGAAAAAATTAAAAAAAATTTGAAACTTTTTACTATATATAAGTATACAAGTACGTAGTATGCTGGGTTCGGTGACGAGTACGTAGTACTCTGTAAGTAGAAGATGACCATCGATAAGGACGGGCTGCAAGCCATTAACCCCTCGGTCAACTGGACATCGACGTCAGAGCGGGAACACAACCCGCCATGGGGATCGGGGTAAAGGCCTGTGGACAAATAGGCGGGTGCGGCTGCAATAGCGCGGCAGATGTCGAGGCCTGGATCGGACATATCATATCGTGCAATTTCCTCCGAACTCGAAACCTATGGGAGAATAACTCTGTGATGCCAACCCGTGCTCAGTGGAACCATCTTCATCCCGCTGCCAATAGTGTCTGTAAATTTCCGGTCTCCACGGTCCCCGTTGGAGGAGTCACCACAGGTACGGGTTCGATCACAAGGAACGGAAAGCGCAAAAATGTAAAAAAAAAAAAGCAAAGTGTGAAAAAGCCAAAAAAAAGGATCAGTCAAGAACCGAGGAAGAGGCTGAAGAAACCGCAAGGTAACCTCGAGGGCGGCCAATCAGCATAGCGGTGCATGGTGAGGGTCGACGGTGATTGGTGACTCGGGGAGGAACAGCGTTAGATCAAAAGTATATGGAGATTTTTCCGAGGATCAACTGCTGCTCTCCCGGTAGAGAAAGACAGCCGAAACATGTTCCAGCGTGACTCGCCACTGCGGAGATCTAATCTCACCATTTGGGAATCAAAAAGGGAAACAAGAAAGTTATTCTGGAGGCGTGGACCAGTGTTTGCCTCGGTTTCGGACCATCTGATCACCTTCTCCGCAATCCCGCGCCATGGGCGTTCTCAAGTTGGCGGGTTTCCAGAAAAACTTAGCTATGAGCCAACCAGGGTGGTTGAAGCTGGACCATGGGAGAATATGATCTTTGCTAGTGGTTTACTTGGCCAAATGCGGTGGAGCTGGGTATCTCCCATGGGTCGAGCCAACTGTGCCTCGTGAACGACCATGGGTCTCTGCTTACCGGATTGAATTTGGAGTACTCCGTACGAAGTACTCTGTACGCAGATTAGGTTTCTCTCTATCAAACTACCCCAAACCACTTGACCTTATTCTTCAATTAAGTTAGACGTCGGAAGTAGGATTCCTGGTTAGTTGAAACTTTGGGATGGGATTAGGTTCTTTTGGCTCTTTTGGCTCTTTTGGCTGTCTCAAACACAACCGGGATTCAACCCATGCTTAAAATCTGCTTAATCTTAAGACATTACTCCGTACGGGGTCTGGTCCCTGGGTCTGGTCACTTCTCGCCAAACTTCCGTTGACTCGACAACAAAAGGGTGCGGAAGGTGCATCCGAAAAACAAAACCCAAGTTCTTGGGCAGTGTTCGTGTTGGGTACCCAGAGCCCACCGAAGAGAATGGAGCCCGTGAAATTAAAAGCGAACTTCACAGCCGCCACGAAATCAAATAGTCCTACGCAGTACGGAGTCGAGGGAAATGAGATGAAAACAAGCAATGCAAAATATGGGCTCCAGTCTGAGCGCGACCCCCCCTTTTTCAGCCCATGCCGTGTTTTGGCCCACTTGACATTTCACCGGTAGAAACTGGAGTCCTTCTCTGTTGGCAGGTGGCGTTTTTGAGGGAGGGGAACACTAATTTTTGAGCGCATGCTCAAAATGAGAGGGGTACGATTTTATCGGAACCCCCCATGCATTTTTTGGTTCTACTCGATTGGACAAAAGACTATTTTGACTCCCGAGTTTGGGAATTGCGATACAATTTGGACGAAGTAACACCCGTACACAATAATGAGTCGGAACGTGCCGGATGAACAGATAAACACCCTCTATCGCAAAGTGTAACCAGAATCTGTATCCACAGTGGATTTGATATCGCCAAAAGGTTTGGGTCAGTTCTGGGAAGTCTGGGATTTACTGGGCCCTGACCGCTCCTCCGTGGACTTTGCCCAAGCGGGAACAGCGCAGTGACACGGCTCAGGTTGACGCGTCACGACGGTTTTTCTCAGGGATTTCCCTTTTTCCGAGAAAGCCGGGAAAATAATAAAAAAGGAGAAAAATAAAACAAAAAGGAAAAAGGCGGTCTGCCCGCACAATTGTCGGAGAAATGACCAACAGTCTGGAGTCTCAACCCCAGACCCCAGTTTAGATTTTGTATACAATATAGTCAATGATTGTCACCACATGGTCGGAACTGGGATGCTGAAATCCCAGTTGTAATCAGATGAGCACGTTGACGATCCGCCTTAATGCCGAGTGTCAATCAGGTACCGGCCCTTGGCCAACAATGGGCTGTCATCTGCACGGGGCTCCGATCGTGGCGGTTCCCACACGGCAGATCGTCATTGTCCCTAAATCAAGGTTGTCAGTGTGCACATCACCGTTCTTGGTATTCCGTGTAGTGCGTGAGTGTTTAGCCACACATGCCCTATACTGTATGCGCTGTACTCCGTACAAGTACTCTGTATAATTGATTTGATATTACGGAGTTCAATGTAGAAAGACTCAAAATATGATCTCAGGAGTACTCCGTATGTGCACGAGAGGATCTATAGATAGCCAAACGGTCACGATTTCTTCAGGTTGCATCCCAGTGGACCCAGTTATTTGCACAGGGCTACGGAGTACAGAGGACTCTGTCCAGAGAGCAAACCTTGGAAATTCAAAGGGCTCCAGGGTATCGGTGATTGGCCGATAGACCCCGATACCGGACCCCTCTTGCATTTTAGCTCCAAAGAACTCCACATTCTTGCATGGTGCAGCACGGACCGCCAATAAGAAACCGTTCATTGCAAGCTTGGAGACGGCAGATAGTCGATAGCCGAGCTTGGCATTGATGGATCGACCAATGATACTTTAGGGCCCACCAAGAGCTGACGCGTGCACATCCCGTGCCTTTCCAACGTGGTATCTGTCTCGTACAAGGTATACACTTTGCCCTCACCTTAGAATCAAGAGATTATTGAAGCATATATGGAGGCCTCTACTCCGTAGACCATACATAGCTCAGCGTGGGATCTTGGCGACCTTTATTCAGGTAATTTTACACTTCCCACTTCACTCTTAGTGTCTCTATAGTTCCCTCCAATGTAGGGAGTACTTCTTGTACATGCTCTCTGTAATTTACCCGAAATAAGCAGTCAAGTGACGTGGGACCCCGCAACGCCCGTTTGGCTGTGATCCCTGCGTGCGATCCTGAGACTCCACCCATGAACACTGCCTCAGGGTCAACGCTAAACATGAAACATGAAACACTCAGGTGGATCTTGAATCCGTAATGTTTTTTTTTTTTTTTTTTTCAAATACTCAGATCCCCTACGCTGCAAGCTATGAATGATTAGACGTCATATCACGGTCGGATCTCGTGTCGAGACAGAAGTTGACCCACGTAGTCCTCTGTACGGCGTACGGAGTACTTCGGACACGGCTTTTCATAGGTATCCTCCCAAGGCCTGAGATGCGTCTGCCCCATAATAAACTTTTTGCCTTAAAAGGCGATAAACACCATGATCGGGCCCTCCCGAAAAGAAAGTTTGGTCCCGTTCTCGCGGTACACTTGTAATGCCGAAAAAAGAAAGAATATCGCGACGTGACGATTGGATGCAGACCGGGAATTACGGTGTGCGCTGTCTGGTAGTAACCACTATAGCATCATCGGGAGGTTCAAGCTCCCCTGTTCATAAGACGCACTTGCAGAAAGTGGATTTGAATAACCCTTGGCATATGTCACTCGGCATGAACACTGAGAGATTACGGAGTACATATTGTGTACTTGTACAAGTGCAGCGTAGCGTACAGATAGCGTTCTCAGCCTAGGGGGTACGAGTCACCCAAGCCCTTCGTGCAGGACGGAGTACTCCGTACAGTTGACGTCGAGAGAGAGCGCGCCAGAGGCGCCCGATCCACAAAGAGCCCCTCACTGTGTGCCTCAACCGTCGTGAATGGGGCGTCCTGCAGGGTCTCCGATCCCTTACGGACTTGTTGTTAAACAAAGAGAGCAGTCGACAAAATATTGAACTTAGAAAATCTGGTAAATAACTAATAAATTTGGAAAGGAAAAAAAATAAAAATAAAAGCAACAAAGAACTAAACCCCAACACCCACACCTCTCACGTTGCTTGTGTGACTCCAAATCCTTGATCTTGACAGTCCCAATCATTCAAAGCGCAACTCTTCTCCTGAAAGCCCCGATCCCTGCTGTGATGCGCGGTTCAATAGCCCTACGCCCGCTGATTGGCTGTCAACCTTCAGTGTCTCCAGCGTATAGTTCCCTTCACATGAATTCCGAAATTCCTCGGTATCTCGCATGACGGCTTTGCTGTGCTTCGTACATGGTACATGCGCATACGGAGTAGATATTAGGTATTAGGCATTCTGCATTTGGCATTTGGCGCAACACGCGATCGCTACGACATCGACATACATTGTAGACATGCAGACTTAAATTAATCCTTCTTTTTCACTGTTCACTCCGTGCGTACAGTTCGTTTATTTTTTTATTTTTTTATTTTTTTGAGAAAAAAATCCGGTTATTTCCCGGGATCGAACCCATTGGGACCCAAGGTTCGTTGTCGACGAACTCGTAGTAATTTCATTCACTCCGTAAGAGGAAATTTAGATGAGAAAGAGTGTGGTAAGAAATATTAAGAATTAAGAATTAAGAATTAAACTCGGATCCTCTACTCTCAAAGGGGGATAGTAGACCCTGAAAAATTAGAATTGGAATTAGAATTGGAATTGAATATTGTTAATACAAAGACCCTGTAAGAGCTGTAAGAGCATGGAAAAGGTAAAAGGGGGCACCCCTTATCAGGGTCTGTGTGTATACTCTCCCGTTCACACATCTTCATTCCCCGGTTCCTGTGGGAATTTCAGTTCAGGGGGAGGCTGTGTAGCCGTGGACAGATTCCAATCCCGCGTGGGATCTGAATTATAGAGGTTGTGTTGCAGCATGCCTGTAGTATACTTCGTAGATTGGACTTTAATTACTAGATTGCTAGATCCTACTAAAGTACTAAAGTACACATGGCATAGATATTGTATACAATTTAGCGCCCTTAAGATCGATAGATTGCAAATAGTACAGCTATAGTCTCTATCTTTTGGAGCAATGTACACAACGTACCAGTTCTTACGGAGTACTGTAGTGTAGATATCTAAGGTAATTTCCAAATTCCCCACAGCCAAGCCTCAGCGCTGCGAGAGCTTACGCGGCCACGTCCTGCGCCAAGCCTGAGCTTAGGCATTTGGCGCTTCTTGGCAGTCCCTTGAGCCCACTTCGCTGGGGTCCCCCCTCCTTTCCTTCTTCCTTATTTTCGGGACCCTGATGACGAATACTTGACTTTTTACCGTGTGGCGACTGAGCTGAGGCATTATTATTTCTCTCGTGTGGGTGGCAATGGTGTACGTACCAGTTACTATGTTTAGAGTAGGGGGGAAGAAGGGCTGGAGAGAGCTGGCTTTGGTACAGACATGCTCACAATCGAGGGCAGTGGCATACCCCAGACCCTGCCCGTTGGTTTTAAGATAGTCCGATATGATTGACATGATTGTCGCCCTTAGGAGCGATCCCTACCTTATTGCCCCCTGTCACCATGCTTGGCCTTGTAGATTATTCTACGAGGTTTTGATAAAAAGCAAAGATCGACTCTACACCCTGCACGCTTGTTTGTTTAGATCTAGATCTCGATTCACTCTGTCTCCAGCTTGAGTTGAGAATCAATTTTTGTAAAACATATTGAAAATTGGGTTTGTTCCAATGTTGGGAAACTGTAGTTTTGTCAATAGTCGCGTATTGCGGGCGCCAAAATGCCCAGAAATATATCACGGCCTAACAAGCGTTCGAAGCCACCTGGGCAACTCGGCACTGCACTATGCAGCCACTTCGTGTCGTGCTACCTGACCTTCAGGGCTTAATTCACAATCTTGGAATTACGTAGAAATGACATAGAAACCCCATGAGAGTCATTCAGATTCAAAATAAAATTCCCTAACGACTTTTTCGATGATGTACAATGACAATTATTGACACGCCGAACGTCCGTGGATGAAAACCAGACCAAATAAAAACACCGGCTAGAAAGTGAAACAGACCATATCGTAGCTGTAACTAATAATGCATGAAGAGAAGCAAACCAGCGATCCCATAACAACACCGCCCTTAGATCATAATAGACAATTCCGGTCGCTCCATGTCGCCCTCGATCTCCGGGTAGTAAGGAACCATCGCATCCGCACCCTGGACGTATGCGTCGTTGTACAGACGCCAGTAAGGAACGCGCACCTTACGAGCAGGGTGGAACAGACCGGCCCAGACGTAGTTCATGACGGTACCGGTGCCAACGGCCATGCGAATGGCTTCAATCGCCTCGATGATTCGGTCGATGACATGGGGACTGGTTTCGAAGATGTTGGGGAAGACGAGGTTGAGAAGGTGGACCATGGCGTCTTCGCAGCCAAGTCCGACAACACCGAGAGCAACGTGCTTGACCACGCTGGCCGCGGTTTGTCGGTGGACTTGGTCACGGTCGGTGAGGGCATCCTCCAGCAATGGAGTGACGGCGTAGACGTAGTCCTTGGCCATCTCGCCGATGTATTCGAATAAGAAGGACAGGGCCTTGAGCACACCGTTCTGCACGTTGAGCTCGGGCACACGGTACTCGTTCATGAGGGCCGGAAGAACAGTGAAGGGAGCACAAGTCTCAGCCACGATACCGATGGCAACAGCTGTACAAACACGAGATTGACGTTCCTGCACTCGCAAGTTGTTGAGAAGCGTGGCGAGAACATCCTGAGGACCGATGGCCTTAGCAATGAAACCGAAGGTGTTGTTGGCTGCTCGGCGAATTCCCTTCTTGTGAGCCTTGAGCATGTCAAGTAGTTCGAAGCAGATACGCATCCATTCACGGGCGTTGACAGACTCGGGTCCACGGTCGGCGATACGACCGACCAGGTCAATGGTGTTTTCCTGCACCTTTTCGTGACGGTTACGGAGAATAGGGGTGAGTCGGGGGAGAAGGTCGCGAATGGGTGGCTGCATCTGGTTGATACCAACGACTGTGACAATGGATCGCAAAGCACCCAGAATGGAACCCAAGACTTCTGGGTATTCTTCACCAAGGTATTCGTAGAGAACGACACCAAGCTTGCCCATCAGCGCATCTTCGCCACACTGCTTCATGACCATCGCAATTCGGGAGATCAGATCCGCGGCCTGCTGTCGGACAGTGGCAGACTTGTTGTTCAGACGCCAGAGAATAGTACTGACAATCTGGGGGAGGTATGGCTTGCATCGCGAGCCGAGCGCATTCACAACGGTACCGAATCCATTCAGGATCACGATATCTTCGATGCTTTGTTCCTGGAAGGCAAAGAGAACACCGTCGATGAGGCGCTCCTCCAGCCTCTCAGAGATATCGGCGGCTCCGAGGGATGCAACGAGCTTTTCAACAGTCTCAACCGTCATCTTGCGGTACGGCTCACTTTCGTCTTTCAGATTGTTGACGGTGCGCTCGAGAATCTCGCCGACACCAACCTTCTGGCCCAAGTCAACGGTGGTATCAACCACCTGGCGGTAGTTTCGTCGGTCGAGTGCCATACGTCGAACCCAGAAGCTCTTGAAGAACTCGGTCAAAACGTGCTCCTTAAGGTAACTAGCAGTGACACCGTCTGTGCTTGCACACTGGGACACCACCTTCAAAACAACCTTCTTCATCTCCTCATCCGGCGATGAGAATTCACGAAGGAGAATCTCCATAATTTGTGAAGTGTAGTAGTTGGAGTATTCCTCATCCTAAAACCTCTCGTTAGCCATCTGCCATTCAATGATTCTACCAGACACCACTTACCATCAGCGGAATAATGTAACCGACGGCCTTCAAGAAGGCGGCGAGACCCTTGCCGCGCTGCTTGCGGGCACCGGTCCAGAGAGGGTTCAGGATGTCGTCGAAGCTTTCGATACCATAGGGGTTCGCAGCTTCAGCCAGAGCGGCCACAGACAGAGCGGTGACAGTTCGGACCTTGGCCTGTTCATCACCGAGGTTGTCAGAGATACAATCAACCAGACCCTTGAGGTGAGGCAGAATGGCACAGCCCATGAGAATGGGGATCTGCTGGATAATCTTGACACCGGTGTGTCGGGCTTGCCAGGATTTCTTACTGCGGCAGACAGCGCGGAGGAAAGGAAGGAGGGCGGGGATTCCGAGGGCAGATGCCACAACGGCGAAAGCTCGAGCTGTGGTGTTTCGCACATACTCGTCAACGTGATCAATATCAGGGCGCATGGTACTGATCATGGTAGCAAGACCGGCGGCCTTGGAAAGGTTGGAGATAATCTCTCGTCCCTCGACACGGGCATAGTAGTCTTGATCGATAAGCAACGGCTCGATGACAACCAGGATCTTGTGGACGTAGGGGCGGACCAGATCATCAAGCTTGTAGAGAACACGGTCAATGACCTTGACCAGCAGGTGGCGTTCCTGGTCCTCCAAGGACTTCTCCATAAGCAAGGGCAGGATCTGGTTGAACAGAGCACCAGCTCCGAAGTTGCGTGCATTATCTGTAAGCTGTCGCAAAGCAGTCTTTCGCATGGGTGGAGTTCCGTTCTTAACCTTGAGCAGTAATCTCATGATCTTTCGCTCCTTCATCTCCTCAACACTCATGCTGGTTTCGTCACCACCCTCCATCAGCTTACCGAAGTAGGCCATATCCTCCGGCTTGAAGAACTGGAGATCGCCAACGCCGGGGATATCGGTTGGAAGCTCTTTGCCCATAGACTTGGAGCTTTCGGGCTCTTGCATCATGAATCCTCCGATACCACCAGCCGCCATAGGTGCAGGAGTGGCCATAAGCTTGCGGGCCTGGGTTCGAATTGGTTCATAGCCGGGTGGAGGATCAAGAACTTTGTAGCCATCAGCCTCACCGGGAAGCATGAAGTCAAGCTCTTCATCGGACCATCCAGCCATTGGGCCAGACGGGCCAGCAGCCGCTACAGGGGCTGCCTGCGAAGGATGCATAGGGGTAGCAAGTCCTTGGTTACCAACAGGAGTGGCGGACGTGAGCGATGGTGCCAGATCCCATCGCGATCGCTTGGGGGCTTCGGCGGAACCATCGGGCGCCGGGGCGGCATCCCAGCGAGATCTCTTCGGCTTGGATTCTTTCGATCCTTCTGGTTCAGCAGGAGTTTCTGTGCCCACGTCCCACCTCTTCTTTCGCTTCTTAGCGGCACCATCCTCAGGCACTGGGGTCACATTGGAGGTCTCCTTGCTCTGTTCCACTTGCTTCAGGGTAGCCTCGTGTTCAGTCACATCTTCGCCAGCCTCTCGCTTCTCTTGGATCAACTTCTGCACACGTTCTTCCTCCTTCTCGAGTTCTCGAAGAGCCATGACCTCACGGTAAGTCTGACCGTCGCCCTCGGCATTGGCTTGACCATTGGCGGCGAAGGGATCGGCGCGTGTCGGGGTCAGGCCACCACGGTTGAATCGGCGCTTCTGGTAGTCTGTCTCGCGGTCGGCAATTCGAGCTGCCTTTTCGCGACCTAGCAGAATATCCTCCTCCTCCACGCCGTGTCCCTGAGCCATCTCATCGATTTGACTTCGGGTGGCAGTGTATTGACCGACCAAATTATGTCCTCCGTTCGCGTCCTCCATTTCTTCATCCTCACCGTCGACAGCGATCGATGTGTTGTAGCCCGAGTACTTGTCGGGACCGCCCCGGTCGTACAGAGTCGTGTCGAAGGAGTCCGTCAAGGAGGCCTTGGTTGAGTTATCAGTGCGTTGATCAGACGGGTCAAAGGTCTTAGAGCCTTTAGCTCCAGCGGCAGCGGCATTGCGCTCAGCTTGAAGCCGGCGAACGGCCTCAAGGTCAGCTGCAGTGGCGATCAGTTTCAGTTGCGGCGGGAGAGCTTGCGGAAACTTACCGTCGGACATGGTGATGAAAATCAGGAGTCGCGAGAATATGAGTGAGCCTGTGTACCGCAAAAAAGGTCAACGAAGCTACATTCGGATTGAGAGCCGTGGGTACGGTCGCAGCAATTGTCGACGATGCGCGGTTGCTTGGCCTCGCGATGAGATTGAAAAGGTCGTTGGCGGTACGCGCTAGCGGATACTGACTAAGAATTATGGTGCCCAGGTCACGTTTTTGCTACGACTTCTGATAAGCTCACTCGATAAGAGACCGGAGCATCTTTGATCCGAGAGAATGCGCACGTGCGTCCAAATTTCCATTTGTTCCCCCCGGACCCACTTCCTTGTTGACATCCGCTTTCAATTTTGTATAGTTTACTTGTACATTCTCAAAGCTCACTGTGGAATCGAGAAAACATCGAAATGTACAATCTTTTCATTTAGCTGAATGGCTCGCGCTATGGGCTGGCCTTCATCCAGGTTCCGAGTACAGTGATCACTTGTCGTTTTCAGAATTGATGACACAGCACAAAGGTTTCTGAGATGCTCTATCTTGATCAAATTTGTGATTCACGATGTACTATCTATCGTCTGATGAACATGGGAAGAGATAGGTGTCATGCAAAACCCTCACCATGCATTGAACCACACAACGCCTGATCATGGTGTACCTGCAACGCAGCAACTGTAGACGCGAGAGGTAAAGGAAAAATTGATGATTGAGTCTGGGACAAGAGGAAATCAAACAACCACTAACATAGCCCTCAATTGATTTTCTCATTGTTGATAGTACAGATTACCAACCTTTTGGATAGACCTGTGGGGTTCTAAGAGCGCTGCGCGCATAGTCGCTGAATGTTCTACCAATGTGCCAGTGACATTACAGGCTGCATAAGTCCCGGTGATTTTGGAGCCCAATACTCCGTACCAGTTGAGACTTCTTTTCTTAGAAGAGAATATGCCGTTAGTAACAACCTTGGAAGAGACAGGAGAAGAAAGAGAAACCCCTCGATGACCAATGGGAGATCATTTACAGGGCGCTAATGCAAAGCGCCTCCAGCCTGCAGTCTTTCAAGGCTCTAGGAATTGAGAAAATTTCTTGAATGCTTCCAGTCAAAATTTCTTCCAACGTCAATTCTTGCAATGCAGGAAAATGGCACCGAAGCAAAATCATTCCGCCCTAATGCCAATTTCCTTGTCTCACAGCAAAGCGGCTATTTGCTGTTTGTTGGCCAGTCAAACGGTTGCTAGTGTAACATTTGACCCCTGCGGTTACATAAAACCTAGATTATGGACCCTTTCATCAAAGCATATAGCAGCAATTCGAAGGGGTGTTCTCTATCTCCACGGTGGTTCCCACCTATGTGGATATTGACAACAAAGAAGCCAATTTTAGCACCGATCGTGTCCCAGTCACCAGACTCGGAGACTTTCCTAGACATGAATACTCGGAATTGGATACACATATCAATATAATAAGGTTCCCTGATTGGTACTGTCCGAGGTTCATTGAGTCGAGCCCACAACGTTTGGTTGGATTCGGTATGCGCCATAGGCCTACCTGTGCGGCATTCCCAAACTCAGAACTCATCCTTTGTTACACATCAGTGAAGCCCTAACTTTGTGTTTAATGTGACTCTTGTCTGTTTACCGGGCGTGTTTGTTGATTTTAATCTGACATATAACCTTGGCCCTTTCCTGTACCCCAGTGTTCGCTTTGAAGCAAATCCTACACAGTATCTCACACTACTGGGAGTCCAAGGTCAAGACCTGCTGTTTGGCAACACATCATTTTTTTCCGTCCCATTTCCCTTGCACTCCTTCCCTCATTCTTGCGCAATTCCAGAGTGATCTAATCAATCCATCACTCTTGCCTACCGGTATCGCCCAGGTGTATCGCCAACCTTGGAAGTACTACAGAAACCTCGATCAACATGGTCTTCCTGATTTGGGCTTTTGCTATACTCACAGTAGGAGCTGTGAATGCAGACCTAGGACAACCTCACCCTCTGGCCCTCGCCTCATCATTTACCAATATCTACCACCAACTTGATAGCATCCACCTCGGAAACTGTTCCCTCGCCAACGCAACGCTCCCACTGAGCGCAACAAAAACCCCTCTTCCAGCTCCATCCACGAACCTCACACTCAAATACGTTGCATTGGGCCGAGGAACTCAAAACTACACTTGCCCATCGAATAGTTCCTCGGACCCCGAGTCCAAAATCAAGCCCGAAGCCACAGGCGCCGTTGCCACTCTCTTCGACGCTTCTTGTCTCGCAGCTGCATCTGAAAGTCTACTTCATGAAGTCCCAGTCCTGATCAGCACCACTCCTCTTGGATCATTGGCATTCATGGCAGCCCTTGTGGCTCAAGGCACAAGAAGCACCAATCTGATTATCGGCGAACATTACTTCAATGGACAAGGTGACCCGGTATTTGATCTGAGCCTGAGTGGCCCCGACTCTTGGATTGCTACCACCAAAAAGGCCGCTGTTCCGGCACCAAATTCGACCCTGGGAACATCCATTGATGTTCCTTGGCTCAAGCTAGGATATAAGAAGGGCCATAATCTTGAGGTTCGTGGGAGCCTTTGATACTTCTTTTAGGAATAAAAAGCTAAACTGATGATTTGTAGGAGGTCTATCGCGTCGTCACATCCTTGGGTGATCCGCCCTCCACTTGTGCCGGCCAAAATGCGACGATTCTAGTGCCCTATGCGGCAGAATACTGGTTCTACGGGTAGTCATACTGGGCTCTATACGTTATGATGCTGGTGGCTATGTCATTTAATTCTTATAAGCGATGTGATGAGCTTGACCATGTCGGTCACTCATTTCTAGTCTACCTTGGGATGGATGCACTTGTGTTATGTGAGTTCAAAGAGATACCATTGACACACATAAAATATCGTATAAATTTCCCCACAAGTAGACTCGATACTAGGATCTGGCAGACAATTCAATTAATCTATTTCAATCATGTTCGAGTATACTTTGTATCACGAGCGCCAATCTCTTCACCCCCTCAACTAGCCGCCCTTCATCCTCCCACATGAAACACAACCTCAGTCTGCGATGCAACTCCCCCGCCGAAAAATCACCACCTGGAACTGCAAACGTCTCACCGCTACCTAGCACGAGGTTCTGCTTCTGCAGCGCTTCTTCACAAACTTGTGCTGACGTCAAGATATCAGGCAGTCGAATCCAGATGTAATATCCACCGACCAGTGGACTGGTCTCCGGATCAGGAGTGAATGTCACACCAAATGGAACGAGATGCGCTTTGACTGCAGACGCTAGAGCATTGTGTCTTCTTCGCCCTTCGGGTACTAAGAATTCACTGATATACTCGGGGAGGAAGTTGTCTTCCAGGAGCTCATTGACAAATGTCGACATGAGCTGTGACGGAGCACCACCAGATCGTGTGGAGCCACTATGAGCGAGTGTTCAGTAAAAATGGCTCCTCTCAATGTAAGTATCAATCGGAGCAAGGTGAGTACGTACGCTTCTGATAGACCAAATATAAACTCCGGCATCCCTTCAGCCCATCCGACTCGACATCCCGGACCGATAAGCTTGCTGAAAGATCCATTGCTCACAACATTGCCGAACCCATTATGCGGACCATTATCGAGAGCTCGATCGATATCCACGAGGCGAGCCGGAGGACCTGAAACCGAGTTGGGGTCTTGTGATGTGCCCCAACTGAGAAAATCATACACATCATCTGTTACGACGAGTGCGTCGTACTTGCGAGCAACCCTGATCAGAGCTTCACGCCGAGTGCGAGGCATTGTCTTTCCTGACGGGTTGGCGAATGTTGGAACACAGTAGATGACATGTTTGTAGATCTTGCCATGAGGCCTATTCTCGGTCTTGTATATCTTGTGTGCTGGTAAGTCCCTGACCGCGAGAGCAGGCTTTTATGCATACCTTTTCATCCTGACACACCGAGCTTTCTCGAAGTTCGAATTCCCTCAAAGCCGCCTCTAGTGCTTCAACATCCAAGCCCTCTTCGTCTTCGGGTACACCTCGCAGTCGCCCCATAAATCCAGCGTCTTCGAAGATTCGGAATCCAAGATGATAAGTTGGCTCCACGAGCCAAATCATCTTTGTCTGAGCCGGGTCCGTGAATACCTGCAACACACATGCTAAATTCTGACTGGCGCCGCCGGTAATGCATACTCGGTCGACACCGACGGGCTGTGGAGGGGCATAAGATTTGGAAAGCCAATTGGCTATATTTTCTCGCAAAGGAAGGTGGCCTTCATTTGGGCCATATTCCAATCCTGTTGCGAATATAGTCTCGTTTGATAGAGCGTCATTTGCTGCTTTCTTGAGTCGGTCGACTGGGAGCATGGAAATGGCGGGCCATCCTTGAAAGAGGTCGATCTGGCTATCTGGAGGATTACCTGAGTCTAAAGACATGATTCGAAGTTCAATTCAACCTTTGGAAACAGCGAGCCCAATCTTCTTTATACTTTCAAAGTTCACGGCCTCGGGGCTTGCTTCGGGAATATAAGCGATCCGACCAATCAGACCGAACCGGCCGCTTATCAGATTCGAAGGTTGCTTTCCTCATACAGCGAGATTCTGTTACGAGACATCTGGAAATCCACATTCTACTCATATCCAAAAAGAGAAAGAGTTACCGATTGCTCGCGCTTCATAATGTCATCTTCGAACGCCAAAAACAAAACCGCCCATTCCCGATTTGGACGCTATGGAACAGCGCCAGGACCAATGCAAATACAAATGGGACATTTCATGCCTTGTCCTGCCAAAATGTACCTACCCCGCAACAGGGGGGAAATTCGCCTATACGCAAAGAACGCCGGTTATGCCTTTTTCATAAATAATATGGCTGAGGCTCCATGCCTATGATAACGCAAACTGTGCTAGCGCAAGTTTCGAGCAATAAGCTCTCCCGGTTTATACATTGTCGTCTTCGTAGACAAAGTTTATGTCGCGGATGCGACGGCGGTTCGTAGCGACGAACTCCTGGTCGCCGGCAGGTCGTTCGTTGCGGGTATTGGCGGTCAACATGCTCTGGAGACTCATGCAAATGCTCTCGACGTTCTGCACGGGAGACCAGCCGGAGGAACCGAGGAGGTCGAGACAAATGATGCCGTTGCTATAGATGTGAGGATGGATAGGGATCGAACGGGGTACGCCGGTCGCGTCGTCGCTTTTGATGAATTGGACCTCTGGGGGTTCTGGTCGGACAGACTGTTAGATATTTGGTTTCGGTGGACACTGCACGCACCGAGAGTCTACTTACCGATAGGGTACTTGTTGCTGAAAGTGAATTTCAGACGATAGACCTGGTCCAGATAGAGAGGGTTCTCGTCCAGGACTTTGATATCCATCTGCCACTCTTCCAGATTGTCACATTTCACGATTGCGATTCCCGGCGGGACATGATCCTGCATCTGTATCGGTCAAAGAGTCAGCACGGAGGTCGAGACGGGCTACTGAAATGGTGGGCGTCGCAAGAGATCTGCGAACAGAACGCAGTCGGCGGGGCAGAGGTGATAAGGATTCGGCAACGATAGGAAATTACCTTCACGAGCTCCTGTAGGACATCAAAAGTTAGTCAGATGTATTTGAGAAATGTTTCAAAACACTTTACCTTGCTCAGGCGCTTGGTAGCAAACATGATGCTGTGTGATGGATAAGTTGAAAGGTCTTGGAGAGCTCTGGTGGAGAAGAGGGGCGGTGGAGCAGGCGGATGTATGACGTGTGGAAGCTCAAGTATACAACGCGTAGGAAGACGCAAGTGAATATACCATCCACTACAAATTCAAATTGAGTAACTTATTGAGGCGCGAACGTGAGTGGGGAGACAATCTACACGTGATGGTTTGATGTGGGCCACTTATGCACCTCGACTATAGAGGCTCAACGTAGAACGTTCTACTTCGTCCATTTATTTATATTGTCGTTCTATCTTAACAAGTAACCTTTGTAAACCGAAATCTCTTACCTGCAACATCAGTATGTAACTATGACTACAAAAATGTCAATTCAGCTTTTTGGTCGTTGTCTTGAGTTCTGTTGGAGTAAAACATAAATAATTTAGATCATGTGTCGGGTTCGGATGCTAGTCCAGGCCAGTTTTTAGGCAAGCCCCGAGCTGATTAGACCTTCCAAGGCGTGTAGACATTCTGATGACTGTGTGTTTTAGCCCACTAAGAACTATACCCAAAACAGGAAAATTCATGACTGGAAAGTTGTATGTTCAATCTGATTGACTATGAGAAGCAGGGGAATCATAGAATTATATCCAAGAAACCGCCCTGTAGAGGAAATGGATTGCAGGGCAGAGTATCCTCGAGGACAGCGTATTGATATGACAAGAAAATTAAAAGTAACAGAGAGCAAGGCGGCCAGCATATTATGCGGAGGCAGCCTTCTCACGAGCTTCACGCTCAACCTTCTCTCGCTCCTCGTTCTCCTTTTGTTCACGAACCTTGGCCAGAACAACCTCACGGAAGATAGCTCCACGAGCAGCGCTACCAAGGCTCTTCTTCTTTGTGTGGCCGGGGGCCGGGCTACTCTCACCGTTTGGCGGCGGGGCTTCAGCCGACTCCTCGGAGGCGGCACCCATGTCCATGGGACTGGGAATGTCCTCTCCATCCTCTTCTTCATGCATCTTGAGGGACTCAATGCGGTTGGCGAGCTTGACGATTTCGATTCCACGACGGAGACGAGCGCGCGCAATGTAGGCGCGGATCTCGGGCAGCAAGTCACGGTCACTTGCGGATTCTCCGGTCAGCCACTCGTGCTTGAGGGCATCCTCTGAGGTGACTCGCTTGGCGGGATCGGCGTTGAGCATGGTGAGGATGAAGTCCTTGGCGTCTTGGGACACGTCGCGCCAATAGCGCTCGTGGAAGATGATGCGACCGGTTCGGCATTCTTCAATGAGGTCGGTGAGGTTCTCGGAACGGAAGGGGGAGTATCCACAGAGGAGGGTATAGGTGATAACACCGAGCGACCACATATCAACGGCCTTGCCGTGGCCTTGCTTGAGCATGACCTCGGGCGCGGCATATCCGAAAGAACCAGCCATGCTGGTGAGGACCTCGGAGGGGCTGTGGAGCATTTTGGCGATACCGAAGTCTGCGAGCACTAATTGAGAATCGGCGGCGCGGGTGAGGTAGAGCAAATTCTCGGGCTTGAGATCTGGACGGGTGTGAGCTTGGGAATAGGACATGTAGTATAGCACGGAAACACTGACCTCGGTGAACGATGTTGCGCTTGTGCAGGTAGTTCACAGCTTCAAGCACCTGGCGAATGGTTTGCGACGCATCCTTCTCAGTGAACTTGCCATACTCGCAAATGCGGTCGAACAACTCGCCACCAGTAGCTAGTTGCGTAACAATGTAGAATTTGTCCTGGGCCCAACATTAACATTTACCACAGCGCAACGGTGCCGAGGGAGGCTCACCTTCGATTCGAACCAGTCGACGAACGAGACGATGTGGGGGTGCTGGAGGGATTGGAGCATCTCAAGCTCATCGTAGACCATGTTTTCATTTCCGCGAACATTCTTCTTGAGAATGATCTTGACTGCGACCTTCTTGCCGTCGGTGGAGTCAGCCTCGCGGACGATACCGTATGTGCCTGCACCCAGTGTTCGTCCGAATTTGTAGAGAGCCCTATCAACACGGACCAGAGATTAGTTGGCCGTTAACATAGTAGCCATCGGAATCACTCACTTTTTCTCGTAGCTCTCCGGCTGTCCAGACAGCTTGTTGAGCATATTTGCGACTAAAGGAACGGTGGTCAGCGAACTGAACGTATCCCCAGATGAGATGCGCAGATTGAACGAAGCGAAAGGCCCCTGGAGAAGGCGACCGAGGGAAGAAGGAAGAGGCATTGTGACGCAGACCATGACACAAAATTATAGCAAGCAGGCTCCCAAGCCCACATATATGCCACAGATAGCTTGCAGGCAGTGCATGGATCGACATCATCAATGCAGCGAGGATCCAGACAGTGAACGAGGCTGCAAAGCCAGATGATGGGTGCCAAAACCGAGGGAACAAATCACAATGGAATCCACAAAGACAAAAGTCCGAATATCGCGTGTCGACTCACAACTCATAATGTGGGGATAGGGCTGCAGACGCCCTAAGATGCCAGACGCGACGGGCGATGGGCTGAAATGAGGGCACGGGACTCGTTAGGTAGCAGGAGATAAGGTCAAATCCGAGAATTAGAGGTAGAATGATGCAGTCCAATCTAAGGGGGTAAAAAAAAAATAAGGGTCAGCAATGATCTAGAATTCCCAAATCCGAGGGGTGAGGCCATGCGCGGGGGTGGCTGAACGTGCAGAGAGACGCGACACGTCGCAGCACAAGATGGCCACGGGTAACAGAGAATCACATACCTTCAAAATGAAACACAATTAGAAGTTTTAGAGAGGAGAGGAGAGAAAAGAAATGTTCAGTGGCCTGAAGAGCAAGACGGAGCAAGTTCTAGCCCGCGATAAGGCGATCTGTAAGGTTTAGCGTGTGGCGCAGCCGAAACACGACTGCCTGACCGTTTAGGAGTCATGAGCCGCCACTACTCCCTAACCTTGGGATTCCTTTGCTCCATACTAATTATACTCATTATACTCATTATACTCGTCATTCTTCCCGTGTTTGTTGTGAGGCTGCGACGTCATATATGTTGACTGCTTCTCTTGGTGCGTCAACCTCCTACGGCCCACTGTAGCCTTGTAGGGCTTCCCGCCAAGAATTATACGCCCTCAGGCCGCGGCGCAATCGCACTAATTCAGCCCTATATTACTCCATAGTTGTGTGGGCATGATCGCACCCAGAGCCCGAATAAGAGCAACTATTATGATGATTCTTCAGTCATCGCGAAACGCGTGAATCTATGCAGAAATTACGCCTAAGTCGCATGTCTACCTGTCTCGGGCTGAACCTCCCTATAGTCCCATGACAACTGAATACATACGGAGTACCTTGGAGTTGATGTTGCCTGAAATGACACCCATGACCCATAACCCCATAACCAGCCGACTTACAAGGATCTTTCTCATATTGATCGAAGCCTGGAACGCATGGTTCTTTGAGACGTCCCTCAAGCCTGACAGCAGGAGACTCTCTACTCCGTACTTGTGGTACGAGATACGACTCTGAGGTGCCAAGAGTTTTCCTTAGGAACCAACTTGAATTTGGCCCTTTGACGAAGATTATCATGATCATGTCTGGATTGAGAACTTTTGCATCCATGAAAGCTGTCTTTCCCTGAGTGGACGGCCCATGTGGGCACTCCTTCTGGATGACTGGCAACTACGCACCGCAAAATAGAACACCCGGATTCTATCAAAACTGTTGCTGTCCGGTGCAGTTCGTCAAGCAGCGTGACTTCCGGCGTGTTAGTTGCTTTCTCAGCTTGCAAAGAGGATCCCGAGACCAACGAAATACCGTTCCAACGATCACTTGCCTTTCCGAGGTGTGACACTTTTAAACAGTAAAGGTATGCGGCACACGGAAAAAAGCGACGAGAATTGAAGGATGACCGCCTTCATCAATGATTTTCTCGCATCTATTAAGGGTTCTACCTGGTAGGGGTTAGTATCTCCATCGTACTGCAAAGGATTTTCTGGAAACCATCTCGGGTATATTCCTAGAGCCGAGATGATTCATACCTCAACTTTCCTTCAACAACCAACGGACTACCAAGCGATGAATGTTGACTTCAAAAGGTGATCAGGTAATTGAGGTTTCCAGAAAGTAAGAGAAACGCCACCTTGCCCCGGAGCCCGGGCCCCGGGGCCCGGACCAGCTAACTAAGCCCGGGGTCAATATAACACCCGAAAAGTTTTGGTTACTAAATCTGCATTCGTGGATTATTGATGTACGATATCTCGAGTATAAAGATGGAGTTCTCAGGCATTCAAGTTTTGAAACTTATATCAAAGCCAGACTCAACTTTCTACATCCTGTCAAGTCTCAACCATGCCTATCACCATTGGTATCGCCGGAATCACAGGGAAATTTGCCCGATGTGTGTCGGCACAGCTTCTGAAGCACTCTGATGTTACTATTCGTGGATATTGTCGTGATCCTAGCAGAGTTCCCGAATCTATCTCGTCCTCAGAGAAGGTGACACTGTTCAAGGGAGATGCATTTGATGGAGATGCGATTCGCACATTCGCACAGGGCTGCGACGTGATCATCTGCTGCTATCTCGGCGATGACCAATCGCGAAACCAAACAGTCCTTCAGGCAGCCGTTCTTTTCTTCACTTGTCTTCGTCGCCCCGGAGATGCCCATTTTGTATGGACCATCACTGCGGCCTTGTGTCGACTGGCACAAGGGATGGGATTGCATCGCGACGGGACCAAGTTCGGACTCACCCCCTTCGAACTTGAAATGCGGCGTCGGTTGTGGTGGTCTATTTATCTACTGGACTCTCAGTCATCTGAGCTCCATGCGATATGTACACAAATTGCAGAGGGAAGCTACGACACACAGTTCCCTCTCAACATCAATGATGCAGATTTATCAGCGGAGTCGACGCAGACACCAGAGCCACATTCTGGATTTACTGATATGTCCTTTTGCCTAATAAGAATCGAGATGATAGTCTCTCATCGACGCTCCGCTCTGGGTGCCCCTGGGAGTGAGAGAAATGACAAGGACAGCGCCAAAACCAGCGGTTCAATTGGACCAAATGCACGAGAGGAACGTCTTCGTGACTTGGCAACAATCCACAATCGACTCCGGGACCGATATCTCCAATTCTGCGATATGTCAGAACCAACGCAGTGGGTGACGGCCACCATTATTCGACTCGCTCTCACTCGATCATGGATGATAGCCCACCTTGTGTCAGGAGAGACCCCGGGTCAAGATCCACTCACCGAAATACAGACCGATGATCCCCAAAGAGACCAGATTTTTTCGACTGCCATCGAAGTAATAGAGTTTGCCTATTTGCTGGAGACGGATCCTCGAACGACAAAATGGTCCTGGTTTTTTGAGGCATATCCACAGTGGCATGCCGTGACCATTGTGTTATCCGAACTTTGTGTTCGACCGCAAGCTGCAGAGACCGACCGGGCATGGGCAGTGGTTGATAAAGCTATCTCGCGTTGGACGGAACGAGGACTTCAGAAAGGTGGGATTACATTGGAAATCATATATCAACTCATGTCGCGAGCAGCTGTAGTACATGGTCGGGTTTGGTCTAGTTCGGAAGAAAGAATTCGTCACAACTCGGCTTGATGCACACAGGGATCATAACGATTATTCAGTCGGGCGTGGACCAAAGGGTTTCCCGCTTGGGCTCCTCTGCTAGACGAGGGATTTTGGCGGGATGATGAAATTAGGTTACCCAAAATAGAAGATGATGTAGGACAATTAATATAAAAAAGTCTTGTCCTCGTATCTCCGGGGGCCCGTGTGGCGCGTCATCCGACGTCATCGCATAGTATATTAGCCCGATGTGTGCCCTTCACCTTTACACTGGATGTCTCAAAATTACCACATTCACCATGTTGTCTTTGCTTTTCTTCTCTGTCTTGCAATTGGTTTTACTTGCCGCCTGGGTCTCCGGCTATTTGGACCCATATCAAAAGAAGCTGCAGGAGATCATCCTGGACACTATGGGCGAGACTAAGGTCTCTTATGGATTAAAAAGTAGGTCATACCACTGAAAACGCCAACATTGGAAGTTGAGCGGGTTGATCATTGATCATTCTGACGTCTCATAGTGAGCCTCACGGGCAAGAAACTCACCGAGGATCAGAATCTCAGCAAAATCCAGGACCAACTTGGAAGTCAACTTGGCGGAGTCTTTGGCAAAGGTGGTCTGGGGGAAGGAATTGGCTCTGTTTTGAGTAAAGGGCTTTGAATATTGGTGTCATATTGATGCCGATTGGGAAAGGTTTTTTAGAGTTAAGCTCAAGGTTAAACGTTGGGACCGAACCGGATTGATGGAACGCTGTTTCTCTCTCGCATTTTTTTGATATACAAACACAGATCACAATAGAAATCATGATCTAGATTTTTAACATCACCGTGCTAGATGGATCAGAGTGATGATGTTCTGACACAGAGGCCAGATCGAATGAACACTTGCAACTGGCGAACCCAGTGTCATCTCCACCTCCCCTCACGACAGTCAAGATTTCAAATGGAAGAATCGTGGGAAACTATTAGATCTGATTTTCAATGAATCTCAGAATGAATAGAATAGTCCAGTCCTTAATGCCCCGAGGTAGCTCCTTGCCATTCTCTCAAATGCGCATGACCCTCCACAGTTAGGCCACGGCTCTCCCCCAGTTCAGTCAAAACAGTCTCACAAAGCTTCTCATAATACTCTGGACCCTTCCAGAGACTGTTCTTGGACCGGAGACCGGTTCTCCATCCTTCATTGCGAAGTCGCGTGATGCGCTGCGCCTTTGTCTCGGTCCGTAACAAATTTCCATATTCATCGATATTCGGTCCATCCAGCAGAGGGGCATTATCCGTCTTAATACCAGGCTTTGGCTTGACCGGACTAAAAGTCCAAAAAGAAACAGTGCGTGACATTGTCGTATTGTGATTGTTTCTGGCTTTCTGAATATTCGTGACATGCTCAATCTGCTTGCGGAGTTCGGTCAAATCTTCTGGAATGTGCTCTCGGAGCCACTTCACAGTCTGGTTAAACTTGGCCACTTTTGCTGCACGAGCAGCTAAAACCACTTCGTCTGGAGAGGGCAGCGATGAGTAGATCGACAGCGAGTTCGACTCCGATGAGTGTGGAGGGGACTTGAACGGCGAGCCAAGGGTGGGAGTGGGCTCCTGCATAACAGGACAAGGCGTGAAAAGCAGTGCACTCGGAGAAGAAGATGCTAGAAGACCGAGATGCTTTGTTTGGGGAACCAGAGTGGGAGACTTGGCCTTTCCTGTGTTAGTAGTCTGGTCGTTGGATGGGATAATCTTCAATGGAAGTCGGGGAGGGCGAGAGCGAACAAGACGTTTGATATCACCCTCAGGATCTCCTTCTTCTATCGAGCCTTTGCGGATAACCACACCCGGTCCACCACACTTGAGCATATCACCGGAGTCTTTCCGGATCTGAAGGGGAGATGGTAGGAGCTTGATTTGCTTTACTGGATCTTCGAACCCAGTCGGGAATTTGATCGGGGACAATCGCACCGGAGGGCGCATGGGAGTGCGCAGGACGACTGGCTTCTCGCGCGACACGAAGGGGTCGCCAAGATCATTTAGCAAGGAGCTATTGATCATTCGCGCAATGTGCTTGACGATGTTCCCGCCAGTTGGACGCCTACCATCGCTGTCAAAAGACACTAACTTGTCCCCTATAGACGGGCTAGGCGATGAGGCATCAGGTGGAGGCGGAGGAGCACGTGTGGGACGTGGAATATCGAAGACTGCAGCACGCGCATCAAATGTAGGCCGGGGAGTTCTTCCGGATGAAAGAGGAGGAGTAACGCAGAACGCAGTTGGAACCGTTGAACCAGAAAGAGGAGTAAAGTTGGGACATACTTCTTTTGGACGAGGAGGGGTCTCGAATGGGCCAGTACGCTGGTAAGGCAAAGCTGCAGAAGACGGATTAGGCGAGCTGTTCGAGGGAGGTGAGTATGTAATAGGGGTCCAAATATGGAACGAAGGGGACACATCCTCAACGTCAGGCACCGTCTCGTCCTCTCCACGAAGAGCCGGCAAAGAAGCACCCCAAGTACTCCCTATGGGCGATAAATCGAGCGGAATTGATTGGGACCGCGAATAAGGGTCAGTACTGAGGGGAGAATAGCTTTGCGGAGCATTCAAAACAGGCTGCGGAAGCTCAGCCGGCAGGGCAGCACTAGCAGCTTCAAACTCTACCAGAGCAGACTTCAGAAACGGGAGTTTGGCACTCGAGAAGATGTGTGCAGCTCGTCCCAGGTACTCATAGGATGCCGCTGCATAGTAATGGAGATAAGTTGCACGGATCGGGTCAAGCTATTTGATAAATTGTTAGCAAACAGCTTTTGATCGTGGTCGTACTCAGGACGGAAGGCACAAACCGGGTCAGATGCAGTCTCTATGAGTTGATGGCAGCGGGAGTAGCATTGCTTGTACTGCTGGTTGAGACATAACCATTTCACATCGACTAGGGCACGGCGCCATTCTTCATCATCCTTCGGAGGCGAGAAGGGACCGGAAGAGAAAGGCACCTCTTCCGGTATTTCGGAAGGCTCAGCGATAGGCATCGTACGAGTAGAACGATCTTGCAGATACAAAAGACGGTGAGGTATGATGAGGTCGGACGAGAGAGTTGGGAGGAAAGCAGTGAGACGGAGGGAGTATCAACGAGCAGGGGAAAGAGATGAGAGAAAATGGCCTCTCTCAAGTTTGGGACCTTCAAACTTCAGATTTCAAGTTCACCATGTGGGCTACGCACGCAATGTTCTGTTATGAGGTGCCTTCTCCCAGCACCACGAAGGTTGTAGCTTTCCCGAACACTCGACGCAAGATAGCTTGCCAATTCCCCCAATGCAATGGCCAAACAAAACACGGTTCTCCGAAGAGTACAATTACTGCACCCGGAACATTCGACGAGACTTCGGAAAGTTGATCTGAAGAAAACATCCATGATCAGACTGACGGGGGTGGCCTAGGGCCCAAATTGGGCAAGAAGTATCGAATTCTATAGATTACATAGCACAGGCCTTTTTTTTTAAAAAAAAAAAAATATCATTGCTTTTTGAATCATACACAAGTCATTAATTCGTACTCATACATCCCGCCGAGGTCATTTCAGACCTTCTCGGCAAGCTGACCGGGGCCACCGTTGGTGTCCTGAGTTCCAGCCCTGGCTAGGGCCTCCCCGGCCGCCGAAAGAGACTCAAGGAAATCACCCAGCAATCTGTCAAGCTCCGCGGTCACTACCCCATCATCCGCTCCTTCCATGAGGCTTGCCTCGCTTGGAGGGTCCAATGCCGGGAAGGGAATGAAACCCTTCCCATCTTGCGAACCCGCGTAGACATCCAGGTAGCTATTGTTTTGGAAATGGGGAAGCCCTATTGGGGCGTCGGAGTAGGATTGATCTCGGCGATGCCGTACGGTGTCGAAAACAGGGGATCCCGGCTCTGATACCGGACCCGAGGTCACGGAGGAGGCAATGGGGGTGTCCGGAATTGGAACGGCCGTGGGTAGAGCGGACATAGGATCATCGCCAGAGAAAACCTCGGCATGAGCTCTCCACAAGGGGTGGGATTCTTCATCAGGCCCGGGCCCATCAAGGAGCCCAGAGCTCTCGTAGTCATTGTATCCCTCAGAATACATCATTGCCGGCATTTCTGTGTCAAAGAAGTGGCCATGTTGAAGAGTGGATTCACCCTGTGGGGTTTCCGGGCGGTCGAAGTTGAACGGATCGTACTCAGAATCCGGGGCAATTGCGTAGTCTGAATCCGAGACGTTCGAGGCTGAAGTAGAAGGACGGGGCTCACTTAGTTCAATTGGGTCATCCTGAGATTCAGGTGGAGTCGGAACAACCTCGGGGAGGGCGGGAAGCGGAGCTCGGAGAGTATCATGTCGGTCTTCGTAAAGCCGACTTTCAGGGACGGATCCCATGACAGGGAATGTCCATTGCATGGTGGCCCGTTTTTCAGCTCGCAGAGAATCATCTTCGACGGGTGCTTGTGCGGGTGGCTCTTCTTCCACTTCTGCTGGGTGGTCGTCTGCAGGAGGCGCAAACGATGGAAACTTCCAATCCATTGTTGGGGGTCGCGGGCCAGACGGAACAAAGGTGTCCTCGACATCTCTGTCGTAACTCGAATTGCCACCGACACTGCCATCACAAGACTTAGAGCTATCATCGTCGGAGTTTCTGTGTGGTCGGATACTCGAGCGAGTTGCACGGATTGTATTCGCATCAACAAGCTGGAATGGCTGTGCAGATGGGGCTCCTGCTGCATAATGTGAAGCTTCGAATGACCCGATATCAATGTCGAGGAAAGTTGATGTGACGGAGGAGCGATCTGTCTCAGCACGAAGAGGAAGATCTGATGTGGGCTGTGCTGTCTCTATTGGAACGAAGTCATTCTTGGTTTCGTATTTGTAGCTTGGCTTCTCTTCATCAAACAGCCCTTCCATTGCCTCGGCACCTCGACGCACTCGTTCGTCAAAATTCATCTTGTCCTCATAGTTGAGTTCACTCTCCGAGAACTCATCGTTCATATCAGGCTCAGGCGACTGGCTTGTTGGACTAGCAGATTGTTCCATTTGAGCCAATGTGGCAGCAATCTGGTCTAGGTCGATGACAGAAAATCTTCGTTCGAACCCATCAGTTGTGCTAAAGTTCCAATCTTCGTTGGACTCTTCGACGCCTGGAAGCTCCGCTGCAGCCGCTCCGCCTGGGTGAAAGAGGGAAATGCGCTGGCCACCTCGCTGAGACCACTGGTAATAGCCCTTCACTAACTCACTTACCGACGAGGTGGGGTATTCTTCCTCGGTGTCGACAATGTAAGGGTGGGTGAGAATATCTTCCATAGTGGGACGAGTGTGTGGATTCGGGTCTAGAGCGAAAGCAATGAGATCTTTCAGTCCCTGGCTGTACCCGTCTTTGTCGAGTTGTGGGGTTTTGCGGTTCAGCTGGCGACCGATTTGCATTCGCTCCCGAAGACCTGAGTTTGGTGGAGTTCCATTGGCAAACTCGAACAAAGTACAACCATATGACCATACATCAACTTCACTCCCGTACAGGTGAGCTTCTCCGCGGGTAGCAAACATCTCTGGCGGCATCCAATGTGGCGTGCCGATCCACGTCGATCTTTTGTCTTGCTGTGACTGGAGGACACCTGCCACACCGAAGTCACAAATCTCCAACCGGCCCTCTTCGTGCACGAGAATGTTCGCGGCTTTGATATCACGATGAATGATTCCGGCTCCATGGATGGCACGGAGACCAACAGCTAGCTCGCGGGCAATCGGGATGATGTATTTTTCTTCGAGCTTGTCATTCGTGGCGCGCATCAACGTGCGGACACTGCCACCTGGACAATACTCACAAACGAGCCATAACTGAGAGTGAATTGAGATCGCTTCAATGAGTTCATTGATGTTCTGAGCTCCAGAATCCTTCACTTGCTTCATGACTGTGGTCTCATGAATGAAATCTTTGATAGACTCATCTCTGAGATCTCGCAGTGAATTGTAGTCTAGTGAGTCGATATCCAGAACTTTGATGGCAACGAGTCGACCTGTTGATGTCTGATGACCCTTGTAGACACGACCGTAAGCTCCTTTGCCAATCAGCTCTTCAAATTCATAGGGCGGGATTTCGGTTTTCGCGCGGCGACACATCTCTTGAACTGCCACACCTTGCTCTCGAGCTAGTTTTATGGCTTCCGCTTTGTGTTTGGTGATGGCCGCCATAGCAGAGGACGGGTCCAAGAAAAGGGACCCGCGGGGATCCATATTGACTGATTTCTGATTTCTTTTTTGATTTTTGTTTTTGTTTTTGCTTATTCGGGGTTATTTGTTCGTCGTTCAAATCAAATCGAGGTTGGTTTGAGGGATGGGATAGAGGAGAGCGGATGATGCGCAGCGGAGGCTCGACGGGAAGCTGATCCGGTGCTAGATCAATATCGAAAGGATTGTCCGAGATCCCAAACCCAAAGGCAAAGCGCTTTGAAATCTCCAATTCCACAATTAAACCGTCGCTGTGGTTTTTTCTTTGGTGGCTCTTCCTTTGGTGGTTCTTCCTTTGGTGGTTCAGCCGTTGGTGGTGAGTCCGGCGAAGAGGAGATCCGTAGGGGCGTGTTTCGATAGACTCGAGGCGTACGGTCACGCTTGCGATACCCTACAGAATCGGTGCTGAATGTATGTCGCGGTCTGACAAACTCGAGTACGGGATCGTAGTTCGGAGGAAGGTACGGGCGTGAGAAGTTCACAGGATTGGCACAATATGGAGTCACCTCTGGATGGGCTGGCTGGATCTGAGACAGGTGAAACCCTAGGAATGATGAACAACTTCGTGATCGGTCAATCTTAGGGAAGTGTTCTGCGTCGGGTGAACTGTCGGTTGGAGAGCGTGGTGCGATATCAATGAGGGTATCTGTGGTGCTTGCGAGGCCACTGATGTCAAGCGTGGAGAGATTAGCCTGGGCGTCGTTGATGAGTGAATCCTGTCGCGGGGCACGATGAGAATAAATGAAGCCCCACTCGTCAACTGTGCTGCTAGGGCCAATGGGCGACGGTGGAATAGACTCCAATAATTCTCCAAAGCTTGGTGTTTGGGTCAAAGTCTCGGGGTCCGGGGATGTTGGGAGAATGGGTTGGATCCCAGGTCCTTGGTCGGGGTCCCGGTCGGGGTCTTCACAGGTATGAGAATCAGGTGGCTCACCTTTGCTGCTGCCGTAATATGAAGAACTATTTGGGTCGTCGTAACACAAGCCGGTCTTGGGTAGTTGTTTGCGGTCCGAGGCAGGAATATTGTCTAAGTAGAATGCCAGTCTTCTCTCATCGTCATGAACGAGATCTGTCCACTCGGATGCATAAGTTCGCGGGGCTCCAGTGTCTTTATTTTCACAAGGACTGGGAGCACGATCAAGTTCGTCGTTGGACAACGAGCTCTTGCGCGTCGCACTGTTAGTGCCCGCTAGGCCGGCAAAGGGATTGAACACTCCCGGAGGACGAGGTACAAGAGTGTGTTGGCTGGAGGTAATTGATGGTTCAGGTGTCGAATCCTGTGTGTTAGGACAGCTATTAGCCATTGGGTCCATGATAAGAGAGCAAGGATGGATGGAGGAAGGGAAATGTCAACATGTTTTAATAACGAGGAAAGCTCACCTAGGTAGCTCTTGTTGTCGTGACACGTAAGATCGTATGACGACTCATCAATCCTCGTCGGCGCGGCGATCGAGACTCAAGTGTAAGTAGGCCCCCGGGAAGTTGACGATGTACGGTAGACTGGAGGGCTGACCCCGGTGCGATACGGCGCGATAACGACGCGATACGATGTGAACCACGTGACCCTTATCACCCCCGGGGCCCCAGAGCCACCCTAACTAAATTCTACCTATCGTCTTCGCCGTCCATCTACCCACAGTTACAATCGTCCACAGGCACATAGAAATATAAGATTTTCACCAGTTCACTGTGTTCTTCTTCAATATGTAAACCACAGATCATTGTCTTACTTTACCAGATCTACATGCTGGGATTTAGATGAGGCATACTAGGTTAGAGCAGTATATCAGCTGTGGGTATCATGGATGAGTTGCATTCTCTGCAGATTGAACGCGAACTACTCCGTACAGGCATGATCATTCCAGTTAGTTAGAATTTATACTTGTCTTTGTCTCAAGCGAAGAATCGAAAGTCAAACCGTGGAACCCGAGAATGGACTGAATTGTCGCCTTAGGACATGGTAATAGTTGGTGCCCAAATCCACTCACTTAAAGCCAAGCCAATTTGATCATGCTTCGTGGACGTTTGATGGGGCTTTTGGAATCCCCGACATCAGCCTAGAAATCATCAGCCGATGAACTTCCGAGGGGATTATTCTCGTAAGCGATAAAGTAATGGGTTCCAATCAAAATATACGATGAAATAAAAACAGCTCACTACAACTCGCCATGCGCAACCTTGGAAGGTGCTCGGTAGGTAATCCTAGATTTGGTTTTTACTATGGCGCTAAAGCATCAAACGACGCTAGGCTTTCGCCAGATTTTGCCAAACATGTTTGCGAAAAAGCAACTAGATCAAACTGGCTCCAACGTTCGCCGTCTTGAATGGAAGATTCAGCTCAGCCCTATTCCTTGGGAATGGAGCAATTCGTAGGCGATAGCCTTGATGAGTCTAGTTTGATTGAACCCACACGGTAACCCCGGCACTCTATGTCATGCTGTGTATATATACTTGACCGGAATTGTGGTGGCTCCTTCATCTTTCCTTTCCCACTGCAAGTACAAACCTTGGAAATAGGTAGCAATGACTTCAACTATGGAGAAAGTGTGTGTGGAACAAGCACTTCCAAATGATACAGATACCGCAATTTTTGAACTAGCATGTTCGCCATTGTTCAAGCCTGCTTTGCGCACTTTGAGTGTAGCAGAATGCACAAAAATAACTTATCAAAGGGCAAAAGCTATCAGCAAAACTTATGGTAAGACATTTGGCTTTTACCTTGGGTATTAAAACCTCTTAAACGTGGGTAATTGACGATGACAGGCTTGACTATACCGGATATCCTCAATATGACACCGAAATTCTGCAAGATGCATTTACAGCCTTTGGTTGCTTTGGACGGAGGGGCTTTGACTCTTCTCACCATACAAACAAACCTTTTCATCGGAACATTGGCTCCGTTTGCATCGAAGCGCCCAGAACTCCATTCTGTTCTCCAGGCCGCTATCAATTTTGAGATATCGTGAGCTCCCCTCTCCACTCAAGACATCTTGTCTTATTCATGTGAATTGTTGGATCTAACTTCGATTGAATACAGGGCACAATTCATGCTCACCGAAGTCGATCATGGGCTCGATGCGCGAAACCTTCGAACAACCGCAACCATCCTACCTGATGGTGATATCGACCTCCATACTCCTTCGCCCAATGATGCCAAGTATGTCCAGATGAGAGTCTATTTTACCGGTTGGATGGCAGTTTGAACAGCGCTAATACACCATTAGAGTTATGGCCCCAGCAACTACTAGAAGTGGAGTCCCCATCATGGCCGTTGTCATGGCTCGCCTCGTTGACAACGGCAAGAATTGTGGAGTCAGACCCATTCTTGTTCAGATCGGAGATGGCAAGCAAATGTGCAAGAATATCATCTCAAAGTGAGTCTTGAAGATTACGCCTTGCACATGCTCTAACAGTCAACTTGAGGGTCTTGCCCACTAGAACCGGTACTCATCCCATCGACCATACTATCACGTACTTCAACCACGTGCGCCTACCCAGGTCCGCCGTGCTGGGCAGTCTCGAAGGGACAGGTGATAAGCGAGTTGATTTTGCATCGGCTATTCAACGTGTTGCAGTCGGAACTCTTCTCATCTCCGGTTCTGTGATTCCATACTTGAAGGTTGCTTCTTTTGTCGCGGATCGGTACAGCCGCGGTCGATTCGTTACTGGAAACGATGGAGAGCCTATGGCAGTCATCGGCTTCCGGACTCAAAGTCTCCCTATACTCCACGCAGTAGCTCAGTATAGTGTCCTGGAGCCCTTCCTGTTCTCGGCGGCGAAGTCATTTTGTGACAAGACTATTGACCCCAGGGTACGGCATGGCATTGCTACTGCTTTCAAAGCGGTAGCTATCAATCATTTCAGCAAGAGCATCAAAGCTATGAACGAGAGATGTGGGTGGCATGGCCATTTCGAACATAACCAGCTTCTTCAATTGGAGGTAGGTGCTGAGATAAGTTGATCATCTACGTCCAACATACTGATCTGAACGTTTTTAGTTGGAGATGAGGGGTGCATCCACCGCGGAAGGCGATCTGCGGGTTCTTGCCATTCGTATGTACTGAGAACCCTGACCATGTTGTGACTGTGATAGTTAACAAATCTCATACAGGCCTTGCATCTGAGCTATTGATTGGTCGTTATGAAATGCCGCCTCCTCGAACCCCATCAAATCCCATTGCACAACACGAGGCTTCTCTTTTGTCAGAAGCAAAATCTCTCCTTCAACACCGTGCACAAGGAGATCATCGAAACCGGCATTTCGACAGAGATGTATTACCTCTCGCGCTTCCATTGGTTGAGGCTATAGGATACCGAATGGCCATCGAGGCTGCTCAAGAGGCCAATATTGACCCCAGGATCATCAAACTGTATGAGGCTGGAGTATTGAAAGAAGACCCCGCTTGGTACGCTGAGAAGGGCGGGCTGTGTCGAGATCTCCAAAGAGATATGGAGGCTCAAGCAGCCGACGATTTGCTTCCCGATCTAAAGGATATCATGCAGCAGTCCGGCATGCAGGCTTACTGCAACGCTCCGATGACATCAAAGGTTTTGTGGGACGAGTTTGTTGCTGGACTGGAGACTTTTGAGGGTAGTGCACCATCACGCTTGTTAGCTCGGCTTTGATGTATCCGTGGATTTTTTGCCGTTCGAATTCCACCAGTATGATTTTGCCACCGTTCGCTTGCCTGATCCTCGTAAGACCCCAAAATTATCAGCCCAAGCTTGATTCATCAGTTACCCAGCTTAGCCGATATCAACACAATCATGCAGAACGGGTCACCTTCCCACGACAATACATAGAATAGGAGTAAGATATCACTCGCTTTTATCAAAATTGGTTGGTCGGGAATTTGCACCGGAATGCTTTCCGAGATAAAAAATGTCACGGGTGAGAGGCCGCCACAAGTGTACCTACTTTCGAGCTACTTCTCCTTGAGGAGCTTGATTAATTGTCAACCGCAATACGGAGTACTTCTTCAGTGAGACTGAGTTTGATGAGCTATGCTCAAGTACCCTCGAACCAAGTAATACGCCGCATCAATACGAGACCCGTACCAGAGAAATTAATGAGGCATGTATGCCTTGGTGCCTGAGGAGGGGTTGCCCCACCATGCATGCAGCTAAGTGAAAATTTCAGAAGCTCGAGGCCAACCAGACAATGAATGTGCATTGGAAATTATGACCACCCCTATGTGAGTCAATGAGACAGAGAGCTACACAAGCAGTCTGCTATACAAGTTAGCTCCAGCTAAAGCTTCACGATCCATGGGCGAATGATCGCTTATGACTAAGCAACGTGCCCCTCCGGGACCCACAGTCGGGTGATAGAGGGGTTTTGGGCGTTGAAAGATCTGTATGTATACACTTGTAGATGCAATTATGAGCTGGAGACTACATTTATAATCATACCGGTAAGAAGTCAAAGCTTGAAATGACTGTGCAGAGAGGCCATGGGTATCTAGATGACACAGAGCCACAGCTTCGTATCAGATGTCACCGGAGTACCACGGATATCACGCACAGTGAGTCAAGGGATTCCGACGGTAAGACGCTTTGAAATCAAAAAGGCGAGTCAGAGAGAGAGAGTCAAATGAGAGCATAGAAGAGAGAGAGTAATCAAAATAATACAGTACTTCGTAAGATACTAGAGGTCAACTTGGAAACGCACAAAAAAACCGGGAGAAAAAAAGTCCCCACTTTCGCTTTCTTTTTTTCTCTCCCACTTTTTCTTCCCCTCTTCCCTCTTCCCTTTCCCCTCTTCATCTCTCTCCCAGGAGCAGCTGCACATAGAAGTTTTTGATTTAGTGATCGAGAAGTCTCGGTCCTGATCATCTTTGTGCTCTTCTTCTTCCCTTTTTCAAGTTTCAGTTTACTGAGCAACCGCCAAAATGGTTAAGTGAGTTACTCGCCACAATGATCATGAATGATTGCTAACAATGGTACCAGCTTCACTATCGAGGAGGTGCGTATTCGAATCACTGAATGGCTGAATGACCGAATGGTCTGAATGCTATTCAGCTCACCAGATGAAGGATTCCATGGATATAAAATTGCCCTCAACCTTGACCACCGCTCCTTCCTTGCCTCTGCCCACATATCCAACACATCCATCGACCTTCATCTGGTGATCATGGCAGACACTCCGAGCACTCCAGCTAAATACTCTCTCGCACAGATCCGTTCTCTGATGGACCGTCGGGCTAACATCCGTAACATGTCCGTCATTGCTCACGGTAAGCCACTCCTCCAGCATCTGGATATCAAGGTGACCAGATTGTCTAACCCGGTGCCTCTTCACAGTCGATCACGGAAAGTCTACTCTCTCCGACTCCCTGGTCCAGCGTGCCGGTATTATCTCCGCTGCCAAGGCTGGTGAGGCTCGTTTCATGGACACCCGTCCTGACGAGCAGGACCGTTGCATTACCATCAAGTCCACCGCCATCTCCTTGTACGCCAAGTTCCCCGACCCCGAGGATCTTAAGGAGATCCCCCAGGCCGTTGACGGTCACGAGTTCCTGATCAACTTGATCGATTCCCCCGGTCACGTTGATTTCTCTTCTGAGGTCACTGCCGCTCTCCGTGTCACTGACGGTGCCCTTGTCGTTGTCGACTGTGTCTCCGGTGTCTGTGTCCAGACCGAGACTGTCCTGCGTCAGGCCCTGACCGAGCGCATCAAGCCCGTCCTGTGTATCAACAAGGTCGACCGTGCTCTTCTCGAGCTCCAGGTCTCCAAGGAGGATCTCTACCAGTCCTTCTCCCGTACCATCGAGTCCGTTAACGTCATCATCTCCACCTACTTCGACAAGGCTCTCGGTGACGTCCAGGTCTACCCTGACCAGGGTACCATCGCCTTCGGTTCCGGTCTCCACGGATGGTGCTTCACTGTCCGCCAGTTCGCCGTCAAGTACGCCAAGAAGTTCGGTGTTGACCGCAAGAAGATGCTTGAGCGTCTCTGGGGCGACAACTACTTCAACCCCAAGACCAAGAAGTGGACCAACAAGGGTGAGCACGAGGGCAAGACCCTTGAGCGTGCCTTCAACCAGTTCATTCTGGACCCCATCTTCAAGATCTTCGCCGCTGTCAACCACAACAAGCGTGATGAGATCTTCACCCTCCTCGAGAAGCTCGAGGTTGTCCTCACCAACGACGAGAAGGAGCTCGAGGGCAAGGCCCTCCTCAAGCTCATCATGCGCAAGTTCCTGCCTGCCGCTGATGCCCTTCTGGAGATGATCTGTATCCACCTCCCCTCCCCCGTCACTGCCCAGAAGTACCGTGCCGAGACTCTCTACGAGGGTCCCCAGGACGACAAGGCCTGCATCGGTATCCGTGACTGTGACCCCACTGCTCCTCTGATGCTGTACGTCTCCAAGATGGTGCCCACCTCCGATAAGGGTCGTTTCTACGCCTTCGGTCGTGTCTACTCCGGTACCGTCAAGTCCGGTATCAAGGTCCGCATCCAGGGCCCCAACTACATCCCCGGAAAGAAGGAGGACCTCTTCATCAAGGCCATCCAGCGTACCATTCTCATGATGGGTCGCTTCGTCGAGCCCATTGAGAACGTTCCCGCCGGTAACATCGTCGGTCTCGTCGGTGTTGACCAGTTCCTGCTCAAGTCTGGTACTCTTACCACTGATGAGACTGCCCACAACATGAAGGTCATGAAGTTCTCCGTTTCCCCCGTCGTGCAGCGCGGTGTCGAGGTCAAGAACGCCCAGGATCTTCCCAAGCTTGTCGAGGGTCTCAAGCGTCTCTCCAAGTCCGACCCTTGTGTCCTGACCATGATCAACGAGTCCGGTCAGCACATTGTTGCCGGTGCTGGTGAGCTTCACCTCGAGATTTGTCTTAAGGATCTCGAGGAGGACCACGCTGGTGTTCCCCTCCGTATCTCCGACCCCGTCGTCGCTTACCGTGAGACCGTTGCTGCTGAGTCCAGCATGACTGCTCTGTCCAAGTCCCCCAACAAGCACAACCGTATCTACATGACCGCTCAGCCCATCGAGGAGGATGTCTCCCTTGCCATCGAGTCTGGCAAGATCTCCCCCGTGACGATTTCAAGGCCCGTGCCCGTGTCCTTGCCGACGAGTACGGCTGGGATGTCACCGATGCCCGTAAGATTTGGTGCTTCGGTCCCGACACCACCGGTGCCAACCTGCTCATCGATCAGTCCAAGGCTGTGCAGTACCTGAACGAAATCAAGGATTCCGTTGTCTCTGGATTCCAGTGGGCCACCCGTGAGGGTCCCGTCGCTGAGGAGCCCATGCGTTCCGTCCGCTTCAACATCCTCGATGTCACTCTCCACGCTGATGCCATTCACCGTGGTGGTGGTCAGATCATCCCCACTGCCCGTCGTGCTCTGTACGCCGCCGCTATGCTTGCTGACCCCAACCTTCTCGAGCCCATCTTCAACGTCGAGATCCAGGTCCCCGAGCAGGCTATGGGTGGTATCTACGGTGTCCTTACCCGCCGTCGTGGTCACGTCTACAGCGAGGAGCAGCGTCCCGGAACTCCTCTGTTCATGGTCAAGGCTTACCTTCCCGTCAACGAGTCCTTCGGTTTCCCCGCCGATCTGCGCTCCGCCACCGGTGGTCAGGCCTTCCCCCAGTCCGTGTTCGATCACTGGAGCATCCTTCCCGGTGGCTCTCCTCTCGACGCTACCACCAAGCCCGGTCAGGTCGTCCAGGAGATGCGCAAGCGCAAGGGTCTCAAGGAGGTTGTCCCTGGATACGAAAACGTAAGTCATTCTTCTATTACCTTCAGGTCACAGCCACTAACTTTGTTCTCTAGTACTACGACAAGCTGTAAAAATGTTCACGGACACTCAGATTTGCACTACTGCCAGTCATTCGTGGAATCTTTCATGAGATTGATGAATTCAATACAATTTCTTCGGTTCAAACAAAATTTTATTCCCTCATTCTTCGCTCTTTGCCTCGATCATACCACCTCTAGAACTTGAGTCATCTTTCACGAAGTCTCAAAACTTCATTGACTCTTTGCGGGTTTCTATTGCTTTTTGCGGGTTGATTTTGCTTTGCTTTTGCGTTATGGTTTTTTCTTTGCTGAGGTCTAGCTACCAGTTTCGTTATGCAAATAAACTTGGTATGCTAGGCACGGTTGTTCCTCGTAGACTGTAAATTGTTCGTAAAGTCCCAATAATTGAAATGATCCTTCGCGCCGAGTGTGTACTGCAGACATCAGGCACGTGACCGCGTTTTTCTGACGGCTTCGGGGTCGCGCGCAGGTGGACCGTAACCCGACTGCCCATCTTCACTTGCCTGAGGATGCTCATTCTTTCCGCTTGAGATACCTTGTCACTGAATTAGCCTACTTGATTTCGCTAGCCAGGTCCTTTTGACACTTCCACTTGTTGCAAGCAAAAGTTTCCGTGGGCGACAACCGTCAAAACCGGATCCCTGCAATCATTGTTATCCACATCGCTTGCCTCATTAACCCAATTCAACCCGCAGAGCTCAAGCTCGCGTCCAATAAGTCATCATGCATTTCACCGATGCCGAGGCGGTTGGCGTCAAGCAGTGGGTGGTGAAGAAATTGGAAGATATGTGAGTTGACCATGCACCTAAGCTGGAGCTCGAGGGTGGCGACCAAGCAGCTGCTAACTCTTTCTTTTCTGACTCCAGCTCTGATGCCGACTCCGATGTACTCGCAGACTATGTCCTAGCACTTGTCAGGACTGATGCGCCAGATGACGAGAACAAGAGGAACTCGGTTGAAAACCTCGAGGATTTCTTGCGCGAACGTGAGTAGCACCGATCGCGTTTTGCCAGCATCAATCGCTGATTGTCTATAGACACGCAACCATTCGTCAATGAACTCTTCACCACATTCGGTCCCAAGGCAGCCCCTCCAACACCTCAGACCAAGCAGCCGAGCTCCAATCCCGCCCAAAATTTCACACCTTCACAAGTCCCCGCGAATGCCCCAACTGGCCCGCGGGGAGTAGCTACTACTCCCGGTAGCGGCCGCAAACGAACATTTAACGATGGATTCCAAGGCGAGCCGGAGCAGGATAACGGTGCGTACCAGAACCGGGCCATGAAGGCTCCTCGACGTGGTGCGCGCGGTGGTGGTCGCGGTGACTTTATGGGTGGCCATCAAATGTTTGGAGTGCAACCTGGTCAACAATATGGGCAGCAGCAGTACCAACAACAATACCCGCAGCAGCAGCAGCAGCAAGGATTCCCCATGATGCCCGGGTTCCCGCAATTCGACCCGAATGATCCTATGGCGGCAGCTATGATGTCGATGCAAGGAATGCCAGGCATGGGATTCCCCCAAATGCCTGGTATGCCCATGCCCGACATGTCGGGGGGGCCAGCCGGGCGCTGACCAGATCCCCAAGAGAAACCAGCGCTGCCCATTCTATGATACCCAGGGCATTTGCTATCTGGGAGACACCTGCCCTTACCAGCATGGTGAGGCTGGTGCTTCAAACGATGATGGTAAGTGAAAAGTAGTATCACAGCCAGGGATTGCATTGCTAACGACCGTAGAATATGACCCTAAGACTGCTGGTATGCACGCGAGGGGCGGTGGTTACGGGCGTGGTGACCGAGGCCGTGGCCGTGGTCGCGGTGGGTTCGGCGCACGACGCGGCGGTCGATCGGAGTTCTCCTCTGCTGGCCCCAACGAAGACCAGTCTGTGACGACGATCGTGGTTGAGCAGATCCCAGACGAACATTTCAATGAAGAATCCGTCCGTGGATTCTTCTCTGAGTTTGGCAACATCGCCGAGGTCTCTCTGCAGCCATCTAAGAAGCTTGCTCTGGTCAAATATGACACTTTCCCAGAGGCCAAGGCCGCGTGGTCTAGTCCCAAGGTCATTTTCGACAACCGTTTCGTGAAGGTTTACTGGTACAAGCCGGAACAAGAAGCACCAGCCAGTAGCCTCCGAGCTGAGGCCCCAGCTTTCAACCCAGAGGAGTTCGAGAAGCAGCAACAAGAAGCCCAGAAGGCACACGAAGAAAAAATGAAACAGCGCCAGGAGACTGAAGCCGCGAAGCAAGCTCTGGAGCGTCAACGCGACGAGCTTCTCAAGAAGCAGCAAGAAGAGCGAGCCCGTCTCATGCAGAGACTTGGTGGAACAGACGCAAGCGCTGCCTCTGCGGACGCCATGTCCGTCGAGCCCGCTGCCGACGAGAACGCCAGTGAAGAAACAAAGCAGTTGCGAGCCCAGCTCGCCGCCCTGGAGGCCGAGGCGAAGACATTAGGCCTCGATCCCGAAGCTGACCCTGCACGTGGCGGCTACCGAGGACGAGGTGGTTACCGCGGTCGAGGTGCATTCCGCGGACGCGGTGGCTACGACCCCAACTTCCGCGGTGGATTCCGTGGACGTGGTGCGTTTGGAGCTCGTGGCCGCGGAGGTGTTCTTCGTCTGGACAACCGTCCTCGCCGGGTTGCTGTCTCCGGCGTTGAACTTCATTCGGATAAGGATGAGGCATTGCGTCAACATCTGATGGTGAGTCGTCCCTTAAGTTTACACTCAAGATTTTCTCACATATACTAATTTCTACGCAGGGCGTCGGTGAATACGAGTCTATCGAAGCAAACCCCGACCAAGCCAACTCTGTTATCGTGGCTTTCAAGGAGCGATTCCAGGCAGAGAAGCTGATGTTCTCCCCCTGGAACATTCCCTCCGTGGGCGATGTCCAACTTACTTGGGTGGCTAATCCTCCTATCTCCATTCCTGCTCCTTCGGCCGAAGCCAAGACCCAGGACGAGCCGGAGGATACAGTCATGTCGTCTGCGTCGACGCCGGCGCCACAAGTGAATGCTGCGCCCGCTCGTGATATGGATTATGACGTTGCCGAGGATGACAACTGGGGTGCGCAGTAATAGATACTCGATTCTTTGTACCATTTATTCACCGGTGGCTTGTGTAGGCTGCATTTAGCTATCACTTAGGGCTGAGCATTGTACTCGGTCTGTTCTTCTTGTTCATTCATTTACCCTTTTTCGTAGCTCGGAGCGCAACACTGGATCAGACGTCCGCCGTGGGCTTTTGCCTTGTACATATGACTGCTCTCCCAATGGTGCAGGATACCTTCGAGTCCTTCGACAAGCTCATGAGAGCTTCAATCAGATCTTCTGGGGAATCAACTCCACCGTATATCCATCCTTTGCCATTAGCATTCGTGCCAGAAACAAGACGTGGAATACTCACCGGATCAGCAACCATGGCAAACTTCTCAAAGAACCAAGCGTAATTCTCATGAATCTCCCCCCTCCCAATCCCCCTCTCAGCCTCCCACTCCGAAAGCGGCACCGTATCCCTAGAACAAACACCCACGTCTTTCAAAATCGACACCCCACCATCCCTCAACCTCTTCACAGCAGCAGGCACGTCAGGAACCGTGAATCCCAAATGCGAGAATCCAAGGCTCGGAGGCTCATTGCCTGTGGATATCCCACCAGACTCTGCGCCGTGCGTATGATACAATTCCAAAAGTCCAGCTGTTTTGGTCATGATGGGGATTTCACTTGTTTTCTTCGCCCAATTGCTGATATCCTCCTCTGTTCGGGCTTCTGCTGGTGGGTGACCTAGGTAGTAAATTGTGAAAGGGCCAGCATTCATAGTGAACACAATTCGCATGCCGAGAAGATCAACGTAGAAATGAAGAGATTGGGCTGGATCTCTGATACGGATAGCGAGGTGGTTCAGCTTGTAATCTCTTGTTGCTGGGTTTGGTGGCGGATTGAGGGGCGGGGCTGCGTTGAACACGCCCTCTTCTTGTGCTTGGACGGATTGGAAGTTGTTGGTCATTTTGTTCACGTTGTAGATTGACTGGAGTGGAAGCTCTTGGGATTGTCGAGTTTGATGAGGGGTTAAATGCGGGGGGACTAGACTGTTCCCACTTGCATCTACTATTTATTTGGACACTAAGACTCGTGGATTTACTGATACACAATCATATCCATGCCTCCGTTGTATGGCAACGTCACTCGTCGGAATCCACTCCCCTCTGCATCGACGTATGCAAAGAGTTCCGTGTACTTGTCCCCAGCCATGATTGTGTTGTCCGCGATGATCACAGCGCCTGGTCTCAGGTTGGGCTGGACGAGCTTCAGGGCAGGGAGGGCAAGTGGTGTCCAGACTATTTAGACATGGTTAGCACATTGTCACAAATGGAGGCTTAACATAGTCTCGAGAGACAACAAATGTAGTCTGTGTCTCGCTATATATCAATGAGCAAAAAGATCCACTTACTATCCAACAACAGGAAATCCACGACTCCCAAATCTACAGTGAGGGTCTCACGCAAGTCCCCAACACGGGGAGAGATCGATCACATTCTCAACTTCCTTGCCAGCACTAGCCCAATGCCCTCTTGCAAGCTTAGCCTTGGAAGCCTCTTTTTCCGTGGCAATGACCCTCGGGATCCCGGAGCCAGCGCGCTTTGCGTTCTCCGCAACAGCAAGAGCAAGATAGATGGTGCTGACACCAAAGCTAGTACCAGCCTCGACAACTGTCTTTGCATTCGTACTGCGCAAGATATGATAGACAAGCTCGCATTTGTCCTGATCAAGGGCAATGAACTTGTCCAGCATAATGGAGTCGAATTCGTCGGTACATTGTGCTGGCAGGCTGCTCCAGTCCACAGCAGATTCTTGATTGAGGGATTTGGTATGTAGCTCTTGAAGAAGAGCGAGGATTTCCGGGGTGGTGGTTAGAGGTGTGGGCGGCATTCTGGCTGTAGGGTGGTTGGCTTTTAGGGCTCAGAGTGAGTTGGAGAAATTGGGGTTCAGTTCTCGTGTCCGCTTAGATACCCTCTCAGCTCCGCGGGGTTGTTCTTTTTTGATTGATATTCATGAGTCACCGGAAAGCCTTGTGCATATTCCGTACGCCCTTTGGCCTTTGGCTGTGGGTACTGCGGTTGTCGGACTCGGGAAGCGAGTGGCACAATAATGGCATCTCGAATGTTGGGGAAGTGCCGAGGCTGACCCACATAAGCAACATGATTGTACGAAGCTGCTACCTCTCTGCGTCAACCGGAAGGCTATTAGCCGGGGTCATCTGCTGATGTAGGTATTCTTGACATCTAATAAGTTCCGAGTGGTACTACATTGCCAAGAGTCCAGGTGGCTGCTAGCCTGTAATAACGGGTCTTTTCATTGCTCTAACAAATCTGCATAGCTATTCAACGACCTCCCAATCAAAGCAACCATCTCCCAGATATAGTCTGCCGTGAACAGCCGTGCCCATAACCGGGTAACGGCGGCACTAAGGCGGGTATTTGTTGCAAGGAGCCATTCTCGCGAAGCACCATGTTGCACCTCCATGACCATCTCGAGTACGAAGTCGCGTAGGCGATTCTCTTGCTCTGTCAGCTGTGGGTTCGGGTTAGGTACCGTCACTGCTTCTAGCCACTTCGCCAGTAACACCGCGCACTCAAGTGAGCATAGCGCATGTTGATTCGACCACAATGCGACCTGTGAGTGAGCCACGAAGCCGATACCCAGCTTGACAGGCGTGCTGAGAGCGTGTGCACAATGAAGCGCAGCGCGGGTGAGACGATCCCCACGTCGAACGCACAGATTTTCACGCAAGCTCGTGGCAATCTGGACTGGGTCCCAAGTTTGTAGCTGGCGCGCTGAGCCGCAGTCGGCGTTGAGCCGGATGTAGGCTAGACGAAGCAGAGCTGCGGATGTGAAAGACAGTGGACCATGAGGGCTGAGTGGGTCGACGGAAGATTCTTGATTGCGCTCCCAACACTGACACCAACGTTCCAGCGCTTGTTCGACGGATACGAGTTCCGGTGTTGATGTGATTGAGGAGGGACTGAATCGATTCCGGCGCGATACTGGCAGGCGACCTGCTTTTGTCATGAGCCAGATATCCTGCAGGATTGCGTGGATGAGCACATATCCGCCGAGCGAAGAGAATCGCTGGACGTTGCTGTTTGGCTTGAAGAGGGCGGAGAGGGCGTCCTGGAATTCTGGTTCACCGGGGCTCTTCATGCGCTCGGCGTGCCAAATATCTGCTCGCGAAGCTTGCCATTCCTTCTCGGTGCAGGGTAGTTCCATCGTGAAATCCTCTGTAAGAATTACAGGAGGGACATCAAAGACGATGGTGTGGATGTTGAAGAAACAAAACACAATAAGCTTTGTGCGCTTCACGCATTCTCTTCTTATCCAGCTAGTCCAGGTGCCATCGCACTCGGGCAGCGTATTGAGTCCTCCCTTCCGCATGAGAGTTTCCATATGACTGCGGATCATCAAGGCTTCGTGGTATGGAGGGTTGTTGATGAACCAGGCAGATACTGATGTCAGATACAGTAAGGCTTGCAATGTTTCAAGGGTGTCGGTATCATCCGCCACATTGACGGGAGGTAACACGCCGGACAGGAAGACTCGGCGAACATGCTCCAATGTAACAGGCTTGGCAATCTGATAGAGATTATAGCTGGTTTCTGGTTCCCGACAGTAGCGTGCACCGAGAGCAGCCATTGAAAGGAACAACGGCAGAGTCATTGATTCTACATTGAGGGTCGGGATGTGTACGATGGGATAGTGGTCGTGGAAACCAGTAAGATAACCGGTCAAGCATCGAGATAACGCATGCCGAGATGGAAGCGACGGATTCGGTACGACGTTGGCATACTCGGACATCAGATTGAAGAACTTCTCCCGGCATTGAGCCGTCACGGGCACGAATCCGGTAGGCTGACGTGCTTTGCCGGAAGTATGATATCCCTCCGGCTGGAGAGAAGGCAACTGGGCACCATGTCGAGGGAGCACCGAGCTGGAAGGTGTTGAAGGCGCAGTTTCAGTAAGTGACACTCTATCAGAAGTCTGATCATAGTCATGAACCGGGGAGAACTGCAGTGGTGGAAATAGCGGGAGTGGCTGGTAAGCCGGTGAGAACGGATGACTCGGCAGGGGAACACTGTCCAAAAAGGAGGTGAAATCATTTCCCTCATAGGAGCCAGGTGCAAAACCACCCAGCGTATACCCGAAATCCGAGCCTGGGATTGGAGTGGTGGGGCCTGCTGAGGGGGTGTCGGTGCTAGTCAATTGAGCTCCTAGCATCGGGGTCTGGTGCACGGCCGGCGACAACGCTGGATAGTGCTCATTGGACCCCTGCAATGACCTGTTAGATTGGGCATGGTCTGTGACTACCGATGCCAAGGTGTCTAACCCGTCCAAAATGGGGTGTGCGGGGGATGGAGTTGGTGTCTGAATGCTGGCCGGGCTTGCGTCCGGGTTGTGAGAAAGTCGCTCATGGCGAGCCAGCAGATCCCTGTAGCTAGTTCAGCATGTTTTCTTCATACATGAAACATAGGGCCATGACCTACTTGCGGGTGAAGGCCTTGGGGCATTGGAGGCAGACGAATGGTTTTTCTTTGGTATCTGTGGGGATATTAAATGGGGCTCCAAAATGTCGGCGAGTTGAGATCTTACGTGAGCGATCGTGTCGTTGGAGATGCTCCAGACGAGCGAATGCCCTCGGGCACCGTTGGCACTGGTAGGGCTTGCTACTCAACATGGGGAGTGTACATGGCGTGTTGAACTGTCAACAATAAGTGACCGGGGAGACGGGGATTCAACTCCGGAGGTCTTTGCTTTTTGCGTATGATTCAATACTCCGTACATCGACCCGGACCAGATCTACGTATCGTGGTACAGCCCTGCACGCCGATCTACTGCAGAGTCAGCACTGTCACGGGGTTTAATTTACAAATTTCATTATCGTTATTTTTTTCTTATATTATGATATCCCTACGGAGTACCAAGTCGTCTTGGATTCCCCAAATCCCCAAATCGGAGAGACATGACTCATCAATTTGCCTCTCCCCATGTGGAAAAGCTTGTTCAATTCCACGATATTTTGTTTATCCGCACGCCTTCCCCAAATTTTTTAACACCACCGCGTAGATGGTTCTGGTAGGCGGTAAGCGGCAAAACATCCGTGGAACTTAGCCAAGGCCGTGTCAATATGATTACAAACAACGGTACCGGCGATAAACGCATTCGTAAGATCGCTCAGAATGCCGATCTATAGCAATTACTCGAATTTCACACAGCATAGAAACCACCTGAGGAACCATATTCAGCCATGTCCAAGCAGGTAACGCTGCAAATCATTCGCTGAATGGTGTCACAAAAATTAGCTACAAATATTCACATGTCTGCAAGGAAAAGAGCGTACATCAGCATAAATTGGAGATTTCGATAACCATGTCGGCTTTTTATCCTGATTTCTCCAATTCTTGGTATCCACATCTTTCAGTCTTAGCTTTGTATAAAAAACTGTCAGGTCCCCAGAATAGAAAGGCGCAAGATAGTATAAGTCCGACTCACATCCTTACTTTGTGGCCTCTTAACCTGGACCTTTAATTCCAGAGCCAGAAGCCATGACGAAACGAGAAGACACGCCAGAGTCTCTGTGCGAGTCTCAAGACATTGAATTTCGATACCTGGAGCTGGAAACGCCGCTCCCTACGCCATGCATTAGTCTTCCACCAGGCCCAAACCAGTCCCCTCCACCTGAACCGCCTAGTTTGAAGAAATACACTTCTCCATTCCTGTGGCCGAAATGGCGCAAGTCAATGATGACTTATATTGCCTGTGGCGTCACAGCGCTGGCCGGTTATGCGGCCGGAGAAGTGAGTCCTGCATCGGAGGAGTTGACGAAACTATGGGGAATCAGTACTGTGGTGTATAATTTGAGCATCACGCTTTTCTGCTGTGGCTTTGCTCTTGCGCCCATGGTGCTAGCACCGTTCTCGGAGATTAATGGACGGCGGCCGATTTTCATCGCTAGCGGTATTCTTTTTGTTGGTATGTATACTACAATTTGCTCCTTTCCTGGACTGGTCTAACGGTGTTTATAGCAAGCTTGGTCGGTTGCGGAGGCACACGTTCGTTCGCTGGACTTTGCGTAGCTCGGTTCTTCCAGGGTGTTGGTGGTTGTAAGTTTACGCCTGGATCCAGTGATCATTGTTCTTGACTTGAATATGTATTGACTCGGCCTCACAGCAACATTCTCCACCATGGTTGGAGGTGTTATTAGTGATATCTACCACGCCCACGAGCGCAACACGCCTATGGCCCTCTTCTCGGCAGCGGCACTCTTCGGTACCGGCCTGGCACCGCTGATTGCCGGTGTTATTGTCAGCCGTACCACCTGGCGCTGGCTGTTCTATTCGCACGCCATTGTCTCGGCCGCCTTCGTCGTTGTCATCTACTTCTTCTTCAAGGAAACTCGAGGCAGCGTCCTGTTAAGCCGAAAGGCCGCGAAACTCAACAAATATTATGAGCAGCTGGAAGAAGCTGGCCACCATGGTGTCATGCTTTCGAGTGAAGAATCACCGGATGAGAAAAGCATTCGCAGAATTAGATGGAAGGTGAAGAGTGACGAACAGCGAGCCTCGCTTGTCTCTATGATCCAAATCTCGGTCTCTCGTCCATTCCGTAAGTTCAACCAAAGTCTCATATGTAGCACAGCTGACACCTTTCCAGACATGCTCTTCACTGAGCCGGTCGTGTTCTTCTTCTCCCTATGGGTATCTTTCAGCTGGGCAGTCCTCTATCTGCAATTCGGCTCTGTGCCACTAATCTTCCGTACAAATCACAACTTCACCGTCGAGCAATGTGGTGCAGTTTTCACGTCGATGTGTGTTGGTGTGATCCTGATCAGTATCATCAGTATCTATCAGGAACGAATTGCTGCCCGTTTCGGATTCAAAACTACGGCTGCCGAGGGACGACTGTACTTCGTTTGTATTGAGTCAGTACTCCTGCCTATTGGCATGTTTTGGTTCGGCTGGACTTCTTTCCCATCTGTGCCTTGGATCGTGCCTGCTATGGCTGTGGGGTGTTCCACCATGGGAATTTTCTCGATCTATCTCGCTACCTTCAACTATCTTGCTGATACTTATCATCGGTACGCAAGTTCGGCGATTGCGGCGCAGTCTTGCTGTAAGTTCTTGCTTGATGAACGATTGTTTTATTTGTAACATCTGCTAACATGCTTTTCGTTAGGCCGGAACCTGCTTGGTGGTGTCTTTCCGCTAGTGACGAACGCCATGTTCAACAACCTTGGATTCCCAGAAGCGTCAAGTTTGCTCGGAGGCATTGTAGGTTTCAACCATCATCAGAGAGAATTGAAATTGACACCAAGCTAACAATCTTCATAGGGCGCTGGGTTGACTTTGGTCCCTTGGGTGTTGGCCTTGTATGGACCCCAGATCCGGGCAAAGAGCAAACTCGCAAGTGTAAGTGAATCCCCCACCGTCCACATCTTGAGCAAAAGACTAACAACCCAACAGGAGCTCGCACATTAATTGCATGGGCTATTGTCTGCCCGCATCAAAATTAAAAGTAATTTAATCATAGAGCGCTCTCGGGTGCATTTCATCATATAGACCAGTTGACATGCATATTACCATTATCAACAGCTTCAGGTCAGACTAGCTAGTTTGAAATCTGGATACATCAAATTCGAGCATATTATACTCAAGCTGCACATTGATCATAGGAATCTTCGTTTGCTATAGATTTCCCAGGTTCAGGCCCATGGGTGCGTAAACAGGTCGCTTCGGGGATGTATATAGAATGACGTCATCTGCTAGCAACAAGCCAAAATCAGATTATCTCGGGCGTTGGGAATGCCGGAACGGATGAGCCCCATTGATTCCACGACGAATATGCTCAAAGCGTCCATCGTCTTCGCTGTCACTGTCCATTTGATCCAAAAGACGATCAATGTCGTCGCCCGCATGGGCCTCCATTCCTGGCTTCGCCTCCAAACTTTGGCCATTGTGGGACGTGGAGCTCTGAGAGCCTTGGCTTTCATGATGATATGCTCCATTGCTGGCATTGATAGACTCATTGAGGCTGCTTTGTGTGCTCTCTGGCTGCAATGGTCGAGGGCTGAAGCGGTATCCCGAGTTTTCGGGGCTAGACATGAACATGAGAGTTTCGATGGCGTCCTGCTCCATTAATGTGTTTTCGGAGGGTGTACGACCACCATAGAGTCCATTCGGTGTAGATGTCGGTGCGTTGAGATGTGTTGGTGCCAGTGATGGGGTCCCAGGGCCTATGGCTGCTCCGTTGAGAGGCCTGTTCAGCCCATTCTCTTGGTGAGAATGATGGCGTCGGTGGCGGGTGAAGGGGGTGTAGGATGAAGGTTTAGAGATTGCATTAGGATTTGGTCGACGGCGTTGGCTCTGACCATTCGATAATATGATATCGACAGGCGGTGCTAGCTTGCTAGTAGCGGGGAAATGATCAGGCGCAAATGCTGACCGTGAGCGGTTGTGACTTGAGTGGTGAGAGGCTCTATTGAATGATGATTGTGAGTTTGTCGAGAATGGCGTTGAGTTTCCTGCTGGTAAAGACGCGATATCACTCGGTGCCGATGGACTTAATGACGATGCGCTGTGTTGGGTTCGAAGGGTATTCTGTGGAGTGCCTGCGCGAGATTGAGACTGCCGGGCCTGCTCGACCTTGGCAGCTGCATATGAAAGACGCGAACGGATATGTACAGAAAGCTTGAAAGATGAGCGATGAATTTTGTAGGGAGAGTGGAGATAGAATTACCTGTGCAATCCTGTTCCCATATAATGAAGAGCCAGTACTTTTCGATCGTCGCCTCGCAACCCCATTCAGATCAGTACTATGGGTTACTGGGGTATCTATAGTGGGCTTGTGGTCGCCGGCAGCTGTTCTTTTTTGGCTGGGGGCCAAGCCAGTATCAAAGTTCGAATGCACGCGCGAATGCTTTGGTGAGGGCGGGGGTGATAGAGAAGCATTGCCAGCTTTAATTGGCGGTAGTGATGGTTGCCATCGATCTATTGAGCATCCATTCACTGGCTGGGTCTGCGGGGCCATGTGGGTATCCTGTGGTTCCTGATCCATCCGCGATGTCGGTGTATGCTCAGCCGTTTTGTGAGAGGTTTCGAGTTGTGTCGGTTGATCGGTGCCATTTGTAGAGGAAGGAAAACTGAAAAGGGAGTCTGTGAGGGTGCTAGCGGAGTGAAGATCTGGTCGTCGGCTGTCAACCGAAGTATCACTACCGCGCTCCGACGATTCAATGTAGGCCGGTGTCGAGTTCCCCTCGCCATGGGCGACGGTAACAGCGTTCAAGCCGTCTATATGCAGCGATAAAGGATGTTGTAATCGCATGGGTTCTTCGGCGGGAGATAATTTGTGAGGCATGGGGGACATCGCGTCCAAGGTGTTCGCACTGCCCGCCTCCGCATTAGGCACCCCGCGAGCAGACTGAGTGTCGCGGCCGTTATCCATGGTCGGCAGGCCGTTGATGATTTAGGATTGTGTTTTGGGTAGCGATAATTGGCAAATACGCGCGACCTAGCTTTAATTGGACGTTATGGCGGCCGACACGATCTCAACACGCATGACCTGTTCTCAGGTCACCGCATAGAGAGCCGGGAATGTCCGATATCAAGCGATATGCAACTAGAGAGCAGTTCAAATCTCAACCAATGTAGGGTTCTGGGAAGAGCGACCGTCCAAGTGGCGATCAACCACGCGCGCAAGGGTTGCGACAGCACGAGGCGGCAAACGAGTCAATTGGTCCCCACCGTGACTGAGACCCCGGATGAGTGGCCCGACAGGGGTTTGAAGTGAATATTGCAAGTAGGGAAGGGTGTAAGATTCGAACAATCCAATAGTGCGCCACAAGGTACTTGTATCAAAAAGACCAGAATGGTGGGAGGAAAGCCCACGCCTCTGGCTTGTTCGACGCGTTGTCCGCGCGGTCACGTGTGTAGTGACGAACATACCTCGAGCCAAAAAAAATTAACATATGTTCAGTTTTGGCCTAGAGTAAGTATAATCATTTATGCCTTCAAGAATGTGACGATAATAGAAGATAAGTGAGGGTGGCAGTCACATCGGGACCTGTGGACATTGTATCCTGTGACATCCATATAGTGCAGTACAACTATACCCGCAGCCTAATTTGGTACTTATGACCACGCAGTTTATTCAAATCAAGAGAAATCAATTTCAAACTTCGATGAGTATAACTAAACAACAATTTTCAAGGAAAGTACACCCGGGGCAACGACGACCACAATAACACCAAGCAAATGGAAACTCTACAGTCAACAGAAGTGACAAAAGACCGAACACAAAGTGAAAGCAAGTTGAGAACAAACAGAATCAGAAATGACAAAAACGAGCAAGTCCACCCTCCCCCCAGATCAAGAAGAGCCTCTAGGCGATTGGGTGCATAACCGCAGTCGTCTTCTTGAGGTATGCCTCAGTGAGGTTGGCAGTGATGCTGTCAACATCAGGCCCTTCAGCGCGGGCATTCGCCACATGGGCAGTCTTGGGCGCAGTGACAGTGTTGGTCACTGCGAGGCCTTTCTCGAGGTCTAAGATCACATTAGAGTCAAGATCAGAAGGCTCGAACAGTCACTCAAGACTTACCTGGCTTTTCAGAGACCTCCTTACTCTTCCTGGCGAGCTTCCAGGCCCTGTATGCAGCTTTCCAGGACTTCATCTTGACCAGAACTTTGGCTTTGTTGTTTTTGATCCTAAAATACTTGTCAGTGGATGTCTCTGGTCAGTGGCTTGGATATACTAACAAATAAGCCACCGCTATGGCAATGACCACGAAGACAACAACAGAAACAAGGATGATTCCGACCTCGTTGTTTGGCTTCTCAGCATACAGCTTGTGCTGCTGATCAAGTTTTTCTTTGCTAAGGCGTGGAAGGACAGCCATGTAAGCGAAGAAGATGATGAAAATTGATGAGAAAAGATGATCAAGCTTTGATGAAACTCGATAGGAGATGGATGTAGTTGGAGAATTACAGAAAAGAGGACAGGAATAATGAGCTGGTTTAAATAGACAAGAATACTCCTAAAATCTAGGTAGAGAGCCGACGACGAAGTAGAAGCCGCCGCCAGTTAGGGCTATACAGTTGGTTATTCCGTGGATACATATCTGCGAACCTCGGATTGCATCGGACTATCAACTTCTTTGCTGCAAGAGAACAGTGGATTTGAGATAACCCTGGAATGTACCTAGGTATGTCCAGGTAAACCCAAGGAAAGACAAACCATAGTTACCAAGTACGCTTTCAGCGACGGGGGGGTTAGCCAAAGAACAACCTTGGGAAAAGTAGCACCGCGGTCACGATGGTCAACAAGAAATGGGTGAAGGTCCAATGCAATAATCAGAAATGTTGATATAGAGTAACATTCAAAGTTATGTAGGTAGATACAAGTTTTTGGTCCAAACGCCATCCATCTATGCAAACGACACTGGCTAGATTAAGACATGCCCAAGAACGAATAGATCACTTGCGCTTCTTGCCACGGCCACGGCCACCAGACTCCTCATCTGGGTTCTTGCGCTTCTTACCCTCCTTGCGCCAGTAATCATTGCGCTCTCTCTTCTCACGCTCGGCCTTCTTCTCCAGACTATCAGCCACCTTCGCGCGGTAAACCTTGCGACGCTCCTCCTGTTTGGCAGAACGCTTAGCTTGCTTCTCGTTGCGCATGGTGGTGAGCTTCTGCATGAGATCGCGGGCCTTCTTTTCCTCGCCACCAAGGACAACAGCACGCTTCTGCATGTAGGTCTGGTCCTTGTGGCCCCTCATCTTAGTGATCTGGGACTTGAAGGGAAGGTCGGCGGCCAGCTGCTTGGGGACACGAAGCGGGTTGAAATGACGCTCCTGTCGCTCAATGGGCTTGTAGGTAGAATCCTTAAGTTGAGGCGTGGCGATACCCTGAGCGTGACGGACTTCACCAGTCAAACGCATGCCTTGCCATCCGCTGTCGCCCTTTTCACCCTCCACTTGATCCAGCAAGTTCGTCACAGGATTGTAGAAGCGGTGGGGCTTGATGGGGTACCAAGCACGTAGGAAGGCAATGTCACTCATCAGAATCTTATCCTCGAATGTGGCACGGAAGCATCCATCGGGCTTAGCGAGTGCACGCTTGATCTGACCTCGAATACCAGAGACGGTTTTGATGGATGCACCTTCGAACTTGGCAATTTCTAGCGAGGAGTTGAACATATCCTTGATGAAAGCGGTGTTCTTGAAGATCTTGTAAGGCACACCAGTAAGCTTGAGTTTCTTGACAATTTCTGTGTGCTCGTCGACGCTCTCAACAACACCAGTAGCGGCGATACGGAAACCGGGGTTCTTGTTGGAGAATGAGTTCACACAGCAGAAACCAGTGTTGGGCGCGACAAGTGGTCCATAGAATGTAGCAAAGCAGTGCATATGCTCAGGTGTGTACTTCAGCATACGGTTTCTTGTCCGACTGTCGGAGGTACTGTAGATGGGCATCGTCTGGAAGCGGCGCCAACCAAGTGAGAAGATCAATGGGTCATTGGTCTTGAGAATCTTCTTGTGCCAGCGATGTCTCTTGATACGAATACGCACGTATCCGAAGCGGTCCTCAGTAGGCGAAAGACCACCGACAATGACGGGGAAACGAGGGTTGAACTTTTGGACGAACTCGTAGGGAACGTTCTCCAAGACGATGCGTGCGTATGTGCCAGCCTTGTAGCCTTCAGCGCGAGCGCGCGAAGCAGGATCGAGGTTATCAAATTCGGCGCGGTTGATGTCGGTCTGCTTTTGCAGCTTGGCCTTTTGTAGGTCATACCAGTCGTCTTCTCCAAACTCGCCGTCGAGACCATCTCGCGTATCGTCTTGAGCTTTTCCGAAACCTTCGCGATCTTCCTCCTCGAAACGGAGCTTGAGCTCTTCCTTCTTCTTGGCATTCCGTTCACGCTCGGCTTCGAGGTCGGGAGTTTCTTCGGCGTCCTCATCGCCCTCTTCTTCATCGTCGTCCTCACCGTCTTCTTTGATGCCATTGAAGACCTCGCCAGATTCCAGGTCTTCGTAGTCACCATCGCCCTCATCCTCCTCATCCTCATCTTCATCCATGTCGTCCTCGTCATCTGACCCACCGCCAGAAAGCTTGGAAGTGATGAAGCGGCGTCTGAGTGATTCGAGCAACTCCTCATCGCGCCACTTTCGCTCCAGCTCGTCGTAGTCGTATTCTGGAACAGCGCGGAAGTCTTCTTGGTCCTTCTTCTCGTTGTTTGTCTTTTTGAAGAAATCTTCGCCGTTGTCGTCCGCGGTCTCGTCTTCGTCATCATCGTTGTCGGAATCATCACCGCGCCATGTCTTCACAACATCGGCTGGCGCAATGGATTCATCGTACATCATTCGTGACAGATCGGTGACTCGCCAGGGTGGACGTTTTCCGTGAATAGCTTGAGCATTTGCGAGCATGTTGTCCTTCCAACGAACATTACCTTCAGAGTCTTCATCTTCGTCTTCGTCCTCATCCTCATCCTCATCACTTTCGTCTTCATCGCCGCTCTCAAGCTCTTGCTCGTCAGCAGATGAGATAGATCCGAGGTCGGAATCACTGTCGGCGAACGCCATCTCTTCTTGCTCTGCCTCCTTTCCATTTTGTTTGGCCTTGAAACGAGACTCGAAATCTGCGGGCGCGGACATGTCGATTTCACCCTCGTCGTCGGTCACATCATCCCCGTCCATTTCCTCGTCATCCTCGCTGTCGGATCCTTCAGGAATTTCATTGTCATCCTGTTCAGTTTCGGCAATGCGCGCACGGCGATGACCCTTCCTGCCGGTTTCGTCATCGTCCACCTTGGCAACTGCCTCACCACCACGGAACAGACGAACACCTTGGTCGGCCTCACCAAGCATCTTGCGATCGCCCTGAAGACCGACCACAAGGTGTTCACCAAGACCGCGGCGCTCCTCATCGTCTGAGTCTTCTTCGGAATCCCGGTCAAAGGTGTTAGACTTGACATCAATGTAGACTGCATCTTTATCGACCAGGACACCACCGACATCAGACATCGGAGCGAAAAGCAGCTTTTGCTTTTCACCGAGCTTACGAGCCTTGGACTTCCCAGTCGCCTTTTGAATCTGCTGGTCCATGAAGGGAGTGGGGCATGGGTCAGGTAAACTCTCAATGCCGGCAACAGTCAAGTCACCAACACCAGGCACATGGACTCGCGCGCTGTGAGCTGGGAAGTTGGTACCGCGTAGATAACCGTAAAGCGCAACTGTGCGGTCACATTTCGGGTTCTCTTCGATCTGAGTAGGCGGCGTAATGTCCAAAAAGCGATCGGCGAGGGCGTACGGGTGGGAGTTGCGCCAGATGATGGGACGAGGGTTCTTCATGACGGACAAGAATCGAGAAAGATTGTGCACTTCGCGATCGGGGTAGCGGCCATTGATAACACCAGACAGATAGAACAGCTTTGCGCCGGAGTAAAGTTCACTCCAGAAACGGTGCTTGAGGCGCTTCTTAGCATCCTTCAAAGTACTCTGCTTCTTAAATTGATCCAGATGTGTCAGGATACCGAAGACGTTTCCAGGCATACCGGCCGTTGACAAGGCGTTCAAGAACTCCATGGTCTCCATCTCGAATCCAAAGTTTCCGTCAATCATGAGGAGCACGATGTCTGCGATCTTTGAAACATCGATAGCGGCAGCGAGCGAATCGGACGGACATTCGAGGAAGGTGAGACGCTGGCGCTTGGTTGTGACAACTGTCAATGGTCCCTGGGGCGAGCTGAGAGACTGCTTGGTATAGCGACGGATGAGAGATTTCAGGAGAGTGGTCTTGCCCACTCCCGGAGGTCCAACGATTGCGACGACGACCGGCGGTGCCTCCTCGGGCATGCGATCCACAAGAGGCACATGGAGTCTCTTTTCTTTGACCTATACAGAAATTTGGGTCAGCGTTCAGTGAACCGATAGCGAAAGAAATTTCATGTACGTACATCATGCGCTCGCGCTGCCTGCTTGTTGAGCTTTCCAGGCCTCGAGGTAACGAAGGCCTTTGGATTGGCACCTGCAACAGACAATTGTTGATTAGCTGGGGCTCAAGCAAAATGCCAAAAAAAAAATCGCAGCTTTATTGCAGCGGCCTCGACTTACCCTCAAATTTCTTCTTCTCCTTTGCAGGGCGATGCGCCCTGTTGGCTTGTTGCTCCATGCTGTGTGTAAAGAGGTAAGATACCTCACAGCTCCCCTCTGGTATCAGAGAAAAAGGATGACAGGGCAACTCAAGTACCAACGACTTCGCGAAATTGTTCGAGGCACTCCGTCTGACCGCTGAAAAATAGTTTCTGCCGTCTCAATCCGCGGTACAAGGCGGTAAGGGATCAAAACTTCCCATTGGTCCAAGCACCTGATATCACGGGATAACGGGACTTTTGTTTCTCCGGGGCCTTCCTTATCGTTATCGCGAGTCCATCGGATTTGAAGCTATTTGATTGGTCGAAGGCACCCGTGTGGGTCTGAATTCCTGAACAGTCGGCTGCGGCAGTATGTATGTCAACGGCGCTGAGGTGATTCAACCATACCCAAACCCTCAAGCCTGCTTTCCATTCTAGCCTCCAAAGATCTGTGGCAGAATATGCTTTCTTCGCATTTTGAGGTCAACTGTCAAAATGTCAAACAATATCCCACAGCGCTTCTGAATCGACCAAGCCCAACACCCGAACTTCGTAAATACCCTCCAAGGCTTCGCATGTGCGTTGTAAAAAATCGGCAACCTTGAAGTTCTGGGAATATCACAGCGAGCAGCACCAACTATCGTCATCACTTTGCGCAGTAGTCAGAGAACGACAAGAAGGGCAAGGGCCACTACAGCTGTTGTCGAACTTGCGTTTGGGGAGTACGCAAAGTACATGGCGTCACTTGAGAACAGGCCCATAAGAGTCAATTGAGAATTTGAGCTTGAGACCCTTCGATAGGTCAGGTCTTTCAATTGAGGAGCTCTCTTAACGGGCACATGCAACCTTGGGAATCGCAGATTAGATGGCTCTCGTCAAGTAGTAGCATTCTTGCTATAAGAATTATCGGCAGTGAACCACCATACCCTTAGGCTCAGTGTTTGAATGCTAATTAGACTAAATATTTCCCGAAGTTATCTTCGGGAAATGGAAAATCGGGAGTATGAGGCAATGGAGTCAATATACGTTCAAATCTCAGAACATCACTTCCCATAGTGCTGTGCCCAGTTCGCTTGGGCTAGCTGGATCTATAAGGCTAGATCCATATGAACTAGATACTATTAGTCATATCTTGTTAGATATTTTACGCTATCTCGCACGCCTTGGATCCATCAGAAGATGTGAATTTCCCCTCGCGGTTAGTTATGCGGGGCCGATAATCAACGATATCGGGGAGTGCATCCGATGTCTGTGCCGGCTATGAATAAGTACCCATTGGCCCCCGTTTGCGTGCGATTTTATTTCTAGGTCTGTATCATTGCAAAGCACACCACTCTATCGAGCCCATCGTACGAGACCTCATTTGGCACGCCCAGGAAGCTATCGTGTACAACCCTGAAACTCTTACTTCGACAAGACGAGCGCAATGTCTACCCGCCAGCCGCCCCCAGCTTACACAGCGCCACCCGAGTCGGGGGTGCATGCTGTATCACAGCTGTACAGATCGATCTCTGAGACCGCCTCCGACACATCTGCCCGTGTTTCAAAGGAGAAGTTCACCATTCGACCATGCTCAGCTCAAGCGTGGGTTGTACCCGCCGGCCACATCTGCCGCCTTACAACGCCCGACGGGCCACAGGTTGGAGATCTGAACATTTGGAACGCGAGTAACCCCCGGGAACGGATGTGGGCTGCACGTACCCGACAGATTCACGCCTCCCACGTATCCGTAGGCGACCGGCTGTGGTCGAACCTGCCCTACCTACGGCCCCTAGTTACAATTACTGGCGACTCGCTTGGGGGCGGGCAGCTGCATGAGGTACTTGGGCCGGATGGCAAGCGGAAGCCGGAGGTAGTATTCGGGCCTACGCAGTTTGGAGGACGGGTGCATGATTTGATGGGTACGCGTTGCGATCCCTATGTCAATCTCCTGATGGGTGGGGAGACGTTTGATTTCCACTGCCACTCGAATCTTACGCGGTCTGTGGTTCCATATGGGTTGACGGAGCTGGATGTCCATGATGTCTTGAATGTGTTTCAGGTGACGGGTCTGGATAAGGATGGGAAATATTTTATGGAGACATCCCCTGCAAAAGCGGGCGAGTACTTTGAGTTTTTCGCCGAAGTAGATGTTCTCTGTGCGCTGTCGGCGTGCCCTGGAGGTACGTGACTATGTCTTATCATTTTGTTCCATACTAATACTTTCAGGTGATCTTTCCCAGTGGGGCTGGGATGATAAGGAAGATGGCATGGGATCGACCTGTCGTCCACTGGGCGTGGAGGTATATCAATTGGATAGTAAGGTCCTGGAGGGGTGGAAGGCACCGGAGAGTCCTCCATACAAGGGAATGCACGGCCTCAAGATGCCGTCCCGCGAGGAAGACGGCTACGTGGGGCTCTAAACAACACCCCGCAATTCCCGAGTGTCGTCATTTCAATCAAGTCAAGAACGACTGTGTTCCTTGCGCGGACATACCTGACTCTGCAAAACCCATGGCATGTCAGACATGACCTGTACGTGTTGCCCAAAGGGGCTGTGAGACAAAAATTCAAATCACACCATTTGAAGTGGTACCGAAGAAAGGGAAAAAGAAACACAGGAACGAATGATTTGTAGGTCAGCGGGGAAAAAGAGATAGTATGCAATAATCCAAACAAAATGAGACCACGGAGATGATCAAAAAATATAGGGCAAACAATCAAGGGTAGAAAAAAAAAGAAGAAGAAAAAAAAAAAAAAAAAAGACGAGACAAGGGAGTATGCATGTCAAATGCGGGTCATTAAGGTACCTGCTTCAAAGGACCCCCCTCTTATCGCGGGGGTATAAAACAGGCAGCTTCCTCGCCTTTTTTCCCCTCGTCGTCATACGCTCTCTCACTCATACAATCTCACCCCAAGACGCAATCTACGCACATCATGACTCTGTACAACGTGAGTATGAGTTTAAATTGTTAAATTCTATACTAACTTTTCATAGATCACTCTCAAGACCGATGCTCCCCCCGAGGAACTGGAGAAGTGTGTCGCACTACACTGTGTTCCAGTATCGCAAACTGACTATCCATAGAGCCAAGGCTGACCTGAGGGAGAAGGGTGGTATCATCCGACATGAATACAGCATCATCAAGGGCTTCACGTGAGTCGCGCATTGGCCCTAGGTTATGGGCCTTATGGTTCTTGCTTGGAAACTAACAATGACCGATGGTAGTATCGAGTTCCCTGATGACATTGCCCAAACTCTGACTCTCGAATCCACCCCACATGTCCATGTCGAGCGGGATGGCGCCGTGGAGACTCACTAGATCGAGTCAACCTGACTTCGCCTGAGACTCACAGTCGCCCCATATCCTTTGTTTGGGCTGGAGTGCGTGCGAAGCAGAACCGAGATACCCGGGGGTTTTTTTACTTATCGTTTTTGAGCGAGATGCCTTGATACCAACTATGCGACTGCTCTCATGCGAGAAAGTTATGCATATCTTATGACTAGCGTTTGAAATGCCAATTACGGGCCCATGAAGACGGGACCTATTCTTTGATCCAAATGGCGTTCATGTCACGATGTACTCCGCAGATCCCCGAGCCTCGTAAATGGGAAGAAGTCCAAGAATATACAAAAATCACATATTGTAGAATCCAGCACGTCTGAGACATTGTTGATAAGACCGACGATATCCGCTCCATGCAGATCTTCGTCACCGCCTCGGCATTCGCCATCTCTCCCACGCAACCTCCGCTTCGTCATTACAACTCGCAATGGCAACCTCAATACCCCGAGCTTTGTCGTTACGACCCGGCTGCAGGTCACCGATCAGGTGTCACCTCTCTCGTCAATCATCCACTCAGAGTCAAAATTGGGCTGGTCGCCCATTTGACGTCGCGAAAGACAGTGTCGCGCAGCTGGCTGCTAGTCCTCGTCGACCGTTGACCCTTGCAGATCTATTGAAGTATGCTTGTCGAGCCCCTCAACTGGAAATTGACAGCCAAAGCTGACTGCAGACTGTAGACACGGTCGACCCCCATTGGACAAGGAAGCCCTCCTCGCCTCGGCCAATTTCACACTGTCCCTCCTCCCCGCCCGGTTGGCCTCTCGCATACAGGCATTGCGAAATTTGCCATTTATCGTCGTCTCGAATCCGCACGTTTCCCAGATTTACCATAACTACCTCCATTCGCTTTCGACCCTTTTACCGTACCAACAAAGCCGCATCACAACGCTTGAAGAAGAGAACCAATTCGGTGATGTGCTGGCGGATCTTGTACAAACACATACAAATACGATTCCAGTCCTCGCACGTGGCTTTCTGGAATGCAGGAAATATGTCAGTCCAGCAGATGTCACAAGCTTTCTAGACACCCATCTGCGTGCGCGTATCGGTACACGTTTGATCGCCGAGCAGCACCTGGCTCTTCATTTCGCCTCACAACCAATCGGCGGCGAGCCATTCAAAAGTCCCGACACCCCTGCACCGAAGAGTTCCATCCCACCGAATTACATAGGAGTCATCGACACTGCATTGCAGCCGGCACGCATCATACGGTTATGTGAGGACTTCGTCGGTGAGATCTGCGAATTGAAGTATGGCGTACGGCCGAGTCTCCAGATTGGAGGTGATCCCGATGTCTCTTTCGCCCATGTCCCCGTACACATTGAGTACATTATCACGGAACTTTTGAAAAACGCGTTCCGAGCGACCATCGAAAATGGAAATGAGCGCGAGCCTATTGAGGTGACGATCGCCGCAGCGCCAGATGTACCGGGGAACCAGCCGCCCACCTCGGGTGACAAAGATAATAATGATACTGGGTTTGAGTTGGACTCGGAGGGTGAAGGGCCCAATCGGAACGAAAAGATCGGTCATTCCACTCCTGCGTCGCAAAGTATCACAATCCGCATTCGTGATCGAGGCGGCGGTATTCCACCTGAGGTCCTGCCTCACATTTGGTCGTACAGCTTCACAACCTTCTCGGAAGATGATTTCCAAACCTCTGACAATGGGAACTTGGATGCCCTGAATACCATCTCTGCTAGTGGTGGCAACCCCAGTACCATTGCAGGTCTTGGATATGGGCTGCCGCTGAGCAGAGCGTATGCTGAATACTTTGGTGGCAGCATCGCCGTGCAGAGCTTGTGGGGATGGGGAACTGATGTGTACTTGACGCTTCAGGGAGTTGGCAGAATTGATTGAGCACAGAATTAGATACCCTTGACAAGACTGAATTTTTAGCCAGCTTCGGCTTTTTATATCACTCTTCCTTTACACAAAACTATAGTCTTGACGTGGCTGAAGAAGGGACGAACAGCTCCATAAAATCTGAGATCAACATATTTGAATCTTGAACTGCTTCAAGTGTCCGACAGATATCTGCTGCAGAGAACAGATGCCCCATGTTTCTCACAAACTTCTCCTGCACCGCAGTTGGTGTTTCGGGGTTTCGCGCATGTCCCACTGGATATTCAATAAGCACCTCAGGCAACTCAAGACCATTCTTGAGATGGACCGTCATCCCTGCACCGATGCTTTTCTTTTCAAGATTCAAATAGTCATTTTGAAGACCAGAGTCAGCCTGGACCACAATTTTTGCCCGCAAAGCTTCCAGCTCCTCGCTTTGTGCCCAGAAACTCCCGTCAAAATAATCTGCAGCTTCTGGTGGACTTCCTTTCAAGAACGCCAAAGCAACCACGTACTGGATGCAATGGTCTCGATCCGCCGCATTTCGCAGTGGGCCCTTTTTGTCAATTATCAGAGACGCAGCTTCCGTCGTCCTCAAGTAGATGCTCTCGACATCCCCCACAGGATCAACAAATCCCCTTTGTCGATACAATCGGGACTGTAAAACAGCAGCCTCAACAGCCGAGATCGCATGCCCCTCCACAGGCATAGTCTTAATCAAGACATTGCGCACAGTCCAAGACCCAAAAGCACGAGGAAAAATGAACCCATTCTCACCAAACGTCCTTTCCCAGAAGCCAAATGGCCGCGCGCTCAAAGCCTCCGGTGATCCATCCTGGCCCTGTTGTATCATCAGGGCCAATTGCATAGCCCTCCTCGCCGCATCACCGGCCGCCCACCCTTTCCTCGATATAGTATTCGAACCTGTTCGGTACAATCGACTCGGATGACCATCCATCCAGACATGAGATAATGTCGCCATGGCTTGTTCTCTTGTTAGTCCAAGTAGCCAGGAGACAACGGCTGCGGACGCCAGTTTGACCAGCACTACATGGTCAATCCCGTAGGCATTGAACGCATTCTGCATTTGATAACACCCCTGTATCTCATACGCCTTGACTAGAGCAATCAACAGTGTCTGCATCGTCATCGGTAGCTCTTGCTGGGAAGTCTGTTCCTCTTTACTCGTACGCGAAAGCCAATCCATGACCGGTATTATAGCGGCGAGATTATCTGAATCGTGATGTCAGTAATAGACCCCCTTGGCCCACTTGTGGTATATTGGGTTACCAGACGGATGTCCCCATTCCGCACCGCCAAGTGCATCGTTGTGATCTAGATACCGTATCAAAACCCCCATGTCGAATGCCCCTTTCAGAGGGTCGACTTGCAGGTTCGTTCCGGGGACTTTGAATCCATTCGGTACGATTGTATTCTCGATTACGGGGCCAAGCAGCCTGCGGCATGATTTGCTTGTTGCTGCTGTCTCAATGGCGCAGCCTATTGTATCAAGGAGAACGGTGCGGGCGCATTTCCACATTTCTTCGTCGTTTTGGTCGAGTTGATAATCGTAGACATATTCAATGACATTGATTATGGGCTGGTCGTACGGAGGAGACATTTCAAATGCAGTTAAATGATAGTTGATTCTGATAGCCAAGATATAGCAGAATAGAACATGACCTAGTGAATTGTTTGATCGCACGATCATTTGCTTTTGATATAGCGATGTTACGATTCCAGGAAATACTCGATGTGACCCGAAACTAGTACCTTCATGCGCATCAGATGAAACTCTTCAGTTTCCCTCCGAGCGGTGCCCCAATCGGCCCCTGTTTACGCACTTTCCAAGGTTTCACACAATAAAACCTGGTATTTGATTTGTCATGCAGGACATGAGTTGCCCCCTATGGGGATGCATAGATATTTTGCTTCTAGGTTCCAAGAAATATGACTAACAGACTCCATCGTCTCAAAACCCGCCGACTCCTCGCACCCTCTGTACAGCACCAATAGCTCCCTTGGCCCAGCTAAACCGGCCAGGAACAGGTCCCATAGAGCCAGGTGGTATCTCATCAGTCTTTGGGTCGTGCCAGCAGCCATCTTTAGGACTTGCGGCACCATACTTGGCAGTGTTCTGATTGCGATCAATCAGCTCGAGCCAAGCTCGACAGATCATTGCCGAGTCGATAAGAACATTGATTTCCTGGCTGTGGAAGAATGACTGTGTATCAAGGTTTCCATTTCCTTTATGAAGGTTAGCTTGATTGCGAATATAAACAACCGATAAGATATAATGTCGACGACATACCCTGAATAGCAATTTGCTCATCAACAATCATGAGCTTGATGTGACAGCTGCGTTTCTTGAAACTGTTGTGAATGGGACGGGTCTGGTCCTTGCCGACATAGTAGCACACCCGTAGGCAAGACTTCTCCTCATCTGATTTCAGAGAGTTGTATAGTCTGTTGGCGATCATCTCGTTAGTCCCGTTTTGGAACGGAAGCAACTCGCCTGCATCATTGTACCCAAGACAGAGATAGCAGGCTACAATGACACCGCGACGAGCAGCGTTGATGAGGGGCTCGATTAAAGGCTCGGCATTCATATTTGGTGTTTGAATGAGAATCGATTTCTGTGCATGATTGATTGCCGAGATCCAGGCAGAGTTCTGGGGTGTGTGGATACTGCTGTGGTTTGGAGCTTGAATAAAGTTAAGCATGAGATCGAGGGTTTGGATCTGGCTTTTTGGCTTATGACTTACATCCAAAAGGCTCCCGATTTACCACAGCCATTGCGAAGGGCTCATGAGGGGGCATCACCATGTAGGGGGTCATCACCGGGTCTTGATCGCTGTCTGGCGCATCGCCAGTCGTGTCTGGCTGGATAGTTGTATCTAGTTGAAGGTCAGAAGAATGATTGGGGGATTGATCATGTATCAACATACTAAGGTGTCGGCTCACAGCCTGTGTGGGTGTCTGTGTTTCTGTTGGTTTCATACATTCGTTAACTCGGCGAGCCTCGTGATGATAGTCGAGATCGTAGTGCGGAGACTTGGTTGTATGCTCGGGAAGAGCCTCAGCTCCATTCTGTGAAGGAGCCCCGTTCTCCTGCTCCGCGCCTTTGTAGCACTGGATTGGGGCATCCCTAGCGGGTGAGTTCAACAGAGGGAACGGAGGCTCAAGAGGCTTTCCCCAGGACAACAATGCAGCATCGTAGAAAGAGTCAACGATGGGTCCCTCGATATGAGACAGCATCTCGAGGTTGTCGTTGTCTTGAATATTACTACTCTGTATGAGAGCCATGCGCCGGTCTATAACGGTAAACTTTGCATGGAATGTGCCAAATATGGGCCGGTGGAAGTTGATGACCTGGAGATCAACATTGGGGATCTCGCTCGCAGCAGGTAGCCTGACTTTGCCGCCTACATACTGGTCCTCTTTCACGTTGAGTCGGTTATCCCACGCCTGTAGACCGAGTTAGTACCAAATAAGTAAACGGAGCAGCGGAACTCACCTGCCGAGGATCTCCACGGTCATAGATCATCTTCATTACTATCTTTTGGCCTCGTTCGCCAGCTCTTTTAGAGAGCTCTCGGATGGCATTTGTGATGAGTGTTGATGCGTCGGAGTGAATCCAAAAATTGGTACCTAGAAAAATTTCATGCTCGGCACGCACAATGCAATTTGCTAAATGGCGACACAAATCTGGCAAAGGAGCAACAATCGTCAAGGGCAAAACTCCCGTGCCGCCCAAAAGAGGGGGAGAGACAACCCCCGACATGGGGTTTTTCTCTAAAGAACACAAGGCGTCGTGATAGACCTAAATTGAATAGTTAAATGACTGAATCCCCTCTGAAGGAACAAACCAACCTTTAAGAATATTTCACTTGTTTCGGTTGATTCAAAATTTCCACACGCGCGAGCCTTCTGCAGCTCGTCCAATTGCTCCCATTTGGATGCTTCGTCAGAGTCCGAGCCCGATCCTTCTCCATTGTGATGGGTATGTGGGAGATGATGACCCTCAAACAGCTTGTGGAAAACCTTTTGCGGACACTGCGATGGGTCAAGGGCCAACTCCGAGGTCACTGTCTGCTGCCCGTGGGACATATTGTACAATTTGCGCGAGACCATGGTACAGGTAGCACGATTGAGGCTGATGGGTTGTCGAATCAACAGAACGACGGAAACAAAAACGAAGGAGCAGGTTGCAGCAAGTATCTCGAGCACATCTGTGAAGTTTCGTGGGTATAGGGCGTCCATTATTGAAGGTATGATTATGACGTATGTGCTTGGCTTCGCGCCGGGTCGGAGATAGTACCTGTAACGAGTCTGGGCAAACAACTTGGTCCAAAGTGGACAGGGCGGATGAAGTTTGGATTGGATCGAAATGAACCAAAATTGTGGTGCCTAAAGGCTCAGCAGCTGGGCGTGGCCTGGAGTCGCAAGGCTGCGAGCAAGATGACGCGCTTCAGCCCTACAACGTCATCCGGTCTCCACAAATGCTTGTTTCCCCTGCGGTTTCACCAAATCAGGAAGCGATCGTATTATTGGTAGGGCTGCGTCGCAATTTGGACTGCAAATATACACCATGGGCCAAGTTTGGAAAACATGGTTGGTTCCCACATGAAGTCTTGGTAAAAAGTGACTAGTGCAATGTACAGTGAAACAACAAAGCAGGATTTCCACAAACGCCCCTTGGCTTCATTCATTCCACACCGAAATAATTTTACATATTTGCATCTGTATATCGCAAAGGAAAAGAGAAAAAGACAGGAAATCACTGAGTGAGTTACTCGTCACGGACGGCCTCTGCTACGGCCCATTCAGCGCGTTGATCCCCCAGATCTTTTGACTGTGACTCTTCCTGCTTAGCGTCCGATTTGGAGCCGTTTTCTGCCGACTGCCGAGCATTTGACGAATTGATGGTGGGCAACTCAATCCCGAGATCAATGTCTCGGACTCCCCACACCGATCGACGAGGTGTCTTGACGCCAGTCTGAAGATAAAGGTCCAACTCATCAATGTAGTCGTATGCGGCCTTGCTGGCGATGAACAACCTCTCATAGGAATCCAACCCGCCCAAGCGCCATTCGGGCAACTCTTTGCGTGCATCACCAAGGTCATACATTATAGAAGGGGAACCATCCTCATTGACTGCCTTGCGACGGTTGTATTTGATACCGCGACCGAGAGGTGAATATGATGGAATCTGTTGCTTTCTGAACCCTACCACCGGGTGGACAAATTCGCACGTATCGCCAAGCAGCTGTCCATCTTTGTCGCGCAAGTTGTAACCAGGGGTGCGTCGCTTCGATCCATTGAGGTAAAAGAATGGCGTGAAGCTATCCTCCAGCAGCCCTGTACCCCAGCCATAGGTGCGTTCCTTGATAATCTTTTCGGCCTTCTGGAATGGGGTCTTTAGGGCCGCAAGAGTGCGCTGGGGCCAGGATCCTTCATTCTGCTGATCATTTTCGCCGAGTGTGGAGATCCAAAACTCCATATCGGTTCTTTCCTTGACGAGATACTCTTCATCAAGCGAGAGGTGAGGCTTGATCTGGTCAAGCATCCATGCAAAGGTGATGCTGGACATCTCTTCCATATCACCTTCGTTGCGAAGGCTGTCGTCTGAACCTCCTCCAATATTGACATGGTAACCTGGGAACCACACTTGCTTCAAAGTTCGAGGGTGATCCTGGTGTTTCCAGTCATCTTCCATTTTGACAAACTTCCGGCCTTCTTTGTTCAGATCTCTGGCGGTCCTGTTGAGGTGGCGCGCTGCGCTGTTGATGTCCTCATCACTGCCCTTGCCGCTGCGCTTGAGCTTGATCGCATCTGCCAAGATATCTTGGTATTCCTGAGCTTTCTTCCCGACCACCTTTCTTTGATCTTCAACTTGCTCGGCGGACACATTTCCAAATCGTGGTAAGTACCACAAGGTGGGTGAGAATGAGTTCCGGTGCTCGTCGAGGGCCAAAGCGTGATATGCATGTTTGATATCTAGTGCTCATGTGTCAGTTGGCTACATCCATGGATTATTTCTCTTTGAATCGCCTCTGAGCGATGAGAGACATTGACTCACTGGCCGAAAGATCAACATTTTCCCAACCGCCTGAATCCGACCACCAAGTGAGCCATGATGGGAGTTTCACTCCGAGGATCGCTGGCATTCCAATGCTACCAACTGTGTCATATACTCCGACTACCTCCACGCTTCGCGACCCCTCCTGGGCCCAATCGCCCTGTGCTTTCTTTGAGAAGACGAACTCGTCGCCTTTTGCACCTTGCTTCTCGTCGGCCTTCCCTTCCATCCACTCGAACCAAAGATCACTGCCGAAAAATCTCTCGCCCGGCTTGTTCTTTTTGTAAATTTTCCAAAGATCCGGGAAACGATTCAAATTGTGTTTATTGCAGATTCCAATGTCCGAGATCAGTCCCGCGATGGCGCGAGCTGTGAATGCACCTCTCGAGAAACCAAAACACATGATCTGATCGCCGGGATTATAATTCAAGACGCAGAAATTGTACGCCTCCACAATATTTCCCTCCAATCCCTCACCAATCGCGCCTTGGATTTTCTCTCCAAGGGCAAGGGAAGTGGTACCGATTCCAGAGTCATACCAGACTATCTGTTGCCATTGCTTTCCATTATCGTCGGTTCCGATACTGTTCATGGCGCGACAAAGACGCGTCACGTTTGATGGAACATTCTTTTTTCCCGACACGGCAGACTGCCATGTTCCATCGCAGCAAATGATGATGCGTTTTGGGATGGGGGGAAGTTTGGCATCACGTCTCTGTTGAATAATATAGGGAATATCGTGTCCCTCCGAACAAAGTGACATTTTTCTCGCCAAATGAAGAATGTATTCAACGGGAGGGGGTAGTTTCTTTCTTGGGATTGAGGTATGTACGCGAGGCGGGCTTGACTTAATTTATGAGATGGCAAGAGAAGATCCCCTGTCAACCGTACCCTTATGAAACTAACAGCCATGGTGAACAGTGCTCGCGCTGAAATTCCCTCTTTTTGGTTCGCTTGCAGGAGGCTATAGGGGCTCTAGTGTCGGTGAGATACGCACTCCTACGCCACTTTTCGGCAGCCTAAGCCCTTTTTGGAGAGTTGGGGTGACCCAGCGTTCGTGTTGTCCTCAGCCGCTGCAGATATTGTGACTGTTCATAAGATCAGCTCCTCTTTTGCGGTTGAGCGGGCCAATAATAATGCAGATGATACTCACGCTTAAGGGCACCATCGGGGGCGCCCCAGGCCACCGGGTCAGCCCGTGCTGATCCTGCAGGGAAAAAGCAACAAGGCGGGCTGACGGTACAACCATCCTGGTCAGACTGCAATCTGGTTGTAATGGTACCAAAGTGATATAATAGCCCGAGCTGAGTGTGCAGGGACTTTGCAGGTCGCCTTATGACACCAAACCTGGGGAACAGAGCTAGCCAGATAAGGGCGACTCAACCATGGTACACCACACCCCCCGACCATGGGCGCCGAAAGGAAATCGTATCAAATCTTAAACTCGGTCCTTGACATTTCATTGGAGTTTCATTGAACAAATGAGATCGCTATTTTGGCCGCTCTGATACTATTTGCACAAAAGTTTGCTGCACGGTAACATGATTTGGCGAGATAGCAGGACTGAGCTCTGCATGTAAAGCTTCTTGGCTGCTGTTGCTCAGACTGAACTTGTTTTTCCTTGGTGACGACACCGTGATGATCATGCTTTTAGTGTCGTCAAAATCGATATCAGGGCGCCAATATTTCGTGTCTTGAGATCTTTTCAGGTCTTCGCTATTCAAGAGAGACAGTGGATATTGTCTGAAATTTTTGTCTTGGCGGTGGGTATCTTTAGTGCTCTTCTCGTCGAGCAGCCAGCGGAACAAAGGACGGAGAGTGATCAGGCTCCCCGCTGTAATGCCGAGGCCAGTCTCAATCACAGACCAAATTGCAATTTGCCAGGTGGAGTCTGAGAAAGTACTCCGTATTAGGTTCGAACTTTATCAAGGGGCAATCGACTGTCAACATACAAAGAAAGTTTTGATCGGAATAGAATCGCAGAAATGGGACCCGACAGGCCACTGCCACGCTAGCGCTGTAAAAAGTCAGTAGGATCCTTGGCAGGACGAAACGTGGGAAGAAATTGCATACAAGGCACCCAGGCTGAAAATTCCTCCCACCGCAAACTTCGTCCGGCGATTCATTTGCAGTTTCCACACCAGGAATGCGGGCAATATTCCCAAAGTTAGGTCACACACAATTGTGAGCGAGCTGTAAACATAGGCTGCATTTAATAACACGGCCTTTGAAAGACATTTTCCGGTACTCGTGTGGTCCACTTGTCGCCAGAAATAGGAGATAGGACGACAGTCGAATAACAGCAAAAGCCAAAACATAAGCCCAATCGATACTGTGAGAATCATTGTACACCATAGGATCATCCGGTGACATCTCTTGACTGTCAGTCGCAGAAGTGCCAGGGCGATGGATATCTTGGCAACAGCAGAGGTCCACACGTAGAGCATTTGACCAAGCCACCACCACTATGAAAGACGGTAATCAGCATATCTCCACAGAATAAGATAGTAAGTCTCGGTGTCCGCACTCACCAGGAGAGCTTTTTTATAGATGTCTACACTTGTAAAGTCTGTATATGTGTGACCGATGCCGTTCATCGATCCAACGATACAACAACAGCCCAAGAGCATGAAAAGGCACTAACAGGAGTGAGAAGCATATCAAATCGGAGTCTTTGTATGGTCTTACCAGAGCAGCAATCATTGAAGCATCATCCCAGCCAAAAGCACGAACAATACACAAGCGAACGAATGTTCGCAATGACACAATGGCAAGGGAAAGCGACATCATGACAATTGAGACGAGAAAAATAGCCAGGCTTCGGCCTTCCAAGGTCATTGCAGCTCCCATATTGAGGATAAAGTAGGATTTTCCGCGAGGTAGCCAGTCATTCAAACCTTGAAATCGGTTTACCAGTGCTCATTTTATCGACGTGTGAACTCAGTGGCAATCCCAAAAAGAAGAAAGGTGCAATCGACTTGATATAAGTAAGATAGAACAAGTAAAGCTCTAACTGGAACTATCCAGAGATCGAGAGAAACCAACATCCTATATAAATCGCCCCAAAAGCCCCGGATACCCCGAAGCAAAGGACCCATAATTGAAGCTGGCGCAGGTGGGGCATCTGTGAAATTATCTTTGACTGCCGGCCCGTTATTGAGAGAGGAGGCCCTAAGCGATAGCAGGGGCATATTGGCAGGCGCGGCCTCCTAGTCCCCATTCGAAACTAAAAGCGTGCGCTAAATTAAGGTACTAGTACCCAAATGAACGGACCGAGGCTTCTGGATAGTGCGACCCACGAGCACGGGTTGAATTGAGCCATAGATTTTTATTGTGGCTTTTCGCGATCTGTTTGATTTGCGGAAATGAGATCGAGTGGTTTGGGGCATTTGTGCCGAGATCGCGTGGTCCGCGTGGTCAAATTTCGCCAGATCTTGTTCTAGATCCCCGATCTTATCGTCTCAAAAAGCGCGATGTTTCAAATTAGCGCCAAGTGTTTGAAGATCAATCCCAATAACGAGATAAAACTGTTGTTCCGGAACCTTTGTGCGTATCTGCGAATGAAAGTTTCACACTTTTGCGATGCTACAGATTATCGCAAATACTGGCGAACAAAATCTTGAAATTTACCCTCGTTTACAATGAAAGGGGGTTTGACGACCTTGAAACAAAAGCGAGTCCAAGCGACACTTCAATGCTCTATCTAATTCATGATCAAGGTGAAAGTAGGCTCGGTTGATGCCGTTTGCGATCCCGGAGACCAAGAAGTATCAGGTCTGATTCATGCTGTCACTTTTTCCAAACTAATTTTGAGCTGAAGTATAGGTGTGGAGAATCCTCACGTCAGCTGGTCTAAGCCGATCCCCCAGCCCTGAAATTCAAAAAGCTTCAGAAACAGACATGATGCGAAATGGAACAAAACGAGGGAGTTCAAACAAGCACGCCTTGCAGTTGAAACATTACCAGATGACTGCGCAAGCTTCGCAAGTTCAAGTGAAACTCCGAGCCAGAAAGCCTCGAGTCCCTCAACCACCTGCTTCGACGAGACACGCGTGATTCCAAGAATATCAATAAGGCACCTGCTGGGTTTCAAAAATCCATGGATGATGTACCTGGCATCGGCACCCTTAGACTGTCCTTACTCTACGGCTGGTTAGAGTCTGACTTTTCTTTGCTCGTCTCGCAGTTGCGATTCGGATCGGAGACCAAATCCCGGTGGGTCTCGAATCTCGATATTGCCCCTCATCAACCGCAACCCACCAGGCACAGTTGTGCTCTTGGATGCTGGATTTGATCTCCGAGAGGAAGAAAAAAGTCATCCCGTGCACCAGTGGAATAAATCATAGCCGAGAAGTATGACTTGACCAATGCAATTCCGGTTCTTCCAACCCCCACGCCTCCTCATCGGAGTTGTGGCCGAGATGTCAATCCGTGCTTCCCCAGATTCTGGCGCTTTATCAGCAATGCTGCCCCTCAGCTGAAAAATATCCGGGCAAACTCTGAGAGAATTCTTCAGCTACCGCGGAGCGTAATCATACATTCAACTGGCAAGACTGCCTCATATCTACAGCACAATGTCAGGCTCTCTCTACTCAAATCAAGGCGATCGTTGCTCACATATTACAGGGTTTACACGGCATCATTCGCATTCTTTGAAGCTCTCTGGGAGGTACGCTAAAGATGTTCCTGCTTCGGACTTTCTAGTTCGCATTGAATCAAGCTGATCAATACAAACTGTATAGGGTGGCGTTAGACATGTTTTCGTCAACCTCGGATCCGATCACCCTTCCATTCTTGAGGCCATGGTGAAAGGCCAGAAGGAAAAGAGAGACCAGTTCCCAACAATCATCACCTGCCCCAATGAGGTTCGTCAACAATTACATCATGCGACCCACCTATACTAGCTTCATCGCTTCGGTACACAGTCCCGCTCACGCTAAATGTTTCATTTAGATGGTAGCCCTGTCGATGGCAGATGGCTACGCTCGATTGACTGGCGAACCGCAAGCCGTTATTGTTCACGTCGATGTCGGGACACAGGGACTTGGAGCAGCAGTGCACAATGCCTCCTGTGGGCGCGCTCCGGTTCTCATCTTTGCTGGTCTATCACCATATACAATCGAGGGCGAGATGAGAGGTTCGCGCACTGAATATATTCATTGGATCCAAGATGTACCCGACCAGAAGCAAATCGTTGCTCAATACTGCCGATACACCGGTGAAATCAAGACCGGCAAAAACATCAAGCAGATTGTCAACCGCGCATTGCAGTTTGCAACCAGTGACCCACAAGGTCCTGTATACCTGGTCGGAGCGCGAGAGGTGATGGAAGAAGATATTGAGCCATATCAGCTTAACCAGACTGTTTGGGGTCCTGTATCACCAGCAGCCCTGCCTGTCTCCGGCGTTGAGCTTATCGCCTCGGAGCTCGCAGCAGCGAAGAACCCGCTAATCATTACTGGGTATTCTGGGAGAAAAGCCCAGGCTGTGACTGAGCTAGTCAATCTGGCCAACAATTTCAAAGGAATCCGTGTCTTGGATACCGGTGGCAGTGACATGTGCTTCCCGGCTGACCACCCCGCATGGGTAGGAATGAGGTTTCCGGGACACGACCTAGTGGGAACATCGGATCTTATCCTTGTGATTGATTGCGACGTTCCCTGGGTTCCCACTCAGTTCAAGCCATCTGCTTCGGCGAAGATAATCCACATCGATGTGGACCCTTTGAAGCAGCAGATCCCGGTTTTCTACATCAATTCGATGGCAACTTTCCGTGCCGACTCGTCTACTGCTCTGAAGCAGATCAATGAATACATTGCCTCCCAGACTCCCTTGCAAGAATTCACCGCTTCTGAAGAGAATGCTATTTTGGGTCAGCTCCGAGATGAAGAATACTCACAGCGCCGACAAGAGATCAGAGAACTGGCCGTGGTACCTGAAGGAGGTGACGATGCTTCATTAAACATCAGTTACCTCATGGCACAGGTTCGCCAGGGTGTTCCTGATGATACCATTTGGGCCATTGAAGCCGTGACAAACGGCCATTTTGTCGCCGATCAAGTCTCAGCTACTCTTCCCAACTCGTGGATCAACTGCGGAGGCGGAGGTCTTGGCTGGTCCGGAGGTGGAGCCCTTGGTATCAAGCTCGCCAGTGACATGCAACACGGGGGACCAGGAAAGGGCAAGTTCATCTGTCAGGTCGTTGGCGATGGAACGTTCTTGTTCTCCGTGCCTGGATCTGTCTACTGGGTTGCTCGCCGATATGGAATCCCCATTTTGACCATTGTCTTGAACAACAAGGGATGGAATGCTCCTCGTCGGAGTA